CCCTAAACCCTAAACCCTAAACCCTAAACCCTAAACCCTAAACCCTAAACCCTAAACCCTAAACCCTAAACCCTAAACCCTAAACCCTAAACCCTAAACCCTAAACCCTAAACCCTAAACCCTAAACCCTAAACCCTAAACCCTAAACCCTAAACCCTAAACCCTAAACCCTAAACCCTAAACCTAAACCCTAAACCCTAAACCCTAAACCCTAAACCCTAAACCCTAAACCCTAAACCCTAAACCCTAAACCCTGAACCCTGAACCCTGAACCCTAAACCCTAAACCCTAAACCCTAAACCCCTAAAACCCTAACTCTGAACCCTAAACCCTAAACCCGGAACCCTAAACCCTGAACCCTAACCCCGGAACCCTAAACCCTACACCCTAAACCCTAAACCCTAAAAATATCAGGCTTGAAAGATGGTTGCAAGATGATAGCCAGGAATGGTTAGGGTTAGGGCCATGTCACAGATGATAGTCAGAGCCAAACATGCACCCTGAGATGAAGATTTATGATGGTCACATGGTAGTCTGTGAAGGTTCAGGGCTTAGGGCCAAGTCTTTATGTTAGTCATGGTCTAGGGCTCTGCGCGGTTGATACTTAATGATCGTCTCAAGTTAGTGAGAGATCGTTCCCCTTTGAATTGAAAAAATCGCCCAAAGCAGAACAATTGTTAGAGGCTGTCTAATTCTCAATGATAGTCAAGGCTAAGGGCTCAGTGCAGGGCGATAGTCAATAATAATCAGTGTTCACATCGGTGTAATCCGTACTTGACCTGCATCAAAATATAAACCAGAAATAAACTCTATATGCATGCGCAGCTGCAATTTGTTGTTGGGGACGTGCTGGTTTTATGCGGACGGAAGCCAAACTATTGCATTCACAACTTACTTGATTGAGGGTGAGTCCCAAATTACTCTCACCCCGGAAGCCCAGCGCTGAAAAATTGCAAGATTTCTATCAGCCACACACGTACCAAATTACTTTCAATTCTCTTCTACACACATACTGGGCAGGGCGCCCCGTGCAATTGAAATGTGTCACCCAGGTGAGCGTATCACTGGCAGCATTCTATCAGCCCAACAACGTCTGGATAATAGGAGACATCTATGGCAGGAATTACAAAATACAAGACAATAGGCCCAAACAGTACAGGCCACCATAAATCGTAACAAACTTCCTATCCAAAGAATTGATATACTGTACGAAGGGCATGCGTTCGATATCTGAAAACCTGCAAGTTACCTATTGTCTGACATGAGCGGCTTGAAGAATATATCTATATAGGGTTTGAAGACTGGCACTTTCACAAGTGGTTCCCATGTTGATCACAGGACTTCCCAGTCAGTTCACCAGCCAAGTATGTAAGAAAGGTGGCAATTTCACTTTGCTTGAAGATCACATCTAATTCCTGGTGTGAAGTCATGCTGCGCAACCAATCAATATGGGGACACATGCGCCCTCTTGGTGCCCCTCGAAGAGCTGGTGCCGCCCCTGGCTGGCCTCCCTCTGCTTGATCCCGTGCCCCTGCCAGCGCCCCCGCCATTGCTGCCGTTGCTGGTGCTCCAGCCGCCATATCCCTGCTGGCTGGAACTGCCGCCCTGGTCTGCGCCGGCGCTGGCGTTCTGCCTGGGCTGCTGCTGCCCTCCCCTGCCGCCGCCAGATGACCGCCCCTGCCCCTGTAAGCACAAAACCACCATGAGCACATCAGCTCAAAATTTTTCACATGCATGCTTGTCACGGTGACTTGAAGCAACACAATCAGCCGCCTTCTGGCTGTCCCAGTCTTGTGCTAGGCATCTCCAACAGGCACTGGTCACTCCGCAAGCCAAAGATACTGCTATTGAACATCTTAGGCTTTAAGTATATAATTGCCAGTTGGAAACAGCTCTAAATAGACATAAATGCATCATGAAGATTTGTCATCCTGGAGGCAGCATCAGGAATAGGAAAGGCATATGCCCCAGGCCCTATAACATCTTCTAAAAAACTTTAAAGGCAAATCCAAGGCAAACTTGAGAGAGACAATATATCATACCCCGCGTCCTCCTCCGCCGCCTCCTCCACGTCCACCTTCACCCTCCAGGGAAGCCACAATATTCAACCCCGGCACACCTGCAGAGCACGAATTGGTCATAATGATATCATCCGTTCCTTGGAGAAATATGGTGCTCACACTGGCAACACAGTGAAAGGCAAACCCGTCACAGCATTAGGAGAATGGCTGGTAGGCACTGACCTTTCAGGCCCATCTTGCCAACTGTCCTCTTCTCAATCGGAGGGGGCTGTGCACCACAACCTGCACACCAAAGCAAGTTCCCTTCAGCGCAAGGATGGAGCGCACACAGCTGCATTGCCACAAGAAGAAGGTGTTGGACCACCTCAGCTATCTGCACAGCAATCGGTGACAGGCACAGAAGAGTCCTTTAAAGATGACATATCTACGATGCGACATTGTATAATATGGAGCAGGAAGCGGCGCACCCAGAGTGACTGCATACTGATTGGCAGCCTGGATGAGACGCGTTGAGTCCCACTTGCACATCTTGCAGAAGCCCTTGTAGAAGCCCAGCCAGGTCCTGTAAGCCTGCCAGCGCATGCATGCCCCACTTTAGTATCTGATCTTGACAGCTGCTCTTCGCAACACAGTGTCTTCACAACTGAGTGACGGGCTATATATGTCCTCCTGTGCTACGATGCCAGAAATAGAGAACCTGGATGGTGGCAATGGTTTCTCACCTGTGCCTTGGAGGCATAGGCAACAGCGGCCAGGCCGGCCTCGACGGCTTCCTGGGCTCCAGCGAAGACCTGGGGCGAGGGGCTCGGCGCAGCTGTGATGGGTAGGTCAGAGAGGGAGTTGAGAAAGTTGGACTCGTAGTCGCCCAAGATGATGAGCCCCTTGCCGCTCTTGCCGGCGCGCGCCGTGCGGCCCAGTCGGTGCACGTACTGCGCCTTCTCCATGGGCAGGCCCAGCTGCGCCGCAACAGGCAAGTCAGTTCCCCACGGAATAAATAGATGGCCGTAAGCGACCATGTGACTCACTTTTCAGGCAAGACCTGCATGTCCATCACAGTTCCTGGCAAATCAAAGCGCCACTGCCAACCGGCAACAGTCCAGTCCCACGCCAAAGTTCACAGCACAGCACAGCGGTGTAGAAGCTTCCCAGTCAGAGCAACGTGGTGGAGCTGAGGGGGAATGGCTGACCTGGACAACGAGGGATACGTCGGGGTAGTCGACGCCGCGCGCAGACACATCGGAGCTGAACATGATGCAGCCGCCCTTGCTGGCGCGGAACTGGTCGGCCGCCTTGGTACGCTGCGCCTGGCTCTTGCGCGAGTGCATCTCCAGCACGGGGATGCCCATGGCCTGGAAGAGCTCGCAGTAGAATTGCGTCACGCGCGCCGTCACAAAGAAAGCCATGATCTGCGCGCACACAGCCCCTGTCAGGTTTGAGTAGATGCGGCCGCGCTTCGATCGGATAGCATTACGTCATGTGTCAGGTCGCATCATGCCGTCACAGTACATGACTATTTTTTAGGAGAAGCATCACAGCACCTTGAAGCTGGGGTCCTCGCTCATGTGCTGCCGGATGACTGCAAGCAGATGCGCATTCTGATCCTCCATGGACGTGACTATGTACTGCTGCTGCACCTGCTCAAAGCATGCATTCTGAGTCAGTGAAGTGCGCTCAAGATAGCAACATAATGACAGCAGAACTTAATTCTAACTGGAATGCGCACCGTCTCTGCGGCGTGCGTGTCCTCCTCCCCGACAGTGTCGACAACCTGGTACTCTGGGCGCAGAGCGATGCCGGCCAGCTCACGTATGTTGCTGGGGTATGTCGCGCTGAACAGCATGTTCTGGCGCCCGTTCTTGGGCGGCAGCATCCGGACAAGCTTCTCAATCTCCTGCCTACAACCGCCATGCTTGGAAGATTCAAAATTCTACATCCCAATGCCAATGCACCCAAAGAGCCCAATGTCAGTCATGGCATGCAAGCTTGAAAGGCACATTTTCTCGGAAGCCTCTAGGGTAGGGAATCATCCATGCTTTGGGTACACCAAATTGCTCTCACTGCATCAATTACGTGAGACAGCACTGAGGGGGACCAGTGAAAGGATCAGTCCAGGCCAGCACCTGAATCCCATGTCCAGCAAGCGGTCGGCCTCGTCCAGCACAAGCATGCGCAGATTGCTCAGCATGGGGGGCAGCGTGCCGGTGTTCTGCAGGTGATCCAGCAGGCGCCCAGGCGTGGCCACCTGCACAGAGAGGCAACCAACTCATTGGTAATATAATATCAGTGGAATGCAAGCCAAAAGTGCAGTAGGGAAGCGCAGAAAAATGCATCAAAAATGAAGCAGGTGTGATCTAAAAGATGCCTCAATTCCAATGCGCAATCCTATGCAGCAGAACCCCCATTCACCTAGTGATAGCAGACACTACAATTACATGGCCTAGCAGGCCAGGATCCCGAAGGAGCAAGGGAAACTCACCAGCACATCAGGCACTCTCCTTTGCAGGTCAGTGATATCCCTGTTCATGTTTGTGCCGCCAAACATCACCTGCCGTGTCACAGCACAAATGAGTACTGCTACACACGTACATTGCTTTTGCATGGCACAACCAATGGAAACATGGTGACACAACATTGTGTATCAGTCGTCAAGAATGGTAACAGGTGTGGGTGTCCTGTTACGAGGTCTCCAACCTGAACAGCCAGGTTCTGGTGCTTTGTGAGCTGCTTGGCCTCCTCAGCAATCTGAGCTGCGAGCTCACGCGTGGGACTGATTACCAGCATTGCAATTTTGCCCCTTCCAGCAGGCGCCTCCAGCATCTGCAGATCGCACAAATACTAGATTAAGGCATTGGGCAGGCAACCTTCTCACAACTACTACTTGCCGCTGCAGTGTCAGTTTCTCGTCACATTAACAGGAGAAGGTCCAGGAGATACACACCCTCTCAATTCCTGGGATGAGGAAAGCCAGTGTCTTCCCTGTTCCAGTCTTTGCCTTGCAGACAACGTCCAAGCCTCTGAGCGTGGCTGGCAGAGTCTCTGCTTGTACCTTAGTGCAATTTGTGTATCCCATCACCTCTGTGATACCCCTGCATCCATCACAAAGCTCCTATCATCCAAAAAATACAAGAACTCAGCTATGGCAAGTGTCAGCGGTGAGAAGAACAATACAAGGTGATGGTCACCCCGTGAGCATATCTGAGGGGCAAGGTGAAGGATTTCTACCTCAAAGTCGCCGCTGACAGCTCGAAGGAGGCGAAAGTGGCCTCTGTCAGGCTTTCCTTCGTGGTGCTGGACATGTTGGCTTGCTGCTGAAACTGCGGGATGGTGGGCCTGAGCCCCAGGGAAGCAGGGGCGACAGGAGCAGCTGCAGCGGCTCTTGCACCTGAGCTTCTCTGACGCCTCCGTGGCTTACCGGCCCTCTGCCTTTCCGTATCCATCAGAGCTGCGGATATCCTGCCAAGACACATTGCACAGAATTTCTCCAGATGTGCCAGCAGGGCAAGAATCGATCGTAGGCAAAACGCGCTAACAGAGACTTCAAAACTTATTCGGAATACTGAACAAACTCTGATTTGTGCAAATTGACGCTTCTCCAAGCTTCTTTAGTAGAAACAACCCAACCACAACTTGGCAGAAATTACATGAATAAAAGCAGCAAACCTCATAATGAGGGACATCTGGATGTCAATCATTGAGTGAGAATCTGATATTACCTTAGCGTTCCACAAGGAAATGCTAGAGTTCTCTGTATGGCTCTCCGCAACAGTACTTGCATGCTAAAGGGAACAACTCGTGGGCGCCTCTCTTCCAAACACCAACTTGAAGCGCTTAATAATGCTCTTGTGAATAACTAATAAAATCTTCTCTTGCAATTCGTCAAAAAATATCCCATAACTTTTCGAGAGAACCAACAGGCGGCCCGAAACCGTTAGGGTTAGGCAGGTCCAAGAGGTTAACCACCTTGAGCACCATTGAACCCTAGGGTTTAAAAAAAACATCTTCCCATGCAAGGATGTGCAGAGTTCAGAGTTGAGACTTGACAAAACATCGTTTGAACCGATGTAACAGCGCGATTAGAAGGAACGAAGACCTCGTATTGTTCAATGTCCAAAAGCAGGAGGGATGGCCTTCTACCACTGAAGTGCTCGTGTCACAACATGCGTCTTTCTTGTCGCACAGAGTGGGATATGCTCTTGACGTCTTTACATTCAGGATTTGGTACAATCGAATTTTCTTGCTGAAAATGGATGACAAGGCTGCCCGCGAGGCATTCCGAGTGCGCCAGTATTCTGGCAGTCAGGCTGGCCCATCAAGGAGCAGCACATATTTTGCCCGAGATTTGGGGCCTGACTTTGCTCTAACCACGTCCAGATGCATCATACACTTCGATGTCGATGCATTCTATGCCCAGGTGTGTTTACAGCGTAGAATCTATTTGATCAAGGTAAATGATAGTTGACTTCTTGTTTACCTTTGAGCTGGAAGCGCTGGAAGTGCCATGACGTGCTCAAATTGCATGGTCAGGTCGAAGAAAAGAGGGATCCACGCTTGAAAGATGTGCCAATGGGTAAGATCATCTTCTTGCACCCATCATTGTTTCATGCATATCTTGCAAGCATGTCTTGTGCACATTAGTATACACCTAAGAAAAAGGGTTATTTCTTTGCAGCCGTCACGCAGAAGTACCTCATTGTCACTGCAAACTATCCAGGTAGAGCGACCGTGCCCACCACAGCCTGCAGTGGTGTATATAAGCTGTGCGCTGTCTTTTGGTGGATACCCTGTGGCAATCTTACTGGAAAGTGCCTTGCTCTGCAGCTCGCAGGCTGGGTGTCACCAAACTACAGGGAATCACTGTTGCCAAGGAGCGCTGCCCTGGCTTGGTGCTCGTTAGCGGCGAAGACCTGTCACCTTACCGGCAGGCCTCCAAGCAGATCCTGGGAGTGCTGCAGCGCTTTGGTGTTGCCGAGCGTCTAGGCATGGATGAGGTATGTTATTCTCTTGCTTGATCTCTTTGCACGTTGCTGCTTGATTAATACCTTTGTGTACCTCAGCAATGCAGCTTTTAAGGCTGGCATGCATCATGCTGTCGTCCGAGTGCACAGGTGTCCATTTGCAGGTCTTCCTGGACGTCACAGAGGAAGTGCGCTCTCGCATGGCCAAAGGCATGTTTGCCCCGGCCTTCATCGGCCATATGCACACCAGCAGGGTAAGATCAGTCCCTTCCGTGCTTGCGTAAAGAACGCCAGATTTGAGAGCTTGTGATGTCATGTTGCTCGTTGGTGGAATCAGTGTATTTTACTGCTAAGGTGTCAATCTCCAGTCACATTGCAGGTGGAGCTTAGACAGGAGACGCATCACAGGCCCATGGATCTCAGGGCAGCCAGGCCGCAGGCGTGCAGCGCGCCAAGAGGAGCTGGTCATGGTGAGCCGGGGCAGCAGGAGCAGGAGTGGGAGGTCGCTCTCAAGATTGCGAGCAGCATTGCGGCCGAGGCTCGCGCTGCTGTGAAGGTGCACGGCCTTCTTTTCTGAAGTGCAGACCACAGCACCGTTGACACACCAATGCAATACAAATTGCCAGATCTACGAAAGGGTTCCTGAAAGTGTTCTTGTGGGATGTGGTTGTCCGTTGGAGGAAGGTGTGCTGAGCAGAAGTCAAACGCATGTGCAGGCAGAGGCTGGCTACAGGACGTCTGCAGGCATCTCCTGCAGCAAGATGCTAGCCAAGCTGGTCAGCGGCATGCACAAGCCAGACGATCAGACCATCCTGCTGCCCCCAGACGCCCCGGCATTCGTTGCTCCTCTCCCCGCCCGCACCATCCCTGGTACGCCGAGCCTTCTGTAATGTTTTCCTGACAAAGAAGCGATCAAAGCTGTAGGAGTGAATCATGTACATCAGTGGCGGCTGCAGCTATCAGCCCAAGGTAGAGCGGCCCGCCTTTCGTAAGCATCATCGTGATAGTGTAAATCTACCGTAGTGAGATTTTGGAGTGGACTGCAGGTGTGGGGTACAAGCTGGAGGCAGAGCTGACGGCAATGGGTGTCAGCACTGCGAATGACCTGAGGGCGCTGCCCAAGGCATCCCTGGTCAGCTCTTTTGGGGACCGCGTTGGCAGCTACCTCTACAGTGCCTGCCGAGGAGAGGCAAGTGTTCCAGCTTGGGCTTGCAATTCGCAACGTTCTTCATCACTCAAGAAGGTCTGCAAAGATTACCACGCTATTTTGGAAATCTATGCCTTGACTTGACACAATCTGTGATTGTCTCAGGATCCCACTCCAGTTCACCAGAGCGGTCCCCCAAGGTCCATCACTGTGGAGGTATGCAACTCCTTGCTCCTTGTCATTCCATGTCTGGATTCCCTGCATGTCCTAGGGAGGGACAGGTGAAGAGTCTATATGCAAAGAGTGCTGGATTTTGTTGTTCTGTTTGGGCACTGATTTGCCTGTCATTCTTGCACAGGACTCCTTCAAGAGCTGCACCTCCTTTACCGCCGCTGTGCATATCCTGCAAATCCTGGTCCCAGACTTGCTCATACGCCTGTGTGAGGACTTTGAGGTGCGCTCGGGTCGTGCTCCTTCTGCCCACGTCATTGTGTGGTGAAGTATTACTTCAACTGCTGCGCTTTTTGTTCGCTGAGCAATACTATTGCAGCCTCCGTTAACATGTGCCGTGAGTAAACGCGAACTTAAGTATGAAGGGTGCTATCTACGCGTGCAGGAATACCAACGGCGACCGAGCACGCTGACGCTGAAGTGGAGGCAGAGGAAGCAGGGCTGGTCACGTTCCTCTACTTCCATCCCCATGCCCGTCCAAGTGTGTATCTCCCTGTAACTCATTCACCTCTGCTTGTGTCTTGTTATTCCACCCCTGAAGTTCATGGGGAATGCATGCCTGCCATGGGGAGAGCCCCATGTGAGCCCCCCGTGAACGTCGTGCTGGACACTTCTGGTGAGAAAGACTAGGAATCCCGGATTGCAACCTGCACCCCTTTCTCAATCGCAATTAATGACGAAGTGTTCTGTGCTGCCACAGTGGATGCAGCCGCCAGAGCATCAGGCGGAGGCAGTGGTGCAGGCCTCGCTGACGCTGCTCAAGCGGAACCTGGTGCAGCCATTCTCGCTCACCCTACTCAACGTGGGGGCCACCAACTTCTGCACAGCTGTGAACAAGGGTAATCAGCTGCCCAAGGCCTTCAGCACCTTCCGCAGCCAGCCAGCCAGCGCTCCGGCAGAGAAGGCTCTGCAGGGGAGTGATGCAGCAGGTGAGTGAGGTTCATATGCATGGAGTATTCAAATGCAACCAGGCTGTGTCTTGTTTCACATGAGTAAATCTGCACCAATAGATTGCTGGGTGCTCGGATTTATATGTCTGGCATGAAACAGAGCCTCTTTCACCAGAGAGTCAACCAGAGTAGACTCTGCAATCCAACAGTTGGAACAGTGCAATGGAAGAGATCAGGAGATATCCCTTGAGCCATCCCCTTGTTGCTGCTGCTCAGGGAATGCACCCGAGGCTGACAGGCGGACAGCTGCAGCGGCAGCCATATCCAGAAGGCGTGACTACGGCGCAGCCCCTCAGGGAAAGCCCATGAGCAAGCACGAGGAGCGCCTGCTCAGTGAGAGCGGCCGCCTGCTGACTGTGCGCAGTGAATTGCAACCGCCCAGTCGAGGCTCTGGCGATTGGGGCGATGAGGGTCTGCATGAGACGGATGGTTCGAGTGAGCATCAGGGAAAGGGCTCTGGGGAGAGGCCAGAGGCATGCATGTCGCAGTGTCACTCAGATGCACAACAAGATATTGATGAAGCTGCAGCACTGAGATCTGGAGCCTGCTCCGAGGGTCGCAGTCCTCTGATTGTATCAGTGGCAGGAGGTTCGGCAGCTTCGTTGCTTGGCAGCCAGAGATGTCAGACATCAGTGAAGGAGAAAGCTGCGTGCTTAACCAGAAGTACAAGCGACAAGTCAGATGCCAGCCAGCAAGCCCAGCCCAGAGATAGCTCTGCTGCCTTGCTTACCGAACGTGAGGGGTGTGAAGTGCATGCAAAGATCAGGGCATGCACAGATGGGAGCATGCTCAGGAAAACCTCCGACGTCCCAGGTCATGCGGCAAGTTTCAGCAGCATGAGTGGGGTGCAAGCAGAGCTGCAGCAGCTTCAAGAGATGTTCTCGAGCAAAAGACGTTGCAGTCATGTTGCTCAAGGAGAGGGGCAAGTGTTGACCCAGGAGCAGGCTGATCTGGCTCTAGCAGCTCGACTGCAGGACGAGGAGGTCCGCCTGCACAGAAAACGTGTTTCTGTGCCCTTGGGAGGGGCTCCCTCAAAATCAAAAGCTGCCAAATTGAACACTCTTGATGCATTTGTGAAGAGGATGGCTTGAAAGCAAATAGCTGCGAATGAGGAGTGCACCTGGCATTCAATTAGATGAAGAGGTATGCAGAAGCAATTATTGAAATTTTGTATATTACCAGATGTAAAGATAATTGCGGTATTACAATCGTACTGACCAGCAAGACTTTCTCCCGGCATGCAGAGGAACACCATCTCAGCATAATGCTGACCCTGGCAGCACGCAAAATGTTTTGGCAAGATAACAAAGCGAATTGCAGCGTTGCACACAAGACATCGTGCTTCATTCTGCCTGCCGCCGTGTTGAGGGCAGATAGCGGTGATCCTTGGCGGCATTCTTCTTCTGGCGCTTGGCCATGACCTTCTCCAGGCGCCCTGTGGCCTTGAGCTCCTGGTAACGCATGATCAGCTCCTGTCGCTTCTTCTCGCTGCGCTTCTGGAAGTACACCCCCTTGCCCGACTTTACTGCCTCCCGCTCCTTCTTCTGTGCCAGCCAATGAGCACAAGTGCTTCAATGATTTCATTGCAAAGAAAACAGACTGATGCCACGATTCACAGGAGTGCAGTACTGATAAGTGTAGACACTGCATGTCCTACCACATTCTTGACACTAAGGCCAAGTGCTTGCCATAACAAGGTTGCCTACTTGAAGCCCTCCATCTGCCCCGATGCAAACACGCCAAGGAATCAGCTGGCAATCAACAGTGAGAAAATTGACCTTCTGCTCAGCCTCCCATGCCTCCTTGCGCCGTTTGGAGCGCTCATCCTGAATCTGCTGCTGCACGCGCGTCAGCTGTGCCTGCAGCTCCTTCTTCTTGTCCAGGCCTTTAGTTTTCTGCACTCCGGCACACCCCACATCTCAGTCTTCGAGGGAACACCATGGTTTGAATTGTAGCAGGAATTGAACAAGTCTGCCGAAGCAATGGACTTCAGTGGGACCCATGCCTGCAGCGTAGACTTGAGCTCCTCCTTCTCGGCAGGCAGCTGCTCATCATATAGGAAGGCATACTGTTTCCGGAACCTATCCTGCTGCAGTGCGCCTGACAGGCTATCAAAGCGCGGGTCCCGCCCCTCCCTGCAGTAAATGATTGTTCTTCTCAGCACTTGACAGCCAAGTGCTGATCTGCAGTACTCCTCAATCGACTCTGTATGTTGACGTATGGCGAGACTCTGACACACGCATGTATTGGTGCGTTTGAGCGAGTTTAGCAGGGTCCAGTGGAGCTGCATGAGCCAGCCGGGAGGAAGCTGCGCACTTCTTGGAGACCTGCACGACTTCCCGCAGCCTAGGGACAGGCCGCTTGGACGACATCTCCATGGGCCGGTTCTTGTTCTCTCGTTTGAAGCTTCTGGCCTTGTCCCTTTCCTTCTGCTTCTGCAGCAGGCCCTTCATGGCTTCTTTGGAGAGTCCACCATTGCGCCGAAGATCTCCCAGCTGCTCAAAAGTCAGATCCTCCTGGAGAAAGGGAATAGCACAATAGGTGTTCGTTGCTCAAGGAGCCGTCGAGTACCATGCAGGCAACATTCTGGTGGGATTGAATATTTGGTGTTCAGCCAAACATTATGCGCAGTGATGTGCTTTCGCTACCTTTTCGTCTCCTGACTCACTGGCGCTTGAGGAAGTGTCCTCATCCGAACCGTGTTCTGATCGAGGGAGTTGTTCTGGCTCGGACTCTGAGGATGTGGCTTCGTCGCCCATGATCGCCCCCGCTTAGCTCTGTTAGATGTCTTCACTTCAAAGCAAATATAACAGAGGGGACAGCACGGGTTCCAGTCCTTTTCCGAGAGTCAGATCTACTCAACAGATAGATGTTGCAAGACCGGTTAAGAGTTGTGTCACAAGATGTAAAGCTGCTAGCAGTGTCAAGGATAATATTTTCATTAAATTTCTGATGTTTACTTCGCGAAATTCGCACTTCACAAGTCGCAGCCCACCATGCAAATTCCCACGTGCGTCTGCTTACTCATCAGCGCAGCCTCTCTGCTAGACGCTACAACTTTCGAGGATTGCAGTCCCTGAAAGCACCGTCTTTCTCAGAGTCTATTTGGACACATCATCCTACTTACCGTAATTGAACCACCTTTACCGATCCAGCTTTTCACAAAAAACATCCCTGAATAGAAACAGGAGGGTTTCTTGAAGGATGCGCTGCTAGTTGACCCGTGATCGTGGTCAGAAAAAGAATAGCCCAGATGTGTGCTGCAAAGAAAGCACAAGCTGCAAAAAATGGAACAGACAATGAACAATTCAGACAGCAGCTCAAAGGCTACTCTCAGTTCTTTAATCGTCTGGTGGACATGGTGCCCGCAAAGTATTACTTCGACAGCACCGATGAGGATCCGGTGCAACTGAAGTACATGAAGAGGGGCGCCAAGGTGGATGCAAAGAAGCAGCGCAAAGAAGCAGCAAAGAAACGAAAGAGAGAAAGACTCGACCCTGACAAAGCACAGACCGCGCTTGATATCCAGGTAATCACTAACGCATGAATGTACAGGATGTTGACATTTTGCGTGGCACACTCGGGAGGGGGAATGGAAAGGGAGGGGATAAGGACTGAGTTATGCTTGGGTCTGTCCTACAGCTCGACCAAGCCAAGAAGAAGCAGCGCTTGAAAGATGGGCAGGCCGCGGCGCAGCCTGTCTCAAATGAAGGAGCAGAGCAGGATGACAGGCCTGGGCCTTCAGCTCTGCGCTTTGATGTGCCAACAGGTACTACTTCTCATCCAGCAGAACCTGCTGATCTCGGTCTTTGCTTTTGGCTGCATGATGATAGGGATTGTTGCAGCTATACTAATTGGCATTCTTGTACCAAACGCAGGAGCAGAGCCCCCTGCAGATGAGCTCCGGCAGCGCTTGCATCAGCGGATAGAGGTCTGCTCCGGCCTCCAGCGTTTCGTCGAAGTGATCTTTGCTGTACAAATAGCACATGGTGCGTGGCTTGGAAGGGCAATGTCTGAGCTTAATGATGAAAAGCTCAATGCTGCCGGCACAGGAGATGCGCACACAGAGGAAGGCGGATGAGGAGCGCAAGGCAAGGGCCAAGGCTGCCAAGGAGTGGAGGCAGCAGGCCTCATCCCGGGCCAAGCAGCCATCCAAGCAGAGGCGTGTACAATTTGCTTCTGTTGACTGAGTATGCGTACACAACTTGTTGAAAATGCACGTCACAAAATGTTGTCAACGGGTTATTGAACGACTGACCTACCGCCAGGTCAAAGGTGGTGTCAAAAAAGATAACATGCAGTGCCATTGCTGGTTGAAGGTCCTTAGAGTGTGCATGTTTGTTACAAGCTGCATCGTTGCCGGCATCTGAAATGGATCACGCACATGGCAGGGAGCAGAAGAGGAGCGCAGGCAGTGAGGAAGAGCAGGCAGAGCAGCGCGCAGCCAAGAAGGCAAAGCAAGCGGCAGCCGAGGATGCTCTGGTGGACGATGGAAAGCTGAGCTTTGGGCGGGTGGAGTTAGGCACAGGTCTGGTGCCCCTCATGCAAACCTGCTCTCGCACTGTGTTGGCTTGGATTGGAGACAATTGTTTGTCTGGATCTTCAAGATGAATTCACCAAGGGGGCTAGATTCATGCCGGTCTCAGCTCTGCATGCCTGTTGGATTTGATTAGGAAAGTATTCCCCCGTGCTTGCACGATGTGATGATTTGCAGTGCTGGACTCTGCATATGCGCTTTCAGCTGACAGCAGGCTTATGTTGGGGTAGAAGGTGGCAGGCGAGGGGCGCAGAAGAAGCACAAGCCCGGCAAGGCGGAGCTGCTAGAGACTGCCAAGGCCAAGCAGGACACCATCAAGGCGCTGGAGGGCACCAAGGAGGGCAGGGTGCGACTCACACCCAGAGTCTTAAAGCCACAGATGACTGTTGTACTGAGTAGTTTGCTTTTCCACCGGAGATCACCGAACCCTATCAAGATCACCATGAACGCTTTGATGCTTCCTTCCTTTGGTCTGCAACGCAATAATATTGCCATGACCCTGCAAACATGTGCAGGGCTGCCTGTATTGTCTGAACATGCCACTTCTCTGTTGAACGAGTTTAGTGAGTGGTGCTGTGGGGTGTGCGCACAGGTGGCGGTAGAGCAGGATGCCTGGAAGGCCGCTATGGCGCGCGCTCGGGGCGAGAGGGTCCTGGACGACCCCAAGCTGCTGTCCAGGTGAGGGCACATCCCATATTTCTTTGAACACGACTCACCATCACATGCGGGTCAGTGCTGTACTTCCTCCCCAGTTTGAAAATGCGGGGACACATGTGCTATCGAAAGGTACTGCAGATATGTGAGGCCGGATGGGCTCTGTTGCAGAAGGGAACTCATGATTGTAACCCTACTGTGTGCACAGGTCATTGAAGAAGGAGCAGAAGATGAAGAAGAAGAAGGCTGAAGCATGGAAGGAGCGCAAGGACCTGCAGCGACAGAATGCTAAGGTCAAGCAAAAGAAGTGAGTATCCTTCATACACCCATTTGCTGCATCGCTCTTGTTGTCTCTGTTCATTTGTTTTAGACCAATCGTTTGGTAGGCGTCCCTGGGTGCATAGAATTTGTTCGGTTTTCTGGAAAATGCCCTGAGAACAGGTTTAGTGGATCGTAGTGCTTCAGCAAGAAGGTCCACAGCTGTGCCTGAACAGAGGTGGTTGCTTGCAGGCGGACAGAGAATCTGAAGGCGAGAGTGGACACAAAGCTGCAGAACAAGAAAGACAAGCGCGAGAAGAAGCTGATGAGGGCTGGTTTCGAGGGCCGCAGGGACTCATTCATTGGCTCAGAGTCATGATAATTTCTGTCCTTTGAGCAGCAGAGTAATGCCATCACGTCTCACAATATAGAATGTAGCACAAAGACTATTGTGAACAAAGGAAAAAGTATATTTTGGCATGCTGTGCAACTTGGGAATTGGCTAAATTTGTCATTGTTATATCCTTTGTACTTGAAAGAGCTGAAATATTGTCAAATTGGTATTGCCAGTGCGCATGATGCTCCTAGTCTGGCATGTCTATATTCAGAACACCAACACAACGCTGAACACGTGCAAGGCAGTCAATCAGCCAGGACTTAACTGCATGTGTGCTAATTCTGTGATCATCAGTGCTCCTGGGTCCGGAGATGGTTGTTTTGTCTGCACTCTGGTCACACTGGTACCGCGTGGCAGCTATTTCTCCTACTCTGGCGCTCCTTCTCCCTTCTTATCTTGCAAGTCCCTTTTTCTTCCAAGTAGAGCGTGTCCTCCCAATTGCAATTGCCCCATCTGGTCAACTGTGTGTGCCTGTCTTGGTGGCGCCCAGAGGAGAGACACGCCTGACGGCAGCTGGGGCTATGTCATCCTTGGCAAGCGCTAGGTGCGCCGGCAGCGAGCCGCTACGCTACCGGTTGAAACTCACCGGCAGCCTCGGTGCATCCAGTGTGCCTACATATGCAGAATGTGCATAAGTCGCCCATGCACAAAGCTTTCCTACATCACCCAAGTACCTGCTACACTCAGAGACGTGGGCTTCCGCATGCAAAGACTCTTTCCACGAGGCCGGTCAGGTCCATGCCATCAGGTTCAAGGATATCAATAGGGTCAACTCCAGCTGTTGTCCTAGCTAGTGACATCCTTGCTGATGGCATGCGATGGCATGACGTCACATGGCAAGATCTGCAGGAGTAAGGCAGTATATCTACTGCTACAACCAATCCAAAACACGAAAAATATTCCGGTAATCGAGCAGGAGGGTGGGGAACTCACGGGTCTGGTCCGGGTGCTCGGGGAGAGCAGCCAGTGAGTCATGTGGCAGGTGCGGCAGTGCGTCGCTGGCCATGCGTCGGAGGGAACGCGCGCGCGGCACCGCCGTGACCCACAGCCCATTCTCCGGCTGCAGCGTCGTCAGCGCGCAGCTCTGGGAGCGCAGCACGCCCTCATACCCGCCCATCTGCCACAGTTTTGACTGTTATTGAAGATACGAAGTCTGAGGTTCAGACTGGCACCAATCCTTCTGCTGGAATCTTCAGCCAGTCAATTTTGATGAGGTGATTTCTTGAGCAATTGAAAGATGTGAGAGCGAGGCAAAGGATAAACCCACGCATGCAGCACCTGTTGCTGTCAGACACCCCAGAAATTGTAACATAGACATGTAGCCAGGTTGCGAGAAAATCTCAAAGTTTTAGTGACTGGATGTCATGCTGGGCGCTGACTCTGAGGACCACTGTCAGGCATGGGATCGGCCCAATTTGCCATAACATCAGTCATTCAGTCACATTGCATCGCTGGAAACGATGCAATGTGACTGAATGACTGATGTTATGGCAGGATGCGCCAGGCATGTTGCATTACAGTTCACCCACTTTCTCTGGAATAGCCGTTTCTACCCTTCATCGACCCTTAATACTTAATCCACTACTGCATTCCACATGAATAGAATCCTTTCTTGAGCTCACTCCTCACCTCTGCACTAATGTAGGTATAGAACAAAGTGATGGGCGCCAGAGCGATCACCTCGGGCGTGAGCTGGAATTTGAAGTGGGCGAGGAGCATAGCAACGGTGGTGGTGTAGTTCATGCGCGCCAGGCTCTGCCCAACGCAGTCGCGAGTGCCAGCACTGAAAGGCAGAAACCGCTTCGCACGCGCCTCCGACCCCCCCTCTGCCGCCGCGCTCTTGCCAGTGGCCGCCTCCGCCGGCACCTGTGGGGGGCGCATGTTAGTGCATTTGCATCAATTGTAGCTGCACTGAGGTGCGTGGCTAATCAGTGACACAACCCTGACAGGAGCTCTGCTGATAGGACAGTGCGATCACAAAAGCCGTATGCCACGCAGGAGCTCAAAAAAATAAACCCTCCAATCTGTGTGCAGAGGTGAGCCCGAAGTTGAAACAGGTGGTCCATTCAGGGGGTACGTTATATCTGCGTCCATGGCTATTACCTGGATTGTGCCGCAGCCCTGGGGTTTCATGGCAGCTGGGTCGGTGCCGTGTGGCAGTGCATACTCTGCGCCCGGCTCTTCCCACCTCTCCTGCGCTCATTGGAAGAAAGACTCTTCGGGGACTTGCCTCAATTTCACGCAGGTTTGTTCATTGCAAGACATGCTCTACCTTGATTTTCAACATGCCAAGCCACAAGCAGAATGCGCTTAGCACATGCAAAACACTTGAGCAAGCAATGCAAATTGCTCCGATTTCTTTTCCTAGGATGTGAACAAGTCTCAAGGCTACCAGATGTCGAGCCAAAAAATTCAAAGAAAATTATAAGGGTCTGTAAAAAATTGCAAAGGGGATCGGCACAAAATTAAATTTCAAAAACCATTTCAGGAAGTGCGGTTACCGGGATGAACTGGTCGGGGCGGTCCCAGAGGTGGGGGCTGTTGAAGGTGGCCTTGAGGGGCACCCACACCATGGTGCCCCGGGGGATCAGGTGGCGCCCCAGCCACGTGTCCCTCACTGTCGTGCGGTTTGTGCCGTCCGCCAGCACCGGCAGCATGCGCATCGACTCCTGCACAGCCCACAGACCATCGGGATATGCCATGAGATTGGGGCTACAGCTGCCCACCTGGGTTGAAGCTGCAGGCCTGACAGGGCGTTCTTGAGGTCCACGGACTTGTCCTCCATTACTTCTCTGGATGAACCACGGAGGTTTGACCTTTGCCTAGCAGATGCGGCCGGCTAATGTTTTGGAGCACCATATTGTTGTTGTCACAACAAAATCCAATGCTAAGCCTAAATATACCCTGGTAAATCCCAGGAGGGTTCCATCTGGACGATTCACACTCTCAATTGCTCTCTCATTAAACAAGATTCTGATGTATACCGAGTAAAGACCCTGCATGTGCAAGAGCATTATCTCCTTATGCATTCTCCTTGACGGTCCTTTTGTCAGAAGAGAAAAGAAGGGTTGATAAGTGTCTGACGGCACCTTGATGGCATTGGTGGTGTAGGTCAGCTTTGCGATGTCATCATACTCCATGGTCCTGGGGCTGGGCTGCTCCGGGGTGGGCATCAGCCCCAGGGAAGCCAGCTCGGCCAGCACCTTGGCCTCAGCCTCCTCATGTGAGGATATTATGAACCTGCGCATGCATGCATGCCTTTGGCACCGACACATTGGACGCGTATACATGTTGGGCCCACTGCCAACCGGGTGGCAGAATCAGAAAACATACTGCAGCTTTTATGTTCAATAAGATTGAGGGATCGCAAGTCTTTCATTCAGAGATAGCACGGGACTCACAGCGCCCAGGCAATGGTGTGGCCGGTGGTCTCAAAGCCCCCCGTGAAGAAGACGCCGATCTCTGCGGCAATGCGGTCATCCGGCAGAGGCTGTCCTGCAGCACCCACAAAATATCTTTTCCTTAGACCAATTGCACAGATATCAGTACCCACCTGGCTGTAAACCAAGAGGAGTCAGGCTGGACCTTTGCCTCCGAACAATTCATTGTCTCTATAAAGGGGGAAGTGCCTTCGAGTGTTATTCTGCATGCGGGAAATTGCACTGTAAGCCAAAGAAATGTGATTATGCACAACTGTGCCAAAAAAATGATGACGTGCCTGTTGATGGGTCCCTGATGCGGAGGAGGTGAGCTGCAATGGTGGTGTCATTGTCTGACGGCTCCCCCCGCTCATGGATCTCGCTCAGCAGATCCGCCATCATCTTTCGAAAAGTTCTGAAGTCCTCCTCACCCTTCTTGACAGACTGCAGACACAACAGAAAGATCAGACTGTTGAAGGAGCGCGGTTTCTCACCCTCAGCCTGTGACACATACCACGATTCCTTAAGCTCTGTTGCATTCAAGAAAACACCGCAAAACACAGAGTGCAAATATCAGAACGTACAGCCGCGAGCCATTCTCACCGGCAAGAACTGCAGGTACTGGCGCAGGGGATTGCTAAAGCGCTTGATGCCCTCATCGCGCCCTGGTAGGCAATGCAGCAGAATCAACCGCCACTTTGCCGCTACCTTATCGTCTTTGAACATGCTGACCAGGACAGCACCACATTCAAATCCTGGGCGCATGGTATTTGGAAATGAAGCACTTCCGGTAGAAATTACACTGGACACACAATCACCTGCAGCCATCATGTCAAAGGCCAGATTGGCGCGGCCGTCACTGAGATCCCGAGTGGCGCCAAAGTCTTTGCCAAAGCCGACGCGGCCGATGACATCGAGCGTGACTCGCAAAGTGGCATTGTCAAGATCCACCGGAGCCCCGCGCTTCTCTTCCAGGATGCTGATCAGCTGATGGTTCACCTGCACCACGTGCCCAAACCCCTTCCTGCACCCCAGCAGGTGTCTTTTTTGGCAATTAATCATTAATATTTATCCACTGAACATGTACAGTATCAGATGAAATGTCACGGAACCTGTGCATGTGGGAGATAGCTTCCTTTGATATTGGGGGAGTTGGATGGATGTGTCACCTAATGTTCTTGGGGCTGAAGGCAGGGGCCACCCCCTTTCGCACAAGCTTCCAGTAATCATCCGTGTGCGAGGTGAAGATGTTTGGCTTGCCTTGGGCGTGCAGCAGCTGCGCAGTGAGCAATCATCAGTTCCATATTCACGGATGTATCCCTCCTGATTCTCAGCAGGCAGGAAGTGATGGGTATTGAAAGTGCAGCTGATTCTGCTCACCACATTGAACTTGGAGTAAACGCCCTCAATGCTCTTCTCAATCTCTGTCTCCTTGCCAAGGACTTCGGCAACGAGGCAAGGGTCTGTGACCACCACAGCCTGCAAGACAGGGCAATGGCTTCCTTCAGACGCAAGATGGAAGGCTTTTCTTGGATGCTGTAGATACCTTCAGACGGATAGGAGCTTTTACGTTTATATGCGCCAGTCTCATGCGATATATGCCTCCAAATTCAGCTGCCCACTTGGCTAGAATGTTGTGATGGTCTGGCTGTGCAAGAACTGGTAGCTGCCCAAGGAGCGGATTGCCGTCAGGTGCTGGGAGCTTCCTCAATATCAGTGTACAACGGACCCATTCCGCTATCTTGAGTAGGATATAGATGGCTACTAGAAGCAAGATTGTTCTGAGCCCAAGCTGCAGGTTGTCCATGTTTCTTGGACGATTGAAGAGGCACTTGCACGAACAATTTGGAGCACGGTAGATTTGGCAGCCCAGAATAGCTTTTCTAATGTTCGTTCATCAATTAACTTTGAACTCTCCGGACCCGAATCTCCGTCAGGTCAACCGAACGGCGGACGATCGAGCACCGTTTCGGAAATTGAATGGCTTCCGGAGATTATATTTAACGCCTGCCCAACACCGCCCATGCATCTTGCATGGTGGGCTACCCATCTTTCAGGCAAAGTAAGTAGATAAGGTGCAGAGAATCACATATTGCTAGATTGAAAAATTCGTTTCCAAGAATACGGATACCACGAGCATGAACAATATTTTACGAGCTTCGCATAGCAGGATCTTCTGTACCCAGCAGTGTTTCCCATCGTGCTCACGGCAACATCGCAGTCTGTACGGGAGAATATCGCAAATCAGAACATATCATTTCCCGCCGCCAATCTCGCAGCAGCGTAGCTGCAGCGAACTCGCTGCAAGCACACTTCATGTCAGGTGCTGCTCAGTGTTGTCGCCCGTATGATGACTGCAAATGAGGTCAAGGCGAGGTTCACATTAGAGTCCTCCTCTGTCATCCAATAAGACGCTTTTGTTCTGCAGGGAAGCAGTGCAGGCTCAGCCCTCCAGTACTAGCTCTATGGAGAGCGAGGATGCTTGGTTCAACGATGAACCTCAACAACGATCATCTGGAGAAACATCAACCAGCGGCCGTGTGGAAAGCGATCTCGAATTCTTAGAACTCCCGAAGGCCCAGAATGTGCGTTGTTTGCTCTCAATTACTGGAGCTCTGAACGCACAGTTACCGGGGTCCAACTCCGCAGTGGCCTTGGAAATTCGACTGAACAGTCTGCTCTCCACACAGGTTCGTGTGAAGAAGGCAGAGTTTGTGAAGAGCAGCACCAACATGGCGCAGTGCCCAAAGTCCAAGCTGCCAGAATTTGCTGTCATTGGACGCTCAAATGTGGGCAAATCATCCCTCATCAACATGCTCACAGGCCAGGCAGCCCTTGCCAAGGTTTCCAAAACACCAGGTAGCTGCTCCACCTGTTCTCAGCCCTACCCTGTTCTGCTTCCCGTTTGGATATCTGTCACTGGCAATAGCGAGTCCTTCACAGTGCTGATTGTATGCGCAGGGAAGACGATCTACATCAATCACTTCCTCATCAATGACAATTGGTACCTTGTCGACCTTCCTGGCTACGGGTAAGTAGCAGAGACTGGCATGCGGCAATTTGCGATTGGGTTTTACAGCGGGATTTACAGCACCACATATCCTGGCAAGCACAATGTATTGCAAACAAATTAATTGCTCGATAATTGCATGTGAGACTGTCTGCAGGTATGCGCAGCGATCAAAGGCATCCAGGCTGGAGTGGAGCAGCTTCACAAAGGAGTACTTTCTGAAGAGGGAGACTTTGGCAAATGTGCTGCTGCTGGTGGATGCAAGTGTGCCTGTACAGCAAGCAGATCTTGAGTGTGCAAGCTGGCTAGCAGATGCCCAGGTGAGTAAGATCGCTGGGTGCTGGCCCAATTGGTCCTGTCGGGAATTTGGGAATGATGTGTGCACTGTGGTCAAGAGCCATTCTGGGCTTTTGGTGGTTTGCGTGCGCTGGCAGCTTGCACTTTTGGCTCTCGCTCTGTTGCGGTTGCAACTCTCTGCCTTTGATCCTTCCTACCAACAGGATAGAGTGCAACATGGGGCGGTCTGTGCTGTGCAGGTTCCCTTCTCACTAGTGTTCACAAAGACAGACAAGCGAAAGAAGAAGTGCCCCTCCCCACGTGAGAACATGCAGACTTTCCAGGTGCGGCCCTGCTCTCTGCCACTGTCCTGCTCTTATTTGCCTGGAGTGCTTGAGACAGGGCATTTTATACAGAGTGTGGTGGAAGGACCTTCACAGTTGGGGGACAGGGCAGTGATGATTTGCTTGGGCGGTTGGCACAGGCGGCGCTGTTGAAGGAGTTCGAGAATTTGCCTCTCATATTTGAGACAGATTCTGAGACGCTGAAGGGGCACAAAGAGTTGCTCAGCCACGTAGCCGGACTCTTATGATGAGCAGAGAAGGCCGCTATGGTCCAGGAATGCTGCCAGGAGTTTCCATGGCAGAAGAAGTGATGGTAGTTCGCTGTTGCTACTCAGGAAGAGCTGTTGAAGGAGTGGGATGCAGTGCCAAATGTGCTGACAACTAGCTCCAGGAAGGGGGAAGGCAGGCGAGAGCTGTTGGCTTACATTGCCCAGCTTCGAGACCTCTTCACTGGAGCAGCCAAGCCTGTGAAAGCTGCCCCACAAGGGGTCTCAGAAACCTTACAAGAGGCTTGTGTTGAAAAATAGCGAGTTTGAGCGATCAGACTTGATTTTTTATTATATCACAATTGTTCACATCTTGGCATCTGGCGTTGTGCTGACCCCAAATTGCTATTTACATGCTGTCCAAAGTTTTTCTGAGATCTCACGTTGTAATGAAATTCACAAAGCGATGCAATCTTCTCTTGTGGTGAAAAGGCAGAAAATTTGTTGGTTGCTGCTGTTAACGACTAGCTAGCTATAGTGCAGGAAAACAGTATCCTTGGTTCCATCGACTGCACGAAGGAGAAGATAAATCTGGACCAGATGTCAGGTCTTACAGAAATGATCTTACGTCTATCTTGCACAGCAGTGACAGCACCCAGCACAATCCAAGTTGGTTCCCAAAATAGCATCGCTTGAAAGTTCCACGTGACAGCTAGCGCTAGTGGCTTGAAGGTTTGGAGGGGGGAATCCTTGTTTGCTTTGCTGTTCCAAAGTAAGCAATTTGTGTGTTCTGACAATCAATCCTTCGTAGTGATGCTATGTTCTGTCACTTTAAAAGTGTACATATTTGGTGTGATCTGCGGATCTGCAAGTCTGCTGTCGGGTCTCGGTTGATTAGCACACCTACATTGAGTCTCTCTCAGTACAGGCTTCCAGGACTAAGTAGGATTTTAAGCTCGGGTGCACAAATTCTTGTCAGGGCAGGGCCATCTCAGAGTGTCAGAACTAGAGTTTCCATGGCAATTGCGGGGGAGACATTCTTTCTGGATGAATTCGCTGTCAGGCAATGGGATGACCCAAATTACTCTGGCACGCGAATCAGCTTCAGCAAAACTGACTTCGTTGAGAAGATCCACGAGTTTCACTCCAAGGCAAGACTCCACCAAATCTTCCCAGGCTCATGAATTTGTAGAACTACCCTGTATTCCTGCACAAGTCTGCGTTGATTTGTGATGTTGAGGCTGGAACTTGCAGGGTGCCAAATTGGTGGATGGCTACGCGCCTTTTTGCAAGCACGTATTTGTGCCCAACTTTGTGGGGGCCAGACTGGGAGCTCTGCCCATCACGGATGACAACCGACACCTGCTGCGCTGCGGCTACAGCCGCCGCCGCCCGGAGGAGCTCCCCGTTCTGACCAGGTAGCAACGAACACTCTCTTGGAGGCCATGACGGCCGCTTGTAAGGTCTCAGGAGGCAGCCTCAATGCCCATCATGACCAATATCTGTAAATGCATGGCTTCAGTTCCAGCAGTGCTGCTGTACCCAGTCATGACCCATCTGCCATCGACAGTCATCTCTGAGGCACGTCTGCGGATCAGCAGATGCAGAGTATCCTGTAAGCTTGCCACACGTACACCTCCAGACAACACAAAGTCTGTGTTGCAAATTACACCTGGCCCTTGGCTGTCCTTTGATTGAGAATCTGCTTTACAATTATCTGAATCTGCCACAGGTGGTTTCCAGCGGAAGATGTTCAGGTCTTGGAGGCCAAGTTCCTGGACGTGATCCTGTACTCGCGCGAGCAGTTGGTGCAGGAGTATGAGGCGATGCCGGGCAAGGGAGACCCGGCCGTGCTGCCGCCAGCACCGTGGGGAATTATCTCCATCAAGGCACAGGACGAGGACCACGAAACTCCCATGCAGGTGCTGCGGAATCCTTGCTACATGGCTGTGGTTCAGGACACAATAATGTTTGTTCACGCTATGAATGTGCCATGCAAGCAGCTCCTCCCAGTGATTCCAGAACGCGTGTAATCTTTTTCCATCACAAAAGGGATCAAAGATCTGCTTTCCCTGCAATCAGACTGCAGTGCAGTCACTGCACAGTACAAAGGGTGGGAGCTGCCCAGTGAAGGTGTGGCCAGACCTTATACGAATCCACCGGAACTCGGCAGATTCGATGGAGGCATGCCAAATATGTGTGTGGTGTTGCGCAGCCCATCACCATTATGCGAAATGCCCTGGGCCGGGACGAAGGCGGCAGCGGAGTGAAACTGGACAAGGAAGCGTACGAGGCTTCAGCCGCCTACTGGGCCGAGCGTGCTGCTGTCGTGGCAGGCAAGCAGCCGGGCGGAGAGTGAAGAGCTGGCACTATGGCAATGTCATTCCCAATTTTCTGGTGTCATATCGAAGATCGAGACCTCATGATCATGAGATTAGCCTTTACAACAAGAGCATCAAGCAATCATTGGCCAGAAGGAGAGGCCAGTCAGTGCAACAACCTGTATCATACGGGGAACAAATCTGAATATTGCTCTTCATGTGGAGCACCATTTAATCGAACACTATGGCGCAGCTGGCAGAATCAACGGTTAATCAACCGTAGCGAGACAGATGCACTGAGAATTTATGCGCGCTTGGTCTGCGCGCTTGCTGTTGTTGCCTGCACAATAGGCGCCTATGTAATCTTAGGACCTGTGAGCTGAAGCCGTCGAATCCAAAAAAACTAGTTCAAGACACACCGTGCAACCTGCATTTATGATTCCAAAAGATTTGCAGCAGCCCACAATGACATCAACTTGCAGAAACTGACCAAGACAACGCATTTAAACACCTCTGACACCTGAACAAGGAAACACAATTAGCCTGGGCTCAGGCGTGGGCGAATGATATTCTCTCATATCTGCCAATTCCTGTACACCTTCGAACCATCGGTCCTAGTGACTACATCCATTTAGGCGCCAACTAGTATCTGGCACACGCCTGTCTCTAGAGTGGTGGAAGGCTGGCTAGGGGCCTTCACCGGCGCTTTTGAGCCTGAAAGCGCGCTCTGCAAAAAAACCCCCTAGGTCAATGCCCCCGCAGCAAGGGGCTCTGCGATCTTGCAAGAAACCCTGCAGTGACGCCCCTGCCGCAGGGGATTGTGCGGATCTCCATAAAACCCTTGTTTGACGCCTTCTGTGCAAGGGTCCTGAGGAATTGCAAGAAACCCTAGGATGAGGACCCTGGTGCCAGGGGCTCTGCAGACTCGGCCATCTTCATGAGTTTGCCGACGTCGATGGGCGTTGCGCCGTCCTGCTGCCAGTCGTTGAGGCGGTCCAGCAGCGCCCTCAACTCGTCCTCCCCCAGCTGCTCCTTCAGGAAACCCATCGCCGTCTGCAGCTCCTCTTGCGTCACCTGCGCGCCACATGCTGCAGCATTGAGTCTCTTGCCAGAAAAGAGGCGAGCACCTGAGACTCGTCTCAGAACAGCGCCGAGCACTGAGGCTTCTGTCCGAACAGCGGCCAGCATTTGAGGCTCTTCCCTGGACACTGGTGAGCATTGAGGCACTCGCCAGAACAGAGGCGAGCATTGGAGACTCTTCTTCAAACAGCGGCGAGCATCGAGGCGCTCGTCTGACAGCAGCCAGTAAACGCTCACAGATAAAAGCATATCTCTATAGGTTTGTGCCTCCAGAGAATCTACAATGTCTTTGATCACTGCATTCAGGGAATAAGACATGCAGCATGCTGCACACTGCGCAAAGGTGCGGACAGAGACTTGATTGCGCGCACAGCACATGCTCCCATCTGCTGCGTGCAACACTGCCTTTCATACCGGGTCCACAAGCAGGCGTGGCACTTGAGAGCGTTTAGCATATTAAGATACAGCGCATGAGCGCACCATGCCGTCGTTGTCTGTGTCCAGGACGTGCATGGCCTCGCCAATCTTGGACTCCACACTATCCAGCTCCTTCTCAATGCGCTCCAGGATCCCCGTCACCTGCAGATTTCACACACCACGACCGTTACAGGCAATCATGATGCACTGCAAAGAATGACGCACTGCACTGGTGCATGCCTGACAGCTTGATTTTGAGGACCCAAGGAACAGACAACAACACCAAGGAGTCTGTTAGGTCGTACATATGTACTCCAGAGTGGCATGTGTCACACCTTGTCAGCCAGCCGCTTCTGCCCGATCACCTCTTTCACCTCCGCCGGTTTCTCCACCTGTGCGCGCAAGCCAGTCTCACATGTCAAATAAAGACTAACAACTCTGGATAGCAAGCTCGTGCATGCAAAAGTGCAGCCGCCCTAATCACCGAGCCAGCTTGCAAATAACTACTACTGAACAGATCAAGCGAATTATTGAGAGTTCCGGGGAAAAAAACAAACATGACGCGAATAATCCCTAGCATAATCTGAGATTCTGCTACTACCTGAAAGGACACGGGCTGCCTGCAGAAGATGCACATACAAACTTTTCAGGGAAGGTGAGAGACGCGCCTTGATGTTGCCGCGCTGGAAGATCATGGTGAGGGCGCCGCGCGCGCTGATCTCACTGTTGAGCCGCTCAATCTCGTTTTTGACCAGGCCCATGAACGCGCTGCGCTCGCTGCTCACCCCGCTGCTGCTTGCCAGCATCGCCAACGCGCTACAGGAGCACGCGGAAAATCCATGTTACAATAAATATCTTGTGAGGGTGCAAGTCACAACAAATGCACAAGTGCACCACGTCCGGCCTCATGCGCAAGTCACAGCTGTGGAGGACCCGAGTTCCAATTGAAGGTTTTGCGAGTCTTGGGAAGCTGGGAAGGCCAAGATTGCAGCATCTCTAGAAGAAAAAACTTTCAAAAATTATCTAGATACATTGTGGACTCTAAGCACAGACCTAACGGGTTTGACTACAAGGGAAAGGTCCATTGACCGCACCTGATGACCTTGCGCATGCGCTCCTCTTTGGCGGCTGCGATCTTGCATGCCTTCTCCTCCGCGCTCTCGCCCTCAAACACGTCCATCACCGCCGACGCCTGCGCCTCACGCACCACCGCCGCTGCTGCCGCTGCCGACAGCTCCTCCTGCGCGTTCTGCATGCATGCACCATACCGTAAGCCACGCTGTTTTAAAGCAGAGAGCGATGGCGTTGGAGGGAGTTAAGAAAGGGAGTGTTGTCCTGACCAGCGGCAAATGGGCCTGAATGGTGTGGCCTTATCCATGCAGGGGTCAGGACCTGCAAGACGCCGGCTGTCTCTGCTGCCCCCCTGACCAGTGCTGCAAGGTTGACCACTCCTGTTTGACATCTTTTGTCGGCAAAACAACCAGTCAATCAAAGCACCTATTGGGAGCGCGTCACTCTCAAGAAGGGTGCCAAGCTTACACAAAACCGTCCAAAGCCTCCCTGGAAAGCTCAGCTGATCATGTGTGCACCGTGTGCGGCTGTGTATAGTCCCAAGAAAGCAGTGCCACCTGGCCGGGTTGGATGATGGGGATTTCGGCCTGCAGCAGTGCGGCGGCCTCCTTGTTCTCCTCCACGATCAGCTCCTCCTCGCGCCTAAGCTGGTCCAGCTTGCGGTCGTAGTCAGCGTCACCGTCGCGGTCCAGCGTGACTTCAGCGATGACCTGTACAGCCACGATGATGTCACGCCACATCAGCATCACAGTGCAGACTCTCACATGTGAGTGGGTTATCCAGTGTAAATGTGGCCAGCCTTCCACTTCATGGATTCATCCATCTCGTGGTAAATGCCATGCCAGGCTTGTAGTTCAGTATGCACACCTCTGTTCGTAATCGTTCAAGGAACCCATGCGCAAAAGATGGCTGCCACAAAAGGATGTAGAGCCAAAATGCCTTGACATGGACACTCATGCGCACAGTGGAGGGGCATGGATCTTCTGCAGAAAATAAAAAGCCAGGGTGCCAGGAAGCGCACCTTGTTGGGCAGCGAGGAGATGGTCTCCTTGAGGGACTCATATGGTGCATCCTCACGTGGCGACTCCAGCGGCTGCGTCACTGTGAACGCGCGCGACAGCAGCAGCAGCGAGCTTGGCAGCGCCCTGCATGCACTCGTGCTACGTCAGACCACCTACTTCATCCTCAACAACAAACTGTATCGGAACCTTGCGTTTGCACATGCCAGAAGGAGCAGCAAGAACACAGATGAATCCACACAAAAGTTAAGCAGCTTGGGCATGAGCATATAGCCTCAACGTCAAGAGTGGCCAATTGAAGGTTTCTCAACAATACCATATACTGCACAGACTCGATCTGAGTGCAAAAAAGCAAGGCAGCCGCACCTGTTGAGGGAGAGATCGAGCCACTCCTTGAGCTGCTTGCGCATGAACATGACTGCGCCCTCCCCGAACGGCGCGCGCATGCCTCGCGCCCGGCACGCCTGCAGCAGCGTCAAGTTTACACTTCTTACATTTGGATACTCAAGATGGAGAGCGGCAGGGGTCAACACTACCACATCACAAGATGCTGATGCGGTAAAAGCCCATTTTCTTTGGAGGATTCGAGGAAAAATTTCTGCTGCCCTTGCGCAGCTAGGCCTTGCAATACAACAGAACTTGAAGGAAAAGGAGGTCCTTTGTGGAAATAGATTCTTGCCTGCCGCAGCTCGTCCTCGGACAGCGCCTCCAGCCCCTCAGCCTTGATCATGCGGTCGTCGCGCTTTATCTGCTCCAGGTGCGAACGCAGCCGCGCCACCTGTCGCATGCGCGCATCTTGCTATGAGCAATGGTATCAACCACAAAGCTTGCCCACAATGCTGCAGTAGTGCTCCGCATGCATACAGTTTGGCGGTCCCACAGCACTTCTCAGTAGATTGGCATCTGTTATATGGGTCATTATGATCCGTTAGTACAGCAGTTCGATGACAACGCATGCTTTGCCTCAATTGTTGTCAGGCTTGGGTGTCAGAGCAAAGCCGAAGCAGGGGAAATCACAGGGCCCGGAGAGGTGGCGCTCACCAGGAAGGCGTCGGTGCCGAAGGGCTGGATGCCGACAAAGCGGCAGAGATTGACGAGGTGAATCCGCTCCAAGTTGTCCAGCGTGAGCTCGTCGTTGAAGAGCTGCGCGAACTTGACGATCTCATACTGACTCACCGGCTGCCCCGCGCGAACCTGCTTCATGAAGGCGTAGAGCTCCGCTGCGGAGGCCTGCGTCTCGCCCGTCTTGCTGGACTTCATGTTCTTCGCCATCTCCGACACCGTGTCCTGCGCAAAAAATACGGTGCATATAGGGTTTGGGTTGGGTTTATGATACATCCCTTGGGGTGCAACTGACGCAGGCTTCTTGACAAGCCTGTCCTGAGAGCTCCTCCTGTGCAGCTCCATGAGCTTTTGAACATGGAGCATGGCTCTATGTGAACAACACGGCCTTCTCAAGCAAGTGCGGGTCAATCTCTATCCATCGCAAGCCTGATCAGAACAATCGCAAGCTTTAAACGGCAACAAAGACCGCCTTTGAAGCTCCTCTTCAGGTGCTTATATATGATCAGGGAGGTCAGCTCACCTGCAGGAAGCGTGCAACTTCCAATTTGACACCGACGCGCTTCTTGAGCTCCTCTTCCTTCTTCAGCTTGTCCTCAAACGTGGACGGCAGCATGTTGGGGAACAGCTTGAGCGCCACAGGCAGCAGCAGCTCCATGAAGGGAATCGCCAGGATCACCAGCATGGGCACCATGCGGAAGACATCCGCCGTCGTCCGCGTCAGCTGCCGCCGCTCGCGCCTGATGAGACCATACAAGTAATAACCAGTCTGTAATGTACTGCCTGACCAGGCATGCAGCCATATTGGCCGACAAGTAATGACAGAGCTTTCTGCATGCTTTCCACCAATCACTTGTCGCCCTGCTGCCCTTGCTTGACAGGCTGCAGAACAGATCTTTTCTGGGCTTGCCTGTAAAGCTCTTCACAACTCATGGGGTGACGCCATCTGCACCTGAATTCAGATGGCTGTGGAGAACTGGACAAGATGAGGAAGGAGGTAGATTGTTGGATTTCTGCCATGGTGTTGCGGGAGTGAGCTTTCATATAATCAGAGATTTGGAGCAGTCACCTGGTGAGTTGGTGCCCATGCAGCGCCTTGTTGATCAGGCGCAGAGTGATCTTCACCTCTGCATACAGCAGCTTCATTCCAGACTGCAAATCACAACACACACGCTGCTTAGCACAGAACATCCAAAGAGCACAACAACAAGCAGCAAGCCTTTGATTCTGCCAGCAGCTCATTTTGTCCAACCTATCACGATCAAGGCACCCCTCAACCAACTTTTTTCAGTCCCATCTTCAAGTTGCCGTCACTCTGCCGCCTGCACTGCTAAGTTGCTGGTTAGGCATATTCACAACATTCCCAATTTTTAAAGTCAATCCTAAACGTTCTCCATGTGTGCACTCATACCCAGGGCTATATTCTTGTCTAGGGTGGGCCATATCCTAAGATGTTACTGTCAGTGTTGGTAGGCAAACGGGCCTCATATCCTTTGAACACCAAGCAAAGGCAGCAGAAGTGTCCTGCTTCCTACTTAAGCAGCACGAGGCTCACCCAGTAGTGCTTGGCCTCCTTCTTGGTGGCCAGCCACCAACCCTTGTAGACCTCGCGCCGCTCGGCTCTGGACAGCGCCATGAAGCGCCCAATGCGGCCAGGCATCGACACTGTGAACATCACAGACATGCGCACAAACGAGTATGTTGCTTGCGCCAGCGTCCTCACCCTGCATGGAACAAAGGAGACTTGCATTCTTCCGTGCAATCGCACATCATCCTGCAATTGTGCGCCACAGCCATGAGCCTGGAGAGCTCCAGTGCCTTTTCACATACACGGCCCTGCTTTCCAAGGGGGGCAGACTGGCAGGGACACTGCAAAGCTTGCTGATGACACTGCTTTGTATGCCCGACACAGGTAAGAGCTCTATAGAATATCATGCAGGATGCCATCAGAACACCAGGTAGGAAGCCAACCTGTCTGCAATGGTTGTCTCCGCAAACTGACTCCTGCTCCTGCTGCGGGCCTCCGCTTTGCTGCGCGCCTTTTGTAGTGAGCCGATGGCGTCATCACAAAGCTTGGCATCTCCGGTGACAGCAGCAGCCGAGATAATTGCTGCACAACCCCAAAAATTCCCATTACAGGGGTCACTTATTGAGGATGAGGTCGAAGTCAGCAGAAGAACAGGTGACGACCTAGACAAGCACCCAACATCTGCCTGAACCCTACTGTCCAGCTAGTAGCATTATTGGGACCCAATCGAATGACAAACGAGTAAAGAAGGTTTATAGATCAAACCAATGAGGCTTTCACATGATGGAATGTACAGCTGCAATAAGGATCGTCTTGATGGACACGCCCTTCAAGCAGAGTTGACCGCCCACCTTTACGACCTTGAAGTACAGTTACTATACGCACTAGTTGAAAATTGTGGGCCATTATGAAACGAATTGTTATGATGCTCGAAACAAACCAGTCGCTGAAGGTGGTGACTCTTCCAGCACTTTTTCTCTCCGCTGGTTATCTTCCTGCTCTTCCTCTGTAGGCTGTGCAAAAGCCGGCTGCGCGCTTTGAGGAAGGAATGGTGTGTTGCTGAATCCATTTCTCCTGTTGCCCTTATCCCACGAGCTCTGGCTGTCCTGTGGCTGAAGCAAGGAACAACATGCAGGGAATATCTGCCTGGATGCTTGTATCTGCAGCTCCCTTGATATGACATGCCAGCCTGTAGCCCCGTTGAGTTCTTGATTTCTGAGAAGGAGCCTTAGTCCGCTGGTGGCAGTCCTTCTCAACGCCATTGGGGAGCCAAGGCTAGATTCGCTCACGTGCTACCTCAAAGCCCAGGACTTCTGCATAACAACTCCTCTCGATACCTCAACATTTTGCACAATCAGGCTGTGCAGTACATCTCCTGAAGGCGCTGTCCTGACGCTACGATGGAAATAGCACAGGCGTGAACCTGCATGTAAATTCGCGTCTGACTATACTAATTCTTCCGTAATGTGCCACGTCAGTTTTGCTTCAATGCATTCTCGGCACCACAATTGCTTCAGATATTAGAGTTTGGCTCAATTAAATAAATTTTGGATCTTCATTCGCTGTGTGCCAGGCATACATGAGAAATCTGCAGCGTATTGCTTGTTCCCAGATCCTCGCCACATGCTAACTACATCTTGATACCGGAACGCTTCTGCAAAGTCAACATCTTGCAAGCACTGTAAAAATATAATGATAAGACACTCCAGATTCTTGTCGTCGTATCTCAACCGCGCGTGGGGAGCCTGCACTGGCGACCATCAAGTACATGCCGAGAGGCCATCGTCCGTTTTCTGGCACTGTAAGAGAATAGACTCCATTTCGATTTGCCATTCAATTGTTTCAAATTGCCCCAGTTATTTTCTACCGGCTCGATCATGCCTGTATGGTGAATGCAAATGGCTGTAGCAGGGCGCAGTGAATGCGAGAGGCATTTTGCCAGCGATGCGTCCAATCGATCCAGTAGGGGGGATAATGACGCCCACATAGCGAATGTGGCCAGCCCATCTCTGTCGATCGACCGCAGTGGGTTGTTTCAAATTCAGCCACACAGCCACAGCCCAACAGCAGGCAAGGAGCCCGAGACAGACATGTGCAAGCACCTCAAGGCTCTCATACAGGTACTGATGTGATTCTCCTGGTGATTGACCTGATTATCGAAGCTGTACTGCTCCAAATAAATTGCACATACAATGCCAATACTATACTTATATGTCAATGCAATGCACTAAATGGACTGTTGTGTGACTTCCTAAGTCAGCCTTCACACTTTTCGCTTGTGATGCAGTTCCGAGGCGGCCCCATCTCCATTGCGGAGTACATGTCGGTAAGACACATCTGTGAATAACCCAGTGTTTCTGCTGGCGCCAAACCCCTCACGTTCTGCCTTTTCATGCTCTGTTATAAGTGGACTGTAGTTTCCTGTTGGCAGTTGGCAGAGAAAAAAGTCTCTACTGCTGGAACGCACATACAGAAAATGAATGCCTTTCTGCGCAGGAGGTGCTGACTAACCCGAGCGCGGGATACTACACGACGAGAAATGTGTTTGGGGAGGCTGGCGACTTCATCACCTCACCTGAAATCTCACAGCTCTTTGGAGAGGTGCGTTCTGCCTCCCATGTCTTTGCTGCGGGTTACAAACAGAGGCCATGAAAATCAATGCAAATTTTTTGGCAGGCTGTTTTATATCAAAGGCCCAAAAACACTTTGTAACAGGGAAATATACCAGGAAACCATGCGGCACGAGACAAACCATGATGGCAAACTAGTCAAGTGTCTCTAGTTCAACAGGACAACATGTGTCTGTCTATTTTTGCTGTGCAATTAAACATGACTTACATACTTGTTTTCATCCTTTCTACATGATATACACCTCTGGTTCATCACAGCGCATAGTTTCGCGTGGCGGCTGCTTGCCTGCAGACGAACCATGCTTCTTGGCAGAAAGAAATGTACTACTAGTAATAATGGTACTATATTAAGTTTCCTGTTGCTGCTGCAGATGGTGGGCATCTGGTGCGTGTGGATGTGGCACGAGATGGGCAGGCCGCATGCTCTGAGGCTGGTGGAGCTCGGCCCTGGCAGGGGCACTCTCTTGGCAGACCTGCTGCGATCCACAGCCACCTTCAAGGACTTTGCCCTGTCTGTCTCTGCAGACCTCGTTGAGGTGAGTCCTCCTACTCACCTCCTCTGAACATATATACATGGATGAAGTTTCCTACAGACATCCTGATATTTGCACCTGTGATGCTGCTCGGGGTCTGTTGCATGCTTTTGCAAGCTCGCGTACTCTCTCACTTAACGGGAGGGTTTTGGTTTACTTTGTTAACAACCCGAGCAGAACCGGCACATAGGCATTATCAGCCCATGTGAACCTTAGATTCCTGCAAAGAGGATTTGGGACAAGGCTGCTGACGTCACCGCAGGTGAGTGATGCTCTGAGAGAGCGGCAGCGAAGCGCTCTGGACTGCAGCACGACAGCGACAGTGTCTGATGATGGAGTTGAGGGCCACACCAGCGGCCTGACTGGAATCCCGGTACGCTTCAATTTCTCCGCAAAATCCCTACCAAGCCGTATGTCCCATGGTCATGTGCTGTTTGCCATGCCAGTGGTCTCAATAATCTTGTGAAGATCTCAATTTTGTGAAGAGTAGGTGGTAGTTCTGTCAAGCCATGTGAGTAGCTCAGTTGATGGCGAGCTGGATGTGCAGGTGAGGTGGCATAGGAGCCTGGACACAGTCAGCAGTGACTCACCCGCCATCTACATCGCGCACGAATTCTTTGATGCGCTGCCTGTGCACCAATTCCAGCGCACAGACAGGTGAACCGCATGGTGCTATATCATGCTGCATCGCTTGGCTCTCAACTTCCTCCTCTGCTCCTATGGCATATTTGGTGAACAAAATGGTCTAACTCTGGCCACCACGGCATGTGTCGGACTGAGATCACCGTTGCTAGATTGTTAAGCTGTAAAGCTGAGGACCTCCAACAGCCTGCTCTGAGCAACAAGGTGCCTCTGCAGCTCAATGCTCTTCGAGAGCTAGCTTTGCCTCTCCATGGCTTAATGTGACTGGCGATCTGGTTTGCAAGTGGGAGTATCCTTCCGCAGGCATGGAGTGCTCACTGATTGTGCACTTGGCAGGGGTTGGAGGGAACGCCTGGTGGACGTGTCAGATGATGACAGCGACCCGCTGCACCTGCGCATGGTCCTGGCGCCAAATCAGACGCCAGCCTCCAAGCTGCTCCTGTCACGCCGTCTTGAGGCGTTGCCTCCCGATGCTGGTCTGCATCCCTTTTGCAAAATTATGTAAATCGACATGGCCATCAGAGGGTCAAGGACTGCTACTCAAGAATATGACTTGATTCTATGGATCAAGAGGCTGCAAGGCTGCTCTTTTGCTCTTCACCCGTGCTAGCAACTTTGCAGGCGGAGGTTGAGAGGCTCATGCTATCCTGACTACTTGTTTGGGGCAAGCATTGGAGTTTTAGGACAGGAAACCTTGTGTTCATCTGCAAGAAAGTCCAGACCAGGAGTTTTTGGCTCCCTGTGCAGATCAGTGGTTGCGCTTCCTGGAGATCTGTCCTCAGGGCATGGCGATAGCGGGGGACCTGGCGCGGCGGGTGACTAAGGAGGGGGGCGCCGCGTTAGTTATCGACTACGGGAGGGATCGCCCCTACCCGGCCTCTCTGGCGGCCATCCGTGACCATGGCTTTGTCAACATGCTGTCAGCGCCGGGGCTCGCTGACCTCAGCGCGCACGTTGACTTCAGCGCTCTCAGGTGATGATGTCATTGCTGCATCATGGTGTACGAATCTCAACATGATAAACAATTGCAGGCCTCCCTGGGGATCCCCTGTGATGAAGAATTGAGGGTACACTTTCAACCGCAAGATGTTTATGATGAGGAAGATTCTAGGTCATCTGAACCTTCCATGATGCCTCTCTTTCTCTCAATGTGCCATGACTGCGTCAAGTGGTTTTGGTTCGGCCCATCTCTCCCTCCTTCTTACAATTCAGGCCTGCCCCTGCCACAGTCATACTTCTGAATCGCTGCACCGTGTGTTTTGGAGCGCATGTGATGCAAGGTGCCACCAGTATCTTCTAACCGATCTCTGGCATTTGTTACACAGGCAGGGAGTGAGTGAGGCGACAGAGGGCGCAGCGTGCTGCCACGGCCCCATACCACAGGCGCAGTTTCTGGAAGCGCTCGGCATCCGGGAGCGGCTGGCGGCGCTGCTAGAAAACGCCTCAGAAGAGGAAGCCGGCCACTTAATAAGCAGTTATGAGCGCCTTGTCACCGGCTCCGAGCCTGATCAGGCACGCTACCTCCCTCCTGCACTCTTATTGCTCTCCCTTTTTCAATATTGGCCCTCTTCCTCAATTGTGCACTAGGACCGTTCCTGACAACTCTGCGGGGACACTTACGCCCTCCAATACTTCTGAAGCTTCTGGCTTGCCTTGCGTGTTTATGCCATCACAGTTGGTTCTTTGGGTGTCTTTTGTGCCGTTAGCACAAAAGACACCCTTTCTTCCTATTTGGCGCTATCAGCCCCTTGTATGCTCTTGCATCTCTCTTCTTTTCATCTTGTGTTTTCAGCGGGTGACAGTGGGTGAGCATGCTAGCAGGAGGGCAGCGGTAGCAGTGGAGCCGGGAGTGTTCAAAAGGAAGGTGGCTCAAAGGATGCAAGCAAGGAAGAGGTGAAGCTGGAAGGCATGGGTCAGACATACAAGGCCTTTGCAATCCTTCCTGCCAGCAAAACGGTCCCGCTGCCCTTCGACTCGTGATTTGTACAACGTGCTTACATGCAAAGGGAGTCTTGAACAGAGCCAGCTGGCATGAAAACTGACACTATCAATAAGACTGCTTTTCTTGCCGATGAAAAATGAGGGGTTTGCAATAGATGACCCGCAGTGGAAGTGTTCACATAAGATGCATGAAAGTACATGTACACCAGACCATACAATTCTGTGGTATGTATAGTATGGGCCCACCGACTCTCATACGGTCAGTGACTTATACGGTCCAGTACATTAGTGGAGTTTGTTCCTAGTACATCAGTGGAGTTTGCGGAATACAGGAATGCCCGCTTTTTGTACAGATAATTAAGGATGGCTAGTATTTGCAATTCCTCAGCTTATGGTACCGCCGGTGTTGCCTTGCCTCTTAAGCCGGACTGCCGTCGCCCATCAGCATCTGACACCGTTGCCTCGAGAAGAACAACACCGTTGAGTCCTCGTGAATGGCATGTACTCTGCTGATTGTCCATTGAAAAATCTCTTAGTGCAATGATATCCTTGGCATGTGCACCTTTAAACGTTTACTTCAGAACAGCAAAAACAGCAGCACTTACCTATCAGAACAGGCTCCACAGAAACGTCATACAGAGCATGTATAGAATAAGCATTATTGGTGTGGATATCAAAAGTTTCCAGGGGACACCGCCACGCTGCACAACAGCATGGGCTGCTTTAGGACAAATTAAAGCAGACAGAACAAGGCTGGGATTCCACGAGATAGGCAGCAGGAGTATTAATTGAATTCAAGCAATCTTTCTGTACCTCTCTCTGTAACCCTGTAGACTCCGAAGGATTTTTATGCTGGCTTTGCTCCAACTTGCTCAAGCGCACTTTTACGCTTTCCAATTCAGCCCACAAGCGAGTGTATTCTGGATACGGACTTTCTGTCCACCCGGTCTGGCACAATAATGCCCTTCTATGAATTGGCTGGCACGCCCTGTGCTTCAGTCTCGATGTAGATGATGTGAGGCCCAGTCTAGGAAAGCCAAGATTGCGGTTCCATGCAGTCGATTGGACTGAGGCCATCATCGTGCTTCTCGTGCTCCTATGGCTGGAACTAGTGAAAATTGGCAGCTGGCCAAAGGCACTTGCCAGGCAGGCACAATCGAGCAGATCTGTTCGCCTGATCTGGCATATGCCTCGATGCATCGAACCCTCTCGAGTTGGCGACGGACAGCTTGCTCAGCGAGTTGTTGGTGATTGTTCTTTAGTGCTTGCCAGGGACTCTTAGATCGAGATTGTCAGGCTCGTTCGTCTAAGACAGAATCAGATGAAATAATATACCTATGGACGCACCGTGCGAGTTCTGGGTAGGGAAGCCACCTCATTGCTTGATCGTTTGCCCTGTCGCGCTGAGTTGAAGGCTCCAGTGCAATGTGCATAGCTCAAGAGATGATATCTTATTTCATCACATAGGAGAGTGCAGCAAATCTGGCGCTGACCTCTTAAAGCTACTGTCAGCAGTTTTTGCAGTAAGCCAAAGGATGTACTGGTATGTTCTGCAGATGGCTCAGCCGCCAATCAAATGGCTCCAACTCCAGATGCAAATTGTGGGGGAGAACATTGCCCACCAGCTGCAGGAGCTTCTTAAGACCACAGATCCTGCGAATCGCGCGGTCATTGAAAAGGAGAAGGACCGGCTTGAAGAAAGGGAGAAGAAACTGCTGCAGCTATTCGGTGCCCTGCAGACTCAGCAGGCTGGCCCAGCAGGTGAGTTCCTTGCTGCTCTGCATTGCCCCTTGACAGGTGGCCCTATGGCCAGCTTCCAAGTCAGGTTTCAAGCGCTGCCAAGTGCGTTAGTGCACACTCCCAGTCAGTGGACGGCGCTGCACTCATGAACTGTGGCATCTGTGTCTCATATGCTGAAGCTGCAGCCAGAGACTGGTTTTGGTACCATCACCCTGTGGTGGATTCATGGACTTGATTTAGATAGATAGATAGGTAGACTTGAAGAACAACACTCAGAGCTAGCACCAACTTTTGCAATAAGGCTGCTCCCTTCTTTCCGCAGGTGCAGTCCTCACAGCGGCAAGCGCTCTACCTGCTGAACCAGAGTTGCAGAAGTTCTGGTATCAGCTTGCTGCAGTCAAGGAGCTGAGCACACTTGATTCAGCCCAGTTCTTGCAGTTAGGCAACAATGCCCGCTTCCCGCAAGAAAGAAATAGCAGCCTTCTTGTGCGGCGGTGCTATTTGGAGCTCAGCCAAATCTTGCTCGAATACCTTGAGGCCGAGGGGCACACTTTTATCATCACTGGGAATCCAGGTACTTACTTCTCGAAGACAAAACAGAATGCTGGTCGCATTTTGCAGCATTGTCATTTGCAGTCAAGAGTACATGTGATGACCATTCTCGTCTCCATTCCAACGCAGGTATTGGCAAGAGCCTGTTCCTCTACTTCCTGATGTGGCTGCTGGTCCAGTTGGGAAGGACATTCGTGTGGGACAGGCGGGGTGCAAGTGCGGTGGTCCTGTTCAGTCCCACGGGAGTGTGCGAGGGTCCGCTGCAGGCCTTCACCGCAGAGTTGAGAAATCCGCAGACATGATGAGCTTCCAAGTCATTCCTTAAGGTAGCAATCAAACTGCGAATGGTCCGGGTGACAGCGGCGAGCTTGCAGGGTACAATTGCCCTGAGGCAGGTATGCTTTGCAGGTACCTGGTGGACGGGAAGCCTCCGTTGTACACAGCAGCCAAGACGGTGCTTGTCACTTCTCCTGACTGGGATGTCTGGAAGGTGCGAGCTTGTGCAAGCTTGCAGCCGTCTAGCAATCGCAAGCAAGGGGAGTGCCTTGCAGCTGTACAAGTTTTAGGCCTTGCAGCATTAAGAGGCCACGCCTAATTCAAATTAGTTGGCCGGGCCCATTGACCGTGCAGGAAGCCAAGAAGCGGCCACAATCCCTGCTCAGGCACATGCCCACATGGAATTGGGGAGAGGTGGAGGCAGCCCGCAAGCAAATCTTCAGCACGCAGGACGAGGAAGATGTTGCGAGCAGGTACAGCAAGTGGGGCGGAATTCCCCGCTTTGTGCTCCAGAACACTGACTCGGAAGACCAGGCCCTGCTGCAGCTAGCTCTTGACGAGTGCACAATCGACAATCTCGCCAGCGGCATGATAGACCTCAGTAGCGCCTCTGAAATCAGCCACAGCCTCCTGCACCAGACGGTGGAAGCAGGCTATCTGAGGGGCCCGGTGGTGTTCGCATCAGACTGGGTGCAGGCAGAGCTGATCAACAGATATCTGCATTTCACGAAACATAAGGTACACGACTTCCTGGCAGCATCGGGGGGTACGCCCACCATCGCAGCCTTCAGGGGAGCGCTCTGGGAGCGCTATGCACATGTGGCCCTGCAGCGCGGGGGGACCTTCAGCTGCAGGGACCTGCAAGACGCAGAAGCTGGCCCCTTCAAGATTGAGCTCGAGCCATGCAGCAGCTCTGTGGGTTTGTGGTACCTCCAGGACATCACCACACAGCTTGACAACGGCGTGTATGGCTGGGGCAGGAGCAAGAACTTGCCCGCAATCGATGCAGTCGTCCAGCCAGACAAGCTGTTCCAAATTACTGTGCTTGGAGACCACAGGATCAATGCAAAGGGCCTGACCAATGCTGTGCGTGCAATGCGGGGCGAACAGCAGGCAGTGCAGCTGTTCTTTGTTGTCCCGCCGGATGTGTTCAGCAGGTACACAAAGCAGACATTAAAGCGAATCAGGGTAGACCTTGAAGCAGAGCATGTGGCCCGTGCAGGCAAGCAGTTTGTTTTTAGGCTCAATTTCTGATTATGAGACAACGAAACTCCCAAGACGATTCTGCGAGTTATTGACAGGTGGGAAACTATCAACAGAAACTAATGTAGTGGTCGCTGATGCGGTGGATTTCACAGCATTTAAAAGAGGAATGCACATGAAAGGGATGGCTGCAATGTCATGCACCTTCAAAAGGTGGCCTGTGAGCTCTTGCATGCTAATGCTTGAGAGGTTGACGAGCATATGGAAAGCTGCACAAATGCACAACCATATCAAGGGGGGTTTAACTGAGCTTAGAGTTTCAGGGTTGATGAAGAGGCTGCACACACCATCGTTGTAAAATTATCCTTCTGCGTGTTCGCTTGTGGTTGCAAATCAGTCATTCACAAGCAAGACATGCAATATCGTCAATGTACAAATACAAAGCAGGTGGTGCCGGCAGTCACTATGTGAAGACATGGGACTCCCATGATGGGAGCATTGTTTTACAATACCCATAATTCTAAAGAAACAAGCGCCACCTGCAATACATATTTTGCCCCATCACAGTACTGTACTGTACTGTACTAGTAGCAGCTGAACAGGTTTGCAAAGGCCCTTCAAGGCGCCACCCTGGCGCCACCAAGGGGCAATTGCAGACCTTCAACTCATTACAACTTAAAGGAATAGAGGCTAACCCACAAGCTCAGTGATCTCTAGATTACTACGGGTTTTCGTCACAGAACACTATCCTAAACTCCTTAGACATTACCATGACTACTTTGCTCCCCAGGTATGTTTGTTGACTTCTACCTGAAGCCCTCAGGTCTGCCACGGGCATATTCGCAGGTTTGCTCAAAGATATGTCCGATGGTGATCATGTCGGCCTCGCCAAAAGCGCGGCCGATGATCTGCAATCCCACCGGCAGAGCTTGCCCCTGGCTACCTCCGCCCTCCTCAAATCCACATGGCACCACCATTGCTGGCAGGCCTACATGGCACACTCCTTGTCAGCACTGCTAGGCTTGACCCCATGCATTCAAACCCAATTAAGCTCACAGCCGACTTTCCTTCCCATGCAGAAAATGCGTAGAAGACATTTCACGACCTGCAAACAAGATCATAATAATACCTCCATGGTACCTGGAATGAGTTGTGAATTGCATGCAAGCAGCGAGAATATCAGTGAGCTGCATTGACGCCACATGTAAGATGATACTGTACGCTCTGCTGCTGCCACTGGTTTCCTCACCCCTCCCAAAACTCCTCTAATGCTGATATTGATCAATGGCTTTGAAAGAAAAGGGGAGTCGACCTGCAAGGTTGATGTTGACAGTCATGAGGTCGCCCTTGTACATCTCCAACGGATCCGAGTTGACCTGCCCTATTCTGTACGCCGCTGTTGGCGCGGCCGGGCTTATGAGCGCGTCGTGCTCTGCCAGAGCAGCATACAATTCCCTCTGCACGAGCGTCCGCACCTGCACATGGTACGGCCACTGATGTGAAAACGCAGACTTCGATGGCATTTGCGCTGCAAATTTGCAGAAACACGATGGGAAAACACTCTTCTTATTGGGGCCTGCAAATCACTTGCCTCTCCCATCACCGGACCTGCTGCCGTGATGTCTAATGTAGTTGCAGGGGCAGGAAACATGCAGGCACGCTACCATGTGCAAGGACGGCACTGTGAGCCCTCTGGTTTGTCCTGCTACCTCTGCAAGTGTCTTATATAAGAGCTACAGGAAGCTGGTATTCATGCACTGAGTGAGATCAGAAAAAAGTTCATGGAGAGGTGGACAAGGCTGCACACCTGCAGTGCGCGCTTGTAGTAAGCGTCGTAGTAACCGGCTGACAGAGCGTAGGTGCCCATGAGGATACGGCGCTTCACCTCTGCGTTTAGCCCCTCGCCCCTCGTCTCATTGTACAACTCCCTTATGTTCGCCACCTGCATCAGGTCGGAGATGAAAGGTCACGCATCACAATCCAAAGTTTGTGACAGGTCTCACTGCTTGAAAGAATAGTTTTGCACGACCTGCACTCTAGAAGCTGCCTGACACCTTGCCTGCATTCCTCTGCTGTGAGAGCAGAGGCATATGTTGTTTCCACGCACAACTCCGCCTTCAGGATTGCCATATATGAAACGATACTTTGTTTGGCAGATGGCATAGATTCTGAAGACGGCACAGCAGGCGCATGCCTGCTTGTGGAGGCCATAGCGCACGCCGTCGAACCGCGACAGATTGGAGGAGGCCTCTGACGTGGCGATGACGTAATAAGCAGGCAGCCCGGCATCTGACGATGGCAGAGAAACCTGGCAGCATCACAAATATAGTTTTTGCTGGCGTTCATTCGAATCCACAACGCTCCAAGCCTGCTGAGTGTAATCCTACAGCTGGGCGGACAATTGCAGCAGTTGCAAAGACAAATGGACAACACCACTTAGTCATGACAGTATGAAACAGTTCTTGGCTACGATGTTTGGGGCCTGGTATGAAAAGGGCAAAAAGGGAGATATAGCTCGGGGAGCCAAACCTCATCCACGTCAGCGCCCAGGCTCTCTAGATGTCGCGCGGCCCTCGCGAATGCGTCAGAGACCCCTGCGGCAACGCCGGCGCCCGTAGTTTCACGGATGATGCCGATGCGCTTGCCGGCCAGGGGGCGGCTGCTGAGGCTGCTGGCCTGGGGCAGGCCCTCCGCATAATCCTGCGCCGGCCGTGGCGATGACGTGGCGTCCAGGTCATCCCTCCCTGCAGCCATGCGATTATTCCTCCAGATGCTCCTCTTGGAAAGTAAGCTTCCCGACCATACCGCTGCTTCACATCCCGGCAAAAGCTCTTGAACAAATCCCCAAAATTGCATCGGTGCATGGTCAAAAGCTCCATCTGCCGCCAAAGCATCCCCACAATTTCAGGTGTCACCACATCTCAGAGCTCAAGTAGGCAATCCCTCTGCATTGGAAGCATTTGCTCACGCGTACTGGCCTCACGTCCATCCTCCGAAGAACATCCCCTATCTTTCCTGAGATTGGCAGCTCAAGGCCCCCGACTTTTCGCCATGACACGGGTGCAACAACACAAGATCTCAAGTGCTCAAGTGTGGCTCGACGCGCCTGCTATGGTGCTGAGCATGAGCGCAGCGTCCTCCACAGTGCGTGCTAAAGGACCCACGCAGTCCAGAGAGGACCCATACGCGATCAATCCCGACCTTGAGACTCGCCCGTATGTGGGCTTGATGCCCACCACGCCACAGAAGTGCGCTGGCTGCCGAATGCTGCCACCTGTTACATAAATCACAAAATTTGAAAGCACTTGTAAAGAATTGCACTTTATTGGGATTGGCGGGTTCTTGCAAGAGAAATATCAGCATGCAGATCTGGTGGATGCCCATAAATGTAAAAAACCCTGTGTCACGGCCACTTTATTGCACATGCCTCTGGCATTGCATTCACAGATCTAAGGTCGATACAGCGAGCAGTCCGATTGCACAGACGCAGCTGGCAGAGATTTCTGAGGAAAATTTGGTCAAGGTTAGTCTAGCTGACCTGTGTCGCTCCCCAGAGTCCCCACGCACTGGTCGGCAGCCACTGCAGCTGCAGAGCCGCCTGAAGACCCCCCTGGAACCCTGTCCAAATCCCATGGATTCCGGGTGACCTGCAAAGGGGAACACAATATAATCAAATGATCTACATTCCTGTCCCCCAATAACCATCTCAACAAGCGCATCAGCCAATCTCCATCTTTGTCGACGCCAGCGCTTATTTAAGGAGGAAGCACTGGGCACTCTAACATTTACCACAACCAAAAGTACTGCCCTGCATTACATAGAACGAATACATGGCTCTTTGAGGCGATGACACTCGCAATTTCAAGTCTGCGAGTATATCATGAGGTGAGTCACCTGGTAGTCGCTGGACTCTGTGGTGGAACCCATGGCAAAGGCATCGCAGTTTGTTTTGCCGATCATGACCGCGCCGGCCGCCTTGAGCCGAGCGACGGCCGTGGCGTCGTAGGAGGGTACGTATCCTTTGAGCACCCTCGCTCCTGCTGTCGTCTCCACTCCCGCTGTGCACAGTGTGTCCTGCATCAGAATTTATTCCTCAACCAGTACTGATCAACTGTAAGGGTGGATGCACAATGGCCTGCACCGGCATTGGGAGCGGCACATGTACATGCAGCGCCTGGCATGCAGCGCCCTTGCAAATCTGCCAAGCTCCTAGTTTGGTGCAAAGCCCCACAATGCACCTCCTGCAAGTCTAGCTTGAGATTGGGGCTTGCAGTTTCACTCTTCTTACATAGGGACTCTATGCACACCTTGATTCCAAAGGGGACGCCGGCTAGCGGGCCCAGCCCTGATGCACCCTCCCTGGCTATCCTGTCGTCCAGCTGGCGAGCTGATAGGCGCGCTGACTCAGCCGCCACTGTGATGAAGCTGCGAATCTGCGGCTCAGCTGCCTCCAGCTGCTCCAGGTACTGCTCTGTGATCTCTACTGCACTGCATGCATGCCAGCACATGTCAGGCCGCTTAAACTCACATGCATCTGCTTTCAACTGCCTTACCTTGTCCCATCCAAGGTAACATGTCCAGTGTGCATGTTGTGAGGCAAGGGAACAATTGCATACTGACAGGTGTGCAGCACAACAAGAAATATACTACCGTTGGGAGGAACTGTTTACTTAAGGGGCACCAGTCAGCGTGCCTGCGAGCCTTTGATCGAAGGTCATGCTGTATCTGTCGTATGAGTGATGTTGCTGTGACTGCAGGCGCTGCTGCAGCAGCTGCACATGAGACAAGGCTCCTGGTCCTTCTGTGCTGGCCGCTCATTGCGCTGCAAGGAAATAGTCCGGTGGCACCTGTCCATCCATATCCTTTCTTTCACAAGAAACCATTTTCGCAGCACACAGTATTCATCTGTGGTGAATCTGTTGAAGCATGGCTTGCGAACCTGGAGCGCACAGTCCACTGAGAGAATTCAAGCCCTTACCAGTGGATTTTGCGCTGCTAATATATTCGTTATGTATGGCTACGTTGGTTCTACTATACTGTCTGAACTGCTGCGCTACTCTGTGGTGGGGCAATGGAGAAGAGGAAAAGCTGCACAGCATCCTGACTGGCTGCGTGGCGCCAAGTAGGCCTGCCTCCTTCAAAAGCATTGTATGAGAGGCCCTGTGCAAATCCATCATGTATGTTAATAGTATTTGCCGCAAGTCCACTCGCCTTGATGGCAAAGGATGAGGGTTTCATGCAGCTCCAAGAGGGTTTCACCATCAGCAGGTCCTGGCTCTCGGACGTTTAAGGTTCCTTCAATATCAATATTATAACATCACAAATTCAGAATGGCATAGCAGATGTCGAAGATCACCAGGAGAACGGATTTTGGCCCGCACGGCTTCCGATGGCTGACGTTGAAAAGGATAGAGGTGAGCTTCTGATAGCTCCTGTCATTTTGTGCATCCTAAGTAATAATCTGGTTCCTATTGAACATCAAGTCGCGTCCCATCTGCGATGAGTCTGTGAGCATGATGTGCCAAGAGCGCCCAATTTCCTTCAAGCTAGAAACTGACTAGTTTTACTATGTGTCGTGCAGTATGAGGACCCACACGGCAGGCTGCGCTTCTGGGAGTCAGCCGAGCGCCTGTCAAGGCATGGCGACGTCGATGGCGTCGCCATCATCACGCTGGTAAGAGCTATTGCCAAGCTTGTCCCTGGGATCGTTCGATCTCTTCACAACAGTGGGGGACTTGGGATGCTGATAGGATCATCGAGACCTTACAAGCTTCTTTTGAATATTTCTCCAGCCGTCTGACTGCTGTGGTGGTATCTGTTGGCAGGTCCGCTCCAAGGAGGAGCCCCTCAAGGTCATCCTGGAGGCGCAGTTCCGCCCATCTCAGGGCAACACAGTCATCGAGGTGATCCATTCGCTCCATTCATGCCTTCCACCCGGTCACCGAACATAAATCCCGACAGCACCTGAGCATGCGATCTATGGCGACACATGCACCTGCTTGGCTGCAAAATCTTGATGACTCTGCAAACCTTTGCATAAAATTGCTGCATCATCCGCCCGCTGCTTCGTCAAATTCAAATACAAATTCGTCAACAGTCTTTCTTTTGGGCTGCAGCTTCCGGCGGGGCTGATAGATACAGGGGAGTCTGCAGCAGAAGCGGCAGTCAGGGAGCTCAAAGAGGAGACAGGCATGTACTCCTCTCTTCTGCAAAATAGATCTGTAGTCCTGCGAGCTCCCAAGCCATGCATCCTGGATGACCCCGCGGACTGTGTTCAGATCCAGTTGGCAGCATCTTTCTTGTGCTGAGCTGCGCGTATGAATCGTCTGAGGTGACATAAGAGCTACTACCAAGTCGTGGGAGGGGCTGCCCTTGCAGGGTACACTGGGCGTGTCACGGAGGTGTCACCCATCTGCTTCAGCGATCCAGGCATGAGCAATGCCAACATGCAGTTTGCCGTTGTGGATGTGGACGCAGATGCTTCCGAGAATGCTGACATCAACCCTGAGCTGGAGGTGAGGGAATCTTTCTGCACCCACCGTACTTTGCTTCCCATCTCGCAGCGTCCAAAGAGACTTGTCACACTCCCTGGTGTGGTTTGCTAGCGCATACTCAATGTGACTTGAGCAGTCATTGCTTGCCTGCGCTTCAATCTCCCATTCGCTTGTCCAAACTTAAGGAGATGGCTTGTGTTTGCAGGAGGGTGAGTTCATTGATGTGTTCCTGCTCCCCTACGACGGCCTCTACGATGCACTGCTGGTGAGCTTCCATAGCCTGCCCCAGGATTGCTTGCTAGAGATCTACTCCTGCAGGTGCAAGTGCAAATGAATGGTAGCACCAGGTCATGAATTGCAGAATTTGCGTCTTGCACATGTCAACTTTGCGACCTGTTGGTTGTTCGCCAGAAGTGAGAAACCTGTGGGCTGCAAGGACTCTGCAGTGGTTGATCGGGGGGGCCTGCCCCCCGCACCAGTATTTTAAGGTCCCCCGACCGGGCACGTAGTGTCCCTAAAGTCCTTTTGGGCTCCAGATGATCTGATACACCGATCCCCCTTTGGAAGGATATAGCATTCCCCGTGATATATTTGCTGATCTGGACTCTTGAGGTCCTGAAAGACAGCATCGCTATCCCATTGCTGCACCAGACTGCGTGACGGGTCAATGAGGAACGCAGCCCCTTGCTGCGTCATAAGCAGCAGTTCATTAGCAGCATTTTCGATGTTCACATCAGTATACGTTTTAACATGGTATACTCTGAGAAACCATAAATGGTATCGGTGTTTGGCAAGGGTGAGGACTGCCACCCCTTCTGCTAACCCATGCAGAGCATGAACCATTTGTAAGTGCAGGCAAAGCAGAAGGAGACGGGGTGGGACGTGGACGCGCGGCTGCTGATGTATGCTGACGCCATCAAGCGCACAGCGCAGCGCGCATTTGCGCCGGAGGGAACGCCGGAAGACATCGCCACCGCTGACTCAGTGGCGGCCACGTCAGCGCACTCGGACGAGCCCCTGGCTTCTGGCCTGCCCAAGCTCCACATCAAGACCAGGTAACATTGTGTTTATAAAGCGTTATCTGACATTTGTCGGCATTGAGATATGGACCGTGAAACATTGCCTCCTGACTTGTGAAGATGAATGTTCCTACCTGCAAGTGAGGCAGAAGTCTTGTGTCCTGACTTGTGAAGACAAATGTTGCCGTTCTGAAGAGCGAACGAGGCACAATATCTTGGGATAGCATGTCTTAACGTCAGTTTGCAGGAAACGTAGTTGGCTGCTTTCCGTGTAGTCTAGCTAACACATGCATGTTGTTTCCCTTTCGAACACCACTCAGCAATGTGCAACTTTGATTTGTTGTTTGGTGCAGGGCGGATGCACACACCAATGGTAGCAGTGCAGCCAAATCAGACTCGGGGGCCAGCGCTGAGTCAGCTGCCAGGAGCAGCGCAGAAGCTGCCGACAAGGCGGCGCACAGCTTCCAGGAGGGCTTCATCCCCCAGGACCCCTCCCCGGCCGTCCTCAAGACGGAGTTCCCTCACGAGCTGGAGCATGTCACAGAACACCCGCCCCTAAAGACGGTGGGTCCGATTATTTGCACGTTGTTGTTAGCCCATCTTTTGAACTATCACATGCTGGTCCTGCCAGAGGCAAGGTGCGTCTGCAGACAAGCTGAATGTAAAGGCTACCAAAATCCTTCCCTTGTTGGATTCGCCAGATCCAAGCAAGATATAATTTTCCATGGGCCTATGCCTATCGGAATTAAATATTTTTGTTTGGACAAGAGCCGATCCATGCTGGCAACCTTAAAAGCTGACTGCAACACAGCAGTTCTCGCTCTGTGAGGCATAAAGGCTCTTTCCTTGGAGTTTGGGGTTATTACTTGCCACACTGTGACTACTATATTGTTAAAATTTCAGGACATCAACTCTTGAGCTCTTTGAGCAGTTTTTCAAGCTTCTCCAGATTCTATGGCTAACGTGAGAGACCTGTTTGCATATAGATATACAACAACCCTGATGGGGAAATTCTGCTGGAGAACGAGGCGGCGCCTGGCCGCAGCAGCGAAGACAACATCAGGCAGCCCTCACAGGCCAGGTGTGCCACTTGTTTCCTATCTGGACTTGTGTGTGGAATAATGCGTTATCACTTACCAGTACCACAGGTCTCTCCGTGTGCATATCCGATGCATTGCGGTAGGCGCCTGAGTGGTGCCGTATTCTGGAAGCCTTAAACATTGCCAAAACTTGCAGCAAGGAGGCAGTTCCTGCTTCACAGCTCATGCCACAATGCTTGCTATCTTTGGACCTTGGGATCCAGAGCTCTACATCTTGCAGCATGTTGAAGACAGGGTTGTCAGGCAGGGTTGTCAAGACAGGGATGCAAAGATACGCCTGGCTTGTATCCTGGGGACCCCATGCAACATGTGCGTGTTGCACTGTCTGAAGCAATGAATGTTGTCCGGCAGGCCAGAATCACAGGCACGGGAGGGGGCGTTTGAATTGGAGCGCCGGCCCTCCATTGACTTAGCAGCCGGCCTGAACAGGAGCCCTCGGCGGGCGCCAGGCGCTGATGTGGATGATGACGTGGACATCCGGCCGGGGCTGTTCCCTCACTTCCGCTCGGCCGCCGCCCCCGCCGCAGCCTCCGCCGCCGCTCCCGCCGCAGCAGGTGGGCGCTTTTGAATCTAAAATTAATAGGCTTGGAAGGGGAAGGTTGAAACAAGCCTTGTAGATCTAGTTGAAAGGTTGCCCCGAGTGAATTCTAGAATGAATTGCACAATATGACCATTACATACCAGGCATTCTCCAGGGCCAGACAAAGTCTGTATTCTGTTGCTATCGTATGCAAGTCCCCTCAACATGCAACGCAACCGGTCTTCCTGTCTCTAAGTGGATGTCTTAAATAAGGAGTATGTCGGCGGACTGCAGAAGTGCCCAACGGCCATGCAAGCGAGGAGATCTTTGCATCACCCTTCAAGCGCCAGGGCAGCCTGTTTTCCATGGAGCCTGTCTCCAGCGGCGATCTTGCCACCAGCTCTGCTGATGGAAGCACCAAAAATGGCAACGGCAGCAATGTCGTGTACTGCCCGGTGGGCATCACCCCTGGGAAAAACCCTGACTCAGGGGTGAGCGAGTCGAAAGAGGCAGCCACCGCGAAGCCAGCTGACGTGGCTGCCAGCACGGACGGGGATGTGGAAATGCAGTGTGAGTTGCAAGGGGCAAAGGACGGCCGGGATTTGAATTTGAGTGCAAATTCGAATGCGGTCAGTTTTGGTCTTGGGGTTGTGTTGGGGGGCCTTGTTGGGGCATTGCTTGCCTACTCTGGCGGCCTGCGCAGAACCTGATTTTGCAGTGCTACCTCCACTGAACAGTATTCAGCTCTGCAGCCGCTTAACTTGCAAGGTGCTCCATGCATGGATAAAAGTGCAGGAAGCAAAAATAGGACAAAATGTAGACAGACAGTATCATGGACTTTGCCCTGACTTTGTTGAGGGACTGCTTGACAGCCTAGACAGGACCTCAGACCGCCAATTCAGGGAGCAAGTCGCCACAATAGAATATGAGCCTGTTGAAGGATTGACATGCGCCTTCTAGTAGTGAAGACTGCTTGCTCTTTTACAAGGGCGTTGTTGTCCACTTAAAGCCACGCTCAGCAAGGTGCAGGCACATTATGTATAGGGCTGCTTTGGCTTTTTGAGCACCACCCACCAGATGTAACTTGAACAGCATATTTAAGAAAACGATAAGGTTGCACAAAAAGCATGCATGCAAAAAGCTCTGTACCGAATGATACTGCCGCAGAACAAGGCAGTGCACAACTATAAATCTATACTCCGCTTGGGGCATAAGCGGATTCCCATACAGACAACTACTCCCTTAAAAATTAAGCAATATGCTGTGCAGTGGCTCAGCTGAGTCAGCTGTCAATTGTCGCCAAGAAGGTCATTCAATGACTGCAGGCATTTAGCCTTGCCCCCTATCCGCTCCCACTCACGTGCAATCCCCCTCACATGCGCAGACCCCACTACAGCCACCACCGCAGTTACGGGCCCCGCCGGCTTGTATTCTCCATCACCATAACCGGGTGCCGCCGCCGCCGCGGGTCCCCCCTCTGGGATGACGTAGCGCCACACGCGCATGCCGGCGTCGTTGTCGGCGATGTAAGCCGGGGCGGCCGGTGCGCCTGCACGGAATGAACGCGCAAGCACGTGACCGCCGGTATTCTTAAAACAAATATTGTATTTATGTCGAGTTCGATGCATGGCACACACATCATTGCCGAAGACCGCCTTGCCTGCGGGATTAAAGCAGTGACCGGAAAAGTGCAGGCTGCAAACCTCCAGTGGGCGATGATGTGCTACAGATTGATGCTGGTCTGCAACCGCTCTCTTCAACTACATTCAGATTTCAGCCCTCTATCTTGGTACACGCAATTCATTGAAATCGATCTACAAGAGGTGTCACATTTCTGTAGGCTCACCGGTGGCAGCAGCCCAGATGGTGCGAGCCATGTAGGCGTCGCGCTCTGCGATTATGGGCTGCCGAGCGCCCGGCCACTGCAGCAGCGCATCCTCGCCCCATATCTCCACCGGCGCATCCATATTTTCCCCCTGTGGCATCAGGGTATTTTACTGTTGCTCTGTACTAAAAAATGATCACCTGGCCAGAGCATGTGCACAGCAGGCTTAGCAGACAAGTTACCGTCACTGCTTGTCCCCTGTCAAGCAGACGCGCAAGCGACTGTGATCTTAAAAGTGTTCTAGCTGCATGGTGTGCAGTTGCAAGGCAACCTTTCCTTTCATCTCTGGAGCTCGCTCTACCTCGAAATCTGCACTTTTAGACTCTTAGCGGATGTTGTGAGGCAATGCAGCGCATGCATAATACCCCAGCAGCATAATCGTCGCTAAGCTGGAGAAATTTCACTCTTCAAAAGCATGGCTCCCGCCAGTAGATTCAGTCTCCCAGCATCCCAGCAAGCGAGGAAAAGAGAAATGAGTCAAGGGGAAATGGACCAAACTCACCTGAAGCGGCTCCTTCAAGCGCACAATGTCTTCAATCTCCTCTTTGGATTTCTGCGCCAGCAGCCAGATCTGCACCAGGGGGCTGACGATTGGGAACGCAGCTAATAGCGCTGTTGCTGTTACGGCCCCAGCTGCCAGCGCTTCACTTCCCTCTGAAGTAGCACATGTGAATTTGTCAGTGGTCATGCATGCAAGGCCTCACCTGAAATACAAGACAGCAACGTGCGGGGATGCATTGCATTCTGCCAAAGAATACAATCACGAATGGCGTTATGCGGACCACACAAGGGTCATTCCCCAGCACGACAGGGTGAAAGCCACAGTAGCAAATTGTCTCTGAAAGTGTCAAGTCAAGCGTAGCTGATGTACACTACTTGTTTCACATGTAGCCTTGCAGAGGCCTGTCTTGAAATACAACCAAGCACGCTCCCTCGCTGCCAGAATTCAGGTCACTCTAAGGCAGCTACCAGGAATCACCTGGCAGTCGGTGGGTGAGCTCTCCGGCGATAGCAGCGGATGCCGCAGCCACAACGAGGCCAGCGCCGATCAGAGCTGCCTTCCAGACACCATCACCCAATCGCTGTGCCATGATGTTTGACGGCAAGTCGCCCATGTGCACCTGCGTACAGTGGTAGGCACGCATCAGCCACCCAAGAGTTCCAGATTCCCCTGAAACCGTGAGAAGTCAGCACGCTCAAAAAAGTGGCCATTGAGGAGCAGCTGGCTCGCCAGAATAGCACGCTCTGCTTTGCTTGACAGAACTATGCTGCCTGTTATTGTGTCTGCTGTGAGAGCACTGGACCACGCTATCAAAGATTGCGCGATTGTACTGATGGCACGGAAGCACAGCAGACTTCAGGCAAACGAATTTGAATTACGCATGTAATTGGGGCATATTTGATTACCCTTGAAATCCCTCTGCGGCCCTCGTTATACACAGGCTAAGCCTAGAGACTTTAAGCAAATTTCAAGCTACAGATGATGCATATTGAGACCGTGCCAGGCCTGTCTTCGCATACCCAATGTACACCATGTAAGAGTGTGCCCCACCCAGAGGTCAGACTGGCCTCAGGGTCCAGTGGATTACAAATTTAGTTTCAAACGCCGGCTGTGATCACCTGCTTGGCGCCAACATTTGAGGCGGCCTCAAGCGCGACCCGCCAGACTTCGCCGGATGACACGTCGCACTTGGCGGCAGCGGCGCTCTGCTGTGCTGCGTACGCTGTGGTGAGAGCGCGCGCAAACTGCTCCGACCAACTGTTCTTTTCCTCCTCCTCGTTCTCCTTGTCTGCAGAGAATACATGACTGAAGTCCTCTAGGATTGACCTGCTCAAAACTCAGTCACGCTACCAAAGCTTCTAGGCTCAGACCAATCACATTTCTGACCAGGATCGCTTCTCCTCCTCCTCATTCTCCTTGTTTGCAGTGCATTGAAGGACACTCAATCGCGAGGGAATGATGCATGGGGATGAGCTGTCGGTAATCCTAAGCCAACACTGTCAAACCCCCAAAAAAAACTATCTGATCGCTGTGACCAGCGCATTGGATCTCAAAGTGTTAGACTCAGTTGTTGGACTACGACTCTGGGAGGCCTGGGCTCTCAATCCGCAGTAGCACAAGTAAAGCATGCATTTGCAGACAGACGTGTTGGCGACACATGCCACGGACCCCTCCCTTGCAATACCACAAGTAACTGGACTCACACACCTCTTGATTAGCCTTAGCCCCATTTGTCATTATTGACAAGCAATCCTCTGCACTCCCGATTCAGCAATCCCCATGTGCTTCCTCCTGGAGGGAAGTACAGCAAAACTCTCCAGCGCACCTATTGCCTGCTGGGCTTCCTCGTCAGACCACGGCCGCCACACGTTACCGGTCTCTGCGCCTTCGCCGACCACAGCGGTGTCTGCGACGGTGTCAATTGTCTCTGGGGCCACTTCCAGAACCTTGGCCAGATTCTCGATGATCAGGTTCTTGCTCAGCTGCAGCGGGCCCCGATTTGGCCTGAATGGCTCTATCCCCGGACCCTCGCCTGCGCGCATGCAGCTTTTTCATACAAATCTTTCGCTGAGAATCTGGGTCATCAGGCTTATCAAAAGACCGTAGTAGGAATCATTAGAATAGCATGTAGAGATCGGTTCCAAGCCAGCGGGGAAACAAACTCAAAATAAATCTCTTATTCAGCAAGGAGCAATGTGCAAGAAGGGGCAACAGCATCAGGCGGGGTCAGTGCAGCTTTGCAACACTGCCAAAATGAATCATCATGGGACCTTCCTGCATGAGGTTGTATGAGGGCTTTGCACCAGGTTGCAGCTACTTATTTACCTCCAACCGCGCTGCCCTCAAGGCCTGTGCGGTAGGGCCGCGCCAGGGACTCTGGGGTTGCTTGCTTGAAAACCGCCTCTATCTGCCCCGACTCGATGCCCCGGTACACCACCTCCGCAACCTGTGCCCAGCACACGGCGTGTTCTCAATATTGTCATGAGCGTTGAACCGCACTGCATTGCATCTCTGCACACATGAGCAATCCTTCCCACACCCGGCTGCCCCTTGCACGGCGCTGCAACTGCTGCTCTCCTTGAACTGAATGCGGAGGATGCAGAGACATGTACGCATGCTGCATTTTTGTCTGGACCGTGAGACCCGTGCCTCGCTTCATCTCAAGGGATCAAAGGCATTTGTTGACGATGACTTTCTGAGCAGTGAATTAAAACCAACGATTGAGAGCCTGCCAAGGACATGTACAGCACATTAGAATTGCAGAGAAAATATCACCTGTGCCACTAATCAGGCAGACATGCGACATGGTGGACACGAAAAGCTAATGACCTCGCTAGTCTGTGGATGAGGGAGCTTTGCAGGAGCAAGTCTCACCTGCCCCTGGGAATGGGCTGCCGCCAGAGACTCCAGCTTGGGCAGCATGCGCAGGCAAACTTCCGCGGTGCTGCCGGCCTCACCGGACGCCACAGCCTCCGAGCACAGCTGCGCGCTGGTTTCCTCCGGTAACTGCAGCCCCTCCCCAAGGCTCGAGTCCACGCGCAGAGTGAAGGACGCCAGCTTCGGCAGCTTCCTCTCAGTCACCGTGAAATCCACCTGCACCAAAATTCGAATTTGAATATTAGAAATCGGGCTATTTAAAGACACATTTGATTAAAGCAGAGCATGCAACTCAGTTACCGCAACGGCAAAATCAACCCCTATTGCTGCTTCATAACTTCTGAGGCTGTAATCACCCCGCGGTCAGTGTTGCGATACCAGCTTGCCTCGCACTCATAGACAGATGATTGCACAAATCACAACTAGTCCCATGCTGGTGGGAAGTCCAAATTTGGTGTGAAAACAAGCCAGATCTGGCTTGCATAGGGAGGAATGGACAAAAGCTAGGGTCTATCACCTGATTGAGGGGAATGACGGGGTTGAGGTGGCCGTCTCTGTCGCGCACGAAATCAGGCGCCTGAGTCGCCATGGGCAGCTGCGTGGTCGGCCGTGCGCGCGAAAACAGACCCGTCTCCAATAACCGGCCGCAGTCCCCCTCTATGTCCTGCACGGGCACCCAACAATCCGCCTTCGGGCTATTTTGATCTTCTTGTTTTTGCTCTTGCCTCACAGTCTGCACAATGCAGATAGATACAGCTGGCACGTCCCAGACTGCACACAGTGCCTTGTCTGCCTCGACTTTTTCTGCGCATGGAAAATGTAGCTGTGTAGCTATCATGCCGGCTGCACTCAGCATTTATATCTTGAACAACAGGCACTCTGCTTCGATGGCCTGAACATTGTCCTGATCAGGCAGCTACAGGCGAGATGCGCTGACCCTGTCATGCACGCAATGATGCCCAGGGGTCTTCACCCAAGGCGTCTCTACCCACGTCAAGCAGGAGTACAATGGCTAGCTTGTCAAGTCCAATTCCCGGGTTCCAGCGAGCAACAACTGCAGATTCGCAAAAGGGTGTTGCAACGACCACACAAAGTTTCTTCGGAACATGCGCATGGCAGCCATTATGGTGTGTGCTGCCCGTGCTTACCGAAAGCTAAACCAAGCATACCTGTGTGGCGACAGGCCGGCCAGGAGCGGTGCGCAGCAAGGAGATGAGCTGCTCCGGGGTGGGCCATGCCTCGCCCTCGGGAATTCCAGAGATCTTCACCCGCGGCGTATGCCACAGCCGCTTGCCTGGGTTGTCCTGCCCGCGCCACAAGACCATCGTTTGTCAGATTGCCACTGATCAGGACATCAGCAATGGCGCATGCATGGCCTCAACATCTTGCAATGGATCATGATATAGGTTGAGAACGCAAACTTAGCAGCGAGTCCATCCATTTCAGTGATTGCCAGCTCACTTCCCTCGCTTCTCAGCACAAATTACCTCGTGGACTGTCGCCAAACATAATAACTATTTGCCTTGCGATGCAGTGTATGGGCGGTAATGTGCACAGCTGCACTATGTGACATGCGAGGCATGCAAGGGCGCCAAAAATGGACCAGTGAGACAGGGAGGGAACGCCACCTGGTCCAGCAGCAGCCGCAGCCGGTCCTTGCACAGTTCGAGCACAACCACCTCCGGCCGCACGGCGCGGATGAGCTCAGCGGCTTCTTCGCAGCTCTCCCGGGACACATGGGAGACTCCGAGAACATAAGCGCGCGCGGTTGCACCTCCCTCTGTGCGAGCCTCGAGGACAGCCGTGTCGCGGCGTACCTCTGCGCTCAGCTCCGGCAGGGGAGCTGCTGCTGCCTGAGGGGCTGACGGGGCAGATGCGGCAGTGGCAGATGCAGCTGCTGTGGCAGTTGCCGGATGGCTCCGCGCTGATCGTCGGCCTGCAAGCTCATGTGCACTGTCACTCAGTGAAGTGTGCTTTGTCATAGAAGACCCCATTGATCAGCCCAGTCACGGTTGAACATTTGCAGGCTCTTCTGCTCTTGCTCTGTAATATGTCCTGGATTATGAATAGCAGCATATAAAAAAGAACGATTCGCTGCCAACACAAGAATTTCTTCAAGATTTGGTAGTCGCATGTCTCACGTTTGGACGTGCATTTTCGCTTCAGCTGTCTTATTGTAGCTTGGCTCGGCAAGTTGAGCTGCGCTGCGGACAGGGAAGCTTGAGCATTCACTCTCAAGTGATTGGCACGATTGCCTATGTGAGATCCCGAGGAACAATGCATAGAGTGCATCACTATACCCATCAACAAATTGTGAGCCCTTTTTATGTATACTGCATCATAACAAGTCAAAGGATCTTGTTTACTTGACAGTTGCGATTAAACCAAGTGCAGCATATCAATTGGATGTAAAATTCTTCTGAATGCTGTAGTGGGAGGATCATGCTTCCAATCCATTAGGACGCACCAATGCTGGGGCGTTCTAACTTACTGATAGAAGAGTAATCTTATCCACTGCATGACTGATAGATACCTGTGAAGAATATCTGGGCGCTTTCCGCTGTAATTCTACGCACAGCTATCGATATTGAGCCATCCTCTGCACGTTGAGAGCTTAGAAGCCTTCCATCTAGTGTCCAATTATGCCTGGCGCCATGACAACTGCTTTCCAAGCACCAGCTGCACCTGCGTCCTTGAGGAGCAGGACCGTTACACTGCGCCTGTTCCGTGGTCAGCCCGTGGCACCTGCAGCATTGCGCCTTCAGAGCAGGTGCGGTCCCGTAGATGCGACCAGAAAGATTTTTGCTTTGGCGAGACCGCAAAATTGATCGGAATGAGAGCTGCTGTCCAGCATTTCTCAGCAGCGCTCTTAAGTTGGAACTCCATGGTCTTAACCCAATTGTCAAGACGCAATTGTCCTGACAGTATTGGCCTCTGCTTTGGTTCCTAGCCCTTCAGCTGGTGTCCGCGTCAGCCATGAGACAGTGTGCCTGGCACCTTGCTTTTGTAGAGATTCGACTATCACGCAATGATAAGACTGTGCTAACGGCAAACTTAGGTACTCGCGAAGCAAGATTTGAAGCCAACTGGCATTGCGATCTGAAGCGAGGCCCTCAACCACCTTTCTGCACAGCACCCTTTGGCAGGGTGCCTTGGAGATGAGTCGTGCAAATCTTCATGTCACGCAAAGAAAGAATGCCTCAAATTTTCCTTAAATCACACCTGGACGCTTTGCAGGTGTGCGGCAAGGCGTGGGCTGGTGGTGTCCAATGCCATCGGAGATGTGGCCAAGTACCTGGCAGAAGCTGCTACCAGCATATTCAAAACCAGCGAGAGTAACGTCCCCTGGAGTGGCACACCCTTCACTGGTGCGCAGCACACCCTTCAGCACACCCTTCTCCAGATGGCTGCTGATATGTTTGGCCTGCATTTTGATCTGTAGGGACTGCAGTTCAAGTGGTATCTGACACAGTGTGTTTGGCATGGTTTCTTGGACGGTGAAGGAAGGGTTGCTGTTGAGAAATCGTGATACGAGTTGCATTTTAGAGATTTTTTGGGAGCCACCTAAGGCTCGTCGGAAATTAGTGCACAATCAACATATCACGCATGTACGAGTGAAAGCAGATCTGATGCATGCGCTGATATTCAAATGCACTGTTACAGGCAGCATTACTCACCACGAGGAGGTGGCACGCTTGAGGAAGGTGTACGAGCTTGTTCAGGACGCGCGTCAGCAGATTGTCGGTGAGCCCCTTTTCTGTCAACAGCCTGCATTTCTTGCATGCTTCTCCAATGCACTGCCAGCACTGCGGCTTGAGCGTATCTCCAATGCTGGCGCAGCACACAAATTCAAGAAGTAAATGGCGCCACAGGGTATACTTTTGTAAGGACACTGCTCTTTGAAGGCATCGCTTGACTTGCGAAAGAAGTGGCAGGCTGTACCACAAGCAGCTCAATCAACTCACACAGCCACGTTGGGGAGCTGCTTTGGCTCTTCTTGCACTCTGAATATTATATTTCTCTGTTATAGAGACCTGTCGGGGACCACCTGAGGTTCATTGGTCTTGTAGGCATTTGTCACTGCCCATCTTCATATCACAAACTTCTCCATGCGTCTACATTCCGTCAAAAGTTTGGCAATCCTGATGGAGTGGGGCCCGTAAGATACAACATACAGGCGTTGATCGTTTGTCAATCTGTGCTGCAGGCTGCACGGACCCCAGTGCGTCCAACTACGACCCAAATGCAACAGCCGAGGACGGCTCGTGCACGTTTGTTGTGGCCAGCGCTGGCAAGGAGGAGGAGCTGTCTGGAGACCTGCACACCTATGTCACCACTGCACTTTCCAGCCTCTGGGGTGCGCCATTGTTTCTTTTGAGATCACTGGCATTACCCACGTGATCAGTATGGCAGTGCATTGAAGTGACATGTAGACCTCCGGGGAGCGGTATTGCGAGTGCGCTATGACTTGCATCATCTCATAACATCGGCTGCTGACGGATAAATGTGGCACTGCGATGATGCATCTTCCAGTTGCAGTGTGAATTAGTGCCTAAATGGCTCCAATGAGCTCTACATTGCTTTTACTGTCGTCTGAGGCAGGTTAAGAACGTCTACCCACGTGGCAACGCTGTGCTAGTCCTTTTCCTGGGCATCGCAGTCCTTCTTCTGGGCCCCTCTCCCCGATTAATTGTCAACAACTGTCAAAACGGTGCTGTAAAATGACAGAATTCGTCCCATTGTTGCAGGCAGCAACTTTGAGAGGAGCGGTGCGTCTGACCAGTCCAAGTCGGCGACAAGCAAGCTGGGCCTCACCGGCTACTCTGGCGACAAGGTCATCTCGCAGAGGGACATCCAGCGCCTGGTGAGTCACCCCTTACTCGCACCCAATCACCCTCCATAGGAAATCCACTATGTTCTTCGATGGTAGTCTTCATAAATTAGCGAATTGGGCTTGCCTCTTGTGTTTCTGTGGCGGGATGTCTCCAGGTTATTGCACAATCAGCCATGTGTGTGTCTGCATTGTCCTGCAAATCGGATAACACAGGATCCAATTATTGCTAAATTAGACAGCAGGAATATCTGAATACTGTGTGTCTGTTGCGCCTGCAGCTGAACTATGAGAAGGTGGTCAAGAAGGCTCTGGACAAGGCCGAGCAGGAGGCCAAGGTCTAGACCAGTTCATGAGCGGGGACTCACACTTGGGAGCTCAGGCACATAATGTTCCATATGCATCAAATGTTCCAGCTGCACAGTTGGGATCTTGTGTGCGGCAGGATTCTATCACTGTAGGAAGCAGTGCACTGAAGCAGTAGACACTTGACTTCGGCAGTGCAGCGTATCACCCCTCTGCAGTGCTCCAAGGAAGGGTTTTGAAGCCTGAGAAGATTTTGATGAGAAGACAGATAGAGCCCTTGAGGTGAATACTCGGTGAGAGCATCTTGTCGAGCTAGTGTCCCACATGGGACTGCATATCAAATTTTGCAATTTCACTGTTACCATACTGTGCTATGCTTGGACCCGATTTGTGATGGTTATTGGACTGGAAACTCTTGGATGCTGCAGGATGAATTGATGATGAAAGTGAACACATTTGGTGTCTTCTCGATCATTTCATTCTACACCTTAAACCACGGCGCCACATGATGCCAGTAGCATGATACTGGCACCAGCTGCAGCTGCACATCATGCGGCATGATGCACTGCAGAGCTCTGATCAGAGTCTATGCTCGCTCGCCACGCTCGAGCATGGGCCACCAAGGTGCCTGCCTTTGCTGGCCTGGAGGCTTGCACATAAGAGCTACAGCTGCATACTGTTTCTGCGTCGCGGACGTGTCCCAGATCTATCCAGGGAATATATTGCAGATGTTGTTTTCTTGGACAAGCCTTGTGGTTCCCATGGGACAGGGAAACGGGCAGGTTTAGTCATCGGGTGTGTGTATTTATAGCAAATCCACCTTGATGGCCTAGCAAAACTACCCGCGAAAGTATAGCAAAATCACCATTGCGAAAACGTGAAGGTCGCGCACACGTTTAGATGGCACATATGTGCTTCCCGCTGCAAGTATGGCCGCCTTGACGACGACGTGCGCCCTCGAATCCGCTCGCTGCAAGACGCAGCTTGGCAACTCTGGACACCTGACCGGCACCCAGCTCTGTGCTCGTGTAAACCTTCGTTTACATAAGTTTCGTGCTTCGACCCCCTGTGATCGACCAGGCTCCCATCGGCCACGGGCTTGCAGGTACTGTTGCTCCTAGCCATGCATGTATCCTGCGTAGCTGCTGTGAAGGGCGCTTGACTGTATATATCTGCGTCTCAGCTCTCGATTTTTGTGATTTGTGATGAAGATGAAGGTGCTTTCTGTGCAGTGCCAGGGCGGTCATGGAGACATCAGCACCACCTTTGACCTCCCCACTCAGCTCAGAGGATCCTCAGCTGAAGAAGCAAGTGGTGGCAGCCGCGCTGCACCTCAAGGAGCACGGCTGGGCCGTCGTTGACGACGTGCTGACAAGGCATACACCTGTCCCTCCTGCTCTGTCTGCAGAGTCCCTAGCCTTTACAACTGCACAGTGATCACCTCTCAATCTCGCTGGTAATACAGCATCGGCTTTCTCCACGGCGCCGTAAAGGTCCTCAAAGAATCTTGCTTGCAATCAGCCATGTGTTAGGGCAGGTCTGACGAGCGTGCCTGGCTGTGTAGGGAAGAGTGTGAGGAATATGTAGAGGGAGTGTGGAACTGGCTTGAGGGCCTGGGCTCGGGGATCAGCAGGAAAGATCCATCCACCTGGAAAGATCCCCACTGGGTGCGCAACTACAAGGGCATCATAAACTCTCTGGAGGTCGCTCACCAGGACTTTGTGTGGCGAGTGCGAAGCCACCCTCGCATGCTGCAGGTACATGGCTGACCTGCACCTGCCCTTGCCCTCTTGTCCTCATGTCTTTATGTACGTCCATTTACTACAGAGGTGTTTGCCAAAGTGTGTCAGTCAGATGTAGCCTTCCCAAATGGGGTTGTAGGAACTCTGACTGGGAGACTCAGAGCGAAGGAATCTTCACGGATTAATGGAAAACAGAGATATAGGAGATTATCGAACTTGAAGCAAGGTCCATGCGCGTACCAGTCTGATTTTTCGGGTGTGCGAGTGTTTCAAATGTTGCTCCCATTGGAAGCATGCGCCAAGGCTGGATGTGACTCCTGCTCAGTTCTAGGGCAGCCCCAAATCAGAAATCCGTTTATAAGGTGATATTCCACTCTCGGGCATGCATACCTGGCAGCCTTTAACTGCAGCTTGTCTGCAGGACGTTCGTTGCCTTTTGTCAGAATAAGCGTGCTTTAATAACGCTAATAATACCTGGCACATCCGGAAGCAGCCAGCGTCTTGCCTGTCTGTTTTTCATTGCATGCAGCCTTTTTTGCGATTTATATTCACTCTCCCCTCAGCTGTGAGAGTCCCGCCTCCCTGAGCCTGTCCTTTCTCCCACACAGATAATTTCACCCTTCTTGCCTGTGCTGATGGCACCCTGCAACTGCACAGCCAACACTGCGCTTGCAACAGTCAGCATCGGCCCCGCTGGCGGGGGGCGGTGTAAATACTGAGCACCGTGTCCACGGTTGATTGGGTCTTGCTTGGATCTGGCGAGTCCAACAAGAGTAGGATTGGGGCAGCCTTTAATTGCAGTTTGTCTGCAGGACGCACTTTGGAAGAGCGTGTAATATTACTAATCATAAACAGTCGTCATCAAGCAGCGGTTGACTTGTGCCCCTTGCAGGTTTTCGAGTTGCTGTGGGGCACGAACGAGCTGCTGTCATCCTTTGACTCTATCAATATCACGGCCCCCTCGGCCAACACTGGCGTCCCCCACGACACAAAGTCCTGGATCCATGTGGATCAGGCTCCGCTGCGGCGCGGCTTCTTCTGCGTGCAAGGCATCGCCAACATGGTCGACGTGGGGCCCGACACCACCGGTGATTGACTGTTCGATTGTTCTCCTCGCTTGAAACGTCTCAAGTGTATGTGTGGTCAATCCCTTTCGCGCGCTGGGTATGTTCTATATGACCTGAGAGAGGTAGATCAAGCGGAACCTGCTGCGGCTGCAGCATGCCCCAGCACTTGCGGGCAGCTTTGGAGCTGTTGAAAAGTTGGGCCTGCCTGCTCACTCCACTACCAGTCTTGGAGCAGATGCTTTGTATGTGTCTTTTGCGCTGCTGATAGTGGGCGCATGAAGACATCTGCCAGATACATGATCGAGCTTCCCAAAGACACCGCAGTATTGAAGGTGCTTGTACATGACCTGTCAAACAGCCATCACACTCCTGTGTTTAAGGGCGTGTATGAAGGAGGGCCTGACAGATTCATGGCACAGGCACACTGCTGGTGAAGGACAAGACCCACAGCGAGCATGCGCACTTCTTCGAGACAGCCAGCAGCCTCACAAAGGAGCAGCAGGCGGCAACTTCAGACTTCTACATCTTCAAACCCGAGGAGGTTCCCCACTGGGAGAGCTTCAGAACGCTGCCGTTGGCCGCCAAGGCGGGGTCTGTCTTTCTGTGGGACTCGCGCACCGTCCACGCGGTGCGATCTCTCCTCTTAGAAGCTTAGTCATCCTTAGCAATAATCTGTCATTCACAGGCAGCTATGCTTCACGTGAGTAGCTGCTTCAGCCTCGGCACCACTGTATGAGAGCGCCTTCAGGTGATCACACCAGCAGCTGCAGGCAGCTGCCGCTGTGAGACTGGAGCGTTCGTCATAAAAGGGTGCTTCACAAGGGTATGGAGTATCGTCCTCTGAGCGTTTTTAGATGGATAGACTCTGTCAGCATGCGGTGCCTGCTTGGACATGCTTATCGTCATAAACTCATCCATTGCGAGGAAGTGGCTGCGAGCATTCAAGCTGAGACCGGTCATATCTGCCTAATGGCAGAACACAATTCCCGAGCAGGAACTCAGATCTTGCGCGGGAGACCTTACTGCATTGAATACAGCTTTGACATGTCAAGTGTGTCGATCGGCAGAACACAATCCCGGAGCACTCGCCTGAGTGGAGGCATGTGGTGTACGCATGCTATCAGCCGCGCTCGCTCGCCACCGAGGCTGACCTGGCAGCCAAGCGAGCGGCCTGGGATGACTACGCGGTGACTACGCACTGGCCGGCCGCTAATGTCTCAGTCACCTCCGGCCTCGACAATATTGGCGGTGCGTGCTGGCCGGTTGACTAATGCTCACCTCATATTGGCCATGCCCATCATGATGTTTATTGATGTTCAGTTGCATCCTGGTAATTGCCGCCCGGCAGCCCAACTGGGCTGTCTGTGGAGGAAGTTTCCCCTAAGTTTTCTCCTACTTTGCGAGCGCCTTTTTTCAATTCTGGCGCTCATCGTGACACGCTGCGCCAATATAGGCCTTTAAATTGTCATGTGTGACACATGATGTCGTTGCACTACTACACATAGAAGGCTGGTTGGCGTTGCTCTGCCATGTTGGTCTGTGCACACTGGATCACTGAGCGGTTTCTATTTTTCCTATCGGCAGAAGGTAACGGCGCTGCAGCCGGCAAACCAAAGTACAACCTGCGGCGCACGAGGGATGCTGTGGACAGCAGGAAGCTGCGCCAGCTGGCTGGAGTGGATCCTTACCAGGTGCATCTTCGAAGCAATCAAAGAAACACCCAATCACCTAATTACAGCATTTTGCCGCGAGGCAGCCCTTTGTCCCTACTTGGCGCTCGCACTGCGTTGTATGTCTCGCGTTCTGCCTTGGTTTAATTGCAGGTTTATTGTCGAATTTCCCGTATCTCGACAATAGAAGATGTGTCAAGACCAAGCAACTTGCTGATGTGGCATCATAAAATGTCGCAGTGCAAGTGGTCATCATGGATTCCCTCAGAGCTGTTCAGTCACTTCCTGCTGTTGTGAGTTGGATGTAAAGCATGACAAAGGAAGCATGCAGAAAGATGGGGCGAGCCGATTGGGATTTGGCTTTGTTGCACAGGCAGCAGAGATCCAGCAGCAGCCCGCCCTGCTGGAGATGTCTGAGGAGCAGCTGCGAGCCATGTTGTGATGCGCAAAGCATGCGTCGTGCAAACACACACCTCTGAGTCCAACCTGGGACTCATCAGCATCTTCTATACTCTACGGCAGAACAGTGGAAAGGAGGTACAGCCATTGTAAGATACAGAAATGGGGAGGGATGCTGCAACAACATTTCAAGAAAGAACGATGGCAGTCAAATTCCATGGCTGCTTTATGACAGATGCCATATGAAGGGTAGTAGCACTCCTGTCAAAATTTCTTATGAGGGTGAAGCTAGCTGTTCGGACAGTGCCACTGAGTGTCCAGAATCTGTCTTACACATGAGAAGTACTTTAGAACCCATTTGCCGGGTGAGCTGCATACAAATCAGACCAGTGTGCTCCCAGCACAATGCATACATGCAGCGCACGGCTGCTGTGATGAATATTTGTAAAGAGCTGGCTGGTGGTGATTTATTCCCTATAAAGTTCGTTGAGCAGACCAACTATTTTTGCACACCTCAGTGACATCACTCTGGCACAGTACTGCAGCTGGCCATTGGCCATTTGGTCGCAGATGAATATATCTCCAAGCTTGAGCTTAGATTTACAGTTGGATTGGATTGGATTCAAATTTGATGCTTCAATTCAACTCAATTTGATGCCTCCAACAAGCCCACCTGTACTGCGAAGAATTAATGTACAGAAGGAAGAACTTGTAAACAAAGGATCATCCGACTTACAAAAAGGTTCCCCTTTCAAGCTCAAGCGCATGCATGCACTCATTCAAATTTGCAATTGGCAATGATAGCGTCCTCTCAAATAATTGATAGCGCCGCTTGCTTTGAACTTCACAACTGCAGCGACACTGTTATAAACAAGTTTTGTTATATAATATAAATATATTATAATATGGATTGTTTTGACGCATCCACAAATGTGACTGGTTCGCTCCCCACGCACTCCGCATAGTGAGTCTTGCCCTTGGGCACCTCCAATTGGTCCCCTGGCTCCAATATCACCTGATCAGCGGAAATCACAACAAAATCTAAATTCCGGGTTCAAGTTTTCTCGCAAGATTTGCTGCCACTCTCTGAGAAGCCAAGATCACATACCAACCTTGGGGCACTGATTGCAATCCGCCCCAGATAATCCACTATTGTGGAGAACAAAGCTATTGCGGCATCGCTTCAAGTGATCAGCTTCAAGAGATCTCTTCATATGATTTTAGGAGTTCAAAAGCACCAGTCTGGCAAGGCCTGAAGGTCAGACATCAAGCCAAGGCGCACCTCCTCTCCTCCCATCCTGAACAGGAATCGGCCGCCTAGGATGGCGTCTTTCTTGTCCACAGGATGGCTGTGATCTCCGAAGCTGGTGCCTGGACCAAATGTGTACACTGTTGTGTTGTAGCCTTCCCTCTGTAATTTGTCAAGCATCGCCCTCCTGCTTAATTCCCCAAGCGTTCTGCTGTCCCACCTGCAGGCGCGCGAAACAGCGCTCCTTAGAGGTCATTTGTATACTATCTTTGTATCGATTGAAATACAAACATTAGAGTGCAGTCTAAAGAAAGCACAAGTGTGAGATATGCAAGCCAGCTGTAAAGCAAGGAAGCACAGAGAGCCACTTCTCGATCTTCAGATTCATTGATACTTTGAATTCCACGGGAAACGTCGTCCTTCTTCGGCTCTTTAGAGCGCCACTGTTCAAACAAGGTTGACCAGAGAATCGTGCGGCATGCATCTACAAGAATTGAATGTATACACTTAGCGCGTAATCCGACCTAGGATTTACAGCACACGTGCATTCATATCTTCAGACATAGAACAAATATCGGCAATGGACGAGGATCGCACAGAGGAAGGGTTGCTTTTGTGCAGCACGTGCTGACGTCATGCCAATTCTAAAACGAAGAGAAGCAAGCTTACTCCACCACAGTTCGAAAGGTGTTGATTGGTAAAATCGCGATCACTGTAATGTGTTGAAAAGCTGGCGAGCTCAAGTTATTTTTTGATATAATATGGATGGATGTCACAGTTAGCTGAGCCTTTTTCGGCTCTATCCTGTATGTTATGATTTAACCCGGAAGAACAAAGCAAATTATTTGTTCAAGAAGAATTTGTTCTGTTCTGCTGCTGCAACTGGGCAAATTTGGTTGCCTTGATCAAAGTGACAAAGCGGATGTTGTCTTCCTTGAGAGGCAACCAGAAGCTCCTGTGTTGCTAGCGTGACAGAATGCTGGACGCGTCGGTCCTGAACAAGCTCGCCGAAGTGATCGAGAAGGCCACAGACAAGAGGAGGCTGGACGTTGACCCGACAGCCCTTCAGCAGCTGAAGTTCCTGTGCAAAGCTTCTGACGAGAACGTGAGGTCTGCATTCGATCTTCTCTTGGACCGATTGAAGGCCCAAGACGCTCAGGTACATTCAGAGATATCTAGCGCTATTGCAAAGTGCTGACTACTGCACCTGGGCGCATGCAGTCCTCTGTCTCCCCGTGTCAACGATGACTTGCGATTAGCCAGCTGTGGCAAGCGCACAACACCTTATATGGGGCTTACCAGGTCTCCCCTGCTAAATTCATGGTTGCTGTCTCCATGCTCTTGGATCCTTATAGTAGGTGCCAGCTGAACTTGGAGAGTCTTGGCTAAGATGAAAGACCTCGTCAATGCTTGTGCTTGATGCGACCATTACTTCAACATACCAAGTTCAAAACACCAACTTCAAAGTACCAAATTCTGCTGTGCAGACGCGGCTGCATGCGCTGGAGGTGTGCAACCTGCTCTTTGCGCGAAGCAGAGCCTTCCGCACGGCAGCTGCCGCGCAGTTTCCTGCCCTGCTGGAAGCTTCCATCGGCTTTCGGCCGGCGCGGCCACTGCCGGGGCCGACGCACCTGGCGACTCAGCTGCGTGAACGCGCGCTCGACGCCGTCGAACGCTGGAATGACAACTATGGCGTCTTCTACCAGCAGGCAAGGGCTTTCCACTACTCGGTCTCTACTTTATAATTTAGCCGAGTCTGTTCTACATGCATGGTCCAGATGGTGGGCCATACGTGCAGCTTTAGTGCACATTGCCTGGCAACAGAGGGAAATCCCAATTGCCTGTATTGTGCTGCAAAGTATCAGTTGAGCTGGCGGTTTCTTGGCTTGGAGGGCTGGACAGCAACGTGAATAGCTGTCCACAACAGTGTGTTTTGTGGAGTCTGGAGTTTGATGAAGTCTAAACTTTCAGGGTGTGCCGGGTGCAGATCCGGCTGGGGGTGCGCTACCTGAAGGGCGTGCTGAAGATGAAGTTTCCGGAGCTGCGTGCTCGGGCGGCCGCCGCCGAAGCCGAGGCGCGCAGGCGAGAGGTGCGCTATCCTCAGCTGCACCCCAGACCCGCATTTTCCACTCGGGATTTTTGGGCCGTTCTTATGATTTTCTGGATATTCTGAGGGTCAATGAGGTAAATGTGTTTAACTCAGTAGAACCCCTGGTCAAAGAGCCTCGCGCCCGCTGCATGTGGCCTGGACAGCGGCTATTGATTCTTCTGGTCTTCTGACTTCATGTCAGGCCTTCCTCATGGAACGACAACCAATTTGAAATTGCGCTGAACTGCCCATATCGCTAGCAAGTATGAAGCAGGGAAAGCTGCTTCTGGGGGCCCCTTGCTAATTTCTATTTGCTGCGTGCTGAGTTCTTATGGTTTGCACTGTCGTGTGTGTCATCCCCAGGAGAGGGCGCAGCAGATCCTGCAGGCAAAGTACCGAAGGATAGTGGCGGATTTTGGCGCGGGCACGGCCGAGATTCAGTCAGTCCTGGACCAGGTGCACCGCTGCTTTGAGCTCCTGCGCGCTGACTCACCGCCTGCTCAGCCGCCACCTCGGCTGACATCAGCGCCGGCAGACGAAGAGGACTGGGAAGATGTGGATGCCGACAAAGGTGGGCCCTTTTGCATGGAGCTCCGCCCTGCACACGTTCCTGTGAATTACATAGCTTGAGTGGTCCCCGGCAATTAGTAGAGACAATTGCTCAGTAGAAAGGAGGCGGCCAGCACAGAAGTTGAAGCAGTGGAGCAGAGCGTGGGAAGGGATAGCTCTGGAGATGTAAGCGGCCTCCCGACCAGCATATTATTGCTTCAAAATTGTGGGTTGCATCAGTCATTTGCGTGGGGTCTGCATCCTCTTTTGATACCTTTGTGACCCTGGGAGGGTAACTCCATCTCACAGATTTCTGACAAAATCGCGCATGAAAGAAGGCACCACGCATGACTTCTGAACAATTGTCTTGTGCAGACATGGATGCAGCTGACGAGGCGGAGGGATTGGCGGATTACGGGGCTACGGAGGCGCCGGAGGAGTTACTAACCGACGCCGCTGCGTACGGAGGCGTTCCCTTGCTGGGCCGCGCCCCGGACCCGGCAGTCCTGGAGAACCTGCATGCGCTGCAGCGGGAGCTCGTGAATAGACACCTGCCCACGCTGCAGGAATGGCTGCGAGTCATGGTCAAGGTAGGGCAGCATCTCCATAAATTCAGAACACTACTTCAAGTGGCATGCCCTGAAAAATACGTACGATGATGGCGATACCTGTGGCAGGATGCGAGGCAGGGCAGGGCGGCATGCTGGCATGTTTGAGATGCAGTACGCCTGAACAGATCACACGTCCTTTTGCACTTGCATGCAAGCTCTTCTGTGTGTGTGCTGCAGAATATATCACCTGCTCTTCACCACAAGTTCCTTAGTTGTCTGGAGTGCCATGCATGCTACAGTGCTTGTGGCGCGGCGCAGCATATTCTGGATGAGTAATTCACGCTGGGATCGTAATCGTTGTCTTTTGGACCTGGAAGTTTGCATGCAAGCCCTCCCGTAGCTGTGCTGGAGCACTGCCCTGAGCTGCCCTCACTGCTTCATTAGTAATGATGGAAAGATCAGTTGGTTTCGCATGCAGGCTGATGTCGGAGAGGCTGGGTCTGAGGAGCACACAGAAAGGGAGCGCCTCATGCGGGAGGCTGTAAACCTACGGTCAGGCATCACTCTGGCGCAGGACCGTTACGGAGTTCTCAAATCCATCCTGCCTGATCAGGCGCTCACAACTTCAGCAATATCTCCTACAGACAAGGTGTGCTGCGGTTGCTTGGACAACACATGGTCAGTGCCAGACGACCGTTAGCCGCTATTCAGCCGGTGTTCAGTTGACTTGATGCCTTTAGGAACGCAATTTTCTGTCCCGCAAACCTCATGCAAAACATTTGCAAATGTCAGACAGTGAGTCCTTTGATGGACAGGGAAAGGCGCCAGTGAGGGATCCAGTGTACAGTGGTGTTCCTGGCGAGGCAGGCCCCTCTGGGCAAACCACCATGGAAGAGCTTTTCGGCAGCAGCGACTCTGACGATGACCAGCCACGCGGCGTTGCCTCTGCAACAGCCTCTTCAGGCGCAGGTAACGGTTGACGCAGAAATCCTGCTTTGCTCCCTTCGTGTGGATGGAGACTGGAGGCGCAGCGCTGGTGCAATCCATGACATGCATGTCCAATGAATTTGGCAAAGGTGGCTTAAAGTCAGAGCAGCTCACTTTGTTCCTTGAAAGCGCTGGGCTTGGGATGTCAAAGGCAGCTGCCAGCAGAGCCTGATACATTATGAAGCAGAAGGCTCATTATGTATATCAGATCATGTCGAACGAGAATTTTTACGGGTCTATGCAAGACTTCTACTTATTCACAGGGTTCGTGATTGCGCAGGACCTAGCGGTAGGAGAACTGATCCAGCGAGAAGCGGCAGCAATGGGTCTGGGGCAAAATCATTACAACGAGCAGGGTCTAGACGGCGGGAGGGGACTTTGCCAGAGGCCGTCAGGAACGCCCTCGCAGCCCAGGCGCGCACTAGATCTTCTTTACATGCATTGCTGCCTGCGCAATTATGGTCATTCTGTGATACAGCCTGCTGTTGCTCTGCATCAAGAAAGGCGCCCCTGCTGTTGCCATTGCAATAGTCAGCAGGGCTATGGCTATTCCACCATGCTTTTCGAGTCCCTCTGTGCTTTCTGGGACTTTGAGGTGCGAATGTTGAGATTTTTGCCATGGATACTTGTGTGCATGTATGATCTCATTTCTAGGTGCGGCACCCTGGAACATCATGTACAAAGCCAGGATCGCATCCTGGCTTGGACTTTGGGACACACAGTCAATTGTCCAAAGTGCCAAAGGGCCGTATGCAAGAAATAGAACCTTTTCAAGGCCGTGCCAGTGCCAAATAGGCAGAGAGGGCAGACTCATGGTTTTATTGAAACACTTGCAACACACCAGACGCGAGGGCGCTGTATGCGCATGTCTTTGGAATCGCATTGGTCTATGGTACCAAGACACGCTCAAGGGTACTTTGTGCATGTTCTCAGAAACGAACTTGACTGTGCAGGCGCCGGTGATGCCGGCCGGGCAGCACCTGCACTACTGGGACTCTGCAGACGAGGCGAATGCACTGGTCAACATGCGAGGAATGGAGCTTCAGAACCACTGGGGCCCAGTCAATGCAAACGCCACTCTGCCACCCGAGCGCCTGTCGGCGCTCTTCGGGACCGTCGCCACGTACTACACACCCCCAGAGCCACAGGTGCCGTCATTTTTTTTGTGTTTGCTTTCCCCTGTGAACGCTAGTGTGTATGCCCAGAGGTGTTTGGATTTGGGTCTGCTGTTCATGGAAATAACGGGTTAAGAATACAAGGTGGCATGGATTGTGGCGAATTGCTTGGAGCATGTTCGGCTTGCCAACAAGTGGCTGTGATAGCCTGGCTTTGGCAGCATGATCCACATAGTAGACAGTCAAGCATATCAGTAGATAAGGAGCAAAACATTGTCTGGTGTGAAGGACTGCAAGGAGTGCCTTGCCAATGCTAGAAAATAGCGATCTGTGATCTGCAGGGCAAGAGTTCAACCCCACTGCCGCCGCCAGAGCTGAAGGAACCGGCCCTCAAGCCTCCACTGCGGAAACCGCCGGGAAAGACCCTTGTCGGCCCCTCTGCCGCGCAGCTGCTCGCCAGCCGTTTCGGCGGCAATGCCGCTGCACCGTCCGGGGCGCAGCAGCAATTGGGAGCCCCCAACCCAGCTGCAGCTTCCTCAGTTCCGGACACGTTGTTACAGAGAAGAAGCGACGGCATTGTGCAGAAATCAGAAGGCGGCGCCGCTGCGCAAATACCCCTGATTAGCTCGGCGTCGATAGCGCCGCTGCATCAGCCGTCAACAGCTGCCGCAGCCGCCGGCCGCTCTCCAGCAGCCGCTGCAAGAACCGCAGCTGCTGCACTACCAGGCGCTGGATCTGCAGCTGCGCAGGTGCGCAGCAGCGCTCGGGAAGCAAGTGCTATTTTTCAACCAGGCACAGAGCAGCCGGGCCCTTCGTGCGATGGCGGCCCTGCCCGTAATCTGCCGCAGCGGTTGCGGAAGCTGCCGCCTGCCTCCGCCGGAGGGTCGTTGCTTGGAGGAGCACCTGGTGCGAGTTCACAGCGGCCTAGTCAGGCGCACCAGTGGCCCGCGGCGGCGGCTGCGGCGGCGGCTATGGGAAACCCAGGCGCGCATTCCGAGCGGCAGATGGCCGCGGCGGCGGCCGGGAGCCAGGACGCGCATTCGGAGCGGCCGGGCCGGGCGCAGGCGGCGGCGGACAGGGCGCACAATGCGGCGGTTCTGGCGGAGGCGGCGCTGTCAAGCGAGGCGATGGCCCGGCTACTGCACGAGCAGGAGCTGCGCGGGGCACGCCGCGGGACGGGCGCCAGCAGGTGAGAATCTTCTGAACCTAGAATGACGTTGTAGGGTGTTCTAATACAGCGTCGTACAATGGAAAGTGATGGGCACGGCCAAACGGTCATTCACTGCACAGGGAGCTTACGACTCTTTCATCTGCAGTTGACATGTTACCCTTTTCCTGTAAGCAATATTTAGAGTTTGTAGAGTGCACCGCCTCAGCCTGGAATGACTGGCGTGGTGCTTCATTGGCAGCGCCCTTTGACAGACGCCCTCTGGTTGCAGAATGGAGAAGACAGCTAAACGGTGTCTGGCACCGAATGTGATATCTTGTGGGAAAGGCACTGAGTGCAAGGTACTGCGTGCCTGCAGGAATGGGAGGACAACGGGGGTCAAGAGGAAGCTGGGGGTGCGCGACCGGCTGGCGAGGAAGCTGCTGAGCGGCCGCGCGGCAGCTGCCACGGCCGGGGAACTGGCCGCCGCGGACGCTGAGTCGCATCGCGATCGCATGTCAAACCGCTGGGAGGAAGTCTGACATTAGACGTTGGATGTTCTGTTAAAAATTGGTTGACAAAAGCCGGTGTCAGGTCTGTCATGCAAAATAAAGGAAACTGGCTTATCCTGAGCATGTAAGCACTGACCTCAGAGACGGCTCTGAGCCACAGGCAAGTAACGCCAGTTGACATATGCACATGCAAAACAATGTAGTATGTGTGCGCACATGGCCTGGCCATCTGTTCGCTAGTAGCTTGTCTGCAGGACGCGTCGCACCTTGCCTCTTGGCAGGAGTTGTAGCGTGTTGTATTAATAAGGTAATACATGGGTAGTTCAGTTACCCATAAACCCATGTGCAACAAAAGCATGGCGACATGGGATGGCTTTTGGGATTCTGATAAATAGCATTGTGCGCATGACAGACCTGGTGAATTTCAGATTATGTGCATGAAATATCTCCCCAACTTCCACGTGTGAGCTTAGCCTGCGATCTCCTCACCGGTCACATCCTCCAGCCTCCTCAGCCCCTTCAGCCAGACGCAAAAAAGCCAAAGCACAGCCGCCACGAACACGCAAACGCTGTCAAGATGAACTCCAAGCAGATTGCCGCTGTCCTGCTCTGCGCCATTTTCGTGACCTCAAGTGCGCCTCCCGGCTGGGCTGGTTGAATGCGTGACCCGCATATACAGTACCTTTGCAGTGGAAACTAGCAGATACAGAGCCGTTCGATGTGTTTATCGAGAGATACTGGAACAAGATTAGCCAGAGCTGGGGCCTAGTGGGGTCATCGTGGTGCCCATCTATAGGATGCAAGCTAGCGCTCCGTTGCACCAGCTAGTTGTGTACCTCTCGTTGCCGGGGCGGCGCGTCTGTCTTTAGGGCTACTGAGGAACATCTATTGCTTTCTGCAGGCCTGTACACCTCGAGCGCCCTCGACTGCTACGACTCGTCAAACTGCGGTCTGTGCAGGTACGCATGCTTTTCGAGACGTTTAGGCGACTTGCACAGGAGATTGAAGTGATTGCAGGACTACATGGAAGTCATTGTTCTGATCGGCATTATGGAAGGGGGCTAGTGGTAGAAAGATGTAGGGCGCTCAGCTAGATGGGCGGCGGTGCTCACTCACCTTCTTTGTCTGGCTTCTCAAAGTTTTCCACATTTTAGCCCACCACTGGCAAGCAAAGAGGGCTTCACAGCGATAATAGCGATACCGGCTCTCCTTGTCTGCTCTAGATTTAGCCGAGAGCCGCTGCCTTTTGCTGCACTCTCTTGATGTGATCTGGCAGTGATGGTTTCGATCGACAGCTTGCCGTTGCTGCACCTTCCCAAGATATTCAAGTGAAGTTGCTGAACGACCTGCATGTATCTTTTGCACGTCAAATCCGGCCTCCTTCCAAGTTCCCAGTCGAAACAGCCCTGAAGATGTCTAGCTAGTTGCACGTTAGATGTCTGGCTATGTCTGGGCTGACGCCTGTTTCTGCCTGGTGCTTCGCAGCTACTGCAGCCGCCGCAACGAGTGCCCAAATGGAGACGGCACGCAGGCGGCCAAGGATGCATGCGTATGCAGCTTCCAGTGTGGGAGCGGCAGGGGCTGTAACAGCCCAATCTGCAGTGGCAGGCGCAAGCTCCTCGGCGAGGGTTCCAGCGACTGGTCTGACCTGACCCCCGACATGCTCTTCTGAGCCCCTGTGCTAATTACCTAAGCAACCTGCTAACTACCTGACGTGAGCGTATACGTGCGCGCATGCGATTGATAGTGTGACCTTGGCTGAAAGCCATGTGGCGTTGAAGATGTCCTTGAACGACCTATTTTCAGCCAAAGAGTGGCTGAAGATAGTAGTCTGAAGGTATTTTGGGCCTTTCATTGTTGGTTTTGGGGCCAGTTTAGCTTGGAAAGGGCAGATCGTGGCTTATGTGCAATTGTGAGTTATATGATTTAAGCCCATCTGCAGCTTCCAAGCGGACATAAAAAGCCACATATTGTGCCGCTGTACCTGTTGACATGCACTGGCTTTTGAATGTCACCTGATTAAATCAATGAGCGATTGACGCAATACCTGTATTCACCTGTTGAGACTTTGAGGCATGCATATGCTTGCATCATTATGATCACGGCACACGCTATTTTTTCCATCCGGCTGTGTCCCTTTGCAATGCTGCCACCCATGGGTCGATCTCATGGATTTTAGGTCATCCCTCACCGCAAACATTTTATGATTTGACAGGCATGCACACTCTTCCAAATCTTGATCCTTCAATACACGCAAATGCTAGCCTCTATGACAGCACAGCCTGTCTTTCTTCATTCTTGCTGCGTGACCAACTCGGTTGAACTTGACTTGAACTTGAAGCCGTGTAGTGAAGCCAGATGCATCTGAGCCGTCTATTCTTGAGCAGATCTGTGATTTTGGGCACTCCACTGCAGTCTGTCAGTCCTTGTCTCACATGCACAGGTGTCCATGATTATTATCATTGTTACTATTGCACGCTTTTCCGGCCAAGAGGCAAGGTGCGTCTTGCAGACAAGCTGCAGTTGAAGGCTGCAATTTTCCAACCCCTTGTGGACTTGCCAGATTTAAGCAAGACCCGATCAATCGTGGGCACGGTGCTCGGTATTTATATCGCCCCCTGCCAGCCAGGTGTGCATGGCCTTCAGAGTAATCTGCAGCTGCAGAGTAATCTGCAGCTGCCGGTCCGGGTCACTCAACTATGCATGCACATGTGCTCTGGCCTCACAGCTGAGCTTGGAATAGTCAAGAATGTGGCAAGGAAGTGCGTATGCCGGACCTGGTGGTGTCGCAGATTCAGGAGTTGTAGCCCCGACCTGCGACAGCCAAGGGGTAGATGAAACGATATCTACGCCACGGTCTCAGGTTCGATCCCCAGGAAAAACACTGGGACTTTTTTCGGATCGATTTTCGGGTACATTCGGCGATGCGGCCGCTCCTGAGACACTCGCTGTCGAATTCCGTCCCGAAGTTTCGAGCGGTTTGCTAGGGACGGCCCCTCAGCATTCGTGTAAGAAGGGGTTGTAGACCTGTGGGCTGCAAGGGTGCATTTGCGAGTTGACAAGGCTGCAAGCCTGTGCATATCGGCCCCGGGTTCCGGCTGCAGACGGACCTGTGTATGCCCTATGGCCCTCTGGGCTCACTCATACAGAATATTATAATATTGAAATAATCCCCTGTGTATGCCCTATGGCCTTCGGGCTTTGGGTTTGCCGACACTGTAATCAATATAATAATCCTCAACCCTCCATGAGCTCTGATCGCAGGGCGCAGGGAACACCGTTTTCTTGATGTCATGTTGTTGATATTCATTTCCTCATTTCCTCACCGACACCTATTCAGCCTCCTCCGCCCCCTTCCTTTGCCAGTACCCGATTTTGGATCAAAACAAACGCGAAAGAGCCAAAGCACAGCCGCCTCGAGTACACAGTCGTTGCCAAGATGAACTCCAAGCAGATCGCCGCTGTCCTGCTTTGTGCCCTTTTCGTGACCTCAAGTGCGCCTCCCAGCTATGCTGTCGCATTCGTGACCCGCGTGTAGGGTACCTCTTTGCAGAGAACTCTAGCAAAAGCTCAGCCGTTCGAGATGTGCTTGCTAAAAAGTATAGGAACAAGATTAGCCAGAGCTGGGGGTGGTGCCTTCGCGGTGCCACCTACGAGATGCCAGATAGCGCTCCATCGCACCAGCGAACTGTGTGCCTCAAGTTGTCTGGATGGTGCGTGTAATATATGGTCTGCTGAATCGTTATTTCTTGCAGGCATATACACGTCGAGCGCCATCAACTGCAACAGCCCGTCAAACTGCTATCTTTGCAGGTGAGCATGTCCTTTCGCTGTCAGGGCGTTCTGTCTAGGATGATGATGATGATGATTGCGGCCCGCATCCTGATGCGTGTTAGTTTCAGAAGTCAGGCAGTGTTTCGAAGCCTGGTACTTGGGAACGCTCGGCTGAATGGGCGGCGGTGCTGACACATCGTGACAGCTATTGTGTCTGGCATCTCAAATGATGCTGAATTTCCGTCATGCAGCCCACCACTGGCAAACCCAGGCTGCTTTTTAGAGACAATCGTTCCTTTCTCTCGCTCTATAACAGCTGGCGAGCCGCACATATTTGCTTCACCCCCTTGATGTGAACTGGCAGTGGCAGTGGTTCCGATCGACAGCTTGCACTTCCGAGCCTTTGTGGATCCTTGACGTCACTTTGATGACAGATAGGCATGCATCTTTCTGCTCGACAAAATTAAACGTGCTGCCCTTCCCGAGACGCGCAGGGGCAGAGGCACTTCAGATGTCAGATGTCTTGCAAGTTCTGGGCTGATCTCTGTTGTCCTCTGGTGCTTTGCAGCTACTGCAACCGCCGCAACGAGTGCCCCAACGGAGACGGTACCCAGCAAGGGAGGGATGCGTGCTCATGTTCCTACCAGTGTGACAGAGGGTGCAACATGTGCCCCGGCCGCGGCAGGCGCTCGCTCATGGGAAAGGGCTCCGACGACTGGGCTGACCTGACCCCGGACATGATCTTCTGAGCCCCTGTGCTAAATACCTTTAACTACCTGCTACTACCTGCTGGAGCTGCAAGGTGCACGAGTCTTTTTGAGCACCTCTGTTAACGCCTGTCCCATGCGAGAACACCTTTTAAGTACCGGTTGAGATTGGGGACTTGCATGAGTGCGTTGGGCGGTGATTCTGGGCGGACAACTGAGTTCTGTGATGGTATGTTGAGTGGGCAAGACACTGAGTCCACTGCAAAGGTTGTTGGAACAGATATCGAAATCGGTTGCTGCTAGGGGGTGAAATGAACACAACTGGCAGGTCGGCCATATATTGCATGGCAGTGTGTGCTTAAAATGCGTTGGAGCAGCACTGTCAGTCTTGGGGGAGTTTTGAACAATAATGCCTTGTTTGGCTGCCCTGAAATTACACTGTGACAGTTGGGGGTGATGCAAGCCTTACAAAAAATGCTTCCATTGTAATGCTTGATTGCTGCTTATGCGACAAATTCTCATCCTGTACAAATGACTTCTCCGAAGATTAGCGCTGGGTTTGCAAGTTACTAGACTTCAATCCCAAATTCATGGACACTGGCGGCAACAACTCCTCGTTGCCAAGATGCATGAAGCATGCATGCTTTGTGTCTCTTCACAAGAATCTTGCTTCAGAGCTTATGCAGCCAGATAATAGACGAAGCATGCTGGATCGCGCATGTCATACTCGCAGCTCTCTATTTATCATTTGCAGCCTTGTAGCCACGAATTGTCACATTCCTACCCAAGCTACAGTACAGCCAGAAGTCTATTGAGGTCCTCTAAAAGGCAAGCACCTCAGAATAGTCTCACCATGCATGCTCTACAGATATCAAAATGCACTGTCTCATCTTCTGGACGACTTGTGATAATTGCTGGTCAGCTGCTCACTTGACACCCATGGTCTCCAGCTTCTTGTGCCAGCCGTCGGCCACATACTTCTCGGTGTAGTAGGTGTTCTTCCATGACTCACGCTTCTGAATGGCCTCCATGAACGTGTGGATGGCCGTCAGCTCCTTGGGCAGCTCCCATTGCTGCGCACAAATTATTCAGAAGTCAAGTCAATGCAAGCGCTGCTGAGTCCCATTGAAGCCTGTTCAAACATGCACATATGGCTGTTTTGCTTCCATTGCTGTGCTCAGGAGATGAATAGCTTCACCAATAATTTGCAAAGGGACAGCTGTGTCACATGAAAGAAAACTCTAGCATGCACGGCTGACAATCTTCCTTTGTTACATGAGCTGTACATGCCTGAGCCATTCATTGCTTAGTTTTGACGCATTCAAGTCGCTGATCTCAAGAACACTCTGCAACAAGTGAAACTGTTGGATGATGTGAAGCCTTGTCCAACCATCTAGAGCTCATTTTGTCTCTCGCTCAATTCTGAAGGGAAGAAGTAAGCTATCAATGAGGAATGCTGCTTCAAACAACCTTTGCCAAGGAACATTTGCTTTCAAAGCTCCAATTTCAAACCACCTTGCACGGCCCAGCAAGGCTTGAGGGCATTCTACATTATAATGTGTATCATGGTGAAATGCCATGCTGATACTGCATTTGATAAACCACTGGGAACCTAGAGAGCCACACTCTGGTCACACAAGGCAGAGCCGAGGAAAGGGAACGCACCTTTACGGCCTTGGACCCGATGATGACGTGCTTCAGCTGCGGGCCCAGCTTCAGGTCCGCAGCGTTCACATCCTGGCCCCCCACGTACGGACCCTCACTCTTTTTCAATTCCGAATCGATCGATTTCAGCTCCGCGATCAGCGCCTCGCGCTTCTTGTCCTCGTCAGCTTTGTCAGTGGTCTTGACATACTCCATGAACGCCGGGAAGAGGTTCGCTCCCCTGCAATCACCCCATCTCCCCTTGGTGTTACCCCTTATGAAGGATAGAACACTACCATGTGACAGGGGTATTGATACTCCTTGACTTTTACCCCTGAAGGAGAAGGCAACCCTAGCAAAGGAAAGGGGGTGTCGCTCCCTTTCTCAGGAGAGGTGCAGAACGCTCTTCTAGCAACATTGCATTGCTTTGGGTAGGCAGAACACAATGCAGGTCGCAAACAGGCACAGGAGAACACATGCACTGCAACAAGGCGCATAGCACTGGATGGTGACAGAGTGGCAAGATGTGCAATGAATTCTGACATGGTTTTCAGGAATAAAAAAGGGGCTTACACTTGGGGCACCTCATCGGGCTTGCCCAGCTTGCGCTCCGGGAACTTGTCCTCCAAGTACGGCACAATCCTGCACCCAAGCCAAGCACGTCACTTCAGTGTACAAATAGTCGATCTAAGTTCCCGGATGAAGCTCTTCAAACGCTCTTGAGAAAGGCATATCATGCATACTGAAGAGGTGCTTTGTGCTCAGCAGAAGTGCTGGCACACACAAACACATTGCAGCTATTGCACAGGAACTTTTGCTGGCTTTCACGCGATGCTATGCTTTGAAAACACCTGTTCAATGCCCTACAGCCTGTTTTGGTCTCGAGAAAGCCTAGGATGGATGGCGCCTCAAGATGACAATCAGGGGGTCCGAAGCTAGGGACCAGAAACAGGGGACAAACACCCGCGGATTGGACGGCTGCTGAAGTGGTGTTCAAGGTAAACTTTGTTTAAAAAAAGGACAGAGGGGCCAATGCGCACTTGTCGCTGTCATAGAGCCACTTGCCAGTCTCCAGCTCGGTGGCAAAGGGGATTGTGCTCTTGCCCTCTGTCACTTCTGCGATCCTGCGCCAGCCACACACATGCAGCTGACACCATGGGGTTACTGATATCATTCGCAGGACAAGTTAGTGATGATCCTGTGCACCCACCAGAAGAGGCACCGAAATGCCACCAGCGCTGATGCTCAGAAGAGCACAAAATTGTACTGACAGATCTAAACCACATCTCCAGATGTCTCTTGAATACTTCAGCTGCAATTGCTCACAGGATGCTGGCCCGGAGCAAGGTGCATAGGCACAGGCACACAGAGGAGATAAAAGCTGCGCACCACTCGGGCATGTTGAGCTCGTCGAGGAGGAGCTTGTTGTAGGGAACGCCCTTCTCTTCCAGGGTCAGCATGGTGCGGTGTGAGAAGGGGCCTGCATGCACATGGATCCCCACTCAGTCAATCTTTAGTCGTCACCGGTACAGAGCGGCTCTGACAGAGCCCCTAGCCGGCTGACATCTGACCTGTTGGACTGATCAGATTTGGAAATTGAGCTGCCAGCATGGCATGCATGTTAAATATGGCGAGGCCTTTTCAAAGCATGGCTAGGCAGAGCTGGTCTGTGCACTGACTGACAACACAGGACAGGAGCTAAGTGCACATATTCAATCAGGGTGAAGGTGTGCAAACTTGTGGCATTCATCTTTAGAAGGAAACTCAGCAACAGAGGGTCACTCACAGTCTCCAAGCTCCCCCTTCTCTGGTGACCCCTTGACATACCTGTTAACCACACCCACATGCACTCAGGTCCATACTGATCTAACACAGCGTGTCAAAGTAACAGGCGAGCATCAGTCTTTGCGGTCACAAAGGCAGAGGCTCAGCCTGTCAAGATCACTGGGATGCGATCCTGACACAAAACCTGAATCCGACATGCAAAAGATTTGCGACTGCTGGCATGAAGATACTCACAGGTCGTATACGGGGCGTCCACTTGTCGAGACAATCGACATGGCAGCCACTTGCAGGGAATGAGCACGCAGATGGCTCCTTTGATGCACGTGCGAGATCGATGTTGAGAACACTCGAGGGCTCACAACACGAGAGAATGTAGGCAACGATGACCTGCGGCAGTAGTAATATCAGTGTCACAAACTTCGGATGAGAACATCAAAGCATCAGCTACAACAGAGGAAACGTGGTAACAAGTTGCCTCCGGCCAATTGATCTGCACGTCAAGGTGCGCGCAATCTGAGGAACTGGTCCCTCACGATGCTACAAACCGACTGCAGCTGATGAAAGCATGATACTTGACCAAAATAGGGATTGACAAGCAAGGGACGTGGATGGTTGTTGGCACGGAACGCACGAATTGCACCCAACACGAGCGGAGACAAGCGACTTGGGAAGCACAAAGAACCACCAATCTCAGTGTTCGTTTCCAAGGTAGCGTACAAGCAGGATGGCTTACCTGAACGCAACGAATGACGAGTGCATCTTGAGCATTTGGGACGGGTTCGTGCTCCTGCAGCTATTTTGGGCCTCTAAAGGGTGTATAAAACATGGAGGGGTGTTATAGGGTAGTGGCCAACCGATTGGTTGATCCGGAACCAGTCTTGGAGAGCAGAAGAGTTGCTATTTGGCGCAGTACGCATCAATGAAAAGTTGCAGAGAAATGTTGTACTAAGAGGAGGCACATACCAGTGACCTAGTCAGATCCCGATGTCCGATGTTGTAGTTAGCCAGGTTGATCTCTTCACTCTATCGAGACCAATATCAACATCAGCTTGTAACACCAGTTTTCAACGTAAATTTGTAAGTCCCACATAATTTCTTGAAATTTGAGAGAATTATGATTTGCAGGTTTTCGCCGCCCACAAAACATGTGGATGGGTTTTTCGAGCTCAAGCCGCTATAAAACCTGGATCCAGTATTGCCAGGTACAGTTGTTATCATCATCACTGACCAGTGGTGGTTCCAGATCCAAGGTCAATGAATTATCATCTGAACATACACATATCACCTTCACTGAGTTGTGCCATGGCATAGTCGCTGAATGTACCGAAATATCATCAAGAAGCAACAAGCTACACATGTACGCATGCAAAAACCAAGAAGACGTCTCTGTCTGCTGCCAGGATCACACCTCCACAGCACCTGCCGGCACATGTCCCTGCTGAGCTGGCATCGTGCGCACATGCCTACGGCCTGCAGACAGCAAGCGATGCCTGCCGCCTGTGGGGCGTCAGCGGATGCCAACCTGATCATGCAGGCGCCTTGCAGCTTCACCTGTGGCATTTGATGGGAGCTGTCAGCTGTGCCAGGTAAAAATCCTGTGCATACTGCCATATTGAGCTTCTATCGCTAATTGTGCGAACGTCGGTGGGGGGTCACGTCTTGTGCTGCAGCTGCCAATTCCTGGTGACCTCTTAGAGAGGCACTAGCCGCAATCTATGTGGAGGCACCTGTGAGTTGGTTGCGGTTGCATCAGGCATGACCCGGGGTTTGCTGCTTTACATGCATGTGACCTCCAAAACGCTAGATTACAGTGAGGATCTAAGGAAAGAATTTGTAAGTGGAGAGTGTGAGACATGCAGGCTGGCAGCGTCGGCAGTGGAGAGCAGTGACTGGACAGTGGCAGCGCTGGATGCGCTGGAGGTGATTCTGGGGAATCTGAGCAGAGGCTTCAAGTCGGCAGGCCCTTGGCGGCACGGCCTAGGCGGCAGGTGCGCACCGCAGCATCTCCCTTGTACCTTCACAATCATTCCGTTGGTTTCCTTCTTGGTCTCTATGCATCTTTTCTGCTGGACCCAATAAAAGCAGGGGAAATTGCCTGGCGCTGCTTCTGTTCAATTGCTGTAAGCCTGCCTTGCAGGGCATACAATTGGGAGTTGTAGTGTTGGGCTGTAGTGTTAGCAATCATTATTTGATGCTCAAACATTTCCAATTGGAGTGCACATCAATGCAAGTCCTTGCAGGAACAACCTGGCAAGCCAAGCTTGCTCCGCGCCAAGGCAGCAGACAGCAAATTTGGTACAGAAAAGTTTGACAATAAGAATTTCGTGCTTGCAGGGAGGCCAACAGGCTGCTGCAGAACCTGCAGGGGTCGCTGGAGGCCGCACAGAGCCAGATGAGGCCCAGCGCCAATACAGGCGATTCCACATTGGCGGCTGAGTCAGCGGTGTTGGTCATCGCCAGCCTGGACGAGGCATACTACGCGCTGCTTGAGCACCACCTTAGCTGCGGCCATGAGACGCCATCTGTGCCGCCGCCTCATGTCTACCTGCCTGCGATCGTTGCAGCAAATCCGGGTAGGCCCTTTATCAGTGCTTCTACATTAGGTGCGCACCTGAGGATCACTTATGTGCAAGCCACACATATATTGATGATCAATAAGACAGCCCGGAAAGCGTTGGTCTATCTCTTACCTTGTGACAGAGCACACATGCGTTTGTATGTTGTCATGCATTGCTTTCAGCTTGCACTTCTGACAAAAGACTCATGGCTGTTGCATGCATCTAGCGTCCAGTAATAGTCTAAGTAAGGTGCTGGTTTTTGCGACAGGCAATGCCGGCGCATGCAAGCGGATGGTGCGGGAGAGGGCGCCTTCTGAGGGAAAGCAACTGCTGCGGAAGGTCTGGGGAGTACGCAAGGTGCATGCATGCCAAACCCTGACAATTCCACCGCATTACCTGTATGCTTGAATCTAACAAGGGAGAGACGCAGGCAGTAATGCATGGAGGAAAACTTCGCTTCAATGTCATACTGTAGTCTCTCCAGAGGATTTATGGGCCTTGCATGCTGATATCCACATAAGGACATACCATAGTGACCGGTCTAAACCCCGCACAAAATAATTGTTTTTGGGCTTGCGGGAATTAAATAAAATGTCTTTTTGTCGTGCGGGAAAGTGCCTGCGGGATCGTTGATTTAATATTTCGGATAAAAGTTTTTGCAAAATACCATTAGGATGGGCCGATTTGGTATTGCGGGAACCAAAACTTACAAGTTTTGATTGTGCGGGAAAGCCCTGCGAGAACCTGTTTAACATCTCAAAGTTTCAAAAGTGCGGGGTTTAGACCAGTCACTACGGTTTTCCCTGACAGGGTCTGGAAAGGCTGCAGATGGCATTACAAATCAGGCTCGTTTGGGGGCGTGTCAAAAAGTGCATTCAAAGAAGTGAGACTGGTCTGCATTGATTGTAGGTGGATGGACAGCTGGCATTACCTGATAAGGCAACGGTCAACAACCCGCTGCTGACGGTCATGTGGGCGCGGTTTCAGGAGGGCTGCCGCCTGCTCTATGCTTCAGGTCAATACTCTTGTTTTTCCTAGGATGTGCAACTTCCTCATCGCTTACTTGCAAGAAAACGCTGCATGAGTGTCACATCGTCAGAGTATGGGCCTAGCCAAGTGGCAATAGTAGCGACATCTGCCAATTTTGTGTCATGCGCTGGCCCCATTTGGTTTCACAATCGTCTTCAGATTATAAATCACTGCCTGCGTCAGAGAATATGCGTTATTTCTTTTGATTTCTGCAGGTTTAGGCCTGCAAGGAGAGATGGACGCTGCAGCTGCAGCAGAGGATAAGCGCATAAGGAGTCGGGCAGGCAGACGAGCCCGGCCGGGCAGCCAGGCAGCTCTCCTCCAAGGCAGCGCCAAATATTGCCGAGAAAAAGCGCACATCACAAAGCGGCCCCGGTCGCTGCAGGCTGATGGAGACAGTAGCAGCGCTGATGTCAGCAGCAGCAATGGGAGGTGACTCGCTTTTGCTAGACATGGCACATGGGTTCTACTTGCCTGTTGGACGGGACTGTTTTCAAATTTGGGTGGCAAATTAGAGCTCAGGGGCCAGCATCTTCATCTTTTGCATCCCCTCATTTTGATCCTGCTAATTGCCCAATATTACAACTGAATCAAGTGCTGCTATCTTTTTACATGGCCACCTGGAACTTGAGAGTTGAGCAGTGCCTTTGCACATGCAGTGAGGAAAAGCAGAGCAGAGATGAGTCATCGGACGCATCATCAGCAGATGACATGAGCGATGAGCTGGCGCCAGCATGGCGCGACGGCGCGGCCCAGCCGGGTGAGTCGCCGTGGCCGGCACACAGGGCGCTCAGAGAGTGGCGCCAGGCTGGCAGAGAGTGCCACCTGTATGCTTACGCACCCTCCACCAGGTATTTCTTTCCCTCTAAGAGGGCGCAAAGAAATAGAACACACTGCTTTGGTTGTTTGCGTTCCCTCATTCTGGGTTGCCTGAGCTGGAGAAATACGGCAGCCCAAGTGGGCAGACAAATAGTCTCGGTGGCTTTAGGGCTCATCTCATCTCATGCTTGCTCTTCTGTGAAGCTTGAGAAGGTTCTGCCTTGCCCTGAACGAGCCCTGCACTGCCAGGATGCACTTGTTTACACGCTTTCCTGATTGTATAGTATAGCCATATGACTCGCACAGCTCTATCAAAGCTGCCGCACCATTTGCCCTTGTGCTTATGGAATCATCCAAGATCACAGTATATCATCCATATGCTAAAAGGAAACCCTGATCAAATCCCTTGGCTGCAGGGAGGCGTTGGATGCACTAGCAGAGAGGGCGCCGCTGGTGGAGGTCGGGGCAGGTCTGGGCTACTGGGCAGCTGCCCTAAGGGCAGGGGGCGTGCCTGTTCTGGCGCTGGACTCCCACCCGCCCGGCGGCGCTGCCTCCAACAGTTACCACGGCCGAATCCCCTCCTTCACCAAGGTGTGATATCTTGAGTCATTCTTGGGATTACCCTGCACAAACAGAAAGCTGTCTCTCCCATAGTGGGTCTGACCTAGGTGCAATCATTAGAGGCCCAGCCTTTGCTGTCCAATCTGCTATGAACTATGGTAGATTTGAACTAAGGCTATTTTGGTGATTAAGAGACATAAGGCGTTCCGAGGCCTGGAGCAGGGAAACTTGCTGGAGAACAGTGCAGTTGCAAGGAGTGTAACGGAACAAGACTCCGATTATTACATCGTGTAGTCAAGGAAATTCCACTCTTTGCAACTGCATAGGCAAGTGCCGAGCAAGTCTTGACCGGGTGCAACGGCAACAGATGCATACTTGGTCCAAGACAGACCACATTCAATTTTGCCGAAGGATTGCCTACAGTTTGCCAGCAGAGGGCCTTTCCGCTTGTATGCTTGAGGCTATTGATGACCTTCCTGCTCATCATATTTTGAAATGTAATGTTCCTACTCAGTACTGATCCTGAATTGCAGAACTTGCTAATTGAGGGGTCCTGGCGGTGGCTGCAGGTGGCACAGGGGGGTCCCAAGGCTGTTGCAGGCCAGTCAGAGCGCCAAACACTGTTCCTGTGCTACCCCCCACCCGCATCCCACATGGCTGCCGACTGCCTCCGCTCCTTCAGGCACGCACTCAAAGCCTTATCCATGATTTTGACACCTTTGAAGCATCATTGTCAATTTGCAGTCATCCCAGCAAACTGAGAAAGAACAATTATGCATATGCTTCCGTACGCTCAGCATGGTACAGTCTTTGGGAAATCCCATGGAGCTGGAACCGGCCTTGCATCACAGACAAATTTTATGCACTCTTCTTAAGGAAACACTCATGCATTCTCTGAACAAGTTTGTTACACTTGTCTTGATATAATTGCAGAAACGGGTGCATCAAGGAGCATGGGCCCGGCCTTGCCTGTTGTGGCCAACTGCAGATGCCACGCCCTAAAAATAGGTTCCTGCAGAGCTTCCGTTCATGCAGTGTTTCATGTGGATTGTGATGGACTCTGATTCTTGGGCACAGGGGTGACTGCGTGTGCGTGGTGGGTGAGTGGCTGGGTGACACAGCTGATGAGTCATTTGCGGCCGCCTTGCTGGCGGGCTGGCGCTTAGTAAGGCGTGTGCCTCTGCCCAACTGGACCGACACCGCGCATGAGCTCACCATCTGGCGGAGAAATTATGCCAAATCAGGCACGGACGGTGGGCTACTTACTTCATGTATTGGATGTCCCTGCCGGCCCCATGCAGAACTCTCTCTAATCTTCCCCCAAGAATTTACATGTGGAATGAGATTCTGGAGGGCCTTCTGTAGGAACGACAGAATGGCCTGAGTGAAGGGGTTGTGGAGATTATTAAGGAATAACAAACAGTTGCAAATAGATACAGTTCATTCTGTGCTTGGAAACACCAACACTAGCAGCCTTATGTCTGCTAGTTGCTGCCATCGTGGGTATTTGACTGATCCTGTGACGCTTGTTTTGGACAGGCAGCTCTGGACCGGGAAAAATCAGAAAGAAGGCGAGGCATGCGAAGGCCTCACAAGAAGTCCAGTCTCCAAGCAGCGCTGGCAACACCCAAGCACCATCTCATGGGGATGATGAGCGTCTGATCAGCCCAGGGCCTGCAGCAGGAGTCAGCGGCAGTGGCGAGAAAATGGCGAAGAAAGCAGAAGGAAAAGAGGCAAATGGAGATGGACATAGACAAGATTCTGGAAGAATGCAGATTAGCAGCTGTTCAGCATGCGGATCAGAACAAGGTGCCCCAAATCACAGCAAGGGTGAGATTGACATCTCGGATAGTGACTAGTAATGACTAAGTGATTACACGCATGAAGATCGCAATGACAAAATGATTGCAACGGATTGCACTGTCCAAGACTAGTGCTCTGTTCTCTGCAGATGTCCATTTAGACATTTGGCAGCATGATAGGAATCTCTTACAAGTACTACTACATGTATACTAACTAGACTTAAGCGCTCACACTCTCTGTCTGCCCACACAGGTGCAAAAGGACTTGGCGGCCAGAAATCTGCTGAGATCAAACATCAAAAGCATGATAAAATTTCGTTGCGGAGATGTTGCTACTGCAGGGAAGCTGCGTACTGCTCGGCAGCATGTGCTACTAGTGATGCAGCCCGGCATGGAGAGTCTCATGCATTGCGCCTTGTGTTTTTCCAGGCCAGGCAACTTGATTTTGACAGCCCGGTCGATTTTGCACTGCTGCCACTGTAGGACACTTTCGAATGTCGCTCGAGTTGATGCGCATGTAATGCATTTGCAGTATTAGGGGATGCTGTACACTTGATTACTGTTTTGCCCCTGCTGCGTCCACGTGCCAGAACGTGTGTCCATGCCTCACGTAAAGGTGTTGGAAACTTCATTGCACCTCCATTCTGCTGTTCGAGTTCAAGGCTTGAGGATTACTCTCCAGCATCGATCTCTTCCCTGTAGATCGTCAGTCGCCTTGTCCTGCCAGTGCACGCCACTATGGGTGAGTTTAGACATCGCTGTAGTGCTTCCAGGAAGTGTCACAGCTATCCTAACCGTACTCAGCATGCGCTTATCTTGTTAGCATGCTTGAATTTCGACTTTTCCTAATGCAGAAAGTCTGTCCAACCACTCGGCCTGTGGCCTCTTGGGAACCCTCATTGGAAAGTGATCGCTTCTCTTACGTCTTTTTGTAAGCCAATGATTGTGATTACTTTACCTCACTCAGTGTAAATCGTAGTATTGAAGCATCTACAGATGGTCAGACTGCCTGGTTCCTGGTGAGAACGTTTGACATGCCGGATTGACGGACTTAACGTCAATTAACACGTATACGAGCCTGACAAGGCTACCTACTATGTTTAGGTGCCACGAACGGCTTTGATAATAGCCAGGAGCAGACTCTGAAGACGACAGCCACCACTGACAAGCCTGCCTTCGTGATTCCCTTCAAACCCATCGATGGCCCGACCGTGTGGTATGGAGGAGATCTCGACGTGCAGGCAAATCCGATCTCGCGCCATTGGACAACTTATCAAGGCCTGTCACATGCAGTTTGCTGTAAAGTCTCATCTGACTTCCAGGCAGTTTGACATGCAGCACCATCCCCATGCTCTCTCTTGACTTTAGTGAGACCGATGCCTGTTTTTCAACCTTCAGAGTGACCAGAGAGTTTTAATACCAATTTTAAATTGCCTAATTGCCCTTACAAGCAGACATAATGCGTCATTATGCTTGTGCAGGATGTTGCCTACGAGTTCACCCCGAAGGATGTTGAGGAGATCCTGGGCGCTGTGGCTGCGGTGGAGAAGAGACAGCTCAAGGTACCTGTGTCCTGCAGCTCTACTGAGACCAATTTCCAATGATCCTTACAACACAGCAGTGTCAATTTTATCAGGGATGGTATTCTATTCGTCATGTTTGGCGGTATGCATGCTGACCGTGCCTGTGTCTCTGCCCGAAAAGGGCTACAGGTTTCTTTATCCCAAGCTAAGTTCTATGTTTAGTCCACTCATCACTGTCACAGGTAGACGAAATCACCCGAGAGGACTTTGTGCTCCCAACGCTAGGACCGAAGCTAGAGACCATCCACAAAGACCTGATCTTTGGTAAGTGCGACAACTTGATTTGAAATTAACTTGACGAGGTATCGCCCCTGCAAATGTTGCAGTGTCATATGCCTGCATCAATTGCCTGGCACAGTTGCTCCGCCTGAACTGAGTGGCTCAACATTTTCTCTTAATCACAGAAGCTATCTGTCCCCATTTATGTCAGTCGCAATCTATGTCTGGCCAGTAGCAGATGTGATGACATCATTTGACCTGTCATCCTTGTTTAATGTGCTCGACTGCGTGCAGGCCGTGGGATCCGGCTGCTAAGGAATGTGCCGCTGGGATTGGACGTCACTTTGCAGTGAGCCCCCACTGTCACACATATGATTTGAGAAGAAGCCCATCTTATTGAAGTCCGACTGGACTTTGACAAGTTTAATAGATCTTGACATTAGCAATTAAATTGTCTGGTCTTCGTCGTTTTCGGCTGAATTAGAGCAGTTGCATGCGCTATGTATGCCTTTTGCCTATGGACCATGACAGCTTGCAGAATTTCCTCACGTTGACACTTCCGAAAGGATAGTCACGGCTTTGCAGGAGGACTTTGTGGCACTGTCACCCTTCAAAATTGCAGGTGCAGGATGATCATCATCTGAAGAGTGATTCTGCATGATACTGTGCAGGCAGTCCATAATTGCCTTCTGGGGCATCAGCACCTATTTTGGCAAGCAAGTGCCCCTGACTCAGGTGCGCTAGCCTGAAAAATATCTCCTGACTGTGTGAGGCTGACACAATGCACCCTTCTGAAAAAAATAACGGATGTATCCGGTTTGCTTTTGTGTATGCCGCATACCATGTATGCCCTATGGCCTCTGGCTTCGGGTTTGCCGACCTGTAATAAAAATAATAATCCGGTTTGCTTTTGGGCTGTGCAGGTGGGGCACCTGGTGGGGCATGTGCGAAGTGATGAGGGGGTGACTAAGCGGGTTAGTAATTGCACACCTGTCCCCCTGGGCTACCACGCCGACAACTCGGACATCGTGCTCCTGGGATGCCGCAGCCAAGCCCCAACCGGCGGTGTGTTTATGCCCCCTTTTTAGCCACCCTGATTTCTAGTGACCTTTGTGTCAGAGTATCAGACAGCATATATACAGCTTGCAACGCACTCATCATATCCTACTTTGCTTTGTGATGGATACAGCAACAGCTTGGGATATTCTGCTCCTGGGGTGCCGCAGCAAAGCCCCAACTGGCAATGCTTTTTACTTCTTTTGGCCTTTCGGAGTACTTCGGAAATGCATTAATAGGTTTTAGACAGCATGCAGGCAAAAAATGGTGTGCTGGCTCAAATGCCTTGTAAACGGGTAAACGGCAGGACATCTGTTTCCACCAGGAACAGATAATTGAAGACAATACCTCGAATATATTTCATCCGGCCATATGAAGTCCTGGATGATCATATGACTGCATCATTTCAGTGTGTAAATGATCAGTTACAGATTGGAGAATCCGTGCAAGTCTGATCTTGCTTCCATCAAGATGTATGGAATCCTTACCCATTATCTGATCTGGATAACCCAGAAAAATCCCTGGAATGTGCAGAATGAGCGAATATGACATGCGCCCTGCTGAAAGGCCACTTAGTGGTAGTGTGGTGGCTCTTTTGGACTGTGGAAATTGTGTACATTCATATAATTACAATTATTATTACACGCTTTTCCTGCCAAGAGGCATGGTGCGTCCTGCAGACAAGCTACACTCATGTGCAAGCAAGTAGGTTGGGTGGTGATTCAGAGTACGACAGAGCATAAAATTGACTCATTGGTGTCTGCCTGAGCAGGAGACAGCAGCTGCTGCAGCTCACACGCTCTGCACAACGAGATCCTGTCCCGCCGCGCCGACTTGCACAGGGTCTGCTTTCCATCAAGTTCCTTCGGTACAAACATTGACAGCTCTGTGCAATGCACTGGAGCTGGGGTGTATCATTTGAGCTCACTTGCTTGTAACCATTACCTCATTGTTATTGGAATTCATCTCAGCTCAAGCAAGGACAAAATTTCATGCATGTATCTCTTGTTTTGCTTTTCATCAGATTGTGCTCTAGGGATTACATGTATGGCATTTACACTGAGATGCAGTTGCAACCCCCCAAGGTATTTGATGATCGGAAATAAGTCAGTGAACTTATGGTACTCTTAGTAATGCCTCCCCGACTCCCCGGCGCATCTGATTCCCATAAATAGGATAGGCAGGTAATAGTTTGTAAAGTAAGTTGATTAGAATATGGTTGTAGCTTTTTTTTTTGGTGATTGCCAGGTCCTGTCGGAGCCATTCTACTCTGACCGGCGGGAGTGGTGGCCGGAGGGATCGCCGCCGTACTACAAGTCCCCCTTCTTCCACTACCACCAAAACACTCTGGGGGTCCAGGAGGTGCAGGCCAACATCGAGGTGCGCGCTACTGCATTCAGGCGTAAACTTATATAGAAATTCTTACCACAATTGGGCAGAGAGGTTGGCACACATTAGGGAAAGGGACCCTCTCCATAAAAGCGACTGAGGACTGCCGACAAAGTACACTTTATCGTCGCAAGACCACCGATGCCCCCCCACTGATCTGTGAAATCTGGTCGGAGATCTGATGTCTTTGGAAGCAGCAGCTTTTCCCTGGTGAGACAGCAGCTGTTCCATGGTGATTATCAGGAATGATCTTGCTGTCAGCTTTGCGTTTAAGAATGGACAAGTTGCTGGCTGACATTTAAGAGCAAGTGCACCAAAAGGAGGAAAGCTTGCAGGGTTTGTGCGAGTGATTTGTGCTGTGAATGACTGATTTTGGGTCTGATTATATACAGGAGGTGGCCGAGCACTTGGGAGCGCCTCCCGTGAAGCCAGGCCAGGTGGAGGCAGTCAAGTTTGTGCAAGAAATCGCTGCAGAGCCCAAAGTGCGATTTGATGTGCGCCTGCGACCAGGCAAGCCCCTCTGAACTTGAAATTGTACTTGGACCCTAGCCCTGAAGCAATAGTCTGGGAGGGTCTAACGTTTGAAACTTGCATGCATGAAGACACCAGAGACCAGCTTTAGGGAATTGTGAAAGCTTCAATTACAAGCAGCGCCGCGCAGATGTTTGTCTGTGAGCCCATTGCGAACGCCTGGAGGCTTGAAGCATATTCTATAGCCACTTGCTTGTGCACAACCTTCTCAACTCTACCCGCAAGCAAAGATGGTGAAAAATTTTCTGAAGCAGGGCTTATGACAGTACTTTTCCTGCGAGCGCAGGCGATATTCTACTGAATCACAATCTGACGACCTTCCACTCTCGCACGACATGGCAGGACGGTGCCAGCGAGGCGGAGAAGCGCCACATGTTCAGAATCTGGATTGCATCTCCCCTCGGCTGGTGCGTGGCAATCTCATCCTTTCTTGAAGTTAGGGAAAATCTGGAGCGCAGACACCAAGCAGAGCGAGCGCCAGAGATAGGAATAAGCTGCCTCGCAAGTGCACGTCATTAGTCACCGCCACTCCAAAATGCTTGGAGGAAAATGCCTTTTTCTGTACGTGATTACCCTGGAAGCCAGATTGACAGAAAAGGCATCACCAGACATGGGTGCAAAGGCAAGCCTGATTCAACATTTGAGTGTCTGTTGAGCTACTCTCTATTGTTTCGATTTCTAAGTACTTTTGCTCTGGCCAGACAATTTGGGTGGCAGGGACTGCTTTTTTGCAAGGACACTCCCGAACCATGAACCATGAGGCCAATTTCCAGTCACGGTGCAATCTCTCAGACAGCTGGTGTCACACAATTGGTTGATTTAGGCAAAAAAAATAATTGTGCGGTGTGTTGCCTGTTCAGGCCGCTGGACCCCCTGTATGCTGAGCGGTGGCAGACGGTGGCGGTGGGGGAACGAGGGGGACTGGAAGTCCGGCCCCCCTTCAAGCGCCACGTGGCCATCACTCCAAAAGAATACTTCCAGGCACGTCTCTATCTACTGCATAAAAATGAAAATTACTATCCTTTTCGCACACTTGTTCCGCCAAAGGCAAGGTCCGTCTGCAGTCAACTGCACTTATTACTGTATTTCCGCCTCTTCTCCAACTCTCCAGATCCAAGCAAGACCCATCAATCGAGGGCACAGTGGTCAAATTTTCTACTGCCCCCCGCCAGCCGGGGCTGATTAAAGCACTGCAAAGCATCAGTTTGAATACATTCTCTGCCTGCATGACAAATTTTGACAACATTGTGGCGTGCGGAGCAAGCCCACCTTCTTGCAGCTGGGAGCAGCGGGTTTATACGCAGTCCACATTCATTCCCCGAAGTTCACTGTGTTAATAGCAAATGACGAGCCCAGAAAAGAGCTCCAGAGGCCGTCGCAGTAGGATCCTAATGTTTCTATGATGCCTGCTTGCAGGATTTCAACGACTGGTTTGCGCTGTACGGCAGCAAAGCGACCACCGAGCACCTCAAGCCGGCCGCCTCGCGCGCGCAGAAGCAGGACATACTACGCAAGGTGCTCATAATCTCATTCCTTCTCCTTTATCTTTTTCTCTTCGTAATTATCAACATTAAAAATTGCTAGAGGCTACCACGAAATGCAACTCAACCTAGTGCTTATGCCCATGATTACACCACGCAAGACAGCAGGAAAAGCCAGCAGTGCAGTTGAGCACTCAGAGTGCAAACTTTCTCACCTGTGATGAGTGCTCTACAGAGGGCTAGGAGTCATGCTTCACGGTTTCTGTAACGCAGAATTGCATGTTTTTTTTATCACACGTTTTCCAGTCCTTTAGGATTTAGGACTAGGTACGTCAAGCAACACCTGCATTATTCCTCTCAAGTCTTCTCGATTCTTGCACTTCTCTCACCAGTTGGATGTTCATGCTTCTTCTGCTTTTATGCAAATTATGGATGGTGTCTGCATGTGCGCAGTTCTACCCAGCTCTGGACTCGAGTGCCAAGGGGGGAGGAGAGCAGCCTGCGCTCATCAGGGCCGAGGCCTGAGCCCTGCAAGAGTACCGAATTCAATATTGAAAGAGAATGTAAAAGCCTTTTGTGTATATCAAAGACCTGCATCTGTGGGATTGCATGACCGGGCTCTCCAGCTGCGCAAGGCATTGCGTGTGTCAGCGAGAGACAGCAGGAAGTCACATGTGCGAGACCATGCCCTGCAAATCGCCTATGCACATGTATACAACAGTGGAAGGATCTGCTTCGGCAGACAGATGTACCGGAGTATGCATGTCATTTTTGACTGAACAGTGTTGAAAAGCTGCATGTAGGTAAGAGGAGCTTAACCAGCTTTTGTGAGCAAATCAAGGTGTATCTAATTAGGCTGTCAGCACAAAATATCTGGAACAGTATTAGTAGCAGTGGCAAACGTGTAACTCCTTGGACTGTTCTCTGTGGCCTTTAAGATTGTCTGCACTTGCAGTAAATGGGATAAGAGTTTGCCCTCTAGTGCTTCCTACGGTGCCCTTTGCCATGAAAGTGATCCAGTGTGTTTATTACAGTATTAGGATTGACTCAGTTGGTGGCCTCTTTGAAAAGGAGGCATTGTGTTGTTGCTGCATAATGGACATGTTCACTCGCAAGGCAGCCCTTATCTCCCTGGCGCCCGCATTGCTTAATTGTCTTCATATCATTTTGCTAGAAGGTGGTCAATTCATGTGCTCATAAATGCATGCCTTGGCTGGGCCGGTGCCAGTCCGGATATATCAAAAAACTCTGTGCTGATTCAGATATTTGTGCCGACAACTGAAGCCCATTCCCCAAAAGTTTGAACGATCAATTGATGACTACTCAAGACCTGCAGAATTTTTCTCAGTGACAGTGGCAGTGACGACTGGTCTCACGTGTGCATACATCATAGATGGCAGGCATGCACAAGGGAACCGTCCAAGGGAATATGGTGACTTTGCAGCATCTTATCGGATGTTATTCTCGCACATTTTAAAACATTGTCTGCTTGCCTCCAAACCATTCCCGCTGACAAATACCGAGCTTCTCTCTCCAGCGCTGTGCTACCAAATACTCCCGAGCATCCTCGTCGCCTCACAACACGACCGGAACTATGAAGACTTTCGCCGTCGCCCTCTTGGCTCTCTGCCTGGCCGTCGCTGTGAACGGTGCGCGTCTTACGGACCACTCCAATCCGATCTCTTACTTCAGCAGAGCCCAGACTGTTACTGTTATTGTCGCCAGAGCCGAAGGCGACGTCTCTTGAGTTCAAGAGGTCTGCCCTAGCCAGGTTTTGTGCAGACGTCGACGGCAAGATTCCAGATTCCAGCACGATCGATAGATCAAAATTGTCTCGGATCTGAACAGCGAAAAGCTCAAGGGAGTGTTTATGGTGCTGTTGTGCAGCCGACGTTTGCCACTACGATTGCTATAAGGTGGATCCCGCTGCGGGGAAGACGGCCAAGACGGCTCTGTTCCAGGTACGCTGTACGATCCCTCTTTACCTCAGCAGTAAATAAAGAGAAAGAGGAGAGGCAGGATTCTACTCTGTCAGTCTGCGGGACCCTGAACTTCCACTGCTGCTGCTGCTGAGACGCCCTTGCCTGCCTGTATAGCACATTGTCTTCCTGTGCTTGCATGCAGCGATGCCTACATGGCACACACACACCAAACCTTCTGTCCTTTCTGCAATCGCACAGCACCACAAGGCATCATCAAATCATCAGCATGCTGCAGGGGGCTCTACTGTTAATCTTGCCACCAACTTTTTCCCTGCTTTCTGGCAAGGGCAAATAAACATGATTGTCGTCGATTACTGAAAACATGTCTTTGTGGTGTGCAGGCGTGCGGTGTGACAGACTACCGATTCGGCAGCGGCCCTTCAAATGATCTGCAGGGAGTCTACAAGCAGGCGCCCCCCGCCGGATGTGAGCTGGCCGTCTGCGCGCACTTCCCCACTCAGGTGCTCACCAGCCCCTAGCAGAAAACAACCCTTTTGACTATCATCTCGGTATGGTCCAGGGTTGAGCATCCTAGGGGGAATGTTTCTGTGATGGGCCAGAAAGATCTTGGGCTCTGGGAGCGGGAGTTCCAGTGTACAATGTTGTTTGCGAGTCAAGTTTGCTAGGAAGAGAACGCCCAGAAGCACGTGAGCTGTCTGAGCAGTGGCGAGGTCTTGGCAGAAGCCTTCTTCCGGGATTGAGTGGGTTCGTTGGTGAGAGCAGCTTGCTGATTTGCAGTCATGATGTGTCGTCACCAGCAGCATATAGATCCAGAAGGGTCCTCACGGAGGACTCCTTAGAGTGTTATTCTGGTTGTGGGTTTATGGCCAGTTTGCAAGGCAAGCTTGCCGGCTCACAATGGCATTTCCTTGCTGACCTGCATGCATGCATGCCACCGGCCATGCTGCGTCAATGCACACTGCTCAGATCGCCTCCTGCAGTTTTCTGCTTTGTTCATGGGTCGGGTTGCATTGGACGTGACGGTCTTGAGACGAGAGTGCTGATCTCGCACTCCAAACTCAAGCGTTTTCATCCAATCATTCAACGAAATTTTTCGTCAAGCTCATTGCTGTGCCTGCAGGCTGCAGTGGATACCTACCGCAATGCCTGCGAGCACCCCAAGCCGCAATACGCTGTGCTGAACGGCAAGGGCGCCGGCCGCTTCGATGCCGCCTGCACCACATGCGCCGCATCCTGAATTCAAACTTGAGAAGATTCAGAATCAGGAAATTTAACTGCACCTGGTGCTGGTGACTGTGCTGTGAGGCACGTGCATCTTATGGATGCAAAGTAGCGAGGAGGTCGAGATATTCTGCATGCGCTGTGCTGTGCGGTGGTGTAAGCAGCCCTGAGGCCTGCAAATATATCTTGCATGCATGCGATCTCAAATTTTGTGGGTTTTGCGCATCCGTGATGGCATATTTATGCTGCAGTGGGTGCGGGCTAATATCCTGCTCTGCTGCCATTGCAGCGCCAAGTTATTAGGGGAACGACTATTGATATGTTTTTGGCTAATAGCTGCCAGATGAGTGGCGTTTACACCCTCTAAAGAGGGTTGGCATACACAGATCTCTAGAACATTGAGCAGATTTGAGTTCTGCATTCTGTTCTTGGCAGCATCGTAGCTCAGTTTTATGATCCAGTCGTCTTTCCTGTAATATATTTGTGATGATGAACTGTCACTAAAAATTTGACATCAAGGTCTCAAGCATAATGAGCTGGCTTAACCACAAAGGCTGGTGTTCAATGCTCAGCATGATGTGCACTGCAAGCAGAGGCAGCCGTGAGGCACTATTAAATGCAATGAAATGCAACTATTAGATCTTACGATGAAATACCTTTGCAAGCCAACAGAAAATTCAGTAAATCACCAGCAAGTCAATAACAGCCCACGCAAATGATACACCTTAGTCACTGCGCAGTGTGCAGAGCGACAATTATTACAACCCCTCAAATATTAATACTGTATCATCAAATTTATTCCTAGCAATGCATGCGTATGTACAGGGCAAGCAGAAGAAGAAAGCGGACAGTGTCAGCAGCAGTGCGGCCGGTGCAAGGCAGGGACCCCCCATCACCAGCGCCACTGACGCGGGCAGCGGTGGCGCAAGAACAGGGGGGTCTCGTTGCCTGACTCAGCGCTGCAGGTCCCTCAGTAAGGGTTCCCTCGCAGAGCGTCATGCCACATCAGCAGCACTGATTACTGCACGTGTCAAAATAGAGCAGCTGATCAGTGATACTCCAGTCATCTGTGCTGACTAGGCAGCAGGAAAGTGGCAGATGGCAGAAGTCTAGGCGGTGCCATCAGCAATCTCTTGTGCCAGAGCTTCAATGTCCAGAGCCTTGAGCTTGGTGAAGGGCCGAGGCATGTCCTGGGGAATAAAAACCACAATCAGGGTCAGGTTCAGAAGAAGCACACTCAAAGTAAACCAAGACAGAATGACGGGACATGCAAGGCAGCGCCAGTGCCATCATTGCAAAACAAGCTCAGACAAGATGAGAGCTGCCGATACTGTGGTTTGAGCAGCAAGGCAAGCTCACGTGAGTGCATCTCTAGAACAAGAGGAAATTACTCCCAATGAGATCGGCTCTGCAAGTGCGCAGACGAGGATTACAGACAGTGGAGGCGGCCGGAAGGGTGGGTCTCACCAAGAGGGACACATATGTCTTGGTGCTATCTGCATCCCTGACCTCAAAGCAGCCCTTCCGAGGCTGCACCAGAAGATCGATTCAACTGTTTGTTTGTGTAAGTTGCCAACACATCTTGCTCAATCAGTGGACCAAGGACTGTGAGGCAAAGGCACAGTAGGACCTACCTTCTCTGGGTTGATGACCACCACAGAGTCTGGCACTGCCTCCTTCAATGCCTTCTCAAGTTTGTTTGCCCTGCATGACACATGCAGTGAAGTCAGACAAAGCCTGGGCTTGCACCTGTCCAGGCAGGGGGAATCAGGCAGCTAGGGCCAGAAGGGCTTCATGAACCGGCATTGGTCAAGACGTGAAAATAATGTAGAAAGCGACGTACCGCGTTTTGAATGCTCCTCAGCTCTTACTGCAATGCAAAAGAGCAAAGGTCAGCGACACGTCTTGGGATGCTTGACACACGTTTGCGCACCTGCCGAGCACGGCTCTCGCAAAACCTCAAACCAACACGACCCAGGCAGATGTTGACATCAGTAGATTCCTGACGCCTTTATCGTGACAATGCATCACACTAGGAGTTCCAGGCCGGATTCTCCCGCCCAAAAAGGGCTTACCACGCCTCGATGATGAGGGAAAGGTTCTTCCCATCGGAGGAGCCTGCAGCTGCAGGAGCGGCTTCGATTGCTTTTTCAATCTTGGCTGCCTTCGCCTTCTTTGGAGCTGAAGCTGCAGCCTTGCTGGCGGTGGCAGCAGCGGCTTTCCTCTTGGGAGCCATCGGTGATGCCTGTCTTAAGCGGCCACGAAGAGACTGGCTGTCTGTTTGAAGGCTTCGCAGTCCTGCTATGCATAAACTCCGCGCACCACGCAGAGACTGCATGAGCTAGCGCTTCGGGAAAGATGCCTTATTCAAGAGGGTGAGTCAATCACATGGGCCGAGCTTTGCCACGTCATGACCACGTCTGATCAGGAAGAAAAGATTCCTCTTGGGAATGGTGAATTCTACAAGGTAAGCTTTGTAATGCCCTGCTTGGTATTCTGGTGGCATGCAGGTCCAAGGTGCAAAAGAATCCCAAATCAATCACTTGAATGATTCAGTGCATGCATGCAAGCGTAGCGCAGCTGCGTGGGCGGAAAGCTAACTCAGACGAGTGAATCGCGATGCGCATACATTTGTTACCATGCGAGTTGCGCATGCGCAGACCTCAGACCTCATGAGATGATCTGCCATTACAATTGCTCCACATGTGTGCTGTCCGCATGAGCATGCTACAGACAAATTGTACTGCGCAATTTTGCGCATACAAACCGCAGGAGAGAGTGTGCAAATTGCACACCCGATTCCGAAACCCCAAAGTTTAAACACAGCCAATGTTGTAAATTGCAACTCACAGTAATCTGCAGCTGCAGCAGCTGTCACAGATTATCTGCCAGGCCGGGTATCCAGTGCCAATTTTAGAACAGCCCCGGACTGAAAAGAATTGCAAAGCCTGTTTCTATAGCCCCATTGGACGTCTGGTCTACAACAGAAGGCAACAAGCAAGCTGATGCCGCTAGTACTGCAAGCATACCTTGGAACGGCTATTCTTTCACACAGCTGATGTGCAGCCTGCGTGCGAGCAGTAAGAAGACAAAAAGGCAAAAGGGAAGCTTTGCTGCCACTAAGATATTTCAGTCTCTGCCCGCCAATCTTAGGCAACATACAGAAAGGAGCAGTTTTAAGGCAACCTCCGCCTCAGAGCTGGCTTTGCTCTACATTTCAGCTGGCAAATTCCCCCCTCCGCAGAAGGAAAAAGAATGCAGTTGCCCAGGATGGAAAGTAATCACACTCGCTTAAACACAGCCAGTATCCTGGTCTTGCGCATCCTCAGGCTTCAGAATGGCCTCTGCAATGGATAATCCGAGAAAATAGACAGGGGGAAAAACCCAGGATGTCTCAAGCTCAGGGATTTCTACAGACCAAAAATTGCAGTGTAAGTGCGATATCCGAAAGAGCGGCATGTGCTGACATGTGCCAGCACCGCGCACAAGTCCGACGTCGATGAGTCAGTGCTCAGTCAGCCCAAAGGATGACGCATACAGCAGGCAGGTGCTCAGCAGCATCACGCCAAGGAGCACCTTCCCAAATGCCTGCACAGAACATACAGAATTATTCAATCAACTTATTGAACGCCAATATGAGATCTTCGGCTGTCAGACAATACTCCTAGCAAATTAATTGTAAACATGCATGGGCACGGCTTTTTGGCAATCCCCAATTCACAAATCCCCTGCGTAGAAATGAGCTGGCCCATACTGCACCGCTGGTCCCGGCTGGCGGGAGGCGGTCTAAATACTGAGCACCGTGCCCACGGTTGATTGGGTCTTGCTTGGATATGGCGAAGTCAATAAGTGGTAGGGTTGTGGCAGCCTTTCATTGCACCTCGTCTGCAGAATGCACCTTGCCTCTTGGCAGGAAAAGTAAATAATAACAAGAATATTGATAATACAGCAACATGTCCCACTGCCTGCTTTCAACTTTCTGCATGCTGCACGCGTCTCAGGCAATGGATCACTAGGTTGCACAAATATGAAGCTCCCCTAGTGTGTGATAATTCAAGGGGAATTAGGCAGGATCTAACCTGCTGGTTGAGGCGCTGCGCGAGGGCGTTGCCTATGTTGAGGCCGATATAGGCGCTCACGATCCCCAGGCAGTACATCGGCACGTCGCTCATGTTGGCAGATCCCATGAAAAGGTAGGTGAAGAACTTTACGCTGACTATGCTCGTTGTTACCATCGTCGCACGCACGACCCTCTGCAGCAGCACATCCAAAAACGTTACATCAAACGATTTGCTCAATAGCACCGCAGTCATGGATTGTCCTTACAGTGGCAACACTGAAGCACGATGCATTTGCAAGCAGTGAGCAATTTAAGCCCCCATCAGTGTACAAACAAAGGCCTTGAAATGGGCACACATAGCAAGAGCGCCTTGTGAACGCCCACCATAATGTCACAAGGATCCGACCTGTCAAAGTCTACCTGCCACACCCATGCAACATGAGGACAAGCGGCGGCCCGCCGATGCCGGACAGCGCGCTCAGCACTTTCAATTCAAAGCCGCAACACAAATTTGAAGATTCAAATCTTTATTTTGCGCACCTTGGGAACTGCAAGAAGCTGGAACATGAGGATGAGCGGGGGGCCGCCGATGCCGGATAGAGCACTGAGCATGCCGCTGCAGGTTGCGGCGAGCGCTGCCGATCCGATGAGCGTCCGCGTGTCCATGCTCCACTCCGCTGCCTTCCTGTGCGAGGCGCTCCTGTCCACCTGCAAAGCACATCAGCATCAATAATACATCACACGCTTTTCCTGTCAGAGGCAAGGTGCGTCTTCCATCATACTTTGCAGCCATTTTCTCGACCATGGCCGTTGCATTATCGTCATCTGTGGCCCTTTGCCTTAGGAGCTACCGTCAAAGGCTGCCGGAATCCTACTTTTTGACGGACGGCCAATGCGGCCAACGGGCAATGCGTGACCAGGATTTCAGACCATAATGACAGGGCCACCTCACGCATGAAAGCAGCCATCATTCCAGTTATCAAATGCCCCAACCATGCGTTCTGGCAGTCTCAGACCAGTTACTGCGCAGGAGGGATGGGACAGAGCAATTCATTGTCGCCTGCCTGTGGTCTGGCCGCAGATCGCTCATGTGCAGCACTGACTGCCTTTGCGCACCTTCCGTTGAAGTGCAGGTGCTTTTGTGTGATATTCGTAGCACCAGCTCAATGGTGAGAATCACAGGGTGAAAAAAATGGACAGCTGCAACCCGAGGGCGCACCAGGCGGGCGCTGTGAGAGAGCTCCGAGTCAGGCATGATGCCGATGACTACACCGCCCAGCTCAGCGCTGGCTGTCTGCGCCAGGTCAGACTCCCCCGATTCGGACCCCCCACTTCGACTGCCACCGCCCTCCATCTCTCCGGGGGAAATCTCGGCAACTTCTCCTGGCCCCCGTATTTCCCCCGGTCCCCCCGCCAAACCGCCCTCTTGCGCGCCTCCAACCCCTGCCCCGGCATCCACCCCAGAGCTGCCGGCCGTCTCGTGATCCACCCTCCGCGACTCCGCCCCACCCAGTGATTCCACCCCAGTCTCCTTCACATGCAACCCAGCTTCGTCGGGATGCTCACTAATGCTGACGCGCCGTTTGGCATTCGTGGGCACAGGAAGGCTGGAGCCTCCTGCCACTCGCAGGCTGCTCGCGCTGTCCGACTGCTTGCGGCTCAACAGGAGCGGGTTGTCTGCGAATACAAGCTGCGGATGATCGTGCTGTTCTGACTGCTGAGAGGCGTCCTGGAAGGGAGAGGGCACGCCGCCAGGCGGCCAGGCAGCAGCTGTGCCAGGCTTGGTGGGTGCCTGATCTGGCACGGCCGCGTCGCCAGCTGGCGGCTCCTGCTGAGTCACCCCCCGGCGCTGCCACCATCTTCGGCGCGTATTTGGCCCTGCACATGCAACAGTAAACACCTCAAGAGGCCCACTTGCATGAGAAATCTACCTTCACAAGTACTTCAGCAAACTAAAAGCCGGAAATCGTAGAGAAAGATGCTGATCGATGCGTGCAGCCCATGAGCAGCAATGCGGGCGCAGGCGACCAAAGTCATGTTCTATCATCTTCAGGGACATCTTGAGATAATTTCACTACATTTCACAGCTCTGATGGCAGCGTGCTGCACACTGTTCATGCTCAAACAACCTGAAGCATCCCTAGTCCTAGTCACGGACGAGCAAGCAAATGGAGGCTGCGCACCTGTTTCTGAGCCGGCTGCTAGCAGCGGCCGGGTCAGGTCGGCGGGGTGCTTCGGCCCTACCCGCGCCTGCAGGCGGCGGATACAATCCTCCAGCGGGCATACCATGAGCAGGAACAGGACGAGCAGCGCCGTGGCAATTGCAAAGTTCAGAGGAGCCGGCTCCAGCCTGAATACTAGATATGCGCCCACTGGCGCCCCGATAGCCTGTGCAGCAAGGTTCAATCTCAATGTGGAGAATTGCATCAATTTACTTGTTAGTATTATTGGTATGCGCTTTTTATGCCAAAGGCAAGGTGCGTCAGGCCAGCTGCAGGTACAGGCTATCCCTTGATGGACTCGCCAGATCCAAGTAAGACCCAATCAACCGAGGGGGCGATGCTTAGTTTAATCCGGCACCCACCAGCCGGGGCCATTACTGTGCAAGATTGCACCCAGCAGAGCATCTTAAGGCCATGCAGTACTCACATGCATGAAATCTGGTCTGTATCCTCTTCTTGTCCTTGTGGGCTGAATTTTGCATTGTCCAGACATGCTTCTCATCGTAAGTACCATGCAGAAGTCTGGATCAGCAATCAGCTTGCAGATCGATCTGAAATACTCCCTATGAGGACGAGCGAGAAAAAAAAAGCACGGCCAAACAGGCAGGTCACCTGGAAGGCCAGCAGGGTGACAACAAGGCGCCAGCTGGCAAACTTCCAGGGCTTGGTGATGTACACCAGCGGCGCGGCGGTGGCCAAAGCGCAGATGCTGTCAGCAAATATGAGACTCTGGAACGGTCCTGCGACAGAGCTGTCTATTGCACTCAACAATTATCGAAATTAAGAATTGAAGTGTCTCTCGTGCAGCAAATGTACTCGCGTAAGCCAAAGACGCGTGGCACAGGGCTTGTGAGCGATGATGGGTGAGTGGGCAAGGGTGGTGTGTACCTGCATCAAGGCCAGCTGTCTTGCAAATGGTCCAGAAGGACACCAGCACGATGGCGGATCCAAAACCTGCATGTGACGCATCTGAGTCAAGCGGTGTCATTCCTTGCTCGAATGCATCCTCAGGGCAAGTTTCCTGAGCTGCCCTGGGAAGGCAATGAGGTGCCCCTGGAGAGAAGGGTGATGGCAGAGACATGTAGCGACTCCAAGCAATCAATAACAACAGCTAATGCTGAGCAGAAACTTGATACAAGCCTTCAGGCGTTGCATATATTGACCGGTCAAAAAGCAAGGCATATTCTCAGCTTGTGCTCACAACTCACCCGTCACACCGCGCACTATGTGGCCCAGGACCTCCCCCACTCCCAGCACGAACAGAGGGCGCCAGTTGATGTCGGTGCTCTCCAGGAAATATGCTCTTTCTGAACGCCAGCCGATCCGAGGCTGGCCAGGCGCCGGCAGGAGAATATCCACTGCCTCGGCCAAGTGCTGCAGGTGATCCCGCAGCTGCGCAGAGCAAGAGCTGTTCTGTGACGTGAGGCACGTCGGGCCCGTATTCACCAGACGAGCCTGTGCCCGCGGCAACGTGCAGCACAGGAGCCACCCGAGCAGGACGGTGGCACTTCGCCAGTGGCTCAGGGAGCCAGACATCGCGCCTGTTCAGCGTCGATGCTGCCCTCCTGAGTTGCGGCGGAGTGCTTTTCTCTCGCGTTGACGATTCTTCTGCAAATTGATGTTCGCAGAATTTCTTCACGTGCTCGCACGCTCGAAGCAACACATGTGGGAACGCCCTTGCCCTCAAGCTCGAGTGGATCCACCCGGTGCACCCTGAAGATCGAGTTGAGTGGACATCGGCACACCGCAGGCTCGTGATCTTGGGCGCGAACGGTTGCAGATCGCCTACCACACATTTATTGCAAGAAAACAGACTAGCCTCGACCAACTTATAGGTTCAGCACACCAAAACACAACGGCTAGTACTGGGATCAGTCGTTCTGTACTGTGTCCTTCCTGTACTTCCAAGGGCAGATTGCAGAGGGAGATATTTTTGGCAGAAATTCAAGACACGTTGTCTCCAAGACTGTATTGGATCGAAGGGGCCCATCTGGAGCCTTCAGGCAGGCCTGGAGAGCTGGGATCAACAGCTCTGAGGAAGGTCTAGCAAACCAGGGTTAGATATTGACCAAATTTGCGCCGAGACCAGCGCTCAGGCAGATGCATAGGGCATGTTGGAGCCAAATAGCAGCCTTTGCACTTGTCTGTACGCTTCAGATCGCCAGCGGCCAATACCTGTACTTCAATGGGCGCTTCCCTGCGCTGAAGAGTAACGCGCCAGCGTTCCCACAGACGCTGGCATGGGCGAGTTCGTCGGTGTATGTCCCGTTCCAAGGATCGGGGGATGTCACCGTAGCGATGTCCAGCACGTCGGAGACTGGGTCAAGTCAGTTCGAGTTGCGCGTCGACAGCAAGCTTGTGGAGAGCGCCACCATCAACTCCACGACGTCCAGGAATGTGAGCGTGCCCATCATGGGACAAGGCTCGCACCTGCTGGTCGTCACGAAAATAACGGAGGCGCTATTCGGGGAGGCGAGGCTCGACAACGTGTTTCTTGATGGACCCAGGTAGGCACTAGCAACACATGCCTGCCTGTATGACAGACAAAGTTGGGACCTCGTGACCCACCTGATCGGCATCGTCATCCATTTATCTGTGTTCACTTTTGTTATGAAAAGGGTGTCCTGCAGTCTTATTATGATTATTATAATACACCTGCACTAGGTTTTCTGCATGGCAGCCTTGCCCACCACCTGTAAAGCTCTTCCTTCTTGCACTGCCTGAATCTTCGATTTTTCGAAGCACAGATTATTACTTAGAAGCCCGTTATACTGGCAGCGATAAAAGGGCTTGCCAGTGTTCAGCAGTCTTCTGCATACCCGGCAGAGACAGCTTGCCGCAAAGTGCTGACCTCTTGCCCTGTCATTGCAGGTTTGAGGACAGGGGTAATGGGATGAGCAACAGGAGGATGGAGATCATTGGTGCGAGTGTGGTGAATGGATTTGGGGATCTGGGCCAGTCTCTCGGCTGTGAACCTGCCTTCAGGGTGAGTCGCCCTTCTGTGTCACGGCGCGGCAGGGAAACTCTTTCAGCGATTAGCTCATATTTCATGCCTGGTATCAATGTCATGTGGGGCACAGCAGTCCCCCTTCTCTGCACTTGCATCAGATTGGGCCAGCAACAATGACCCCTTGAATATGTTAGGCAATCTCTTTGAGCAAACCCCCATCTCCTGACCGGAAGCAATGCCAAGCAATGACAGTGCCATTTTGTTGTGTTGTGTGTGTGTGCTGCTGTGAATGCACAATGAAAGCATGATCCCCCCCGCCCTTCAATCGTTTGGTGCCAGCTCTGTTGTGCAATTTATCATCTGCAAGCTTCTCTACAAAACCCTTACACAGATTCTATAGAGGCTGGTGTGTGACACCTCTGGACTTTAAACCAAGTTTGAATTCATTATTGTTCAGGCGGAGGACTCGGTGCTGGCGTTTGGCCCGCTGGCGGCGAATCACTTCGGCGCGCGGTTTGCGCACATCGCGTGGGCCGGGGCGGGGATTCTGCCGACCAACGCAAACAAGGGAACGCCGTCGATCCCCCAACTCTACAATCGCACGCTCCCCCGGGACCCCTCCTCAAACTGGGACCACGCTACTTTCGTGCCGCAGGTGCGCGCATGTGCCGGCATGTGCATGCCTAATGCTTGCTGGCGATCTGAACTGGACTGGCAAGCTGCCTGTATCTAATGGGGCCTGGGACAGAGTCACATCCCTGGAGATTGTGCATTTTTGTGCAATTCAAAGAGCAAAGGCAGTGTGGCGAGAACATTAACGCTGCAGCATGCATCTCAAGGCATGCAACTGTGCACTCCAAGCCGCAATGCCTGTGAGCTGCGGGCTCTGCAGAGCTTGACTCACATAGGTGTTGACTCTGCAGAGGCTAACGACTAACGTTGCAGTCAGGAAAGGTTGCCCCTGTGTCGCCGGGCAGCCTCCTGTGTACAGCACTCACATCACATGAATGGTGCGATGTAAGGACCCTCTTCTGCTGACTCAGGTTGTGGTGCTGGATGCCGGTGGAAATGATTTCAACACCGGCAACGCCCCCGCGGGGTGGAACGCCGCCTACAAGAACTTCCTGCTGCAGGTGCGTAACAAGCCGTCAGCCAGAAAGAGCGACCACTGCCAGAAAGCAATCTACTGCCAAGAGTTCGATAGGAAGTTAGTTCCTGAGCAATCAGCTTGCACAAGCAGTAGAATTGTAGCACTGCTTGATGCCTGAGCGCACGTTTACTCAGGCGGTGAGTCAGGCTGTGGTTCTTGTGCGCCAGCCTGGCAGTTTGTCGGGAGGGCAGAGCAACTCTCAGTCTTGGCGCGTATCATCCACAGGAAATTCTGCATTTGTCAGGGTTGCCCAGATCACCTTGTCTCAACAACTCCACCAATCTGACCATTGCATCCTGTTGCTCCTTCCAGCACATACCTGTGCAACCTCATGCAACCAAGCCTCTTTGATTTTCACTGCCTGGTTCCGGACTCCTTGCATGATCAAGCCTGTCCTTTGCTGCGCAGATCCGTGCCAATGCGCCGGAAGCGGACGTGATAGTGATTGGCTTTCCCGAGGCGGTCCTGTCGGGCTACAAGACGGCTGCGGCGCAGCGCGCGTTCAACGGCAACGTTACCGTCGCTATCGGAGACCTGAAAGATGCCGGCTTTGGGCGGCTGCACTACTTGACTGTGCCGTCCAGCGTCAAGACGGTGCGTTTCCAAAACCTTGATCAGAGACTCTAGCTGTATGGGTCTAGTGGTTGTGGGCATCTTGTCTTGTGCTGGTTGAGATAGTCTTGTCTGGTTGAGCCTATACAGGCCGCCTCACAGATGAGGTAGTCATTGGTGACTGTACTATCACGTGCAATGCATGTGATAGTCCTGGTGGTAGTCTAGTGACTTGTAATATCTCAGATACATCTGTTGCATGCACTGTTTTACATGTTCTGGGAGCAAATTCTTGGCGTTTATATCGTGCAATTCTATTGCACCGACCTCTCCTGCGGGGCACGCCATGCTAGTCACCTGCAACTCCCTGACGAATGTTTGTAATTACGGACCTGCTCTGGTAGAGATTTAAAGCTCCGATACAGACTTAAATCTCTTCAGCTACTGAACAGCAGACAGCAAGTGGCGCGATCCATGCCTCTGCCTTGCTTGCAGCCTGGAGAGCAATTTCTATCTCCTGTTGGGCATCGCGCATGGAGTGAAGAACTAGCGTGACTTCTTGTTTCTTTGTTGCTCTGCAGGAGGGCACGGGCTGCCAGGGCCACCCCACGAGCGAAACGCATTCGCACATCGCCGAGTTTCTCCAAGACTACATCGGCAATCTGACCGGCTGGACGCCCGTCGCCGCGCAGGGCTCCTCAACTTTCATCTTCAACAACTGAGCAGCGCCTGACCTGGCTGGGCCGAGCTTGCAAGCCTGATCTGGCCCTGGAACTTGAGGCTAATTTGACGCTTGTGCGATGAGCCTGATCTGGCTGTCAAGATCTGCACCTGATCTGGCTCCTCCCTTATTCTGAGCCTGTTTTGGTCCGGGGGTTCAAGCCTGATCTGGAATTGGGCGCTGGGCTTTTGAGTCTGATGTGGCTCGCAGCCCTGATAGGAAAGTCAGCTTGCCATGAGATGGCAACATGATCTCCACAGGACCATGTCAGCGGGGCAGTGTTCTTTGGGCAGAGTCCTGTGCTATTTGGAGCATCGTCGGAAAATTCGGAATGGCTGTTCCACTGGTGCTGCATGTGGAATTCCTGGCATTGTTACAAAGGGCATGTTATTACAATGCATTATTCAACATGTAACAGTGGTAGTGTTGTAGCAAAGACCCTCCCTTTGAACGGAGAATTCTGTTTATCGTCTTGGAAAATTAGAAAGAAAAACAAAGGCACCACCACCATTGTTTGGATTGTTACAATGACACGGAGTTTTACGACGATGGTGCTTTGAGAAAGAGCTACAGTACACCTACGGCAGATGCATGCATCTGACTGGTTCTGTCACCCTGATGGCACCTTCTATGTGCAGATTGGATGAACACGGAATGTAAGAGCATCAGCGCTGCAATTACATTGAGATATTTTTAATGGATATTGATCCACACCACCTGCTGTCACAGACACGGTGTCTGTCTGCATCTAAAAGGAGCAATGATGTTTGCAAGCAACAGGGAATTGATTATGTCGGTAGCGCACAGAATAATGAACTAAAGCGCTTGTGTACAATAGTATACGACACCTTCAAGGTACTTCTGTTGCATACGGACAGCGGCCCACCCGCAGATATGTCACCACAAATCAAGTGTAAATTTGAAGCCTGCACAGCCAACTGTCTCAAGAGCCAATCTGCCCCAACGAACATGCCTCTATCAGTGCCATGGTTGCACCATTCGGTCTGAATTTTTTTTGGGGACCGTATATACGGCCGAACATACGGTCATAAGGTATTAAAATATATGGAATACTGTCAAACACGGCCAATTTTGGCCCAAAACACCGAAAATACGACTGAATATTCACAGTATGCCGAATGGCCGAATCCGTATGGTGCAACTATGATCAGTGCTGTCAAGAGTATATCAGTCCTTAACCAATTGCTGGAGCTGGAGCAATTGGAGCTGGAGCCAATGGAGCTGGAGCTGGAGCTGGAGCCAGCATGCCTGGCAGGACAACGCCCCTTGCCGCCAGCTTCACGGCCAGCACCTCAGTCTCCTTCATCATGACCAGCACATCACCGGCAAACACAATGTTGGAGACCTCCCCGACCAGAATCTTGCCCAGCAGCTTCCCGCCTGCAGAAACACCGCCAACAATCACCACCCATCTCTCCTTTCTGCTGCCTCTCTTGTGTCAGTGAGTGTGGTTCTAGACATGCCGTTGCAATGCCATGTCGGCCATCTGACGGCCTCCGGGAACAAAGATCTGGAACCCAGAACAACCTATTACCTGTGCATCGTGCACATCATGTAGTGTGACGAACTGGCTGAATGACATCATACATTGCATTGCGCTGTAACACTCCCTGGCAGCCCAGTGTTGGCGATGTCAACACAAGCACATGAGGGTGCCAGGTCTCCCAAGAAAGCTGAGGGAGTCAGCTATGCAGCAGTCTGTAGGTGAGAGCAGCTGGCAGAGCAGTGAGCTGGCAGAGCAGCGCACTGGGGCTGTAGACAGCGACGCCGTCGCCAACGCCGGTCCATACATTGCCCTGCAGGTCCACCTTGATGCCGTCTGGCGTGCCCACATCCGGTACCGCAAACAGGCGCTTGTTGGCCAGCAAGCTCGCCCCATCCCTGATGACCATGGACAGCACAGGTTCTCAGGCGCTGTCAGCATGTCACAGAAGGTCCAGGCACATCCGGCCAAGGCATCACCTGTGAAAAACTATCCCATGACCACCATACTATTTGTCGCGTTTCAGCCAGCAACTTGAGAGAAGAAACCGGCAGTCACTGTCATACGCACCACCAAGTGCATGAATTAGCATGCACTGGTATTAGCTCAAAGTTCACAAAGGTCAGCTCGAGTGCCATGCATGGTGGCTTGTGGGCAGCGAACATGCTCTTGAGGATGTCAAAGGCATAGATGGAGCGGGGTGTGTCGGCGGCGGTGCACTGGCCGCCATCAGATGCATTCGCATCCTTGCAGCCGGTGTCAGTGATGTACGCAACCCTGCCGTCCGGAGACAGCACCACTCCATTGGGCTGACGCAGCACAGACACAGGCCTTGTCAGCTGCCGTTCAAAATAATGAGCACATCACTACAGTGCCCACTTGCATGGTACACACCCCATCAGCATCTTGCATACAGGGGGATCTACATGTGGGGTGTGAGTATGCAACAATGTGTCAGTAGAAGTTCCACTCAGTAGAGCAAATGTGCGCATGAACAAGATCAAGAATGTTGGCAGAGAGAGGGCGGACCTTCAGGAATGTCTGGTCCACGATTGCGGTGTCCCCGGTGCGGGCATTGAAACGCCACACATAGTCGCCCACTTGCATCATGGTCCGGAACTTCTGCTGCAGGCCGTAGGAGGGGTCCGTAAAGTAGATAACGCCGTCGCTAGAGACCACCACATCGTTGGGACTGTTGAACTGCAGACCCTGGAAGTTGTCCAGCAGCTTCCGCGCAGCTCCGCTCATAACATCCAAGACAAAGAGAGCCCCGCCTGTATTGTTGCCGCCCTGTGCAGGCACCCAGCACAGCCTTCAGGGCCCTCCATCTCCTCTCAGGTTCTCTTTTCTGAAATTGCTGCTTCTGTGATGCTCTTTAAGAGTATCGCCTCGGGTGCTATTTCAGCTACCTGAAACCCAGCAGCTGTGGCACAACTCTGAGGAAGGGACATGCGTATACAGACGAATCCTTGACCCCTTGAACAAGCCGACGGGCGATGACCCTTCAAGACCCTCAAACTAGCACGACGATTTTGCAGGGCCAGTTACCTGTGACGCCATAAGAACCTCGCTGGGTGACCAGTTGGTGGCGCCATTCCCCATGATGATGGGCACTCTGGGCCGCACTTGGGACGTCTCCAGGGTCTCAGGGTCCAGCAGCCACAGCTCCACATACTGGTCTGTCCCCTCTTTGTCTCCCAGGCGGTTGGACACGAAGAAGAGCTTCCCAATGGCTGGCAGCCATACCGGACCCTGCGACAAAGGCACACCTCCCATCACCCATTGGGGTGATTCTCAACCTGTGAAGCTGCTGCATCATGTGCACCATCACTACACTGGATACTTGTTTAAAGTGCTCCTGGATGTTTGCTGAGGTTAATCAGAATGCAAGCATAACGTGACACAGGCAGGAGACAGCCTTCAGGAGATGCACACCTCGTGGGCAAAGGTGTAGTTCTTCTGTGCTAGTATCTTGACTGTGGGGTTGGGTCCTATCAGGCCACGGAATGCGGTGTCGTGCGCAGCAAAGACACAGTCTTTCGGCTTGTTTCCAGCGCTGGTGGCTTGAAGCTCCTGCCAATTTGGAAGCCCCTCGGAGGGCTCTGGTGCAACTGCCAGAGTGGCTGGTGACACATCGCAGACACTTGATGGAAGAGCATTGGCTGCGCTGCTAATGCGTGGTGAGGGGTTCAAGCCCCACGGCAGGGAGCCGGTCAAGCCTTCGAGGTACGGGATGCTTGGAGCTGGGGGACTTATCACGGACCCAGCCCATACACCCTGTCCCAGCAGCCAGCCTAATGTTCCTCCAAACAGGACATACGCGAGCGAGATATCTTTCTGTGTGCCTGACTTCGCCCCGCTGCTTCCCTTGGTGGACATTTTGCCAAGCACAGCCTTGGCGTCCTCTTTCGTCTCCTGTTGTGCTGCGATTGGCGCAAGACAGATTAAGTGCTATTGTGGTAGGGTGCATGAAAGCTTTCATGCTTGCCTTGGTTTATAAACATCTTGTTGGCATGGCTTCTCGATGCACAGTTCGTGGATGCGTCCTACCTTGACAACAGATGTTCAAGCTAGCATCTGATCGAGCTTCAGAGTACTACTTCAACACTGTTCCCTTTTCCTCAGAGTGATCTGCTTTCCCTTTCTCTTCTTCCTCCTTGGACTTCTATCTTACGATCACTGTACTGCAGGCATGCCGTACTGCGCAGCTTCCGGGGCAGCTGCCGCAGACGGATCCTCTTCTGCGGATTCTGGCCTGGTCACGTTCTGGTTGTCAATTTCACAACGTTGCATTCCTGGTCTTCTTCAAATGCGAAATTACTGAGAAGGATACAAACTTAGTTGACTGCGCCACCCTTTGCTTCTGGCCGCTTCTCTTCGCTTTGTCACATCAGATCTGTTTCAGTGATCTTGAATAAATGACATTTCACATCACGTATTCAGCCAGCCATATGCAACACCAGGCTCGTTTCTCAGACATTATCACCAGCACAAGGGGACGTGTCGCATTCAGCAGAAGTCAAGCAATACTAAGCATCGACTCCATCATGTGGGAAAAGTTCTCCTAAGTAAAATTCAGTACTTCTTCAGATGTCTGTAAGCACAGCAGCAGGACTCAGCTGTTACATGAAGGCGCAGGTAGCTGCAGTGAGGAAGGAGACCAATGAAATCCGAAAGGTTGCACTGGTTGCGCTTGGTGGGGATGCGCTGCTGTGACTAGGGGAGGATCCGACAGCCAAAAATCAGGCAAGGCAAAGGCTGATGTGACACCTCTCCTTCAGCATGCCAAGCAGCAGACGACAATGAACACAAAGGCACTGCAGGTTCTGGACAGGCCATTGACCCTAGGCTGAAACGCTGTTGCAGAAGCTGACTCAAAGCACTGCTCTACTGCCTTCTCACAGGCTAAGCATGCACGTTAGGCAGCGACAGCTCTGGCGGCTCTTGTGCAGGAGGAAGGCTACAGCCTCTGTGTGACTCATGGCTACGGTCCCCAGACTGGCCTCCTGGCTCTCAAGGTAGACCATGTTGGAGTCATCACATGTATGTAAAATCACTCCAGCATGGTGATCATTCGGTGCTACATAAGCACAGCAATGGGGCTGCAGGCACCAGAGGAACATCTGGATGTCTTGGGAGTCAGAGGGGCAGATTGGGTATCTGCTAGACACTGAGCTTGCTGGCGCGCTGCCAGATGTTGAGGTGCGCCATAAAAGTCTTTTCTACCAATTAACACCCACATAAAGACTGAGAGCAGAGTTAACTAACTATAAAACATCCCGATTATCTAGGACTTTCCTACCAGGTTTAATGCAGGTGGCTCATGAAGTGACCCTCACTGTGTGCAGGCGGTGTCCATGCTCACCCAAGTTCTTGTTGATGCGAACGATCCAGGTACAGTGTTGCGTTGGTTTCCTTTAATCTCATGGGTCAAGCCTGCATGTGCCATCGAATTGTGTGGCTGAAAATCTGCAGCTGTTTGCAGCCTTTGAATCGCCCTCCAAGTTCATCGGGCTAATGTACAGCAAGGAAGAGGCTGAAAAGTAAACTCTGGCTGCAATTCAGGACTCCAATCTGGCTCTGGGCTATCCCACTGTTGTCAGCAACGCCAAAGGGGAAGATATTTTTGACAGGACAATTGAACAGGAATGTGATTATGGGTGCATCGAGCGGCTAGTCAGATCATCTCAGATGAGTCAATGTGCAGCATGATTTGATAAAGCAAAGAAGACATATGCCGCTTTCTTGGATCAAAGGCCTTGACATGCCCTCAATATGGCAAGACAACTATTTTTACAAACACCGAGTCAACTGGTGGCAAGGATCATTATCAGCGGCGGCCAAGTTACAAGGCTGATGCACTTTCAGTCATCCTGAATGGGCTTTCAGATGCATGCACATTGCACATGCTAAAATGCCACAGGGCTGTGTGCTCGCTCCAACACTCTCTCCCTTGTCGTGATGAGTCATGGACGCCAATGACCAATGATGAGTCAGCATGGTGAGTCACCAGCGCCCTGCCCGCTTACAAGCACTCACAGAAGCTGCCATCTCAGCTGAGAGGCTCCTGCGCACAGAAACAGCACCGTAGGTGGTACTTTATCACGATGATTGCCCGCGATACAATGGAATAAGACTGAATCAAGTATCGTGTGCACAGTCGACTCTACTGGAAACTCAGTCTGCAGGTCACTCTGGAATTCTTTAAATCATCTCATTTGCAATTCTAGCATGCTTCAATATCGTGCATGTTGGAGTCATCTCAGGTCCTGCATTCAAGGTCTCAAACTCAGACATGATTACAAATTTGAACTGCAACACACCTGGCCCGTAGCATTTCCGGATCTGTGGCGGCTGCAGCGGCTGACGTGGCGGCCGGGTCGACAGGCGGCGTTGCCTCCTCCGAGTGCTTGGGGGATTCAATGACGTCCGGGGGATTTTTGTGGATGTAACGGCTGGTCACCCGGTGCCAGACCTCCGGCAGAATCCGCGCGCCGGCATCCCTTAGTAATTCCAGCAGCGCGATGACATCAGTCCGGGCTGCCAGCGCCTCTGCAGAGCAAGCAAGTATGCATTGCAGACCAGAGGTATTTTCAGTGGCATTTGAAAGCCGATAATTCTTTCAACATGTAAAGGGGGCTCAGTCGTGGCCGTTGGCAGGCTTTTGGATGTCCATTTGGAAGCCACAGATTAGCCTTGAAAAATAATTCACAGACGTTCAAAAGCCACATTTCACCCATTAGGAGGCCAAAATGCCCCAGAAAACATTAAGATTGAGCCCAATGTGTCTCAAAACCCCTAACTTTTGCCATTTTTGTGGCTTCAGAAAGTTTATTCAAGCTCTTGAAGCTAACGTGGCTCTTTAATATCAAACCCGGCTGAAAACTGGCCTTTTGGTTCACCTCGGGAGCCACACTGGCCACCAGCAGCAATGCATGAGAGAATCACTAATCAGTAGCAGAAGTGATGTCATGTCTCAGGAGGGGGCAAGCACCTGCGAGAGCAGTGAACTCCTTGACTCGTCCATCTTCAACAAGGGAGTTACTGATGCAAACTACTGTAGCTGTGTGCCCTGTTTCCAGCAGCCACAGCCACAGAACTGCACAGGTGTCTTGATGCCCCTGAAACAGCCAAACTAACAGTTTAGAAATTCAAGACCGTGTTCCTGTTTTCTGTCTTCGTTTTGTACCAATGTGCAACACAAACTGGCAAAATGAACCAATGAACTAATGAACAACACGAACTGAATCCAACTAGGTGGCGAACTTGTTTGACAGCGCCTCACCAATTTTTCGGGTTCCTCGTACCACATTTCCGATGTCTCTGGGCATTATCAGGGAGTTTTGGTCTTCCTAGTGAACTGGCAGTGAAAGGCAAGTCTTTAAGGGTAAATCAGAACCCCATCCCATGATCCAGAAGTAAATGCCCAATCACAACGGAAATATAATACCTGGGATGTAATACTCTGCTGCTATAACAGGCGTGAGCGTGGAATGCATAGTTTCACAGCTGAGCCAGTTCATATTTGCTGTGGCAGCGATTTGCAGAAAACCCTCTGGTGAAAGCTTGCCTGCCTTTAAGCAAAGCCAGGTGCCACCACCCCAGCAGGCAAGAATGGCAGAGTTAAGAGAAAAAAAGACGCAGTCTTATTCTTGGCTGTCTTTGAGAAAAAGTAGACATGGCTAATGTGCAGTGTAATTAACATATTGTGATATCGTATAGATGCTGGGCCCCACCCGGCGGGGGGCGGTACAAGTACTGAGCACCATGCCCACGGTTGATTGGGTCTTGCTTGGATCTGGCGAGTCCAACAAGGGGTAGAATTCTGGCAGCCTTGACTGCAGCTTGTCTGCAGACGCACCTTGCCTCCGGCAGGAAAATCTGGTAATAATAATAACAATGATAACAGTGATAATCATGATAATAATAATAATATTACTAATACTAATACTAATGATGCTGCAGCTCACCTGTTCCACAAGGTGCACTACGGTGGACCACGCCACGCTGAGTGCGCTGTGCGACAGCTCAGCAAGCAGCAGCGCAACAGCTTCCTCATTTCCCATTTCGACCATCTGCTGCACCACTTGTGCCACCTGCAGTAATCCAATCGCCTTCGCACCAAAAGAAGCAGGGGGGCCCAAAAAATGTAGTCTATAGTCCACCCCTTAAAAAAGCCCCATTCCAAACATGGCAAACACATGCTTGCATGACTCATGCGCTGCGCAATGGTTGGTCTAAAGGGCTGTTGCCGGGTCGATTGCCGGGCAAGTCCTGGCAGGCTTCACATGCTCCTGGAAAAAATACTTGCATATCAGTTGTTGCCAACACTTCACAGCTTGAGGGTGCTCCTTGCAAAGCATGAGGCATTGAAACTAAGTGCCAGATAATGGACGCAACATGAAACTGCATCTTTTGCATCAAGGGGGCAATTAGTACCCCCCTTTGCAGTCGGGCAAAGGGTGGTGACTTGGGACTTGGGACTGATCAAGACCTAGGACAAGAACTTGAGACAATCCGATGCCCTTGATATGCTGGTCAAAACTGGAAATGGGGAGCTTGACGTGCACAAAATATTGCTCACCCTCTCAGCGGGCAGAGTCTGTGCCAGAGCACGAGCTCCTTCAGCTGCCAGTTGAGGCCGTCCGGTGGTGACTAAGTTTGCCAGGTGGGAGGCGACAACATCCACATGCCCCATCCTCTTCAGCGCATCCATGACTAAGGCCCACTCGGACGCAAAGCCCGCCCGCAGCATCAGCAACGAGCACTGCGCGTACACAAACACATTTGTTTCTGGGAAATGGTTTACAGACGGTCATGCCTCGCCCAAATCCCCAAATTCTGCCTCTCAGAATGATAATTAGCACGGACTGATGATTCTGTGAGAGTCGCCATTTCAAGCAGGCATGCTTCATCGCCTTTTCCATAGCAAGTCTGCCGGATCAACTCTCTGTCAGTAACTGAAAGCTGCGGCGGATTTCTGTGCCTGCTGCAAGGACAGATTCATATCAGAATGGTCACGGGCAGCAGCTGCTTCTGCAAGAGCAGACGCTCACAGCCCAAAAGGTTTATGGCAGCCATGCAGCCGCACAGTCTGATGCCAACTCACCTGTACCGCAGCCTCCTCCTCGCCTGCCTCGTAGAGCATGACTTCCAAGTCCGCCACTTTCTGCGCACATAACACAATTGTTTTTGTTGTTGTTTCACGCCTTTTCTGCCCGAGGTGCGCAGACACATGCATGGCTGCCGACATGTGCTATTTGCATCTGTATATGCTGTAGTAGGTCTATGACGCAACCCCACATAGGAAAAGAGTCAATCGGTCCAAGTGGAAAAAGCCTAACCCAGAGAACAGATCTAGCACGTACACGGCTTCTGGCTGGCGGGAAGACGGAGTTAGTACAGAGCACCATGCCGTCGGTTGATCGGTGTTGCATGGATCTGGCGAGTCCATTGAGTTGCAGGCTTAGTGGCAGCCCTTGCTGCAGCTTGTCTGCAGGAAGCGCCTTGCCTTTTGACAGAAATGGCATGTAATAATATTCATAAAGTTGAAATAATAAAAATAAAATAACAAAATTTCATAACCATAATCATAATCATAATTAAAATCATAATTAAAATAAGAGTAATATGAATACTTACTTTTAGGGTTTATGCTAAGTATGCTGTATATTTATAAGCATGCTAGTAATACTGATACTGAGACTCACAATTTCAGGCCCACCTGCGAATCCCCCAGGAGCACCATTTCGACCTTAGTCACGGCCGCCACCCAGGGGTGGCACTCTTTTATCATGCTGAGTGTGCAGTGTGCCGCCAGGCGTGCGCCCCCACAGTCCATCAGCCTGGAATCTAGCTGCAGCACAGCGCACCGTACTAATCAGTGTAGCAGTAAGAGTAGTACTCTTGGTTCTAAAAAAAGTACATGATTTTCATGTCAAGAGGCAAGCACACTTGAAGCTTGCCAATATGGTACCCATTGTTGGACTTGCCAGATCTAAGCAAGGCCCAATCAACCATGGGCCAGCCCAAGCCAATGTATAAACCGCGGAAGAAAATTGTTTCTGTCAAAGGGGTTGGACTTTGCAACCATTTGCTGCCGCAGTTCAAACCCCGTGATGCTTTTGAAACCAGATTTGCAGAGCTCTCTACGAGCACAATGAAATGGAGCCTGAGGTGATCGCTAAATTTATTGATTAAGCGCAGACCTTTCATGTCTTGTGGAAGTCACCTGGCGCATGCGCTCTTGGGTGCCTGATCTGGACCGCACAGGGCATGATGATGTCAGCTTTGTGATGACATCAGAAGAAGAATGATGTCACGTTTGCGATGACATCAGGAGGAAGATGCTATCACCTCTGGGATGACATCAGGGGCGAGGGATGACGTCACCTTGGCGATGACATCAGGCCGGCCCATTTTGGCGATGGCCAGGAAAACTTGACTCAGCGCCCCGTGATGCTCCATTTGGTCCTTGAAGCACTTGCAGACCACCTCAGTTTGCCCCAAGTTGACAAACTCAGTCACCATTCGCGCAACCACATCCGGTCGACCGAGCCTGCAAAGCCGGGCAGATCGTGATTCCAGAGGCCTAAAACCTCTTACCCTCCCTAAATACCGAACTGGGCCCAACACTTCGAAAAGTCATGATAAAAATTTCGCAAATATCGAAATAATAAATAACTGTCTTCAGAAAGGGTAGAAAAGTATTTATTCCAACTCCAAAAATAACGCTCTGATATTTCTCAAGGCGGCTTTGGAAAGCTTCTGATGAGGGATTCCATTGAAGTCACTATCCGCACTCTTGCATTGTGGATTTGCCATAATGCCCTCCCAAATAACATGTGACTAAGGTGCAATCCGACTTGAATTAGGACGAGTGCGGCATATACCAGCCCTGATAAAAACCGTAAAGTCGAAGCCATAAATCAAATTATTGAGTATTTCCACTGGGACAATGTTCTTGCAGATCGCACTCACAGAGGCATTGCATGCTGAGCCATGCTACGGAGATGCATGCAGTGTTCTTTAAAGTGGCTTCTAATAGCCAATCTGCTTTGAAGTGTTGATTTGGACAAATTTGTGACCGGGTATAGGCCTTTGCACGTTCGCTTGGAAACCACAGATTGGCTCTGAGAAGTTATGTCCCAAATGCGAAAAAGCGGCATTTTGCCCTCTTTGAGCTGAAATTCCCCGAACTTCTGAGGTTGTTTTCTCCTCTGGCTGAAAATGATTCTATGTAGATGCGCGCACAGCCTTCTAGAAGATCTTGGTTTGCGGGTGGGCAGCGCACCTGACAAGCTCATGACAGGGGGAGCCAGCTAGGGCCTCTCCAAGGACAACCATGCCATTTTTGACCTGGCAGGCTAGTGCAAGGCCACCTAAGTCCACGAGGGAAGCTGTGATTTGGGCAACCTCCTTCGCATGCCCAGAGCGAACCATCCACAGGCTGACAAGCGCAATCTCATCCACGTGCCTGCACATAAGCGCACTCAGCGAAGATGTCACTCTGGCCACATCAGCGCCGCCGCCGTTGCCGAGGCTTCCATTGGAAGGGGTGCAGATTAGTCATGCGGTTATGACTCATCGGCCATGACAGATGCAGACTGTACTAACATGGTGCTTGGTGGCTTCCAGTCTTTATTGGCATTGGCTTTAGGGCTGGATTGCCCTGAGCAACCTCTGTCTAGACCGGGACAATTGCAGTCACAAAGGGGTAATTCGCCCTCAGGATGCCTGCTTGTGTCCCTCAGCTATACACGGGGTTTCTCGCATTGTACTCACAAACGCAGCATCCTTAGAGCGCCAGCAAGACAGGGGTGAGAATGAGATGTGGTCATCGGATCTGACTGCAGAAACTTGGCCACCCTCATGAGAGGGATGTTAAGATAACTTGAATGACGTTGATCTTTCTAATAGCAGCACCAGCTCACCCTTTGGAGATGAGCAGGGCATAGATGTCCCTGGCATCCTCCAATTTTCCCTCATGCAAAAGTGATGTCAGCAGATCTGCCACAATCGGCGCATCTCCTCGCCTGCATCAGCCGGATATGAATTCGAGTACAAATCTGAGACCCTTGGAAATCTCTCATAAACCTGGGAACAGTTCAAAGCCCTGACGTGCTGCTGTTTCCGAGCAATGCTTCTGACAGGTGCATTTGCGCATGCCTTCAGCTTTGTGAAGATGGGCATTTTGAAGTGGGCACACGGATGGAACGACATAAATACTGTATATGAAAGGTCGCATCCCTCCAGATGCATAGGGTGTGCATCTGCCGCAAGCAAGTACTGAGATGCCACTTTGCTCATCCAATGCTTGCAACGCAACAGAGATAACGTTCACATGATCGACAATGGGAAAGACAGCCCTGCACCTGATCATGCAAGGAATGGTAAGACTCGAAAGCAACAACCTAGATATTCCCTGACACACCTAGTCCCTAAGACTATAATTGTGTAGAGCTAATAATGATAGCGGCGATGATGATAAGGATGATAGGAACAAGAACTGTGATAGGGATAGTACTAGTACCTGACCATCGCAGTTGCAAGACTCACGGCTGTCAATACCTGTCCGCTCTGCAGCAGGTGCTCGCAGATGCAAACCAGCACCGTCAGCCGCCCGCGCTTTGCCGGGGCGGCCGCCGCGGCAGCTGCCGCATCCTTCTCACCCTCTTGAATCAGCTGCATCAGCAGGACAACCACCCTTGAGACCTCAGTTGCAGAGGTAACATATCTGATATATTTCCCAGTGTCAGATGCAGAATTCAGCGGGTGTTGTTACACGCTGTTCCCGCCAGAGACAAGGTGCGTATGCAGTCAAGCTTTGCCGGGGCGGCCACGGCTGCGACTGCCACATCAGCATCACTGTTCTTGAATAATCTGCATCGGCATGTCAAATTTGAAAAAGGGTGTGCGCATCCCTACTTCAAGCTGGCAGCCAGCTGTCCAAGATGCAGCTTGTGTGGTGATGAATGCTCTGTGAGAGTCATTGCGAGGCCAAAGAGTGTGTGCAAAGCTGTTCCATAACTCATCCTCAGGGAGATCATTATGACATCTTGGGAGTCAGAAAGCTGCCAGTAGATTTTGACATGCTCTATTTTGACAGTCACACCCATGAGGCCCAAGACTGAGTTACTGCATGGTGACACTGAAAATGCAGGTGGGCAGGTATGCTGCACTCATCAAGTCAGAGCTTCACCAGTGGCTCTGTAAAACCAGCTCGGCAGAGACATTGACTGAGATCCGAGTTTGTCAGGGAAGAGTAGCAGCAGCTGCGTGCCTGCTGCAGGATGCTGGCTGCTATGTCAGGCCGCTTGCTCCTCTCTACTATCCATTCCAGCACCTTTGCTAGCAGCCCAAGCCCCCATCGGCCCATGCGCGCTAGGAACTTGACGGCTGCCAAAACGCCTGCACATGCGGCGGTGCTTGTGAGCGGACTTTAATTGTTGCGCCGGTGTCAGTCACACCCTTAGTTGACAGGATATGTGTCAAATTGACAGTGGCATTTGACAGCTTGCCCCCGGCTGGCGGGGGCCGCGGCGGTTCAAGTACTAAGCTCCATGCCCACGGTTGATTGGGTCTAGCTTGGATCTGGCGCGTCCATCAAGGGGTAGATTTGTGGCATCCTTCACATGCAGCTTGTCTGTTGGCAGGAAAAGCGTGTAATAATTATAAGGCTTGGGTGTAAAAAAGAAACCTGCCCGAGCGTCAGAGCTCAAAAATGACTGCTGCAACAACTGGCTCAGGAAATCGGAGTATTGACGGTAATCAGATACCGTGGGTACGCTCTGCGTCCACGAGCTCCACCATCCACCCTCCCAAGAGGCCGACGCATGCTTCACCCATGTGATCTGCAGCGCCAGTGAAACCAGATTAATCAAAGATCCCTGTATTTGGACGTTGTGTATCCCTGAATCTGCATCAAGTGGCGGCACTCAGTGCTTGACGACTACTTCCATCGGTTGCACAATCAAGAACACAGGACTTCCACGCCTGAAATGTCCCACCTCTGTCGATCAAGCGAGGAGTCTAATTTGTCCGCAGCGTCATAGGGTCAATCGGGATTGAAATGTAGGTGTTTCTGCGTCCCCATGCCGTGAGCCGCACAGGGTCGAGGTCGCCTGGGTACCTGCACGGTGGGATGTCTCCAAAAACGAGGCATTTCTGTGAAGGCGTTATCAAGACTGGACATTGAACGGCTCCAAGGCCTAGTTCAAGGCGAGAGACTGGCGCTTGTGACGATCCTTGCTTTGTCACCAAGGATTTGGTGGGCAGCCCATTTGCCAGTTCATGGGCACATCGGGCAAGGAAGCTGGCACCAAATGCTAACACTACAGGATTTATCTGGATGCCACCAGTTGACTCGGGTTGACTGTAAAAATAAATCAGTTGTCTTGCCATATTGAGGGCATGTCAAGGCTTTTGATCCAAGAAAGGGGCATATTTCTTCGTTGCTTTGTCATTCTTCAAAAGAAGCAGCCAAAATCGAAATGCTTGGATTGCCTCGTCATACGCAACTCCTTACATTGGAGTGGATTCCGGGAGGCATATTAGGGGGTGAATGGCAACTTTGGGTGACTGCCTTCAGATGCTGACATGGAGATGATCAGTTCCAGCACATTTTTCATGAAACAACAGCATCCTTGAACTTGTCCTCATTAGTCTCATTTTGTCACAAAGACTATTCCAAACTCTATCAAGCTGACAGATGTGTTTAGCTCCAGATGGCTCAGACTATTCCAAACTCATTTTAAACCTTTAATGCCGCAGTCGGCCACGCTCCTGTCTGCAGACATGTCATCAAGGATGGCTACCAAGCAGGTAAAGATTCATCAGTTCTCAGTGCAGCATGTGATAATGGCGGCCACTCCATGTGAACTCTGATGCATATTCAAAAACAGCACCATTCCAATGATGACCCATGGCGCGTCCAGTCACCAGCTTCCAGCCCGCTCCCAGGCGCTCGCAGAAGCTGCCCTCTCAGCAGAGAGGCTCCTGCGCACAAATTGAACATTATTCTGGTATCTATTACTAATAATATTAATATTACGAGTACACGCTTTTCCTGCCAAAATCAAGGTATGCCTTGCAGACAAGCTGCAGTCAAAGGCTGCCCCAATCCTACCCCTTGTTGGACTTGCCAGATCCAAGCAAGACCCCATCATCCGCGGGCACGGTGCTCAGCATCAATACCGCCCCCCGCCAGCCGCTTGCAACTTATATTGCAGGGAAAAGGGCATGAAAGCACACAAGAGCAATGAGCGCTGTTGCCTCTACCAGGAATCTCAACACGCTGAACACTCGCATCAACTGAAATGCCAATACTCTGATACATTTCAGGGCTTGACAACCTTCAATACGCACGGTGAATTTTTTTGAAAACCCTGATAATTAGAATTAGGAAAAACTTCTTGAACTGCCAGTTTTTTTTTAATTTTGGATTAATAATTTTCAGCTCACCTGCGCCGCCCCACCTCAACGGCTGAGGCGGATGCAGCGGCTGACGTGGCGGCCATGTCAGCAAATGGGGTTTCCTCCCTTGCCAGCAGGGAGGACCTCTTAGTCATCCTGGGGGATCCATTAGTGACGCCGGGGGATATTTGATTGATTGCGCGCGAAGTCGCCCTGTGCCACACCTCGGGCAGAATCCTCGCGCCGGCATCCCTTAGTACTTCCAGCAGCGCTATGACATCGGTCTTTGGTGCCAAAGCTTCTGCACATGCGCGAACGCATCACCAATAAGAATTGCACAGATTGCACAGCAGTCAATTGATCAGTCGCACCACCTTGCTTCCAGCCAACTCAGGACAGACAGAAGGTCAAATAACGCCTTACTCAGAATAACTGTAGCAAGACATTTCGCTGTATTCACAATGCAAAAGCTGCTTCTAATCATATCCAATGGAAAGCAATGAGGGCTTTCCAAACACGCCTTGACGCCCCTATATTTTTGGAGACACCCTCTTATTTTGCGACCCTTTTTACAAGTATTTACTGGTTTTTTGCCTCACAAGTAGGCCGTGTAAGTTACTCGAGCGGGCGCAGAAGCCTTTAGTGAAAGATGCTCTCAATTCAGCGATTCACGAGCAGCGTACCGGCAACAGCAGCGGATTCTTTGATGTATCCCTGTGCTACGATCTCGTTGCTGATGCTGATAAAGGCTGTGATGTGGCCAGTTACGAGCAGATTCAGCAGCAGAGTGGCAGAGGTATCCTGGTGTCCCTGCATAATATGGAGCATCTCTGCCATCGACAGCAACCTCCCGTCATAATAAACTTAGCTGTCCGTCAGGTATGATGCTGACATCAGCAGGCATAATGTTTCCATCCACCTCAGCGCAACCAAGGAAGATGGGCAGCCGATTAAGTGCATGGGACAAGAAAGAAGCAGCCTCTCATATGACCAATGCACACGCGGGGACTTCTCTTACATTCAAGACATCGTTTCAGAGTGAAGGGGCAGATCATGGAGCGGCTGTGGTGGAAGCTGCCGCGCACCTGCTGCACTAACTTGATGACAATGCTGCATGCCACGCTGAGTATGCTTTGCGCCAGCTCAGCGAGCAGCCGCGCGGCAGCTTCCTCATTCCCCATCTCCACCATCTGCTGCAGAACAACTGCCACCTGCATGCGCCATCAATAAAGTCCCTTGGGTAACGCGAAACACCGAAATATAGATGCCACTGATGTTCTTAGCAGTAATTTCTGTCACCATTTTAGTCAAGGCACAATCCCGTTGTGCAGCTCTTGCAAGGAAAGCAGCCATTAGACAGCCATCTTTACTTGACTGTGGTGCAGCAATTTGACATTTCTCAGGACACGTGCTCTCAGAGAGATATGAGCCATGAAACGGCTCTCAGAGTTGCCCATTCGAGCTCTCAGCCCAACTCCTTCAAGGGGCTGCTGAAGGGTCCAAGGTCAGGAGAAATGCCACAAGGCGTGTGGACCTCTCTGAGTGATTCAACTCAGCTTGGTAGCCAGCGGTTCTCCAGTGGCTTAAAAAAGCCACGTTAGCCCTATTTATTCTGCCTCTATACTGAGATGCCTGGAAACCACTAGTTTGAGCCAAGATTTTCCCCCAAAATCCTATTTTCTATCCACATTTTGGCTTCAGCCCATTTGTTCCAAGACTTGTTTAAGGCCACGTCGGCTATCGGCCAAAGTCCGTACTAGAAACACTGTTGGTAGCATGCTGGCCGCCCCAACACTCACATGCGCAATTTGTTTTGCCTCAGGTGGCTCCCAAAAGTTGTTTAAAATGTATTTATAATTATGATAATAACATATTAATGCACATCGCACCTTTTCTGCGGGCAGCGACTGTGCCAATGCTTGGGCTCCCACAGCCGCCAGCTGGGGCCGTCCGGTGGTGACTAAGTTTGCCAGGTGGGAGGCCACAATTTCCGCATGCCCCATCACCATCAGCTCATCCATTACTAACGCCCACTCGCATGCAAAGCCCGCCCGGAGCACCAGCAGCGAGCACTGCCCATGTCCAGTGAAACTTCAGTCCCTTCATTACCCTTTAATACCCCATATGACCCTCTACCCTAATTCCTGAACAATAAATCATAAAACCCAGGAAAACACAAAGTGGAAATCAAATCACTGCCCACCCCTGCGCCGTTGGTCATGTGTAGGAAATTCTCAGCACGTGGGGACAAAAGCACACTTGAGAAGAAGAAGAAGAGAGCAGCGTGTAATTGTCCCCAAGCAGATTATAAATGGAACAGTCATGTGATGTCATTAGGTGTGTGCAAACAAAGAGAGCCAGTGCTTGGCTTTAATCAGACGCACGAGAATTCCTGCACCTGTGCAAGCTGCTCACAGAATTTGAACCTAGATTTTTGAAAAGTCGTTGAATTCAGAGACCCCCACCTGCAGTGCACATTCCTCCTCTCCATCGCTGTAGAATCCAATCTCCATCTCCGCAACCTTCTGCGCATCACAAGCAACCACTCTTAGAGCTGCTGTGCATCACGTGGGCTAGTTACTCGCCATGGGCACCCCTTGTCAGCCTTGCACATTTTGCCATGCACTGTTTGATCAATTGAATGCTGTCAGTACATCCCATCAGCTCTGGGCGGCTATAGATGATATGTACTTTCCTTCTGTCATGCAATACTGCGTGGCTTGGCCCAAAATCATAGAAGGAACACACAATCAAAGATCACGGTACCAAGGCACACGCTTAGTAATGCATGACAACAACTGCTCGAGGCAGCGTAGAGGCAACCACAGCCACCTCAGGCATGACCCTCAGGACGGTAGTCTGACAATCTCAGACCTTTTCTTTACCATGCTTCTTTCAAGAGCAGCACCGATGTCACAGCAAGCACATAACGCACCAGCGACAAAATTCAATTTAATATGAATATTGATACAAACTAATAAAAAAAGACTAAATTTTACAAGGGCCTCCACCTTTGCTTCCCCTTCGCGCACCATTTCCACTTTGGATACTGCAGCGACCCTGGAGCACACAGAAACGCCACCAGCCATCTTCAAGTCTCAGTCCTTTTGTTCGGACGGGATAGTGACAATCATTACACAATCAATCTGCAGGTAACTCCTGCAGACAGGCTTCGTTTTTAGGCTGCTACAATCCTGTCCCTCAAAGGACTCGTCATCATGGCCTGCCCTTGGACTGCAAAATTATTTCCTGCGAAGATTTTTGATTGTGCATGCCGTGGTTCTCCAGTAGCTGGCAAAGGTGACTCGGCAGTGACTCACCAGGGATGGCATTGCTTGATCACAGTCTCAGTGCAGCGTATTGCCAGATGTGCTTTCCCATGCTCCATGATCCCCTTTTTGATCTGCAGCAGAGGCATCAGACTAAATTTCATTATTCTGCGATACACAGATTCTCAGGTACAATCTCAGCAGGCTGCAGGCGAGCCCAACCTAACTGAGAAAAGCATTCAATGCCGCATGCAATGCTTTCTATTGCACTGAATGCCAGGAAGCCGCCATTTGATAGGGCATGCTGATGTCACCTCTGCAAGCATTGCTGCCATGCCTACTAACCTACAATTCAAACCCTTATTTCATATTCAAGCTGGGTTGCCCGATTAGGACATGGCATAAGGATGATGTCATCACCTGTGCCATGACATCAGGGCGCGCCATTTTTGCAATAGCAAGGGACACTTCCGCAAATGCTGCCTCGTGGCCCACTTCATCCAGGCTCTCGATGCATTTGACGACTACTTCAATCTGGCCAGCATTGACAAGTTCGGTCACCATTCGTGCAACCACATCTGGGCGCCCCATCCTGCAACCAGGGCAAAAGCAAGTGCCACCAGTGCTTCTTGTAAGGATTTTGGTTGGAACCAATGTGGCTACAAACATATGCCCAACAAAAAAATCAAGGCCACAGAAATGGCGAAATTTGGGAACATTTTAGTGAAATTTGCCCTGAAAAATCTGATTCATGGGTGTTCCTTTGCTACCAAGGGATGAATGGAGGCTTCCTGCCCAAGTAGGTAGGTCCTTAGAAGTCAATCGGTGGCTTCAAAGTGGGACACTCTCAGGTAATCTATGCGCCACAAAAGTGCCCTATTCATTCTTATAAAGCTGCATGGGCATGGGGAAGCCGCTGAAAGAGAATCTGAATGTCACCTCTATTTAGATGACAAGTCATGAATATCAGATCTCCAATAGCAGCTTGTCCTACAGATCCTGCAGCAATACTTCCGCATGTTTCTGCGCGTTGTGTCTTTTCGGGGCTTTCAAAAGCCGATGCGACTGTAAAGAATGACTGAGACTGCCTGGCGGGCGCCAAAGATTGGCCATTCAAAATTGATCTGATTTTCTTATGCAGCTTCCTCTGGTGTCCATCAGGGGACCTTATTCTAATGGTCAGGGACACTCTTATTAATGTTAGTAATATTATGGTATGTGATGGGTTTGCCAGGCAAACCTGACAAGCTCTTGAGCGGGGCAGTTCTCCAGCACATCGCCCAAAACCACCATCCCATTCTGGGCTTGGCAGGCGAGTGCAAGGCCGCCAGAATCCACAAGGGAAACTGTGATCTGTGACACAGTGTTCGCATGCCCCGATTTGAGCATCCACTCGCAGACAACAGCGACCTCGTCGACATGCCTGCGCATGCATGCGTCCTGGTTGGTGTCATGCTGATGTCAGCAGTCACTACCTGGATTACTAACGGGATTAATAGCCTGCTGACCCTGCTGCGCTTTTGAATGCCAGCCAACAGCCCCACAATGAAGAGACCACCAATGTTGCCTTCATGATTTACCTAAACTGAGTCCATGCCACAAGCTCATACAAAGTTAAGATACAAATACATATTTTGCATATTCTGCATCTTTTTGAGAAATGCAGGACCTTTCCTGCAGCCTACAGTTTCAAGGCTTGCACAATTTCATTGTTAAATCAAAGCAGTCAGCCAGCAAACTGTAATTGGGCCAGGGTTGCTCAGAATCATGAGTTGGCAGCAGCAAATTGACAGAAAAGGTCAGCGAACCCTTTGGAGATGAGCAGTGCATAGATGTCCCTGGCGTCCTCCAGCCTCCCATCTTCCACCAGTGATGTCAGCAGATCTGCCACAATCGGCGCATCTCCCCGCCTGCAACAGCGTACTTGATTTCAAATTTGAGACCGCTTGAGTAACGTCTCAAGTCGGGCTGTATGCTGCCCTCGCCCTTGTGTCACTAAGCTTCAATTTTCTGAGGGGCTTTATGGTGTATACAAATTAGCTGATTCATGGCATGTCCTTGTGTATCCCTCTGCTCTCCTAATCACCCACCCAGTGAATCACAGGTGAGGCAAATTGTGCAGCCATATTCTACTGACAAGTAGTACTGGCGTGTCAGATGACATTGAAGCATGGCGTGGAACAACGTCTCTGGCTCCGTATAAAAAGGCCCATCACCTTTGCGCCTTCTGCTGCACTTCAGCACGGGCTTCACATTACATCTGTGAAGCGTGCAAGTGTTCCCTGCCATTCAGACGACAGGAAGGAGCTGCTCGTATGGAGCACTTTCTACGGGTAGTGATGCAGCTCATGCAAGGCTTCGTGAGTAATTTAGCATGCATGGCTACAGCTTGTCCTGGTAGATGTGGTCTGATCACCTGACCATTGCAACTGCCAGGCTGACAGCTGCAAGCACCTGACCGCTCTGCAGCAGACTCTCAACAACGCGCAGCAACACCGTCAGCCGACCGAGCTTTGCCGGGGCGGCCGCCACCGCAGCCGCCACGTCAGCATCGCCCTCTTGAATCAGCTGCACAACAAATATTGAATTTAAAATCCTGGAACACTTGAACTTGATCTGATTGCAGCATGCAGACGCCCTGGTTTCAGTCAGCTGCTTCAGCAAAGAGTCGCCGTGTTGCAATTTGCAATCTGCATGAGCGCTGGCAGCATGGATCAGACGGGTTTGTAATGCTTTTGCACAGGAATATTTCATTCTTAAAGCTTACGTGCATCAAAAATGCGTGAGAGATCAGAGGGCTGCATGCTAGACACCTGATGGAATACCCTTGACTCCCCTCAGAAAGGATTTGGGCAGAGGAATTTGGGGAGGGCCGGAATTCAGTCATGCAGGTGACTAACTACTGTACTTATCAACGTTTGTGCTCTGCCCGACCAGCCAAGCTTGACTGATGGCCAGATGACAGTACAGCACAGCAAAAAAAATGGGATGTCAGTGAATGGTCTGCCAACGCCCCTTCTTGTGAGCTCTTAAGGACCGGCGCAAGAATATGTAAAGGCGCTTGCCCGTTGTAAGACGGCTGCTGCCGCGTCCGGCCGGTTGCTCCTGGCCACGATCCAATCCATCAGGTTGGCCAGCAGCCTCCCTTTGCCTATCCTTGCCAGCCCCTTGGCAGCCACAAGAACACCTGCACGCCAGTGGGACATCATTTAGTGCCATGGAAGGTGAATGTCATGGCCGAGAGCAATCTTCCCAATGTAGAAGAGCAGGCAGACCCATCATGTGCATCGATTTGGAAGGTGCAAACGCGCGAGACACTGCCATGTGCACCCACCAGGCTTGACAGGAAAATGGTTCCAATGCATTGATGGTGTATGTCTTTTTGTGAAAAATTGCTCTGAGCCAAAGCTGGGCGTCAGCCACTCACATTCTGTGTGCCCTGCGTCCACGCGGTCGATCACCCATCGTCCCAAGATGCCGACGCCCGCTTGCTCCATACGGACCGAAGATCAACTCTAGCTTTTCTTCTATCTCGTGATCGAGATTTTATGGCCTTATCAACCCGCGTCCAGACTGTAGCACGGGGTGCCTGTCCACATGGCGGATTGACTGTGCCTTGACATCTGGTTCCCTTCGTGACCGCTGCAGTCCTTGACACACTATAAAATCAGATCCACTTATTCGATTGTATTGGTCAGTTACTGGTGTAAATACTCCAGTGCTCCTAAGTCTCGGGGATTCAAACGAAATTTTGCGTTGGGATGGCTGACGGAGCTGCCCGTATCAAGTCAACATAATCGGCGACAACAGCCTAGTCTCTTTTGCGAGCATTTCTCCATAAAATTGACGTCTTTTTGAAGGCGTCAACCTTGGATAGCTGTTCACCTGGAGGTTCACTCCAAATCCATTGCATTGTCATTTCACACAAGCAGCTGGCTCCAGTTCGAAACCCTCGCTTCGCCTCGTCGAAGTGTATCCTTACAAGAGGCACATGCAGAGCACCTGACAATCTGATGGCCTTGCTGTGCACAGTTTTTTGACTGCGCAGACATGACCTGCAACACAGTACATCTGTGCTCCACAACTTGTGTGGTTTGCGGCTCGAAAGCTGACAGCAAACTCCATCTGGTGCACAAGAACTTTTCTGCGCCATGGTGGTCACTGAACTGGCAAGGTATCTCAGTGCCTTTGGAAAGGCCTTGGCAGGCACTCAAGATGGCAAGACAGCTGCTATACTTCAGTAGACAGCCATCCGTCATCCAGCCGTGATGTTGGCATGTGATCGCAGCAGGCACGACTTGGGCAGGCAACACACAACAGATAGTCGTGCTCGCTTCCAAATCTAAATCAGATTGTCAAGCAAGACAGTCACAGGAGCTCTCACAAATGCGCATGCAACGCTGACCATTCACTTAGTCACCTTCCGCCGAGCACTTGGGTCAGTCAGTCAGTCAGTGAGCCAGTCAGTAAAAGGACAATGCATCCAATTCAATAATACATCAGCTTCACTGCCCAGCAAGTTGACAGGAAGACCATAATCTCGAATTGCGTCTGAAATTATTCAAAATTTGCTGCTGAAGTTTGGCGCGATCACGCCGCATGAATCACATTGCCGAGCAGGATTTGACAGGCTCTCAACTGAGATCCTGGGTCTGCCCAGGCCGTCTGAGACAGCAGTTTCTCATGTCTCTGTGTTACCCATCTCCACATATTACCTGCCAAATGACCTTGGCAGTCAATGTTCCTGGGCCAATAAGAAGCCCACCCCAGAGCTCCTGATCTCAGAAGCACAAGCCCAATCCCAGCCAGGATCCCCTTCGAAATGTGAAACCCTGCTCCCCACTAATTCAAGCTTTCTTATGCATCTTATCCCCTCTCCTTTCGCTTGACACAATTTTCCATTCTGCATTACACTGTTGTCATCGAGTGCCTATTTGTACTGCGCCCGATTGCCCTGACAGCTCTGTTGATTCGCACGACCGCATCCGTGTGCCCGGTGCCCGCAAGCCTCACCAAAATCGCCGCCACAGAAGGCGCCTGCCCCTGTATGGGCAACATGAACAGATCAAGCCTACAGACATGCTGCATCGGAGTGAACACGCCCAGAATGCAGGACGGCTGAAAGCTCCCAGCATGCGTGTGCTTGATCAGAAGTCATATCTTTTGGGGCATGAGGGGTGTGTGAAACCACAGCAGACAGCGCCAGGTCCATCACTCTCTTCCTCTCATGCTTTATACTCACACCCTCAGTGTCTGAGCTGGCGGCCAGACTGGACTGTGAAATGGAGATCTTGGCATGCCGTCGATTGCCAGGCTCATGTGGACAAGCAGCAGGCATTAAGACAGCATTTGCCATCCACCAAGGAAACTACAGCTCATCTGCAGCTTTCTATTTGTGTGAAATGAGAGCCATGCATTCTCACAAGGTTTTCAGCCAAGTCACAGCGACAAGTCTACAAGGCTTTGTCACTTAAATGTAAGCTTTGCAAGGTTGATGAGATCATGAGATGCTTGCCTGCCGGACCATCAGTATGACGGCGTTGCGCGCAATTTTGGGGGACCGGTTGGCCACGGCTGCCAGTAGCTCGGAGGCTGCGTGATTTCTGCCGGACGCCCAGAGCTCCAACAGCAGCTGCGCCACCTGCGCGCACATGCCGGCACATGCCATGTCATGTGCATGCCAAGAGCTTTTCAAGACTAGCAAAGATCAAGCAGAATCTATAGTAGGGATTGTATTTCTGACAATTAAGGTGATTTGGTATGTGGATGAACTGCCGCATGCCAGGTCAAAGGTCAGTCCACACGGTATGCTCTGCCACAGGACTGCCACATGCTGCCAGGTCTCAGGGGCTGCATGCGAGCCAAAGGGAGATCTCCTGGACTTTCCGACTGGCTGGTTGTAGCAGACAATAGGATGTCCCTCGAGAGTTCTCTTCCTCCTGAGAAATGCAGCTTGCAGACAACGCAGGCAAAGGCTGACATCTTCATCCCTGCCGCTGACTGGACTGGCCACTTCAGACAAATATCATCAAGGTATTGCAGTAATGCAATGTACTCATACTGACACAAGGGCTGCCGCCAGGAAATTCCCCATGGGCTACAAACGAACAGATGAGGTGTTTGGGGGCTTCAGAAATGTGCGCTCACCGCTCTGGCGCTGGTTCTATGGGCCAGGAACGCCACAGCAGACGATGTCAGGTACGGACCAATCACATCCATGAGAGCCGCCACCCGTTCGGCCACCGCAGCCGTCTCTCCCATTCGCAGCAGCTCTCCCGCAATAGCCGCCCACTGCAGTTTCGACAAGTAAGGGGTTCGTTTTAGTATTGTCGCTTTGGGCAGACTACGAAGGCCAGGTGCAATTCGGCAGCAATTGTGTCAACCTCTTCCATGAATTACCTGCCCTTGCTCTAAAGCCTGGAGTACCCTCCCGCACAGCACATTGTGCTTAGAAAGCACTAGAATTCATCTGCCCTGGGTTTTGGCGTCTGACAATTATCTCTATACTTAAATCAAAGGTTTATTTGTTTAGGGTTAGGGATTAGAACTTAAAGCTTAGGAATCCTTATTATTATCATTACACGCTTTCCCTGCCAAAAGGCAAGGTGAGTCCTGCAGGCAAGCTGCAGTCAAAGGCTGCCACAATCCTACCTCGTGTTGGACTTGCCAGATTCAAGAAATACCCCATCAACGGTGGGCACGGAGCTTAGTATTTATATCGCCCCCCGCCAGCCGGGGCCAAGAAATTAAGTAATTTAGGGTTTAGGGTTTAGGGTAAACCCCGAACATTTTCCTTTAAGAAAGCTCGTCATATTTTGAATGTGGATGCCCAACGCCTTCCGACATGTTTTGCTCGTGCAATGCACCCTGGCAAGTGGTTTTGTCCAGCACCAATAGTGTTTGCATTCTTTAATGAAGCTGACAGGCATGAAAATCCCCGTCAGAGAAGAACAGATGCACCTCTTCCACTTTGCCGCCCCTGATGAGCAGCATGGATGTGTGAACCATCTGCGCCTCCAGGCCTCTCCTGGACAGCTCCAACTCGACTCTGGCTGCAGCCTGCAGGCATCAATTGCAGCAATACTATGAAAGAGACAGCGTGGAAAAGCTTGCCAGTCACTGGTGGTGTTGCTATCAAGATGGCCAACCTCTAAAACCAGGACTAATCATTCAAGTACTGCATTTGCCGCAGCCTCATGAGCCGACAAGACACTGCCATCTTGTGGTGAAGAGTGGGGGCACACGCAAAGCAATCGGCTTGCAATGGTGGCAAGCCACAGATGAACCACAATCTAACATCCCAGCTAAAACAAACCTTCTGCAGAGAGATCCAATTGGAAGGCACATCCAGCCCTCAAATATGGAAAAGAGCCTCCCGAGCATCTCGCAGCAGAGGTTTCATTGGGCAGTGAGGCTCATTGCAGGCCATCAGCAGTTGCCACTCAAGCTTCACATTTGTGCCATGACAATACAGACTGTCCACTTTCGTAGAAACCACAGAGTTCCTGCGATGGTCAAGTCAGGGGCGTGCCTGCACATGTCCTTGGAGCACCATGTGGTCTTCTGTGGCAGCCGCCGCCCAAAGAAGCTCCCCATGAAGCAGCGCTGCCAGGCAGCTGGCAGCCAGGTCCAGGCGTTGCCTCCCGACGAGCTCCGCAACAATCTGCTTAGCAAACCTCAAACTGATCTGTCAAGTTCAAAGTGCCACGGGTCCACTTTTGGAGTGCGACGAGAGAAGATGCTGACAGTGAGGAGCTGCAAGCATGACTGCATGTCAGGCATTGTCGTGTGATATGGAGGCGGTGCAAAATCAGGCGCCTTGGCGAAACCCCCCACCCTTGCCATTGGGTCAATGGCAGCTAAACAACAAATGAGTTGAGAACACCTACCAAGAAGACTAGCAAAACCCACAAGCCGAGGCCAGAGAACACCAAGGGCGCCGCAAGCTGCCTGGTGCCCAGACTGTGGATCGCAGCAAGAGGGAGAGAGCGGACCATGCTGCAATAAAATAATATTTTTTTTGATTTGAGGGTTGGTTTAGGGTTTATGGTTTAGGGTCTAGGGTTGGCTGAGAGCGGACCAAATACTCATGTGGCGAGCAAATCATGCAGTATGTAGCTGGGATGGCCTCAGGAAGAAATTTGCAGTGAGCGGGAGAAGCAAGCATGACTGTTCGTTAGGCCAGGCCATGTAACCGCAGTCAGCATCAGACTCGATGTCAGAAGCTTTTGTTTTTGCTTTTGTGTTGCATGAAAGCTTTTATATGCCGGAAATAAGCTTGGGCGTCGAGGATAACGCTGAAAACACCTTACATGGAAAGCATGCCATGCAGAAGACTAAGCTCAAGGGTGACATCTCAGATGGGCACCTGTGCGATGACAGCTGGCCGATGCAACATCGCCAGAATTTGGACCACCTCAGTTACGGCGTCTGGGCGGCCTGAGTCAGCCAGTGCCTCAAAACAGCCGCAGACAAGGTCCAGCCTTTTTTGACAGATTACCTCGCCACAGATCTTCGCCACAACATCCACGTGGCCCATCCTGCGAATGCAATGACTTTGTCAAGCATCCTCTTGGATACCATGCATGTGTAAGTTACAACTAACACTGTCAACGATACAGCATAGGCGCACAGAAGAGACATCAACTGAAGCTTCAGAGCCAGCCTGTGTTTTCTCAAAGCCATATCATCAAGCAGCAATGAAGAATGCAAATGCTTCTTGCTTTCTTGAAGCAAACGACACAGGCAGTTTGCATGTAGGAACTTCCCTTGCCTGCGGCCCCCAACCATGCAGCATGCAGGAACTTCCCTTACTGGGGAACAAACCAGAATTCTTCCACGAAACACCACTCCAACTGTGCTCACGGGTCATTGCAGCGTGTGCTTGCAGCATTTAGTGAGCATCCAATCACCTGATGAGCTCAAGTACCGGGGATTGACCTGGGGCAGCGCCCCCCAGGACCACCGCCGCGACGGGGGGATCGCACGCCAGCACCAGTCCCCCCGCTTTCACCACCGCTGCCACGATCTCCGCCACCGCTGCCGCCTCGCCCACCCGGATCATCCACCCCAGAGCCTCCGCCAGCTCAGCGCCGTGCCTGCGCATATGCACGCCGCTGATGTCATCCTTCTATGTGGCAATCTTTTGCTGATGTCAGCCTGCATATTCCAAATTTCTTGAGGTCCCTCTTGGTCTCCGGCTTTTTCGAATGAGGTATATTTCTTTCCTGCAGGTAAAAAACCTTTCTGTGTCCAGGAACGATGCTGAAGCTGATCAGAGCGGAACCTGCAAGAAGCAATTCGCACAAAGACTTGCACACTAGTACACAGTGAACTGCAATTCAAAGTCTGCAATCACTGTACAAGCGGTGCTCAGGGAATCTCAGGAGGCCGCCCGTCTGGGATTTGCCAGACACAAGAAGGTTGTAGCTGGGGCGTCCCTGGACCTGTCATCCGGCCCTGTCAATCCCAGGCGATGTCACCGATAATTATTATTATCATTATTACATTATTATTACACGCCTATCCAAGCCACAGTTGGCTTAGGTGCGTCGCAGCAGCGTTTCTATGACAGCCTTCCAGCTCGGCCTATCTTGGCACCATTTCCACCATGTCAGAGCCAGCCCAAGACTATAACACCGATAATGAAGGATGCATAAACACAAGTACAATTTCTGCTTCCTGTGCCAACGTACCTACCGCGGGCGATGAGCAAAGCGGCCACGTCCCGTGCATGCTTCAATTCGCCCAACATCACCAGCGCTGTCAGCAGATCAGCCACCACCGGCGCGTCGCCTTCCCTGCAACATTTTTAGGCTTCATTTCTTATCTTAGGGTTTATATTTTAGGGTTTGACTCTAAATAAATCTTCATTGTTCACCTTGCTGCTTTTTGTAGGGCGCAGATTGAGCCGTCTCTGGGCATTTGCAGGCTTTTTACGGCAGATAAGCTGAAGAAAACGGCGAATGTGCACCCAGATATTAGCGGCAGCCTTGGATGGCCCAGGGTGCTGAGCATTGTGTCCACAATAGCCTGCTGCTGGGTTGCGTGGAATTGGAAGGTCTCACAGCAGCATTAGTCATTCCAGCAGGTTGTCTGCAGCTGCACCTCGCTGGTCTAGGCGCAAGCGGCATGTAATACCATGGCGTTGGAAAACACACCCCTCTTTTCTGGGCTGCCTAGGATTACTGGAAGCCCTCTTGCACACGGCTGTTCGCCTATTTGTGGAAAAGTCAGAGAAGTGCCTTCATCAGCTTTGGTGCATGCGCACCCTGTCGGAACACCGCAGCAAAGCAGCGAGCTTTCCTGATGCAAATTTAATGATACTAGAGGTGCCAAGTGGCTTACCGGACAATATGGAACAGCACGTCGGCTGCAGCGGCGCTTTCGCCTTCGCGCATCATGAGGTCAAAGACTCGGAACGAAGCCGCGGGCTTGCCCCGCTTCACCGGCGCTGATGCCATGTTGGCGGCCACGTCAGCATCGCCTATGGTTACATCATCACTGAGTCAGTCAGATGTAACAGCAATTTTACCTATCTTTCAGCAAGGCCTTGAGATGGGTCCAAGCTTGGCCAGACAGTATCATCCCCTGGCGTCCCTGGACAATCTCAGAGACACAATAAACTGCCTAATGAATTTCCTGACATGCCACAGAATTTAATGCCCCGCTTAAGTTGAGGATTGTTTGACCTACAGTCCAGCAGGGAGGCTGGCCCCTAGCATGTCAACCTGTCTGCAGGAGAGGCTATGGCTCACAGAAGTCAGTCAGAGCCAGTATATACACATGAGACCGGGGATCTATGTAATACCGTCTTCTAGGAGCTGCATCATGACGGCTGCTGCCACGTCAGGTCTCCCCTTGTCCAGAACAATGGCTTCTGTGATTCGCCCCACGCAGTGCGTTACGTGCGAACGCGCAAAGACACGCATCGTGTTCTCTGGACCTGAAGCAACAACCGTTCCTTCTGTGTCAGAACTTCCATGTGATGGTGTGCTATCAAGCACACAGAAGCCCAGATTCGGCACTCCTGCAGTACAATAAGGAGGACTAATGGAGTTACGCACGCTTCCTCGTGGCAGAGGGTGAAGCACGGTTCTTTGGCAGTCTTTGCTGGGCTTAGGTTCTGAGCGAGACGCTCTCACATCGCATATCGCCGTTGTCAACGGTGCGGATCATGTTAGCGGCCCAGAAGCCCGAGCAGATCTTCTCGAAGTCGTTGTACACTCTGTGCAGAGCGCCGATGCTCTCTTGGGACTCGGACGTGGGTGCCCACGACAAAACAGCAGAAGGTGTCTGCAGCAGATCAATACGCTTTCAAGAACTTAAAAACTTGCTTACGCTTCATTCGTATATTTTGCTACCCGAAATTATGATGAAATCAAGCTGAACGTTCCCATAAGTCAAGATGCACGAGTCATCCGGCATGTTCTTGGTTGCACCAACAGTCCCCTCAAAGCTTCCTCGTGCGATTACGACTCAAAAATCATCACAATGAATTTTTATCTTTTCAAAAACCAAGGCAAGTGGACATACCTCCCCAGCGCTGCCTTCCGGCGGGAGACAAGAGTGCGCTTCGTCATCAATGTTGCCGTCCGCCATTCCACGCGGTCTGCTGCCTTGCGCGAACGCCAGATGCTATCATGATGCTAACTAAATATATTCGCACCATCTGCAATGCCTGCAGCGGCTGTTCCATCTCCTCGAAGGTGGCTTATGTAAGACTAACGTTTGTTCTGCAGGCTTTACTCATGTGCCTCGTCAGATCCTGTCACAAAAGGGGACGGTTCTACCATTCCTTTTCGGAGTTGGATTACATCGCAAAGAAGGCTGCATGTGCAGCAAAAGAAAAAATGGGTTACGCCGTTGAGATTGCAGAGGCAGGTTACACCCATAACACATCAAAGCAGACACAGCGCATAAGACACCGCTTAGGAATTTGGGCATTAGCATTGAGCCCCCGGTCACATACTGTCTCTTCTGCAGCAGCAGGCATGCAAGGCAGCATCCACGTACTGCAACATTGATAACAGGGATTCTACAAAATGTCACAAAAACTTGACCGGCTGCCATATACATTTTACTTCCCTGGGGCCGACCGAAACCCCTGTCATCTTGAGGGCGGCTGATCCTTTGGAAAGCAGCTAACCATTCAAAACGGCTATTCTGACTCTCAGGATTGATTTAATTGAATTTTAGGATAGACTGCTAACACTGTCATCTGCAGCCAGCCGCCTACTAAAGAATCATTGTGCGTGTTACACCTCGCTTTTCCTGCCAAAAGGCAGGGTACGTCCTGCAGACAAGCGAGGAGTAATGCAACGAATATCCCTCCTAAATGCCACTCGACCTACTATCAGACCTCAAGAATGGGCCAGCAAATAAGAGTCTGGTGAGCACGCTTGGAAATTTGTTCCGCTTTGCAGAAACTGAGCTGTCCTGCCTGGTATTGAGCAGAAGCTTGCAGCATGATTGCACCCAAAATAGTTTCAGAACCTTTCAGCAAGGCGTGCTGCTGCAAGGCAACAGCCACCAGAGGCTTCTGTGGCTCCCAGCTCGATAGAGTATCTGTGCACTTTGTTGTTATCCCAAAACAAGGACTTCCTACTCAAAAAACGTTCCACAAAGAGCATCCTTGCGCAGCTTATACTTCCAAAGCTTTCAAGGCGCCTTTATTCCAGAATTTCAGTCTCTCAGAGCTTCACGCTTCAACCCAATCACACACCGCGCTGAAAGTTCTGCCGCCTTAAAACAGAGAGAGTACACTTCAGAGCCGAGCTTTCTTATAGCGCTGACGTTCACAGATACGTGCTGCTTGCTTCAACTTGAACCTTGGGAAGCTCAGTACGCTTATGGAATGCCAGCTACACACCTGCGACCAGGGTCATTATTTTCTACTGTACGCAGGGACCTGATGTGACGTGTCTAGGCTGCCAGCGCTGCCTCGGGCCTTGTGGAAACTCGATAAACAGACCTGCTATGGGATTTATGCATTATTACGTGGCGCTGACTGAGACTGACTGAGCGACTGAGCGAGTGAGCAGCACGGTCTCAGTGGACGTTCCAGAGGGGGATGTCCACGGTTGGATTGACAGGCATGCGCTGCGGTGGCGTGCCAGGACCTGGCACCTTTGCTGTTCCCTCCTTTTCTGCCATGTCTTCCGCAGGCGTTCCCTCTGCTGCCATGGCAATCCCCCTGGCTGCCGCAGCCACTGACCTGCAGCAAGTCTTCAAATTAAAGAGACTAAAGATCTTGGGGCAGTTTTTGATACTGCTTGCTCGCGACCCCTGTCAGTGTATGCGCTGCGAGAGGGATTCCAGTGCAAATTATCTCTCGCTTTGCAATTTACCCCCTAACGTGTGCGATCATCCTTGGTGCCAAACACTGGCATCTCGCTTGCTGCCCTGCATTGCCACCAAGCACCGTGAGTTCTTTAGCATCCTCTGTGAGCTCGCAGATCCCGCTCAGCGCCATTACCCTGGTAGCAGACGAGTTGTGTGCCCAACCCCTGTGCTGCCAATGATCTCTCCAATGCAATGATCTTGATAATGGTAACTCATAATGTCGAGCCCGGGACCGATTAGAGTATTAAATACTCACATGGCTGCGCGGATGGCGGCCTCAGCGGCGGCGAGGTCCCCTGCAGAGATGAAGGGGCCGGAGGGGGGAGCGATAGAAGTTTCCAGGTAGTGGTTGGTCGCGCGATGCCACATCTCCGGCTGAATGATGGCGCCCGCATCTCTCAGCACTTCCAAGAGAAGCACCACTTCCCGCCGAGCCGCCAGCGCCGCTGCAGCAAAATCAATTTCATCACTATGAGTATTGCATGCTTTTTCTGCAAGTGATCACAATACATCCGCAGAAGGGCTGCAGGCAAAGGTTGCCACACGTGCTGTGCTCGCAAGCAAGTCCCCATCAGTCATTGTCAATTTCGAATTCAATGCAGGCAGGTGCGAGCACATGCAATGGCAACCTCCTCCCAAGTGTGCTAGTTGCCGCCTGCCTTGTTTCAAGGCCTCCCTAACCAGGTGCAGGGTTGGTTTACACCCAAAAGATAGGCAGGTGCGCGCACATGCGATGGCGGCTGCCTCGCGCGTGCGGTCGCTGTCGGCCAGTGCGCTTGTGAGGGCGGCTGCCGTCTTTTCGCGGCCGCAGTCGATCAGGTGCAGAATCACCGACGCCACCGCACCCGCCAGGCCCTGCAGTCATAACCAAGCTGTAGCTTTGGCTGTGGCTTTTCTCCTGTAACATCTTCACATCTTTGGCTTCGGTCTGCCTCAACACTTCCTGAAGTGGGCTTTCCGCTAGTAAATATGGTGAGCGGGTTCTTGGCAGACCATCATACGCGCATCTAGCAGAGCGGCTGCTTTGCACCATGGTAGCAGTTGTGCAAAGGGAAAGCTCCCTTGAAAACTAATGGACACTGCAGCAGTGTACTTTGAGCGGGTCAATTTGCTATATGTTGGGGCTTCTAAGGGGCCGAGTGAGACCTGCCATACTGTCATTTACGACAAACTCCAAGAGCTGCACCTACTCTAAGCCGCAGCGGAGTGCCTCTTTAAATCTGAGGATGTCCTAGCACATGCAAGTCTGTGGGGCGAATGAGAAGGATATCACACCTGGGCAGCTAGCTCAACGGCCAGGTCAGCAGCAGTGTGCAGGCATGCATGGCACACCGCTGCAAACAGGCGAGCCACGATGGCGGCTGAGTCATCCGCTGAGTCACCACACATGTCATCGGTTGCCATCTGGCCGTTGACCAGGCATGCAATCGCCTGGACGGCCTGATTGCCGGACACGGAACTGTCAGCCCCCTGACAATCCTGAAGTGGTAATTTATACCCAGGACATTTTAAGTTTGGGCCATTCCCATGAGGACATCGCAGCTACATTCGATCAATAGAGGTCCGATGAGTGTGTCATGTGAAAAAGCAATGAACAGGAAAGTGCACCCCTTTCTTTGGACCTGTTTCACATATTTTGCCAAGCCCATTGTCTACGATTACAGCCAAGCGTGACAGATACATTTGTTATTTTATCACAGGCTTTTCCTGCCAGAAGGCATGGTACGTCCGTGTAGACCAGCTGTAGTACAAGGCTGCCAAAAGTCTTCCCCTTAATGGGACTCGCCAGATCCAAGCAAGACCCAATCAACCGTGGGTATGTTGCTCAGTATTTATACCCCCCCTTGCCAGCAGAGGCCCGGCATGCGGCATGCAAATCAGGTTATGGACAGCAATAAACACCCGCCTTTGCAGCAGAGGCGACCTCCACCAGCGCCATGATGGCAGCAGCTGAATGCAAGGCCATCCAAAGACAAGATGGTGCCAGGCAATCAGACATTGCAGATGCTTTCAGCTGTACGGAGTACAAATGACACAGCCAAGAATGCCCACCTTTGCAGCAGAGGAGACCTCCACCAGCGCCATGATGGCAGCAGCTGAATGCAAGGCCATCCAAAGACAAGATGGTGCCAGGCAATCAGACATTGCAGATGCTTTCAGCTGTACGGAGTACAAATGACACAGCCAAGAATGCCCACCTTTGCAGCAGAGGAGACCTCCACCAGCGCCATGATGGCAGCAGCTGAATGCAAGGCCATCCAAAGACAAGACGGTGCCAGCAGATGAGACATTGCAGATGCTTCCAGCTGTACGGAGTACAAAGGACACAGACAAGAATGCCAACCTTGGCGGCAGAGGAGACTTCCGTTAGGGCCATGATGGCGGTGGCTGCCAGGTCGGGGTTGCCGCTCCTGATGAGACCCGCCAGACGCACTGCCACCACCGCAGCATCACCGGCCCCGATCTCCACTGCCGCAATCTCCGCCCACTGTGTAAATGCTCGCAGTAGAAACTACTCAGAAGATGTATTGAGCCATGACCAACAGTCACCAAGGACTGAAAGTCAGCTGTGCAACTTTGAAAGCCAGTGAAATCAGGAATAGCGACGGAAAAAACTGGATGGTGGCGTTGCTGTGAGAAATTGCATCAGATGATGTCGTCCCAAAGGCTTCCCACTGAGGACGATATGAGCAAATCTGCGGATCACATGAGTCTTGGCAGGCAGTCAATGTTGTGCCAGGCGCATGTGCAGCAATTGCTCATGTCCACCTCAAGCATGAGATTGAAATAGATGGCCCCTGGAATAAAATTTTAAAATTCACGGGGATGCACCTTGTGGGCGTTGTTGCTGCGGATTAGCAGAGCTGCCTCCTTGAGCGCCACGTCACTGCGACCGTCCTCAGTCAGCGCCACGTAGATCGCTGCCGCCGTCTGCATGCAAGCCACGAGGCCTTCAGTCACCCAATGATTTTTCCCGCCAGATATGCTGTCCCAATCATAGACTGAGCAGTGCTGCCTTTGCCTTCCAAAAGCTCAAAAGGCTGCATGTTTGGAATGAACCTTTTGTACACAAGGGCATTAAATTTATACTGTATAAAGTGATAGTCCAAAGCACTCTTCTGTATGGGTGTGAAACATGGGCTGTACGAGAGGATGAGCTCTCTAGACTCGAAGTTTTTCAGATGAGGTGCTTGAGGACAATCTGCAGCCTGTCTCTTATGGACAAGGTCCCTAATGATAAAATATTACAAATGTGCAATACTTCATGTGCCTCAGATATTGTTCGCTATAGACGATTAAGATGGCTTGGGCATGTTGCTAGGATGGGAAATGATAGATTGCCTAAGATAATGATGTTCAGTACTTTGGAAGGTGCTGGCAAGAGGGGTAGGCCTATAAAGTCTTGGAATGATTGTGTCAGGAAAGACTTGGACAGTCTTGGGCTGAGCTTGACATGGTGGAAAAGGTGCCAAGATAGGCCGAGTTGGAAGGCTGTCATAGAAACGCTGCTGCGACGCACCTAAGCCTACTGTGGCTTGGATAGGCGTGTAATAATAATAATAATAAAATGCTGTCCCTGTCTCTGTAGTCTTCGACGTGGAGCTCTCCGCTTCAACAATTCCTGATCTCCACACTGCAGAGCATCAACATGTGCTTTGCCTGGTGCATGGCTGATGGCTTTGCATATCAATAATTCGGGATGCTGATTACTTCTGCTCACCTTGGCGTGGCCTTGTTGCACCATCTCGAGCGTGCATGCAGCGGAAGACCAGGCAAAGCCCCGGCTGACAAGGTACTGCACAATGTTCTTCACCAGGTCCAGCTGCCCCCGCTGCACCAGCCCAGTCTTGATCTGCACAAATGCATGCATGCATGCATGCATGTTTATGAAAAGTGACTTCCTGCCCAGTGTCTGTGCTGCTTAAGAGCTCAGCAAATTAGTACACACCATTGTCAGAACATGGCGTCTGTGAACCTTACACAACACAAAGCCAAGTTTAAAAAAAAAGGTTGCATGTCTCGGTTCTCCTGGATTTGGAAACCACATTCCTTGGGGTGAAAAGTCAGCAACATTGCTGTAACCTCACCTGCTCTACTCGAAGCGACCTGTTTGCTCGACAGGGTTGAGAAACAAGTAATCCTTGGAAGAACAGAGGCATATATGGATGCAAATTGCATGAATGTGTGCATACCTTGGCCATGACATCGTGGCGGTCCAATTTGGTGAGAGCCAGTGCCACCTGGCTTACAGCGCTGGCCTGACCAAACCTGCGCAGCAACAAATAAATCCAATCATCCATTTCAACTCTGCAAATGCAACTTGCAGCTGCCAGCAAGGCCTTGGATCCCACAGTCACTCTTCAGGGCACAGCTTCTTCACAGGGACGGTTTGTCACAGGGGAAAGGCTGCAACATTGTATGCAGGATCTTCCCAATGTTGTTGACGACACAGCAAAAAATGTGTAAATATCGATGCTGCAGACCTATTTTCGGATGCCTCGCTGTGTCTACATAACAGTGGGGGAAGCTGCCATCCCATATGCAGGCTCTTCGTGGGTTTGGAGGAAAGCAGGACCTTTTTGAAAATTACTGAAAATGACTGTCAGACAGTGTTTTAGGACATTACTAGGGATGAAAGGGAGGGAACGCGCGCCTGCCGAGCTCAGCAAAGGCGGCACAGATGACATCGTGGTGACGCGTCTTGACCAACTCAGCGCTCATCCTGGCGATGACATCGGAGCGCTCCATCCTGCATCAACATATGATGTCACATCAATTTGATGCATTTGGTGCAGAGAGGCATTCTACAGGGATTACCTGACCTATGTGATCGCCCTGCTGTTTGTTCTTCTCTCATTGCTGTATTGTCAAAATGATGGGCCTTGTTTCTGGCGGTTGCCAGAAGCAATATGGAGTACAGGGGCAGGGGTGGTATGCCATGTGCATCTATATACAAGGCACTTCCAAGTGAATTGGTGCAACTGCAGATGCACATGCAGTTGCCATCCTTTACCCTGTGTACCCATTATTCCAGCACGGACCAAGAGCACAGCTTGTACGTTGATCTTCACACAGACAAGGGGCATTCATAAGAGCACACTGACTTGACGAGCTCGTAGCAGGGGCAGCCGGCAGTTTGCTCTCCCAGAGCCACCATGGCAGCCTTCGCCTCACACACCAGCGCTAAGCCACCGGCGTCCACAAGAGCGGCTGTAATCTCCGCCACGACCCGTGCATGGCCCACGTGGATCATCCGCACGCACACATGCGCCACCCCATCCGCATGCCTGCATGTGCATGCACATGACAACTTTGTGAGATGCAGAAGGTTGGCAGTCATGCATGGCAGCTACCCACTCATGTGCACCTCCCAATCAATTTATTGTGAGTTTGAAATTGCGCGCCGCCAGCACTAGCTCATGCGCGCCCCAGCTCACCTGATTCCCAGTTATACACCCATGCTGGTACATTATTGGTGGGTGTATCACAGGTGCAAGCCTATGGGCGTGCTTGCATGCGCATGCACATGCCTACACATGACTGGGGTAGAACTTTAGAAGTTGCAGGAGGGATGAAGGGCATGCATGCATCTGCACGCAGGGCACCTAATCACTAAACTATCCTTCCAGAGTTGAGTGTCGAACAGGACACAAGCCCATTGTGCTTTTATATTTGAAAAAGTGCCAACCTGGCACTGCCAGGTCCTCGGAAACATGTACAATTGGTGCCCTGATGTTTGTGCACAACAACCTTCCCATTGAAAGGCACGCATGCATGCTCTTGCCTCAGGTTTTGGGCATGCATGTGAGCTCCTATCTGCCACAACACCTCACAACCTACAAACCTCCAGCATCACAACCTGGCCAGAGCCAATGACTCACCCGCGAGCCAGGATGACAGCAATCACATCTCTGACTGCGCCCAGAGCGCCGCCCTTCACCAGACAAATCAGCAGCTCTGCCACGACCGCCATGTCACCCGCCCTGTAGCATCACAGCCCTGATTCCCCATCAAGCCATGGCAATGCACTGCATTCCAGAAGCATGCCATCAAGAGACCCCAATCTGGCCTATAAATTGGGAGCCAGTCTACCAGAAGTGCTCTGCACTCTGGAATCCACTGTCCAACAATTTATATAAACAGTGGTTTCCCATTGGCCAAGTACCCTTGGACAACTGGTTCCTGCCTCTGCCATACCGGCCAGGTGGCTCGCCAGTGTTGAAGGGAACAACATCAATGCAAGAAGACACAAGTCCCGAGGTCTCAGTTTTCAAGCATCTGCAATAGAGACAACGCACCCGAGCATCTCGATGCCCAGATTGGCCAGCACGGTGACGTGGCCATCAGTCATCAGCTGCCCAAACAGCGCCACCAGCACCTGCAGCCGCTCATACCGCTGCAGTCCCGCAGCCGCCACCGCTGCAATCGGTGCATCTCCGCCCTCCATCAGCTGCATGCATGAAGTCATTTCTGAGAGACACCTACACTTTGCATTGTTGTCTGTACATGCTTTGCAGCATTCCATGTCAGGTCGCATTGCAGCAGTACATTTGTGGTCTTGGCATTTTCTCCGTCAATTGCTCATTGCATGAATTCCACCCAAATGAGAGCCGATAGCATGCCCGGCTCGACTTGCGGTGGCATGCATGTGGGCAAATCCCTGGCATGCATGCCGGCTAATAGCTATCACACAAATGACTGGCATGCATGCCCACGGGTTGATGTAAAACAGATCATGCCGGATACTAACATCTGTTGTAACATCGCCTGATGCAATCTTCCCTCTATCTCGAAGGGAACTAACCTTGGCATCTGCAGCGAGAAACTTGGAAGCTTGAAACAGGCAGTGGCAAAGTGATGGGTGGCAAAGCTGCAGGCTCTAAGGCACCATTGGGGCAGCGCTGTACAGGTGGGTGCAAAGCGCACCTGCAGCACGATCTTGGCGGCAGCGTCTGGGCGGCCATCCTCGAGCGCCATGGTCTCCAGAACGGCGCTGAGGCAGTAGTGCAGCTCCAGGCGGACCAGCGCCTTGGTCGTGATTACGGCGCCTGCACAACGGATCGTAGAATTGTTGTAAATCCAGACACATACAAGTGCCTAGAGGACTGCTGTTGGGAGTTCTGGTGGCGGGTCGTTGCAGGGATCTGAACGTCAACGATGGGGGGGCGGCTGCTGGCCCACGAAAACAAAAATGCCGTGATGTCTTATCGAAGCTTGATATGAATTTTACTTGATAGACTGTGTCTACAACATTTGGGAGGTCTGGATCTGCGAGATCTGGGTGGCGGCCTCCAAGAAGCTGCAAGACGGCAAAGCCCTACTCCCAAGCAAGCGTTGAGACGCCTTGATGCAATTACCCAGACAGACCGCCAACGCAAATGGAGGACTGGTATAGACCATAATGAGAGAGGCTCATACATTTGAGCTTCCCAGCGTCCACGAAGGCCGTGACAGCCGCGGCCAGAGCGCCCGCCCAGGCTTTCTCGAAACCCTTGACCGGCTGCACGGTGGAGATGTAGGCATTTTCCACTGCCAGTTCGAATTTAAGCATCGTCGCGGCCATCCTCGCCTGCGTACAGATGGAACGCAACTGTTTCTTCGCTCCGATTCCTGTTGCAGCAGATTACTTGATGCTGCTTCCCTGCCCTCTTCGTAAAGTATTGCTCAAGAATCCTCAATCACACTAATAATGGAGATCAAATTTAAGGATGCTAGAATGTCCTAAACAAGGGAGCCGATCTAACGAACACGTTGATTGTCTAGTCCTGACGCAACCCATGGCCGCCGGTTGTGCTTCGCACGAATATTACAGCTTGTTTACCCAAAGAGACCTGTAAAGCATTTTGCGTCCATATGAAAGGGCAAGTGGATATCCGAGTATGTCTGCTCCCCTTTTTATCCCACCTGGTGCTTCGTCACCACCACGCCAGCCCTCCCCTGCCCCCGATCTGCGCGAGACACTCTACCCAGGCCTAACACCGCTTAATCACGTTGCACTCACCTCTCTCGCTATGCCAAACAAATTTAAAGTGGGCTTGAAAAGAAAGAGAAAGGAAAGCAGCCCAGAGTGGCCTCTGTGTAAGATGATGACCCTGAGAGGGCACAAAGTATCAGGGGGTTTGGCTGACGGAACAAAGGCTTTTCCTCCATAAAAATGGTTCACTTCTAAGGTTTCACAATCGCCTTGACCTGAACGGGTGCACATCGAAACAAAGTGTCATCTGTTCGTGTTGCCACAGATTACTGCGATTGACTAAGGTGCCTCATCCACCTCTTTGACATGAGGGTGCAACTACTGCAGACCAGGGCAAAGCCGTGCCTGTCGGGATCGGTACCAACGCTTCGTGTGAGGCGTCACTGTGCTGCCAATTCAATCAGCAGGGTCCGATTGCAGCCTTCCATCAGGTAAGTGCGCGGTCTGGGTTTATGCTGTCGTACATGCCTCGGTTTCGTTGCCCAATATCTCTTTGTGTGGCGCGATTGTACCTGGTAGAGGAGCTAGCGCACCTTCATTTACGTATATATGCGATGTCTGGCTTCGCTCAGCCGAGTCGCAATGCATTACACTATCATGTCACCCCCAACCTGCTCGGATAGGTTTCAAGTGCACCAAGTGCGGGTTTTTTGGCAGCCGTTTTGGGACCTGGTTTTCCGCGAAAATACATTATATTGCGCCTATTTGGCTACTGAACGCTCTCCTTCACGTGAAGTCCGTGTCTTTTATCACTCACTTCGCAACACCAGCATCGAGAAGCGAAAGGTCAAAGGAGGGCCCAAGGCTCAAGTTGCACCCACGATAATTGTTGTTTTGCCACAGGTGTGTTGCCACGACTCCAGCAGCCGTCCTGGACGAACCGAAGGAGCCCCCCGTGGCCAGCTGGATCGGCATCTCCTTCCTGCTCAATGGCTCAGACTTCACCCGGAAGGCAGTGCAAGTGTGCTCTCCATTCAACCATTTTCCCCCAATTATTAATACCGGTACACGCTTCACACAATGGCATCTTCAACTACAGAGGGTCTGGCAGTCATTGCTTGGGAAAGGAGGCCAGAAGAAACTCTCTACGTGGCGCATCCTCACCGCGCCGAACAGGCACAAACAGCAATATAACAGATCTGAACCTGCTTTCTGCGGTTGTCCTCCTAGCAACCCAATCAGAAGAGGCCATTGCGTGGGTTCCAAGCATGCACATGCCCAGATGTTTTGCAATTGAGACCCTGGGGAGGCTCTTTCAAGTGCAGTAACGAAGAGGCATTTGGCTGAGAACGTACTGCAATTACTGACATCTTTCATATGCGCCCCAGCCGGCGGGGGCGCGGTTTGATTACTGAGCACCGTGCCCGCGCTTGGTTGGGTCTTGCTTGGATTTGACAACTCCAACAAGGGGTGGCAGCCTTCAATTGCAGCTTGTCTGCAGGACGTCAGCAGATAAAGCGTGTAATACTTATTTTTATTAGTTCATAGCTGGCTGAGGTGGTCTGCATACATGTGCGAAGAAGCACGGCCACAAGTGGAAGGCGCACATGCTTGGCCTCCAGGATTGCACACATTGGGTTGCAAATGTGGATGAAGCTGTGGGGGTTTCAAAACATAACAATATCTGAGATCTGCATGCATGCGCGCAGAAGCACGGCCACGTGTGGAAGGCGCACATTCTTGGAGCGACCATCTACGGCCTGGCGGGCGACGCTGGGCTCAAGGCGTTTTATGACGAGAAGAACATCAAGCGCTTCCCTGGCATGTCCGCCAACCTGGAGCAGGCCGCATGGGTCATCAAGGCACGCCCCCTGAATCAATCCTTTCCAAGTCCACCTGCAGAATCTGCTGTCCCGTTGCAGATTTCCTGCACTGCTTTGCGGCGAGCCCATGCCCTCAGTTCTCTCATGGCTGCATGTTACCTGCGTCATTAGAAGGCTTCTAGGCGTCTCAAGACAAAATCTAAGAACCTTGGAGCACCTCCAGAAGAGATCATTGGCAGCGCAACGGGGAGAATATTCAACCTTCTTCCCGTGATAGGGGTTGGTAGTAATAATGTCTACACCAGAGAGTGACGCCTGAACACGCCGGCCAGTACAACGTCCGATCCCTAATGCCACCCCTGACAGTAGTCTGGGCTGACAGCAGAGCAGATTTTTTATGTTTCAGATCTGTACAGGACGACCAGTACAACCCGCATTATGCGACGCCATTTGTGCCAGTGAGCTGGGCTGGGAGCAGCGCACAAATCTCTAATCCAAACTCAAAATCCGTAAATTTAGTATTGCATGCACTGGACGACGAGTACAACCTTCACTATGCAATCCTGCCCCTGAACAGTGAGATCGGCTGGGCGCAGCCCATAACTTCTTGAGTCTATATCCTTAATAACATCATAGTGATATTTGCTAAAAAGGATTTGCTAATAGCATATAATATTTGCTAAACAGGACGACCAGTATAACCCGCACTACGCAGTTCCGCCCCTGGACTCCGAGCAGGGCTGGCAGCAACGCAAGAGTCAGTTCATGGCCGGCATCGATTCGCGCGCGGCTGTGGAGCAATATCTGCAGGCGCTCGATCAGGGGATTATCGACACCATCAAGGGGCTTGGCGCCGACGGCAAGGAGTTTGCTCTGTGGGACACCATCAACAGGTGCGCAGGATTTGACCGGGCTGCTGATAGCACAATGTGGTGCCCCTGCTAGATCCTGGCAGTCGCCACCTGCCTAGAATTTTAGAGCATGTAATGACAAATTTCCTGAGAACAATGGCATGATAGCTCAATGTACTGTTGGGTTAGGTAGGATGATATGCATTTGACAAGATCCCCGTAAGCTGGTTGTAGCTGCGTGTTTTGGCAATGGTAAGAGGTAGTTGAGGCTCGTAAACATGTTTGGAAAGGAAATGCATCGTGGCAGCGTGAAGCTCTTCCAGCACATTTGCAGCCCACTTTTGTAGCTGTATACCATGCAACTGCAATGATGCCTGTGGCTTTGTGATGTGGACTTGACTTGTTCTGGAGCATTGCATCTTTGCCAGGCACTTAAGTTTTACTTGCGGCCACGCTGCACAAGCTCTTAGGCAGGCGTACAATAGTAAGGGCGGAGGTTCCTGAATAGATTGATGCACCCACTGAAGTTGAATTTGAATTATTACTGGAAATAATAAATTTGCATGCATGCAGCCTGGTGCTAGGAGGTCTCTCCAAGGCGTTCTTCGGCTTTGGACTGGCGGACTATTGCGCGGGAGAGCAGGCTATGATCGGCAGCATCCAGACTGGCTACACTGTGTTTGACGCCAAGGTCAAGGCTTCGCAGCCGCAGAAAGACGCCTTTACCACCAACGTTCGGTACCTGAGAGAGGCTCTGGCAGAGGTGTGCTCCCCTTTTTACAGGGGATTTTTGGGTTTAGGGTTCAGGATGCCGCTTTGCCTGCAACAGAAGTGCTGAAATGCAAGGCTGATGGAAAACGGCAGCTTATTGTGTGTCATAATTTGCGATTGGGCTGATTTAGAGAAAACAAGCCTGCTTATGTTTGGGACGTAACATGAACCAGGGTAATTTCTGACTTCATTCTCATCGGGAAATAGGTCAGCCTGAGCTGATGTAGAGTGCCAGCCCTGCAGTCACAGATGGGAATGGCGCAAGAAAGTATGCTCCAGGAAAATTTCAGCATTCCTGCCGATTTCCTCCAATCTGTCAGTTTGAAAACAAGCCGCCATGACAGTAACCTCCTGAAAAGAGAGAAATAACTCGACTTGCAGCTGTCAGCCAAGGTGCTCCGGCTTCCCTGCCCACCTATGCGATTAGCACACTTTTTCGTATTTTTATTTCACAATACTGAGCACCGTGCCCACGGTTGATTGGGTCTTGCTTGGATCTGGCGAGTCCAACAAGGGGTAGGATTATGGCAGCCTTCAACTGCAGCTTGTCTGCAGGACGCACCTTGCCTATTGGCAATTAAAGCGTGTAATACTAATAATAATAAAGATAATACTACTGGTGGTAATAATAATAATAATAATAATAATAATAATAATAATAATAATAATAATAATTCACAAGCCAACTGTGTCGAGCGATGTGCATGTGCCCTGCCTCTGCAGTACCGGGCGCACCCCAAGAGGTTCCCTGGAGCGGGGCTGGGAAAATATCTGGAGCTTGCCGAGAAGCTGCACATGCCTGACGAGGAAATCCTGCTGGACATGCACCAGATGATCTGCGTTGGGGCGTACGGCGGCGTCACCTCTTCGGTGCGTCCCCTGAATAATCCCCCTCCATTATAATGCCCCTTGACCCTGGCTGGCGGGAGGCATTAAAAAAACTGAGCATCATTCATGCCCACTATCTGGTTGGGTCTTGCTTGCCTTTTCAGTTCCAGTCCCTAAACCCAAAGTAACAAGAAGGTTCAGTAAAGAATTACCACTACCATTACGCCACCCCTATGGGACCAAAGACTGTCAGAGCTGGTACTTCATTCCTCAGGCAAAGCCAAACCAGGACCCGTGCTTCTTTCGAAGTAACAAGAATAGGTTGCCTATACTTTTGCAGGCGACATTGTCGAATGCAGGGTTGAAGTTTGTGACAAAAATGCTGATGCGGGTAACTGTTTTGACAGATAGGAGACTGTACTAATGTCTTTCCTTTCAGTTTTTTTTGGGTAATATAACTGCCAAAACTTATCACAGGTTTTTGAGAGTGAATTCTGTTCTAGGCGAGCTGCATGGCGTTTTCTCTGGCAACTAATACAGTAGTGCCCAAGAAAGCAAGAGGGATCAAGGCCGGCCTTTCATTGTTGCTCCCGCCATATTTCCACATTCGCCATGGGGAGTTGGGCAATGAGAAGGCATACTACTGCAGCTTCCGGAGCCTTCTAATATGTTGGATGGGTGTTCTGATATTTTGAGTGCGGCTTTTCAAAGGCTGGCTGCATGGCGTTTTCACTGGCGACTAACCCGGAAGTGCGCAAGAAAGCGAAGGCCGAGATTGCGGCCAATCTCGGAAGCGGCACCCCCACATTTGCCGACATGAAGGCGCTCCCTTACACCTATGCAGTCCTCAAGGAAGCCCTGCGGTACGCAACCCTCCTTACCCCTGAATCGTCAGATCAAAGGGTTGTTATCTCGAATTTTTTGTGCTAAATGAGGTCCTGCTGTGTGGTAGCTGTCAGCACCCTTGAATCACCGCCTCACAGGGATATTTGATTACTTCCATGTGCTCAGAGAGGCCCTCACCACTTGTGCATTTTGAGCCGGCGGCTAAAGTTTTTTTAATCATTCAAAAAAGAGAAAAAAGTTTCTATTTTGTTGTTGCAAAGCTGTGTATCTGAACGCAATGCATGCTACTGTTGATGGCCTAACCTCCGTCCCTGTCATGTGTGGACGAGTCCTTGTATAGAGGTTGCATAGCCGGCAATTTGCCTAAGAAAGATGCGTGCAGTTATTCCTGTACCGTCGTGCAATTGTCCTGCCTTTGAAAATCACAGCCAAAAAGGCAGCTCTCTATGTCTCCGCCGCTGAACATATTGAAAGAGTGCCAAGGGCAGGGGATCTCAGAAACGTACTGAGCAGGAAATTTGCCCAGTAACAAGTAATCAAGTGGCCCTCAGGGCTTCTTTCTGTGGTTTCCGGATGTCCTTATGGCTTCAAACACATCAACAGGGCACTTGTGTGGCGGCTTGTATTATCTATTGTGTTCCACTTGGAATCCACCAACAAGTAGCTGAACAAGTGGATGACTAGCTGTCGTTCGCTGCGTAGGAGGTGGCCAATAGTGCACATTGTAAGGGGCCAGTCCATCCAAGACATCGTGGTGGAGGGCAAGCGTGTGCCCAAGGACTCGACTGTCATAGCCGCACTCCATGGTACCATGCATGACCCGACAGTCTACAAGGAGCCCGAAAGGTGAGTCTCAAAACCGTTCCAGGCATCTTTACCATCATGGTATGATGCCTTCACGGTGTGCATGTATTGCTCTGGACCCTAAGCCTCAGGTAACTTGAAAGTGGGATAATGTTTAAAAAGAGACGCAAAGCAAGGATGCTTGGAGACAGTCCTCAACCCTGTTTATGGGGAGCTTCCTGCTAAGATATCAAGACAAACATGTGCATGTGAAGCTACTTAAAAAAGTCCGTGTTGATGCATGTCTGCTCAATGATTTATCGTGGTGTGGCAATTTATTGTGTCATGCATTCTGATCTTGTAAAACTACTGACTGCTGCAGATTCGACCCTGAGCGCTTCCTGCCGCCTCGTAACGAGGGAGCCGACGAAGTGTGGACTGGGTACCAGGTGAGCGCCTTCATGTGGGTAAACTTTATTTTTTTGTTGGATTGGGGCCTCTGCAGTCCTTACATCAGCTTGAATCGCTCGTCTTAGAATTGCCTGCTGGATGTGCCACTAGTCTCAACGTCCTGCACAGAATCATTATAGTGGTCTCAGTATTGCAGAGTAAAATCACAAAGGGTTACTGCAACCAGGCAGTCTCGGTCTTCCTCTGTTTGTGAAGGCGTTGAGATTACTCTAGGAATTAATTTCCTGCACCGAAACAGCCCTAATAGGGCTCAAGTCACGAGATTGACCATGGTGTGTACACACTTCGTAACAAAGTGCTGAGTCATCAGTCTGACGGGAGGGAACGCTGCTGCGCAGGTGGTGTTTGGCGCGGGTGAGTCCGGCGCCCAGCATGCATGCGCGGGCAGGAACACTGCACTGCTCACCCTCTTCGTGCTCCTGATCCGTCTTCTGCAGGTGCGCGCACATGCCAATGCACATGCCGGCACATGCACGCATGCCGCAAGTCCTGAGCAGGACACAGACCTCTTCAGGCCACATCCTGCCTCCTGTCTCCTATCTCTCTGTGCAAAACATAAAGACTTGGTTAGAACAGTAGGCAATGCCCGCGTTTGAACTTCAAAATTTGAAGCATGGGAGGTCCAGTGCAGCTCTTAGCCCTACCCAGTTTTAATCAGCAAAACCAATGATTGCGCCAAGAACACAGTGTGACATTTACCTCCGTTGATGGTGCTTTCTGTATGTGTGAGAAAACCTCCTCTGCTCTGCTCTGACTTGATATGGTGCCTAAACAGCATCTTTGCATGGCTGTCTCAAGTGCATTTGCTGCTGCATGCAGAATTGGGATTGGGAGCTGGTTAAGTCTTCGGAGTACCTGGTCACAAACCACTTCAGCCCCAACCCCAGCAACAACCTCAAGATGCGCAAATCAAACTAAGCATGCAATGCTTGTTCCAGAATTGTAAGTATTATCATAACCCAGGAAGCCATTCCTCAACAAGTTGCTATTTTTAGAAGTCCAGGGCATAAACTATAAGAAGCTTCACAGCAAGGTCCAGAGCATCCTTTGGTGCTGTAGCGTGTGTCAATTTCTGAGACCACACAGTCATGTGCTGATCGGAGATGAAAATTTGTGATACCACCGGCTTTATTTCAGGCCAATCTTGCTTGGAATCCAATTCTGCACAACTGTTCGGGTGGTTTCAGCAGAGTAATGCAGCTCCTGCCGTTCAAGTAAGTTTGTCCGGGTTGAAAATCGTTGGTTGGTTTCTCAAGATTGTCAAAGTACTTGCCGAAGACTTCGTACTGTATATTTCACCGTGTCTCAAATGGTGAGAGTTGCTTTGTGTGTGCCTTTCTGCATCTGTGAAGAGGACTGATGAGGACTGCATGCGACGCAGTTCAATCACTTTGTGTTCTCAGGTTTGAGTTCATGGTTGTGGTCACTGGACGAGCACTGTGCTGCTTGGCAAATGATGTGTTTGGTTGATTTCCGAGTATTGCGGTGATACTGTCAACGCCAGGGTTGATATTGGCAATATGTTACTTGTACTGTGAATATTATGGCAATCTGGATTGTTTCGTGGACTTGCTATCACCATGATTTGAGGTTTGGTGCAGGGACTGTGTCTACTTGAGTCGAGTCAATCATGAAAGGGTGCGATAAATGTTCGCTGCAGGTGCAGAGAAGGTTTCAGTGTAGACAGTAATCAAAGGATGCAATGCTTTTTGTGGTGCACGCATATGTAAGCAGTTCCAAACCTGCATGCAACACATGTTTCTGATCTCTAGTCTTAATAGCGACTCATTCAGTGCATTTAGGACATATTTTTGCCCTAAACAATCACACTGCATCAGCAGGTCTTTGCAGACACACCTTGAAATGTGCTTCATTATCTTGTGAAGTCCCATACGAAGGAAATGCCATGCCATGCATATGCAGGCTAATTCAGCCAGGAATCCCACATTGCTTTTAAGCATCAGATGTGGCCCCGGCAATAGAGACAAACATACCCAAGCATGCCAAGCATACGCCAAAGGCTTGTCTGTACCGATTGCTGACTCCCATCTGCCTGCCAGACCGGCAGAGAAGGCCAGAGTGCCGAGCTGCCCAGGAAATTCCGAGCTCAAGCTCCAAGCATCAGGGAGTAGTGAGGTAAACCTTGCCTCCGCTTTGGACAATTGCGAATTGCTAGCTTGCAGTCTGCCTCCCTCTTTCTCCCTTGATTGCTTGCAATGAGAATCTGGGGGTAATTACAAATGCACGAGAGTATTCGGATGATATCCCCTCACCAGTGAGCAGGTCTACCTGTCACTCTACCTAGTAAGAACGAGATTAGAGAAATGTTCCTGTGAATTGATGCATGCGTCGATAGATCGACAGAAATTAATTTAAATTAGATTTGAGCTCTCTCCATCGGTCGTATTCGACGCCTTACGCTGTGCTGGTGGCACTAACCTCTCGCCGGTGAGCAGATGATGTGACGGTAAGATATGCCCCTATACGTCGCCTCCTCATGTCACAAATTTTTTCGTATAAATGGCTGTTTGAAGTACATTGACAGGCAGCGCGGGCATTGCATGTCTTCCGGAAATATAATGGTCTCGGACTTTCTCGGACGGGCAGCTTCCGGAGTTTGCGACATAGGTTCCGGAACAGGTTCTTTTCGAAGAAGACAAAATTACGGACAGATGAGTATCATGCAAAGTGTTTGATCCGCAATCGCTTCCAATATCACACAATATAGTTCTGGGGGGCCGAAAGAGCGTGTAACACGCACTGCTCGAGCATAGCTTGCTGGTGAGGGTTAAGGATGGACGCGGCAGCGCCAGCGCCTATCGCAAACTTGTTCGGGCTGACGCAATATGACGGCCTGACGAACTTTTTCGGCGACCAGAACTTTGATTACAATGGTTACGTTCTTCCAAAGGTGATGCACTAGGCCTGGACTCCATTTCCTGTTACCATCGTGATTCCATGCTCCAACTCTTGGTATTTCAGGACACTTGCATCTGTGAGCAAACGTGCGCTGAAAAACTCCACTTAAAGGCCGACAATGGGTTTCAGTGATGTGAAAGCGGCAAATCTAGACAGAAAGTTGAAGCGTAAGTTTAGATCAGCATTGGCCGGTTGCACGGCCGGTGTTTTGACGGATTTCTTCGCCGTTTGTCTATTTGACTTGCTTAAGATTTTTAGTCTCCTGGTTTCATGCCTTCTTCCCAACTTTAATTGCTGAGGCTAGAGACCGCGTTATGCCCATCATGGCAGGATGGGGTTTTCCTCATGCTCGAAGGAACTGTCATAGGTGCCTTTTCCACTTGTATCCGCAACCTTAGTATGCTGTATTTGTGACGAATGCATCACATTACTGTCTCAAGAGAGTGGTGTTGGGATCGTTGGGATGTCGCTACACCCTGCCACCCAGGGCACCTGCCCTTGAGGCGCTGCCAAGGAGCATTTCAAAACTTTTGGACTCTGTGCTGCGCAGTCAGCTGGATGGATCGTGGTGATCTTGTTTGGCGCCGTCTTTGCTCTCCTGGCAGTATTCCTGGTGAGTTGCAAGCTCCATGACACTCCATGCCACGCCCTGATTGCATCGGCCCTGGGACACTGATGATGCCTGAAGCGACCTTCAAACATACGCCTTCGCACGTGCTAGCAGTCCGCTAGCTTGCGGCACCATACAAATGCATCTTGCTTCCCCTTGCGCTCACTTTGCCTGCCGTCAGTCATCTCCTGCAACTTTATATTCTTGCGCGCACAGATCCTTGCTTGACATGCGCAATGGTTTTCATGCCTGTGATCATCCAGCCAAACATTTGTTGCGCAGCTCTCCGCAGCAAAATGCCATGCGAAGTATACCGGTCTTTCAGGGGACCTGCTATCCTTGATAGTCCGGGCCAGGCTTCTCGCAGTGCGGCAATTCAATTGTTCAAATTTGAGTTCACAAGAAATTGTGCAATCTTCAGGTGTGGGTAGACATCAAGTTTGCTGGAGCGGTGTACAACTCGGAGCAGTTCAACACCGCGGGCCGTAGCATTGGTACGGGTCTGCTGGCGGTGGACATTGTGTCCCACTGGACATGGGCTTCCATTCTGCTCACCAGCGTCAGTTACGGCTACTTCTACGGCATTACGGGCTCCTACTGGTGTGCTGATACTCACCGTTTGCGCCCCTGTTGTTTTCCTCCTGTGGTGCTCTGCATAGGAGCGCCTGTATTAGAGATAATCTGAGGGGCCTTCTGATAGAATTGGCATGCAGCATGGACATCATCAGTTCTAACAAAGTTGCTTATTTGGGTGTTGACCAAACGTGAACATGCTTTCACTGCGCAGGTTTGCTGTCAATGACGCGGCCATCATTGTCCTCTTTGCGGGTGAGTTTTATTATCTGCACACCTCAATCCTGCACAAATGGTCGAACAGCCACGATTTAAGTTAAGAGCAACAGCACCTGCTTTTGCTGGGTGGCACAGGCTGCGTGTGTGCTTGCAGCTTTCTGCTTCCCTGCTCACTGCTACCCTGCTTCCCTGCATCACTGTGCTACTCTGGGATCAACATGCCATTGGGGAAGAAACGCCCTGACAGGGAAGACTGGAGGGGAATTTTCAGAAGGCTCTGCTTTTGAGGGCTGCAACAGGCGTTTAAACATTTCGATTAAGAAAAAAACTGTTGCTCCTCTGTGCAGTGGTGGCGCTTGAGCTGAAATACAAGGCGCCCAAAGCACACACCCTTCTGGAACTGGTGTATGTCAGATGGGGGCGGGAGGCACACTTGGTAAGTCCCTGCACATTCTTATTATTAAAATGTATCTGAAAGTTTTTGGTCTATTGTCCCAAACAGTTTCTGTTGTAGCCAAACGCTCAAAGTGTCAGGTGTAGAAGAGACACACCTAGTCAGTCCCTGCATATTAGCACTGAAAATTCTTTCTCCAAGTGTCTCGGTCTGTTGTTTGAAGCTATGACTGTGATAATTAGTCGCTCAATCTAGCTGTGTTCTTATCCGATGGGAGCAGCCTGGAAGTGGTTTTGAATTTGAATTCAAATTCGAACTTACTGGTGCACAGATCTTCTTCGTCTTTGCTGTGGTCACCAACCTGCTGGTGTCCCTCTCCATGCTCCAAGGTACAACTTTAACTTCTGTCTTGCCTCTTTTCCTTCAACGTCAATTTTCAACATTGCAACAGTTCTGCTGCAAAGCTGAGACACATTTGTACCTGCATGCCTGACTGCAAAACTTGGGCTGATTACTATGAGCGAGTATGCTGACTGCGCAGGCTGCGTCAGCGCTGTGAACGCCCTCACCGGCGTCAGTGTCTACGGTGCATTCCCTCCAAATCACTCAATTACTTCAAAATTCAAATTGGGGCTGCTTCTGCTCCTCTGGCATGTGTACCATGTGCAAGCCAGAGTCCAGCATGCATGCACTTGCACTTTAGCATCATGCTTGATCTTGTCCTGCTTGGACCTGGCAAGTCCAAAAGATGGAGCATCATTCTTTTGGCATATTCTTGCATGCAGCTTGCCTACAGATGCTCCTTGCCTCCTGGCAGGATCAGTGTGCGCTTACTAACCATGACTAATGATTATGCACGCAGCCATGAGCTTCCTGATTCCCCTCGGAGTGGTCTTCTACGCTGCCATTGGCGGGCTGAAGGCCACGTTTACCACCAGCTACATGCACACAGTCATCGTGTATGGAGTCACCCTCTTCTTCCTCTTCAAGGCATGCCCTATAGTTTGTTCAAGGGGCTCCACGAAATATTATGCAGAGTTCCCGGGTTCCTTGTGTGACAGGGGAGTTCAACTGTGCTTGGACCAGAGTCCCTTGCTCTTCTTTTTGTCGGATTGGCAGGACTCCAGAATGCTTGAAATAGACTTCAAGATGTTCTCTGGGTGTTACTACCAGGTCTCTGGTGACTGTCGTAAGACACAGGGTCTAATACCGTGGATGTCACGAAAATGCATGCATGCAGTCCTGTAATCTGTCCCTCCGGCAGTTCCTGAGCTCTGTCTAGATGGCCCCAGCTGGGGAGTCTACCAAGTGTATGAGCATGATCTGAGCTCTTGTGCAGACCTGCATAGTAGGTATTTTTTCAAATCAGTTCAAATAAAGAGGTTGTGGTTTGTGCAGGTGTTTGTGCCGGGAGGAGTCTACCAAGTGTATGAGCATGATCTGAGCTCTTGTGCAGACCTGCATAGTAGGTATTTTTTCAAATCAGTTCAAATAAAGAGGTTGTGGTTTGTGCAGGTGTTTGTGCCGGGAGGCATGCTGAACGGCATCGATGATGTGCGCATGCAAATTCACATCGTACACTTTTCAAATTCAAAACTAAATCCATCTTGCACAACTTCATGTATTGCATGTTTCGTGCATACAAGCAACCTCAGTCACCAATTTGTTGCAGATTAGCACGATTTTGAATTTGTTTCTTGATTGTGTCGCTCAGGTGTACAACCGGCTGCAGGTGATGTCAGCAAACCTACCCGTGCCTCAACAGAAGGGTGGAAGCTACCTCACCATGTTCTCGCTGGGCGGATTCGAGTGAGTCGCCGTTACTAACTCCCTTAGTTGGTTGTTAATCAGTTGATAACCCTTGTTTTGATGGAATCACCCTTCCCCAGTGTGCATGGCTCCTGGGTGCCAGACTGCAGGTAACGCCATTGTACGCGTGCTGTCCGCCCGCGCATGCATGCGATAGCATTCAAGGGAGCTAGCCTCCATGCATTGACCTTGACACCTGCACTATCACTGGGAAGTTTGAGGCACATTGGAATATTATCTATGCAGAATTCAGGGCCATCAAGTATGCACAAGGCTTGCGCCAAGAAGCTGTGAAATCGAGCTTGAGCAGTGTGCATCGGTGGTGTGCAGGTTTGAGATCATCTTCTTCTTCTCCGCTCTCAGCCAGATGTTTGTCGACCAGGCCTACTGGCAATCAGCCATCGCTGCAAGAGCCACGTCAGCAGTCAAGGTGCATGTCTTATCTCTCTCATGACTCAGTGAGAATGCAAGACATCGAGGCAGTGCAAGTGCTTTCATGTAAAGAACTACAAAGATAGGGACACTGTGATATGTGCACTTATTTGGCAGCAGGTATGCATCTGTGGTATTTGTGGCGTGACTCTCAAGCAAGCACAATCCTGGACTAAACGATGTCTTGAGAAGACCTTTACTACATTAACAAATGCCCATCTGGCACTGAATTTGGAAAATGAGAGCATTTTTTTTGGATGTGTAAACAGGGCTACTTTTTGGCGTCCTTCCTGTTCCTGGGCATTGTTTTTGCGCTCCCGGTGGCGCTCGGCTCAGCCGCACTGGCACTCGACCTTCCAGTGTCGACAGACGAAGCTTTGGGCGGATTAGTCATGCCTGCAGCCGCCTACGTGCTCATCGGCAAAGCAGGTGCGCTGTATAGGTGTTTTTATGCGCTCTCAGACTGATTGAACAAGCGACAGAATGAATTCAAGCAACAGAATGAGTTCAAGGCTCTGTTGATAGTTGCATGGCTTGTATCTGTCCTCTCGTGCATGACAATGAGTGCTGCTGGCTTCTGCCTAAATCTAAATGTGGACGATCCATACGTGGAAGATCTTTGTTACAAGCTTTTGAGGTCCGGAAGCTTTAAGTTAGGGTCCTGCAAGCATGCCTTCATCAAAAATGAGAGCAATACAACAGCAAAGCAGAAAGCCTTTGTGGGTCTGGCTGTGGCATCAAATGCGCGCCTGTCTTGAATATGGGCTTGCATGTTGACTTGAGACGCAAATTTCCCCATGCTATGCAATTAAGGCAATGAATTTTACTTGACACTGTCCAATCGGGAACGAGGCAACGCAGAGTGACGCTTAGCACTGCGGTCCAGCCTTGAGAAAATTAAATGCTGAGTAAACTTTCTCTTTCTGCAGGTGCTGTGCTGGTGATTGTGATAGTCTTCATGGCTGTGACTTCCTCTGGTGCGTCCGAGATGGTTGCAGTGTCTTCGCTCTTCACCTTTGATGTATACCGCCGCTACATCAAACCCGAGGTGCTGTTTCCATTTGTCATCCTTGCATACCCCGTGCATTGATAATCTAACGTTTCCCTGATTCTGAAGAGGTAAAATCCAGCCGCGTTTAGCAATTCGTGAACAGCTCTCTGTAGATGATCCAGCATCAGCTCTTCTCAAAGCTCCACATTTTAGATGGCTAGAAGAAGCTCTGCTGGGCCACATCTTCCCCCCTCAGTTATCCCCTGAAGAGTTGCTTGTTTGCCACATGCTTCTTCCTGCAACGTTGGCTGCCATTGCCGCTGTGTCCACATTTCCGTGCCAAGATCAGGCGGCCACGGCCGATTGGTAAGCATGACTAAAAGGTGACTAAGTGCCCGCCATGCCTGCAGGCGACCGGTCAGCAGCTGGTGCGAGTGTCGCGCATCGGCGTTTGTGTGTGGGCGGTCATTATGGGAATTGCCATGACTATTGCCCAAGCCGCCAGCATCAATGTCAACTGGCTCATCACAATCATCGGTGCGACCCCACAGCCCTTGCCTATGATATTTTGTTGTTTTGCTACATGGCATTTTCCTTATGTATTTTACTCTCTTTTCCAGGCTTCCAAGGCTAGGTGCAATCCAGCAGCACTGCTCTATATTTTTTCCAAATTCCATGTCTGTGCATTTTCTCCACCAGTCATACTTGAGAGCAATTATTTGGCCAGCTTGTGGCTACATTATGCATGTTACAGCTGCACTGGAAGTGCAGACCTGCAAGTGCAATTACTTCAATTGTGGAAGCATGCAAAGTGTGCTTGCCCAAACCAGCCCAGTTTAAGAGCACTGTACTCTTGTTCATGATCCTGAGATGCTTTCCCAGATTACCATCTTCTTTGCGTGGAAATACAAATGCCGTCCAGGTTCATCTGCAGATGTCTTCTTGAAAAGCGCCTTGAACCAAACAGAAATCCCAAATTTTCTGCCGTGTCTTCTCCGTGTACGCTGTCTTATATAAAAGTATCCGCAGTATTGTTATTTTGGGTTTGTTAATTTCAGGTGTGTTTGTGGGGGGCGCTGTTCCGCCGCTGGCCGCTCTGCTGACGTGGCGGAGATGTACCGGCCCGGCAGCCGTCACCGGTGCGCGATTTATAATCATCGCTATTTTTACTGAAACACACAAGTATTAGTAACAACACATATTTTCTTAGTACAAACTCTATTTAGGGTGCCAAGAGACAAGCTGCAGTGAAAGGCTGCCACAATGCTTCCACTTGTCGGACTCGCCAGATCCGAGCAAGACCCATAAACAGCGGGCACGGTGCACGGTATTTATTCCGCTCCCTGCCATCCGGGGCCTGTGCAGCTATGTGGCATTAGTAACACTGTAAGTACAATTTTATGGCTTATTGGACCAAACTGTCATTGCAGTCAAAGGCGCCACCTTCTCTTGAAGCCACCGCATTCACATGCCGCAAACATATGCACGATACTATCATTTGGCAGCATGTGCAAAGGCGCCACCAGTGAGCCAGTCTCCTGCTCCTTCAGGGGGTTTCTACATCTTGTTAAATTTGAATCCCTTTGCTCCTTGAAGGCCAGGGGTTGCCGACAGATACGTGTTGGCCTCACCCTATTGGATTGTGTGTTTATGATCTGCAGCACTGAAGTTGGGGTTTCAAAAGCCAAATTCTTGTTGCTAAATTGCGCAGGTGCCGTGCTTGGCAGCATGTGCGGCATTGCTGGCTGGCTGGCTTGTGCCAAGATCCAGAACGGAGAAATCACAATCGCCACCACCGGTGAGCAGAACCCTTCCTCACATATCAGCCTTGCATGACATTCTGATCTGGCAGGACTGCGCATGTCACTTGGCAAGGGGTGTGTAAGAACGGCTGAAAATAAGGGCCCCCCTAAAAGGGTAATGTTAAGGCTCAATCACTTGGGCTGGCATTCAGCTGACTCACCGCACCCAGCCGCAGTGCTGATGTGCGGAAATTTCAGCGTGCATAAACCTTTCTTACAATGGATGGGGTCGAAAGAGTCTAGCAAGTCTCACTTCCACTGCGGGACAGGCAACCGGCAGTGCAGGTGGCAGTACCTTTCTAAGATGTGGTACTTAAAGTTGGAAATATGGATTTCCAAGTTTGAATTTGAATTTTAAATTGACTTCTCTCGTTGTGCGGCAGGCCTGAATCCCCCTCTGCTGACGGGCAACATTGTGTCAAACGGCATCTCTCTAATCATCATCATTACTGTCAGCCTCATCTTCCCTGACAAGCAGCCCTTCCAATGGGAAGCCTTCAAGGAGAAGATCACAACCTCGGAATCCACGGTGCGGCTACCTTCTCTTAAAAGCGTAGCCTTTCAGGAATCCGTACAAAGCTGCCATGCGTCTAGCACAACTTATGGCGTGTCATTCCCTGCATCCTGCTGTGCGCATGCGCATGTGAAGAGCAGATTTCCTTACACATTGCAGTGTTTGATGAGCGTTCCTGGTCTGCACAAACAGCCTGGATGCATGGCCATTTTTCTTTCTGGTCTTTTTGCAGCAGCACGTTGTGGCACTCCTGCTACGCTCATAAATTTATCGCCAGATTTTCTGCGCGATATTATCCTACCCTTGATATCCTAGACTGGATTCTCAAGCAACCACCATGGAAGTCCAAGGTTTGGAACGCGAACTGAAAACAGTGCTGGAAATTGTGCTGCATCAACAGGTGAAGAAGGCCGGTGCGCTGGATGCTTCCTCTGTGGAGAGCGAGGCCGAGATGGCGCAGATCGCTCGCATCAGAAAGCCCACGCACATCGCAGTTGCGGTCATCTTCATTCTGTCCATGTTCGTGTGGCCGCTGCTGTCGCTGCCAGCCGGCATCTTCAGGTGAGGAGTACTAATGCCGAATGTCATTAGTCGATAATGCCTTGCATAAGTGGCGTTGCTGGGATTGTTCATTGCTACACTTATAATCATTCACAGCTCGCTAGCGCCCAGATACAGGCAAGGCAAGGCTTCAGCGAGTTTGAATGTCTCCTCAGCTTTGTGACTTGTTTTTTTTTAATTACGGTTTATGGTGTAATGTTATTTAGGGTTTGCGATTCTGATGCTTCTGGGAGTTCTGCTGCATTGGAGATATATCCTTCAGGCTAAAGCTTTCATGTGGCGCCTCTCTGGAAAACAAATACCCAGTCTCCATGTTTTCAATCCTGTTCTGGGAGTCATCGACTCTAGCATGCAGCCCACCGACAGAATACTTTGAAATGGTTTCGAGATCCGCCTGGGATTTATGCTTTCATATGTGTGTGCATTGGCCCCGGCTGGCGGGGGGCGGTAAAAATACTGAGCACCGTGCCCACGGTTGATTGGGTCTTGCTTGAACCTGGCGAGTCCATCAAATGGTAGGATTGTGGCAGCCTTTAACTGCAGCTTGTCTGCAGGACGCACCTTGCCTCTTGACAGGAAAAGCATGTAATAATAATAATAATAGTAGTAATAATAATATTAATAATAATAATAACAGTAGTAATAATAATAGTAATAACAATAACAATAATAATAATAGTAGTGTTTGTGCAGCCTGGCCTACTTCCGCTTCTACGTGGTGCTGGCGTTCATCTTCCTGATACTCGCATCCATCATCGGCACCTTCTGGCCAATCTGGGAGGCGCGGGACCTCTTTTCCAAGGTCCTCACCGGACGCACCTTCCAGGAGAACGTCGACCGCAGCTTTGGCGGCAGCCGGTGCGTGCTCCTCTTGAAACAGCTTTGAAGGCTCAAATTCAAAACGCATTATGACCCTAGGACTGTCCTGGATCTATGGGTTGTTGTGGCTGCTTTGTGATTCACCTCCCGTGTGAACTTGTTCGTTCTACTCAGAATCTGTGCAGGAACGCAAGGCACAGAACTGGGATGCATGGATGGGAGACTAGCTTGCCTGAATTCAGTGCAATGTCTGTTTGTCACACCACTGCCACCTGGCGCATTTAAATGTTTGGCATGCCCTCAACTCGGAAGGGGGCATTGCATATACCCCTGAGAGCATTGCATATATCCCTGTAACTCAAGAAAGTTGAGTCTGAATTTGAATCTCTGCATTACAGGAACGCATCGGCAAAGGGCGGCGCGGCTGCGGTTGTGCCAAACGACGACACAGCCCACAAGACAAGGTTCAAGGCAGACATTGACGAATCCAAGATCCCTGATGCACCCATCAAGGCCGAACCATGATGTGCTCACAAGCAAGAGGAATCATTTCTTGTTCTCCTGACATTTACTCAAGGAGAAAAATTTGCTCTCAGCGTTGTACAGCACGTGGGAGACTGATCACAGAACACAGAGCCCCTGGTTTCCTGCCAGGAGGCAGCCTGATCAGTCACCTCACGAGTCATGAGTGACCCTCAGTGGATAAACGGTGGACATTCATCGGACAAATAAGAGCAGCTGTTGAGACAACAGCGGGCCTTTTCTCTTATTCTGGCATTGCAGTTTAAGAACTTGCAAATTTATACTGGGGTGTTATGGAGTGTTGTATAGTGGAGTGCCATATTATTGGGCTGGTAGCAAGTGCGCCGCACTTGAACCCTGGGCATTTTCGGGGGTCCTGATAGGCATAGCACTGTTGTTAGCGTTGGATTGCAGTTAATATCTGCCTTGGGAGCATTGGGGCTGCCCAGGGGACTCTAAATCAGTGACCTGGTTTAGAATCTCCTGGGATGCCAGGAGAGGGGGCAGAATAATAGTGTGCATAGCTTCAGGGGAATTGAGAATTGGACTGGGGTAATAATTGTAGCGGTGGAGGGACTCTGGAACTTGGCTGTTGTGTACATTGGGGGCTTTACAGGAAACTTACTTCCTCTGCTTCAGCACATGGGTGTACCAAACTGGACATCAAATGTAAATCTACTGGCCAGGGCACCCTTTGTGCATTGGTCTGTAGCTTGTCTTTCAAGGAGGGTGGCTGAAGGATGACGGCGTGGCTTCTACAAAACTTGGGGAGGCGGACTTTGCATCTGAGAGGAAGAAGATTGTTCCACAGGGCAACCAACTGCAAGGTGCAATCATAGTCAACACATTAAATGTTTACAGCGCGCTGTTGACAGAGCAAAGAGTGCATTTGTAGACAGGCGGCCCGGAGATAGAAGTTTGTGTAAGTTTGTCTGCTGCAATGCAGGCGGTGTGTGTTTTTCTGCTTTGCTCGCCAAATGGCGGTGCCGTGAGTGCACTGAATTCTGACTGCAGATGTACAATGAGATGCATGCTCCCAATTTCCCTGTTACTTTATGTTACTGCCTTCTGTCATCTGGCTCTTGAAGGTGTGTGTGCCTTTCATTGCCCGGCTGTTGGATGCTTGGCAAACCCATCATGCTTTTATGATGAGGAGCGAAATTCTAACATTGCAAAAGCAAATTGAAAGTCTTGCACTTGGACCTGAAACATGCTTGCGAAATTCACTACACCCTGCACGTTACTAGATTGCATACACTTTCATGGATGTCTTGGATTGTGAAAACTGATATTTGCATGTTACATCAGAAGTATTCACTTGAATGGCTCCAAATTTTCCTCTCCAATATTATAGGCCCAAGCCTAGCGTGTTCCCATATCCTAAGTGCACCTCATCAAACGGCCCTCACTACTGTCAGTCATATATTACATCTGCCCCCGTAATTCACATTCCTTGAATGCATACATACCAAATGAAGCCAATCCTCAGCGATGAGCACAACGCGAAAGCAAACAGCTGTTTGCAGTACAGTATTCGCCACCTTGACAAAATTGCGAGTATTAATATAAATTATTGCCCATGCTGCATCAAGGAAAAGTCTCCGCGACTTGCATAGCTATTCCAAAGTGCATCTACCCCAATGTGTATCTTCTCAAGTGCTCAAACTTTCTGACGGGTACACAGTTCGCATTCACCTTGTCCTGATAGACAAAAAGTGCATCCTGCAGCCTATGTTGTCATGCAAGTACACTGTCTCATATCGACTGAATTCATTTTCCTGTGAAGTCTTGAAAGGAACAATTCAACAGTTAAATAATCAATATTATATCATGGTAGATGCCAGGTGCAAAGACCTGATGCTGATTGCAACAAAGACACTCTGATGCAGAGAAACCAACAGAGCTGCACAGACGCCCCTTGGAAGAAGCCAGATTTGGCGATGGGACGTACACAGGGGACACCATCGCTCAGATGGAGGTGGAGCACAGAAGTCCACTTTAGGAGCTTGAGTAAGAGTGCCAAATCAGGCTACATAAGTACAAGCCAGCACTGGCAACCGCGCATGCATGCTCAGATGGACGTGAAACAGGGAACGCTCAGATGGATGATGAAGCAGGGAACGCTGCTCGGCCGGCAGACGAGAGGGATTGTCACTTGAACAATAATCAGCAAGAAATGCCACCGCTCAGATGGACCGGTGAGCAGGGAGCACCACCAGCAAGCACCCCCACGAAACCAGGTAATCCCGCAGATGTGGCAATCCCACCGTATCTCAATATGCCCTTCAGAAGTGCCAGGTTTGGCAACCGCGCATGCATGCCCGCTCAGATGGAGGTGGAGCAGGGAACGCCGCGGGAGGTGACGCCGGCCTTTGAATTCGGCCGGAGCAGCTCGTAGGGTAGTCCCCGCGTCCCGACCACGCCGCGGATCTTGCTGCCGCTGCGGTTACGGGCCGAGATGTCCTCGTCCAGTTTTGCCAGCGCTGTCAGGAAATTCTCGTGCGCCGCCCTTGCGTTCCGGTCCTGCAAAAAGTCAGAGAAGCGCTTGGGCGGGAGCTATCTGTGGTACGATGGAGCGCACGAGACAACAATAGGAGCCGGTGAAGAAGAGGGAGGCATCACGGGTGGCATCACAATCCTCACAAAAGTTGGGGGTAGATGTCTGATTGTACACAACCGCCACAACTGAGGTGTAGCTTTCCACAGGCGCAATGAGTCTGCTATTCATTGCTGGCTCAGGGCTAGGGTTTTCATAGTATAAGTGATATTAAATTCAGGGTTTTGGGCGTGATATCAAAATCAGGGGTTGCGTTGGGGGTGTGGGAAGACAATCCCTTAAAAACCTGGACCCTAAGTGATGTCTAGTGTAATAATAAAAGGGTTTAAGGACAATAAAGCAGACTCACATCGATCCACTGGGGGATTTTGTGGTCCAGGTACTCCTCGTTGGGCGCATGGGAAGAGAGCACCACGTACAGCAGCGCAGCCGCCAGGGAATCCTCTGGGTTTGGGAGATAACTCAGCAGCTCTGACTCATAGCTCTCCTTCAGCTCCTGCACAGAACTGGCACTGTTGAGTATAATACGCAGCCCTGAAGTTGACCTAGAGGGCGGCTGAGCACTCAAGGAGACTCATACAAGCCAACCGTGGTACTGCTGGCAGTTTGCAAAGGCCTCTCAGTTGTTGCTCAATGCTTCCTTGCTTATCATGGGACCCAAAACGTCCATTTCACTAAGAACATCTGGCTGCGCTGTAGCGGCCATGCCATGGTATGCAAAATTAACAAAGGCTAAAAGACGGTGTGCAAATCAAGGTCCGCCCATTGCCCCTGTCAGGCCTTCTACGGTCATGCAAACACTGGCAGATTCCCTTGCAGTATGATGGCTGGCCCTACTTCATCTTGCGCCTGTATGGGATAAAGGTCATCACCTTGACGCCGGCACCGCCCTTTTCGGGGATGGGCTTGCGGATGAGTGCCGGCCTGTTTGGCATGTAGCCTGAGTAGTCATACTGCCCTGCAGCGTTTCAAAAATTCGTCAAGAGACGCATGGTGCACAAAAGAAGTGGAGACACGCCAGACACATACATTGGCATGCGACTCTTGCCAGGCTGTGTTCAACAAGGGGTATCTGTAGTGCTGGTGGGCTAATGCTAGGCACCGGTGGGCTTATGCTAGGCACCTCTTGTCACTTCAAATCAGAAACAGTTTCGGGACAGCCAGAAAGTGTCGGATGTAAATCTCAATCTCCTGCCTTTGGGGCAATCCCCTTAGCATGAAAGCTTCGCAACAGTTGTGGCCCCAATAAATCATAACAGATTGATTGATTTCAAAAGTATTAATTTAAGTTCAAATAACGCTGCGCACCGAAGTTTACGGCGGCGTGGTGCGCGGAGCCCGTAAAGGCGATGGTGGTGAGGATGTCCCGTAGGTCCGTTACGGTGTCCAGCGCGGGCCAGCCCTCGGTCTTGTCAGGGTGTCCCTCCGCCTGAATCTCGGTCCACCAGCTCTGAATCTCCACGTCCTCCTTCAGCTGCAATCAAAGTAAACAGAAGCCGTTCTATCAGAAAATCTGCAAATCTACCCTCAACTGCGCTCCCTGGACGGGTTCGTGTCAAAGGGTTGACAGCTTGTATGTGCTTCATGTTTGGCACGCTGGCTGTCACCTCAGCATTCAAAAAGGAGGTTGCAGTCCAGCACACACATTGCCCAAATCTTTGCATAAGTCTGAAGGCACAGGAAATCTTAGGTGCCCTGTGCGCTCAAAAATCTGCTCAAAAACGAAATAGCTTATCAACCTCCTAATGCTGTCCAGGAATCCAAGCCTATATTTAGCCAGGATTTGTAAACCCAGGAATTTTAAAATGTGTCGCTTATAACTGAGGGTGTTGAAGGGATTAAAAAAATAATAGAAAACCCTTGAAAAGGGGTACCAAACCTGCGCATCGCTGGCTAGCAGGGTTCAGCTGAGCACCCAATCAGGTTCGCAGGAGTTCACTTAATGCTCTAAGCCTAGGAATAAACCTACTTTCATCTATAAGGCCCAAAATTTTGAATATTGTTGCTGTGCAGCTGCCACGCACCTTCACGTCGCTGGCGTAGTAGAGTTGCAGGTAGGCTCCGAACCAGTCGCGCATGGCGTACCAGATATCAAGCCCGTCCTGCGCGTATGGGTAGTCCAATGCTGGCACCAGCCTCTCCGCTGAATCGCGCACCGGATTCCCTGCCTTGTCCGTTTGAACCATGCCCCTGCATTTGAGAAGGCGGGAGGGAGGTAAGTGCGAGTCCTGTGGGCTTTTTCTCTGCTGCACAGTCAGTGCGGGTTTAGTCGGACTTGCTGCATGCCCCTCTTTGCATGACACATTTGTAACCGGCCTGACCTGAGGAAGTGCATCTCATTTGCACGGCATTACGCAAGACCTTTTTGCTGCGCCTTCCCGCTTGGTGGGGCAACCGGGTGCGCCAAATGCAAAGTCTTGGAATCTGCTCATTACGTTTTGAGTCGTCCACAAAATGCACATTTCAGGGGAAAGGTTCAGAGGCGCCATTAGAGCACACCTGAGGATGAGGTCTGCCTCGAAGTCCTGCTGGTCAAAGCGATACAGGTTCTTGTACACGTAGGATGCCAGCTCCATCGTGTACCTGCGTAGAAGAAAGCCTCATGCTTAAAAGCTGCACAGGGCTGTGAACTTGAGAAATCAATTAAGGCGTTTTGTCATGCCTCTTCCGAGGAACCTGCGCCACGTTCTGCCAAAAGGTCGATGTGTCATCAGATTAATTAGAGCCTCGCTCCCGCAGGATTTCTCAAGAGGACATCACCCTCATCCTTTGTTCACCCCAAAACTAGTTCTGCATTGCATAAGGAACACCTGAAAATTCATTATGCACTGTATTCACAGAAGAGTGGCCAACTGCGTGACAGATAATCTCGTGCAGTCCTATCGCTGCTACTGCTGCTTTTTGAAACCTCTGAACCCTGAATAATAGCGGAGACACAATATCGAGCACAGCTCTTTTGCGGAGGGGGCACCTGCTGCTGGTGAAGGTCTATTCTACCATGCTCTTGAAGCTTTCATGGAGCACTTGCACGCTTAGTGTAAGTCTTTTTGCTTAGCTCAGAGCCCTGTAAATTCGCCCAGCTCATCAATATAAGAGATCTGCTTTAAAAGTAGGTATTCACCTGCCGCTGGTGAAGGTCTGTTCGAGGGTGCCGTCTGCGTTGATGAGAATGGATCGCGCATTCGCGTTGATGTGCATCGTGTAGCGGAAGTGCGGCAGCATCAGCTTGTACACCTGGCGCCAACCATCCATATGAGTAACAGAATTACTAAATATGCCCCAGCTGGCGGGGGGAGTTATAAATACTGAGCACCGTGCCCACGGGGCACTGCTTCTTGCTTGGATCTGGCACGTCCATAATTGGGGTAGGACCTTGGCAGCCCTTAATTGCAGCTTGTCTGCAGGATGGACCTTGCCTTCTGGCAGGAAGCGCACGTGATAATAATAATAATAATAATAATAATAATAATAATAATAATAATAATAATAATAATAATAATAATAATAATAATAATAATAATAATAATAATAATAATAATAATAATAATAATAATAATAATAATAATATATACCTTCACACATTTGGAGTCCACTTGCCTGGGGAAGCTTGGGAAACTAGAGGGGCCTTGTGATCAGCAATCACTTTGTGGGAACAACTGCAGACAGTTTCAAGGTGTGCATAATAGTTGCTTGACTGGGAATTATCAGGTGGTTTGAATTTGAGCTCGTCTGACACAAAACTGCTGTGTCACTGGGCAAAGGAGGCAATGCCATGTGAAAACCACTGATGTAAAAAATTAGGCTAGAAAATTCGTGAACTTGGGTGAGCAAAGCTGTATGTGCAGGATGACAAAGGGGTGACTGACCGGGTGGAGGGCTGACAGGTGGCGCATGGTGGCGATGATGAAGGGCTCCTGGCATGCATGCGCGCGCAGGTAGTGACTCACCAGCTGGTGGTACCCTGTCAGCGCACGCTCAGTGCCTTAGTCATCAGCGTTCTCCCGCTTTTAGAAGATCCCTACAGGCTTGCTCATCATATTCGCATATGGCAACTCTGAAGTGCTCAACATAGAAACATTCGGTGATTTCCTGAGCACGTGTTTGTGGCACTGCATGGAGCCGCAATGCGGTCTCAGCCAAGAATGGGGAAAAAATAATATAACGGGCTGAAGTGAGGAAGCTTAAAGGCTAGAGGTGCCACCTGGGGTGCTCAAAGAAAACTTCCTCTTCATGGGGAAGCCAAGACTAATACAAGAAACCAAATATCCAATTGAATAGCACAGCGACCCTCCTAGAAAGGACTGCAGGGGTCTAAACATACAGCAAGATGAGTCATCTTAGATCACTCACCGCAGTCAAGAGATGAGATGATTTCCTTGGCGAGCTGCCAGAGCTCCTTGACATCATAGGGAGTGTACACTGTTCCCTCTTGGCCGAGCTTCTTCTGCAGCTCGATCGCCACAGGCAGCATGTACCCGTTATCCCTGCAAGAGAACCACAAACCAAATGGTGGAGTCAGGGGTCAATCCAAGATGGTAAATTGCAAAGTGTGCTGTAATGGAATTGACACGTCCATATCTCTGGTTGCCTTGCCACTGTGCGCCATCCCCCAGCTGGGGTGCTTTCTACGTGTAGAGAATGCTCCAAATTTTAGAGACTGCAGGTGTCATGGCAGACATTGCTTTGCCGTGCCTTTTACCACATTGAATACCCTCGCAAGGTATGCACATACACACATTCCCTTGGATCCACTTGCCTCATTCCCATGCGCTGGATTGGCAGGTGCCCGCTTGGCAGGCAGAACGACAGGACACAAGGTACACAAAGCAAGCCTGGCTCCGTTGCCAATGTGCGTTCATATCAAGGCTGAATGAAAGGCAGTCACTCACGTGTAGTAGAACAAAGCTTTGCCGGCATGCTGGGTTCGGTCCTTTGTGAGCCATGAAACGTTGGTGGCGCCTTCCGGTATCTTCTGGGCGTTGATCCGCTCAATGTAGTCGGCAAAGCCGGCGGTGTAATCCGCCCGGTACAGCCGGCCCCCCTCCTCCAGCCTCTCTGTCAGCGTCTTGCCCTCCAGCAGACCTGTGATCAGAGAATATTGTGATCTAAGAAGTTTCAAATTGGGCAAATGTTGATTGCACTGAATTTACTATGGGATGCAGGCGACATCAAAGCGTTCTGTGTGGCATGGGAAGGAGATGTTGGGCTGAAGCAGGTGGACAGTTCTCAGCAGTTAAAATCCAAAAGTAACCGCTGAGAAAATCAAAGCGCACCGGCACTTACTTTGGAATGCGCAATCACGGCCTGGATGAATCAGGGATGTTGTTTTGCCAGGGAATATATGTATTACTTTTTTATGCTTGGTACATCAAAGGGTTTGTAATATAGGTCTTGGATTTTGGGAAACACCCACCGCCAATGGACTCGTCGGTGAAGAGGGTTTCTTCATGAAGCCATTTTGGCGTCACGGCTTGGATGAAGCAGGGGTGTTGCCCCGCCAGATACTGGCGCCCAAATTCTTCGTCGCTGCACCAGACCAGCTGCCGATTCCGCCGCACGCGCGGCAGCTTGAACTTGCTCGCCTGCCTGCAAAATGTTTAAGATTCAAATTCAAATTTTGATTTTTTTTTAATGTGGGCTTTTCACTTTAGACATGGGTTTTATCTTCTGTGCCACCTAGGCCTGCTCGTCACACAGCTGGATGGTGTCAACGCACATGCTTTGGGTCGACAGGCGGTCTTTGTGACACTACAATCAACATTGCTTATGGTACTAGTTTCCATGCCAGTCTTTCCCCATTTAAGTGCTCTCAATAAGTGCCGATCACTGCATTTCAAAGCTGTCCTTGTGTGTTGTCGTGCTTTAATTATTTTGGGCCTGTTCGGCGCTCCACATAGGCCCAGAATGACTCACCAGAAGTCATCGAGCTGATCAAAGACCTTGTCCGCTGCACGCAGCTTCACGATGCCATTCTTGTCATCCGTGTCTGCAGCCACCACAGATCAAACATCATTTTCTTGCCTGAATAGTTTGCGTTGACATTCTTCTGGATCCTTTCATTGCACATTTTGCCCCAGGCAGCTGCTCACCCATGGCAAGAGACAACAAAAAAGCCTTCAGGCACCTTGAAGCTTGTGCATGCTGTAGTATCTGGTTTTTACTCTATCTCCCAAAGATAGAGCCAGGGATGCCTCGTGGATTAGTCACCGTCTGGCTCGGTGAAGAGAGCGTCCACAGCGTGCAGGCTCTTGTAGTTGTCCTTGTTTCCCTGGTTGTTGAACAGCGAGCCGATCTTCGACGGGATCTGCGCCATACAAAGAAAGTATTCATGAGCAATCCTGTTAGGCCTCATTGCATGCGCCTGTCTGTCATATGTTTGATTTCATGTCAAGCCGGTCTTGAGTGGTCCGAGCCTGGCATGATTCAGAGAACCAAGGGCCATGCAGGATTTTCGTCAGGCATAGTTGATCCCCGGCTGGCGGGGGTGGTACAAATACTGAGCACCGTGCCCACGGTTGTTTGGGTCTTGCTTGGATCTGGCGAGTCCAACAAGGGGTAGGAATTGGCAGCCTTTAGATGCAGCTTGTCTGCAGACGCACCTTGCCTCATGACAGGAAAAGCGTGTAATAATAATGATAATAATAATAATGATAATAATAATAGTTGATCCAAAGTTCACATGCAGGTCCCAAAATAACAACTTTACAAGTCCAGAGCATGGATTTCACGCTGCTGAGGACTCGGCAGCTGCTACTGAATGCTCTTTGACCACGAGGATAGCAGTGGCCTTCAGAACATTGCTGCAAGCAGAAATTTTGCACAGCAAGAGTTAGTCACAAGCATGCGTCACCTGTGAGATGCCGGCGCGCAGCTCATCTCCGACAAAGCCGAAGGTCTTGGTCTCGTTGAACTGCTCGTCCAGGGGCAGCCAGGGAAGCCCGATTGGCAGGCCCACTGCGCGCCGCAAGCCAGAGCATCTCAGATTTCGCGGTAAGACGCATGCAAACACCGGCAACACACATACAGGCCAGAGTACCTATCCAATTTCACGTTAAGACACATGCAAATACCCAACAACAAACGTGCAAGCGCTGAGGTGCAGATACGCTCAGCCTGGACACTTCTGGACAAGTGAATGCATGCCTGGAAAATGAATTGTGACCGCACCACACTACAGGCACACACCGCCTTACAGAAACGAGTAGGGTGAGCAACATTTTGCGCTGTATATAGGTACAGTCTCTTCAAATTCGTGGCAGGAGGAGAATACGCATGCAACATTGTGCGGCTGCTACGTCCGTAATCACTTTCTCAGATATATATAAAAAAAAACTCAGTAGGAAAAAAAAAGAAGAAAAAAGAAAAGAGAACCGACAACCAAACGTCAGGCAATGCACGGGATGCACGGGCGGCTGCAGTTCACTTTTCGGATGATCAAGTTTTTTTACGATAACTAAAAGAGCGCGGGAGGGAACGCACAGAGCTGCTTGGGCGGCGCGACTTCATACTCGGTTCCCGGCACGAGCGGCCGGCCGGTGCGCAGCCGCCGGGGGAAAGGGAACGCTGTGCCACCGAGCGTGGGTCTTTCCAGGTCGGGGGATTTAACAGGGTTGCCGAGGTCGTTGTAGGCCTGGTAGTCATAGATTCGGTCCGGGCTCTTCCGTTGCTGCCGCGAAGCCTCCGTCAGCTTACCCTTCTCATCCTTCCCCTGCGCAGAAAGATTAATATTACATGGTTTTCCTGCTAGAAGCAAGGTGCGTCTGCAGACAAGCTGCAGGAAAGCTGCCGAAATCCTACCCATTGATGGACTCGCCAGATCCAAGCAAGAACCAAACAACCGTGGGCACGGTGCTCAGTATTTATACCGCCCATCGCCAGCCGAGGCCCGGCATGCAAGATTTGGAACAAAATATTCAAAACCCTTGACTCAAATCAAATCATGAAATCGAGATTCGTTCTACCCCTTTGCAGGGGGAAGTTCAAAGGGGTTTACAGAAGGTCAATATTTAGATCAGAACTTCCGTTCCCGCTTCTCACACAGCATGCATGCATCGTGTTACGGTGATTTCAGTTTCCCAGGAAGATATACCCAAGATTGCCAGAAAGGACTCCTAAGAATCTGTCAAGACGTATTTTGGACTCGTTCACTTTCTGCACACACTGGAATCTCACATTCAATTTTGTTGAAATTGACGAAGCATGCAAATGTCTGGTAGTCCCAGCATCAATCTAGTTTCATTCGTGAGAAGCGCATAACCATGAGGACATGCCTGGATGGCGTAGAGCTCCTTCTGGCGCAGCTTGGCAATGGGCCCCGAGGTGTCCTGCGGCAGTTTGGCGTCCGATGAAAAGAAGATGCGCTCACCCTGCACACATGCTCCGTTGCTGCTTGGGGATATCCACAAAGGCAGCATAAAAACTGCTCAGATTGGGACGCCTTGCATGCTTCTCATTGACTGCATTACGGCTGTGCCATGCAGGGGTCGACACAGAGTTGATTCCAACATGCAATTCCATTGTGACAGCGGCAAGGTCAAAGCGCATACTGCCAGGCAGCCCCTCTACCCGACGTTCTTGCGCGGCAGTGGCACAGGCCGTTGCGTGGAGAATTATCTATTAAATTATAAGTACTGTACTGTATACTGTCACACAGATATCAACCTGGGGGCAAATGCGGGCGTCACCTGCAGTTCGTGCACGGCAGAGTGGCAGTGGAACATGGTCTCCCCAACTTTGACTGTCCCAATGTAGATCCTGTGGTTGCTGTCAGAATCCACAAACTTGGTGACAAGGTCAAGCAGAGCATCCCCCGGGGCTTGGCCCGCGCCTCGCAGCAGACCAGTCAGGAAATTGCCCGGGCTGGGTGGGTTCTTCTGCTTACTCATCAGCAGCGCGCCTGCCGGGCAGGTGCACAGAAGCTTCCTCAGCACAAGTGAATTTCTCTGTATGACACGGGACCCTAAGGCACCAAGTTGACCTCTAGATACAGCAAAGAATCACATGACATCTTGACCTTTATTACTTCAAGGCCCTCTTCAGGCTGACAGGCTTCAAAATCAAAATCTGACATGGACATCTAAAGGTAATTTCAGTAGGGGCAATGCATACACAGATGACTGGCAAAGGGAATTTAAAGCCGTGTTTGCAGACATGCGCCATTCTGTCATTCCAGTGTCATTTTTGTGGACATGTGGCATGGAGAAGATTGCAAAGCCCTCAGCAACGCTCACTTGTGTGCCCAACCATCTATGGCTTTGGGCCAACGCAGGGGTATATCTAGCGGGTGCAGAGGCCAGGAAAGGTGACTCACCGGGAGTGCCAAAGTTGGCGGGCAGCTGCACAGTGGCATAGAAAACTGTGCCAACATCGCCAAAGCCCTCGGCCGCGCCGCTCTGGCGAGGCACTTGGACGAAATCCCAATTTGTGGCGTCAAAGATCTGGCTTTCAGGGATCTTGGGATCCTCCGACACGAACTGAGGCAGTCACACAAATGAGATCAGTCACACAGCTGGCTAGATGTCCTTGGGACCCGTCAGGTTTTATGGAATTACAGCGGGTTCCACAAATGAAGTAACATTCGATGGGGACTTGGGTAAGAGAGCAAGGAAATGTGGGAGTACCTGGAGAGTAAGCCTCGGCTTGAAGCCCCTTTCCTTGGACATGTCGCGGTGGGTGGCGATCTCAATCTTCACATCAATGCTGCCTTGTGGTGGGGGAGGAGGTGCACTGCTGGCAGGTTTCTCCTGGACGAGCACTCCTGTCACCTGGAATGGAAAAATAATACGAGGCGTCATAACTGTGGTCCACACGTATCTGAACGGTTGGGGTCACGTCAGTTTGATCTTTGGTAGGTTGGCAGTGTCCTCGAGTGAACATCCTCAGCCGGACGTTCAATCAGGAGTAATCGCACAAGCAACCAGAAAAGGATTTATATTCGAATGAATGCATGCCAGGGCTCACAACAGAGGGGACTAGCCAGCAGCCGAAGGGCGAGCATCTCATGTAACTCAAACCCTTCACCTACCTGCGCGCCTCTGTATTCTACGAAAGGTGCTTGTATATGTGATAATGATACAAGTTATGGAACCAGGAACCAGACTAAAAGCTCCGATCTCTTTCCCGAATCGAGGTCAGGAGTGTCGCGATCGTCAGGATAGACCCCAAGTGCACACAACCATAAGAGCCACCAACGAGCTGACATTCACGGTCAAACAGCTGATAGTGAATATCAGATTACCTCTGTGAATGCACGCAGGCGAAGCTTGCCCCCAATCCCGCACAGTGGCATGGCGTGGGAGCCGACATGGAAGTTGGATCGTGCGGAAGCCAACGGCCTTGTCCACGGTGCGCTTCGCACATCAGCGCATCGCGATGTAAAGCGGATTGCATTCGCTGACATTATAACAACGGCCCACGGAGAGAGCTCCCAATCAACTTCGGCGAAAGAACCTTTGATGGAGACACCCAACAAACCGATGCTATGAATGAAGCAAACCTGTATAAATGGTGTCAAATGGTTGTATAAGCGCCAATTCAGTGCATCGCAACAATTAGTGTCTTTGATCATCTGAAGAGAGCGATGTTTGTCTTGTACGACAGGTCAGGCAGGGGATAATTCTTCTAACTTGCTTTTCTCGTGTTTTTGGATGGGCTTCCTGTCATGAATGGAGCGGTCAATGGCATTTCGTGTATTGAAGGAATTCCGTTTTGCTATTGCCGTGTTCTAAATTGTTTTGTTGGTCACAAATGTGCACTCGTTGTTGACCATTCGATGCACTGATCGTCAATCAACTCTGTCAAAGATCATTTTCGTCGCCTCGTCACATTTCTCCGATTGCAGTTACCCTGCATGGATAAATGCAGCTTCTGGTGACTTTTCGCTGCGCGGAGCTGTGTTGAGATTGATCGCATGCACCTCCCTGATCAGGCAACTGAGTGACTGTATCGAGTCCAAGAAGAATGCACAAGATGCCCACAGCAAACCAACCAGCACTCCACGAATGCTCGAGGCACTATCTTCTTAAAGCCACGCGTATGTCGTTCACTTGAGGCTAATTACTTGCAGACTACTTACAATTTACAACAAATTACAACAACCTACACACGATGTTTGCTTTTGTAAAGCTGAAAGGCCTTCCTGGAAATTTAGCATAGTGTTGACTATCCCCTGACGTTTATCTTCAATCGAGGACCAGCCACCACCACTACCATGCTGGTGCTGTCATTCTGAGAGCAACCCATCTTGTCAGGGATGGACTACTACCCAGCAGAGGTGGCCACTCCGCCTTTGGCTCTGGTCGCCCTCTTGGGATGTCCTGGGCTCCATGGAATCGTTGGAGAATTTTTGCGGGCGGCCCATAAACCGCCCATAAACTCCCTTGGCATCGGGGACCCTGCTATGGCTGGACGCATCTTCGGTAAGAATCTGCTTGTGCGTTGCGATATTGCTTAAGCAATGTCAATCAATCATCCCATTTATATACTGAGTCTCCCAGAAACGTCAAGAAGTGTGAAGTGCTGGTGCCATGATCATGCATCCCTGACTTTGCAGAAGAAAAGAAGGCTTCGATGACCGCCCATAGCGGCCCGTTGAATATCCTAAAGGTAGGGAAATGTGTCGAACTCCGCTGCAGCGTTGTGCGACGTGAATGTGCCATTGAGCGCTTGAAGATGTCCACATCCAGGCAAGCATGTCTGAAGCCATGAAGTGACGCTTGCTGTCTTGGGCAGGCGGACTGGTTCGCCAAGCACAGGCAGCAGAGGCCTGCAGTCGCCGCTGTCTTCTTTGAGCGGTGCGCTGCCACTGCACCTCATGCAGGATCCCTGTTTGTGGCATACTCCGGCGTGATTTGGTGGAAGTTCTTTGTGGATGCCCCTTGATTCTCTTGGCAGGAACGGAATGCCATAGCATCATCGGTACTACAAACAAGTTGCCTGTTCAGGGTATATGCAGCAAGCTGACATTATGACAAAACCCACCGTCATTGCCAGTAAGCCTGCCGAGCAGACTTGCAAGCAGCAACGCGGATGGCAAACAAGTGACATGATCGACAACGGTGTCATTATGGGCGCAGGGAGGCCGTAACGGGGGATCCGGCGCAGTGGGCGCGCGTGCTGGCGGGGCTGGAGGCGGTGCGGCAGGCCACGCGGCCGCGAGGCGCACGAGTCGTGTTAGTCATCGTGCATCCGCCCAGTGGTCCGCCCATCGACCTGCCTGAAGACCGCCTTGCTGGCCTCACACGGCAGGCCGGCCTGGACAGGCGGTGAGTCCAATTTCACTTTCGAAGCCAAGCACATGTTCCAAGACAGCGGTGGGCCGCGGAACTTTTCTCGGCCCTGAAAACTTCGCGAATCGACACTGTCTTGAATCATCTCTGGCCACAAGAGGGTACTCATCGCCTCCCCAGCGCAGTACCAAACCTCATTATTCGGCTGTCAGCATGCTGCAGGTGCTGCATGTGCATTTCATGCTGCTTGGCGATTCTTCAGTCAATGCAGGCAACAACAAATTGTCGCTCGCTGATCAGAGGAGACCTGGTGGGTGTTGGATCCCGTTTAAAGTCCCTGTCGGCGCACCGTTCCTCAGGGGGTGGAATCATTGTTTCATTACATACAGCGTGCCTCCGCGCGTGCTTAAAGGCGTTCTGGCCTTCGGTGCGTGCCTACTGCAGGTGGGTGGTGAACATGGGGACCGGGGAGGGGGAGGTCGGGCTGCGGCGTCTGGGGCGTTCCCTGTACGAGGCGGCCGGCGCATTCTACGCCGACGACGCGCGCCGGCGGCTGGCCGTCCACGCCGAGCGCCGCAACCCATCACCCGCCATCTCCGCGCGCACCGCGTTCAAGGCATGCACTCTTTTTATTTTGCTCCTCTGCTTTCTTTATCCTTCACCTCTGGGCTCGGGATGTGTGAGTACACATTGAGATGACCTGTACGCCTGGGAACAAAGCAGTTGTCCCCGGACAAAAAAGGATGAAGAAATGTTGTCCAAACTCTTTTTCGCTTTGGTTAGTCATGATGTTTTCCCGCCTTTCAATGGCCCCTGGTTCAATTTGCACCCATTGACTCAAATTGACTGTAGTCCGGGCAGGGGAGTGCACAGCACATGCAGAGTGTTCTCAGAAAGCTTCACAGCAGTGTTTTGCAGGAGTGTTTGAGCCCGGGAGCTGGTAGAAGTTGTGTGCATTTTGCAGGCGGCTGCACTGGCTGAGTTTCGCGCGGATTGGGCGACAGCCGTGCGCACGTACCAGGCGGCCTACGCTGAGCTGCTGCGCGTTGACCAGGCCGGCCCGCTGCCGCTGCAGCGCTGGGCTGAGTTGGCAGCCGTCGCCGAACTGGTGCACCTCAAGGTGTGCCCAAACTAGTAAACTGAAGGTTTATCTGGTGTATGGCGCAGGGCTTACTGTTGTTGTGGAAGGGGTCCAAGCAGACACGGGGAACCTCGGAAGGAAGCTCATGCATTGGTCTTGGCCGTGTTGCAGGCTTTGTCTTTGTCACGTTGGAAGGTTGTCCTGTGAAGGGCTCGGAGGGCTCGGAGTGGTTGAATGGGTTTTGGGTAGGGGTTTAGGAGCCCAGGAGGGGCTGGTGCATTTTAGTATTGTGAAAAGCTGGCTTTTTACAGGTTTTGCTACTCCTACAGCTGGTCAATCACTAGATCACACAGGACATGGGATCTATGGGAAAGTGGTAGGGGGGCACTTGATAGGCTGAATTTATAATAACAGCACAGGATTGTTGGCATCGCCAATCTATCCTGGGTTTCAAAGCCGGCCAGGAGAGCAGGATACGCCCTGGGCAGGAACTAGCTCTTCATGACAGCTGCTCCCATCATGAGCTGGTGCTTATCCATGGCATGTCTCCTCTCCTGGTCTACCCAGTATGACAGAGATTATCGCTCCATCAAAACCTTCGTTTTGGTATCCACCGGCGCTCAGCAAAACAAAAAACGGATTTGAATCCGAATTTGAATTGTGCCATTCGTGGAGGTGATGACGCTGCTGCAGTGCATGGCCGAGGCGCTGACTTCCACTTACCTTTAGAATTTATATTACAGGTAAGGGGTTACCCACCACCGAAAATAATGAATTCAAAAATTTGAATTTGAACGTGCCATGCGCAGGTGGTGACGCTGCTGCTGCACCAGCAGTGCGTGGCCGAGGCGCTGGCGCAGTTCCGGGCGCACATCGGCGCGTTCCGGCAGCCGCCGCTGCCGCCGCCGCCGGCCGCCGCGGCCGCGCACGCCGCGTGGCTGGTGCGCCAGTACACAGTCATGGCCCAGCTCCTCTCCCAACGCGTCGACGCCGGGCTGCTGCCGCCGCAGGTGTGTTTCTCTCTATTGCTCCTCCGTTGTTCAAATTTAGGGTGAGCGTTTTTAATGTTAAAACCCTGGAAAACACAGCATTCTGTCATTTCAGCCGTTGGTGCGTTTTAGGAATAGAGATAGACAAGGAGTGAATGCGTTGGGACACAATTAGTGGTTTGTGAGACGCCGACCCAGGTGTGCCGCGTTCCCTGGTTCTGTGGATTGATCGCTGCCTTGGCATCCGGCAAGAATTGTGCGGAGTACAATAAGGCACGCAGTTGTGGCAAAGCAAGGATGGAGGAACGTCACATTTCCATGCTCATCTTTCCCATGGCCAGGATTCCACTATCCCTCTTCTACATCTGCAACCCTATGTTTGACCTGCATTCTCATCTATGTCCTCGGGAAGGGACTCCTGTACTTATGTGGCCAAATCTTTCCCTATGGACAGACATGAGAAAGCAGTCTTGAAAGAGGGTCCTGTAAGGAGCTGAAGGGTTAGAAGGAACATGGTTGTGTACTTGTTCGGGCATAGGTCTGTCGAATCAGGTGCACAGCAGGTACGTTTGAGCGGTGCCGAGAGGATGTACTAGTTGTTATGCAGCATCATCAGTAATCAGTAAAATCTCTTTATCAATCTCAATAAAATCAGCATACTTGCATGTACGTCTACTAATTGTACTCCTCAATATGAGGACTACAATTGGCTGCTCAGGCTTGAAATCTACATCACCTGTAGATTGTACTGAGCAATGGATGCCATGCTGCGCATGTTTGAGGGAAAATGTCTGTGTGTATCCTGCAGCGGGAGGCGCAGCCGGCCCACTTCTTCCTGGGGGCGGCGCACGCGGCGGTGGAGAGGCGGAGAGCTGCGCAGCGCGCGAGGGAACTCCGCCCGACAGGTGCCGCGGCGGCCGCGCCGGCCGTCGTGCCGGGGGCGTACGTTGGGCAGTTTCTGGCGGCGGACGGGCTGCGTCGCCTGTCTGAGGAGGAGTTCCTCCACTTCCTCGAGGTAACAACCCCTTTGACTTGTCTTTATCCCAGAAGTATTGCACGGCTGGTGCACGCTCAGACCCTGGCTTTCAGTTCACAGAAAAAAGCAGCCTTGCATGGCAGTAAACTAGCGCTGTGGCACCTGTCTGAGGAGGAGTTCCTGCACTGTCTCGAGGTGCTGTGGGTTGAATCTGTGTACCTTTATTTCTCGGGTTTCAACAAAAGTGTGGCTCGGCTGGGGTCTTACATCTTGTGTTACCGCTCTTCGTGTTTTCAAGCCTCTGCTCTGGCAGTCAAGAAGGTGCTGCTGTGCTTCTGTTGGCGTCCTTCCAAGCATTCTGGCCCAAAAAACATCTGGAAGAGAAGTGCAGGCGCTGTCACAGCAATTAATAGGCTGAATCAAGCTTCTAAATGTTGCAGCACAGCCTGATGTGGACGTCCTTCAGGATTGACACATTCTTGCATGTGCTGCCTACACAGGCATAATCTGCAAATCCTTGAAGATGTCTATCCACTTGGCTGTGCTGTCTCTTTAACGAGGTGCCAAAACAAGTTGTGCTGCCTTTGTGGCCTGCCTAGTTTTTACGGCCACAGCGCCTGTTTGGCAGGTAAACATACAAAGCATTGGTGCCCAATCTGACAGCACCATGCATGCTTCTTGCTGACCCCTTTTCTGACAGGTGTCAAAGCTTGGTGCGGGCGCTGAGCTGGCGTCCGCAGCGCTCGAGAAGTTGAAAGCGGCGCACGAGTTAGTAATGGCGTCCGGCGGCAACCGGCAGACGCGGCTGGCGTACCACCTGGGAGCGCTGATGGCGCGCGAGCAGCTCGTTGCTCAGGACCCGGCAGCTGCGCGGCGGCTTCTGCTCTCTGTAGCAGGTGCGAGATTGCGCTCAGCATGAGTCTAAGAAATGCTCCATCATGATCTAGGCAGATGAAAACCTCCTGCTACTATCTCGAGTCGGTCTGCTTCGTATCAACAGCTACCCTCCTCGCCTTATCATTTTGAATATGGAGTCGGCCCTCTTGTGCTCCTCAGCGGTTATAGTTATTGCAGCAATTGTTGCTTTTACTCATTTCCGTAGCCTCCCGGACTCTTTTGCATCCTGAGTGTTGTGCGGTTGACTCCAGCATGGCTTTACATTTCATTATTGCCCCTGCCACCACCAGGATTGTCACTACCAGAAGGCAATGCTACAGAGTGGTTCAAAATACTTTATGGCCTGCCATCTGTGGTGAAGAGTGCGCCTTGGGTGTTCAGGCATTTATAGGCGGGAGGGCTGGGAGGTTCCGTTGGGGGCCGCTCTACTAGAGCTGCGCGAGTGTGCTGCCAGGCTCAAACTGCACGAGGTGTTCCCTCCCCGCCCCTGATGTCTGCAGCCTAAACATAGCCAAGTCATTTCACTGGAAACCTGCATGGGTATCATTATCCGGGAGAACAGTTCAGAGACATAATTGTCTTGAGGCACACCCGCAGCTGCAAGTTTCTACCTTGCGTTATGACGGTCTGCCACTTGCTTGCGCTGTGCCAACTTGAAATCCGTTGCCAGTATCCTGTGAGTTTACACGGTGAGAAGAACGCCTGCTTGCAACTTTACATGAACATCAGATTTGCACTCCACCCATTACTTCAGTCAGAGCGTACCTCATGCTCATCTTGCATGCAAGCAAACGCGCACTTCCGTTTTACTTATGCTGCGCAAGCACATACAGTGCACTGACGCATCTGATGCGGAAAGCAAGAATCTAGTCCTGAGAGGTGAACAACTTTTCTCTGCTGCAGGAGCATGTGAGGTATTCGCTGGAGCTCTCCGCCCTGAGGCGTTCCTTGGATCTGCCCCAGCGAGAGGCCATCGCTAGGACTGCAGTGGCCACCCTCTGCAGTGCAGAACCCCCGCCGCCCTCTCCACCTGTCTCCCCTATCGCCAAGCCAGGTGAATTTAATCATGATTTTTCTCTTTCCTCAGTTCTGTTCATGGCAACAGGCAGCGGTCCCCTACTGCTAAGCCGGGCTCAATATAATCCTGTGTTCTGTTTTTTTTCCAGATTTGCTTATGGCAACAAGTGAGGATTTCTGTCAGCCGGCGTCAGGTGCATGCAGCGCATGCGCAGCTGCACACAGCACAGTTGAACCAATCTTACTTACATTGGCAATGATGCATCCATGGTCACCTTTGCGTCTTCCTGTTGTTTGCCCAAAAATTTCCTTTAAACATTATACTCTCCTGAAGTGCCGTCTTAGGGCCGCAAGCAGTTGGATGTGATGCAGTGAAAGAACATGATTTTGTCCAATGAGAGGTCGTGAAGCTCTGGCAATGTCATTGAACACCTTGCAATCTCAATACTTGTTTCTGAAAACACTAATACCAGCTGTGCATGGCAGGCAGCACGGAGGTGGCAAAGGAGAAGTCCGTAACGGGCGCAGCGCTGGAAATCCGTGTCCGGCCCGTCAGCTACGGGATGCTGTCCGTGCTGGCGCTGTCGTGCGGTTTCCAGACCCTTGCAGCCCCCGATGACGTCAGTGACGAGTCATCGAGCGACCGGCGGCCGTCAGCGTGCTTCGGCGTTGCCATCTGGAGCAACGTCCCGGTGGATCTACCCGCTTCCTCCGTAACGGTAGGTTACGGACCTGCCTATTCACCTCTTCACTTTCCCCAGGGGTGCAAGGCACAAATCAAAGAAAGCTACTGCCTAGACTGCGTGTTGCTTCTGTGTGCGCTGGTGGCTGAGGCTGGGCCGTGTCAGATTCAGGAAAAGGGGTGTTTCGTGTAAGCTGGGGTCAAGGGGTGGCGTTTAGGGGGTGGGAATAGACTTGTCCTTAGCTGGATGATGCCAGAGGCGACACTTTTCCCCAGCATCTGCCTGTGGCATGGGCATGTGTATGTTAAAAAACAGAAAAGTACGTTGTACATGCTGCACACGGTTCCGGGCACCTGTGCCAGCTTTGTTGTATGTCTGTCTTGTGGATGTGATCAATATTGCCCGTTGCTTGACTTGACAAAGTTGCACATCCAGCGCTGTGGCCTGCCTGTGGCGATCTATGGACGGACGCTGGTGACGGTGAGGATTACATGCATGTGACGTCCCTTTGACTGAGCGCAGGTGAACGTGGAAGAGCAGGGAGGCAGAAGCTTCAGGGTACCCTGCGCGGCCTGCGCCGGCAGAGGGCGCGCCCCCGGACGCAGGCCGTGCCAAGGGGAACGAATCAGGGGAACAGAATCAAGCGGTCCTGATCAGGCCCGGGCAGTGGACGCGCGTCTGGGCAGCCTGGGTGCCCGCAGCGGGCAGCCTGGCAAGAGTTACCGAAGTGATTGTGAACTTCGGCGCACACGCCGCCCTCGTGTGGAGCCTCGGCAATTTCCCCCCGGGTGACTCATCGCTCTTTTACTCAATTCCCTTGCCGACTCACGCTTTCATGCACTTGACACAGCTGTCAGAACCTTTATCCGCCGCTACAGCACTGCCCCATGTTGTTCAAATTACGGCCCAAGAGATATGGCCTTGAGAAAGATATTGCCACCATGAGCATATTCATGTTCTACCAATCCCAAAGGTGAATGGATTTAGCCATCCAACGTCACATCAGGCCAGGAAATGCTGCGTGGGAAATGCTGCACCTGCCATTGCACTTTCATGACATCTGAGGCTGCCCTGGGCACAGGTACCGTGCCCATCGGGCAGGCTGCTGATGATGCGCGGCCGCCGTTTGCAAACGGCGCCGTGTTGGCCGGCAGCTACGAGCTCGATGTTCCCTCCTCGCATGCGGCGCCCGTCCTCGAAGTACGCGCTGTTCCCTCCTGACACTGTCACTGCGCCATGACCCACACTTATATTGTGCTCTCTAGCTTGAAAGTGAGATCGACGGCAGGCTTCCCGGAAACACTTCTTATTGGTATCCTTCTCTTTGGCTCAACTGCCACCCTGACATGCATACACTGTGGCATCCTGTTTGATAGGGAAAGATGAAGCTGCAACCGTAATATAAGGAGAGCACTGGTCTGGCTCATACGCAGTGCAGTCTGGCAAGACTGGTATGGTGGCAGCCACGGGGTTTTTAGTGCGGGGTTTATGCAGAGCGACCCGTACTGGTTAACAAAGGCATAAAAATGTCAAATGTGCTCTCAGGTGGGGGCTCTGGAGGTGGCGGCTGCGGGCGAGGAGGCCTCAGCAGACATAACAGTGTCCGTGAAGGGCGCACTTTTCCGGGCAATCCTCAGCCTCAGTGCTGCCTACCCTGACGCTGCCGGCACGGCGCCTGAGCTCTTCCTCACCCCCTCCAGCATCTCTGCCGGTGCGGCGCATCCTCTTGCTTTTGGATTTTAAGTTAGGATCTGTGGAATGCAGGATACTAAAAATGAAAAGTGTAACCTTCACTGCTCGCCATTGCCATTTGACAGCGATCAGGTCATATGGGACATCCACCAAAATTTCATCGTGCAATATTGGAAGGCAGGTAGCCTAAGTCTCTGCCTATATTTTTTTTTTTTTTTTTGCAGGCGAGGCCGAGCCAATGAGCAATGCGCTGACAGTGAGCCTGGATGACTGTACATCCGGTCAGCTGCAGAGGCGCGTCCAGATCAGGCTGCCACGCAGCGGGCGAGTCGTGCTCAGCGTGCGCCTGAACTACCAGACAGCAGCGGTGAGCCAAGTTTATGTCTATCATCGAAAGAATTCTTATATGGCTGGCCGAGGCATTGCTGTGTTTAGTGCTCTTGTCACCGTCACTGGGTTGTGCGGAGAATGGTGGTTTATTGTTGGCAGAGGACATTCTCAGAATCAGCGTCCAAAAGCTGAGCATGCATGTTGTGTTCTAATTGTAATGTTCCTGTTGCTGCGTCTCCCTGACTTACATTTGTTGGTCCCTAAATATCTGTAGCTTAAGCTTGGACAGAAAGTGCAGCTGTCGCCTTGTCAGCAGGGAGACAGGTGAGGCAGACATTAGCCAAGTGATGTCACCAAATAATGGCAGTATCTTATTTCAACTGCAGGAGGGTGGTGAGGCGTGCCAGGTCAGCCTGCAGGCAGGCATCGCCGTGATAGACCCTTTCCAGCTGCGGCTTGCGTGCTCCGCGCCTGCCCGCTCCTGCGCCCTCATCCTCGCAGACCCCGAGGTGAGTCAAAACCTCACACTGCATCCCCCCTTGAAACCTAGCACTGCGGAAAAATGGTCGAAATCTGCGCAGCTCAAGCAGTGGTAGTTGATCTCGGTTTTGCAGCGTTGCCCTCAAGATCAACCAGAGATGTTGGAGCAAAAACGTTCTGCAATTTCTCAAAGAAGTTTTTGGGTAAAGTGGGCTCAGGTGTGAGCCTGCAAGTCATGATAGCTGTGCTAGTAAAGCATCTGCAGAGCATACGCACTTCAAGAAGAAAGTGAGAGCCCACTAAGGGAATCCCGTAGAGGACTCATACCAAAAGTTTCACCCTGGAAAGCAGCAAGAGAATAATAATCTTGAGTACGTTGTGTGGGTGTACATCTGCAGGCAGAAGAGCAGGAGGGGGCGCCGGTGCCCAACGTGCTGCCCATTGGGCAGCCCTGCATTGCCCAGGCTTCGCTGGCATCCCTGATGCCCTGTGACATCATGCTGTGTGATGTCAGCGTGGAAGCGCCAGCCAATGAAGACCAGGAATCTCCTGGTAAGCCAGCCTGCTAATCAGGCACTTCTCCTTATCAGTCTCTAGATACAAGTCTTCACATGAGCTGTTCAGATCCAATTGTAACGGAAACCAGCATGTCCTGATGTTGCATTGAAGTGGAACTTTTATTGCATGGTTTCAGACAAGCTATGGGACCAAAATTCCACACCTTTGAACTCTCTTCACGAAATATTGGCCTTGTTCACTTTCCTGACAAACACCTGGTGGTAAAAGCCAATGGCAAAATCAGCTGCAGGGTTTAGAACCTCCTGAGTTTCAATCATGCTTGTCTGAAATTGGCATTTGCACCCTTATAAATGATACGTCCAATGCCAGAGAAGGGTTGGAAGGCTGTCATAAAAACGCTGCTGCAACGCACCTGATCCTGATGCATTGCAGAGTCTCCTAAAATGCTAAAAAAATGCTATTACTAATTGAACACTGGTAGTAATGACATATTGTGCAGGTGTGTCTGTGGTGGGCTTTGTGTCAACGGCGACAGCAGAGGACCCGGTGCTGTTCAGGAAAGGCGATGTGCACACGGTGGTTGCGCAGATTCTGAGTCAGCGCGCCGGCCGCAGCGTTCGCTCCGGCCACCTGAAGGTGACGTGGCAGCGCAGCAGGTGACTCATTGTAGCCCAGAAATCCCTAAGGGTACACTGGTCACTCACACATGATGTATCTTGCTACTGCAGAATTTGACGGTCCACTCTGCAAGGCAGCCGTTTCGTCCCCTCGTGGCACTCGCATTTTCTTTCATGTGTGCAAGCTCCCCTGCTGCAATCTCTTCTCCTTCAGAAACCGCATTAATATTGCCAGGTGCAGGACCAGCAGATATGCTTTTCTGGCAATTGCATTAATGGCTGCAAGCAGGGGGCGAGTCTGCTCGCACTGGTTTTGGCATTGATTGGGGTCAGAATCGAAGGCCCGTCTGCATTTCACTTTGGTTGTTTGGTTCTCCTTTCAGTGTAGTTGTGGTTCTGTGTGATGCAGGCCACCGGACGTGAGGACTGTACGCAGCAGTGAGCTTCCCCCGGGCCACCCCGATCCAGAAACAACGGTGGCGGGGGTCCCCCCGGCGGTGGTGACGCGGGTCCCCCTGCCAGCGCAGGACTGGGGGGCCCCGGCGCTGGAGGCGGCCGCCGAGTGGCCGCAGGCCGCGACGGCCGGGGCAGCTTTTGAGCTGCGCATAAACCTGCACAACCGGACTCACCATCTCGTCGAGCTTGGAGTTCGCCTGGGGGACACCTCAGGCTTTGTACTGGAAGGTACGTGCCATTCTTTGAAGGAATTTATTCTTCTTTCTTTCTTTCTTTCTTTCTTTTTTTCTTTCAGGGTCTTCATGAGTGGAGGCCTTGAGATAGCTTTGCCTTGTGTATGGCAGTCTTTGTGGAGGAGTGAACCAATGCTACCGTCACAATTTTGTATTTGCAACGCAATACCATGAAACACGAGTAGGTAGTACAAGACATTTGGAAGTTTTCATCCAGACACTTGCCCTGGCTGTACAGTATTTTGGTCTGGAGTGTGTGCATATGGGTGTAATTTCTGCTTCCTACATTCCGGGAGCCGGCTGGGTACCAATTTGACCTGCTTCTATACTTGCCCTTGTGCCAGCCATCGATTCACCATAGACTGTGCACAGTTTGTGGTGGATCTTTGGCGGGGGCAGGTCCAGCACAGAATCAATTAAGATCGAGAGCTTGAATCTGAATGCCCTTGTGAGCTGGCAGCTTTCCTACGGCACCGCTGCTCTGGCAGACTCATCAGATCCTGAAGAGAGGTTTCCCCTAACATATGACATATCAGAAGGAGCTCCCATAACACAGAAGCTCCACAGTCCTGTCAAAAGTTCTGCACAGAGTACAGCATGCTTATCGTTTAAATTCACAAACTTGAGGCCTGAGGCAAATTCCTGTGTCCGGTCACAGGCACGCGGGTGGGCAGCATAAGCATGCTGCCATACCAGGAGGGAACGCTGCGCTACCAGCTCATCGCGACGGCTGCGGGCAGCCTTCCGCTGCCCGAGGTGCACCTAACCGCTGCCCGCTGGGCAGCCGCTCTGCAGCCGCTCGCCGGCCGCCGCGTCTTCGCGCACCCCCCGGCGCCATCGGATCCCCTCCCCGCTGCCGGGGGGATTGCTGCCGCTGCAAACCTAGCTGCAGGGTTTGCGCAGCTGAGCACCTAAGGATCAGCGGCGAGTGTCTGAGCTTCTGTAGAAATTGAACTTTGTTGTGTACCAGAGGTCTGCAGGTATTGTGCAGCTGCTCGCCTGCCGCCGCGTCTTCGCGCACCCCCCCGTGCCATCCCCCTCCCTGCCGTCAGGGGGAATGCAACCCTAACCGCGTGTTTTGCGCAGCTGAGCACTTAGGAAACAGCAACAGCATCAGGAAGCGATGTGCAAGGCCTCTGGGGAAATGTCATCGTGTTTCTTTGCCACTGCTTCCTTCTCCAAACTGTGGTGCCATCGGTGCCCCTGCCCTCTGCCACGGGAAATGTAGCGGCCGCGGGCTTTGCGCAGCTCAGCACTAAAAGGGGCTGAAGGAGAGCAAGTAGACAGTGCAGATTGGGTATTGATATTGACAAGGTTGAGGAGCATGGGTGTGCGTGAATAATAACGGCATACATGGAGGCAGAGTTTCGAAGTGGAGAAGCAAATACAGCCCGCACACCTTGCACCTAGCACACAAATTAGACTGTTGCGTCAGGTCACTGTGCTCTCGAGAGAGTGTATAGAATCACAGAGGAGACTTCAATTGCATGCGCCGGTGTAGGAAGGACCGGTGATTGTTCGAGCTTTGATATGCTCGTGTGACTAAATTTAGTCATATATTTGGGTAATATGGGCAATTTTACAGCCCAGTGAAGTTGTTGGCTGGTTGGGTTGGAGTCTATATCGACAGACGTCTGTTCAACAGATGGTGAGGAACCTGCAGCTGCTTCTCATGGTGTGGATCACACCATCAATGTAACATAATATGAATTCTTCTCTGCAGAGCAATGGATCCTGGATAGAATTTGAGTCCCTGACACGTATCACATTCCAGTTCTTCCACATGGAGGAGCATGCACACGCATGTAACACGAATCACAGCCGACAGTCTGCTCTCATCTTTACCAATCGGAGACTTGCCTTCTGGATGCAGGGCCAGCTGATCCCAGGAAAGAGACATCTGCAGCTGACCAGCATCTCATCTTTTCACCTTTCCCAGCTCTGGCGTGTCCTGCCGCGCAACCTTGATGATATCATGTTCCAACACTGTCACAGTTCTGCAATCACCTTTCATCGCTGTGGCCTGGCACGCCAATTGAAATCCGGGCGGCACCCCGGCCGCGGCCCACAGCTGTAGGGAGGTGACCACAGGAATGTCGACCAACAGCCGGGACACAAGCAATCGCTTTGTGTGCATCTGGGTGCCTCCGGGCGTCCAGCATGCGGACCAGGCACTCGCTGGAGATTCTGTGGATCTCTGGGATGGCCGACAGGTTGTTCCCGTTCTTCAGGATGTACCTCTCAGCGCGCTCAGCCAGGCTCGGCAGGCTGTGTGCCTCGGCAACTGCGAGCATGTGCACTGCCTTGCTGACGTCATCGCCCTGCCACATGCCCATGCTGCCTCAGCGTGCTGTGATCATGGGACAATGAGATGGAACGCTTGCAAGCACCTCCTGCAGCGCGTGCTGTGCAAATTACGCCGGAACCTCAGTGCAACCTTCCAGAAAAGCCGCCAGGTAAATGCAGGCAGTGTTTAAGAAGCGTCACAAGCCTTTGGTCTATCCCTTTCTGATGGCAGCACTGCCAGCCACTATCCTGTCACAGGGCCTGAATGGGTGGCAACTGGAAGTATGGTAATCACAAAGCACAAAAATGTTCTCACCCAGAGTTCCCACGAAGAGCCGTCGATGTTGACCCGCGATGCCAGGAACTCGTCACAGCATTGCAGCGTGTCGTGCAGGCCGTACTTGTGCGCCAGCAAGCTCACAAGCTCTGCCTTTTCGACGGTGAGGACCGTGGATCGATCTTCCGCATAGAGGTATTCGAGGAAAGCCCTTGCTGCCTCGTCACTGCATCCGGGAAATGGCAAACGGCGCAAAGCTGTCCCTCTGTCCAAAGTGAGGATGCCGCACAGAACGAAAGAATGTGCAGCCAGGAAGGCCGAATGGACGGGCAACTCGCTTCCAGAGTCCAACACCAGCAAGACGTCGCAGCTGTTCTTGAATTCATACGGTTTGGCAAACAAGTGTGCATGAGCCTCGCAACTTCTGTCGAAGTCAAAACTGACCCATTGGTGCGGGGCAACACATGTCGACAGGTCTCTGAAATGAGCATTATCTATATCCGGAGTCATTTTCATAACAATGGGCTGCCGCAGTAGCAAACGTAGGTTCTGCTTAGGATACGAAGTTCTTGTCACAGATTGCGAATCGCATCGGGCGACCGAGAAAGTCCAAGGAGACCTTGGACTGGCCTTGGCATATGCGTGCCTATGTGGAATGCCTTGCAGCTGCACAAGTTTCAGGCCTTGCAAAATTATATGAAGATGCCACCCCTAATCAATTTAGTTGGCATCCACGGGTTCCTTGAACTTTCTGCCTTTCTCTGAATTTGCATGTTGTGGCAGCCACCTGCAGCTTCCGCATGCTCGGAAGCTGGATATTTTGGGTGACAAAAAGATTACACCTATCTCACCAAACCCCTTTTCGGCCTAGGAAGCATTGCTCTACCAAACAATCAGTCAATACCTTGGTTGCCGCAACCAACGCTGGATCTTTGCCGATGGTTGTGAGTTCTCGTATCGTTCTGCTGCTTTAATTTGTTATCAAGGCAGCGATTACAGTATTTAAGCTTCCGGTCTGGTTGATCTCTGGTATGTATAATTCCTGATGGTTCACCCCTTGAACGTAGGATTCGCGAGATAATGTCGTGATTTGCGGAGCGGGAATCATTGGCAGTGCCATTGCCTATTATCTCGCCGAGAAAGGAGTGAAGGCTACCGTGGTAGAGAAAGGAGATGTGGCCTGTGCTTCATCAGGTGTGCCCATCCCCTTGCATTTGGACGCACAGTTTGTGTGATGAGCCTTTGAGAACTGAGGTTAGGTGTATGCAACTGTTAGGGAAGATGACTGGGAGCGGTACACTTGATACAGGGGCCACCTGAAGAAACCTTTGTGAGAGGTTGTCTATGTGATGCAACTGCTGCAGGAAAAGCAGGGGGCTTCCTGGCGTTGGACTGGAACGATAGCACCGCCGTGGGGCCGCTCGCGCGGCTGAGCTATGTGCTACACAAGGAACTGGCGCAAAGCCTGGGTGCAGACACAGGGTACAGGGAAGTGCGCACCTATTCAGTGAGTGCTTCTGCTAAGCCAGGTTGGCGCCTCTACACATTTCCTCACAGCATGCACTTGTGTTCCATCTGTTGACTGCTAGGCAGCACAGGCATGTTGCCTTCATTGACACTGCCCGGCAGCAACAGGCATGTCCGATAAGTGCAGAAGGCACTGCCCAGCAGCAATTGGCATGTCCGATGAGTGCGAAAGACATATTGCTTAGGTGACGCACACTGAGGTGCATGCATGTATTTGTTAATTTATATTTAAGAGAGCCTCCAATCAGTGTGGCCTGAGGGCTCCGTGTGTGCAGGCAGGAGGAAAGCAGCGAGGAAGGATGGGCTAGATTGGCTGGACGGCAACATCTCCCAAGTCAGGGTAAATTCCCACTGCCTCGAGCTATAGAATCGCTGTTGGCCAGTCTGCAAATGAGCGATACTGGGGTGGACTGGGTGCTGAAGAGTGCCTCTCCTAGCCTTGTATGCCATTGCAATCTACTTAATGCCGGGTGTGTGGGTTTCAAGCCTGCCAAGACATGACCCCAATGTGCTCGACTGTCCTGGGATTTTGACCAAGTGAGAAGAGCGCATCACTTGGTCAGTCCACACTTGTCCCAAACCCTTGTAAAGCTTTCAGACAAGTTTCTTCAAATGAGAGGTGTTCATTGACATGCTGCAGGAGATGGCAGAGGAGGGGACGACGGCGCAGGTGCACCCAGAGAAGCTTACGCGAGCGTTCCTGGACAGCGCTCTCAGCAGAGGAGCAAAGCTGGTGCACAGGACTGTGCAAGGGATTGCCTTGAGTCAGGATGGGAAGCGCGTGGAAGGTGGGTACTTAAGTCATTATTCTGCAGAAGGCTTTAGTGATCCAGCAATCCCCGAGCCTTTGGTGTACCCCTGGTACAGGAACTAAGGCCGTCAGGTTTATTTTACCTGGCTCTGGTGTTTGTCTGCGAGCTGCTGCTGGGCTGCAAGAGGTTCATTGAGTGCGCAATTGTGCGTAAGATTGCCTGCCCCGCTGCGATGATTGCACAAGTTGTCAGCCAAATCAGGCACACTGAACGCTCTTTATTGATATACTGCAGCTCGGTAGCAGTCACGAGGACTGCGCCACTGTGCCTCAACATTGCAGTCTTCCCAACTAGTGTCTGCAGATTTGCTTGAGCACATCATGTCACCTCTTTGGAGATAAAGTATGCCCAAAACTGCCTTTCATGCCTCACCAAAGGATAGAGGCATGCAGAGTTTACTTATTGAAAGAATTCACAAGGTGTCCGGTCAGATTACCAGGAGTCACCACGTTTGGCTTTCCAAAATTCTTATTCCAATTTACATGGCTTGACACCTCTGCTGCTGCTGCAGGTGTGAGGCTGGATGGTGAAATGCTGCCGGCAGGAAGGGTGGTGATAGCGATGGGCCCCTGGAGCGGGGACGCCGCGCGATGGCTACCGGGGCTGCCGCGCATCAGCGGCCAGAAGGCTCACAGCATCCTCGTGCGGCCCTCGCGGCCCGTGGGCGCCGACTGCCTCTTTGCACAGGTTGTCAGCTCTTCAGGTGAATTTCAATTGGGTACTTCTTTGTGTCCCCCATGACACAAACATTCAATAGATCATTGCAGTCGGTGAGATGACTCTGTCTTGGCAGTGCCATAGCCTGTACCAGCTGACTGCATCTTCGCACATGTGATCAACTCTTCAGGTGGGAATTGAGAGTTGATCAGGCGTGTAGATGCATGCATGTAGATGTTACTGTTGTTTCAGCACGTTCATTGGGTCTTGGGTGCTCGCGGTGACTGCTCTGCTACTAGACTGCCTATTTGCCCATGCCATTAGGTGGCGCCCACCTTGAGCTCGATATGACTGCTCAAGGTAGTCACATACTTGAAGTGGGGCAAGTGATGTGTGCTGGTGTGAAGGGCATGAACAGTCACCACATCTCCTTTACCATTCATCCAATAACGAGATCTGCTTTGGCACATTTTGGTGTTGGTTGTTGTAGTGTTGCAGATTTGGCAGTGCTTCCTCTTGACCCGGAGTGCGCTGAAGCAGGCCCTACGCTCAGAAGATTTCTGAAGGCAGGGAGGCAGGAACTGTGCACTGCACTGTCGCGCACTGTCTGCACCAAGATTCAACAAGGGCTGCGACCAATGAAAATGGTTTTTGACAAAAACCCCAGTGCCCTGCCTGGTTTCAAGCTCCGGCATGCACAGTGCTTGCCCGCTAACAACTCCTGCCAGAGCTGACGCGACCGGCGGCTGACTGGACATCGGCTGACTGGACGTGAGCTGACTGGACATCCGCTCCGCTGCGTATGCAGGGCAGCGAAAGGAGCCGGAGGTGTACCCGCGGCCGGACGGGAGCGTTTACATCTGTGGAGAGAGTGATGATAGCAGACTCCCCGATGACCCCCTCGCCATTACCCCACGTGGCGACGCCATGACCGCCCTTCAAGTGCGCCACATCCTGCCACATCCTGCCAGAACTCCTTTGAAATTGTAGAATTCGGATAGGACTACCTTGAGATCAACCTCAGCTGGTGAACCAGTGCATGGCTGACTGGTCCCTGCTCGGGAAGACGCATTGAGTTGGTTGAGTCAACCTTTGGTGACTGTTTTGGGAGATCTTTGTGCAGCATTTAAGGTACAGCTGCAGCACTATATGTTGCGGTTATGTTTCAGCAGAGCTATCCCGTGATTCAAGACAAGGAATATAAAGCAACAAACTTAGAGTTTTGTGCGGGAGAGAGCGTGGGCTGAAGCAAGGGGATGCTGTGAGCATTTGCACCAGACTAGAAGTGCTGAGCATTGCACAGATTCACCTTGATGTGGAGCATGGGGGCAAGGGATAACACATCAGGAAAACAGGGATTTACTAAATCATGACTTGTGTGCTTGATCAGGAGGCGGGCGGTGTTATTTCGAGCGCGCTGGCGGAGGGAACGCTGGAGGCGCAGCAGGCCTGCTTCCTGCCCACCTCGCCCGACGGCCTGCCCGTTCTGGGCAGAATCCCCGGCATCGACGGCGCCTACATTGCCAGTGGTGCGACCTGAGAATCACTGGGCAGACTTCTGTAGCGTAGTTGCAATATCCCTGCAACCACGGCCATCCCTGTCAACTGCTGCTGTGGGATTAGCAAGGCCAGGGTTCAGGTGCATCTTGTCTTGCGCAACTGTAAGATCTGGGGGAGGAGCGCAGTTTTTATAATTAAACACAGGCATGGGCCTGCATTGCTTCCTGGGATCGCAGCCCAATTGGACCCAACCGTGTTTGCCTCTCTGCACACCTTGATGGGGGAGCAGCCAGCTGGAGCTTGCCGAAGCTCTATGCTGAGGCTTCTGCACAGCCGAAACACATACAAACTACAGGTGTCGTTTTAGCTGAACTGAGTGATGCGTGTGGGGCTGGCCAGGGCACAGCTGCTGGGGCATCCTGAATGCTCCGGCAACAGGGAAGGCAATGGCAGAGCTCGTCGCTGACGGGGCAGCAAAGTGCGTGAGCCTGGCGGCCTTTGACCCTGCACGCTTCTTGCGCTGATTTTTGTAAAGGCACTCCGCTATTGACTTCCGATCAGGCTGTGATGAGTCTCATACAAGCCCTGCCATAAGGTCTTGGCAATGCAAAGTTGTCATGTTGCTGGACTCTTTGCTCTGCCCCTCACGGCAATTAGAGAGGGTTGAGCTGTGTAGCCCAACAGAGGAAGCAAATTGCACAACAGCTTTGAATTTCTGCGCTCCCTCCTACGCTGCTCATCTCAGCACGAGTATTTGCATGCGAGAGCTTGCATTTGGGCGACAAATTATCTCATTGCTGATTGTGATGACTCCATGTAAAAATGCGAGATTGCGAGTACGTGGCCAGGATGTAAAAACCGCAACATGAACCGTTGAAAGCTGCACAATGAGATGCACAAAACATGAGATCGGTGTATGACATGAGGCATTAGCAAATCATTACGGAACTGGAATGCTTGCGTCATCTGACTATCTCGATCGTTTTTGCCTGTGACGCGTCAAACGGCAGTGCCATCACAGACAAAGTTTGCGGACTGAATAGAATCGCATATTACTTTAAACTATATCATCAAGATCGAGCCTGCTCTAACCGCCCGTGGCCGGTAAGTGAGCTGGCTTTCCCCATTGTCAGATGCCTATCGTCAAATAACTGGGACTTATGCAGAATTATATACCAGGACTTAGAACCAATAAATTTACGGAATCTTGACTCACACAGATGCTGTGTAACAGTCGCAAGCCTTCCAAGAGCTTGGCCAGATTTCTGATGGCCCTTCGCCTGGTAACAACGCTTGCTTTTCTGGCAGCGTCTGTCCAATTGGTTTCGGCGCAAGGTGAGCTGGCACTCGCGTCAATTTACACAGCAGTGCATCCTGCTTTCGTTGCCTGCCTGCTTGCGAAATTTTGCTGGACGCATTTCCGTAAAAATTCCCCTGTTGAAAGTAGCCCCCTTTTCAGGGGTGAAGGGCCCATTCTCATAGCAGAAATTTTGCTGATGCCAGGTGCGGCACAAAGGGATATAGTGGCAGCGAATTCAGTTGTGAGCGACCTGCTCAAGGTGATTTGAATACCATTTTCATCAGGAATAGTAGCTCTCAAGGCAGCTACTTCCTCAATGAGGAAGTGCCCTTTGCTGAATGCCCACCCGACAGGCAGTTCAAGACCTGCACAGGGTTGTGGTTCAGAATTTCGTGTTCACTGCTTTGCTTACATTCACGGCAGTTAAGTACAACCTCAGCTTGCCTTTGTTGCTGTTCTGACGGTGCAAACTGATGCGCAGGGGAGACTGGACGCCTTGAGGCTCAGACACCATTGCCACACCATACTGGGCATCAACAGGTGCACCACGACGCCGCCAGCAACCACGCTTGCACCTGTCTCTTCCTCAACAGTTCCGCCAACCAGCCTGCCACCAACCAGCCTGCCACCAACCAGCCTGCCAACCACCAGCCTTCCACCAACTACCGTACCCCAGACAACCACAGTCTCTCCAACAAGCACAGTACCTGCCACTACAGCAGCGACAACGACTACCCTTCCTAGCACAACACCACCGCCCACGACAACAGTACTCCCAAGTACAACAGCCGTCCCAACAACCACTCCAGTGGCGACCACAACCGTGCAGCCAAGCACCACTGCAGCTGCAACCAGCACGCCGGTACCTACAACCACTCTGCTGCCCACCACAACTCCTGTACCATGCTTGGCAGATGGGGAGATCTGTGTGTTCAGCTCGCAGTGCTGCTTTTCAGTCTGCGGCGGGCGTGCTCCTCCGTTCACATGCCAGTTGCCCTAAGCTTCAAGGCACAACAGGGCTTGACAGTGCCTCCCCAGGAGTGCTTCACCTGAGATCCAGGGCTGCCAAGACAGCACTTTTTACCCTCTGTGGGCAGTCGGAGGGAGTTGTGATCTGCCAAGAAATCTTAATAGTCAATGTGGCAGAAAGTTCTGGTCAGACCAGAACCCCCGTCTCAGAACCCAGAAGCATATGGCCAGTCCCAATGGCATCACCATGGCAATCGATTTTGCGAGTTCTGACTGCACAGACGCTGGAGAGTCAAGAACAAAGGGTGACATGTCAGATCGCGAGAATGCAAGATCAGGATCGCAGTCAATGTGTTGTTTGCCCAGTTTGCACAGCTTGAAAAGGGCAACTTTGCATTGTCGGGTTGACTAGGGTTTCAGATACTGGATGGAATGAAGTTGACATAGCATGCCTGTCTAAAATACAATACTGAGATCCCAAGATATTGAGGCAAAATGAGCATCATGGATTTGTGCAGGACTCAAGTGGGACACTGTGGGACACTGTGAATTTGAGATTGTTGAAGGATTGGCGAGGCCATCTTTGTGCATGTTCTTGTACAGACGCGGTAGCAGACACGCGGTTGGAATGAAGAGGACAGCTCTGACATGCACCGGAACCATTTTGACGCGGCCGGCACACACGTTCGCTGACCAAGAACACAGTCAGATGGGCCAAAGTGCCTCATGCGGAAACCTGCCAGTGTCGCTGTTTGCACTCTCTAAGAAGCTGGCTTGGCTGCCCACACTGTATGCTTCACCTCAAGCTTCCATGTAATCCTTCGGCCTTGGCTTTGGATAACTGTTATTCTTATTATTACAAACTTCTCCTGCCAAGAGGCAAGATGCGTCTTGTCGACAAGCTGCAGTGGAAAGGCTGCCGCAATCCTTCCCCTTGTTGGACTCGCCAGATCCAAGCAAGACCCAATCAATCGTGGGCTCGGTGTTCGGTATTTGTACCGCCCCTTGCCGGCCGGGGCCGAGGTCGACCTGTAATATGAATGATAACCCCTGTGCTGAAGCAATTGCTTGTTTCTAAGGAGGCATGTTCCCCGATGACTGCATGGCGACAAATTATCTCATTGCTCATTGTGATGACTCGATGTAAAAATGCAAGATTGCAAGTATGTGGCCAGGATGTCAAAACCGCAACATGAACCGTTAAAAGCTGCACAATGAGATGCACAAAACAAGAGATCGGTGTATGACATGAGGCATTAGCAAATCATTACGGAACTGGAATGCTTGCGTCATCTGACTATCTCGATCGTTGTTTGCCTGTGACGCGTCAAGCGGCAGTGCCATCACAGGCAAAGTGTGCGGAGTGAATAGAATCACATATTAATTTAAACAATATCATCGAGAGCGAGTGTGCTCTAGCCGCCCGTGGCCGGTAGGTGAGCTGGCTTTCCCCATTGTCAGATGCCTATCGTCAAACAACTTGCACAGATCTCTATACCAGTACTTTGAACCGATAAATTTCCGGACGTTTGTCTCACACAGATGCTATGTAACAGTCGCAAGCTCTCTTAGAGCTTGGCCAGATTCCCTGATGGCCCTTCGCCTGGTAACAACGCTTGCTTTTCTGGCAGCGTCTGTCGAATTGGTTTTGGCGCAAGGTGAGCTGGCACTCGCGTCAATTACACAGCAGTGCATCCTGCTTCTGTTGCCTGCCTGCTTGCGAATTTTGAGCTGAATGCCTTCCCGTAAATATTCCCCTGTTGAAAGTAGCCCAACTTTTCAGGCAGAACTGTGTTGATGCCAGGTGCGGCACAAATGGATATAATGGCAGCGAATTCAGCTGTGGGCGACCCGCTCAAGGTGACTTGAATCCCAGGGACATATATATCAGGAACATTCCCACTTCAGTAGCTCTCACACTGGGGAAGTGCCCTTTGCTGAATGCCCACCCGACAGGCTGTTCAAGACCTGCACAGGCTTGTGGTTCAGGATTTCGTGTTCACTGCTTCGCTTCCATTCACGGCAGATAAGTACAACCTCAGCCTGCCTTTGTTGCTGTTCTGACGGTGCAAGCTGATGCGCAGGGGAGACTGGACACCTTGAGGCTCAGACACCACTGCCACACCATTCTGGGCATCAACAGGTGCACCACGACGCCGCCAGCAACCACGCTTGCACCCATCTCTTCCTCAACAGTTCCGCCAACCAGCCTGCCACCAACCAGCCTGCCACCAACCAGCCTGCCACCAACCAGCCTTCCACCAACCAGCCTCCCACCGACCAGCCTTCCACCAACTACCGTACAGCAGACAACCACAGTCTCTCCAACAAGCACAGTACCTGCCACTACAGCAGCTACAACGACCACCCTTCCTAGCACAACACCACCGCCCACGACAACAACACTCCCAAGTACAACAGCCGGCCCAACAACCACTCCAGTGGCGACCACAACCGTGCAGCCAAGCACCACTGCAGCCGCAACAACCACGCCGGTACCTACAACCACTTTGCTGCCCACCACAACGCCTGTAGCATGCTTGGCAGTTGGGGAGATATGTGTGATCACCGCGCAGTGCTGCTTTCCAGCCGGCTGTGGTGGCGGGTTTACTCCCCCGTTCAGATGCAACTTGTTCTAAGCTTGAAGGCACAACAGGTCTTGACAGTGCCTCCCCAGGGGTACCTCACCTGAGATCCAGGGCTGCCAAGACACCACTGTCTACTGTTTGGGGGCAGTCGCAAGGATATGTGATCTGCCGAGAAATTTGGGAAGTCAATGTGGCAGAAAGTTCCGGTCAGACCAGAACCCCGTCTCAGAACCCAGAAGCATATGGCCAGTCCCCATGATGGCATCAGCATGGCGATTGATTTTGTGAGTCCTGACTGCACAGACGCTGGAGAGTCAAGAACAAAGGCTGACTTGTCAGGTCGCGAGAATGCGAGATCAGGATCGCAGTCAATGTAAATGATGTTGACATAATGTCTGAAACACAGTACTGAGATCCCAAGATTTTGAGGCAAAATGGGCATCTATGGATTTGTGCGGGGCTTAAGTGGGACACTGTGGGACGCTGTGAATTTGAGACCGTTGAAGGATTGGCAAAGCTATCTTTGTGCATGTTCTTGTACAGACGTGGTAGCAAACACGCGCATGGAATGAAGAGGACAGCTCTGACATGCACCGAGAGCATTATGACGCGGCCCGCGCACACGTTCGCTGACCAAGAACACAGTCAGATGGGCTGAAGTGCCACATGCGGAAACATGCCAGTGTTGCTGTTTGCACTCTTTAAGAAGCTGGCTTGGCTGCCCACACTGTATGCCTCACCCCAAGCTGCCATGTAATCCTTCGGCCTTGACTTTGGATTATTATTATTACACACTTCTCCTGCCAAGAGGCAAGGTGCGTCCTGTCGACAAGCTGCAGTTCAAAGGCTGCCGCAATCCTTCCCCTTGTTGGACTCGCCAGATCCAAGCAAGACCCAATCAATTGTGGGCACGGTGTTTAATATTTACACCGCCCCCAGCCGGCCGGAGCCAAGGGTTTGTCGACCTGTGATATGAATGATAACCCCCGTGCACCACAGATACAAGCATTGCTCACACCAATGTTCACTTATCGTACCCGAGCTGGGTTCACTGACTCAGTTGATCGGATCAATTGCCAGGGGAAATATTTTGGTTCAAATCTGGGCATTGAACTTGTTTCTTGAGAGGCACCTCCTGAAATTGAAATGAAGCAGACCAAGCAGTTGGATCTTGGCGTGAATAGACAACAACTCTGTTTTACCAGTACAAAGCTCGAGATGCCAGTCCTAACACTTTCCTCCATCCTGAAGCTATTGCTCGTTAATAAGGAGGCCTGCTTCCCGATGACTGTATTGCACACTTCGACTACTGCACTTTCCGGCCTTTCATCCTTCACAGTGCGAAACAGACGATTTTCCTGAGATAAGGCAGCTGAAAATACATGCTGTTGGAAAGGCTGCTGCCTGGGCTAATAGCACCCCTTAAAGATCGAAGCCTTCAAGATTGCGTGGTATTAACGAGACCGCCCGCGATAAAAGAACCGCTGATTTTGAAGTGAACATCATTGACTTTAAACTTTTGCAAAGAGACACCAAGTGCCAAGGGCATCAGCACCACCATCGTTACTCATGAGCTCAGCCACGTGACCTGAATATTTCGATCGTTTCCTCCCTCTGATGCAAAATGAAGCGCTCACTATATTCGCCAGCACTTCGTAATAATCAATAGCGCCTTGAGACAACGTACTTCTGATCTGGTGAGTCTTATTTTGTCGAAACAGTGGTTTGCATCTACCTGTCACAGATTCCCTAGTGTCGAGCAATCTTGGCAACAACGAGCTTCTTGCAGGTATTGCAGAGCCATTAGAGCCAATCGTCGCTCATAGCGAAGGACTTTGATGGCTCATCTCCTGGTAACATTGCTTGTTATCTTGGTGGCGTCTTTCCACACCGTCTACGCTCAAGGTGACCTGGCACCACTGTGTCATAAAACGTTTCTCTTTGCCTCTCTAGTGTGTCTCTCAGGATCTCAGCGGGAAGTCCTAAAAACATGCCACATGAACACTTTGCGCTGTCGCCTGTCAATTCAAATCACAAAGCCTTCGATTAACGTGATTTGTGTTGATATATCGATGGCAGGTTCAGCTGATCAGACCAGAACAGCAAATGCTCCTCTGGACCAACTTATGAAGGTGACCTAATTTCTGGTGGCTCACTCTTATAGGCCTGTACCAAATCAACGTTTTCTTTGGATCTCGCCAGGCCAGACAAAAGATCAACCGGGCTAATGTTCAAGCATCAACCGAGATCTTGAGCTCAAAGATCCGCCCAATCTAGAGGAGCACCTGAGATTCTGGGGCCAAAGAGATATGGCCTGCCCAAATCCTTCTGCAAATGGAGGAGCTGCGGAGTTCAAAAAAACAGCCAATTTTACAGATAACTGAGTGAAGAGACTAGGAACTCTTTCAGCAAGCGGTCACGTGCGGACCACTGGAGTTCAATCTCTGAAGAAACTCTCCTTGCAGCGCAGGATATGGCCTCAACAGTGGAGGTCTTTAGACTCAGACACCACTGTCACACCTCTATCTTGGGCTTCAACAAGTGCCTCACAACACCGCAAGCAACCACGCTTGCACCGGCCTCATCTTCTCTAGTGCCGCCAACCAGCCTTCCGCCAGCCACCGTACCCCAGGCAACTACAGTGGCGCCAACTAGCACCCCACCAATAAGCACAGCAGTGCAGACAACCAATCCAGCACCCACAACTACTGTACTCCCAAGCACAACTCCAGGTGTGAAAAATTTTATTTTAACTAATCAGAGTTTCTGGGTACTTTTGCATCTTGCATCTAAAAGACTCCCCGGGGCTTGGTATCCCCGGGGGTTGTTTACCCTATTGAATATATATATATATATATAGGTGACCCCCTGGAGTTGTGCTCGCGCTCCTGGATTTGGGGACGGCTTTCAGTCTGCACAGAACTTTTTGCTGCAATTGACTGCCAATACTTGCGAGGTAGATGAGACATGCCTAGAAAATGCCTGTAAGGTGCTGTCTGGGCAACCCTGGAGATCTGGCTGTCCAAACCTGAGTGCACCTGCCTTTGCAGACCCTTTTGAGCTGTGCCATAAACTTAGCAAGTATTGAACCATGCGGGCACATGGCTGGTACTGCTTTGATAATTTTGTGACTTGTTTGTACTTGATGTATACCGTGCTAGCTGAATCACTTGTGGCCTCATCTGTCATCCCAGGAGCCACAACGCCAGCGCCGACAACCACAGTGCTACCCGCTTCCACTGCAGCAGCCACAAGCACACCGGCAGCCACCACAACAATGCTCCCAATTACCATTCCAGCAGTCACCACGACACTGCTACCCACGACCACCCCCTTTTTATGCCTGCCAGTCGGAGCGCCTTGCACCTTGGACAGCCAGTGCTGCCTTTTGTTCTGCCTTGAGGGCACGTGCAGCGGCGTCTGAGTTGGGGTAGTACAGGGATGAGAGTTCTTACTAAACCCCGTGACTGAGGCCCTGATGCAAGTGCCACGCTGTGAGTGACAGAAGGGCAGCAACAAGATACTTTGGTGCATGCCTATGGCCCTCTGGGCTCTAGGTTCACCACTCAATAAATATTACTGTTAGTATTAGTATTAATATTATTATACGACAGCCTGCCCTGCTGATGCACAGTGCTGCTCATGGTCACCTCAATGCTAGTGATCATGATACCAAGGCCTGCCGTGGCCAGTCAGCTGCCATGCATGCAGAGCTGTATCCCTCAACTGCGCTCTCGGCTTTATATTTACAATACCCGGTGCCATACAATGAGGCTCCGAAAAACAAAGATCTTCATAGTGATATGTGCGGCTTGCAGTGCTTTCATCCCAATGGGCACATGCATCACTTGAATGCTGTGCTTTAGATAATGGAGAAGTGAACTTTTCAGAAGAATAATGCTCGCCTCTAGGCTCTGTGCAAAAGACATTGCAGGTTTCTGGTGGCTCAAAAAGATGTCAATTGCTCACAAAGGTCCTTCAGTGTAAAGCTTGGTGGCGCGAAGGGGTTGGACCCGCTGCGGACATGGCTGCACAGCTGTGCCAGAGCATTATAACAGGATTGCAGTAATGAGCTGTGGATCTGAGTGCACCTGCTTGACTTCATATGGTCGTTATCATGCAACAATAGCACTTGAGTGCGTATGGTACTGGACTTGCAGTAGTGAGAGAAAAACAGCGGTCTTGAACAGAACCTTCATCAGCTGAGCTTGACAGTATGCCGGGTGAGATCAGGGCCGGACAATTTTGTCAAGAGGTGCTTGTGCTTTGGGATCACATTTGCTGAGAGATTAAGTGGGACATTCACACGTGTGAAATGTGGATATTCTATCTCTGAGATCATGACTGAAGATCACCTTGATCTCCCTGGGTGAAGGAGGCAGATTGACTCAGAAGAAGATATGCAAATTACAGGGTGTAAAGGGTGCATCCACTTGATCCGAGGGTCCAAGGACAAAGCTGCTGCAGTGGTCAAGAGCAAGATCGATTAAGTATTTTTCTGAAATTTTCAACTCATCTAAACAAAACAGGCTGTGTCGTGCTTGAAGAACGAAGTGGACATGCCAGGAGATCGTCGTCGACGGTGGACGGAGGACAGCAGCGAGATGCTGTATCGGTACATCCAGCTGAGCGGTGAGCACACTTTGCTGCTGCTTTCAATCAAATGATCGCTCTGATCCGACAACACAGTGCTTCGATGAGTGGGATTGCCGCAGCGTTGATTGCGCAAAGATCCCTCGCAAGCAAATTTGGACCTTCACGTCTTTATATCTAATCATGTATTCCTTACACCAGTAAAGGTGAAGTATAGCTTCTCCTGAGGTTTGTCTCTGTGTGCATAGGTGGGCAGCTGACGGAGGGCTGGCGGAGCACAGGATACTACTACTACTCCGACAAGTCTCCGAAATACTACCTGTGCTTCCCCCCTGAGGTGCGCTGAGATGCATATTTAGCATTGCATGCATGTCCCACGCCCTTACAAGGTCATTTGATTGCTCCAGGTGCAAATGCAGGGCTTCAAAGCGGCGGATGGCCCAAGTTTGCCCCAGTACAAATCTTTCGCAAGCGTTGCACGTGCTCATGGCCTGGAGCCATGCTGTCTGCATGTTCGCTACATGGTGCAAGAAGGCCTCGAGGCAGCCAAAATGAAGCTGGAACCAGGCTGCCGTGCACAAGGTGAATTCCTGATGTATCATTATTCACACATGCATGGCTTTTGCATGAAGTTTTCCCAGGGGCATGGAACTATTGATCAACTCATGAGGATAATATGCTGACTCACTCTGCTGAAGCTCGATTTGCATGGCATGCAGTCCTATTTTGTAAGCAATTAGAATAACATCTGACATTGCATCTGCGCATGCAGGCGCGCAGGCAGACTCAGACCAGGAGTCTGAAGACAATGGCGAACGGCCGAGCGACTGCCTCCCAGAGGATCAAGTCCCTGACTACCCCGGCAAGCGCCCTCTTACTAACCCACCCAAGCGCATGCGAAACCTGACTCAGATGGCCAGGGAGCTCCCCTGCAAGAAATTGTGCACTGCGAAGAATGTGAGAATGCCGCAGACCAGGGCCCCGCTGGGAAAACTGCAGAAGCGTGCATGGAGCCTACGGAAGTGAAGGACGCTGCAGAGGGCTCTCTGCTGGGAGAGCCAGCATTGGATGGGCAGGCGAGGGATCACACAGGACAAGGAGCGGCGGAGAATTTTGATGTCAGCATGCAAGACGCTCCAAGTAATGCATCAGATGATGACGGAGAGGAGTGCAACAAAGGACATTCCTTTCTCAGGGGACAGGCGGCAAATTGCACAGGACAGGGTGTGACAGAGAATGCTGACGCCAGCATGCATGACGCTCTCGGTGAGCAAGCAGCTGCAGAGCAGGCAGCGGCAGCAGCAGAAGATGGGAATGAGATTGCTGCAATGGATCCAGGGGCTGCAGGGGAGCGTGAGATGCAAGAGCAGCTGGGCAGTGGGGTTCCTATGGGGGATGAAGAGGATGATTTAGTGGAGACCTTTGACATGACCATGCAGCAGCCAGAGCAGCAGAAGATGCCAGAAATGGACATGCAGGGGGCTGATGAAAAGGGTGAGGAAGCGGGGGACAGCGGGTTGGTGTACGGGTGTGGGCTGGCGAGCATGTTGGAAGATGAGGTCAACAGTACAAGCCTGGACAACCTGCCCCTGGCAGCGAGGGTGGCTGCTCTGCGGCAGAATACGGGTAAACCAGAACAGCTTCTGCTATGTGGCTCTCAGGGCGCCAGCAAGGCGGAGGTGACAGATCTAATCGCCGAGCTGTTTGGAAGTGACGACGAGGCTGCGCGCACCGAGAGGTGAGCATCTAATACTTTGCTGCAAAAGGCTGTACAGCAGCGTATGCCATTGATAATGATGTTTGAAGGCATGATTGAAAATTTCAGCGATCGCCCGTATCCTGTCCCTGATTACCTTGATGATTTGTTAGGTAGGGTGGCATTACAACCTGGAAATTCCCTCAATCATCTTCTGGTGTATGCATTAGGGGGGGATCGCCACAGGAGACCGGGGCGGCCACGCGGCATGTGCCGCCATGTGATGCCATGTGCCGCCCAGACCGCCAGCTGTCAGGGCAGTCAATGGAAACAAACAACATTGGCAATGAAGCCGCAGTCACTCAGAAGACAGCCATGCCAGAGGAGCCATTGCGGACAGAGAAGAGCCCGACATGTGGCATTCTCAAGCAGCGAAGGACATCAGATGAGACAAGCGGGGAAGCAGGGATGCATGCGGCAAGGGGTCAGCTTGAGGGCGCAAAGACTGCTCACAAGGGAAAGCCATTGCAGGCAAAGGAAGCTCAAACACACATCAGGAAGCGCAAGGCAGCAGCTGAGCCAAGCAAGGGAGCACAGATGCGGGCAGAAATGCATGTAGCACAGGGTCAGCCTGTGGCGGCCATGGCTTGCCATGGAAAGCCACTGCAGACTGAGAAGACCCCATCAGATGGCACGCAGCTCAAGACAGCAGATGGGACAAACAGGGAAGCAGAACGTCAGGCAGCAAGGCGGGCAGAGAAAGCTCAGTTAAATGCCAGGATGCACAAGACAGCAGAGGGCGGAGGTGGCGAGGAAGAGATGCATGCAGGGAGGGGCCAGCATGCAGTTGCAAAAACAGCTGACAAGGGGAAGGCAGGGCATGACAGGGACGACAGCAGGAGCAAGGGTGACAGTGGCATCAGCGCAGTTGTGCAGCAGATCGCTGACGAGGCAGCTGCCATGGAGCTGCACGCAGCTGCCGGCATGGACACCTGCAATTCTGAGAAGCTGCCACGCAAGTTTTTCGGGGTGCATGTCCACTTCTGTCTTTCACCAATTTTTAATTGTATGGTGCTAGTTTTCGGGCTGATGTTTGTTTTGATGCCGCCAGATTGTTTATACATCAATGTCGAGCTGTGCGATGGTTCTCAAGATTCAGAGACCGGCTAAGATGAATTTTAGACATGGTATAAGAGCTCTGTATTGCGACTGACTGACAGTTTGTATGCAGGCGCAAGGTGGAAGCAAGGCCAGGCTGGCCTTAGCAGGTGAATGTTCCAGGAAAGAAGCCCCAGTCAGCAAGGGTCTGGCCTCAGTTGCGGCAATTGACAGGAAGAAAGCTCCGAGCAACAAGTGCCTAGCTCCAGCTGCAGCAATTGACAAAGAGAAAGCTCCAAGCAGCACGGGCCTTGCCTCATCTGCAGCAATTGACAGCCAGAAATTTCCAGGCAACAAGAGCCTTGCCTCGGCTGCAGCTGTTGACAGGAAGAAAGCTCCAGTCTACAAGGGCCTAGCTCCAGCTGCAGAAAGTGCAAGGAAGGAGGCTCCGAACAAAAAGGGCCGCGCCTCAGCAGCAGGGAATTCAAGGGAGGCAGCAACGGGCCGTGAGGGGCTGAGCGATGAGGTGATCGATTACATAAGGGAGCTGCAGGCCAACAACCACCACCTGAGGGCGGAGAAGGCACAGCTTCTGCGCAAATGTGATGCAATCAAGCAGATTCTTGAGAGGTGGAATGGTCATTTCGCTGAGCTGGCAGCGCTGCTATCCCCTGGAGCCAGCAGCGCCTGGTGAAAGCCTTAGATATGCTCCTGCTGCCAGGAAGCTTTGAGCACAAAGTGAGCACAGTCAGCTTCTTTGGAAGTAGCCAGCATTGCAAAGAGGCAAAGGCAGCTTCCCGCGGTGAAGCTACAGGAATGATGCTGCCAAGGCATCCGGCAAGAAACACAAGCGGTACAAGAGGAAGAAGCCAGCACATGCAAGCCAGCACCTGAAAACATAAGATTGGTTTTCCAAGCGGTTGAGCATCAGAGGATAGTGTGACTGAAAGAAGTTGCGTTACGTCCTGCCGGGTTGAGCACAACATAGGCTGCCCACCATATGCAAGTTTGTGAAGGTTGTGTGCCTTCAATGTTTGTCGGCATGGGGAAACTGACATGCAGCTTGCATGGAGCACTACTTTGAGAACTTTGTTGCAAATGAACTTTGGAAGCTTTTAGGAAGCCACCTCGCCGTTGCTTTCCTTAGGGACCGGCTGGCCAAGATGCCAGTGTGGGTTTGGGTCAAGGCTTAGTTTTTTTTTTCAATGCAAGCAGTTGCCGGACTATTGACATGCATGTCTATGCAAATTACACGACTATCATTGCAAAGTTATTATGCGACTTGAATCCGCTCTGGTGAATTATTTCTATGTATGTGGATGAGGACACTGTCTTGCTGATTGCTGGTTGCTCCCTTCTTGGCATGCTCACTGTCTTTTGGATTGGTGCGAGATTTGCTGCTGAAATGCAGCGTTTTAAAACTGGTGGTGTAACTGATATGACATGCTTCTTATTTTGAGGGCTGGTGCTACCAGATGCTCTTCATGAATACTCAACGCTATCAATTACTCCTGTGTGAGGACAGGATGCATGGGTTTGGGGTTTGACGTCACGTCCAATGAGCGCATGCTGATGTCAGCAACATGACAATGCTCTTTGATCCAGAACCATCGCCCTGCCCGACAAAAGGATTGACGAATTTGAAGGTGTCTGGCTGGGCCTACAAGATCTGCACTTTTATGATCACGGTTTCCTTCCAGTTCCAGGACCTCTAGCATCCTGCCACGTCCTTTCAGCAGCGCCTTTTGCATCCTCAATTGTGTTTTGACGTTCTCTCACAACCAAATATGTCGAGGAGGAGATTCGCCAGCTCTTCCACAGTGATGGACGACGATGAAGCTCTGGTCATTCTCTCGAAATACATACAAGGCTGCGGTGAGCGGGACCCGTGCCCATTCTTACCATATTGCGGAAAGCTCCGCCTGACGTGCTTCTTCAGTACCTTTACTGCACAGCACTGGTCGCTGTCTGGCTCCTCGGTCGACCCATCTTCAGCTTACACGCTGACTTTGCTGGATAACAGGTGGAAAACTGGGAGCTGGCTGGCAAGCTACAGCAGAATTTCGCCTGTATCTTGGACGCACCGTTCATGTGGCAATTCACTGCATGCCCCCACTGGTGTGCTCTTCAACCCTTGTTTCAACCCAGTACCTTTCAAGTGACGTGTTGCCCCTTCATCAATCTGAGTCTTGAGCCTTTTGACCACTGATGAGACCTGTGTTGACAAGTCATGCATGTCTTCACATGTGGTTTGCTGGCTTCTGTGCTACATTTTTCTGTTGAGTATGCCCAGGCTGGCTATGGGCGGTGTAGAATTTGAGCACCGTGCCGGTGGTTGATTGGGCCTTGCACTGATCTGGCGAGTCTTTCACGTGCCTTTACTTGAGGATTGTCTGAGGAAGCACCAGGCGGCAGGAATAGCCAGTATTAGCAATACAGTCATAATAATTATGGCATGCAGATAATGTGAGTTCTTTTATTTGCGCAGGACTTCAAGCCAGCAGATGGGCAGCAACGGCGGCAGGTTTACAAGAACTTGAAGGCAGTGGCAATAGCAATGGCGCTGCCACCTTCAAGGCATCTTGCCACGATGCTCACAGAGCCTGCACGTGAAGCGCTGAAAAAAGAACTCAAAGGTGGGGACTCCCTTTTGCTACTTCCAAACAGGCATTTGCTGGCCGAATCTTCCCATGCAGACCATGTTTAGATGCGTGCTCTCTGTATATGTTGACATCAAGGAGTGACATGGGCATTTGTAATACAATGTGTTGGGACGCTGATCATCGACGTCAACACGTCAAGAAGAGCAAGAGGGCGCAAATTTGTGGTCGTTGGGAATCCTGAATAATACTGACTGATCAGAATGTTGCATGTGCCCGCAGCTGCCAGCATGAGCAGCATTGCTGCTTCTGGAGATGACATCAGCAGCTATAAGGAGTCCTCACAGAGCCTGGCTGATCTAGCAGCAGAGCAACAGAAACCCGCCAATGCAGAAACACACGCTGCCAAGGTAGGCAGAGCTCACGACTGCGGCTAGTGTGGGCCACATATGCTTGTCTTTTGAGGGGGCAGTTCCTTGCCCCATGTCGGTAGTATTGGTGAATCTATGATACTAGTAAGCAGCTTGATCAGCACAACTTTAACGTGCATTGGGCTTCAGCGATGTTAAATTTACAAAAGCATGCAGCTTATGGAGCCCTCGTCACCGTAAAACTGTGTGTTGCTCTTGCTGCAGGTCCCGGTAATCACTTTGCCAGAGCTTAAGAAGAGCAAACTTCGCCCCGAGCATCCATACGGACCCGCTTATGTCAGTACACCTCTTGTCTACAAATCGGCCCGGCCCAAAAATATCAGGCAGGCAGAATGGAAGGGCCCATCGCAAAACAACAGCGCACCCGCCAACACACCCGAAAACTTCTTAACCGCGCCTTCCCCCAGGCATGTTCTGCCTTTTGAGCAGCACCCAAAATGCTGGTACAAAACATTGCATGCGTGCATCCTGCGGTCACTAATATCCTTGTTGATTTGCCATGTGGACATGGAACACTCGTGGCTTACTATGCTATTTCAAGGCGTCATGGACTAGTCATGCTGTAAATTAGTAATGCTAAGACTGCACTGCAGAGAGGTTGCACCACCGCATGTGGAGGCAGCGCAGCAGGCTGACTTGGCAGGGCAGTCTGATGTGGCAGATGAGTCATGCAAGAGTCAGATAGAGGCAATTGAGGAGCTGAGGCGCCAGAATAGGGAGCTGACTGGACGGCTGAGTCAGCGGGATGAGGAGATGCGTGCGATGACTCAGACAACCAACCACCTCTTTGCTGAGATCAGCGCACTCAGGGCAGCCAGTCAGAAGTGATGCTGCCGGAGAGCAGCCATGCATATCCAGGTCTTTGTGACCTTGCAAACCTTGCACCAGGCAGACATTGGATGAATTGCACTGGTGTTGCACTGCGGTTGCAGCAAGACCGGCAGCACACTCCACTTTAGGGGGCTGCTCAGTCTCATTCCCATTTAATGTACATGTGAACTTTGTAGCCCACATCAAGCAGGCAAAAATGTAGACTGGGTGCTCTTCATTGAAGAAGATGTGTCTTTCCAAATTGCAATTGATTGGCTAAATTTTAGCATCCACTGTGGTTGCCTTTAAGCTCGGCCGCTGCTGGCTTGTTTGGAAGGACATTGCCTTGCATTTTACTGGAGTGCACATTGTGAATCGCGACCAATATATGTTTGAAAGTTATAGAATTATTGGACCACTGGAACGTTATTTGGCTGGCACCAAATCTCACACCTTGAGCATTTACTGCATAAAAATCTCAGACAGGGTGGGCCTGCCAAAGGAGCAGGAAGGGCAGATTTAATACTACTCAAGGTGCATAATGCATGCATCACGTGTGTGATTGTGAATGGCTGACGTCAGCAATCTTGAACAAGAATCCGAAGTTCAAAAGGCACATTTGCCTCGAAAGCATCCGTGATGCGCAGAAATTCGGCTGTGAGATCATAGCCGCACGGCCTATCCTTGTCGAATTTCTTGGAGCAATAACAACCAACGGCGAAAGCGTTGCAACATCTTCTGGTCGTAAATGAAGAAACTCACCGGCCCATTGGACGACAGCGAAGCCTTGGCAATCCTGTCCGAGTACATCCAAGGCTGTGGTGAGCGCACACATCACAGCTAGAGCACTCTCTCTCTCTCTCTCTCTCTCTCTACTCCTTGCGCTCTTGCACACCTGAGAAAGGCCTGCAAGTCGTCATGGTCGTCTCTTCAGTGTCACAAGTGACATCAAGCGAATGCTGCTGTGTGTGCTGGTAGGTGGAGAGCTAGAGGCGGGTTGGCAGGCCACAGCAGACTTCTCCTTGTCTGAAGGGCGGTCAGTGCGTGTGCTCATCCGCAGCGTGCCCCCACAGGTATGGTTTCTAGCCTGCCCTCAAGACATCACATGTCTATCTGTACATATATTACCCTCTGCTCCTGCCAGGGGCATGGTGTGTCGGCCGACAAGCTGCAGGTAAAAGCTGCCCAAATTCCTGCCTGTTGATGTACTCTCCCTCACCAAACAAGACACAATTTACTGTAGGCACACTGCTTGATATCAGTAATGCCCCCCGCCAGAAGGGCTACCATCGCCTCCTCATTATGTGACATTCTTCACTGGCAAGTCTGAGTATTTTGTCACTTGTGCAGCAGTCTCCATGGCTTTACAAGGGACACTGAGCGTATACATTCACACCTGCCTGACTGATGTCATTGAACATGGGTACTGAATACTCTACTATAGCGATCTTAACCCTTGGAAAAGTCTTCCTCTGATTATGTGCAGGATTTTGAGCCGGCCGATGGCACGCAGCGGCAGCGGTGCTTCATGACTCTCGGTGCAGTGGCAAAAGCAATGGGCCTGGTGTCTTCCCGTCGGCTTGCCAGGAAGCTCACCGAGCCAGTACGTGCACTGTTGAACCACAAGTTCAAAGGTAACCCTGCTAATAATCTCTGCAAACCCAGTGAATGGCATTGCTTAGATATTTTGGGATTTTGTGCATGGTCTGGGCTTAATCTCTATGGGAAAATCTGCATGCGGCTGCTGCTCTTGTGGCAAAGGTATGACATCATGCATGCTAAGCAAAGCAAGCGTTGCTCTGTGATTTTAATGCCGTTTCTGGACCAACTATATGTCTCGAAGAGAGGGACGTGATTGTCTCGGTGCTGCCTCTAATTAACACAAAGCAATGGGCTGTATAATTGCCCCAGGCTGGCGGGGGGCGGTATAAATACTGCCCACATTTGATTGGATCCTGCCTGGATCTGGCGAGTCCAACAGGGGATAGAACTGTGGCAGCCAAAATGCAGCTTGTCTGCAGGACGTACCTTGCCTTTAGGCAGGAAAAGCTTGTAATAATAAAAATAATATTAATGGGCTGCATATGCATGCAGCTGGGAAGTTGGACATATCTTCTTCAGCCACAGATGAGGACCCTAGCAAGGAACGGTCTCTGCACAGCCTACCAAAAGCAGCAGCAGAAGGTTCAAAAACAGCAGGGCAGGAAGATAAGTCCAACAAAGAGTCCCGCCCATGCAAGGTGTGCTGAACCAGGAGAACACAGAACTCTTCCAGCTTCACTGTAGAGGTAAAAATTCAAGAGGGCAGAAAGGTACCGAGAATATTGTGCTCTTACCCTGGGCCCAAACAGATGCAGAGTAGTCCTCAGCCATATGCCAGATGTGTCTGTACCTCGAGCATAAATTTCCAGCAGCACAGAATGCATGCTGTTTATTGACAGGGCTGCAACGGCATGCAGTCAACAGATGTCCTCTATGCCAAAATTGTGACTCGAAAGAAAGGTCGGCAAGGAAGAAAATGTCGATGCATGATCGTGGACTGTGTGACTACTGCTGCAGGACGCCAGAGTCAGCCAGAGAATGTCCAGGAGATCAAAACGCAGCCGCGCAGAACCACCGGATGCTACTCTTGACGAAAGAAAGCAATGTAACAAATCAAAACATTGCACTGTCCCCAGGCAGAAATTGGGAAGCCTGCCGGCAACCGATGCAGGCATCTCCCTGACCGTCATCCACAGAACCCAATATTGTCTACTTCAGCATTGTAATTAGAGACTATAGAATGAGGCTAAGGACAGGGTCCGTTAAAATGATCAATCTCACAGGAAGTGCAAGGGTGACTTTAGGATTAACGGGCATTGAAGGCTCGGGTTGACCCTAATAATAGGCCGGTTTCTGCGCAGGAAAGAGCAAGAGCAGGAGAGATTTCCAGCCGCATGCGGAGGCACCAAAGCAGCCACGTGTGCAGGACCCCTCCGAGAAAACCACAGATGTCGCCTCAGAAAGGCTGCTGGAGACAGATTTCGAGGAGAAAGAGGATCTGCGACTGCGCAACAGGGTGCTGACTGCGCGGCTGAGTCAGCGGGACGAGGAGATGCACGTGATGACTCGGACGATTAGTCAGCTGCTCGCAGACATCAGGGCGCTGAGATCAGCGAGCCAGATGTGACGCGGCAGCAACATGTGAGCGTCAGTGCTTGTTCAAACCGGCATAAAATTGCCTGAGAGCTTATGGTGCAGCCAGCTTGTGCACCAGACATGACTTTAGAAACCAAAGCAATGGCAACTTTGAGGCTGCTGCAAGTATTTGCTGCATTTGTTGTAGCTGCAGCAACAATGACAGCAAACCAGCTTGATGTGAATACTGAGGGTGCTGCACTTCATTTCCAAAATGTTTTCTCTGCAGTCCCGCTCAGAGTCCTCAAACACTGGAGGCTGGAAAGCATCATGATGTAGGGAGCATTTCATCTGTTTTAGAAGTACTTTGGCACGACTCTTGGGATTGCATTTGGCTAATCCTTGCACCCTGTTGGCCTGAGCACATGCACGGAGATTGCAGGTATTCAGTTTGTTTGGCCCTTGATTCCAATGGACTGAGAACCGTGAGCTGTGACCAACAAATTTGAGGCATTTGTTGGTGTGAATGTGAACACTGGCTTGATGGCATGCGCTGGGTTTTGGGTGGGTCGAGATTTTGCTTGAACGCGTGTGATAGTTGTGATAGATGGCCAATGGAGGGTAGGCAGCATTCTATGTACCACAATGGCCGTGCTCGATATCAATCAACTGAATTGCATTTTTTGTCTCATTTACGGATGCCACATCTTCACATCACAACAGAGGCTGGAAGTGTACATCAGATATGGAGTAAAGGCTTTGTGTGATGCATGTGTATTTTCAGATCGCAACGTACAGGAAACGAGCATCATTGGACCATTGAGCGCTGAACAGCAGCACATGATTCACTTAGAAATATGCAGCATGAATGATTACAGCGCACAAATCACATGAAAAACTGCCCAGGATGAAGAACCATGACACTGCTTTGAAGACAGCAACTGATGGCATCAAATGCGCATAGACTATACCGCTGAGCTTGCAAGCAGTCCGTGCCAGCACGTGGGTTCTGTTCAGTATATTCTGTGGACACAGAACTGCATTACAAGTGAGTTTTTGCGTGCAAAAGGTCAGCTAGATTTTATTGGTGGCAGTCTCACTCTGAGAATTGAGAGGAATCCCACTAAAGCAATGGTCTCAATCAAAATTTACCGCTTCTACAGTGACCCAATGTTTTAGGTGTAATTCCGAGCAGCTCATTCAGGGTGCTAATGGCAGCAAGCAAGTCCTCGTCCCTCTGCCGGGGCTGAGCAGTGAGGTCCCTGGCCATGGCTTGGCCAATGCAGATCAGGGATTGACCGGAGCGGACTAGAGCTTCAAGCTCTGCGATCCGCTGGTTCTGGTAAAGGCTGTGCTGGAATGTATGCTCCTTGTCAGCCTGCAGCGTCCTGCCAGGCGGCTGTTCTGGTGCCTCCTGGCTGCCGCTGCTGCTGGGGATGCTTATGCATGCAGTGTTCCTCTCAGCAGCTCCTCCTGCTGCTGTTGCTGCACCTGCTGAGTCCTCTGATGGAGCTGAGTGGTTGTCATGTGGTGCAACCTGAGGGGAAGCATGCAGGGCCCCAGTTGTAGCTTTCACAAGCGGCGTTGTGTTAGCTGGCTGCCCCAGATTGCAAGCGATGGCTGTGCTTGCCTGCAAAAGCAATACACCCGCATGTCATCGCGCATGACAATTAAAACCAGCAGGACAGTCTGCTGTCGATCTTGTGTACGAGCAAGAATTGCATTGACCGAGGCCAACATTGCATACCTAAACCTCCAAGACTGGTGCAAGCCTGCTTTTCGAGAAGGTTGCTCATCGCAGTACAAAAGCGAAGTGGTGCTCTGTCGAACTGAAAAAGGCCATTTTGACGAGCTTCAGGCGAAAACAAATCGACATGAGGACCTTTCACGAAACAGTAGCAATCCAATATATTCTGACATATCTTGAATCCGAGCTGAGGGCTTTGTTTGCACAACCTCCATGCCCTAAAAACATCATCTCTGGCTGCAGAAATTACCAGCAAAGGCTTCAGATATACCCTCTCAAGACTGCAGATCGCTCAGGGCTGCCTTGAGAGCTCCGTTCTCGCTGACAAGCCGATTGACATTGCGCAGAGCAGCAATCATCTCCTCGTCTCTTACAGCCAGCCCCACTCTGAGATCCCAGCACTTGCGCTTCAGCTGCTCTATCTGCCGGTCCTTGTCTTTACTACTCCTCTGGTGCTCGCTGCGCTTCAGCTGTTCAATTTGCCGCTCCTTGTCAGCGTTGAAACTCTCATGCCTGCTGGGATTAAGCTGCTCAGTTTGCCGCTGCTTGTCAGCGTGGTCACTCGGGTGCCTCCTGGGTTTCAGCTGCTCAGTTTGCCAGTCCCTGTCAGAGTGGTCATTCCTGCGCCTGATCTGCGGCAAGTCTGCCAGCCATGCTGAAGCCGGGCGCTGCGCTGCTGCTTCACATGGCTGGGCCAACTGACTGCTGCTGCTGCTCTTGTGGTTGTTGCCTGCGGGTTCACTGGTCTCCGGTGCTGTAAGAACTGCTCTGCGGGGGTCTCTTGCAGACAGCCCTGCATGCTTGGAAGGCTGCGGGATAATGCATGCAACAGCCGCTGGGGATTCAACTTCGGCTGCGGCATGACTTGCGTCCGCTGCTGTTGCTCCTTGGCTCTGCCTCTTGGCTGTGTGTATCTGCAGAAAGAAGGCATGCAGCTTATTCATCGCATAGCTGACCACTACCCGTTACCTATTCATTTCCGGTCCGAGTATATCAGGGAAGGCTGCAATTATTGATCGCGTTGCAAAACCCCATGCTGCAGCGTGACAGCTGCAAACTTGGAAATTTTGCTCAATTTTGCCAGACATGAAGACATGCTGCCAAGGATGCATGCATGCGCGCGCATGCACAATGAAAAAGGTCAAGGGAAGCACTCACCTCTTCTGAATCTGCCACTGTGCTGGGGTAATCCTTGTAGGATTCTGGATGCCTCTTGGTGCGCTGGGATTGGCGAGTGCCCTCTTGCCCTGCGCCAGCGTCGCCAATGTCTTTGTTTCCTGCACATGCAGCAGGCCTGATGTTGACATCAGCTGTAGAGTGTGAAAGAGGGCTCAGATTGTTATGCAAGCCTTCAAATTACCATTATTCTCAGGACACTATGACTGCTATGGCATGTCAGGGTCTTAGGATTTGAAGCAATGCTTTTGCTTTGTTACGTACTGAGCCAACAAAGCCATCAGACATTAGATCAGTTCATTACCTGTGAGCTGCTTGTATGCTTTGACACGGGCAGGCTCTGTGAGTTCTTTGATTAGGCTGTTGGACGGCAGCAGGCCCATTGCCACAGCAACAGCCTTGAAGGAATAGTAGCAATCCTTCCTCCCCCGCCCATCTGAAGGCTGGAACGTCTGCACAGAAGAATTTGATCACTTTCTAGGCCTGCTCTTGCTTGATAGCCTTCAACAATGCTGCTCGCACGGAGGTCCTATGCAGCACAGTGTACACTGCGCAACAGTAAGCCCTTTCCCTGCAAAGACGAGCTTTTTCTCTTCATGGGGCGACCTGTAAAATTGCCACACTCTTCGCAGTCCGTAAGTACACTATGGATGTCTTTAAGCCATGTACTCAACAATGTGACCTCCAAAGCATATGCTGGACTTGGCTGCATGCACCTTTGGGGGCTTGGCTTTGAGGTGCATGGTGCACCACGCTGTTTTGCCATTTTGGAGCTGATCTGGACCAGTGGGCTTCTGGTTGTAGTAATATGCTGTCACCTTCCAGCCATCTTCCAAGAGAGCTCCTGCCAAAGCAGAATTGGCATGTACGTTGAGCACTAAGCACAAGTTTTGACATGCTCGCACAAGGGTCTCGCAGGCCTTAATTTGCTTAAATGTACAAGATGATACACTGTTCACCTGGTGGATAGCAGCCCTTGATGTATTGCGACAGGATTCTCACGGCTTCCCCGTCGTCCATACGTGCCATTGCTGCGCTTGCGGTGAAGACTGATGTTTCTTGCAGCTGGTGTCTACGTAGAGATAATTGGGTCCGCTGAAACTTTGAGACCGTGGCCTCTTGTTTTCAGGCAGTAGCTAGAAACGTTGACGATCGTAGCACATGGCAGACTGAGATGCGAGCATGAGTCCTGAATTTTCCCCTTTGCTGCCAGAGCATTCGCTGACGCACTGAGCACCTCGTCACAATCAAGGAAAAAACGTCGACGACCAGACGACGATTGATGTCAACAGCCAAGACCGGTGAAATAGCTTCTCAGCGCGAGAAATTCTTAAGTCTCCTTGCATTTCGTTGGAAACAACGCTGCTAGCTTTAGGCGTATATACTTACACCCCCTACCACTTCTCCATGCACGTGATGTGGTAGCGCCAGCTGTCCTCGACCAAAGCTTGGCCCCTGCTTGCCACCAATTCCAGTCCCTCTCCAGTGAAAAAAATGCCTTGAGTAGCCAGTCAAGAGAGGTTGGACACTAATGTCCCGTGCTCCATGCATGTCTCTTTCATGCATGCAATAATTGAATGTCAACGTGCAGCAAATCCAAAGCAGGAAGATTGAATTCTAAGGGTGTTTGGCATCTTGATATAAAGGCAAGGGCTCCACAGCGCCGCCTCCCTGAAAGGGGCTGACATGACCATTGACTCTTTTCATACCCCTGCATGTTATCTTGGGGTCAATAAAAAGAAATTCAGCGATTCATCTGATGAACCCCAGAACTCAGCAGACGTTTGGAAACGACATGGAAACTAATCGACACATCTCAAATCTCATTGTGGATTGGTTTGGAGGTTGTCGAGACCTCAATTTGACCGTGGAACCCGTTGTCTCGTGATGGCCGAGCCGTCTTGTGACGGCTGGGCCATCTTGTGACGGCTGTGGCACTGGAAGAAGATTGAAGTCATCTCCCTTCACAGCAGACCACTCAGTTTCCTCCCCGAAGATCAGGAACTGCTTGCCAAATAGAAGGTGACGCTTGCGCTCGGGACACCACCAGATCTCCAACCTACTATTGTAGAGGTTCTTTCGGGTCCCGAGTGCAATGCAGCTTCTCGACGGCGAAGAAGCCCACAAGATCCTGTCCGACTACATCGAAGGCTGTGGTGAGCCATTCTCTCTGGCTGGTTAAAGATTCAGGATGTTTCTCACCGCAGCAGTGTTTTCAAGCTTGTGGCCGCTCCTTCATAGAACGCAAGTCTTTGCGCATCATGATCGTCTCATTCACGTGCAAACAAAATTCTCAGACCCCATCACTGCTGCATTCGTTCTGCAGGAGGGCATCTAGGGCACGGATGGAAACCTAGAGCATTCATGAATACATGCCCTGAGAACCAGATGCCCCGCGTGCGTGTCAGGAGCACACCTCCCGAGGTACTCACAGCTACATCTCCTAACATGTCAATTGCAACAGCAGGTGCTCTGGGCAGCACCTTCTGCACATCATACCAAGCTCTGCAAGTTACTCACATGCCCATCATGGACATGCCATTGGTGGAGGAAGTGCCAGGACAGCTGTAGAAAAGGCTGGAGAGCACCTTTCGACAGTGTGCTGCAGTGTGTGCAACATCCTTGGCCCTGTGGGCTGGAACAAGCGTGTTAGATCACCAATCTTACTGATTGACAAAATGTTGCATTGCAGACATTCCAGCCGGCGTACGGCCAGAGGCAGAAGCGGTACGAGTCCTTGCGGGCAGTGGCCCTTGCAATGGGCTTGCAGCCATCCACACAAATTGCTGCAAACTGCACAGAGGCCATCCGCAACAGGGCATCCAAGAAGGGCATGTCAACAGGTAATTATGAGCCCTGTTAGCTCGATTAGTTTGGCCAAGGCTGGCAGGGGGCGGTGTAAATACTGAGCGCCGTGGCCACGGTCGGGTGAGTCCTGCTTGTATCTGGCGTGCCCATTTCAGGGGTAGGATTTTGGCAGCCTCTACCTGCAACCTGTCTGCAGACACTCCTCGCCACTTGGCATGAATGTAATAATAAGTATACAAACTCATCTACAAGTCTTCTTGAAATGGTTGCACATGGTTTCAAATGCAGAAACAGCTTCTGCCTCTGCAATGGCGCAGTAGGTTTTTTGATCATGACCTGCCACATATGTAATCCATTTCAAAGTTGGACTCGTGTGCATGGTTGGTACAAGAGAGCCTGCGCCATAAACCTTACCTGCAGCAGCATCTTTGGAATTGCTGCTTAAAAAGCTGCACAGGGCTGTGAAGTTGAGATATCAATTGAAGGCGTTTTGTCATGCCTCTTCCGAGGAACCTGCGCCACCATCCTGCAAAAGGGTTGATGTGTCATCATGTGTGCCCAGGACTGGGCATCAGCCGATGTGTTGCTGGAGCCGAAGGCGCCTTCAGCAGGCGACGGCTGCAGGGAGTATTTGAGCTCCCAGAAGAGCAGTACAGCACACGATCCGGTCCTACACAGGTCAGCAACATGACGCATTGTAGAAGAATTTTGCAGATATATCGAGTCTTTGATATGCTTCACCTGCTTTTCCCGAGGCGGGATCCGTCTGCAGACAAGCCGCACTCCATATGGCTGCCAATATATTATTCTATCTTGGACCCGCCAGTTCAAGAGCTTTGCTGCTCCAAAAGGAATTGCAAGCATCGCCCGTGCATGTCCAAAGTCACCTTAATGCAGCAACAAGAGTGATTTCATGAACATGCGCAGCTGGTTGAGTGCCATATTCCTCCTAGGAAACTTCAGCGTGGATATGTTGGCGTGAGCTCCCATCACGCTGAAGTATCGATTTGATTATTTCTACTAAAAGTACTGTTACACGCCATCCCTGTCTCTTGGCAGGAATGGCCTGCAGACAAGCTGCAGTGTAGGACGGCCAAAATCTCACCCCTTGTTGGATTTGCCATATCCACGCCAGGCCAAATCAATTATCAATATGTTTGTTTGATTAGGTAATCATCAGGGATCTTTAGGACAGATGGTGGCCTTCACTGCTCCTGCAGGCAGGCGCAGCAAAGAGGCAACGCCGCGGGACTGCAGAACGCACACAAGTTACGGCTGTGTTCCAAGGCGGCGGCGGGCAGATTGCACCCCCACAGGTCTCCCAGCAAATTTACTACCCAAGAGACCCCCGCCTGGCACAGCACACTTTGAACGCCCCAAGGACAGCCGGCCACCGCAGCAGGAGCAACAGCAGCAGCCATGCACCTGCCAGGCCGTACAAGACCTCGGCAAAGCAGCCGGCAGTGGCAGGGGAGCCCAGCAGGGCACACAGCATGCAGCAGTATCAGGATCAGGCAGAGCTGGTGCAGCAGCTGAAGAAGCAGGTGAGCAGTACTGCCATCCCAGAAAAATCCATATCATGGGAATGGGATACTCTTGAGTCAACGGGCGGGGGTCTGATTGTATTTTATTTTTCAGATCTTATTTTCATGGATTTGCCTAGAGCCATCCAATCGTGTCGCATGGGCACACCCAGAATCTCTGTTGAGGTGCCAGAGAGCTCCTCTTTTAGACATGGGCTATTTATGGGTTCATGCACCAGGTTCTGGTCCTCCCAAGTTAGGTGACACACTTTCAGGTAATCTGCAGATCATGAATTGCTGGGATGACCCAGAGACACAGAGAATGATTTTTTTAAGCATAATATCTATTGAGCAGGGTTTGACACCCGAAGGAATCCCTCCTGGGATTCTCCTGCTTCTGGCTTCTGAGATTGGTTTCTGCCGGCACTGAAAATTATTTGCCATGTCAATGGTGAATTTTTGTGGGCAGGTAAAAATACCTTAGCACTGCCCAGAGGCATAAAAACGTTTGGCCCCGGCTGGCAAGGGGCGGCACAAATACTGAGCACCATCCCCTGCGTTGACTCAGTCTTGCTTGGATATTGCAGATTCAACAAGGGGTTGCGTTTGTGGCAAAGATTACCTGCATATGCACCTTGCCTCTGGCTAAAATGCTTGCAATTTTAGAAAGTGAAGTGTTTTCTTGGCACCTCAGAACATCTGCTGAGGAAGTGTCAAACCCTGCAGGTGAGGGAGCTGACTGTGCGGGTGACTAAGAGGGACGAGGAGATGGAAGTGATGATGAAGACAGTGAGTCATCTCATCAGCGAAAACAGCGCTCTCAAGGCAGCGGGCCAGAATTAGAATTCAAGCAGCAGACATGCACAAACGCAAGGCCTGTCAAAAGAGCAAGTCCGCAAGTAAGCTACAAAAAATAAATGCGCTGGTGTATACAAGGATGCAGCTGTGGAAGCGTGCAACAGAGACAAAGAGAGAGCCTTAGTGCCGCTATTGCCTAATTTGCTGCCCTTCCTGACAAGCCAACATACCTGCTGCCACGCCAGCTCTGAGTAGCAGTTTCATGCCCTTCACGTCCGTATGATTCAATGACAAGTCTGCACTCCAAACGTCTTGCAAGAGAGCTTGCTGGAAGGGCAGATCCAGCCATACCGCGTGAGGGACGAAGGCTAAAGGAGTTTGCAATTACTTCCTCTGTATGGCAGCAGCCTGCCGCAGCTGTGGCCAAAAGCCAAAGCCAGCTGTTGTACTGCTTGACTTTGCAGCAGTGTATATGCATATAGGAGGCTTGTGTCTGTGTTGTGTGAGTTGTTTCGTCTGCTTGTATCCTGAATATGGCCTCGCGCTTTCATGTTGACTTCCAATTGCACTTGCTGGAAGAGCACATGGTGCTTGCAATTTTACAATGCAACATTTGAAGGCTTTTAAAAGGCAGTCTGTCTTGAATGCCGGATCTTTTGATTCTGCTAGTTTGTACACTACTTTCCACAATATTTCATGTTCATGTCGGTTGCATTGGCAAAACTTGATGCGCTGAATTACTCTGTAAGCGAAAGAAATTTGAGTCAAGCAGACAGGCCTATTCAGCAGACTTCCCACTGATCTAAATTAATGCAATAGTCACACCATCTAAATACATTCCGCATGCACTCCACAAAAGCAATGGATTCGATATCTCTAGGCTGCAGCCTTCCAGGGTGAAATCCCAATCTAGAGGATCTGGCTTCGTTTTGGCAGTTTCACTCATGCAGCACCTCTCAACAGATCACAGAAGCACATCCTTCTTTGCGTTAGCTTTGTATCAAAGCATGCCCAGCTCACGCTGAAGCTGCAGCAACAGCCTAGCTCTCTCTGCCTCTCCAGAATCCCCGAGCTCATCTCCACTTGATTCCTGCTCCGGTGCTAGTGCATCTGCTGTGGCAGGGTCCACTGAAGACTCCTCAGCTGCTTCTGCCTCGGCAGCAGCTGCAGGGGTTGCTTCCGGCGCAGCTTCCGGCTTTGCGGCAGTCGCGGGTGCAGCTTCCGGCGCAGCTTCCGGCGCAGCTTCCGGCTTTGCAGCGGCCAGGAGCGGTAGAGACTCCTGTGAAGTGCGCGGTACAAACTCGGCGGCTGTCGGATTGAGGGAATTGCTGCTCAGGCTTGATCGCAGCACCTGCGCGCACATGCAATGTCATTACTCATGTTTCATGCAATCCAAACCATGAGGATCAGGTGCATCGCAGCAGCGTTTGTCTCACAGCCTTCCTGTGGGCACACATGCATCCACATCATTTCTCACCCAAGAAATGTTGTCGCTGCACCTGTAGTGCAAGCCCATTCTGCCTTGGCAATGGTTCTGAACCGCCAGTACGACTGATGAAACTGATATGAAGTCAAGTCACGACTAGTCTACGGCAAGAATAGGATCTGAACCCCTGGAATGCAGGGTAAATCTTGAATTTCTGGAGGTCTGAGCAGATCTGGAGATGGCAGACATGCAAGGCACTGGTACATCAACGCGAGATATTGTGTTGAAAAGAATACATAAACAAAACTTGAGATATTACAGATATTTTTACCGAGCCGGGGGCAGCTGCGCCGGGGCCGGCAGACGGCGCGGCGGGCGGCAGGGGTCGGCCGCGGCCGGGCGCAAATCCCTTGGTGCCGTCAGGGCCGCGCGCTATGCGCACCGCTTGATTCCCCTTGGCAGCGCTCGCAACCTTGTCCTGTGGTAGACAAAGAGGTACAGTCAGCGGAGATATCTGGTCATCCTGTTGATGCTGGGTCCTTCCACTAGCAGGTGTACAGCATCAGTCAATATATAGCTCCGGTAAGCAGATTGTGTGCAAGAGAAAGGCTCTGTGACGAAATGTATCAAGATCATCCTGGAAACCTACATGAGGGGTGAGGCCGCAAGAATGGGTACAGGACACCTGTGCTTAGGCGATCTTTTCTGGGGGCCAGAGGAAGGCAGGGCAGACAAAGATCAGGAGAAGTATAAAAGCTCAAAGAGAAGGCTCACCGCGCTGGCCTTGATAAACTTGGGCGCCTGCGGGTTCCTCTCGGCCACGAGTTCCTCCTCCGGCTTTGTAGGTGCCTCCTGCGCATGCATGCAAATAAACAAATCACCACAGAATACTAGCTACATGCACATCTATTCGTGAGATCATGCACGCCATGATAAGGCACGCCTGCTATTCACTCACTGTCCAGTGCCATTGAGTTTGTGTTTTGGAGTGGGCCTGCAACAGATCGACACCAAAGCACCACTGAAGCTCAAGAGAAGGCGAGCACGCAGCGGCTGTGTCTTCAGGCAAGCCTACTGGATATCAGCAACTAAAGCAGAAGTTTAAAATGTGAGAGCCAGAAATTCAAAGTTTCAGACTACTAGCAGAGCTTTAAATTCCCACCTTGATGCGGATGACGCGGCGGGCGACAAAGGCTCCCTGGGGGGAGGCCCCCCGCTCCTTGTCGGGCCCCTCAGCCCGGGGGGGGCGGTTGGCCACCGTGAATGTCACCTGCGACACAGAAAAAAGTCAGAAAGTCAGTGTTCCTTGGCTGGTGGTTTATTGCATTGGTGCTGCAGGATGTACACTTGCGAGGCAGCCCTTGCTCTAATCTCAGGCGCTGGCCCTGCCTTGATGTCTGCGTCTATCTTCTCTACACCATTACAAACTTGAGAAGCTGCTTCTGGACCCCGCACGGCCACGCTTGAAATGCTAGACAAGTGGTGACTTCCAGGAGCAGATGCAGGGCTGAACATGCTCCACCCTAAGAAGGTCCTCGGCAGCCTACTGTGGGAGTGTTGCTTTCTTGCAACCCCACATCATCCCACTAACTTCAAGACAGACAAACGGTGCAGTCCTTTAAATGCCAAAGGCCCAGATGACTTCAAGCCAGAGCACTATTCCAAGCAGGGACGCTTGAAAAAGGCCTTGGGACCTGATTACACGTGAATCTGCAAATTTTACAGAGGTTAGTAGAACATATTCAGTCTGAATTGTGCAGTGTGATTGACCTCGTCCCCCGGGCGCAGCTGTACATTCCCCTCGACATCGCTGGCGTGGAAGTAGAGGCGCGGAGGTTTGGGGCTTTCGAGCTCGTACTCCAGGAATCCAAAGGTGCCCTTGAAAGAGAAGATGCGGCCTGTTTTGGGCGTCAGCGCCACTTGCGTCGCGCGCCTCCCTGAATACAAGGGGATTGCAGCGTTTAACACTGGAGGGTTTATACTTCACCAGTGCTGCAGGACACACAGAATGCATACTTTGAATTCCTCTGGACCCCTGGACCTCAGCTGGCCTGCAATTGTGGCACTCTCGCATTTGACACGCAGAGCAGGGATGCTGAAGACAATCGTGGGGCGCTGAGTTGCCTTACTTGAAGGAAAACATCAGGAGATATACTTAAATATAGAAATCCCCCCAGTCTCAGATCAGGAGGGTGATGCATGGCCATTGTCCGGACATCAGCTCACGACTGTCAGACAGCCCTAGATTGATATGCATGAGATGAGAACCATCTTTGTCAATGTTGGAGCATGTGAATGGCACCTGCATGCTGCGCAGCTGCGCCCCCGACCTTCTCGGCGGCCTTGGCGGCCTTCGGGTTGACTGCTATGCGGAAGGTCACATGGTCCTGAGGCTTTGGGTTCACCTTGGCATCCTGCCATAGTTGCACTATTCGGTCGGAACATTTTTTGGGACCGAATATACGGCCCTATATGGTCATACGGTCTAAATATATACGGAATTCGGTAAAAAACGGCCTATTTTGGCCCAAAACACCGAATATACGACCGAATATACACCGTATGCCGAATGGCCGAATCCGTATGGTGCAATTATGCATCCTGCATAAATACAACGTCAGATCAAGCTTCTCCTGAGAACAACTCGGTGCATTGCCCGCCCTTCAATGCCCGCCCTTCAGGGATTTTGAAAGGTGCAATCCTCCATTGACCCGTCAGCAACAGTTTGAGGGAAGGATACAAGAATACGTGAGCTGGATTGCACAGCCCCCACATGGGAGAAGTGCGATTGAACACGAGGCAAACAGACTATCAACTCCTGAAAGTAGAACGTACTGCAATGATAGCGCACATATTTTTGCATTGGTGTTTGGCCGGAGCCATTGGAAGATACAGAACTGCGGCCGGCATAAACACAATGGTGTCAGAGGTCAGGATTGAAAGGAGCAATGCTGTTGAGCGCGCCTGCAGATCTTTGGGCCCGTAGGTGAGCTTGGCAGGAACGCCGTCGACCTCGTACTGGACCAGGCCGCTGGCGATGTTGGTGCCCTTGGCAACCATGCGGTCTATGACAACGCCGCTGTACGCCTGCTCGCTCACCACCTCAAACACCGCCGACCCCTTTGGCGCGCGTGTCACCCTGCCGAGATTATCACACACCCCTTCAGAATGTAACGTGTCCATCTCGGCTTTGAGTGCAACAGCAAATGGCATCGAGGTTGACCAGGGTCTAGAATAATATGCCCCTTTCTTACCTGTCAGGATAGCAACGACCGAGCTAAGCGCATAAGTCAGTGTATTGGAGAGACTCAAGCCAAGCTTTTCTGACACCAGGGTCTCTCCCCTGATACAGATGCGGGGCTTACTGTTTACTTCTCCCTACTGTTTACTTCTCCTCAGCTAGATTCCTGCCGCCAACCCTTGGGAACCCAGGTAATGTTTCATTGAAGTGCTCCAGGACCACGGATGCTATAAATACATCTCTCAGCTGTGACTGAGAAGATTACAGAATGAGCGGGGATCTTGCATGCAAGCAGCATAATACACAACCGCACCTCTGTGCCACGATGCGTTTTGGCGCGTCCGGCAGCGGCTCGCGCGAAACCGAGAACTCCACATCTTCACCCGGCGCCAGCTCAGACGATGACACACCCGACAGCTGTGAGAAGTGGAAGAACACGTCGGAAGCGCGCTCGCACGCGCGGATGAAGCCGAAGCCGCCGCCCGGCTCTTTGGACTCCTTCAGCTGCTTTATCTGCGCGCCAGCATGCCGGCGAAAACACCCTCAGTTCACCTTGATGTGGTGGAAAGATTAAGAAGGCGGTCTTCACAGGCAAGTGGATACTAGCCCTTGCACTAAGCAGCACAAGACTCTGATGAACAATAACCACCATGCCAGCATAATTTATCTGTCCTGTTTGCCTTTTGAAGACGTACTTCAGATGACCCCCGTAAGGTCTTTCTACCACTCCCGCATGCATGCACCTTTCGTTTGTGCATATAGAGCGGTTCAAAGTCTTCACAGGGGCCCTCTGCTGAGCTGATAGATGGTTTCCCCGGTAGCCCCTTTTGATCTATATAGACCTTCAAACAACGTCACTCAAACCCGGCACAAGACATGGATATGAACAGTCACCGAGAAAACACCCTTCCAAGAAAAAAATCGATCAGATATTTTCTTTGCAGGCATTTAGACCTGATATGCTTGAATCAGGCTAACCCACCTGCCCAAGTTCGCGGCGATTCTCGGCTTTGCATAGCAGCTCGACGGTCTCCGCGCGGAAGCTGCCTGTCCGGCGGTTTGCCACGACTGTGAACTCCACCTCATCTTCTGGACCTAGCGCCGCCGCTGCATCCTCTTCCACGTTCATCTGCAGATAGATTTGAACATTGCGTACATCGAATTGGCAAAAAAAATGGCAGCCCTGGGTGCTTTCTTTAGCCCGCAGGAATGGAGTCAGCAAGGAGCTGCTGAGAAATCTTTGGTGCGGCAAATGTGCGGGTGGAAGTAGGAAGCACAAATTATAAAGTGTGCAATGCAATACCCCCCCATGAATGCTGTTTTTGGTCCACGGCCTAGGGAATCTAGGTGCTCCTCATGGGTTTTCCCATGGGGCACATGTTCCTGCCAGATCAGGAAATTTTAACAGACACAGACCAGGAGAAATGTGCATGCTCCAGGTCCTCAAAGGCAGAGAGAGCCACAGGCAACTAAGAATTCAAGCAAACTAGCTGAAATGTGATGGAAGGGGTCGTAGTCATGGCGCAAGTGAGAGCACAGGAAGTGGGGTTGGATGGAAGAAGAGATCTCACTACCAGACCTTGCATAACTGTACCGTCGTATGCATCATGACAAAGATGCCTCGCACTATATTCACTGCCAGATTGAGCCTTATCACCCAGAGGCAGTGAGAGAACGGCAGACTCAGCACCCAATGGGCAGCAACATAATTACAAAAAAAGGCAGAAAAGGCCAGAATCACATAAACAAAATTACATAATTACAGAATAAAGGGGACAAAGAAAGGCCAGAACTACAAAAAGGCCTTGCCTGGTCATAGGCGAAGCCGCAGGAGCGCAGGGTCCCTCCAGCATCCTGGAAGTGGACCCTCCCCAGTGTTGCTTGCTCCTCCCCCTTTGCCTTGGCTGGCGCCTTCACTACGCGCCCCCGCACGCGCTCTGCAAACAACCATGCATGCCTCAACTGAGGGTTTTAAAAGAACATATTCAATTGCAATGTACTGGCTTATAGCATGCTTCTTCTGCTCGCCTACTGTTCTTTGCCTTTTGTTGCGGTGTCCGTTTGCAGAGTGCACAACGTGCAGACGCGCGCAGACAATCCATGACGATTGTAACAGTGTCAACAAATTGCCCAGAACTGGTAATGTCAGCACCACTATGTATGGTGGCACCTTGTGACTGGGCCCACCGTTGGTCCCATCCGCACCCTTGCTGTGAACTGGCATTCAAGTCAAGGATGCAAGAAGAAATCAACAGAGAGCCCAGCCACAGGTATCCCTCAGCGACATTGCAACACCACAAATCAGTGCTGGTGATATGAAGAGCGCGCACTAAGCCAGATGTGCCATACAAAAACGTGTCCAGAACTTACAAGAAATGGTACAAGAAAATGTTACGTTAAATGGGCAGTCATCCCCTGGCCAGGGGCATTTTCCTGTAATGGTGCCAGGAGTACTTTTCTTAGTAAGTGGGACAGCGTGCACCCGGCCAAGTGCGTTCCTCTGCAATGGTACCAGGGGTTTAGGATTTCTCAATTAGGGTCAGGCATGACACCAGGGTTCCTAAGAAGAACAGCGCGTACCCGGCCAGATGCGTTCCTCTGCAAGAGTACCAGCTGGCAGCAGCTCGAGCGCGACGGCTATGAGCTTGCCGGTTGGGTCAGCAGCTGCCGAGAAGGCGACCTCGGCGCCGGGCGCCACCTCGGACGCTGAGCTGTCAGCCACCTCGCTGATGTGGAAGAACAGCGGCGGCTGGCCCTCGCGCTCTATGCTCCTGCAGTGTGCACACACCCACACCTCAGAACCACGATAATTTGCTTTCATTGCACACAGGTACGGTACTCTTACAAGACTTCACATGAGGGACTGTTGCAGCAGGTATAAGAGTGCGCGAAGGGTGCAAAGCAAGAATGCAAAAGCTGAGAACCATGAATTGTACCCCCTGGTTGCAAAAGGACTCACTGTTTGAAGTGGGCACATGGTGCACTTGAAATTGAGAGGCATGAGCTTCACCTGACAAAGCCATAGGTGTTCATGAATTTATCAACGAAGCCCTGCTCCCGGGGTGCATCCGGGGGTGGCTGGCTCTGCTGCGTCCCTCGTTGCACCTGCACAGCCCCCCAAAAAATGAAATCACGAAGTGCACAACCTCTCCATCACTAGTACCCCAGTAGCTTGTGGCATGACTGACGCCAGGGCACATCTGCCAACGTTGAACACATCCGCAGTCTGCCTCTGCTGAGGGTGGAACTTCATGTAATATGGTTCCTGGCAATTCTCGGAGCAGCACCGTACGCTGTCATGCACAGCCATTTTACGGAAAAGAGGCACACACGAAATTGTGCGGTGTATTGTGGGGGGCAAACAACAACACACCTGCGTCGCTCGCTTTTTCCCGGTGCGCATGTCTGTGGTGATGAGGAACTGCACAGGATCGCCCTTGTTCAGGCGCCCAGTCCTGCCCTTCACATCAGTCCCCTCAAAAGTCAAGAACAGCCGCCTGCCATTCTCGCCGTCTGCGCCATCCGCCTCAGGATCCAAATAGCCGATCAGACCACCGCCACCTCCGTTTGCCTCCTGCAAGCATGGTCTCAACACTTCACTACCTCTCCTTCTGGGTCCCGTCATGTCACTGCATTACTGATTAGCCTGGTTCAAGCACTGCTGCGGACTGTGATGTGGATGGTGAAGACACATGCGGCAAACTTGGTGTCACAATTGCAGCTGCATGCGTGCATCAGTGCCATCTGTTCTACTCGTACGTAGGGGCACAGCAAATACTTCCCACAGATCTTTCATGAGATAAAGAAAGCAGAGGGACCAAAATAAGCGCAACCCTGTTCCATGAGATGCCACTGTCATCATTACTAGCGACTATTTACCTCAAAATTCCGATTGCAGGAGATGAAAGCCTCACCCTGTTCCATGAGCTGGCACTAGACCCTGCCAGGGGCCTCTCCACGCGCCCCCTTGTCAGCTTCTCAGCCACGCTGGAGGTAGCAATAGCTCCAGGAGGCAGCTTCTTCACCTGCACCACGCAATTTCCATTTTTTTTGAGACCCATCCAACAAAGTTCCAACTTTACAAGTGTGCCAGCTCAAGTTTGTATGCCACATGTGGCTTTGCAGTCTGAAAACTGACCAAACAAGCTTCCAACACACATGTGTCTTCTCACGTTCCGTCCCCGTGCGATGAGCTTGCATTAGTGTGCATGCCCGAGCAGATGCAATTGCATGGTGCATGGAAGAGTCTCATCCTGCAATCCTACAAGGAGAGACTTTATAATGTACGCTCTTCTGTCTGTCATTGCGCTATAATTTACAGAAAGATACAGACAGCCTTGAGAAGGAGCCAGGAGGCTCACCGAAGTGCCCATGAGCTTGGGAGGCCGGTTCCCCTTGTGGCGCACGGCATCATGGCTCGATGCAGCCACTACAAATTCCACAGGGTCACCCGGCTGCAGCAGCTCTGATAGATCCTTCTTTCGGCCACTATCTGCCTGCGCCTGATCTGGCTGCTGCTGCTCACTCCCGGGATGCTCCTCTAAGGCAGCCGCTGCCCCTGCATCTGCTGCTGCCGCTGTCTTCGCAAGAGCTCCCTTCTCTGACCCGGCAGCTTCCCCGCTGGATGCAGCTGCCGGGCCCTCTGCTGACTGGACCGCGCTGATGTGGAAGAAGACAAGGTCTGATGCCTGAGGCACCCTGCATAAACCATCATTGCAATCAATGTGTTGTCAAGCAAAGCAGAAAAGGTACTTCATTACACTGCATGCCGAAGCCCATGCCCATGCACAAAGATGGAATTACTTCTCAAAGTAAAGTGACCGTGGAAGAGCTGTGGACAAAGATGAAATGTTGCTCACATCAAAGTGACGGTGCAAGCAAGGTGTGCTGAAGAAAGTGGCCCTCTGGTAAATACCTGATGAAGCCAAAGTGCTCCCTGACGTGGTCCACAAAGCCCTGGAGTTTGGTGCCGATGGGCAGATCAGGGATGGGATCCTCGTACTGCTGCCTGGCTGGCCCATTGGTATCATAGGCGCTTGCCCTTCTCTGAGGCTTCCCCAGCCCAGGAGGTGTCCCTGCAGGGCCCTGCCTACCCAGGCCTCCTCGCCCCCTGCCTCCTCTGAGACAGGCAAACACAGGAATGTAATGCAACCGATTTTTGGGACACTAATAGAACCTTAGCAGAAGACTGGGGATAAGTAGGATTGTAAATATCGGAATTAAGCACGAGAACAATTGCACTGTTAGCATGCGTTGAACGAGAAAATTTATCTGATCAGTAAAGACACTTGGTACCTCCGTGACACTCACCCTCCCCGTGCTTGCTGATTTGGCCTAGGAGGTCTCCTGCCTGCTGGAGCTTCAGCATACCGCTGTTCTGAGGTACTGGGTTCTGGCTGGAATTGCTGATCGTCCATGATAAGCGCGTTGACTACACCGCTCAGTGACTTTTGCTATGGCTGAGAAACAAGCGTCAGATTTTGAACCAAATTTAGTTTTGCTGTAAGAGGTTCTTCAAAAGAGCGTGCCAAACACTTCGTATGATCAAGAAAGCTTTATAGCAAGTAGGTGTATATTATGTCCACGTCTGCTGCGGCAGCGCGTGCGCAATGTATGAGCGATGCAAGTATAGCACCGATGTGAAGGTCGTGAAGTGGGATCCACTTAAAGAAAAATTGTTGAGGCTGCTGGGAAACAAGCATGTAGGGAGGGAACGTGGAGACCTGAGGGCCATCTCCTTTTGAGCCCACGTGCACTATAATTGAGCCACAGTCTGGCTCACCCTTTATTTCTGAACGTTTGGTACTCTTGTTAGGTCTTTCACAGTGTAGCTTTGCTACACTGCAAGCGCAGTAGACATTGCAGATGGTTATAATAACCAAATATTTTGATGCAAACCGACCTTTGAGTGCAGATACTGAAGCCTGGAGCAATGTCCTAGTTGGTAAGCTTCTGTTTGTCACCGATGATATTTGGACATTGAGACTGTGTTCAAGGCTGTCGTATCTCGCACAAAGTACACACATCTTGATCTGCTGACGCAGCAGCTTGTCTGGCAAGGCTCGTCGCCCTGGGTATAGTCAACAATGCATTACCCAGGCCTGTTTATTCGTTCTGCTGCACTTCGTGAGGCGCATCGAGCACTGTCCTCTGCGTCCAGCGAAGCTGTGCGAGCCTTGTCATCATACAGCGCAAGTACCTCCTCCTCACAACCAGCTGACAGCACAGGCATTACCGATGCGAATGCTCCCGAATCGAAGCCTACCAACCTCTGCTCAGCGGTCAACGACGCCCTGCACATTGCTTTGGAACAGAATCCAAGGTAACAGATGCTGCTGACCAGGACGCAGAACTCCTTGCCCTCCACGTTGCTTTGTCATTGGCTGCAGGAATGCCTGGTCGTCAGTAGAATTCTTATGTGGGTCAGGGCGCTTTGCTTTGGGGAAGATGTGGGCTTTGGAGGAGTCTTTCGGTGCACAGTGGGCCTCTTTGACCGCTTTGGACGTGACAGGGTGTTCAACACACCCCTGTCAGAACAGGTGACGCCCTGAGCATGCTTTTAGCCGCGCCATGCCAGAATAATACTAGCCTGCTTTCTCCAGATGCCCTCCATTGCCCCAACCAAGCAACTCAGGCAGACCTTTGCAGACAGACTAGCAAAGACAGTTTCTTCAGGAGCAAGTTGCTGGCTTTATGGTGGAGCAATGATGGCAATGTGCCATGATCCAATCGTCTATGTCAGTGCTGCCTTCTCTGTAGCGTTCACCAATGTTCCCCAGTAGGACAAGCCACACTGCTCACAACACAAAGATGGTGCAACCAGTCCCCCATTCTCTCTCTCTGCATCCGCAAGTTTGCGCATGCATGCATGCATGCATGTGGCATTTTGCGCATGCATGGAGTTCTGATGAGGGGCCGGTTGGCATTCCTGCTTGGCGATATGGGGAGCAAAATATACAACCGGAAGTTGGCATTGCACTGGTGGAGAAACTTGCATGACCGGACAGAGTGGGGGGATCTGATACATGCGTTACTGGACGCCTAGTGGACGCCTAGGAACTGGAAACCGTGTGATAACAATGATGTCTTGTGTATTGAACGCCTTGCAACTAATCTGCGAGGCAGCCCTTTATCCTTTCATTGGCGCTCGCAGTGCCTTGTATGTCTTGCCTTCACTCTTGACTTTATATTAAAGAAATTGACAACCCTAGAAATTGCGCAGGGGATTGTGGGGTTTGGCATAGGGACGGCGGCGATGGGAGCGACGCCGGTGGCGGAGATCCAATTTGCAGATTATATCTTCCCGGCCTTTGACCAGATCGTGAACGAGGCGGCCAAGTACCGGTATCGTTCCGGGGGGGACTTCCACTGCGGCGGCCTCACCGTGCGTGCCCCCTATGGTGGGTCCGGCTGACTAACTGCTATTTCGTGATGATCGCTAATTTGCTGTGTGGTCTCACTGGGGACTATGACCTATCATTTGTCCCATGCTGCAGTTATTAGGAGTCGTGTTCTCCTCTGGCACCTTTGAACAGGATTACCCCTGGGCATCCCATTACAGCATGCAAAGCATGAATGCGAAATAAACAGGCTTGAGAAAAGAGGCCCTACAGACATTGAGGAGTGAGGGACAGGACAGGTTATGTGCCTCTGGGAGAACATGCGTCTGTGCTTCCTCTGTCACCCACTACTTTGGGACAGGAAACCCAACTGTGCATATGGAGGCCAGCCAACTGTACCTCTAGATGGCTGGCTTTGCTGCGTAGTGATTATAACGGTGTCAGGGGAGGTGCATGGGTCAACTCAATGTTGTAAAACGATGATTGGCCAGAAATGAACGAGATGCTGTTTCTGCGTGGTCAGGTGCGGTCGGCCACGGAGGGCACTACCACTCACAGTCTCCAGAGGCCTTCTTCACACATGTGCCCGGAATCAAAGTGGTGGTGCCCAGCGGCCCCAAAGAAGCCAAAGGTACATGTGTATTGCTTGACTCTTTACTGCACCACTGCCAAGAAAATCAAACACCTTGGGTTTTGCTGAGCATAGTGGCTCCTGTGCTGCTGTGGACAACGATGCACAGAGACACTTTGAATACTCAGCAAAACCCCTTGGGCTGCTACCATTTGTAGTGATCCAGTAACGGCACATGCAGATTTGTTGTTTTTTTCAAAATCGTTTGATCTGTGCTGCTCTACATTCCCAGCGACGTCCCTCGACAGAGTTGATAGATGACACGATGAGGCTGAGGTGTTCAGATTATACTGCTAGACATGTGCTGATATCCAAGTTCTTGGGGGCATGGAACGTTGCTCATGCAACAGTTGTCACAGAACACATTCTTCTTTCTCTTCAGTCTGTTGATGGGCTCTGCTAATTTGACTGAGGATGGGACTCTCTGTTGCGCAGGTCTGCTGCTGGCATCCATCCAGGACCCAGACCCGGTGATTTTTTTAGAGGCCAAGATGCTCTACAGGACCGTAGTGGAAGACGTGCCGACCGGCAGTTACACAATCCCCCTGGGGCAGGCCAGAATTGCGCACTCCGGGGGTGACATAACCCTCGTCGGCTGGGGCCAGCAGGTTGCCGTGCTGGAGAGGGCGGTGAGTCACTGCTGACTCACCGTATCCCCTCTTCTGCACGCTGCAAAAGGGTGCCCCACCATTGAGAGATCGTAAAGATCAGCTCTAGAGGGTGTCCGCTCACTGACAATCCGAGGAAATGAGGATAGCAGTAGACACCTGCCTCATGCCTCATCTGTGCCACACCTGTGAATACAACCAGTATCCAGTTTCAAGACGATAGTCACCCAAGTCACTTCCGGACAGTGCTTGTTGTCTTGGAGCTGTTGAAGCTTGATGTTATGAGGTGTGGCCAGTGAAGGCACCAAGGCGCTCTACCTGCTGTGTAAATTTTTAGTGTTGGTGGCATGTCATGTGTGCGCAGGCTGCGATGGTGCAGGAAGAGGATGGCATAGAGTGCGACATCATCGATTTGAGGACCCTGCTGCCCTGGGACAGAGATACCATAGGTGAGCCTCAGCTTCTCAGCGTTGAAAAGTTTGCCTAGCGTGTCATTTTACATCTTCTACATCACACTTTACATCTCATGGGCTGATCTTTGTCGTGGCACATCCCTAGTCACTCTGGTCTTTTGTATGCATGTCAGAGCAGATGCAATCTGAGCTGCCGTCTGCATCATCCTAAGTATCACTTCGGCAGAATCATTGCTAGAAATTTCACTCTCGTGCGATCATGCAAAGTAATTCCTTGCCACTTTCACCGAGAACGTTGGCAATATGCCGAGCTCTGATGATCAAGCTTGCTGTTTCAGGACTTGTATTCCCTAGAAAATATTTAAATAAATGGTCTCATCAGTTATTGTGGCTTGTGCAGAGGCGTCTGTTAGCAAAACAGGGCGGCTCCTGGTGAGCCATGAGGCGCCGGTGACCTCCGGCTTTGGCGCAGAAATAGTGGCTGCAATTTCCCGGCGCTGTTTTCTTCGGCTAGAGGCCCCACCGGTGCGGGTGTGTGGATATGACACACCCTTCCCGCTTGTGTTCGAGCCCCTTTACGTCCCCTCTGCCCAGAGGGTTGCTGATGCAATTCGCGAGTCATGCCACTTCTGAATCAACCCTTCAGCATTCTGATGAAATGCTAGATCTAGGGACGTTGAGGAATTGAGATTCGTGGCTGCATGACTTACTGTAATGGATTGTACCATTAATGATTATTCCATCTTGTTCAACAAGTGTACAACATGCATGGGGTGTGTAGAAAGGGGTTTTGGAAGTGCAAGAGCACAAGTCGCAGCTGGCGGTTTAGCAAGCTTGAGCTTGTCCGATGAGATGGGCCTAGAGTGTCGATCAAGGTTGCAACTGCTTTGTAGATTACAAAAGTGCTTCTAGAATTTCCAGCTGGCCTGCAGGGCTTCAATGGGCAAGTGCTTTATTTGGTGTTGTTGCAACCGCGCACAAAGAAGCTTCCTGCTAGCTTGCCATCAGGACACTTATAAGGATTTTATGCACATTGGAGCTCAGCATGATCAGCTCATAGCATGCACTCTTCACTTGCTCAAACTTGCTCACTTATACCCAACGGAGGCGGCTGCACATCACCTCCAGATCTACGCAGTCTCAAAGTGCATAAAGCGCAGTGCAAAGCTTAAGCTGCCAGCTCAAACTTTGGCAGGAGTATATGGGGCTGCCTATAAACACACACTACTGTACACGGCAGTACTTCTCTCATCCCTCAACCTTCATATTTTGGCACCATCCGCGCAGCAGCTCTCTCCTCGTGCAGTTCGCAGAGGGTTTCATGCACCTGCACAGCACATGCCTTCATTGATACCATGAGTCATCGTTACAAGCGGTGACTGCCAGTAGGCACGGTTCATCTGCACACAAGCTGCTGGCAGCGGCTGCCTCAATGCTACACCTAGTCAGACTCGCCAGATCCAAGCAAGAAACAGTTGTCTATGGGCAAGGTGACATTCACAGAGCATGTTGTCCCCACGACAAATCATTGCATGGAAGCTGTGCCATTTGCAGAGCGTGCCAAGAGCCGCATAACTTGACTTTTGCAGGGTGAGCCTGTCAGCTGTCAGTTTGAGGGACCATCCCATTGCTCGCTGCAGGTTGACCATCTCTTGCCAAAGCTTCCGGTTGGACAATTAGACAATTACCTTTGTCTCTATCAGCTCTGGCATCCCAATCTCCTTGTCTGCCAGGATTTCCCAGGTAGCCTGTAGCGCCTGGTCTAGGACTGAGTTCCTGCAGGTCAGCACAAAAATGCCTCAGCTCTCTCCAATTGGGCGGGCTTGAGTGCTGTATTACTTGGTTGCACTCAGCACAGGTTTCCAGTGCTTGGAGGCTGATGCAAGCATGTGATGCTCAGCTGGCTTGGTGGTGGCTGATCGATAAGGTTGAGTTTTGGTGGTGCAGACTCAGACAAGTGATGTCCCACACAGGGTGCAGGGCCTCACTCCAGCTCCTTTCGCAGCTTGCCAAACAGCGCACTCTTGTCCATTGTCCTCGCACTCTCCCCCTGGAGCGTCTTACTGTTCAGCACCCTGTCTTCTGTGAATCTCTGGAGGGCTTCCTGCGTTGCCAACAAGATGAGTTGTACAGATTTGTTGCACAGCACATGATCCAATATCGTCAGCAGAGGTTGATTCCGTGATTTCGCATTGAATGATATATAAAGATCAACACCACACAGACATGCTGCCTAGTTGTGATTCGTTGGTTGAGGCTCACATTCTTTTTCAAGTGTGCGATCACTGTTTTTCTGAGATCGTCAAAAATCCCCTCATCCATTATCTTTTTCAGCACGGCCGCACTGTCATCTTCCATGACTTGCTAGTCTTATCTGATAATGTACTGTGGCTTCCTTGTGCACTGCTCAGAGTGGCGATGGTATGGAGACCTTCAGGAAAAGGGGGACCTCACACAATTTTCTGGCAATAACACAGTCTTTACCACCTTGTTCCACTTTCTTGTACTAGGCAACAAGAAGGTCAGAACATTGCAAAATTGGTGCTATCAAGTTGAGAAAGTTTAAACCTTCAGAGTTGACTACTCGCAGACCACCTGCTGAGTCATCAGCTGGCCGCATCCAGATAGAGTTTGCTTCCTCGTAATCACATCCTTCATTGCCAAAAAGTATTTCTTCTATTATCTATGATCATTTAGTTCTGGAAAATATTCACACCACTGCCCGCAAAGTACAGGATCAAGAAAGTGCGATTTGACAAAAAAAAGGCCATGGCTGCTTATCAAACTAGCAGAAGCTCCTCAAGTATGATCACTGCTCACCAATTTACTGGGCGGTTGCACATGTACTCTGGATGCTTGCTATCCGCCCCTTCAATGGCGGGCAGCAGAAAGTGGTTTGGGCAACCAAGGTACATCGCCCTTTCTGCAGCTGCTTTTGGTCCCATGCGCGTAAGACCCTTTGACTTTACGTACAGCAAAACGCCGTGGATTTTGCTTGTAAATCTACTAAAGGAATGCCAGAAACAGAGACGTCTTAGACGACAATGGTCTACTAAAGATGATATGATATATATGTCTTCCTGGTGCCTCTGCAGGCAAAGACGGCACTGTATGTCCATCAGGGCGTCTGTGACAGAACGAACAGAGGAGGTGCCCCTAGCTGACCTGCAAGTCATGCTGGAGGATGCAGTGCGCCAGGAAGACTACCAGGCTGCCGCAGAGCTGCGAGACGAGCTCATGTACGCCCCTGCCTGGCATCAGTATCATCCTCACCTCATCCAAGTGCACGTGCTGCAGGTCTAGGAACACTGGCAACTTGCACAATTGTGGACCAACCAGTCCAACTGCAGCCTGCACAGCAGGCACTCCTACGTCTACAGTAAAGGGCCGATCTCTTATTCAAATGTCAAGGAAGAACATAGCCACTGCAGTCTTTGTGTTTGGCGTGTGAGTAGTGTGCTTTTTTGAGGCACTGGGTTGTGCTGCAAGATTGAAAATACGCAGGCTTCATGGCGCTTTGAAAGACCTCGAACACAGTGGTGAGATGTCTAATGGAATGCAGGCGGAGGCAGTCAGATAGCAGATCAATGGTGGAGGAAGCCAACAGACGGTTCTACGATGCCTTCCAGCGGAATGACCTCAAGGCAGGGTCCATGACCTCGCACTTAAGCCAATGTAACCTCTGTCACAGTACATGAGCTGTGTGCATGAGGCTGCCGCCTGCCCTGCTGACACATCTTTCAAAAAATTGTTTCAACAGGCAGCTCTTTGGCATGCATGCAGATGAATGTGTCCCATGTATTAGCTGTGGCAAGCACCTGCAGGTCTCCGTCCCACAGAGGGGAGCAACACCGATGGTGTTGATGCACTAAGGGAGAAATGATATGTGCAGCTGCTGTGCACATGTCTGGAGCATCGGGTGATGATTGTGTGTTATTGTGGCAGGCGATGAATGACATCTGGGGCCAAGGAGAGCACGTGCAGTGCATACACCCCGCTGCAGCATGCATCGCCGGGCGGCAAAATGTCAGCCGCCCAGTTTTACTCAAATTTTCTACACCTTTCCAGTCTTTTGTAACGAGCATGTGGGCAGCCCTGTAAGTCAGTGTAGTGTTGACCTAAAGATTACTTGTTGAGGCAAAGTTGCAACCTGCCATGTGATCTGCAATTAAGAAGGACCTGCTGCACTCAAAACAAAGCATTCCTTCTTTTTGCTAGATTCTATTTTCTCACCTGTCTGCATCACCCCCTTCAATTCACATGAAGGCAAGCAGGCCTAGAGATGGTCTGCACTCTTTTCCGGACCACCAAATTTTGAAAGTCATTTTGGAAGTATTTAAATGTTGCAGAGAAAGTATTTTTGGAAGTATTTTTACCTTCAAATCCGTGTACCCTCGCAGGTGATGGAGAGCTGGAGGGTGATTCTGAGAGGGGCGCCGATGACTATAAGCCTAGAGGATGTGCGCGTCTATGCTGGCGATGCTGCCGCTTACGTGACCTGCATTGAAGTCATGGATGCTGGCGACAGCCGCGGCAGGTGCGCCGCTCTCTGCGGCGGAATTCCCCCTTATCTTCGCGCATTATTGCACGCGCAAACTTGCGCAATTCCAAAGTTCAACACTGTGTTGTGGCCGTGTGTATTTCGATTTTCTGCAGCGTAAAGTCCCATCGAGAATATTGGCCTAGCGGGGTGCTGTATAGAGCGAAAGGAGTTCTGCATTCTGGGACTCGGTTTTGAAGACAGAAAATTCAGAGCTTTGTGAAGCACTGATTTGCAGCAAGGGATGGGTCTGCAGGAGCTGGGTCTCGTACTTGCCTTGCGGGCAGGACTGAAAAAGGCTGTGCTGTGCAGGACAGCAGCAACGAATATCTTTGAGAAGCAGGACGGCAGATGGGTGATGATGCATCACCACGGCAGCCCCCTCCCCATCATGATCTAAGGGAAACTCCTTTGAACGAGGGGAGAATGCAGCAAGTTTTGACCTGGAGAGGCTGCAGCAGATATCACGCGGGTCCTCTAAGGCGGTGCCCGGTCAAGGTGCTTGCTGCCAGTGTCTGTGAGTCATCCAGTGGGAGGCCGGGCGGCTCTTGAGACAATGAGGGCCAGCATTCAGCGTGAGAGAGGCGCTTTTTGAACCAGGACAGACTGAAGCGGACACAAGGCGGGTCCTCTGCAATAGCGCCAGGTCAAGCTACCTGCTGCCAGCAGTGCTAGCACTGTCAGTCACTCTGCCCGGTGGCACACTGACAGGCGCTAAAAAAGCGAGTGCCCAGTGGGCCTTCAGGCTGGATTCATTGTGAGGCAGACGCTTTTTAAGCCAGGAGGGAATGCAGCGGATACAAGGCGGGTCCTCTGCAATAGTGCCAGGCCAGCTACCTGCTGCCAGTGCCAGCCAGGCACACAATGGCACGCCAACAGGGACTCAGACAAGGAGAACTGACCGGACCTGCAGCTTCCGGATGCAGGGTCCAGAAGCCTCTTATGAGATCTAGCTTCTTCCTGCCGGTGTCTGTAAGGTGTCCTGTGGCAGGCCAACAGGGATCAAAGACCCTGAGTACTCAGTGGAGCTGTCGGCTGGGTGCAAGTTTTGCATAAGAGTGGATGATATGGACAGACGTGTGCTGCAGCCGTTGTAGATATCGGGCAAATCTGTCAGCTGCATTCTTCACACAATATCTAAATTTAAGCCTCATATCGTTAGGTTGACTGGGTTGAAGTTAGTGTGCGGCCTACCGCAAATGAAATGTGTCTCTCCTCGCACAAAGAAGAGGGAATGATTGATGTGATTGTCAAAAGCGGCCAGCGTACATTTGTACTACTCTCATACAACCGACATGTCTGTTCTTATTGATTCCCTGATAAAGGTGATTGGAGATGACCCGGGATTGGCATGTAGAGTTTTCTGTGGGACTCTAGATGAAGTTTGCGGTGTACATGGCTCTAAGCGGTGGGTGTTTATCCCCAGGCCAAGCAATGCATGCGCTAATGTCTTTGCTTCTGTGCGTAACTGTTAACTCATGAGGTTAGAATGTCTGAATGATTGAGATGCCATGCCGTTGTAAGAAGCCATCAAAGACTGAAACCTGGATACACGTTTAAGCATGTCTGAATGATTGAGATGCCATGCCCTTGTGAGCAGCCATCAGAGGCTCAAACCTGGATACACTGCAGCAAATGGAATATCTAATGATAGTGCTAGCGCCTCTAGCACACTGCCGTTCTGGGGACCATCAATGGGTGAAAAACAGGCCATACTAAGTATGGGGCAGTACATCATGTGTTATTTCAAGTTGTACTGCTAGCTTTTTTTTGTGCCCATGCACTACCCGCGCTTTAGGATTCAGCTCTGAAAGATACTTGGTGATGTTGCCAGCACCATCAGCGTTAGGTGAACCGATGTACGTGAGGCTTACTCACATGAAAGGGTAAATGATGGCATCCATTGCGTTTCTGATGTTGACAACGGCTGCTGTAGTATCAGATATTTGGCTACAGCGGACGGGTTTGGACAACACCGTAGCTTGTGGGATATTCGGTGTGGAATCCCTCAGGTCCGTATCTAAGGAGAAACACGAGGTGTTTCTACAAAATATTGTCCACAAGACACTTTGAGCAAAAGTATCTTCTCGCACAGGTGAGAACGGGGATCTGTTGTCGTTCGACTTCAGTTTCTTCTGGCCCTGTTGATTTCAATACTTTCTCGACTTCCTAGTTTTTCTCGGTATGAAGAGTTGATAACTGGTCAGGCGAGGACGCCGAGAGGAATCTTGTGAAGTGATCGTGACACACACTTATTCTTCCATATTTTTCGTGGCAGGCATGAAGCCTGAAGCCATGAAGACGGAAGCAACCCCATCGCTTCCACTTGAGATATGGCAAATGATTGCAGACAGGCTGCGCGTGAAGGAATGGGTCAGTTCATGTGGCAGTGCCTGTCGTGCTTTCCATCAAGTGCAGCCTAGAAGATTATATCTCCCAACAGATCTTGACAAGGAAGGCCTCGTCGTTCTGAAATGGGCAGCAAAGCACTGGAATTACGCGGAAGAGGTGTACTTGATCATTGAAGAAGAGGTGAGAGGAGACAATTGGCAGTATTATCCTAAGAACTTTCTAGGTCTATGTTTTTCTGCAGTTTTGCTGCCCTCAAGCTTTTTTCCATGAACATTATGGCACTGCAGGAATTCCACGGGTCCTGTGATGAATTTCACACCATTGGAGAGAGCATGGCAAGAGCATCTGCTGTAAAAGTGGCGGACGTCACAGCTTTCACCTCACTGTTTGGCCCAGAGAAGGCTAGATTCCAAGAGCAGTTTGCGGGGCTCTTGCACCAATGCTTGAGGGCTTGGAGCACCGTGGAGAATTTAAGTGTCTACACGCACTCCATGCATCCCATGCCTCCTCTGGATCGATTGGTCAAGTTAAATTTGTCCTTGCTTGTAGTTGACGACACAGTGCTTGAGTCATTGCAAGGCATGCAACAACTTCAGAATCTGAAGTTGCGTAGTGGAAGCGGCAGCACAAAGCAGATGCAATGCTTGGACTTGACTGGCCTGATTCATCTCCAAGAGGTCGACCTGGAGAATGTCGTGCCGCATGTTTGTTCCATGGGCCCCAATATAGTTTTGAAAATTGCTGGTGAGGCGTCGTTTCTAGAAGGCAAGTCTTGGCTGACACAGCATTGCTGGCAACGCTTGGAAATCGCCACGAGTATTTTTGGTAGCCAAGGGATGTCCAGCCAATTCCAGGGGTTGTTGCAACAGCTGGCCTGGCAGCGCCGGCAATTGCAAGGTTTGAGGATCCATAGTTATTTCTGTGAGCAACATCTTTTGGTCGGGCCGCATTCCGGAAAACAATCCCATGTGCCAGACCTGCATGCCCTAAAGCAGCTGTACATCAGGGCTGAGGGCAGCATGTCAATTTGTATTCCTTGGCAGACGGCCCTTAACAAGCTTTCGCCACAAGCAAACAACATGGACATCACTATTGAGTGTCCCGATAATTTTGCTTGCCAACTGCGGTCGGTTCGTCTCTATTACTCGCACACGAGCACTGAAGGCATGGAGGCATTTGTCAAAGCCCTGAGGAAGGCTGCCGAAGATGGGACAGGGTGCATGAACAAAGTGTTTTCTGGGCACTCGACAGACATGGCTGGAACCTGTGGTGAAACATTTGGGGGGATTTTTGCCCCATACTCACACAGCCATGCGGTTGTTGCTCTCTCGTGGCCATACTAGATGCATCTGCCCATGCGTGGGTTTCAACAGCTTGTGTTGCTGGGTGTGATAATTATATTATAAGCAGCTTCTCACTATACATTGCACGTGAAGCTTCCTGTGCACCTGCCGAGCCCGCAGCACTCACATACACGCTGCCAACCCCTAACTTCCCTTGACCCGAGGCCATCGATGCAAATCCCCGGCAAAATCCAATTGTGTTAGCCAGCTCTGCGCAGCGGCCTACTTTACGGTTCTGCAGCAGGTTCAGATACCATACCCTGATATTAATACACACAGTTGTCTTCATCACTGAAGTTGCCTGCTTGGATTGCTCCAGTCATCCTTCAAGTGCATCTTCCACAGCAGCTGCCTGTAAGCTTGCAGCGCTCCTCGTTCCGAATCTCGTTCTCCCAGTGCATGCGCTTGTAGCACTCATCCGTCCAGTGCTTATTTTCCTGCAGCTGCATATGGACTTGCAGCACACTTAGCGTGCGGAACTGTTTCATTCCCAGGTGCCGCCTGCCAGGGCCTTCTCACATGCGCAGCGGTGGCCAATTAACCTCAAAACATTGCACTGCAAATACTCTCTTCTAGATCTGGTGTACAGAGCACTGCACAGACCATTTGCACTGCAGCCCCCCTATATATTGTATGCTTGCAAGATTAGGTGTTGCAGCATTCATCCCTCCCAAACGCTGCCTGCGCTGGCTTTCCCGGCTTAACACACTACAGAGCCTCCTTCACTGCAGCTGCCTTCACCTTTGTGTTCCTCGTCACCCCTGGTGGCACCGGCTGCGGCTCTGCAGGATGCGCCATCATGGATCCATTCATCCCATTGCAGACACATGAAACATGTGTCAAACTTGTACATATAAAACTAGGCATACTGCAGCCGTGTGTATGAATGTGTTTTTTTAGGGTGCAAAAAGTCTGCATGACAGTGCATCCCAGGTGGCGCCTGCCGCTGCCTTCCTGGCGCGCCGTGATGGCCAATCACATCACATCTATTGGACGTTAAAGCCAGCGTTCAGACATGGATATCTCAAGAACCCGTTTTACGCCTGTATTTGTTTTCGTTATTTTCTAATATCTGTGTTCCGGTGAAATCAACTTAATCCCAGGAGGGGCCTGCCGCTGCCTTGCCGGGTGTGCCGGCCCAACCGCCCCCGGCATTGGCCGGCGCGGCCGGTGCACGCGCAGGAACGCCCCCGAAAGCATCGTCACCGCCTGCATGCACCCGGCGCATCAGCACATCCTCAATCTGCCAAGGAAGACTCCCTGTAACTATGGCTGCTTGTCCAGCTGCCCACGGTTGATTGAGTCTTGCTTGGATCTCGTTGGGCCAATCGAGGGGTAGGCATTTGGCAGGCGTCACCTGCCGCTTGTCTGCAGATGCAGCGTGTAATAGTTATAACAGTTAGAACCGTCCATCTGTGCAATAGATGGAGCTCATTGCTGCTATATAGGCAGCAAGGACCAGCAAAGGGCGCGCCCTGCTTGCACCCGCAGCATGGACAGCTGTGCACTGAAATATAAAGAACAATTGAAGTCTTTAAGGCGCTCACAATTAACTTGCTGACGGCACTACAGACAACAGAACATAAACAAAAATTGGCAGTATCCCACACTTTATTACAGTCTGAAATCACTGGCTCAACAGCAGCTCAAAACATTCACCAGCACTGGGTATGCTAGAAAGACCCTTACCATGGCGTAGTCCGGTGCCGCCACCGCCGACACCGCCGACACCACCGCCCCCGTAGCCGCCATCACCACCGCGGCCACCGCCGCGCTTGTAGCTGCCGCCGCCACCGCCGCCATACCCCGGGGCAATCCCGCCGGGGGCGCCGCCACTGCCGGCGTCGTAACGGGGCTGGCGGTCCGCGGGGGGCCGGAAACGGGGCGGCGGGACGCGGTTGCGTCGTTCGGTGCGGCTGCGCACGCGCACAATCTTGGAGTGGATGGCCGCGCTGATGCTGTAGTAGACCTTGCGGTAAATCTTGGGCAGCGCGTACGCTGCAGCAAAAACACAGGGGAATTATCAGCTTTCTAGCTGATGTTAGCGCAATTCAGCAGCAAGGTGTGCTACAGCAAGGGGCCCAAGGACAGCCACTCAATACGTCTACACATTCATTGTTTGGATGTCACAGGAAGGTGCCGTGAGGTGTACGGACCCTGCAAAGAACCTCAAGGCAGTCAAAGCGGAATACTTCACCGCTGCCACATGCTGCCAGCCATCAGAAGCAGCTCATGTGTTCAGCAATCATCCGCTGAAGCCCTTGCCAAAATGCACTCCGGTGTTGGCACTACAGCAGATGTATTGCAATTGCTCACAGCGAGGCCGTTAGCTAAAAACCTTGCTTGAGCAACTGCCGGCCGCTTCCATGCTTTGTTGGTGCTTGACACTCATCACTGCATGTGTGCAGCCAGGGGCAGCAGATGCAGAGAAAGCAAGACTGTGGGAGCCTAATTCCTGCGAAAGTAATGTTTTCCTGTAAGAGGTCAGGATGCCTTCAGACTGCATCCCTGGCAGGAGCGGACTGGTATGCTAGCCTTTGTGTGACGAGCAACTCACACTCGATGGTGGAGGCGTCCTGAATGTCTCGGATGGCTGACGCGTCCACAATGTTGCGCACAATGAACCGCTTCACTGCCTTGTCCTTGGGGACCAGCACGCCTGCGATCACAAATTCATTTTCTGCTTTGCACTATGGGCGCTCTTTTGGAGAATATTCTGGGGGCAATGATCAAGGAACAACAATTGTAGTGACCCTTGCAGGGTTGGATATTACAGGGTGACAGAGTTATTCGCTGGCAACCGGCGGCCGCTCCAAAATTTATTATTTTATTATTAGATCGTTCATGACTCGCTTTCCCTGCCACAAGGCAAGGTATGTCCTGCAGACAAGCCCAGCACAAGAGCATCTTAGAAGGAGTGGCTGCTCTGTGGCCTAGCAATGCCAGAGAGCAGGTCCTGTAGGAGAGAGACTTATGTCAGCCAGCCACAGGTCAATTCCCCAGGAGAGCTGTTCTCAGCTTTGTTATCCCGACAAAGCCAAGACACAGATCCGCTGGAGCATTGACTTGCTCGGTGATCATGCCCTGCTCCATGGCCCAAAGGCTCCCATGATGCCAGGATACACCCAAGTTGGGTTTATTCAAGTGGCGCAAGTGCGCAGTCCTGAACTTCGAGAGCCCCTGCAAAGCCTACTGTAGGCTGCAAAGGCGCGCTGTACTGACAGAGCAATCTGTTGGAGACCCGTGATGCCAGCAGATATAATTAGAAGCAGACCCTCCACGCGAGCAGGTCGGGATCTGTCATCCCCTGAAGTGGACTGAGAAAAACGCTGTTCACAGTCTGCCCTGCCCCTTGCCTAAGAAAGAGGCGCGGGGCAGAAGATTGGCAGCCAGGTACAGCTGTGCATGCGTGCGCTGACACTCTGGAAGTGTGATACAGCAGCAGATCTAGATGACAGAAGGGGCAGCCCTTGCACAACCTCACCCGCTGAACAAGCTCCTAACAGTGAGAGACCTTGCCTTTCCCACTGAATATCACACCCATATGGAACCGGGTACAAACTAGTAATATCATATGGCTCACTACACAGGTGGACAATTCTGCACAGCGCGCCTGCAGAAATTCCGGCTGAAATTGCCAAAGAGCAGCGCATGAAGAGAAGATGCAGAAAGACTGTGATGTTCACCTGAGGCCTCGCAGCGCACTCGCTTGACATGACCACGGGCTCCAGGGGGTTTTGAGCGGCCACCGCTCCTGCGCTTCTTAGTCATTGCAGCCTGCACACCCAACAAGCCTGCTTGCTTCAGCTGCCTGCACTTTGTGAAGAAGTTCATCTCGCCAGGCATCGTGAAAGGCAAGCTTCGGAAGTGCACAAGTCATTGCTCATGCACCTGGGACTGGCAGAGCCGCAAAAGAGGCTGCTAGCTTCCAGCAACGCTGCTTAAAGGACGAGTTGTGCTGTGACGGAAAGAGTACGATCTGTTGTGATTCGAGATTGCCGCTGAGAGGCTTCCACCAAACGTGCAGGATTGTTTTAAGACTCACGCTGTGCCAGTCGTATGGTCCTGCTTGTCTGCAAGGTTGAAAAAAAGATACTTCCAGTGAAAAATTTTTGTGTCTGCGATCTGGGATCGATCGGGCCAGCAACCGCCAGAAGGCCTGCACTAGTTCCTCATCAACTTTCTGGGACTTATCAAGTCCGATACAAGACGAGCAGCACACCGAATTTTGCCGTTCGAGGTCTGGCAGAAGCTTACGTCCTCTGGCGTCGCTGCGTCAATGTGCCTGTTGGGTCACTGTCCAAGATCGCCCTCGATGCATCTACAGGTTGATCGACCTGTCAAGGAACGAAATTTGAACGATCTACGAGGAGCAAAATGGATCGAACAGCAGCTAGATGAGATGATGGGAAACAGCCAGCGTGTCCTGGTCACATGGTGCTGACCAGACAGGTCCGTCATCACCACGTTGGAAATTTGGCAAGTCGGTGGGTTTGGTGCCTTTTAAAACCTGTGCTAAAAAGTCTAATCTCACGACAACTGCCAGAGGAAAGCGCGGGACTATGAATTAGAAAGCAAAGCGCGCTGTTTTAACTGCCCGTAGAGGTGCATCAGGCATGTCACTCACGCGCGTGCATGCCGGCATGCTGAGCACTTTTAAGACCAGAGTTCAGAGCTACAGGAAATCTGACTTAGAGTGGATGCGTAAATATTCTTATTGATGAATGGGAGACCCAATCAGACATTAATGGCCACAATGCACACCCTCAGAATACTTGGGACTCTTCATTCTTGCAGCCTGCCTCCGCCGGTAATGCTGAGATGCTAGCCTGCATATTTGCAACTGTCAAACCTAGTATAGTCGCATCCTGAGAAGAGACCAAATGTAATTTTCTATTGTGCTAAAATAAACTGGGCTGTCAGACCACTTTATACTGGCTTGCATCCACTGAGCAGAACTGAAGGCTGCTACCCATGTTGGCAACCAATACCGTGCCGGGAGTGGCATAATCTGGAAACTCTTCTTCTTTTCAAACCTTGAGTCAATGAGTTGCTTATCGGGACGTTGGCTCAGTAACTGCAAGGGGATTAGCTCCCTATATTATATACACTATTCTACGCCCCTTGGTAGCTGAGGCGTTGAAAAAAACCGCCCATGGCCTGTTCTGGACATTCCCCTATCCTTGCAGTTATGGGACATGCAAGGACTGCTCGACATATGTAACATGAATTTTGCAGATCCAGCTTGTTATGCACGTGCCTTACATCGTTGCTTGCCCTTCAAACTGCCCTTGTATCACATTCATGCAAGAAAGCTGCAGGATAGGACTTTTTTGCTTGGTTGCACCTGAGTTGATCTCGTGCTACATCAAGCATCTAGAGCATGCCCCGCACTTGCACGGCCATTGCGGGTGGCACCAAATGCGATCACTCCAAAAATGACGCCCGTAAAACAAGCCCGCGCTGTTGCATAATTGGTTGACGGGGCTCGTGACATAACTCATCCGCTTCCCCGCAGCAGCCATGGCATTGGCAAGGTCTCGCACTGCACTCATGTAACCCTTGCCTAGAAGGCTAATGCTGCATTCACACAAGCGTGCAGCCAAACCCTCATAATTGTCACTTGCCACCTTCACCGAGACCACAGCATGAATGTGTAGCACATTCAGAAACTTCAGTGAGCTTGCCAGGTGTATGTTCACATTGTCTGCCGTTATGTATAGCTCCGTCAAACGCGTGAACTTGAGCCCGGCAAATACATAAGGCCCTGGAGGTTCATAATGGTCCCAGTAGAGCACTCTGCACTGTGACAACTCCATAAACGTGCATGCGTAAATGTGCCTATACCGCATTTTCACGCACTCGATCTTCTTGCTCTCAGCCAACCTGCTTAGGCATGCAGGTTTTACCCCGTATTCTTCAAGGCAAGAGAAACTCAAAACAGCAGACTCTGGCAACTTTATATCTGTGACACAAGCGCTGCTTATGCTGACATTCGCGAGATGGGGCAAACTGGACAGATCCATTTCGTAAGACACGGGGTATGCGTAGGCAGTGCGCCTAAGCTGTAGAGATATCAGGTACTTCAAACCCCTTATTGCTTCAAGCTTTGGCAGGCTGATGACTTGAGTGTCCAGCAGCAAATGCCGCAGGCTCTTCAAGGACGGCAAATCAAAGTCCCTGAAATAAAAGTCGCACTTGACACTCAACAGCTGAAGGCTCGTGCCACAGCTCAGCAGCAGCTTGAGCGCTTCTACCGGTGACAGCTCTGCAGCCTCTGTGCCCCGTTCTAAGACGCAGCTGCTTTCTTCCGCCCTAAAGCAAAGGTGGCTGCTGATAGCCTTGATGAATTTTCGTCCCCATGACTGCGCAGAAGGTTCTGCTATACAAGCTGTTGCAGGCCCCGGATGGCTGCTGATGGTCAAATGGGATAGACAAGGCAGTTCCGGCATTCTTGCATCAGAGGGTATAAAGAGGTGGAGTTCTGCTGAAGTGCACTCAATTGCAAGCCTGTTGGCCTGATCCCAGTGCTTGTGTAGCCATACAGGCGCTTGCAGACTTGACAGAGCCATGGCTATGGTGCTCGGCTGCAGAGCCTGCATAGCCCGGCAGGCTCTGCTCATACGGACCCATTCTTTTGTTGTGAAATGGTCCGCAATACGCTGCAGGATGTCAGCAGGCAGGTGCTCCCAGCTGACTGCCTCACAGTTGTCCATAGAAGGCCCTGCAGCAGAAATTGTGCCTTGGTGTGTGCTTGAAGACAAGTATGGGATAGTGCGAATTGCGGAAAATCAATTTTAAGCGTTAAGCAGGCAGTAAGCAAATCCCTATAACGCAGGCCGATCTTTCCAGATTAAAGCACCAACCTTACAGGTCCCTCTGACGCTCAAGGGTTCCAGTGGAGTTCAAAAGTGGAAAGTGTTCCTGCAGCAGGAATCCTGCTATGTCAGAGGTCATATGTTCAGAAAAACTTTAGAATTGGTTTGCTCACAGCCACAGGCAGTCGTGCACCACGACTTCTCTGAAAGTGTAATCGGCAACTTGGACCCGAACGACCCAGTGCCTTTTGCGTCCTCGTGCATCGAAGGACTTTCTGAGCAAAAAGGAAGTGCCCAAGCAACGAAGCTGCGCCTGCCTACTGCTAAGGTTGCCAGTCGTCACCTCAGAGTATGTTCTTCTCCGTCCTCCAGACGATAACCAAGATTTTGAATGAACTTCGTGTGCCAATCCCACAGTTTCTTATATTTTCTCACCAGAACACGCTGCAGTTCACCGAAATAGTCAAGTACTCTGAGGGCCTTACGCGCAAGTGAGACTTCCAGAGAACAAGGATGTGGTCCAAGGGGGTTGCACGGTGCTTGCATATAAACGAAGGATGCACTTTGTTAAGTAATGATCTCAGCACCTGCAGGGTTTTTACTAATGCCTTTGTCATGACATATGTATATTTGAAAGCTCTTAAGACCTTCTAGAGGGAAGTCATGCAAGTTTTCATCAAGCCATTGGCTGCTCAGGTGTCCCAAATTGCCACCGTGGACAATTTTTAAGGTCTGTGTGCAGACGGCGCACTGCGGAATCCTTAAAATTTGCACTGAGCCTTCGTTTGTGACACAAATGGATTCATCCGGAACAAAACAGACATGAACGGGTGTCTAGGTAAACAAACATTTTTTCTGGCACAAAGTCACGCACAGAACACCATCCCTGCATCAATCAAACAGGCCCACCACTAGGAAAAATACTCATTCCAGACTATGCCGCATATGCCCAGGCTCAAGCTCATCCCCTCAGCGCACTCAGCCGCTCCAGAACAGCCTGTGCATTCGCCTTGCGCCGCAGCTGAGGCAGTCTCTCGACTTGCAGAGCTGCACCGTCCGCTGCAGAGCCAAGCGCATCCAAAGGAGGCAGGGAGTCGAGGCCAGCAAGGTCCTGCGCCCACCTGTGCACATATCAAACAAAAAATTTCAGCTTCAGATCTGAGCAGCTCGCAGTGGAATGTATTATGCAACGTGCTGAGCGCTGCCTGCCCTCTAAGCATATGCAGAAAGAGGCATGAACTTCTTTATTCCTGCACCATGCAAAGCCTGGACAAGAAATAGAAAGAGAGCAGGAAACACACTGTGTGAAGACCTGTACGAACGCAACATGCCAATGCCATACTGTTGCACACTGAGACCCGACAACAACTGTAGACTAGAAAACTCAAAGAACAAAGCGCTGCGAAGCTATCCGCTGCCCTGCAAAATTTTCCAAATATCTCATAGGATCTCTCACCTGTAGGGGCGGTCTGAGCGGGTGGTTTCCCAGGAGAGCTGCCCATCAGCGGCCAGGTGGGCAGCTTCTGTGGGCACCGTCAGGCCGTCATCGCCATCAAACAGGCACGCCAGCCGTGCTGAGTCAGCTGAGTCGGCGCAGTCGGCAGTGACTAACTTCAGCCGTGGCACGTACCGCAGCCGGAGTGTCACCGGGCGGCTGCTTCCGGCAGATTCCGCGCCTACCTTGGCCGTCACTATCAGTGGGTGCGCCTGCAGGGCAGATCATGGAAAGAAATGAATCACAATGAAATTCAGCACTGCAGTCAAACAGTGCATCGTATTTAACCGAAAGTAAAGAGCCTCCCGGAAGTGCACACAGGGCCCTCATTGCCAAGAGATTGCTACACTTTACATGCTGTATGACTCATCCACAAGTGTTGAGTTGCGCAATTAGAAAGAGAAAATGAGGCGCCATTGTAAGAGCGCCTTTGCGTGGGGACCTGCTTCTACAAAAAAGAAACCCTCCTCAACGTCAGAAATTGATCTCATAAAGTTCAGCTTTAGAGTACCGTTTCTTAGCCACAAGATTCAATGGAAGGGAATGCGCACCTGATCGCGCGCCGTTCCTGCCGAGCGCGGCCGCTTGGCCGGCCGGTGCTCGCCAGGCTCCAGCTCAGCGTCCAGCTCAGCGTCCTCGCCTTCCTCGTCAACCTCCATCCCCTCTGCCTCTGCTGCTGAGCCGTCCCCCGAGGCACCCGCCAGCGCCTCAGCCTCCGCCAGTGATCCTGCGCACCACAAAGAAACCCTTTCAACTGTTGCCGAATAGGTTCGGAGCATGATCTCTCCTGCGCTTCTGTGGGAGGCTATGATGGGAAATATCCCGTCAAATGAGCAAGTTGTTGTTTCCGTGACCATAGTTGACAGTAGAACTTAGGACAGTCCTGACTGACATGCGTTGACTGCTTGTTGTTGACTGCAGTGCCTGATATTTCATTTACCAAATAAGATAGTCTTTCAATGAGGCTCTTGATGCATTGAGCAACAGTATATAAGCAAGCAGAAAATGAATACTGTTGTTGCTTGCATGCAGTCAGCGTCACTGACTCAGGAGTATTGTGAGATAAAGTGGGGCTATGATGGCAGCTGTGTATCTTGAGAATTGTGCTCGTCCGCATTGCGTGCCCCTGAAATGCTGTAGCAGCTTCACTTGCTTTGGATAGGCACTACAGCACATCAAGCGAGTACATCACGTGGGCCAGCACAGGTACCTTCTAGAGGATGCCTGCGGTCAGGGTGCAGAGCTGGTACTACAAGAAGATGCACATGCACAGATGCACCCCAAGCTGTCAAAGCTACTGGGCATTGAGCTACTGCCACATTATGGTTTGTATGGTGATGTACAAGAAGTTCTTGCTGTAATGCTTGATGCACCGCAGAAAAATATGCAACAACAGAGGTGCGCTCACCAGTGATGGAAACGTCAGCAGGCAGGTCAAACGCCTCCTGCGTGGCCGCCAGCTGCACATAGGCAACGTACAGCGGCAGCGGGAGCAGTTCTGCACAGCGTGCCTGCCCCGGCGGTCGCCGCATGAGCGGAATGCCGAGCTTGGCTCGCACCGGTTCTGCTGTGCTACGGATCGCCACGAATTGCTCCTGCACAAGACCAACACATGCATGTCATCAGGGCCAGTGCCGATGTTGGAACAATGAGCTCGCTGTGTGTCTATCATGCCTCTCCCCACCATGCTAAGCATCAGTTGTATGAACTTTTCAGCTGTGCAGGGGTGTCGTAGGCATGCAGATGAAGCACGGCCATCAGAAACCTGCAACCCCCTGAACCTCTGGAAAGACAACCTCTAATTAGACAACCACAAAGACTTCATCTTTCAGAAAAGGAGTGGCATGCATGAACGGGTGGGTACGCTAATTCAGCTTGTTCACAACCACCCGGTCTGGGGGATGTCTTTATCATCTTCTGTCATGGTCTACTCTGATGATTTGTGATTTTGTATTTGCATAGATCACCATCGCATGCTGCATGCGTCTGAAATCAGGCCTTCCTCCGGAGTACCCTGATATGTAGTAGGAAGACATTCCAAAGACACACCTCCAGTGCTGTCAGGAACGCGCGCTTGGCGGCCACCGACGCGGCCAGCGCATCTCGGCGAGTCCTCAGCGCTTCAACCTTTTTGAGCGCCTCTCCGCGCTCGTGCTTCTCGTGGTCCAGCCGCTGCAGCATGCGCACGTGGGGGTCGTCGATCTTCACCTTGAACTGCTCCGTAGCTGATGTGAGGAACTCCTCCTCGTGCATGAGGCCGATGTCCTCGTCTGTGTACTTCGACCTGCCGCATTTTCAGCTTCAAAAAATTTGTAATGCACAGGATAAATGCATGTGCGCTTTCACTCATTCGGCTGAGTGCTGCAGAGAGGCACTCCAGAATGCATATTTTGAAGCAGGTTATCGAGCAATTTATGCCAGCTGGAGTGCTAATGACTACTATCACCACAGTACGATAGAGCCTCAGTGATGTTTGGTAGCCAGCTACACTCTTGGGATACTGTACACAATCTCACATTCAGCATGAAAGCAGCCCTGAGCACTGCAGCTTCTTCCATGCATGACAATGCAATGAGTGTACACCATAAGTGAAAGCAGTCTGATCCAGATTTCAGGCGCACCTGAAGGACTGGCATGCCCGGATCTCCTTCAGGTAGTGGCCCTTCTCATACAGCAGATTTTGCAGTGACAGCTCGGCGGCATCAAACTGTGCCTTGGCCTCTGCTGTGGACTCCCGCACCTGTGTGCAACAAGCAGACAACTTCATATTGCCGGCAGTCCATTAGTAAAGCATGTTCCTGCAGCTTGTACCCAGTACCAGCTAGTGAGCATATGGGCAACATTATTATCCTGGAAATGGAGGAGGGCAAAGCAGCAATGGGCCAGAACCGCACCCGCTCAGTCTCTTCGCACAGAGTTCGATTTGCAGCTTTGATCTGCGTGAGGGAGACCAGCCCCTTCATTAAGACGACATGCGTCTCTTCGTCGCTGGCTCCACGCTTCTTGCAGGCCAGCAGCTCTGCTGCTACCTGCTTCAGGATTCTGCACTGCTCCACCTGGCCTGCATCGGCGCCCAGATCGCACATTAAGCACGCAAGAGGCTTAGATACAACAAAGGTGAACCAAGGCAGGACAGCGCTGAATGACAGGATGAGTAGAAGATTACCATCCATCGGATTGCCCTGGAGTCGCAATTGCTTCCAAAGGAATTGACGATGAGGAGTTCAGTCTTCTACGATCGATTCGATGACTATTTCGAATCTGAAATCACGTCTGAAACTTGTGACGAGCCCCTCGAATGCTAGCACTTGTTGTGCAGAGCAAGGCTGCTTCAAATGTCACGATCCAAAAGCTATGCTCGAAGACCACGACTCGAACTCTCAAAATCTCCAGACTTTCCAACGAGCTTCTTTTGAAAAGATAGAGCAGAAGAATGTCTAGCTGGAGAAGAAGCAAACTCTGCCATGCAAGGGCCAAATCCCTCTCAGAAAGGGATATGATGACCAGAGAGCAGAGATCATGGGATTCCTTGGACGATCTTGCGCTGTGTCCGATAAACGGTGCTGCACGTTTCCTCGAGCATCTGGGCGACACAAGAAGTGGCATAAAGTAGTTTTGACGGCGCGATGGTGAACATTTTACCCTTCCTCGGGCCACCAAGGCAGCCGGCGCCACGGCGCACGGCCAATGGGAAGCCGGAGGAGGAGAAGCCGGGCTTCTTGCAGCGCATCGCGACCCAGAGGGGGGGAGAACAGGGGCCTCGCAGGGCAGCAGGCAGAGGCATCATCGTGCCTGGGCAGCAGCTGCCCCACATCACGCTGAACACCGTCCAGGTGTGCGGGTACCTTGTCAGGACTGCTGCCTGAAGAGCAGGAGCTGGGCAGGGCCAGCTCAATGTGTTTACGTCAACTATACATGCTTGTTTGAATGAAAAACAAGATTATGCAGTACGAACAGGACGACATTATGCAGTACGAACAGGACGACTCAAAGTTCCACCAAGGTGTCGTGCAGCATGCCGATCGGCAGGATCATATTCGGACATCTGTAACTATGCTCTTCGAGGATGCGCCCAACTGGGCTTTGTGTAAATTGGAAATGGTTTCGGCTCCTACAGACTTCAGTGGCGCATCATGTTGTCTTTCTGGGCAGGGTGGGAAGCTGGAGATCGGTGCGCCGACTGGCAAGTGGCAGATGATAGTGGTGTACCGCGGCAAGCACTGCCCTGTCAGCAAGAACTATCTGGCCAGCCTGCAGCAGATCATCTACGAGCTGGATGAGCTGGGCGTGGAGGTGGTCGCTGTGTCGGGCGACGGCCGTGAGCGCGCCGAAGCCTTCGTGAGTCGCCCATCCGCCTCATTTTCGCACAGCCTCTTCACAGCACTGTGTCCAGTGAAGTGAACACAAAGGATCTTAGTACTGAAGTTCCTCTCAATCGAACATCTCACCTGGTATTCTTCAGTGATGGGTGTCCTGGGACACTGTTGGTAACGTAAGGCGTGACCTTGTCCCTGCCAGTGGTTGCTGAGTTCCTGTGTATAAACAAGTGAAAATTTGCCGATCACAAGTGCAGGAAACCTGGATCGGCAGAAAAAGAAAACCAGCTGTCCTCTCATGCAAACATGTAGCATCAAAGCAGATGACAAGCAAATCACTTGGCTCTGTTGTGCTGCGCAGCTGGAGGCCCTGAAGGCCACCACAGAGACCAAGGAAGTCACCTTCAAGATCGCCTACGGCCTGCCCCTGGACGAGATGCTGGCGTGAGTCCCACCCTTACAACTTTGCTGTTCAACAGTACTGTGAGCAGCTCAAATAAGGTAGCTGCGCTTGTCGGCGGTTCTGGAGTCTTCCTGCAGACCTTTTAAGGCATTAGGCTTCCTGGCATGCGGGAAATTATGGCATGCATGCACAGCACATGCCTGCAAGTGCTGAGTCAAGGCATGCGGGAAGTTATGGCATGCATGCACAGCACATGCCTGCAAGTGCTGAGTCACTAGATTTGAGACCTGTAGGCTGGCCTAGGAGGCCATGCCCTGCTCTTGAGACGTGGGTGGGGCTTGCGTAGTCGTTGTACAACGCTCTCTGCGTAGCACGGCCAGTGCTCAGGAGCAGTGAATGCAAGAGTACCCTAGGCCCCCAGTTCTGGTGCTTGCTTCTACGCTGTAGAGATAGACGGGATGGAATGTGAAAGAGGCAGAGCGCGCTAGCGAGCCTTGGCATTTCAGTGCAAAAAACCTTACCTCTCGAGGTACACATTTAGGAGCAGACACGGCAGCACATGCCCGCTGGTGTGGCGTTTGTGTATCGGAGCTTCTCTGCCTCTACAAGCATGCTTAATACTCTCAGCACCTGGTCTGGCTCTGAATGTGTCATCACCTTTCCCTGTTTCCAAGGCTGCATGCTGCTGACAGCCTGTGCCGACACATCAACTCAGATGGTGCTACAACGGTATATTGCAGCACTCGGCAAGCTGTGCTGCTGACGGCAGGTGCCGGTATGCTCGCCAGCAGGGCCTTTCTGTGTCGCTGAGATATGTTTATGCCAGGGCACATGTTCCCTCATGCATGCATGTTACGGCCTGGACCTTAGCCTCTTTTGTCCGGCATGCGAGCTGACGGCATACTGCCGGCACATGCGCGCAGGTGGGGCCTGTTTGTCAGCGAGCCGCGCAACCCGCGGGAGACGGACCAGCCCTTCCCCGAGCCGGCGCTGTTTCTGCTCAACCCTGACGGCGAAGTCATCATCATCGATTACTCCAACTCCCCCTTCGCGCGGCCAGACCTGCGCATCCTCGTCGAGGGTAAGTCCCCTGGATTATTATCCATTGCTATAATTTTTACTCTTGTTACCACATTGTTTTCGTGCTGGATGCCAGGCGCGTATGCAGACAAGCTGCAACTTGCATAGCTGCTAGAACCCAATTTTTGTTGGACTCGCGAGATCCGAAAACCCCAATGAACTATAGGCACGGTGGTCAGTAATTGTACCGGCCCCGCCAGTGTACAAACCATTACAGCTGCACTCCTTTCCAGCTTTCCTTGGGGGTTTTACGACGTGCCCCTCAGACAGTTTTCAGTAGCTTGGGGCCCTGCAAAACAAATGGTGCGTTCCAGCAGCACTCCAATAGACCTGTTGCATCCCCTGTCTATATTGTTTTGAATCCTGCTTGCAGGCCCTTCCTTGCTGGGAAGGCAAAATACTGTCAAGTTGTAACCCTTGAGACCCATAGGGCCTACAAGTTGTGCGAGTAATGCCTTCCTAGGCAGGCAGATTAAGCCCTAATGGCTTGCGGATACTCTTGTGCGCTGGTCAACCATGCCTCTGAGTTGTGACAGCACATACAAGGGCCGACACATGGTCCCCCCATATGCATGCAGCATGCAAAAGGACCTCCTGATGTGTTTGGATCGACAATGTGTTAATCCATGCACACCGGCAGGGCTTCTTGCGTGTGGCATCATACTGGATGCATCTTCCAACAAAGGGATGCTTGTCAGTTGATCCTCAGCAGGAGCTCAAAATGTCAATGTGTTCCATCAGGTCTGAACTCTACATTCCTGAAGGGAGGGATTTGTGCTGCAGGCATCCGCTACATCCAGGAGAATGACTACCCAGTCCGCGGCACGTATGGCTACTACTGAGCGGCACACCTTCAAATTATATCTGGTCCTGAAACCAGATGGGTGCTACATGCGCCTCAAAGCAGCCAAAGCAGCAGGCCTTACACCAGCGCCAGAGCATGCTGCTGAGAAGGGCTGAAACAGCGTACATGATCTGAGTGCCAGCAGCGCTGGGATATGAACCTCAAGAGCAGCTATGGAACATGGGCGGAAGCTGCATGCACCTGCGTAGCTGTGTGCTTGTGAAAATTATCGTTAGGAACCGTGCAAGTTTGTGTCATTACTTGAAGAATGAGCAATGGTACGCTGTGCCAGCAGCAGAGGGGGTGCAGAGCCCTTCACCAGTCTCTGTGACGCAGCGTTGCAAGTTGCAAGTCTCATCATTGGCTGCAAGCCTCCCAGGTTATTTCCATTCCTGCTGCAGATGCAGGGGTGAGGGCATCCTATTTTGTTGACCACCCCTTAGCCCTGATGTTGCCAGGGGGTGCGTTGATACAGTCGGGCCAGTATAGGTCGGCGCTAAGTCAGGCATGTTTTTGAATATTTTCGAATGCGCAAGCGCGGCAATTCAAAATTGTTGATATGGCAGCGAGGGCGCTGCTGAGCTTAGCAGTTGCTGCTGCGTCTGCCTTCTTGGACAAGGCAACTCCGCTGCAGACGCGCAGAATTTTGAGATGTGTGCTGTCGGATCAGCTCCCTTGTCAGCGGGGGTGGATATACATATACTGGCAGCACATGTTCTGCTCGGGGTCTGAGAACAGGAAGACCCCACCAGTACAGACATTCCTGTTGCTGCTTCCGAACTGTATATAGTGGAAGAAGTGCACAGGGAAATACTGCGGCTGCAGTGGCAATGCACTGCATGCATGATGGCCAGTAAAGTGCTAGCGCAGAGGTCAAGTCACACCCAGAAGGATGGTACATGTTTTTGTGAAGAGGCAGGAAACCTGCAAGAATGGTTGCTAGCGATCCTGAGATGGGTACTTAAAAGCAATGCTGGAAATCAGCTCGAGAAAGCTTTATTGCACCTGCTGTAAATGCTGTGGTGGTTGCCTTGCTTGCTTGCTCTTCTAGCTCGAACAAAAGGCAAATAAATTGTATTACTTTGCGCACATGCAAAAAGTTCCCCTATGAAGTCACACGCCGAGCATTCCATCAGCTGCAGCGAGCTTCGAGGTCTTTTCAATTATCCACTTTTTACCAGACACCAATGTTTACAAAAAAAGCCTGCCCCCCAATGCTCCCACAGTGACCCAGGCCAAATGTGGCGCTATATGTCAGTGCGGCACTGCCTTAAATTCAGAATCAAATCTTCGTGATTCCTCACAATACTCATAGGTTCTCTGTGCACAGTGCTGAGGAACCTTCTGGTAGTTGTCACTCTATATTTGAGATCTGGCTCCAGGGGCCTTTGTGCCAGTGCACAGACTGACATCAAAGCAGAGATTAAATTTGAACCTGCTTTGTCACTCTATGTTCTAAGTGCTCTGCGCGGTGCTGAGAAGCTTTCGATAGTCACTCTTGGTGAACACTCTCATCTTGCTGCCGCCCTGTTTCACTGTCGCCCCTTCCGGCAGAACCACCATGTCATAGCCGCCAGGGTCAATCCACTCGGGCGCCTGCGCCCTCGCCTCTGCTATCTTCCTGGCGTTCTCCTTCCGCAGATCCTGAATACCATGCAGTGCATCTGCTTTTAGCCGCCACTGGCGATTGAAAATTCCACTGCTGCAAGACAAGGGACTTGGCACTGCCTTAAGAGCATAGTTGCACCATACGAATTCGGCCATTCGGCATACGGTGGATATTTGGTCGTATATTCGGTATTTTGGGCCAAAATAGGCCGTTTTACCGTATTCCGTATATTTAAATACCGTATGACCGTATATTCGGCCGGATATACGGTCCTAAAAAAGTGTTCTGACCGAATGGTGCAACTATGCTTAAGAGCGACTTGAGCAAAAAGCTGATATAGCACTCATTCAAAAATGGCTTCCTGTCTCGCTGCCCTGGCGCTCGCTTTACCTCAGCGTGAGCATTTCTTGTTGGATATCCAACAAGATTGACAGGATGCATGTCCTCATTCTAGCGTGCTGGCAGGCAGTCAAATGCCTGACAGCCACGTAGAAGATGGCACCACAGCTGCCGCCACGCAAAGCAGCCCCGATAGATCCACCAACTGCACAGGAGCGAGCTCCAGGGGCGCACCGGGAATTTTCTGGGACACTGCAAGGGTGCTCAAAGCATGCACCCACCTGCAGCTCTGCTGTGGTGATGCGGTGCGGGCAGCAGAGGACATACATGTACAAAAGAAGGAATTTTTCGACAGCACATCTTCTGTGCTTTGCGCATACCTGCAGCTCTGCTGTGGTGATGCGGTGCGGGCAGCACAGGACATATATGTACAAAAGAACAAAATTTCCGACAGCGGGACACGTTCTGTGCTTTGCGCATACCCGCAGCTCTGCTGTAGTGATGCGGTGCGGGCAGCACAGGACATATGTGTACAAACGAAGGACATTTTCGACAGCGGGACATATTTTGTGCTTTGTGCACACCTGCAGTACTTCTGTGGTGAGGCGATGCGGGTAGCACCCCGGCCCTGTGCCGAATTGAACTCCGGCTGACTCTAGGACGCCTGATGGCGCAAGCCAGGGCTGGTGCAGCCACTTGCGAGGCAGCCTCTCCAATTCGTGCACCCACCTTGCTATGTACGCACCGTCCGGATCCTGAATATCAGCAAGGGGGACAATTCTTTTGCTCAGAGCATTGCGCATTGCCCATACTGAAGTGATGGCATCACCCGGCAGGATTTGATGCGCGTACATCTAATGCTGCACCAGAAAAAACGGGGAAGCAATTTGATCTGCATGCACCGCAATAATGAGTGCAGTAAGTTCATTTTCCACGCAAATTACTGTGCTTGGCATCAGTGCCTCTAATTGCGCGCAACATTGATCAAAGGGCAGATTTGCATCCTTCTTGATGGAGGATGTAAATCCAATTCAGACCAGGACAAGTGCAGCACCACCAAGGTACTTACAGCTGTGTGTGCAATGCAATACAAGAGTAAACGGAGCATGTGGCGGCACCTGAGATGAGCTGGTGGGCAGCAGGGTAAAGTTCCACTGGTCCAGTCCGCTCTTGCCAGCGTTCTGCCACATCATCGAGTTTATCGCCAGGTCACCGTCCACCAGCGTGTCATGGAACCACCTGCGGATTTGACAGAGGGCGGTGATTGAGGATGCTCTCCCTGATGGTAAAGTCACATCTAAATGGCCGCGCAGGACCATGAATATCCGATGGCGTGCCGCCCTCAACAATTGCTTGCTGCTCCCTTTGCTTCAGCCTGTCCTGACATCAGTGCTTAGTGGAACCTGGCTTCTGAGCAGGCACAGTGTTTCGCCCATCTGCCAACTCTCGAAGATAGCGCGCCACAAGCTGAAGTATATTACCTCGTGATGCAAGTTGTTGACAGACAAGTTTCTGAGGATGCAGTGCATCCTTCAATTTGCCAGCATGCTTTGAGCAATGGAGTGAATAGATAACAAACTGAATAAAACACAACAGCAGATTACAATGCGAATGCAGCAGGTTCTTAATGTTTCCATACGATGCTGTAAACACCTGCAGCCGTGCAGCCAGTGGATGTTGAGGTACTCGGTCAGGAACGCTGCGCAGACCATGCGCACACTCTGCTGCATCCAACCCGTACGCCACAGCTGCCGCATGCCTGCAGCACATTCATTTGCAGAAACGGTCATCATCAGTCATAGTGGTCATTTCACGTCTCACCAATCTCACATGCATGACGCCTGAAAACATTACACCTCATTTCGACTTTCAACATAAGACTTGAGTTGGCTTGAAGTTGACTTTCAAAGAACTTGCCTGCGTCCACCAGGGGAAATCCTGTTTTACCCCTCTGCCACGCCCGTAACGCCGCCGGATTCTCGTTCCACTCCTGGCATACAAGGTGAATTGTGAGGACTCCAAATTGAATTTTGTTGTTTTTCAGATACTGGAGCGATGCTTTCATGCTGGTTCCTTCCCGCCCTGACACGTGCCAGGAGGAACAAGTGCTCATTATATTTTTTACATCTTTATAAAGGAGTCTTGGATCATGACAGCAAAGCTAATTTGATGGCCACAGCAAGATCTCTGCAAAATGAAGGGGAATTTTGACGGGAACAGGCACAGAGAGATGAAAACAATAGTTGAATGCACCTGGCCGGTGTAGTGGGTGCGCATGGGGCGCACAGCCATCTGCGGCCAGTGGTGCAGTTGCCAGTACGCCAGGTCGCGCCAGATCAGGCGCCGGCTGAACGTCTTACTAAGCTCCCTGCCGCCTGTGTGCCAGCACATGCGAGTATAAGGACCAGGCATGCCCTATGCATCTTTGCAGTAGAATCACTGATTACTCGGCAAATCTGAATGCACTGTGTCTAACCCGATCAAGGACACAGCAACTGGCAGAATAAAGGTTCCCAGTGATTGATGTGTAGATATGCGGAACAGTTGTGTGGGCCATCAAGTCAGCATCACTCATGTCGATCATGGCACAAAAGTTATGAGCCTTCCAGGGGCACAATTCACATGTTCTCTGCATTGACAGGCTCCTGCCAATCTGGCACCAATACCCTGCAGCTTGGGAAATCGAGACTTCTGTAGAGCTTGAAGTTGCGACATTGTTGCAGGGGAGCAGCAGATGAGTTGTGCACACCTCGTGCAACGGTCTCATGAAGGAGCAGCCGGGCTGACAGCTGTCCGTGGTGCACGTACGCAGACAACAGAGACACCGCTCGCGCGTCCGCAAAATGCCTGGCTGCTTCATACGTCGCCAGGCCTGCAGAGTTATTATTATTATTATTACACGCCTATCCAAGCCAGATTACGCTTAGGTGCGTCGCAGCAGCGTTTCTGTGACAGCCTTCCAACTCGGCCTATCTTGGCACCTTCTCCACCATGTCAGAGCCAGTCCAAGATCGTCTAAGTCTTTCCTGACGTAATCATTCCAAGACTTGATTGGCCTGCCTCTCTTGCCAGCACCTTCCAAGGTACTAAACAGCAACATCCTAGGCAATCTGTCATTTTCCATCCTGGCCATACTGCAGAGTAGCACCCAAAAGCATAGCTAACTACATACTCTGATCCACATATAATCAAGATGCTGCATGTCGCTGTGCTCCCCGCTCAGCCTGACTAGCAACATGCTCACAAGATGAATGTGCGCTGTACGGAGGCAACAGACTGCGGTCTTGTGGTAGGACGCCACCACAGATAGTCAACACGGATGCAAGAAATGCACATGCATTGGGCATTGGGAGCTTCCACACTCCTGGTATCACGACAGGGTGCGGTAAAGCATCATAGTGTCTAGGCTCGTTACCCAGGGCAAGGTCGGTGGTCTTCAGGTGCAGATGGGCTGACACCAGGAGCAAGCATTGCACCATCATACAAATAATTCTTACTTAAGGAGGAAGAAGGGAATGACGACGGGGCAAGCGATCTCAACAGGATGTTTGGTCATCTGTGGCAGGGGACGCACCTTCGGACATGAACTTGTCCATGCATGCGAGCGCTGCTCCTTCGCTGATGTCCCACGCGTCTCTCAACTGCTGGCCCCAGTCCACGAGACTGCCATCCGCACGCACCGGCAGCCGCACCTGCCATTCATTCAACTCCCCTTATAATACAACTTGAATCTCAAATTGTATCCACCCTTTGCGGGAGTCTGTGCATGAGGTATCATGTAAGCGTATGTTGTCTTTGTATACCTCCAGGTACTGCCAACGGATCCTGAGGATATGTGTACGGCTGCATGACACATGCTGCCTTCCAGAATGACACCTTGCGGTGTCACCAGTAGACGAACAACTGCAGCTCTTGACAAAGAGGTTGCTTACAATGCTGGCAACCAATTTGACAAGAGCTCCAGCAATGGCTGCTGGTCGGACGCCCGTACTTCCTAACAAGACACCTGTCCTCGAAAAAGCCTTCAACAGCCACTTTAAATCTTGCATGTGATCTATAAGCGATGTATGGGTTGGGATATCAGTACTGGCGGGGCGCACCATGCCGAGGGCGGCTGCACTTGGTAAACTGCCGGGCACGGCTGGCGCGCGGTCAGCGACTGGCAGGCTGCCCGGAGTGGGCAGCGGCTTGGGCAGCGCGGGCAGCCGATCACATGCCCTGCATGCGTGGCTTGCCATTTCAGGCACATTATTGGAAGGATGCCGCAGGAATATATTTGAAGACTACTGTAATCTCAGAGATGCACTTGGATCGGTTCTGCAACGATAAGCATAGCAATCTGTGCATACATTGCATGACAGATCAAGGAGGCAAATGAACTGCTTCCTCCTGATCAAAGGCTGTGCAGGGACCTCATGTCTGATCAGGAAATTTTACAGAAAAACTGCAAGTGCTGGAGAGTAATAAAATTTCTAGCAAAATGGACCTGTCTAGCGCGCACCTCATGAAGGGGGACAGCGTGCCAAAGTGGCCCACCCAGCGGCCGGTCATGTCTACCTTGACCTCCTGCGGCTCGCGCATGAGCAGCCCAGCATAGCTCCTCACCTCCATCCCCTGCTGCTGCAGCCCCTCGGCCACCCTCTTGTCTGTCGCTGTCATTGCCGGCTCATACCTGCAGCATGCCAGTGTTCGCTCAGACCACAGTGTGTTTATTAATAGTGCCTTTGCTGCTATTTCTGGTGGTGTGGCAGTTCCTTGTACTTCCTGTGGGAAAGTCAATGAGGACAACAGTGTCTGTAGACCTGCCTTTCCTTGGCAACCAGAAGGAGTCATCTATTCATGAGACAACAACAACACAGCCCGACAATAAATTGCGATGCGACAACTATATTTGATTCACATGCAAGCTGCAGCTCACAGCTAACTCACTCCTTGAACACAGCTTTAGCTGTGCCAACTCCGCAACCTCAAAGCTTACAAAGTGCACCGGCCAGCATGACAGTAAAGCCCTGCTGGCAGCAGAGATGCTCACATAAGCGATGCATGAATATGCATCACCTGCGGTTGTAATACACAGCCCCAGCACCTACGGAAGCTGCAACAGCGGAGAGCTCCGGCAGGTACGCCCCCCGCCGGAAGACTATACGGGCCCCCGGCCCGTAGCGCGCCGCCAGGTCAGCATCCAATGACATCAGCGCAGCCTCTATCCACACCAGACATGCACCGCCCGGCCGCCATGACGTGCCTACACCAAACGCAACAGCAGTGATTCAGTGGTTATTAAAGACAGCCCGGACTTCCATCTTTAAGGGTGCATTGCATTCCTGACGAGATGGGTCTTCAAAACAACAGCAGGCATCCACCTAGCCTCCTTGAATTTACAAGCCGGTTCTCAACAGGCACTATATTGAAAAGGTGCATCAGACGCCTACTCCAGACACGCATGCAAAGGGAGTTGGCGCAAGTGAATTTTGTCAAGGGGTTTGATATGCAGGAAGTTTCAGTGTAGCATAGTCAAACTGCTCTAATGAAAGAAGGACAAGCAGATTATGCACGCCCACCTGTCTCCAAATCATCCCCGTCCTCTTCCAGAGAGCAGACATACACAAAAGTCAACTTGCCCCCGGCCCTTTTTGCGGCTGCCGCTGCAGCGCAGAGTGCAGGATTGTCGTGTAACCGGAAGTCCTGCCGAAGCCAATACAGGATGCCGGTGCCGGCAGATGCCGCTGCACCGCCGCGCCCCTCAACTTTCTTTTCCCTGCAAGCACATAAAACGTGCACATGTTGTTCTTCCTGTATGACAAACCGAAGAAACACCAGAAACACCACACGAGACAGGTGCTGTGGCCGAACACTGTACTTTGGCCTACGCGCACATCAACTTGTTTTGCATGCCACAATATATGGTATTTTGTAATATGAGCTTCTGGACAGAAGACAGCCAGTGGAGCTGCAAGCATCAAAACACATTGATTTGTATCAAACACCTTCTGGAGCGCTTGGCGGGCCGTGACTCCCCATCAGTGACGCCTGGAGGCAGCTCCAACCCTTCTGCGCCGCTTGTGCTGGGCACTCCAGATTGGCGCTGTTCTGAGGCAGATGTGGGTTGCACACTGTCAGCCTGCCCCACCAGAAAAATTAAATTTTAATCCCAAGTAGGTCTCAGCGACGACGCCTGCTAGATGGCCTTATTGCAGAGGTTGGAGAGTGTTTGAGTAATACAATCTGCTAGTCAGGCATAGATAATATGGCATAAAATACTCAGTGCTGTCCTGAACACAACACTTGCTTGCACTGTTCTCCAGCTGATGTATTCCTGGCGTTTCCGGATTTCTCACGAACGGCAACATCCTTTATGCAGTGTCATGGGTTTCGTGGCAGCACAGAGAGGGCGCACCGGCTGATCTGCCACAGCTGAAACTGAAAGGTTCAATGGCCGCCACCCATCTGACACGCCCTCATCTGCCCCTCCACGCCCTGAATCTACCCCGAGCTCGCCCCTGCTGCCGAGCGCCTCATCAGGCGCAATCCACCCCGCTCTGCTGGCAGCGCTGAGTAACTGCGCCCTCTGCTGAGGGGAGGGCAGCAGCTCTGCCAGCTCCAGGAAGAGGCTGGAAGCCTGTGACTGGAAGGCCAGCGCGAACTGCTGCTGCAGGGCCTCTGCTGAGACCTCCCCCTGCCTGCACAGCGCACATTGCCAACATGATTTGAATGCAAGCCTCAGCCGTGTAATTCACTCACCGCGCTTTGAACCACCCTCCATGCCTAGAACTGCATTGATCAGTGTTTTGGCACAAGAGCAACCTTGACCAATTAATTCCCAGCATGGCGCAAGTGAGTGGGCATGTTGGATGCGTTCGAGATTGGCTCCCACCTGAAGAGTAGTGTCTCGTGCTTTAGCCGTTTGTAGGCAGCCTTGTTGGTCGCCAGGGCTTCACGCATGCGGCTCGCAAGCTGCCTGTTGCGATCTGCTGGGCTGGGGCCTGCTGCATTGGCGCTGGCTGCTGCTACCAGGACCTGAGCATGTATACAGGTTGCGACCAATATTTCATTCATGTATGATGAAGAATGCCCGGTATTAGCACACACCAGAAGGTGATTGGGACACAGGGATTGTCCATGCGCACCTTGGACGACGTCCCTCTGCGCGCATAACTCGCTCTGGTTGTCACCATGAAAGGCGCATGAAAGAAGCGTGTGTAGAAGCTTGGACAGAAGCCTAGCATAGGCGCTTTCGAGATATTTGTAAGCTACTTTTCCTTGATCAGAAAAACCTTTCTCCCTTTTTGACAGATCGCACTGTGAGCTCCGACACACAAGCCTCATTCACAGCGCAAGATGTACATTTGAATTAAGAAGGCAAGCTCGTGATAAATGAGTTTGAAATGCATCATTCCGACACGTCTGTCGTCTTTCATCTCGGAAAACCTGTCCGGAGGCGTTGGACATGTCATGTGTCTCTGAGTTTTGCAGGTGAGATGAAGGTTGTGGCATTCTGAGCGAGCGAGCCAGTGAGGTATAGTATCGAAAAACCGGGAAAATATAGATGGCGATTGATGCTGTAGCCCAGCGATCGGGAGTCTGCTCGACATATTTTGTAGCGCCTGAAAAGCCCAGGCAGTTTGTGGGTGTACACCTAGCACATTCGAGAAGCTGTCTACACAGATTAGGCACGCAACCTCGCCGATCCTCCACACTGGTCCGCAGAATGGAATGCCGCAAAGTGAGAGCCGTCGCTGAGGACCTAGATGTAGCTACCAGGCCAGGTAGCTTTAGCCTCTTTCCCACATTTATTCCCAACTCTGCATTATGGCGCCGTTACCTCTGCTCAAGTATCTTGCGTTGCGTTCACTGTGCTGATTGGTTGTTGTGACTCTCAACAGTGAGGTCAGCATCTGTGAAGAGGGAGACAAAGGAGACGAAGGTGGAGGTCAGCATCAATCTGGATGGCACAGGCGTGTGCAGTGCGCACTCACAAATACCATTTCTGGATCACATGCTCGACGTGAGCCCTCTTCCTTTACCTAGACTCCATTGGGGATCCCTCAGCCTGTCCCGCTGATCCTTTTGCCAGCTTCAACCCCGCACCTGCTATCGCACAAGGCTCACAATGCCTTCAAAAAGATCCACAGCTATCGAAATTTCTCAAAATGCTTGCTGCGTGCAGCAATTGGCGTCGCATGGGCTGTTCAACGTGATGGTCGAGGCGGAGGGAGACACCTGGATCGATGACCACCACACCAACGAGGACATTGGTGCGCCAGCTCTCCACTGATGTCTTTGGACGGCTCCCATTGCATCAGGCAGCTCATGTCACTGCCCAAGTGATGCATACCAGTCACCAATGGGCCCTGGTTGGCGGGGGCTGGCACAAGTGCTGAGCACTGTGCCCATAGTTGATTGGGTCTTGCTTGGGTCTGGCGAGTCTAACAAGGGGTAGAACTTGGGCAGCTTTAAAGTGCAGCGTGTCTGCAGACACACGCTTGGCAGGCATGGCGTGTGATAAACAGTAGTCATGATCACTGCCTGGTGACGCATAAGAATTACTAATTCCAATGTCATTTTTTGTGTGCAGCACTGGCGCTGGGGAGCGCACTGTCAAAGGCGCTGGGCGACCGCAAGGGTATCCACCGCTTTGGAGACTTCACTGCGCCGCTCGATGAGGCTCTTGTGCATGTTGTGCTGGTGCGTTTCCCTTATTGCATCTCCTTGACAGCAGCGCCTCGAAATAATAGCATGCTCCTGGCAAGAAGTAGCAATGCATTCCATTTCTTGCATGCTGTGGGGTCTCACATTGCACTGACGCATTGCTTGTACTCCTTTTGTCTGCTGTTGGTGTGTCAATGACAGCTTTTCATATCAATTCTTGGTCTGCGACTGCTAGTAGTTATCGTCGGTTTTCGGGTGCCGTCCCTGATAGTTTAAAGGTTGTCTGCGGTCTACTGTGTTGAGGCACTATTATGTTTACCAGGTCCTGCAGGCATTGTGATTCACAATTCCATTAGTTAACTCATGTTGACAATCGTGTGCTGCATTGAGACACTGTCGTGGCGGGGCAGGACCTGTCGGGGCGGCCGCACCTGAGCTTCGATCTGCAGATTCCCACGGAGCGCATTGGCAAGTATGAGACGCAGCTGGTGGAGCACTTCTTCCAGTCCGTGGTCAACACCAGCGGCATGACTCTGCACATCAGGTGCGCTGCTATCTTGCAACTGATCATGTGCCTCCGCTGCGCATGCATGTACAAGCCAAGGGACACAACAGAATCGCGAGCGACGCCACCTTGATAAGGGATATGACATGCCTTCCTATAGCCCCACTGGGTGGACTTGCGGCTCCTGCTGTTCTGAGTGTTCTGAGCTGGAGTCAGTGGTCACTCACTCTGCAGCGGATTGAAGCAAGGCATTCATTGGGCTGCTCATATGGGAAACTCTCTGTATCGAGTCTGCGTTGAAGATAGTGTAGGTAGCACACATGAAGGCTAGGCTGTGGTGGCTTTCCCTGCTCGGGGTCATCTAAATGAGGAGAGTAGCAATGTGGATCGGCATGTTTATGATTTTTGCCTGATTGTCCGCAACGTCAGGCTGTGAAGAGCAGCTGGCTGCAGCACTACTCTGAACATCAAGCTGTCCCTGGGCGCGTTATCTTTTGCAGACACTGCTAATTTGCTGAAGTGGGTGGCAGCGTGCACCAGCCTTGAAGGCCTGGGCTTCATTTTGATGCGCGTATGCTGCCTACACACAGGTTAAGGCAGTGAACTCGACAAGGGCTTCCAAAATTGTGACATGCAGCATCAGCAGTAACATGTGCTAACAAGGAGCCGTCCTGTCGTGGAGAGATGCCAGCAATGCGAGTGATCTGGTGCATGTGTATGCAAAATGCAGGCAGCTGGCAGGCAAGAACTCGCACCACATTGTGGAAGCGACGTTCAAGGCTTTCGCTCGAGCGTTGAGACGGGCCACAGAGTACGACGAGAGGCGGCAGGGGCAAATTGCATCATCCAAGGGCGTGCTGACTCAGCAGTGATGCAGGCATATTCTCTATTTCTCTGGAACCCGGAGACCTCAGGTTATGGCTGCGGGGGGCGGAGCAGGGATGCTTGAAGACACTTCTGGTCTTGTCTTGGATGTAAGGTACTGTATATATACGGTATCTGCGCTGCAATGTATCTTGTATCTGGAGTGGTCGTGTCTTGGGTTGGATGGATTGACACGTGGCCTGTGGAGGAGTGTCCGAGAGGCGTCAGTGGTGCGTTGTTGTCGGTGTGTGACATCTATGCAGGAAATTTCTTTGGGAGAAGATTGATTATTGTTCCGACAAATTTAGTGACCTGAGGCGAACAACCCTATGCATGGTGTTTAAATATATACTTATACACCATATATGCATGTAGGACAGGGGTGTCCCGATGCTGAGGGATGCAAGCAGTCTTTCTAAACTGCTTTCATGACACACGTGTGGACAATATTACTGGGCTCTTTTTGTGCTTGTTCTTGACACCAGTGGCAGGAGCTGTATACTGCTGGCGGGATATGAGTCTGCGCAGCAGACCATGACCATGGTGGCAGCCTCGGCATCAAAGTAGCTGCAGCCTGATCATCATATCTGTAGTGCCATCACATGATGCACCGTGGTGCACCTTAAAATCGCGAATGATCCTTACACATCAGATCGCTGTCTAAAGACCATCTCTCATGGGTCCAATGCGGTGCCTATGATTGTTGTCGCTCCCTGTGGTCTGGTTTTTGAGGGACCTGCTTGTTCGTCGGTATCACTTCCATAGACCCTAAAGATACACGTCGATGTCATCCTTGATCCGTTTGAAAAAGCCTCTCTTTAAGGGAATAGAAGCAGACCAGAAGGCATGCATTCAAACAATTCTGATGCTGGCCTCGTTCTGTTTGCATCTACGCACTGAGCAGACAGATTTGTAATGCCCAGACGTATGCAGCTGCCTTGCAAGTTCACACCCTCTACACAATGTACAACAGCGCATATTGATGCTCTCGATACTTTGACACACAGCAGAGCATCAAACTCCGCAGAAGCCATGAAAACTGTAGTGACTGAGAGCCACGCCCCTGCCAGCCTCAATTGAGGCTGCAGCTAGCAGAACTCAGGCCGATCAGAGGAGGTACTTTGGCACAAAGATGGCTGCCAGGATGACCAGAAGTGGTAGGAGCACTTGCAACAGCTTGAGCACTGGATTGCTGGACTGCAAGTTCGCCTGCTTTGTCTTGACTGCACTGATTGAGGCTCGGTTTGTCTTTGCTGCGTCTCCTCCCTGCGTACACTCCCAACATCGGATGCAGCAAAAAGGCTTGATGAAGTTGCTGAGTAAGCAGCATCTGCTGACACTTTCCCAGTCTCCAGGGGTTCGTACAAACGTGACCAGTCTGGAAATGCTGTGCATTGCAGATTGTCCGATGCGGTGCTTTGATGGAAAGCATAGAGCAGGCTGAAGGAGGCATAAGAAGGCTCACATCAAAGTCGCCGATGAGGTATTTCGCTAGCATCTCCTTGGCTGCATTGCTGTGCCCTATCTCCTCAAAGTCCTCGGTTGCATCCTTCCCTGTGAGACCAGATTGAATACAGTTTTGACAAGCTTCAGGCAAGCTTTGCACATTGAGCAAAATAGCTCACGTCAGGCCTTGCCAGGGCCCTTACAGCTTCTGGTAGTAAAGGGGCACAAGCATGCATCTGTACATCACCGACACAGAAAATTGTCTTATAGATGTCATCAAAACTTGTCCCATTATTTATACTCAGAGAAGTTCACCTGTGTTCGTTACGATGATGTCAAAACCGCCTGGATGTTCGTCCAGAAAGTGTGTGACATCGTAGACTCTCCCGCTGATTGCAATCCAGCAGTCATCTTCTGTTGTGTGCTGCTTAAGGTCTTTCACAGAATACAGCTTCGTCGGCTTGACCTCTGCCATCACAAGCGTTGTACGTGTCCTCCAAAAGCTGGTTCAATGCAAAATTTTATTGCACGTGCAGTAAGATGCTCTGCAAGGAACACGTCCAAACAATTTGTTGCAACGTTGGCAGGTTTCAGCGCAAACAACGAAAGGAAGCTCGGCATCGTCAACCTCTAGTGAACCGCCCATGCGGGGGCGTTGACCTCGTCACTGAGTGACGAATGGCGCTGCCACGGGGCGCCTTCAACAATTTGGTACTCTGACGACTGCTGGTGGAAGCAACGGTTTCATGATGGATTAAAGGTCCCGATGCTTTGTATAGGTAGAATGCACTTACGAACTCTCGAGACTGTGCATGCAGTGCGCATATGCATGGATATGCATGCATGGCGGCCCCAAGCGCACGTGAAACCGGCTTTGTGGGTGCAATTTAGTTGCAAGGATATGTTCTGATCTCAGAGCAGGCTGCACCAACATCGATGCAGCCCATTGTGCTGGTGTTTGTCATGCAGTCAGAGTTTTTGCACACAATGAACCACACATAATTAGGGTTGCCACGCATTTGCTATTGCAATGATAGTCCAGACCCACGCGTCTAGAAGGTTGTTTTTAATCAGCTTGAAACACTTAAGCTACTCCGCTCTTGCAAAAGCCCTCTGAAGTACTTTTATCTTCTCTGTGCCTACAAATTGGCGCTGAGAGATGCTGCGATTTTCTTTCACTTCGAGCAGCTCGATTCGAGCTCCTGTGCGCAGTTGCTGGCGAGCACTGCCACTGCTACAAGACTGGCCATGGCTAAAACAAACCATTAATTCCTCGTTGTCTACCTACTGCAAGCTGAACCCCACCATGGTTCAGAATCTGATGCAAGTCTTCTGATGTCAGGCTCAGAGCCCTGCCTTTTGATGCGCTTTATGCATGAGCTGCAATTTGTCCTAGGTGCAGACGCAAGCAAAACCCACTCTTAACTGTTTTAAGGTAAAAAATGATCTCTACGTGGCCAGGAGAACCACCAGAATGTGCTGGGTGCCCTGCTGGCGCATGTGCTTAATCTAAATATCACATGATCCCTCGCAAAAGCACAGGACTATGGACAAAGCATCCCCTGCACTACTGCCAGCTCACAAGATACCTGCTCTCTCACACTGCATGCAATGTTCACCTAAGGTTGTGCACAAATACCCAGGCTTGCTCTTCAATTTGCAATTTGCTTCTCCCTCCCTTACACCTGTTACTTGACCCCACTGACAGGAAAACTGCCTGCCGCTGCGTCAGCAGCCATCAGGCCATCACTTCTTTCTGCTGGCCCCCACTCTTTCATGAGCCTTGCAGGAGACTCCTCAGCCGCACCATGGCCAGAAACCGCTTCAGCAGAGGGCGAGGGAGGAGTCCTCAGCTTTCCAGTCAGCTCTCTCCAACTGACAGTGTCTCTTCAAGACAGCGCGAGGGAGGATCCTGTTGGGTCCAGGAAGCGGTCGTCCTTCTTGCGCGCTTTTACAGCGCGCGGCCGGTTCAACTTCAGCGCGCGCGCACAGCCCATCCATGCGTGCGCGCCGAAGAAGTTGTTGCCCAGCCGCAGCAGCACCGACAGCATCTTCGATCGCGGGCCCGGGAACCTGCGGCATTGGTTGTAACACCTCTCAGCACCCCCTATCCAAGGGAAATATACCGTTATAACAAATAAAGGGCAAAGAAAAGTAGGTTATCGGCCGCAGCACCACCATCGACAGCAGCTTACTGCGCGGGCCCGGGAAGCTGCAACAGCGCCATAATGCACTTCAGAATGCACTAGAACTGCTTTGTTCCTGCCGCACATGCGCCGCTGAGGTTGAATTGTGCACTGCCCAAGCCCAGCACGCGCCTAGCGCCCAGTTCCAGTGCTCAGCAAGATCTCTGCTCGCCAATCAAAAGCCAAGCATTGATGCAACAGATGCAAGGGACACTTAGATCTCCGAGAAAGCTCTCATACAGAAGACAGGTTCCTGACAGGAGCTCTTGCGCCCGAGTACTTTCGCTGTATCTTCTTCGTTTCCACCAAAGCTCGCCTGGCAGCTTCCGACATAAGAGCCGCGGTTGAAGAACAGATCAATGAACTGGACTCAACCAGCTAATATATGGTCCGGTTTCCTGGCTTCCCCTGCGCTACTTGATTGGGGTCGTAACTAACGGTGTGGGGCTCTCACCTGGCGTACAGGACGTCCTCCGCAGCGTTGAGGGCGTTGTAGCGCACGTTCGAGTTGAGCCCCATGAAGTACAGCCATCCCAGTCCCGTGCCGGCGATCGGCTGCTCCGTGGGCGGCGGCTCAAATGCGGAGTCGAATCGCTCCCGTGCTGCCGTCATTGCATGCACCAGCGCGCTCCCTGAGCACAGGGATTAAGATATCAAGATACCACGGGTGCTGAGCAAGCAAGGGCACATAGTAAGGGCTACTGAGAAGTTCGGGGCACATTCCTAGCTGAAACCTGTTCCATGGTGACAATATTGTGGTGAGTGGCTTTGTGCAATGGCCTGCCCCAATGCGCCGATAAACCATCTTGAACTCTGTTGAATGTCAGTATCTCGGGTCATTGCATCCCAGGAGATGTTGGCTGAAGAATTAAGACACTCCGTGTGCATTAGAGGACTCTGCCAAAGAAGAAGGACAGGCTGAGAATTGGGAGGCGTGCCTGCGCAGCCCATGACAAAGCCGACAGCGCCGTACTGGCCCGCCTTCACGCAGAAGCATGCCGCTCGCTGCCCCAGCGTGAACCTGCGCATGCATGCACCTTGCCAGATCAGGCACTGTTGTGGGGATGGCGCTACATGTGTACAGTTCAGGGGTTTCCCAGCTCTGAAGCTCTGCGCTCACAGGTGCAAGACAGGGATCAGCACAGTGTGGACCACTCCATCTCAGTCACAGAACCACCATCCTAGAATAGCCATGCTCTTTTGCTGCAAAAACTGGGCTACATAGGAGCACGTTTCTCTTGTCCCAATGATATCCGACCACTTGAGAACAATATGGACTTCAGACTGACAATGAACGAACGGCTGACAAGAAGGAGATCAGGGTGTGGATGGGTTCTAGATGTGTGCACACCCTGGGTGGCCCGGGGGCGGCGATTGGAACACATGCGAGGGCAGCGCGGCGATCTTGCGGCTGAATCGGCCCTTGGCCGCCACGCTCTGGCGCATGGTGGGAGCCAGCAGATACACCAGCGCGAAATCGCACAGCAGCGACACGCAGCACTGCACGCAGCATGCATGACAATTTTAGACATGTCATGCATGCCAAACGTGGAGACTAATACGGGGGGCAAATGGCAGGCGGGTCTTCCTGGGACCTAATCTAGGAGCGACACGCAGCACTGCACAGTGCATGCGCACAGATAAAACATCGCATGCATGCATGCTACAATGAGAGCCTAATAAAGAGCTCAGTATGGCAGAGAGTGGCAAGTGAGTCCCCTTGTCAGGTGAAGGCAGCCTCACAGCGACATGTCGCATGTGTACACAGCATTGCGCACAACATGCATCAGTTAAGTGACGTTAAATCTTGTGAATGCTGCACGCTTGAAGACCGATACATGGTGGGGAACAGGGCAAGCGCGAGTCTTGGACAACTGTTTCTGAAAGCTGTGACTAACTCCTGCGCAGGGGTCTGCTGTGCAGCGTCAATCATGCCTGGCTTATAGGCAAGACCTTCTATCCTGCTACATCCTAAATGTGTCTTGCAGAGAAACTGGCGGGTTTTGAGTACCGGCATGCACCCAAACCAGGACAGCAGTAGAGCTGTGGATTGCAATGAGAGATTTTGATGAAAGCTCTCACCTGGGACAGGACAAAGTCCAGCTCACGCAGGAACTTGTCTCGTCGGCAGGCCAGGTTCACTGTGAGGATTATTGCTAGGTCCAGCCCGCACTCACAGCCCAGCTTGAACAGAAAGGAAGGGTCTGCCTCTGCCCGCGCCCGCACGCCTGCCATGATCCTGCAAAGCCAGAATTCCGGGTTCAAAATAGGAGAATTATCCCTCCCAGGAGCCTTTTCTTTGTCATGTCGATGGTAATTTCGTGCGCCCCTTGGCCTAAGTGTGCAGCATGGCAGACTTATAGTGCAACTCTACATGGCTCTGTTGCTGATCTGTTGTAAATTTCGGGCGATCTCCACAGGAGGGCAGCACCTTCTCTCACTGTAGAGAAAAAAAATAAGGATAGCATGACGTTACCACTTAGTGGAGTGGTTGGGCTCACAAGATACTCACATCAAGAAGGGATTCCAGGGGATGCTCAGGCCACCAGAGTCTCCATCTTCGCCACCACCGTCTCGAGAGTGGCCCACGCCTACTCTGGAGCCCCCACCACCGCCACCCCCATAGAATTCTGGCTCTGTTTCAGGCTGAGGTGGCTGACCCGATCCCCAGCTCCTTCCTGTGTCGAGGACACCCCCTTCTCGGTGAAGCACGCCCGAGCTGGAGCCCGCGACGTGACTTGCTCTTCGACGTGGAGCTGTAGGACCCACATCAGGTAGCAGAGGCTGGGCATTGCAGACGGGAGACCTCAGCAAGCTGAGGCGCGCCGAAAGCTGAGGCTGGAAGGCCTGCATCTTGTGCCGTCTGCTGAGCTACTGTCTCTGTGCCTGTGCTAGATCCTGGGACGGGTCCTTGGTAGCTGCCTCCCTCAGAACCTGGTCAACCTTCTGCTCTGCTTTGCGAGCCTTGTTCTTGTTCGCCTTCTGAGTCCTTGTCAAGGGAGGCAGCCCCCTGCATCAGAGCCAGCGCCCAGATATATCAGGCATAGGCCATGGCCAGGTAGCAAGCACATGCCAGAGACCTAACATGATAGTCTGAACAATTGGATGTTCCTCTTCCTCGCACACCTACTTACTCATCTGAAACATGCTACGCTCCGACTATGCACCAGGCTGATTCAGACAACATGCATTGAGAACTGGAATAAGCACAATCTAATTTGTCGTGGCTGAAAGAAATACAATGGAATTTACCAGGGCTTATTCCACAGCTTGCCACCGGTCGTCTTCTTAACAATCCTGAGCACTGCAGACACTTGCACCATGCCTCGGTGGCAGGCCCTGTTGCCTTTTGATTTGTGAGAACCAGGAGCGATGCGCCGATTTGATATCAAGCAGGTAATAAATGGACGCTTTAAACCACGTTTTCTGTCCATGGGCTCGAGCGAGGAGAGCCTTGGAAATCAAAGGGCCTGTCTTCGAACCGTTCCCTCTTCCATGACAATTTCTTCACTTTGAAAATCTACTGGACAGAGAAATTGTTCTCCAAAAACAAACAATACTGCCTGTGAGTGGGGCACCATATGTATCATTGTCATTGCCAGATCATGATCGCCAATGACAGCCTGGCAGCTGCCAGTGCATGTGTTGCAGGCTCAGAGTTGCGCAACACCGTGTGTGACACTCTCAAACACTGTGGCACACTCAATGTTTAGTATTTGGTTTAGATAGCAGTACTGGAACTCCAAGGTATGGGAGCTTATCAGACGGCAGACGTACTGGGGCAGGCACCAGAAATTGATTTCAATGACTCATATGCCAACCCTTAAGATTGCCATGCCGAAATCACAAAGTCATTGCTGAGGCCAGGAGGGTTTCAGCTGCGCCAGCTCAGGGCTCTAGAGCTCAGGGCTCAGATCTGAGGGCTCCGCGCATACTTCAGACTCGTGGGGTACTTCGGCGCAAAGACGGCTACACGGAGTGCCTTGCATGCTGCGTAGATATCCGCCTTCTTCTGCAGGCACATGAAACTCTTTGTCAGCTGCAGCATACATATGCATTTGCGACGTGACAAGGCTGCAAGCATCTGCATATCAACCCCAGGTCCCAGCTGCAGATGGACCTATGTATGCCCTATGGCTTTCTGGGCTCTGGGCTCGCCATCATGAAGACTGCTGATTGAATTACTACACATTGCATGTATCACATCCACTCCACAACAGCTACAGAAACCGGCCGATGAAGCACTGCCAGGCATGCTCAGTGTGGCTATGAAGCAATTGTCCATACATCCGGGAAACACACTGAAGCTGACACCTGACCCTTGGATCATGTCAGGGAGGCGAGGCTCTTGGCCTGGACCCAACTTTCTGTGGAGCTATGTTTGTTGCCCCAAGAACGCTGACCTCATGTTATTTATGGCCCGGTGCAAGCCTTGCATGGCGCTATATAGCGCCCTTTTTTCCTGCACTCACTCCTCCGTTGCGAAGTGGTCTGCGGTTTTCTGCCAGATCTCTGGGAGCTGCTGATCCCAGTTCACTCCTCAAATTGGTCCATGGGAATACCTGCGTCACATGTATGATCGTTGCATGAGCACGAGATCGGAAGTTTCAACAGTGGCGATATGCACAGTGCCCTAAACTCAGCACCTTAAAGAACGCTTGGCAAGAGCAAATTGACACAATGTGGTGTTAACAACTTTCTTTTTGCGAGAAAAAGAGGCAAGTTCGCAGGCAAATCACCTTTTACTTTGCTTAAAATATCGGAAGGCTGCAAGTAAACTGAGAAGCCTTCTCGAAGGTCTTTAGAGAGGACGTGCTGCTGGGAGAAGTTACTGGTGGAGGTCAAGCGTGCATCGCCAGCAGTATGTAAGTATCAGAAGGAACTTGGTAACCCTGGGTAAACTGCACAAAAGCTATGACATTAGAACGTGCCTCTCTGTGCTGAAGCGTTTTGACAACACCTCAAGAGATGGAAGCCCAAATCATAATCCCGAACGAAAGTGTTCTTAAAAACAGCAAGGGAATTAGGCATGGTTTAACTCCAACCGCCCTTACCAAACAAATAATATATACTAGTGATACCACCTGAATTACCAAGAACTCATCACGAGGCATCCCTGAAGGCGATCCTGGTGGCGCCAGGCTGTAATTGGTTCGAGCCCAATCCCTGGACGGTTGGTGTGTAGAGGGTTCGAGCCCCTCCCCTAATCGGAATGCCCGGGTTCGATCCCTTCCTGGTGGGAGCCTCTCCTTTTCACTTTATTTTGGTCCTTCGCGACATCTGATAAAAGTGGAACGATACAGAGAAGCTTAGCATGCACCCCTGAGCAAGGATAATGATGACATCAGCAGGCACACATCGAGATATCGTTCGATTGTTTTGCAGTCGCCTTTGCCTCTTTATTATCATGGTCAGTTGTCCCTGACCAGCCAAGTTGTCCCACGTCTCTGCTAAAAATGTCTATTGGTGAGTTCTGGGTCTCTCAGCTGGCTCAGCTCTTGAATTGCCCCTGCCAGTGACTCATCCATGGCTTCGATTTCCAGGATTAACTGCCGGAGATTGCTCAATGGAGGCAGCAAAAGAAATGACATATCTTGGCCCTCAGAAGTTCAGCCCCGGGCTGCATGTGATCAGCTCATGCAATGATGCTGCAGCGGAGCGCGGCTGCCAGCGAGCCTCTGGCCTTGAAGCAACATGCTTGCTAAATGCTTGCTGTTCTTGACTGCCATCAGTGTGATCCCCTGACAGAGCACACTCTCTGCGGCGAGGGACAAACCCACAGTCCATCAGGTACGAGGACCCAGAGATCACAGACCACTCTCGGAATCCCTGAATGCCTCAGCCAAACGTTGATCCCAGTACTACTTAGGCTCTGGTGGAGGCTGCAAGCTCCCCAGGAGATACACATTCAGGTGTGACAGAGCAAGTGGTCTAGGCATAGCGGCATCTTCAAGTAGCAGCACCGGCACAACAGATGCATGGCAGATGAAGGTGAGCCTCTTGGCATGGGCCCAATGCCCTTCATTGCTTTTCCACACCAACTTGTTGTGAAGTGGCCTGCAACTCGTTGTCAGATCTCGGGGGGCAGCTGCTCCAAGTTCACTGCCTCGCTTTGGACCTGGCAGCACCATGTGACCAGGACACGCTGGCTGTTTCCTGTCATCTCATCTAGCTGCTGTTCCAATCCAATTTTCCTCCACATAGATCGTTGAAATCCTGGTTATGCCGGCGGTGGCCGCGGCAGCTACGGGCGCGGCGGTGGCCGCAGTGGTGGTGGCGGCTACGAGGGCGGTGGTGTCGGCGGTGGCGGCGGTGGCGGCACCGGACTACGTCATGGTAAGGGTCTTTCTAGCATACCCAGTGCTGGTGAATGACTTGAGCTCCTGTTGAGCCAGGAATTTCAGACTGTAGCAAAGTGTGGGAAACAGCCAGTTCTTGTTTATGTTTTGTTGTCTGCAGTGCCTTCAATGAGTTAATGTTGAGCACTTTGAAGACTTCAAGGTTCGATTATTTTCACTGCACAGCGGTCCATGCTGCGGGTGCAAGCAGGGCGCGCCCTTTCCCGGTCCTGGCTGCCTATATAGCAGCACTGGGCTCCATCTATTGCACAGATTGACAGTTCCAACTGTTATAAATACTACACGCTCCATCTGCAGACAAGCTGCAGGTGACGCCTGCCAAATGACTACCCCTTGATTGGCTCGACGAGATCCAAGCAAGACCCAATCAACCGTGGGCAGCTGGACAAGCAGCCATAAATAAAGGGAGTCTTCCCTGGCAGACTGAGGATGTGCTGATGCGCTGGGTGCATGCAGGCGGTGACGATGCGTTCGGCGGCGTTCCTGCGCGTGCACCGGCCGCGCCGGCCAATGCCGGGGGCAGTTGGGCCGGCACACCCGGCAAGGCAGCGGCAGGCCCCTCCTGGGATTGAGTTAATTTCAAAGTAACACAAATATTAAGGCCGCAAGACGGGTTCTTGAGATACCCGTATCGGAACGCTGTCTTTGACCTTCAATAGATGTGATGTGATTGGCCATCGCGGCGCGCCGGGAGGGCAGCGGCAGGCGCCACCTGGGATGAACCGTCATGCAGAATTTTTGTACCCTAAAAGAACACATTCATACACACGGCTGCAGTAAGCCTAGTTTTTTATGGACAAGCTTGACACATTCTATGTTTCTGCAATGGGATGAAGGGTCCATGCTGGCGCATCATGCAAAGCCGCAGCCGGTGCCACCAGGAGGTGACGAGGAAAAAGAACACAAAGGTAAAGGCAGCTGCAATGAAGGGAGCTCTGTAGTGTATCAAGCTGGGAAACCCAGCGCAGGCAGCATCTGGGAGGGATGAATGCTGCAACACCTAATCTTGCAAGCATACAATAAACCAGGGGGCTGCAGTGCAAACGGTATGTGGAGTGCTCTGTAAACAAAACTAGGAGAGGGTGTTTGCAATGCCTGGTTTGAGGTTTGTTGGCCAATGTGAGAAGGCCCTGGCAGGCGGCACCTGGGATCAAACAGTTCCGCACGCTAAGTGTGCTGCGAGTCCATATGCAGCTGCGGGAAAATAAGCACTGGACGGATGAGTGCTGCAAGCGCATGCACTGGGAGAACAAGATCCGGAACGAGGAGCGCTGCAAGCTTACAGGCAGCTGCAGGGGAAGATGCACTTGAAGGATGACTGCAGCAATCCAAGCAGGCAAAAGCAGTGATAAAGACAGCTGTGTGTATCAATATCAGGGCAGGTTGTCTGAACGCGCTGCGGGACTAGACTGTAGGCCGCTGCGCAGTGCTGGCTAACTCAGTTGGTATTCTGCCGGGGATTTGCATCGATGGTCTAGGCTCAAGGGAATTAAGGGGTTGGCAGCGTGTATGTGAGTGCTGCGGCCTCGGCAGGTGCACAGGAATTGGACCATTGGGTGGGAAGCTTCACGTGCAATGTATAGTGAGAAGCTGCTTTTAATATAGTTATTACACCCAGCAACACAAGCTGTTGAAACCCCACGCATGGGCGTATGCATCTAGTATGGCCACGAGAGAGCAACAACCGCATGGCTCTGTGAGTATGGGGCAAAAATCCTCCCCCATTTTTCACCACAGGTTCCAGCCATGTCTGTCGAGCGCCCAGAAAACACTTTGTTTATACACCCTCTCCCAGCTTCGGCAGCCTTCCTCAGGGCTTTGACAAATGCCTCCATGCCTTCAGTGCTCGTGTGCGAGTAATAGAGACGAACCGACTGCAGTTGGCAAGCAAAATCATCGGGACACTCAACAGTGATGTCCATGTTGTCTGTTTCTAGCAAAAGCTCGTCAAGGGCCGACTTCCAAGGAATACAAATTGACATGCTGCCCTCAGCCCCGATGTACAGCTGCTTTAGGGCATGCAGGTCTGGCACATGGGATTGTTTTCCGGAATGCGGCCCGACCAAAAGATGTTGCTCACAGAAATAACTATAGATGCTCAAACCTTGCAATTGCCGGCGCTGCCAGGCCAGTTGTTGCAACAACCCCTGGAATTGGCTGGACATCCGTTGGCCACTAGGAAATCTCGCGGTGATCTTCAAGCATTGCCAGCAATGCTGTGTCAGCCAAGTCTTGCCTTCTAGAATCGACGCCTCACCAGCAATCTTCAAAACAATATTGGGGCCCATGGAACAAACATGCGGCACAACATTCTTTAGGTCGACCTCTTGGAGATGAATCAAGCCAGTCAAGTCCAAGCATTGCATCTGCTTTGTGCTGCCGCTTCTACTGCGCAACTTCAGATTTTGAAGTTGCTGCATGCCTTGCAATGAGTCAAGCACTCTGTCGTCAAGTATGTGCAAGGACAAATTTAAGTTGACCAATCGATCCAGAGTAGGCATGGGATGCATGGAGTGCGCGAAGACATCTAAATTCTCTACGGTGCTCCAAGCCCTCAAGCATTGGTGCAGGAACACCGCAAACTGCTCTTGGAATCTAGACTTCTCTGGGCCAAATGATGAGGTGAAAGCTGTGACTTTTGCCACTTTTACAGCAGATGCTCTTGCCATGCTCTCTCCAATGGTGTGAAATTCATCATAGGGCCCGTGGAATCCCTGCATGGAGTGCCAGAATGCTCATGGAAAGAAGCTTGAGGGCAGCAGAACTGCAGAAAACCATAGACAGGACGGCCAGAAAGTTCTTATGATGATAATGCTCATTTGTGTCCTCTCACCTCTTCTTCAATGATCAAGACCACCTCTTCCGCGTAATTCCAGTGCTTTGCTGCCCATTTCAGAATGGCGAGGCCTTCCTTGTCAAGATCTGTTGGGAAAAATAATCTTCTAGGCTGAATATGATTGAAAGCACGACAGGCACTGCCACATGACCTGACCCATTCCTTCACGCGCAGCCTGTCTGCAATCATTTGCCATATCTCAAGTGGAAGCGATGCGGTTGCTTCCGTCTTCATGGCTTCAGGCTTCATGCCTGCCACGAAAAATGATGTAAATATAAGTGTCTGTCACGATCACTTCATAAGTTTCCGCTCGGCGTCCTCGCCTGACCAGTTATCAACTCTTCATTTACCGAGAAGAACCAAGAAGTCGAGAAAGTGTTGAACTCAGCAGTGCCAGAAGAAAAAACAAGTCGAACGACATCAGATCCCCATTCTCACCTGTGCGAGAGGATTTACTTTTGCATAAAGTATCTTGTGGACACTCTTGTAGAAACACCTCGTGTTTCTCCTTAGGTTCGGAACTGAGGGATTTCATACCGAATACCCCACAAACTACGGTGTTGTCCAAACCCATCCGCTGTAGCCAAACATTTGATACTCCAGCAGCCGTTGTCAACATTAGATACGCAATGGATGCCATCATCTACCCTTTCAGGTGTGAGTAAGCCTCACGTACATCGGTTCACCTAACCACAATTTGACGGTCCCTCAACTTGGCGTTCACGCAACTCACAAATTCCTCTGTTGCCACGATAGGTACGAGCAAGTTTTATAGACAGTTTAGGTCTTAGTCATCTTGGTGAAACCTTGAGAGTGTACTTCATACACGCAGCAAACATCACCATTTGCCCTTATCACACGCTGCAGCGCTGTGCTCATGCCACTTGCAGATATCAGATAAGCACCACTCAACAAAGAGTCCCTTTATTCCTGATCAGAACAGCAGTGAAAGGAAAACGCGTGTATTTTAATCAAAATTTTCAAGTATCACAGACAATAGCGTTTCCTCTTTGCAGACTGCATCACTGCAATATCAGGTGCATGTAGGGGTGGTTCTTGAAACAAAATCGACACGAACGACAATTTTATAGCACGTGCTTGCACGTGTGCTATCGTCCGGGTGCTCACATATATACAGATACGTTAGATGTGTAATCACCCCTATTCAGGGAGCCCAACTTCTCCAGTACTGATTTCTTTGGCAAGCAGTTCGGTGCTTCCGGTGAAATTTACATATGAACCACGCGCCCTGTGACGGCAGACTTGGCATCTAATGAAGAGTGGCGATAAGATGCATGACTATCCAGATCCCCTTGCTGCATCCATAAAACCGCTTCAAGTCCAAACGCAGTGATTCGAAACTGCAGCTCCCGGCCAGGAGTCAATCATGGCATCTAGCTAAGCTTGATCCCACGTCCGGCCAATTCTAGAGATCTCTGCGCGAATTCTGCTGCACAACATGCCAAACCCGCAAACGCAAAATTTGACTCTGAATTGACATGTTGAATAGTCACCTACAGTAAATTACTGCGCCGGCAAGAGGGATTTCACAGGTTTCAATTTTAGCGGGCCAGGGCCTAGATCAATCCACTGGTACCGAGTGGTTGAGGGGTATATAGGTGTGAGAATCCCAACCCCCAAAGCTTTGCATGCTGCATAGACGTCTGCCCTCTCCTCTGCAGCCCACACAATGAATCATGTGCACCACAAATACAGTCACTGAGCATTCCCGGGCCCCTACTTTTTATTAGCGGAGTTCAATGGCGACTTGAAATTGAGGTGCGCATGGTTGCATGCAGGCTGCCTCACATGGAAACTATATCAATTAAACTGCACTGTGACATTTGATGACTCATGGTCACTCACCTGCGGGGATGAACCTGGCAGCAACCACCAGATACAGATCCCTGTCTTGAAATAGTCCGTACGCAGCAGTGCTACTTTTCTCTTCATTCTCCGTTTCCAGCACTCTCAAAATGCCTGACCCGGAGTTGGCAATTTTGGTACAGCGTGAAATGATCTTTGCTAGAGTCACCACCGTCAGAGTCTTTGTGCATTGCAAAATATGCAGCTTATTGCCATGCGGGTTGTAGTAGAGAGCATGCGCCTGCACGTGGAAAACTTGAAAATTGAGCACCTGTAAGCCTACTTCCAAGCAAACATGCCAGGCCCGCCAATGGAGTAAATAGCGGCTCTCCCAAGTGCCCCTTCCTTTTCTCAAACCATATTTCCAGAAATATATAAGAAATGCAGCTCGGATGCACACTCTCCACATACAATCATGTTGCTTTGCACATGAGGAAATCCGGATGCATGCCTCATACTTGCAGCTCTCCGTCTCTCCTGACTTATGCCCAATCTCATAGGACACTGTGCATTCCGAGAAAGTCTGCATCCAGACACCCAGGTCATTGAAATTTCCTTCCACCACGCGGCTCTATTGTCACACATGCTTCAAATATATTAGCTCAGTTTGGAATGCAGTGTATTGGAGAGGACGTCAGACCCGCAAGTAGTTGCACGAATTAAGGGTGAGCTCCATCTTCACCCATAAGCTTGCTGCTTTCACATGAGCTCGTGGCATGGGTTCCTCAGCCCAACTCCAGCCATTGAGCATCATTTTGTCCTTGTACCAGTCTGGGTGCACCTGCAGGTAATGAGAGCATAAGAAGGTCAAATGGGTTTGTGACCGGCCTGAGCATGTGCCCTCAGCAAGGCACACAAATCCCCTGATGTCACTTACCTCCCTTGAGCGCCTCGATATGATGCTTGAAAAGTGCACATTGCTTTAATATTGTTATCACACGCGTTTCCTGTCAAGAGGCAAGGCGTGTCATGCAGACATGCTGCAGTCATGGCTGCCCGATATTCTACCCCTGGTTGGACATGCCAGATCCAAGCAAGACCCATTCAACCGTGCTCAAAGTTTCTTGGATCTGAACTTAGGAAGCTTTGGCAGACGCTGTCACAGGGACGTACCGCCTCAATATTTTCGACTTCGCTTCAGACGATTTGCTGGACATTTTCAAGGCGATTTGCGCTGACACTGTTTTGATCTGCTTGGGCAGGGTACGCAGCTGGGTCTGCAAATGTCCAAAGGTCGTGACCTATATAGGAGGGATAGATCATGACTCTGACCTTGCCTTTCTTGTCGACAATTTTGTCCACGACTTGGACCTTTATTCCTGTTGCCATCAGCACAAGCACTGCTGAGATGACAATTCTGCACGTGAGCAGGACTTTTCGGGCAGTGATACCTTTCAAAATGGAAGTCTCACCGTAGATATCTTTTTGCTTCGTTGGGAAGTAGTCGTACATCTGCCCGTCTTCTAGCCTGCTAATTGAGGAAACCATCCTGCAATTGATCCTGTTTACGAGGGCCCCTTGCTTAAAGAAGGCATCCAAATCCTCTTGAGTGAGAAATTCTTTCCTTTGACTTTCTGCTTTGCCGCTGACAAGTAATGGCCTCGGTATCCTTAGCTTTACAAGCTTTGGTGTCTGAGACTTTTGACACGTTGCAGTCTGTGCCGCATTGCAGAGGTTCATTACCTGTAAGACTATCATATTTAAAGTACAGAGAAGCATGTACAACTCGAGCCCAGCAAACGGCGAAGATCTGTATCTAGAATAGTGCAGATTTATGACTCGCTCGGCGTGAATTCCAGCTTCCTGGAATCTGGAAGTTGCCAGGTCTCATAGGACAGGAGGGCATTTATTCCATTGAATTGTTTCACATGCAAAGGAGTGTTTGGTAAGCTGCTCTGGCGTGACAACTTGGCACAGGACATGAAGTTCATGCAAATGTGGGCGTTGTCTTTTAAGGGCGTTGTTATGAGACATTCACTTTACATTTATTCGCAATGCATTTTACACTTCGTGCACTCTTGCATTTGATCCTTCCGCTCGGGGTATGTGACGTGCAGGCAACCCATTACTCCTTTGTAGATATGTTCCAGCAAATCTACTTCAGTCACATCTGGTTCCTTGTCATCTTAAGATCTTGAGCTCATACACCTGACCAGACAGGCAACAAAACGTACCATGAAGAAGAAAGTCTGAATCCAGCCCTAATCCAAACAGCATTGGCCACAGAACGCAGCCGAGTCATTCACTTCATCTTATTTTGAGTGTCACAGACAAAGCGCTCAGTCTTTGCAGACCGCATCACTGCTCATGTGCACTGCAGAGTGCTGCCAACTCGGGTGCTTATGGTGCTATCATTTGCCTCCATCTGCCTTCATGGTTGGGTTAGTTCTATCACAGTGGTGTAATCAATTTTCTTCTTCAGGGCAGAATCTGTCTGAGCCAACCTTCGTCAACCAAGTCAAAAACTTAAACAGACTGCTCTGTGCGTCTCAATGCTCGACAATATGTTTCGTTGGCAAGACAACAATTTTTTGCCGGTCAGTCTTTGTTCATACTGCCGGGAAATGTTTCAGTAGCCCAGCAATGTTCAGCCACCCTCTGCTGCCATTCTGCAGGGGCTCAAAACTTCCAAAAAATATAACAGTTGTTGCCTTTTTAGCACATGCTTGCCGAATTTGTGCACCAGAAGAGGCCCTGGCCTTGCAAAATGACTCAGCAAACTTGTTTCCCCAGAAGAATTCTCCCTAGCATTAAGACTATGCTTCTTTGTTCAGGGCTGGTTTCTATTCCGCCCAAGACTCTTCGCCACACAGATTGCCACATTCACAGGGCAGATCTCAATCTCAAATTGGCCCAGAAAATACCAACATTCTTGTCTTGAGATTGACCTTCCAGAGTTCCTGGATCTTTGTTGGGGCGATGTCAAGCTGTACTCAGCCGAGGCGCTTACGGAACCCTCCGGGGTTGAAACTTGCTGCGAGGGAGATGATGAGGAGGCAGATGACTAATATGATGACGGCGATGACGGCCGTGATCATGGCTACCTTGCGCCACAGCGGCAGCCGTTCCGGCGGCGCTGTTCCCTCCGCCCTCTCCCTCTGCTTCCTGCAGAGGGAAAGCAGTGCAGCACGTCTCAGCCTCTAGGGGTTTATGCAGCGGGCAATATGTATCGGACATCAGCAGCGCAGAACCTGCAAGTTTTAATCAATTTGGCTGGCAGCAGATACAGCGCGAAGCCGATGGTCTGCTGTTTCAACGCCATAAACTGAGAGAGGGCTTGACTAGGCTTGCTGGCCAGTGGTTCACAATTCTGCGTTTCACGATCTCAAGCATCACAGCAATGCAACGAAGCAAGCCACTGCCGAGCCTGAGCGCATGCTTTTATAACCCCACATGCATCAGACCTCACAGCACAACTTGCCCCTCCAAACGGACACCACCTGCATGTTCGTTGGAACTGCCGTACTGTTCAATAGCGTGCTGACATATGCATGGCAAACATGCTGTGATTTGGTCCCTATGCCAAGCATCTCAACCATCTAGAAATCCCTGAACAGGGGAAGCTGCGCGCACCTGATGTCGGAGAGAACGCCCCAGGAGGCTGGGACGAAGAAGGAAGCAGAGCCCACGAACGAAAACAGCAGCCCGACTGCCAACAGGATCTGTGCCGCCTTGAAGGTCCTCTCACCCGCCTCCAATTTTGAGGTCGGCCCCGGCCCGCCAATGTTTGAGCCCACCTGCCTCTCTGCGCTCAGCGCAACCGCCTGCGCAAGTGTTGGCAGCAATTCAGCAGCAATTCAGCAACACTGTGTGATTCCACGCTCAAAATGCATTATCGTGCATGTGCATGCAGCTTCCTTTACCCCAACAAGTAAGTGTCGAACCAAACTGTAGTACTCAGCACCAAGGTCTGCAGAGCTGCAGTGCCATGTGCAGCGTCAGGCGCTACAGATACTACGGGCTTGTAATGTTCTGGTTTTCTCCAAGCTGCCAATGGTGATGAGCAGTCTTGACTGCGGCGCTTGGTCCGCCAGGGATCAGAATCTCTCTGTGTGGACACACTGCAGCGCACTTGGAAGTTTCTATTTTCTAGCTTCTATCCGTTCATAGCTTTCCTGAGAGATGCGTGTTGCATGACTTGCCAAGATGAATGCAGAGGCTGCATGCAGAAAGGACCATACGCCCTGCTCCCTTGACCAACAAAGTTCAGGACAAATCTATTGAAGCAGCATTCACCTATATAGCTTACCTGCAGGCCCACGCCAATGATGACAGAGTACATGGGCGCCAGTAGCCCGGTCAGGAATTCGTACACCGACAGGGCGAAAGACTTGAACTCGGGTGGCAGAATCAGAGTCGTTAGCGCAGCCAAGGGACCTGTTGCACCGTTCGCGAGCAGCGCGCCGCACGCCATGCAGACCAGCATCAGCGCGTACCTGGCGATCACATAACCCTGATGAGCACGGGCATAGTGGCAGAAGCAGTGACCGTTCCCGTAGCCAGGGTTTTTTTTATGGCATTCTGAAGCCAATGTGGCTTTTAAGATATGCACAAGCAATTTTTTTGGTGTTCTGGCCACTTTCTAGTGGACACTTTGAGGCCACATATTGGCGCCTGAAAAGTAAATGAACGCGTGCAGCAGCCAAATTTCACCCTTTTTGAGCTCAAAACACCCCCAAAACCCTCACTTTTGCTTGAAATTTACCCAACAGTCCTGGCTTTTGCCAGTTTTGTGGCTTCCGCCAAAATTTCCAAGGATAGGTTGGAAGCCACATTGGCTACCAGCGTAATTGCTTAGAAGAAACACTGCCCGTAGTGAGGTCAAAATCAAGACCAAACACCTCCAAGTTCACCACATCGCTCAGAGCCATATATTGTAGTCTGCCTCACTGGCAGCAAACGCCAGCACTGGTGCAAGTTGTGCTGAGCCGTGGATGCATGGAAAACACTCGAGGGATGCATGCCAATGCAGATTTTCTTCCAAAGGTCTTCACGCAGCCTCAACATATTGCCAACATCATTGTGTGATGGCCTTTCCCGCTCACAGCATGCTGGTAATGGGTAGATCTCAACTAACAATGGAAGCATGTGCATGGTTGAGAACATGCTGAGATCGCAAAGGAAGCATGCATCTAATTATGTTTTCTTTTCTCTTTTCTCTTTTCTCTGTTTTCTTCATCCTTTTCTCCCGTTATTATTTTAAAGACAGTAGTGTGCAGGAGTCTCACCCGCCGTTGCCGGCAATCTTGCGCGACCAGAGAGAAATCATGAAGAACACGCCGCCGCCAACGCCGCCGATGGCTCCAGTGTAAAGCGCCATCCACGGCCGCTTCTCGATGTTCCTCTGCGCCGCAAAATACACTTAAACTGATTTTTATAGTTATCGGAGTCACAACTCGGCAATTGCAGTCTCCCGCCAACTCAAGTGCACTGTTCTGATGCACAGGTTAAACATGGAAAATGCAGATAATGGTGATTTTGCAAATCAGGCGCTTGGCCAGCAAAAGGCAACAGCAAGGACCCGCCTGAGCTAATACTTCTCTTGGAATGGGTATAAAGAATTTTGTCTACCAGTTGCAGAAGGGGTGTTACCTCGCAAATAAAACCGATGATAATGGAAGAGACGAAAGCAAAGACTCCGATCACAGTGGCAAACGTTGCATCCAGTGTCTCCTGCTCCTGTAATGAGACGCAATAATTTTAGACACAATTTTAGGCTCAAAATTTAGACGTTGCTCAGCTTTGGCCCTCGCCTTGCAGGCATCAAGGCACAGCAAAGAAAGCTGAAGAAGCATAGATTTCTTGCGCTGAGCAGTAGTAGGTCTCTGAAAGACTCGGGGCTTACCGGGTACAGTGCACCAAAGAATGGCGGCATGTAGGCCAGCACCAAATGACCAGCGTTCATCCTGATGCCTGCATATACACAAAACATAGGTATTTGCTCGCAAAAGCACCTCAGTACTAAAACACAGCACATTCTTGATCCCAACAAGGGAGGACACCAGCATGCCCAGGGGTTGTCAATCACAGGCGAACAGAAATCAATGCATGTGTTACAGTATTGAACATTGACTCACCAGAGACCATGAAATTCTGTTAGAGGAACCAAACAGAAAATTCATGACATTTTGAAAGGATAATGCCAACAATCGTTGATGAATAAGGGATGAGGTTAGACTGACTCACCCAGGCCCACGATGAGCATCCAGAAGGTCTTCATATTAGCCATGTATGCCAGCGCAGACCACAGCTCAAACTTCCTCCCACCCTCCTATAACCACCACACCTTGAGTCAGTACAGATTAAATACCAATAAATTCCAAACTGCACATCCAGGCCCTGAAACGGTTGAAGAGCTGATGTTGCCAAGCATAAGGCCAATGTTTGTCTGTCATTGTGCTGCATGCCTCCTATTGGTAAAGAGACATGCAGCCTTTAACATTGTACTTTGCCCCCGAGGACACATGGGTATGCGACCGGGAGACATCTCAACCGACCCATGCATCATGCATCAGATACGGATGAGTTTGCGTGAGGAATGTCTCCATTTTACTATATTTAATGAGGGCCAGCAGCACAGCAGTGACAGGCACAGCCCTTCCTCTCCTTGCAGCCTCCTGAATCACAGATTTGGAATCACAGATCTGGACTTCACGCCAGTAATGGGCCATGTCGCACACACCTTTGACTCAATGATGAAGCGTCCCTTTTTGGGTTCCTTGATTCCCAGCCCCACAGCGAGAGAAACGCAGAAGGAAGCTACTGCCAGGCCGATGGGCGCAGCACGCCAGGTTATGTTATGGACCTTGAACGCGTACGCGATATTCCCCCCCATCACCACCGCCACCGCCTCCCCCGTGAAGATCAGGGCCTGCCCGATGCTGCGCCAAAGCAGGCAACGCTCAGTCGTGAGATCAGGGACTATCACACTGTGAGGCATGCTAGTTTGTCCCTCCTTGTTTGCCCTTGCAGGTGCAGGAGCAGCTATCTTTTAGGGAGATACAGAAAATATAAGGCTTCTCCAATGCTGCGCCAAAGCAGGCACAGAAAGCCAAATGCTTCCATTCAAGAACATGGCCACTACTGCAGAGTAGGACATCCAGGGGAAAAAATAAGTACTGAACGGGCTCTGCCGCTTGAGTTGCCTTGACATGCTGTGTCTGGGCGAGTATCCACCTGTCCTACTTTGATTTAGCTCCCAGACAACGGTCCACAGCTGCGTAGCCAGAATAGATGTGATTTCTTTCGCCCTGTCTAGACTGAGGGTTCTGGTCCCTCTTGATCTTAGGGAGGGAGGGCAAAATACCTGGCGTGCTGTGGCGGCAGTAGATCAGATACCAGTGACACAGACAGAGTCAAGTGCACCGAAGCCCCCACAGAGCCCACCATCACAGCAGCCAGCAGCATCCCAAAATTCCTCGACAGCCCCTGCATCAGGAAAATAGCTGTCCTTGATCATCTATGGGATCATAAGATCATCATAAGATCATCTATAGGAGAGACTTGCAACCTGTGTCAGCGCACAGCCTTCTAAAGCATGCATTTTTATTACGCAAGTTTCCTGCCAAGAGGCAAGGTGCGTCCTGCAGACAAGCTGCAGTTCATGGCTGCCACATTCCTACCCCTTGTTGGACTCGCCATATCCAAGCAAACCCAAATTACCGTGGGCACAGTGCTCAGCATTTTTGCCACCCCCGCCAGCCAGGGATAAAATGCTTTCAAGCAGAATCCTGTCAAAGCAAAGCTGCTAGCACATAGGTCAAACACGTCTTTTTGGTGGTGGGGGGCATCATTAGTGAGCATGGTTCCAATTGAGCTACCCTTCACCAATCCAACAAATGACATGCAGAACCATGATCAATCTTTGTGGCTATTTAAGCCCCTGTGGCTTATAAAAATCAAAGAGGGCAGATGTATGGCCTTTGGCAAGACTTCGGATGTCCGCTTGGAAGCCACAAGTTGGCTCTGAAATTAATATTCAAACCCGTGCAAAAGCCGCATTTGACTTTGTGGCCTGAGTTGCCCAGGAAAAACCCAGTTTGAGCCAAAATTTCTCCAGAATCCTGTTTTCACTTTATTTTGTGATTTTGGACAATTTACTGAAAGACATTTAACAGCCACTTTGGCTTTCAGGCAAAATCCTCGGAAGAAAAACTGACCATGATGGCACATAAGGGGACATCCCGTTTTGGAAGGACTGTATTAAGGCTCACCTCCAGAATGTACATGCCCGACAACAGCAGGTTTGCCGCTGCCAGCACATAGGTGCGCGGCCAATTGTATCGGTCAACTCCCCACCCGAGCACAAGGGATGCAATCGCATTCACCAGCCCGCTTGCATAGCTGCAAAATAAGCAAAAAATATTATGGTTGCATGTTTCTCCTGCCAAGAGGCAAGGCGTCTCGCAGACAAGCTGCAATCAAAGCCCCCTACAATGCCTTCCCCTTGATGCACGCGCCAAATCCAAGCAAGACCCAATCAACCGTGGGCATGGTGCTCAGTATTCATACCGCCCCCCCGCCAGCCGGGGCAAAACACGCAGTGCCCACATCAATTTTGCCAATCGTTGCTTGACACAGTATCATTGGAGGAATCTACAGGTGCAACTTCGCATTGAGGCGGGATAGAATGCAGCATAAAGCAAGGCAGGTGTTGAAGTGCTTGCAGGCTAGAAATTTGTGACTGCAAGAGAGTGTGTGAGGTATGGAAATTTGTGGAGATAGAGAGAATGGACAGGAAGAGATGTTACCCTGTGAGCAGGCCGTACTGAGCTATAGTGAGCCCACAGTCCTTCTGAAGCTGCATGCAAATAGGACTGAACTGTCAGCCCCTCACAGTGACAAATATAATTACTACCTGGCAATCTCCATGTGCACTCAGTTATCTTCAAAAAGAAAAAAAGCCCTTGTCTTCGACTCAACATACGGTAAATTTATAAGTGTAAACAAGAATCAGGTTTAAGAGCCTGATGCAGAAGCAGGCAGGCATCATGGATCATTGCAAGGAGCACCATTGCAAGAAATAATAGGTGTGGCAGAAAAACTCACAGAGGAGGTGAAGTAAGCGAGGATGGTGGAGTTGAGAGTGGGGACCAAAACCACGAAGAACAGCGCGGCCACTCCATACCAGGCAGCAATCTGCTCCCGCCGAGTCTGCTGCAAGCCGACCACAAAGGGGCCAATAGTCCTGGGTCCCTGCAGGGCCTTCACACGTCAGAAGATGTGCCATTTTGGTCCCCGACATGTCTTCAATACCTTCCCAACATCCTGGAACCTTGTGCTCAACATCGATGTATCTGCTTGTGCTATGGATGCTCACGATATCTCAGCAGGACGAGGGGTGGGGGAACCTGATCGGTGCACAGGTGTGTCTTACGGGTTTTGGGAGTCACAACATGCTAAGAGACAGTCTGACTAAGCTGTGAAGCAGTGTGTCACTGGTGGGTGGCTCACTGCATTCCTAGATATTCGTGCTGACGGCGTGCAGAGATCGAAGAGGGGCTCACGTTGTTCGAGAATTCGGAAGCTCCATCGATTTCAGTCTTTGCCAGATGACGATCGTCTGCGCATTTTACTGGCTGCTCCTCATCGTGCTTCATCTGCCGTGCTGGCGATCACCGTCACTCGAGGTGCGTCCACTTGCGAGAGAAGCAATATGTATAGGTAGAGTAGATGTAAAACAACCTTCCGATGATATCGTGAGTTTCCAGTAATTGTCACAACTTCACAACTATAAACTTGGTTTCGGCACTTCAGGAGCGGGTGCGATAGATCTGAACACCCGTTCTGGCCATCCAGATGTGCAAGCAAGCAAACATTTCCTTCTTAAGTCTTCCTTTCGACCTGGGTGCTTCGGCAGAGGGGAATTTGAAGAGCAGGATGAGATCAACATGCTTTCTGTCAGTAATCGTGACAAACGCAGGGTTTTAAATCACAGAAGGGTAAACCCTTCAGGGTTGTCATCATAAAAACACCATCCAGCTTCACCCTGAATGGCATGACGCGAAGCGGTGCTCTATTTCAACTTATGGCTTCAGAAATAATATCATATTGGAATTCTTTGGTGTGGTGAGCCACTGGCACTGCGCGATTCATACTCAGTCTGCCGAGAAGGAATGAGACATGCACCATTGCTGACGTATCCAACGCGTTGTATGACAAGGTGCAACATGAACTGTTGAGCTGTTTAGATCACTTCTTGGTAAATACTGAAAGGTGCTCAATCTACATCGAGAATACTCCAATATCGCATATCAGCAACAACCTGATTCAATAGTGCAGCAGAAAGCCACCTGAGCGGGAGGGTCTCTTAAGCTCCCGATCCGAGAACAGATCTGCGCAATACATATCTGAAGAATTGCTTATCTATAATACGGTTCTTTTTGCATTGGAAGACTTGCTGGATTCCATATAGCAGGGCCAAGGAAGTACACATCACAGTGTCTTCTTTGGGGGCCTTGAGGGCAAATTCCTTGAAAACGCCATTCGGTACTGCGTTGTCAAACTGCAGAATGACATTTTACCTGAGGATCATTTTACCTGATGTAATTTCAGCCTGAAAGAATAATATCACGTCCAAAGGATGAAGTCTGGTCCATCAGCTTGAGTATGGTGAGTGACTTGCTCTCCTGATAAACCTCCTGCAATCTGTTTTTCTTCAGTCGTAATCTCAAATGGCCCAACGTCCTGGCCACAGCGCGTTAAGTGGATCTTATGCAGAGACTCTTTGTTGCCTGCAGGATGGTGCTAACACATTGGAGACGCCCTGCGATCCTCACTACTAGGTCGCCTAATCGACCCATGCTTCCCACTGCCACGGTACTGATCTGCTGCCCAACATTGGCACTGCCCCCCTATCTCTAAGTCTGCTGCATCTGCTTATTGTCTCCAGGGCTGCAATCCTTCATCACAGCCATGGTCAGACACGCATTGGGATTCAAAATGTTTACTTGCCTTGCAAGAAATCAGTGCATGCAATGCAGAGCACTGGAGCATCAAAAGGTGTGCCTCCTGTGCAGGCTAACAAGGCGACAGGGAGGAGACCTCTAGTGCAGGCATGCCTCGACCGGCGGAACTGGCTATTTCTGCCAGTAGTAGGCGTGCTAGTCCTGGGACTGCTCTCTATGTCAGGCTTCTGGGACTGTGTCAAATCAGATGAGGTGCGTCGAGCACGCGCATTCTGAACCTTCTCATAGCTTCACACAGCTGACCAGTACAGACGTGTGTGTGTGTGTGACAATTGCTAACAGTCCAGCCTGCACTGCCAATGTCGTGACCCAAAGCAGACACATCAGAAATAAGTTAGTTTAGATACACAAGTGGAAGACCGCCTGTAAGACTATGAGCCTTGGGTGCCTCCAAACATGTTTCTGAAAGGAAAGAACGTTATTACGTGATGTAGTAGGAGTGTTTTTTACAAGCTGTGGTCCATCTTAATTCAACTAGAGTGGTCCGCACATAGGCACTTGCTTAAATACTTTCATGTCTCTACTTTTCATTTTACCTGTGCATTTGCTGTTGTTTCGAGCCCCCAGCCCCTGTTTTATACAGCTCGATATGGTTGGGCAGGCTATAACAAGCATGGGACACATTTCCTCCGATGCTCCTCTAGATTGGGCGGAATAACTACCTTACACCCTAAAAATGAAATTCGAATTTTCTTGGCGCAGGGCAAATGCGAGGTGCACGCGGTGCCAGCGGCCATTGATTTGCCGAGGTGGTTCAACGCCAGCTGTCCCCTGGTGTACCAAAGGTGACCACGCCATTCTCAGCTGCTACGATATTGGCCAGTGTTGCACCTGCTGGATGTTTCTCAGCCGGTATGAGCATGTTGTGCGCACTCGGGAGCGGCAGGGAGCTGCAATGTTGGATATTGTTGAATGGGTGACGTGGGCGCGGTGACTTCAAGATGATATCAAGAGAGATGCAGAGCTTTTTAAATGACTCCTCCTAGAGCAGACCATGCGGGGGTCTGCAAGATAACCAACTGATATAATACAATTTGCCGCGCTTTGTGGGCATTCTCATCGGGACTTGACTCAGCGGAGCATGTGCAGGACATGCAACAAACAGCTGCATGTCTGCAGCGCTGTCTGGGTGACTCGCCGATGGCCGATTTACCAAGCGCAGGAAATCCTGCAAAGAGCTGCAGAGGCTGTGCTGTCTGAGTGATTAGGTGAAGGTTGACTCACCAGGGGTTGACTCACCGATGGCTGACTCAGCGCGGGTGACTGGTGCGCAGGATACACTACGATGAGATGGCGCGGGGCGAGGCGCGGCCGTACCTGATGGGGGAGCGGCAGCGGCCGGGATGCGTCAACTGCGACAAAGACGAGCTGTGGTCGCACTTCTGCCAGTTCCGCAGCCACGGCCCCCGCTGCCCACCCCACGACCAGCAGCTGCTCTTCGACACGCTCCTAGACAGGTGCGCGTAGTATTTTAGATCCTGGAGTGCTGTTTAAAGCACCGTTAGGAAATATACCGTTCCAGTTCACTCGTACCTGCTGCAGCTTGGGGTGTGAAAAGTTCTACTTTGCACCTTAGAGGGAGTACATGTTCAGGTCATCAACCACCTGCGGTCTGCTTGGGTCTGCGCACAGCAGCGTGCATGCTCCCATACCTGCTCTGCACAAGCTAAATGCTGCTTTACGGGACCGACTGTCCAGCTGGTGTTTTGCCTGCTGGTGATTTAAACGCTTCCAATCACTTGGATTGCACCAGAATGTAAGATGAACATCAGATCAAAACGTCATGGATTTGTATTCTTTGGGTGCATGCTAGCAATGGGACTGTTGCGGGGTGTGGCAAGTAAAGAGACCACCGGGAAATGTTCTGGCTCCTAAGGAGGATTCTGGGGCTTGCACGGACCCTTCTGGCATCCAAAAGGAAGCCTGGAAACAGCAGTGTGTACCCAAAATGCACCGTAACACATTGAATACCCAAATGGTTGTTTGGGCCGCAGGGCGAAGGTGGGCGCCCCAGGGTCACGGGAGCTCTTGGAGTTGACGCCGTGCGATTTATTCCCCTACATCCGGGGGCGAACCCTGTGGCTCGTCGGCGACTCCATGATGCAGGTCAGCCACATGCTCTTTGTTGCATGGCACCTGTATATAATTCAACTACTTCCAGTACTTTTGTGCCGCCGCGCCGCAATTGGCTTTGGATGTCCCCCTTTGCTTTACTCCTTTAGATTCCTTCTTTCAACCAGTCTGCCCTTGAGCAGCATCACTTGCTCAGAAGAAATCCAGTTCTGTGACACTGAATTGGCACGTTGGCACTGCAGCAGCCCTCAGTAGGCGCCAGTAGACATCTCTGTCAGACAAGCTTCAGTCATCTTGCGCAGTCTGCAGCCAGGTGCTCCTTGCTGATGTCAGCAAGAGGTAGCTCGCAATTGTGACTCATATGATGACGTCACTCCGCGTGCAGGAGTTCATGCGGGCGCTGCAGTGCTTCATGTACGAGTTCTGGGACCTGGAGACCAAGCCGCTGGATACACTCATAGCCGACAAGGGCGCGACCGAGGGCCTCATAGGCGGCTGGTGCGTGCTGCTGCCAGAGCAGAGCCGCATCTGCCATGTGCGAAGGTGAGTGCCTACATCAGCTGAGAAGCTTCCAATCTTCCTATGTTTGCAACGGTGCTGAGCAGTCAGGCCTCGTGGTTGTCAAAAGTGTTCTCTACTTGTGCTCGGGGACGGTGGGTATGGCTTTGTGTTGTGTTAAGTTGGAACCATGCATCAGCTATTGGAGACACCTTCAATAAGGTCTGTTAGGTCCAGGGGGCTGTGAGATGCTGAGGATTCACTCCATCATACGTGGCAATCTCTCTAAGGCTTCCTGACTCCCTTTTGGGCCCCAGGGAGTCATGAAGGCTGCCCCATGTATGCATGGAGAATGTTCCAAAGACTGCCGGGCTCCCACATGCTTGAACGCTAAGATCATTAAAGTATGACAAGCGTATGGTGCATACAAGACATTGCGAGTGCCAAGTAGGGAGAACGGGCTGCCGTGCAATTCACGTCCTCTCTACATAAAAGCAGAAAACAACGAAGATCATGGTGTGCTGTGATTGAGCGCTGCCTGTGCCTTCGTCCTCCGCAGTAACATGGGGGACTGGTTGGTGACCAACCTGCTGCCGCGCTTTGCACGGCTTGGCGCTCTGCCAAGCGACATAATGATCCTGAATTTCGCGGTCTGGATCAACAAGGCCGAGGAGCTGGCCGCCAATGTGATGATGTGGGCCGAGTACTACCAGCGCTTCAGGGACTCGCTACCCTTCACCATCTGGCGGGATGCCTCCATACAGCACTTTGACACGCCCACGGGTGCGCCACCTCACAGGCTCAAGGCTGTCTTGGACGTCTCAGACGGCTTGTAGTAGGATGCTCTTCGTTCCTAGTTCCCCTTCCTAGGGGATGTATAGTCCCAGTGTCATTATGGCTGTGACACCGACAAATGCCATGGGGTCTAGAAGTGCGCAAAGCAGTGGCGGGGCTCAAGATATGACAGGAGGCCACTTATGATGCGGCTCTGCTGATATTGAAGGCGCAAGAGGGAATGGCAGCATGCTCAAGCCTGCCAATTCTGTTGCCAGTGGCACAGCCCATTTTTGTGACCGATGTTGCTGATCGTCTCTGGCATCTTTGCTGCGCTGGTGCCACGCTGTCATTGCAAAGGATGAGGGTCTGAACATGTGAGCCAAGACTCCGCATGCTTGGAATCTGTACATGAGGCTGGCATGATAAAATCGCATGGCATCTCTTTACCCGGCGGCATCGGCTGTGCAGGGGACTACAAGTGTGATGGCTGCGTGGATGCCAAGCCCAGGGCGGATGACACTGGCTTCAACTGCAAGGCCATGGATTTGGTGACGCTTAATCCTGCCAACGAGCTGGAGACCACCGACCCGGCCATGCAGGTGCAGCACAGCTTCCCACTGCTCTTGATATGGAATCTGTGCCAAAAATTGGAGAAATTTACAAAGCTTCACAGAAGCCTTCCCTCTGCTTTCGATATGGAATCTGTGCCAAAAAATGGAGAAATTTACAAAGCTTCACAGAAGCCTTCCCACTGCTTTTGATATGGAACCTGTGCCAAAATTTGGAGAAATCTAGAAAGCTTCACAGAAGCACATCAGCTTGCACAGGAAATTGCGTGCAGGCATATTAGTCAGCGCATGAAGCTGGGCGCAGACTCCTGTTCATTGCACCATGTCTCTTGAAGAAGCAAGAGATTGTCTGTGCTTAAGGATTGTGCCATTGCCCAGTGCTCACATTTTTCAGCAGCGGTTAGGATCTTCACAAATCTGCCTGTACAGACCTGTTTCTTGAAGAAGTAAAAGATTGTCTGTGTAAGGGAATTGTGCCTTGCTGAGTTGTACGCGGTTCAGCAGCGGTTAGGATCTCCTCAAATCTGCCTGTACAGACTTGCCTACATGGCCAAGTCCTTGCATGAGTAATGAGTCGAAGCTGGCACCTCAGGATCCAGCGCTATCAGATCAAGGCGAGGCACTTAGTTTGTATCCCTAAGCAGGCAAATGGAAAATGGAAATTTTAGGCTCAATTGAACTCAATGAATGTGCAGGTGATTTTGGAGGGTGGCTGGCGCAACAGGGTGACGTTACCTGTGATGGAGAAACTGGGCATTCCCATCGTGCACACGTGGAACCTCAGTGTGCCCCTCTGGCAGTACCACCACAGCTTCCAGGTCAGCTTCCCCCCCATTCCTTGCTACTGTACCTTTGAAATCCTTTCATCACCTCGGGAGTTTCATCACCACCAGACTTGCATCCTCTGCCGGAACCTGAGTCTTTGCTGGCTGCTGCATTAGTTCCACTTGCTGCCCAGTACAATGTGGTTCCCCTGCAAGTCTGTTTAGTGCCAGGATTGCGGCACTTTTTTGGTGAATCACCGCAGCCTCAGGCTCTTGTCGCAGATAATTCGCCCGCCTGGTGCGCGCAGCTTCCATGCTGACTGTTGCACCTGTCAATCGCTGTTCTTTTGGCCTGAAGTCCGCATGCGCTCTTTGCCGGGATCAGCACAGATTGGTGAGGCAATAGTGAGCAGATTTTGGAGGGTTGCTGCTGGGGCATTGTAATAAAAGCTGCGGCCTGACCAAGACTTCGCTGTGTAATTCACAGGAGAAGGATGACTGTACGCACTGGTGCCATCCGAGCGGTTACCAGGTCTGGATTGCGCAAATGCACCAGACGCTGCGCAAGCACCGCTCGGCCATTCCGCCTCCTGGCAACTGGCCGCCGCAGCCCGGCGGCTCATGACCACTGGAGAAGACACCCCAAAAGAGAAGGGAGATGGCCCGTCCCGGCAAGCACTTGTTCAAAGGGAGAAAGACGGAGGCGGGTGGAAGGGAGTAGAGAAATTCTGTGAAGAGAGAACGGAAGTACCCATGTTGGACATGTCATGTGTGCACCTCAGGTGTGGCTCATGTCAAGGGAAAATGGACTAGTTGTTAGGCATAATTGGGAAGGTTGCAAGCGCGAAGTGGGGAAATTGCTGTCGGTTGTGGAGTTGCAATATCCCGTGGTGAAGAAGCTGGCCAATTTGTGGAGGATTTCACCACAGTCAATGGACGAAATTCTATCCCCCGACATAATTGGTATAGCGTCTTTCATAGGAAGATTGACCCACTGCTGCATATGACGTGGAGACTGGCCATGCAGATTGCAAGCAATTCTGAGTCAGTGTCGGGGGTTCGATACCCCCGGCCGAGGGTGCAAAAGGAAGTTTTCCTATTTTTCCTGAAGTTACTGTTTCCTACAGAAAGAGATGTACTGTATCCAGGCTACATTTAGACTTGTGCACAAGTCTACATGTAGAGTACAGCTTCCCTTGTGAGGACTGTCCGGATAGTCCTCACGAGGGAAGCTGAACCGTACACATCAACACAGTATTCTATACCCCTAGGTCCTGATGTCAGAACATCAAGCTTCAGAACAATTCTTTTGCTTTTGGGAGCGGTGCTGGCAGCGGCAGTGTCAGTGCAACCAGTAATATTAGTGATAAATCTTCGCATCATTTGACTCCCAGGAGATTGGATGCAACTTGCAAGAGACGGACTGGGTTCTACAAGCGTCCTCAGGAACAAAGATAAATAAAAGTGCAAAATGTCACCACCACCTTGAAGTCACTTTCATCACTGTGTATCGGTCAGGAGCTTCTTTCAAGAAGCAATCATGAAGATGTTGCACATACATCCTGCCACAACCCCCTCGTGCATCTTGCATGTCGTGCAATAGAATGCCCTAAGGGTAGGGATTATTTTTCCACCCAAAATAACTACATTCCCCACCCAGAATCCCTAGGAATTTGGACTGCTTGTTTGGCATCGAAATACCTGGAGGAATTTCCCCAACCTTCGTGTGAACGCACCCTTGGACTCCCGTGCAACTTTGGGCCGCCCTTGTGGGATGTTCGGTACTGTAATACCATATACTGGCATTGCACGTGGCACTAAACCTCAATGGCCCCCCAGTCTTAACTGGACAGTCATATCTTTCAAGGGGAAACACATCTGGATGCTCTCAATTACCTTGTGGGATGAAGGGGCGTCTGTGCCATGGCATATTGCAGGACTGATCAGGAATAGAGGGGCAGAGTTTTGTGCAAGGACATGCCCGCTCAGATGTCCGATAAACCTGTAGGTAAAATGGAGAGCAAAACCGCTCAATACAGATAGCTTCTGATGAAGGGGAATTGTTTGTCTCGGCTGTCCAAGAAAGACCATTTACATACTTGGAGATGCTCTCTTGAGTGACCCCACAGGCCAGCTCTGCAAGACAACCCACACCTGCTTCTATCACAATCTAGCACAACACAGCTGTGACAACGATGTCTGCAAGCATGCAGTGTCGATGTGTTATTATGAATCCCCCAAGATAAAGGCAGGGCCATATGAGCATCCAGAGAGGATCCCCTGTGCACAGCTTAAAGTACAAGATAATCAACAATAGGTCCCCTAAAACCAGCAGCCTGCAAATATTCACAGGGATACATGAAGAAGCAAACGTTTATTTTGGGCATTTCTCTTTGCTGGGCATTTCAGCCAGCTCCCCAGCCATATATACAACCATACTTCTTGCTGCACGTGTTGCATGCATGCAATGCTGAAAATTTGGCCAGCTCTGCGGACCCACTCCCCCGGGGGCTCGGGACAGAGCCACTTTCCTGAGCGGCAGCTCTTCTTGTAGCACAGGTACTTTCAAGCCTCTGAAGAAGCTGCTCCTGCAGCCCAGCAGAAGCACACAAGCGGCTTTCTGGGAACAATCAATCAGCAATCTTGGAGGCTTAAGCCGTTTGCTGGCAGGCCCCCAGAATAGATTTCCCGGCCTTAGGAGAGCTGCAAAGGCTTTCGCAACCACTCACCCTGGCAGGGCCTCTACACAGACCCAAGGCATGCATTCCCATCGATTAAAGGGCCTAGGCGTCTGCAGGAGCCGGCAAGCGGCATACATCACTGTTGCTCAGGCGAGCACAGCTGGCAGCGATCGCACTGCAGCAGTCGCTGAAGCAGACATGCGCAACTTTACACCTCAAGAGCTATTGCTGCACAGGCCCTCACACAGACCCCTAGCAGCAAACTCCCCTGCATCAGAGAGCCCATGGGTCCGTACAAGGCCCCAAGCAGGGGCCTTGCACACACCCAAATCCCCTACCTTATAGAGCCAGGTAAGTCTGTAAGAGCCGCCAAGCCCCTCGCGTCACTTGTGCCGTCACTTGTGCCTGCGCGCTCGGCTCCAACCCCTGCAGGTGTTCATGCAGCCCCCATGCCCCTCGATTATACGGTCCGGGGGGTCTTCAAGGGTCTGCAGAACGGCGCGCATCACTTGTGGGGGCGCGCGTGGTCGCACACTTCGCAGGTGTTGCGCCGCGGGTCCTGGTTCACATAGGTGCAGGCCGTGCAATGCCAGAATTCCCAGCCCTCTCCGTCGCTGCCCCCTTCCAGAGCCGCCGCTGCGCCGCTGCCGGACGCGCCTGCTCAGGAAATCCAGAAATGTTGTCAAGTCCCTGCAGAGGGCGCAATGTGAGGCTCTGATGACCAGCAGAATAAGAGAGGGTATTGGAGCCAACGGCGTGCGCGATGTGACGACGTGGGGCTGTGCTATTCAGCTGAGGCTGCGCTGGGGCGGGGCAAGGGCGTTTTTGTCAGGTATACAAATGTTAATGTGTGCGCTGCTGGTTGAGTGCCAGAACACTCTGATGCTATAGCGCAGGGGCCACGGGGAGACACCATTGTAAGCATTCCCTCCGACTGTTTTGGGTTCCCAATCTCTCGAGTGCAGCAGAATAGAGCAGAATAGAGCGGTGCGCACCCCTAGAGGATGCGACGGGGGCCTTTTTAGGAGGGGCGGCTTGCCTTCCTCTTAAAGAAACTTTCCATCACACCTCTGTTGTATTATCCCTTGCGTGGTTTTCCTCATTCTCAGTGAGGGCTCAGCTCTGCGGGTTATAAAAGAGCACGCACCCTTGGAGGATGCGCCGCGGGCCTTCTTGGAGGGCCGGGAAGCCTTCTTCTTGGCCGCGGCGGAGGGTGCGGGGGGAGAGGGACCTTCGGCGTCGTCTGTGTCCATGTCACCCCCGTACGCATGCAGCATCTGCTCCAGCCCCTTCTCCAGCTCCTGGGAGCAGGCGTGACAAGCAGGATTTATTGTCAAAGAGCTTCTTTTATAATCACGTGCCTCCAATGAGGGCCCAACTATTGATGCACACCTAGCGGATTTGTGCCCATGGCAAGGGAACGAAGGTCTATTTAGCCATTGGCGCGCTATAAGCACTGTCAGAGCATTGGACCGAGAAAGGGGCTCCTTTCAACACTAGGTCGTGGCAGTCACGGCGCTGGTGTCTACTGTTAGAGCAGCGGTATCGACAGAAGGCTGTTGGTTTCGTCAGAGCATTGTCAAGTCAATCTGCAAGTCTGTAATGACAGGCAAACTAGCGGGCGCTGACGAATCTTCAGCTAGAGAGATAGGTAAGTGAACGCAGCCCCCTCATATGCCAGGGAAGCAAGTTGCCATGCTGCTCTCAACCACCAGTGGTACTCGAAAACGTCACACTGTGGGTCGATCCCTATGTTCAGCAATTTTGCCTCACGCTAGAACAATTTCCCAGCACAGCTGCTGGTTACAAAGAACAAGTGCTGAATCTTCAGCCCCAGATGTTGGATGACACCACACATGCGCGCGAGCAAAGAATCGATATGTTAGCATTGTCGCACCTAGCGTGAGCCTTGTCGAGCTGCTTGCTTCTTCATTACGCGCACACAGTGCGACCTGCTGTGCTGGGCAAAGCAAACCATGCGAGTCCATGGGACCGAAAGGCTACGTGGCATATCCTAAGCCGTAATCACCGAACCATAATCCCTAAACTTAGAGGGCCATCTTATATGGGGCAGCAGGAAGCGCCCCCCACCTGCACGAGTTTGTTGAAGTGGTTGCGCGTGACGTCGGTGAGTCCGATGAGCGTCTCGCGGAACTTGCCCCAGCTCTCCGCGGCTGCGCTGCCTTCCAGGAACTGGATCACCTGCTTCTCCGCCATCCCGTGCAGCTTCTCCAGGAAGTACTCCGCCTGGCCCTGCACACGCGAGCACACCAGCTCCCATGGTCAGAAGGGAACGCATCATGCGCAATCCTCTCGCCTTAAGCAACCAGCCAGATGACACCAATGTGCAATCACGGGGCTTTGAATTTTAGCATGGAGTCCCCTAGAATTGCACCATTTTGTCCCTCTAGGGAGCCTTCTACATATGTATAGAGTCCCATACCGCCAGACCCTGAGGGGGTTGAAAGAAAGTGTGGCTGCAAGCCAGCAACATCTGGGATGAAGTGGTCAGCAAACATTATTTTTTCAATGCTTTGGGCTCAGTGGAGCATCCAAGATACAGCGAGGCCTGTGCTGATGATATATTCTGGGAGGACGCCAATCCGGGATTAGCAAGAGTAACCCTGGGGTAGAAGACCCGCTGCCTTTGGCGGCAATTGTGGTACCTCTTGAGACGGCAGGACCGTGACTGCTTGCTGCAAGCAGACGCTGCCCACGGCCTCAGAAAGACCACAAAAGACGGCCAAGGCAGCGAGACTTGGACGTATTGCATGAAAGAGAGTCAAATTGCGTGCCTTCAAGCGCTACCCACCCAGGTACTGAGCGTGACTTCTACTTGTTCCTGCTAGTGGTGACACTGTGGCACTGTAAGAGTCCTACTTGGCGCCTGAAGCTGCACCTCAGGGGCATCTAGCTTTCATTCTCTGGTTATCTTCACGACATACAAAGCAGCATTGAGATCTGTTGCAGGTGCGCGCACCTGATTGAACTCAAAGAACTCCTGCTGCTGCTTGAGCGTGTCGGCGGAGATGGCGGCGCCGTTGGAGCCGAGCGCCTGCTCGCCGAAGCGGTAGTAGCCGAAAGCGTAGGTCCACTTCAGGATGCGCCGGCAGTCCACCACCTGCACAGTGAAAGCAAATTTAAAGCTAGCAAACTGCAGAAAAATACGAGACTTTGAAACCTCCTCGCAAACAGCAAGAAGTCTGTAATGTCGAGAACTCCTCTCCAGAGATTGGCAACCACATGCTAGCTAAAGTGTAACATTATGCATGCAAGAGCTGGTGCAATGGTGAAGTGGTCTCAGGCACCAGGACCGAGAAGCAAGCAGAATTGGCATGCAATCTAACACCTACACGATGTGCGCAGGAGAAAAGGGAGATGCAGGTTTATAAATTCCTGGCACCCTGACGAATCAACGGTGACCAGCATATATGTGTGCATGAAGCACAAAGATTCGAGCAGCCTCAGCAGGCCTTAGGCGACAGAAGACATTTCACAGCAATTGCTAGGAGAATGGCGCCCACCTGCGCCCAGGCGTCGGGCAGGAACTTGAGCTGGCTGGTGGGAGTGGCGGTCAGCTCGGAGAGGCCCTCCAGCTTCTGCTCGATCACGTTGGCCATCGCTTTGAGGGCCGAAATGCGCGCGCGGTCGTTCTCGGCCCAGCGCTGGTAGTAGTGCATGTAGCGCTCAAGCGCGTTCTTCGCGTGCTCCCGCTTCAGCGCCTCCTCGTCGTAGTCACCCTTCTTCTTCGCCACCTCGTATCTGCATTTGAACTTAAAATGTCAGTGTGCGGGGTGACAATTTACTGTGTAGAGGGTGCACAGGCTTGCTTCATGTACATTTACAGCATTATGATTTCCAGGGTGGCTTGACGAGGGCCCAAAGGTTGTTTTTGTGACGTTCCTGACTTATAAGTGATGTGCAAGAGCATGCACCAAGCTGCAAACATGACAGGTTGACAAGGCTGGCAGGCAAGGTTACCACCTCATTTGGTGTTCTACAAGCAGAGGCGGTGGTTCAGGAGAATCTCATGCTATTTGGTCGCAGTATGTGGCGCTTCAAGCTGCAACACCTCTGTTCACAGGACAAGGCATGCCATATCTAAGATCACTAGCCGTTACCCGTAACGATCACACGAAGCATTGCCTCCAAGAGAATGCACTATGTTGTCGGACGATAAGAGCAGAGCGCGCGCCTGTTGCAGGCGTAGAATCCGCCGGTGCGCTCGCCGTGCTCGGCCCAGGAGCCCTGGCAGAGCCAGCAGAACTCGAAGCGGCACTGGCTGCAGGTCATATGCATGCAGCCCTGGTTTTTCTCGATGGGCCGCTTGCACTTGGGGCATTGCTTGGTGTGCGCAAGAATCCAATTTAGGTTCTCGCTCTCCGCGCTGTTCTTCAGGATCCACTTGCCCACCGTCTCGCAGTCCACCTGCATTGGGACAATGGCACTCTCGGGGTTTGAACATAAATCTAAGCATACATACCGTATCACATAGCTCTTCTACTTGGCGGACCAGAGGCCAAAAGAGCTCAATGCGCTAATTGAGAAAACAAGCCATGCTTGCATTGCACCATGCAACACCTGGCACGTGAAACGCGAACACAAACAAGTGGACGCCCTGTACGCTGCCTCCACAGCAAGCTCCCCGCACTTTCCGTAGGACACAGGTTCCACCTGTCCTCACCTTCATCTCTAGGATATGGAGGAACAGCGTGTGGCATGACTTCAGGGACACCTCATGAAGGGAACTTTGAGGTCGGAAAGCAGAAGAGGAAAAGGGCGGCTCACCGGGCGGTGGGCCTCCTCCTTGCACTGGAAGCAGAAGGTAGCGCCGCATGAGCAGGCAATGTCCATGGGCTCCGTGCCCACCTCCACCCGCGACTCCACCGCATGCTCGCACCCGGGCGACGGGCACCTGCCATCACGCACACAGTCTGACTGGCAACGATGGTGAGTGTTTGCACTCTGATGAGAATAACATTTGTGCTTGGACGGCAATACATGTGAGACTTTGTATCTCCTCCAAAGGTGGTCGGCCCTAGGACAGAGACACATGATGGGCAAGATTGGTAAGACTGCACACCACCAAATTGCACTGGACCAGGTCCTCGCCATATATCAAATGCAGTCTTAACGCAACATTAATGCAGTATAGGTCTCATTCCCAAGAGCAGGGATGACACACAGCCACGTGCTGTGAGACCATGTAACTCATGATTGAGTTGTTCATTTGCCCTCACCTGAGAATGACAAAACCTGTCTAAACGGCAACGAATCTAACACCTTAAAAAGTCCTCAAAAGCAGGACCGCTGTTATGAGGAGAAAGTCATGGAGCGTAGTTCTCACCAGGTGAGCTGCGCGTTATCTTCAACAAAGCTGCGCATGGCGTACGTGTCGTAGCGCCGCGCGTCCGACTCGCTCACCACCTCCTTCACCACCGCCGCCGGTACCTGCACGGCAGCCGCCACGGGGCATTAGACATGTGGCGTTCTCTTTGTTACACAGAACTGAAGGAGTGCATGATGGTTTCTAGGCCACAATAGAGATCCGCCAACATTATAGGCACCTGTCCAAAATGCAACAGGTTTCCATGCACAGGGCCTTGCCGCGCCGTGCCGTGCCGTGTCCCCAGCCATCCTCTACCATCACCGGCGGCAAATAGGCGATGCTTTGCTATCCGAGAGATGCATGGCACATATGGTGCCACCCTTTCAAGAATCCCCACTACAGGGCTATGTGTGCAGATGCAACAGGACCACATGCGCATCTCCACATTGGCTAAAAGATATTTTTTTTGCGCAAGCACAATTCTGTCTCTATCCATGGTGGCTACGCAGCTCTCAATCCTTCATTGGGCCTCTATGTCTTTGAGTAACACAAGAATTGGCAAATGGCCTGTGGCTGATCATCTTTATGTAGTATAATTACATGTATATATGACCCTTAAGGCTGGACTCTAAGGAGGAGAAGGGCTTCACCGCGGCTGGGCAGTCTGGCAGCGGGCATCGCAGGCTCAGCACAGAGGGGCCGCTGCCGATGGCCGTGCTGATGTAGCCCCGCCAGCAGGGTTTACAGAAGAAATGCTTGCAGCGGGCCGCGCGCATGTGCTTCAGATCGAACTCGTCAAAACAGATCCGGCATGTCGCCTGCACAGCAGTAGTAATTTCACTATAATCATCTTTTCAAGATGGGAGAATCAGGGGCTGCCACTTTTGATTGATTCGCTTAATGGGGCATTAAGAGTATTAGAGTCCATTCTTAAGTACTGCATTGCAGTGTCCCAACAGGATGGCAGAGTCTAGAAGGCACCTTGCCGGAAGTGGATGCTTGTGGGGCCTCCGCTATCAAGCCTACTTTCCTTCTGACCGATTCCTCATCCGCGAACCACTCTTCGTTCACCCTGTTGGCGTCCCTACGAAACACGATAGAGAATGGTCAGTCCCTTGGTCTCTCCAAAGGAAGCCACAATCAGAAACATATGCAAACGTCAGCAAATGATCTGTCGAATAAGAGCAGTTGCGCAGACACAAGTGCATCATCAATGATGTTTGTAGAAGGATTAAGCAAGACTGATAGGGCCGCGTGAGCTCACCACTTGAATTGTCTCAAAACTCGCACAACCTCGCCATCGCTTATGGACAGCACCCCTGCCACTGCATTGACGGCGTCTTGCTGCCGTGCTCTCAACTGCTCCTCATTAAAAACGACGTACGGTACCTGCACGTCGATGGAAAAAACGACTTGCTTACCACACTCGATGTGCCTCGCAAAGTGCAACTATTTAGCTGCTTATTGTTCCAGCATGACAATATCTGTGTACTCCACAATCGAAGGAACATCACCTTCTTTGCATGCGTCTCCATCTCAGCCTGAGAGTCGAAGTCAAAGTCTTCGTCCTCTGACCCCATGGCTCCATAGGAGTCCTCCGCGCTGCTATAGGCGTAGTCACTATCCATCCCGTGCAATCTGGGACGATCTGACACGCCCACAGGCACAAGCAGCCCTACCTTCGCCAAAATTTATTCGCCTGACCGGTACACAGGGGAAACGAAAGGAACAACCTGGTTGCAACAAAGGCCCTCCGGCGCTCTACCTCGGCGAGCAACTTCTGACTATTTAGATGGAGGCACAAGGGCGTTCCTGGCTATGGCATATTATGCAGTGCACTATTACGAGCTTTGCCACCATCCAGATTGCCTGCACACAACTGAAGTCTCCTGACAGAGTCGCCTGTTCTGGCAACTTTGCCACGCTGGCAAAATTGGCACATGACGCATTCACGTGCAAAATCAGAGCGAAATATATCACGGAGGAGTCTTTCGCGCGAGGTCCTCGTGCCCCCTTGCATCTCGTCCGCGCTTACGCCCCCATGCTAACGACATCCATTGTCTGCCAAGGAAGTGTCCGCGAAGCAGTCGAGCAAATGCTGCCTCTCTTATTCGGGCAAGTTTGAGGGTTGGCAGTGGGGATTGGCGGTGCCGCAGCCACAGCAGTTCCTGACCCCCTTGTACATGGACGTCGCCTTCATTGGCGTGGCCGCCATTTCTTTTTGTCTTCCCGGCTTCTGGCTCTGTCTGGGTGCCCTGTGCACCGCGTTGGCTCACCTGCATTTTGTGCATCTTCACTCGTTGTGGTGTGCCCCTCGCCGATCCCATTGTTCTTTAACTTGTGATTTTGCACTCCTCATCTTGCTTCTGGACTGTTAGAAGGACGGACGATCCTCCTTCGAAAGTGTTAAGTTTGGAAGCCAGGAACGTGTCACGTGTCTGTTAGAGAGTGCCAAGGAAAGAACGTTAGTGCAAAGGGTGCATCTCTACACAGACATTTCTTAAATCTGCCCCTGCGTCTACAGGGTGGTAGAGGTCGCATTCGTCACAGGCCTCATCCTCTGCTTTAGTGGCATTCTTGGGGCTTTTGGAGCAACCCGTCGGTGCTTGTGGCCAATCTCAGTGGTAAGGACGTCTGCATTGTTGAACTGATGTACTCTATTGCTGCTGTGAGGGTTCTCTTGTGTTTACTTGGTGTCACTGCCGCCCAATCTTGGTAACAAAAGTCTGTCTTGGTTGTGACGCAGTTTGTTGGAACTGCCTTTGCTGTAATTTCTTTGGAGGCGGCTACGGGAGTTGTCTTCCTCTGCCAATGGTGAGTGACCTTCAGCTGCAATCAGTGTGGGCACATCTAAGGCACAATGTCCTCATACTCTTTCTAGATTATGGGTTGCACTGTCACATTGAAACGCGGCTGGCTCATGCGCATGCGATATTGGCCTTTGAGATGGAAATTTTCTTTGTTGACCAATTCAGCTCCGTGTAATATTGATGCCTCAATCTGGCCAACTGAGCTTCATGCGATTATGGATGCTGACAATAAAATTGGCACGCAGGAACCTTGTGGAAGAGACAGCGAAAGAACATGATCAGACAGGCGCTCTGCTGCTGGTGCTGCGCTGTATTGAAGCCCACCCCATCATCTTCTCCTGGCTTGTAGGCAGCTTCTTCATCCTGCAGGCAAGCCCTTCTTCTACTCAAGACACTAAAACTCTGATCAGCACCTGGTCCTCCTGAAGAATGCCTCTGCATGCAAGCAGTTCCGTGTTCATTGCATGCAGCCTTTTTTTTTGTGCAAGCCCCAGTGAAACTGCCCTGCACTTGTGTGACTAGACGGTGGAATAGCGCCATTCTCCTGTCAGATGGATGGAGCATCTGAGCACTATGTGCCTGCACTGCAGGTCGCAACGCTGTTTTTGGCAGCGCACCATGCATTCAACATTGCCATGGACACAGAGGAGCCTGAAGAGGAATCAGGGTGAGTCACACTCTGTTGGCTGTGCCTGTCACACCCAACTCACATTACACTCTGAAAGTTTGATCACTTTGATTGTTAACTTTTGGGGGGTGGAGGGAACACCGCTTTCCTTCACACCTGACATACATCCCATCTCCTTCTCAGCAATTGCAAGACATTGTCAAGGCTGACTCTGCACTAGTTGGCAGCTCTGGCCGCTGCAGCTTGGAGCCTGTCTTCATCTATGACCACTCCTTTGTCTGAGATGTGTTGTGAGTCTCTGTTGAGATCTGTCGGCATGCATGGCACCCAAGAAGCAAAACCTTGAGCAGATGCTCAAATTCTAAAATAAAATTGTATCGCATGGAACTAATTTATTAGGGTATATGATAAATATGATTTTGTTCTCTGTCCAGCTTGGAAGAGGGGGATCGTTGTGGAGACAAGGCACCATTGCTGCTGGCATACGAGCAGGCGTACCTCCCCAAGCCCTCAAAGCCCTCCAGCCAGAACCCCGAAGGGGAGCAGCATTTTGTGTTCCCCCCGGCCTGCCACAAACAGGAGCCCAGTAAGGCCCGCTACAGGGTCCCAGAGTGGCGCGATGTGCTGCTGACTGCTGCGCTGCTGTGGCTTGCTGCAACCGGGCTCGTCCTCATCATCGCCATGGTCAAAGTGGACATGTATCAGGTGTGCTCCACCTTCTTATTGATAGCTCTGTCTCCAGATGTACCTGATATTTGTCAGGTGATGGGAAAGACAGGGGTGCGAAGACAAGCCTGGCTCAGTCCATGGGCCTTACCTCAACATTTGAGTGGTCCTATGTGTTTGTATGGACCCCTCTGGGCATTCTTATCTATCTTTTGCATCAATTTTGCCAGGATGAAGCTGCGTGCTGGACCTTTTCGCATCACCAGAGATGCGTGTGGATTACATAGATGCGATACATTGATCAACTTTGAGAGCAGCTCTCGAAGCTTGCATGAATATGGCGCTGCATTTGAATGAGAAGACAAAAGTTATATGCATGGTTTTCAGAAGGACATGCAGGAGTTGAGACCTGTGCATGTCTGTGTGCAGGATCCTGGCCTGGGACATCACGCTTCCTCTGCTGAGGACGGCCCAAAGCATGCTGTGCAGCAAATAGACCCCACCGCACTGCCAGCTGCCCATGCCGCCCCCTCAGGGGTCAAGTCACTGGTGCTCTCTGCGCTGGACAGCTTGGGCCTCCACTCTGGCAGCAAGGACCATGCGCATGATCACCTTCCTGGAAAGCATGTCATGGCTGCCAGCTCAGCAGATGATGACGACGATGATGATGAGAATGACAGCAATGATGACAGCGATGACAAAGAGGACAGTGATCATCACAACAGCAAGGCGGCAGGGAAGCACAGCGAAAAGGTGGAGAAACGTCCCAAGCACCGGAAGGAGGGAAAAGAGGAGGACAGCAAAGCCCAGGATCATGACCATGATGACAGCGAAGATGACAGTGAGGGAGATGAGAGTGAAGAGGAGGAGGAGAGGAATGAGAAGGGCAGCCGGGGCAAGGAGGATGCCAAGGAAGATGATGATGAAGAGGAAGGGGAGGAAGATAGGGCTGATATTGCAGGGGAGCTGGGAAAGAAGCCCTGGAAGAAACACCACCACCACAAGAAGCACAGGAAGCACCGCAAGCACTGCACAGAGGAGGATCAGCCCAGCTGCCAGGACGGCGCCCCCCGCTGGTGGCCCCCCGATTTCCCAACCCTTAACTTATGATCTGCCTGCCACATTTTTTGCAATTGTCAACCAATATTGTTGTCAAACCACTGCTTGCAAAATGTTTCTGGTGTCCACACTTGTGCCATTGGCGGCTGCATTGCTTTGCGAGCAAGTCTTTGGAGGCGGGTATTGCTGTCAAGTATGGAGAAAAGTGCTTCGTGCTTCCCAAAACCGCGTGAGGTGCTGGTGCCTCCACTTCATGCCACTCGCGTGTGCAGTGCACTGCCACTGTTCGGTGATCCTTTGTGAAGCACTTTGAGAATATGGAGTGAAAAAGAGTTGTGTCTGCGCCTGCAGGTTTGCGGGGGTGTTGGGTGTGGTGGGTGTTCCCATGCTGGTGCTCAGCAGCGTGGCAGGTGCCGGCGTCTGGTGTGGCTTTGCTGCCGTTCTGCACATGGTGCGTTGCAGCCTCTCATTCTCCTGTGAATACTCGAAGGTCATTCCTGCAAGATGCTGCTTCTCTTCAAAGCTGTCCAATAAATGCCGCATCACGAAGGAAATAATTCAAATTCAAATTGGTTTAAAAAAATCAAAAATGAAAAACCAAAATTTGAACTTGTGCCTTGCTGCATGAGTGGGGGTTTATAATCACATGAAGTTTGCTGTACTGTGTGCAGTTTGCTGGAGCAAGCGCAGTCTTCCTGGCGGCTGAGGCCCTGCTGGTGCACATGTGCTTCGCACATGGGTGAGTAGTCCACTGCTCTCCGTTTTGATCATTGCAAAATATTCTTATCAGGGTGGACGTGGCAGGGCAGGTCAAATGTCTGCTGTCCAGCCTTGCATGTCATCAATTTATCAAGAATCGCAACAAGCCCTCAAAACGCAATACGTGTCTTGCGGATGTCTGATCCAAACGAAAATCATCCTTGCTGCGGTATAGCTACAGAGCTGGTGTGAGAGAGGAAGCGACTATTATGGGGGCATATTGTCTGAATGGCTGAAAAGGAGGAGCTTGCAATAGAGTCTGTGTTGCTCACCCACAGGCCAATCCTGGTGACAGCGGCGGAGTTTGACAACAGCAATGGGCTGCAGCGCACACTGGACTTTGCGTCAGAGCACAGCTTTGCAACGCCGCTGTTAGTCATTGCCTTGCTGGCGTGCCAGGCTGGCGCCATGGTGGCGGCCGCCAACTTTGGCACGCCCATCCCTGTGAAGACTCGCGTCATCACTGCCAGCACCCAGCTCAGGTGCCTTGTCCTGCTCTGCTCTCCCGGCTTTTTTGTATGATTTGTTCCCATAGCAAGACAGTTCTCAAGGACAGCAGACCTGTGCCCTGTGTAACCTGTGTAAATGGGTGATTGCTGACCCGACCATCCGTATTAGTGCAGTTCCGCTGAACAGCCTGCTAATGAACCATTTGTACCAAGATTGACACTGCGATATGCTGCATTTTTGGTCAGTCAAATGAAGGGTAGGTTGTCAAATTGGTAAATTCCTCTCACAGATTTACATGACCAAAGATTGACGGGGTTTGGTGGCTGTGGGTGTCACAGGCAAAAGGTGGAGGAGATGCAGCTGCCTCAAAGGAGTGCCATCCTGTACCGGCATGCGCGCACAAAATCTGCCGTGGCCGCCGAGTCCCTTCGCGGCGCCGCCGGCCGGGCCGCCGAGCGGGCGGCAGGCGCGGTGGAGCGCGCCGGCTTCCCGGCGGCTGCCGCGCGCATTGCCGGCAGCTTCCCGGCAGCTTCCTCCCAGCCGGGCAGCGCCGAGACGGTGCACCCTTACTCGCTGGTGGCTTCCGCGGCCGAGGAAGCTGCTGCCTCGGACGGGGAAGCTTCTGTCAAGGACGATGCCAGCACCGGCAGTGACAGCAAGGATCCCTGGGCCACCCTTCGCAGAGCACTCGTTCCAGAGGGCTCAGCTGGCAGCCAGCGCCCCGTGCGCTGGTCTGAGAAGGACTGAGGTGCCTCAAAAACACACGCATGACTGTCCGTTCCACGGACGGTGCCCTCGCGCCCAGGATGAAGGCTGTTCCATCCAGGGACTCTGTGGTCTGCAAGGTATTTGGCAGGGCGTTTTACCTGGCATGCTGCTACTTAAAGCTGCAGTGAGGATGGGCTGTGGAAGGGCATCAGTGATGGTCTCAAGAGGCATGAGCTGCTTTCTCATAGCAGCTTTGTGTCAGCCGCAATGTGAGGACAAGATAGCGCCAATCAAATTTTTGTAGGCAGTGTGTCTCAGGAAATGACAGGGTTCTCTGTGCATTGCATTCTGACAGACGGGTCAGAGCATTTGGCCAGTCGGCTGCCGATGATCAAAGCAGGCAAAGGGTGATGTACTTGAGAGACGGTCTGAGGCCTGCGAGTGACATCGTTAGCATCATGGGCCTCTTTGGGCATGCTCTGCACAAAATGATGCAAGGCACACTGCATTTCAATCCAGTGTAGGACTCCCATTGCATTAGCATAGCAGGGCAATGGAATGCATTAGGTGATGTTTGTTTGCCATGTCTTGGTGCAAGGGAGAGTGCAGCTCCCTTTGCATGTGCAACCTTCTGTTCAGAGTTGCATCCAAGAAGCCTGGTAGACAGATTACAAGGACGCCCTGTGGTGCATCAAGTTTGAAACTCATAGTCTGAAACTATGGGATATGATATGAAAAGGGGTGGTTGCATGGTTTTGAGCTTGTGCGTTAGCTTGTTTTGCAGCATGGGGCTTTGGATTTGTGCCTGGAAGTCAAGTAGTCTTTGCTGAGCGATGCATGAGACAAATTATTTAGTAAGGAGCCAATGATGGTTACATGATCATGTAACCATGGCACTCATATGAGTGCCATGTGTTGTGCCTTTCAGCTGAGAGGCTCACTGGATTGAGGTGGTTCATTGCATTTGGCAGCATTTTTGCAGCCTGCTTTGTGTGGTATTTGGATAGTTGCATGCGCATGCTCAATGCGTTAAATCAGGGTGCATCATTTTGGGAGAATGTGTTCTTTTGGCCCTTGTGGTCGTCTTGCTCTTTCTCCTAGCTAGGAGAAAGGCCCTTTGGGGGATTGATGTCTGTCTCAGAGGGAATATAAGGCCTCGGCCAAACAGGAAAAACGTTTGCATTTGTTGAAGTCAACCAAGTTTGCCGTTGATTTGGGATAGGGGAATTGCCCGAGATGATCTGTGTGTTCCTGCCAGGTCACTTTTAGTAGTGGCACTCGTATTGCATCTGCGGCAGGTGCATTTCTAGGTCTCTCTTGTCTCCGCATGGTATGGCCTGTGGGTGCGTGCCAAGAATGCAGTTGTTGATGGCGTTCTTTGTTCTTTTTCTTCAATGTTAAGATTGAGTGCTAGCACTCGATGCCAGCGCTCGCATTGTGTGCGTGATGTTGCTGCGCTGCCTTCAGTTCTGCATGTATATTATGAGCTCCAAGTGGGATTGCAGCGCTCTCGTTGTGCATGCAATGCATGCCGTGCATGCTTAAGCTTGTTTCAATCTTGTTTCGATCTTGTAAATTTCATTTCTGCAAACTGTCTTCTGGTGCATTTCCTGGGGCACACGCCTGCGACCGTTTCATCTCCCCTGCTGGTACCAGCACCATCAATCAGCACAAGGTAAGTGTTGACTACTCTACAAAAGAGCTGTCTTCAGATGGCTTCGAGAGGGTGCCAAATTTGGACACAAGTTAGGCAAAATGTACCTTGGACGGCTTCCACTTGTCTGTAATAAGTAAGCATCTATTTCTCGCGAATGCTCAACTTTTGCCAAGAGTGACAAGAGATGGATTCACCATATGGCGGTGTTTCTTCTGTCTCGGCATTCCTTGGTCCTTGAACCGTCGCTCACGTTTACCACGTCCATGTCGGACGAATTCAAGAATGAAGCCCTTCGATTGTTTGTGCAGCAGGTACATTGTGTCCCATCTACGATGAGTAGAAAGGGCCAGCCAGGCCGATAGTCAGCAGCTATGAAAGGCCCTCACTTATCACTGCGAGGTATGCCAGCACCTATTTTGCACCGACTGCGTGAAAGGCCATCAGCATGGGAGGGACCCAGCTAAAAACTTCAACGATCCAAAGCTGAAGAGATTTGAATCCTTGGAGGCGTACAAGCAGTGGCTGCAGCACCAAATGGTGGGTGTCTGCATGCAGCTAGTTGCCCCACTCCTTAAACGTTGGCAGATATGTGTGATTAGTGCAATCCTTCTAATAAGTTTTGTGATGGTCAACAACATCATCAACATAGCCTGTGGCAACTTCTTCAATTGAGGGGGATGTTGGGCAGGCCAGTGAGGACTCCAAAGGCCGCAGCGCCGAACGCAAGTTCCTGGGGAGATTATTGCAAGGCCCATACACGGTCCTAAGCCCTGCAGACGTGCGGCTGCTACGACAGGGACAGAAGCAGGTGTCTGCCTCACTCCTGCCGCTGCACGTGCAAACCTTGCAGCACTTTCCTCCATCATGCAATCCCAAGATTGGTGTTGATTCCGTCAGTCCTGACATCGTGAAAATCTTGAGATCTGTAAGAGCGTTTGCTTCTCGACAAGGGTAGCCTGACTCTGCAATCTCAGTGGTGCGGTAGGAAATGTGTCAATGGACGGGAAGGCATTAACACATTGGATGCTCAAACCAATCTTTTCATGCGATTACTGAGTGGGCACAACTTGATGCAACAGGGACGCAATCAGCCGTCAGAAATTGCAGAGCCAGCAGCAGAACAAAAAAGCAACAAGCCACTGCAGAGGCATGCACATCCAAGCCTGCAGCAAGAGCCTGAGCAAGAGCCTGAGCAGCAGCAGCAGCAGCAGCAGCAGCAGCAGCAGCAGCAGCAGCAGCAGCAGCAATGGGGCGTTTGGATACCTCAAGTCGGAGCACCTCTTCAGACCAGCACACAGGTGAAGCTGCATGCGCATTTTTGTTACTAGCGGACCACCGGATTGATGGAGAAGAAGAACTTGTTGAACAAATGGCAGATTTTTATGCCTGTCTTGGCAGGGCCTGTTTGCATTGCTCGGCAATGGTCATACAGTGTAAGCCGATCCTGTATGCACTTGTGCACTCAACAAGTGCGGGTGAATACTGCACAGGAGCTTCTTCAGGCGTCACAGCAGCTTGCACAGGTGCAGCAACTAGAACACGAACAGCGGAGAAATGTGCATGTGAGGACTCGGGAGGTGGCTGCAAAACAGGTATGGGTCCCGTTGCAATTGCTTGCTGGGGCAATTCTCAGCTGGTTTATTGTTCCATGTGTCCCTCAGGTTGCTGCCATTCCAGGATGAGTGATGTTAGGAGAAGTGAGTCAGCGAGGTGGCACGGAATAATAACGACACCCAAATTACCTTGGACAGAAGCCTAGCCAGAAGTGGGAACATGTCATAATTTCTAACGTTGGTGTCAGCAATAGAGAGGGATGATAATCTGCACGCAGCAGATCTGGGGTGCATTGTATTTAATTAGGTGGCGATCAGGCATCAAGCTCTTTACTGGAGATTGACTTTTCTAGTCAAAAATGTTACCTATCACAGAAAAATTTTAAAAAAGTTAATCGTCTGGGATGCTGATGACATCTGCCACTTGATGAGAGCTCTGTGGGCCCGGCTCTGCAGGCTCAACACATCGGATCGGCGAGACCGCAGCCTTCTACGATCTGGATGTGAGATACTCCCCAATGGCTTTTGTTCACCTTGTAGCGTAATGATTATTGCCATTTTAATCTTTTTTAAAGGCCTACGCATGTGAGAATAATTGCTTGAAGTGTTGTCCCATCTCCTTGAACGTCGTCAAGTGGGGCAACCTGAAAGTCTGCCTTTGTTTTCGTAAGTCAAATTGCTCTTCACTGGCTACCTAAGCTCTATATTAATCCCTGCAGGGTCCCAAGGCAGCGAAGGTCGGCAGCCAGAAAGCTGCCAAGTGATGTTTGGCAGTCCATCTCTTGCCACATGTCCACACGAGAGTGGGCGCGGATCAGCGGTATCTGCCGCGCCACACGCGCTGTGCTGCCCACAAACATCGACGTAGTCATATCAGGCAAGGCCTTAGCCCCCTCTTTTGATGAATATAATAGGCGTTCAGAGTTCTCAGCAGACCTGTCTTTCCATCGTTTCATCTGTCAAGTGCTTTTCCTATTGGCAGAGCAAGTGGTCCCTAAACACAGAAATTGAAAAGGGGCTAGACTGGCAGCAGATGGGACCAAATCCCTGATATGCTTCCTCTGCAGGACCATCTGTCAGCTCATGGGTTCAGCGGCACTGGGGAGGGGCTGTGAGGCTGAAGCTCACATGGAGCAAAATGGGCTATGTCCCCTGGGTGGTCACCTACGATGCCCCTGCCCTGCCAGCACTGGAGCACCTGCAGCTGAGCCTACAGGTGGGGCAATGTTGAATCCCCTAAATCATCTGAATCCCCATAAATCTCCTTGAAATAGATCCTGCAAGCAAAATGCAGTAAAGCACTGATTATTCTGTCAGTGGCCTGGTCAGGATTTGCATCCTTGCTTTGGTCTGATACTTTCAGCCGAGCCAGAGAGGCATTTTTGGAAGTTTTCAGCTTGGTTGAGGTGCATCAAGAGTCCAAGGATGCAGTCCAACCAGAAAAGGCTTCACCACCTGCTCTACGACATGTCACATAACAATGGGCACTTGTCTGTATTTCTGCCGAATTTGCCACTGACCTTTCAACACATGAAACATTCATTTGATCATGTGATTGAATAAAATTCTAATTCCATGGCACCTGAATGGCGTCCTGGCATTTCCCCTGTAGAATGGCCATGGCAGCTGTGCCGGCGCAAAGATTTTTCTACTTATTGAAATTCCGCACGGTAGGAGAACAGCAGCCCGGCGTGCGCGATGTTCCTGGGATGGCTGATGGGACAGCCGAGCGCTCTGCGCACCCTGGCAGTGGAGAGCCCTGCAGCGATCGCGGCGCCACCTCTGCGCCACCTGCGCCACTTAGTAATGGCGGCCGACCATTTCGACGCGGCGGCGGTAGTGGCTGTCTGCCAGCTCCGCGGTCTGCGCACGCTCAAGCTCGCTTCCAAGGACAACCCCAAGTGCGCCCTTAGGAAGCCTTCTGTACTCTCCTGCATATTCTGAAATCTATTGAGCGTCAGCCATGCTAGGCTTTCAGTGCTGAAGTCCGTTCCAGTCTGTACTTATGTTGGCAGGGCTATTGTGTGGCTAGCCATGTGGCCAGCCACAATCTCTGGATAAGGGTGAGCCAGGTCCCTATCAGAATGATGTTGGAGCGGTGCTACAGAGCTGGACAAGGACACTGTAGGTATACTGGTGAATGGGCAAGTGCACGAGGAGGACGAAAGACATGAACCTGAACAGATCTCCCACCCTGAGGGATTGCAACTCAGAAAATCCTCATTATCGGTTGTATGAACCACCGCAGCATGCATGTGACCTACACCGATGTTATCATGTCTGGCCATTTGGAACATACAACATTTACCAAAATAGCCAGGGGGGTCTATATCTACACTATCTATATCTATACCTTACATCTATATCTGAGCCAGGCTTGCCTTCTGCACATACCTGCTATGCATGCTGTGATAGGTAACCCCACCTAAAGGTCATGTGTGCTTGTTCAAAAGACGCTAGTCTTGTCACCAAAAATCTGTGTCTGCTCCAGGGGGCATGACATCGAGTGCGCAGCGCTGGCGCTGGGCGCCATGTCATCACTGACAGATGTGGCCATCGAGGACGTCTGCCCGGCAGGGATCGAGCTTCCCTACGGCTGCAGACTGCACGTCTTTGGCCGTCCCACAAGTCTCAACAAGTGCGCGGCTCTGCCATCCTGCACATGTGCTAGCTTCCTTGCACTCAAAAATGATCTGAGGCAGGCGCAGTACTTGAGTTTGTAGAGGCACACGAAGCCCTTCACCTTCAAATATCCATTAAGTGTGAGAGAGTTGTAGAAACTGCCGGATACCATATGAAAGCCCATATGTGACCAGGCATGCTACGGCCAAGTACTGCAATTCTTCTCTGTAAAGACTGATACATTGCAACTCTACCAAAGCCCGTAGCTGAAGCCTTTGCACGCCCCTGCTGAAGCACCCGGGGAATCAACATACTGCATGATCATCAATTCACATGCATGCCTTACAAGACTGCTGACCTGTTGCAGGAAGTGGTGGGCGGCTCCGATGCGCGCCGGCCAGCTGAGGACCCTGTACCTCTTCCTGGAGGAAACCGATCAGGAGCCAGCACTGGCGGCACAGCCGCGTATTCTGGCGGGTGGTGGCTATGCAACACTCTTTTGGGTCAGCACCCATGTGGGAGGCGCATCTCCGGTCGAGTTTGCCGCTCCGACGTTCGCAGCGCTGTCGGCTCTGTACCTGGATGCCAGTACCGTGTGGATCTACATTGCGGCGACTGTGCGGCTGCGCGTACTGCACATCGTGTCAGGGAACCTCAAGGTGGATTTCTAGAGGGAGGCCCCCATTGTAAAAGATGTTCACCTTCACTATAGCCCTGCAGGGACTAGCTGCTCTGGTGTGGTTGTTGCAGCAGCCCTTCTTTTTAAAGAACAATAGGGACCAAACCCGAGCCCATAAATGACCAGCAATGAGGCTCTGCAGCGCCCCTGTATATCTTTGACCACCTTGCATGCATGTAAGCATGACTGCGGTCAATGCCAGCACGTTCCTGTGCCTTAGTCTGGACGGTGATAGGCCATGAAAGATCTGCTGCCTGGCCTGCAATCAAAGAGCGAAACGGCAAATGTTGATGAGGCAGGCAGAAGGCAGAATGACTTGACAGTGGTTCCTGGTGGAGTGTAGGTGAGCTGTGAGGACGCAGAGCTGCTGGCAGGGATCCTGGAGGAGTTCAGCTGTGTGCATCTCACATGCACGGGCTGTGGAGTGGTGGACATAGCGCTGGCGCTGGAGAGGGTGGGGAACCCGGTGAAAAGGGTGAATGCACCGATGGATGAGGATTACGAGGGTATCTGCACGAGGCAGGGCCGCTTCTATCGCCACGCTGACCCCTGGCCTTGCACATGTGGTGCATGCCTGCAGTGCTTGGAGTGAGAGATTGGTCTCGGCCTCTGAGATGTAGTGGGAATCATCTCGAAGCGTAACTGCATCAGACAAGACTGGTGTTGAGGAAGAGACATGGTTGCACATGTCACACTTTGACGTGTGAGTGTAGCAGTCTTGGGTGCTGCTGAATTTGGTTTGCTTGTCTCCAGATGTGTTGCTTCGTCGCTTTTTGATGCTGCTGTTGTGGCTTGGCGCTTTTGAAATGTGCTTGGTCTGCTTGATTTTCTTGTGGGCATGCAACATGCACATGTGCTGCTGATTATCTTGAATTTTGGATGAGTTGATGTCTGCTTGTTTTCTAATTCATGATCATTTCACAGAGTACAATCAACTTGTGTCCACTGAATGCCAAGTAGCTAGCCTTCGATTTTCCAGTTCTGGAATGTTGAATGTGCTTGTTCTTTGGGAAGACTTAAAAGAGCTTTGTCTCTGTGGTGACCATACTTGCTTTTCTATAGTTTCAACTAATTTGTGAGCGCCACCTGCTTTTCATAATGTTCCTGGGCACACAATGTAATTTACTGGGTGACGTCACATCCTTGCATTCCCTGTCTATTGGGTCCTGCATACCCATCCTATCACATCTGCTCTACGTGCTCTCTAATGCATCCATATGGATCTCTTGCCTTAAGAAGCCTACAACTCTAATCATTGAGTCACCATATACCCTGCTTGCAAATTCTGTCTATACTAGGCATATTCTATGTGGCGTCTGGGACATCTGGTACCGGGAGCAGCCGCTCAGTCTCCTCTGAGGCGCTCCCCTCCTCCTCAGCCACCCTCGCAGCAATCCTCAAAGACTCCATTTCCCAATCGAGCCGCCCCAGAAAGACCCCCATTGCAGTGCAGCCCAGGGCAGAGGCCACCAGCAGAGCCAGCCAAAATCCCTGCACCCCTAGGCCTGCCCTGAACCCCAGTAGAACTGCCAGTGGAATTCCCACACACCAGTAGCACACAAAGGCAAACGATGCTCCCACTAGCTGCCTCCCTAGCGCTGTCACTGCACCTGCGCATGCAGCACATCACCATCGCTAAGACACTAAATCTCACCATGTCTTCTCACCTGAACAAGCTTCCTTAAGCTGCAAAGTGACCCACAAAGTTGGGTAGCTGGCTCGCTCGCGGGTCTGAGGGATATCGGTGTGTGAAGAAGAGAGGTCATGAAGAAAATTTTCCAACACAGGAGAGGCAGTGGCAATGCAGTCAGGCGGCGCAAAGGGGTTTGCAAGGAGCAAGGAGGGCGGTTCATGCTTGCATTTGAGAAATCCAGGGCAAGAGCGGGTATGAGGAAGACACACCTCTGAAGATGGACATGAGCCCATCGAAGATGGAGGACACAGACAAGATGACAAGCACGCTGCTGGCCAGCGCCACAATTTTGCTGTCCTTGGTGAAAATGCGCGGCCACACAGAGCGGCCGGCAAACACAGCAGAAGCTGTGACTAGGACAGTTCCTGAGCCCATTCCTAGTGCTGCCCTCAGGGAGAGCTGCGCTGCTCCATAGTTCCCGGCCCCCATGTGATTTGACATGATTGTCTCCAATGCACCTGCAAAGCACCAGCAAGCACTTCGGCTCCTGTTCAAAACGTTCAAGCTACTAAAGATCTCACTTTGTACAGTGCCGTTGATAGTATGCAAGGCACGCAGGATTGAGCATCAGCTAGAATCAAAGCATATGTTACTGACGTGTTTGGCCGATACAGCAGATCATGGATTGGCAGGCAGTCAATGAGTGGGTCAGTAAGCAGGGTGACTGAGGTGTTCTCACCGCTGATGCCAGCTGGCAGCATGTAGGTGATCGTTGTGATGTCAAAGCTGACGCCCATGACAGCCACGGATGTTGCTGTGTCTGGCAAGAGCCCCGCCATAATGACAATGACCTGCAGTGCAACAACAAGTACGATTATTATTATTGTTATTATTATTATTACACGCCTGTCCAAGCCACAGTTGGCTTAGGCGCTTCGCAGCAGTATGATTGCAACAACAAATATGATTACCTGCGAGGAACAGCATGCCAAGCAAAATATATTACCGATCTTATCATATTAAATTCATAGGGCATCCTTGTTAATCTAAAAGCGAAAGGCACCCACCTCGTATGTCCACCACTCCAGGCAGATCATGACCAGCCCAGGCACCGCTATTTTAAGGTAAGGGCCCCATTTCCTGAACGGATCTAAACTCCTGCGCGATGCACTTGCAGGTATTCAAAAATGCCCGTGCAAAACATCACCAGAACGCAGCCTCAAGACACTACCATGCATGATAAATACACAGAAGACGTCTGCAGCGTTGGCAGGATGCAGTTGTCATCCTCCACATGAAAGGATGTAGCAATAAGACATAGGCAGCCGGGGAACAAAGACACTGCGGGGTGAAGAAGCGAACCAGCTCTGCAGTGTGTGCCGGCCGCTCTTGCGCAGGTGGCTTTCGCGCCAGATAAAGTATGACGTTATGAGTAGCAGGAACAAGGAAGCTTCCACAACGTTTGCCAGCGCCGCGCCATCCAGCCGGAAATCCCAGTGGTAGATGAGCAGCCAGTTTATGAGCGGGGTCAGGAACGTCGTGAAGATGGAAATCCCTGTTTGCATGCAGCACTAATCCTCTGAGTCCCGTCTTGCCACTGGGTCATTCAAAGGGGGTCCTGACATGCGCGCTGCAACGAACTTGGGCCTCTTTGCATCTACCTTGCACTCTCCTACCGATGTTGCTTGACCCCCACCTTCTTGCTGGGGAAAAGATATCTCTTCTCTGTGCACATGAATTGTAAACGGACCTTCAAAATGACAATTGTCAAGGGGAAATGAAAGCACGAGCGGGTGTTCAACACACCTGTGCAAGGATAGATGTCCATTTGGGCTGTCAGGACGCTGCGAATGACATCTGAGAGGGTAATCAGGACGAGCGCAGGTGACGAAAGGCGGATGTATCGAGCTGCGGCTGCAGATATGCTGGGGTCTTGACCTGTGAAGCTCAACGAGCACATGCAATTGTAAGATTTTTCCTGGAAGAACATGTCTCAGAATTGTAAATGTTGGAATGTGGAGTGTGCAGCATTATTCAACTTTTCACTGCATCAGACCTGGGACTCCCAATGCATGCATGTCTCAAAGCCATGGCAATCACAACCGTCATACTGGAAGGCGTGCTTCTGAGGCATGGCTCACCAAGAAGCAGGAGCGCCTTTTCCAGTTGCGTCCAGGCAAGGATGATGATGGCCGAGAGTGCCAGGCAGATGAGGGCTGCCTTCTGGGCGATAATGCCCATCGCTGCATACCTCTTCGCCCCAAATGCCTGCGCAGATAAAGACCCCTACTGCTAAGAACATGTGCAAGACTCTCACACACTCAGTTGCATAAGCACCTAGTTAAAACGGCATTGCGCATAGCCTGGCTTTTTTGGGGACCTGCTTACCTGTGGCAGTAAGGTCTGACAGCCGCTGGTCAAGCCCAGCACCAATGAGAATCCTGCACAGGTAACTGGTTCAATTACCCTACTGTTGCAAGGAAAACATGCTGTAGAACAAGAGCCAAAAATGGCGGAATTTAAAACGGGATGCTCCTTTTAGCCACAAAAGTAGGAAGAACAGGAGAACTGCAGACCTGTCACATTGAACACACTTTCTCCAAGGACGACTGAGGCCAGCTCCTGCTTCCCCAGGTGCCCAATGAAGATTGTAGAGATGATGTTGGACGCATACCAGAGGGAGTTTTCCAAAGCTAATGGCACCGCCATGTAAGCCAGCCTGGGGCACAAGGATATCTCAAGTTTATGGCACTTGCCTAAAAGTTTCCCTTGCAGACTAGGAGTGCACCTCTACAGGAGATTACTTTGCGCACAAAGTGAAAGTGAGAGATGACTTTATGATTAGGACTAGCTTACATTTCATGTAATACAGGCAGAGATGGTCCTTCCAGATCTATAGGGGAAGTCAACTCATCTGGGCTGGTCTTTATAGAGAAAAACAGATGTGGGCACTTACTTGGCAATCTCTGCTTTAAGCGTGGCACCATGATCATCGTGATGATCGGAGTCAGAAGGCGCCTCGTCTGCAGAATGCTCCAAACCAATTTCAGCCATAAGCAACCTTGGACCACTCTTATGTGATCAGGACCGCCTGAGACACACACATAATGTTGGACCACACATTCGAGATTTCTTTCGCCAATATGCAACAATGCAGGATGGACATAAGGAGGTGTGTAGTTACAAGAAGTCCACTTAAGTGGAGGCCGCACACCTGGTCTGCCTTATGTGGGAAGCGAAGTGGTGTGGTAAATTTGGCTGGTCATATATAACCATAAGTTCTTCCGCGATGGTAATGGGAAACTTCCAACACTTCATCAAGGTATGTGAGAGCGATGCTGCGTGCTCCTAAAGGATTGCTTGACCCGTCACAGTACTATGTCAGCAGGTGCGATGTTAGCTTTCCAGATATGTGAGGCAGAGTTTAGACAATTTACAGACTTCCTATGTTGATGTGTACAATAATAGGTGAAAAGCTGAATTCGATCTGAGCATGTCAAGTGGTAGGATTCTACAGCGATCGCAAAAGCAAGATCATAAGGTGCATTTGCTTCTTAGCTTCATCACAATGTGGTTTCTAGCAGAATCGCAAATATGAGGATGCAGCATCCCATTTCGTGGGATGATCAGAACGAAGCTTCCGTACTCGCAGCAAGGGCAGGGAATAATGGGCAGGCAAGAAATCGCAGTCCTTCTGCTGGCCCAACACTTACTAGGACGCTACTTCTTCTGTGGTGATCCGAAAGCCTCCAGACAGACCGCACGAAGAGTATCCACATGTATGTGCGGCAGAGCTAAAGCAAATCTTCCCTGTTGGCTCAACTGACATGGGAGCTTGGTTCAGTCTTCGGAGAGCTTCCCAACAGCCAATTGATGACACTGGCAATTTTCTTATGTTTCTAGCAGGAGTTATCTCGTAACCCACGCTTCAGGTGAATCGATTACAAGTGGAGTAATTGCCAGCTGAGGTGAGAATCTAGCCACTATACGCTAGCCGTCTGTAAACAGCCCAGGGGCATGCCCCTTTTATACTTGTTGCAGTTGTTGACGCTTTGACAACAGCATTCCGATACAAAACGATCGAGGCAAAGTCTTGACAGCACCCTTTGACCTGTGCAGGGGATCCCGATGACAACAACAAGAGAAAAAGTCAGCAGCTCGCCGCTGCCCGTGGAGATCTGGCAGCAGATTAGCGGGCACATGTCCAGCAGGTCGTGGGCCAAGATCAGCCGGGCATGCAAGGCCATGCACCTGGTGCAGCCAGCAGAGATCGACCTGTACATTAGGAGCGAGTCCGCGATGGCCTGGGTGCAAACCCACTGGGGCCAGGCGAGCAACATGAAGCTAACCTGGCTCATCCGAGACGTCCCCTGGGTCATAGCCCACAACGCGGCCAGCCTGACCTCCCTTCAAACCCTGCAGCTGACACTCAAGGAGGACAGATCCCCCACCAGCGCCATGCTCCTCACCTGGCTTCTGGCCCAGGCCCCAGCCCTCCGCATGCTATCCATCCAGCAGCCGCGGGCCTTTGTTCTGCCTCCCATCCGCAACCTGAGCCACCTGCTAATCTGCAGCGACGAGTTCTCCGCAACAGTGGTCGCCTCAATCAGGCAGCTGCGCATGCTACGGACGCTGGCGCTGATCACGCTCCACCCGGAGCTCGAAGCCGAGTGCGCGGAGTTCGATCTGGCCAGTCTGCCGCACCTCTCGGACGTGTCGGTCGATGACGTTCTCATGCCCCGGCTTGCGCTGCCGCGCGCCTGCCGCCTGCATCTGTCCGGCACGGTCGACTCGGTCTTTCTGGAGACCTGGGTAGGCATGGCGCGCCACGGGCAGCTCAGGACAATAAATCTCAGGGACGACGGGAATTATTATGTGGATGAGCTCCCGGCTTTTCTCATGGACTCCAACTGCACGGCGCTGCGGTGGGACCTGCTGGAGCTCGGGGAGTTGCAGCGGCCGGTACAGTTTGACCCGGTGTCCTTCCGGCGGCTGACTCACCTCAGCCTCACCGGCGCGCACCTGCACATCGTGCTGCCGCAGGTATGCTTGGCAGCCCTTGGATTGCTTCTTAGGGAACCCAACTTACCTTTCTTTTGAGATCTAATAAACTGAACCTTTATCAAGAAGTATTTTGTGCATTTTCATTCTCTTTATTGTGGTCAATAAGGGTTGTGATGAAGTAATGTAACAAGTAGAGCACACTATAATTAAGGCTTGATTACCTGCCCTGGCTGCAGGCGCTGTCGCTGCGCATGATCCTATGTGAAAGTATTGAGCATTTTAACGGTTTGAACTGAGAGGAATAAGTGATTTTCTTAGTCAACGTAATAATTGGAGCTTACTCTGACTAAGACTGAATCACCGCTTCTGGCTGCAGGCGCTGCCGCTGCGTGTGTTGCATGTGAGCGCGAGCAACCTCAGCGTCGCATGCGTCAACCCCCGGGCGCTGGGGCAGAGTCTGACAGAGCTCAAGGTGGTGTACAAGTCCCTCAAGGGCTGCGATGTGTTTGTGGTGGTGGCGGTTATGGCGGGTTTAGGTAAGACAGTCAGTAAAGTGGAGGTGCCTGGAGACTGGGAGCCCTGGGAAGAGCACGATGGATTCCTAGTGGGTGGGTCATTCGGTCGCTGGAAGTGCTCCTGCAGCGCTTGCCTCGCCTGTCTGCAGCCAGGCGCTTGATGCGCGCACAGTGAAAGTGTTTTGATGACTATTTTTCTGTGACTGGGATGAATAAGGTAGTCCATATGCAGCAACAGAGTGACTGTGGGTACGCGGTAGGCTTGTGACAAAGAAGCTTGTTGGGCTCGATGCAGCAGCAGAAATAGGACGCTGAAGCTCTTGCCAGACTGTGGCAATAATGTAGATTGTCTACATTGTGTGTTACAATCGCCCGCACAGTTCTGCAGTCGTCTGGGCTGACACCAGTGTGCCTTACAGCTCCAGCCCTAAGTGAATGACGTGCTTATTATGCTTTTGCCCTCTCCATGCAAACCCTTTTGCTCTTGTGCAATCAGTGTTCTGCCTCATCTTCAAGCTACAGTACCACCCAGTGGGTGCCACCCACTTGTAATATGACTGACTGGGAACAAGTGCTTTGTGGAGGACAAATGTGAGAGAACCCCAAGTATTGCTGCGCAGCCATGCATGCTACTGCTGGCTGATTTGCTGCCATGGCCAGCCAGCCTGAGTGGTCTTTCTGAATCCCTCTCACAATTGGGGTTTCCCATTCTTAAGCGTCCTGTTTTGCTACTCACTGACCATTTTGAGCTGAATTATGCACAGACTATGTAACAAGATTCAATTCTGGCCCATATTATCAATTCCAATCGATTCCAACTTTTTTTATGAATCTTGCAGGAGCCTAATTAGACAAGTACGACGTGGCACAAGCTCGAACCATCGCATGCATGCAAGGGATCCACCATATCAGCTGATTAGGACGATTCATTGGAGGTGCTTGACGAATGAAAGTCAGAAGGAAGACTTGCACAGGCAGATTGAAGGGTTAATCGCAAGCAAACACCGGGATGTGGAAGCAAGGTGACAAGCAGTGGAGATCTGGCAGAGAATAGCCAAACACATGTCAATCCGGCAATGGGGAGACTGCGCCACCTTCTCCTTGTCAGCATTGCAATTGGTACCAAGGCAGCTGGGTCTATCAGTCAGCTACACAACCTGCAGACTATGCAGCTGCGAGGGGCTCTTTACTCTTTAGGGGCAGACAGCACATGCGCAGAACTGGACTTAGCAGGCACGGCGCATCTCTCCGATGGTTCAAATAAGCATGGCTGTACCGAGTGAGCAGCGTGCGTGCTTGTCAATGGCTTTTCAGCGTCCCACGTGGGACGTGCATGTCTTGAATGTTGTTACCCCTAGATGAACTTGAGATAACTTTCATGGGAATGCTTGCCATGTCCAACAGGCTCTGCTTGCAATCTACCGGGTACTCCTGTCCTTTTTGTAGGCGTCTGAATGTGCAGGAGCAATGTGACTGTGAAGCTTTTGCTGTTGCTTTATGTCTTGAGTGTTGCTGTGTGAAGGGAACTTATAGCAGTGTGAAAAGTAAGAGCTGAGCTTCAGTGTCGAAATCCTCCCTTTTCTGTGATGACACGCATCTTGGGCCGGCAACTTGCTGAACAGCCGCCGTGACGGCGTGACATGTGTTATCATGTAGATCACGATTAAAGCAGGTCTGGTCAAAAGTATTTGAGGAACAACCGCACCTCAATGCGCACTTCGCAACATGGAACGTAGATAGCAAGTTTGCATGCAATTGATGCAATGCATGCATAAACAAACCTTCCACCCCTGCCATTCACCCAACAGGAATGGAAAGTTGAAGAGCCTGATCAGGTTCAAACATCAACAAAAAATCTTGCACTGGTTTGCTGCTTAGATCCAGGAGAATTCATAAACGGATCCTCTTCATCCAGAGGAGAGACAGCAGCCTAGCATCAGAAACGGTGTGGGCTTTCTGATCCAAGGACTTCACAGGGCCAAAAGGTAGGCGCCGAAAATCCAAGATGACGGCTGGCCTGTCCTAAGCCCTGCGGACAGAAACAAACGAATTCTTAATCCGGTTTACTTTTCCTCTTGTGAAGCTGCAAGGACAGTCGGCTGCATCCTCTTTCAAACTGGTTTGCAATATTCTGAGTGCTTATCTGTCCAAGAGTTCGGCCTTGCTCTCCATAGACTGTTTGGCGTCGATGAAGGTTCCTTTCCCTATGGCCTGCTCTTGAGACAGCTTGCAATTGTGCAGGCATCCAATGGCGTCCAGAGATCGAGGCAGTAGCCTTCAGCTCCCCCTGGAAATATGGCAGCTGATCTCCCAGCACCTGTCAAGCAAGGAGTGGGCTGCTGTTTCCAGGACATGCAGAACCATGCAGGCAGTGCAGCCAAATGAAATTAACATGGAAGTAAAGAGCAGATCAGCCTTCAACTGGATGGACACTCACGGGAGCCAAGCCCTGTGCATGACCCTGAAGTTGGAGCGCAGAGTGCACCCAAGCTCTTCAGACCTAGAATTTTACCATGCACACAGCTTCAGGCGCCTGCCTGCAGCAAACTGCTTGCAGCTGTCATTGGATATTGTCACTGCTGGATCTAGCGACATTGAGCTGCTCAGATGGCTGATGTCCAAGACGCGCAGGCTTTCTCTGCTTGTCATTAAACGAAGCAGCGCCGTTCGCATGCCAAGCTGTGAGGGCCTGCGTCACCTCATACTCAGCAGCAATGACTTCTCTGAGAAAGCCTTCCAGTGCATCCGGTACATTTACCCTCTGCAGACCCTGTGGCTTGGCCCATTTGCGGGCAATGCAGACAGAGCGCGCAGTGAAGAGTTGTTTTTGCCTAGCTTGAGGCACCTCTCATGCGTCGCTATCAAGCGCATTGAATTTGATGCGCCGGGCATCACTCTGCCCCCGCAGTGCAGCCTTCACATGAAACCATGAAAGCATCACTGTCCTGGAGAACTTTGGTGTGACGAGGCAGAAGCAGGTCACATCGCTCGACCTCGAGGACAGCTTACTTGTGGCTGATGACATTCCTGGGTACCTGGCAAAGTCCAAGTGCAGCTCCTTGAAGTGGTGGTCTCTGGAGCAATTGGGATGTGTGGAAAGGCTGGCAACCTTTGATGCAGCATGCTTCGGAAACCTGACCCATTTAAAGATTGCTGGCATGTCAGTGCACATCAAGCTTCCGGAAGGAGTGCCCCTGCAAATGCTGCATGTCAGTGCAACCAACTTGAGCATCGGTTGTGTCAATCCCCAGGCTCTTGCACAGGGGCTGCGTGAGCTGAAGGTCATGTACAAGTCACTCAACGGTTGTGACATTTTTGAAGTGGTCACAGCAATGTCCCATCTGGGAAAGGCTGTGCGCCGGCTTGATGTATATGCAGATTCTGACTGGAGCTCTGAGGAGGTGTCTGCAGACTCGATCAATTGGGAGGTAGATGCTGGAGTTCTTGTGACTGCCCCTGAGTCGAATGGTCTCTGGCGCTGCCCCTGTGGTGCTTGCCTGGACTGCTTGCAATCAGTGCAACCTGATCTGTGTGATGTAATGGAAGGATAAGCATCTTTGAACAGGCGATGCGTGACAAATAACCAGCTTGTCAAATCATTGAGGGCGCGCCAGCACATAAACATCAATTGGCATAATTGCATGAATGCCCAGATCTAAAGAAGTGGATGGCCAATAACACAGCAGCACCTGTAGCACTGGAGCATCTGACAGGGATGAGTTTTGTAAGGGGTTGCAGACTTGATGTCTCAGAGCTGCCACAAAGAAGTCCCCAATGGTGCATAATGCCCGATGCCAGCAGTGCTAACATAGTTAATTAACAATGCGCATGCGCATACAGGCCAGCCATCCTTGGATGCATGCGCAAGCCACAAGCATGCGACACACTGGATCGTATGACATGCAAGCATCAAATCATGTGCACACTGATCTTCTGTCCAATTTTGTCCCACTCCTTTACACCAAATAGACGAGGAACGATCAGGGAGGAGCCGTCACGTGGTTCCACGTGTGCCAAAAAATAAATAAAATTCCTCCAACCGGAGCTCTCACTTGATCAACAGCTTGTGTAGCGATTGAAGAACTTGAGAAAATTTTCCGTGCTGTTCAAAAGAAGGAGCAAGATATGGTGCGATCAACTGATAGTTTGGACATCAGAGGATGCAAGCCCCAGAGCAGGTAGAGACTTAGACAATTGTTGATCTGCAAGATTGAATGAATATCAATATAATTTGATTTTGATTGACGAGGAACCTGATTCAAAGATCAATGGCCGCTCTTACCACTTGTTAAGTGCAGATGTCAACCCATCAAGGTTTATTTTATGGATGCTCCACGTCATTGTGTGCTGGTAGGGCGGAGATCACAAGCAGGGGACAACTTGATCTTCCCTTGGAAATATGGCAGCGCATTGCCAAGCACATGTCAACCGAGAAATGGGTTGCTGCCAGCAGGACATGCCGCACAACATACGCAGTGCAGCCAGAGGAGATCGACCTGGTAATAAACAATAAGACACACATGGCATGGGTTGTAAATCACTGGGGCCGTGCAAGGCGTTTGCATCTTTATTGGGCAGCCAGGAGTGCACCTCGATATGTAGCAGAATGTGGTGCAGGCCTGGCATGTGTCAAGCGCATGCATTTAGGACTTGATCACACACCATCTGATGAAAAGAAGATACTGAGATGGCTGGTAGATCAGGCTCCACAGCTGCGTTTGCTATCCATTTCCCAATACAGAGCAGTGGCGGTGCCCCTCATTCAAAATTTGAGCCACCTCCTCGTGACGAGCGATGCCTTTACCAAGAAGAACATAGCGTCCATTGAGCAGCTTAGTAGCTTGCGGACTCTGTGGCTTGGCAAGCTGAATCCAGCAGAGAACTATGATGGCGCAGATTGTCCCGTAATAAACTTGGCAGGTCTGCTGCACCTCACGAGTGTAGCTGTGGACTGCGTTGCGGTGCCTGAACTCATCCTTCCTGAGCCGTGCAGCCTGCATTTGTTTGGGAGTCATGAGCCTGTGCTGTATTTGAACTCCTGGGATGCAGCAGCCGAGCATGGCCAGCTGAGGTCTATAGACTTGATCCATCATCACGCAGAAGAAGATGATCTTCCCATTCTTTTGAAGGAGTCTAAGTGCACATTCCTCAACTACTGCTCCTTTGAGCGGTTGGGAGAGTCCCATAGGCCAGTGCTGTTTGAAGCAGCTCGCTTTCAGTGCCTGACGCACCTCAAGATCAGTGGAATGTCTTTACACATCACTTTGCCGCAAGCTTTAAACCTGAAGGTGCTCCATGCCAAAGCAGATGATCTGAGTATCAAGGTTGAGTGTCCGACTGCATTGGCGCAAGGCTTGCAGGAGTTGAAGGTCGTGTATGAGAAGCTTGAGGGGTGCGACATATTTTGATGTGGTGACAATAATGACCGGCATGGGAAAGGCTGTGCGCAGGCTTGATGGGTCACATGAGAATTGGGATGTGTCTAAAACAGTCAAATGGGAAGCGGTTTACTTTGAGGCCATGGATGGAATCCTGGTTTCTTCCCCAAAAGCCAGCGGACGGTGGCAGTGCCCCTGTGGTGCATGTTCTTGCTGCTTGGAAGCACTGGAGTTTTTATGATTTTGATGATGCGCATTCGCAGCTTCCAGTAAGTCACGGCTAGCGCTTAACGCTAGCGGTGAATACCATGAACTGGCTTGATCATGTATGTTGCGGCAATGGTGTAAATGACCTGGTGCAGACCATGTCATGTCAGGGGAAGACTGTGAGCAAGTTTGATACGTACAAATTGAAAGACTGGGATAGGTATGAGTATGTGTATTTGGAGTCCATGCATGGATAAAAGAATGCTACTGGATTACTAGCAACCTCGTAATATGGGAAATGGAATTGTCTTTGCAAGGCATGCCATACTTGCTTGCGGTCAGTCACATGAGGAGCTTGAGAGCTGCCTAGCATGATTTTGCGTGTGCAAAAGGTTGCGCACGTGCACATTGTATGAATACATGGTGCTTCAGTACATATCTGTAAGAGATCTGAGATGGAACTCTCTCATTAGAGAAGTTGTCTGAATGCTATTTCTGGGTGGAATAGCTGTGCATTGCATTGAATAGCTGTGTGAATGCTATCCCTGGTGAACTTGGCTAATTAGCCATCCCTCAAAACTGTACAGATACAGACACATGTGTCAAAGGCCTCAGCTGCATCTCTGAAGAAGACGAACGTCGGCAAACCCTGGCGGATCCGGCTCTGGACAATCTGGGACAAGCTATAAATATGGTCGACGCAACTGCGCTTCCGGCGAAAACCGGCCTGACACGTGTGCAATCTCTGGTAAAATATTTTGTTGAAAGCCATTCACTATTGACAAGAAATTTGCAAGCATGCTACCTCGAAATTCACTCAAATTTTTGATCCGGAAAAAGTCCCAATTCTTTCCTGGGCAGACCCTATCTGTAGCATAGAAATCTATTCATGTACCCGCTGAATGTCCCAGGTCAGGCAGAATATACGAACGATATCTCGATGTGTGCCTATTTATGTCATCATCATCCTTGCGCAGGGGTGCATGCTAAGCTTCTCTGTATCGTTCCACTTTTAACAGATGTCGCGAAGGACAAAAAGAGAATTAAAAAGAGAGGATCCCACCAGGAAGGACTCGAACCCGGGCATTCCGATTAGGGGAGGGGCTCGAATCCTCTACACACCAACCGTCCAGGGATTGGGCTCGAACCAATTACAGCCTGGCGCCACCAGGATCGCCTTCAGGGACGCTCGTTGGTAATTCAGGTGGTATCACTAGTATATATTCTTTATTTGGTAAGGGCGGTTGGAGTTCAATCCTGCCCAATTCCCTTGCTATTTTTAAAGACGCTTTCGTTCGGGATTTTGATTTGGGCTTCCATCTCTTGAAGAGTTGTCAAAACGCTTCAGGGCAGAGAGGCACGTTCTAATGTCATAGCTTTTGTGCTAATTACGCAGAGTTACCAAATTCCTTCTGATACTTAAATACTGCTGGCGATGCACGCTTGACCTCCACCAGTAAGTTCTCCCAGCAGCACGTCCCCTCTAGAGACCTTCGAGAAGGCTTCTCAGTCCACCTACAGCCTTCGAGATTTCAAGCAAAGTACAAGGTGATTTGCCTGCAAATATGCCTCTTTTTCTCGCAAAAAGAAATTTGTTAACACCACATTGTGTCAATCTGCTCTTGCCAAGTGTTCTTCAAGGTGCTGATGTAAAGCACTGTGCGTATCGCCACCGTTGAAAGTTCCGACCTCGTGCTCATGCAACTATCATACATGTGACGCAAGTATTCCCATGGAACAATTTGAGGGAGTGAACTGGGATCAGCTGCTCCCAGAGATCTGGCAGAAAATCGCAGACCACTCCGCGACGGAGGAGTGGGTGCAGAAAATCAGGGCGTTATATAGCGCCATGCAAGGCTTGCAGCGGGCCGGAATCAACATGAGGTCGGCGTTCTTGGGGCAACAGCCATGGCTCCACAAACACTGGGGTCAGGCCAAGAGCCTCACCTCCCTGACACGATCCAAGGGTCAGGTGTCAGCTTCAATTCAACTTTCACAGATATATGGACAAATGCTTCATAGCCATACTGAGGCTCATGGTTGCTTGTCTGTCTTCGAAGACAGAACAGAAGACAGAACAATTCTTGCTGAACACTTCCAAGGTTGGCACGTCCCACATGAGCAGCTAGCAAGAGCATGCTTTATCTGGCATGCATGGCACGAGGCTTCTTCCTGATGCCCCATGGGGAGCTAATTTACATCAAGTGCTTGAGATTCAAAGTCTGTACAGTTGCCACCAAGCAAAGCGTGCATCTGCACACTTGAAATGCCAACTATCAACACTTCGACACGCTTTTCAGTACAGCCAGTTCAAGTACTGTGCAGGCACACCCGAGTGGCACAAGAAATTTCATCGCTGGCCCCACTACTTTCCAGAAGGCCTGTCCAGCAGTTTCATGGCCTGCATCTGGGTCACCAGAGGCGCATCAGGCGGCACTTCTAGTAGAGCCGTGTCCGCCTCAGATGCAGCAAGGGGCAACAATTTTGCCACGAGCTGCATAGCGCAATTCGCCGAGCGGCCCACCTTCCCCCTGACGCCCTCTGGTAAGGGGGCCGGGGCGGCAAAGAGCACCCTGTTGATGTCTGTATCCATGCCCAGCTCGTACACCTCTGCAAAGACTGCCTGCAAGCGTGCAGCACCACACACATCAGCGGTGCTACTGGTCGGGGGCATTGTTTTGTTAATCTAGCATGATGATCACTTGTGAGGCAGCCCATTTTCCCTCACACTTTGTGCAGCTAGATCTGCTCTGCATGCATGCGAGCCAATAACTCCAACTGTAACAAGAAGCACTTCCAGCATAGCACCGTCAGAACAACTGTGCAGATTCTCTCAGGCCTGCCAGCTCACTTGGGAGGCAGTGCTACTCCTCAAATCTGGCACTTGCTCTGCCAGCATGTCTGCATTCCTACTTGTCAAAATCAGAGAGGCCTCCCGCATGGCAAAAGCAGGCCTCACAGGGACTCCCAGTCCTGCCAGGCTTGCAGGTGGGTAGCAATAAAAAAACATGGCCTGAACACAGTGCGCTCACATTCGCAGATGTGTCTGTGCACCATCTTTTTGATCACAAGTCCTACACCGTCCCCCTTGAGCCAGCTAACGCCAGCGGTGTGCCTTGATTGTGAAGGCAACTGTGTGAGGCAGTACCAAACAGCAGACTCAAGGGCCGAACAGTGCAGAGAATGAGGACATGCATCAGCCAGGACTGTTTATCTCGGTCTGTACTGGTATATTACCAGCCATCCCTAAGAGGGTACGAATCGGCAGAAAGATTGCAAAAGGGAAGCGCGCAGGGGGGGCTGGCTTGCATGACCCACCTGCAGGGCAGCGGCGGCCTTGGAGAACGCCTCAGCAGACCGGGACACGCAGTTGACGATGACTAATCCGTCAGGCCGCACAGCTGCGCGCGCGTTTTCCAAGAAGTCCTCGCCCAAAAAGGCCGCAGGCGGACACGTCATCGCCAAGCTGGCGTCGCCGCTGCCAGCGTCGACGATGAGGACGTCCAAACTTGGCGCGTCTGGTGCATGCGCCAGCTCAGCAACCACCTCCAGGCCGTCGCCAACGAGCGCCTGACCATGAGGCAACATTGCCTTATCCCATTTTGATATTTGATCCAAGGCACCTGGCATTGCTTGCCATCCCCGTCTATCACATACTCATCAATGGTGAACGGGGATCGGCAGATGAGAGCATAGCTGCAGAGCTCATCGGACCTGCTAACCTGAAATCAGTGGAAAGCAAGACTCTGCATGCAATAATAGGAAGCATCTCAGAAACTTTCGGTCTCCGCGCAAGACCGACAGGGTCGGGCAAGTGCTCTGCGCAGATGAAACAGAAATGCTGGCAGCTTTCTGGCATCCTATGGTGTCTCCTTGTGATAACCCTTGTTCAAGGACACGGTGTGCGCACTGTGAGCGAGGGCTGATAGATCTGACCAGCACTCGTCCAGGTGGTGCCCTCAGCATGTCTGTAACATCCTAGACATATCACTATTCACAGCTGTTCCTGGCTGTGAGTAAACGCCCTCCGTGATCTAGCGCTGGCTGATGACATCACCAGAAGGCGAGTTGGCAACACGCGGCTATTCAGTCAACGCGTTGAAGTCAGCATGCACAGATTCATGCGCGCACAGTCAGCGAGCGCTGGCTTTTGCCCTCAGCAAGGAAGGTTACACATCAAGAAGACACACTTAGTGATGTCAGCAATGACAGGATAATGCGCGCACCGTCAGCGAGGGCTGGCTTCTGACGTCAGCAACGCCAAAGTGGGCGCGCGCAGCCCTCCTTTTTAATTCAAAATGTGGTGAAACCTCACAATTCAGAATGTGTTACAAACGATGAACACAGGATTATGGGCGCACCGTCAGCGAGGACTGGCTGACCACGGCAGGGAATTTAAAGCGGCGGCGCGCGGCCCTCAGTTAGCATGGAAATGTGTTCAATACAGCTACAAAAGCAATGCGCGCACTGTGAGGGACGGCTGGCTGCAGACGTCAGCGAAGTCGAAGTGGCGGCGCGCCAGGCCGACAACTGTCGCGTCCAGCTCCACGCAGTCCACCGCCAGGCCCAGGCAGCTGTGCAGGTAGATGGGCAGCGCCCCCCCTCCCAGGCCCACCACCAACACCCTCCCTGGGTCCCCACCCTCTCTCCGCCGCCTCTCCAGCAGTCCCTCCGCTGCAGGCAAGCGACACTGAGTCAGGTTCCTGTGTTCACAAGAGTTCACTCATTTGACATGATTGACACTGACATATCAAGCAAGCTCCTGCTTGCAAGGCCTTTGTTCGTGGTTTTGGACTCAGATGCCACCTGGCAGATCCCCAGGCTATAGCAGGGAGGATCTATGGTTGGTTCATAAAAGACTTCTCGTAGAAGGTTCAAATTGTCCCAAGAAGGTTATATGCACAGCAGAAACGTGAGCGTCAAAACAATCAACACTCAAATTTCACCTAGCATCACACAAACGCAGAAGCATGGACGACAGTCTGACATATTGTGGCAGAACATCTCCTGGTATCTACAACGTGACAAAAGGGACCATGCGTGCAGGACTGGGGTGACAGCATACGCACCAATGAGGGAGAGGCCTGCCACCATGGCGCTGTGGTACTCGCTGGCCAAAATCTCATAGCTGGGCACCATCGGCACATACCCCTCATCCTTCCCCTTGCTCGCCTTCTTCGCCTTCCCCTTCTTTGGCGCCCGGCCCTTGTCCTGAGCCCATCAGCACTGTATCAATGCCCAGATCTCAATATTACAAGAGAAGGACAAACAAATGTCACTGCATCTGACAGAGGCTGCTTTGGAGAGCATGCATGCGCATGCCACGGCAGCCTTAGCAACAAATGTGGAACTGAACCCTTCATGCATGCAGTTTTCCATAGCAGGGCGTTACATAGCACATTCTTCCAGTCTGAAAGCAGGACCACTCATGCAGCAATCCCGTGGCCTGCATGAGCTTGCACCAGTAGCGTATAAGCAAGCACACAAGCGCTTTGCAAGGGGTCCCACAACTTCAGTGAAGGACACATTCCGATGTATCCATGAAAGGCAAAAATGTCGTTGCAGAGCGATACCTGTGCTGTGCCGGCAGCGGAGGCAGGTATGAGATACGCCTCTGACTGGGTGAGGTTGCGGTTGCTGGTGAACACCATGCGCCGAAGCCACTGCATCTCTCCAGGATCCTCTGCATCCGGTAGCAGCACCTTCACATCCTCCACTGATATGTGCCTGTGCAACAGCCCATATCACTTGGAACATACACGGAATTTTGTTCTTTTTTACTTCTTTTGGAGAATTTGTATTCGAAGGTCTCTTATGTGAATGCAAAGCGCGCCCCGTGGTTTGATTGCACATTTCATGTGGGGGTGGGCACTGTCTTCCAAGTGACACCTTGCAAGACAAGAGATGCAGGGTTCAGGTACAGGGACAAATTTAGCCTCCTCAAAGGAGCCTTGATTGAAAGCTACACATGGCACTTGCCTTTCAAGCACCTTCATAAACTCCTTTGTCAAAGTGCTTGGCACTGCTTTTGGCGCAGGACACTGTGTTTGACATGACAGTGTGTTACAGAGAGATCTGGAAAGCACAGTTAGTCAGTGAAATAGCCCATGTACACAAGAGCATGTGGATGGGAATGCTCACCCGTTGATGGAGGACTCCGCCTCTTCCAGGACCACCCGCTCCCCAATGCCCTCGCTAGTGGTCAGGATCGGGATCTTCTTTTCCCCTTCCCGCACATCTGCTGGCGCAAGATTCTTCACCTGCATCCCAAACTCACATCTGAGCAATGTGCAGCTCTACAGGTCTATACCTCTCTATCTCTCTACCTCTAATATACTGATATTTTGCCACGGAGATTTCCAAGTGTGCTGCTAATTCCTGGCCAAGGTGAATCTTTCATTCATGCAGTTACCTCTGACACTCGAGATCAGGTGCCAGCCTTTCGGTCTACAGAAGCTGTGTGTCAGCAGCTTAAAACCGCAGGTGACCACAGGAGACTCCTATGCAAAAATATCTGGTGCCAGCACTTCCGGCCAAGAGATCAGCTCTGGAAAGCCACCCAATTTGCAGCTGACCACAAAAGAGCATTCGGCCATACCCATGTGCAGGCAACAATGCAACAAGGAGACAACACAAGATCCTGCATGTTTCATGAAGGAGTTGAGGATGGGGATCACCAAAGGGGAAAGCTCCCTGTTGACAGCAGCAGTGCCCTTGAAGGTGTGGCCCCTGTTGAGGATCACCAGAATGACCCTCTTGGCCCTGCAGTCCGCTGCCACGGCCCACTGTCCCTCCACTGTGGCAAAAAGCCACTCATGCTCCCGACCCTGCACGCATGCACTCTGAACAATTCACCATCCACACCATACAGTTAACAGGGTCCACTAAGGACTGGTGAGTACTAACCTTCTCAGTCCTTAGTACTCAGTGTTAGGTAGTGCTTAGTACCCCATGCAGTCACCCCCAGGACATCCGTCATCCACTGCACCCTGAGGCCAGTCTGACCTAGCTGGGGCATCCTATCACATGATATGAGTATGATGAGTATTTCTTTAAAGATTTCAAGGTTTTTGTGCTAATTCCTGCGGTGGCCTCTGCGGCATACAGGTGCCTGGGACTCTTTAGTCTGTCCCCATGCTTCTATGAACCTGCCGGGCTGGCACGGCTTGATTGCAGTGAAGCATCTTACATTACCATCTTGCCTCGAGGGAATTGGGGGCTGACCTGGGGTACAATGAAGACGCAGCATTCGTGCACGGCGCGCTCTGAGGCTTCTTGTCTGTTGTCGAGCACGATGGCAGAGAAGCGCGCTGAGCAGTTTCCCAGTGGGGCACTCTCCTCCTGGCTGTCCGGGGGGTAGCAGCTGGCTTGGCTGTCCCTATCTACGCCTACATCCCCTGTCGCCATTTGCCATTCTGTGAATGATCCGTTACAGTTTATTTCAGGTGAGGATGCAATGGTCGGTGGGAGCAATTGCAGGTCTTAACGCAAGTTTTTGTGCGCTGCATGACCACTTGTTATGTACAGGAAGGCATGCTGACAGCAATTTGCGTAATTAGCCATGACCTGTTGGCAAGGACATAAAGACAAGAACCATGCATCAGAGCACAAATAAAGACAGGTGAGAGCTGCACTGCAGAGCACCCACCATTGGAGCTAACTTCCTGGGAAGAACCAGCCTCCTCGGGCGCTGTATTCACCCTTGCTCTAATGTCCTGGGCGGCAAATGGCAGGCATGGTATGGCAATGCGGCTGCCGGGATGCAGCCGCGCAAAGATATCCCCCTTGTCCTGCTCTTTGCCCAGCGCCCTGGCTGCATTCTCCTCCTTCACCACCTGGCACGGCAGCAGTTTGGGATAGTCGTAGGAAACTTGCGCAAAGCACCTCTCCAGCAGGTGAGCAGAACTATCATGCGTTGCATGCATTCATGGACGGCAATGCTCTAATTTGGCCAACAACAGGCTTACAAAGTAGGCTGAGGTGTGAGAAAATTTGGAGGCGGCAGAACAGCGCCCAAAGAGATACCCACTTCAGAAACAAGCAGTCAGGCTTAAAAAAAAAGCTCTCATGTGCCAAACATCATCTAAAGAAGAAGAATGAAGCGTGCTCCTCAGGGAAAACAGAAGTGCAGAGCCCTCCACCGGGAAGCAAGAGAGACACACCTTGACAATGTCAGCAAGCTGCTCTGAATTGCAGCAGGCAGGGTCTTCTCCGAAGCCGAGCTCCACAGGCGCCGAGCCAAGAGAAGCTGGGCCGCTGTCCTGCTGCCGGAGGCAACGATGCACCACTGCCAGCACGGGCTGCAGGGGGGACCCTGCCATATCTGGGGAGGGGGGGACCCTGTGCAGCTTTATTGACCAGCCACTCTGGAAGGCACCCAGCAGCTTCCCTGCAGCATGACACAATTGGCGAGTGCCATCAAAAAAAGCATAAAATGGGCTTTCCTGGGTCCGCAATCTTGCTGGCAACCAAGATTTATGACTGATGTGTACAGCAAAATTGCAGCTTGTCTACGCTCTTTTCCTTTCCAGGGAATGGGTGCATGCCAATACCAAAGAGGGCAAAAAGGGCAAATTGCACATCTGAGGCTAGAAGCAAGTGTATTCCCTGGTAAGACAAAAAAAGGGCTTGATGACAGGGACTGACTCAGGACATGGGTCTGTGCCAGAGTGACGCAGAGGTAGGCGGCGCCTTCGTTGTACATCAGCAGGCGGGCAACCTCAGCAAGCAGCTTCCCGCCAGCATCCTCTGACCCCGCTGTGTCTTCCCCCATCAGCGCATCCAGGCCACCCTTGTCCACGATGACAGCGAAGCTGCTGCTGTCAAACTGCAGCATCGCCAGGCACACCCATCAGCCAGATGGGTCAGCCAGATCAGCGCGCATCCCGCTTTTATTATTATTTTACTACACATTGTTCCTGCCGGAGGCAAGCCGCGTCTGCAGAAAGCTGCAGTGAAGGCTGCCACCTCCTACCCCTCGATGGACTTGCCAGATCCAAGCAAAACCCAGTCATCCCGCAATGCCATGCGCTGTGTAGGAGCTCTAACTTACCGGGACATTCAGCAATCTTGAACTAGGTAGGTGTCATGCATATAGTCCAGGACGCCACTGCCTGCCTCAGTGCATGGATCTGTGTGCAAAGCAGGGTATCCTTTTGATCAGGCGAGGGGCTCGAAATTACAGGATGCCAGCAGTCAGCTCGCCTTGGTCTTGGTCATGTCCATGACCAGCCACTTCATGAGGGGCCTCTTGCGCAGGTTCTTCAGCATCATCTCCTTGATCACAGTCTTGGAGAAGTCCACATTGGTGATGTGTGTGCAGCCCTCGTCATACCTGATGGCACCACAGAGACCTCACTGGAATGACCCTAGAGACGATCGAAATGACGGATGGAGACTTGCAATAGAGAGAAAACAAGCCAAGCATCATTGAAATTACATTGCCGTCCTGGCATGCAGTGCTTGCTCACATGTCAGCCGACAGATCGGAGTTGCCGCAGCCAACCACCAGGATGGCCTTAGATGGCTTGACCAGGGGGAGCACGAGCGGTCGGAGCTGCTTCCATTCGCCATACCATTCGAAGGACTTTTGGTTTCTAGCTTTGAAGAATCCGTCCCAATAATCTACAGATCGAAATTCCTCGAAATTGGATGGGAGGAGACCTGAGAAATTATTCTTGCTCATTGCATAGATAGCTCTTACAGCATGTGAGATTGTTTACATGTATCACAAAGCGCACTTAATGAGGGCTGGGCTCGATCAATGGAAATAGATAAGACGGTTAGGCTGATCTCACAAACGTTGGAAACAGCAATCCTGAAATAAGAGCACGCCAACGTTGAATCTGATCGGCAGGCTCGTTTGCAATGGTAATTGGAAACTATAGATATTACAGCTGGTCTCTCAATTTGCCTTTCCAGTCCAAGATTCACGCCCTTCCCTTCACGCACGACAGTCAATTTCGGAACGGAGCGCCTAGATTGGCAATCCTAGTTGTCAAGACGGCTGAGGACTTCGGGACAAAGGATCCAAGAGGAAAAGTGTTTCTGGAGGTCCATCTTGATTTCAAATATTTGTTCTGTACATCCCAACTCAGGGAACATCACAAAATACGCTTCAAGTGCCTCCGTCGTCTGCAAAGATCCTACCTTCTTTGACTCATTTTCGCTGTAGACAGGAAGCCAGCGTCACTAGATTCTTGAGAAAAAGAAGAATAAGAAATATATGGTCAGTATTTGCCAGTCAGGGGCTTGAGGAGAGAACTCAACAGACAAACCACGAATACTAGCCTTTGCAGCATTCACCACTGTGCGCTGATTTAAGCAGCCATGCGCTTGGAAAAGTGCTGGTTCTGCTCCAGCACTATATATCCCGGACACGGGATCACGTTTGTTCGCAATGATTGCACGGTGTGCAGTCACTGCCAAAAGAAGGATCTCTCCTTTCGTCCTGAACTACAGGGTTGATGTTCCCACAGAAGGCATCATTTGCTTGCTTGAGTGCATCTACAGGCAGCACATTCTGACAGCAGGGCGGTGCTTGGCTGCAGGTCTTCAATTTCTGTAGGTCCAAGTGCCACAAGAATTTCAAGATGAAGCGGAATCCTCGCAAGGTGGCCTGGACCAAGGCCCACAGGCGTCTGGCAGGGAAGGAGCTGGCAGAGGTGAGAACTATCAGGAGGGAAACAGTACCAATCATGAGCTCCAGTCAATATAGGGCATTTTGGTCTTGATCAAAGCATGATTAGATCACACTTGTGCATTAAGTCAAGCAGCACTTGCAGGCTGTCCAGGGACTGATGCAGTGCATCTGTGTTTGCTGCAGGACACAACCTTTGAGATGGAGAAGCAGCGGAACAGGCCGGTGAAGTACGACCGGGAGCTGACTCAGAAGACCATCAAGGCCATGGAGAAGGTCACGGAGGTGAGCAGCCTCATTCTAGTGCTCCCTCATGACCTGCACATGCATGGGCTTCACTAATGGACTCGGGAAGTCCTCTGTTGTGAGCCTTGTGTAGAGCCTTATGCTCAAAGGGAACTTACCAGACCTGAATCGTGACAGCATGCCTAAACAGTTTATATACTCCTGTGGTGCGCTGAGCGGAAGGAATCTCGGCAGTGAGACACCTGTGGCATACAATTTGACCGACTGTGGGGTCAAGGCAAAGCAGAAAGTCACATGAAAGGCAAGGTGAAGGAACTGCACACTGACTTCTCTTGGCTCCATGCAGGTTCGCCAGAAGAGGCAGGAGCGGTTCTACGCGGCGCGCATGCGCAAGGCCAAGAAGCAGCAGATTGCGCAGGAGAAGGGCGAGCTTGAGAAGGACATCAACCTTGTACGCGAGACACCATACACAGAGGAGGAGCAGGAGCAGCCTGTCAAGGAGGTCAGCTCTCTCGCCCCAAAGTTTCTCCCAAATGCAGGACCAGCATGTGGGCAAACATCTGCTTCCACTGTCACGATCAACAGAGTTACCCTGTTCTTTGTGCATGCACGGTGTGAGACCTTCACGAACGGAGATTCACTGTCTTGTTGTCTCCTTATCCGGCCATTAGGGTCAAATTTGCAACTACAGTGCGCCCCATCCTTTGCTTGCGTCGGTCGTGTGGGGTAGCGCATGTTCAGTGCATTCCTACTGCAAAGGTATTGTGTGCTTCTGCGGGTGTGAGGGAGGCCTTAGTCATGCCAGCACATGTCTTAAATGTGTCGTGCCCGCAGATTATTTTCACAGCCCAGCAGCCTCTCCAGAGCTAGAGCATTTCTGAGCTCTTGGCACATCTTAAATACTTCGTCAAGACGATCAAAACAGGGCAGGGCCTGCAGACAAGTCTTGTGTTCTATCAGCTTCCCCTGAGTCATGTCCTGAATGGAGATGTCTGTGCAGGTGCAGGCGCCAGTCAAGCATGTGCAGAAGAAGAGGGAGAAGTTGAAGATTCCAGTGGAGCAGGGGCGGCAACGCATGCGCGAGTGAGCGCTGGCACAGCAAGGCGGCTGTCAGTGACAGAACGCTTCCGCGGCAGTACAAGATATGACTAAAGCGTCACAAGAATACAATATCTGATTAAAGAGCACATCACTCCTGTGAGATCCAACTACATGCCAAGAAATTTTGGGAGTTTCCTTATTATTTGAATGCTTTAAAGTGCACCTCTCAGCTCAGTTCAAATCAGCTCAACTTGCTGATCACTTTGAATTGTGATTCAAAGTCTTCAACACAGAGCAGCAAGATAAAGCCTCAACATGTAAACTTAAATCTCAGAACGAGCTATGCATTGCAGTCAGTGCTGCCGTGGCAAAGAGACCCACAGGCTGCGGCTGTCAACACATGCAGACCTGCACTGTGGCACATCTCGGACAAACGTCTCAATAAATCTGGTGGGCGATATCAAAGTAAAAAGTAATTCTTATATCCCTGTGGCCTTGACAACCCCAAATTCCAATTGGACTTTGCAGCCCATGCTTGCAAGTCACATCATTGTTGCATGGCCGTTATGGTCTTTTCATGTGCCCAAGCCAGGCGCAAATGGCGGGTCCAGTGGGCTCTATCAGTCATCTTAGTCAACATGGCTTGTGTCACCATGCTGCTGACTGTGACCCTCGCCCCTACCGGGTTCTTGTTGTGCCAGTCCTTGGCCAGAACACCCACATGCAGCCCATTTCCCCCCACTGCATCAGAGCAGCAGCCTGACCGAAGATCCTCTTTGTAGAGATCAAAGATGTTTCTAAAGTCCAGGACCTCAATTCCTTCTGCTTCCAAGTAAGGACGCGCCACAAGATCATACACAAGCAAAAGCCACACGGGATTGCTACCCCTCCAGATAGTTCGCGTCCCGTGTCTAGTTCTGATCCCTGCCAGCCAGCTGGCAAGCCTACGCATGCTGTGTGCAAAATCATCCAGTGACTTGCCATCATCGTGGGCTCCAGTATTCACTATGAGGAAGTCTGGGTGCCTGGTGGGGCATCCTGGGCCAATGTTGTCGACCATGCAGAGGGATTCGGCCAAGAAAGAGGAGTTGAAAAAGGTGGATATCCCCATAAAGTTGTTCTGGACAATGGCGTGCCCTGTGAACCGGAATCATATCAAGATGTTGTGTGAAGGCACGTGGATTGTCACGCTGCGAGCTGTGGCGTGCAGGATCACCTGCGGGTACACAAATGTGCCCAACTCAGCCCAAAATAACTGTGTGCACAAGCGTTTTAGCAGCACAAGTGCAAAAGACATTCTAGCTCCTGAGCATGGCTCAAAAGACACACCAGCATTGCATTCTGGGGATCTCCTTGGACTGGCAGCGTAAACTCCTTTGCCGCACTCCTGCAAAGGGAAATAAAGGTTGGCTGTGCTCAAGCATACTTGTTTGTGCCTCAAGAGGCTTGCGCATCTTACAAGATTTACTTACAGCCAGCAAGTCACTGTCTGCTGCCTGTTTAAAGACCCGAGAGTGACCAGTGCAAGCCTGCATCGCTGCCCTCAGCAGTCGTTTGTACTGGCCTGCACCTTGCAAGCAGATCTGTCAAGGCATTAACAGATCATTACCCGATTGCCGCGTTTATGAAGGTATCCATGACCTCAGAAGACTGAGGTGTGCCGCTCAAGAGGAGTATCAGGTCATACATGTTCTCCTCCAGGGTCGAGTCTCCAAACATCACAATGTAATTTCCCCCTCAGGCGATCAAGCTCGCCGGCACTGTCTTGATTATCCAGCTGCAAGTGTAGATTCATGATCACTTAATCACTCCATGTCCCTGCTGCTGCATTCTTTTGGTAGTATGTTGCCAAAAAGATAGCAAAAGAGAATTTTGGCTCACCGAGCAGAACAGGGAGACCGGTAGGTGCCCTGAAGCGTCTTGCACTTGATCAAGTCTGATCCCGTTGCAGATGTCCAGCTCACACCTTTTCTGTTCAGGCACCCACCTGTGGAAGATTCCCACTTGTAAACGCCTTCCTATAAAGAGGAATGTGTTGTAAATTAACACAGCAATATTCAATAGGGGATGAGGGCAAGTTCCTGGATTAAGTATCACCTGATAATGGCGTCAATAGGCAGAGGACTAGCGAGCCTTGACAAATTACATATGGCCTTTGCTTGGGCTGTCAAGTGGAGCAGCACTACTGCAAACCACAAGAGTCTTGCACACAAGGAGTCGAAGCTGAGATTTACGCTGGCTTCTTGTCGTGAAACCAGAAAGGAAGGGATTCTGGAAGCTTTAAAACCTGTTGTCATTGATTTCATGTATGATTCTCCAAAAGACTAATTTCGCATTGCCAGCTGGGCCCCTGCACACAACCAGTCCCCATCAAAGATAGTGTTTGCTGGTGCCAAATATCGATATCGTTGAAGAAATAGAAAATCTGCATTTCTTTAGATGCCCCTCTTAGGCTCGCACCGCGCCAGTTCAGGTCGAGACAATCGTTATCTAGCCTGCGATCACAAGGTTCCTTACAATGTAGTATGTACAGCCGCCGCACTGGAGCTCAGCATCGTTCTCTCAGAGGCTGCGTGTCGTTCGTGCTCTGCACGTGCAAGATCACGTGCATCTCAATCAGTGCTGTTGTGCGCTGCGTGGTCTTTAAAGGCGGCAATGCATGATGAGCAAGACTCGAGCTCTAGGCTAGTCTCATCAGCAGTTGAAGGGGTGCCATTCCAACAATAGTGACTAAGACATTCTGTCGGTTGCAGGAAGTGCTGCTCATGACTGCTAGCTTTCAGTCCAAATGAGAAGATGCATACGGTAGACTTCAGTGCTGTGCTGTGCTGACACTGTGCATGAAGCCTTTGCTCTATTGGAACTAGGAGATCGAATGTTGTTGTTGACACAACATTAGGATGTGACCACGTGTTGTCCGGTCTCTGCTCAGGCACACCAGTGTGTAGAAAATAGCACATCTAATCAGCCCGTATTGGCTGGCACGATGTAATGTTTCTCTCTCTCTCTCTCTGGTACTACCATGCATGGGCCATGCTGGAATCAAGACTCAGACTGGCTCAGAATTGAAATTTCTCTGTACTTATATGATTACTACTGCACAAGCTTCCTGATTACATAGATAACAGGCTGAGCACACTCCGATCATGATCAAACCCCATGACCTCTTCATTTGGCAGATCTGCTGGAACCTAGAATCCTCATTCTTGCTGGAAATGTTTTAAGAAGGGTAGGTACTGCCCAACTGCCTCCCTCGAGTTCACCAAGCACCCATGGCAGGCACCACACGCACATGGCCAATTTACTCCGAATTCGTAAAACTTATTCAAATACAACCCCGCGTAGCCTTCTTGGAGTACCCTGGCATTTACGATGTTCAACGATTTCCCAGCCCGGCTCAATGCCATGGCAATCTGAAAATTTCCACTGCCCCTACTGTCTTGTAGATGGCGCTGAAGTCCTGTAGGCTGTTTGCAAGACGATCAGGACTCTCAGATTCCATTATCAGATCCTGAGCAGACACATGAAGCTTTTGCAGCAACATTGTGCTTGGAAGAAGAATTTTGACATCATCCCCATCCAAGTATAGTTCTCTAAGGCATGGAAATAGAGCCGCATGGAAAATTGCTGGATTTCCCTCAGTGCCGAGGTATCCCAAAATCCAGCGTAAGCTCTGACATCTTGAAGATGTGACAAAGTCCGGGATATCACCTCGGTTTGTATCTTGTTCAGTGACACTGAAAGTTGCCAAGCAACCTCTGCTTGCAACGTCAGACCACCACTCCCTCAAGTCCTCTTTTGCTTCCCAGACAACCGTGTGCAACCGGCACGATCTAGGCAGACTGATTCCCGCTAAAGCCACACTGTCAATGAAGACGTCTGCAAGGTCAGGTAGGCTCGCTAGTGACAGCTCCGCCATCTCCTCGGTCTCATCACACTGAATGAGTGACAGCGTCCGCAGATTACGCAGGTGACCAAGGGAAGCAAGGGTCCTATTGTCAAAGCTTTTGGCGTACAGCCTGAGGTGGCGCAGATTTGTGAGCGGAGGAAGAACAAAAGTATCTTTGCCTACAAGAGAAAGCAACCTCAGCGCAGGAGAGTGAGCTAAGAGCCACGTCAAAAATGTGGCACAGGAGCTGCTGAATTTGTCCTTGACAGCCACTCGGAAGTCCAATACATTTGAGGGACTTGAGGCCTGATGATCCATCACCCAGGGCAGCTCCATAGAATCTGCTTCTATGTTCAATCCTTTGGCTTCACCCCAGCGTGTCTGCACCCACTCCAGAGACTGTGCCGTGAGTCCACTCAAAAGAATCCGCTCAGGCTGCAAGGTGAATGTCGTCTGGTTGATCCCGCTCAGTTTCACCCATTCCTTTGTTGGCAAAAAAGTAGCAATTCGCTGCCAAACATCCACAGGCAATTGAAGTTGTTGGATCTGCTTTTTACTGCCCATTTCCTTTTCCCCTGCGAATTTGTACACGTCAAACAGTGCACAATCGTTGAAATTAAAAGGGATCAATTTAAGAACCATTCGTTTTCTGCAAAGGTGTTCACGGCAACCATCCTCATATGACACGAAGAGAGACATCAAGGCATCAGAGCAGGGACACGACCTACCTGTTGATTTTGATGATTGCTCCAAAGCGTGCAGGTCCTGTCACGCAGAATCTCAAAACAGACCAGTGGCAAGGACGCTTGTACTGATTCCACAATAAACACTGAGGACTATGGTAGGACATCTCACCCTATCTCCAATTTTAAGTGTGTTTGTCGCAAATGGAAGCGCGGCCAACTCTCCTCCCAAGGTTTGCACGCCGCCGTACAGCAGGCCCAGCATGTCTCCATCCCTGTCAGGCTCGCTGTGCATGGTTCGTTTTGTCTCTGCATCTGCCTCGTCACAACCGATAAGTCACATGTGTGTGAAGGATGTGCAGCTGCTCACAGCTGTCAGTCATAGCGCGCATGCGCATGCACAAAGGTGCCCAGGCCAGCGCCGCTATCCAGCGCAGCTGCGCAGTGCACACAATATGCATATGCCATAAAGATAATGCATGCTGCACGTGGGCGCGAAAGCGTCCCGCAGACTTGCAGGGATAAATTCTGGTCCAGAACTTCTGGAGAATTGACTGCATGCATTGCGCAACCTGCCAGATGGATCCATGGAATAGTTATGTTGCATGCACAATGCGCAATCATGATGATCAAGTTGTTGGTGCGCACCACCTTCCATGCATGCATATAGGCAGCATAAACGGCAGCATGCTAATGAGCATAAGAGATTTGTTTATTACACAAGGATATCACAGGGGCAGCAATCCCTATCCCTACTTTTCTTGCTTATACGTTGAGCTCAAAGTACACCCAATTTGCAAAGGCCTGGCCCTTAAGCACTCGCCCAAATATATGCAGGTTAACAATGTTCAGGAGCTGCATTTGCCTATAACACAGAAAGCATATGGATAATATCCCATGCAGCACTGCAGTCCTCAAATCATGATTTTCATAACTGCTGCAGCAGCTATCGGTCTCATTATTGTGCCCTGGCCCTGTCATTGCATTTCAATCCGTGAGCGACCCTCCATATATATCTCACATAGGGTAACACACCCCCGGTTAGCGCTCAGCAGAGGGTGGTGCCCTCCGGCCTGTCATGCTCAGGGCATGCGGTAAGCTTTCTCCAAAATATTTAGATAACGGCTCAATCTAGGATGGATGCATTTGCCGCAGCCTCCACACACATACACATAGTGCCTTAATGGCTTGCACTGACTCAGGTCCAAACCCGCCTCTGCCTTCTGCTGACAAAGGGAATGGCCTTAAAGCATCCTATACAGCTGCCAGCCCGGTTGGAATCGCACTGAAGCTGCACAGGCCACACGCATGTCGCACACTGCAGTATTCACACAGTCACACCTTGCATCTGGGCTTCACTGCAAAAGTCAGAGAGTCTCAAAGCAACTGTTCCTCAGCCCCCATGGTGAAATGCAGCTTTGTCCAGACTGCTTTGATGTGCAGTCTCTAGCAGCCTTCATGAGACCATACTGCAAGAGTGTCCTGTCACATTTGAGGCTCAAATCTGGGCCCAGCTGCTCTGGTAAGACTTACAATCAGGCATGCTGTGCCGGCTCAGTTGGGGTCGGTGTTTTATGCGCCTGCTGCGCTCGCCTTCTTTTGCAGCGATGACTTGCACTGACGCCATCTTATCCTGCATCTGCCCTCCACTGCGATGGCGAGTTCAATGGTCCAAAATTTATCTTGTACAGCTTGCTTGGCCGGCTCAGTTGGGGTCGGTGTTTTCTGCGCCGGCGGCGCGGCCGTGGTCTTGAAGGTTGGTCTGCACGAACTCAAGAGCGTCTTCGCGCGACACGACGTCAACGCGGCTGATGCGGTTGGCGTGCGACACTCCGTATATCTTGTCCGCCTCCCCGATGATCTGCCAACGCGCACATGCCACGTCAGAACATTTGACGCGCAAAGAATGAATTCTGGAGTAGACGCCCTGATCATCTGCACAGTAAGCACACAGGCCATGGCAAGAAGTAATGTTATTAGGATGAAAATCAGAGAAGATTGGAGGAAATCGATCTGCATAGCAGGCACACCCATCAGCCCCAGCTCGCTGACTGGATCCACTGACCAATGCGCTGAAGCCTGTCTGTCCGAAGGGACTTTCCAGACAACTTCGAGTGCCACAGTTTTGCCGCAGCGAGGAGTAACAGTGCCAGTAAAATTGCACGGCTCCGTGCTCACTGCACCGCCGCGTAACGGCTAAAGATAAAGGAACAATCCTAAATTCTTACAACAGGGCCAGTGCTTGCCTGCCCCGGACGCCTGGGGATGCAAGGTGGTCACAATGAACTTATGCAAGATGGCGCTGCTGTGCGCAACTGCATCAAATGGGCAGCGCATGCAATCTACATTTCATCGGTCAATATTGCAAATATCTGAAAAGCAACATCAGGGGCAACCAAGACGCGCCTGGGGGTGAAATGTGGTGACGATGAATTGGGCAGGGTTGGCGCTGTCGTGGGCCTGCCGGCCAAGCATGCGCGCGACCGTGGTGCGGTACTGCGGATCGAGGGCCGCGTCAATTTCATCGAAGAGGTAGAACGGTGCGGGGTCGCAGCGCTGAATGGCGAAAATGAGCGCCAGAGCCACGAGCGTCTTCTGGCCGCCGCTCAGCTGCTTCATCACCAGGTTCTCGCCCGACCCGAACGACACCTGCGCAGCAATGAAAGTACTTAGTCAATGTCGTGCTTGATCCAGGGGACCTGGCACTCTCCTTGCATGGAGATATGTTTCTGGGTGAGAGGGGCGCGTTTTCCGGTGCGGATCAGGATGCTGCTTTGGAGCTGCTCACCAAAGTGCACTCATTTGCAAGAGTAGATGTATATTTAGTACATGCTGCTTTCAGCATGCAGACAAGAGCGCTGGAATGCCACCTCAGGTCCTCTGCCTCTCTCTGCCATTATTTCTTTACCAAGCCGTGCAAAAGAACTGTACACAGGAGGTTTGAAGCCACCAACAGCATCAGCGCAGTGTTTATACTCTTTCGTGAGTAACCAGCATAATAACACGCCGAGTATGATAGAGACGTTTGAGTCTCCTGCAGCAGAGACAGAGCGCAACAGTCTGCACAGCTTCAAGACTGCTGCAGAAGAATCGCACAATCCGTGAATTTCCACGAAGAATAGCGACGAAGCAGTCAGTATACGTTTTTGGAGCACAGCAGCCACCCACCTTGACCTTGACGCCGCTGTACTTCTCGGACACGTTGTGGCCGCCCTCGGCGCCGTCCTCGTCATCCTCGGCAGCTTCTGCGGCAGCTTCCACGCGCAGCCGCTTCTGCATCACCAGCTCGCCGCGGCCCCCCGGCACCAGCTCCGCAAATATCTCCCGGAAATTCTTCGCCACGCCCTGTGATTCAGCATGCCAGACGCATCGATAGATGCACAGTCCAACTCAGAGGCTCATCCAGCACGCAACACTCGCAAGTTTAGTGTCCATCCAGTGTCTTGGCACCCAGCTGTGACACTGTTGTTCAACACAAGAGCTTCTGGATGTGACGCGAAAGATAGTTTTGGGCAGAACACCAGGAAAGATGATATAATGCATTTATCGAAGGGGACTTCAGCACTGGTCTTGGGATATGGACAGCCACCCCTTATGGTCCACATACTAGTGACCAACCGAAAATTTATACCTCACTACTCAATATTCCCAAGTGCAATTTCGATCCCCACTGATCTGCCTTCGCTCGTTATGTGTTCTGATGCACTACCCAAGAGCGTGTGAAGAAACCCACCTTGAAGGTGCGCTCAATGGCCTCATCCTTGCGCAGGTCGAGGGTGTCGATGAGCTGCTTGATCTTGGCCTCCCCACGCGCATTCTCCTCCTGCCTCCGCGCCAGCTCAGCGCGCTGGTCCGTGAACGCCGCGTACTGGTCCAGCGCCTTGCGGTTCACGTGCCTGCGCGCATGAACAGAATTCTCTTACGGGTCACCCACCCTTTTGATATCCCACTTTTAATTCTTCATATACCATAAATCCGAAGTCCATCAGCGCCTTGTGGTTCATGTGCCTGCTAATGGGCCGCTTTCATTGAAGTTCAGCCTACACTTGTGGTGTTACTGACCCTGGACCCTAAGTCCACCAGCATCGGTTTGAGTGCGAATAGCTGACTCTTGACGTACAGAAGATTGTAGAGGTAGAAGGCAACAGTACATGCTGCATTTCGGGATTTTCTACTGCAGAACAATGCTGCACATGCGCACAAGCCACTTATAGATGCTACTGGTTGCTACCAGGATGGCCTCCACTTGTGCAGTCCTGTTCAATCCTTTCACAGAAAGGACGTGGTCCCAAAGACATGATGTCGGCACGATCCAAAAGCGCCATGCAGTGCTGAAGCGTGGGTTCATTCTCTGGCGATATCAAGACCGGCTGCAGTTGGTGAGTGACTCTGCCAGAGCATGACAAGCTTGTAAAGGCAGAGTCGATCCACTTCAACCATTCTTGAAACCGCCAACTTCCTCTACTTGAGGCCCATCATCTCTACCTACACTCGCATGATCACTCAATGACAAAGGTGGTCAACAACATATCGCAAGAAATGTGCGCGCCTCCGTATTTTTTGAGCAGGGTCTTCGCCTTCTGCAGAAGGCGCATGAGGTCTTTGAGGGAGGTGATAAGGGGCAGAACAGGCAAAAGAGAGAGTAAGCGCACCCGTATTTCTTGAGCTGGTTCTGGGCCTTCTGCAGGAGGCGCATGAGGTCTTTGAGGGTAGTGTCGCGGAACTTGTCAAAGGCGTCGGCCGGGAGGCTGCCCAGTTCGCGGATCTTGCGCTCCAGGTCCCCCCGCTTCTGCCCCAGCGCCGCGCGCTTGCTCAGCAGGCTCTCCACCTTGCGCGACTCGTCCTGTTCAGGCAGCACAAATGAGTCTTGCTCAGTAATCGCTCGGACATCCTTCGTCTCTCCACCTTGCACGACTCGTGCTTTGCAAGGACTCCTATGACAAACGCCCAGTAATGACAGAACACCCAATAACCAGTGACTTGTCTCATTCACTCAGCAGGCTCCCCAACAATACAGAAATCAGGCAACCCACAACAAACGTTTGCGAGTTAATAGCTTTCAAATCCATTCTCGTGCATTTCAAGTGAGGAGCCAACACCCAGTTCACGTGATTTTTGGGCCTTCTTAATAAGTAGGCCCACTGAAGAGTCCTTTCCACTTCCTATCTGTAAAGGGTGATTCCTCGCTCTAGAGACCAGATTGGCAGTAATAGCAAGACCAGAGATTGGCATGAGGGAAGAAGCTTGCCTGTGCTTCCTGGGAGTCCTTCTCCACGACTTCCTTCAGCCGCTCCTGCTCGGCGCGCAGTTTCTGCAGCTCCTTCTCGTCGGTTTCCAGGGCAGCTGCCGCCTCCCGCTCCTTCTCCGCAGCTTCCTCCAGCTCCTGCTGAGCTTCTACCGCCTGCTCTTGCAGTTTCTCCAGCGCTTTCCTGTTCACAATACGAATTTCATGAATTAGCAAGATTGACTTGGCGTGCCCCGACCTTCACCCTTTACTCACTTATATCGCTATATTTTTTATCTGCCCTATGCCCTAATTGTTGGCAGAAGATTACAGGCGTAGCTGTCATCAGGCATACCAAGCCCAACCTTGCAAAACGCCACATTGCTGCAAGCGAGTGCAATGCCAACGATGCATAGTTTTTTGGCCACTGAAAGTGGACAGTAACCTACTTTAGCTCAGATAAGCAAAGAGTAAAGACATGCATGGCTGTTCTCCAAAGGAACCAATTTGTGACCTTTTGTCAGTGGGAGCACCTGTCAGCCTCCACGTCAGCGCTGCTGAGGGTCTGGTCAAGTTCCTGCTGCTGACGCAGGAGGTTGTCGTTGAGCAGTGTCTCCAGCTCCGTGGCCTTCTCCACCACCTCCAGCAGCCCCTCGGACATCTCCGCCTTCTTCTCCTGCGAAAACAGATACACAGGCTGTGATGAAGACTGCATATGGACATGATAGCTACTGCAACAAGAGAGTGCTCAGAATGTCTGAACACGCGCTAGGCGCAAGGCAAGGTGCTCCGCTGACGGCCACAAAGGCATGCATTTGATCAGAAGAAGCATACCCCACTGGGGAACCACTACTCAATGCTCCAGCACTTTGTCTGCACGCACCTTGATCCCTCCCCTTGATCTTACCAGAGAACAAGTGCACTCGTGCCAAGCAGAAGATGGACCGTTATGTGGGAAGTGGCAGCACCTGCAGCTGTGTCAGCTGGGGTGCCAGCGTGGCAAGCTCCTTTCGCTCAGCGGCCGACAGCTGCGCGAGCATCTCAGTGCCCAGCTCGGCCTTGAGCTCTGCAACGCGCGAGCGGAGGCCCTCCACGCTCGCGGCGATGTCCAACAGGCGCTTCTCCTTCTGCTCCAGCGTCTTGCGCGCCTCTGCCTCGCGCTTCTTCAGCACAGTCAAGTCGTTGCGCGCCTGGCGCAGCGTCTCCCTGCAGAGCGAAAAAGTGCAGCAGTTTGAGTCTGAATTCAGATTCAAAAGCAAATTGGAAGTGCAGAGCCTGCATTATACGCTCGGCTGAACCTCGGATCACAGGTTTTACCCCTACTCTGAGACACGCAGGAATCGTTGTTGGGGGCCCTAAAAACAGAGGCTTCCTGGGAGCTCCTTGCCGCACATTTAACAAAGTCGCACATGCTCACCAAGAGAGATAGGCAGGCATCCTTGTACTCAAGGTATGCAGAAGGTGTCATTTGTGGGTACAAACCGGTTTGTGAGTTTAAGTGACATGCAATGATGATTCAAAGCAAATAAGAGACCTGAAACGCAACAGAAAAATGCTTGAGTGATACAAATGGCGGGGGTGGCGCACTTGATGTGAGATGTGTTTGCGGCTGTCTTCTGGATCTCGCCCAGGATCTGGGAGACGGCCTGGTCCACGTCGCTGATGCGCTCGCGGAGCTGCTCCTTCTCAGCCGCCGCCTTCTCCAGCCCCGTGCCCAGCTCTATCAGCAGCTTCATCAGCTCCATGCGTGACCTGGGCACACCACAGCAGACTTCAAAAGTGTTTATATTTCACCAGTGTTGACAAAGTGTTTAAATTTGAATTCAAACAAAGGTGGAATGTCTGCTCTCATTACATCTATGTAGCCTTGACAGGAAAACGTTCAGCTGCTCTCTACAACTCCTACAAAGAGCTTTTTGGAACACCCGGGCTCCCAACATCTTCAACAGCTTGGAACATGTGAGATACACCTGTGGTGCATGCATTGTCGCATCGCTGGCCACTGGCACAAGTCCAGGAAGCGCACCAAAATGTACTCCTTGTTTGTGGCCTCAACTCGGCAGACAGATCTTGCAGGCGAATTTGGCAAAGGACGGCGCAGCAGAGCCAGGCGCAGGACGGTGCGCAGTGCTGAGGCTGAAGTATACAATGGGACAATGCCATGGCAATGCCTTCTTGTACAGTGGAGGGGAGGGCACCTGGAGAGGTCGAGGTAGCCGCCGGTCATGGTGCCTTTCTTGGAGACCTGGTCGCCCTTGATGGTGACGCAGTTGAGGTGACTGGACTCCCTCGCCACGCGCGTCGCCGTCTCCAGGTCCCGGCACACCATCACCTTGCCGAACACCTGCACACGCGGCGTTCAGCTTGGAAATCCAATCATACGGAGTAGATGATCTATTCTCTGCAGAAACGTGATGCATCAGCATGCATGTGAGCCGATGTTGATACAATATTGAAACATCTGCCTACCTCTGCACAAGCTCACCCACGGCCCCCGCATGCACCCCTGAATCTTCTTCACTTAGTATATTTCTGTCGGAGTGCAGACAGGGACATCCACAAAAATTGTAGCAACTTGCCAGAAGGGAAGCGTGCATGTGAATCAATCTTGGTAAACAATTCTGACTGCCTCTAGCACAAAATCGCACAGCCCAAACATGCACCGCAGCACCTTGTTTCATCACCAGGTTCACTTTGAGGCGCCCACAGATGAGTGCAGTAGAGCATGAACCAGGAGAATGTTCATGACATTGGATCCACTCGGGATGGAAGGAAGTGCAGGGCAGGACACGCGCCTGGTGCACGGCATCCTTGTAGCGCGCCTCGAACTTGAGCTTTTTCACGAGCGGCAGGGCGTCGTCGCCCACGTTGGGGTAGTTGACATTCTGCGCGCGTACTTGGTTCAGGGGAATGAAAGTCACGCGGCCGGCCTTCTCCTTCTTGAGCATTGCGCTGAGCCTCGCGGCGATGTCATCGGTGTCCACCAGGATGTGGAAGAGCTGGTTGCCCGCTGACACCTGCGCGCATGTGCCGGTATGGTGATCAATCTGGCATCCTCTCACTGCCATCCCCTGAACTTGCCCCTGGAGAATTCTGCAGAGACTGCCGGTAGGCGCCTGGTGGTCAACCCGACACAGTCAGCCGCCAAACCATGCATGCTGCAACTGCTCCTCAAACATGACAGTCTCTCAAAATGTCGAAGTATTGTGCTTTGTGGGCTCTTGGGACAAGTAATCGCTGCAACAGATGAAGGGGAAACAGAGCCTGCCCTTCCTACCTTGCAGCTAACCGTGCGATGCCCCCTATAGCGGTTGTGCTTTATTTACGGTCCTGAACCAACTTTTTACCATGCGGCAAAGCAAGGATGCTTCAACAGCACTTGTAGCCTGGCATGGAATACTGCAGCCTGGCATAACGGCACAGTGCGGGCTGAGAGGAGAAGCGAGAAAGACAGGGGCGTGCCTCCACGGCGGTGTGGAGCTGGGGGATGACGTCGATGAGCTCGATGAGGGTGCCGTGGACGCCGCGCATGTTTGCCTGGCGCACAAAGCGCTTGACGCTGTTCACGCCCCTGCTCACATCGCGCGGCATCGACATGTCCACCTGCCACATAGCCACACAGCGCAACTCACAAGCGAAACATGGGTGCAACTCTCAAAATGGTCTCGAATGGAAGCCAGGCAGCCTCTTGCAAACCCTCATATGAGGAAGCAAGCGTAAAGCAAAAGCAGTCAGAAAGATTGTCAGCTTTCCCGTCTGTCTGGTATTGCTTCCAACCTGTAGATCATTGCTTGACAAGTGGCCTAATCATGCATAACGTCATGCCTCGTACTTGATTGCAACGTGGTGATTTGCCTTCTTAAGGATGTTGCAGCAGTCGCGGAAAAGGCTGTCAGGTGCCCAACCCAGAACTAATGCAGCCCATAATCAGCCTCAGGACAACCTTGCAACATCCTTCAAAGAAGCAGCAATAAGGGCGCTCACCCAAGCACACAGCAACTCGCCTCAGGACCACTCCTACAGACGATACAAAACAGCGCGCACCTTCTTGTCCGCCTTCTGCTTGTCGGCCTTCATTTTGGCGGTGGCGGATTCGGCCTCGTTCTCAGCGCGCCACAGCTCCTTGCGCTGGTCGTTGAGGGCGTTGCGTTTGGCTTCCAGCCCAGACTTTTCAGTCTCGGCAGCCGCCGCCGCGTCCTGCTGCGCGCGGATCTCCGCCTCCTTGTCACCAATCTCCTGAGCGCATAGAAAGCGGCATTCAAGACATGCCGAGCCACGGTGATGGAATTGGTTGTGATGCATACGCACATCTCATGAGAGCGCGCGGTGTGTTTGTGGCGTTAGAGGATGTCGCGACATCGGACGGCATCATCTTGATTGCACAATCCACAGGAGAAACTCGAGTCCATAGCTTTGCTGAGGGGGACCAGCAGCTGCTCAGGAACAACAGTGGCGTGCGACTGTTTCAGGGACCCTATCTTATCCTTGCAAGAGTCACAATACACTGAAGCATACCTTGAGCAGCAGATTCCAGGCACAGACCCGATGCACGACAACTTGTTGCGTGATCAAGTGCCCGAATTCAGGTTTGGCGAGCAATTTCAAAAGGCACTGTCCAGTAGGCAGGAATGAGTCACCTGAGACAGGTCCATGAGCTGGGAGGACAGCTGCTGAGTCTGGGCCTCCAGCTCGTCGTGGCTGGAGCCCTTGACCGCCGCAGCGGTCTCCAGCTGCGTCACCTCCTTGTTGATCCACTCGTCGCGCTCCTGCCTGGTATTGAACTGTGACGATCTGCCCTGCTTCTGATACAGCGCCTGCACACAGCGACCCACAAAATCTGAGAATTAATATTTAAATCTTGAACCTGCTTCGAGTGCACCATTCCATAAGCATGATCTTGACATGTCTTCAAGTGACCATATCCGGTAGTACCGGATGAGATTGTGCTGCCAAAGAACTTGCACATGCAGACACCTCAGATGCAAGGGATGGGAGTTCGGCTTTCAAAACATGCAGGAAAAGTGCGGTCCAAACCCTCAATCTGAAAAGAATTGGAAAAGATAGACTACCTGCAGGCGCCGCTCTGTGTCAGCAATGTCCTTGATGAGGGCTTCGTGTGCAGCCTCCTGGGCAGCACGGTCCTGCTGCGCAGCTTCCAGCTCCGCCTGCTTCTCCGCAATCTCGTCCTGGAGCTTCTTCGCCTTGGACGAGCACTTTTTCTGCACAGAAATGCATGAATTTCAGCCCTGCAAGCGACAGTGGTTTAGGTTGGACAATTGTCCCAACATGTCATGCCCCACGGTCAGAACCGCCCATATTCTGCTTCACAACCTTGACATATGCAGTCAGGAGCAATTTCCTTTGGCATGCGCAAGGAAAAAGCCAGCATGCATGCAGACATTTGTCGAGAACCAATGGTCACGATACAGCTTTGTCCTATCATCACTGCACAGCAATTTTGCATGATTTGCGGATAGGTGCACTGACCTGCGTCTGTTCATGCTTACGGATCTGCTCCTCCAGATCAGCCACATCCACTTCCAGCTTGGCCCTCTTGGTATTCCTTGCCGCCCTCTCGCCAGCCGCCTCCTTCCTCTTCTTTTCCAGGTCCGTCAAGTTGCTCTGTGCATATGCACATCCTCCGTTCTTACATCCGTGCTGACCTTCATAAGAACCTCAGCAAACACATGAATGGCTTGGGAGGCACCACATGTTGGCATCTACATGTCTTAGTGCAACCTCTTCCGATATAGGTGTGACTGCTTCATGTTGATGTGCCATTGTACTGCTTCCAAGTGCGGGGAAATGAGACTGCACCTGCAAGGCTTTCATCTCCTTGTCGATGCATTTGAGCTGCGTGCGTGCCTGCGCCATGTCCTCATGGACCTTCCCTGTGCGCTCGCTCTCATTCTTCCGCTGCTCCTCCACCTGAACCAGAAAATGGACAATTATGACAGTGCAACAATTCAACGAAGCAATCACCACGCACGCATGGCTGACTCATCCACTATCACTTCTGCAAAGTCGGAGTCCTCCTCTTGGAGAATGGACAGGAAGACGGCATGCATGCCTCAGACTTTGCTTTCAACAAAATGTCTGAACTAAGCGCCATGTCAAGACAACATGCTGATCAACAGTATGCATGGCATACAAATAATGCCATGGCATTTCAGCAAGATCCAGACACAGCAGGCATGCAGTGTGAGAGAAGAACGGCTCAGATTAAAAGGAGGGGACGACCTGTTCCAGTTTGGCGCGCGTGTCGGCGAGCTCCTTGTCGTAGATGGCGAACTCGAGGCTGCGGCGCTGCTTGTCAATCTGCTGGAACTTGGCCAGCTCCTTGCGCTCCTCCTCCAGCTCTGCCAGCCGCTCCTCCAGCTGCTGCACCTGCGCAAGACAAGACACAAGAGCTTCATCAAACAACACCAACATCAGATGTGCAACAAAACACAACAATCCCCATCGGCCAACAGTCCTAAATCTGCACATGAACATCCCACTATTGTGGTGCGAAATCTTGCAGCTCCATTAATGCAAGAATCAGCACAAGTATATGTCTACGTGACATGGACTGGAAATCTGGCTGTTACCAAGGAGCCCGCCAATGAATTCAAGTGGTGAACATTTTTTTGTGTGGAATTACAGTCGTATAGAAACCTCGCATCCTGACACATGGGGCCATGACACGCACTCCTGTACAATGCAAAGGCCGCTGAATGCCATGTTAAGGCAACATGAAAACAGGCAGACGGGAAGAAAGATGCTGACCACTTCCAGGATGCGCTGGCGGCGGTTGTCGGTCTCATGCAGGATTTTGATGGACTCCTTTCGCCTCTCCTCGTACACTTTGGTGCCCCCAATCTCCTTCAGCAGCTCCAGCCGCTCGTGGTCCTTCATCGTCGACATCGCCATAATCTGCCCCGCATGAGTAACAGTAACTCAGCCTCTTAGTCACCAGCCCGCCAGGCACAGGGAAGGAGGGAACACCGTTTTCCTGCTTACCTAACTGACACAGCCAGGCACTAATTGTCGATGCAACAGGCATGTTGCTGACTCGTGGCCCACTAATTAGCAAGGATTGCATTCGGACATCAGGGGGCAGCACAAGCAAAGGCATGCATGCAAAGTTTTTGGGAATGTACAGAAGATCCAGGAGTGGGAAGCTGCTGCCCCACCTTCCCTTGCTGCACGACATAGTAGGGGTTGGCTCGTGAGAAGCCAGCGCTCTCCAGCAGGTTCATGACCTCTGTCTTCCTGCAGGACCATGCATCACAATTTGAGCTATCCTTTCTCCTGGTGTCAGCTAAAATGACACAAATATTGGCCCCTCATTGATGCCTCAAGCATGTATGCTTCCTTGCGCCCTTGAGACTTGTGCACATCATGCGGATGCAGCCATCAAAGGAACTCTGCTTACGTGACATGCTTCTTGTCCAGAAGGTACTCATCCTTCTTCAGGCCGATGCTACGGCGCAGTCTCACCTCATCCCTGTCAACCTGAAGATGCACAAAAGAAGTGACCAGAGTTTCGCTCACACTGTGCAGCATAACCACAACAGCAGAAACCAGCGGCAATTACATGGCAATATCTGCTTCCTTACCGGGATGCGGTTGTCTGAGTTGTCAAAAACGATCTCTACGTAGGCAGACAGCACTGCATGCCCTGCGCCTTCCTGTTGCGGCCAGCAGCAGCAGACTCAACCTCACGGTAGCAAGGGGTCTACAACACCACAAACCATGGACGAACTTGGGTCATATTCAAGAGGGCTGCGTGCCGCACATGGAGAAGCCGCTGTCGCTCTTCAGCGCGCAGGGTTGTGAAAATGTCACTCAGGACAAAGCGGATAGCTGCATAGAAAGTAAGTGGGTCAGACACTGCCTGGCCAAGCATCAGCACATCGAAAGAGTCCAAGAAACAACGGATTGGGGTGTCTCACCGTGGAAGAAGTTTGTCTTTCCCGAGCCATTAGCTCCCACTGTGGGAGCAGTAACAGACTGTTAGAAATACAAGAATGCAATGGCTGAGCAGAAGCATAAGATCCTTGCAGGGGATGTCACGGCTCAAGGAGGAAGGTCAGCGTAATTACCTACGACATTGATGTGCTGATCGAAAGGCTCTGATATTGTTTGGTCTTTGTAACTCTTGAAGCCTTCAATGACAACCTGTCCAACACACACTCGACGATCATGTCTTGATGGACAGCGATGTATTTCTCCCAAGTGCTTGCGAAAAGTAGGCGCTGCACCAGTTCGTCTTCGTATGCCTATGTGGTATGATCACCTGTTTTATATACATACTGTCTCAGTGAAATGCCTCACTGGGCTCTTCGCCTCAGGCCATCTTGTACTTTGCAGGTGCTGAAAAGAATTTGCCCACTTGCAGATATGCGCAAAAGCATGCACCACGACAAAGACGTGATTCTTCGTGATACTTTCAGCACGATTGACCAAGCATCCAAGATTGTTGTGAGCTAAAAGCCATCAACTGCCATGTCACAGCACAGCACGAACAGGAACGCCGCTGCCCATCTTGGTCTCGGCGATGTCCAATGTTTAAATGCAGCCCTCAGTGCATTGTATTGTTTTGGATACCTGTAACAGCACAAAAATAAGATCATTTGAAGGGGCACTGCGTTCTCGATGATCAGATCGCGTTCATTTTCAAACACATTGAGTTGCTCTGATGGCGGGTGAAGGCCAGCTCTGTTCACTATGTGAGACCCAGGTGGTAATCTTTCAGCCTGCCTAATAGGAAACAGACTGTCTGCTGTGAATCCAAATTCTAGGAGTTCTGTTGTGTGATTGCAGGCCAACTTCCAGTCAGATCCCTGTCATGCTAGTGCGGCATCCCCACAAGAATGGGCACACTCCTCTGAACGGCCTTTGATTCATGCATCGTGTGCTGTCTGGCCTGTTTTCTCAGTCATACGTGTCATTTGATCAGATCCATCCCACATACGGGCATCTTCTGGCATGCAGCATTGTGCAACCAGCGTCCGCAGGCAAGCAGAGTTGTGCTGCCAGCGTCGACCGAGCAACCTTCTCTTCTGGTGAATGAGCATCCAACTAGATAATCTCTAGATGTCCTGAACATTGATCAGTTCTGGGCGGGTTTCATTCCATTTAGTTGCGCTGTGAGTTATCCGACGCTGGGCACTTGACTTATCTGAGTGCAGGAAATAAATGTAACCTATCATATTTCCTCAAAATGAAGAGTGCGGAATGCTTGCTGCAAGAACACTTGCACACACACACACACAAGAGGCCTCAGGATCCTCAATGTGGAATGGCTTGCAATGGTCACTGTAGAGATACCATGGGCATTCATTTACTGGTGTGTGATCTGCACAGTATCAGGTACTCGCCAAGATCTGCAATCCCAACAAGCTGTCATCATGAATGGCAAACACTTGCCCACCCAATTGAGCGGAGACAAGTAGACCTCTGTCTCACTCTGTCCCTCAAAGAATGACTCGTCAGCAACCACAGGCCTAACAGGTTGACCCCTCGCCTTGCACTTTGGTCTGTGCCATCAGCATGCATGTCACATGACTGCATTCCCCACATGTTCCCCAAGCTGATGTGCCCTACCCTCTCGGCAACTTGCCAGGCACAAAGATCAGCTAGAAGGAGTTTATCAGACTGATGCAGGTCACGGTTGTGTGCAGCCAAGCGGCAGGCATCACTGCGCGCTGAGGTCTGGAGTGTGCACATTGCGCAGCAGACGGAAGGCCGGCCCGTACTGCAGCCCAGAGGCATGCAACTGCTGGTACAACTGCACGGTATCCCTGCAGGGAAGCCCACCCCAAAAGCTTTGAAGTCGGAGGTGTACAGATTGTTTCGCATCCATTCTTTTGAGACTGGTAGAAAGAAAATCAAGCTATATCCATGCTCAACGCTAGTGATGATCGGAGAGGATCAATAGCACAATGTTTGTCTGTGTTGATGCCGTTCGACGTAGAGTGCCTTGAGAACCAATGGTCCTGAATTCTGACCTGGGAACAGTAGCTGACGCTCTCTGAGCATCAATTGTCCTCTCTGACAAGGATTTGCTGGCACGCTCCATCCGCTTCTTTTCTGCCTGCCAGCATTCATTGGACACCGTTTCACCAAACACGAAGTATGCTTGCTGCGACAGCGCAAACACTCTTCACAGCTAGTCGAAAGGATTTAAGTGAGTTATAGTAATGGTTGATCTCGTTGAAATGCGAATTGCAGGTCATGTCTCAAACCTAGAATATCAGATGCCATGGCGCATCTCACCTGGTAAACGCCCTTGATCAGCTCCTGAAAGGCATGCATGTCGTCCCCCATCACAATTCTCAATGTTTCAGGCTCTTCTTTCAGCGCCTGCATCTTTTCTCGATCAGATTTCAGCGCCTGCTGGAAAGCAGCCGGATCCTTGGCTGTACCATCGTCGTTCAGTGCGTAAGGACCGTCGGCCATGTTTGCACCTTTAAAACAGTCAGTAATCTACAACAGTAGGACACTCGTCCACTTGAGCACACGCTTTTGGGGAGAGTGGTATTGGTGGAGGAGGCGTTACAAGGCGTTAGGGTCAGTAATCCTATTCCACAACTCAGCAGGGAGGATGCCGGTGTTGATCTCAGCAGCATCACCTAATCCGGGAGGATGAAAGTGCTGTCAATGTGGGCATGTTTGCAAACGTTTCACGCTGAGTAAGATGTTGGGCAACCTTGTAAAGGTTTTGGCACACTCTATCCCTATAGCTGGGAGTGACATCATGAGCAAGACTTGCAGCAGGCCCTCAATATATTAATGACACATTTGGCCAATGGGGAGTGGAGATCAGCGATCACAAGACGCAGGTCATGAGGTTGTCTAGCACTGCTAGTACTCTCCCAGTGGACTCCATTATTATTGACACAATAATTTTCCATCTTAGAAGCTATGCTCTTGAGGTCCTCAAGTTGAGGACGTGGATAAATTCAAAAATGATGAGGTTAACCGGAAGATCTTGTCCAATCTGCGGACATGTTCCTTGTGCTTGATACCGGAGAGGAGCGGCCAGTGCATTCTGCACTGCTTTGTGCACAGTCCTCGGTGTTCTGTGACATGCTTGTCAGCACACCACTCAGAGGACAACATGCCCTGTATCAGCCTGACAGACTGTACTCAAGAGGCCGCATGTGCCTGGCTCTCGTACATTTATATCCCAGAGAAGGAGTGCTCATATGTGGAAATGGAGGGTGTGGTGCATCTGGCGCACAAGTCATGCTGGACTCTTTTGAAGATTTCCTTGCCAAAGGAGTTTGCCTCTGGGTAAGAGTGCCCTTCAATCTGATTTATTGGGATGTGTTCGAAGTCTATTAATGTTTACTTTGCCCCATTTGCCGAGAGCAGTGACTAGCAACCGTCATTGTGCATAGCAGTAGTCATGCCATAATTAATTTATGTGCCTGCAGGATCACATGATGTTGCTGCGCTGCAGAACTTCGGAACACAGTTCTGTAAACGACTGACTAGTATGTTCACTAGCAAGGACTTCTGCACACGCCTACCGGGCTGGGCAGACAATCATAATTTGCTGCCTGGAAGGTGCAGCTTGCCGGCATTGGTGAGCTTCTCGGTATATCTGTCTCTGCTCTGGTACAGGCTATTGGCTATTTTCTTGCTGATGCCAGCAGAACAGCAGGACAAAGCTCTCAAGTGACTCCCGCAAGAATGAACCAGTAATTGCACCATTGCAGTCACCTTGTAGCAACTCTTCAAATATTCTTGCGGCAAATCGGGGTCTTCTTGAGATCAGCTGGATGCAGTTGCTCCTGTGGCAGCTGCGCATCAGTTGCTCTAAGTCGCCATTTGTGCATCGAAGTACTTGTGCCCCCTGAGAGGTGCAGCAGCAGCAAGCTGTCTGATTGCGCAGACATTCACGTCTGCTACTACTGACCTGCTGCTGCATTTGCTGGATGTACACTGTGGGTCGCACCAAATTTCTGTGCTCACTTGTTTTTAATCAGTCCTGAATGCTTCTGCATGCATGCTCAGGGCTGCTCGATTTTTCAAGTTCCATCGACATGACGTCAGTGCATGCATCTGCGTATCTGACACCTGCATGAAGTTCTTGGAAGACCCGAGACTTTCTCTTGGAATGCATCGCTGGCGACCAAATCAATTACTTGTAATTTGAAAAGGAGATCGAGATGGCTGCTGCAGATCAGCTGTCATACTTTGATGGTACACCAGAAGGGTTTCGCACATCCGTAGACCTTGTATTTTGCCTGGATTCCGGTGAGGAGCTTCCAGTGCACTCTGCTTTCCTGTGCGCCCAGTCTCAGATTTTCTGCGACATGCTGGTAAACGATGAGCTGCTTGGACCCGCTCCAGACGCCAAGTTGCGCCGTCTTCCCTTGACGGACTGCACTCGAGAGGCTGCCTGTGCCTGGTTGTCGTATGCGTACCATCCAAGGAAACAGTGTTCGCGTCAGAATGCCGAAGGTGTGGTTCACTTGGCCCACAAGTTTAACATGCAGGCCATTCTCGATCGTTTGGACGAATTTCTGGCCGGCGTGGACTCTCTGCTGTGGGTGAGTGCTCTCCTTTTGACGCTAGGTACCTGATGATCTATGAACCCCTGCTTGCAGATCACTTGAGGTTCAGCGTTGATTACATCGAGGCAAGTATTCAAGGGATGTGCATAGCAGAAATCTGACAGGCTAGCACTGCCCTTGCAGGATGATGATCCAGAAATTGCAATCCACTGGCTACTCATCGCTGAAAGAACCAATCTCCAGCAGTTGAGAAACCAGATTATCAGCTTCAGAGCAGACAGCAACGTGGAGCTTTCTAATTTCCCAGACTCACAGCGCCTGCCCAGCACAGTCCTGCTCCAGCTGCTGCACTTGCATGGTGTAGATATATATAGAGCAACTGCGAGCGAGTGAGGGGGCTTTGATGAAGGACAAGCGTGAGCTGCATGTCAGAATGGACCAGAAGTGCAATGAAATCGAGTTGCTGCGGTCAAAGTTTGGAAAGGCGTGCAAGGAGGCATTGCAAGAAATAAAGACCCAGCAGAATAACATTCATCTGAATGTGACGTGCAGATTCTGCACGCCAGAGCCAGAGCACGGCAAGCCGTTCCCCTGCCCAATGTGTGACAACTTCTTTGTCAATCTTCTGGGGCCCCTTTCTAAGACCTAGGCATGAACAGTACGACAGGTCTCATGAAGTTTGCAAGCTCTTCAGCATGGACCGGTGAAATCACTCAGTTTATATCAGTGTGAGACATCTGAAAGTTGCACAATAATTTGCACAAATGTTGCTTGCAATCTTCATAGATGACACACATCATAGGAGGCCTTCAAGGTCTGTATGGCCGCTATAATCTTATGTGTCTCTGTAAAGGGTCCTGATGTTGACAGGATGTGCCCATGACCATCTGCCATGCCTGACACAACAATGTGAGCACATTGCAATCAGCGGGCAACAAATGAATGAGATTTCCTCGCACATATCAAGTCTGGTATGGCATACAAGACTTGCCCTTCTGTCTGCGTGTGAGAAGCATTCAGTTTCGTGCTTCAGCGCATGAGCCTGGAGCGCGATCGTGTGTTTTGGAAGGGGGACTGCAGCAGATCAGGGTCACTGAGATCGTAGAGGGGAACGCCGCGGCCCGGCGCCGGCCTCGCCTGCAAGCATGCGCCAGGTCAGGCCATCAGATGATGTAACCTTTTAGGCAGAGGGTTCTATCCATCACGCCTCAGGCAAACCCATCGTAAAAACTTGAATGAAGAGCTTCCCAGCGTGCAGCAACAGTGGTGACTTTGATGCAAAGCCCTCCGTGAGACCCGTAAAGAAGCAACCATAAGCTTTGGTAACTGCATGCGCTGGAGCATGTGCATGGCAAAGCCGCGCAGTTTACAAGGAATCAGGGGGCTGTCACTGTTGATCACCTTGAAGGTCAGGGACCTGCGGTACCGCTTCACCTCTGCGGCCTCCTCCTTGGCCGCCCTCTCTTGCTCCAGCCCCTTTGCTTCCTGCAATGACATTATACGTTGATTGCTTGTTGCGGTGAAGATTTGCATCTCTCATCGTGTCTGACGCACATGCCAGACTCCAGTGCACTCTTTCCATGCAGTAAAAACGGAAAATGCACCCATTGCAGAAAGCTTTGTACAGGCAGCCCGTTGCATGCAGCGTGAACTGTAGCAACCAGCAGTATTTGCCTGCAGTGACATTACAACAGCATTTTGGCAATGACAGAGACAACAGCATCCTTCGGCAGCAGTCCTGCACAACAACTCCAATGGATGAAAAGAACGACTCACAGGCCAGGCAGACAGGTGTGTTAAGAAAAAGAAAAAAAGAAAAAAGAACATACCTCTGCCCTGCGTTGGTTCTCTGCGACGGCGGCGTCGAACGCGACGCGCGCGATGCTGCGGGTGCGCAGCGTCAGATCAGGCGTCTTCGCGGCCGTCGGCGGCTGCCGGGACGGCCGCGGCGGGCGCGGCGTAGGGTGCGCCGGGGCCGGGGCCGCCTTGAAGGCTGCGTCGCGCCGCCGTTTCGCCTCGCGCGCGCCATTTTGCGACTCCCTCAGCACCACCGCCTGCCAGCAACATTGGAATTTACTCTGAGGCCCTGTATCATGACTGTAGTCCTTTGATCATAATCGAAGATTTGAAACCGGTTTATCATCCTGATCAAAGAATTGGTGTCCCATTTAGAGGTCATATAAGGTTTCCTCGTCCTGACAAAATACAAACATTTGACGGGGAATGCCCGGGTCTGAAGGAACACTTTGAGCATCTCCCTCAAGGGCGCTGCTGAGACGCAGTTTTCACAGCATGCGGTGAGTGCTGGGTCAAAATTCAAGGCCCATCTTCGTTGTCTCTGAGAGAGGTTGAACTGTATAGCGCTTGGCAGAGGGTACTTGGGGTTGCCAGATTCTTTAATTAATGCCAAGCTCACAACAGCTGGGATCCATTCTACGAATGGGAGGGGAGAAGGAAGGAAGGCGCACCTGGTGGTGGCGCGCCTCACTGGCGAGGTTGAAGGGCTGCGGGGCGGTCGGCGGCTTCTCGGCCACCGGCGGCAGCGGCGCCGGTTGCCGTAGAGTCGGGGGGACCGGGGCGGCCTGGAAGGGGAGGACCCGGCCCCCGGCCGCGCGCTTCGCCGCCGCCGCCTCTTCCAGCGCCAACTGCTTGGCTCCGCCCCGCTCCTGTGCAGCCAAACACTGGTTCCATCGATTTATCTGGCGTTTCGGAAAATTGCTGTCTCGCATGTGCGGTGTCCATGAGATCACTGGTGTAAAGCACACGCTGTGGGAGATCCACGAACCGAGAGCTTCTGCAGCGTCAGCATTGGAAAAATCCACTGGCGGCACATAAATTAGGCAATCTGGCACCCTGCTGCACAGCTGTCTTAGAAAATTGGATCTTCTCATGCAAGGCATAAAGCACTGTATTTTCCAGAAAAATTCCTCATTGGGCTGAATCCGTGCAGCTTTCAAATCATTGTGCCCTGCTGCCAGCGTGCTCTGGCTGCTCTGAAAAGAGAATGCACATCAAGGTGTGCACGATGCACATCACAACTGCTTCCAGACATGTATGACAATTAAATCTTCACACGATATAATCCAAACATCATTTAAGCGCACCTCAGTAGAAAGGTGGAACGGTTGAAAGCTGGTGGTGTTGCGGCGTGTCCTTGTCGCGCGCGCAACAGGCGCCTGGCCGCCGCCGCCCGGCAGCGGCCGCGCCTTGAACACAAAAGCGGGCTCCTCCGGAACGGGTGCCATGCTCTGCAGGAAGAACAAAAAATGAGATGTAAACAAAAGATGAATGATGGACTCACTCAAGCATTGCCATGCTTTGCAGAACACAAATATCCAGACTTAAGTCCCAAATGCTTCTGCTGGAACCCAGCAGCAACGCGCAAACGCTGCCACAATTTCTCGAAGTCCTGGAAAAAAGCATTAGCTCCCAACCGGGGCTTCGAAGAGCAATGCACATGTAGTGGTGATCTCCTGTGCTGAACAGGCAGTCAACTCGATTGCCTCACAGGTGCTGCTTTACAACAAGAAGACTTCTTGACGCGTGGTAGTGATCAGAAGACAATATTTTCCCTGGTCTTTTGCCGCGGGATTTGCAGAGGGCTCACCTGGGACCTAGTGCGAGCAGTGGTGGCCAGTTTGGGTGACTGCGCCACAGTCAGCCGCATCGGGTCAAACTTGGCTGCCGGCTTTGGCGGCGGTGGCACTGGCTCCTCCTGGACACACAAATCCCATCATTTACCTCTGGATGAGAAGCATCAGGTGATATTGTGGAAGACCTACTTTGCACGCTGCAGTACCGTGCCCTAAGTAGAAGTCATCTATTAATTAATGCCAGAGGATCACACAAATGCAACTGGTCTAATGAACCCCTAAAAGCACTGGCAACTCTGGATGGTGGTGTGGATCCTGAAAAAATAATTGTTCAATTCTGAGCTGTGGTCACATTTTGTCAAACCGACAGCCACCCCATCAAGCGCTGGAGAACCAATCCAGCCCTGGAGCAGCCTTGATCTCTGCACTCAGTGCAGCACGGCTACTTCTCGGCCATACATTGGCCTCCTTTTCAGGAGCCTTGATCTGTACATTGTCACCAGCATGAGTCTCGGGCAGATCATGAAAAGAGAAAAGGCAGAAGGTCTCACCGCCGGCTTGCTATGTGCGGCTGCCCGCTTCTCAGTGGCAAGCACCGGAGCATGGCCGGTGGTGGGCGGCTTGGGCGGCACGTGAGTCACCCCCAGCTGGCCCTGGCTGTTCATCACCGCCGGACTGCACAGCAAAACACACAATCGTCATCGCTCGAGTCAGCTCTGACTTTTTCTGCTGGAACGCCGTTCTGAAGCATTCTTCATCATCGCGGTGCAATGATATTACCGGAGTGGACACATCAGTATCATCTAAAAATGTTCAGCCCATCTGACTGCAATAATATTGTCTCGATTTGTCTTTCAGATTGGCTGGGGGCACAGTGCCATGCATTGCTCATCTTCCGAGCTCATACCCTCTATCAGTCATTAGCAGCGGCAATGCCATTCCTTCTGACAGGCATGCAACAGCAAATCGCCGTTATCGTATGTTCAAAAAGACAGGAAAAGATAACATCCAAGGCAAAGAATGGTGTGCACTCGACAGGGCGGGCCATGAAAGCAGGCAGTCCCTCTTGTCAGATCCACTGGTATAGCCAGTGCATCTGACAGATACTGGCAAAACAGCTGATGCCTTCGTGAGGACTGAGTGAGGCACAGAAAGGCCCAATTAACTATGAGGCGGGCGCGCACTCGACGGGGCGAGCCTTGAAGGGTGGCAGGCTGGCGATCTCGTCCATTTCGCGCTCCTCCTGCGGTTTGTAGTGGCTCGGACGCAGCCGTGCCTCCACCGCCAACTCAGGCGCCTGAGAAGCACGGGCAGTGCATCAGCTTCATCCTAATCTACTCTCCTAGATCCGGGTATTTCCCACCGAAAGCCACCAGCTAGTGACCAGGAGATAAACGAATGGGCTGAACCGATCAACACAACCTGCTGACACACTCTGTTTTTCTCCCAGATCAAGCAAGTCCTTGACACGCACCCACACTGCAGACAGTTTCATACCACAGCACAGCACAGCACAGCATAGCACAGCACGCACAGCACAGCACGGCATACCACGTGCATGCAACATGCTGCACCACATTGATAGGCCACAGTAAGAGTGGACCAGTCATTTATCATCTGCTGGGGATCAAAATTCTTGCCTTTGGTTTCTCGGAGGGGTCGCGCGGGGGCGGGGGGATGTACTGCATCGCTCTGGGGCCGGCCTTGTTGAAGCGCGCGGGCGTGGCAGCCTCAAACTGCGCCACCATCAGCGCCAGTGGCCGCCACTCCTCAGCCTCCTGCACCACATGTCACATATCATGTTTTCAGTTTCAATACAACTTCCCATGGTGTATTGAATTTTACACCTACCTTATCATGGACATCTTGACATTATGGAGTCCCCTTCTTCATTTTGTTGTGTTCCGAAGGACCCAAAGGTGCCACCATGCTCTGCTCTACATGAAGCCATCCTGATAGGAAAGGCAGGCATGCTTGCAGACGTTCACAGTGCATATCCCTGAGATTGCGTTTTACTTGATGTTCACTTCATGATGCGCAAGGTGCAAAATGTACAACACATCATTAGCTGGAAGGAGGGGAGGGAAGGACCTGCTGCGCGGGCGCTGCAGAGGTTGCGCGCTGGCGTTTGGATGTGCGCAGGTCGCGCGACACCGGCCGTGTCGGCCGCTTGGCGCCCGCCGCCGCTGGCCGCTTTGCCTCTTTTGGCGCTGCAACTTCCGCCTTTGCTTGTTTTAGCTGTGTCTTTTTTGGCGCTGCCAGTTTAGGTGGTGCCGGCTTCGGCGCGGTCTGTCTTGGCGCCGCCTGTCTTGGCGCCGCCGCCTCCAATGCATTGGCGGTGCCGCTCTGCTGTGCCTGCCTTGCCTGCAGGCAGATTCAATCCGCACTGAGCTCCTGGACTCACTGTTATGGTATACGGTGTATAAATGGACAATCTGTGCGCAACATTCTGCCTTGCTGGCAGCAGCTCGATGATCCCTGTGTGCATACATGCGACTTCTGGATCTTCACAATTTACACAGACAGACACTTTTTGCAAAGTAAACCTATGTTCACAATCATGCAGGATTCGTCCCAATGCAATCAGCGCACCTGGTCAAGCTGCCTGGCAACAGAGCTGCCGCTGAGGCCGGCAACGAGCTGCCGGCGCATGGAGGTGCCAAACTTGGTGCTCTTGGGCTTCGTGAGAGGCCTCGGGGCAAGCGCTTTGCCTGCAGGCTTCTTCGCAGGCTGTGGGACGCTATGCTTTCTTGCCAGAGCCTTGTCTGCCGCCGCCACTGCCGCCGGCTGCTGCTGCTGCTTCCCGGGTGCAGAACGCTCGGCCTGTTTCGGCTGAGGATCCTTTGGTGGTGTCAACCCGGGAGAGCGCCTGAGCTGGGCAGGTACTTTTGCTGGCTCTAGCTGTTCCTGCGCAGGAGGAGCTGTCGCAGCCGCGCTTGAACTTTGTCGGCCCCCTGCAAGAAGCGACGGCGCCACCACTGCCGCGCTTGATGCCGCCTCTTTGTCACCTGCCGCATAAAAAAAAACACCGCTGTAAATAAGTAGACTGTCTCCTCTCCTCTCGCGTCACATGACTTGCATTTTTTGGAATGATAAGCACAGTCCCGCCAGGTTGGCGAGGTGCCTCACCACTTCTAGCAACATGCATTCTCTCATTACACTATGAGCTGCTACCATCATGACATCAGCCCCACCGCGAGTGCGGCTGCAGGCTTATGCATAATGTGTAAAAAGCAAACATAACATAGCTGAAGCCTGCACCTTGTCTGCAGATGCACCTTGCTTTCTGGCAGGAATGTTTTGTACTTGTTGGTAAATATGGCTGAAGTACTCACCAGCATCTCCTGCAAGGATTGAGGGCGGCCCAGGGGCGGTGTGCGCCATGATCCTCCTGGCGGGCGCAGAGGGCCCCCACGAGGTGACCAGATTGCTGGGCGGCAGCCTTGGCTTCGCCTGCGCCGGAGCATCCTGTTTAGGCGCTCCAATCGTTTCCCTGCCCGCCTGTTTTGGCGCTGCTTCTCCAGGCGCTGCGTCATGCGGTAATCCCTCTGCAGCCGCTCCTGCCCCTTTTGGCGCCCCATCTTCCGAACTTGCCAGATCAGGCGCTACCTCATTTGCCGCCACCTCAGCAGCTGACTGGGCTGCAGCGGCCAGCAGCGGCGGCATGGGCCAGGGCTGTGGGCCAGTCTGTGCTGCTGTGGCCTCGGATGGCACCTGCTGCAAGAGACTGTCTGTTGAATCATCTGCCGGCTGTGCTGGTGAGAGAGCCTCTTCCTGGTCATCCACTGCTACTGCAGGTGGGCTGCCGGGCGAAGGCACTGATTCATCTTCTGCCTCTACTGCCTGTGCAGGTGGCGTGCTTGCCAGCTGAGCAGCTGCATCCTCATCCTCGCCCCCTTCATGCATCGGCTCTGCTTCATCTGCTCCCTCTGGGCCTGCGCAAATTCGCGTGAATCTGTCACCCCGCAGCAGCAAGAAGACCAGTGATTCAAAATCCTTTGCTGCTGCAAAGCGCCGCGTTGCTCTGTCATGAGTGCGGTGTTGTGAGATCTATTAGAGACTCTGTCTTGCCAACTGCATTCCTAGGGCTGCTATGGTTCAGCAGAGTTTGGGCTCACCTGGAGAGCGGCAGCCTGAGACTGCGTGGCTCTGCCTCCTTGCGCTGGTGGCTTCGTCCCTCATCTCCTCACGGACTCGCTCCAGGTCCTCTTGCAACCGGCCCAATTCCTCATCCTGCCCTGCCTCGGTGTTCCTTGTGGGAGTGCGAAGCCCTGCCAGACCAGTGCATGTGAAAGAAGTGCATATTTGAATTGCATATTCCGCTCCTGGAATGCGGGTCCTGCCTGATGCAGCATTGCACTGTGAAAGTAACTGCAGATTGTGTACAAGATGACCCTGTCCAGTCAAGCAGGCAAATCCAATGGTCAATCACTTCTGTTTTGATATTCGTACCTTTGACTTGGGAGGAGAAGAAATAGGCGTCTGCGTCCGCGGTTGGGGAGGGCATGCTCTCATTTAGACGTTGGAAGTCATACCATCGAGGTGCGTTGAACTCAAAAGCAGGGTCTTGCTGAGACACAGGCACGGTGTCCACATCCATCGCACCACCTCAGAAATCCTTCAGGATATCCTTTTAGATAGGAAATACCCGCTTTATAAGTATTTCTGGCACTGTTTCTCTGTATGTTCTTTCCGCCCTTTGCTGAGCTATACCATGAGAACACTCTTAGGACGTATAAACTTGCGCTTCTGGGCAAATCAGCATGCCTGTGATTGATTACAGTCACCCATGGACAGTAAACCTGACTCAAAGAACCAGCTGCTGGGATTCAGAAGCCCTCGTCTGCTTGGACATGTTGCCATACTGCATTCTCGCTTCTTGCCCTTTCAATAACAATATCCCCTGAACAACAAAGCTTTTGGCAACAGAACAGGAGTGGCAAAAGCGTGCTGGGAATGGCTGAACAAACCTTGCTGCTCGTTGCAAGTTCATATTGACTCCTGTTTTGGATTTGGCACCCACCTGCAGGAGCCAGAACAGGAAACGTTGTGCTCGGAAGCTGAAGCTTGAGACCAGGAAGCTGAGGATCCACCGTCGCCGATGGCAAGCTTTGAAGAAGTTTGTTGCCATGTGAATCAATGAGATCTGTACCCTCAGGACTTCTCGCACTACTGACATTGCCAGACCGGCACACTATCTGTATTTGCAAAGGTTGTCAACTAAATCTTTCCATGAGCAGTAAGATATTTCTGCGAACAAGCACATCGTAATCAACTTCTCAAAAGTGAAGGTGCGCAAATGATATCAAGTATGCAAGATTCATTCTCAGGTAGAAAGGCATCGTCTTGCAACCTAGTGTCATATGCGAATGCTGGTATTTGACTCTTCTGGTCCAGCCTTACCTTTCAAGAACAATGCTTAATAGCTCGCAACCTGAAACAAAATAGCAAATGATCAAGATCAACTGCATAATGAACGCGTCAAAACAGAGTCTAACATTCAGGATCTTCAGTCTTGAAAGTCACAAGGGGAGCCATGCCATCTGCAGGATATACACAAACGCTCACTCGTCGGCACTAAAGGAGGACACAGCATAGTATGGCGCAGGCCATGGCTGCCCTGCGCTCAGCAGCTGTGGCATCTGCAGCGCTGTCCTTGCGTCAGCCCCATCTGCGCAGAGCATTGCCTGGTCTGCACCAGCACATCAGCACAGAGCGCACCTTTCCAACTCCCAAACCAGGTAAATGTCCTGTTACCATGCTTCCTCCCAAGTGCCTGGGATGGGATGCCTCTGCTTGTGCAGTGACCTGCAAAATGCTCTGCAGCAAATGCGCTCTGCTTGAATATTGAAGACTGCTGTGACCTGACGGATTGCTTTTGGGACAGGGCCAGCAATGAAGAGTGCCAACTTCATTCCTCGGCGCTGTCTTTCTTTCAGAACGGTGAGCAATGTGCCAGATCAACACTTGAAGCTTACGCTTGGAGTAATGTACACTTCACTCCACTGCTCACCTCCGATGATCACCTGAATAATGGCTGGAGAAAGCATTGGCTGAAGAAAGACTATGTCACAGCAGGCTGCTTTGAGCAGCAGCAACGGCAGCTCAAAGTTTGGAGGCGGCTTTGCCAACGGGCGCAAGGTGGAAAAGATCGGAGAGCAGTATGTGGTCACATTCGGCAATGGTGGGTGATAAATACAAACAGCATTGCTGCGACCTTTGGTGTGCAGCGCACTGAAAGAGGAGGTCTCTATTGTCCTGACAAAAATCAAATTTCCTCAGATCTAAAGCATTGATATTCGTGACTTACACAATGTCATGTGCGCTCTGCAACATTTCAATCTGTGCTTGTGAGGGTTGCTCAGCGCTGTGCAGATGAGGAGTCAAGTACAGCCTCAACCAGCAAGCAGTCCTGGATAAAGCGCCTCACTTGTGAGTACATCCATCCAGTCGTGCCCTGCAGAGTGCTATGCCACACACTGTGCGTCATTTTGCAATCGGGGGACACAGTTGTTTTGTCAAGATGTTGAAGTGAAAAGTTGGCAGGGCTCTACTGACTCTGTTGGTGCGCAGTGAGCTCCGCTGAGAAGAAGAAGGTGTTCTGCGAGTTTGTCACCCAGGTGACTATTCAGTCGGGCATTTGAACATGAAGTCGCCACAACTGCATGCCTCGTGTTCAGAGAAATTTAGGCTTGTGCTGCCCTTCGACTTCCTCGGCTCCTGTGGCCCATACATGCCACCGCTTCTGTATCCAGCAATGCTAGAATTGTAAACTTTGTGACCCCTAGGTTGGCATCAAAGAAAATTCCCATATTTCGCACCTGCAGGCTGCTTTCAACTTCTGCTCGTGCAGCATTGTGGCTGCGGCCGCCATGAATGCAGGAGGCAACGCCCTTCTGTCCACCGGCTTAGTCATGGCCGCCCACATGGTGCGTTGATTGTCGTTTAGTAACGGATCTGATGTGTCTGCAGTTGTCAAAGACAACATAAGGGATGCATGTATTTGAAGCTTTCGCTGTCGAGCACAGCCTGAGTACAAGCAGACCAACTTCCCAACATCACTTGCGCATGATATTTAGATCACAGTAATCCAAGCAACAATGCTAGTTGATCATTTAGAATTTTAAGGGCTATCTATCTATTGAAGGGTGTCTATGGGTGTCCATCTGCATTGCAGGTGCTGCTGCCTCTGTTGATCTTCACATTTGGGCCCGTCAGCGGAGCGCACTTCAACCCCATGGTCACTGCTACCTTCGTGGCCACAAAAGCCATGGTAGGCTCCCTCGCTCCCTCTCCCTTCTTCCTGCACTATATTGCACACTTGCATGCATTACCTGCGACTGTTACTGGCAGGCATATGCACACTGAGCAAATTTACCAACACAGTGCAGCAGTGTCAGACCCGGGAGTGGTCTGTCCGGTCGCTTGTGAATTGAGGAATTCAATGTTTTACTGGTTTTCTTGAAAGGGAGGATCATTACGTGGAGGTGCTCCTGCACTGTAGTCCATGAGGAGCAAAGCAGAATTCTATGTTTTTATGGAACATTCAATTTAGACACCCGTCACTACACAGCAACACTGGGGCGTTTACCCCGGTTCCCCACGGTAGGTTGATAGGTGGAAGCGCAGGCACTGACAACATACTTTGTCTTTCGGCAGGCACTCAAGTTGGGAGTTGCCTACATCATAGCACAGGTCCTTGGTGGCGTTGTGGGCGCAGCTGCCGCCTTCTCCAGCTTGCCAGGTGTGCTCGAAATTTACTCATAAGCAAAAAGGGAAAGGAGAGGGGGGGGAAGGGGGAGATTGAACACCTGTCAGATTGAACGCAGGAGCATGGGATCCTGAACTTCCTGGCATTTTGCTCACCATGCAGAAGCATTGTACCTCTGTGCTCTACGCTGCATCTGAGTCGCTCACCAAGCAGGAATTGAATTTCCTGATTAATTTTGTTATGTTTCCCTGCAGCGGCGCTTCAGACTGCAGCATATGCCGGCATTAACGCTGTCCCAGCAGACCACACTGTACTGCAGGTTCGCGCCCTCTTACACGGGTTGTTACCAACAGAGCAATTTTATGCAGCAGTCATTTGTGCGGTCGGTGCTGGCTTGACATTGTGTGGGGGTGCACGCTGCAGCAGCTCGAGGCAATGTCTGAATCTGGGTGTTTTCTGCAGGCTTTCATGGGAGAGGTCTATGCCTCGTTCGTATTCATCTCCGTCTTGTTTGGGACAGTCGTGGACAAGAGGTGATGCTCAAAGTGCTCAGCACATAACATTGGTAACTGCCATGTCCGCACCTGCCTCGAGCATTTGCTTTTAATGTGAATGGAGCCTGCTTCTTCGCTATGTTCACACCAGCGCCAAGTAACCAATGCTCACATCAGATATATCAACCATTCTTCAGCCACTTGAAGGTCTACCTATGGCATGAGATTCTCCTGGCTCGTGGCTAGCCGGAGCTAGAAAAGTACTCATGTCGTTTACTAACGCTCACTGCTTCCAGTCATAGAAATTAAAGTTTTGCCAATGCGCAGGGGATGGGGCCGGCTGGGCCCCATAGCGGTGGGGCTGATAGTGCCGCTGCTGATGTTTCTGGAGGGCTCCGTCAGCAGCATGTGCATCAACCCGGCGCGCGCTTTCGGCCCGGCCCTCGTTTCAGGCGTGTGGGACAACCACTGGATCTATTGGACCGCCCCGTTCCTCGGGGGCGTTCCTGCCGGCCTCATCTACTCCAAGTTCTTCACTGCAGAGTGCGCACTCACAGCAACAAAGTCCATCAAAAGACTGCAGTGCCTTCCAGGGGGCATCGTTTTGGCGAGTGTGGGCTTGTGGACGTGATAGGAGCTTTGCCTACTTTTTTAGAAAAAAGAAGTTTGTCTCTGTGCCCTTTAATGTTGTCTGCTAGCCTGATTTCCTGGCAAATGCCGACAGCATTTTTGAGGTAATACCAACCATATGCCTGGCGTCTTGTGACGTAGCTTGCTGCGGACCATTTGAGATATTAGCCGGGATTTTTCATGTTTGCTGGTGGTGGCCACTATGTGGACTCAGAGACCACAGAGTTGTTGAACTCATGGTGCGCATGGGCTGCAGGGCGCTGAGCAAGGGGACAAAGACTGCTGGGGCGCCTGAAAAGGCGCCTCCGCTGCTGCTGCAGGAGTGGCTGAATGGCTCCCCGCTCAGCATGCGGGCAGGCTCCCATCTCGTGCTCAACTTTGACAGCAACCCATTCGCCTCCAGCAGGCGCGCACCACTGAGTTAATCTATCAATGCTCATGTCAAGTAGGTCAAGAGAAGGTCAATATAAAACCAAATTTTGCAGGAAACTGCTTGCGAGTGCCGATTCAAACCAACTGATGACGTTAGGAGCCAGGAGAACGCATACATTCATAAATATAATTACCTGGTAGCAATTCTAATCACCATCTGAGACTACTCAACTCTGTATGACTTCATTTTTGGAGTATTTTTGACAGTTTTGCTGTCTAATGAGAGGGTATAAGAAACATCTTAGTGTGACTTTGACCACTCATGAGCGCAAAACTTGAGATTTCAATTTGTTGACTCAATGCATGTGCAGGGAAGAGCTGCTGGCTGATCCATCCTCGCCAGAGGTGTCCTACTTGGGGGTCTGGTCTGGTGAGGCGTCCCGTCTGAAAAAGCTAGTCAGCAACGTCAGGCCCAAGTACAGTATCGCTCTGGACTCTGGCGCAGGTCTGACCCTTTTTACCAGTCCCTTCTCCCGACATCAGCAAGGCTCTCACAGCAGCTTGCTCTCTCTGGTGTTTGATAGTTGATATGGCGAGAGGGGACTACGCAGTGCACAGTCACACTAGTGCTTTTGTGAGAGGTGCAGATTGGAGGCCTGCTTGGAAGATCTGACGATTGACCTCTCCTTCTTTGCAGCTGCTCTTGGCTGCAGCTGCGCACTTGCTGCATGCAACTAGCACAAGAGTGTGCCTATGTTCGTGGTGCAAATGTTGCTGATGAGGTGGCGGTGTCGCATTGCAGAGACAGCAAAGCGATACGGTGTCTCAGAGCGGGAGACAGTGGTTGTGGATCCCAGCGGACACATTGTGTGGAGGGGGCTGCCTTCAAATGTGAAGCAGATAGTGGAGAGCTTCCAGGGGGACCTGGCAGCTGCACGGCAGCTGCATGCCAAGGCTGCATGAGCCTTCAGCAGCCTTGGATGAAATCAGCAGTTCGGATTGCTAGAAACTGCACTGCCATTGAGCGTTGAGAACTGGAATCATTCTGAGCAAGTACTGCGTAGCATGCTCTGATTTTTGACAGCCGGGCCCATGGGCAAGCATTTTCTGTAATTGAAGTGGGATGGTTAGCACTCTAAATTGGAACGTAATCACAAGGAGAGTGGTTTCTGGCCCCAGAAGAATTTGAGGGAATCCTTAAAGTGTCAGCAAGGTGACAGGGCTGAGACTTGGATGCGAAGCTCTTGAGACAATGCCAAATCAAGCTCCTAGTGAAGTGCAGGCAAGACCGAAGACAACAGCACACACAAGTCAATGCCATAATTAGGGAAATGCCAGTTGCAGTGCGTGATCTCTTATGGTTCAAGAGAACACTGTAAGCCGCGTACACTGTTATGGTTCAAGAGAACACTGTAAGCCGCGTACACGCACGTATGGGTCTGTTGGGGAATCCATCAGATTCTTACTATGGCAAGACGATCTCGCTCTCTTTGGCCAACTTCCTCGCAGAGGTGATATCAAATAGTCGACATTGCACTTCTAACACACTAATACAATTTTTAGAGTAATTCTGATCGATGTCGGGAAGAGTAATTTGGCATCTTGCACTGTACTAGCGTTTCAAAACCTGGTCTATGGATCGCGATCTTGTTCTTGAATTGCAAGCATGTTTCCAAAACAAAAATACAACAGAATAATCAAGTGTCAAGCTTACTTGCTGAATGCACTTTGTGTGTCTAGGTGACCCTCACACCATCATCTCAAGTGGCCTTTGTGCCACATCTGCTGCACGATGGTGGACAGTATACAGACCTGGAAGAGCTAAGGACGCGAATTACGGGGGAAGGATACTCAGGGGGCATCAGACTATTGAAGGTAACCGTGGCTGTATCCTTTTTGCGCTTGCCCTTGCAAGTGCACTCAGCAGTTGGATGACGGCAATGCTGTGTTGATGCAGTCAAGCATTGCTTGAAAATCACCGAGCCTCCAATTGCTAGCCCTCCCTGCTAAATTTGTTCATAATCAACCGAGAATGTTGCGCTTTCCTCCTGGAGCCCTCAGACTGTAATGGCGTGCTGTTCTGCAAGGAAATGGCCAGCTCTCAGGATCTGCTCCTGAAACGATTTGAAGCCACTATTGAATATTTGCACATACGTCAGCGTTGGATGCGCAGGCAATCTGCAAGAAGTTTCTGGAGGCATGCGAGCAGCGCCAGATCAGGCTGCCAGCGGGAAAGAATTTTACACTCAGCTATGAGACAAACATTCCGCGCCAGGCGGGCTTGTCAGGGTCCTCAGCCATCGTCTGCGCAGCTTTGAATTGCCTTCTAGACTTCTATGGAGTTGCAGACAGGTGGGAACCATCTCAGATCTTCTCTAGAGTCATGAAGCCAGAAAGCCACTGCCAGCGCACCATAATTTCATCCTGGTCACAGCACAGCTGGGCCACTGCTGGCGGGGGGCCGTACAAATACTGAGCACCATGCACATGCTTAATTGGGTGCGCATGGCATTGGCGAGCCCATCAATAGATAGAATCTGTGGTAGCCTGCAGCTTTCCTGCAGATGCACTATGCATCTGGCAGGACAGCATGGAATTATGATATTAAGACCACAGCTAAATCCTTGTGCAGCTACTGCCTGTTGCTGGAGGGAAAGCTATGAAGATCTTCAGAAACAAGGTGGAGACTGCAAGACTTATGGTGCAGCACTCGGCTGAGCAAGGACTTCCTTAGAATTTCCTTCACTGGAAAGCCCTCTTTGTTCATTCAAAATTCCTTTGCGTGTATGCCCCATGGCCTGTGGCTTGGGCTTTGCTGACATGTCATAAAATGAATGTCATAGAAGCCTATTGTGGCGCAGATTCCCAGTGCATGAGCGGCCAAATCTGGTGCTGAGTGCGGAAGAGGAGCTGGGCATCACAGCGGGGCTGCAGGACAGAGTGGTGCAGGTCTTCGGCGGAGTTGTCTTCATGGACTTTGAGCAGGGGCACATGCAGGCACATGGCCACGGCAGGTGTCGCCTTCATGTCCCCTCCCTGACAAATCGACAGCATGTGCATTCCTGACTTGATGAGATCCATGCCAAAAGGGCGCTGCATGGTGTCACTGCTCCTTTGCGAGAATACACGGTCAAGAAACAGCAGCCTTAGCTGCTGGGGCCAAAAGTGTCTGGCTCTTCAACCTTGGGCACAGCCTGCAAGCAGAGCAGATGAGGATTACCACCAGTCTTTCACGAGTACCTGTAGAGGCAAGAACCAGCTGCCCTAGCGGTGCCGGACAAATGCACAATCACAGTACATATACGAATAATATGTATATATAGATTCTTAGAGGCCCTTGTTCTTATCAGTAATTGCATCAACCGTTGCAGCGCAGCCATTCGTCTTGCTCTGGTGCTGACAATTCCCTCCGCGTCTTGCACTTTCTTGTCTTTCAATAAATCCAACCATGTTCACAGGTACGAGTCCCTGGACCCTGCGGTGCTCCCACGGCTGTGGCTGGTGTACGCGGCGGAGCCCAGCGACAGCGGAGCGGTGCACAGCGACATCAGGCGGCGGTGGCAGCGCGGGGACGCTGACGTGGCGGCAGCAATGACTACCTTTGCTGACATCGCTCAGGCCGGCAGGTGGGTCCCTGTTGGCCGTTGATGAGATGACTAAAAGTCTATTGTAAATTCTCAGTATGCTCCCATTAAATGTGGCTCTATCTGGTTGCCATGTCTGCTGGATGACTTTTGTGCTGCCGCCAAGTTCATGGCTTGTGTGAGACTCTCTACGCTTGTTGATTGCAAGCATCTGTCCCTGCACGGACATTGATCATGCGCTGCTCCATTGATTCCAGCCAGCTTCCACCGTTGTATATGAGCAGCAATAGGCGTGGGTCCGTCATGGGGGATGACAAGCAAGGTAATTTTCTGCCAGGCACGCGCTGGAGACAGGGGACCGGGCAGCGCTGGCGCGGCTGATGGATCAGAACTTTGACACCCGGCGGCGGCTGTTCGGCGATTTGGTGCTTGGGGAAGTCAACCTGCGCATGATCCAGTGCGCACGCTCAGTCGGAGGTGAGCGCGCTGTCAGTGCACCATTACTGCCACTTTGAAACAGAGAACGTCTGTTGCAGAGTTGGAGGGAAACAGGTTGCAGTCTTCTCCCGGATTCCTTAATTGCAATCCCCTACCCAAGGAGAGTAGCTTGCAAGTGGTGCAGATGCGGCAGCGAGCAAGGATATGATTTTTTTCAATCCTAAAAATTTGATGCTGCACTCTGTTCCGGGTTGCTCTGGTAATCTTGAATGGCACTGAGGTTGGCAGGACATCGAATTTGGGGCTTGAGAAACTAACTCAGGCTTGTTTGCTGTGGCGCAGCTGCGGCCAAGTTCACTGGGAGCGGAGGAGCGATTGTGGCATTCTGCCCTCAGGGGGAGGGACAGGAGGACAGGTTGAGAGCTGCATGCCAGAAGGAGGGCTTTGTGGTTGTGCAAGTGGAGATCGGCGAGCAGTGCTTCCAGGCAACCTCTTCATTATATCACAGGAATCTGCATTGATACCGAATGGTATCTGTATTGATACCAGACGACATCCAAGAAAAATTGTATGTTGTGGAAATCACACATGGCTTTGCTGCTTCAGTTTGTCACACGCTGGCATTCGTACAAAGCCTAGTAGGTCAGGAACCTTGTCCCGATTGTATTGTCAAAAGCATTTTCTGTACCAATACTACGAGCCTCGACTTTGCTGCGTTAACCCAGGAGGATGTCTCTAATAACGGAGATATGTCAATCCATGCTCAAACGCAATTGCTTTGATGTTGTCTACACTACTCAAATGCATGCAATCACTGCAGCGCGTTTTCCCATCTGTAACGAGTACTGAGACTGTGCCTATTCATGACTGTCTTCCGGGCATCCAACAGGCGCAGGAGGCTATCTAGGGACACCAGTCTGCTTTCGGGGCACTCAGACAGTTTGCCATCGGCCCTCAAAATGAACTCCTCTGCACGCCCAGCGAGCTTTGGCAGGCAGTGAGCTTCAGCCAACACAAGCCAATGTATTGCGCTGCTCAAATCATCACCCTGCCACAAGCAATCTCGCTGTCAGGTTATTACTGGTGTGCAAAGAAGAGAATCGTGCATCACTGGCTGGAAATATGGTGAACAAAAGTTTCACACAGGCCAGTCTCCAGAAGGCTTGGCCAGAAGTCTCACCCACAAGTCCTGGGACTGACCATCAGCCTGAACCTTGGATGCCAGAAAGTCGTCACACTGGCGCAGCGTTCCGTCCAGACCGTACTTGTGTGCTAGCGAGCTGAGTGACTGAGCAGATGTGATGGAAAGGGCATGTGATCGACCCTCAGGATCGTACACGTGCAGTAGGAGAGCATTTGCTTCTTCCTCGGAGCACCCAGGGAACGGCAAACGACACGATGCACCCGTCTTTTTATTCGCTGTAGACGTGAATATATCACATAGAATCTCGGAATGTAGAGAAAGAATGTTCGAATGGACAGGGAGCTCTTTTCCCGAGTCCAACACCAACAGGACATCTGCACTCCTCCTGAACCATCCAGGCTTGCCGAGCAGGTATGGATGCTCCTCCGAACCCATGGTGCTTACTGCAGCAATTTCTGGACCCAAGTGCGAGCGTTCGATGATGCCGATGACGATGATGCCGATCGATGTAGTGGACGATGCACAGGACGCGCTGAGATCATGCATTTAGTATCGGTATTATCGGCATCCAAGGTTGCATCGAGTCACCCTTAAAGCCACTAAAAATGCTTAATGCATGCACAACCTACCAAAATACACTTTGAATGTCACAGGTCCTGAGGATCAAAGTTGAACTTTATATGTGATTGTTGGCTCCCTGCATTGTGGTCTTGATGTAAACAGCAGTAGGGATTGATGGTTCGAAACTGATTCCCCAGCAGATTCTGTACTGAAGCTTCCTCGTTCTGCCTGTGGGGTCCATTTGTCAATGATTGGGCCCCACACTAGTGAGGTGGCTTTGTGACCAAATGACCATGTGCATGATGGAGATTCACTTGTCAAAGGGCTCGAGTCAGCCCTGGGCAAGCCCATTTACAGTGCTGCCTCTTCCACATTAGTGTGTCAAAGTACCTCCATCGCTTTCAAAATTTAAAAAAAATAACGTAAACTTATCTTCCCTCTGCGCCGCCAAACACCATACACCTACACTTGCAGCAGAGAGCTGGTCTCCTGTGAGCTCGTGAAAGACATGGAGGGCGGCCGGCAGCAGAACAGGACTTGGGCACAGGGGGTGGCTCCATCAAGCTGAGCCCCGTCCCTGATCTCCACCTGCGTTCCCTCTTGAATGAGATAGTAGCTGTCCTCTGTCACCTTCTCCACGCTGCAGTCCACCACCAGCAGCGCCGTTCCCATCAGCCGTAGCCGGGCCTCCGCTGTCTGCACAGCACCACAGCAAATTCCATTAGGGCTTGGCAAAAATGCAATGCACTGAATCTAAGATGCCAGCTTGACCTGCTGAACTTGAAAACACCTCTTAGGAAATCAGCGATGCAAAGACAGCCTGGCTTGGTCATAAGCGCACTCGGTCTGCACGTCTAGGTCTTTGCAGCTCGCACCGATCAGATGAATTGGGAATAATATTGCCCTCTTCAATAGGGTCATTGATAAAGCAGTAATGTGTTCTTCCTCAAGATGAATCTACCGGAAGACAGTCATCATGCATACAGTCATGCAAGCTTTGGTCGCATTGGTCATAAGAATGCCCTGAGCATTGAGAAGGGCTCAGTTGTCTGGTGCAAGGGAATTGTGGCGTAAAAAAGGGGCAAACCCTGGGGTTAGCGGCTGCCACGATGGCCGGGACGTCCAGACAGTTGTCTATGGTGATGGCGACAGGTGTCCTTGCACGCCTGATCAGATTCCACGCCGGGAGTGCCTGTCCAGAACAGACATAAAAGATCAGCAATTGCTATCTGCCGCGCTAAACAAATGACAGTCGATGCACAGCAAAATGCATTCTTTTTATATTTAGGGCTCCCAAAAACCCAAAAAACATGGTTGCTGGCTCCGCCTGTTTTTCAGCAAAGGGCTGCGGCAAACGTTAGCTCCCCTTATGACGCTACATCCTCTAAAGAGTACACCCATAGTAGCCTTCACACAGATCTCGGCATCCTGGAAAATACCCCAAGTCTTTACTCCAGCAGCTTAGCTCGAGGGAATCCCAGGTCCGGACCTTCCCTCAGTCATAGCAACTTGTTTAAAGCACAAGGTTGCAAGACCAAAGTACAGCAGGCGGTGAGGGATACAGCAGAGCAAAGCCTACTGCTGGTTATAGGCGGCCGCGGGCACGGCGAAGGCAGATCAAACCCCCTCACTAGTGCAGCCGGAGAAGAGTCTTTAGCGGGCACATGTGACAGGGAGAGACACTGAAAAGGTGTAGGGACACCACCTTTTTCTGGTCAGAGGCAAGCACCGGCACAGCCTTGGCAGGAAAATGACCATGACAAACGCAGCCAGGGGCAGGGCCGACAATGTGGCAGAACAAGTCGAGGCAGATTACGCACCACCCACTGCAGCCGGAGGCAGCCGCCGGCACAGTGAAGACAGAAAAACGACCCCAAGTGATTCACCCGGGGCACGGCTTTCGTCGGGCACACGTGAAGGGACTATCGTTCTTGAGGTAGGGGGATAGGTCACGCACCACCCACTGCTGGTCAGAGGCGGCGGCCGGCACGGTGAAAGCGGAGAACGGCCCGGACTGGCGCAGGCGGGGGGCGGCTTGGAGAACGGCGGCCGACAGCTGCGGCAGGCCCGGCAGCAGCGGCACCGGCTGGAACGCCATTTCCTCGCGCGTCAGTCGCATTATCTCCAGCCGCGCTGAAGTGGCCGCGGCGCCGTCCTGTGGCTGAGCCTCTTCCCGGTCCGTCAGCTTCCTCTGCGCGAGCACCACGATTTCTTCGTCAAGGCTCGACAGATCAGTACTCCAGGGAGTTGCGCGGCGTCCCCTGCTCACGCTACTGTGCTAATTTGTAGTGCACTGCCAGTCTCTTGCAGACAATTTGGAGACCAGAATGTACCAATATGTTGCGGGCCTCTGCACAGTTCTGGTGCGTTCTCATGAGCTTAGAAGAGAAAGCTATGGAAGCGAGGCGTTCCTCAGAGGACAACAGCCATTCCTGCTGTCCTAAGGATGCAATTTGAGCTGTTGCAAATGTTGCAAGTATTGAACCATGTGCAATACTCACAGGTTCCGGAATTGCTGTGAACTCATAAATGTTCGAATAGTGGCGCGCGATCAATCATAGGATACAGTGCATACCAGCTTGGCGCGGGCGGCTTCAGTGGCAGCGACCTCCAGCCCCTTCTCCACATACGCCAGCTTGGCATCCTCCCTCTTGCTCTCCACCGCCTGCAAGTTCCATGGGCTCAACCTTCTCAGTAATCATGAAATGTGCCTTGTCAGCAATTAATCCATTACCTCATAAGCACCCATGCACACTGGATGAAACAGTATCAAAACTTCTGCCATGTCCAGATCCGTCTGCACAGCAGCTCAAAGGCAAGACAGTGCCGGTGTTGAAGCATACTCTGCCCTCTCCTGCGATGCGAAGTTGGCTGCTGCAGAACAGCCAGACGTGCAGACAGCCAACCCAGTACAATAATACGAGCAAGAAGGGGTTATTAGGAAGGCAAAGTAAGAAGTGGTTGCGCACATCCCGGTAGTACTTGTAGGCGAGGCAGTCTCCGGGCGCCTGTGAGAAGCCCTCGTTCTCCCCCTTCCTCCTTAGCTGCTCCTTCACAGACTTTGACAGCAGTGTCGCCAACTGCACACACACATGCATAAAGACATTAATACTCGCACCATCATCGCACAGCAGACATTTCAAAAGCATGATGGGCCAGTCTACCCCGTATTGGACTATCACGAACAACAAGAGGGACTGGAACAGTGACAGACTAGAACAGTACAATCACTTCGAGAAGCTGCCACATCCCTCAGGGGACAAGATTGGACGATCTCCAGATGGATCCTCGTCCACCAGACATTTGGAGATACGATCACATAATCATCGCCCTTGATAAAGTAGCCATAGCCAGTTGGTGCATGTATCAAGTCCTACTTGAGGCGTCTTTCTGGTTAGTGCTGATGTACTCAGGAGGCTCACCGAGGGGTCCAGCTCCTCGTCTGCAATGTAAGCTGCGAGGGTGGGGCGAGATGTGACAGACAGCAGCCGCATCTCATACAGCAGCTCTGCCCCATCTTCCCGGTCAAAGTATGCCATCTGCGACTCCGACAGCTCGCCAGACTTCCTCAGTGACTCGTACACCTGCCCAGAACAATTTCTGAGTCGCAGAGAATTGAAAAGAATTCCTCTGGTTCAGGCAACCCCCTGCTGTAGCTACAGATGCCCCTGATGGCAGAAACTGCCTTGCAACTCAGGGTATTACTGTACAGGCAATGTGCAGACACCACCATTTGATCCGATGACTAGTGCATGAGCTGCGAATGGGGAAAGGCCAACATTGTCAATACGCTATAGAGCTCGGCACAGCTGTTTTGCTATGAACGCACCTGGACCGATACCACCCATGCATTGAGCTGTGCCCTTTCGATGCCTGTCTCCGCCTCGATGATGGTGTTGTCAATTCCTAGAGTGGACAGCGTAGGCACCAGCATTGCCAGCTCATGCCACTTCCCCGAACCCGACCTCAACCTGTTCAGGAGCACCTGACGCAGCACCGAAAATTTTTCTGAATCCCGCTGCCTTTCTGCTCTCTCTGCATTGCTATTGGCACTCAAAAATGGACTTCTTCCCATATGACGTGCTAGTTCTTCTTATGATGCAGATGAGCATAAGTCCTTGCTCTTCAATATGGTACTGCATCACGCACATGGAAGCATGCATGACTTCGCAACAGAGTAATGATGATAAAGAAGGAAGTACAGAAGGTAGGGCTGGGACCTGTGGATCTTGGACCTCAGGCGCTGCTGGGCTGGCACCTTTGGGCCCATCTTCATCCATGAATCCGGGCGGTGGCCGAAAGGTGTTCATTGCTGATTTGCTCTCGACGTCCAGCAAACTCCCTCCCATTGAGTTGCCACCCTTGTTCGGCTGCTGTCCCCCACTATTCCCTCTCCCACCTACAAGAACACCCCTCCCCCAATCAGGCCCCTCTGTACAAATATCAAGATCTGCCTGAGAGAGGTTAAAAGTCTGCTCCATAACACAGATTCTTCAGCAACTTGCTGCTCAAGAGCGCCATGCATGATCTCAGTTGCAACAGCGCATGCATGTGTGTGGCAGCTTTCGATTGTACCTGGCACAATAAGCTTTGACTGTTGGCCATCCTGCTGACCACCACCTTGACCTGGGAGTATCAAGCCCCCTCTGCCGCCACCCCGATCCCCTGATAAAGCAAGAAGCATATTCAAGAACTAGAGTAAATTATTAGCCTGTAAACGAAAGCAAAGGGGGCAGAGAACGGCGCACAGTAGCTTGAGAAGCACTTGTGCGAGTGGCATGTAAAGGGAGCGCTCACCACCAGGAGGCCCAAATCTTCTGGTGCTGCTGCAGAACACAGCAGATCCTCTCGGCCGTCTTGTGCAATGTTGAAAAGGTCTACGCCTTTCTAAGGGTCCTGACGACTGGAACAAGGATGACGTGCTGGTGAGGCTGCAGCAAGATGCTATGCTGCGCTCCATGAAGCTACTTTCGACACTATACGACAGAAGTTTTAAAGAGCACAAGAAGCAGTTTTCTATACGTCCTCAGAATACCGCGCTTCTACCCTGAAACTGAAGGATACTTTACAGATCGAAGGTAGGTGTCCTTCCTTAAGTAGCTGTTGCGTCGATACTGCTGCTGCGCTTGATTAGTTGAAACTATCTGTTTAACAATGACTACTGAATCCTATAGCATTTTATACCGATTTCCAGGCCCTCTGTTCTCCGCCTTCTTTAGATGTGAGGATGAGACGATGACGTTAGCGGTTACTGTCCCATTAAATGCCCCAGTCCCGTGACTCTAAACGAGGGGATTTGACAGACACGGGACTTCAGGTGTGTTCATGTGCTCCACTGCTCTCAGAATATTTCCAGAGGAAATTATGGAGGTCCTTGCGCAGACACCGCGTGTGAGCCTCGCATCTTTTGGTAACACAGCGGCCAGCAGCCTCAAGCGGCCAGTGTTTGTTCCTAGGTCGCAGTTCTGCAGCGGAAGCCAGCTTCTTGAGGCTGCAGTCAGCAGACAAGTGCTGACGGCGTCTACTAGCAAGCGCGGCGATGCGTTTGTTCTGAGATGTCAGAGCACCAACGGTGCATCTCCTGCACCCTGGGCGAAAAAGGACGCGAGGCTTGTATTGGAAGACGGCTCTGTTTGGGAAGGAAGGGCGTTTGGCACACAGGGGACGGCTCTCGCCGAGGTGGTGTTCAACACATCCCTCACGGGCTACCAGGAGATTCTCACAGATCCTTCCTACAAGGGACAATTCGTGGTCTTCACACACCCGCACATCGGCAATGTCGGGATCAACTTTGGTGAGTTAACCCTATTTTTCTTTTCGCTCAGCCGACATTCGCTGCACACACGTGAACCCGCCATCAGTAATATTGCATGCATACTACTGATCATTTGGTTCATGTCTGTGATCAATGTAAGCGCTCTCTGCTTGTAGCAACTGCTTCTGCCCCTTTCCAGTTGTGCAGTTGTTGTACCCTTTTAATGCACAATTGGATCCTAAATTATGGTAATTGTCCTTACTGGAAATCATCTTACTGAGGGGGTTGGTGCTTTTGCTTTGCAGGGGACATGGAGTCTGAAAAGTGCCATCTGGGTGGCATAATCATCCGAGACCTGGCTGCCAGTGTCAGCAACTACCGGTCCACAAAGACTTTGGATGCGTACCTGAAGGAGCAGGGAGTGCTGGGTAAGCCTGCTCTCACACCACACGTGTATTGGAAATCAGCAAGCTTACCTGCCCCGCACTTGGACCTTCAGAAAGAAACCTAAGCTCCGCGAGCTGACAGGAGCTGAAGGTTGGAAGCAGGCAGCCTTGCTGACTTTTATAATCATGCTCAAGCCCCTTCAGAAACTACAGGTATTGGCATGGAACTGTTACTGAGCCTGTCCTGTGGGTGCGCAGGCATTGCAGATGTGGACACACGCGCCATCACCCGCCGGCTGAGGGACACAGGCGCGCTCAACGGCGTCATCACCACCGATCTGTCCACCCCTGTGGATGACCTGGTGCAGCAGACGAAGAGCTGGTCCATTCTGGGCAAGGATCTGATCTCCGAGGTCACTTGCTCGGAGCCCTATGAGTGGAAGGACACCACCGAGCACGAGTGGGAGTTCAACCCCGCTGTGCAGGAGAAGGGCGAACTCTTCCACGTACGAACCCTTCTTTTCTCCTCTTTCGCATGCCTTGTGCATGCATGAAATACTCAGGGCTCGAATGGGGCTGCGCTACCTCCTGTCAGTCTGTATGGCAGTGCCACGACTAGAATTCTCATTTGTTTCAGCAAGCAATCGGAAGCAGTGTTCCAGGCACAGGGTCATCATACCGTCTTCCTTGCTTGAAGATAATGTGAAGTGGTTTCCATTAGCTACAGAAAGCACTCAGATTTGATTTTCTGGTGCAGGTTGTGGCGTACGACTTTGGCATCAAGCACAACATTCTGCGGCGGCTGGCCTCCTTCGGCTGCAAGCTGACGGTGGTGCCTGCTGACTACCCCGCCAGCAAGGTCCTGGAAATGAACCCTGATGGCATCTTCCTCTCCAACGGCCCGGTGAGCCAATTTTGCTACTGTAATGGTGATTGTTCATCCTCCTTGAAGTGGCATGCAAGCTTCTGCTCTGCCCAGTTGCGCTCTCTGGAATGAGCGACTGGCATGCCAAAACACAGATGTGGCATGCTCATTAGCACCACTGCAGAGCTTCTTGGGCCAGGAGCATGCCAGCCTTGGGCTCTCTTGAGGCATGCCAGGCACACATCTGTCTGTCTGCTACGTGCCTACAGCCGCAGGTATCCTGAAGCCGCGTCGGTGATGTAGCATCATAAGTATTTTATTCATACATACGTGGTATGATGCATATGTGACATCATAAGTAAAGGACTGAAAAGAGCGTGTGTTCATGTCTGCAGGGTGACCCGAGCGCAGTGCCGTACGCTGTGGAGAATGTGAGGCAGGTGATTGGCAAGAAGCCGGTGTTTGGCATCTGCATGGGCCACCAGCTGCTGGGGCAGGCGTTCGGCGGCGAGACATTCAAGCTCAAGTTTGGGCACCACGGCGGCAACCACCCCATCCGCTTCGGCCCCACCAGTGAGTCCACCCTTACACCCCATGACATAATTCTCCTTACAACGGCAGCGGCAGGGAGGCACATTTGGTGGTCATCCCTCTGGTGTTGTCAGCTCATGCTGACCAGCTGGAGGCCTGCTTGTGAGGTGCCCCATCTGTTTAGTGTTGATTTACGTTGCTAGCAAGATGCACTGCCCGATGCGCCTGCATGCAAGAGTTTCAGGCTCTCTGCTGGAAGTGCAACTTTGGCGGGCTTGCCAGGACTCGAGTATCTTGATATGTGAGAGGGGGCGTCACTTGCTCGCAATTTGACAGACGCACTGGCCAGATGCCGGGTTCTTGGGGATGCCGCATGTTGCTTAGCGATCATGACTAAGAAGTGACATATCGCCTGCTGACTAACCTGCCACCTGACCGCTGCGCAGGCCGGATAGAGATCAGCGCGCAGAACCACAACTACGCAGTCAACCCGGCCACTCTCCCGGACGACGTGGAGGTGACTCACATCAACCTCAACGACGGCACATGCGCGGGGCTGCTGTGCAAGCCCAAGAAGGCCATGAGCATCCAGTACCATCCCGAGGCATCCCCGGGCCCCCACGACGCGGACGTGTGCTTTGAGCAGTTCATTGACATGCTCAAGGCCGAGCGCGCAGGCGCCGTGCAGGCCGCCGTCGCCGCCTGATGTGGCGCTGGAGTGATGCTTGAAACAAAATGATCCGCTGGGACATCCGCCGTCGCGTCCTGATGCGGCCCAGCATTGAAGACTCGATCTGCAGTCGAGTCTCTGTGCCTGGACCCTGTTGTGGCCTCAACTGAATCGCTCAGAGACTCGATCAGCAGTCAGGAGTCTTGAGCCTGGTCCTGCTTGGCCTCAACTTAGTGGCAATGACAAGAGTGACGAGCACTCCGTGCATAACATGGTCCAGCGATTGACACCCGCGACGCTTGATCTTTACAGTCTGACAGGTTTGCTAGCAGCGCCTTTGTGTCCATGGGGTCACTTTTGGTGTCGAATGAATGCACTAGCTTTTGCATGAAAGATATCTTGGGCATGGGTATGATTTGGAAATGGCATTCCTGTCAAAGCCAGGTAATCGTGGGTTCATACATTAAAACTTACATACATTAAAACTTGGTTAGGCCGATCTTGCGAGAATTTCAGGTGACAAGCTCTCAAGGAGATATCACTGGTGTTGCCCAGGGCAGCCCATCTGATACTGAAACCCTCCACGTGCACAGGATCCTTAGCATTGTTAAGTGTTTGGAAGTTGCAATCTTGAGAGTATGCTTGGCGCTTTCTAAGTTAGATCTCCTGAGGAGAGTCTGTTCTTGCTGGGATCAACATAATGCTGTGATCTGCAGAAGCAGAATGAACCACAGACAGTTGTGCCATACACGGGCTGTGAGAGGTGCACAGCATAAATGTTGATGTGTAGAGCAATTGGCTGGGAAATTACTTACGCGTTTTACATGTGAGTACCCATTGCAATTGCACCACCCATTAACCCACAACCGCACGCCATGCTGAGAATCCATGATACTGTCTTGCTCAATGGATGCTTGCGCCCGCTAAGGAGGCATGGGCTCGAGCTTTCTAAAGACTTCTCACAGAGTTGCACACTTTGTTCACCCTTCTCCCAAGCTTCTCTACAGCCTCAGAAAGAGCTTGGACACGGTTTGCAGCGCCGGACCCATCCAGAAACTCTGCACTCACTCAATGTAGGGCTGCTCGCGCATGCGGCGCAGGTCAGTGAGCAGCAGTTTGATGAAGAAGTCGGTCTCCTCCGGGTTGGCCACCCACAGGATGGAGCAGCAGTCGCGCGTTGTTGCATCGTTGCCGCTCGCCGTGAACCGGTCGCCCACATGCAGCACCTAACACCATGCATGCTAAGCCTGTCAGTTGCGAAAAGCATCGGGGTCATCCACGGTTTGAAACAGCATGCTAGGGAGATCCTGCACAACCATCAGGTGCCGAAGCAGTGCAGAGCGCGCTCAAAATGGTGCCATGAAGCAAGTGCATGGATGCAGCTGACAATCTAGCAGCCACACTTGCTTCCGATGCGAGGTATTGGGACCCTCAGCAAGAATGTCACCTCTGACGGCGTCAGGCCCAGGTAGTTCATGAGCGCCTCCAGACCAAAAGACTTGTTGCCCACCTGCATCCCACCACTTGTCAGGGTGACACGCATGCACTGCTTGTCTAGACAAAGGATCCCTCACTCTCCTGACCTTGGGAATGCTTTGCAGTGTTCCTTCTTGCCTGCGTGCATGACAGTCTTCCCGCTGGTGAGATCTTGCACACTGTTCTGCAGCAGCTGTGAAAACGTTGCAGCAACCACATATTTGCAGCGCAAGAATTGACCACCTTAGAGACTTCCATGCACAAAAATGAGGCAATTTCCACTGAGACTGCCCGCTGAGACTGCTCTGCCTTGCCAAAGCACACAGCAAGACACCATGACAGTGCAGTCAAGGCTGTTGTCCTGCATGTGCCTTAGGGGAGAGAAGCCTGGTCAACGTGATCCAGCTTCTTAGGGTCCTAACTGGATTATGAGATTGTCTTTCTTGTCTGCAGCATTCCTTGAATGTAACCAGAGTGAGAGAATGGGAGCGCGCACGTCGACGAAGACGTCTGAGCCGCCGTTGAAGGCGCAGAAGGGCGTGGGGGAGTCCATGAGCGTATGCTGCACAGTGATGGCCATCTCCTCCAGCACCTCGTACACCGTCGGCACCTGCGGTACAACTCCCACCGCCCGCTCCTTACGGATCACCTGCGCGCCAGAAGTAAGCTATGGGGATCAAAGGTTCGACCCCCTTCTTCCCAGCAAAACCACAGTCTGGACAGCTCAGCAGGTTAGAGGAAAGGATTGAAATTTCTTGTGTGGGTGGTTCGAATCCTCCTCCAGACAACCCAAAACGCGTTGAACAGGGTGCATAGCTCAGCTGGAATACTTTTTTGGCATGGTGATCTGCAGTCCTGAACGGGCATCAAGTTCAGAAACGCAATAGTTCCTTCTCCAAACATCAGGGGTCGGCGTAGTTGCTCAGCATGCGGTGGCAGTTGTGCTTGATGCGTGGAGCATCAGCCAGAAAACCAAGGGATAGGCATTAGAAGGAGACAGCCTTGGCACAGGAGAGCTGAGGTGTATAGTCAAAGAGCAAAGCCCTGAGAGAGGCCTCAGAACAACCTAGGCGGCAGGCATACCTCCCCCATCATTGGCTGCCTCAAAAAGCCAACTCTTTGGGCCGGTCAGATCTCAGCAAGAAGGTTGAAACACTCCTGGTCTTCAGCCACCTGAATAAACAAGGGGCTGTTGCCCTGCATGAGCAATCGCAGGCGGTGCGCGGTCTGGTTGGGTTAGGCTGCGCCTCTCAGACATCAACTTCTCCCGTCTTTTCCCAATTCAGGAGGTCCCCATAAACTTCAAAAAAGGCCTGCTACCAATCTCAAGTCCCTAAAACAAGGGGCTTGCTGACCTGCACGGGCAGTCGCAGGCGGTGCGCGGTCTCGGCCAGGACGCGTTCGGCGTCGGTGAGAAGCCGGGCAATCTCAGCGTCGGCCCATGACATCATTGCGGTGGATTTCCAGTCCTCATCTGGCACAAACTCCAGCCGCATGCTTGGCCGCGCCACACGCAGCACGTAGTTGCACTCGCCCCCCATTATGTGGAACCTGCGCCCAACATTTGAAAGCTTAATTCTCATATGCATGCTCCATACCTCTGGCAGATGGTTATCCAAGCTCAGATCGCATTCACATGAATGGCCACTTTGCACTGGCCAGTCATACTAGTTCTGAAGTGCTATGGGTTTGAATGGACATGTTATGGAAGCAACGAAGATGTCCCAGATTGACGGATGCACACAGCGGCAGTTTCCCTCCATGCAAATTTCCAATTCAGCATTGGACAAGCCCGAGAAATCAAGTCCATGGCAAAGAAGGGACAAATATCGGCATTCCTCATGCGCAGGACAACTCTGCTGCAAGGAATGCAAGGTCTTCGGGGCTGCAGAGTCCCCCGCAAAGAACTGCAACAGGGCCCATCTCATTGTTAGCCTAAACCAGTCTGAGTTAAGTCAATGTCAGGAAAGGTTGACTCACCGGTCGGTGATTTCTGCAGGGAGCTTGAGGCGCCGGAAGGCGGCCAGGAGTCCAGCCACGCGCTGCTCAAAGCGCTCTGGCTCCCCAGGGTACCCAGCCGCCGTCACTATGGCCACATCCATGTTGGCGCGCATCAGTGAAATGATGTGCCCCACCTGCACAATAAGGCAGAAGCACATCTGTTGAAAATCCAGTAATCCTGCCATCTTGCAGGAATATCCTGAGTGATGAACAAAATTTAGCACCTTTCCTCGGGGTGGCCTTCTCAATAGCAATCCATGATGGAGAAACTATTCAGGAAGGTTCCTCAGCAGGTTTCCATGAACATCAGATGAAGGCAAGGAGTAAGATGTCAAGTAAGGCAGACTGGGAAGACAGTAAGGACCGCCAAGCTATGCTGGTGGGATTTCACAGGCCAGAGGAGAAGTTTGAGAAGCCTTCAGGCGAGTACTCACCATTTCATTGTCATGTTCTATGTGGCAGCCGTCGGCATACAGCGTGCCATCCGCATCAAATGTGATTAGCCGCAGGCCTTTGGCGGATGAATGCACCTGGGCGGCACAGAAGCCATGCCACTGTATAATCTATGTATACAGATTCCTGGTCTGTCACAGGATGCTATTGCTTGAGTATGCTCACTCGGTAGGTAGCCGAGCAGGAATTGATGTGTGGAGAAAAGGTGTGAAGTCAGGTGCACAAGGGGTGGCAGCCGTACCTGGGCAATGTTGAGCACATGGCGCATTTCTGCAAAGTTGGGCGGAATGTAGCGACGCCGGGACAGAGCAAAAAACTCATCTGTGACACCCAAAGCCAGTCAGCACGCAGCGTGCCAGAACAATGACACAGCGAGAGCTCATATCAGTGGTCCATTCCTATGTGAAATTGAACGAAGTGCGGGAGTCTGGTCACAGTGGCAGTCCCTGCAGATTTCGATTCAACCATGATTAGTTGGCTTCTCGATGGGAGTGGCTCACCGTACTCATTGAAGGCCTCGACAAGTTTGAGGGGAGTGAAAAAGGACCCAACACTGGGCACCATCCTCCTCAAGCGGCTGCGCTTTGGATCCTGCGCACATTGCACGCATGCCAAACACATCAGCCCTTTGCAATCAAGACAGCATATCAGCATCCAAGAATGAACAAAACAAGCTGGCTTGCATTCGCACTGCTGGACATTGGCAGTCTAGGATACATACTTATTTGACTAGACCCCCAAAGGCAGAAGAGCCCCTTGCCCAGCTGCTGCTGCATGTGCCACCTCACTGTACGCAGCAACAGGCAAGACCAGCGCTGTGCCCTGACACAAGCAGCACAACCTTTGCCCAGGTTGGCTCAGCTCCAGGTGGGCAACAAGCTAATGGGTGAGTCAGCGGTGAGGTGAGCGCTTGCCTGGCGGTGCTCGTTGATCCAGCGCTCCAGCTTCTGCATGGCTTCCAGGGAGGTGTGCGTGTGGTGCATGGACAGCAGGAACTCGATCAGCAGATCCTGCTCCTTCAAGTGGCCCTTCCGACGCAGCACCGACGCGTCCGATGCGCTCCTAGCACGCGCCCCCAACACACCCCCGTCCGTCTCCGGCACGCTCAGGAGCTCCTGTTCAAACAGCACGCCAGATCAGGCTAGGTACATGGAATGTATTAGAGAAGATGACGAAATGTGGCTTCCCAATAAGCCCATTGATGTGAACGATCCAGGCAGCGTGCCGATTGTGGCTCGGTCCATGAGGTTCACCAAATCAGGCGTTGCCCAGGAAATGACTCGATCTAGGCTAGGAAATGCGCGAAAGACAGACGTGCCACAGCCAAAGTCTGCTCGGCGCGGAAAGCATGAAGGTCAGGGCTGGATCCTTGGGAAAAGTCGGCATGCGCATGTCTATCAGTCGCTCCTTGATCAGATCATGCAGTGGAGCTGAGGGGTGCTTGGATATTCACCTGCCAGTACTCCCTGCCAGAAGATGAGGCTCCTTCAGAGGAGGCCTCCCTGTCCTTGCCGCCCAGTTCCTGCTGTTTGTTCTCTTCCTGGGGCTGCCGGCTGCTGCCGGCCTGACTACCTTGTGATTGCAAATCAGCCGGCGTAGCAGCTGCAGCACTCTCTGAGGCTGCGGCATTCACCTGCACAAGGCATGAGCCCCAAGAGTTGCAAGTTTGGTTGGGAACACAACAGAGTTGGTAATCTGAAGGCGTGGCATGCAGAAGGGCAGACTTCCATTGATTCAAAATATTAATTTTGTCCCAGGATGCACCTGCCGTGCCTTGTCGAAGCATCTGGCGAATCTGCGATGAGCCACAGTCAGACAGTGGGACTGCCTGCTGCCAGTTAGAGAGTGCAAAGTCCTCCCTGCTGCGCTAGGCACTTTTCTGCTCCAGGCTTTTGAAATTGAATATATACTGGTGGGAAGTTTGCGCTGCAAGGCGACAGGCATAAAGGATCTGCAGTGACATGGAATCCGCTGACCAGTTGGAGATGCTCCCAAGATGGAAGGACATGGAGCGACAACTTGGTACATGTCCTTCTCGACCGGTGAATACTTGCCTGGAAAGCAATTCAAAACATTAGTATGACAGAGCTCGGATTGAATTAACAATCTTTGGGCTTCCCCGAGGTCTCGATGCTCAGCAACATGTTGAGGCTGAAAAGTTATGTCCTCAGACTCAGTTTAATCAAAGTTCCACTCGCAGTGTCGATCAAACAGTAGTTGACAGCTACCTTTTTTATTGTACCAGTCAGTACGTCAGCATTGCTTCTTCAGAGACGGTTGTTTGGAAGAATAATTGACACTTTTTCGCTTTAAACAAACTGAAAGGCCTGAAACTTATAGGGTATAGATCGTGTGCAAAATTTGCACTGCAAAATTAACACTGTGGAAGCGCTCGTATAAAAAGGGCGCAGTGGACGACTCTGCTCTTGATCTCAAGATCAGCGTATCCTCAATTGCGCCCACCACGCCTCAGAGGAAGCTGCCTGCTCCATGTGCTGCTATCCTTGCTGAATGACTGACTGACTGACACACAATAATTTCAGATGTGATGCCAGTTCCAAATTCTACCATTGGCCGCAAGCGGGGCATGCAGCATCAGCAGCTTACAAGGATCACCATGTCAAACTCATTCTTAAAGCGGACTCCGCTCAGCGGAGTAGCACAATAGTGCGCAAGAAGCATTTCCACTAATCGCAACTTGAAGCTGCGATTCGCAACATCTTTTTGCAATGCAGTCGTTCAGCCGGATTAGTCACAGCCCCAGAACAGAATTCGAATCATTGGCTGACACTCTTTAATAAAATGTGGCTGTACGGGCGACCGTGATCATTCTGTTCATTCTGTGGAGGATCCACTCACAGTGCCACCTCTGTCAAAACCAGGAGGCACAGAAGGAAAATCTGAACGAGGCTGAGCACGCGGACGATCCTTGACTTCTTGCTCTGTGTCAGAGCATTGCCTGGCAAGGTTGCCGGCCCATCAACTTCCCCTTCATCATTCTCAGCCATACCAGAGGCAGTACTCTCCTTTTCACCTGCATGGGAATCACAGCTCTTCTCATACCTTTGTAAGAAACCACATCCATCCTCTTTGTACACCAACACATTTCTCCAAAGACCAATACAGACTCTCCAAAAAAAGATTAATCTGGGTCAATGATGTGCAAGGCAGAATGGCAAATACCAGAACACACGTGTGTGACAGTAAGAGGCCAACTCGGGGAGATAAGGACACCTGTGCCGCTGTCCTCCTTGAGTGCAGCGAGCTCAGTGCGCAGCTCCTCATACTGCCGCTGAGCTTCTGCCAGCTGCTTGGCCAGCTCCTCGGCACCTGCCTTCTTCACTGATGGCGCCTGTTCAAGACATGTCAAACCCGGCGGCTTACTCCTTTCAACCTGAGACCAACCAAGAAATTGCCTAGCTGATGGCCATTGCTGCATGCCTTTTGATGGTGTACCACCAAATGCAGAATAGCTGGTGAAGGATGATTGACAAACTGTATTTTCCTGGGCACTACGACTACCTTGCAGGCTGGCCACACACAAAAGGCACTTGCCAAGATTTTGACGTGCAAAGGAAAGAAGCAGCCGTCCAGGCACTGGAACCTAGCGCTGCCATCTCCCTTATCATATACACTTAGAGGGCCAATGAGAGTCAAGCAGTACAGGGGCGTGCCTGCAGCGTGTTGACAACGCCCTTGGCGCGTGCCCCGAATCGCAGCGAGGAGAGTGTCTCGGCCGCGTTGTCGCTGCTGGGCGAGCAGCACACAATCAGCGCAGTCCTGGAGTTGCCGCCCAGGCAATCCTGCACCACTGAGTAAAATCTCAAGGTTGTTGGTGACGCTGACATTATTAATGACTCAGCACTGATCACTAGTAAAGCGCTGATTGTTAGCATCAAAGTCACCATTAAACTCTCAGGCAATTCTGCAGCACACGAGTAAAACCCTTCATCTGTCAATTTCCGATGTTTGATGCTCTGGTGTTGACATGCATGTGGCCTCCATGGAAGTGCAATTTGCGGCCAATGGCCAGGGTAAGGAATGTTTCTGATGCTGTATTTCAGGCTAGCTGGCAGGACTGCCATGCGCAGCATATGTGAGGCACATGGGCTCCAAGAGCAAAACTGATTTTACGACAGCCAGTTGCTGGCAAATACCTCTGTCTGATGGTACAGTCACATCATACGGACTCATTCCTCACGTGTGGCATAGATTCCAGAGCTTGCGCTGCACTGCAGATTCTCAGGCAGCATGCTTGTCTAGGAATTCCTTCAAAATTACCAGTGAGAAGAGATTCGCACCGCCAGAGCGCGGGTGAGCTTGGAGTCGCGGTAGGGGATGTGCGCGGACCGGCCGTCTGTCAGAGCATTGACCACATTGCCCAGCGCTGACAGGGACTTGTTGATGAGCTTGCCCTCCTCGAACGTCACCCCCTCCGCCCCGGTGCGGTCCTGCCTCTCAGAACCTGCGCGACACATATGCATGCACTGATTGATGTTCACGCACTGCATGAATTCAGTGGAATCTCTTTAAAGACTCGATAACTGAAGTGAGGGTCAGGGGATCAAGGAAACAGCCGACTTGGGTGGTCTGCCAAACAAACGTCATGTGCTTTGTACTGCCGCAAACTATGTAAGTGATTGAGATGGCACTGATGTGGGACAGCAAAATGACATGCGGTGCAAAATGTGGCCTCTTGCTTTCGATTTGCTGGGATGTGACGATGAAAATCATGAAGGCAAGCATGCATGACTCATGCTGAAGCTAAATCTGTTCAAGGAGGGCACCTGCAAGGTCCACGAGGCACAGCTTGCCGTGGCCGACGCTCCCGTCGGGCCAGTGCTTCTCAATTGCAAGCATGACGAGGCAGTGGGAGCGGCTGCTTGCAGCATTCATGCCAGTCCTGGCGACTGTGCGCTTGGCTATGCCCTGCTGCATCAACTCCACCAGCTCCCTCTCTGTCTGCACGGGCACCTGCACAGAGCGCAGCATTCTCCTCAGCCGTCTGTGACAGGGCCTTCTCAGAGATCCAGGTCGCCCTAGACAGCACAGACAGCACGTATCTGAGCCTCTGGGCAGCCCTGGAGATTTACAACAAACATTTGGTCTTGCTGGACCATTGTAGAGCCCAGAAGTATCTGGTCAATCCAGCTGCATTTGTTCGCCCCTGGCGGTCAAATTTGTCCTCCTCATCTAGGCGTTGTCACTGACATGTCAACATGCATGGGGATTCACCTGTGTCTTGGTGGGCAGGACTGTCCTCATGTCAAACCTCCGTTTTGGCAACCCATACTTGCAGGGCAGCTTACTTCTCAGGGGCCAACATTTGGTTTTTCTTCATGCACCTAGGGAGGACAAGGCCATTCCTTGAATCGTGCAGTGCTATTTCTAGACAGAAATTGACATGCAGAGGCCAGGTGGAAACACCAGGGTTGCGCCAGCAATGCAGACGCCTCGCTGGCGGTCCTGCTGCACCACCAAATTGTCGCTGCCGGCTTCGCTGCTCAGCAGGTCCCGGATGCGCTCGCAGTAGATCTCCACCACCGACAGGTTCACCTGTAGGCAGCACAATCAGTTTTATGGAAGAAGGCAGAAAGAATCTTTCTGAAAGATCCTCCAGTGGCCGGGTTCATGAGCATGCAGTGCAAGAAGGTGCACAATTTGTGATAGTGGACGCAGGTAAAAAAGGTCCTAAGGTCCTGCAGTGGCAAGATTTTTTTGCAATTGCAATCAGTGGTCTGGTCATTGGACACAGGTCAATAAGGTCCAGAAGTGACCGGATCCATCTGCATGCAGCGCCAGAGGGCGTCTGGTGAATGGATATAGGTCAAAAAGGCACTGAAGTGGTCTTTTTAGGAAAAGACGTCTCAAGAGCATGCCAGTGGCTGAGATCTCTAAAGGGCTGAGAAGGCAGTCTGCATGTTCTAAGTCTACCACTTGCATGTGCAGGTTGTGGTGCATGCATGGCAGTACGTGGTCCAACCTGAAAGTAGCAGTCATCTGTGCACTCTGCCACGCCCACTGCAATTTCATTGACTGCTCTCGCCAGCAGCCCCTTCTCCTGACCACTGCTGATGTCTCCTATCAGCGTGTGTGTCTTTCCAGAGCCTGGGTGGAAGGGTCACAGTACCCAGTCACAATGCATACATGAACATAATCCTGCATGCTGAGCTCAAACATCTGCGAGACTAGGCCACAAAGAAAGCCTTTTGCTTGTCACTTTGTTTGCTGCTGCAGGATAGGTTTGCTTACAGTGACAGGAAGCGTGGCCTAGAGCTTCTATATACTCACAAGGGCTCACCTGTTTGCCCATAGGCCATGATGCAGCCATTTTGTCCATGGAGGACGGAGTACACCAGGTCCTTGACCTCGTTGAATATTTCTGCCTGGTTCGTGCTGCTGTCGTGAACACTGTCGAAAGTGAAGCCCAGGCTGCTGCCGTAAGTGGTGGTGAGTTCCAGGTAGGTAGCAGACGCGCAAGCAACGCATGTTTGACTGTACTCCTCAGCAGACAGAGGCCTCAACCTCACCAGGACCCTGCACCCGAAATCTGCTTCTGACCGAATGCTAGACGCACAAATAGCTTCGATGGACATGCAAACGGCTTCCAGGAACGATGTTCAGCTCAAAACCGACGATCCAGAAAGACGAAGTTTGCCTGACGTTGCTGGCCGTGCTGTCCATGATCAACTGCTTTGATGTTACACTGTTTTGGAAGTAGGATTGTGAGGAGGTTTCTCAGGAGCTTTTGTTTGTAGGAAGGCAGCCTACGCCGTTTAAGGAAGCGAGGTGCAGTGTGCAATTGTGAACGATTCCAGGAAAGCTTGACGAAAGTTCTGGAATAATTTCATGAGTTCAAAAATTGCTCAAATTTGCATGCAATGGTCCACTTCTTTTCTCCCCTTTGAAGTTTCACAATGTGCAACACATATGTCAGCATGCAAACTTAAGCTTGTACTGCCAAGCTACAGAGAGGACGCCTCGGTCTGGGGGGAGACAACCAATTGTAAAGACTGCCATGCATGCACCCAAATTCAATTAAGGTTCTTGGGAGGCCCAGGAGCGCATGCTCTTATTCTTTAAAGACCAGAGAGTCAAACAAACAATGCTCAACTGCTCAACATCTACAGCCCTGCTACATCTGTCAAAAGGTTCACGAATAAGCATTCAACACCAAATACACCAATTCAACGAGTGGCAGCTGCTGCTTCCTCGGCAGCTTGCACTATGCTGCCTTTGTTATGAGGCCGCTGCCATTGTGCCAGAGTCTTGTGTAGCCGTTCTGTTGCCCATGTGAAGCCGACCTGCCAAGCAGACGCACACACACACACTTTTTGTATCAAGCTCAAAATTTTCTTCTAATACTGTGGGGGCAATTTTAATTCATGTGCTGCAGACATCACTGCTGATGCAGACTAAGATCCACAAGGCACTGCTCTGCATGTGTCTGCGAAGTCAAGCCGCTCTTCTCAAACCCATATCATCTTCAGGGCCAGACCCTCTTGGGCTTCCATGAGCCACAAAGCCACACGCAATTGCTAGTGCGGCATGCACGTTGAGACACATGTGTAAGGGAAGACATTATCAGTATAATTACACATGCTTTTCCTGCCAGAGGCAAAGGTGAAGGCTTCCACATATCCAATTACTTCATGGACGCGCCAGATCCAAGCAACCATGGCACGTTGCTCAGTACTGTACCGCCCCCGGCCAGCCAGGGCTTCAGGGTAGCTGTCGAAAGGCATGTAGAAGGTGCGCACCTGCTGCCGGCGCCCCACGGGCTCAACCATCATAAGAGCGCGTAGCCGCTCTTGCGCGCGTTTGCCGTCCGCCGCCGCAGCACGGCCATCGCAGCCGCCAGCACTACTAAGATTATGACGCCGATCTGCAGGAAGCTTCGCGTGGTCCCCCCGCTGTCCTCGGTCGCCTTCGTACGCAGCGCCTTCCTGCGCGCACACGCTGGCAACTTTCTGCCATGCACGCAAAAAGAATGCTGCTCCGTATGAGCATCCTAATGCTGCAACCATCTTCCCAGAGTGTTCTTGTTCAGCTTTAGCAGTTGTGTCAGTAGTACAAGGCATTGCGTGCAAGCAAGGGCACTGCGCTCATCCTTGCACATACCCCTGCACCCTGAAACTCCCCTGTACTAAAAGACACTGCATGCCTTGTGAGACAAGGATGTAGACACGCGTTTTGTCTACATTTCAAGGCATACACAAGCCTTCATGCAAGCATCAGGAGACCCTTGGCATCAGGAGTCCATTGGCAAGCTCACCTGTTTCCAAAAAGGGTGGCCGCAGCGTTGGCTTTGGCACTCTCGCCGTAGAAGGCCATGAGGAAGCGGAACACCTCGTCCTCATTCCACTCCGGCTCACTGTCGGCGCTCTGCGCTGCGAGAGTTGGCATGCGGCAGAGAGGGCACGCCTCTGGGGACGGCCACTGGACCTTGGGAAAGAAAGGGTCCCCACTATGGTCCGCCGCCTCCTGCTTCGCCACCCTCTTGTTCACCTGGGCAGCAGAACGAAATGGTGGTCTCAATCACCATGCCAAATGCGCCGTCCTGACGGTTTCTCATTTGTTTCCTGATGAGTATTATTCCTTTGCTGTTGGTTGGCCTAGCAATGACCAGAGTCTGATCAGCAGACCTTCAAAGATGCTTTTGAGCCCAGAAATCACAGGTGGACCATATACGAGACTTCATCAAAGAGCATTATACCTGGGATACTCTAGAGGTCAAACTCAAGACTTGCTCCGAAAAACTCGGAGCAAGTCTTGAGGACATGGGTTGGGACAGAGGCTTACAATATTGTGGGCTCGCCAGGACCAGAGCACGGCATCACGGCGGGAGGTGACTAGCGCAGCCGACTCCTCTGCAGCCATCGCCTCAAAGTGCTGTGAGCACTCTGAGCACTTGAAGAACTGCTGCACGTACTGCCTGCACACCCCATTACAGCAGCATGAGTCTCAGGGCACGTGCCCAGCCATTCTGCACCATCCTGCCCGGCAGCACATCAGTATAGACGGTGCAAGATTTTCCTAGTGCTGCTGATCGCTGCCAGGCTATCCCATCCGCATGTGGGCATCTCCCTCCCAGTTGCACAAGCCTCAAAGAACTGGAAACATTGCACCAAATAGCAGCAACTCAGGCACAACGCTGCGCTTCAAGCATCGGAGGATGCACTTGTTTGAGACGAGCTGATTGGCGCATGCATGCTACTCATTCGCGGGTGCCGCAAGCATGCATAGCGTTGCCCTTGGGAAGAAACGGCCAAAAACAAATCAGCAAAATCATGGCGCATGGTCAGTGCGGGGTCACACCTGACGGCGGTCATCCAGAAGGCGCCCCCGGTGGCTTCGGGGGTGGCGCGGGCGGCCAAGCTGTGCAGCAGCAGCCACAGGCCGCACGTGAACCCGCGGCTGTTCTCCCGGCTTCCCTTGCAGCTGCCCCACTCCTGCACCAGCCACATCATAAATTTCTGGAGTCCAGAGCGTCTCTACTAGTCTCTGAGTAGTGTGGGAGTTGCTCTATCACCAAGTCTTTATACCTTTTCTGCTGCTCCTAGGGAGAGATTCCTGGAGAGACTGACTGATGCACATTTCCTGAAATGCTTAGCACTCTGCAGAATATGCCAATCAATGCCTGGTTGAGTTTGCCAGCACCTCAGAATCTTCGACACGGCATAAAATCACGGCATAAAATGTCTCTTGCAAATTGTTCGTTAGGTTTGGACTAACAGAGCTGAGAGGGCATCAAGGTTGACTTTGTAGTTGTGCGAAGGGAGGCCCAGCCTGAGGTAAAAGGTTCCTCATTAAAGAAAAATAAATGCCACGTTATATAAGGGCCGGAGCAGCACCTTGGCCGTGGCTTTCTCTCCGCAGATGGAGATCTGATTGATGGCCTGCCCGGGGCCGGTTGCCTGGTTAGGCGGCCACAGCTTTGGCAGCGCCTCCTGCGCCGCCTGAGCCCCCGCCCGGCACCTGATGACTCGCACAATGCAGTGAGTCATCACCATATCTGGTGCACCGTAAATACTTAGTTTGGCACAGCTTGAGCAGTCACGCCTTGCAATTCCCAGTCAGAGCACCAGCATCGCACAGCATGCGCCAAACAAAACAAGTAGACCTCATGACCGCACAAGCTGCGGATTGCACTGTGCAGTCATACTTCGCAGCTATACCTTTCTCCACAAAGTTAAGCAAGCGGTTTTGCAAGTATTTCAGGGTCAGGCATCTGCGTTTCCTCAGACGAGTATACACATTCTGTGGCTGATGTGGCTGATCCAAATATAGAGGGAAGCATGCGGAGGAAGATGTGCACCTGTCTATGGGGTGGCTAGCAGCCAGGAGGTCAATCCAGTCCTTCAGAGCCTGCCGTTTCTCCAGGCCCTCAAGCCCAGAGCCTATGTCTGCAATGTAACGGAACGCCAGAATTGTGGAACTTTCCAGATCACTCACATCCGCCTGCACAAGAAGATAATCATTTCAGTACAGCCCACATGGAGTGCAAAATAACCGCCTCGTTCCTACCATCCCTGTAATCCTCAGATGAAGGTAAGAAGACAATGCAGTACTATGAGACCGCAGGCCTGCAGAGCGCTAAATTGATTAGCCAGTACTGGTGGACTGCGTAGAGCAGAAAATGCCAGCTGCTGTGCTGTGTGCCAACGAAAGGTGAACTTGGCTGACGCACATGCTGGGCCATTTTGGGGGCGTTGGTGGCGGAGGCTTGCACGCCAGGGGCCTCCTGCTGGCTAGCCTCCCCGCCCTTGTCTGGATTGTAGTCATACGCCCTGCACAAGACCGACAAGACTGTAAGCACCCAAAGCCACGCTGCGGTGCATTGCTGTCTAATTCTGATGACGACCACACAAAGCTTGGCTTGGCATGAGGTGCATAAGTAGGTCAGGGATGACGATTTAAAGCTGCTTGCAAGGCTGTACACCGTCATGAGAATGAATGCCATGCAGAGTCTTGTGTTCCTGTGGCAATCATACAATGGCATTGACACCTGGGGCATGGGCTGCAGCAATGATAGGATTTCAAACAAAGCTGGGAAGGCCTGCGCACGTGGATTGAAGCTTGCCGATCCATTCAATGATTTCCTTCTCGCCTTTGACCCCATTGTACTCCTCTAGCTGGCCCTCCTTGCCCACCCCAAACGCAGCCGGCTTGCCAAACTTCATCGTCGGGTAGTGGCCCACGCTGAAGCGGCTGCATAACGCTGCCTGCACAGATTGAACCCGAGCTGGAACAATCAGGTATTGCTGGACCTGTGAAGAGGGGCTGAATCCTGTGCCATGTCTGCATGACAACTGTTCGGTGCCTTGTGTGTTAGGTTCACAGCACTGGGTGTTGCATCTTGCTGACTGATAGCAGCGTCAACCTTCATCCCAGAAAATACATCTGGATGCAGCCCCTTGGAATGTCTACAACATCCTGAGACACGGCCAGGGGGTGCACCCAGAAATTATTATCCCCGATTCAGATTGAGGTGATGAGGAATTTTTGCAGGCAATTGGGCACATGCTGAATTCGCTGCGCACCTCGGTGGCGCAGTCTACGCGCGCCACATAGACCTCGGGCTTGGGCCGGGGTGACCCATAGAAGTAGGCAGAAACCTTCTCATAGTGCGGCTGAAAATGCTTGCAGGCCGGGCACCAAGAGGCATAGAACTCCATCAGCACACCCCTGCCTGCTGGGAGGGCCTGCATCAAATTCAAATCTCTCTGTCATCATCGCCTTGCTCTCTAGAAGACTGCACAACCTCTGGCCAGGTCACTGGCAAAGCACTTGCGTGATGGCATGCTAGACTAGGCGCAAAGGTTTATGAGGCAGGGTAGGCCAATTGCCAAAACTTAAAGCGCATGGGGTGCATTCCGCTTCTTGAACCTATGGCCGTGCCTGCATCATGGTGTCGAAATTCGCCTGCTGCAGATCAACTGGCTTGAGTGCAGCCTCTCCCGCCAGATGTGCAGCCCTGATTGGGCTTGCTGAAAGGGCAAGAATTGCGATGATGAGAAGACTGCCCTGCTCTGTGGCTGTTTGGCGCAGTGATGCTGCATAAAATATCGATTTGGTCCTGCCCATCTGTTTGGTGGCAAAGTGCCCTGCTACTCCCTGATTGCAGGTCTGCTCTTTCTCCTGGGACCTGCTCTTCCACGCTGAGCGTGCTTAGACTGTTGGGTGACAATTTTGATGTGGCTCCCACCGGGACTGACTGGATGCACGTCTCTGTTGCTCGGAAAACTTGATATCGTGGAAGAGGAATTTATTCCCAACCATAACACAAGGCAACTTCTATCAACATATCAGCGTATAATGATGCCACTGATGCTATCACAGCCATTGTGTGTTTCACCAATGAAATAAGCTTGCCCTGCCTGAACAAGTATGTACCCAGTAGTGTCCTGAATACGTTATAGAAATACTGCGGTGAATTCCTACAATTCTTTATTGCCAAACCTTCCCATCCATACTAGGGAAATTTTCTAAAAAGAAGAAAGCAGCGATGGCAAGGTGTAATCCAAGAGAACTGGACTCAGGCTTGAGGCATCCGGCAAACGGCGTCAATATCCCATGGCTTCACCTCTGCGCAAATTTTTACGAGCTTTTGGACGACACTCCGGACAGAGGATCAATCAAATGAGATAAGAACGTGTAGCAGACCCTGTCCTAGAAGTCAGATCGGCAATTCACCCCGCCCAGCGAGGCTTCCGATGCTACCTGTGACGAACAAGTTTCAGAGCGTATCTAAACAACGTTGGGCGCGTATCCGGTATGAGAAGAGATGTTGGACTTTTCCTCGAGGCGTTCGAAAAATATGGCCCAGGTCAGCACATAGTAGTAGCTTTAATGCAGAGCAATCTGTTTAAGAAGAAAAGAAATCGGTTGACGAAAACAACGTGAGCGACAGAAATGGAGCTCCCTTAAGATGGACGTGTGTATGAGGACCAGCACTTCCGGCTGATGACTTACAAATAGTAATGGTGAGTACCAGGCCTTGACCGTCCCAGAACACGAGAAGGCGGCGCTTTCCAGTGTCAGCGATGAACGTCACAGTACAATCGGCTGTTATTTCGGGGCAAGGTGTCCTGGATAAAGGAGAGCACGACGTACAGCTATGCGACGCCCGACCAGGGCTGTTCAAGAAGTCCAGTCGGGACTTTTCTGGATCAGACTTCAAGCCTTTCGGGGCACATATGAGTCTGGAAAAGCTAGATGGCCACATCGGTGGCTGTGCAAGGCAGCACGGGGTGCCGTAGGAAGTGGGCTGTCATTAGTAGGCGAAGGCCAGCGACATGGTGCCGGCCAAACCCGGCCCTCTTGCGATCCTGATGCTCCTAGCTCAGTCAGTACAATGGGTGCGCATAGTCCATCAACAGCAGAAAGTGGGGGTCTTGGTGGTCTGTGGAGAGTGCTGTTGCCCTTGACGGCATCCGCCTCCCCTTTAGCTACCCCTTCGTAACCATACTAAGCAGTACAAGGGTTCGCGATTGGGATTTCGATGGCAAATTAGGGCCACCAATGCGGTACCAACGCTTATGCTTGCGCTGATGGCAGCACGCCGATGCGCTTGCTGCTTGTTTCACCTGTATTGCTGGTCACATTTAGTATATATATATATCCTAGCAGGAGCATCCCACTTTGGGCTGTACAATTCTAGGGCCTTGTCTAGGCCTAGCGAGTCCACTTGATCAACACATCTACACTAGAGGCTTATTGGTGCTGCCACTCTTGTGCGCTGGAGTTTGTCACTTGTTGAGCAGCACGTTGGACCCACTGGGCCGCTCTAGGTGCCCTTACTAGCGTCCAAATAGCTCCATGGAGCAGCAAGGAAGATTTTGTTGGGCTGAATGAAGACAATGCAATCGCCTGACGGTGTTCTCTTCTCTGTGTCCTGTGCAGGCTTCATTGGTTATCTCACGCACATCGCCAGGACCCCTTCGCACACAGAGCCACCCAGCCAAGAGCAGTGCCTGGTCTTCGCCGCAGTCTCCTGTGGCCACGCCCCGGCTGCGTGGCGATGAGGCAAGCTGCCCCTCTGCTTGCTGATCATGCTAGTGCAGTGCAGTGGGGGCCTTGGGATCATCAGAACCCAGGGAGGATAGCACCATGGGAGGGGTAGGGAGGGTGCTCGTTGGCCCTATCAGTTTGGCCGCAAGAAGCAGCGATGGTACCAACGCAGCTCGTCCCTACTTCTCTCGTAGAGGCAATCTACAGTCATAGGGCGAGATGTCCTGGCTGCTTTCAATGTCAATGGCTGCAGGAAGCCTGGACACCAGCATTCTTATGTTCAATGTGCCTCCCCTTATCATGATTATTCTGGGATGCAGCTGCATTGCAGCTTCTCTGAGCCCTGCCTTGCTACTATGCCCTGCTTGTCTGGCCCTCCCCACTTGTTCAGTGACTGTACACTCTGGATGTGCCCTTACTGAGCAGGGTCTGAAAGGCGGTCCTGATTGTGGGCGTTTTCATGGCAACGCCCCAAAAGGGGCCCACTTAGGGCCGACTAGGACTCCCACGCCCAGATCAGCAGCACACAATATTTGGGGCTACTGGAGCGGCCTTCTCAGGAATGACATTCCATAAATCTGACATGGTCCCCTTCCTTCAGCTTCAACTTCTGGTTCAAGTTCACATTTCAAAGCATGTGTGATCATCGCGCGCAGGTCATCGTGCATGATGAGGAGCACCTGGCACATCTGGCGTCGCTGTTCAACAACACCAGGTACAGCGACATGGTGTTGGTAGCGGAGGCCCCCTGGGCTTATGTGGAGGGAACGCCCGTGCGCAGACGCTTCCACTGCCACCGCGCCATCCTCGCCAGCCGCTCCTCCTACTTCGACCGCATGTTCGGCTCCGGTGCGCGCCCGGCTTGCCCGGCGGCTGCACTGCCACCTTTGACATGCCACATCAGGACCAGATCAGTCTAGACTGCTCAAGCAATAGTAAATTTGTGGAAGGCCCAGTACAGCTGCTGGGGCATAACAGCATCGCGATGGGCTAGTGTCTTTGCTGTGCCTTCCCTCCATTTAGGCTTCCAAGTTGACTTCAGTTGGCCGTTTATCTGTTTTTCAGCCAGCGCTGAAGGCTCTGAACAAAGTCATTCATCACGATGATCCAGATACAAAAGGCAGTCCCTGATAGAGCAGAGGCAAGTGCTAGGTCTGCCTCCGCCAGACGCATGCTGGCGCATATGTCACCCAAAAAGCAAAAAGAAAAAGCACTGAGGTTCGAACCGTGGAACTGTTGGCGCTAGGCATGCGGGAGACGGCGGAGAGCGAGGTGGTGTTGCCGGACTGTCCCCCCGAGGCTCTTGAGGCTGTGCTGCGCTTCTGCTACATGGGCGAGTGCCGGCTGCCGCGCCGCGACATGCTCAGCCTGCTTGTGCTCGCAGACAGACTGGACATTCCTGACCTCACCGCCCTCGCAGAAAAGGTGCGCGCTTAGCAGTTTCAGGCTGTACCGCACTCCGAAATATGCTGCAAAGTTGGTGCAACGCACTATGTGCACTTGAGGTAGCCGAGTGGGCTGGGAACAAGCGTGTAGTCAAGTATTGGTAGGACTCAGACATACTCGGGTTTTCTGGCTGTCCTGGTCCGTGAAGATGGTGAAGGTCTCCAACTGATTACTGCAGCATGCAATGAGACAGTACTTGCGATGTTGTCTTAGCTCTTGGGCAAAGCCAGCATGGCAATAAATTGACTCATTGCGTGCTTCAGATTCGCAGCAGGCTTCTGAGCCTCTGAGGTGCCCTTTTGGGCATCTTCAAGATATCAGCTTGTCCATGTCTCTTCAGAGCGCTGCATGACCCAGCTTTATATTCTGTCCAGCAATTAAGGCATGGGAAAGAGTGGGGTCTGAATGGAGTCTGTGTGTGGTGCGTCAGGTGGTGTTGAACAATGTCAACCAGGACACGTTTGGGGACTATCTGGACGTGGCATCTTCTCGGCGGCTGCAGCGGCTGGAGGCCAAGTGCATCGACTTCCTGCTCACCAACTTTGAAAAGGTGCGCAATTATCACCAATCGTTCATTGCAATTTTTGTGCAACGCATGTTGCTTATGAAAGGCATGCACAAGGAGACGGATGTTGTGGCCATGGAGGCTTCAGTCTGTGCTCAAGTCGGACTGTTGGGCGCCAGTGAGGCAACAGGGACATGCTTGGTAAGACGGCTGGTTCTGGTCTGCTTCTGGGTACCACTGGCTTGGAGACCCCGGTAGAACAGTAGCAGCTTCGCCAACCTGGCGTGTGCAGGTGTAGCTTCACTTGCATGCAACGTCAGCTTGCCTGTTGTTAATGCATGTGCCGCCGCAGTCCTGGTGACTGCCTCGTCTTGGGTGACGCATGAGGCGGTGCCCTTAGTAGGGCAGCCGCCGCAATATGGCATTTCTCCTTCCCTGGGGTACCTTCTCGGGTAATTCGAGAAGTTCTCATGGATGTTCTGACATCGCTCCTGTAGCATCTCAAGGAAGGCGCATCATGGAGTTGCTGACAGAGGCACTTGCTGAGACAGCGTTGACAAAAGAAAATTGCCGAGACAGCAGCTTAGATATTGAGAAACGCCTTGCATTTGGTGCGCGCAGGCGGCGACTCAGGAGACGTTGAAGCGGCTCAGCCTGGAGACTCTCCTGGCGGTTCTGCAGAGCGACAATCTGCACGTGCCGAGTGAGATCCACGTCTTCCATTCCGTCCTCTCCTGGCTCGACGCCGACCCCGCCCGCAAAGCCGCCGCTGCCCAGGTGCGCCGATGTTCTTTTTTTCCTGCTGCAGATTTCCTCCAAGGCAAATAGGCTCTGCTGCAAATCCCTCTGCAAAAGAGAGGATTACACATAGTAGCAATTCACACCAGCGCAGAGTGGTCTGATATAGAGTACGTGTAGGAAAAGCAAGGACCGGGAAGAAGGCTTGCTGTACTAGCTACCGGCTGTGCAATGCTGTCGCGTGAAGCACACGATTTGAATTCTTGCCGGCTGCATGTAATGACGGTCTTGCTGAAGACAAGCTACATGCAACTGATGCCCCGTGTGCTCCAGCCTGACTGTCATCAGTGGAAGCAGATGAGAAGTTTCATCCTGTGCTCTGCGCTCAATACGAATCCCATTTGTCATATGCTGTGCATGTGTCCTATGCTGTGCATCCAGCTAGTCGCTCATCATCTGCCTGAACAAAACGTAAATGTGTACCAGTTTGTCATTGCACATTGACGCGGTTCTGTCCCTTGCAAATGGCAGCAGCGGGCAGAGCTTGCATAATGGTGTGGTCACATGGATCCCGCAGGTGCTGCAGCTGGTGCGGTTCCCCACAATGACTCAGGCGGAGCTGTGCCAGGTGGGGGACCACCCCCTCGTCGCGGGGGACCCTCTTGTCCAGGTGCGCCACCTGTCGCAATCACCTTGCAATAAAAAAAAGGATAGCACAATGGGGAATCGAGCGATTGACCTGTCATGATCGGCTCTCAACACAGGATGCCTGTAAATTTAAATTAATTAGCTTGGTCTACCCTTTTCTTGGGAGTCAGACAGCTTAGGCCGCGGGCTGCTTGCATAAAAAGTAAATAAAAAATCGCATGTCATCTGACCCGATCCTCTGGGCGTCATAATTCCTGTATTACCAACTTGCTCTGCTGCACCTTAAAGGAAACAAGGAGTCACCCTACAAAGTCAAGGAGCTGCCACCCAGAATGGCTGTGTGCGGGGACAACATAATGTGATGACAAATACTCTCATGTGCTGCGCAGGAAATGCTGCTGCGAGCGTTCATCCACGTGTGCAACCCGCCGCAGCCGCACGCGCTGCCGCCAGAGATCTTCTCCATGACTGTCGAGGCGGCTGAGGAGGCCGCCCCGTTGTACCGGCCGCGCGCTCTCACCGCGGCCGCCGCGTTCGAGTTCACCGGGGCGCTGCAATTTTGGCGCGTGCCGGTGTCGGGCGTCTACCGCATCACCGCGCGCGGCGCCAAGGCGGCCGACGGCGCCTGCCGGTGCGCGTTCCCTCTCGCTCTAAAATTCTGCACCCTCCTTGAGAAATTTTGTCACCTTGTTGCCATTACAGAGCTGGTCAGCCCAGAGGCCATAGGGCACCACAGGTGTGCCAAGAAATCAAGATTGAGCCTCTGATAGCATGCTTTGGTGTCCAGAACCCCGGCTCCCAGTTGTTATTGTGGTGCGGCGAGTTCCAGACGTGTGCTTGCTGTTGCACTTGTGCCTTGCAGTTTTGGCCACGCCAGAGCAGCAAGGACTGAACCAGCCAGTAAATCTACCGTCTGGAGGCTCTAGCATTGCAAGTATGACTGGGAGTACTGCAGGGTACTAAGGACAATGCAAGATGTGTAGAACGCTAGGAGCTTCACCCTGTGCCTGAACTTGCGCTTCGGTGCCACTATCACGTGCAATTGCCCTGCGGTGTGTCTTTTAGAGTGTTCTGGGCACTGCATCCCCTCAGTCTGAAGCACATATCGCTGGGCTGTAGCTTGTGACGGTGGCAGGCATCTAATTAAGAATGAAGGTGTAATCACCGGCAGCTGCCAGCACTTCGCAGATTGCTGCAGGCGTCCTGAGCCATTCTTGACAGGGCATGCAGCCCTCCCTGCTTTGTGTTTCTATTCCCATGGGTCTGAATGGTCCTGCCTACTTTCCAGGCATGGCGGTGCCTGTCAATCTTGCAGGGAAACCCACCCCACGGAAATAGTACTGAAAAATAAATTTACCTTGCTGACAGTGTGCTGCCTCTCCGATCGTCCTGTGGCTGCCTGTTAGTCCTGCAGAACTATTGGAGGTCCGCTTACTGTTGAAGGCCCGGCGATGACACAAACTTTGCTTTTTTTTTACGGTCGGCTCTGTTGCGCGCGCAGGTGCGGCGGTCGGGGGGCGATCCTGAGCGGCCTATTTAGCCTTGAGAAGGGGCAGCAGCTGCGCGTGCTGTGCGGGGGCATGAGCGCGCGCGCACCCCACGGCAACTCCGGCGGCGGCGGCGGCACTTATGTGATTGTGGAGGACGAGGACGAGCCGCTCATTGTTGCCGGCGGCGGCGGCGGCACCCGGTGAGGAATTGTTTCCATGCGTTGTCATTATGTCAAACACACTTACATTTCCTCCCCTGCAGTGCCTTGTTTGGTTTGGTGGGCGAGAGACTTTATTGACAGGACTCAGCGGCTATTTAATTGGCCTTTTATGTTTCAGACCTCGTCTCATCTGTGTTATAATCTGCCCATAGTGTCTGACCGACGAAAAATCCTCTCAAGCGACTCAAAAAGTGCATGCACACTTGGCCAGATTTTCCTGCAAGGGTCTTTCTGGGTAAAATGAATTTTGGTTTTGTTCTGTACTCTTATTGCTCTCTGACGGTGATAATGTTGCCTTGGCAGGGGCGCGGAGCATGATTTTGATGGGCTGGATGCGTCGCTGGAGGAGGATGCGATGGACAGCTGTTGCACCAACCCCTCCGAACAAGGGCTGGGCGGCCAGTATGGCTGCGGCGGCACCGGGTGCGCGCACACTCATATACTTTCTTGACACCTCTTCACCCTTGCATGCCCTTGCATCCAGATCAGCCCTATAAATGTGGCATGCAACCAAGACAGGGAGGCAGAAAGGGATGTCAGACTCGGTACTGGGACTGGGGATACCCACAACCTGGAAGTGTTCCAAGGCACAGTTAATTCCTGCAGCACTCCTTTTCTGTGTAATCTCTCCGACTGTTGTGCAGCGTTTCCATCTTGTTTGCATGGCAGGGCACTATCTGATGATTTTATCACTTCAGGTGCATTCCAGCTAGTGTGTGATTCTCAGGTGCAGCTGTCTGCACACGAGGCTAGGGTAAGTAGCAAAAGAGAAAAGCTTGACTGGAATTGAGTGCGCGATTTGATCAGGTCGCCGTATTTGGGGCTGGGCGGCGGCGGCGGCGGGTACAGGCATCCGGGGGCGGGAGGGAACGCAACGTCAGCCAACGGGCGCTCCCTGTGGGCGAGTGAGTCAGCAGACGCGCACTGCGCCGAGTACGGCGGCTTCGGCGGCGGCGCCGGCGGCTGCGGCGGCGGCGGCGGTGGCGGCTTCTCAGGTGCTTGTTTTGTCGTTTCCTTTTAGGCAGGGACGGGCCAGACAGGAAGCTTCGGTTGGAGGCAGTGCTCTGTAGGAGGCGTGGACGAGGTTGAGGTGCTGGAAATTGCAGCACCTGTCCTGCACCTGCCGCCACCAGGGTGTCTTCCATAGAGCACTGCCTTCCAGTGCAGCCATCTCTCTGGCTTCTCCCTTGCTTGCTTCTCATGCCCTGTAAGGAGAACCTGCGCATGCCTTCAAGAAATACGGCATAACTGGGCAGGTTGGGGTGTTATCAGCCGCCAAACTTGATGCAACAAAATTTCCAAGCACAACAGCTTTCACCAACCTCGCTTAGCACCTAAACACCGCGCCTACCACAGGCGGCGGAGGCGGTCCCGGGGGCGGCGGCGGCGGCTCGTTCATACACTACGACGCGTTGGACATCAGTAAGGAGGTTGGTCACGAGGGCCACGGCAGTGCAGAGGTCGTCTACGTGGCGCCCTCGGCCCGCAGCCTACGGACCCAGATCCTGGAGCACTCCGCGCTGCGGTCGGTAAAGTCCGCGCCCGCCGCCAAGCTCGGCCCCAACCGCTGGGGCTTCTGACCCTTGATGGTCACGCCCCGTAATGGCCGTGCACCGTAAAACAAGGCAGCGGCACCGTACGCTTGCGGCTTCCTCACAGACGCACGTTGTGGAGAAGATCTGCCACCCTCAGGTCTGGCAGTGGTTTGCTCTGCTGCTGGAGGCCTCTCTGCCATTGCAGAGGTCTGTTTGAGGGTGGCTGCCCAGTCCAGTAAGCCGGGAGGCATGTGCAACAGGGACGTCGCCTGTTAGCAACAAAGCTGGATCAAACCTTACACTGGGCACAGCAGGAGGGGTCAAGAGGTGGCTAGGAACATACCTCTGCATGCAAGGAGCAGCTGTGCCATTGCCGGTGCAGTAGGTTCCACACAGCTGCACAGTACTGCAGTGTCAAGGAATGCACACGGATATGCCAATGGGTGACCTTTTTGTCCCTCATAGCAGAGTAGCAATGCGTTCTTTGGATGTTTGATGTGCCCTGTCTCTGCATGGGGCAGAACGGGCTAGCAGGCTGCCCCTAGTCCCTTTGCATAAAAGACGAAGAGATTAATTCCCCGTCTCCAGGATTTTGAAGAAGGGCCAAGCAGCATGATGGTTCGATTGGAACTTGAGCTGAGCAGTGGGTGTTGCCCTGAGGCAAACCTTGCATCCTGTCGCGACAAAAAAATTCTAGTTTGGGCAGCAACTGTTCTGCAGCAGATACTGAAGAGTGAAAAGAGTGGTGTCTGGCAAGATTCCCCTGAAGCAATGTGATCAGATCAGGTTTGGCCCCTGTACAGTTTTTTTGTCGCGACAAACAATTGACACGCTAAAGGGTGCTCACAGGAATCATCTATGGTTTTTGAGCCTCTTGTCGGGAAGGGCGGTGGGTGATTCGGGCAAGCAGAGGTTATGAGGCTGTGTGAACTTGCTTGTGGGAACTCTTTCAGGCACGGATGGTGCCTATCACAACTGCGGTGATTACTTTTTTGCACCAAAAAGCCTTTCCTTTGCCTGAACATTCCACTGGGGCCACTGCGCAGCATGCTCTTCTTGTGGGTGATGCTCGGCAGTGGGCCTGAAACAGCACGAGGAGAAATTGAGTTGATATGAGGTGCAGTAACTTTGAGAGGGAATTTTATGCGCGGAGGTATTTGCATGGACTGGAATTTGATGTATAGGGGAAACTGGTAGTGACACATTGGTCACTAGCCTCATTGCAGCAAAAATAGCAAACCTTCCCCAGGGGTTTTGTCCCTGTGCCAATGTCCTAACCAAGGATGACTTAATATACACCTGGTTATAGGCAAACTCTACAAGTGCGCGCTGTTGACAACGCTAAGGAAGCAAGTGCTGTTGTCACTTGCGCCCGCGTGTTGTAAATATATGTCTTCAGGATAGGGCATCGGTCATTGCTGGGTAGTGCATGCGAAATGCAAACACAAGCCTGTCCGCGCGCCTTAAAGCAGGCAGGATCGTGTACGTGAGCACTCGGCGCGTTGATGTACTGATACAGGCATGGTTTAAGTGCGCTCCAGGCGCCTTGCTTACTATTGTTTATTCTGGCGTTGCTCTCGCTGTTGTGTGCAATTTCTTATTTTGACAGATATTCTTATGTGCTGCATGAAGACAAGTGCTTTCTGATCTGCCATGCGTCGTGTGAGGTTGGAGTTTGAGTGTGTGAATATAAACAGCTGCTAGGATAGCGCTATTGTCTCTGCATATATATATATTTCGTCCCCCCGTCTGCTTGTTTTGAAGCCCTGGAGATTGTAAAACACTTGGGCAGGATCTTTTCAGCTGGCTCAGAGGCTTGTATCACACAGAAGCATCTCCATTCTATCCACAACACTGGAAACACATCATATGATCCACGCTGCCCAGTGATAGCAGTCCATTCTACAGGGTGTAGGTGCATGCAGATGCTACATGCTGAAGCATGATCGGCACTCAGGATGCCTTGCAATTGCTTGACCACATATTGAAATGTACGTCCAGACACTAGAGCCCAAAGTGAAATGTGGAGGCCTCGAGCTTCCCCAGATGCTTACACCCCCTTACGCTATGCCAAATGCTGGCAAGCCAAGTGGGACACAGCTGACACATGCAAGATAGTCACGTTCGAGACAGCCATCTGATCACAATCGTTCAAGCTCCTTCACTAGAAGTATTCTGTCTTCAGCAAATCCCTTCCTTGAGCCAGTCACGCTACTATAAGCACAAAAGAGATAAAGAGGGTTCTCTACCACCAAAGGGATCAGCGATCAAGCTCCAGAGCTCCAGTAGCCAATCACATGAAGAGCACAATGCATCGACACCGCCCACGTCTGCTGTCACTGACAGCCGAACACCAAACGTTCAAGCACGAAATCACTGTCTCAACAACCCCTATGAAAACACAGCAAGACCAACGCCTGCTCTGGCGCCATCCCTTTTGCAAGGGAGTACCTTTCCAAATAACCAGGACACCAAGCGCCTGATCTGACGCTCCTGAAGTGGAACGCCTCCCGGTGCCTGATCTGGCAACGCCCGGCCGGTGGCAAAGGAAACGCCATCGCCGACGCGACCAGCGCCAGATCTGGCCCCGCTCTGCCGGCGACGAAGAAATACGCCTCCGCGAGTGCATATTATTTCACTTCTTGCGGCCGCCACGCTCGCGCACGGCGAGCGAGAGCATGGTCTCGGGGCCGACGTTGTAGAAGGCGAGGGTGTTTTCGTCGCGCAGGACGCCCACGCCGTCGCGGCTGATGCGCTGCTTGTTGGCGGCCAGCTTGAGCACGTCGGCCAGGCGGGCCTTGATGTCGCCCACGCTGTCTGTGAGCGAGGAGACCTCCACCTCCAAGATCTGCCCGTTTAGCGCCTCGTTGTCCGCCGCGTCGGGGCACAGCACGCGAACCTGCTCGCACGCCATGCACCCCCGTTCAGTGTGGTTTTACAGCCTCCAAACGCCATCGCCAGACAACCCAAAATCCTACTTGTCACCTTAGTTGCAGTGTAATCAAGATGGCATAGAAGACATAAAGGCATTGCAAGCTCCAGGGAAAGAGAAATGGGTGCCTGAAATGCCTGAACGGTTGGAGTTGTACCAAGGTTCCAGCCACTTGGCTCTTGGATCCCGTAAAACACTTGAAAGCCTACCAAGCATTCTCCTGGACTGTGATAGTCTACAATACAGAACAGGCAGCTTGCAAACCTTGGATTGGCCGGGGTGAGCATCCAAGAACTCCTCCTCCAGCTGCAGCACAAAGTCCGTGCGAGCGCGCTTCGCCTCGGGCTCCGGCCCAGACGGCGGCGGCGGCAGGCCTCCCGCCGACGGCGGCGGGGGCGGACCTCCCTGCCCCGGCGGTGGCGGCCGGGGGGCCCCCGGCGGAGGGAACGCCATCGGCGGCCGCGGAGGGAACGCGCCGAGCGGGGCAGGGAATGCACCCGGCGGGGGGAGACCGTAACCATAGGCGCCCGGCTGCGGCATCTGGTGCGGGTACTGCGGCATCGCCGGCGGCGGCGGCCGCATCGGCTGCGGCGCAATCTGCGCGGCAGGGAAGAAAAAAGCATGTCAGAAATGCTTGCCACACGAGGCTTGCGGTCTAGCATGCTTAGAAATTGGCCGATTCCGCTGAGCAACTTGAACAGACGCAACAATTAAACTTCATATTCTGCCAGACCAAAGGAACCTAATTCTGGAAGTCGAGAAGACAATGGCAGCAGGTAGAACCACGAAAGCCCCTTGAAAGCAGGAACATCAACATCTCTGAAAACAGCTGAAGGGTGCTATGAGCTCTGTGAAATTCATGCCTTCAACAGGAGCCTTCAACTTGACTGACCATTGGCTGAATGGCAGGACATCAAGCAGAGATGCACCTGCTGTGGTGGCGGCCGGGCGGCCGGGGGAGGCGGCAGCGGATTGGCGGCCGGCCGCGGCGGTGGCGGCAGAGCCACGGGAGGCGGCGGCAGAGAGACCGGCCCGGAGGAGGGCCCTGTAGGCAGCGGCCCCAGAATGGGCTTGGGCATGACACCGTCCGGCTCCTTCCGCTTCAAGTCCTCTGCTCTCTGCTCGGCAATCGCCCTCACCTGCGCATCGAGCAGTTAATCAATTGATGTGGTTCTTGGAGCTTCAAAACATCCATTCAGCATGCCCATTGAGGAGAACCATCTATGTCTCACCTGCTTTCTCATCATGAGAAAACAAACGGAGCGCCGCTATTTTTGCGGGATGACTGCGGCAGCTCTTGCAAGCGATCTAATACTCACTGTTGGTGTTGGTGCTTTTGACATATGCCATCAGCAAGCCCACAGAAGCGAGTGTTGCTCGGTCAATCAGCCATTTTCTGAGGCATGCCAAGGCTTGTAGTAAGAAGCAACAGAGGATGTATGATATATTGCAAAATGATTGCATGAAAAATGTCTCTGCACCTGTAACAAGGGATCTACCTAATGTGTACTGGCGACAGCTCCTCACAAAGGGAAACACAGCGTGTTCCAGCAGACTCATGTGCAGCTACTCCAGATTCCACTGCTCTGCTACATGACAATGCTAACAAAGGCTGCCAATCCTTTGTGAAGGGTAGACCACCGCAAACAACAGACATATCCGCACATCCTGCTGAACGCGAGAGAGCATGCCGGGACTGAAAACGGGCAACATGATATACGCTCGCCCCTTCTTCTCACAGCATTCTGGCAGCAAGACTAAGCTCCCCAGCTCTTCACACATAGTTGAGATGATATTCATCCGCAATAGAGAGCGGTGCCCACCTGGTTCTGCAGGTCCTGGCCGCCCATGGTGGCGCCGTCCCAAGCAACCGGCCGATCACCGCCGCTGATCTTGCTGTCCTTGATCGACGCCTCCACAATCGACGACACCTCCTCCTGCGTCGACCCTGCGCAATCAAATATGCACACCCTTACTAATTTTGATACGTGGGCCAAGCACCCACATAGGACGTACGCGCTCAGGAGGTGCTTCTTTGACACCAGCATGCCTGAAGGAAGCTGCACAGGTGGAGCTAGGAAACCATGCATCAACCCTGAAGACACCATGCATTGCCTGCATCAATGATGGGCCTCGGGCCGACACAGCACCTAGGTTTCAATGCATGCATGCATGCGGCTATCACGACGGATGAAAGCGCCCCTTTCCCAAGCCTTTGCAACTACTGACAAGGCTCCAAGGAATGCTCTCATTCCTGATGACGACGCACACATGCACGCACGTGGGGACCCCACTAAGACTCAAATCCACCTCGCCTGCTGGGCTTCTTAAAATACCCACTATTCATCTTAGAGACATCAAAACAGGTCTGCTGTGCTCAGCAGTCCACAAAGCAACGAACGCCTTTAGATGCTTAACCACAGCCGTCCAACGAACACACTTTTTGCAATAACCGTCAGGAGGCTGCAAGACAGACGCGCAAACGCACCAAAGACGTCGGGGCGCGCTTTGGCGAGGCCCATGAGGTTGCGGCCAATCTCCTCGTCGCTCGCCTTGGTGGTCTCGCGGATCTTGGCCATCATAATCGCGCGCTGCTCCTGGTAGCGCGGATCTATCAAGCTGATGCGCATGTGCTCCGCCATCTCGTCCACCGGCACCATCTCCCCGGTGATCGGCGAGACCACGTACTTGGCCGCCTCCGCCGCGCGCGACCTGTGCCGGGGGAATAGTCATCATCAGTCATGCACAAGCGGTGCGAAACGGCATGCAAGGCACTTTGCTGATGGGCGCTAGCTCCTGTCTCCTGCTCAGCCTCTTCTGGCTCTGCAGGTACGCAAGCTATGATCTCCTACAGACTTCCCTGTAGTGACTTCCCTTCTTTCCTTCCTATTCCTGTGCAGTGGATGGTAAGATATACTGCTAAAAATAAGCGCAGTATTGATCTCAGACTGCCGCCAATCCATCCTTTGCCCCCGGTGCAAGTGAGGATGTCCAATGAGGGTTGCCATGGAAGCGGTGGCAGTGTGGGACACTTCTGCGTACAGTGGCATGCTTGAGAACAAAACAAGTGCCTCTGACAGAAATGCATGAGCAGGATCTGGCTATGTTTATCCAGAGCTTTGACAAGGTCTGGCACGCTCAAACTGCATCGCAGGGCGTCATTGATTGTAAGAGAAATGTCACTGGCATCACTCAAAGCACTGTGCCGGGTGAGCCGGGTTTGTGCTAAAACTGCGCCAGGGGCTTGATCTTGCACTGTAGAACGTTCTCCTGCCAGCGCGTGTATGGCCACGGAAGGAGAGAAGAGATCAGTGCACGCGTCTAGCTCCAGATTCTATTGCAAAGAGAGGCAGCCGTCACACATTGCACGAGAAGAAGAAACCAGTGACAATGGAACAAAGGAGAGTGCTGGCTGCGCACCTGGGGTCGGGCCGCTTGTAGTCGCGCACGATGCGGATCTGCTCCGGCTCCGGCTCTGCCTCGATCTCCATCACGTCGTCGTCGGCCGCCGCCGGTGCCGGTGCCGGTGCCGGTGCCGGCCGCGCCGCGCCGTTGGCCGCCGCATTCGCCTCCGCAAGCATTGCCCTCTCTGTCTCATCCATCTGCACCTGCAGGCAACCCCCTTGAACATTCAGGCAAAGCCAGGAGGTCTTACTCTAGGACCAAGAAAAAGAAACTTTTTATAACAACTGGATGGAAAGCTTTAGAATGGTACACATGCCCTGGATCTGCCGATAGATGACAATTGCAAGCAAGCTGCTTGTGTCCCTTAACCCCACTCGTCCCCGTAACAAATGCAAGAGTGGGATAAGATCTCATGTGAATTGCTTGCAGTGACATCAAGGGACAACTTCATGCCATCCATGCATGGCCAGGACCAAGATCACAGGCACGCAACCTACAATATCAAAATACTCTAACTACATCACATCCATGACCACTGCCAAATGGGCGAGGAAGGGGAAGAGAAATATCCCACCTTCTGTTTCCCGGCCTCGCCCTCTGCTGCAGCCGCCTCCTCTTCTTCCTCATCCTCCAGCTGCTGCGCTTTGTTCAGGAGGACGACGTCGCGCTGACTCATCGGCGGCGGCAGCTCAGCGTCCTCGTCAGCGTAGAAGTCAATCGTCTCCACCACCACAAAGTCATGCCTGCAGCGAAAATTTTTCCTTCAGACACCTTTTCCATTTGAAACAGTTCAAAATTAATAGCCAAATATTAATGTCAAAGCTGTGCGACCTGCTATCCCTTCTGAATAGCAATCAAAATCATCAATCGAATCAGGCCCATCGCTATTGATGCAGACTCCACACATCCCACCACAAGCGATCCCTAGACCATGTACAGGCTTCACCATGACATCCGGAGCAAGGAATAGTCCACATCCTTCTTGGCCCGTGGGTGCATGTGGAGGCATGCACAACAGGCATGTCTCTGAAGGACATGCACCATGCTGCATTCAAAAGGTCATTGCCGTGAGAAGGGTGCAGGCTATGGTGCGCACCAGTCAACGGCCTGCATGGCTGCCCTCTCAGCCTCAATCTGCTCAGCGGCTGCCTTGTCCTGAGCCTCCTTCACCTTCTCGTACTCCAGCCTCCTCAAGCACCGCTCCAACAGCGCCGTCCTGGACATTTCAGATTTTGAACTCAAACGGGTTTTCTCATGTGAAGCCTCTCCCCCTCTTTGAGAGGCCCCACAGCCCTTTGTTGATTCGCTGATACCTGGTGCGCCAAATATAAGGGTCTTGGGGAGGAGCAGGAACTAAGCCTGGAAAATTGCCTGGAAACGGGCGGCCGTTGATTGGCTAGTGAACAAATGTCACTGGCACTGCTCAATGCACTGTGCCGGGTGAGCCGGGTTTGTGCTAATACTGCGCCAGTGGCTTGATCTTGCACTGTAGAACGTTCTCCTGCCAGCGCGTTTATGGCCACGGAAGGAGAGAAGAGATTAGTGCTCGCGTCAAACTCCATACTCCAAGCCGCATATTTCTAACAGCAACCATCCTCCCCAACATTTACATTTCACCAATGGAGTCACTCTCAAGATAAAAAGGAAGGAAATCTTATCTATCAGAATGTGTCTCCACAGTAGATTGCAGACACTCTACAACAAGACCAGAGAAGCCTCTCATGCTTGCACCCAGCAAAGAATAGTAACTGTGCAGGGACAACGCCTGATGCTGGGTGTTTCCAGATAATCCAGATCCCTGTCGGGCTCTATCTTGTGCCGCGCGAGACCAGTAGGTGGTAGGGGGCCGCACCTGTCAGTGCAGTTGCGCCGCAGCTTATCCATGACGCCTTTGGGGGGCAGCAGGACCTTCTGGTAGGCTTCGCAGAGGGCGCTGAAGTAGCCGAAGAGGGAGTGGGTGGGCTTCAGGAAGTTGAAGTGCAGGTTGCCTGCCTCCTTGGTGGCCAGCCCCGACAGGAACGCCTTCCCGTTGCGCGCCACAAACTGCGCCGTCAGCCGGATGTTGTCCAGATCGGACGCAGTCAGGCCCTCGGGTGTCGGCACCTGCGCACGCATGCAAGTCATTATTTATTAGCAATGATCCCTTTCACGCTAATCCTGCCAAATGGCGCACGCACGCAATTCATTGCATATTATTATGTTATGACCAGTTTGTGGCACAAACACATGCGTGATGTTTGATATGTATGCTAGCTGTGAGAAGGCTAAGCACCACACGTATTTGTATACCACATGTCTGTGTGCATCCTTTGCAAATTCTGACTGGTAGGATGTGAAGGCTTTTGCGTTGCCCGCGACAATATAAACCTCCACCTAGCACGAGGCGAAAGTGCTTGGATGCCCACAGCACTCTCACATATTCACGAAGTGGCAAATTGTACGCTGCCTGCTCCTCAAGCATGCAGGATGATGGCGCAGAATGACATCACGCTGCCTCTTACAAGAGGGTACAGATGGCTCACCGAGTACTGGTCCGGCTCTGGAGGCTCCAGCGGCTTTGCAGCCGCAGTGGACACGATCGCAGCCGGCTGCTGTGCTGCGGCGGCCAGCGCATCCGCCTGTTGCTGCTGCTGCGCTGCACTCGCCGGCGCTCCATCCGCCCCTACAGACTTCTGAGCCTCTGTGACCTGTGCATGCCGGACAAAGTTCTGCTTATCTCCTTGCTTCCGACGCCCTCTGAACATTTTTTTTTAATGTTTGTCAAAGAACAGACATACGCAACAATACTAGGAGAAAAGACAAGTGCATGAGAGACATTGGGGGAGTCACAGTGGGTCCGACCAAATTGCCAGGCACAACTGGTTGCAAGGTTTATGGTGGGATGAGGACAATCACCCTGAAGCGGTAGTAAGCATGGTAGGGATCGGTGGACCGCAGGAAGTTGAACTTGACGTTATTGGCCTCATTGGCAAGGATCTTCTTCTCAAAGGTAAGACCTGCACAAGTTGGCCAGTGCCCACTCTATCATGACCTAGCTGAGGTGCTGATGAACGGTGCTGCTTTTTTTAATTAGCCTACAATCATGCATGCTACATACAAGATGTCGCGTAAGATGTCAGTGGCAGAAAATGCTTTCAAAGTAATTTGTGAATCCCATCCAGGTGCTCACAAGAAGTACAAAGGCGTATGAGAAGGCCAAAGCTTTTGTTCTATATATTTTAAAAAAGTCCAGAAAGTTCTTGATATTAATTTAGAAAGTGTGCTCACCATTTCTGCCAACAAAGTCTGCTGTCTTGTCCACAATCGCTCGGATGTCTGGGGGAGGATGGATGAGACCGATCGCCCGTGTCTGCGTGTCCACTGACTTGACTGCGCTGAGATTAGGCGTGGGCAGTACTGTCCTTGCCTCACCAACTGCCACGATCGCTCCATTCCCCACACTCAGGTCTTGCAGCTGCTGCTCAGCCTGCGCGACGCCCGCCCCACCGTTCTCTACCATGCCGCCGGAAGGCTACGCAAGGCCTTCGCCAGAATTTCTTATGAACTCATGCAGCCACAGCCGAACACCTCCAGGACAAGAGATGTTTCTAGATGCGCAGCCAGCAAAATATCAGGACTGATAGCTGCCCTTATCTTTTGTCAGACTTATTCAGTGAGTTTTACAGACGCGATGAAAAAGATAAAGTGTAATGTATGTTTGCGATGGAATGAAATGAATGATATCTTCGATCAGTGCCACACAGCCAGTCTGCAGGGAGGGCAGGCTATGATCCCGATGCACCAGACATTTCCCCAACTTACTTTCAGAATCAACGCAAAACACCACCTTTAATCTTGCTTGTTCCTATCGTAGTGTCTTTATAAGTGGTTTTGCAGTGCAGAAGGCCACTAGTACCCTGGGCTTTGACTGTACCTGTCGATCCCACCAGCAATAAAGATTCTTCTAAAATCCTCATCAAGAGCATAAGGTGCATGCCAGACTCTTTCAAACTTGTGTATCAGTTCCGATTCCAGTCTTTAGTGCTAGCATTGGGGCGAAATATCCCTAGCCTGCAGTCTTCGTAGGTTAGATCAGATCAAAAGTTGATGGGATCTCTGCTAAGACGTCTTGGGGCGAGCATAACCCGTCTAATAAGTTCCAGAGAGCTCGTTGGACGCGACATCCACGGGAACAAGTACTACAGGTGCTTTGCTGGCACCGTTATTCCGAACTGGGGTAGAAACTCTACAGTCCTCCTGGGCTGCGGGCTCCTGGGCGCCTGACAAACTGCCTGCACAAAGTCCAGGGTCCTGATATGCCATGCAAAAAAAGCATACGCGATTATCTGCTATGCATGCATGCAGGTGGCCTGACACAAACTTGCATGGCGAGCCGATTGAGAAGCGGATCATAAAGACGCCAGACGGCCGCTATGATCCGATCCTGGTGCCGCCAGAGTGGGTGCAGTGGCTGAAGCAGACGCGCGGCGAGCCGCCTTCCCCAGAGGAGATCCTCCAGTGAGGCCCTGTCCATGTTTTCTTCAATTAAATTGCCACTGAAAGGGCATATGTGGTAGCAATATTGTTCCCCAAAGGCATCATTAGGACACAGCGTGCCAATCGCTCGACCTATGTCTGTAGAGGAGGAAGTAGGCATCACGCGCGCAGGAGCCTGTCGATGCTTACCTACTCCTTGGTCATAGGCTTTGCAGCAAACAAATACACAGTAGTGTCAGCCACACAAGAATGAGATACTTTGCTCCTTCACACCAGGATGGAGGCAAAGCGGCAGGCCATAAGGGGCAGAGCAGCTGCGCTGGATGCGGCGGAGGCGCAGCGCAGGTTCCAGGAAGCTACGCTGGGGCAGCAGGCGGAGCAGGCGGGGGGACCCAACCAGGACCGCTTTGTGCAGCAGCTCACCGGACGGGTGCGACTGCACGCAAGTTCTTACTGATCTGATGACATGCTTTTCCTGCCAAGAAGCAGGATGCAGCCGCAGACAAAGTGCAGTGAAGGGCTGCCAACATGATGCACTCGCCAGATCCAGGCAAGACCCAATCAACCGTGGGCACGGTACTTAGCATATAAACCCCCGGCAGCCGGGGCAAATCATTGCTTACACTTTACAAAAGAACAATGCATTGATGTGTACACAATGCAGATCATCAAGGCCAGTGTCAATGAAACCTTGTGTTCTCCTTTTGCTGCAATTGCTTGTGGATTGGCTTTTGGCGTCAGCGTATCAAGCACATTGCGCAAGCTTGCATGCTGGAGTTGAGTGCTTGAGGGAGCACTCGAGAGAGTTTTTCAGTGTTTCTGTGCTTACTGTGTGGGCGGTGAAGCATGCAGGTGAAGATTCTTCGCTTTTACAGCTGCCGCAAAGGAATCATTAAGAGGCTGCACGAAAGGAGGGTTCTGGGAAAGAACACCCACGGTGTGATGGTATTCGTGCAGGGGTATGCGGCCGAGGATGGAGCAGGAGTGTCTCAGCGGCGCAGTTCCCAAAGCAGCAGCGATCCACCTCCAGATGGACAAAGACCCCAAAGACCAACCGATGGAGGCAAGGACAACTTTCAGGCTGATGTGTGGAAGCCAGGGGGCTGACAGGCACTGGCTTTCTGGGCCACGAAAGGTGTTCCTTGTGTTCCGGCCAATTCATAGTTTTGTCAATTTCCTAAGGCAGAATTCTTCCTCAGCTACAATTGTAAGATTACTCAGGCTGGACAGAGTTGTAGGGTTACTCAGACGTCTGGACAGTCATGACGCATCGATAATGACGACGCTTGGACACTCCTGGACTGAGATGTGCAATCGCGGGAGCTGAGGGTTGCAAAATTGCTATTTGATGCGTCGAACAGGCGCCCAGGCCACATCATGCATGATGCTGCTGCGGATACAATAGCTAGATCTGGTCTAGATCGGTGCCTGGACGCAAACGGTGTCAATAGCAGGTGATCTTGGCTGGCAACACGTGTAACTGTGAATCGTCATACAGCAACAGAGAAGCACTGCACAGGTTAACATTGCTGTGGAGTTGCTGGGGAAAGAGCTGCATGCATGGAAGCCACAAAGATTACCAAAAGTGCCTGCCCTCAATTGCCAGGTCATGGTGATTTGGGGGTCAGCTGATTCATCTAGCTCCTGAAATGTACTGGTTTGACAGAAATGTGCTTCTGAGAGAGGCAGTGGGTGTTTTGTGAAAGTGATCTGCCACAAGACGCTTGCTTTGATCACCGGACCCTTGCCTTTGAACCGTAAGTAGAGAGCAGGCATTGGGAGACGGTTGAACGTTTCTAGGAGGCCTCGTACACCGCACGCCTGCTCTTTAGAGTATTTCAGAGACGAGCAATGGGTTCGACTGAGGCAATGGAGGACTACGAGTTTATCGACAAGGGGGAACTGGAGGAAGCTAGCCCACCCAAGCCAGCCGAAATGGCTTCGTCAGCTGCCTCCAGCGCCTCCATCTTCCATGATCGGCTTACGCACCTCCAGAACATAAACACCGAGGAGGACGATGACGATACGGATGTCGAAGTGTCTAGTCCTTTGGCGAGTGGAGAAACTTGTGACGAGCATGGCCTGCAGGTAGGGCTTTCCTTTTCCGAGAGCTTTATCGGTGAGCAGTGTCATTTGACAGGCCATGAAAGACCTCAGACTCGACTAGGAGACACTAGAGGAGCTTGCAATAGATCCTTTTGCATCAATTCAGGTCTCGACTCTGTGAGCTTGCCCAAATTGAGTAGGGTTCTTTCCTTGGGGCCCTTTTCTGCATCTTTCAAAGTGATCTGGCCGTTTCATGAGGATAACAGTCTTTAAAAGTAACATTACTGACGGGCTCGAGCAGCTGTTGAAGTACCTCTGGCCTGGGAACAGCTGTTACTGTACTGCATATGCTTCCAAGGACATTGCTTCACATATCCAAGGCATAGCTGCTGAAGCATTCGGCTGGAATTATACAATTACTATCCACAACAAAAAAGCTGTTGCCTCATCGAGTCGCTGGGCTTTGCAGGAGGAGGAGCATGAAGCTGACCTGTGCATCCTCAGCGTGCACCAGCTGGCAGTCATCACCAACCTGATTGGAGAGATGGTGTGGCTCTACTTGTCCCTTGCCCTCATACGTGCTCACGCTGTCAGACTCATAATGCTAAGATGGCTTTATCATGCGTTGCCATGCATGTATGGAGCTGTTTTAATAACATAGTGCGTCATTCACTGTCAACCTGCTCATAATCTGAGTACCTGTCCAGGTGAAGAGATCCAAGGCAGGGCTTGATGCAGCAGCCAAGAGCCTCAAGGACCCTCAGGTGCGCTTCAACACCATTCAGGCAGTCTCTTCACCCTTAGGTTACCCCAATTTGACTTGCAGCCTTTGGGAGGCTTCACCTGCCTGACATCTGTCACCTGCAGGCGTGCATGCCTGATCCCCCAAAATAGCCTCCTCCTTGTCTCATTCCAGGCCCCTCCATGGCGCGCACTATCTGCCGCATGCGAGAAATTTAGCACGCATGGCGGTGATATGCATGCATGGCGGATCATTCACCTCGCTTTTGCTTTCCAACCACCCGGAAGCATGCCATCTTGTCATCCACTGGACCCGGGCGACAGCTTGACCTGCTGCGCATGAAGGCACCTTTTAGATAAGGCAGGCCGCACATCTTGATTTTAAACATGTGAATGCAGGTTGAGAGGCACCTGCGCGCGCACAGTGCATCTTTCCTGGCGGCCTGCGCGACGCTGCTGCTGTCCCTGCTGCTGGTGCACCGCGGCAATCAGCGCGCCATTTCTGGTGTCCCCAGCACCTCCTCTCAGGTGTGCCATCTCGACCTTTCATCAACACTATCTTGATTGAAACGTGCCTGAGAACAGCAGGGAGCTGATTTATGTCCACTTGGCAAGGTGGCACCATCAGAAGGCTTTGCGCTTTTGCTGCCCAGCCTGTGCCCTGTGAACATAGGTCAAGCGAGTGGTGCTGCACACCCCATCATGTTCACGGTGATCATTGGCTGACGTCTGGATATGACATGTGACTTAGGTGAGCCTGGCCACGTGGCTTGGAGCATGACTAAGAGTGAATGTCATCCGTGGCTTGAGTGAGCCTTGCCAAGTGGCTGGGAGCGTGACTGAGCATGGGTAATATTTGTGGCTCAGGTGAGCCTGGCCAAGTTTGGCGCCGGCTGCGCGCCGCTGCCGGCCGCGGTGCTGGGCACGGTGCACAACTTCACGGCGGCGCAGCGGCTGCTGGCGGAGGGCACGCCGTCGGACGCCGGCATCGTGCTGGCCGCCTACGCCGCGCATGCCACCGAGCAGTTCGAGACGGCCAAGCGCGCCTACAAGAAGGCGAGCTTCCTGATTCTCAGATTCTCACCTGTTTGAATCTACTGGCATTGACTCGCTGCAAAGGCTGCAAGGTTGCCGTTTTTTGCACCTTTTGAACCGTCTGCTGGCAGGTGATGGGCCGTTTGTGCGGAGGTACAAGCATGGCAACCTTTGCAGTGAGAGCATTTTAACCTGGCGCTTTTCACAGCGTGCAGTTGACTTCTAGTTCAAGCAATCCGAGCTGTGACATTCTTCATCCTGTCTGGTGGGAGGTTTATGTTCTGCGCCACAGTAGACTGGACATGGTGTGCAGGGGATGGTGCAGCAGAACGCGCACGGCCATAGGGCCAAAGCGACGCTGAAAGCGGCGCAGAAGGAGCTGAAGCAGAGCGCCAAGTGGGCCGGCCGCAAGCTGCATGCGCTCGCCAAGATGCACCGGCGCTTCGTCGCGCGCATGCAGGACGCCCTCCACCTGGACAGGTGGGTTGTTGCATCTGGTGTGGGCTGGCAAGATTCCATTCAGGCATTAGGAAGATGGCAGAAGTGATGCTGTGTATGAGGCGTGGCAGTGCAGAAATTGTGTTTCTTGAGCCCTTGTTCTCCAGAGCAGGCCAAGTCGCAGTGCTTGCGGCTTGCTCTGCTTCATGCCAACAAGGTCTCAAGAAGTATGACAGCCAGTGGAACCTTTTCCTCACTGACCTGCAAAGAACGATGATGAAGTGAAACTACTTAGCATTGCAAGGGACCTGTTGCGATGGGCAAGATTTCACGGCATTTGACATCAGCTATCCAAGGTCCCTGTCATGCTCTTTGTGGTCAACCTCTACAGAAGTAGCATGAGCTGCTGCCACTGTTGCTCCCACTGTTCTTGTCGAGTTTGACTACAAGAGTCATGCGAGCTTGGAGGAGCACCCGACGCACTTCCAATTATAGTGACTAGCGCACCAGCAATACACTAAGGAAGCAGCGGCTGTAGCAAAGGGGCTGAGACAGAGGGACGTCGCGCAGGGAAGCCACGGAGCAGCTGGCGCGGCAGCTGCCGGAGCTGATCCGCTCCCTCGACGGCAGCGGCGCACGCTCGCGCGCGCACCACCGGCTGCGGCTGCTGCAGCGCGGCGCGGCACGGCCAGCAGCTGACGCGGCGGCTGACGCAGCCGCCTCGTACGAGGCCGCTGCGCGCGGCGTTGCCTCCGCGGCCGCCATCCTGGAAGCGCACTGGCGCCGGCTGCCGCCTGCAGTGCAGGCTGTGGCGGAGAGCGAGCTGGCTGCCTGGACAGGTGAGCTGCATTTCTGGCGCTGCTCAATGCATCGATTGCCCTGCTGACTGCTGTGCGTGTCTTGCCAGACAGCTAGCGCGAGTCTGCAATGCAGATTATGCAAGGTGCGTTCTGGTGTTCCCTTCTTCTTCGTTGCTGTGCTCTGACCTCCCTTCTGTGGGCGGTGTGTTCATCCTAGTCTCTCTTGGCACACCTGTCTTAGAAGAGGACGTCGTGAACCAAAGTGAAGGTTCACGCAGGCTCATGGGAGGCACTGGCAGAAGCGATCTGTGTGGCAGAGCTTGACACGCGCTCGGACGCAGCGCCCCTGGCTGCGGCAGAGGGGTGCCCCAACCGCGCCATGAGCGCGCTGGCCGCCCGGCTGACAGCTTCCGTCAACTTCCGCCGCCGCCTCTTCCACCTGGCATCCACCGCGCAGCTGCCCGAGGAAACCCTGGGTGCGTGCTGCCTGCCCAACTCTCACCCCTGCATTACATTGGGGACGGAGGTGTTCTGTCCTGAGACCGCAGGATCATTCTTTGAGGCGATGGGACAAATTGCCGGGGATGCGGACTGTGCGCTCGAGAGAGCAATTTGCCGAGGCGCTCCTGTGCCCTCCGCAGACTGGAGCTTGGCCGCTAATTGTCCAGATTGCATACAGTATGCGCAAGATCAGCGCCATGCTCACATCTTCTGTTGTCTCATCAGTCCTTTATGTGACTGCGGTTGCTGCTGATGGGGTCAATCACATGCCGTGTTGTAGGACACGCAGCCACAAATGGGTCAAGGAACAAGTATGCGAACAGTGAGATAATATTTATGACAGAATGTCATCTCTGTGGTCGCGGGTTTGTTTCCGGATCAGGACAGCCGGTTACAGACAACTGTATGGAAACCGCCATCTACAAACCTCTAAAGTGTGCTGACAAGGGATATTGTTCATGCAGAGCACTACACTGTGGCGTGCGAGAGGGGTGGCGGGATGGCGATCATGCTGCAGCGCGTACATGCTGAGCTGGCCGGCATCACCGGGGACGGCCGCGCCGCCGCCGCCGCCTGATGTGATTGCCTGATGAGGACTAATTTGCCAGGCAGCGCATCGCACAGAGGCTGCTCTAACAAGCTGGGATAGCGGGTGACATGTAAATGGGTTGCAGCCATTTGTCTCCTGGCTGGCGAGCAGTGGCTTGTGCAGCACACTCGGCTGATGGGCAGTCCCTGGAGCCTTATGACCAGGCAGCTGTCCCAAAGAAATTGGGCGGGAAGTCATAATGACAGATTGTGGGAGCCAGCTGGTAGGCTGCTATTGGAGGCATGCATGTACAAGATGAGGCACAGTTGAAGCTTACTGTTGTGATTTCCCTGACCCCAATAGGAGCAAAGGGCCCAGGCCATTGCCTGTACTTCCCGAAATTCTTTTGGCAGATCGCCCATATCAGATGTATGGTATCCCCTTTTGATGTCTTCCACAACTGTATAATGGAGATGAGTTGTGCTGGTTACCAAAAGTGTGTTTCAGAGGCCATGACATTATAAGTGTACCTTCATGTATATACCATTTTCAATGCAACGGTACCATTAGAATTTTGTGTTGCATTGATGGGCTGCAGCTGCAGACCCATATGGGTGACAATGGAGCATCTGTGCCAAAAGCATAATGAATGCCAAGATTCGAAGCCCTTAACCAAAGGGTGAACAGTACAAAGATAGATTTTGGGTGGCTTGCCAGTCTGCAACCCAGTGCTAATCTGGGTTGTCAGATAGAAAGTGGGATGCCTGACGTTTCCAGGGATGTACAATTCTTCAATTCAAGAAGTTGATGTGACCTCGAGGTGATGTGAGCTCATTGTGTGTTGCAAATGTACCAGCAAATGTAACAATCCATGTAGGGATCTCTTACCAAAAGGCGCAACACTAATGGAACGAGCCCTAACACACAGCACTGCAAACTGTTTGAGCAGCAAAGATCCATGGTCAAAGACTACTTAGACCAGGGCCCTCGCTGCCACTGCATGTTGCAAGCTGCTACACTGGTATCTCTCCCATAGAACCGCAATGCAAGGCTCACATATTGTACATGGCAACGGCATTATACACTGGCACAGACAGCACCGCCTGCGCTCGATATTGTATTGCTCGGCATAAGAATTATTGTTCATATGATGCCCCCACCAACAATACGTCCTTCAGGCCGACTCACTCTCACACACACATTCTCAAAGTATCAGCCCGCTGCGCTGTGGCCCACTCACAGAAATACATGCACATGCACTCTCCGAGCGCTCGTTAATCATCCACAGTGGTGTACTCCACGTCGATGACTGGACCGTCACTTTTGCCGCCGGCCGATGCAGCGCGCCCGGCACGCGGCGTTCCCTGCTGCTGGGTCTGCGCGCGGTTAAACGCCCCAAAGAAGGGGTTCTGCGCCGCCCGCTGCTGCGCCTGCTGCCGCGCCGCCATTTCCTCCGCTGCCTGCAAGTACAGAAACACGACTCAAATCCAGAGCTTTGAGTGGCTTTGTAGCTGATCAGGCCAGACGTGCTGAGTGCAGCGCACACCTTGTAAGGCTGTGTGATCCCTCCTTCCTGCCTTGGCAGAGCATGCAGCACAATCGTCTTGTGGCACACAACAATCAACACTAGCTCTGGCATCATGTGAATGCACATGCATCCCGGCCCAATATTACTAGCATGCAGCGCAGGGGACACAGTGGCGCCAAAACAAAGTCTGGCATGCAAAAGTGGACAGGAGAAGGTTGTTGTTACCTTCTTGTTTATGTGGTTTATGGCCGGCAGCACGAAGAGCGGCGCGACCCACCACAGAATGAAGACCAGGTTGAGCAGGCGCCAAACCAGGCCGCTGTAGCACAGGAAGAAGAAGGCTGCGAAGAAGACCACCTGGCCCAATGTGGTCTTGGAAAACTTGGCATACTGCCTCTTCCACTGCAGAAACCACTCCAACACAGTCAGCTGCTTGCCTCTCAATCATGATCATAAGATTCATCAGCAGTGGGGCTTCGATGTGCAGAGAGAAAGTATCTCAACACGCAAGCCATTGTTACTAGAATTGGTGGCTGCGCCAGAGGAGGGATTGCACTTGTTTGCAGAGACAAGAACCCTTCAGGAGGCATGTGAAAATTTCTTGGCAGGAAGGTGCCACATGAGCAGTAATGAATGACAGACATCAGCTCTGTGCCAGTGCATGCCAAAGGCCTTACCATGGGCAGCTTTCTGATGGCATCATCTGCCAGGTTGCGCAACTTCCTCTTGACCCCAAACTTCTGATCCACTGCTCCTGCCTGCTCCTTCACCCTGCAGGGCAGCAGAAGGCCGCATTAAGAGGAGTAGCAAGGAAGTTGACATGCAAAGTACTGTGACCATCCAGCATGTGCCTGTGCTGGTGTATCAGGTACCTGGGTGTTGCTCTGCACTACAGAAACCTGCAAGCACAATGGCAAACAAAGTGGCACGATCAGCATGCAGTGGCAAGGACCTCACTCTTGCGTAGCTTTCGCAGCTTTGCCCGACACGTCGAATTTGCTATCTACACCCTCGGCCGCTCTTCTGACATTGTCCCCAACCACCTCTGCTGTCCTTTTCAACCTGTCAGGACAAGCGCTCGTCAGGAAAACTTCTCCTTGAGGCAAACAGTGATAATTTGGCCTATCAGAACAATCCAATGCAAAACATTTTATCAGATGCATGCACGTATGCAGCTAGGAACCTCGAGCACGGTCAGACCAAAGGCTGGCAGGTTCCCACTAGCAGGCAGGGACCAGCCAGCCTATGCATGCCTTTGCGAACTTACGTCTTACTTGCCACTCTGCCAAACTCGTATGCCTTGCGATTGAGTTCTTCCCTTCCGCTGTCCTTGTTGCTGCTGCTGTTGCTGCTTGTTGCAGCTTGGCACGACAGCAGCCGATCCTTGTGCAGCAACACATGCGCACTGCTCTGATGAAGGCTTCGGCCTCGCAATGTCGATCTAGACGTCAGGCTTGGACAAGCATGTGCTGGTCTCAGCTGTGCGCGCAATATCGTCTCCATCTCGGTACTGAGTTGTGAACTGCAGCGTCTCCGAACCCAAAAAAATTAGAGGCACTCTCTCAAAGGCTTACAAGGATTTGATCTGTGCGATATTTGAGCAGAATTATGCATCTGTCGAGCTTGGCTTCCCAATGACTACACCTGAAGCCCTCCAGGGCAGACCCCTTTAAAGGGAGATCAGCTGAGTGCAGTACGGTCCAGAACCGATGAGCCTGCGAATTCGGAAGCGGACAGCTGCAGACAACCCAGAATGCAAGGCCCTGAGCGCGCAATCACGCCATCTTAACATGCTGTACTACTAGTTGTGCTGGGCCAGCTCCAAGGAGGCAGGCTTACGCCGTGCCACCTGAAGGTGGGCAACCCTCCCATTGCAGGTTCCACTTCTCTGAACCCCATGCCTGCCAACGTCGCCAGCAACGATCCACATCTGATGCAAGCAAATGCCTTCGCAACCCTGCGTCTTGCCATGAGTGACACTGATCCATTATGTGTGTAGGTCACCCGACCGGCAAAGTTGGGTTTGTGTCCCGCCTGAAAGCGTGCGGTGCTGTGTCAAACGCAGACAGCGTCAGCAGGGTTTGGTGGTATGTTTTCGATTGTGCGGACAGGGTCGGGAGGCATGAAAGGGGCAGCTCACTTGCTGGACAACTTACCAGATAGTGCCCTTTACGAGTCGCCCGATGCCGGGCCGGTCCAATTCCACCCCATGTCAGTGCATCAGCACAAGGAGAACATTCCAGATGCATCTGAGAACGGGGTGGGGCAGGTGCGCACTTTTTAACTTTCAGCAGCCAGGATCCCTTTTAGTTCATCAGCCCACTTTCACCAAGCTCTTCTGGTATCCAGGTGACCCAACCCATCTCGTGAACCTAAAACGATTCGAATCAATTCTATGGTGCTCTGCAGGCACCAGAAGTCTTCGTCCTGCCAAATCCTCCCCCCAACCCCAGCGTGCTCAGGAAGTCCTGCCAGCTGTGGCAGCATCTGCGCTCCTCTGCGCAGAAGGGCTTCGTGAATGTGCCAGAGAGCTTGCTCAGGTGCCTACCTGCTCTGTGCTTTCCAATGTGGTCATCAGAACAACTCCACGCTTTCATCTTCCCAAGTTTCTTACACAGATCTTCTCAAGCTGATTGCACTTTGGGGGCAGTTTGGCGCCATGGTGCACAGCGGGCCGTTGCATCTTGTCACCCATCGCAAGCCAATCAGCAAGCCAATGCATGTGAGTGTATTGGTTGATCTGCTGATGTGACAGGTGTGATGTGCTGCGCTGATAAGCTGCATGTTGTGCACAACCAGGTCAAACTTCAAGAATACGGCGGACACCAGCAAAGCACTGCGGAAGATGGTTGAAGACGGCCTGGTGCAGCGGTCAGGGCAAGGCGGCAAGGGCAGCCCATTCCTGTACAGGGTGAACACTCTGCAGATCTTCCATGGCGTTCACTGTACATGGGGATTGCACATTACTGTGGTTGTGGCCTGATCTGACTGGCCACAGGCTGTCAGAATTTGCTGCAAGTCTGAGTACCATGCAGGCTATCAAATGGGTGTATCACTCACACATGCAAGTGGAGACTGCAGTAACACGCAGCCGCAAATGCGACATGATATCACCTCAAGAGGGTGTGCAAGCAGTGGGGAAGGACATGTGAGGACTGTCAGCAGGACTATAGAAAGGCTGCCAAGCACTGCTGCTCCATGCCCTACTTTGTGGGACCCTGTTGTGGATTTACAGCTGCACGCAGATCACTAGTCGCTCCAGCAGGAATGATGATTGATCGGGTTGTGCCCTGCAGGTGACGGCAGCGTCGCTGGTGTCAGAAGACCACTATGCGTGCAAGCCCGTGGAGCGCCGCTACAACAAGAAGCCAACCCCGGCCGCCCGGCAAGCGACGCCGCAGCTGCCGGCAGCTGCCGCGCCGTACAGCGGCGCGCCCTCCTCCTCCATCAGCCCCCCGGCGCGCGGCCCCGAGCAGGCCGCAGCAGCAGCGGCAGCACACATCGCAGAGCCGGAATCCGGACCTGATGTGGCGCCAATGGATCTGCCGGTCGTCCGGCGCAAGCCGCGCACGGCACGCCTGCGCACGCCTCGCCAGATCACACCGCCGGAGGACGGCAGCTGGTTTGTTTGACATCGCAGGGCTGCAGCTTCTGCCTGGCTGCCTCGCAGAGCCATGCGTGCCAGCAACAAAGACTGACGCGCATTTGCGACTTCTGCCTGGCTCCCAGCAGCTCCCAGCAAGAAGCAGCTGCCGCTTTTGGCTGGGACCTAACAGAGGTTTGTTTGAGGGGTCTGGCAGCACAAGACTGAAAGCTGCCAAAATGAAGCTTCAGTGTCCGATAATCACTTGGTGGACCAATGCGATTAAATTCTAGGGCAGAAAATTTCAGTAGATCTGCTAATCTGCAGGTACTTTTCATAAAGTGATGGCAAGAGGGGAGCAAGTTTTGGTTTGGACGCTGGAAAGTCAGCTCATAATTTTTGTGGTTTGTTCGTCTGCAGACTGTTCTGGCCATTTTTTGGGTTTTGGAGATGCATGCTGCAAAAGCATGCGTTTCGTGTCACCGTAACTCTGTCCAAGAAAGTGTTATGCATTTGTTTCTTGATGCGACATTTGTACTTCTGCATTACCCACCCAAGTATCATTAGGACGCTGTCTGTAGCAGCACATTCTGCAGGATCTGCAGTGTCTCTGTGAAGAACTGCAAAGCTGTGGGTAACGCAAAGCTGGGGATATACTTCGTAGAGTACTGTCTCACTTGCTGCTTTAGTGTCTGTCAAGTGCATGCATTATCAGATTTTAGGTGTCCCCCTCAAGATCGTCAGTGTAGGCAGTGCAGGATGCTGTTTGACTGGCGCCCATATGGACAATAGGAGCACAGCAGAAATCATGGCTGCTCTCGATTTCACTTATAGGATTGGGGCGCTCAGCAGACATGCATCGGAAGGTTACTGTAGGTACTCGACTATTTGTTTGCTGTACTGTAGGTCTGTGGCAGAGTACCATCGGCACTTATATGTTTGTATTATAATTGATAACTGCCACTGCTGAGTAGGTTTGATAGCTCCCTTGAGGCTATTCTATTCCTACTCGGCGTGTGTAAAAATGCAGCACGACAACCTTTTATCTGCGCCTCATTCCCTGCTGGTAAACATGATGCTGTGGGTGGGTTCTTGTAAAGGGTGTGCCTTATATGGACTGCGCTCAAGCGAATGCTGATCTATGCACTGGCTCTGCTGAGTCACTGTCATTCTGTCCTCAGCTTGTCACAGAAAACCTTGCCATGCCAACAGCTACATAGCACCTGCCCAGGGGAATTACGCTGCGCTGAAACACATTACACTCAATTAGGATTTTACCTTGAATTTGACCATTCGAAGCGCTTTGGGGATTGCATAGGATGCACCATATCTGCACATGACCTGTACAGGATGACGTGGCATGCCATGCGCATCTCAATCCACTCAAAACGTGTGTTCTCTCTGCTGCTGCTCAGTAAAGAAACCCATTGCTGACCCACAAAAGCAATCATCTTCTGCTGTCTGTTAAGGACTTTCACAGCAACAGGCAGGGTTCCCTGGGGGACTGACACCCATTATTTCAACAGACATACATGCACTGTGAAATCTTCCAGCCGTGTTGTGCACTTAAACAATCCGTGACCTTTGCGGAATGCTGGATTTTTTGCAATCTTGAGGAAGGCTGTGCTCCCTCTGATGTGCTGATGAATTGCTCAAGGCAATCAAAGCACATTGTCCCATGCACTTTGCCACAGAAAAAGGTGGCCACAAATGTGCTTTAGCACTAGCCACATGCGCAGCCGTCAAACAAACCCATCAAGTCTGCCCATCCGGCTTTATGTACCACAGCGCTTCCCCAACACACGCGTGCCTATTCATTCCTCTTTCCTTTGGCATCACTGATGACATCACTGATGCTGCATCAGTAGTATTTCTTGCGGGCCACTACTTTGGTGATACGCCTGAGAAGCTGCAGGTTCAGCTTGTCAAAATCCTCCAGAGCATCCATGTCGCTGAGCCTCTCTGCGATGCTTTGCACAGCCTTCTCCTCGGACTTTTCCAGATGATACTGATGAGCAAACAGCGCCAACTTCAGAATCTCCTTATTGCTGTCCTGCGTCCATTCGCACACCACTTATATGAATGTAAACTCAAGAAGGTCTTTTCATGCCACGTCACCTGCACAGATGTTGTGGAGCACGCAACCCGCAGATGCTTACATTTTGTCTACAAGTGCAATACCATGTCCTTGAACGCCAGCAAAATTGGATGTGTGTGTGCACATTGCATGCTTCAGGCATGCAAGAAGCACAGCAGGGTCTTGGGCCAAGGAGCATGACGGGAGAGCACAGCTTGTGAAGTCATGCAATTAATGAAAGTTTAAGAAAAATGTTGTCCACTTCAACTTACATCAGGTGCAGCCTAACATTCCCAATTTAGTCATTGAACCATACAAGAATTTGAACTTATTGAGTGTCATTACCTGTGAGTTGTCAGCATAGCCAGCATGGATCAATTTGTATACACTCTTCGCTGGCACTGATCGTCCTGAGCCAGGAGAGTTGAGAACGGGTAGCTGCGCCAGGAATCCGTCACACTGCTGCAGTACGACCCCCATATCAAACTTGTGGGCCAGCTTGACAATGTACTTTGCGCTGTCACTGGTCAGCTGCGCATCCTTGCGATACAGGTAGCACAGGAAGGTCTTCGCCTCCTGCAGGCTGCAGTCCGGCAGGGGGATCTTGACGGGCAGCTTGTCCTTTGCTGTGCTGGTGAGTTGCTCCTCCAGCATACCAGAGAAGACGCTAGAATTGGCTGACAGATACAATGCGTGCGCTGGGAGCTCCTCTTTGGTGTCGAGCACGAGCAGGACGTCGGTCTGGTCCTTAAACAGAGAGGTAGATCCCTTCAGGTGAGGCACATTTTCCGTCGAAATAACGTCCTTTACTAGGCCTCTTACCGCAGCGATGGTATTCGCCATACTGATCCTGCGAACGTACGAACTGTTACAAGACAAGAACCACTGAGTTTCTTGAGAATGTAATGCATACTTCAGGAAACATGTCGTTCTGCAAATTTCTCCTAGGTTGGGCGGTAAGTACCTCGCTTGCTTGTGCTGACGATCTCACCACTGCAGGGACAATATGTCCGCTAATCTGCACAGATAACCAACGTATATTACATTACGAGATTTGCAGGTGCTCGACGGCCGTGAGTGTGCACTTTGGGGCAGGCAAGGCAAGAGTAAGATCTCGGATCGTTCTTGGATTTTGCATGAGGCCCAGATGAGGAATGCCTATATAGGACGTGAGGAGGAACGCCTCAATGGAGCTGACAAGCTTAGGGGCATTTCTAAGGAATCAAGAGTTGGATTAAGTTACGAGAGAATAAAGACATCAAGAGGTGGGTTTCATGCACTGCACACCCATGGACCAAATGGCATCTCAGCTAGAAGTCGAGCCTTTCATGCACGTCTCTGCCACCCGCACTCAAAAGAAGTCACAGATGCCAGCTACAACATGATTTGGCCAGATGATTCTTTCACTACATATGTCACATCCACAGTGGGCTAGATGCATGAATCCAGTAGTCACAGTACCTTGCATTGCTGCCAGGCAGTGCCATCTGCTGCCAGCGGTGTATTCCAACGCCTCCTTTCTTCAAGTAACAACAAGCACACTACATGTATACTATATGTGCAAAGAGGCACATCACATGCTCTTACGTCATCAATAGGCTATCCCTCTTCTATCAAGCATGGCCATAGGCAGTGCTTGCCAGCACTAGCCATGACAAAAAGTTGTAGTGCTGCTCTGGTACCATCGCCCAGACCAGTAAAATACAGGCAGTGCATGGTACTTTCTTTGTCTGCGTGTTTAATTCGACTGCCTTGCACTGTTTCAAGCCCGCTCTGCTTTGTTTCTCATTTGTCAAGAAAAATGCCACAGGTACTGTTGCACTGCACACCGCAAGGAGCAACAAGCAATCGCAGCTTAAGCGTCTTGGAGGCCACATGGGGCGCCCAGACTCTGTCATGCAATTCTCAACTACTGGCGACATTGCTCGACCGATGCAGATCTTCTTTTTCAGAAGACATCTGTGCACCCACGTTCCACAGATGCTGCAGTTCCATTGTTTCAAGTTCATTGTTTCACGCTACTACTTGACCATTCCTTGCCCTGCATCCCAGAGATGGACAGCTATCATTTACCAGACAGAGACAGAGGATGAGGATAACTTGGGGGCCTGGGAAACAAGCCCTTTGGGGGCCGCATGGGGCGGCCAGGCTGGGACATCTCTTGGGCCAGGCCGTGGGTAATTCGGCGCAGCACCCCCTGGCCCAGCTCATTAAACCCCTCCTGGCGCTCCGCCTCGACAAAGTTCTGCACGATGTGATGCACAGCCTCAGCCTCCAGCAGGGGCAGGTGGTACTGCTGCGCAAAGAGCGCCCACTCCAGCGCATCTCTGCCGCAGTCCTGCACAAGGCAGGAAAGGTCTTTATGCCTGGAACCTCTCCTTTTTTGGAACCGCAAGGAATGCAAAGGGCCGAGTTGTTTGGACGATTGACTGATAGCCTGGCAGAGCCTGCAGCTAAACAAGATTTGCAGACTCTGAAATGAGATGAGGATGAAGATGTACTGTCAGTGACACCAATGTCTGCAAGGCAGACGTGTGGACACGCATGCAGGTGACAAGGCAAATGGCCTTTGTCAGAATTAACACAAGCTGCATGCATGGCGGCTGCATCCGCAAGCCATACATAATAACAGGCTGTAGACTGCCACTAGAGCAGCATGTCCCAACTGGATGCATGCAACACATACTAGCACGTGATATTTTACATTTCATCAATCTGTGCATGCAGGCAACACAGGCTGTTGGAAAGTGCAGAGCTGGCTCACCCAGAGAGGCATCTGCTTCATATGGTGGGCCAGGAATTCGTCGCACTGCTGCAGTGCCGTCCCCACATCAAATTTGTGTGCAAGCTTGACAATGGCCCTCGCACTGTCAGGATTCAGCTGCACATCTGTGGGGAGGTGGTACAGGTAGCACAGGAATGCCTCTGCCTCCTGCAGGCTGCAGTCTGGCAGGGGGATGGCCGCAGGGCCATTTTTCTGGCTGTCACCTGCAAAGTGGGCCTCCAACATCCCAGAGAAAACGCTGGAATGGGCTGTCAAGTATGCTGAGTGGGCTGGGAGCTCCTGTCCCGTGCTGATCACGAGCAGGACGTCGGCCAGCTCCTGGAAAAAGGGAGTTGTTTTCTGAAGGTAAGTAAGATCCAAAGATGCTGTGTTCGCTTCCTGCTTGAGCATCACGGCACCGTTCAAGCCGCTGAGTTGAATACCCCTCAAGCTTTAAAGGGGATGCATTGAAAAATAATTTCGACTTTGAAACTCGCCCGCTGCATACGAGAATCTGGCTTAAGAGGCAAATTGTGGTGGCGAGGAGAACTCTATAAGAACCGTTATCACTGCTGATTTATACTTTCTTGCTGTGAACGCCACGCACCTGCAAATGCCCCTGCTTTTCTAAAGGGCATATGAATGGCTCCGGACCTACAAACAACTGTGCAAGCAACAGCAAACGAAGGCGAAAGAGGAAGGCGATCTGCATGCGGATTGATGAGCGAATCTACACCAAGATGCTGAGGCGGAGCTTGGGAAAGGAATATCTGTCACACACCTTCGTACTTCTGTAACCCATGATTGCTGAGGAGGGCCATTCATGTGGGCTTGTATATATAAGTGGTCACTAAGCTTGGCTCTATCTTGCTGTGCAAATCGGCTTGGCAATGCTTTGACTGCTCATGCACATGCAAAGCCTTCAGAGAAAATCCTCTTTTTACCTAGTGCGGGTGCAGAGCTTCAGGGAACCACCAGCATTGGTGCCTGCGCAAGCTCAGAGCCATTGTACTGAATGCTCACATGCAGCATCTATTGAGGTGCTGCTCAGAATATTCTCTTGCATTTACAGGGCTGCTGATGAACTGTGAATACACGCTGCTCCTGTCAGAAAGCATTCTGTCTCTGCACACGAGGCGAGGACCTGCAATGCAGTCAAGGCTGCCACAACTTTGTATTCCCGTTGAAACCTCCAAGCCCAAGCAGGACCCAGTCAACCAAGGGTACAGTGCTCAGTACGGGTGAGCTGCACCCTTTGCATAACCACCACACATAACTCAAACTCAGACTCATTGCCTGAGAGCTACAGGTCTTCAAAGCTTATTGCCAGATCCCTCGACCCGCAATTTTTCCCGCAGAACAGCGAGTAAATTACGTCCACTGGAATCTTTGATTAAGTATCTTTTGCCGACCTGAAACCGTAATAATAGGTGTGCCGCATCAGCAGCGCTGCCCATCAGAATCTGCAATGCTGCATTGGAACAATTCCACATTCCTCTACTGCTTCCATTCACACCATCTCATGTCTTCCTGGCACCCGCACTGCTTTGATGCCCGCATACCGCTTTTGCTGTTGTACATGCAAGAGAGGCCCCCTCAGCAGCGCTGCCCAAAGTCTGCAATGGATAACTGGAACACTTCCTTGCAGAGTGCATCAAGCAGTACACGAGGGGGCAGAGAAAGCATTAGACTATTTTCTGTGTATCGCCGCCATACCTACTCACATCTTTGGTACAATCAAAGGTGTTGGCATCAGCAGCGCTGACTCTGCACTGAAACAACCTCTTGGCAGCTTGCATCAAGCAGCACATCAGAGGGCACAGAAAGTATCAGACTGCTGTACTCTTGATGTGTCCGTTGAAATCTTTTTCAGAAGACGCGTGTTGTCAACTGGTGCAAAAATGTTTTTTGTACATGCGAAAATTCCATCATCAGCACCGCTGGCCAAAGTCGGCGATGCTGCACTGGAACAGCTCTTGGGCGAGGCCCCGGGACACTCGGCGCAACAACCCCTGGCCGAGCTCCTCAAACACCTCCAGGGTTTCCACCTCCAGGTAATTGTTCATGATGTAGCGCGCGGCCTCAGCCTCGAGTAGGTTCAAGTGATATTGCTGTGCAAAAAGTGCCCACTCCAGTGCCTCCCTTCCGCAGGCCTGCATGCAAAATAATACAGACGATAAGATTTTCAGTGTAGCAAGGATTTATTCTCTAAGCACCTTCTTAGACAACTGCAAAGTTTCAACATCCTTTTGCTGTTCACTTCCATATGCATGGACCCGATGAACCCGCGTGGAACTTGGAAGTCTGGCATGCATGCTTATGGAGGGCAATGGAGGTCTACGGCTGAAGATTTACACCAATTGTAAGGTTTTTGTGTCTTATGTGCAGTACAGCACATGGAAATGCTGAAAACTTGCACATGCTTGGCTAGTTGGCTACTGCCTTGTCAATCTCAACAGTGTTATGGATGGGCACATGGATGCACTGTTGTCTGACATGCGATAGCAGTCAAAGCGCTTGGCCGGAGGTTGACACTGCAGGATCAACATTGAGCAATCCAAGAGATGGTTTGGAGAAGCTGCGCTAAGCTTACCCAGAGCAGGTTGGTCCTGATGTTGATGGCAGCCTGCTGGGCCAGGTACTCGTCACACTGCTCCAGGGCCACCCTCACATCGAACTTGTGTGCCAGCTTGACAATGGCCAGGGCGCTCTTTGGAGTCAGCTGTGCATCTGCACGCATTCGGTATAGGTAGCACAGGAAGGTCTCGGCCTCCTGCAGGCTGCAGTCTGGCAGGGGGATGCTGGCTGGACATGCGTTGGGGCTTCTGCTGGCCGAATGGGCCTCCAGGATCCCTGAGAAGACGCTGGAATACGCTGCCAAGTATGCTGCATGTGCTGGGAGCTTCTCTCCTGTGGTGAGTACGAGCAGCACGTCGGTGAGGTCCTGGAAGTAAGGCGTTGTGGTTTTGAGGTACGGAAGGCTCTTCCTCGGCTGTTCCTTAACTTGTAGGTGATCAAGCATTTTGAAACTACTGTGGATCACCCAAGTCACATGCGCCCTGCAGCCAAAGACAATCCTTCAGAGATCACAAAAAGTGACGGAACTATATCCTTATCGAAAAATGAAAATCACGAGCTTGAGCATGCTTTTCGTTCAGAATTAAGCTTATATACGACATCAGATCATCGTTGTCGTACCAACTGGCTTGTTTCTGGGACGGAGACGTGCCTGCAGATATGACACTTCGCCAATGCTGAAGAATACTTGCGTTTATGGAGACGTATCGGACAGAAACCAAGGCAAATGATGCCGTGTTCAAAAATACTCGATCGGCAAGTTTTCTTGGATTGCAACTGAGTGCGTAGCTGGCCAGACATCCAGGCGCGGCCGAAGCTTGGTTTGATCGTCCGAGGCTTGGACAAGAACAGAATGCATTCGTTGTGCGCTGCCAGCGGTGATCTGTAAGCGTGATTGAAAAGCAGGTGTGAACAGAAGACTGCGCATCGAGGGAACCTGCGCTCTTGACGAGGCTGGCAGTATTGAGCGCTGGTGGCCGCGCATATAAACGGGATTGACAGCTGTGCTCCCGTCCAAGGTGTGTGGGAGCTCAAAGAACACATTTCGGGATACTGTTTGCATATATTATTCAGAACTCATCGCTTTTGGACCTCCCAATGGACTTCTTCGAGACTGATGGACTGAACATAACTCTGATAAGGGGCAAGAGGTTTGGGTGCGAAGCCAAAACACTTGTAATTGTATGGCTTCTGCACTCAATGCATGCACTTTAAATGTTGGCACCTCTTTAACCAGTCCCTGAGCCCATGCCTTTGGTCCATTTGCTGGTGACTCATGGCCAGAAGTGATGGATTACCTCAGCCTGAGAACAGTGGCCTTCTGAGGCCTTCCTTGGTCACAGGTCGCATTTCTGTAAATTAATTTAGATTTCTTGCAAATTTGCAGATCTGCAGACCCCGAAGAAGCGCAGGGACTTCTTGCTGCAGAGGGGCTGATGGCTACCTTCAAGGACAACCCGTACATCTACGAAGTTTGTGCGCTCCGTGACTCCATGTACTCTAAAGCAGAACCATATCTCCTGCAGCTTTATTCCTCCGGCACTGCCTGGTCACCTACCTATCTTAGGACACCATCTGCGTTCGATCTTTGCATAGCAATTGCATTGCATTTCACATCTTATCCTCTATTTTGGGGGCTATTCAAGTCTTCAGATGTCAGAACGTCATCTCTGCAATAAAAGATCCTCAATGCAGGCACACTGCTGAGACTCATGTCCTAAACTCCTGCAATCTTTATGCCTGTGAGAGCTAGATTTCTTGTGATCCTTCATGCAGTAGGCCAATGCTGACGCATTAAAGGCTGACAAATCATTTGCCGTGCAATGCAGCTGGGCCACAGCGCGAGACAAAGCGCCACCCAGCCAGGGGTACTGAGTACGGCAATGTGGACGCGCGCAATGGCTGGCCCACTGTGGAGGGCGCCAGCAGCCTTTATGAGATGTTCTACAACAGGTGCGTCATTATTTCAACATTGCATACCATGGGTGACTCCTCTCTCATGCCTGCAATGTCCAGACGTGTTCAAGGCTTGTGTGCATCCTGGTATCAAGTGGAACAGTGCGTAGCTTGGCACAAAGAAGTCACCCTACATGCTGCACTTTACATCGTGCTGTGCATGTCAACGTGCCCCACAGAGCGGTCACTTGTGCTTGCGCGGCTATCACCTACATACACAGAGCATGCTTTTGCTAGTGCCCCACAAAAGGAGGTTATTTGGGTGCCTGCACGGCCAAAGCATATTCATGCCAGTGCCCAATAGAAGATGGATGCGCGGCCACCACTACATCGACAAAGAGTGGTGTTGCTAGTAGCCCATGGGGGGGTATTAAGGTGCCAGTGCGGTCATTATCAAGCACATCAAATAAGGGGTGAGTGAGTCATGGCATGCAGCGTGGCCAAGTACCCGGACAACCCCTGCCTGGGCCACCGCCCGATCAAGTACGGCGTGCCCCAGGAGTACCAGTGGATGACCTACAAGGAGACCGCAGACAAAGTGGACGCAGTTGCCTCCGGTATCATGGCGCTCGGCCTGAAGCAGCACGGCCGTGTGGGCGTATACGGCATCAACTCCCCCGAGTGGATGATGGCAATGCAGGTGCATGCCCACCTCCTTGTTCCATACTTTTGTCCCTTATGATGGACAGAGGAAAATCTCACAGGAATTTTCCAAGAAAAGAGTACACCATAAGCATTTGCGATGTAAATTAACACCAAACGTGGCAGAATTCTTTGTCACTGATGAGAGAAATGAGGTAGTGTGGCTGGAATAAAGCGATCAGCTGATCATGTGAAGAAGAGATACTGGGGACTTGCCATCGTGCCTTCATGGAGGGGCCTGCACATCTTACGTTTGGCACCTGCATGCTGTCCTGCTATCTCTTCAAACCGATACATCACTGTTGATTGGCAACCCTCTGCATGCTCCCCATCCTGCACTTCACTGACGCACGCTTGCGAGGCAGCCCTTGCTCCTGACTCTGGCGCCCACTTTGCCTCCTGATTAACTGGAGTGACACTGTCCTTTCAGTGGCAATCTGTGCATGCAGGCCTGCAACCGGCAGAGTGCGTACTGCGTTCCACTGTACGACACGCTGGGCTCCGATGCGGTGCGCTACATCATAAACCACGCGGAGGTGACCGTGGTCTTCGCTGACTCGCTCAAGATGCCGGCGCTGATTCAGCCGCTGGCTGAGACCAAGGGCCAGGTCAGCGCGGTGGTCTACTGGGGCGAGTGTGACACCCTCGCCAAAGTGGTGAGTAACCGCCTTAACACCGGCCAAGGATCTGGTCTGCATTTATGTCATTCTAGTATAGGCGTGTTGTGCGTGCCTGTACGGCATGCAAGATCCTGTGAAGGTGTGTGCCCTTGACAGAGTAAAAAGAGGCTTCCATCGTTCTGCTGATCATGACTGCGCCGCTTCTCCTCTCATGATGCGCCACAACAGGTGGCAGCACTCCAAACATATATATTCAAAGGGGAAGTGCCGTTGTTCTCACCAGTATTCAAGTACTCTGGCAGTTCCGCATGTCAGGGCATTGTCTGCTGCGTCTTGCTGAACGCTTGCGACCTTGAACACTAAGGGGAACAAGGAAGTCAGGGTGCTTAGGCCACGGTGCGACCTGCTTGCACACAGGCCGTGGCTCCTTGCATGCGCGCCTATTCACGGAAATGTCGAAATTGCTTTGCGAGTTGTGCTGGTAACCATTGCGCTGGCTGCTTCCATGTTGTGCTATCTTCTTTCATTGTAGCTGATGGGAGCATGCCTATTACAGAACTAGATAAGGAGCCCTTTGGTACTTCTCACCAGTGTCTAGGAGTGTACTTTTCCAGCACCTCGGCGCATAATCTGCTTTGTCTTGCTGGAAGCCTCCGCCCCTGCAGACATTAGTGGGAATAAGAAAGTCATGTTTATCACGCAGTCCCGCAGACCTGCTTTCATAAGGCTGTGGATCCTTACAGTGTGCCCTGTACAGAGTCTTAATGCGAGTTATCAGATGGTGCTGGTCACTCTGCGCCTATTGGCCCCTTGTTTTGCTGTTGTGTGTTGATGCACCACAGCAGGCAAGAGCATGCTAGAATCCACTCTTTGGAATTAGCGCGTTTGGGCTTATTCTCACCAGTTCCCAGGCGTGCAGCGCATCAGCACCTTGTTGCATATTTTGGCTGTGTCTTGCTGAATGCTCTGGCTCCCAAATACTGGAGGGAAGACTAAAGTCCGATTCCTCAAGCCCTGCTAGGAGCTTGCAGCCCTAACAATGCTCACTAGGATTGACTTTGTGAACGCATGTACTTCAGCCCCTGTGCTGACTCACTGGGCTGTCAGGTCTCCATTGCATTCTCCTCACGTGTTGCATGACATCTTGAGGGAGCATGCCAAGACCCATATTATCCAAGAGTGCTTGAAGTTGTTCTCACGAGCTCCTGGGCTGCCTTGCAAGCAACACCTTCAGACACTGACTGCTCTGTCTTGCTGGATGCTTGCGACCTTGGTCTCTCTTGGGATCAACACAATGGGTCTACCTGGCAATGCTAGGAGCTCGATGCCCTGTTACTCGCTGAAAAGAAGTTGTGCGCACCAATGCTGCAGCCGTAGCGCTGAGACAGACTTGACATGTGTGTGCAGTCGATAGAGGAGAGCGGCCTGACCAAGTGCTACTCGTGGAGTGAGCTGCTGGAGATGGGCCGCAAGTCGCCGTCCCCCGCCATCCCCCCCAAGCCGGAGGACCTGTGCACCATCATGTACACCAGCGGCACCACCGGAAACCCCAAGGTGTCTGCCAAGCTCTGTCTTCACAAAAATAATCGATGCCAGATCTTTATGGCAATAGGTACTTGGGCGTAGGTCATATGCCCGGTGGTGTGCATCATGCTGCTTGGCATGCCCATCATTCTGTCAGGTTCTGTGAGGCTTATGCACAACACCCTGCATTTTAACTGACCCCTTGCATGTACACATGCTTGCACATGTGGAGGGAAAATGAGTACAATTATTCAGAGGTTATACTCTCTCTCTGTGTCTCTAGCGTAGTGCATGCTGCGTCGCTTTTGAATTCAGCTCGTAATTGGCCAAGAGTTTGTTATGCGCCGACCATGAGCATGTGCCAGCATGTGCAGGGCATGATGCTGATGCATGCCTACTGGCTAGCAAGCTGCTTTGTAATTTAGATTCCATCACCTATTTAATTTTCTCTTTGTCTCGGGGCATGATGTATGCTGCATATTACTGATGCGCATAGGTGGCGCTTGTGCAGAGGGTGATGCTGATGCATGCTGGCTAGTGGGTTTCCGTGAACCGCTTGGGCTTGCTCTTTCAGGGCTTGGTGCATGCAGCATGTTGTCGGGAAGTGACTGATTGCGCACATTGGCGGCATGTGCAGGGGGTGATGCTGACGCATGCCAACCTGCTGTCGGTGGTGGCTGGGCAGCTGGGCGCCATAAACCAGGTGGGCGGCCGCTACGGGCAGAGGTTCACCCAGGAGGATGTCATGATCTCCTACCTGCCCCTCGCCCACATCTTTGACCGGTGCGCGGTGCCTTTTATTATCATTCACTCGTGCTCAAAGCTATACCGGAAAGCATGACATCGAGAGGCAAGCGCATGCAAAATGCCGAGCAAAGTTTTCAAGCACTTGTCTAGTGATTTACTTACTACCACTAATTTCCAGGGTCTAAGGCATGCCAGTCTCCTGACAGACACCGCGCACCAGCCATCTTAAGGCAGAGGCTGTGTACCCCAATATTGCTGTGGCGCCGTGGTTGTTATGAGATTGGCAGGTGCTTTGTTTGGGTAGTAAAAGCCATTGATAACGCAGCGTGTGACCTCTTCACCAGTGTCTTATGCTGCAGGGCGCTGGAGGAGATGTTTCTGGCCAATGGGGCGCGCATCGGCTACTGGCGCGGCAGCATCGAGGGCGTCATCGATGACTTGCAGGTGCTCACTGCCTTCTCTGCACCTTTTTTTAAATTACCTATCCAATACTTAATTTTTGTCATGACGTGAAATTCCTGCATCCTTGGCAGTGTATCGCAGTCTGTGTTGCATCAAATCACCGGGCTTGGGTATCATGGCCTTGATAGAAGCAGTGTGCCTCTGGCGGATTGGGTGTTTGTGCATCAGGCGCTTCATTTGCGCTTCATTGTACAAGCAGTCGCCACAGCGTCAAGAAAGGGACGCTCCTTGTTTGGAGTGTCTACAGAAAATTTGCACGTTCCTGCTGTGCGTGCCGTAATAGGTACCCCCAGCTGGAGATCGTTTGATTACTGGAGGCGAGACAGTCAAGGATTTGGGAGGCCACGGTCCCTCGAATAATCCCCCTTAACAACCCTCCACTGATGCGCTGGTGCCTGTTCAGGCGCTGAGGCCCACGCTGTTCATCGGCGTTCCCCGCGTCTTTGACAAGGTCTACGACGGCGTGTTCGCGCGGCTGAAGGACGCCACCTGCCTGCGCCGCGCCATCTTCCACGCCGCATTCTGGCACAAGCAACGCCACATCAACCTCGGCTACCGCTGGACTGAGGTGGGCTCATGCATGTGATATCAGTTGCAAGCACTTGTGCAGCTAGCTTATGTGGGGTCCCAGATGTTTTGTGCGAAATCTGGTAGATCATTCATCTTATATCAGGTTTGCAGCATCCCTTGGGATGTGCCCCCGGGTCTGTGCAGTTATTTGCATTGGCGAGCAGCGCCCCATCAACCTCGGCTACCGCTGGACTGAGGTGCGCGCCCAGCACTGCCCATACTTGTGTCGTTCTACAAGGAGGTTTTCACACAGCATGTGAAGGTCTCACATGTCGTGTGCACAAGACTATCCAAATGCCATTCTGTGGAACGCGCATCCCGGTCTATGCAATTGTCATCTGTTGCATATTCGATGTTCTGGTGCACTTCCAGCTGCTTCTGTACAGTTGGCAATCCACATAGATTCTCATGCATATCACTTTCTATGTGACTTGCCGCTGTACAAATGCAGCTGTGAGGGTAATGTGTAAATTGGCTAAGTCTGCAGCTCCACAACTCCAGCTCCATGATAGGTGATCTGCAATGGTGCCTGCAATTGCCTATCTGTTGCTGTTAGTACTGCCCCCAACGTTGTAACACACCTGAAGAGATGAATAAGGGGTAATGCAATTCCTGGCGCAGGCGTCACCGCTGGCGGATGCGTTGGTGTTTGACAAGGTGCGCGCGAAGCTGGGGGGCCGCGTGCGGCTGGTGTGCAGCGGGGGGGCCCCTCTGGCGCGCCACGTTGAGGAGTTTCTCAAGACTGCCATGTGCGCGCCCTGCTGCCAGGGTTACGGCCTCACCGAGACCTGCGGCTCCTCCTTCATCGCTCTTCCCGAGCCGGTGAGCGCTCTTCGCTCTTTTCACTCCACAGGACCTTTTGTGTGGGCTTGTGATCTGCTGCATTGCCCTGCCAGCGCTTTGCCCCTCTTTTTGCTGAAAGACATTTACCCCCTCGTTTGTACTTTGGGTTTGTGGCTCTTCCTTCATCGCCCTCCCTGAGCCTTCGGCGCACATACTTACATCTTGTAAATCGTTTTCTGTACTTGCGGCGGCTCCTTCAGTGCTCTGCCTAAGCCAGTACGCACTTTGTGGCTCTTTTCACTCCTGAAATCCTAGTGCTCTCTGTTATTTCCTATAGGCATGCGGCTCCTCCTTCATCGCCCAGCCAGCGGTGCGCACACTTTCTGACCCTCTTCTCTTATTCCTTCCCTGGCTCTGTGCATCCCCTCTTGCTCATGTAATCACTGGGGGCCTCCGGAATGCGCATAAAGCAATTCTTGTTCTCTAGAAAGGCATCAGCATGATTAAAGTGTCGCACGAGGTTGGCGGCCACTAGCCTCTGTGTCCTTTGTGTTAGAGCAAGTTGTAGAGATGGCACATTTTAGGAATTCAGTATCCATCAAATCCATCTTCAGTTTATGCTCCTGCCAATCACCTTTCTGCAGTGGACTATGACGCTCGTGATGCCATCCCCATATACCTTTTGGAGACAAACTGCTCCACAAGCATGCCAAATGGGGATGCTTGGGAAGCTGTTGGTCCTTTATGGAGGTATCTGGGGGATGCAGACATGCAGTTGAGGCTGCTGAGCATCAAAAAGTGTCAACAGAAGGCTAGGCACCTGATATCTGCAGCTGCATGTCATTCCTTGCAACTGGCAAGGCAAGCAGTGTATTGCAAGTGTGAACTAAGGTTCTCAAAAATAAAACTATCTCATATTTTCCGCGCATTGCGCAGATGTTCAATGGGACGGTGGGGGGCCCGCTGCCGCTGCTGACATTCCGGCTGGAGGCGGTGCCGGAGATGGGTTATGACCCCCTCGCAGACCCTCCCAGGGGCGAAATCATCATCAAGGGGCCCGTCGTCTTCCAGGGCTACTACAAGGTGCCCTCCTGAAGCTGAATGACTTCCTTTCTCCTCGTAATCCAATCTCCTTGCAAAGCAGATCCTTTTGATCCGTCACACGTCCCTGGCTATCTGAGAGACACCTCGCTGTGCACCAGATTCTGTCCGGGCCTGACAAGCCACCTTAGGGCTTATGTCAGGATCACAAGTTGCACTTCACTTATGGCACAGGCGTCGCTTCAAGGTTCTTCGGCGCATTGAGACCGTGCATAACCACACGCATGCATATCACCGATAGGCCAAAATCTTGGAGCGAGTTTTTCTGTACAATCTGTGAAGCCTGGCAGAGCACAGCACCGCTGAGGGTGCCCACTATGTGTGGCTGATGCTCTGCTCATTTCCTGTGAAACAAGATTTTCCTCACATCTATCCAAAGGTGGAATCAAGCACCTGACCAGGGTTATGCCCCACGCTTCAGGAGCATGCATGCATGTTGCCCACATCCTCTGAAGACGCGGTGAGGAGATCCTGGTGGGGTGTTTCTGCGACCTGTGCTAGCCATCACAGCACAGTACAGGGTTGCCACACTAAAGTGCATGCCGTGATGGGGAACCCAACTGAGAGATCATCAGATTACTGAAGCCCAAAGAATTACAAAACAGAGTGGTGGGCTGCTGGTTTAACTGAGCAGGATCAGGAGAAGACGCATGCATGTTCTCAATGTGCCTGAGAGGTCCTGCAGCGGGGTTTTCTTACCATCTGGAAGCCATGGTAGAGCAGTGCACTGCATAGTGATGAAAAGGGTGCCACTTTTTGAGTGATGGGCTGCTGGTTGTGTGGGCAGGACCAAGAGAAGACGGATGAGGTCTTGGACAAGGACGGCTGGTTCCACACGGGGGACATCGGCGAACTCACCCCCATCGGCTCCCTCAAGATCATCGACCGCAAGAAGGACCTCTTCAAGCTCTCCCAGGGTGCGTCCTAAAAATTTCATACTGACGCCACAACGTTGCGGTTGGCACCTGCATGCTTGCGGAGCGGTGCTGTACCAAGCTTGCCCTTCGCTGCTGGGCTTTCCATGCCTGGGCAGAGACCACTGCTCCCTCATGGTCGCCACATTCGTCCCGACTTCAATGCAGAAGTCGAGCAGATGCGGTGATGGTGAGGGCTCATTGGATGTAATAAGCAGCTGCAGTAGCTCTCCTGAGTGCATCTTGACCTGCTTGATCTGCAGCGTGCCACTTACAAGGCTCTGTACTATAGACTGGGTGTTTCTGCAGAGCAGCACATGCTCTTTGGGAGCACACGCTCAGATGTACACGTTGCGCGCTGCACACAAAATTATCAAGTGTCCAGAGGAAGCAGCATTAAGGGGTTGTGCGTTGGGCGCGGTGTGCAGGTGAGTACATAGCGCCGGAGCGGATAGAGGGGGCGCTGAAGAAGGCGAGTGCAGTGCAGCAGGTCTACATCCACGGCAACTCCTTCGAATCCAGCCTGGTTGCAGTGGTCGTGCCAACCGAAGCAGAGCTCAGGTCCGGCTTCCCATATTCTCTCCCTATTATGACGCCTCTGTTGTGTAGGTCAATGTAAGATCAGGCAGACTTAGGCACCCTGTGAGCTGCAACAAATCAAGGCATGCTGACTTGGGCTGCTGGGTATTGTGGCAGCTGTCTTTGCATGAGCAACCAGAGATGGAATTGTGGTGGCGTGGTTGTATGGCATGATGTGAGAGGGCATAGGATTGAACTGGTGGCGCAACATATGACTGTATTTTGTGCAGCAATGGCATCACACTGCATGTCTTGCTGAAGGTGGCTCCTTTTCCATTACCAACTGTGCGCTGTCTGTCGTTCTGGTCTGTTTAAGGCCCAACAAATACAGAAATTTGAGATCGATTGTGCGGGTGGTAAATAACATGGCACCCCCGCCAGCCAAGCGTGCAGACTGCTGCGTTCAAATTCTGGTAACCTCTGTAAAAGGTTGATGATGGCCTGAACGCCAAGGTCTTCTTCAGCGACTAACGTCGCGCTGGCTTTCAACAATGAAGCTCCTGATTCTGATGCTGAGTCAGCGTGTGGCATGTGTGGGAGTAGGTCGGCGGTGGCGGGGGCCCCGGAGGACTACGAGAAGCTGTGTGCCAGCCAGGCGGCGCAGGACGTTGTGCAGGCGCAGATGCACGCCGTCGGCAAGGCGGCCGGCCTCAAGGTGCGCGTCAGCACTTGCAGAATGCATTCAACGAAATCTCCTGAAGAGACTCCCCATTTATGCCTACTAAAAGGGCCTTTGGTGTCAGAGACTGCTGAGACTAGGAACCATGGGAGACCTCATCTGTCTTTTGTGGTTCCACTTCCTTCGGATGCCTCAGACACCAAAAGCCACGCTATTACCTGTAAACCTATAGCAAACCTGCCCTGCTGTACCTGGTGTTTCCAAATCGGGAGCGGTAGAGAAGCAGGCGCTGTGCTGTCATTGTGCATGCCGCATAAGCTTCCAGTCTGCATCTTCTTCTGGCTAACTGCCTGGGTGTGTTGAAACGCCAAATGCCGCCTGGTCGTGTTGTTTGTACAGGAGACAAGCTGGTTCCTCGGGTGCACGCAACTGTCTGAACTGCCGAGCAAAAACAGTGATCTTGAGCGTTTTCACGACGGTCTGTGCACAGTATACTGAAGTGCGCGTTAGTGTGTGCCATGCCCGGTCGTGTTGAGCTGCAGAGGCACCTTGCCTTTTGCGTGAACATAATAGAGTCATACTCATCCTAAGGGGGCGTTCTGGTGGTGCGCGCAGCCATTTGAACTGCAGCAAGAGGGATCATGAGTGCTGTTATTTCGCGCTCTGCAAATCTAGCCGCATCTGATGTGAAGGAGCGCTGTTGTGTCCCGCGCAATCCTTTGAGCTGCCGCGCGGAAATCGATCACAAACCCCACACATCCATGGCGCTCAGCTCAAAGCCACCAATATTTTATCTGAAGCGCTGGTTCATGTGTGCCATGCGCAGTCCTTCGAGCTGCCCAAGGCGGTGCACCTGACGACGGAGGTGTGGTCCCCGGAGAACGGGCTGCTGACGCCAACTTTCAAGCTCAAGCGCGCCGTTGTGCGCCGCGCGTTCCAGGCCCAGATCGACACCGCGTACGCGCGCCTCGCCAAATCCGCCAAATGAGGAGCTGGCTGGGGGGCTATCTTGCCATCCCCCCAGGGGCCTCTAATTATATGTGTTTTGGCGCAAGCGATGTGCCGCCCCCGTCGCCAACACCGTGGATTTCGTCAGCAGCGCCTAATGAGCCGGTGGATTTACATCCCCTCGCGCATGGGGTGGTCATCAGAATCCTCTGCTGCTGTGGAAGCTATGCGGGGCTGCAGGTGGTTTTAATGTGGACATCGTCAGCAGCGCAAAGTGAGAGGCGCTCGCTGAGGTCTGTTTTGCCATTTGCCAGCCGTCAGTGGGGGAGGCGATGCGGCGCTGACAGCGGGTGCCAGCATTGAGAGTTCTTAGCAGTGCACAGGGAAGAGCTTGCTAAGGCTTTTGGACCACATTATTAGCTGCGGAATTAGCCATGTGCTGCGTTGGCGCAAGAGCTTGGCACTGCCAATGCTGGTGGATGTGAGCTGACAACAATTGGAGCTTTCACTTGTGCGACGAGCAGCACTATATTGTGGGAAAGTTTCCATTGCCCCTAACCAGCAGCAGCAGAAGCAGGGATTGGCTGGAGAGCACCTGTGCTGATTGATGGTTGCTACTTTGGGGGTGAGAAAATGGTGCTTCGGTTGTTCAGGATGGTCGCTACTTGATTAATTATGGCAACCATGATACAGTGTGTACCGGCAAATGCCTGTAGAAGTATGTGCGGAGTATGTTGCCAGACCATGATCATGCCGTGGATGGTCTTTAGTGACACAGCAAAAGAACACTCCATGTACATATGCTCAGGAATGGGGAAGGGATTATTGAACTCAGGCATTTTGAGAACGCAATTGTATACTTGTCGAACTGTATACTTGTGTGCAGGCTTGTGCAAGGGGCTCAAGAGTAGCGTGTGGAACAAGAAGTCAAAACCAGATGGGCGCGTCCTTACGAACTCTTCTCGTGGCCTTGGGTGCACACGATTGAATTGGAGCACCCAACTGGAGCACCTGGAAGAGGATGTGAACTGGACCAGTGGGTCAGCTCATTGCTGTGGTCAATGTCAACTTTGAACGTGAGTCATGATGGCTCTGAACATGCATGGGGGAAAATTTATATACGTATTGATTTCGCAACTGGGTAAACAATTCCTTGGCAATCTTACACTGCAGCATGAGTCCACACGTCACAAGACAAGACTGATTGCAGGGGTTCAATAATAAAGAAACATGTCGTTGCGTTCCTTTGATTATGATGGCCATAATTATCTGGTATTCGGGCCAAAGCTTCCCTTGAAGGATCCCTTCCCTTAGTCGACATCGCTATCGAACAGAGAGATCTCTGCTCGATATGTCTGGCCTAACATACGGTTGGTTTCGTCTATCTTGTAAAAAGAATCGAAGGGAAGACTTCGACACCAATCACTGGATGTGCAGATGAGGTCTTCGCATGCTATGAAAACATATTGGTTTTCTTGGACTTGGCATGGCTTATCACTTTATTGCAGACCGCGCCGGCCTATCCACAACCGCAGAAAGAAGAGAAAGAAGCACAAGTGAGGCCAGCATAAAGCGTGCATCCAATTGAAATAGATCGGGAGGAGACTTCTCAAGGTCGTGTCTTGACAAGAGGAAATTACCAGAAGTCTTCGATTTGGAAGGGGTGCAAATTTTAGTGCGATGTTTGTCTCCACAAGAAGCCCATGCAGAACCACCCTGCCCATCGTTGCACCTGCAAAACTAGAGACAGTGGCAAAATGGAAGGTCGTGAAGAAGTGCGTTCTTCCTAGAAAGCCTTCCATGCTCATGAGCAGGACTGTCACTGAAGTTGCAGATGTGAAACAAGGGCTATCTTGATCAATTTTCGTTCTTCACAATGTACACATCGAAGACGCTTGGATCTCAAACCTTGCTTCAGACCGAGGCCCTCCACTGAGAAGGGCTGTGATTGTTCTGTTGCAGGAAGACAAAGTTGAGACCAAGGAAGGTGTGCATATGCAGCTTGGACCACGATAATGCTTGATTTGCAACTTATTTGAACAGTAAATTGGCTGGTGCCTTTGATGCCTGTCTGCGGAGTGGGATCTGCATAGACTAAGGACACTGTGTGGCCACAGTCGAACCCTTCTGACCAGAGGCATGTAGGCTGCACCAGCTACCCTGAGCTTCCCCCACCTCCCCCTCAGTTCACCATCATTCAGGTGCGGCCAGCATTCACCTCTAAGCATAGCTCCTGATGCAGCTCGAATTTGTCAGGGTGTTTTTCCAATGTGCATATTCCTGCGGGCCATGATGAGACTAGCAGGCCTGCGGAGATATCACTTAGAAAATGGATGTGTGCCTGGGGTTTACACTGGTTCTTTGAGGATCTTATCGGGTTGCAGTCTGCATGTTCCCTCATAAATGGCTGCTTTGCATAATGCAAGCTCCAGTGGAATCCTGAGCCAGCCAGGATTCTCCTGCCTGTTATTGGGAGGTCTGCGCATGTGATTCTTCTTGGCCCTCTACACCGAGCGTAAACACCTTTACTGTCTTTGTCTTGCAGGAAGCTAGCAGCGCATCTTCATCCCAGCAATGACATTAGCACTTTCCTGCGATTGACGCCTCACATTACACAAGATATGGACGATGGAGGGATGTGACAGCCCAGAGATCTAGCAGATGGACATGAAACAATGCCGCTCACTCGAGACTGCCACAAATTGGAGACTGGAGCTCTGAATGAGTATTCACAAAGCTTTTCATGGCACGCAGCTTGCGGGATTAGAGCTGCTTGGGATGTGTCAGGAATTACGCACTTGGACATTGCAGCTGCATCTCATCCCTGAGAAGTCTTGGCTCAATGCATGTGAAAGCAAGAGTTTGTGGGAGTGTACCATTTTCTGAGCATTATTGTTGTCTTGAATGGGGTTGCTGTAGAAACCTGGTAAGTTTAAAATAGTGTATGAAACAATTGGCAGCTGTTTTTTCTGGACCGGCAGTCTTTGCTTCTTGTCTGTAAAGCAGGAAGCTTCATTGCTCATTGGATCATTGCTCATTGGATCATTGCTCATTGGACACAAGTACACCATGTGGGAAATCCTGCCAATTGATCCTGCGACATGACTGTGCAGCTGACACTGTGTGATCGGCAGATCTGCACATGCTGGCTAGCACGCACTGCATCTGGCATTTGATTGTTTGCAGCCTCTCGGCATAGCTTCAGGCCCCTGTGGTGCCAAATGGCAGATTTTATGCGCTGCAGCTGCAGTAGCCGCGACTAGCTTGAATTTACGAGCATTACATGAAGTCATCTATCAGCGCCGCGCGCTGCTGCTGCTGCTGCTGCTGTGCTGTGCTGTGCTTTGTTGTGCTGTGCTGTGCTGTGCTGTGCTGTGCTGTGCTGTGCTGAAGGCAGAGCGCTCATTGAGGATCCGCATCTGCTGGATCTACATAGTTTGGCATGCATGCAGGACTTTAAAGTAAAATGCTCTAGGTGTGCTGCACATGCACTCGCGCATTGCTCTGCATGCAGCTAGCTCACCGCTGCCTCTGCTGCATCACCGTGAAAGTTTGGTGCACCTCCTGTGTCCCCTGCACAGTGATTGGCTCAGCCTTGATAATGTGGCGCGCGTTTGGCTCGTGCCTGAATATCAAGAAGCTGTGAGACCTGGGCACACTCGATGTATAATTCCCTTGCAGGAAAGCCGAAGGTGGTCAATCGTGCAGATCTCCTGCATCAATACAAGCCACACACCCCTATGCAAATCCACAGAAACTCCCGAAATTAACGAGTTATTCAGCTGTGAGATAGCAAGGCCAATTTGTTGCCCAAAAGGGGCTTTCTGACGAAACACAGGACCGAACGGCCTTCCAATGCAACGCAGCCTCACAGCAGTTTCGCAGAGGACTGGAAGATTTTGTGACAATGGTTCAAGGCCAACGTGTTTACATGCAATGCCCTGCCGTGTGCGCGGCCGAGGACCTGCCAGGGTCCTAGCTTCAGCACAGGTATACTCACATCTTATCTGTTCGAATGGACGCATCATCAAAGCCAACTCAACTTGGACTGTGTAATTGAAGATGTTTCATCATTCTCAATAATATCTCAAAGTTACACACCACGCAATCCTATTATGCAGTTGGTGCCTTTCTTGCTGACCTCAGATCTATCATTGTGCGTCGCAGAAGCCTCTGGCTTTTTTATGTTGAGAAGAGTTCGGTTCTGGCGCTTGTCTGTGCAAACTTTTCATTAGAATGCTGTAGGTGACAGGAATCCAAAAACGAGAGAAGTTCCGTCTATGTCAATTTATCATGTCTGTGTGTCACGCATCAGCAGGAGACAAAGACAGCTGAGCTTGCGAAATCAACGAAGGATGAGGAAGAAGACAAACTCGCAAGTAGCAGCAGCGCAGCCGAACAGGAGGATGAGGGGACCCCCACTGAGGCTGATGAGGGTACCCCCACTGAGGCTGATGCGGGAAAGTACCCATCAAGGGAGGCTATGGCAGGGGGCTGGGCTGGGGGCGAGGTAGGCCTGCAGCAATTCGTACAGGTGGGAACCCCAGAAATACGGTGTCTTTTGTTCCGCATCTTCGTTGAGAGTCAAAATTGCCACTTGTATCCTCCTCCACGTGCATCCCTCTACCAGGCATGCTTGCTTGGATGTGCTTGTTTTCAGTTGCAGCCTCAGCATTCGGGCCGGTGACAGTCCACCAGCAATCAAGAAAATAGCTCTTGCAATGCAGGAGGCGAAGGAAGAGCAGCAAGGGGCGCCCAAGGCAGGGGCAAAGGCCCCAGCCAAGAAGGCCGCAAAGCCCAGCAAAGCTGCCACTACCTCCCCAAAACAGGTGGCGGACGAGCCAGGCAAATACCCCAGCAAGGAGTCCATTGGACCCTTTTGTAAGTCTCATTCCCTTACGCAAATGGGCCTTTGCTTTATACTTTGCATACTCCGTGTACCGGCCCAGCAAGAGCACGTGCCATGCATGCAAGCCAGGGGAGGGCAGGAACACTGATGCAGCTACCAGAAGTACTCTGCTGCAAGCACGAGCAAACAAACATATATTGGATTGTAGTTTGGGTGTCAGTATGGTGGGGTGAATTTGGTGAGTGTTGGTGCAGCTGGTGTGACGGGCGGGTTTGCTGGCGGCGAGAGGGGAGTGCAACAGTTTGTGGAGAAGGGTGACGTGGAGCTTGCGCCAGAGGGAAAGGGTGAGCACCTCCATCTGGCTCCTGGCCCTTGAGCTGCGATCCAGCTTGGAAATTTCCATGAAAAGTTTGGTCAAGGCACTGCACAGACTGAGCTCGAGCTGAAGTCCAAATATTATCTCAGAATTCGGAGGCCTGGCCTAATTAAATGTAGCCCTTTGAGCCTCGCTTTGGGGAGTGCAGCATGCTTTCCACAACTGCCCTGGCCCCCAATAAAATCAGATGTGCTGAAGACCTATACACCCATTGCTACAACATCCCCCCACTGAATGGGAAAGGGTGATAAGTTTGTCCATTACCGGGTGCAGGCAGCCGGCAGTTCTCGACGCTGATCATAGCGGGGGGCGCGGCGGTGGCGGCTTCGCTGGGGGGACTGCTGCTGGACGACGGTGTTAAGCTGGGGGAGGAAGCCGTGGAGAAGGGGGGAATCCCGGGTGTCAACTTATCTACAGCGCCTATCGACGACAATACGCGGCTGCTGCTGCAGGTCGCCGTCGGCCTCCTGGGCGTCGTTGGAGTGTCCATCGGTGAGTGTTCGCAGAGCTTCTTTGTCCATTGTCTTGGCCAATTTGGGACAGAGTGTCATCATGAAATGGGCGCTGTCGTGATGATTGAATGGGTTCTTCTCGTTCGGGGTGCTTGGCTGGTGCCAATTTTTGCCTTTCTGCCTTTTTTTTTGGGAGATACATGACATGACGGGGCGCGTTGGTCTGCGCAGGCGTGCGCGCGCTGGTGAAGCAGGTGCAGGAAGGTTCCGGGAAGCTGGCGGAGAAGGTGTTGGACCTGGGCAAAGTGGGTGTCTTCTGGCTTGGAGTGTTCATCGCCGTCAAATATGTGCTGGAGTCCTCAAGCTAGGCTTTTAGAAGGCCTTGTCTGCGTAATGCAGACTGCATTATGCAGTCGTGTGCACGGGGTGATCCTAGATGGGTCAACTCTGCATTTGTTTTAGCCCCATGCAACAGATTTTGTCAGGCAATACCAAGTTGCTCCAGATAGATGGTTGGCAAAGAAAGCAGGCGGTGCGCTGTTGGATGATGGTTTCTTGATGAGTGTACTGACCGAGGCCTTCTGACAGTACAAAGGGTGAGTGTTTGTTTTGCTGGAGTTACAACTAAAACGTGAGGGGCCGGTGATGCTTTGCCAAAAGGGCATCCGCTGTTGTTCCTGTGAAACAGGCGCCTAGGTGCAGGGCACTTCCTGCATTCATGAATGATCATTGCTCTTGCAAGAGGGGTGAGAAAACTGAAGCATTAGGATTGTGAGTTCTGCAAGTTGAGAGAAGAGACAAATGTCATTGTTTTGAGAGATGTTCTTTGAGCAAATGCTCTGCATGCAGTACAGGGTCCTGCAGAAGAGAAGCTGGCAGACGCTTTATGAAAAATAATTGGAAGATGTGTAAACTCTGTCCTTCTTAAAGAGGTCATTGGCAAAGCATGCCTTATGGTCCCCAGTCTCCCTGGCATGTTGTTTGGTGACACTCTCTTCGATTAAGGAGCAGACGAGTCGCAACTACATTCACAAAATCGCTTTGACCTGTCTATTGATCTGATACCGTAGCGTGTGCAGCAACCCTGAACTCAAAACAAATTATTGTATCTTCCCCAAGCTGCATTTAACCACCTAGGTGCATTGGAGAAATGTCAAATCTGAGATGAAGCGTACAAGCCGCAGCGTTGCACCAATCTCAACCGATCCCTGGTCAAAGCCTCAAAAGTAGCTCTGTCAAAGTAATTGCAACCGCCAACAGCTGCAGGGGCTCTTGATGCAGTGTCCTGAACACCGCATGCATGACTGCTGCAGCCTATATTCACATCGCAAAAGGCCGCTGACAGCTTTAGGTGATCAGAGAGCAACCCCAATGGCCCAAGCAAGACAGTCAGGGCTAGAGAGGGCACTGTCGGCTGTCAGCACGTGCCAGCTGATCACACTCTCGCCAGCGAGCCTTGTTATGCTGAGTTGCATGCACCAGAGGCTGTCAGGTATTGATTTCTGGAACAAGCCCAGCCGCCCAGAGGAGCCCGGCTGCTGTGCTGATGCGCATGGCACGATGGGGGCGATTACTCATCATCCGATTACTCATCATCCTCGTCATCGCCCTCGTCATCCTCCTCCTCCTCTTCCTCCTCGTCGTACCGTTTCCGCTTCTCTGCAGCACCCACAATTACCCGTCACTAACAATTTCTTTAGCCCAATGTTAGCAGTCAATCAGTCACTTCACAAAAGGCTCCTGCGGCCCAGAACTGCTAGTGAATGAACCACCAAGTCAGCGAACAACCCCTCAATTCAATGCATGTGCTGCTTGTCAGCCACCAGATGAATGCCTGCAGCGTGCAGGATCATGCGCTCGCATTTCCACGCAGAGCAAAAGCCCCGGACGCTGCTGAATTTCCCAGCCTATGCCAGTGTTGCCTCTGTACTATCTTTGCGCCAGACAACACAACACACATCATCTGGAAGTACATGGTCCAAACAATGAAATGCGTCAAAGACATCGGAGGGGTCTCACGTGGGCGCGCGGTGGCTTCCTCCTCCTCGTCATCATCTTCCTCGTCTTCAATGTCTTCGCTTGCCGGGGGGTCCTCCCCGTCATAGTCCTCCTCATCATCCTCGATGGGGGGACCCTGGGGGGACAGCAAGGTAAATAACAGATCAGCCCGATTTCCGCCCACCGTGCCTCTCAGTACTAGTATTGCGTGCCTTCTCAATTCATCTAAAGCAAAATGTGTTGCAGCAGCGTTTTAATGAGAAGTCTGCAACCTAGGCTATCTTGACCAGCTGTCATCTGCCAGCGATGGTCAAATCACATCACTGTATCGGCCAGCTAGACCCCGGCAGGGTACAGCAGTACTACGCTGTAAAAGCCTCATGCAGAGCCCAATGAGCTATCGTCAGCAAGGGAATCCACAAGCTTGTCTGCTGGGCCAGACTTCCACAGTGCTGGTCAGAACAAGCAAGATCTGCTGCTGCAGGACATGGAATGAAATGCTCTGCGCACCTGGCCGGCAAGGTAAGCAGTCCCCAACACTTCCTCGTCATTCCCATCCTCCTGCACAGCACAAAAAAAGAACATCTGTCAGCACAGGAATATGTCACAGTCCGCATCAGAAGAGCTGACTAGAATGCAACGCTGGTGATTACTAGCGTTGTATGAGAACGTGACATCAGACCACTGATGAGCTACCCCTAGGCTACCCACATGTGCTAAATAGTACGCTCACTTGTGGCAACCCTGCACCACTGAGTGCCCCCGGCCTGTGGGACATCATGACAAGACTCTCGTTTCACTGACACCCCCAACGCAGATACAGGGCAAGTGCATGTCAACAAGAAGCACACGAGAACCCACGGCGCCTGAGCACAAGCTCCTGAAGTGGGGGTCCGGGTATCATGACTAAGGGGTGAGTAGCGCTCACCTCATCATCTTCCTCTTCTTCCTCGTCGTCTTCCTCGTCCACATACTCCTGGTTGTCCCCCTCCACATCGTCCTCGTCATCATCATCCTCGTCATCATCTCCCTCCTCCCCCCCAGCGGCCGCTCCCTCCTCCTCGTACTCCTGACCCAGTGAGCACAGTCAGCAGTCAGCGCGCCAGTGGTGGGCCAGCCATATACTTTGCAGGGCTGCAGCCAGACTGCAATCAGCCTAAGGGCCTGCCGGGACAAGTGCAGCTGCAGGCCAGCGAGGTCAGCTGCTTCACCTCCTCCTCTTCCTCATCACCTTCATCCCCCTCTACCCCTCCTTCCTCCTCTGCTTCTTCCTCCTCCTCTTCTTCATCTTCCCCCTCTTCTTCCTGCAAAACCACAACCCCTCAGCTTCCAACTTAAAAGGTCCAGAAGGCGATAAGTGCGCCCGCTGACCGCAGAAGTGCTATGATGCTGTGATTTGGGGTGCATATGTAGACTTCAAGCCCTTTAAGCGGGTCCCAGGCCCTCGTAGGGGCTGGAAAGGCCCAGATAGTTGGCATGGAGCAACAAGGAAGGTCGATTGCTGCTGCAGGGAGGGGTCTAAGATAAGATGCAGGATTTACTGGAAAAGAAATGGCATGCAGAGACCAGGACAAATTAGAGTTCAAAACTGACAGACAGAGGTTTGGTGTAACAACATAGGTGCCAGGGTCGCAGCCAGCAGATAAGAATGCTGGGGGACGTGCAGCAGGGCAAACAGTGATGCCATGCCAGCACTCCTAGCTCTCAAGCAATTGCAGACTTGGCAAGAGTTCTGCAGGATTATTCCCAAAAGGTTGGCAATCAGAGAAAAGCCCACCTCGAAGTCCTCTTCGTCAGCATCCACAGGCTCTGCCCATTCCAGCTTCATGCCAGTCGTGATGCAGGCAGGCATTACGAATGCAGGCCCTGCGCGAACCCAGTAGAGCACATCAAGGATAAAGGGATGAGACGTGCCCTATGGCGCAGATTCTTTGGCATGGATGTCCAAACCCAGTAGCGGTAGCGCGGATATAATGTATTCGCACCTCTGTCCATAAAGTCGCTGAGATCCACGCTCCGGAGCGTGATGACAGACATCTCGCTTTCCCGTTGCAACCTCAAGCTCAGGACTTTTCACGCCCTCGTCGCTGTGTCTCCTGCAGACAGAGAGCGAGCATGCCTTTCACCAACAAGAGATACTCAGCGTAATTTATGAAGTGCAATGGAAAGCAGCCGTAAGTGTCCTCCGGCAGTAGGTTTATAGAAGGCTCCCCCAACATCTGCGTGCCCGCCAGTGGGCCAAATTCAGCCATAGCGTCATTCACGCCATCTCAAGGACTCTTCAAATGCAATTATTTTGCAAAAATGATATTCTGGAAGTGCTTGTGTGCTACAACGCAAACGCAGGTTGCGAACATGCAGCTGAACAGAGCGGATGCACAGGTGTCAATCCTGATCCTGCACACCTGGCGTGCTGGCGCGGCACTGCGCAGTCAGGCTTGTTCCTACTATGTTCCGAAGGCCCGAATGTGCAATCTTGGCTGCCCCCTGCCCCTTCAGGCGGAGGCCAGGGGCGACACAGCGCCCGAACTTTGCAGGGAGGTGGTTGCCTATCTTGGCTGTTTCTGCAGACTTCTCTCGTTCTGGTGCAAAGCTTCACAGCGATACCAACACATGCAAAATAATCTTAGAGGGGTATCTGAGACGTTTTTTGTCAGCTTGCAAGTGAGATGGTGTGCATCTGACTGAAAATGACTGGAATGATCCTTTGATGGACAAGGTAATTAGGACCTGACTTATTGGTGACGCTACCTGTCGTATATATCTCATTAAACTGGCGTCGAGACTTCTGAAAGTTCGATGTCCAGTGCACAGAGCTGAGCAGCACCTAGCACAGCTCAAGTCCAGCTTGGCTAGCAACCGCATGCAGGAAGCTGAAGAGCGCAGGAAGCGTTTGAAAGCACTGCGTGACGATGCCGATGGTTCAGAAACGCATGCCATAGGTCAGATGCACAATCTATCATCATGTTTTCTGTCATCACAAGCTCTTTCTGTTCAGCGCCTAGTTGTGACCTGAGTAAGAGTCTTCCCCGCGCAGGCACAGGAAAATTGATCAATCCCTTGATCAACGAACCCAGCAGCAACCACACCACACCGGCGTTCAGTTTCTACAGGTACCTTTGCTGTCTCTTATTGCTCCTGTAATTACAAACACATGAAATTACTGTGGTCACCGCCACCCCAAAAGACTGAATCTGACCCTGCTGCTGCAGCGATCCACTCGCCGCACTGAAGTCAGCACGGCCGCAGCTGCCTCAAGCAAGGCGGGAAGGCCGTGAACGAGGCCAGAATGGCGCGGCCGCAATGGGATCTATGCCACAGCTTCAACAACGGCCGCCCGCCAGCTTCCAGCCTGGATTCCTGCGGCCTGTTCAGGCGTCCTGGGCCCAGCCCATGAGCGCCCCTCAGCACCCACCAGGCGGCTATGGGCAGCCGTGGGGGCCCCTGCCGGCCTTAAGCCCCCCAACAGCACAGGTTGGCTTTAAGCATTCGCTGCCCAGCATCCACACTAGGCCTGCATGTTGACACCCTGCACACGCAAAGCTTCCTGTCTTGCACGCAAGCACTTGCTGCAAAGTTTGAATCTGCAATCCAACTGCTCCATGCGCTGCCAGCCATGCTTCCATGATAAGGAGTTCTGAATATTCAATTTGTTGGTGAGTGCTGGTGGTCTTGCAGTGGGGAGCGCGGCCGGCTCGGCCCCCTGCTTACAATCCAGGAGGGCCCAGACCCCCGCCCGGTGCCCCCCTGCCTGGCCCACCACAACATCCCGGCCCAATGCAGCAGGTATGGCGACACTGCTGTGCCGTTAGCGCTATAATTCACAAGATATCGCACCCGAATATATATTTGCAGCATTGCTTGCCCCCACGTTGTCTCCCTTAGCTCAGGCCAGAAGCGGGCATTGAGGTCTCCAAGACACGCCGTGGAACCAATCCACATTGGATTCTGAATGACTTTTCTGCTTTAGGGCCGAGGCTATCACAGCAGCGGCGGCCGCGGCGGCGGCCGCAGCGGCGGACGGTATAGCCAGGATGGCGGCAGGGGCAGAGGGGGGCCACCCCCGGGTCGTGGCAGGTGTGCTTGCCAGGCCAGTATCACAGCACTTATGACTCATGTCTCGACCTCATAATGCACGCACCAGCTTTTCCCATGCAACATCTGCCACTGTTTGGGGATTGGGATGTCTGACAAAGTGTGTCCAGAATGCACCAGCATGAAACTATAGCTACCAGTGCCCATATTCGTGTTTTACATTGTTTCTGTTGACGCGCAAAATAAAATATCACACATTCTGTCGGCAGGTCTGGGCGCGGCAGGGGGGAGGGCAGGGGAGAAGCAAGCATCGAGGCTTACTACTCGCCAACCATGGTGGAGGATCCCTGGCGTTCCCTCCGTCAGACCCAAAACAGGCCACCAAGTGCCAAATTACCTCCACAGAAGGGCGACGGATCCGGAAAAAGAGCAGACAATCCCGCTGTAACCCTTCAGGATGCAACGGAGACTGATGGCGCTGAGGTGCGTTCTTCATTGCATGCGATCTTGCACTTTGCCCATATTGGCATGTTCCTGTCTGTGTTGAAGGGGCTGCAGAGAGTGCAGGCGGTAAGCTCATGTCGGCCTGTCACTCTGCAATTAAGCAAGTCAACAATCTGCATCCTGTAGGTAGCTGTTGATCGATTTGAACTCCGGATCCGGGGCAGCATGCGAGAGCACAGATCTGTCAATATGGCTGTTGAGACATGGGGAGTTCTATGTCTGCAGTAGACGCTGATCATGCTGGGAGAACTGGCTTACAAGTAGACTGCATGGTCATGTCTGCAGGGTGTGCCTGTGGAGGGGGCAGAGATGAGCAAGCTCTCTGAGGAGGGCGCCCAAGATAGGCCTTGGCACTGACTGGTGAAGCAGCTTTCATGCACAGCCGTTTATTTCTATTCTATGCACGGTGGTCCTGGTCGTACCGGACAAGACCATGTTGTAGACAGGAATATGGCCATCATATCATAATTATTCTACTATATTTTTATTCGGAAGGCTACCACAGTTGAGATTTGCGGATATTGTGTGAGGGCAAGGCCCAGAGAGGTCTATGCACCCCTGCTGCACAAGGGTGTGTTGAAACAATGACTTTGTTTTTGCTTGTAACAGTCAGAGAGATGTCTGTGCAGTGGTCCAACCTCCACACAAATGCATGCATCATGGTGACCTTGTACTCGAACCTGAGCATATATCAGAAACCTTGCGGCAACATGCCACTGTGGAGCACTGGGGTCAGCTAAAGCATGGTCACTTTATCCTCAACAATCGCCTGCCAGTGGCCATCACTCTAGTACTACATTGCACCTCCACTTCCGCTTAGACAGTGCACTCCCCTGGACATGTTGGTTCCCAGCCACTAACCAGACCAATTCAAGCTTGCCCTATAGCCAACTCCAAGAACAAAATTTACATCTGGTGCCACGTCATGATCCTCTGCCTGAAGAGCCTCACCCTAACTCAGCAGTATAGAACAGCGAGTCATGCTTCTGTCAGTCAATTAGCAAGGCACTTCGCCTGACCCAGCAGCTGGCTTTCAATGCTCTGGTTTTTCCCCAACGACCATGCACCTGTCCGCTCCCAGATCCAGTCCTGCTGTGCAGTTGGTCATGCCAGGCGCCAGTGTTGTGCACATGTACAATCCTTCTCACAACCCGCTGCCGCCACGCAGCCAATCGTTGCATCCAGTTGACTCTGCCATGTTTCATCCCCTCGTCCTCGCACAAAGACGATGCTGGTGCACCGTCAGACAAATCTGCAATAGGCTCCATCTCTTTCTACTAAGGAATGCTTCTCACACGGAGCTCCTGCTTCACAGCAGGATCAGACGCCGCTCTTCTTAGCATCGAGGAAGATTTTGACATGACCCAAAAGGTTGCTTGGCATGTGTTGCCTCCCCACATTGCCCATGCTTCTCCCAGGTCCACTCCCGCTACGCAGCTGGTGCCCATTCATCCTCATGCACAATCCTTCTGACAGGGCGCTCCTTCTGCACGGCCAGATCAGGCGCCGCCTTTTTTAGCGTCGAGGAAGTTTTCGATGTCGGCTTTGAGCGCGGAGAGGCGGCCCTCAGTCGTGACGGCAACGCCGCCGGCCGCCTTGAGGGTGACTAATACGCGCGCGTCAAAGGCTGTGGAGTATGCGTTGGGATTGCAGAACAGCTCCAGTTGGGCAACCGGGTCATCCTCCCCCGCGCCTGCGCACACGCCATCTCTTATGATGTCCAATTGGAGAGCTCTGAAGGACCCATTTTGTTGAGAAGCTGTGGGAAGTCTCATTAGCCCCGAGCGTGCTGCAATAATGGAGTTTGTCTCTGATCCCCATAATGCAGCGGGTGGGTTTGGTACACTGCCAAACTGAGGATTGTGGCAGAGAAATGGTGAACCCCGAATGAGGCTCTGGCCAAAACATTGCAGGGGAAAGCGCCGTCTGTGGTGCAGGCTGGTAGCATCCTCGCCAGCCCATGAATGCCTTGCAGATGTGGCGGCACTTGCTTGATGTGGGCAAGAGCAGAGCATGACTAGTTTGAAGCAGCCACCACACTTAGCATGCGGTTCTTAGAAGTTGAGCAGCGTACCCTTGTATCGATACTCCATTGCTTGCCAGCGCTTGGGGCGCTCTGCTGCCTGCTTGGCAGCAAATGTCTGAAGCAGGCCGTTAATAGCGGTGCTGACGTCCCTCGCCTGCGCCTCTGCAAAGGGGAAGCTGATGGTCGTCTCATTGACGTGCAGGTCCAGTGTTGCTCCTGTAGACATGGGAGCAGATAATTCGTGTTGGGTGCAGATTCCTGGGTTGTCGAACTTTCTTGCGCTCCCCAGGCTGCCAGTATGTCGATGTAAGTCATGTTTCGGGAATTCGGCGTCCGAAATAACGCCGAGTGGCAACACAGATCACCCAGATCACCACCCTTTTTGCAAGCGGCAGACCCTACCTGAAGAGGCGCATACATTTCTTCTTACATGACTTCTGCTTAATCGAACCGGTGCAGGCAAAAATTTAACCGGCCGTGGCTGTTGAAGATTGGTAGATAGGTGCATTTCCTTGATCATTTAAAGTGCAAACTTAAAGGGAAACCTGTCGAATTTATGTACAGACGCAAACAAGGAACAAATGCCGAGGAATAAGATTTATACAGCCTGCAGAATTTGCAAGTTCAGTTCATCTGATCGGAAACAGATTGAAAGAGATGCCGCTGGAGGGCTTGTCCGGGAGCAAGGGATCTAAGCACCAGGGTTTTGGCATGCAGACGCATTCACTAAGACGCTACTCAAAGCTGGCTAGGACATTTATGCCTCTATAATTGCTTTGCTGAGTGTCATAAACAGATATGGCACCTCGGGCCAGCTGACACCAGTATTATTGCGCTTGCACCAGAACACCGCAGCGGCTGCCGTCGCGGTGCCGCGGCTGCGGCTGCACAAGAGATTCATGAAGAATGCCGCAGTCACCCGGAAATATGCAGCTGCACAGTATGCACACGAAAATGCAGCGAAACATGCTGCTACGAGTCTTGATGCACACAGGAAGAGGTAAGGAGAAGGTGCCTCCCAGGCAGGGCTGTGTCTGCTTTTGTCACCGCATGACGATGCCGGCTCAGCTGATCAAAACTGATCTTCTAGATATTTATTGGGATATCTTGCCTCAGCCAGGCCTGATTATAAGTGGAAGGGGAGCTGAAATCCAGGTTTCCGCTTAGAACCCTAGGAAGTGAGTCAGTGAAGTGAGTCACAGCAGTGAACTTGAAGACCGCGCTGAGGCTGTGAAAAGCGAGGCTCGCGGGAGAACATCATCAGAAACGCCAACTTGGATGGCAGCAGACCACGCACATTTCATCTGTGATTGAGGCCAGGCGATAGTGGACGGATCGAGCCATTCTGGGCGCCCTCAGCAAGTTTCTACCGCGTGCCAGCGGGGATTTGGATTGGCACAGGGCATCCGACAGCAGCGGGCCTGACAGGACAGGCGAGGTTCCAGCGAGCGGGACTGATGTCCGTGGGGCATCCGCGGTGCAGCCGAAGGCAGTAAGCAGTGGGTGGCGCGGGATAGACTCCGGTCGAGTTATGGGCTCGACGGTCTCCTGTATGCAGGCGGCTTCCGCCGGCGTGGAGGACGACAGAGTCACCAGCGGGCAGCACTGCTCATCGTCTGGCAGGGATGCAAAGGTGCAGCTCTTTCCCCGGGGATCCGCGCCGACAGGCAGTCCGTGGATTGTCTAAATGTGCCTCACGGCCGAGGGCCTGCGGCATCGTCACGTGTTTGAGGCTGCAGCCTGCGGCGATGCTCTTGGCGTCCAGAGCGATGGCCCGATGCGGCGGGTGGCATGCATCCAGGCAGTTTGTGTAGGCATTTCTTGGGCAGGGGCGCTTAGTGGGCACAGGTGTCTCACTTTCGATTGAGGCAGTCTGGGGAAGACGAAGTGTAAGATTTAGTTTTGCGATACACAAGGCCCATCTGCAGGTGTAGTTGGCACATCGGGTTTTTCGGATGAGCGAGAAATGCGATCTTCAGCATGATCGGGCTTTCCTGCCGTACAGGCTCTCGGCACAGGAACTAGGGTCGAAGTGTTGGCGTTAGACAAAGCAGGACTCTCAGCGCTGTATCCGCCCTCGATACGGCTCTGCGATGTTGTGTAGATGGCGCAGGGCAGGGCTCGCAGGGATCTGCACCAAGGGTTGCCAGGATGCGAGGGCTTACCAAGCATGCATACAGGACTGAGTGGGCTTCCCGTGTATGCATCCAGGCGTTCAGCACGCTGTCTCGGGCTGGGAGCAAGCGGCTGTTGGGCAAATCGGCAGACCACCACGCAGAAACGTGTGTCCTGGCGGAATGCACGCCCAGCTGCACAGGACAGGTGTTGGGCAGCGCAGCGGGGGACCTGTACACCCAGGCTTCAGCAGAGGCATTTGCATCCTCAAAGCAGGCCCTGCAGGCTTTTGTGAAGATGGCAGTGCGATCGCCGAGGACCTCTGCCCTGCACAGAATTTCCCCAGGGCAGGACCCTCCAGGGCCAGCCAGCGCGTGCAGATTTTCTGCTCAATGCTGTCAGAGCTCCTCACAGGAGGAGTCTGCGGCAGCAGCGGCTTCAGAGTCCTCCAGGTGTCAGGACGCGTCAGGGTTTTGCAACACAGGCAGCGCAGACGCAGCGCAGCTGCAGCGACCTCCCTTCTGCACGGGGTCCACATGCCCCCAGGAAGCAGCTGCAGTCTTCAGTCAGCTAGAGCGAATGGCGCTGTCGCAGCAAGAGCTGGGCGGTGCCTCTTCCAGCAGCACAGATCGCCGGGTACAGCGCTCAACCTCTGACTTGAGCCCTACAGCACAGCCACCGATGCAGTCGGCCTTTGAAGCGGCCGCCTCGCGGCTATCCGAGCCGGGGGACTCCGTCTGCGGCATGGCCAGCAGCAGCTCGTGCAGCCCCTTCACCCGGCAGCGCGAGCCGCAGCACAGCGCAGCCGTGCAGCCGAGCCCGTTTGCGGCGGCGGAGAGGTTTGTCCCGCGACGGGTGCGGCAGGAAGACGGCGGCCCAAATGCATTTGCGGCCGCGGTGAACGCGGCGCCGTTCGGGAGGCCCTTTGCGAGCCCCTTCGACTGCGGCGCGGCCATGGGGGCGGCCAGCGCGCCGCTCTCAGGCAGCTCGCTCGCCGCTCCGTTGCAGTGCCGCAGTGCGTTTGAGAGCTTGCCGGCCGACCGCCGCTGCTGCCAGCCCTCGTCGCTCATGGTGGACGGCGTCGACCTGCGCAAGGAGCTTCACATAGGTGTGTTTTTGCACTCCTACAGCGCTGCATGTGACTTTGTTTATGGCTGCTTTGATTGTCTTGCAGACCTACCAGCATCTCATGGTAGCCTTGGAGACATGTGTGCACCAGTGCTGACACTGGTTCTCCCTGTGAATGCTATGCTGCTGCATGGAAGGAACTTTCGCATCTTTCCAAGAAGGAAACACAGGGACGTCGTGCACTGACGGGGGGTGTGTGTTGCGCCCCGCAGAGCCGCTGCTGCAGCTAGTGGGCACAGTGCTGCAAGTGGATGTGGTGATGCTGTCAGTGGTGAGCGGTGATCAGTTCTTGACCATGCGTGGTGGCAAGCTGGAGAGCCAGTCAGCGACGGAGGCATCGCCCCTGAAGCGTGCGCTGCACCCGCTCGTCACCGCTGACACCTGCAGCACCGTCGTCATAAGCGACACCGCCTTGGACGCGCGGTGCGTGCCAGCTTCATTTTATATTGATTTATTGAAAGGCTACTTCAGCCTGCACACTGGCAGCATCATGCCTCTTGTGGCGCGGATGTGCCGAGTGTGGGAAACTTGGGTTGCGGGCTGATTTTTTGGCATGTACTGTCCTGCCTTGCCAAGGGGAAATATGGAAGTAGGGGAGAAAATCTTGAAAGGGTGAGGAGCTGAACTGTGTGTGTTCTTGTCAAGCAGGCTGCCAGCCAACTCCAGGGAGGAGCTGGGCTTGGGAGCGCTGTGCGTGAAGCCACTCTGCAACGCCGTCGCGCGCCGTGTGGGCACCCTGTGAGTCCTCCTTCTCAGCCTGGAGCTCTGTTTTGCGTGGCTGAGTGATTTGTCAATCTGGGGACAGAATGGAATGAGCTCTGAGTTCAGCAGGAACAAGCATTCAAGCATTCACTTGTGGCGCTGAGATTTGGCTGAGGATGGATTGCTCAATGGGCGCTATCAGTGCAGATCTGTGCTCTACAGTCTCTGCGGCCTGTAAGGCAAGTGTGTATGCTGATCAATGACTTGGGCTGAGTCTGGAGCGCTGCACGCGCAGGTGCCTGGGCACGAGGGAGCCGCGCGAGTTTGGCGCGGGCCCAGTGGGAATTCTGACAAACCTGTCGGAGCTGGTGGTGCACGAGATCGAGGCGGCGGCTGAGCGCGCTGTGCAGCGGCAGCAGAGCGAGAAGCTGCTGGCAGCCATGGACCTGTACCAGGATGCATTTATGCTTGTGGACACCACCGTCGCCAAGTGGCGCATCCTCCATCTGAACCTCATGGCTGCCAACCAGATTGGTGCGTGCTGCTACAGCTGCTTCTGTTCGTGGACATGCCAGATGGAACCGCAACTTTGCCAGTGCTTCTGGCATGACTGATGCCCTGATGGACATGCATTGGTGCATGGTCCGGCAAGTAGCCATCTGTCTTGAAGATATCTCTTTGATCCGGTGTTGTTTTAGATGAATTCATGTCTGGGTATCCTCTGAAACAGGCGGCACCTTCACGCTCTGCCTTCAAAAGGAGCAAAGGGGCAGTAGGATGTTCTCAGGATCAGCTCATGTGATGTTTGTGTCGGTTGTGCGCTGACGTGGATGTGCGCTGACGTGGCAGGTTTGCCGAGGGAGGAGGCGAAGGACGCGATCTTTTGGGACGTGTTCGAGGTCCGTAACCCCGTAACGGGCGAGCGCGCGGAGCCGTGGGTTCCCTGCGAAGCCGCGGCCGCCAAGGGCCAGAAGTTTGTTCTTCACAAGGTCCGCCGCTGCGGCGACCCGGCCGAGGAGCCCTGCCAGTTCACCATGCGCTTCAGGTGCGGTACTTTTTCGCATTCTCTAATTGAAGGACTTAAAGGGCAATATGCAGCTGCGAAAGACTTCTCAGTGCATGCTTTACTGAAGAGAGCCTCATGATTGTCAACCAGAAATGCAAAACCCGGTTGGGCCCATCCTAGAAGTGATGTGGCATCCTGAGGTATTCCGTGACGTCTTCAATGTTGGTGTGTCCATGAGCATTGTATGGGCATGCTGGTGTTGAAGTGGCCATGGGAAATCCTCATGCTACCTCAGGGGACCTGTCAATTTTGTAGGGTGCTCTGTACATTATGTCGCTGTCACTGTGTGAGCAGTCCACCCAAAATGGGTAAAAATATTCCCGGCATTGTTGAGTAAAAGTGAACGCAGCCTAAGTCAGTTAGTATTTTGATGATCTGTCATGTGCGCAGGCCGGCGTGCCAGGAGATCCAGCCCAACGCGTTCTCGTGCGGCCTGCCCATCCCGCAGCCCAAGCGCCCCTTCTACTTTGTGGACGTCTCTGTGCTGCCCACCGCCGCACAGGCGCAGGCCTCGCCAGCCTCCGCTGCATCCTCGTCAGCTTCCCCCAGCGCATTGCCGCCTCGCGCCATGTACTCGCGCTTGCCGAATCAGGTACATAGCAATCCTTGACTGAGACTCTGGCTGCTCATTTTGGTCGGCTGCTTTGGGTGCTGGTATGCATGGGACAAGGTCCAGAGTAGATGTGTGAATGACACGTTACAAAGCAGGCAAGTCCCAGGGATGACAAGAACACGTGAGAGGCATTGGCTGTGCAGGCTTTCTTACCCCCATGCATGTGGCCTGGGTTGTCGTTGCTCCACGCCAGAGTGATCTTGACCCATGCCGCATGCATGGGCGCTGCCTGGCTCTATGTGAGGAATGGACCTCGAGCAGCGAGGAGTAGGTTCCAGCAATTGTGTGGTTGTCTGCTGCGTGCATTAATGGGCCCAGAATAGTTTAGACACTATGCAGATGTCTGATGGGTGGAATGTTTGCGCAGTGCGAGGCGGGGCAGACACAGCCGGTGACGCCGCGGGGAGTATGCACACCGGCAATGTACAGCGGGCAGAGCCACGGGAGCACGCTGAGCGAAAGCGCACTGTCTCCCACCAGCGTCCCCTTCCCGGGCCTCGAGCTGGGTTATGTCATCGGCCGCGGCGCCTTCGGCTCCGTCTTCCGCGGCACCTACAATGGCGAACCTGTCGCCGTCAAGGTCCGCTCTTTTCCTTTTCTCTTCTCGCATTGTAACCCCCTGGCAGATGGCTATTTTGTGTAGTGAAACTGCAGATCTATTGTGTGCACCCAAGACCTGGTGACATAAAAATATGGGTCTCGCTCTATTAAATAGTAACGTGGATTGCCTCCAGAGCTCAGCCGGCTTGAGGTGCTTATGCTTACACAGTGAACTTGCACTAGTGATCAGAGCAACTCTGCCTGAGATGGTCAGCCTGCATGCTCGTCTGACATGAGTGCCTTTGTATGGCTGCAGGTGATAGTGGACAACGACCAGGCGCGAGTGAAGGACGGTCTCCCAGTGGAGGCGCACATAACGGCGGGGCTGAGCCACAGCAACGTTGTGCGCACGATCGCGCACGCATGGCGCCCGCTCACCAGCCACGTCAGCTCCAGCATGTCTGTTTGGGACAGCGCCGGCTCCGCCCTCGGGCCGGCAACCTGCTCCGACGGCGAGACCTGGCTCCTGCTCGAGCTCTGCGACCGCGGCACCCTGCAGGCGCGCACAATCACCACCTGATCACTTTTCAGACAGGGAACGATTTATCTGGCTTCTCATGCATGTCTTTGAGATGGGTATTCAGGCATCATAAGTTTCATGCAATGTTGCTCTGTTTTATGGCAGCCTTCTGAGGAGAGAAGTCAGGCCTGAAGCGCCCAACATCTAGAAGCGTGATTGCAAGTGCCCTGCTGTTTATGTCCTGGGACACGCTCCTTCTGTTTGCCCACACTATCAGATGCCCATGAGCAATCGTAAAAGTCAGCTTCTGATTGTTTTCCGCTTGATTTGCACAGGACGCAATCCTGGCCAAGTTCTTCTTGGAGGAGGCAGGCGCGGAGGCGGCGGCTGGCCGACGCAAGATGGAGGCGATTCTGCGCACCTGTGCTGAGGTGGCGGATGGCATGGCATACCTGCATGCGCGTGACATCGTCCACGGCGACCTCACCGGTTCCAACGTGCTCCTCCAAAGCAGCGAGGTGAGCACATTTTATCACTGTTAAGAGTTCATGGGCATGCGGCTGAAGTGCAGCTATTTGAGCCAAGATGCCATGACTGGGTGCCTCTTTCCCCCAAATCGCTTAGATGTGGCGAGTCTGCACTTGCCTGGTCTGTGTCTCTGCTGCTGCTTCCGCGCAGGGGCTGGCATATTCGTGACCATGTCAAAGTTGCCAAAGTTGCTGCTTTCCTGTTAAAGAGACGAGTCCCTGAGTCGAAGGTACTAGTCCTCATGTCATGGCTGCGATGTCCTGCAAGGAAGCAATGCTTGACTGGACTGCTGGACATTGTGCAGGGGTTGCCGCATGGAGTGACGGCCAAGGTGGCGGACTTTGGGCTTTCGCGCGACATGCTGTGCGCGTCCAAGATTGAGACCCGCACCTGCGGCACAATCACCCACATGCCGCCCGAGCTCCTCTCCTCAGACGTCATGTCCAAGGTTTGAGCCCTGCCTGCCTTGAGAGATTTGTCCCGCTTTTAACCACTGCCCCGGGCAGACTGCCACAAGTTGTGCACCTGTCCTCGATGTCAATTTGTTCCACAACTCTGCGCCCTTCCCTCAAGACTGCCCCTGTGTTGCACACCCTCCTTATGGTGTGGCCTGCCCCCTCCTCTCTTGCGCATTTGCCCATGCCCACCCTTTTATGGAAAAAACAGTGCATTCGGTCACTCCAGGGCTAATATATTGGCTCATAAAGCAATTTTATTGCAAAGATGGCTGTTGTGCCTTGCTGCTTGGGTGACAATAAAATCTGACATGAGTGTTCTTGTTGTGTCGCAGGCGGCTGATGTGTACGCTTTTGGGGTGCTCATGTGGGAGATCTTCAACGGCGGCCGCGCCTGGGAAGGCCTAAACCATGCCCAGGTGACTCATCTACCCTCATCTGCCTTCCTTTCTGCCAATCGTCTGCACTTTTGAGTTGCGGACTTGCATTGCAAGGTTCTTGCTGGGCTTGAAGGACTTGAAACCATCTGTAGTTGTAGGTGGCAGTAAATCTTCTTTCATGCTCTTGCCTATCGATATCAATGCATGTTGGGACTTTGTTGTTGTTATTGCCCAATGGGAAGAGACACTGGCTGACTGTCTCATGCGATGCATTGTTTACAGGTGATCCACGCAGTGGCGATCATGCACAGCAGCCTGGAGTTCACCCCAGAGACACCGCTGGCTTACCAGCAGCTGTCGCAGCGCTGCATGGCAGCGGACCCGGAGCTGCGCCCCAGCTTCCCCGAAATCTGCCGCGTCCTGCAATCTCTGCAGGCCTTTGCGGCCGCCCCCTGATCCCGCCCCGAGTCTTATTTTGGCCGGCGGTCTTCCCTCCTCAGTCCAGGGGGGGAAAAACAATTTGCTCGGTCTGGCAGTCCGGCTGCATGCTCACGGTGGGCAGCCAAAGGTTAGGGAGGAAGACAATCCTGGGCTTGGCGTGTAAATGTGCAAGGGTGAGCAGAGGGAGGCTTTGGAGATGCATGAGGGTGGATGATCCGCGCGTGGGGGTAACCACAACGAGCAGAATGGCTCGGCCGGCTTGTGTGGGGAAACCCCTGTACACCGGCCGTGCTTCAGCAGAGCTGCATTCTCTGTTGGGGGCGCTCAGAGCCACGCGCGGCTGCACACCGGTTCTACACAATACAAATTTCTATTTGCGGCGATCGGAGTTTGAAAGGCGCATAATGCTTGTTCCTAAGGAAGGCGCTCGGGTGGGTGCGTCCGAGGCGCAGAATTTCGTGATTCCTCAAGGATGACCTTTGCTGCAAATTTCTAACCAAAAATCTGTATTTCTTTGCTACTCCCAAGCAATTTCTGACTGTCCGCATTGAGTAGGGGTGTAGTATGTGCCACATGGCACCAATCTGGGGGGATTGCCCCTCTCAAGAGGAAAGGCCTGGAGGTTGCATTGAGGGATGGCTCTACAGCTCCAGTAGAGGAGCACAAAAGGTGTCCCACTGCTAGCTGTGGTGTGCCCCCTCCAACTGTTTCAACAAAATGCATGCAACCCCGCCAAATGTGCGGGGTGCATGTGTAATTCTTTGTGTCTGATGGCTCCCCAACAATCTAGGGGGTGCGAGGTATGAAGTCCCACCAAGGCATGAAATGCTTGTGTCCCTCGACAGAAGGTATAGCGGTACTTGCAGCACCATGAGCTCTAAATACATTGCAAACACCAATTGGATGTGGGTAAGCAGCGCGCTCGACTGCGCGCTCGACTGCTCGGGTGTGCATGTTTAAGAGTGTGTCGCTGTGAGCTGGCAAGTCCGGGCGGTCATGTGGGGGGTATGGGAGAATGAAAATGGCCGTGAAAACGCCAAACTTAGTGCCCGCGCATGATGGCTATCCCTTGAAGCACTTGCGTGTTTATTGCACTTCCGTGGGCTCTTGAGACAGCAGCCCAGGTGTTGTCACCTGGTGCTGGTATATGGCAGAGGGAGGCTGGTTATGGGGCGCAGTGTCTCTCTTGGGGTCTACCGTGCGGCGTGCTTGTGTTTATTTGTGTGAGCACCCAAGCTGTGGTGAGCAATTGGTGAATTTCGAGTCTTTTATACGTGTTGACAGGACATTCTTTTCGTGCATGAGGAGTCTTGATAGCTGTGTGGGGGATAGTTGCTACGTGCAGAACCAAGGCTGTCGATAGAGGGCAACCCACCTGTCAAGGTTGCCGGTCGGGGCTCCATATTCATAAAGAGTGCATGTACGATCAAATGAAAGGGGTGGAGTCTGCTGCTACCTGGCAGGGCGTTTGTGTGTTTGCGGGTGTGCACTGCTGTCGGTTTACAATTGGGCAGGGCGTGGGTGTGCTTTGTGGCACTTTGAAAAGCCCACCCCTCCCACGGGGGTGCCACAGCAGCAGTGGCACTCCAAAGATGTCCTAGCAGGAGCTGCGTGGGAAAGCTATTTGATGCCACTCTTGGGGGAACTAAAGACATCGTATGAGGGGTGGGGCAGACTGATGATTTGTGTCTCTGCCTGATTTGCTGTGGTTCTGATTGTCCCCAGCCAAGAGCGGCTATCTGACGCCAATCTTGGCTGCCGGCGGCGCAGGCCAGATCTTCTCTCTAAATTACTATTGGGGGCAGCGCCACGACCGCAGAAGCCGCACTATGTGCGGCGCGGCTGCGGTCGCGGGCTGCTCCGTCCGATGCTTTTGGTTGTGTGCTTTTGCGCTTTGCTGGAAGCGCCTGTCGCCCTGGCTTTTTGCCCCTCATTTCCCCGACGCGAGTGTCGAAAAAACCAAGGGCCAAAAAGCCGCCGTTCGCTTAGAATCGAACGGCGGCGGCGAGGCCGCCCCGGGCCGCTTGCCTCGCAGGCGCCGGGGCGCGCCTAGTCATCAATGCAGAGCTTTCGTCGGGGCCTCGGGGCCTTTTTGAAAAAGTTGGGCGGGGGGTTATTCTCTTTCATTTGTTTTCTGCGTGCATGTGTCGGGCCTTATGAGCTCTTGCTAGGCTGTCAGCGTTGGGGTGAGGCGCATGATGGAGCCCTCCTTGGAGGCAGTGTGCGGTGAGGATGTGTGCAGGCTTGTGCGCACGCATGTCGTGCCCTGAGGCCCTGAGCCAAGGCTGACTAAATTGTTAGAATACAATGTACATACCCCGCATGTCTTCTGATTAGACTCTAATCGATGCATGCATGACTCCAATCCATGCATGCATTTTTTCGTGCACATTGATCAATGCATTGATGAACGTGCCCCAATTTCTTGCTGTGTCACTCACTGTACACATAGTATGCACATGTTCATGATCATGTGGGCACGTGCATTGCATATCATGAGCCTCCACCTTTTACATGCAGCTGTAGCGCTATGTACTAGGCACTCGTGCACACCAGCTTCAGAACTACACACCCCTCTGCAGGCTGTCTGCCCATGCTGGTCTTGCAGGGACTTCAGTGCATCCATATTACTCACAAGACTCAGTTCCCATAAAGCACATCCAGTAAAGACTGACAACATGCTGCAATGCCAGCATTTCCTTATTCATCGCAGCAATCCAGCGCCACTCAATCAGGCGCAGCACTTTGATCTCAAGATCTTTGCCAGTGTATTCACCGGTGAGGGGAGCCTGGCTCGACAATGTAACCTCATGCCTTGAGACCGTCAATGTCTTGCACAATGTGTCCAAGTGTAAAGTCTCCTGAGGTGCTCACAATTGGCGAAACTGACACAGAAAGTTCGCGCCGACTGCAAAGCCCTGCTTGAGCGCTGTACAGACTGGATTGATTCTACTTAAGACATGACCTACCAGTGCCCTCATTGTTTGTACAGTGATGTGAAATGCTGAATCCACGTCTCTGGCCGCTGATATCTTATGCCAGCATACATCGAGCCCTGTCTGTTGCATTTCAGCAGCTCATAAGCAGCTGTGAGTCAGATCAAGAATTGGCCAATAGCAGTAACGGCAGCGGTTAGGCGGCACTTCAGGCAAGCTGCGCCGTTACAGGGGATTTATGGAGTGCCTATTCAGGCAATGCGTGCCCGTTATGGGGACAGCCCGACGCCGGCGGCGATGCTGTGGACGTGGCGGGCGACTAATCGCGCCAGGTCATCGGCGGCCGATTGCGTTGCGGCCTCGGCGTACACCCGCACTACATCCTCTGTCCCGCTCGGCCGCACAAACGCGCGCCCTGTGCAGCTTAAACGTGTCCCGGTGAGCGCTCCTAACAGGAAAGAAATTCTGGCGCACAAAATAAGCACATCACAGAGTGTGAGGAGGAAAATCTCCTTGCTACACGCCTTGACTACCCTGAAGCCTTCAAGCATGGTATAATGTTGCTGTGACAAGCGAACAACGGCCACTCAGCGCTCGATTTTGCAGCGGAGGAAAGAACGAATGACTTGACTAATGTTGGTTTGCATGGACGTTGCAAAAGTTGCTGACAAGCATGCATGAGACAGCCTGTGCTTGGCGGCAGATGAGCCTCCAGCCAGCAAGGATAAAGGGTGAGTACTAAAGGCGCACACAACAATGTGACACTGACCTGAGGGTGCTGCTGCGACGGCGGAGTCTATGAGTTGCTGCAAGCCGCTGGGGGACTCCACCCTCGTCTCTGCATGGCTGGTTGTCACCACGCTCCTGTCCGCCACCTTCACCTGAGCCCACACCAGCCACGCATTTAAGGGACCTTGGACAAAATCTCCGCAGATGCGAAATTTTATAATCCGCCACCCGGCTCTGAATCTATGATGCAGGCACCCAGGCACAGGCCAGACGCAGTGTCAACAGCTATGAGCCATTAACGAGTCTTCTGTGGTGCCCAGCATGGTCTAAACCATCCACTGACCACAAAGCAGTGCTGCTATGACTGCAATCCAACAAAATCAATACTTGCAGAATCGCAATTCTTGCCTAAAAAGTCCTGCTCGCAACAGCAGTGCATCCTCCAGGAGAGGGTCACTGGGCAACTGCCTTCCTGCGTCTTCTCTGGCTGTAACTGCTACATGCGCACACACCAGTTCACTGAAGCAAGTGCCTGGTAGGTTGTAGAATCAGCACCCACCTTGAGCTGGCGGCTAGGCAGGTCGGTGTAGAGGGCGGCCCATTCTGGGAGGCCCCACTTCTTCCTTCGCAGCGCTGCCTCCACAAGTAATACCCCCGAGAGGGCGTCCCCCACCGCCTGATTCACCATGTCCACCAACGCCAGCAGAGCCTTTGCCGGCCCAGAATCATCGCCCAGCTGCGCGCAGCAAATATACAAGTGAGATGCAGTGCAGAAAGAGTTGAGCAGATGTCCGAGTGGCTTAAGGTGTAGACTTGGAAAGTCCATGTGGCTACCAAACCACCGAGGGTTCGACTCCATCTCTGCCCAATTCGTGAACGGCTAAGGGAACTCTTTGACAATTGGCGATTTTGGGACAACCAATGAGACCCTATGATTGCTAGCCCATCAAGTAAATTCCACTCCGCAAAGTGGATGCGAGCACCAATTTAAACAATTCTCGCAAAGAAAGTCAGCCAAGGCTGAATAGCATTTTTGCAAGACCTGAATCGGCCGTCAGAGGCAGGCAAACAGAATGTCAAATTACCAGCACGAAAATTACTCAGCAATCAGCAGACCAGTACACCATGTGTGCATCAGGGCGCACCGTGAAATCTGCTGAGAAGTGCTTGGACAAGAAGCTCTTCGGAGCGGGCATGCTCTGGCAGCAAAGGCACCAGCAAAGTAACATACAGAAAATCGGCAGAGGGCCCTCAGCTCTGCCTAAGTAGGATTGTGGAGCTCATGGCAGCACAGTCATGCATCTGCGCACCCACCTCGTGCAAGCGTTGCACCAGAGCCGCGCTGAACAGGACGGTGCCGTGGCCGTTGGCCTCGAAGTAGATGCCCACGTCAAACTCCTCTGCGGCCGCATGCAGGTGCTTCACACCCGTCGGCGTCACCCGCACCTCGCACTTCAACTTCTCCTCTATGTATGCCGTCGAGGCGCCGTTCGCATACGCCGTCTGTACAATGCCCACCTGCAATGCACATGCCATTTTTGTCATGTACACTTCTGTCTTGCCGAGCTTGACACAAGCCCTGGGCCACGCAAAGCATGCGGACGCAGGCCCTGCCATGGGCAAAAGGCTGGCTTGACGCTTGTGAGATCGTGCGCTCCCTGCCTCTAGGCGGAGGCTGGGAGGGCACATTAACCGGCAGGGAGGGACGAGCATGTTCAGCAGATGCCAGAGCGCTATGTCTCCTCTTCTGCTGATTGTTCGGAGATTATCTCACTCGGCTGTCGGCGGGCTTGACAGAGCCACAAAGGCTCGTGCAAAGGGGCAAGCAACAATGAAGCGCCTGTGCGCACCGTGGGCGGCGGCTGCTCGGCTGTAATCAGACTTCTGAGCAGGTCCATGACCAGCAGCGCGGCCAGCACGGCGATGCGATCGCCGTCAAACAGGTGCACCTCATCGGCTGCACCACGCCGCTGAAAGTACACCAGCCGATCCGCGTCCCCGTCCAGGCTGGCGCACCTGCACAGTGAGTAATACATTTTATTGTCAACACAACTCAAACCCGGCGGTACTCGCAGATGCAGTGACTTCCCTCATGCTGACCTTTGTGTGCCCAACAGGCTGACACTTCTCAGGGGAACACTCCATGTGGTATTTTCATAAGGTATTCAAGATTCCACCTGCACTTCTTTAATTTAGGGATCCGCTGCAGCATGCTGACATGAGGGCGAGCAGAGTCAACATAATTAAGCCATACAGAATCAGGGCAGATATGCAGAGATGTGCACAAGGAGGCGGCAACTGAGATCTTCTGAGGGAGGGAACACGAAAGGACGGAGGGCGTGGCACACCTGGCGCCCTCGGGGACATCCTGAAAGCCGGCGGGAAGCCGCCGCTCCTTCTGCAGAAAATCAGCGCCGCAGCAGTCGTTGAGACCCTCTGCGCCGGTATTGCGCAGCTCCGCCGAGAGCCCCGGAGCCAGCCGGTCCGCCAGCACCTGCAGCTTTGCCGCCCCAACCCCATTTGCGCAGTCCACGATCAAACCCTGTGCAGGGCACAGCCTTTGATCATGAAATCACCCTAGATATAGGGATAAAGGGTTGAGCAATCTTCAATGATCGGGTGTACCGTGGTCTGGGGGTGCACCTTGGAGCTTCAACAATGAAGTGTGCACACCCCAAATCAAAGTGCACTTCATCATCAAGGATTGCTCTCATACCACATAGTCAATGTCAATAGCTGGGTGCGTCACCAACATGGGTGTATGTGGCAAAGAAGGTGGAGAGTCATAACCTCAACAAGAACACCCACATACTGTCTGCCACGTAGCCATAATATCTACAGAATGCAAAGGTCATTACATGCAAGCGGGCAAATGCGGGGCTCACCTCGCTGGGGGCGGGGTGGCCGGATACGAGCCGCGCATAGCCTGTGGCGAGGGCCTCATAGTAGGCCTTCTCCTTGTGCTTGAGGCCGGCGTTGCACTGGCGCACCATCCAGTGCAGCTGCGGCGTCGTCAGCTGCCCGCAGGCTATCGGCAGGCTCCCCATCGCGGCCACGCCGGCAGCCGCCGCCTTCACTAACGCGTCCGCACTCGGACGCGTGTCGTGCGCCAGCATCACTGTTGAAGATCCTGCGATCGTGCCACATACAACACTGCTCACTTGCATGTTATGTGAACTGCGTGGATTCTCGGGTCGCTGTGAAGTGGTGTAGTAGTAAGTTCACAGAGCAGATTGATGTGAAAGGGAAGTAGCAGGTGATTTGCAAGTAAGTGCTTGCTTCAAGAAAAACAATCTGTGTGCGCCTCACAGCTATTGAAGGGCTCGGAAGCCAGCATGCACTGCTCAGGCAGTAGGAAAAAGACACATCTGTAGGAGATTGTGAGCAAGGTGCAAGTAGCCCACCATAGGGAATGTCTTCGACCTGGAAGAGCTCCTGGACAACTGCGCAAGTGCCATCCTCATCATCCGCCGCAGCAAGCTTGTTGGCCCAAGCCTGCATGAGACACAAATATCATGCTGGCATGCAACTATATGCTTGAGACCATACATTGGATCTAGCATAGTGGACATGCTGAAGCCAGCATATAACATGGATCAACAACCTTCTGGAACAGACCCTTTTGGCTGTGCTGCCCTGTCAACAACAATTTTGCCCCCTGGAATCTTAAGCTCTGAGGTCCCGGTGCTATTTACCTCCCAGGCTTGGTCAAGCATATAGCCTGTTGGATCCACCAGCTTAACCCCGTTGTCCTCCACTGGATTGTGTGAGGCAGTGACCACCAACCCAGTCACACCCCCAGTCTTCAGAGCCCGCAATGCCATCAACAGCCCACACCTGCGTGCATCACGAGGTGCATCACTCAAAGTTCCACCCAAAGTAGCTTTATCGACGCAGGCCTACAACTGATGCGTAAATTGGAAAGTGAAAAGAGTTTGGTGGGGTTTTAGGAAGCAAGATGTCTAAGGAGGGACTTTACCTGTAGACTGTCGATGGCAGAAGTGATGCTTCTGCGCGGAAGCCTGCTGTCCCATACGTGAGCTTTACCTTGCTTGGATTATTGTACTGGCTGCAAGACTCTTTAAGGGTTCCTAAGTCCATGCTTGCCCCCTTTCTGCTGAACTTATCAAGAGATCCGCTTAGGCCAGCATCTCGGCAATAATTTGAAAAGAATGGATGCTTATCAGCTCAGGGAATCAATAAAGCACACGAACAAGCTCCCGGTTGCTATATCCGAAAGCACTTGGCACCAACTGATAATCTAGGTCCGCTGCTTCCCGCCGTTTGAGGCAACTTTACTTCGCTCTTAATTGGGAAGATACTTATATGAATTACACAGTCGAGGACACCTTAAGATTGTGCGCGTTCCTCATAAAGATACTTTCTTCCATTCAATCAACAGGCTGACTCAGCAGGACAACCTCATGCTTCTGCCCACATTCACTTCCACTCAACTCCGCGATCGATCATACTATTCTTTCCTTGGTAGCTTTCCATGAAATCTTCTAATTCTGTTTCAGAAGGAAGATCGAATGATCCAACGAATTAAAGCACACTTTGTGGATCTTGCTGTCTAGTATTCTCACATCCAGGACAAGCAACGATACATCGGGTGATCCGAAAGGTCCAATCTAACCACAGTTTAGGACATATGATTTCTGTCCTAGAACCCCGCGGGCACCAAAGTGAAATATGTACAGAATGCCCAAAAGGCATGGCATGTCTGAGCAGGTCAGGTCTATTGCGGTCCTGCAGGTTTAGGAAGAGGCCTTTTGCAAGGTGTACAAGAACGAGCAAGGTGACATGTTCCTTCAAGTATCAAATCCTACTCGGATCGCATGCCCAAACTCCCTTGTGTGACATGTTCAAGTCCATTAATCAAGCTCATAAGGATCATGGCAGGTGCTTGACACAGTGTGGGATTTTCTGGGGCACAAAGGTCTTCACAGGGTCTCCACAGGCGCAAGCTAAGAGCACAGGTGAAAGGATGATAAGCAGGGAGAAGTTCCGCACCTTCACAAACCCCTTCGGTGGGTCTTTGGCAACCCAATCCCCACTACCATGGCATTTTGAATCTTTGCCTTATATGGTTGCCTGTTTCTTTTCTACTGAGTGGCCATTGCTTACCTGTCTGCCTGCTCTTTTTCATCCATCCCCACCTGTTTGCCTCCCTTGCACAGGTGCCGTCCTCAAACAGGTTGCAGAGAATGCTTGGGCAGCTGAACGGCCCTTTGTTTGGTTGGGAATAGACGTCGGTGAGGCTATGCCACTTTCAATATATCAAGTGCTTTAAATCAACTTAGCATGATCACCTGCACGTCCCCACATTCACTCCAACAGCACCAGGAATTGCTGTCATGTGACAGTGCCTGCAGAATCTGTTTCCTCGGCATTGATTTGATCTTAATTTTGTGACACTGCAGGTGGATGCATGGCTGTGCTGAGGCTCAGCGATGGAAGCCTCTGGGTGCACAGCCCTGTCCAGTTGGACGATGACCTGGCGGCAGCCTTAGCAGAACTGGGCGAGGTCAAGCACATTGTCACCCCAAACTACGAGCACACAAAGTACGCCAAGCAGGTATGAAGTTATGCGCCCGGATTAAGAAACCAAGGCCTGCCGTAGAATTTTAGGGGACCCTCCTGATGTTTGTACCATCAGGAGGGTCCTTTAGGACATCACAGCAAATACAGGCTCCTTCTTGATAAAATTATGGGGAAAAGCAGAGACCAGCTCAGAGGCGTGATGTTGTGTGTCTGCAGTGGATAGAGCGGTATCCTGGCGCGCGCTCATATGCATGCCCCGGGCTGAAGCAGAAGGAGCCGGAGGTCCCCTACACCACTGAGCTGGGCGGCGGTGGCGGGGACCCCCCGGAATGGCTGGGGGAGGTCCAGTCAACCTGGCTCAGCTACGAGCGCAACCCCTTCAATGGAAAGCCTTTCTTCAATGAAGTGGGGCATACCGTGCAGGGCATCTGCTTCCTTACAGATCTGAAATGCCTGTGCAGCCCATTCACTGGCAATAATCTTGTTGCATGTCTCAAGCTTCCGTGCATGTATACCACTACTGTACTCAATCACTAGCAAGTCTTCCTGCCGAAATAGCAAGCCTGTGGGAAACCCTCGTGAGCGCGTTCTAGTCATGATGCTCTCCGATCAGTGGGCATGGTGCTCACGTTGTATACCACCACCGCAGGTGGTGTTTAACTTCAAGCCATCAAGGCTGCTGGTGACCGCGGACCTCTTTTGGTGCGCACTGCAACCCTGGCATCTGGGGTGCCAGCAATGTAGCTCCTTGCTGGCCAACAAAGATTTCCTGTTTGTAAATGTATTTAAACAGAGACCGCTGTCTGCTGTTCAGGAACTATCCTAGCCAGGTCCCGGGAGGCACAAAGCTGTTCAAATTTGGCATGGATAGAATCTACTTGCCAGTCTACAGGAATTTCATGATCAAAGAAAAAGGTGACTGATTTGGCCTTCCGAGCTGAGCACTCCTTGATCTGCGCACACTGCGATGGAACTAATTGCGATGTGGGTCACTTTAAGTATCATATACTATGATGATACTCACATGGAATTGCAATGGCTCAGGGGAGTATGTTGGGGCAATGCAACGCATCTTTGAGGAATGGGACTTTGATGCCATTCTGCCCTGCCATGGAGACTTCGTCTCCAAGAATGGCAAAGAAGTGCTGAGGAAGCACCTGAAACTCCAGTAGTGCAGTGTCTGCAGCCCCAGTGTATGCAGTGCTGTGGCAGCGCTAGAGGCTGCGCTAGAAGTTGTTGTTGTCAATGTCGCGGTGATTGCAGGTATGATCAAGGTGAAGTGATTCGTGCGCATTCCGTTGTATCACGCGAGGGAGAATGAGGGCCCTGTCTTGTATTTCTGTCCGACAACTTGTACTTGTATGGGTGGGTTCACTGTTGGGAGAATCATTCATGATGCATTGACAGCTGCATCGAAGTGTGGTGCCTAAAGCACTGAGAGGGCTGCTTGCAAGTGAACGCTCATCGCCCGAGCATTTTTCCGGGTTGCTAGCAATGGGCTAGGCAGGCGTCAAGTCTTTCGGATCGCCCAGAGGTAAAAGAAAGTTCAGTATTTGTATAGGCCGCCATATGGACCTTTCATAACGTCCTGTCAAACCCTGCATGCGCATGAAAGTGCAAGTGTGCCCGCAGTGCTTCATTTAAAATTATTGTGATCTGCGGAATTCCTAAAAGTATGGTTGAATTGAAAGTAGAGGTAATTCCAACGTTGCTCTTGTCAATGCTTAGTGTGCATGCGGCGACTGCAGCTTAAGCTTTCAGCATAAGTGAGTGCTGTGCGGTCAGCCGAGATTGCTCCTGTGAGATGCCTGAGGTTCAAAAGCTTTGTTATGGATCTTGCCCTACTCAGTTGCCTGCTGCATGCTTATATGGGACATTGAGATGATCTGGCTTCAGACCTTGCTGCATGCACACGTGACCTCCAAGAATTGAGACTAGCGAACAGTATTTTGCATTGGTTCCAAAAAGCCAGGAGACATGCACATCGATTCAATATTTTTTTACGAATCCCGATGTTCGGCAGGACGATCCCAAGTACTCCTTTACTTCACAATCTTCACCAATCTTCATCCTGGGCATTGCCTCGTTCTTGGGAGACAACTCATCGCAGAACTGCCAGTGCAGCGTCCTCGGCAACAAATAAAGTCAACGAAGAGTTATTGGATAGATTCTGGCTGGTAGGATATCGAAATCACATCGTCAAACTTTTGATCTGGGAGGATGCGCTCCAAGATCACCGTTAAGTGGGTCGTTCACGCAGGCCAGAGGAGTAGCCGATTGTCAACAACGTCAGAAATTAATCGATACCGCTTTTGCAGATCTCGGTGCGATGCTCTCAGCAGTATTTATCTCTTGTATGTGCCTGTCCCATCTGAAGGTCAGCTCCTTGTCATCAGACCTTCGAGCTGGCCACAGCAAAGCATAGAGCCTAATCAAGAGACACTTTTTGGTCATATTGTTCATGATCAGGTACGGATGAGGGGGTCTCAGATGCTGCAGCGTCCACATTCTCGTTGCCAGGTGCAGGAGCAGCTTGGCTCTTGGACTCTACCGACACTGTACAACAGGTGCCTGATCCCTGCAGCATGAATTTCGACTAGAGACTGCAGTGAGATTCTGAAGTGTCTCATTCAGGGTATCCAAGGTGCTCTCTGAGCTGCATCTGAGGTACATCAGTGCCTACGTGCGCGGTGCAGTCAGTACTAGATTGCTGTTGTTCATCGCAGGTCAGGAGAGTGAGTGCACGGCTATTGAAGCTACAGAGCCTCTTTGGTGACAACAGCACAGTGGACATTGCTTCCATGCTCATACGAGAACCAAGGTAGGCTCCATGCTGGAAATCTGTTTGCTATGTGGACTGCGTCGGTCACCTGACTTTATTTGGGGTGTTTCTTGGGGTGCTTCTACGCTTCTGCGCAGTGCAACAATATAACCATGCATAAATATATACCCACGCGTTGTGAAACAGGCTCGTCTCTGCTAAGATGTCGCTCATCGCACGGCGTTTGCTGCAAATGAGGGTGAGAAGAAGCACTCTTGAGGGCAACATTGTCCATCCTTATTGCTTGCAGTCCACCCAGATCCTGATGAGCAAGCTTGTTCTTTAGCTAAAATTCCGTGTGTCATACGCATGCAGCTGTCGATAGGTCTGGATGGCACGGATGTCATGGCAGTCGTGCAAGCACAGCCATCTCTTCTGGTGCAAGACTCGGGCACAGATGATGCCCAGGTTAGCTATTTCCTTTCCTCAGTACATGATCCCCAGTCCTCTAGGACACACATCCCTGATCGCTCATGGGTTTACTGAGTAAACTGCTCTTCAATCACTGAAAGATAGTTTCAGGTCTGACTGACAGTATGCCTAGTGGCACTGCTGTGAGTTGGCTCACAATTGGCCGATAGGAGCGACTGCGCAGCTGCTCGCAGCTGGCTCAGCGGACTGGTTGACCGTCAGGAGTAGTGCATGCCTCTCCTGAGTCATCAGCGCGTTGCAATGACTAACTGACTCATCAGTGGGTGACTGCAGGAGTCGGATGAGGCGCGCAGGAGAGCATGGGAGTTTGGCCTGGCGTCTGACGGTGATGGGGAGTGGCTGAGAAGGTGCAGGCTCTCTCATTCTCCCGCCAACATTCAAAGCCAGCTCTTGTGCTCATACCATTGGTCTGCACATGAGTACATTGAACCCTTTTCAATGCCAATTTTTTTTTGTGACTAGCGATATTGGACAGTGTTAAATAGTGATCATCCTGTGTCAAAGTGTCCTGTGTGTTCCATGGACACCCCAGGAGTATATGGATGTATCAGGGGATTTCTCTGCTCAGTGCCAGCATCCCTGTGGTGGTGCAGGGCGGATGAGCTGAGGGCTTATGTGCTCTGGCACATTACATGCACAGCCAGGAAGTGTTACTGTATCAACGTTTTGTTTGGGTCAATGGCAGCATGCGTTTGTGATGCAGGGCTGATGAGCTGAGGGCTTATGTGGCGGCGCACGGCGACACGCATGTGGGCTTCAGGGAACATGACGATGCTGAGCTGGCGCGCTGGGCGGCAAAGCAGCGCAAGGACTGCAAGAGTGGAGACCTCGCCCCCGACAGGTGGCACTCATTGCCTTTGCAGGCTGAGAAAATTGGAGTTGCATGCTGTGCGCTGTCTGCGCATGACCACAGTGTGCACCGTTCCGCCATGAGAGTTTGATCATCAGACTCTTGACAGTTGTCTCAAAATGAGGCAAAACGGGCTTGAAAGGTGCCGAAGGACCTGGCTTTGCCCTGCATGGCACCTGCGAATAGAACAAGTAGATTCCCAGGATGAACAGGTCAAGCAGCGATATTTAGGCTGGGCTTGCTGGCGCCAGAATGTAAGTTGCCGGGAAACGAGCCACGGAGGTGAGGTCTGTGGTTGCTGTGGCATGCAGGCGGAAAGTTCTGGAAGGCTTGCAGTTTGAGTTTGATGGGGAGCGGGCAGAGTGGATGCGGTGGTTCCTGGAGCTGCAGGTCTCCAGCGATGACACGATGCTGGGCACTGGGAGGGGCGCTGACTTCTATCTGTACAACTGGTACCGCTGCTTTTCCGCTCTTTTGCCCTCATTGAGATATCATTAGTCCACCCAATACTGGGAGAAATGCCACGACAGGGAGGCTGGAGGGAAATCATTGAGAGGCTGCTGCAACGCACCGACCCCTGAGGGCTGGAACAAGCGGGGTCATTTGAATATTGGGAGGTGGTTGCCGATGTAAGGGCGCCAGGATATGGCCTGCCCAACTCCAGATCGAGATGCAGAAGCAGAGGCTGGGTTGTCCAACGCAGTGAACTTTCACAAATTCATGCAGATTGAGAAATTGTTTATGATCCAGCAACTGCCTACATGCAGACCATCTCTAGTCTGCCTGTGTCCCTGCATGCGGCGCAACACCGTGCCTCGGTACTTACTGCTAGAGCCGTGTTGAGTAAGTGCAGAGTGCCAAAGATGTTTCCATGCAAGATTGGATGATCGCAGGCTGCGGCCCAAAGCTTATTGCTCTGTAGCGGAATTCTTCAGTGTGATAATCACTGTTGGTTTATTGTGCATGATACTGGAGACTATAGGGAGTGAAGATTGTGGTGTGGCGGCATGCAGGTGTTCTGTGCAGCGGATTGCAAGGAGGTCAGGAGTGCTGTCAGATGAGAGAGTTGAATTGTTGGATAGTCTTGATTTTGACTGGACTGGTGCTGATGCCTTATCCTGATATCTCCCTAAAAAATTTTCTCCCCCACAAATGCGGTACATTACATGCAAGTGCATCTGGAGGTCTCAAGAAGTACAACTCGCTGATGCCTGCCGGTGAAGAGCTGGGGAGTTCCTCTCACAATGCAAAGCTCACTTTGCAGCCCAGTAGTGCTTGTCTAGCAGATCTTCATGTACTGAGGCACTTGCTTCTCGCTCGCAATGCAGCGACACTTCCCACTCTTCCTACATTTGAATATGAGGTGATGAGTAGATGAGTAGGTTGCATGCAGGCGTCGTGTCGACGACCATTGGATTGTGACTCCTCACTTTGAGCAATTTTCGTCCAAAACAAATGAGATTGCGGAACCAAGTTGTTTTTGAGTCCTAGCAATCACTATAGCAATAGCAAGCTTAAGCCTCCTGGATTGCTGTTGACATCAGCGACCGGCAGAGAGTGCAGTGCGTCGCCATGTCCGGCCTCGGCGAGAAGATAAAGGAGAAGTTGCATCTCGGACATCACCACGACAAAGAGGAAGTGAAAATCAAGACTCATCATCATCATGCGCCAGGTCGGTGCCTTGAAAGTATAATCGGAGCATTTGCCTCAGCCATTCTGGGACGGCAGAGAGCAAACTGGAACTTCTCAATTTCCAGAAGATAGGCTTTCCTTTTCGCAGCAGAACGTGCACTGATGCAGAAGCAATCGTTTTCGTCTCACAACGTCTTCAAAGTATAGTTTAGGACGTGCAGCCATCAGATGTCCAGCCAAGCCTGAGCTGATTTTCGTGCAGATTATGATTAGGAAAAGTGTCTTTGACAAATCTGAGATCCACCTAGCTCAGATCTGCTGCTTGTCGCTCCTGATTATGCCACTATTATTCTTGTGAGGGCTCTTCGTGCTGTTGCTCTGCAGATGCTGCTGGTCACAGGACAACAGCAGCCGTGGGCGGCCATGGTGTTGGAGAGGCCGAGACTGTCACACATGAGACTGTTGCCACGGGCCCCGGCGTGACTACTGCTACCCGCGTGCAAACCCCTGCCAACACCCCCACAGTAGGGCCCACAGCTGACCCCTTACTATCATTATCATCCGCATTTCCTGCCGAGAGGCAGGGTATGTCTGCAGACAAGCTGCAGGTGAAGGCTGCCACATATCCAACCCCCTGATGGACTCGCCAGGTCCAAGCAAGACCCAGTCAACCATGGGCATGGGTGCTCAGTGGTAGCGGTTTCTGCCAGTCGAAACTCACCCCTTGTGGCCTGTCAAAACCCAGAACTTTGCATCCCTGAAGTACTGGGGCACTTGAGAGCTGGGATATCAAATCCAAAATGTGCACAGCTTCAGTTGAATAGTAGCTACCATGAGAGGTGGGTATGACCTGCTGTGGAGCGTCCTGCTGGCTATTCAGAGGATTGGGTCATGTACTGCGCAGCAGATGGCACCTTTGTGCAGGCTCAAGTGTCTTGCAGGGCTGCACATGTCTTCTGCTGGATCCCGGCCACCAGCTGATTTCCAGCTGGGAAATCTTTTTCATAACATGCAGACTCTGCTCGGAGCAGGGATGATGTCAACTCCCCTAATTCTGCTTTCAGCCCCTCAAAATCTCAGCCTTTAGATACCAGGGCAGGGATGATAGATGGATATAAAATTGCACAGGGACTTGATAGACCGGCTGTAGATATGATATATTCATTATTATTGTGATTAGTTATTATCACCATCTTGTTCCAGCCCGCAGGGCTATGTGCGTTGCAGCAGCTTCTGCAGCTTCTTGACAATTTCCCTCCAGCCTTCCCTGTCTTGGCATGTCAGTCCAATGGAATCCCATTTATCCCTAATGCAGTTAATCCAGGATCTATTTTTTATTAGCGCTCTAAAATACACTTGGCCTGCCTGCACCTAGCAGCATGGGTGCGCTGTATGTACATGTTGCCTGTACATTTCCCTGACTACATCACATACACTTTACCGCGCAGGCGAAGGGTGATCATGCGGTGTGCGGCCAAAAGACCTTCACAACTGTGGAGGACCGTGCAGTGGAGAAAGATGTCATTGAGCGCGTCATCGAGCACCACCCGGTTGAGAAGAAGTTTATTGTCGAGACCCGCCCTGCCGGCGAGCACGAGCTGCATGACAAGCGCCAAGTGAGCCATCTGTCTTGAATATCTCTTCGTAAGCATGAGTTTTCTGGGAGAGGAGAGATGCAGTGAAGCTGGAGATCTACAATTTGAACTGTTTTTAAATTGGGAAGAGGTCCGCAGAGTACATTTTGACAGCACATACCAGCAAGGGCTGCAGGACACTTGGGTGTGCCATGAGACTTTCGCAGTTCTGGCGCGAGGATCAAGGCTGGATGCCTTCAAGGCATGCTGACGGAACAGGATAGGTGCCTGCATATTTTGCCAATATGTATTGGAAGAGGTCTGGAGTACTGTGGTCTGTCTAGAAACTGTTACTCGCCTGTTCAATAAGTTACTTCCAAGAGTCTGCTGGCCACTTTCGTGACCACCAGGATCATGCGGCTTGAAATTGCATTTAAGGCTGCTGAGATCGACTAGGGTATTAATTCTGGTTCCTGGCTGACTGTTGGAGTGCTTCTTTCGCAGGTTGAGTCAGTGGGTGTGCGCGAGGAGATCAAGAAGGTGGCACCCAAGACCAGCCCCTGCGAGGGCGGCCCCGTGCTCGAGGTGCAGAAATGAAGCAATTCTGGCCTCCAGTGCAAGGGGTACTAAAGACTCCTAGTAGTCTTCAGTACTAACTGCTCCAGTGAGGTTCAAGGGTGGACAGCAGTAAACAGCAGTAGCTGAGATGTCATCAAGTAGAAGCCGGCATGCAGGCTTGCAGTTGGGAGGTTGCATCAGTGCACCTGAGATGACTATTACTCCTGAGTGAGCATCGCAATGTCACGTCATGGCAAGCAGAAGCGGTGGCAGCTATATGAGATGGACTCCTCCCTTGCAGGCATCTTTCAGAGAGGATTGTTTCAAGAAGGGTAGCATCGACTTGTTGGGTGCTGGGGTATGGATGCATGGATTAATGCCAAACAGCAAGAGCCACACTGCGGCGCCCATTGCATGCATTGCAGGTGCAGAGCAAGGATTGGCTGCCTATTGTAATGCCAACATTGCCAATGTTGCACACTCCGCTTCCGGCGCACCATATGCCCTAGTGACACCAATGATGCTCCATCACCGCCAAGCTGCCTTCTCTATTCAGATATTTGCGTAATTATGGGACAAGCCAGAAATTGTGTGAGCTTCACATGTGAGGTAATGATGAGGAGTCATCCAAGATTTGCATGGAAGCTGGCCCATAAATAGATCGCCATCTTTCGTTTTCGAACCACGCCACAACTTTCATTCTGCCTTCAAGAGATCATCCAGGCCCTTCCGAAGAAAATATCAAAGCACTCCTCATCGAGAAGCAAGACGACACGATGGCCAGCATTGGCGAAAAAATAAAGGAGAAGCTGCATCTCGGTCACGATTCCGGCTACGGTGATCCAAGCACCGCTGCACACGAAACAGCCAAGACGACGACCAGTGCGCCTACAGGTGATTGAATCTCAACTGGCCAATGATTTCAGTGCAGAGTCTGCTATGTCTCCGAGTCTTGTGTACAGTCCCAAAATTGCCGCTTGGGTAGCGAGCCAACCTCTCAACTTCGTCCACATAGCGATCGCATTGCCAGTTTGCAATCGTGCTCAAAAACCGATCGCTCTTTACTGTCCAACGAGCACTGCCTTGCTGAGTGCATCGTTGATCAGGCAGTGCATAGTGTGCTTGGTTTCGCCATTGTCTCGGGCAGGAGACTCTCAGTACATGCATTGCAGCAAGGCGATAATAATCGAAGCCTTCACTGCAGGCACGGAGACCTCTACTATGACTGGAACTGCTACTCAGACCTCTTATGAGGGGACAGCTGGCCAGGCCTACCCTCGCACCCCTACCACTTCTCCCAAGGGAGGGACCATGTCCGGCCCTGCTACCACCTACCCTGTCGGCCCCGGCACGGACCAGACATCCCCCAAGACCGGCTCCCAGGTATAGTGCGGCATTCCTCATGCTCCTGCCCTTCATGTCTAGCGATTATGCTCGTGCTGTTTAGACCATTCTGAGCTATGGTCTTTCATCCTGATTGCGCAGACCCATGCAGGTCACACTGACATGCATGCGATCATCACAGTGCAATCTCCTCTGAACTCCATGCATGCCAGCTAAAGAACCGTTTGGAAGCCTTTGAGGGACAGCTTCCCAAGCACATCCTCTTGAAATATCTGCATACAGTCCTGCACATGGGTGCGTGAGATGCTAGGCTGTAGACTACAGCATGCCTCGATGTGGCTGCCGACATCCTGATTGCATATCTTCATATGGCTTAGTTTCGTCGTCCTTGTGATATTATGTTAGCATGCTGGGCTCGCAGGGATGCTCGGCACCTTGCTCACAGTTGGGTGGGTCTAGCTTGGATATGGCAAGTCCAGTCAGGGATAGCCCTTCACCTGCAGCTTGTCTGCAGACACCTCTTCCCTCTGGCAAGAACAGCGCTTAGTAAGCTGACCTGATTGTGTTCTGCGTGTCAGGAGCGTGGCACTGGCATGCATGCTGAGGGAGAACGCAGGGGTGTGGTGTGCGGCACAAAGTTCTACACGACGGTGGAGGACCGCCCAGTGGAGAAAGAGATCATTGAGCGCGTCATCGAGCACCACCCGGTCGAGAAGAAGTTCGTCGTCGAAACGCGCCCGGCCGGCGAGCACGAGCTGGCCGACCAGCGCCGGGTGCGCTGGCTAACCCCCTGCCTAGTCTTTACTGGTGATGGCTGATGTATGGCTGCCGGCGGGGTCCAGAGCCCTTCCAGTGGCAAAATTATGTCTTTCCAAATTCGCCCTGCCGGCAGCTAGTCATGCAACTGCCGGTGGCTGCTGGCGGGGCAAGTCTGGTGTGACTGGGTTTTGGCACTGCGAGGACTCTGCACCACCATTAGCAGCAAGTCTTGCAGCTGCGTATCCACACTAGCAAGGAGACGTCAGACATGTCCTTGTTTAGCACTTAGTCTCCTGTCCTCTTGAGTGCGCTTCACTATGGGCGCATCCCTCGCATCTGGGGATCTGGGAACCTGCATGAGCACCGAAATGAGCTGACAGTGCTCTTGCCACATCGTTCTGGCGGGTGAAGCATGACAGAAGTCGCTTCCTGTTGTACACATCACCCCTGATCGGTGGCAAGTGCGCTGTTAGGATGGCATGAGCATGTGCTGGGAGCTGAATCAGTGCTTGCAATATTGCTTCTCATCTGCATTGTATCGATCGTAAGTTGCTGCTGAGCTTGATTCCTGACGCAATTGCCTTACAAATGAATTTTGCATCCGCAAGCAGATAGACACTGTGCCAACCAAGCGGGTTAACACCTGAGGCACTGAGATCTGTCCACAAGGCTGAGTGTTCTGCTTTGTAGGCATCTTGCAACGATTGCTAAGCTGGCCATTGTTGTCGAAGGAATGGATCCAGTGGCAGACAGCGCGCCCAATAAAAAAACTTCTCCTTGGCCTTGGGCGCCAGAACATCATGATGACTTTTACAAGTGCGACATACCTGAGGCTCCTTGTTACCAAAAAAAAGGTGAACAAATTGCATGCTGTCTGCGCAGGAAGAGTCGATTGGCGTGCGCGAGGAGATCAAGAGTGCGGCAAAGACCAGCCCATGCGAGGGCGCACCAGAGCTTGTGCTTCAGAAGTGAAGCGCTGCTGGAGGACAGATCTGAACCCCAGACAGTATTGATTACAGGAAGCTCCTGAAGCAGCAGAGCAGAGACACGTTGTGGGTTGCCTAGACGGCAGCATGCAGGCTAGGTAGGGACTGCATATGACCAAAAGGTCATCCATCATCCTATCACTAACTTCGAAGCAAGGCTCGGAAAAAGCAGAGTGGCTGAGGTCTAGATGCCTCTTAGCATGACAGTTACAGCAAACAATCTTGTGCATGTGCCCATGCTCTGATCGAGTTTGCATCTACTATCCCTTTGCGAGGCGTTTATATTGTGTGTGGACATTTGGCACAGTAGACTTGAAAGTGCACCAAGCTGCAGATCGGCGTCTTACCAGTTTGCAGCTACATGGCCGGTATCAAATCCTTTGCAGCAAACGTTTCCCGTGCTACCTTTGAGCATCTGTGCTGCATTGATGTGTGCATGATATTCTAGTTGGAGAGAGTGCTGTCTGATACCATGTTGGCCACCTTGAATGCTAGATCGTCTACAAAAGTGTAAGAGCAGCCTGCGGTAGACAAGTTTCTACCGTGCTCTTGCCTGTCAACAAATATCCTGCACTACATGGCATCCAACGCAGCAAAATACAATGGCATCATTATGATGCCACTGGGTAGTTACGGAATTCCTATGCTGCAAGCTGAGCATGTCCAACTGGCAACTGCTTCAAGTGCTGCATGGCTTACTTCATTGTCATCCTGACTTAGGCTTGTTCTGGTGGGTTTGGTGAGGCTAAGAGCTCCCTCAAATTACTATTCTTGGCACTATGAGGCCAGCTGATGGCTGGCCATGCTGATGGTTGCCCTTACACGCATGCGGCAGCAAGCTTTGGCGCTCCGTTCATCCGTTCTGTTGCGCACTCCCGCGTCAGCTCGACCGAGGGCATGTTCATGACCTGCAACGTTGGAGCCTGCCAGCACACAGCATGCGTCAGTCGTCAGAAGGAATGCTCTGGAAGAAATAACTTATTAATGCCACCTTTAAAGGCAACCCTTCATCGTCCCAACATCCTCCCTCACGCATCCAATCCCATTGGAGAATCCAGAGGACAACAGCCCATCGTGCTGTGCATCGCTTCAACTTCATCAAGCATATCCTCAGTGAATTAACAATTCTTGCTGCGCTCCCGGACCAATATGTACACAACAACACTCCGGCGTTTAAGCAGTTGCTCCTACTCCGGGCGATCCCGGTATCACCGTCCCACTCATTGTCACATTCACCGCCAGTGTAAGCTCTGCTCAGGTGCTGGCTGCTGAAGAAGACCTTGCAGATAAAGGCTCAAGCTGAGGGCGAATCTGAGGATCAGCGGGAAGGTGGGACAGGACAGGTTTGTCAGGAGACACAGCAAGAAGCGGACCCATGAGAACTCGAGAAGGCATGAACAAGATATGCTGTGATTGTCCCGGAGTAATTCTTGGTATGCATTGCCAGTTTGACTTGGTTGCCACAGCGGCAACATGGACGACAGCATTCAAAAGATATCGAGGCAAACCTTCATGGGGTCAAAGGGTGGGCGGATGATGGTGGGGTTTGCGTCGCGCATGTCCAGCATGGCAGTCTGCTGCGCTGCCATGCAGGGGAACATGACACACACCAGCGGCCCCGCCAACACATGCAGCAGGATACACTCCATCACCCGCACGGCATCCCCCCGCCGTATGTGCCCTGCCGCAACCACAAGAGAAGTCTCAAATCCATTCCAGCAAGGCACGGGAGCCAAGCTTGTCAGCATCCCTGCATTTGCTCAGCACACATTGAATGAGGGGAGGGTAAGGGTGTCAGATTCAAATTAACTGCTGGGCATGAGGCCTCTTGGGCTCCGGAGGGAGTAAGCAAGGCCATGGTATTCCAAAAGACCAACTTCAAGGCAGATCAATTTTTTATTCCTTGAAGAGGTGTGCGTTGCGCGCAAGCCTTGCGTCTGGCATGGCTTGTGCAGGCTTGCCACGGAGCCGGGCAGGGGGTGTCTTGGCACTGAAGCATTTTATCAGCATCATGCCAATGCTGCTTCAACCCCCTTATTCCCACCCTGATATGATCTGCTGTTAAGTGAGGGTTACTGAGCTGCAAGTTCGTGTACGGCAGAGGTGTCTTCGGAAAGCACTAATGTGTTGGCGGCCAGAAGTGCCGAGTAGTAGTTACCTCGAGCGCCGGCGCGCGCGTTGGCGCTGCATGCGAGGTAGGAGAGGCAGTTGCGCAGGCGCAGAGTCACCGACGTGATGCAGTCGTCCATGCACGTGTTCTGGATGTGCATCTGGTCCTGGATTATCCACCTCGTCGCCAGGCTGGCGTAGCAGAAACAACACAGCACCTGCGGCACATGTGTCTTGTGAGAGATGAAGAACCACTTTTTGGAGGTGAGAAATCGGGGTTTGACTTCATTCCCATGTATCCAGCCATGGAGCTGCAAAGCGTTTGCTTCTATGTCCCAGCGGCACTGAAGAGAGACGGCTGTGTGTTGCTAAGGTATTTTGCTCCACTGGAAAGAGGTTCAAGGGCTGACCTCTGAGCGGAGGCAGATGTCTGGGTGCTCCTGCTCGCCCATGTGCCCAGAGCAGGCGCAGGCTCCATAGCAGCACTGGTACCTGATGCCCACACCCAGCACACAACTTCCCTTCTGTGAAATCGGACGGCCAGTGTGCAGCGTTATGCAAGTGCAGGGGAGGAAGCGCAAGCTTGGGATGTCACTTCTGGCAAGATGAGAGCAGTATATCTCAGGCAGAAGGGGCTTTGATACCTGTTCATCTGCTGAAACAGGGCTCTTCTGCGCTGCCTGTAGGTGTATCTGCAAGGACTGCCATGCACAGGAAGGAGCCAGTGAGTGTCACAGACTGCACAGGTCTGAGCAAACGATTATATGGATCGCTCAGCAGCAGCCCAAAGGATTGAAAGCAGTGCAGCTCACCATACAGCAGCTTCCAGGCACACTGTCGAAGCAAAAGCACAACGTTCAAGGTCAGGGCAACCAGATCACACTGCAAAAACGTGATCCCTGAAGACGACAACGAAAATTTAAAAGGGGCTGTTATTTACCGTTGAAGGTATCGCAAGATTCATCACCACAAAGCGGCTGCCATTGATAGTGATGGGCATATCTCCTTGTGATAAGCCTGGGAGTTGAAATGGGATCCAGCCCCGTTGATCCAGGCTGCGGGACAGCGTATTCCATCGTTGTCTGAACTATAATATTCTGTTCAGATCTACTAGCATTTGGACGTCAAAGAGATCGCTTTCCATCTCTTGCTGCGCTTCACATAACCTTTGTGGTCAGGTCCAAGAAAGAGGATAAGGATTGGTAATAGGGGATGTGCATTGTGCTGAAGCCTGCTTCCATTCCTTGATATCGTTTACGTGTTTAGCTTCAATATCTTTTCTTGGTCAGATCGCCGCACTGCATTTGCCTGCATTGGTGAGCGCAGCTTCAGGCCAGTCCATGCAATTTGCAGCACTTTCATGTTGTGCTGTTTGCATGCATTTGCTAGTGGATGTCCATGGAAAAGTGTGTGGGCCCACATTGACTGGTACTGGTATCAGTAAAAAAATAGAAGAGATTTAGACGCGCTGGAGCTCTCAAGGGATCTGATTTATTCCTGGACCTGTCGGGGACCTATCCTGGGGGAGCTCTGCTGTACTTGGGCGCCCTGCAGCGCAACTTGCGCGCCTTGACTCCTATGGCCTTTAGGTGCCTATATTGTAGGGTTGTGCTGAATGACAGATATTTAAACCTCACTGAATGCCAAGGTGTGAAATGGTGTTCTTAGTTGTGCATGTCACATGTAAGGCAGGCAGTAGCCTATAATGGCAACCGTGCATTTTCGATTACGCACGGCTCTAGTACACCTTATGCAGATAATAACCTTCACTTCGACCAAGTTTCATGACGCAAAACCCAGTAAAAAGGTGAAATCTAGCTACATGGTGAGTTTGTCCCAAAGACAGAGATATGCAAAAAGGTCTCTGGGAAGTTTATCAGTGCCACTGCGTCCCCCTACTCTCAACAACGATGATTGCTGCATTTCAGTACACCAAAGGAACAATGCGGTACTTCACAATTGCACAATATCTGTCCCAATCCTTGCCGTACTTCAGAGCGCAGGCATGCCCATCCCTCAAATCTCGGTGCACTGCGCAGCCACAAACACACATCAAACCGGTAACCCAAAGCTATTGCCTGCATGGCTTGACGAAAGGTTGAGACTCTCTCCAAAGCAAAGAGCAAGGATGCCAGCAAATCCAGGATCAGATATCTACATGACATGACAAGCACGCAATTTGGCAGTTTGATCTTCCGGCTAAATCTTCCAGCTTGCACAGAGCAGTCGAACGATTGAATGCAGCAGCTCACCTAGCAAAGCCCCAAAGTAGATGACATAAAAGTATGGCACGATGTGGTCAAAGCCGCACGGCAGACACCAAGCCCACCTGCGCAGGAGAATGACTCAACTCTCAATCCCTGCAAGATGTTTAATCGAGATTATCTCGCCCGGTGCTCTGCAGCCTGCCGAGGGTTGTCAAGACACTTGAGGCAGCACATATATCTGGTGAGCTTATGAGAGGACCAGCTGCCAATGATACATACGTGCACTTCACTTTTGCCGCTACTCTGCTGGAAAATGCAAGTACAGGAGATCTCCCGCTGCAAGAGCGATCCCCAGCAGAGAGATTGTTTGCCGGAAAATAAAGGACAGGCAGGAGCTGCATGCAGCGGCAGGAGTTGAAGTACAATTTGCCACATCCTGAAATACACATCCTACAACAGAGACTGCATGGGGGATGCTGTGAGGAGAATGAATGCGTGCCATGAGCCAGTCTTATACCCTAGAATGAAATAGCAGTTCCCTAGGATTAAAGAGTGCAGGGGAAACGATAAAAGAGAGGCCACGCACGCCATGAGCCAGTCGCCAAAGTAGTTGATGTGGCGCGCGATGCCCCACCAGCCGCTCACGATCAGCCGCCGCCCGGACGCAGTCGTTATCGTCTTCAGCCGCCGCACGCTCGGCTGCTCCGGGTTCTGCCGGAACGCGTTCTTCTGTAAAATCACCATTGAAAGTGCTTCAGACAACAATTTGCTATCATCCTTTTAGATGGTGAGGTGTGCACTTTCAATGCACATAGGTATGTGGCTGGAAGCTGCATCCTTCAGGCCACTTCTTTTGTATAAAGTGAGGCAAGAAGCGTCTGCAGAGGAGGTGCAATCAAGGGCTGCTGCCAGGAAGTACTCCATGTTGGGCTGGGTAAATTCAAGTACAGCTTGATGAGCAGGGGCCATGGTGCTGAGTGGTTGTACCTGCGAGTTGGAGCCTCTGAAGATGAGGTAGCCCAGCGCCTTGAGCGCCAGAATACCCGCCACCGCCCAGCTTGACAAAGTCTGTCACATAGCAAAGGAACACAGTCACGACAGCAGTGGTCTTCTGGAAGGTGCAACTCAAAGGATGTTGCTCAGCTGTTCAACACTTGAAACGGCTGCTCCTCCACTCCCCCACTGGCAGGGATAAGGGTAGAAAGCATGTAGTTTGCTTGTTCTGCAAACCTCTAGCTGCATTTAGGGGCCGATGTTTCAGGCCCCCACAACTGGCATGCATGGGGATCACAAGAAGCACCACTTCAAGTGAATCTGGGCAGGCAATCATAATTGGCAGGGGGTGTACCCTGGGGTGATCCACCAGGTAGCGCGCTTGGAGGCTGTAGGTAAAAGGCACCCAGGCCAGGTCACCAAAGGCCAGCATGAAGCCAAAGCCATCCGTGGTGATGTCCATGGTGGTCAGAATTGCCTTTTCAAGCCACAGAGCGTCCAACACATACAGCCCCTGGAACGCGCACACCAGCAGCAGCGGCGTGCTGATATAACCCAAATCCTGCGCGTGTGACAAATGCATTAGTAACCGCCACCCCTGGTCAGTGAGGCACGAATGCATGGCCGCTGCACACATTCAAAAGATGCCTCGTTCATGCATGCCCTTCGGAATACATGCTGGCATGTCCTTTTAGTAACATGAACATTCTGCATGCCATGTAGCACTCAGATGCAGGGTCATAAGTTTGCCGTATGCTGCTACTGCAGCAATACAGTGCTGGAACAAGAGGTGTCAGGGAGGCATGTCTGCCAACAGCTCATGCTCGCACAAAGTAAGGAAATATGCTGCCACCATGTGAGATCCCCTTACCTGCCACTGCTTCTGCAGCATGCCCAGGTCAACCACCAGCCAGCCGATGAGGCCGGGGTACAGCTCGCAGAACTCCTTCAAGTCGAAAGAGCCGATGCGGGGATTCAATTCTCGCCCAATGAAGAAGTCATATAAGTGGTTCCCTGCAGAGCATGATGCGTCATGCTCGCGCCTTGCTGGTGCAATTATCACTTGAATGACACCTGATGCTTTTGGCAGTGTGCTGCAGAGTCTCAGCATTGCATGCATCAAGAATTCGTATGAATTTGCTGGCAAGAAGCAGGGTATTACCTGTGTTTCCACCCTTTGCAAGGAGGGCTCCTTTCCGGAAGGAGGTCACATAGAGACAGGCCGACAGGGCAAAGCTGAACAGCACAGCGGCTGACAGCAGCGGAAGAAAGTTAATGTATACCCACGCCAAATTCAGCTGCTGTGTGTAGAACCCAAAGTATCCGACCACTGCTAGTGTCACCCCAAGATTCCTCACCCCTGCATGAGGCACAACATCTGGGTTCATTTCTCAGCTGAAGGTGGAACTTTACTGGGCGCACACCCAAATAGACAGCTGTAAAGAGCCTTGTCATGCACTTGGTGCAGTAAATGCTGCAGAGTGCTGCAGCAATGTCCAGAGAGATAAACCTGTGAGCTTGTATCGCAGTCGTCTATTGTTGGCCAGCAGTACCCCTTGCTCCGATGGTCCTGGCAAAAGCAGATGCAGTAGCACCTGCACCAGGAGAAGGTCTGTCCTGCTTCGTTCTACGAGCAAGTGAGGACGATCTGCTTAGGCGAACAAATTGCTTGGAAGCCTACCTGCAAGCAGAACCAACCTACAAAGACTGCCAGCGCTTCTGCCGTGAAGAGCTTGGTGCCTTCTGGGAAAACAGGCCATGCGGCTGGGCCTAGAAGGGCTGAGCATCCCTTTGCATTGCAAGTGTACACCAGCGCATAGCACACCGCTGGTAAACCTGCACAGGTTGTTTAATATGTCAGCAGAACGTGTGGACGTGCTCACGGACCTGCTAGGCTTGCCCTATACACTGCAAAGCTGCAGCAGCCGGTGACACCGAAAAGGTACGATGAAGAGATTGCATGCCTGCCATGATGCCCAGGGGACCAATCCATGGTCCCATGAACTCGTACTCTAGTTCATCTTTGCTTCCTGCAGGCTTCTTGCCCTCTGACTTGCCTGCCTGTGGCCTGCAATGGTACCCCAAAACAAGCGAATATCAGACAGATTCAGAGACCTGAAAGAAAGTAAGTTACTTGCAGGAGTTACACATAGATTCGACGAATGTCAGAATGCGCATGTTTGTGCTGAGGGAGAAAGACGCCTAAACACAACTTCAGGATCAACGTCTTCAGGATCCCCATATCAAGTCACCCGACAGTCGAGCCCAGTATTCCGTGAACACTGATTTTGTAAAAATTGTGTTTCATACCTGCACATACTTAGCTATTTCAAGATCGGTGATTGACAGTTCAAGACTCCATGGGTGCTGTGCCCATGGGTCTGTGGCCGGGGAAGAGTCTCAGATACTTCAACTTTGAATGTCGAAACGCTCTTCCTGGCACGTTGAGTCGATCAGTGTTCTTGTGAAAGATTCATCTGCCGTGAAGGAAGCAAATTTATTTCCTTCATGCAAATCAGTAGCGGGCAGACAACAATAACATGCACCGGACCACGAGATTTCCTGCACCCTGCTGTGAGTTTTCTGCATGTTATTCGTATTCACAAGGATTCAAAAATTCCAAGAACCATCAACAATCCCACTAATCAGTACCCGCATCTTGATCGTTGATTCTGGAAGGAACGTGCGCATGCCGTCCAATTGATTCAGCGACGATACAGAAGATAGGCCAGAGGATTCGTAACACGACAGACGATGCTCGAAAACATGTCTATCCTTACTCAGCGTGGACACTTGAAGCGCATCTCCCTTATAGGTAAAGACTTATTCGGCTGTCTTTGTTCTTGAGATTGTCGAGGGCGCTCAAGACATTACCTCTCTTGTGTGTACATTGTTCACCGTCAACTTAATAAATTCAGTTTACCGTATTCAGGGGTTTGCGCTTGATTATTTAATCTGCTCACTCGACGAGAAAGTTTTCCGACAACCCCTGTGGTGGGGCATTGGCACCCCACACCGCCTCACCTGTTTCACCATCTTTTTAAAGCACAGTGTGTTCGATTTGCAGTCTACGAGCCGGCAATGGGCGAGACCTGAGCTGAGTACACCCGACCTCACCGCTTTCAAAGAGCCATCAAAGCATGGCGAGCTCGAGGGTCCAGGAGCCCACCATGGAAATCACTAAGGAGGTCTCGATGTCGGACTCGGACTCCGACCTTGCCGAGGAACTGCGCTTCGAGAAGCTAGGAACGCTTAATTCCGGCAGTCTCGACGCTGATATCGCTGAAGAGGGATTGTCAGGCGTTCTGGCCGCCTGCCACGCAACCAAGCTTGCTCCTGGCAATTCCATCCTCGCCTTTGCCAAGCAGATAATCCAGCAGCATGTGCGCTTTCTCTCCCACGGACCCCTCAATCTGCTTCAGAAAGTGCGTGCAACAGAGCACCTGATGAATCTTGTGCAAAGCTGTGTTTCTTCTGACCTGCTTGAAAACTGCCCAGCAGGGTGCCACAACACGTTTGTTTCTTCAATTAGCCTCAACAGTATAAGCATTCTCAGAGACAGCTGCCGGACCTTTGCAGGAGTTGCTCCTGCCAAGAGCTGCCCAAACTTTGCAGATGGCCTCTAAAAGAAACTCTTGTGCAGGCGTTGGACGACACATTCTATGTGATAGATCTGGGCTTGCTGGCGCGGCTGCACGCGCACTTTGTGGCTGCGATGCCGCGCGTGACGCCCTTCTACGCCGTCAAGTGCATGCCCGACCGCGCCATGATGTCCACCCTCGCCGCGCTTGGTGATTGCCTTTGCCCACTTTGCCATTGCTGTGTCCCATTTTGAGCCTCGAGGGAGTGTGCCAGATGCGCCATCTACCAGAAACCGCCATTTGGAATTGTCCTGAGGTGTTCCCCAAATCACATGCAAGGGCTGCCCATCTTGTCAGACGGCCAGACCCAAGGCGTTTCAGGCCACTTTCCTGGAAGAGCAAATATCTTAGCAGCCCTGGGAAACAAGGCCACATGTCTGCATTGGGTTGTTAAACGGCACTTGCGTGTGCAGGGACGGGCTTTGATTGCGCGTCACCGGCAGAGATAGACGCGGTGCTGTCGCTGGGAGTGCCGCCCGAGCGCATCATCTATGCGCACCCCGTCAAGAGCCCCGCCCAGGTTTGCAGACACACGCCCCTCTGCACACATCCACCCTCAGTGGATATAGCCAAGACTGATGACATTTTCCAGATGCTGAAGGCCTTTTGAGAGTCACAGGGAATCTCTTGACAAAGAACGAGATAATTGCAGCACAGCGCAGCACAGCAATGCCTGAGTAAAGTGACAATAATGAACTTGAGCTCTTGCAATCCCCTGCACCACCCTCGGTCAGTATCATCCTGCTAATGCAGCCAACTAGAATTCCCAAGCCCTGACAGCCATTGGCCAAGCTTACTGGTGCCACCTCTTCCAATTGAGATTAGCTAGAGAGAGAAAATCAATCAGCGCTTTGTCATCCATGGCATGGTTACCGCAGATCCGGCACGCGGCCGCGAGGCGCGTGGCGATGACTACGGCTGACTCATCAGGAGAGATGGAGAAGCTGGCGCACTGGCACCCGACAGCTAAGGTGCTGCTGCGCATCCGCGCTGACGATGCCAGCGCCCTCTGCTGCCTTGGTACCAAGTACGGCGCCGAAGTGGCCGATGCTCCCGGCATCCTAGCGGCTGCGGCGGCTCTGGGCGTGGACATTGTCGGCGTTTCTTTCCATGTGGGCAGCGCTAGCCGTGACCCCAAGGTGAGATGGCAGCATTTCTCCCCTGCAAATTTGCCGGTAAAAGTGAGAATACGGTGCACAGATTAGGGCCAGAGTAGCAGTGCATGCAGGAAGCAGTGCTGTCCAGCATGCTGCGCATGCTGAGTGAACAGTGCTGCTCTCTGTGCAAGTCTGCAGGACCTATTCCCTCCATGCATATGACTGCTTGGCTACCTCTGGAAGAACAAACTTCGTCTTGCAGAAATAGATTTGATGCTTGCCAATCTGGCGCAGGCGTTTGAGGTGGCGATTCGGCTGGCGCGGGGTGTGTTCGACGTGGGTGCATCGCTGGGCCTGCACAACATGCGTATCCTTGACATCGGCGGCGGCCTCACAGCACAGGTGCTCAAAAGTGCACATCACTTTTGTCAGTATACTGCCATCTTGCTTGTGCTCATTTCTGTTGTGTACTTGGAGGAAACATACCTTGCCTCTGGCAGGAACAGCGTGTACCAAGAACAACCTGTTAGGCACTGTGAAAAATACCGCGAGGGGGAGTCGTGTACTGTCAGAAACAAAGCATGTAAACATGCTAATATTTTAAGTTCTAATTAGAAATGTATTTGTTCATGCAGGTGGACGTGGCATGCAGGGAGGTCACGGGCATCTGGGACGTTCCTGGCGTTGTCAACGCTGCGTTAGACGCGCACTTTCCCCCCGGCTGCGGCTATGACATCATCGCCGAGCCTGGCAGGTGACAAGAAGCTCCATTGCTGCGGATGCCGTGCCAATGATACAGCTATTCATCCCTGCGGCCGGCAGAGCCAGAAGGAATTTTATGTAGGGTGCACCTTGAAAGAGGCTATCTGCTGAGGCATGAACGTGAGCAGAGAGAGATGGAGAGGACTGTCCTTGTCTAAAATCAATTGAGTCGGCGTCTACACTATTTATAACATCAGCAAACTGGCAGTATTTCCCCTTGACCATTAGGCGCATCAACATTTCAATGCAGGTACCGATGCATGTGTTAGTTTCACAGCGGAACGTGCGTGGGGTCATTATAGGAAATAAGGGCCTCAATGGCAATTCTTGAAGGACACAAAGGCCTCCATGCGCATTAAGCATGACACTTTGACAGAGCAGGTTCTCCCGTGCATGCAGGTACTTTGCCGAGGCGGTGGGCACACTTCTGTGCGCAGTCAACGGCAAGCGCGAGCGGCAGACACCCACCGGCCGCAGCGCCGACTACTGGCTCAGTGACGGTGCGATCTTAGTCATGCCCCCTTACAAATCATCTGACATGATGCTACTGTCAGCACACACACTGCAGTGCAGGATATCCTAGCATGCGTCTTTTCTGCTATTGCAGTGTCTTCCTGCCGCTGTGGCTTGTCTCGGATAATATGTCTTAATACTATCTTTCTCCTCTCATTGGGGCTCATTCTGTCTTCCTGTCTGCATGCTAGCTTGTCTTAAATACCAGTACTGCACAGCATCCTTGGCAGCAGCCCATTTCAAGCTTTAATTTTTGTGCCAGAAGCATCTCAGCAATTTGCAAGTGTTGAGATCCACTTACTGGAATGTGCTGGTTACAGTTTTGCACATGTGCTTCTGTGCTGACGGCTGTGTGACGCCTCTCCTGATGCAGGACTGTACGGATCGTTCAATGGCATTCTGTACGATCACATGGTGCCCACTCCAGTCGCGTTGCCAATCAACAACATTCCCCATCACAACGAAATTCCAAAGGGCGCCACTACTGCAAGCCTGTTCGGGCCGACATGTGACGGCGCTGATGTCATCTGCCGTGATGTCAGCCTGCCTAATTTGGACGTGGGAGACTTTGTGGCGTTTCCCAAATTGGGTGCCTACAGCTGGGCAGGCGCCTGCAACTTCAATGGCTTCGAGGCCATTGGTGTGCATTTCTTCTATGTCACAACCTGATGACGCACAATTTGTCAGCTGCTGAACACGCAGCAGTGGATCAATCTGTCTGTGTGGGATCATGCGCAAGGAGCCATGTGCATACATGAGACATGGTGACTCATCACTGATGAGGGCTGAGCATTGATGCTGCAAAGTTGACTTCTTACTCGAGAGATCTGAGGTGCTGCCGGGAGGGCAAGCATGCCATTCACCATAGTTGCACCATACAGGAGAAAATTATTTTGAGACCGTACATACGGCATTCGGGATACGGCCGTGTATGTATGGTGCAACTATGCCAATCACCCAATATCATACAGCAGTTGCCAAAGGCTTTGGCCTGAAGCAGAGAATCTCTTGTGTATGTACAGAGGTCACACAGGCTGCTTGGAAGAACAGTATTGCACAACTTCGGAAGAATGACATGGATGATTGTGCGTGAGAAAGAAGCCTCTCAGTGATGTTGAAGTGGACATTGATGCATACTTCAAGGATGCTGAGAGACCGTCTCTGAGCGTGACGTTGTATCAACAACTGTGACATAACGGGTTCCTTACGAGCTCTTTTCTTTAACAGCAAATTTGATTGTTTTAGGCCACACTTTTGAAAGTGGGACTTCCACATTGAAAGGCATTTTTGGACACTTTATGGTATGATGACCTAGGCTTGCAAAGGGAAGCACTTTTTTCTTGTGTCGCCATAAGGACACGTTCATTTAAGGTACCGGGGGTGTGATATGCATGATAATAAGAATATAATAAGAATTAATTTTAATAATAAGGAGTGGCGAACCCAGAGCCCATAGGGCCATAGGGCATACACAGGTCCGTCTGCAGCCGGAACCCGGGACCGATATGCACAGGCTTGCAGCCTTGTCAACTCGCAAATGCACCCGTGCAGCCTACAGGTCTACACGTGTGGTGCACCCCCTTCTTACACAAATGCTGGGAGCCATCCCTAGCAAAACGCTCGAACTTCGGGACGGATTTCGACAGCGACGATGCGGGTGTCTCAGGAGCGGTGCATTACAATTTACTTACGGATTCCGCATAGTAATCGTCTGAAAGAGAGCAGAGCACATCTGGCCCTCACACATTTATCAACACCTGGACAGGTGTGAAAGAATTTTCTTCGACAATAAGAGATTCTCCACGGACTCGCACATTCCATATCTGTAACCAACCATTTGCCATCACTGAACTCAGTGGACAAGTCCTGATGTGCCTGTGGGGTCACCACCAGGTAAGGGTTGTCAGTCCTAGCTTCAACTGCAGAGCCAATGACATTGCATCGCTCATGCATTCATCATCACTAAAGCATCCTTGACATTTCACTACAATCGAAACAACTCAAGCCACCTTCAAAGGAGGGCTGCGGTGTGTCCCGTTCATGTGGTGTTGCCAGCATCCCTGAAACAATCCATCTCGAGAGAACTGAGCTGGCCTGATGGCATCTGCCCATGAGTCCCTGGACATGATGAATTGGGCTGCTTTGTTGCTATCCTATAACCCCTTGGACCCCCACAGCAGTGCCAGGTGGCAGTCTACCTACACACCCTGCCACGCCCTGAACCTGCAGACTCTCTGCACTGCTCGCTTATATCAGCAAACCCAAAGTCCTGCAAGATGCTCTGCATGGTCACTGCGTGGTCGCCTCTTTTGGCTACGGCGGCTGGGGGCGCCTGTTCAGGCGGTGCGCCTGGTTTGGCCGATGACTTAGCCACACAGGGTTACTCAACCTGGCGCCAGATCAGGCCGCGCAGGCAGCCATGCCTAATCAGGGCGGGATAGCGCTCAGAGCTGGGCCTTGGCGGCTTCCACGGCGGCTGCCTTTGTAATGCCATACTTCTCGTACAGGATGGGGGCCGGGGCGGAGGCGCCAAATGAATCCACTCCGATGGCCTTGCCCTTCTGGCCCACGTACCGCTCCCAGCCGAAGGTCGAGCCGGCCTCGACCGACACCTGGAGGCAAAGGAATATTAAAACTTTTCACCGGTATAAAAAAAGTTCTTTAGCTTTTGACAACAGGCTGCCTCTATGTCTAGAGTTTCACAGAGCTAGCACCGGGCTCATAAGCAGGTACTGGCAAGACAAACCAAGCTTGAAGAGCAGTTCTACTTGCTGCAGCAATGCTCTGACATCTGTCACTTATGCTGTTAGCAAGCGGAGGTCCACAGTGAGAAGCATGTCTGACCGAGAGACGCTGGCATGCACTTCAAGATCGAGGCAGAGGACGACAGTGAGGCGATTGTCACTGCCTCGTGTGTCTTGCCCTTTCTTTGTTCCAAGAAGCCCACCCAGAGGTCATCTGGTTACTAAAGGCCAGAGAGTCACAAAATGAGGTCATCTGGTTACTAATGGCCAGAGAGTCACAAAATGGCGCGTACCCTGGCGGTGACGTCGGGGGGCAGGATGGAGTTCTTGTAGGACTCGTCCTGGTCCTCGAACAGCTCCCAGCACACCATGGACACCACGCGCGCCACCTTGCCGCTTGCCTCAATCTCCTTGGCCGCGTCAATCGCCAAGCTCAGCTCAGAGCCTGCGCGCAGGACATCATTTCCACGTCAACTGCAGCCCTCTTGTGTGTGCTATAAATATACCCCATCACACCTACCACCACGAGCGGAACACACAGAAATTGTTGGCTTGCAAAACCTCTACAGCAGTCGCTGGAATTTGGCAGTGGGCCAGTGGGAGCTTTGGCCCACTTCTTGCTTGCGCCATGCTTGCGGCCTACAATGCAGTTGCCAAGGAGACACTGGCATGCAGTTCCCAGTGCCTACTTGCAATCATTTTCTTAATTAGTGCTGTCTGCATCTTCTCATGCGGCCGTACATCCCGGCCGGCCCTCTCTACTCACTGCGCCGGGTTTGCAGGAGTCTCGCAAGTGAGCCACTCTGGGACGCCGACTCCAAACAGTGCTGGATCAGTCAAAAATGCTGTACTACCGAGATGGTCAGGGCTCGCACCGGTGGCGATGAAAATGACATCGGGCTTGGCGTCGCCGCCGTGCACGATGTAGCCTCCCTTGAGCACAGCCTCCTTGGAGGTGGTGGGCAGGTTGGGCATCCCCTGCCTTGACAGCGCCAGAATGCTCGGCCGTACCTTGCCGGAGGGGGTCTTGCCCTTGGCGTTCAGCACGGCCGCCTGTACGCACACATGGCAGATACACTCTTCAGCACGCGCCGCATACGCTGACAGTGGGGGCGACTGATGGCATTGATGCCGCCATGAGGCACACACATGACCATCTCACTGAGGCTCACACAACCATATGACAGTGAATTGTTGGTTGGACCATCCCCAGTCTAGCAAGTGTAGAGACAAAGCAGCCAATTGAGATCACTCGTCTTGATGTCCCAGAAAAGTTTGATGCAAGTGGTCCTCAGGCTGCTGATCACTTGGTGTGGTTGAACTCCGCCAGGATGATGGATTGCCTCACAGAATGAAGCAAAGCTGCTTTGCTCGGTCATAGGGGCGCATCGTGCAGGCATCCATTTTGGAAGAAAATTGCAGAAGAGAACAAATTCGATTGGAAGGGCGGCGCACCAGGTAGGCACCGGCGGTCTCGTTGCCGTCACCGGGGCGCAACATGAGGATGTTGGGCATGGCGCGGAAGGAGGCCAGGTGCTCGATGGGCTGGTGGGTGGGGCCGTCCTCTCCCAGGCCGATGGAGTCGTGAGTCATCACGAAAATGGTGCCTGCCTGGCTCAGCGCCGCCATGCGGATGGCCGACCGCATGTAGTCTGCGCATGCATGCACGGGGATCAGTCACAAGCTATACAAATTCTTGCAAAACGCAGCTTCACGGCCACCCTGAACTGCAGTATGCGCACACGTACACACCGTCACATGGCAACAACAGGACACTAGTCCAGCAGACGGCAGGAGGACAAGCCATTTCTGAGTCACAACAGAGACAAGAGGCAAATTCAACACCTGTCCAACCCATGGTGGACTTCCTGTGAGCAGCGCAGACTTACAGGAAATTGTATCGGCTAGGAGCAGATACTGAAGAACTAACGTCATGCTTCAGTTATGCACTTTACAGAGAGCGGGCATGAATGATGCCTAAACGCATGCATGCATCGCACTAAATGCCGAGGTGAATTATTTTTCAGATGCCAGAGTCCTAGTCCCTCACTGAGGAGGGCAATGCAGCGGTGCAGCCAGAGCAGTTGTGAGGTGTCCACGCAGCGATCAAGCACAAAATGATTGCACAGTTCCCCGAGGACTTTAATGCAAGTCTGCGCGCACCGGTGAAAATGAAGAATGTGGCGCAGTAGGGGATGAAGCCGGGGGAGTGGAGCGCGATGCCGTTGCAGATGGCGCCCATCGCGTGCTCGCGCACTCCAAAGCGCAGGTTGCGCTCCTCGGGAGTGTCCTTCTGGAAGTCCCCGAACTGCTTCATCAGCGTCATGTTCGATGGCGCCAGGTCGGCCGAGCCGCCCCAGAACCCTGTGCATGCGCAGTGAATGCGTGAGTATTCTGCACTCACCCCGAAAATCCCTGCGTCACGTAGACAGATTATGGTGAGGCACTGTTCATGAAATCCTTGCCTGCACGGCAAGTGCGACACGACACACTTCAATATCTATTCCCAGGACTGTCCAGGACTTCGGGTAACGTTCGTGCTTCTAGCAGCAGTCCTAGTGCTAGGGCAAGGACAGATACCTTATGACATGCTCGACACTTCCAGCAAATGTCACAGGACCCGGTGTCATGTGCAGAAGGACCCACTGTGTCCAGAATTGACACTGCTGGTGGACGACGGCACTGGGGGAGTTGCGTGGTGGAACGCAAAGAAGCAAAAACAAGAAACACCCACCTGGAAGCACGTTGGCGAGGGCGTTGAGCATGGTCTGGGAGTGCAGGCGGGTGGCCAGGGCCTTGTCCTCGGGGGTGAATGTGGGCAGCGCATCCTCCCAGCCAGCCGGCAGCGCTGAGCTGTAGATGGAGTTCAGCTCGGCGTACTCCTGCGATTATTCCAAGGTATAAATCCTCAGTCACCATTTGCATGCCAGAAAGACCCCGCACAGCTGTACAGCAGGAAGAGAAGATTGCGCAGCGTTGGCCCCCAGAAAGTGCAGGGAAAGCTACCGCACTATTTCTATCAATCGACAGCTCATCGGCAGCTCTTTACAGCAGCAGAAAAGCTTGCCCAGTTCCGTCAGGGCGCAGCGCTCTCAGCCGAGCTGTGCTGCCCCAGTGCAGTGATGAAGCAGAGCGCGTTGTCAACAACCGGCAAGAGGTCGCATCACACATTCAGTGCATGTGTGGCATGCGAAAGAATACAGAAAGTGCACCTCGGGGTACTTGTCCTTGTAGGCGGCGTAGGCACTCTTCCACTCCTCCTCGGCGGCGGCGCCCTTCTTCTGGGCGTTGCTGAAGAGCTCGTAAACCTCAGGGGGCACCTCAAACTCGCCGTAGTTCCACCTGGCGAGCATGCATGCACGTCAGCACCTGGCTCCAGGCAAGTGACCTCGCAGAAGGTATTAGAAGACGCCCTGCATGTATGCCCTAGGCCCTGGCCTTCAATCGTCCCAACTAATGGCTGGTATAGTCACGCAAGCTGAACCTACCAGAGCATGAGCCCCATTCTTGCCAATATAAAGCACAATCTCATTCATGGTAGATAGGGCAAATTGCCCAGGCTAAATCACTCACGGGCTTGCCAAGTCAGTGCCACGACTTGCACATACTAGAATTCCCCTGAGCATGCCCGATATCTTTCGGCTCCTCACTGAAAGAATGGTACATCCTGGTGGACTGCTGGTTCATTTTCCGCAACATAGATCATTTGTAGTGAGCGCTCACTTTAGGTTGGCACGGGTGGCTGCGGTCTCGTCCTTGCCGAGAGGCGCTCCGTGCACATCGTGGGTGTCGGCCTTGTTGGGCGATCCGTAGCCAATCAGGGTGGACACCTGCATTATGTCACAGGGCCAACTCAGCACATGCCGTTCCGGCATTGCATGTGACAGGGCCAACTCAGCACATGACGAGCCGGCACTGTGTAATGACGCCCCATGGGGTGCTTCAGCCAGAGCACAATAATGTCCACAAAGGGCTCAAAGTTGAGTAACTTTCTCTTGCGACACGGAAGCTTGTAAGCATGCCCATGCAGCCCAGAAAACACATGCCGGCATGCACATAGCCCCAAACGCACTGCTTCATGGAACAGCACCTGCTCCACTGGCTTTGTGCATGACAAGCGTTTTCTACCCTTCTCCAATCCAGTTGCAATTTGCGTCGAGGTTTCAGTTGCAAGGCCACCCTTCCAGTGCTCAAGACGCTGCATGTCTCGTTCTTCCAAACAGAGCAGGGGTTCTGTTGTTCAGAGAGAGAGCAGGGGACTCGAGATTTATTCAGAGTCCTCTGAAGGGAGCCGGGGGCCGCGCCTTGATGAAGGATGGGCGGGGGTCCTTCTTGGCGGCGTCGATGGCCGCGCGGAGGCCGTCAAGGTCGGTGTTGCCGTCCTTGACGTGCTGCACGTGCCAGCCCAGGGCCACGAACCGCGCCGCCACATCCTCAGTGAAGGAGATCTCCGTGTGGCCGTCGATGGAGATCCTGCATGACCAATCATTTACCAACTAGCACAGCAATCCAAATGGTTCTATGTACACTTGGTCCCCCTTCTCATCCTCTTCTCTGCCTCTTGCTTGGCAGACAGTATAATGGTATTTTCACTGAAAGCTTACAGACATGTAGAAATGCGCGTTTGGGAGCCATTTGAGGCTTATTGGCCTTGTGGGCAGTCTTCCACTGCCCATCTTATATCTTATCTATAGAGTAGATGATCGCTGAGGACCCGCGCTTGGGTGCTTGGTGCGGGTTTGAACATGCAGCCCAGCCCTTACATGGCCTCCCAGACTGATTCACAAATGATTGCACGTGATACGCGGCTTCAAGCAAGGAGACAGGACTGGTCAACCCAGGCTTCTGGGACGTTCTTGGCCAGTGGCACGACTCAAACTTTGTGAAGCGCTTGGAAGACATGCATGTATGAAACACCTCTTGAGATCGCCTGAATGATACTTGATGTCTGTTCCTCTGAAGGGTATCTGTTGCCCCGTGGGGAACGTGGCATGCATGTCTGGTGGCAAAGGAACCTTTGACGGCAGAGTGCAGCACCTGTTGTCATCGTACAAGGCGATGAGCTTTCCGAGGCCCCAGTGGCCTGCCATGGAGGCGGCCTCGTTGGAGATGCCCTCCATGTTGCAGCCATCTCCCAGGATGCAGTATCTGCGCACACACAAAACCAACGTAAGTTACGAAACAGAATCTCTGCTCTTCTCAATGCAGGGTGCAGAAATGTGAGATGGCAGTATTCACAGGGCGATATGATCTGCGCAGCGATGGCTCCTGATATCAGACAGCAAGTGTCTCGCCTAGCTACAAGTAGCTCCCCAAAGAATTCATCGCCATAAGACAAGTCAACAGACTGCAGAGACTGTACTGTACTGGTTCCACAGCCACAAGGTCAGGCAGAATGATGATGTGAAGCAGTACAGCACTGGTGATCAGTGACTCACGTGTAGTGGTCGACCACAGTCGCGTCAGGCTTGTTGAAGCGCGCAGCCAGGTGCTTTTCAGCAGCTGCCAGGCCGACTGCGTTGGCAATACCCTGACCCAAGGGGCCTGCACCGACAAACAACGTTTCGGGTCAACCAGAGAAGAGATTGTCCATTGCCAGGTTGGCGGTGCACCCCTGACTTGGGTTCTATTGGATATACTCAAATGCTGCACAGAGTCAGTGCAGGGTGTTTCTGCTTGGGTTTTTCTTGCTTTTAGTTTCAATGTGCGGGCCAAGTCGGTCACAAAGGCAATGTTGCAGCAGTTGACTGCTGCTAGCACCAGCGCAGCAACCCTAGAAAGCAGGGATGGAGAAAGCACCTGTTGTGACCTCAACTCCCAGGGTCTCGAAGTTCTCGGGGTGACCAGGCGTCTTGCTTCCCCACTGCCTGAACTGCTTGAGGTCCTCCAGCTGCAACCAAGAGAGGGCAGTCAAGATCTCTAAAGATCCAAACTTCCTTGAAAAGTAGATAGGGTAGATAGAAAAAGCCAGCACGGCTGATTAAGGGCGTAACAGATCCATGCGACAAACTCAAATGGTCCATAAGCCTCACCTGCACGCTTTCATAGCCTGCCAGGTGCATCAGGGAGTACTGCAGCATGGATCCGTGCCCAGCGGACAGCACGAAGCGATCCCTGTTGGGCCAGAGGGGGTCCTTGGGGTTGTACGTCATGTACTCATTGTAGAGCAGGTATGCCATAGGGGCGCAGCCCATGGGCAGCCCAGGGTGGCCAGAGTTGGCCTTGTTCACGCCATCGATTGACAGGAAGCGGATGGTGTTGATGGCCTTGAACAACTCCTCCTCGCCAGCCTTCGGAGGGGCAATTTCAATAGTGGCCGCGGGTGCAGATGCCCTGATCACGACATCACGGGCAGCGCGCAGAGCAGCCCGCCGTCCTTGAACTAGCCTGGCGCCCTTGAAAGAGGAGCGTGCTGAAGGGATGCTGGCAGCCTGCCTGCTACACGTGGGGCTGGCAAGTAGTGCCTTGCTCATGGTTGCGGGCATTTTCGCAGATTCTCGGAACAAGAATCTGCTAGAGAAAATTGTGCTTCAGGCGAATGCAGCTCTCACACCTTGTGGTGAAGGATAAAGATCAAGAGGCGGGGCTTTTTGTGTGTGAATCTACAAAGCGAATCCTGACGAGGCAGGACCAAGGTTGCTTCTTCTTCGGTTTCGAGAGAACGCTTTGACAGCTTGTGAGCGGGTATTTTGGAGAGCATGTGTGTATCTTTTTTTGTCATTTAAAACGCTGGCGCTCAAAATGGACTATGCGAGAAGGCCTGTGTAGTTGACTTGAAAGGTACGAACGATGTTTAATAAGAGTATTTTTTGAACAGTAATGGGGAGCATATACTCTCTGACCAGAGGCCTCGTTAAATTGCTGATGAATTGCACGTACATTTCCAAGATTGTGATCGTGCTGTGCTGCTGTCCCTGACCATATTGCGACATCGAGAACCACTTGAAGCTCATCCTGTCTTGGCATCCTCCTCTTGCAGGCCATCAAGAGCCTGCCCATTCAACAGAAATCCGGCAAGAAACGTCTACAGTCTGTCCTCTCTCAGCGAGGGGCCGGCCTCGCTAGGCGTGCACGCCGAGAGCGTAATGCTCGCTCTGACTGAGGCGCCCCGAGCGCCATCCCAAACCGATACACCTGCAGGCTACGAATATTCCGGTGAGGAAACTCCTGAGCTCATCTGTTTTCGCCATAGATCTGCCTATTCTCAGCTGAGACACTCATGTGCCTGCTGCCCCCTGGCTGCATACATTGTGCCTGCACTTTAGAGCAGCTACCGTATCTTTAGAATTTGCCTTAATGCAACTATTGAGACAGCCTTTCAAGTCGCTAGTGCTCAAACCTCTCTTGTGCTGCAGTGACTGGCTGTCACATTGTGCTTGGTGCGGAAATGTCTCAATGTCATATTTTCTGGAACAGAGAGCACTACAACCATTCTGTTGTATTAAATCAAGCATGACCGAATCTGAAATGGATTGACAACGAGCTCAAACACGTCAGTATGCTACACTCGTCACAGCAAAGGTGAGCTTCGCTGTGCCTGGTTTCGTGCTCCAACACTTCAGAGATTCTGTGAAGTGCAATATAACAGGATCTTGCCCTGTAGTTTGGGGCAGGCTGGCTTCGCCGCTGCATATATCCGCTGCATATGCACCCTCCTCCGCCCTTCCCAAGCTGCCCAGATCTGCCCCGGCCCTTCGGCCCCGCCAGCACATGCAGCAGGATACACTCACATCTCCCTAACAGCAGGGGAGGCACGCGGGAGTCCCCCCGCGTGCCTCCCCTGCTACAACCATCCTCGCCACTGCGCCCACCACCGCAACTGCCGGCTCCTTCGCAGCATACTCCCATGCGCTGGTCTGCCTGGCATTGCTTGCGCAGTAAATGGGAATCCCCCGCCCGCGGCGGCCACCGCCGCGGCTGCGCGGGGCCCCCTCTGCTGCGGCAGCCGCCCTTACGGAGAGTACAGGAGGCCGCGCTGAGAAGTATGGCTGCTTGAAAGCGCGACAGCTTCCGTGCCGCGGCCGCGGCTGCCGGCATTGGGCGTCGCAGTGTCTTGGCTGGGCCACGTTTGCTGAAATGAGCGCTGAGAGAGAAGGGTGTGAGTTTGTGACGATACACAACACCGCTTCAAATTTGCTGTTGTGGCAATTGGGAAAAAAAGGCAAAGCCTGCTGCCTGCCGCGGCTGCTCTGCTGGCTACTTGGCCTCACAACTGTCACACACCCATCACAAATTAATCTTCACAGCTGCCATGGCAGATCGCAAGCAAAGCAATGACATGCACAAAAAGATGGAACACAACTGTACAGAAGTTGCCACAGACCTCAATCCAAACACCGCCATCCAAAGTAAACATATTGATCTTGTTCTTGTGCATGTGTATGCCACCTTTCAGGGAAAATTACCGCATATTTCATAAAGCCGCGAGTGGCCTGACTCTGCATGGCGTCAGGGGGACCGCAAGGTCCAGGATCTCCCTGAAGATGTGGGGGTCCAGCAATTTAAAATGGCAAGATTTGCCCTTGACCCTGCACCATTTATACTGGCATACTGAGTGCTGTGCCAGCATTGCAGCTTGTAACTTTGATCCTACCTATGGCACATGACCTCCAATTTTCTACCACCTCCTTGCGATGTCTGCTGTCCAAGACTGATAATAACATATTGGCATTTATGTATCGGTAGACACCCTTTCATTCAAGCTCAACCATCACATCATGCCCTCTGTCCATGCGGAGTCCTCTTTCAAAGGGTGTTCCGCAGAACAAGGCAGAAGGTGCGCGCATCAAGACATGTCTGCAGTCACTGGCAGTGCAAAAGACACATGCAGCACATCCTGAACCCATCCAAACAAGATTGCATGATAGCATGTCCTTCTCATTAGGACATGCTTCTGGTAAGGACATGCTAATATAAGCGTTGCCATCAAGTAGCTAGCACACCAATCCACATGTAGAAGCATCACACTACGATGGGAATGTGCGCAAAGAGGGTCACAGGATCTCTGCAACAAAATCTTGCATTTTTGAATGGTGGTGAACACGTGTTATATGATTGTGAAAATGAACCACTGGTAAGGAACTCTAAGCCTCTTTCACAGAGTCTGTGGCATGCTTGGTGCTTGCTTGCATCAATTGATTTCTTGCGGCCTGTGTTTGGACTACAGTACACTGCTCTATCTTTGCAAAGAACTGAAAATCGTACAGTGATGGACTTGACTACTAAAGCGAGGACCCCTGGGGGGTGCAAACAGAACGCCTGAGACACACACCAAAGATAACTCCTCAGAGCTGTGCGCTTTCAAGATTGCTTGGAGTACGGTCGGCACAGTTTTATTGCAGCGGCAGCCTTCCGAGCACCACAGAGCACTCTGAAAGCACTGTCGCGGGACCTGGTGCCGCGACTGGAAGCACGGGTTGCAATGCTTGGCGAGCCCGCAGCGGTGGAGCATTGCAACTTTTGATGGTTTTTCTGCGCCTCAAGCGGTCCACCTCCTAGCTGTTTCTGGATCTTCACACATAGCAGACTCTCAGTCACTCGTGTAGCCCATCATGCAATCTTGAGCCTTGCTGGTGCCAATTCAACTATTATCAACATCTGCAGCGCAGATCCTTAAAATGGACATCTACTATGAGGGCAGATGCATGTGGCCCACCCGTCGGCTTGCAGCTGCTTGTCTTTGGAAGTTTGCTCCCCACCATGCTCTCCCCGCTCTCTGCACAATCGCTTGAATCGGAGAGTCCATATGGCGGGGGCTTCTGGAATGTCTCTGCATACAGAGCTTATTGTGAGCACACAGAGTGAAGCAGGATCCTTGGCAATCCAGCTGCACCCATCAATTGTTGGATGCACAATTTCTGCCATTGCCTGACGATCCTGCTTCACTTTGTGTGCTCACAATGGGCTCTGTATGCAGAGATATTCCAGAAGCCCCCGCCATGTGAACTCTCCGATTCAAGCGATTGTGCAGAGAGCGGGGAGAGCATGGTGGGGAGCACAACATCCAAAGACAAGCAGCTGCAAGCCGACGGGTGGGCCACATGCACATGTATAGACCTGCGAATACTTAAGGTTGCAAGAGTCAGTTCATTGGAGGTCTTATAAATTATATTGACACATCTTTATTTTCTGAAAAGTCAAGTATCTTCTAAGGTCCTCCAGGGCCTCCTTCTCATCGCCATTACCCAAAATTTCGCAAAAAACCCAGCTTGACTTAACATGGTACAGAGAAGGACACGCGAGTGCTTCGCAGATACAGAATTCGCTCAACAACACATGATTGTAGTGCAGAAGGTGTTCTGGAGCATTGCAAGCCGAGCGACACTTTCTTTCGAGGCGGGGCTTCGCGCGAAGCTGCGGGAAGCTGGAGCGGATACTTTGCAAGTTTGAGGCGTGAAGGTGATATCTCATCTGTACATTCTGAATCGAGATACTTCAATTATTGTAGCGTTACAGGTATCATCTCATAATTACTGAAGGGATGGCCCTCGTGAATTTTCTGATATCAATAATTCTGGCCGCCCTGCAACTTGATGCTTGCTGAGCGAATCCAGTCAGGTCCTTTCCCCTTGATGTAAATCTGCTCTTCCTCATAGGCTGAATGGATACACTGTAAATGTCAATGCAGCTATTAGGGCCTCGCTCAACCTTTCGCTTTGGAATTGGTGCACTGCAGAGGTAAATCCCTTTGTTTCATATGGATGCTGCGACGTACTAGTAGTGTACCCGATTATCATTGGAAGAAAGCGATCTTCACAAGAAATGCTTTTAAACTTCCCTGCCCTCTGAAATGTAAGTACGTCTGCCAGGTTGTTACACAGGAGTTCTGATGAGAAAGCGGCTGTCCTCCTTAGAAATGCTTCTCATGGAATTACGAAGGCTAGCCAGAGACCCTTCCAAAGGGCTGTGCGCCCCGTTCCTGTAAAAATCGTCACAATCAGCAAGAACAACAGCGCAGGGGCAGAACTCTTGGCAGGTAGGTCAGCCAGAACATGCAAAACACAATTCCACAGTACCAAGGAAAAGAGAGATCATTAGAGAAGTGATGCTGGATCATTGCACCAGGTCTTGTGGAACAAATCACACGGTTTCATCAGGGCATGTTGATTCTAATTGATGCGCCCTGAACTGGCAGGCGAATGGATGCAAAAGCTGCAAAGATATACAGAGGCATCGGAAATGGTCATCCGGCCAAATCCAAAGAAGTCGTCAGAACCTACAGTGGCCATGCAGGCGGAAGGGGAGAAGGTCCTGAAAGCAATCAGACCACAGGTCAGCTTCTGCCATTCTGTTCTCCTAGCCATTTGATCTCCACTCTCTTTTCTTGTCATCTGAAGAATCACCAGCCAAGGATGGCCAGCCGCATGGGCTTCCTTTTCTTGCTTGTCTGGTGTTTTAAAGCAGCTGTGGCGCAGGACAGAGTGATTGTGTTGGATGAGAGGGGGAAGGAAGCGACCTCAGAGCAGTTTGCAAGCATACTTGCAGAGGTGAACATAAGCAATATTTGAATGGCAGCGATGCAGCATGGGATGATAGAATGTGCATGGCTGTGCTTCCTCAGACTCCATGCAGTGGTGCATTGATTCCAGGCACATCACCATAATGTGGCAAAGAAGTTTTGGACAGTGCTGTCAGGGTTCACAGAACGGAGATGTCTGCATATTGCGTCAGATATGGCAAAGGCAATGCTATAATGGGGGCTGGGGGTGTCTGCCAGGACAGGCCGGAGATGAGGGAGTGGGGGCAGTAGTGTTCTGCATAGGCGGACCATATGGCCACAGCGATGCAGTGCGCAAACGAGCATACTCCATGCTGAGTCTCTCAAAGTGTGTGCTGAATCATCAGGTGCGCTGCGATCGCCATGCCTCCTCTGCTTGTGGACGTGCCAGAACCTTGGAGTTACGTGCACTCGCTAGATTTGCGTTTCATTGCACAGGCCATGAGGCTCCTGTGTCGAGTCCTCCCACGCCTAAGAACTGATCTTTGGCTGCAGATCGCTCGGCTGGTATTGCTGGAGCAGCTGTACAGGGGTTGGACTATCATTAAGGGCGAGCCTTATCACCACTGAATCCATTCAATTAAGGTCTGCAGTAAGCGCTGAAGCAGAGGGCCTCATCACAAGCAGAACAATGCTGCCAAATGCCAGTGGCCATCGAAAGATGAGCTACAATGTGCTCAGGGAGATATGGGCAGGCTCCAAAACCTTGGGGATATGGACATGGAGATCGATACATGTCAACTAACGATAGTATCATGCAACCGTTTGATGTCGGTCATTCTGGTGTGCATCTAAAGATAGAATCCTCCTCAAGATAGGATTCTCCGGAGAGGTCACTTGGACCAATATTTATTTATTTAATATTCAATATTCTTTTGGGAGCACTGGCCACACCATCATATATATCTTGGATACTGCTGACACTCGATCGTGACAAAAGAAAGCTTTGAAACGCACGAGCCGGTTGGAACAAAAAACAAGATGATCCTATTGGACGACCGTTCTCTTGAACACAGCGCGCTCAACTGATGCCGGCAGGCTTGACATGGTGTAACCCATGCTGCGCAGCAGCACAGTGTACAGCACATGCATGAGGAAGATGTACAGCACTGCATTCACTATCAGCAGGGATGCCAGCACCACAATCACCACTGTTGGCGGAGGCGCCCCTGATGCCCCGATGAAGGCATTCATCTGATCCTGCATTTTCCAGTACCAAGACACATCAGATGCAAACATGGTGGAAAATCTACGCATGGTCAGTACAGTATGTTTCCTTTGCAAGTGTGCCGAGATCGTCATTCAAGCACTGCTGATGACAACTCTGCGTGTGCAAACCTTTCTAAATGCACAGCAGGCACAATGCCAGCGAATTCTGTCCTTCAAGACTCCTCAAAAGTGCAGCTGCCACCAAGGCTTCAAAGACACCGACTGGTTCACACGGTTTGGAAGATTAGCTCACCAGTAGGGAGTAGATGTTGGTCATGAGGATGGAGAAAAGGTTCTCGTTCATGATCCAGGACGACACAAGCACATACGCCATCATTCCACCCACTCGCACGAGCGCCCCAGCAGCCACGCTAAGAGCCCAGTGCATGCCCAGGGACCAAGATGCGCCTAATGTGGCCGCTAGGAGCCCCTGGTTGAGCAGGAATGTGAGGCTCTGCAGCGGTCCCTGCAAGACTGCACAGCAACATCCTCCATGAAAGGCCACAAGCAGACAATCAGGGGGTGGCTTTTTTGTTGCACACAAGGAGTTTACATGGCAAGGCAGTCGTTTGTCCTTACTTTTGGTGCTCGCTCTGCATTGATGTCTGCATTCCTCTTTCTAATGTGTAGAAAGCACAAAATGGCGAGCTGGTCACTAATTTCATCGAAGCAGTCACACAACAGGTTGTCAAAAGCTCTGCAGCCGTGCGAAGCACAACATGCATCCTGGCGGGTGCTTGTGTTCCCAAGAGCTCTGCATGCTTCTGCATCTGAAGGGATAGCTCTTGGCAGAAGCCTGCATTCCAAGAGCTTTACATGTCCTCAGTGCTGAGGGGGAAGTTCTCACCAAGGAGCAGGAAGCAGGTGGCTGTCATAGTCTTCCGTCCAGCAGCAGGACCCCAGCGCATGGCAGAGACAACTATGGGCATCGGCTGAAAGTACCCCAGGTAGGACTGCAGCTTCAGGATGGTTGCTACCACGTACACAACGCCGCCCACTGCTGCCAGCATCGCTGTCTCCACCAGCCTCTACGTTGCATGCATTGATCAATTCCTGCGATCTGGATCATGCGAGTCCAACCAATATGTGCACGCCCTTCTCTTCAAGCACGTATCAAAACAAATGAGACTGCAAGGCACCATGTCAGAGCGAGATGGCACCCTCCTACCTGCGTCCGTTCAAGATCGTACGTGACGCCTCGTTCCTCTGCCTGATGCTTCCTGAGGGCGACAGAAAATTTTTCTGCAGCATTGCTTGCATCAGGTTCGGTCGCCTGGGTTCCTGATGTGCAGGCTGTCTGCAAGCCCGAGCTCCTCAGATCAATATTTTCACCGACTCGAAAGCAGCGTCGCTGGCCATCCAAGCCAATGCCTGCATAATGCACCTTGGAGTTTCTCACCAGCGATTCTAGTTGCTTCAAATGTGTCCCAAGGTCTCCAATATTGCTCATGCTACAACAGAGTTGACAAGCTGCATCCCACCTGTCCTGCACCAATTCTTGGCCTTTGCGCTATGTCTGATCACTTTTGATCGAATATTTCGACCAAATCCACCGCATTTCACAAGATGACGGCCATACAGATGATTGACAGACATTTAAAGGTTGTCATCTGATCTGCAAGGTGTCTGAGGGAGCGTCGCCGCTCAACGATGTTGACATGGGATCGATGTGGATTCTGCGCATCTATCCAATATTGTCTAAATAATGTTGTCGCACTTGTTGCTGAAGTCTGATCTATTTGGCGCACGTGCCACCTGCTGCTCGCACATGTTTCCATGCCGGCCCTAGCACTGCAACTGCAGGCATCTGAGCGCCTCTTGTGTCGACTTCATTGATTTAAAAAGAAAACTGAGTGGCAGCCCTCAGCATGAGGTATGTATACACGTCCTCATGCATTGCCGGTGTATGGGCCACCGGCATGCTTCTATTGCCCGTTGCTTTGCTGATCATGGCTACTTGTTAGCTATCAAAGACGTCAATCATAAGACTAGTAGATCACATAACATCCTGCAGGCTCCTCTGACCATGCATCATCGCCATAGCTGAGGACCATCCATGTCCTTTGCAGCTATTTCATGCATGCATTCCGTGCCATATGGTGCCACCGTCCAAAATGGAACCAGAGGATCCCACAACGCAGTACATCCTTGCCACATTTCCAACCACCGACAGCATACAATAATATATGTCACGCTTATAAATCCGTAGTCATGTTCGCCAGGCAACTGGCTTGAGGGAGGCAGCGGCTCGCTCCCCCTTGACCTCAAGGGAGCCGGTTGTCAGACCCTCGACCGCACCAAATCTGGTGGGCAGAGTGCCCAGCCACTTCCATGCTCTGCCTGGGGAGCTCTCTCCAAGCAGCACATCCCTGTAGGCCTCCAGAATAGGCTCCACCTGATCTGCTGGCTCATCCACGAGCTCCACCCTGAAGCAGCCAATACCCGCCGAGGCCAGGTCTCGGGCATGCCACAGCCCTGCGCAGCGCACTGCCTTCGCTGAAAAACAGGGCATTTATGCACCCCTCTTGCATGCGCCCACCCCATTATCATTGCACACTTCCTTTGTACAGTTTGCAGCCAGCAGAGGTGCCTTAATGCCAGCTCTCCATATTTCAGAAAGTCCTTTTCTCTCCTCAACGTTCAAGAAGCAGAACACCCGTAATACAGCTGGCTGCTTTATCGCGCACAGCCAAGTCAGCCGTAAGGGCTCACAAAACGGGTAATCACATGTGGATCTGCACATGTGACATTTCTGTATGCCATAAAATTATTTGGGAAGCATGCCACGAAGAATTGCGCGCACCGGACTGCGCCTGCGCGTTGAAGACGGTGTTGCGGCAGCCCTCGTCGGCCAGCACGAGGTGGTCATGTCCTTGGCCGTCGCGCAGATGCAGCGCATTTGACTCGCACGGATGCCCGCAGTCCAAATGCGAGTTGCCGCTGCACGCAGTCACCATCAGAGATCAGGACTGTGTGGACTGTCATAGGAATAGCAAAGGCAACAGTCACAAACTCTGCTCAAGGGGAATGTCACTGGAGACAGAAGATATCAAATACAGCGCAAAGGGCATTGTAAACATGATCTCCGTTTGCCGCCGTCCAGGCATTTGTTGAGGCAGTTTGAGGAAAAGATCGGATCAGGATACATGTGCTCTGCAAGATTGTGGTAGCACACACCTGGAGAGGAAGCGGCAGAAGACACAGTGCTCCGTGTGGAAGATGGGCAGGTGCTGATGCACTATGGCCTCCAGCTGGCCAGCCCTGCATAGAACAAAAACTACACATTGAACTTTTGGGAAGACAATGAATTCAAGCAGTCAACCAGCTATAAAGCAGCTGGAACAATCCGATTCTTTGACTGGGCAAACAAATAAGACAGCCTGCAAGACGCAACACAAAGGCACTTTGACCCCCATTCGAGAGGTGCATGCAGCTCGCTCACATGCAAGAGGCCCCAAGAGGCATGCTGCGCTTTGCAGTGGCCCACATCCTAACCCCAGCTCATATCCCCCAAATACCAGGGAATAAATCCAAGGACCCACCTCTCAGGCCCCAGGTTCCTGGCCAAAGCGGCCATCTGCGCAGCGTTGAGGTCGTGGGTGGGTGTGAGCCGCGCGAGGCCCTGGCCCAGCAGCAGATCCGCGCTCAGCACGTTGGCCGCATTGAGGGAGAAGTCTCCCTCCAGCACCGGCATGTGCGCTTCCAGGGACGGCAAGTAGTCACCTATTTCAGCACAGATCATATCAATTCCCTGCTAGGCACTTGAATTACTGGCAAGAGGGCCGTGTGCTCTGTGAGCTAAAAATCTCAGGTACAGATCACTTTTGGATCCCCTTGGATCCCATCCCCTGGCAGGGGGTTCGAACACTTTGTAAGCAACTTGCACTAAGTTCTGAATGTCTTCAACTTCTTCTGGCGGACCTCTGGGCCCTCGATTTGGTTATTCCATTTGAGGCCTTCATGGTTATTTCATGAAGGCCTCAAAGCCCAGAAGATGATATGATTTGCAGAGTGAGCAGAAGAAATATCCATAAGCCATGATGCCGTAGTGACTATACTGCTCACCTGGCTGGCCGAGCTCCCTGAGCTGATGCAGCAGCCCCGAGCTGCGCAGCAGCAGGGCGTCCGGCTGCAGTTTCAGATAAAATCGCGCAAGCCGCTCCTCTCCAGGCTTCAAAATTCGAGGTGTTGCCACGACACAGCGCTTGGCCGCTGCCCTGACCAGCGCCACTGCCTGTCGCAGGCCGTGGACTTCCAGAAAGTCCAGAATGACCTCCTGCAGCCACTGCACGCTGCAGGCCACCTCTACCTGCACCCCAAAGCAACAATATACTCAGAATTCTTCTGAAACATTGTTCGGTGCGCAGATAGGCCTTCTGTGCCGAACTGAAGGGGTCTGTTGGTTGCTTGTAGCCTCGCAGGGCATGGCATAGGGATTATATCGTTTATTAGACCAGCTCAGGCCTGAGGAGATCTGGGAAATGAAAGTTCGGTGAATGTGTGAAAGAGGCAGGGTGCTGCCTCACATGAGCCATTCGAGTCTGCCAAAGCCACAAAAGCTTCTTGAAATATTGCGGGGAAACAACTGTTACTGCGTCCTCACAAGCTATCTATATGGATTGATTCCTCACCTGCGCCATGGATCTGCAGAGCACGCGAAGCTGCGGCTCCGGCTTCAAAGCAGCCGCCTCTCCGCTGGCATGTCCGCCGGCGGCGGCGAGGAGGTCAGGCAGCACTGTGCCGGATGCCATGCTGTCTGCCTTGTTATGCACTGATAGCGCTCTGACACACTGCTCTGCCGCGGCTCTCCGCACGGCCTTCAGCTCGCTCAGCGGCAGAAACAGGCCTGCGCAGCGCATTAAATACCCTCAGAGGGTTCACACCAAGGGGGAGAAAAAGACAACATCTCTCAGCATGAGCGGGGGCGGGTATTTTGTAGCTCTTGACCAAACATCAAAGCAATACCTTCATTAACGCCTGATCCATACCAAGTTGTGATGTAGCTTAAAAGGCATTTGTGGCAGATATTTACGCTTGTTTCTTGCCCAGTCGTTGTCCATGTGATTGTTAGCACATGTGTTACAGCTTCCAGGAATCCTGGCTGCTAGCTCAAACTAAATGTTACTCTCCAGCGCCGTTCTGCCGGATCACATGTTTACTCCTTTACATTTGTCCCCCAATCTTTCCAGAGATCAGCTTCTTCAGCTGGCATGGTCAATCAGGTCAAATATAGCTCTTCAGAGAGTGTGGCATGCGGCGGCTGCGCACCAGCACCGAGGTCCAATGCAGACGTGTCCAGGTCACCGAGGCAGAGAGTGTTCTCGCCAAGTTGGCCCAGGGCGTCGCGCAGCGAAGACTCATCCATCGGCCGCTTGGCCGCCGGCTGCAGGGGTACCTGTGAGAGGGCGTGCCCCACGCGGCGGCCGCCCATGAATAGCTCTAGCTCCAGCGCCTGAGATAAGCATGAGCAAACATTTAGCAATCTAACCAGGAGCACTTATCCGAAAGTTTGTTCCAGGCGAGCGAGTATGCCATCGTCACCTGTTTCTTAGTTGCAGTTTCCACAAATGTAATAATGAGCTTCGCAGCGCCCTGTGAGGATTTTCTTCCTAAGTTCAACCAAGCATGAAAGAATGTGTGCATGGCAGTGGGAGCGCCAAGTCAGGAGAAGGGCTGTTTCCCTCCAATGGGCTCCCCTTGCCTGAGGTAACCCCCCTGTGCCTTGGCGCGTGCCCCCGAACGAGAGTCTAGTGCCGCGCTCCCTCCAGAAACCATGTTCAAGCTTGAAAGTGACAAATGCGAGCGCCGCACCTGGCCGAGGGAGCCGGACGCGCGCGCATCCACGGCCACCTTGCGCATCTGCGCGCTGGGCAGTGAGTCATAGGACGCTCGCGCCTGCGCCTCCACTGCCGCGTCCTTGTTGCGCCACAACAGATCTCCCACCTGGTCATGTCAGCATACAGAGTAAAATTACTACCTGGAAGGTAAAGAATAATAGATCATCCTGTTGCATGCCACCACACAAGCGTGCAGGACCTCAGTCCTCACACAAGCCTTCAGCTGGCTGCACGCTACATTTGGTAGCGTGCAGCCAAGAGAGTCATGGCTTCTAACTTAAAGAACCCAGGCTTCCGGCAGAGGAGACACGGAGTGTTTTAGGGAAAAGCTTGTTCCAGCTACCGCTCACATGACAATCCATGCAATGAAATCAGACCCACCTTGATGTTTCTGAGGTCTATCTGTCCCGGTCCGAATGTCAGCTTTGCCACTGCGCCGTCGCCCTTACTGCGCCCCTTGGCAGACTTTATGTCATATATTGTGCCGCCCTCCTCATCTTTGTCGGGTGCCCCCGCATCAAAGACCACGCCGTCTCCCCTTTTTAAATCCCCTTCCTGCGCTCCAGAAACCCCATATCCACGTAAGAAACATGCTTTGACTCCTCCGCCGTGCACGCCATGCATGCATGTTCTTTGGTACGGTTCCCAAGAAGCAAAGCAAATCATGCATGGTTTGCAGCTGCGTGCAAACACGAGGTATATCACATGCAGCGATGTCACATGCACCCCTGCGCATGCAGAAATGAGACGTACAACAAGAAAGAGGCGCGCACCAGAACTTGGATGCTGACGGTGCCTGATTTGGCGTCCACAAAGGCCACCTTGCCCACTAATACACCCCTGTGCCTCGGTGCACGCCCGCGGACGAGTGTCTGATGCTGCGGCCCCTCCAAGAATCCTGGCGTAAGACCCCTGTGCTCCTCGTCCTGCCCCCTGGCAAACACCTGACACACCAACCACAGCTCGGACTTGTCTCCTCAAAGCTAGTTTTTAGTCACTCCTCATTTTGATACCTCAGGACTGTGGCATGCAAGTGAGCTCTGCATATGTGCCATGTCATCAAGACAGGGGTGCAATGGCACGCATGGCTCAAGATAATGCTCGGTATCATGTATCAAAGTTGCAAGAGACCCAGCAGAGGCTAGTTGCCTCCCTGAAGCAACACAAACGACTGCAAATGAGCTGGCACGGTCAGGAAGGGCCAAGCATGCTTCAGCCACTTCAACACACCTGGTGGAGTGCCTTCCGCTGCTGCTCTGTGACGAGCTGTGTAGCCTTTGATGATGCGCTGCCATCTCCTGCGTTCTCCAGCTCAAGCTGGTCCCAGGCAGCATCGACAGCTTGCCTGTAGGCCAGCGTGGTGACTGCCACGTACTCCGGCCCCTTGAGGCGTCCCTCTATCTTGAGGCAGGACACACCTGCCTTGATGAGGCTCGGGATGGAGTCCAGCGCCATCAAATCCTGTATAGGGAACCACAAGCGCACTGTCAGCATAGCTGCATCTAGATCTCGCCCGCTAGCGCTTATGGCATTTATGCATGAAGGTCCAGTGCAGGCCCATGGAGGTAGCGCACTTCTGTAGCAGATATTAGAGGAAATAATGCAGGGACGACTCAAGAGGCCGGCTTGTATCCTGCAGTACTGCCGGGCAGGCTGACACTTCCAATATCAGCACACATGACCAGAAGGATGTACTATGTGATGTAAGCAAGCTTTGGAGAGCCTGCGTACATGCAAGTCCCAGGAAATCAGGAGTACCTGTGATTTTCAGGGAAGCTTTATCTAAAACTGGAAGGTCTCATTCCAACTCTTACCTGGGGGCTGAGCAGATATTTGATATCGCCCAGGTCTCGAAGGGCGCCGTTGACCACGAGGCCATATGGCATGCGGCAGGCTTGCGCACATTGACCCCTGTTGGCAGACCGGCCGCCCCAGGCCTCTGATGAAAAACATTGTCCGCTGCACCACAGAAATTACAAGCAAAGCTTCAGAGCTGTTTTCATCCTGTGAGCGAAGGGCAAATTACTGCTGTTGTACGCTATCGCGCTGCTAGAGGGCTGGCAGCGAGCATGGGGAATGAGTCAGCTGCTTTGAATGACTGCTATGGCTTGTGCATATATCAATGCCGTCCACCATTCTCAGGGTCCCTGTCAGGGACCTAGATCAAGGGATGCCATCATGTGCATGAGGGGTGCAAGCCGATTCAACAGCAGAGGGCGGGCAGCACCTGTAAGAGACGCAGAGTGCGCCGTGTACGAATGCCTCCACCTCAGCGGGTGACTCAGCGCCGACGCGCGCGATGTCGCCCACGCTCAGCTCACGGCCCACCACGACGCGGTCAACGCCCAATGCACGAGCAAACTCCGCGCCCTGTGATTGCACCTTCCGTTGGCTGGAAATCTACAGCATGTCCTTAGTCCGCCAGATCTAGAAGATCACCTCAGTGTAATTGGGGCCATCATGGATATGGCCTGCCCACATCTGAATTGAGCTGCAAGATCAGGGGTCGGGAAGCTCAAAATAGCAGCGAATTTACACATAGCTGCAGAGCAGAAACTTGAAATTTCTCAAGCAAGTGCCACGTGCGGACCACTCTAGTTACAACTGTGGGGATATGCTGATCTGTGCCAAGACATCATAAGCATACAACTGGCCCTGCTGGCTGGGAAGACTGACCTCTGATGACGTAATGGACATCTGTGTTGAGCCATGTATCGGCAGCGATGGCGCCACGCGCCTGATCAGGCGAACAACTCCCACATCCTGCAGACCATGCAAAGCCTCACAGAATATCATTATTCACCAAGAAAATTTCTACGCACTGATGTAGGGGCCAAAATCGGAATATTATTCCCACCGATAATGAGGCACCAGGACCTGCTTGTGTAGCGAGCTTTTGATGTGATTGTGAGCTTATGGAGAAAAGAGACTCCCTCTGCAGAATGCAGAGGCATGCAAGACTACATCAAGTGGATAGTAACTAGCTGGCTGGTCGCAGCAAATGTGCTCATTTGAAATGCCATACTGAGCTCTATATTGTGAGGATCCGAAAAAGGGGTAGGCTGTGGAGAGAGGGAGACTGCCTGCACAATGACGGCATCCACGCCGCATGCTGCAATGTGATGGATGTGCTTCTCCACCGAGGCGAGCTCCTCGTCAAACACCAGGACGTTGACTGTGACGAAGCCTTTCACTCCACGCTCATGGAGGTACATCATCACCTGAGCACAGTGATATCGAAGTCAATACGGTATGCGATCCAAATAAAGGTTTGTATTTTCAGAGTGGCAGTAATGTTGTCTCCTGATGTCTGGTTACAGGATGTAATACGGCACCAGAGGCACCGAAGGGCAGTTGGAGGCAGTGAGTCTAGCATGCATGCAAATTAACAACTAGAGTTGAGCACCTCTTCCAGTTCCTCTGGGGTGAAGTTGGCGGCTCGAGCGCGGGCGTTGAAGGTGGAGAGGCCGAAATACACAGCGTCTGCTCCATTCTCCACTGCTGCGCGCAGCTGGGGCCAGCCGCCAGCAGGTGCTAGCACCTCTGGTTTCCTGAGGGGCTGAGGGGCTGTGCCGCCCGCCAAACATTGGGATCGCCCTTCGAGATGATCTGTGTCTTTTTGGACATTTAATGAGCTCGCCACAACTTCGTCCCTTGTGTCTTCAGTGGCTGGCTGTGCCACTAGCTGGGGAGCAGATCTGCTCACAAGGGATCTCTGGGAGGCTGCAGTATTGCAGAATAGTGGGTTGCTGCTTCTGTATTTTTTCGATTCGTAAAGACAATGACAGGCTAGGCCAGCTGGCCAAAGCTTGCCGCTAGGACACGGCGTGGATGTAAAGGCTAGATTCTGCATTCGCTATTTTCGTTCTTATCCCCGCAATAGCGGACGCTCAGTATAAATATTACTCGTGAAGTAATGTTCTTCCCATTAGTATAAGCATCCTCCAAGGTAGTTTAACACACACATCACGGTGGCAAGCAGGTGTTGCAGGAGCTGCGAGCGAAACAGTTCCCAAGAGCCCAACTCTTTTCTATAGGGCCTGCAGTTTGCCACCAATGGGAAGTATTGTGGAGCTTCTACTGGTTGTTGTGGTGCTTCAGGCAGAAACTTTCGGGTTTACGGCACGTGATCCCACGTGCGCCAAAACACCAAGTTCTTGACCTATAGCTTCCTTTCATGCACATCTTTCGATCGCAAATCATTTTCAAGGAACATATAGAAGATCTCAAATGCAGACGCACTCAAATATAGATCTTTGACTTAAAAACCACCATGTTCGGGTGTTATCTGCCCTTACCGGAAGCAAGATGTTCGCTTTACTCGTCTACTAGCCCGCTGATAAGCACATCAGATCAGCGCTTGGCTCATAGTTTGCGCTTTAATCTGACACAGAAATTATTCCAGGAGCTTCCAGCCCACCCGCGTCTCTTCCGGCGGCACAATGCAGTGTCGGAAGACTACTGGCTCCCTCCTGGAGAGCTATCAGAAATAGATAGAAACGCTGGCCTTGATGCTCCAGAGAACATCTTCAGATGTTTTGGCTGCACAGAAGCAGAATGCCAGGTCTGTGTGCTGTGCTACCGTGAACCCCATGCCACAGAGCATCCCACGAAGGAATTCTTGCCACTCAGGCCTCATGTTCAGATATTCCAGGCGCTCAAAGCCACCTGATGGTCATTATATCGTGGGTTGCACCAATACTGAGAGCGTGCGGATTTTCTGTTGTGCTGCAGGGCCCAAAGGGCTGCGCCAAAATTCCTTGGAGGCTGGAACCGGGTGGCTACTTGAAAAATATCCTTAACGCTCGTGTATATGATATAGCGGTGGGTGGCATGACACCTACTTTCTTGAATTGCAGAGTTTGCAGTATTCCAAACTCATCTGCGAACATTCAGGGGTCTGTGGGTTGATTCAAGATGCAGGATCCCACATCCATGCTGGCTGCATTACTGACTTTGTTCACTGGCTTACAAAGTGAGTAGAAGCTGGCTGGCTGCAGATTGAGACTCCTCTTGAGGAAGCAAAGCAGCTCAGCGATGAGCTGGGGAATACCCTGCTGCTTAAGCGGGAAGACCTGCAAGCGGTATGCACATGTCCAATGCCTCTGTCATATCAACAGCACCTCACTTTCTGCGTTAGGATGACAAGCGTTTCTGACCAAATTGGGGGAGCGCTATCAAATGAAGATACCGCATGTGGAGCATTCCATGCGGCACCACTTCTGTCGTTGTCAGAGAGCCTCTTATTTGTGGTGTTGCTAGTATCCTGTAACAAGGATGGCGTCCCGTGCCAGGTGTTTTCCTTCAAAGTCCGGGGCGCGTTCAATAAACTGGCGCAGCTGAGTCAGGAGGAGCTGGACCGAGGTGTTATCTGCGCCTCTGCTGGCAACCATGCTCAGGGAGTGGCGCTGGCAGCCCGGACTCTGGTGAGAGTCTCCTTTTGCACTGACACTTGGATTCTCCTGACATTTCTCTGGCAATACAGGCTAACATAATCAAGCCATTCTCAGCACATGTGCACACGTGCTGCTGTTGTGGAAAGCCGATGAGACCTCCAATGACACCTGGCATATTGCTAATGGCCCTCTGACGCACAACTTGCATGCGTCACTTTCTCAATGTTGATGCCATGTTCCTGTTTCGATACAGGGCTGCCACGCAACCATCTGCATGCCCCCCACGACGACAGCCATAAAGATAGAGGCGGTCAGGCGCTTGGGCGGTGAAATTGAACTTGTTGGGCAAACGTACGCAGAAGCCCAAACGCATGCCAGAGTAGGTCATTACATCTTGCAAAAAGCGTTTGCTGCTCCCAGAAAGATCTGTCATTCTCAAAGCCTCACACGTAGGTGGCTTGTTGCAACACACCGGTCCTTGGACCCAGATATTACAAGGCGACAAAAGTGGACTGACACTCGTGTCCGGTGTGTTTTCCTTTGTAGGAAAGGGCATTGAAGGAGGATAAGATCTTTGTGTCGGCGTTTGACGACCCGTACATTATTGCAGGGCAGGTGATCCCCAAAATACCTTCTCCACTTTGCACATCGAAGCACGGGAAGTATGAGAGGATGTAGCAAGACATCTTCACCGCCTTTGATGCAGCATTGAACTTTCTGAAATATTACACTGGTGTGCAGAGGTGTCAGCGCAAAGGGCACCCCTTCTTAATTGTCTATTTGAGGTTGCATGAATGACATCTCAAGCTCTGAGCTCTTACATATTGCTGCAGGGCACGATGGGCTTAGAAATCCTCCGCCACTGCCCTGCGCATTTGAGGCGAGACTTGCACGCTATCTTTGTACCAATCGGCGGGGGAGGTACAGTTGCCTGCCACATAAAACTTTAGAGCCACAGTCCATGCTGTACTGTCTGCACCGCTGTTCTGGCACGCTTGGGCGCCTCAGATAAATTAGTAGCACAACTGGCCCCAGCTGTTCTGGCATGCTTCGGCGCCTCAAATAAATCAGTACCACAATTCGGCACAGCTGTTCTGGCATGCTTCGGCGCCTCTAATAAGTTCGTAGCACAACTTGGCACAGCTGTTCTGGCATGCTTCGGCGCCTCAAATAAGTTAGTGGCACAACACTCAGCACGGCTGAAATCGCCATTCAGGGATCAGATCGAACAACATGGGTGCAGGTATGGCGGCGGGTATTGCAGCTCTGGTGAAAGAGATCGACCCCGGCATTTTGGTCATCGGCGTTGAGCCCACAGGGGCCAACAAGATGGCCATAAGCCTGAAGACTGGAAAGCGGGTCTCCCTCGACAATGTTCGCCTCTTTAAGCACCCTGTTCATGAGTTGCATTTGCGAATGTGTTAATTGTTTTAGTGCCGGTATGCTGAGACAGTGGCAAGGTGTCCTGCACGGCAATAGTTGCAGCCTCAGTACTGCTAATTACAATGCAGAACATTTGCCTGTTTTTGTCAGTTTATTTTGATTTGCATGCGCAGATTGATGTTTTTGCTGATGGGGTGGCCATCAAGGAGCCCGGGGCGGAGTGCTTCAGACTACTGCGCAAATTTCTTGATGGCGTCCTGCTGGTGACACCCCTTATTTCAGCCTTGTGCACCAGTTACAAGCAAGCATGTCTAGTGCTGTGCGATTGTTCCACCTTCCCTTAATCGTTAAGGAGAGCTGACAGCTGGAATGGGCACGATTGTCTGGCTTGTTCATAACTGTCTAGGTCTTGTCAGCCCATGTTCAAAGGAGCACCTTGTGTCCAATGTGTCTGAAGTGGTCATGAATGTCAGAAGATGTCTGATATATATCTGATACTTGTCTAGTGCGTCTGGTGAGGTCCTGAAAGTCTCAATATGTCTGATCAATGTCTGATACTTCTTTGCCTGTGCCTAATTTGTCCAATGGGGTCCAGAGCATGTCCAAAACATGGCCAGCTGGTTCTAGCTAGGGGTGTAAAAAAATCTCTTGTGTGATTGTGTTGCAGGTAGACAATGCCTCAATTTGCGCAGCCATCAAGGATGTCTTCAATGAGACCCGCACAATCCTTGAGCCGGCCGGGGCAGTTGCCGTCGCCGGCGTGAAGGCATACTTGAAGGCCCGGCCCGAGATTAAGGTGCAGCTCATTTGCAGCCCAAATCTTTATGCTCCTCAGGGTTGGAGAGCTCCAATCCCCCTGCTTTAGAGTTCTCTGTGCTCTCGGGTCCGGGAGAAGATTGCATTTTCAATGCATGCATGTTTACTCAACGAGGCATGCGCTTCTTCCCTACTTGGCGCTCGCACTGTCTTGTTTTTTACCTGGTTTCATCCACCGTCATGCGTGTGCATGACTTGCAGATTCTTGTGCTGCTGTGGCTCATGCCTGGCTGTGTGCTGTGCAGGGCAAGACGATGGTTGCTGTCACGAGCGGCGCAAACATGAACTTTGACCGCCTGCGGCTTGTCACGGAGCTGGCAGACCTGGGCGCCAATGTAGGCATCCAATTTCCACTCCCATGCTGTTATAACAGGCATCACTTGTCCTTTGACAGCTTTGTTGTCACAGCCCTGATTGTTGCCAGAACAGACCCATCCGTCAATTGGATGTTTTCCTCTGCTTCCTCCCCTTGTCCAAAGAGAGCTTGCTGAATGTGAAAGTCAATGTGTCTGTTCTGCAGAGAGAAGCAATGTTGATGAGTACAATCTCTGGGCGGCCGGGGACACTGCGCGAGTTTGTCAATATGGCCGTTCCAGAAGGCACTCACCTCAACATCACAGAGCTGCGCCACAGGTAGGGCCTTGAAGTGTCTGATCCTCACCAAACTTTGTTCAATGCTGCTTTTCTTGAGAAGGTCTACGCCAGATGCCAAGGCACAGGAGGCATCTGCAAGTGCTTGGCAATTTTTCGAGATCCAGGCACTTTCTTTTGATCCTTTATCTAGTTTCCCAGTGTTTACCACCCTCCCACGGTGGGGCTGGCTTGCCAGATTCCTCAATGCCACCCCCATCAACTGCAAAGTGATGAACGCATATTCGGAAACTGAAGTTTTGAATTTTGAATTTGAAATTTTCATCTAATGAGAGAATGTGATGAATAAAATTCGAGAATGAGCTCAAATAATATAACAAAGAAACTTGAATATCATTTCAAATGTCTAATTTTAAATGTTCGAGATTTTTAATTTGGGGCTCATTGGGGCAGGTACACGGAGGACCGGGACTGCCAAGTGCTGTGGTCGGTGGGACTGCGCACAGAGTCAGACCTGACATCAGTGCTTGAGCGAGTGACTGCTGCTGGGACGCCCACACAGGACATCTCTGGCATCGAAGAGGCACAGGTGTCCATCCCTGTCACTCTCTTACCGTGCACATGCGCCTAAATGATATTTTCTGCCTGCTTAAGCTTGGAATGACTTCTTTGGCAGCATGGCAGGGATGGCAATCCCACCAATCACCATTAAGACCTGCAAACACACCTGCCTTGACAGTAGTTGGCGCAACAACAGAAAATCCAAAAGCTTCAAGGATGTGTTGCTCAGCTGTCATAAGTGTAGGTGCATGTGCGCCATCTGGTCGGGGGAAGAGCCAGAGGGGACCAGCAGCTGAGCAATGAGCAGCTGTTCACCGTGGCGGGCCCTGAGCGCGTTGGAGCGGTGAGTAAAGCGTCTTCATAATAGCGCAGAGCTCAGAAATGATCTGCTTTCAGGATTGTGGTGCTACATGATGATGGGTGCTGGATGGCTTTTGATCACCTCAATCAAGCAAACCTTGGATCATTGATGTGTCACTGAGTGCACGCTGGGCCAGAGTTTTAGCGACCAGGCTGCAGCTGATATATAGTAACTTTTGCTTGGCTGCTGCAGGTGCGGCAACTCCTGAACGCACTGGGCACTACCTGGAATGTGCGCTCCTAATCAGACCCATTGCTATTGAACCTGATAAGAATTGTCCTGAGAAATAGATTACTGGGAATCCTTGCATTGCCAGGATCTCGCGCTCTCTTTCGTGCTGAGACACACGCGGGAGATATGAATTTTACCTAATAAAAGTGAGATTATGTGTTGTGCAGGTGACACTGTTCCATTACAGGAAGACGGGCAACAGGAGCTCGCCAATCCTCCTTGGTTTAGAGGTCCCACCCGGCTCTGCAGAGAAGCTTACTGCCACAACAAAGGCAAGCATTGATTTCATCCTGCTATGAATTTGCGAAGTGTGATGCACTGACGTCTCTCCACTCTTGGAGCCTGAAACCATGAAAATGTGTAGTGTAGTGCAGTGTAGTGCAGTCTAGTGTAGAATTGTAGCCAAATTTTGGCTGCACTGATGGCAATAGCCTCATCTGCCGCAATTTTGGTGGCTGGCCATTTTGAGGATTGGCGCTGCAAGTGAAAATCATAGAGATCTGCTATCTTGTCAAAGACATGATTCTTGCATGATGTGGTTTCTTGGCATCTTTGAAAAGGTGAATTCAAAATGGTCCATGCGCAGGCACTCGCGCCACAAGGCTTCACTTTCGCTGAGGTCAAGCCGGAGGCCAGAGCTGTCTTTGACCAGTTCCTCTGATTGCCTCGCTTGCTGAAGCACGGCGTGACCTGCATCTGTTGTGGTGCTGTGTGGCACGGAGGGCTGTGAAGGAAATGTCAACCTAGTTTGTCCTTGCAGCTACCACTGTTTCGGTGTGACAGACACGAGATGCATTTGATTTAGCATCTGCTACAATAGGTACTGACCATAGTTGGGACATTTGAAAGGGATTTGTTTTTGTCAGAACTGATGCAGGCCTTTATGCTTACACTGTACACTACTATTATCGCGGATGTTACGGCATTGAAGTTGGGCTGCTCAATTTACGTGTGCAGCATTAATTGAGAGAGAATTTCTTCTTCCTCTGTGCTGGTGGACTGGGTAATTTATCGTCCTAGAGAGCTGCCTTCTGCCTTTTATATTGCGCGATGTCACCAGGACAGCATTGAAAATTTGGGTTTAGAGCGGCCCGCGGTGTTTTCGAATACACTTTTTAAATTCGATTGCACAACTTGCATGCAGGCACTGCACGGCCCTGCATGCTCTGCCATGTGGTTTGTCCCTCGGCCATCAAGTAAGTGAAGCTGTTGCAGATCTGTAATTGCAGTCTCTGGGGCCCTGGGAAGGCCTGAAATGACATCAGGTGGACCTCAAGTTCTCAAACAACGCCACGTTGGACACCCCATCAAATTCGAAATTGAGTTCAACATTTAACATCATGGACTTTCAAGAAAAGCTGCATCCAAAAGACATTCTGATTGTACAGCCTGCTCACCAAATAAGTCGATTCCGAAACACTCACACCTGTTCAACGTAGTTACCTTGATACCTGACTGGCTGTGATGGCCATCAAAGTCATCGTGCAGCACGGAAAGAATGCGTATGAAGTGCTGGCAGGTTTGTACACCAACTTTCAAAGTATCAATACTGCAGCTTATTTGGAAGGCACATTTGGTGTGCAGTCGAAGCATGTCTACAGCCATCTTGGGAAACAATCTTGAATCAATGGGATCTAGAGGACAACATGTAATCAATAAATTCGTTTCATTCGTAGAATTGAATATATTTTTGCAGGCTTTTGAGCACAGTGTGCACTGTCTTTATATTGTCCATTTTTTAAGGTTTCCTGTGGATGGTACAGAAACCGTGGATGACTTGATTCAGAAGGTGGAGGATGCTTCTGGGGTCTTTGCTCGGCACCAGAGACTCATTTTCAGAGGAAAAATGCTCGAAAGAGGATCAAATATGGATGAATCGAAGCTGAAAGATGGGTCCAAGGTCATGCTCATGGCCTCTTCAACAACTGCCACTCAGGTGGGGTTTCAATGGGTGTTGAATTGCTGCAATCATGACGTTGTAGATTCCCACATAATAAACTATTATATCAGAGTAAGTCTCACGTCAGAGTGAGCTTGCAGGGGCAGGTAGCTGCACAAGACCTCGCGAAAGCCAAAGCTGCTGAGGCACGACGGCGAGCGCAGCAGCAACTCCAAGAAAAAGACAAGAAAGCTGCTCTGTTGCGCGCGCCAGCGGGTCTCCTGCAGAGCTGGCAGGTGCAGCATTCCAAGGCCTTGCCCCCACACATCTATATACACAAGTTGCTGCTAGGTCTTGAATGCTCACCTCTCCTCCATGTTTCGGAGCCTTGCGAAACAAAAGGTGTGTTTGTGCTTGCAGGAGCGGGCAGCAGTCTGGGGGAAGACCGGCGTGGCCACAATTCGAGATGCAGGGGTGGCAGAGGTTCCCAGTCAACTCTGGGACTTGGGTGAGTCATTGCGCGCGGCGGACTTGGGCGGCAACCGGCTGACATGCCTGCCATCAAACATCGCATCGCTAAAATCCCTCACCCGGCTGCGGCTGAGCGGCAACCGGCTTGTCTCAGAGGGTGTTCCCTGGGCGCAGCTTGCGGCGCTGACCCAGCTTACTGTGCTTGCCTTGGACCACAACAAGTGAGTACCAGTTCACTCAATGTGAAAGTACCAATGTTGACACCTTCCATACCCCTACTACGCCACCATGGCAGTAAGCACGTGATGCAACAAGCAAGACAGACCATCCATGTTCCTGAAGAGTTGCTACCGCTGTCCAATGCATTCACAAATAGCCCCGGGACTCTCAACTGAGGAGTGCTGTTTGCTTGCAGGTTGACGGACATCTCCGATGGCGTAAGAGCTCTACAAAGCCTGCAGAGCCTCAATCTGGCTCACAATTCTCTGACTCAGCTGCCAGCAGCGGTGGGGCAGCTAACTGCACTGAGAAGACTGGACTTGAGGAACAACCAGCTACAGAGCCTGCCAGATCAGCTAGGCAGCTGCAGCGCGTTGAAAGAGCTAGATGCAGCGGAGAATACCTTGACGGCGTTGCCGGAATCAGTGGGACGCCTGCAAAAGCTTCGCTCCCTTCTGCTGGACAAGAACAGGTCCGGCCTCCTCCAGAATGACCCTCTTTCCTGGCTGAATGCCCATATGATCCCAAGGAATAGAACACCCTTCTGGTGATCCAAGTTTGTTGAAGTGTCATCGTACATCGGGCCAAAATTGTGTCTGTCTATGAGGGGGTGTCTGACATGTGATGGTGTTATTGACCAGGCTGAAGGGCGTGCCAGCAGCAGTGCTGAGGAATTGTGGCGCGCTTGCCACTCTGACGCTGCACGGCAATCCCATGACTGTGGAGCAGCTGCGAGAGTCGGACGGCTTCGCGGAATTCAACGCCCGGCGCTGCGCAAAGCATGACAAGCAGGTACCTGGCCCCTGGCAATTCTGACTATCTGTGTTCATCATTTGTATTTGCGGATAGGAGCACTCTGTAGCTCTCCTCTGCTCACTTCTATGGAATAAACCATGATGCTCAGCTTGACAGGTTCAGTGTGTCTGAGAAAGGGTGGTGTTAACGTCTGCATGTGGTGCGTTGCAGCTGGAGATGCAGGTCTTTGCGCTGTCAGGGGGGTTTGATGAGGGGGCAGACCAAGTACAGTGGCAGAGCTGGGGAGCAGCGCCCAAGAAGTGATCAGCTTGGAGCGCCAAAATGCCAGAGTGCTGCCACAAGGGTCCAGGCTTATTATTGTGTGAGCTATGTTTATGGTCCCATGTCATGAGGAGATGTGTTCCAGTGAGTGGTAGCCAAGGCCCTGAACGTTGAGATTAATTGCAGATCGGTTGAGGAAACATGAGGTGGTAAAGGTTACAGCGACAGCTGAGTGCACTAGGAATTCATGGCTCAATTGAATGCATGCTGACTCAGAGACAAAGCCGTCATACTCATTAACGAGACATGCACATGCATCACATGTGCGAGCGGCCAGCAGTCATAGATCTATAGAGAACAACAGACATTCGAAATTATAGAATGGGACCATGAAACTGTGTGAATTCGAATCGAAATTTGAATTTGAATACTAGACGATTAAACAAGTCTGCCACTCTCCGATGACCATATGATCCAGCAGCAGGACATTCCTTGAAGCAGATTCAGCCTCCTCTTCTAGACTACCACTCCATGCATTAAAGATCCACATGTCTTGCTGCAGCCCTACATGGGTTTTATTCAACTGATCTGATTCTACTAATTAGATTATAACGATGTCTCCTGGCAAAATCTTGGACAGGGTTGAACAGAAGAGCACAAAGCACAGAACAAACAGAAGAAGGTAAAGGATTAATTAGTAATAGCTGCGAGGCCGGCCTTAAGAAGTTCCACTACCCATGCGAAAAGGGCAGCTTAAGGGTCGCTCGTGGGTTTGACATCTTCTTCAATATGCCGTCTGACTCTTACCATGGGCTTGTTGAATTTCAATACACCTCTGGTCCACCCAAAATACGCATTGCCAGCCAAGAGTGGAAGGCAGGTGACAAACTAACTGGAGTGGATCAAAAACGCCCACAAGGGGTCTGGCAGGACGCCCTTGGGCCTTTCACACAGCCCTGTCAAAGCACTATTACACTGCAGCACTCATGCAGAAGCGCCTCAGCTTGCCCTCAGGTAGAGGTCAGTGATGGTGATCGCCCTGCAAGGCACTGAAAACGATGGGCACAATACTGCCCAGCAGCACTGCTGCCAGCTCCCCACGACTCAGCTTGCCCTTATTGCCCATAATCTCAGGGAGGATATGGATGCACGCCGCGTACAGGAATGTGCCTCCCGAGAAGAGCACGCAGAGCGCTATGTTCTCCTGTGCATGCATACATGAATTTTGTTAGTCATCTGCACACTGTCATTCTGCCATCCGGCCACCGTGGCCAGCCGTGAAGTCCCGATCAAAGTTCTAGGCTGATGACGCTTCTGTCAACAGTGCGATACTGAGTCTGCAGTATCTTTGATGCTCCCAAACGGATCAGCTCTGGCCCCATGACCGTTTTCAGAGACCCCAATTTTTAAATGCCGTGGGAATCAGGCAGCTGAAAGGTCAGATCACCATGCATCTAACAGATCGTCCCTGGACACGGGTTCATACCTGGGAGGAGAGCACGGGAGCGATGTTGATCAGGATGAAAGTGGCTACTGCGACTATAGGGGAGGCTCCGGCAAAGAGTAGCAGGGCGCCACGCGTGCGCAGCCAGCTCCAGCGCGCGCTCAGCAGGTAGGTGGACAGACCAAACGCCACCGGTGCCTGCACATTACACAAACACATAGTTGCATTTCTCAGACGGGCAAACCATACTCCATGCAGAGAAGATGACGAGTTCCATTTAAAAGACAACGTTTCGTAGGACAGCAGGCCTCTTAGTCCTTCCTACCGTAAACTTGATTTGCAAGACTTGAGCAGGTAACTTGTGTATATGATATGTCAGAAGATGATCAGTCATGAAAAGATGAGACAACTTCTGGCATGCATTGGAGCAGGGAGCAGCGAGGATTGTGCAGGGTAAGCACCTTGTGAAGAACCATGGCCACCGCCACCAGGAAGGACAGGGATGCGGACGTGCTGACGCTGGAGGCACCCACTGCGAAGCCGTCCGCCGCTGAATGCACCAGCAGGCCCACAAACGCCCTGCTCGCTGCCTCGCTCTGCCCCTAAATGCGACAGAAGTGAGCCTCAGTCGCAGACATAATCCCGGCGAGGATTGGTGATTCTAGGAAAACAGGCGAGACAGAACCACAATGATTGTTGGTGGTGCCCTGTGATGTGTGCATTGTGTCATCATGGCCCCTTGTTGTTCATGCATGTCATTGGCAAGCTCATGTGAGCAATGATCCTGCTTGCCCATCATGAGGTGTCTGTGACTCACTGCTTGACTGCAGGCCAGGGTCACATTCATTTCAGAAAGGTGATGCAACGGAATGCTAGCAATAGTGGTGAATTTTGGTTTGCGGACTCTCTCACCCTCTGGGCATGGGTAGTTTCATCCTCAGGATCCCCATCGCTGAGGTGGTCATGCTCGCGACGCAGCGCGTGGATGTTGCCGCTGCTGCTTACAGGAGTGTGCGCATGTGCATGTGCATGACCCCCTCCTACCATTGCCTGCTGCACATGGTCCAGCAGGAGCATAGTCAAGAAGCCAGCCACTAGAATGGCTCCCACGGACCAGTCGGGCAGATCAACACCTGCAAACAGGCACACCAGATGTCCTGCCATAATTTCCAGAACTCACAGCAATAATGCATGCATGTCTCTGGTGCGGACCGTCATGCAACTACAAAATGTGTCCTTGAAAATGTGCACAAGCATGGCAAAATGCATGAAGATGTCATGCATGATGGCTTCCAAATTATTGGGCTGTTCCATGGCAGCTGTATGCCAGCCTTGTGAATATGAAGAAGCGAGCAGTTCACTGTGACATACCTGGTTCGTGCTGTGCGGACTGGAAAGCATGGAAGCCTTCGGGTATGATCACAGACAGAGCTGTGCCCACCAGCAGCCCAGCACCAAGCGCTCCCATCACAGCCAATTTCCCTTCAGACACCTGCACCAATGCAGCATTATAGTATCAAGCTGGGTTTTCTGCGTCAGACACAGCAAAAAGGTGCATGGTTCAAGGCAAATTTTGCATGCAGGGCATGAAATCAGTGGCATGGATGTCCACCAACAGGGTCAGAGTGGCTTGCCTCCATTAGTAAGGGCACCATGCCAGATCCTAGGGCAGCCAGAAACATGACCACGCATGTGACCCCAAGGTGCCACACTGTGCTGAGCGCCATTTTGCTGCTGGTGGCTGGCGCAGATGAGTTGCAGATGCTGTTGGCAGCAGCTTCGGGGCCGGGGACAGGAGGGGTCCTGGGAAGGTTTGAGCCCGTAGCAATGTGATCCTTTCAGCTTGGAGTGAAATCACGCCCAGAGCAGTCCATTGTTGGTTGCATGGCAATCGAATTGCAGATATCAGTAGATCTAGGAATAGGTGGCTTAAGATAGAATTTTCCTCTGTCTATCCTGCGAGGGCAACAAGCAGAAACTTTCACTGCACTGAATTGCTCTAGGGACCCTCCACGTCCTGCAAGAACGATTTCATGCTCCAAACACATAACTGGAGGAAATTTAGCAATGAAAGATAGAGCGTGCCAGATATAGGAGGGCCAAGACGTGTTGATCTGGCCTTGCTTGGAGCGGGTCCTTTGGTTACGATGGAGTTTAGACAATAAGATCTGCAAGGCACAAGACAACACAGTTTTGCACCGATGACGGTTGTAATCATACTAGATTAAATACTTGTACTGAGGAAAAAGCGTAAGAAAAGATCCAAGTAGGCATCCTCACAGACGTGTGCTTGGGCCATTGACCATGCCAAACACAAAAGTCAGTATAGACAGATAAAACTGTGTGAGTATGATGGAGGGGGGCCTACAAATAATTCGTTAGATTATAGTCTCGTTGACGAAGACTGCGCTGGTCTCAAGAGCGTGATTTTCAGAGGGCATGCTCCGGGGAGGATCTCAAAATGTCAGTAGATGAACCAGCGCCGTTCGTCAGGATTCACTTGAAAGATTACATGCAGGTTTCATTTTGTCTTTATGCCTGTAAATGTGCACAGAACGGTTTGATCTGGGTCATCAGGCGAGGTGATGAACGACATGGGACCTGGCACGCCCCTGCAGCCGCAATCTGACTAGATCGCATGCATGCACAATCCCACCTTCCATCTCTCTTTCAATCCATATTGCGCTTTGGATCTCTCCCAGTGAGATCCGGTCTGAGTTGATATTTGTAAGATGAATCAGATGTTTCGTTTCCATGTCGCCCCAGGCGAATTCACACAAGCATCTACACTAACTCCTCATGGCCTCTCTTTGCTTCCATCACTCACCTCTTGGGGCGCAATTACCCCATATTATGCTTCATGTCACAACAAGAGAATGATCGAACAAAATGAAACCAGCCTTTCGAAAGAAACTAGCCAACGACGAGTTCACGGCATCGGATTGTTCAAGTCCATTGCAAAACATTTAGCGGCCGCTGCGCTGACCGCGTCCCTCTGCAGTACTGCGTTTGAATCGGGAGCAGCAACGATTGGGCAGCAATCGATCAGAAGCGATGTACCCGTGGTGTGGGGCTCTTCCTGCCCAACTCCCTTCCTTGTCTCTTAAGGCCCAACTTGGGCTACAAGAATCGCGGCTTCCTATCCTACTGAACCCCACGTGTACATGCAGTTAGATCTTGCAAGAGTCGTACCTTCCGGACGGGAGCAAGAGCTGGAAGACAAGCTCAGAAATCTGGAGGAGTGAGCAACACCCACCGCTTCCAGTGGCTTTAAAGATTCATTTATATGATCATGTATGGGTTCTTGCAATGGGGCTGATGCATCATGCCTGGGGACAATGGATCCTGATAAGGTGCTGCATATACGCAGGCGTTCAGGATGGAGAGTTCGACTCCTCACTCGGCCAGGACCCAAAGCTGGGCCCTCCGAAGACGAAGTGGGGATCCTGTTCTGCAATGACCACTGACACAGCACACTTATTCTGCACGCTGCCATGCAAGAGGGTGAAATAGGGCAGATACCTGCCATTCATTGAAATTGTATGCTGGTGCAGATTAGAGCAGGCTGGCAGCTTGACTCAAGGTCTTCGCTGATTGTCGTAGACCCCACCAGCCCCAACATCTTGCAATTTCGGAGCGGCGCAGAGGTGAACAGATTGCTGTCCCGGACATTCTTTGTGGAGCTCCAGTCGCGCTACGGCAACCTCTTTTATGTTAGGGAAGAGGTGCGCTGATTTCCAGAGAAAATTCCATTTGTGTATCGTAAGTTGCCGGCACTAATTGTACCTAAGTTGCCCTGAGCTCTGCTCGAAAGTGCCTGGAGCTCATGTGATGAGCTGGTCCTACGAAGAGTGCCCCCCAATGAAATTTCGTCTTTATTCCACGCTGGCGACCAGGTGGCCCATATTCACATCAAAGGGTCTGGTGAGAGAGGGAAGATTTGGGGGTGCAGGGGGAGGCTGCAGCAGTAATGAGCACAGTGGATGCTCTGGTGGAGTGTCTGGAGAGGCCGGGTGGGTGTGCAGTAGTGCCCGGGCTGCCCCCAAACCAGTACCAGCTCACGCTCATCACGTCAGTCATCGGCGGCTTCATTGCGGGCTATGCTTCTAGACTGCAGCCTGAAGGTTTGTGTGCCATGCCAGTCTGTCCTTGGATACTTCATCCAACCTAAACTTTGGTGCCCACACTATTTTCAGCGACATGCGACATGCGACAGCGTGTCATGTCTGTACTCTAATGCACCTTGTGTGCGCACGCTAGCACAGTGCTGCATTGCGTCTGCTCTGCAGTCTTCAGACCTGGGGTGAAGTTTGATTGCTGCATGTGAAAACTGCACGAGATGTAGAGTTTGATGACGGTGCAGGGATTGTGCAAAGGAAATGGATTTGGATTTTGCTGTTCTCGCCATTGTGGGGGACGCTGTTCGTTAGCTTTGGCATCGGTCCAATTGTGACCAGGACTTCAGACCGGATACCAGTGCTCATGAATACGGCTGCCTTCCTTGCGGCTGCGCTGGTCTTCCGGCTGTCACCGCTGTTCAAGCAATCTGCCATTGACACGTCCATCCTCAAACGCAGCTCCCAGGAGCGCGATGACGACGGCTGACTATACCGTTTATATTTACCACATGGGAATGTCGCATGCAGCATGCATTGGTAGGATTGTACTGCACGCTGTCAGTGGTAGTTTCTGATCCCTAGCTGGACTGTGCGTCTGAATGTAATTCAGACTTCTGAAGGCCTGAGTCAATACTGCGCATGCGGTGTGTTGCTAGATCAATTTGTAACGCTGATTAGTTGTATCAATTACAACAAGGTATTACATTTTGTAGATCGAGATGCACCTGCTGGATACCATCCTTGTTATATGATCTGAGACTGGTTTGAGTAGCAGACACTCGTGAGGGCCAGGCTCATGTGCCTCCACCTTCCTTTTTGCTTCTCCAGTTATTGTGGCCTCCCCATTCTATTTTTTGGCAGCTTCCTGTGATGCTGGAAGTCGGCGCATTCTTGTCGAGTTCCACAGAAGGCGAAAAGAACATTACAACTCAATTCTGTACAAAGAGAGAAGAAACCGCAAATATAATAAGTGCTATTTGATCGTCGTGCTATTTTTATCGTCGCCCACAATCAACGAGCAACATGGTGGCTTTGTCAATGACTTCCAGCGCGTTGCGCCTTCCTGGCAGCACCAAGGCAGCGTTCCTCCCCGCCCGCACAACAGCAGCTCGCCGAGTCGCATTCACAGTTCGGGCCGAGCAGGGTCTTGGAGAGAAGATCGAGGAGAAGACGAAGGTGCGTTTCTTTTTTTCTTTGTGCACCGAGTCGGCATGTGCGTTATGCAGAACTGTCATTCGATGCGACTGACTTCTTTGCATATTTTCAAAAAAGGATATTGTCTTATTATAATCCGGAGTGTTGTGTATGCTTCTACTGGAAATTGCCGTTGCCTCTTGGAAGGGATCCTTTAATTGTCGGCCCCATCGGGTTACGAGACGAAGCTGGACCTTGTTGTTCTTTAGAGGCGACATCATTGAAGTCTCCTTATCCACTGAATTCTGATTACGGTCAATAATTGCTGAAATACTTTCCAAGGCTCAAGCCACAATGGTGCGTCGCTATTTTGCAGGAGTTCGTCGAGGCAACAAAGGAGAACTCCGGACTGGACCTCGGGAACCTGAACGAGCAGCCCGGGAACAGGTCGAAGCAGGCACTTGGAGAGATCAAGACTCCGAAGGGGGACGTTTCAGGTGAGATTTTGCATGACTCTCAGTACCTTCTTGCACTTTCACATCTTGGACACAGCAACGTTGTTGCTCCAGTACAGGTTCCCTTGATATTTGACGAATTTTCCGATTTGTGCAGAGGTCCTTTCCTTCTCTGGCCTGCTCCCAGAGTTGATCAACTCTCGTGCAGCCATGCTCGGCATGCTCGCTGCCTTTGGAGCTGAGCTCTCCACCAGGGATCCAGTCTTCATCCAGGTGACAATTGCTGCACTGTCAATCCTCCATCTAATCCTTTCCAACACTGCTCCTCATGATATAGATGGGTGCTGATTGCCTTGCGGCCTGCAATGTCTGGCACACCAGCGGTTGACAAGCCTTTGCAATGCTGTGTCCACCCCACCCCACAAAACTTGGCACTTCGTCTGTCCCGTGGCAAGCAATGAATTGTCATAATATCTCTCTAAGGTTTGCGGTGCTGCCTGCAGATCCAGAAGGCTCCAGTGCTGATCCTGGGCACCTTTGCCACCATCGTCATTGCTTCCCTGGCACCCGTGCTGAGGAATGCTGACTTGAACATTGACGGAGCTGGTCCCTTCACACAGGTGTGATACGTGTCACTCTTTGTCCTCGGTAACACCAGTACCAAACAGTACCAGCTTTGCGCAATGCTCTGCCGCTTTGCAGTCAGTAGACAAGTGAAAGGTGTTGCTGTGAAAGCATTTATCAGTGCAATTGGTGCTATGCCGATGGAATGCTGATGCTAGCGGCTCGTGTATTGAGTGTATGTTGTCTTCTGCTGCGCAGAAAGCAGAGGTTGTGAACGGCCGGATTGCCATGGTGGCATTTGCGCTGCTGATTGCTGTGGAGACATGGAAGGCAGGCCCAGGCCTGGTGCCCTGAATGGTCTGGAGCGAGTCTTGAAACTTACAGATGAATGTTTGGGAACAGAACTGGTGTCTGAGAAGATAAATTGAGTGGAGATCAATGCTGGTTTTGATGCAATATCTGATGATAGAGTGTGAGAGAAGACTGATAAACCATTTACGCTTGATTTTCTGAAATGTTTTGATGGCTGGAAGATTTATTATGATGAATGGTTTGCCAATCTGATCAGCAAAGACAATTTGTGCCAACAACAATGGAATGGGTGTATGTGCAATGTATTGTAATTGTTGGTGATGACTCTGGGGTTTCAGAGTGTCACCCTATGTTTTCCATTTTATCACACATTTACATCTCTTTTGGACCTGCTCCAATGTGCAGCAAGGTCTGGCACAGAAATCATCATCAATGGATTTCCAAGCTATTTCAAGACCCTAGTGTGGTAAAGCTGCTTCAATCAGTTCATAAGTAATCACCACTCTGGCTCTTCATCGCTGCTTGACACACCCTCTCGCTTGCCTGCCACATCATCATCCTCCTCACTCTCCATGGCCTTGTCCCAGTCTTTCAGCTTTGTCCCAGTGCCTGCCACTCCCACCAACTCATCCTGCAACACTGCCCATCCACTCCCTGTGTTTGCAGCTTCCACTGGCTCCCTCGCTGCAGGCCCTGACTGTGAGGCCTTCACTGGAACCAGCTTCTCTGATACCTGCACCGTATCATACAAACAGCTGTCTAACACTCTTGATATCTCTTCTTCTCGTACGCATTATGCATATAAATCAGGGAAAGTCCAAGCAGTATGAGGCAGGGCATAGCGCCCAGTAGGGCCACATGGATGCCTCGGGGTAATCAAGTCACAGCAAAACAGCAAAAGGCATGAGCAAGCTTGAACGTAGAGCAATCATGTTTATACAGCACAGAGCACAAGCATCATGAATATACCGGGATGGCAATAGGTCTAAACTGCGCACCTGTGACTTTGTGGCCTGGCCTTGCAGCTCTGCCAAGAAGCTGGCCTTGCTGACAGATGCTGCCTTCCTCTTTGTTCCCTCCGCCGCCGCCTTCTGCTGCTTCTGGGCTTTTGCCACAGCGTTGAACAGGCGCACCACTCCCCTGCAACCATGAATTTCAAGTTGCCATGCTGAATACTGTAGTATTATCCATCAACTACCAGCAGATTACCCTGGATGGAGGGCGAATCATGCTGCACCATGTTAGAAACATCCCTTCGTCCTCACAAGTTGCTTCCAGTCTTTGTCGGTTTATATGGGGTATACCTGGTCCCTATTCGGGCAAGAGCTTTTTCCTTAATGTCGTGCTGCGGATCCTGGCCCTTCTTTGGAATGACCTGCATAGACAAACCCCCACCACATCAGCATGCCTCACAACTCCATTGCTCTGCACTCCTGCAAATCGGAACAGGGTATGTGCAAACATCGCACTGGTGTTAAAGCTGATGTTGAGGACAAGCATCTCACCGCATGCCCTTTCTTTCGCATCTCCCTTTTCAGCACCTTGGCCTCCCTGTCAGCCTTTGCCGCCTCCACCTCTTCGGCTTTGCGCTTCTTCAAAGTCTTACTCGCCTGCGGAAATGCAGCACACACGATAAGAAAATACAACTCAAAGGGAAACACATCACTGATCGCCTGAACCACCTGATATGCAACACACTTGGATATCACCAGTGGGTGAGATATTTTGTGGGCACATTTGCAGCAGTACGCCCACCGAGAGAATGCCCTTCTGGGTGCCCCCAGTCGCCATGATTTTGGCAAAAGCACGCGCAAAGGAGGCGGCTTTGTTATCCCCTGCCGCTGCGCCCTCGGCTCCCTTGTCTCCCTCGCCCTCGCTGTCACTGGCGGAGGCATCGCTGTGTGACCTGCGCCGTTCCTCCGCAGCAGTTTCCTCCTCAAATTCATCGCCCATCTCTTCGTCGGCCTCGCTGTCGCTCCCATCATCATCCCCAATGTCCAGGCTGCCATCTTCCACACCTGCTGCTTCTGCCCCGTCATCTTCTTCGCTGTCCTCTCCGCCTTCACCTGTAGAGCAACAGAATTCTCTTGTCTTGACCGTGCCACCTGCATCTATCAACAGTCCCGTGCATGGCTCTTCCGAACTCCAAGCTGCTGCCCCAGCTGAGTTGGCGATTGCGCTGCAGAAATTCAGATGTCCCATAATTTTGAGGTGCATGTCTAGCCAGGAGGGTCCTGACAGAGGGGACAACCTTCACTGGCGTCATCATGGGGGGCTTGTTGGCGCCCGCTGCTCAAGACACCAGCATGTTGTACGCCCGTTTCTTGTGCCAGATCGTCCCTCTCATCACCTGCAACATGTTAGTTGCGCTCAAATGCACTACTAGATACGAGAGGCCACCCAGACATTTACACGGTGTGTCAGCACTATCTCCACGTCAAGACCTGTCAATTAAAGGAGTGCATTGACAGGAATATTTTCTCGAAGTTTTGACTTTTACTGTCCTCTTTTATAGCATCCTGCGATACTCTTCAGCAGCAAAATTTGCAGCGCACAAATGTACCAAGCCGAACGTACTAATCTGGCTACATTTCGGATTTTTGTGCTCACCAGATGTGTCCCAGCTCTCTGGATCGCTTAGATCAGGGTCGATCCTTGGCATTCTCGCTGCAGCAGCCTTCATAGTTCCGAAATAAGAATCACCGCGAATACGCAATGGCTGAGCTAGGATCGTGTTATGTGAATACTGAGATGAACGCTGCTATGCACTGGCAGGCTCAGGAAGTTTCTGAACAGCCCATTAAAGCAGAAATTGCTTGCCTTCTTCCTGCTGAGAGTTGAGGAGGAGACGTCTGGGGGGCGGCGTTCCTTATAAGCTCTCCGAAAGCCTGATCAGGTGTAGTGTGGAGTGTCTTGGCTCCAGCCTTGTGAGCTTTGAGGGAAAAACGGAGATTGAAAAGTTGTAGAGCTCTGAAGTATTGGTGTTTGTGAATTGCGAAAAGGCGTTCGCATTCCGACAAGTTTTGTCTGGTTCTTTGACTGAACAATCCGTAGTCAAAACACAGGTCAAGCTTGGTATCTGCTTCTGGTCGGATTTGCGATCTATACATTGAGATCTGTTGCGGCAAAGGGGCACCGAACTTTATCATAGATTTTGAAGGCTCCCTTCAACTCGCTTGTATCAGCAAGACAGTTCTTAGGGTTGCCAGCAAAGGTATCAGCTTTGGAGCTGCAAGAAAGCACGCGAGGTGCTGATCTGATACACAGCCACGCAAGATGTGTGGACCAGCAGGTTCGTGGCAAACAGCTCTGTGTGCTTCTTCGCTCTGCGCCCTACAGATGTACATCAGTGACATGCAACGCATATCCCTCAATTCTTCGATGATCTGTCCCAATCCCCGCAGGAGTCAATCCAAAATTTACATCGGCACATTTTCGTTACTCTGAGTAAATGCCATTCTGACGATGGGTGTAACTGCTGCAGGCACTATGTTCTGCCTGGGCATGTCCATATTCGGTTCCCTCTTCATGGGAGCCATGGCCCTTATGCTGAAGAATGAATACCAGTGAGTCTCCTCTACTCAATTTCATGCCTGCTACATTGGACATGCTTGGTGTTCTGTTGTGGGCGCTCGATCAAAGATCTCTCCTTGAGCACAAGCTGTGACTGCAGGTACCTGGGTGAATGGTATGACACCTCGGAGCCTGATCACCCTTCATACCAGGAACAGAGAGCAGCAGCCATGCACAACTGCTGGACTGTCGCTGCCATTTATGGTGCCATTGCTGTCCTGTGCGCCGTGGGTACCTGCTATCACAGCTTCAAGGCCAAGCGATCCTGAAGCCAGCGCCACCAAGAAAGTGGAGAAGTTATGAGAAATCTGAGCATAATTTCGGCAGGCATGATTGCACACATGCTCAGCAGCTGCACATTGATTCCCAAGCAGTACAGCGAGAGAACATGGTGTTTTGGGACCTTGAAATTTCTTGGGATTTTTAAAGGGTGCCTGCTTCCATAATTCAAGAACAGAGGAAGTTGCCAGTCGAAATTGTAGGGCTCTGCCTGTATTGCTTGTACGCAATTGAATGATAAGGTCAAAACATCTTTGAGCTCTAGAGCTGCCGGCCGGCGCCGTGCACAGCAATGACAGGATGTGTTTGTGTCCTTCAGCTTTCCACACTTTTACTGTAACAAAGTAATTGCCCACCATAAGCAATCTGTAGAATATCAGTCGCTTGTATAGATTGCATGTGTCATCCTGCAATCAATCACCTCTGATATCCAATGATACTGCGTGCAACTCGGAGCCGTGTGTGTCATTCTCAGACTGTTGATCAACACGTCTCTGCAGATGAATGGACTTAAAAGTTTACAGCCGCTTTGTGACGGCATGCAGTATGCCTCTCCAACTCAGCAGTGCGTGCTAAAGCTCAAGCGTCCGCATTGCAGCTGCAAAAAGTAATCATGGAGCCCGTCACACGCGCGGTGCTCCTCCCATTGTGGCTTCTGGGAGGCGCTCAATTGTGTAGCGATGCGACTGGAGGTACATGATCGGGACTCCAGGAATCTGCACCATGCCAGAGAAGCAAATCAGCTGTCTACCACCGTCTATCACACTTGCCCAATTTGCACTGCTCAAAATCCGTCGGAAAGTCAGTAACAGCATGGCTTTGGTGACATGCTGTGGCACCCAGTGCTGCTGCTCACTTCCATACACCCTTGGACAAGATATCCTGTCATCACACACGATGACCGACACATGCTGCCACCCATTGACTCACCTTCCTTATGCGCCTGCGAAGGTCTCGATCACAGGTAGCCACGATGTAACATCTGTGCTGCTTCACCTTCTCACAGATGCAGTCATCTGCATATGTGCCGCTGTGTGTGCAAGGTATCCGCTCTATCCTGGGATCCTGATAAAGCAGACAAAGCTTGTAAATTAAATTGCCAGCGACACAAAAGTCACCCAGCCTGGTCAAAGTGGCATGCCCCCCTTTCTGGACAGGGCCTGCATGATTGAGACCAGGATCAATTCCCTCACCTTGGCCACTTTCAGAGCCACTCGGTATTTCTGGCCCAGTTTTTCCAGCTCAGCAATGACGCAGTCTGTGATGCACGGTGTGCATTCTGCATATAGGCAATCCATCATGCCAGCCACCAAATCGATCTGCGAGCAAAATATGATAATTCAGCACACATCACCTAACTCCCTCATTCCTGGCCCTGCATGTAAATACTACAAGCTCTACTTGATGCATCATTGCAATTGGCATCAAAGCATGAAGGACAAAACATTACCTTATTTTTGATGGTGAAGTTGATGAAATTGGTATCCAGGAGGACCTGGTAGGGGGGCCCGAGCTGGGTGTTGTACTTGAAGAACAGGGCCGTTGGTGTCTTGTCCCTGTGATGCAGAAAGGATTCCTCAAATTCAAAATTCAACGCCTGCAAGTGAAAAAATTAGGCACAAAAGCACCTGAGGGAGCACTGCCAACATTCTCAGCGTGCAAGTTGGGAGTCCTCAGGCAGGGCACTCACACATGGCGCACTGCCTTCTCTGAGTCCTTCGTAATCTTCTTCTCCGGCCTGCGATAAATATAACTGCTCAACAACGGTAAGAATAATCTCGACCTCAAAGAACATACCTTATCATGGCGTCAGTGAAGAATTTCTAGTACAACAACATCGTACAAGTACGGCAATACTAAAGATTTCTACAAAGGCGCCATCGAGTAAGATATATACTCACGGTTTAATGTCCTTTGGGTTGAGTAGCCGCTTCATCTCTGCAAATTTCCTAGTCTTTTTCTGCTTTCCCATCCTGAGAGTCTGGGAGGGATCTGCCTCACAAACTGTCGCTACTGTATTCTATGCAAAACCAGTACAAGATGATACAGTAATAAAATGTGAGTTCAACACTTCCTTTATCGAGGCTACAAAATGGGTGCTCCTCAAACGACAACAAAGACTGCGTTCTGTGCTCACTCCTAAGTCAAAACTGAATAAGGCTGCGATCACAGCTTAGAGACTCGATTGCCTATTATCCGAAGATCACCAATTGTAATTCCACCGATCTGTGCTGAAGGATCTTTCTCTTCTAATGTCAAGCGCGAGCCATGTCGGAGTTCCAGGCCATAAACACGCAAGCCCGAAAGTGGCTGGAAATGTCGAATGTAAGAAACACCACTGGTGTCACACCAGAGGTACTAAGTAATACATACACTCGCTTGATCTACTGTATTGTTGTTAGATCTGGTGTGTCAGTTTATAGAAGGTGCACTCAAAACTTGCGCGGCGCTATGAAGGAATTCTCTGTCTGGTGACATAGCTGTGTACGGCGCATCGCCCTCTTCCAGATAGCTTCATAACTCGGTACATGCTGTAAATCTGATCGAGATCACGGTTGAAAGTGAGACCCGCATCGACGAGCTACCCAGCTGATCAAGCATGGAAGAAGAGGGCCCTCAGCCTTGGATGACTTCGCGCATCTGCGTTAAGGGCCTCCCGAAGCAGTGCTCAGACCAGCAATTACGCGAGCATTTTTCCGAAAAGGGAGACATAACAGATGCCAAGATCATGCGCACAGAGTGAGCCTCCCTCCTTGGACTCTGAGATGTCCTGGCCCAACTGTCATACAAGACCATTGGTTTCGGCAATAATATTGGCTCTGGCAAGCCTTTGCACGCTCAGCTTGCCATGCTGCTCTGCAGGGATGGGCATTCCAGGCAGTTTGGCTTTGTGGGCTTCCGCTCAGTGGCTGAAGCGCAGGCGGCAGTCAAGTATTTCAATCGCTCCTTCATGGGGGCACAGCGCCTGACTGTGGAATTCGCTGAAAAGTTCAGAGGCAGCCATCTGCCCCGTGCCTGGAGCAAGTACACGGAAGGAAGCAGCCGCTACCAGAAGCTGCATCAGGTGCATGTTTGACTCTTTGCGTGCCCATCACTAATGCGCGATCTAATATCAAGTCCACCCTTGCACCAACGCAGTGCAGAGAGCTGTTGTGTGTGTCAGGTATAATGCGCAATACTTTAGTGGCAAGCAAGGCTGATGTTCATTTTCAGAGACCAGGATCTACCAGGAACCACACAGGCAGCCTGGCAGTTGAAGGTGTATGCGCACGCTTTAATGTAAAGTTATGTTGACAGGATGAGGAGAATGAGGAGAAGCCAAAGGGCGTCCGGGAGCTGAAGAAGCTGAAGAAGCAGCAGCGCATGGGGGGCACAGCACCCGAAGAAGGTGCGAAATCAATGCCTCATTCCAGGAACAGCTAGCTATCAAAACAGCAGTACTTGCGGATGCAGTGAATGCCTGTGCAGTGGCTCTCGCACCCTTAGGCAAGATTTAGATTGGCGCCATGCAACTCAAGATCCTTAAGATGAGACAGCGTCATTAACTTCCTCACCATTCGAGCTAACCTCTGCCTTGCCTGGGGTTGGAGCCCAGGCTTGAGAACACGCAGATGACTTGCATAATGTAGCAAGACCGGCTTGTATCAGGTGTCTTCTGGCTGAGGCGTGTACTTTGACGCGTTTCTTTCTGTCTGCAGAGGATCCAAAGCTGGCGGAGTTCCTGCAGCTGATGCAGCCGCGGCGCGCCGGCGCAATCTGGTCAAACGAAGATACTGAGCTGGCGGCGGCGGCGGCGCAGACGCGCACCGCCGCCGGCAAGGCTGGCAGCACTGCCCCTGAGGCATCCAACGGCGGCGAGGCTCTGGCAGGGGATAGGCGGCAAGCAAGCAAAGGCGGAAAGATGCGTCCGGGGAAGGATGCGACCGAGGAGGAGGCAGGTGAGCAATGCTGAAACAAAGCACCGCATGCTTCAGGTCAAGAAAACAGCACCTATCAAGGCCCTCAGCTCATGCAGAAACAGCGAGACTTTTTTGAAATATGAATTTTGGCAATGCAGATTTGCACAGTGCTGCATGTGGGTATCAAACGAGGGTTGATTGTGTTCGCAGAGGAAGGCAGCAGCTCAGAAGAGGAGGAAGAGGAAGAGGCTGTCCCTGCCCAGAAGGATGCAGCGGTGGTGGATACTGGTGTTTCAGACATGGACTACCTGCGCTCGAGGGTGACCGGCAATTTTGACGAGTCGGCCTCAGATGAGGACAATCTGGAGGATGAAGACGCAGGAATTGAAGGTGCAGTGTCTATCACCTATGCTATTGTTGATTGAATTGTTTAGTGAGAGGATCAGAGTGTTCTTGCCTCACCAGTAAGTAAGCATCAGCGTAGTTAACATCAAGCCGCAGCGGGCCCACACAAGGACGGTATCAAGGCGACTGAGTCCTTCTGTGCATTGACTTCTGCTTGCTTGGAAGACCTTACCAAGGGAGCAAACTGCTCACATGCTCTTTGATCTGTTTTACTCATGTGTCAAAGGGAAGGAAAGGAAAGAAAAGCGGTGCATGCAGGGGATGTTGCCGCTCAGCAGGCTGGCGCTGAGGCGTCCGATGACAGTGACGGGGACGAATTGGACCTTGATCGCATGGGCAGCCATGGCAAGGCCGGCACCAGTGCTGCGCATGGGCCACAAGGTGTGTCTCACTTCATCTACACGCTCCTGAGCCGCTCTTTCTGAGCTAGACAATTGTTAGGAGTAGGGGCAGGCGTTGGGGATGCCAGCAAATAGCTGCCCCGGCCCTTCAAAGCAGCTGTCATGTGCACTGCTCTGAGTGATGATGCTTCTCAAGCATGTGCACCCAAGTCTTCGGTTCATTGCAGCGAGATGCCTGATGGGTGTCGAGTGTTGCATAATTGTATAAGCATGCACCAGCAGAGGCAGCAGGTATCTGTCAGGTCATAGTACAAAGAAGTCCCGTTGACACGCAGATATTGGCGGAGAAGGGAGCGCAGCGGAGGAGGTCAGGGCGCAGACGAAGGAGGCAAGAATCGAGGAGACCGGACGGCTGTTTGTGCGGAACCTGCCGTACTCAGCGACCGAGGCTGACCTGGCGGAGGCCTTTGGGCAGCACGGGCAGCTCTCCGAGGTGCACATCGTTGTGGACAAGTAAGGACTCTGCCCTCCATTCCAATCCCTCAGTGCTGGTTCTCCTTGCAGTCAGTATATTAAACACAGGGTCTGCATGCCTGGTGCAGCGTGCCTCAAATGTGTGCACTGTTTGCAGAATATAAGAGTGCAAACATCAAAGCTTCCTTCTACATGACTGCGCTCATCGCTTCGTTCCTTTTCTTAATGGAATAGTCTGATTGCCGGGTATTAGGACAGCAAGGTAGTAATGATCAGTCACACTGACAATCAATTTCTGGATGCGCACAGGGCGACGAGGAAGTCCAAGGGCTTTGCCCTGATACAATATGAGGAGGTGGCTGATGCTATCACAGCGAAGGAGGAGCTGGATGAGTCCATTTTCCAGGGCCGCCTGCTGCATGTGCTCCCCGCGCACCGGCCCCCGCCGCAGCGCAGCGCAGCGCAGGCCGAGGCACGCCCCCGCACGGACTCTTTGCTGCGAAAGCAGCTGGCCTGCCTTACTTCCATTTGCGTGCTTCCTCGGTTAATGCAAGACTTTTGTGCTCTCCAAAGGGCACGGACAAAAAGAATGTCAAACCAGCAATATGCAGGCCTGTACAGGTCGGGGAGAAATTGCAGAATTTGTGCCTATTCCAGCCAATAGAGGATATCAACAGACATATAGAGGATATCAAGAGCGTTATGCACAATCATTGGCGCAGATGGAATGCCCCCTAAGGCCATTGAGACAATTCTGAATGCACCATTTGTGTCCGTGATGCCACACATTTGCCACTCATGACTTGTCCACTCAGAGGCTGCCCAATGGTTTCTGGCGCTTCTCACCAGAGCCAGCGAATGTGTGGTGCGGCTTGTTTCACTCCAAATGAAAGGGCTGGCCCATTTGCAAGCTGGACATGCACCTTACATTGGAGCCATGACATGACAGTCAATTGGCTTTTCAAGTGAGTGCCAGTCACAATGCACAGGGCGAGGAGGATGCAGCAGGAGGGAAGGGCGCCAGCGGCGGCTTCAAGGCGCAGAAGGAGGCAGAGAAGAGGGAGGGCGCCGGAAACCGCGCGGCGTGGAATACTCTCTTCATGCGGCCGGATACGGTGGCGGCAGCAGTCGCGGAACACTACGGCGTCTCGCGGGCCGAGCTGCTCGACCGCGATGCCTCCGGTGCGTGCCTCTGTTTTCCGCTTCACCTCGCAACAGGGTTACTTTAGGATCCACTCAGTCCATCTGGGCGCAGCTGCAGCCGCATGCACTGAAATAGGCATTCTTATGTTGGGCACCAGAGAACATGCTGGATGTGATGAACATGGTATTGCAAGTGCTCTCATGACATGGCAAGCACACCTTTCAATTCTGAGAGGACAAACGAGAGCTGGAGTACAGTGATGCCCACAATGAGCAGCAGCCGCCCAGTCCAGATGTGGGCAACACTCCAAGTCCTGCGGTAGGGGGAGGCCTTGCCTGGCTGCTTCACCATAGCCGACAACACCTGCAGCAGCAAATGTGAATTGAAAGTTGAGCCATCTAGGGTAGCGATCTGGCAGCCTTTGATGGACATATACAGTAGTATTCATGTTGTGCGTATAGTATCGTGTGAACAAGGGCTTGCCCGCAGACCAAATGCAGCCAACTGCTTGCTTGTGCAAATCCAGGGACGCTGTCAGCTGCATGTATATTGTGGGCTGTTTCGCTAGAGGAATGCCTTTACAATAATCAGACCAAAGGGGTGACCTCGAAGACCGAATAAATCCTAATAATATCCCTTTACTCCAATCTAAAGGGTGTGTGGGTTCTGGCTGCAGATCTGCCGGTGCGCATGGCGTTAGGCGAGACGCACGTAATAGCAATGACTAAGCGCGCGCTTGGCGAGGCCGGCGTTGACGTGGCGGCGCTTGAGGCGGCGGCTGCGGCCGGTGGCAGGGCGGCCGCAAAGACAGCTGTCGCTCGCAGCCCAACCACACTACTCGTCAAGAACTTGCCGTATACTGCCAGCGAGGCCGAGCTGGAGGTGTGCACTCTCCTAGGAGATCTAGCTCTGTGGCTTTCATGAGTCCTACAAGAAGGAAAAAGTGTCCTGCTGAGCTCCTGGTTTTGTGCCTCATGTCAGAAGGTTTTTGGTATTTGTGCCTGGCCATCTTGATGTGAATGTAGTCAGGAATAGTGGGTACTATGGGGGATGCCAATGTGCGATCTGGGCACCGATTAGCTCCTGCTTTTTGCAATATATGCGCGCATAGAAATGCATGTGCATTGGCCATCTGAGCTGATGCATGCTGACAATCTTGGCCCTGCCCTGTGGCGAGCAGGAGACCTTTGGCAAGCTTGGGGCAATAGCACGGCTGGTGCTGCCCCCAACGCGCACACTGGCGCTTGTGCAGTTCGCAGAGGCGGCCGACGCGCGCCGGGCATTCAAGGCGCTGGCCTACAAACGTTTCCAGTCTGTGCCGCTCTATTTGGAGTGGGCACCCGCCGATGTCTTCAGCCCTGACGCGCCCCTGCAGCCTCGACTCCAGGTGAGCTCGCGGTAATTCATCTTTGTAAACAATTGAGCCATGGTAATCAGAGCCATGGACAAGGACCTGGCTTCCAAGGAACTGGAATGTAATTACCAGGCTGTGCCCTGATGGGACACCATCTTGATGTGTCTAGACTTCCTTGCTGTCCAGCCCTGGACTTAGCTGTTTATGTTCCATCGTTATACAGCCATTGTGGTGTGTCTTTCTTGGTGTGTGATCGAAGCCAAGCTGAGCTGAGCCTTGTCTTGAACGATGCTTTCATCTTTTGTAGCCTATTGGGTTCTTATGCCGATTCTTCCGGTAGCCCACTGCGCACTTTTCAACAACGGAGCTACAGAGGATCTGATAGAAATTCCCGCTCTCTGTGTGAACAGGCGCAGGCCGTCGTTGCCAAGAAGGCCAAGAAGGTTGACACAGATGAGCCGGTGGAAGTGGCTGACCTGCCAGCTGGCGATGACGAGGCAGAGTCCACCACCATCTATGTGAAGAACTTGGCCTTTGCCACCACCGACGCCACACTCAGGGTGAGTCACCTCAGCACAGCGGGGCAAAATAAGATGCTCATCCTGGACTTTGACACCATTCAACCCAGCCATGCTGAGGGTGAGTTGCCTCAGGTCAGCGGGCCATGTTACCATGCTATCATTCTTTGACCTGTGATTTAACACAACTCATCCCAGCCGTGCCCCTTGTGGTCAATCTGACCTATCTTTTTAGCAGTGTCCATGACTACCAAGATGTATGCTGGACACCTAAGGGATTGCAGCTGCCAGTGCTTTAACCACTACATGGAAAGGAAAGGAGTGTTAGGAACCATCTGGTAGCATTCTTTCCTGGGGTTGTACTGTCTAGTATAGGTGCAGTCCAGTCAGCAGTCCACTATGACCACAAAAGCTGCACTGCAGTACTGATCTTCATCCCTGTGTCTGGGCAGGCGCATTTCGACGCGGTTGTGAGCGCGGCGGGAGGCAGCATCCGCGCAGCCAGCGTGGCAAAGAGGAAGGGCCCGGACGGCAAGCCGCTGTCGTCGGGCTTCGGCTTCATCGAATGCTCCTCTGAGGACGTCGCCAAGATTGCCATCAAGAAGCAGCAGGTGATCCCCTGGCTGGCGTAGCAGACTAGGAAAAGTGCAGCCGCAGGATGAACAGGGAAACGTGAACGTCGGCATTTGCATTCTTGACTGTTGGTAACCCTATCCTTAGGAGGGGTGGGCTCCTCTAATATGTTATTTCCCCGACGTGTCTGACTAAGGTCCGAGTAAGGTTCCGTCACATGAAGAATATCTCTTGAAATAGTGCGGAGCCATCTAATCCTTTGTGGCCCCCAGGGGTCCTTGACAAGCCGTGATTGTGGCACATGGTGGCATTGTCAGTACAGCGATAGTATCTGCTCCAACTGTCCTCTGCCTCATCCTTTGAACTGCTCCTGGTACTTGCTGCCTCTGCACAGAATGTTGCATGGACTCATCCTTTCATTCTCCATGAAAGGCTGCTTCTGCAGATGAATGCACAGGAAAGAATGTTGTTTCCTTGTGCCACGACAGGGGTCCATACTGGACGGGCACAAGTTGGCGCTGCAGCTCAGTTTGCGCAAGGTGGGCGGCAAGGCTGCAAAGCCTTCTGCCAAAGAGACGGCGGCCGCTGCCGACACCGGCAAGGCCAAGGGGACGAAGCTCGTTGTGCGGAATGTGGCGTTTGAAGCCACGCGCAAGGACGTGGCCGCCCTGTTTGCGCCCTTTGGGCAGATTAAAAGCTGCCGGCTGCCCAAGAAGTTTGACGGCAGCCACAGGTGCGCTCTAGTAACCCTCTGCTCTCTGCAGTCAATGGGTGCTGCATTCACTCTTCCAGTGTCCTGCTTCATGAGTTCAGTTTTCCCTGTTTAGAAATTGCAAAAAAAAAATTGAACACTTTGCATGCAGCATGTTTGAATGACTTGGAGTCCCTCTCTTTCTGTCGCATGTGCTCCACTTCAAGCAGAGCTGCAGACACCAGTCTGAAGCACGCTCTGCAAGCAGGATGCAAGCCAAATGACATGCATGTGTGCCCACCTGCAGGGGCTTTGCGTTCGTGGACTTCCTGACAAAGCAGGAGGCCAAATCCGCGGCTGAGGCGGTGGCTGGCACGCATCTGTACGGGCGCCGGCTGGTGGTGGAATGGGCGGAGGCTGACGAGGCCGGCCTGGATGAGCTGCGCGCAAAGACGGCCGCACGCTTCCGGCCGGACGAGGACGCCGCGGGAGACCAGCACCCGGCCAAGAAGCAGCGCAAGAATCTGGACTTTGTCTAGGGGCTTGGCATTGGCAGAACAGCGCAGTGACCTGGAGTTTGTGTAGGGCACGACAGTGGCAGAGCACAGCTCGGACAGCAGCCGGTCAAGAAGCGGCGCAGGAAAGTTGACTTTGTATGGCAGAGCAGTGGCATGGCAGTACCGTAGCAGTGGACGAGCAGCGCAGGACCCTTGACTTTGCGAAGAGCATGCGAGGGGCAGAGCAGCCTTGAAGTTTCTCTGGGGCAGAGCAGGGGCAGGAGTCAGGCAGCCTCGACGCTGTTAGGCCATGGCAGAGCTTTGGAATTGAAGAGTCTGGCGGTGACAGAGCAGCAGAGGAGCCTTGACATATTGCGTAGAGTCAGGCAGAGCAGCACAGGAACATCAGCTCTCTAAGCCCAGAGCAGTGGCAGGACTCCCAGTGGCAGGACTAACTTGGAGTCAGGCGGCCAGCCGAGCGCGTGCTCTTGCATGAGACCAGGGCAGTGTTTGAGTCAAATGGTCTGTGCCATGCTCGATGTTCCAGTGAAGGGCTTCGGCAGAGCCAGGAAGGGAGCAGAGCACATTTGAAGATTGGGGGATAGGCCAGCAACATTGGGAGCAAGGTGTGCTCTTGGGATTGAGGGATGTTTCATGCATATGCAGCAGTGCTAGCTGGCTCCAGTATGATGTCAAAACCATGCTGATATAGATGATTATAAGCACTGTGATGTAATGGATTGATTGAGTGGAATAGTTGATAAGTGATCTAATCATGGTGACTCAGTGGCTCTCCGAGACTGCGCCTGTTAACGGCATGCTGTCTCCCAGGAAACCTTTGATATCTCGAGCTCAGCTATAGCTCCCCTACAGGGGTGCTCGCTCAACCTTGTCAAACCTTGAGAAGATAAATGGCCACTTGAATCAACTGACACCAAGCTTAGGTCTCAATAAATCACAAATGTCAAAATAACCCCTGCGCAAATTAGGTCTGGGGTCTGTGAAACCCAACCTTGGACCTCGGGCGTTACTCTTGGTTATTCGTGTCCGACAAGGATGCATTTCTTGCATATTCGCCGTCCATATCAGAAATTACAATCGGCCGCAATTGCATCCCTGCTTTCGCGGGAACGAACATGTATGTCTGTGTCCTCGCAATGAGGTACTGGATTGACACTTCTTATGCACAGAAGAGCTCTTCAGATGTTCCTAACATATCCTTACCACATGTTTCTCAAACCTTCAAGGTCTGTGAACTCCGTAAGCTGTTCCCTACCTGCAATCGTTTTGGTACAAATTTACGGAAGCCTGCTTCCGTGACCTAAAGCCTGCTCTGTGGGTGCAGGCCTTACAATATATTCCCCTTTATGTCTAATCTTGGACAAATTTGTAGTTTCAGGTGGGTCCTTACAAAGTCCAGATCAATCTCAAATGTAGTGAGCGCGAGGGTCTTTGCCCATCACCATACATGCCAGATCAGAACCTGGCAGCAGTATGATGGAGAGCTTATTGCCAGACCTCAAACGTTAAGGGAATTTTGAAATGATGGCGCATCCTTGCACGGTGGGTTTCACATAGTTGAGAGTCTTCAGGTAAGCTCTGCAGGGCAAAACTACAGGGCACCTCCCACCAAACCAGTGAATGTCTGTACACCCTCTCCAGAGGCCACCGGCTCTCAACCTTGCCAGCACCACAAAAGGGGATGGCACTGGTGCTCGGCACTGCTAGCTGGCACTGCTGCTGCCGGCCTTTGCAAGCAGAACTTCTGACACCGGCTGGCCTAGGAAGGTGGGCGCGTATGCCCTGCTAAACACCTAACATCTGGTCAAAATGCAGGAGATTAATATGTACATCCGTTGCGTTGCTAACGCCTTTCAACACAGTACAGGCTGGGGTATCAAAACATCACATCAATTTTTTTTCGGAAAGCTCCGCAATGTAATCTAGTTTAAAGAGTACAAAGAAAGTCTCTCAAAAACATTCAAAGAATTGCTTGGTATACACGCTGTTCAAGCCGGCGTGCAAGGGGTGTCAATTAGGGCGCAGCACAGCTTGGCACAATGCCTGCGCCCCGCTGGACAAGCCAGATGTAGGACTCAGTCTCTGTCCTGCAGCAGTGTTGCCCAGGGAGGACAGCTTGCTCATGAGCTGGCTCCACATCTCGGGAGAGTAGGCCTGCGCCCGTGTTAATCAATATTCAGGCTGGCATAAGGCAACAGCCTCGCTGCGTCATTGAGAGGAAGTGTGCGTGCAAAAGGTAAACCTCTGCATCACCTCGCCCACGGTCAGCGCCCAGGCAGTCCTGCACAGCCCCTGCCGGCTGTACAGGTTTGTAGCCAGCAGCCGTTGGATCTCAGTGATGAGCACTGCAGCCCTGTCAGGCGTCAGCTGCCGCAAGCATGCGTGCATGTACACGATGTTGCTGACCTGCTCGAGGTCTAGATCCTGCACACAGCACGCATGGTATATGCCGGGCTTGTTTTGGTTGAAGGGGGGTTCCCCCGGAATTTAAAGCGCTGTGGGAGTCACCAGCATCCAACGCTGGCATGCACTTCTTTATTAGTGACTTGGCGGTCAGGTCTGCTGTGTGCATGGGCAGGTGACAAGGGGCGAGCAGCGGACAGCAGAACACCCGAGATATTGGAACCTGGACCATCTCCGACCTCGGACAGGTCAGCCTGTGGCACTGCGGCTGTCCATAGGAGGCAACATCCGCCACGAGACAGGTGACGGTCAAGAGATCGCAATGAAATGTGTAGCGCACCTGCATCGTTGCACCAGCACAGCATGTTTGTGAGGTGTTGAGAGCGCCCGTGCACTGACTGAGAACACAAGAGCAGCAAGCGAACATGCCAGCAGCAGATCAAAAGTTTTGACATACCAGGCTCTGCTACTGGAATTCCACAATCCGGATTGCCCCCACAGCAGCAAAGCTGTGGGCCACCTCCTCCTTGCAGACGCCTACACAGCATGATACAAAGAGTTCAGGCGACGGCAGCAGAACCTTACAGGCAACACATGTATGCATGGGACCGGGGAGGGGCGTATACTATATACATGTTTGGCTGTATGGGTGTTTACCCAGGTGCACAAGCGCTCTGAAGGTCGTGGCGAAGTCTTGTGGGCTGTAGTCCATGAGCATGCCGAGGGAGCGCTGTGCCACACGCGCCAGCTGTCGTGCAAGACTGCGAGTTTCAGCAGCAGCTTTGCCAGCGAAGGCACAGTCAGCGCCCGCAGCGGGCCATGAGAGCGTCATCAGCAAAGGGTAATTCCCCTTGCAAAGTTCCTTAGACTATCAAGCACTGAAAAATCAGAGTCGCCAGACAAGGGATTACCAGGGGATGCGGGCGAAATGTGTCGAGGATCTCCAGCATGCGCGTGATGGCAGCGCTCTTAACTTCCATCTTCCGCCTTTTCAGCTTTGCCAGGCTCCACAGGACTACAGAGAGCATTCACTTTGGGTGTTCTCTGCAAGCGAGCCTTGTGAAACTTCAGCTGATTGCAGACTGATTGCAAGTTGTGGAAAGACCCGTTACCATCGCCGATTTCGTTATCGTGAAAAGTATCCATAATGCCCATGCTTCTTTGATCGACAGCGTCCCAGAAGTGCTCGCCAGGGTTGTCTGAAGCCATTGCAAAGCCACATGCCTGCACACACACTTTGAAGTTGGTATCGTGCAGAGCACAGGATCATCAGGTGTTGCAATGTTTATGTGCATGTCTGCAGATCATGAACCAAATCTTGTTGAGGGCGTACCGTCTGAGCAATGTTTCTCGGCCCAAGATTGCTGATCTGGCTGAGTGTGCGGCGCGAGAAGGCAGTGGAGAGGGCGCCACGGAGGGCGGCAAGCTTGCCGAGAGCGTTAACGCTCATCGCGATGTCCTGCACCACGTACAAGGTAAGTGGCTCTGCACAGAAAGGCAGACTCTGTCGAGGGAAATGAACTGTGAGCATGTCCGCGCCAGGCAACCATTGCAGGGCAGCAACAAAAGGGACAGGCTGTTCTCACCCTCGGTGCAAAGGTGAACACGCTGCTCTCTGCCCTGGCCGTCAGCTGCTGCACAAAGCTCTCGGGGCAATACGATGCTTTTGAGCATCCAGTGAGGAAGGCGCTGGTGTTGTAGGGAATTATTCTTCCACTGCCATGGCCCAACACCAGCGCCTTCTTGACTGGATGCTTAAAAGAATTTCATTGCCCCGACAGCTTTGTGCAGCAGCTCACAGCCACGGCCAAGAGCAACATCTCTACCTTTGCACCTAGGGTGTGAACAGCCGACACAAAATGTGATTTTGCTTTCAGGGGGGTGGCCGAGGGAACTGAACCTGCGGGGGCTTGACCGCAGGACATGGCAAGCAGGCCTTAATTATCAAACCGATGCAAATACCAGAAACGCGAGATGGCAGAAGCCTTGGGACACTAATCTGAATGTCATGGCTTTTGGATGCAGACCTGCCGGTGCGCATGGCGCTTGGTGAGACGCATGTTATAGCGATGGCTAAACGCGCGCTTGGCAAGGCCGGTGTTCCGACGTGGCGGCGCTCGAGGCAGCGGCCGCGGCCGGTGGCAGGGCGGCCGTAAAGAGGGCGCTTGCGCGAAGCCCAACATCGCTGCTTGTCAAGAACTTGCCATATACTGCCAGCATGGCCAAGCTGGAGGTTTGCACTTTTCTGCCCGCACTTTTCTGCCTCTTAGATCTATGATTATTAAGTCCCAGCGCACAAAAGAGTGTCCCGCTCAGCTGTTTCTCTTGAGCCTGGCATCAGTCCCTGGCTGTGAATATCATAAGGCATGGTGGTTGGGAAATTGGGGAACACTTGTGTGCGATCAGGGTAATCATCAGCCTCTACTTTTGCACATCATGCGCGCATGGAAAGCATGTCCATCACCCGTCTGACCCGGCTGCATGCTGACAAGCCCGGTCCTGCTTTCTGCCGAGCAGGAGACCTTTGGCAAGCTTGGGGCAATAGCACGGCGGGTGCTGCCCCCAACGCGCACACTGGCGCTCGTGCAATTCGCAGAGGCGGCCGACGTGCGCCGTGTCTTGAAGGCACTCGCGTACAAGCGTTTCTAGTCCGTGCCGCTCTCTTTGGAGTGGGCACCCGCCGATGACTTCAGCCCTGACGCGCCTTTGCAGCCTCAGCCCCAGGTGAGCATGGGGTTATCCAATTTTCAAGCAATTGAGCCATGGTCATCAGAGCCATGGTAGAAGATCCTGCTTCCAAGGAACGAGATTGTATGAGGGACATCATCTTGATGTGTCTAATCTTTCCAGGGGGTACTAAAGACTACTCTTTAGTACCCCCTGATCTTTCTTTGCTTCACAGCCCTGGAATTGTCTGTCTTGTCTATGATTATTCATCCCTCATCTAGCTTTTGTGTTGTGTCTTTCCTGGTATGTAATCGAAGCCCGGCTGTTCTGAGCCTTGTCTTCAATGCTGCTGTTAGCCTTAGCACCCCTAGCAGCCAGATGTTGTCCTATGCTGGTTTATCCAGCTGTGCAATACGTCACTATCAAACAGTAGAGCTGCAGAGAACTGATAGAAATTCCTGCTATTTGTGTGAACAGGCGCAGGCCGCCGTTGCCAAGAAGGCGAAGAAGGTTGACACAGATGAGCCGGTGGAAGTGGCTGACCTGCCAGCTGGCAATGACGAGGCAGAGCACACCATCATCTACGTCAAAGATCTCGCCTTTGCCACCACTCACGCCACACTGAGCGGTGAATCACCTCAGCTCAGTAGGGCAAAATAACATGCTCGTCCTTGACTATGACACCATTCAACCCAGCCATGCTCAGGGAGAGTCACTTCAGCTCAGCGGGGCATGTTACCGTGCTATTATTCTTGGTCCTTGAATTGACACCACGCCGTGCCCCTTGTGGTCAATTTGACGCATAATTTTTGCTAGTGTCCATGACTAGGAAGATGATGATGGACACCTTATCACAGCTGCCAGAGCTTTATCCACTACATGGAGGAAAGGGAGTGTTAGAAACCTTTAGGATTCTTTGTTGGGGCCAAGTCAAAGACTGGGGACAGATACTGGAGCATGCTTTGCTCAATCGGTTGATGTGGAAACCCTTTCACCTGCGTAATTGCGGCAGATCCCCACCATTGCAGTGAATTCTTCTGATATGCAGCAATGCCGAGCCTGTCATTTCAATCTCAGTGACATAAAGGTAGCGCACTAGGCTATGCACAAGAAGACTGTGAAGCGCTCATGTGACCGGGTACAGAGCAGACATGTTTTGTGTGTGGTCATGGGCTGCATGCTGAACCTTTTGCATGTGCTAACATTTCTCTGCTAATCGATCCCGTCGATGCTCACAGTAGTTGCTTGCAAGTCTTCAGCTGGGCTTGGACACCTCAGCCAATGGACTGGGCGCTGAGCTTTTGCATGTGCTGACATCTTCTCATGACTGACTCACCGTAATTCTATTGCATTTCGTCTCAGCTGAGGTGACATGCTTCTATATAGAACTGTGGGGTTTCATTGGGGTGCACCTGCCCTGTACTGTCGACTATAGGTGCAGTCCAATCAGCAGTCCCTTATGAGGCAGACATCTCAATTCTATGAACTACAGTAATACTGTCCATTGACTCACAGTCAAATCCTGTCCCAATGCGACTGAATCGAAGCATCATGGATGATCCCTTCAAGGGCCTTGGTGGATTGTAAAGGATGCAGGTCTCATCATCCCATGATCCATCCTTGCCATCATGTTTTGCTGATGCTCACCTCTGCAAGTGTGTTTGCAACCTTCTCTGAGGTTGCTCCCATCCCCCTCTCATCCAACACAACCACTCTGTCCTGCCACAGCTGCTTGTGAACCCCAGACAAGCATGAAAAGCAATCCCTTGCGGGTGGCCATCCTTGGCCGGTTGTTGCTCAACTGACAATTTAAGGTGGTGGAGATGAAACGGCTAGCAGGGCGAGGTAGCAGAAGCTGACCCGTGATCTGAGTGCTTTCAAAACCATCTCCACTTCAGCCTGCATGGTCACTGCATAAACCGCTTCTGATGCATCTGCATATCTTTGCAGCTTTCCAACCACTCCCCTGTCAATTCCAAAGGCACACAGATATCGATTGGTTGAAAAATGCATTCCCAACTCCTCAAACAGGTTCAACCAATGTGTTCACTGCACTTTCGTGCCTCACAACATTGCAACAGCTGCTCATGAGCTGCACTTGCGATACTCAGGGCTCACCTGCCAGCAACTTCGCCCCAGGACTATTGCCTTTGCTAATAACGAGCATTTTTAGTGGCACAGGGCACAATGCCCTTGTGTGAGGCCTATGGGCAGCCAGGAGGAGAGCTCCATGAGACTTCCTAGTCAGCGGTTCTATAATCAGGGGCTTCCTGCGACGGCCTGCCAGCCAACAGCATTGTGACAGCGGAATGACTGCATGAGAGTTCTAATACAAAGGAGTGCCTTGAGCATAGGACGCATTGGACTATGGTGCACAACCTTGAGAGAAGAGGATGCACCTCAGCAGCGCAGCAAACCTACAGGGACCCGCAGTGCAAGACATCCAACGGGTCATTGCTCCTAGAGGATGGCTTGATAGAGCACAGGCATCTATAAAAAGCCGGAAAAGTCTGCCCTTTTGCCCTTTGTAAAGCTGCAATCTGCATTGGTGTACTTCAGGAGCACGACAACGAGAACATATCGGCATTCTGCGGGTAATTCGCTCTAAAGATATAAATAAATAGGAGCCCAGAGGTTTAGAAGTGTAAGCCCCAGCAACCGGCATCTCAGGCAGGGATGCAAATCAAACCCACAACGGTCTACATGGTTCGCACATGAAGCGCTCTGCCTGACGTTCTCACGAGATGCATAAGTATGATTCCCAGACTGAGTCTGACGTTCAGTGGCCCTAGTAGGCCACCCTAGTCTCTTCCAAAACAAAAAAAGACACAAAAGGGTGATTTTGCTTCATGGGGGTGGCCGAGGGAAGCGAACCTGCGGGGCCCGGGGGCTTGACCGCAGGATTCCAACCCTCGGCGTTGGTAGATGTAGTTCGACGCCTTGCTTGCAATTTGATGGCGTACCTGAACATTGGCCATTTTCTCGATCGTATATTCCATTCGGTGCATGACCGCAAGCCCGACTTAGATCATTCCTTCGCATCATCCGAACCCTTCAAGATGACAAATTTCGGTCTGCAAAGTCTTTGAGTATCAGATGATCGCTTTATCGGACGAAAGCTCTGGCAGGTCAGCCATCACCAATGGGATCACCTTGGGATCTGAGCTTATTTTTGGAGGCGTGAGTGGATGACGATTACGTTTCTTAGGTAAGAGCAACGTGAATGAATTAAAGCAGGAAGTTGAGGGTCGCCCCCTCAGATTCGAGCAATGCATGATACTTGCACCCTTCTGTCCTTCTCAACTCCATCTAGGCTGCGTGTACCTGGCAGGGTTGGTGGAGGGTAGAACACAACCAAAAGGAAACAGCAACCTGTAGCATGACCAGTGGCCTTCCCTAGATCTGCTGCTGCTTCCCAGTTGGTGCCAGCACCGCATGAACATGATCTGAGAGCTGCTGTTGTGACATGGCAAGCAGGCCTTAACTATCAAACCGACGTGAATACCTGAAAGCCAGGATGGCAAAAGCCTTGGGACTCTAATCTGAACGTCATGGGTTTTCAGTAATTCTCTGCTCTCTGCAGTGAATGGGTGCTGCAATCACTCTTCCAGTGTCCTGCTCCATGAGTTTCACTTTTCCCATTTTGAAAATTGCAAACAATTTTTTGAACACTTTGCATGCAGCATGTTCGAATGGCTTGGACTCCTTCTCTTTCTGGCGCATGTGCTTCACTTCAAGCAAAGAAATAGACACCAGTCTGAAGCACCCTCTGCAAGCAGGATGCAAGCCAAATGACATGCATGTGTGCCCGGCTGCAGGGGCTTTGCGTTACTGCGTCTACCCGCAGCATGCTGGAAAAAGTTAGAGACTGGAATTTGTCAATGTTTTTACGGGGTGTCATATTGGCACTGATGTGTCTCGTCAGATGGGTGACATTTCCCTTGCTGACAGTGCTGTTGACATCAGCATTTCTGTGTGAGGGCTCCTGTCCTAATTAGAAATTTGTCAATTATGCAGGTGTCGCCAAAGGCAGAAGATATATTTCACATGCGGCCAGGACAGCGGCCATGATGTATTGCATGTGTTTCCTGCCAGCTGTGCACTGGATGTCATGGAGTGGGCATTGCTATGGAGATGGTTTGGAGTCGCAGGCTGAGCAGACCGCCTGCGGTGATTGCAATTGATCCTGAGGTTGATTGGGTCCTGCCAATACGTATAGGTGCTTGCAAAATTGCGCACCAATCCCGGCCTTGAGGGAGCTGGGTTGCTACAGTTCGTGATTGTGAGACATCATCTCAGGTCACTAACGGGTCCGCTCACCGTATCTGCAATTTGCACTCTAATGGGCCGTGTGCATATGGCACACCGGTGTAAATGCTCGTAGACATGGGGGGGAGTTGGCAATGCTAACTTCATGCTCAGGGACAAATTCGTTTCTGCAAACGACATAACGATGTGTGCCCTCAGAGGCTCCAATTGTTGAATGCATGTGATTTGTAAGGCCCAGTCTCTCTCATTTGTCTCAGAAATTATCAGGCAGGCCTTCCTCTTGTGAAATGCAACAAATTGAAAAAAGGGCAAGAAAAATTATCCCGATGTATCTTCGATCGGGGAGGCATTGAACTCCCGAGGCTTGATTGATAATGCACTTGCAATCAACACGGTCGGGTGTCGGCCTTATTCGCTGCTCACCTTGCTGACGTCATTGGCCATTTTTCACATATTGTCATGAATGCCCAATAATAAAAGTTTTCTGGCTGCTTCATTTTATTTCAATATATACAGAGTGCATCCCCATCGATGTTTCCGACATGCCTTAAAAGTATTTTTTTAAAAATTCTTGGGGATGCGGAAGCTGATGACTACCTCGATTGAAAGTGTCAGGACACTATGCTGACATGCAACAAAATGCAATCAGTATCAGCTCGTCTGGGGAGAATTACTTGGCTGCGCTTGAGGCATTTTTCGATCGCAAAGGGCCAGAGATTATGTCAGGTGCTGCAATTTCCACCATCGGTGTCTTGATGGTGTCCCCGCTGTGTGCCACGGATATTCTAGCATCTCAAATTTTGAAAAACCATGCGGTACCGTTGAGCTCCTCTGTCCCACATCATGATTTTCCTGGGAAGGTTTGCCTTTGGTTTGAGGCGCGCCATGTGTCCATAAGGACGTAGTTGTTCCACATGAATTTGATAAGCGCTATTTTGCGATGTGAAGGAATGCAGTGATGAAGTATATTGTGCTGAATGTAATTGCAGGCTCCCTGACTCTGAATCTGCACCCACGTGGCCTGGAGTACATTGCTGCCAGGCTCAGCAGTCTGGGCGAGTTGGAGAGCGCCAAGCAGCACTCCCCAGTGGATTTCTTCAGGGGCTGTGTGAGCGATGTCCAGGATTTCAAGCGGCTGGAAAAGATCCAGCATGTGCTGCACAGAGTGCGCACACTGCGGGTGCAGTCATCCGCCTGCAAACTCAGGTGCCCGCCCCCCTCTGCCATGGCCTCCCTCTTTGTCAGTCAAGCTCCGGGGATATTTGAAAGTCCTGCCGGGCCCTGTGCATACCACAGTGCGGACAAGAGAGGCACCAGCCTGTAAGCACCACCCAGATTGCCCTCTTCTCAGATATTTCCCTTCTCGCTGTGTCTTGGGTGCTGCCATGTGCGGCAGGAGTCTGATGCGGTGTCCAAGGCCATTCTGTCAGCACGACAGCCAAGACTCGTCAGAGCCAGATGTGATCATCTCGAACATTTGCGCGCTGTTACGTACTGCTGGCCTAAAAGAGGCAATTGTTCCGATGCCAGGGATCCAACGCGTGTCAACTTGAGCCCGCTGCACTCACTCACTCACTTGGAGCTGAATGGGTGCGACCTGTCGACATCTGCATGGCTGGGCCTGGAGGCTGTACGCGGCAGGCTACGTTCCCTCGCCTGCCACAACTCCCTTGAGGAGCTGTGGCACCTGCTGGCACCTGCCTCCGGCCGTGCCAGAACCCCCGGTAAGCGCACCTTTCTTTATTGTTGCCTGCCTTTGGGATGATGGTGGGCATCTGAGACTATGAAAGTCTCTTGCATCCATGATTGCATTGAGTAAAATTGACACCACCCTGCACTGCAATTGACAAGTACTATAATTCGAGATGCTACATGCCTTAGCTAGGAAGGATCGTACCACAGCCTGCAGCTCAGCGCTAGTGCGGCCTACTCATCTGTGCCGGATCATATGGGGATATACCAGAAGGAAGCAGCTGCCCACTGTCGATGATAAAAAGAGTCTCGCATGGATGGGCATGAGAGTGTAGCTTTGCCGGGGCGCAGGCGCGGCCGAGGCGGCGGCGGCGTGGCCGAGCCTGACATCCCTGACATGCTCCGCAAACTCCTTCCAGACAATGGACTCCTCCCTGGCGCTCCTGCCGGCAGTGGGCCGGCTGAATTTGTCAGGGAACAATATCGGGACGGTGCAGAATCTGACGGCATGCGCCGCCTTGACACAGCTTGATTTGAGCAACAATTGTATCACATCGCTCGCACAGGTCGGCCTCTGCGCAGGGCCTCTGCGCCGCCTCGTTCTGCAGGTGAACTTCCCCTTTATGGGCCCCGCTGCTTGACTCAAAGTGAAGAGCGATCTTGCTAGTAAAAGAGAGGATGTGGACTCCATTTGAACAGTGCAGATTGTCTCGCGTGGCTGCAGACTGCAATGCCAAGCCTGCCTGGTTGTGATCCGCTAATATTGTATTCCCGGCCTTGCTTTTAAAAGCAGAGTTCAGTCTAATAACACTGCATGGCTGAGGCTAATGTGAGCAAGCCTTCCACTGATGGGGGGATTGCTGCTACCTTTCAGGGGAATGTGATAAAGAGCACCAAGGGCTTGCAGCTGCTGAGGGGCCTGGAGGAGTTAGATCTTCGGTGCAATCTCATCGCCAGCATCCACGAGGTCGTGCGGCTGTCAGGTAATCACCGCAGACAGAAACCCACCATGCATTCCCTTGCTGCAACACGACTTTTACTGATGACAGCACTAATCAAGCCGTTGGGACCAGCCTTCCAGATCCTATCATAAATGCTAGACGTGCCCAGGTAGAGCACACAGGTATTCAGACCGCTGTACAGCGCAGAGCTATCAATGTTTTTGAGATGAAGGAGAGTTCTGGAGGCTGTGGCAGCAACTCTTCTAGACAGCAAAGAGCTCCAATCAACAAGCATGCAAGGAAAGATGCGGCGCTAGAAAAATTGAGGAGCCTCATGCATCTAAAAATGCAGCGCTGGGGATCTTGAGGAGCCTCTGCAATGGCAGTTGCAGTACTTGGAATGTTGGTGAGGTTTAGATCATATTAAGCAAGTGATCTAGATCTAGCCTCTGAATAAGTGATGGTGTCCTGTGTGGTGGCAGGGCTGAGCACGCTGCGCGCGCTGTGGCTGGAGGATAATCCAATTGCATTCGCGCGGCTGTACAGAATAGATGTACTGGGGTGCTTCCCGGAGTCCCAGCAGCTACTCCTGGACGGCCGCGCCAGCCAGCGCTCCGAAACGGAGATAGCAGCCCTTCGTGCGCAGGTGGGCCATAAGCTCGTATACTGCTCATGATCCTTCCACAATATTCCTCAATTTCCTATTCTAGCAGCCAGGAACGCCGCACTTAAGTAAATAAATCATTGCTCCCCTTTAAGAACATGTGGACCAGTATTAGTCTGCTCTGTGTCTGTTGTTTTCTTCTTGAAGCAAGTGCTTCAGGGTCTATGGAAGCAGAATGAAGGCAGACTGTCCTTTGGAGTTCTGAGATGCAGTCCCGGCAGTTGCATCTGCGCACATGTGAGCGCATGTGCCGGCATGTGCAGGGGAATGCGCCGCCGGACAGCTGGCGGGTGATGGAGCGCTTTGTCGCCCAGGCCAATCACTTCCTCCCCTGGGGCCCTCCTGTGTACGGCGAGCACCCCCTCTCTGAGGAACTGTGGGCGCCCGAGTCCCCCACAGGCTCCTCCATTGAGCCCTCACACTCGTCTGCTGCCTCACACAGTGGCTCCAGGTACTTGAGTGCTGCTCATATAAAAGTCATCAGCCTCGCTGTTGATCTGTTGTGAGTATACCTGCCATTTGCCATTGCCTTGAAGACAGACATGGAGAAATATGATCTCAAGACGTTCACCCTGCAGCTGTGCAAGTCTGTGAGAATATGACCTATGGCAAGCTATATCAATGGAAGCTTAGTAATGTGAAGCATTAGTGAAGCATTAGTAAGCTTCTGTGCTGCACCACTGAGCGCGCCTGATTCTGCTGCAGAGGCCGAAGCGGCAAAAGAGCGCCGTCGAGGAGAATTGTGGAGTTCTCTCTGGGGGGTATCCGCACTGGGCAGTCAACCACATCGCAGGATGAGCCGGGAAGCCCTGCAATTTTTCCTTTATTGCAGACCCCTGGGAACAGGGGCAGCGAGGCATCAGGCAGCGGCCGTCAGGGGATGCGATCCGTCAGGCTCGCGAGCCATCAGTCGTCGGTGAGTCACAACCCATATGCAACAGCTGACTCAGCGTCTTGATTTGCAAGGAGCCTGATGGTCTGCTGTGGGGTTTCAGTGAAGAGCCTGCATCACGCTGCAATCCTGTGGCTGTATTTGGAAAGCCTTGTCGAAGGAGCCTTGAATATCGAGCCTTGACTGAGGTTCCTACTGAAGGCCATCAGGCTCCCTGCTGTAGGATTGAGGCTTGAACGGCTATCTTCTGTATGGTGCAGAGCTCCCAGGGCGATGACACAAAATACTACGATGTGAGAGAGCGGCAGAAATCGCCGCCGCGCTACGAGCGCGCTGTTTTGGAGCGGCTTCACGAGGTAATTCCCCTGTGCCAACCTGACTCGGGGGACTCTACATTCACTTAATTGAATTAGAGTCCCCTGCCTGACTTTCACCTTAACACTGAACATGGCAGATGGGCAGGCCTACCCATTCTGCTTCAGTAGTCGCTGCATCATTTGCCCTTGCGAGAATTGCAGAAGCTTTGAAATGTCATCGTGGAGGTTGGCACAGTGCATGCGCACCCGAGGTTGTGCTGCACATCCAGTGCAGATCAATGCAGGCGTGACAGTCTGCTGAAGGTCGTGCAACCTGGGCATACGCCAATTCTAACAAGCAAAGCGTCACACTGAAGTGAGCGTGTCTGCACAGGTACTGCCCATGCCAGGCAGGGAGGTGGTTCCGCCGGACACAGGGTGGGAGTCGGGCTCAGAAACGCCCTCGAACGCATCCTCAGCAAACTCGGATGACTCAGTATCCCCAGAGCTGCAGCGGTCCACTTCACGGCTGCTCAGTGGGAGCCTCCAGCTGGGCCTGGTCAGCGCCAGAGGCAGCCTGGCAACCAAGCAGTGACGTCCAGAGGTTTGGATACAGTCAGCTTGTACTTGATCTATGCTGACGGCCCTGTGGCGCTGCGTATCTGTGGAGTGAATTCTCTGCCCTGTATTTGTTGTGGAGCAAGGTTGAATGTGTGAATTGCTTCAACGTATGAGTGTTACTAAGATGGCATGAGCGCCACGTGGCATGCCACCACTGGAGCAGTGTGAAGTGTGAGCCAGAAATCTTCAAAATGCACCTGCTCAGTATTGGTAGGTGCAATCAGACTTCACGCTGTTTGTGACTGATCATGGTGTTCAGCTTGAGCTAAGCTTGGCATGCACACGGTACTACTGGGTAGTATCCGGTACCGGGTGGCCACCCCGGGCCACCCATGGGGCCAAGGGAATGAATCACATCTGGGCTATTGCCACAAGTGCACAGTCTCTGCATCCACTGCAACAGCACTGCCCAGTGAGTCACTTTCTGTGGAAATGGAATTGACTCAACTTAGCCGGGCTGACTTGCAAGTGCAATTGCAATTGGAGCCTCCCCATGCGCGTGAGCGCGCTTGCAAGCCGCAGACTGGGCTTTGCAACTGCAAGCACCCTCACAGCCCCGCCCCGTCGCAGCCTTGCAATCAAGGAATCTTACAAAACTGCACACATGCGTTCGCAGCTGGCTACTTGAGGGGTGACTCATCCTGGGTGACACCAGGCTGCTCCTTGGCAGTTGCCAGATTTGGCAGCACATCTCAAAAGCACTTGTCGATGTATTTGGGGCCCAAGAGCAGCAAAAATTGCATGCCCAGATCAGACGAGGCACGCTAATACATTGCTGTGCTATTTGTGTTATTTTCGTGCGAGTGCCGTGCGCTCAGGTGCCTTGATTGTCCATTCCACTGTACAGCCAGCTTCAAGGGCAGCTTCTTTGTGAAAACGGTCCAGTGACACGCGGGTCAGCCTTAAGAGCGCTTGTAGGGCATAATTTTGTTCACTGACTCCTCCCGAGGCCGTGCTGAAGGGATCTTTTGACCCGCCAACCCAACCTTGAGGTGGCTTCATATAACGATGCACACCGCTTGGTAGGGACTCTTTGTCACTCTGCCAATCCCTTGACAACATCGTACTCAAAGGGTGATGTTGAGTAGCTGTTCTACTCCAAGTGGCGAATTGACAGGCATTCAGACGAGCTATGGGGGAAGATCGCGAAAAGCACAAGAGCAAGGACAAACACAGGGACCGCGACCGCACTGTCGAGAAAGCGAGACGTGACGATAGGAGCGGCCGCGATGACAAGGATCGCAGCCGACGAGATAGAGACAAGGTGCGCGTCCAAACTATGGTGAGGGCTTCCTGATGAGGGCGTTGGGGTTCATGGCAATCCCTTATGGAATATGCGAATTCTCTGAAGTGGTGATATGCGTTCTTGCTCATCAATATCTCTATGGTGCAAATGTGGTTTGCCTCAATACAAAGATATTGCATTGCAGCGGTTTAGTGGACAGTGGCGTCTGTTGGGTGTCATGCTGGCTCTTCGCTTTTGTTGTATTGACCACCTGACATTTCTTGGGCTATCCTTGTCATGCAGGATGCCGACCTTAAGGATAGAGACAGGGCTGGAAGCGAAAGGAGGGAGCAAGAGGAAAGGTGAAGCCCCTTACACCCCGCACTTTTATGGAGCTTTGCTTAAAGTTCATTGTTAAATCTTCAATGATTATTCTGCTCTCAGCCGCCATTCATGCCTTGGAAGTCTGCACTCCCAGCTGTGGGACCACTTACGCATGTTTGCGAGACTTGACAAGACCATCAGAGTTTGTGCTGGCCCATCTGCAGGGAGCGGGCCATGGCTGAGAGGGCCAGATCAGAGAGGGATGCGGGGACATCAAACGACCGGCACAGGGACAAGGAGAGGCGACGCGAGTCGCGGAGGGAGTACGCCGACAGCCGCGGTGTAGACTATGGTGCGCTCCCCTTTTCACAGGACCAGTCTTACTCCTCTTGCTTCACGGTGACGCAATGCAATGCGGACTAGACTTGCATCTAGACATGTCTGTTGTGGAGGCGAACAGGAACCATGCGCATGTGCCAACGACGATGTAAGCTGCTCATGCATTATGCTCATGGGGTGAATCAAGCAACCTCTGTGCCTGCAGATGGAAAGAGGGAGGGCAAGGAGCGCAGAGACAAGCGGCACAGGGATGAGGATGAGCGCGGAGATCGAGATCACAGAGGAGACCGTGACAGGGACAGGTACCCCCCCCTGCTGTCCCTTCCAGATCACTTTCTAGTCGGCATGTCTTGCTGTCTTGCGCCCCTTTGACAGGCATGTATGCTTTGGCCGACCCCACTTAGTGTGACAGCATGCTGCGACAGTCGAGCAGTATTGAGCGGTGTCTGTCTGGCTTCAGGGAGAAGGACAGTGACGGGCATAGGGAGAAGAAGAGGCGCTCGGAAATCCCAGAGACCCGGGATGCAGCCGACGAGCGGCAAAAGGCCAAGCAGGTTTGTGCCCATCTCATCCTCTTTGTTGCAGTCGCTGCCTGCTCTTGCGCACATGCAGGTACATGAGTAGGATTCTTTGAAGACGCCCAACATTGCATTAAATCCTTTAAGACAGGGTGGGAGCAGTGTGATGCGTACTCCGGGAAATCTCACCGTCTTCATGTGTGCTGAGCTGAAATTGTCATGATCAGGCGGCAGGAAATCAAACTTTCCTTCACTCCTGTCAACTCAGAATTGCGGGCTGATGTTTTGTGCTGCACTGTGGGCACAGGAGGAGGAGCAGGCAGCACTAGACGATGAAGCAGAGCGGCGGCGCAAGCGCGTGCAGGCGTGGCAGGAGCAGAAAGCCAAGCAGATGGCTGAAGAGGAACAGGCCGTCAAGGACGCCGCTGAAGAGGCTGTCCAGTGGACCTTTGAGGACGACTCCGATGAGGTGCGCTCCTGTGACTTGCTGATGCCATGTCTAACTTGCCTGCCACCTCATCATATTGTGGCTTCTTGAGACACCTCAAATTTTTGCCTGTGTTCATCTTGTAATTTAGCTTTATGTAAAGATATTTCGATGCCTGGAGGCTTGAACATGCCATTGCTTCTACCACTTTGCTGTCTGCCAGCTGCTGTGTGACAAATCGTGTGCACCTGAATGGTACTGCAAAATCATACCCAGTTCAACATGCATCAGTTCCTGGCGCTCATACTGATGCAAAGAGGGGTTCGCACATGCCCAGGAGGACACTGCGGCCGGAGGCGTGCGCGCGGCAGACGGCGCGGCAGACGAGGCGGCGGCCGCACCGATGGAGTTGGACGACGAGGTCGATCCGCTGGACGCGTTCATGAGCCAGAACGATACGCACGTGACGGCGCTGATCAAGCAGGCGCAGGAGAAGGTCGAGGAAGTGGAGGAGGAGATTGACCCTCTGGACGCCTTCATGGCAGCTGAGGTGCTGCCAGCCGTGACCCAGAACGGCCTCAGCAGAATGCCCCAGGCCCAGGTGCGCTGCCTGCCCCTTCACTCCCTCATGCTGCCCACGCCTCTTACTCTACATGTTTGCATGGATCCACACGCCTTGTGGGTGAAGCAACAGTGTTCAGCACTTGCGCATGTGGCTTGCAGTGACCACAGCCTGCCAATACATGCCTAGTGCGCACATGCTGGGTGCTGTTAGTCTTCGAGTCTGGAACCTCAGAAATGGTCTCTTCATGTGCATGCACATGTTTGCTTCACCGCGCATTCAGCATGCAAAGGCCCCAAAAGGATTTTGACGGCATGATAGTCCACATCTTTCTTGACAGGAATTGGTGCTGGTGCGCAGAGCACGGGGGCGCTCGTGCAGTCCAGCGAGATGGTGCAAGCCGAGGGAGCGGGCGAGAGCGAGGCAGCGCTGCCGCCGCCGGCCGCAAAGCGCCGGGGCCCGGCCGCGCGGCGGCGGTCGCGGTACGATTCCGAGTCGGACTCTGACGACGAAGAGGACTGGGACGTCGAGGAAGACGACGCGGTGCGCTGCTTTCTATGCCCTCTTACTGCCTGTGACAAGCACACCAGATTTTCTCTAGCAGGCCCCCTGTAGCTCAGGATCAGCTATGCTTGCTTTATGGTTGCAAAGCAGCTGCCTCCTTTCATACTTCACTAGTGCCATCCTGACTCCTGTATGCATACAGAATTGGCAACTCTTTGTCTTTGCAGCGTGCTTGGCATATAGCATACATGCACATGGCATATTGGTAGAAGCTGTAGCTTTCATGATGAACAGCGCCGAAGAATGGTTGTTAAAGTGGCGATCCTCTGTGTGCGCAGGACTGGGCGAAGAACACGCTGGCGGGCAAGCTGAGCAAGAGCGACAAGCTGGGCGTGGTGGACCACAGCACCGTCAGCTACCCGCCCTTCCGCCGCAGCTTCTACACCGAGACCGGCGCCCTGGCCAGGATGACCGAGGAGGAGGTGGCAGCCTACCGCAAGGAGCTCGAAGACATCAAGGTGACCCTCTTGCCTCCCTCTTTCACCACGGTCTTTGCAGGGGCTCTCATCTTGGGAGATTTGCGTCCTGGCCAGCCCTGTGTGATAGAAAGGCCCTTGCACTAGGACGTGACTGGAGGAAATCTCTTAAAGATGCGCTACCTTTGTTTTAGCATCGAGGCGCTGGTGCATGCATGCTGTGGGCTGCCATCTCCACGAGAGACATGTGCGGTGCTGTTGGAAAGGGACTTACTCATCCAACACAGGTTCTGAATGTAGTGTCATGTATTTGCTGCGCAGGTCCGCGGCAAAGACATACCCACGCCGGTGAAGAACTGGAACCAGTGTGGCCTGAGCAGCCGCGTGCTTGACGTCCTACAGAAGGGCGGCTTTGCGCGGCCAATGCCTATTCAGGCGCAGGCGCTGCCGGCCATCATGAGCGGTCGCGACTGCATCGGCATCGCCAAGACCGGCTCTGGCAAGACGCTCGCCTTCGTGCTGCCCATGCTGCGCCACATCAAGGACCAGGTCAGCCTTTTTTCTCTTTTCTATGTCTGCACGAAAGGGGTGCTCAGTGCTGGTTTACTACACCAATATCCTTCTCTGTGGAACAGTAGCGTCCATGAAAGTGTCGGTCTGCTCCATCCTGTCCTGAATGTTCTGCATGATGTGAGCTACATGGGTCTCTAGCTCAAGCTGTAAAGCCTATTGGAATGTCTGGTGATGATGTGTTGAAAGGCATATTGTCAAATTCGGATCATTGCAAAGCCAGGGATTGATGCGAGTGTCTGTTGCTGCTGCAGCCGCCGCTGGCGCAGGGAGACGGGCCGATATCGCTGGTAATGGCGCCCACGCGCGAGCTGGTGGTGCAGATCGGCAAGGACATCCGCCGCTTCTCCAAGGCCCTCGCCCTCTCCGTCGTCTGCGCCTATGGGGGCTCCGCCGTCGCCGGCCAGATTGCCGACCTCAAGCGCGGCGCCGAGGTGCGCTGCTCTCTCCATCTCTCCTTTGCTTTGCACCTGTTCATACCGTCGCGATACGCGTGCCTTATCTTACTGCAAATGCCAGACTTGATGCGCCAGACTTGCCCTCCTATTGCTGGTCCACGTCCTGCAGATGCATCAGCATTCAAATTTACCTGGCTGCAGCGCCATGTGAAGCGGGGCATGGATTTGTGTGCCGCAGCAATCTTCTTGGTCAATTAAATTACATCAGCTAGACAAGGCGATGTAGGGAGGAGGGGAGCCAGTGATAACACTTTGTCCTTCAGAACAAGGGGAAAAAGTAATTTTGATTTCCAAGATTGTTGTCATGACTGGGTGTGTCCGCCTGTGGTTCAGGTGGTGGTGTGCACACCCGGGCGCATGATTGATCTGCTGGCAACCAGCGGCGGCAAGATCACAAATTTGCGCCGCGTGACGTACCTGGTCATGGACGAGGCGGACCGCATGTTTGACATGGGCTTTGAGCCGCAGATCATGCGCATCGTCCACAACATCCGCCCCGACCGCCAGACCGTCATGTTCTCCGCCACCTTCCCCCGCGCGGTGCGCTTTCCCTTTCATCGTCTCTCCCAGGGGGCACGAAAGACCACTCTTAGTAGTACCGGTGTTGGTAGTAATTTTGGTAATCTTTACTACCTTCTGACTCTCCCTTGCTGCATTGTGCTGCAAGTGTGAGATAGTTGCGCGGCCTTGCCTGCAATGGACTTTATCAGACATGCACTCCGCCAGGGATCAATAGCTTGCATCACTCGTGCTAGCCGGTGCCAGCGTGTGTCATACCATTGGGTTGCAAGTGAGATCCGCTGCAGCAGCAACCATGTTTCAATGCGCTGCTACAACTGGCGGGCGTTGGGCGTTCAATGGCATGACAATGCACGAAGTTGGCTGGCTTGGGTTCAATGTGCGCAGCACCCTCTATCTTGAGCAGCACCGTGCAATTTGCTTGCAAGGGGTATATGGCCAATCGACTTCAAGTCAATTTGCCTTTGTGATCACTTGGCTTGATGAAATATAGATCACAGCCCGTGAGACATGGGGCGATGAATGAAACCAAGGGTTTTTGGCAAAAAACCCATCAGGGTCCATTCGCCTCGCGGCCGCTGCGGGCGCCACTTTTTTATTACAGTGGATATTTTTGTCTCACATTGCACATGCTGCCTGCAGGTGGAGGTGCTGGCGAAGCAGGTGCTGGAGAGCCCGATAGAGATCCAGGTGGGCGGCCGCAGCGTGGTCAACTCGGACATCAGCCAATCGGTGGAGATCCGGCCCGAGGAGGACCGCTTCCTGCGCCTGCTGGAGATCCTGGGGGAGTGGTACGAGCGCGGCAAGATCCTCATCTTCGTCTCCAGCCAGGACCAGTGCGACAACCTCTTCCGAGACCTCATCAAGGTGCGCTCGCTGCATGGCCTCCCGTCACTGCCATTGCGGCAGTCTCCTATGTTTCACCTGTAGAGGGTGTCCCCTTGCACTTTCCCCCCTCGTACGAGTGATAGCAACGGAGGTGTCTTGTGTATTGTGCACCCTCGATGTAGATTGTGAGGCTGCCCTTTCTAGTGCCTGCTTGGCACTCGCAATGCCTTGCATGTCTTGATTTCTATCTCAAATCGGCGCTCCTGCTCATTAGCATTTCTTGTGATTGTGCTCTGGCTGGCCCCTCGCTGGTCCGGCAATGATGCAGGAAGTTTGTGAAATCAGCCATGCTCAGTCGGTGTGGCTTGATGAGTTTTGACATGTCAGATATTTTCAGCAGGCATGTTTGTGGCTACGTTTCCTATCCTATTGTGATTTCCTATCTGTTGAAGCCGCTTCTTGAGAGGCTCCTTGAGAGGCTGCACACACTATTTACAACAGCAGCTATGAGTGTTCTGAGCCCATGTGCAGGTAATGCACAGCAATCTTCCCCTTGCACATCTCTGGAAGCCGAGGCGAGAGTGATTGCAAAGTCGTGGGCTGAATTCTTGCAATCCTGCGTCCAGGTGGGCTACCCGTGCCTGTCGCTGCACGGCGGCAAGGACCAGAGCGACCGTGAATCCACCATCAATGACTTCAAGTCGGACGTGTGCAACCTGCTGGTGGCCACCGGCGTGGCCGCGCGCGGATTGGACGTCAAGGAACTAGTGCTGGTGGTCAACTATGACACCCCCAACCACCATGAGGAATACGTGCACCGCGTCGGCCGCACCGGTGCGCAGTTTTCTCCTGTGTACAAGTCTTCAAGCGGTGGTTGTTTTTCCTGTAGACTTGCGTGGTTTTTCTAGCATTTTTCTAGCTATTAAAGTGGGGTGCAGAATTCTTTCACGGCCGCATGCCCATGTGTATATGGCCCTTCGGGTGGTGTTTTTCTGCTCGACGCCCAGCGAGCAAGATCAAGCCATCTAATATGACCTGGCTTACATGGGCATGCATGTGACCCTGCCAACACAACAGCACTCGGGACATGTGCCTGGTGATTCAGCAGTATCAAACCTGCTTGGGGTGGATGCATGCTCATGTGGCACCTGGGAGATATTTGGATGGCCTCTTGCTGCTCGTCGCCCTGCGAGCACCATCTAGCCATCGGGTTGACAAGGCTTTTATGCATATGCATGCATGTGTGACATGCTGACAGGACCGAAAGCTCATGGCACGGGATGAAACAATTTGCCTGGAACTGTATCAGCCTGAATTAGTGCTGCACATGAGCTGTCATGCTGTCAGTCGTGCTGAACGCAGACATTGAAATGGTCTGATCTGTCCTGTGCAGGCCGCGCGGGCAACAAGGGCACGGCGATAACGTTTATAGCGCCCGACGATGAGAAGTACGCGCCCGACCTGGTCAAGGCGCTGCGCGAGTCGGGCGCGCCGGTGCCCAAGGACCTGCAGGCGCTCGCCGACTCCTTCGCGCTCAAGCGCAAGGCCGGCACGGTGCAGGCGCACGGCAGCGGCTACGGCGGCTCGGGCTTCAAGTTCGACAACGAGGAAGAAGAAGAGCGCAAGGCCCTGCGCAAGGTGCATTCTTTTCTCCCTGCACTGGCCCTTTTCACTCAGTGTTGCTTCCATCCATTTAAGTTCTGTTTTACAGTACCTGTCGTTCCAATTTTTTTGTGCTTGATTGGTAGAGGGTGAGATTTGGGCTGGTAAGTGCATGTAGGGCAGTGTTGAGAAGCGTCACCAGGAGGGGTCTTTTGAGGGGTAGAGGGGGCAGAGACTGGGCGAAAAGAGCATGGATTCTGGGACATTAACTTGGAACTACCCCCTTGGATTTACACTCTTCAGAAGTCTCTGACATGGATCTGTTGTGTGCTGTGCAGCAAACGGCCAACCAGGTGGCCAAGGAGGCGGGCATGTCGAGCGATGAGGAGGAAGCGGACGAGAGCGAGGTGCGCAAGGTCATGCCCGGGGAGGCCGCCGCGGCCGCCCTCGCCGCCGCCAACGCAACCGCCAATGCACTCAACACTGCGGTGCGCACAGTCCCTGCTCGATGTGCACCGTGGAGTCCTGGACCTTTAGGGCACCTGCTAGCAGACAACATATTGTACGACAGGCCATTCTCAGGCAATATCGTTGGGCATGGGATGTCTTGCATCCTTTGTGCCCAGCTTTCTGACTCGAGACTTGTGCAGTCGTAATCTTTATTACCTGGGCGGTGTGTCATGCGCCCTAGCATGCATCAGATCCAATCTGAATTCAGCTCGTGGGCGCTACGACTCACCAGCCAACTTGAGGGAGAGACGCATAATTTGTGTGATTGTGAAAGTCAAACCGCGCTGATGTGTTTGCTGGTGCTGTGCAGGATCTGCCCCCGGAGGCGCAGGCGCGAGTGCGGCATGCGCAGGAGATGGCGGCCAAGCTCATGGCGCAGGCCGCAGCGCAGCCGCAGCAGCCAGTTGCGCAGCCGACCGCCGCAGCGCCCGCCGAGCTCAACCCCATGCTCAGGGCCGCGCAGGAGATTTCGCGCAAGCTCGCCGAAAAGGTGGACCCCCATGCTGCTCCTGCTCTTTTGTGTTGCTACCTCTTGTCAATTGCATACCCACTCTCGGAGTGGTCTCGGTGTTGATGCGCGCTGCTGGGAGCGCTGGTTACTGTCGTGGGAGATGTGCACCTCTGAGTGGGGTGCATGGCAGCGGCAATGCACTTCCAAGACCACTTTGTAGCCTACTTTCTTCGGAGACTTCCCTGTCAAGTTGAAACGCACACTGCTTCCTGGGAACATTGGATACTCTGACTAGGTCACATGGACGAAGCTCCTCCTGTCCTTGAAGAAGCGGCACAGTTCTCTCTTCGTTTAGTACTCTCTGCAGGCAAAATGGCTAGTACAAGGAAGGTTGCTGAATGTATTCGTGTGTGTGTGCAGCATGGCATGCCGGTCACGCCGATGCAGCAGATGCCGGCGTACCCTCAGGCGCCCAGCATGTGGGCCGCACCGGGCAGCCAGCTGCCGGCCGGGCCCCACTTCGAGGCAGAGCTGGAGATCAACGAGTTCCCCCAGCACGCTCGCTGGAAGGTGCGCGACCCTTCCCCCCACCCCCTTTCTACTCTTCTTTTGCAGCTCCTGCATTCTCCTACTTCTTGCCTTTTGTCCTGGTCATGGACTAATCTCTGCCTAGCTGTGTCCCGGCAGGCTTCCATGCTCTATTGCCTGTTGAGTGTGTGGTTCATTGAGTTGCATGGTGATACTGAGGAGATGCCACACGTGTTCTGCTGTGCCGAGCCGTCATGTTCGGGCCTGTACCGAAGAGGATGGTGACATTAGATTTGAATGAGTCCAATTTTGGCTGTGCAGTCTCCAACATGTGCTGGCATGTGCGCGCAGGTGACGCACCGCGACACGATAGCGCAGCTGAACGAGTTGACGGGCGCGGCGGTGACGACCAAGGGCTTCTACGTGGCGCCCAACCAGCAGCCGCCGGAGGGCGAGCGCAAGCTCTACCTGCTCATCGAGGGCCCCACCGAGGCCAAGGTCCGCGAGGCAAAGGCCGAGATCAAACGCATCCTCGAGGAGTTCACCGAGAAGGCCATGCGCCGCGACGCCGCCCCCCAGCCGGGGAGATACACCGTCACCTGACCGGGGAAATGATGCGATTCCCGACCCCATCCCACGGCGTCTGCTCTTTCGCATGGAGGAGCTATACGTACCTTTGCGGAGCTTCCTGGAGCTTCTCTTGGATGGCACGCGGCGGAGCATTGTGCGGCAGCAGCTGCGAAGCTTCAGAGGAGGCCAGATGCGACGGAGGGCGGAGATTTGGAGGGGATATGTCCTCCGGAAACCATGCATGCAGTTTTGCCCTGTCGCGCCCTGCAGTCGTTGCCCCCCTGCTAGATTGGGAGCAGGGCTGACTGGGTGGAGGTGTGTGCCTCACAGGAGGGCTGCCCCTGGCACCTGCCGTCCGCGAACTGCAGGGGACTTGACCACACCCCCTCCGGGCGAATGCCCGGCCACCCAAGCGCCCATGCAGTATGTGGCTTGCTTTTGGTATGCCTTTGCATGTCCACAGCCTCTGCAAATCTGGCAGCCTGACCGTCCCACTATTGTGCTCATGTTCTCATCAAGAGCAGCAGGCTCTGGGATGGTAAAGGTCGCTTTTGGGGCTCTGTGATTGCACATGCGGCAGGGAAATAACTGCCCGGGGAGCAGAACCTGCAGCAACTGCACCGCTGCCGCGCAAGCTCGGCATCGCTCATTTCACAAAGTGAGTTCCAACATCCTGCCCAAGATGACATTGAAGGCTATGTAATGTTTGTGTTGTGAGACGACTCTGCCTCCCGCAAAGAGGTCTGAAGTTGTCAGGCTGCAGCGCAGAGGAGAGGCCGGCCCTTACCCATGCTGCCTGTCCCAACAGCATGAAGGGAGGCTTTACCACCGGCCGTCCCAAGGTGTGGCGAGCAGACTCTACCCAGCAACTGGCACTAATCAAGGCACCAGTGAGGATGCTTGCCTGACCACTTGGCCTGTACCTTGTATCTGCCTTGGAGCTTGTAGTGAAGAAAGCTGGCTCTTCAAGCAGCATCCTCACATTGTGTTAGCTGTGATGGATGGCAGCGCAGGTCCTTGCAGCCTCCATTCTTGCGAGGCTGGACAGCTTGATGAAGGGGCCTTTGCACCGGATCACAGCCGGCTGAAACGCAGTTTTTGAAGGGACGTCCAAAATTGTGAGCATGGGAAACGATTGCGATGTAGATAAGGACCCGGATCTATTGTGGCGGTTGATGCCAACTTATTTGTGGACATTCAGAATGCTTGCTTTCTTGCTTGCTGCTTGCGCAAGTGTGCGCCAGGCTATAATGGGTGAACTCATTATGTTTGTGCCCGGTAATATATATTTCTGCAGTTCACTTTACATTCTGAGCAGGACATAGTTCACCATGCACACCTTGGCCCAGCAAAATTCATTAAGCAGCTCATACCAACAAGCAAGAAACTGCATGCACGTGCACAGTGTAGTCTGCTTGACAAAGGGACCGATTGACTCTCAGAGTAGTCTTAAGAGCTTGAGTCCCACTGGGAACTTGTGACTACATTGCATGCATATGCCAATTGTGCAGGCTTGCAAGCACTGCGCATGACGTTCATGGTAATGCCAAGTTATGCTCATCAAGAAGAGAAACAAAACATCTGAGCATGGCAAACACCTGTGCATGTTAAATGGCACCAAACTCATGTGCATGCAAAAGCCAAAATGGCAAAAGTTAAGAAAGGATCCATGGAGCATCCATCACATTGCAGGGTGCCCATCAGGATGGTTTCTCTTCCTCCCTCACGGGATCAAGGCTCAGGCCTGACACGTCAGCTGACACATCAGCGGGTCCCTCGCCCTCAAGGGTGAATGTCTCGTCCTGCCACTCTGCACCCAGCTCAGACAGCTTGATGTGCGCCGCAGTGTAGTCCTTGAAGAAGGCGTCCTGATCCTGCTCGTACTTCTCTGCAAACGGCCTGCAGCACACAGCAACCCCTCGCCTCTGTCGTCCATTAGATGCTTGCAATCGGCAGATTTCAGCATGCTGAGAGCATGCACAGAACTGCTCAGCTCTCTTGTTGACTGCCAGATCCGATGGCATGGGTCATTAATCACTGCAGAGAAATGATCACTTGGCTATGCGTTGCTGTGGGTTCGCACTCAGGAAATTCGATCATGTAGAGTATAGCACAGCACAGCATGGCCCAGCCCAATGACAGCGCATCACAGCAAACCACAGCACAGGTGATCAGGTGTATGAAAAGAACACACCTGAAGCCAGGGTCTTTGAAGAGGACGTCGTCTGTCTCGAGGACCACCAGATCTGGATCATCCTGCGCCTTCACCTTCTGCACAGCACAGGAAAGCACATGCTAAGATCTCCTCCACAGCCAGATGAACCAGTTAGCAGGCTGCAGTGCTGCCGGCTCCCTGGCGCGGAAAATGGTGCACAGGGTTGAAAGTAGAGGCAACAGAGGTCAGTGGCATGTGATAGCACGTCGGGGCATACAAGACACAACAAGTCAAATGGCGTAACAGCTCCCCTTAAGCCCAATAGCGCCATATGGGGGGTGCTCTTGGTGGCTCCTACAAGGGTTTGACAGGAGACCTAGAAAATCTCAGGCCAGCCCCCAAGTAGGGCAAGGGCGGGTGGAAGCTTCGCCCCCGCCCGCCATGGTGTTAGTAATTGAAACTTCGGGGCTTCCCTGAGGTTCCAAATATTCCTCAACAGGTACATGCATGCTTTCCCTTGAATTTGGCCTCCAAGTGGTTCAAGTTGCCTGAAATGTCTAGGGTGCCCCTGTGTCACAGCCATATGGCTTTGGGGCGTTGCCCTGACGCCAATTTGCCACATTTGAATCTATTCCCTAGCCCTGGCCCAGGTCGGCCAATCCCTTGGGGGCTGTTAATTTGGCCAGGGTTTGACAGTGTCAAAAACCCTGGCCCCTACCCCGTGCGACTTGTGTGCCCTGACCCGTCACAACCTTATGCAACAACATGCCATCTGAGTATTTTTGCTTTGGGACTCAAAACCTAGAAGGTGGCATGGAGTTGGCAGCAGCTGCCGGGCGGCCACCTGGAAGTAAGTGTTGTCGAAGGTGAGCCAGTCGGGGGTCCAGGGGGATCCGCCGGGGGCGCCGGGGCCGTCGCGCGTGTACTTGGTCACCGGCTTACCGAAGCCGCTGCGCTCCGGGTGGCAGCGGCCCAGCGTCTGGCCGCCTGTTCTGGCGCGCAGGGCAGCCCACAATCACTCAGTCTCACTGTCACCAGTTTAAGGCACAAAATTCTGGCATTGCTTTTTAAGTGGAGTCTGTCCACATGGGCTCTCGCCATGCGGAATGCTTGTGGGAAAGACGGGGATGCTGGTCACTCCGTCAGGATCAAAGGAGTCCAACAAGAGTCTGAGGAGTGTAAGCACTGAAGTGCTTGGTGCAACAAAATATCATGTCCTTACTTTTGGCTAGATTACTGCACAATGACACTCAAAGGCGAGCTGCGTCCAAAAACACCATAAACCTCCATGATGCAGCCCTACTACATGTCCACCCCAAATTCACCATATTCTGGGCAGATATGTCATGAGTGCTGGCTCCCAGGAATTGTGTGCTGCCCCAAAGCTTGCTTGCAGGCAACCTCAACAAGCTGGCATCCAGCTCCAGTACCAAGCTAAGTCACATGGAGCGCCAATTTTGCTGCGGCATGACACCCCGTGTGACCTCTTCTAGGCAGGAGCTGTACACCAGCTGCATTGTGGAAGGTCCCTCTCTACTACTCCTGTTCTTGTTATTATCAGATGCACTTTGTGCCAGAAGGCAAAGTGCATCTGAAGACAGGCTGCAGTGGAACGCTGCCAAAATTCCCGCCCCGGGCAAGCAGGACCCTCATAAGGGTAAACAATTTATGACAAACACCTCTCTTTATAGGGTAAGTGAGGTACGATAAATACCTGACAGCACCACAATCTCCTGGTCGTTGAGGCCCATGCGGTGGAAGATGTTGCGCAGATGCTCCGCAGGCCCGGGGGCCCCGTCATGCCAGGGCGGTCCCCCCGCTGCAGTGCACCAATACAAGCAGCCTTAGCATGCATGCAGATACTGTCCCCTTTAGGTTCAAGCATGGCACGTTCAAGCCGGCTTAGGTTGTGTATGCGAGGTGGCTGGTTGCAAGGCAAATAACTAAATGCCCTGATGGTGTACTTGCCCTGATGTTGCACTTGACAAAGTCAATCTGCATGCCTGCTGATCGAGCCCACTAGCTTGGTTGACATTTCAGCAGTTGCCAAATGTGCAGGGCAGTGTGCTGCAGGGCAAGCAGTACTGTCCCCTGCGGGCTTTAGTTCAAGCGTGACTAAGACTGATCATATCAGATAGCTGGGTGCAAGGCAAGGCAAAGCTCATAATGATGTACTGATGATGTATGGAGATGTCCTGATGATGGACCGAGAGAGACAAATTGTGATGAGCAGATGGGAACTAGAGTGGTACGCACATGAACCTTATATCCCGTGGGAAATGTCTTAATATTCCAGCCTACATTGCTATGTGAAGTTGCTCGTGCTCCGAATTGCCCAGCATCAATTCAATATTTTGATTTGGATTTGGGCCGGCTACAAATCACTGACACACTTTGGCGAGCACCTCTGTAGTAGTGGGCGTACTAATGACTGCCATGGTATTTGTGTCACCTGCAACTGGCGCTTGTTCACTGTTTAGACGCCTGTCAAGGTTGCAGGATGGAGACAGGGATGCATGGCCCTGAGAAAGGCCGGAGGTTCTCAGGAAAATCACTCCAATCCCAATTTTTGCAAGCTTCAGCCATCATTGATCCTCGGTGCACTGACTGGCAATACAGCAGTCTGAATAGGCTGGAAAGTTTCACAGCTGGGAAGGGAAGGTGAAAGAGTCATCTTACAAGGCAGACGGCCGATTGGGATTGGGCTTTCTGGCCCTGGGGCATCCTTGCGGCCGTAGCGCAGTGAGATGTGGGGCCCTCCTGACATCTGTTGCCACAAGAGCAATTTTATTTTCAACGAATGATTAGAAGGAAGACCTGATATCACCCGTGACCAGGTGCCTCGGAAGGGCATGCCCAACGAAGGTCACCTGCACAAAGCATGCTAACACCATTTTGACTCTTCTGGCCGTAGCACACCTCAAGGAGGTGCTGCATGACTTGGATAAGGATTCAATGTGTTGAACACATTGCAGAGGAGCAGCAGCAGCAGGGAATGCAGGAGGAAATGAGCAGGGGACTATGGCACACTGACGTGTCTTCTAGTGTAAAGCTCACCTCGATGGCAGTGACAGAGGCCATCTGGTACAGATCAGCATAGGAGACGCCCTCATACTTGTCTGCGATCGGCTGAAGCAGGTTCACAGCAATGTCCAGGCCTACACAGAACATGCACTTACTCAAATAGGAGATCACCTTAGTGCGCTGCATGGAGATGTGGTGCAAGTGAAGCCGCCCATGTGCCCACAGACACTGCAGGCTTGCGCATTCCTTAGGGCATTGCAGGATAGCAGGCCACCCATATGATGGCAAAGCGCAGAGAATTGGCCTTAAGAGGACAGAGCCTGACCCTTGTTGACCTTGTGATGGAGTTCTGGTTCTAGGCGAATGGAAGCATTTGCCCCGCCGCGCTCTGGAAAACCTGAAATGTCCTGCGAGCAAACGTCAGTATATGCGATCGATCATGTGGTCATGCACTCTTTGACGCACTCATTCTCATTCTCATTCTCATTCTCTGCCAGGCATGCTTGCAACGGCATGCTGAGCAGCTTGCGGGGCTGCAGATGCCGTTGCACAGTCATACCTTGTCATGCGTGCCGCTATCGTGCCACGCGAGCCGCACAATGATTGGATTGCAAAACTTCTCAGAAATCAGCTTTCTAACGTCTTGCCTTGCAAGCTCCAGCTGGTCTTTCCTAGTGGTTCTACAGTGCGCAGCGGCATTGGCCGATGGTGACTCATCAAGCTGGCTCCCGGTAGACGTAGAATCCGCCATTGAACATCTGACGGTCCCCAAAGTGCTCTGAAAACGTTTCCAACAGTAAGTTCTCACCAATCAATCGTTGAGTGAACCGGACAGCTCTGAGCATGCCACGACCGGACTGTGCCCTGTTGTACAGCCGCCCTGTAAACCCTGGGAAAGCGAGCTGTTGCGACAAGTTGCTGCTTGGGCACTATGTTCGGAGCATCTCATCGGATGCCAAGATCAGATGTATTCATGCAGGAAGGAGTTCGCTTCCAAGAAACAAGCCTTGTTGGATTTGATGACGTCATCCCCACAGATGTCTCTCATCCAAAGCAAAAGGAAGTGGAAGAGAGAATGCAGAATTGAGGCGACTTGCATTGAGGCATGCTAGCAACACAGGTATGTATTTGGCAGTGCATAAAATACCACATCCCAGATAGTCCCAGGCATTTGATTCTTTACAGAGACCATGTTCAAACCAAATTTGGTGCCAAGCCACAGCAGATCCTAGCAAGTCCAGCACGTTACACGCGCATTGCAGAAAATATTGGAAGTGATCAACTTTGGCATGGTCAATGGTAAGCTCAATTTTCCAAGACGCGCTGACACCCAAAATGGTGGTGCAGGTTCTCAAGAAATGGCGATCCAAATATTGGGCACATGCATAATCCGACATCAGAGACCAGATGCAAATTGCGCACATTATGCTTGTGGACAACGCAAAATAGAAACTATAAGAATCCATGTCTGTACATCCTAATTCTGATGCTGCAAGACAACATCCTAGATTGACAGATGTGGCAGAAAGGTGGCAGAACCCGCCAATGCCTGAGGCAATGCCCTGTATTCAGTATACTTTCTATGCCCACATCGATGCTGCTCTGTTGACTATGCACACACTCCCTAAATACTGCCTCCTGTAATATGGCGACATTCTCATGAGCAGCCAAGAAGGATGCTGCTCACGCAATATCGGTAGTTGCACCACAGGACTAGCCGATGAGTGCACATCACGCTGCCAATGTGACACCGTTCAAACGTGCATCCAGGCATGTCCCTCTAGAAGGTGCTGCTTCAGAGCGCGAACTCAATCGGTGAAGGATCCCACTCGACTCCCAGCTCTGACAGCTTGGCATGCGCCTTGGCATAGTCAGCAAAGAAAGCATCCTGGTCGGCTGCGTACTTCTCTGCGAACGGCCTGCGCATAAGAAAGATGCCCTGTCAGCACGATACAGCACACCTGATTGGCACAGTACAGCACAGAATGACCCAGGCCTTTGCCAGGTCACAGCGCCAGACAATCAGCAGTTCTGCTCATGGCAGACGCCTGCTCCAGCAGCCATCTTTGCACACAGTGCATCACTATATAACAATGTGAGAGAGCGCACTTCCTCACGCATGCAGCAAGGAGCACGCTCAGATTCAAGCATGCGTGCAGTGAACGCTCGTGTGCATCAATGTGTGTAGGCTCATAATGTGCGGCTCAAGAACTTTAGGGCCTGGTGTTCTCACCTGAAGCCCTCGTCCTTGAAGAGGACATCGTCAGTCTCCAGAACCAGCAGCTCCGAGTCAAACTGATCCTTGATGTACTTGTAGTACGAGTTGTCAAACACCAGCCTGCACCCGATCACATAATCACAGGTCAACTAACAGCAAAACAGATTGCAACTATCGGACATTCTACCACCATCCTGCCGCCACAACTAGTGTGCCAAAGCTGTCATTCATGCATGAAATGCATCAATGCCAATTTAATCACCCGAGAGCCAAACGCAAGGTCCTCGACATGTGTACAATGCGAGATGCTTTCCAGGGCATCAACATCTCGATGTCATGTTGAGAAGCTGAGAAACCTGCATATGACAAGACTAAAGAACTTTGCTGCTCAGAAGTGCATGCTTGAACATATTCGTCCCTTGTCATTGAACGCTTTCCAAGGCTACAGTTCTTATCAGAGCGGGTGCGCACCACTCAGGCGTCCAGCTGGAGCCTCCCTTGGTGCCGGGGCCGTCCTTGGTGTACTTTGTGGACTCCTTGCCAAAGCCACTGCGGTTGGGGTACGCACGGCCGACCGTGTGGGCACCTACACACCACATGCACCCCTGAGCATGCATGTTGCACATCTGCTCCACTGCTGCAATATTCTGATCAGCTCACACGCACCATATCAGGCAATGCTGCTACAGGCGTGTAGCAACAGAGATACAAAATCGCCACGAGCTGCAGCAAGAAGCACTGAATATTCCCATAACCCTACCCTACATCAGGCAATGCAGTTACAAAGGCTGCAGTAAACAGGCACTGAGGTTCCCCATGGCCCCAGCTGACAGCAGGATAGAAAATATGTGAAGAATAAGGAACTCCCGTCCCTGCCACATGCATCAGTGCAACAGCTATCGAGATAATTATTGCTTATGGGCATCAGCCGGATTGTGGGTCCCATCCTGCAACATGCATCACTACTGCAGCTCTCGAGAGGTTGCAGATGGGTGTCAGCTGAAGCTGTGGGTCTCATCTCCACTGTACGCATCACTCCATCTCTGCCACGTGCATGGCTGCAACAGCTCTTTAGAGATTGTACATTGCACGGTAAAGTTGTGGGCTCACCGCTCAGCGCGACAATCTCCTGGTCGTTGAGGCCCATGCGGTAAAACACCTTGCGCAAGTGGTCGCCAGGGCCGGGCTCGTTGTTGGGCCAGGGAGCGCCTCCAGCTGCACGCAGCCACACGATTACCCATCACTCTCTATTACCCCTTGCACAATGCGGTATACAGACACCACTCCAACGCCGTGCTGCTTTAGTTCAGTGTAACTGAACCAGCACAGGACAGCCATACAATACCAGTGAAGTCGCGTCGAGCGAAAGCTTGTACATGCATAGTCTTAACGCAGGGGAGAATGCATACATGAAAGTCAGCGGCGAAGCAGGGATGGGTTGCCTGGTTGTGTAGCAGGAGTGCATCGGCAGTGCAATATTCTTCGGGCCAGAAGCACTACCGTAATGATCACAGAACATACATCATGTGCTTGTCCCGCCCCTAAGGATGATGTTGTTTGACATCTAATTTGGCCCAAGCAGCCAGCGCTTTTAGCATTTTTGGAGGAGAGATCAGAAGCTGCACACCTGGCAGGTTGCCCTCGGGCTGCACGCTCTCGGGGCCCTGGGCATCCTTGCGGCCAAAGCGCATGGGGATGGTCGGGCCGCCAGCATCCTGTGGGGGGAAAATAACAGCTGTCAGAATAATACCCAGTGGCACGCGCTGCACGCACTTAACTTGCCATGCCTGCACTACTAACAGGAGCTACTGAAGCCCAGGGACTACACTGATGACAGCTGATGTATTCAAGGTGCCACATATACAGTAGTGAAGTGGCTGGTTATGGGTGGGACAAGCATGCAGGAGAAGGCGGAGATGCACCTTCACGGCCATTGCTGATGCCATTTGGAAGAGATCGGCGTAAGACACTCCCTCGTACTTGTCTGCAATCTCCTGGAGGAGGTTGCAAGCGTTGACCAGACCTAGACAGACACATCAGGCAACCTTCAGGATCAGTTTGCATGATCAGAATAGATGTAACAAATCGTTCTTCTATGCTACCTCAAGAAGTCGTTTCAAGGGAAGATTACCGAGAACCACGCACCTGCGTTTGCTCCGTGGTTGATCTCAGGGTAGAAACGAATGGAGCCGTTTGCTCCTCCACGGTTGGGGAACTCCTTGACATCCTGCACCAATGAAGAACGTGTTAAGCGAGAAATACATATCAGCAAGCTCTGCAGCGAGCCACCCGCTCTCGCCCCCAACTCACGCGCTTTCATCTTCACACGATCGCAAATATCATCGATCTCCGGGTCGTCCCTCAACAAGACATTCATACACAAATCAATTGGCAAAAGTAGTAATCGAATTCCAACATTCAACAAAAGGAACTTGTGAAGTCAGGCGCAAATACTAGCCTATGACAACTGGAGACCAAAGTGCCTCAGCAGGCTCACAGGGCACGGCTGAAAACGTTCCAGTGCCTCGAACAAGGCTAAAGGCAGCACTCTTGCCACTGCAGGAGGCATGCGAAAGATTGTTTCTCTCTGATGACCTCTTACGTCATTCCACTATCTAATAAGGTGCTGAAGGCGGCACGAGCTGACAGAGATGAGTTGTTCTCACCTTGTTGTAGGTGCCAGCATCATGCCATGCCAACCTGTGCACATACATGCAACTGTCAGTAAACCACAGAGATGAGGGGTGACATCCACGACTTTACAACAGAACTCCAAAAACGTGCTCCTAGTTTACGACAGCATGGAACCTGAAGAAAATTCGGCATGAAAATGCAAACAATACCTGATCAAGATTGGGTGGCATCTCTTCTCGCTAATGAGCTTCTCCAAATCCCCCTTGGCCTGCTCCAAGCCCTCCTTCTTTGTGCGCCTCACTGCCTCTGCCATCACGGATGGTCTCCGAGAAATAGAAAGTCGAAGCTTTCGCTGTTTTTCTCCCCGGAACAGTACCGATGAACCCAGTACTCGCGAGCTGTGCAGGTGTGTGCTGTAGATCATGATTGATGTCTCTCTTTTGGGGACGTGCCTCTTTCTAGCCTCTTCTATACCGTATTACGGTCTCCACCCTCGAGGGTTTCAGATGAAAGGGTGGTTGGACCCCAGCTGCAGCCCTCTCCAGTCTCGGATCGGGAGAAGATTCTATAAAACCTTGGCTCTCGATGCAAAATCGCACGAAAACACTCAAGCGGCATTTGCTCTGTACTGATATTCCGATCTTTCTTTGTTTACGTTGTATGCACGCGCAGGGCGAGGTTTCCTAAGCACTGAAAGTTCGTCATGCGCGCGATTGTGTCCAAAGGGATGGACTTAAGAAATTCACCGAAGAGTGCGTCGTCCGGGACATCTCCCAGGGATGTTCTGGTGAGCATGCAAGCCAGATGTGAAACGCTCTGAAACTTGGAGCGTTCCGATGCTAACGTTTTGGAAATTCGCAGCTCGCAAAGGTGTTGACCATTCGAAAGCTTCTAGATTGGGCCCCCTTGATCATAACGACGGCGCTGGGAAGCGATTACCTTCATCTGGCCCTCATTCTGGCAACAGCCATCAGCGCGGGCAACATAGTCCTGGACGGCCTCTTCCGTTGGTGGAAAATAATCAAGGTTAGCTTTTTCTCACCCTAATGCCAGGTTGAGCTGCGAAAATAAACTCAAGCTTGCGCTCTGTCCTCCAGCTGCTAATATGAGCGTCACGGTACCTGTACCAGGTCTGGCCTAAGTACCTGGACGTATGCTTCTTCATCACGTTTGGCGTGACACTGATCCTCGCCTATACCATCCCAGATTCCTTTGTGAGACGATGGCTCCAAGTGATCACCATGGGTGGCATCACAGTGCTGATCACGGTGAGCACATGGGCAATTGCAGCCAGGGATGTATTGTGCCGCTCTCGAGGAAGTTTCTGCACTTGATCTACAGGACATCTGATGAAGCTCTGTTGCAGCATGTTCGATGTCCATCATGCACTCTCTGAGCGGTTGATGAGATGTGCAGCTGGGCTTCCTTATTGGTCATCCTTTCACGAGGGATATTGCCAAGGAGAATGTGCCGGAGGAATTCTGGGGTCAGCCTGTGTTCAAAAGGACCAATGTCCTCATGACCAGCCTTTGGATCGTCATTTTCCTCATCATGACTGTTTCCTACGTGGTGAGACCCCCTTGAAGAATGCTGCATATTCTTGAGCATGCCTTCCGCATCTTTACAGCTGTCTTGCTGATTTTCGAAACAGCATCACATAAGTTTGCAGCCATGAGGTCATGTTGCTGTTGGTCTGCGCAGATTGTGGCCGCCACGAATGCTAATGGGAAACATGACAATGGATTGTTCATTGCCTTCAACTACGTGGTTCCACTCAGCTTCCTCTTTGCCGGCCTGATCTTCTCAAAATGGTGCGCTATACTCCTTTTCTGCTATCTCTCAACGACGATGCCAGATCACCTACTGCATCCTGCTGTAGCAACCTTGTCTTTCAATGCGTGGTCTCACTACACATGCTCTTCTCAAGAACTCAGCCTGCATGCCAGCGGCGGAGCATGCACTAGGCCTGCACACTGACCAATCAAATTTCAGACGAGGTCCTAAGAATGACGCTCATTGAGTTGAATGACCTGACATGGGGTTATGTCGAATTCAAACTCAGTTAATTTCCTGCTCCTCTTCAGGTACCCTGGGCACGTCAGGCAGAAGCAGAGAGCAATGGCCAGCCCGCAGGTTGCACAGCAGCAGACCACACCATCAAGCAACACCGCCTTCAAATCTGATCTCTACAGTACCACTCGCATCTGATGTCACCACAGAGATGGGAGCTGCGATGTATTATCAATGGATGGGAAGACGTGGCAAGGAAGTGGATGCCAATCAGAATTGGAGGTGAATGCTCCGGAGCTTCAGAATACAAGGTCCAACTGCAACTGGGCTGTGTAAGTCGAGCCCTATCCTGAGATCCCTAATAACATTTCAAGGCACCCTGTGTGGTGGAAGGGGAGATTGTCTGCATTACAATTCAGCACTGGAATATACTGTTGAAGGGAGTCCTCATTTTGGATTCTGAAATTGACACTGAAGTGGCCGTTCGTTGCAGAAAGCTCCGCACTGTTTCAATTTTGGCTGTGTTTTTGCGAACCTGGAAATTTATTTGATGCTTTGATGTTGTCATGTGCGCAAGAGTGTTGTTCCTGCCATCAGCTGGAGGCTAGTGGTGAGCATTGCAATGTACTGAGACAGGACAGTATACAAAGTCCTCTGTCGTCATTTTCTGGTGAGCAATTGGACATGTACAACACACCCTTCTGTGGGCAGGAGTGGGTATACCTGACAGTGCAAATCAGTCTTATTTAGAAATTTTGCACCCCTCCGAACTCGAGAATTGGAAGATATCTGACACTACAATGGTTGCTTGAGCTCTTGTGACAATAATGTTTAATTTTGCGATTCGGCTAGAAGGCCTTCTGTACATTGCGCACATGCACAGGGTGTGTCTTCCTTGGCTTTGCAGCAGGTCTATCAGAAGCAGTATTTTTGGAAGTGGTAGCAAAATAAGTGTGCCTGTTGAAAATCATGGATTTGGAAAATTGTACTGTCACTGCACTTCAGCTGCTGAAGATAAGGTGGTGAATTTTACATTTTGGCGGAGTTCTGACTTCCCGACCAACACAATTTCAGAGTCAGTTTGTCTGGGGCATGCTTTGCCCAGATCTCTAGAGGCATCCGGTGAATAGTCAAGCAGGGAGCCATCCAAGGGCTGGGTAGTCTATGGACTTTTGTAATTGGAATTTTGTGAGGCAAATGCCATTCAAGCGCGCATTATACAGAATTTGCTGCCAAGCTCGTCATGTTTTCTCAGTGCAGGCTCATGCATACGCAGGCTGACAAGATAGTCACCTTTTCACGTTGATGGGATCCATATGTCTGTTATACAGCCTCTGTATGGCATCTACGTCCCAGGCCAATACAAGCAGCAGCTGCAGCTATTCAGAATCAAGATCTGGGGATGTAGACTTGCATGTAACATGCTGAGCCACTGTCTTGGACAGCCCTTGTTCTGCTGACAAATCCATCAGACGAGCATTAATCCAATCGTGCCAATCTATAGGGCAGCAAGCATTAAGAGCTGCTTCCCTGCGCGTCACATAAACCACAACTGAGACAATTGCGCGTGTGCCGGGCCAGTACACAGGGCCTTTCCAGCAGTTCAGATACAGACTCAATCAAGGAAAAGATCTCCTTCTGGGCATGCATGTGGCTCTCTAAAATGAGAACAGGGAAGAAAGGATACTTCCCCTGCAGATGAGAAACATGACTCACCAAGGAGGGACCCGCCAACAGCAGACTCAGACTCATTGAGGACACCCTCTTCATTTACCTCCTCAAAGCCGCACATTCTGTACAATGCAAGGGCTGCCTGCGCACATACAGTGCAGTGAGCTTCTGGTGAGCAGATCATGCGCATGCAGCTTCCCAAGTGCTTTACGGCATCTTCTTGCACATGCGAAGTGTAGTGCACGAAGCCATATCCAGTGGTGCAATCTCTGTGTGCCCATTGCAGATTGAACAATCCTGTGTTTGTGTCGTGCCTCATTTTGAGCGGACACATGGGTGCACATGCTGCCGGAGCCCCACTGCTCCTTGGCCAGCTTCCCGGCAGCTGCCATCAGCGCCCGGCCAATCCCTCGCTTCCGGTGCTTCTGGGACACCACCACGTTCAGCAGGTACGTGGCCCCCTGCCAAATAAAATAAGCACTTCATGGACAATCCGCATCTTGCATGAAGCAACGAGCTCTCATGTCTATCCAGGACACCTTTCCTGCCGTCTGCTTATGGTATAGGAACTTACCTAGCAGGGGCAACAGGGGCAACTTGTCCTGAGATCTTTTTGACCATCACAAGGTGCCATGGTGATGTGGGGTGTTTACAGAGACTAGACACTAGACACTAGGCACTGGCTGTCTGCAGTTCAATGCTTGGAGCAACAGCGATCCTCACACCTCCAGGGTTTTACACCCCAGGGGGGTGCCCACGGGATTGGCATATGCTCCAAGATTTTGTGGTCTAGGACAGGACTCTGATCCGATTGGAATCTTTGGCCACACTGACTGCCACAATTGCTGGGCAGATCGTGATACCTGGGATGCCCTGGTATCACGATCTTGCCCTGAGGCATAAAGAAGGTAGTCCGCTGAGGCACTGTCAAAGCTTGCACACCTCTGGTATATGCCGGTGCTTGGGCGTGGGTGGTCCTGGGGGCTCTGCATCCAGGGTGCCCATGACAGTCCCACTGTCCCCCTCCTCCTCCACAGCAACCAAGCAGACACACTCTGGCGTGTCACTGCCAGGCCGGCAGCGTATCCTTTCCTTCAGGGACCGGGCTTCCTGCTCTTTGAACTGCCTCTTGAATGACCCCACATACCTAAGGTGGGGTTGGTCCTGCAGTAGGCACAAGATAGCCTTCGTTATAGGCGGGTCACATTGGCTGTAACTGCGCAATAGGGACGAACAGATATCTACCTCATAGTACGCCTCTGCTCGGAGCCAGGCAACCTCATCCAGTTCTGAAGGCTCCACAGGCCTTATAAGGACCCCACTGCTAGCCACTGATCGATCAGGGCTGAGCCTTTCCGATGTGTCACTCTGTGTTGCAACATCGTTCTGTGTCAAATGTGCGACGCTCTGGCATCGGATGGCTGACCGCCTTGAGCAGGCATTGCAGATCAGGTCAACTTCGGGTTTCTTCTCGATTTGCCACCCTCTTTCGGACGGAATCAAATTTCTCCTGAAGCTGCATAGTTTATTGTCGCTGAACGTGCGAAATTGATTCGTCAGTGTACTCCCACATGGCATAAGAAGCCCCATAGCTTGTTCTACTGCTGTCTAGTCGATCTGGATCTGTGTGGAAAGGTATGCTTTTAAACGTGCAAGATGCTGCTTTAATCCAATATTATGCGATACAGAGATCAAATTTAAAAGTTCTGCTCTAAGCGAGGGTTCAAACACGAGATTTGTCCTGGCATGCGAATTTGAATGAGATCAAGATCTGCATGTCCTAAATAGGATATAGCACAAGTTTCAATCCCCCAGGTTTAGCAGTGTGTACAGAAACTGTCAAAGGCTGACTCACAGCGCGGGCAGTGCTGGCACCAGCTGCTGAAGTCAACAGCCACCGCCTCAGAGACACTGTGTCTTTACCCGCAGCAATCGACAAAGTGCCTTGCATGCATTGTACTACTCTGCAACAATTTACTTTATGCATGCACTACTCATAGACTCCGTGCACCAATACCGCTGTTAACTTCCTTAGAAGCTGAGGAGCTTGCTCAGTGAGGCTTGATAAAAAATTTTAACTTGACCGCCAGTCGACTGCACAGTGCAGCTTCCTGGAATCCATGAGTGACCATGGCAATGCATAGGCGTCATGAACTGGTCAATGAATGCAGATGCAACTGCTGCACGCATTGTGCACAATGCTGCGCTGTTTAGCGCGCATGAGTCACATTATCGGATACCATTCATGTACTACATTCAGCAACTGCCTCGGATGAGACTCACATGTACAGCTTCATGCGAGGATGATTCCAATTTGGTTGCACCTGTACGCCCCAGTACGCGGAGCACAGAAGTACCACAAGGCCCTGAGCACCCAATGTTGCTAGCGCCAGTACATCACTGCGCCCTCCCAGTACGAGTACTTAAGTACTAACTTCATGAAAATAGGAGCACTGGTGATACCCAGCCTCCGAGGGACCAGGTGTCATCGCCCCTGCAGTGTAGTTGGGGGGCCATCGAGGCTGCGGTCAAAGTGCACACTGTGGCGCCTTGAAGTTCCCGACCCCTGCTCAGGCTGATCCCTGGAGCCATGCTTGAGCGCTGACGGCACAGCTGGGTGCTGCACAACCTCCCTCGCCAGCATGCTCACCTTTGGCTTCGAGGCAAAGCTCGAGGCAAAGCTCCTGCCCACGGCCCTGATGCTGCCTGCGCAGAGAATCTCTTTCTATCACTTCCACTAATAAAAGTAGCATGCTCATCCACACTTCTACCTTCAGCCAGTCACCATGCACCTTCATCAACAGTCACTGGACCAACTCCCACAGGTACCCAAAATTGTTTGCCCTGCTACTCCTTCAGTCACGTGTGCATGTGGTGGGCAACCAGATCACATGACGGTGGTGTGATATAACCAATCTTTCGGTGCTAGGGAGCATGAAATAGGTGAAATACAGTACGTAGGAACAGGAGGTAGTCACATGCACATGATGTCCGTGGGGGTTTTGCAAAACTAAGCGGAGCATCTAGGGGGGAAGGAAAGAATGCACACCTGAGACCTGCTGGATGCTCTGTCGCCGAATGATGGCTGAGAAAGTGGCCCTCCTCGCCTCCTGCTTCCGCGGGCCGCCGCTGCCTCCGTAGTGACCAGGGTCAGCCATGCTCATGCGCCGGTGAGTAAGGGTGACACTATCGACCCTCTGCAACAACACTCTGTCAGTTATTATACATTGCTCCCAGCCATAATAGGATGGCCAATGCCTGCCTCTGATTTTTGGAGTCAGCGCCAGCAAAGCCGCCCGGTGTTGTTGCAGCAACAGGCTTGCACGGCAGCTACTGCTCAGGAAGGCGCTCTCTGCATGCACTGCAAGAGCAGACATCTGCAGCTTGTCTTCAGGGCCCGGGTGTGCCGGGCTGAGGTGGCTTGCAATGAGAGGAACGCGTGCTGTTTAATGGCTGCAGGGGAGAGGGGGCATGCCTGAGGCAGCGATGATGGTACTGCCTCCTCCTCATGATCTTCTCTGGCTGCTCCATTAAAGAGGCCCAGAGCAAATCTATCTCGCACTTTGCGACTTGCCTGCACAACGCAGCACACAAGTCTGCTGACAAGCCTATCGTGGAAGCAGGATTTTGAGGCGTTGTGATTGATCTCAATACCACCCTCTCTTATTACAGGCATGCAATGCGCTTCCTTGATCATGATATCCTTCCTCGTCCTCAAGTTGAAACCAGAATTTTTAGGCTGCCCTTTCTTCCTAGCAAACAGTATCCCCAAGATTGTGTAAGGACACAGCAACTCACCAGGGTCTTTGTCTCGATGCCACTGGCAGGCTCCGCAGCATCCACTCTGATAAATCTTACGCGCGCATCAGAACTTTTTCGCGAGTGGCTCGGTAAGGCTCCATTGCTGCCCGGGCTTTCTGTGTGGTCACTCGGCAGTGGCTCCTGGTAAACCACAAGTAGATTCGTCAGCCTCGTCAGATGTCTGACCAGAAGTTCCACACCTTAAAAACCAGTCTTCATGCAATGTTACAGAATTGAGAGGTTGAAGGGACTTACAGTGTGGATGACGCCACCGGACCCTTCATTCTCAGGATCTACGCTGCCCATCTGGCCGACTCCAATTTCATCTGGGAGGCCCTTCCTGGCGTGGATAATTGCGGCATAGTCTAGATCGCTTTGGTCGCTGTCATCGGACGAGTCTGACACCCTGTGGTGCTCCTGATCCACATCAGGTAGTAAGTATTCAGTGCTTCTTGAGACCAAACAGCGGCATGGATGAGAGGACATTTACTGGGTGCTCTGCACTTTGACAGTAGCCTGCTCACCTCGTTCCTGCTTCTTTCAATTCTTGCATGATGTACAGCCACACTGTCCATGCTTCTAAGCACCTGTATGTCAAATCACAGCTAGTCACTTAGTCTGATGACCTTCGGAGGTGTGGGTTTGTTTTCTTGCAACTCTTCCCACATGCATAAATACCTGTCTCGTGGTGATAGTGCGGTCAGTGACTTCATCATCAACATCATCAGCTTCGTCATCGTTCCTATTCTCCTTTCTGCGGGCTATCCGTGATCCAACACTTACTGCAGAATCCAAGGTTCGCTGAAGCACTGCAGGCACCTTCATCGGAGATTTCTTTTAGACTGTTCAATGAAAGAAAAGTACGCTAATTATTATTCCTATTCAAATCTGTTAAAAATAAACAAAGGCTCTTCTTCAGAAAGCTACTGCAACACGACATGCCGGTTGAAACGCCCGAGGGGCTCAGGTCACAGGTGCTGTCGATGGCCAGCAGCGTGCGCTTAAGTCATGGAATTCATATCTTCAAGGTCTCTACAGTCCAGGGAGACCGTGCATTGAAGAGTTTTCTTTTATATTTTAGCTCGAAGAGAAGCCCCGCGTGCAGGATACGCGCGACTGCCTCGGGCTCAAATAAAAAAAAAGAGGAAGGGGAAGGAAATACTGATCGGTGGGCAAATATCCTTAATTTGGAAGAAGTACTCGAAGGAGAAGAAGACCAAGTATAGTTGGTGCGAATTGGCTGCATTTTGGGGCCAGTCAGATCTGCTTGAGAAGGGCTTCTGGCTAGTATGGCGAGTGCAGACCAACTGGAAGCATTCAGGTGCTCAATTTATGCACACCAGATTCTTTCACAGCTGCTTGTGATGTGGCAGATTAGAGTTTGGTCAAGTTGCCTATGCTGCAGAGCAACAGATGGAAACTTCCAGCACCGATTTGCCACTTTCCTGTGGTCAAATCGGTGCTACGAATATCTAGTCGCATTATTCATTGCCCCGTCATGTTGCTATACCCTACTATACCAGGGTGCTGATCGCGTCCTTCCTTGTCTGAGCAGGGCTTTTTACTTTGAGGGAGATGAGCTATGGAGGAAGTACGAGATGAACCTGGAGATTCCTCCTGGAAGAGACAGAACCGCAGTCATTGGCCGATTCAAGGCTAAATGGTACAAAAGAGAGATTGTGAGTGCCCTCCTCCTACCGCACCTCGAGCTGTGTTACTGCAGAATTCCCTAGTCAATCATGCATTAGGTCTCTGCCCGTGAGTCACAGTTCTAGGCATGTTCTCCAAGCTCCTTTTGACCATTATATACTCGAAAGGAGAAGCCATTTGGGCATGGTCTTGATTTGCCAGGCAGCCGATGTCCAGACTTTTGCTGTCAGTTTGAGGTCACTTGACTTCCTGCAGGATCCTTCATTCGATCCAAGCTTGGTTACACCCAGCACAGCCTTTTCTGCTTCCCCAAGCACACAAGCGCCTGCAGACGAAGCTGGCGAGAAGCAGCACACAGCATCACCGTCCAGGCCTGCAGCTGATGAACCTGCCAGCACCGCCGGGAGTGGGAGCTCTAGCAGCAGGCCAGCAAAGAGCGGCTCCACTGCAAAGGTGTGTGCGGCTTAGGCTGCAAAGCAACAGACCATCTATGTGGCAGTTTCCCTAACATGACATGCCAAGTGCCCACCACACTGGAGCAAGAACCATGGTCATAGGTAGAATTGGCACAGCAATGCTCCTGTCATTCTTGAGCACCGGCTGTCTCCAGAATGCTCAAGAGGCGGTGCAATGCTGCTACATGTTGCGCTGACAGTGTACTCAGAGCAGGACTCTGCACAGGCTGAACGCAATTCATGTTCTTCACAGGGGGATGGAGGCTTGAAGGGCTTCGGCTTGCAACTGCTGGGCTCGTCTCAGACGAGGCTTTTCATACTGCACAGTGCCCTGCTGTTGCTAGGCCTGGGCGTGGTGCAGCCTCTGAGCGGGCTGCTGTCATACCGCGCGTGGCGTTGGTTCCTGGCAATATCAGTGCTGTCCCACGGATACAAAGTGCGCCCCTTTCAGCTCTGCATACACTTGCTTGCATTGTACATCTTGCCTGAGGGCGCATGCAAGCACGGCCTATACCATGCACCTGGTAAGCACATGTACACCTTCCCGTTCGTGCAATGGAACGGCACTGTGCAGCTGTGCTGACATTGAAGCTGGAAGTTGTATGGGTGAACCCACCAGTGTCCTGTTCCATCAGGGAGATGCTAAATACTGATCATCTCATATACCCCTGGATATACCAATGTCAGTAGGGAAACACGGATATAGTAGTGGGGAGAGCCTCTTCCGCAACGATCTGTTAATTTTGATAGGCCAGGATTGTCTGATCGTGGGAACATGTGGGGAACATGTTCAATGTGACACAGTTATTCTGAGTCCACCTGACATTCTGGGTGTGCTCTGTTGATGCAGTTGTCCCTGAAGCATGGGCGGCCGACGCTGCGGCCATTTCCGGCGGCTCTGAAGGCCTGGTTTGTACCGGTGGCCACCAGCACCGATTTCCAGTACCTTCTTCTCAGCTTCATGTTCCTGCAGACGCGCCCCATGACCCTGGTGAGACAGACCCCCCATACCCCTTCTTCTACCCTGGGCCCACGCTGCATTATACCCTTTCCAACTTGTTCTCTCAGTAGCACTACAGTGAAGAGGCAATCTAGTGAACTGACAATCCTAAGGACAGGCATCCAAGGGTCCGGGAGCGTGTAATGGACCGTGGGCTCTCCCACAGTAGACGAATGAATATATTGTTTCTGGCTTTGAGCAGGAGCCTTGCTCAAGGGAGTTAATTGCACGATTAATGCGGTCTACTGCCACTGCGGAATTAGTCAGTCTAGTGACAGACTTGTGCCGCTGCAGGTTGTGGTGCCCATTTGGGTGCTGGCCCTGTACCACTTCTTCGCCTACGCATCCCAGCACTTCAGCAGCAACCCACTGTGGGTCAAGTACGGTGCTGATGCGCACAGATTCCTGTCTGCCAACCAGGTGCTGCTCCCACACCCGCTAGCACCCATGGATCCCTCCAATATGCTCCCTTTTTGCTGGTCTCTGAGAGTCCCTTCAGTGCTGCCGAACACAAATACAAAATCCAGCAAAATGGTCGAATGAGTGAATGAAGGAAGAACATCGGAGGGGATGCAAGGAAGGGGTACTGAGCAAGTCCAAGTTGTGGTAGCCACCTGTGATGCTGGTGATCAGGCACGGACAGCTAGTACGTGGAGAGCACAAGAATACTTTTGACAATTTCATGCAATTCATTGTGAGTTCCCGCCAAGTCAAGGGCCTCCAGTTCAGGCCACACGGTGTCCATGGTCGGCTGTCTCTTGAGCGAATCAGAATTGGTGCTCCCACCGCATCTCTTTTCCAGCTGTCATCTGACTAATTCGAATCTGGGTGCAGGGCCAGGCGCTGGTGTTCAATGCCGGGGCGGAGATTGGCGCGGGCCTGCTGCTGCTGCTGGGCCTGCTCACACCGGCGCGCTCCATAATGCTCACCTTCATCTACTGGCGCAACTTCCTGCCTGCCCGCTACAACACCCCCGACTCCTCTGCCTACCACCGCCAGGTGGGGCACCCTCTTTACGGGTCATTTCTCTTGCTTCTGGCCCCTGGGCGGGAGCGGTTCATCAACGCTGAACCCCTGTGAGGCCTGCTCCTGTGAGCCTGCAGCTGGTGATGCAAATTTACCTTTATACTTTGGCGCCTGCCTTGTCAAGGGACTCTTGGAAGGTTCTCATGCATCAGGGCGATGGATGACAGAACAGAGGGACAAGATGTCACTAATGGATAAGACCTCATGAGCAAATAAAGCTTTGAGGCGGCAGCAGTCGCTGGTCTCAGCATCGGCGTATCTGTAATTTTGCAAATGGACAGGGGTGTTTTACTGTAGGCCCTGCTTGGCTGTTGGGGCTGTATGTGTGCTGATCGACAGCTGTTTTAATGCCTAGGTGGTTTCTATGAGAAGGGGCAAGAAAAGCGTCTGAGGCTGAATTTTTGCATGTCCTGCTGTGCAGGCTTGGGGCATGCTGGCAGAGAGAGCTGCACCGGTGCTGCGAGCGGTGCCCATGCTGCAAGTACCCATCAGCTACATCAAGAGGGGCTTTGCTGCGCGATGAGATGGATATGGAGGTACAGAGCTGTGAAGGAATTCATGGGCAAGGGAACTTAAATTTCCATATCAGCGACGTCTGTTGCGTGCGCAGTTTTGCAGCTTCAATGAAAGGTGTTTGTCTGGCATGCATGCTCTGACAGCTTGTCGTTTGTGCTTGATTTGGGTTTTATGTTGAGGCGCTGCCCTTGGCGTGACTTGATGCGCCACGTGGCATGACATGCATGCAAATGCAAACCAGTACGATAGCGAGATATAATGACATGCATGTGGATAATTTACCTGCAGCTGTAACAACCAATTTGAGTGAAGCTGAACCAGTTGGTCTGGTGACATCCCAGGCCCATGCCAGCCGACCACGCATGCCAGTGCCTGAATGCACGTGCACATTCTAGTATCCAGGCCAATAATCAAGTCTGCAATGAGCACGGACCAAAGTCTGCCTTTTATAATCAGAGGAAGAGGTATCTTGATTATCATTGGAATGAATATTGGCGGTGCAAGTGACGCAGGGCAGCGAGTGACTATGCCCCAAATAAGCCCCATCATTTGTCCTGCAGACTTCTGGAGATTGTCGCCTGCCCTCTCGGGGGATGCTGCACTCAGGGCAATTCTGCGAGACGGAAGCCCACTTGATAAGCGATCTCTGCCCCACAGGACTTGGGAGCAGGATTCCTTGCAGTAGTGCAGCAGATGTGCTTATAGCAAGGCATCGTAGGGAAGGCCGGGGTTTTTGCCCAGCTCCAGGGGACCATCGGGCGGCCTGTGCTCGCAAGACGACAGGGTCATGCAGCAGAAACAGGCCAGGACTCAGTCAGGCGCGCTGCGTGAGCGCGATCCAGACAGGTTCTACTGCCCGTATCCCAACTGCACGCGATCTTTCGCGGAGCTATGGAGGCTCAAGGTGCACTATCGGGCTCCGCCTGATGCGAGAGGGAGCGGCAAGGAGAGAGGGCACGGCTGCGAGCTGCAATTCTGTCCAAAGTGTGCCAAGGAGTTGAAGGCAGGCAAGCATCATGTCGGATGCTTCGCAGGCAGGGCTGGCGCGAAGCAGGCAGCGAAGCGTTCCAAGGTGGGGCTTGCCCAACTCCGAAAGCTGTCGGAAATTGCCTAGCGAGTTTGTCAGGCTTCTCAATACTGGCGTCTTTCTGTGCGATGGTAATTGCGATGACGATGATACCGTCTAAGATAGCTATTGTAAGCATTGAATTGATAAAAGGACTCCGTTTCAAGTCTGTGACGTGCTGGACTCTGGTGATGAACGTGCCGTAAGTCCAAGTTGTCAACAAACAACGTGCACTTTTCCAAACCACTGCGTTGCAGCGTAGTATCACCTAATTAGAAATACATCGATCATAAGAAATAGTCGCAGGTGCGTTTTGTGAAGGATTTGCGACCTCCTTCCCCTACCCCACAGGACTTGTTCGCATCCTTTAGAGTGTCTGCTGGCACGCAGGCACAGGAAGATTTCGGGAAAACCCAAACAGTGGAGATAGACATGAAACGGCGATGCAGCGCACCTGTCGGGGGCGACTGGAGATTACCACCGGCACTGCCAGAGGACTTCTCCGCAGCGCTGGACGCATGCCGCCCCAGCTATCCGCACCCCATTCAGTCGCAGAGCAGAGGCGCCTCCTCGCAAGACAGCGAGGCGTCGCAACCCCTGCAGCCCAGCCAAAAGTGCGTACTAGCATTGTTCTTTTCAGGGACAGATAGACATGACAGCCACTTGCACTCGGCAGGTCATGCGTAGCAGCTGAAAGCTCGTCTGGCCTACCTGTGGCCCAGCCTGGGAGTGGCAGTGCTCATTTAATACACAAAATTTATGCTTTGCCATTGCATTCGAAGCTCAGTAGCTAGAAACTGCTCGCAATGCCGCACCCAATTCAAAACCTACTACCTAGCAGCAGGCGAGCTAGGTGTCTTGTCGGGCTGCGCTGGTCCCAGACAGGATTCAGACTTGTCCGGGAAGCCTGTCACAGCACAAGATCCTTTCTAGTGTGAGCAGACTGCTTTCCATAGGCATCTTGCCCACATCCTGTATCAGCACAGGCGCCACCAAATCTTGGGTCAGGTCATCTCAGCGGGCAGGATGGAAACCTCCAGCCTCTGCAGTTGTTGCATGCCTTGGAGTCCAGGAAAGCAAGAATAAACAGTGATGCGGTGAGCAGGGCAGAGGACGCCGGCATGGCTGCTGTCAGAAGCAGCAACCTGCACAAAATGTGACCGAGCTCGATGCTTCATGTAGGGCTGCATTTGACACGGCAGAGGTTAATTGCATTTCTGAATGTGTACACGGCGTGCTGCTGCAGGAAGCGGCGGACGGTGGACGGGAGGATACAGATTGGGGAGGAGGAGGGGGGCCTGGTGCGCTGCCAGAGCACGAGTCTGGCGGACCTGCACCTGAGCGGCTGCGGCCATTTCTCTATGGACTCCTGCGCCGATGTTCTCCTGCCTGAGCCCCACCCCTGCACCTCCGGCTCTGAAGGCACCCCGGTGCGGCCTTCACCCCTCAGAAGAAGTTCCTGAACTGCTGTAAAATCTGTAGATGTCTCAAGGTGGAGGCACATCACTTGCTTGGAAAGGCATTAGGGGCATCGCATGGGAAAAGTATTCATTTGAAGCAGGCTGGAAGAAGGGAATATGTACATCGAAGGCACTTGTTGCTCCCAGATTGGGTTGTGAGAAACCGAGAGAAACCTGGCAAAGCCAGGCACTGGCAAGTGCATGCCAGCAGACCTTTGCAGGTCAAGGGAACGCTGCCCAAGCAGGATTGCCTTGGGCCTGACAGGGCGCACGAGACACCTTTTTTGGAACACACTGCGCTCTTGGAAGACGAGCCCTCAGATGAGGGAGGAGTGTGTGCATGCACCTATTGATCAAATGGGCGCAGTGCAGCATTGCACACCGAACCACATCCATATACAGGATATTCACAAACATGGGGTGTAACGGCGTTGAGGCTTTGGGTGTGTTCACAGGGCGGGCCGCTACACCGCACAATATCGGCGCCACCGCTGGCGAGTGCCCTGCCGCAGCAGCGGAGCATGAAGGAGTCCCTCTTCGACTTCACCAGCATCTTTGACGGGGACGTGCTTGCCGACTCGCCGCCGCCGCAGCACAAGCGGCCGCCCGCCGTCTGCAACATCCACGCCACCTCAGCCTCCGACGTGAGCTTTTATCTCATCACTGAAATGCACACTTTGTGAAGAGAAAGTTGACAGTGAAAACTCACAAACGCCCTGGAACAACCCATCTTGGAATGTATCATACGGGGACCCTTGCATGTGGCCTACCATACCATAATCTTCATCCTGTGATGCGTACAAGGAAGTGCTCTGCGTCTTGCCGCTTGAGCACTTGCAGATGGCTTCTGTTTTGGCAGGCTTCTTGTGAGTGATCCTCTGCTTGAGGTTATTCGCAGGTGCTGTGGGTCAGCTGCCTAGCAATGCCACCCTGGCTTGTAGTTGTGTCCTTAGATCTGCACCCTTTTCAGCTTTTGTCCAGGGATGTCAGCCCTGAAAGATCTGATGATGAAACAGGTGTTGCTGGAGCTGCCGGGCTTCTGCGGGCTGTACGACGACGACCACATAATGCGCGCCATGATCGTCGAGCTGGCCGGCACCGCGCCGCAGCCGCCGCAGCAGCCGCACCACCGCCGCTACGGCAGCGCGCACCCCACCTGCTGGGATCATGACATGCACGCCATGGACTCGCAGGTGCGTGCACCTGCTGCCTGGCTGATGTATCCCTTTACTTGCCTTGACAGGAGGGCCTTGGCATACAATTCATTCATTGCGCAGCACCGGCCTTTCCACGCCAGCTAAAACTTGTTATCAATAAATCCTATCCTATCTGCACCCTTTGTTCTCGTTGAGAATTTTGAAACCTGTTGGATTGACACGAAGGCTGCAAACAAATGCGCTTCCCTCAGCAAATCCCGTGCTTGGTGGTGACAGTGTATCTCTAAAGCATTGCACTTTGAGATTGTTGCAGACATTGTGGCTCTGACACAGCGCAGATGTAACGCTGATGTGGCATGTGCACAGGTGGCACGCGATTCGCACACGCTGACATCAGCGCACAGCGCGCCGCACCGTCACACGCCGCCGCTATCGCCGGCCGGGCCGCTGCCGCTCGACGCGCTGCTAGGATTTTCTGGGACGTCCGGTGAGTATCATCTCAACTTTCCAGAAAGCGCGCTTGAGTTGCCACGCATGAAGGTTGTAACCACACTAAGACAGGAAGAAAGGGTCTAAGACATGCAAACTGCTGCAAGCGCCAGGAAGGGAGAAAGAGCTGCATGGCCTGTGTATCTGTAGTGGTTTGGCAAGACAACCATCACCCAGTCCAGAGGAAGCTGCATCCATCTGCTGCCCAGGTCTGCTTTTCTCATAGACCTGGAGCTGGTCTGAGGTCCGCAATGATGGGTGTGATGAACCTTGCTCAACGCAAGATGTGCTGGCTGCAGGTGAGTCATCGCCGCAGCACAGCGGGCCCAGCATGGCGGCATGCGGCAGTTCGGCGTCCGGCCGCGGAAGTGCGAGTCTTCACACGCAGCCGCACTCGCCGCCGCTGCCGCAATTCCCCAGCTTTGGGGATGACCTCAACTACCTGCAGGTGCACACTGAGAATTTTCTAAATTTGAATTTCAAATTCAATCTGAATTCCAAATTTGCTGCACTCTTTGAATTGTCGTCCATATGGGCGACGACCTCAATCATCTGCAGGTGCACCCTGGGGAAACACCCAACATTTGAATTCAAATCTTGCTCTATTCAAAATGTCATTGAATCTCGTATTCGAATCCTCGTCCGTATGGCCGATGAGGTCATTAGCTGCAGGTGCGCATGAGCAGTATCACCGATCGGATTCAACGTCTCCATGACTCAAACCCACTTTCACGCCATTCCGGTGGTTTTCTGGGTCCTAAAACTCGACAGCTGAGGAGATTGGATGTGATTCCTGCAGGATGGGCGGTTTGGCTGGCACGACAAGCACATCCTGTCGCCGCCGGAGCACCCCTACTTCTCCCTGGAAGCCTACTCCACCCACAAGCACCGCAGCATGGTGACTAAACCTTCCCTGCCTGCGGAAATACCCAACCCTGCCCTGCAGATTACACAAAACATGCCTTCCTGACAGCCGTGCCAACTAGGCAGCAAAGCTCTTGTAGCAAACTGTCAAATGGGAAGTAATGACCGCAATAGATCCAGCGTTCAACTTGTTGCTCTGTTCAACGGCCACACAGGGATTCAAATGCATGACATGTTCTGCAGCTCTGAGCAGCCAGGGAAAGGGGGCCAGCTGATTGGGGGCAGTACATCTCGGTAGGAACTACTTGGGGAGAGTGCTGAGTGGTGTGCTGTTACTGGGGCTGCAGGATGGGAGGGGAAAGCAGCAGCACCAGTCAGGGGGCTACATGGGAAATCTGGAGCCAGCCCCTCTGTCCCCAGACACCCTCATGCACCCCGCTGACAGCGACTCCAGGTCAGCACCCTTTCATCACCCTTTTGAACACCCTGCCTCAGGTGTGATACTGAAATAGTAGATTACATTGCTACATTTTAGAGACCTGATGGGAGCCACCTGACCTGAGGCTCGTTGATGCCCACTAAAAATAACGTGGGGAGTTGATGAAATACAAGAGTTGCATGCATTTGTATCCCCATGGCTACATTACAGACCTGAGTAAGTTGTCATGTGGTAAATGTTTGTGAAGGCTGCCAGTTTTTAGCCTCTCCTCTAGACCAAAGGGGAATTGGTAGAATGCTGTTCCACATGAATTTGGCTCCTATTCACAGATCTACAGCAGAAAGCAGAGCTCAAAGTCATGCTGCTGCTGTTATTCCTGTCTGACAGTACAGCTGTCTGTCATTACAGGAGGTGGAGTCCCTTGTCGGAGCAGACTCAAACCTTCCGCCACTGCTGAGGCCGGAAGCCATACAGTACCGCCAGCTCTCTGCAGCAGAGCTGAAAACCTGCAGCAAACAGCCGAGCACCGCATGCAACCCATCACATCACAGCAGCTGGTGAAGGAAGGCAATAAAAATGTCCGGCCAGCCGCGCTAGTGCATTGGCTGTGTCTGACAGGCGGTTGAGACTGCAGTTTAGACACCCAGCTGGAGATGTGAATTCTATCTATGTGTCATAAGCAGTTCTCCGTGGATGTCCGATGAAACAGCCTCTTTCTGGGCAATCAAGAGAATGCCTCTTTCAGCTGCATTGCAGCAGAGAACGCATGCACAAAGGGTAGCTAACAGGCGGGGCCAAGCCTCAAGAGCTCTGCAGCTTGGCACTGACTGTGTTACCAAGTTCAAGACGGCAAGTGTCATGCTCAAGAGTTTCACTGCTTGATTTTCGCTTGATTTTGCTCTATATATACAGTGTAGATGGGTTGTACTCAAGATAAATAGGGAGGTAAAGCATTCTGTAGATTAGGACATTCCAGGGCAGCTTATGCAATAGGTGGCATCCTGGCCAGCATGACACCTTTGGCTGTCGCAAACGGATATAGGCAATAGAACGAGGAATCTAGGTTGAACTCAAGATGAAAGAAACTGAGAACTGGGGAAGATACTCAAGACGGGGGAACACTGTTCAAGATTATTCTGAACTGCATTTGAACTCAGAACTGAGTCACTCAATGTTCGATGAATGTGAGATTCAAGAATGAGAAATCTGTGCCTGAGTACATATTGTGGATAAATACAAGACTTGACTTTTGACCGGCACATGCGAGAAATGTAACTAGGAAAAATTCAGCAGGCGATTTGAGCAGGTGTGATCTTACTGTGATTGCCATTGTGATCTTGATTTTGGCGGAGATCTTTCTGGAGGTCTATGTTTACAAAATCTCCATGTCTACAAAATCACAGACCAGTCTGAGGTCTTCAAGAGAATACTTGTAAGTGCTTAAGTACCCCACCTGGTGATTTTCAGTATAGAATATCCTGCACACATCAATTCTAGGAAATTTGCATACTGCAAATCAAAGGTGTGGCATAATTTGTGGCCCACTCTCTTTGTAATCATGGCATCCGTACCACCAGAGAGAGACTTGCATGACATCCCAATAGTGCCTCCATATTTCTATATAGCTAGCCGGGGTGATTCAAAACCTTTACAGATCTCACAGCTGCAGAGCAATTGTGCCACACTGAAAGAGCGACAGCTGCGACAGCTTTGGGCATCCCTGGCAGGCAAGACACTGCTCTGCTGACTGAGATTTCACCCTGAAAGGCTGGACTAAGTCCCTTTAAAACACTGGCCTCAAGGTGTAGGTCTGCAGGTCAACACTGGCCTCAAGGTACATGTGTACTTTGAAGCTCCACTTAAGACTGGTTTGGGCCTATCTTGGTAGTTCCAAACAGCCCCCAAGCCAGCCTCCAGCCCAGTCTACTAGAGGCCAGTACATGTCTGTTGGGGCCAGTTTGGGCAATCATTCATCATACAGATCTTGGTTCCAAGAGGCTGCGGTGGCAATTTGGGTCAGGCATGCAACTGGTGTTCTGCCTCTTCTTTTACTTCCTCCTCGATCTCTTCCACAATGTGCAGGTTCTTGATGTAGGCCGGAATGTTGTGCCTGCGGCAAGGTGCACCAATTTCTCATGAACTAGCAGTCTCAGGCATTGGCCATGGCCTACAAGTTGTAGAGAGCCATTACGAGAGAATTCCCTCACTTCAGTCCCTTAACATGAACTGTACTAACTCTGTATAATTGGCAATTGATTGAACAATAACTTGCATCATAATTCCTTAATGCATTGCCAAAAACTGATGAGTCACGAAGGAAGCACCTCATCGGGTTGAGGACGACAGGATCGTCTGGCGCCGCTTCTCGGGGCCACTCCCACCACTTGCGGAATGTTGCCAGCTTCCAGCAAGGCGACAGGGTGTGCGGCTTATACTTGCCGTACGTCTTCTCGCCCCACAAGTAGATGGCGCCGGCAAGAGCCGATGCTGCAATCGCCGAGGGTACTATGTAGTACCATTGACGTGTGTGATACACCATATTGGCTCACAGCACGTTGCACGAGAGTATATGGAATCCCATCTTGGGCCTGGCTGCTCCAGGGAGCTTATGCTTTGTTGTTGCCCAAAATAGAACCCTGATATAAATGGATAGGGTTTTTGAACTTCAAAACAAACACTCTGCTTCCAGCACAAAAGTTTTTCTCTCGAAAAATTCTTTCTTGAGATCAGGATCTCAGCACCTGTGTTGTGGCGTATATCTCAGAGTATCATCGCTTGGGCCAGCCGGGGACAGCTCAACGTTGGATCTTCCATCTGAAGTGCATGTCTTTCGGCAGGATCCTGCAAAGGAACAGATCGGTGCACATCGCCATTACAATAGCGTGAGTGATACGCCTTTTTCGGTGTAAACACAGAAAATACGCATTTCGCGTGGCAGCCTTGAGACTAGTGATCTCATTCGTGCAGGGTGGGCATCACCAGTGGAGTGTACCTGTTTCAACCACCACTTCGACTTTACTGGCAAGAACAAGCAGCAACACAGGAGGAAGCTGCCAGAAAAGCGTGCACAAGTGACCTTTCTACAGGGAGCACTCCCAACCCTCTGTCTGGAGCCCAGCCACAGCCCAAGGAACAGAGGCAGGAGTAGTTTTATCTATCAGTGGACTACGAATATCTGCATGTGATCTTCAGGAAGAGCAGCCATATGGAAAGGAAGTGCTGAGCTGGAATAGCAGGGCAAGAAGCAACCTGGGAACCTACATGGAAATTAAACACTCAATTGTGGATCGCACTACCTTGGCATTTGCTTATTAATATGGAGCAGTATGCTTGGTAGACTGTCAGACAAGGCAGTAATGTGCGGACAAATCAGCAGCACTCCTCAAGATCCAGTTTGGCAAATCCGCTTCTAGACCGGCTGGTTGATCATGACCTGAAGGGCATGCAATACCTTTCAAGACTTGGCAGACTTTGACTATTTTTTTGAATTGGCACCAGCCATGGGCTTGTGAACGCGTACCATCAAAGGGGTCTGGCAATGGCCTGTGTGGTGCACTCTAGCGCTGCTAGCATGCTCTAGCGCTGCGCAGTGATTACTGCTTCAAGCGGAATTTCCAGTGGTAATTTTGTATTCGATGCATTATGGGGTTTGCAGACCGCATCTTGCCTGCACAAAAGTGTCCATCCGTGTCTTCAGTATCTCCAGAGTGTAATGAACTCGAGGGCTGTGTTGAAAGCTAAACAGAAGGGTGTTGCTTGCGATGCAACTGGCAACTTCCTCAAGATGAGAAGCTAGACATTCCTGCTGCCACGTTCACGTCCAGAAAGCTGGTAGAAAGAAAGTGCCATATGTTACGTGCAAATTCTCTGAATGCTGCTAATCACTTGAGCAAACTGAAAGTATCTAGCATCGGTATAGAAAGTTAGTCCCGATGTTGACGCGTAATAATTTTCTGGCTTCAGATGCTATCTCCCACTCACTCAGAACTCCCTCAAAGCTACACGTATGCCCATCTCGTTCAGTGAGACAGACAATTTCAGCAACTGTAGATGCTTTTGCCCCCCCAAAGGCATCTCAGGACACAAGAGAGCTAGGAAAATCCGGTGAGTTCATCCTCCGGCATGTCTTTGCATGCGCTCGGCAGGACTCCGTGTTCTGTTATAGATCGTGCCATGGAAGCCTTGTAATTAATTGAAGGTGGTGGGCAGGACTAGAAGTGACATCAATCGGCGTTGGGGCTTGGAGCTGGGGCGATAGAACAGGTACAATCCTCCTGCATCCTATGTTTATGACGTGTCCGCTGTTGATGAAATATGTATATTTGTATACACCTTCATGAGATTGGTTGGATTTCACATGATCTCAATCTCAGCTTTGCAGGCTACTGGGGATACAACAGCTATGGTAATTATGGGTCTGATGAGAACAGGTAACTGCTCCTCCTTTTGCAAGTATGGTGATCGTCCATCAATCTTTTAAGTATCCAGCCTCTAGCAGATATGTTTCTGCATGACTTTCTTGTGGAGTAAAGACAATTGTTGCGCTGCACTAGGGCTGCGTTTGATGCGCTCATCGACAGCGGCATTGGGTTCATCGACACTGCAGAAGGTGGGAAATGTCTCCAGACAATTCCCCCCTTTGAAACAGCTCATCCACCTATGAAGCTGCTTCCAAGCCTGAGTTCAAGGCTTGGAAGCAGCTTAAGTGCTGTTATCAGGAGCATATTCAGGAGCATATGGAGTCATTCGCTGCATGCCTGCCTTTGCATGGAGGCGTGGAGAGCAGTGTCAGACAATGTGGCAAAATGAACATCCATGTGGCTGGGTGCAGTGTACGGATTTGGGAAATCCGAGGAGCTGACTGGGGATTTCATGCGGAGGAAGGGTGCCTCCCCAGTCATTGCCACCAAGTTTGCACCCCTCCCCTGGAGATTCACATCAGGCTCAGTTGTCAGCGCTTGCGAGGTGAGCACTCCTCATGCAAAAATGTCTTGCAGCCTGCTATTGAGCCGTATTCTTTCAGTCTGTGAGCGCTTCAGTTGCTGCCATAAAACAAGCTCTTCTGTCTGGCAACATTTGAGTCTCTGCTTACAGAGAACCTGCCATGATATTGCCCTTGCTCGTGCCCTCAGCTGACAAGCTCCACTGCAGCACGCCCCAGCAAATTTTTGAAAGCTGCATCATGAGTTTCTGGCTTTTGTGCAGGCGAGCCTGAAGAGGCTGCAGGTGCCCTCGGTGGGTTTATACATGATCCACTGGCCGGGCTTTGCGCTGCAGTCCCTGGCGAACGATGCCTTTGTGGAGGGACTGGCGAGGGTGAAACAAGCCGGTTTGGCACAGGCCGTGGGAGTGTCAAACTTTAGAGAGGATCGGCTGCGGCGAGCGCATCAACTCCTGCAGGTGCGGATGAAAATTTCGTGTGTAACAGCATGGTGATCTCAGCATTAGTAAGTCGCAGCCATGCGTCACTAATTCACATGAAAATTTGGATCTTTCATGGCTGTGCAGAGCATGGGATTTGGTGTTGGCAAAGTGTTGATGTTGCCAGCCCCTTACAAAAGTGTCACAGGAAGTTCTTCAGGTCTTCATTGAGTATCAGTCAGATTTTGATGCTTCTGGACACCTGGAGACCTTGTTGTGACACTTGCTTGTGGGGAGAGAATACTCGAGAGGTGAGCTTCACTAAATTTGGATTGATTTGCGTGCAGGACAAGGGAGTGGTGCTAGCAAGCAACCAGGTGCAGTACAGTTTGTTGTACCGAGCCCCAGAGAAGAACGGCGTGCTTCGCGCATGCAACGAGTTGGGCATCACATTGATCGCTTACTCACCCCTGGCCCAGGGCCTGCTCACAGGTATGCCTTTGTGCCATGCAGCTCACAGTAGATAGCATCTCATTACACCCCTCTCCGGCGAGCGTTCCTGGTTTTTTCTGTGCTTGCCATGAGGCCGTATGCACTATCTAACCTCAATATCTAGTTAGGAAGCGGCTGCATTGACTGGGGATGGTCCTTTGAGAATGTCCTGTGCTTGCCGTGAGTGCATGCCGTAAGGGCATGGCGTTTTGACATTCAAGTAATCCCTTTATCCTTGGAGAGAGTTCATGCTTGAAAGTCAGTGCGAGCACCGAGGTAGGAAGGACGGGGTGCCTCGGTGTGTGAAGAGAAATGCATCGCCAATACAATAGGTTCCTGGCGAAGGAGCACTCTCTTTATACTACACCAAGTAGAAAGCGGCCGCAAAAATTGGGAGGGGTTCTTGAGAAAATTCCTGCTTGTCATGCAGGCAAGTACAGCCCAGAGAACAAGCCTGGCGGTCCCAGGTCCGGCATCTTCACAGAGGAGAGGCTGCGGGGAGTGCAGCCTCTGATTGGGCTGATGCGCGACATCGGCAGCAGCCACGGCGGCAAGTCACCGGCGCAGGTGGCCATCAATTGGACCATCTGCAAAGGGGTGCTGCCCATTCCAGGTGGGTGCATTTACTCTTTCTCATATTCCCTCGACAAATTTTTGATTGTATTATATAGATATTGTACTGAGGTGCTTGGCAGTCTCCCAAGATTACAGCATGCACAGTGTAGCCTATACCACAGCGGGAGATCCCGGCGCTTGGAAGGTACAGATTGTGGGTCCAATACCATCCTGGGATGTCCTATAATTTCTGAAGCCTGACTGGCGGGAGGCGGTATCATTCCTGCGGACTGGGCCCACGGTTGATTGATCCTTGCTTGGATCTGGCGTGTGAATCAAGGGGTGTGCATGAGGCAGCGAGCTCCTGCAGCTTGTCTGGACATGCACTCTGCTTCTGGCAGGAACAGAGTGCGATAATAATATTTGCAGCATAGAGAAAGCAGGAGCTGCAGCAGCGACACAGAACATTCCCAATTGACGATTGAGAGGGACATTGTGGGGAAGATGGAATGCAAGGGGACATAGGAGGCTAACCATTTCTTGTTGTGCAGGCGCAAAGAATGCGCGGCAGGCGGCAGAGGTTGCTGGAGCCATGGGCTGGTGAGCACTCCGCCTGCTTTGGCGCCAGTCATATCACTTGGCAGAACGTCTTCGTCTCCTCTTTGCCCCGTACTTAATCTACTTTGTTGCCGTTGGATCACAAGGAAAACAACTTGCAGCTGCTCTTTATTGGGTGCGCTGACCTGTTAAGCCACCAACTGAGCCACCAACGGCCGCTGAGATTATGGTTCTAAATTAGAATGAAGAGCAAGTGCTTGCAAGGACAATGTGTGACATTAGCAGCACTTCTATTTTCTTTGTATGCAACGCAGGCGGCTAACTACAGATGAAATGGCAGCGTTGGACAGCGCCAGCAGCCGGTCAGCTGCTGAGTTGTTTGGAGCTCCGTTCGAGACATGGTGAACGAAGCTGTGTACTTTGTGTCGCTTGAGTCACTTCAAAAGTACATGTATGATTATTGTAACAACTTTTGAAGATCCTCAGTATTCAATTCTGGTGCGGTTGTACAGCAAATGCTGCCTGCCAGGCAGTGTTTGGAAGAAACACATGGCAGAGTAACGATTAGTTGGTAGCAATTTCCAGTATATTGTCCAAGGCTGCTGGCAGCTCACTTGCCAAAGTATAATTTTCTTGGAGGGTTCAGAACGTTCTGTAAGAGTATGATTCATGCGGCAAGTCAATATTATAGCACAATGTCATCGGGCATCCTGTTTCCTCTTCTGTCCTTGCTTCTCCTTCTTCTTCTCCCGTTTCACTTCTTTCTCAGGAGCCTTCGCTTGCACTGTGCCAACAGCGACTGGTATCCCCTTGTCAACCTGCATACAAAGGAAGTCTCACCACTTCACTCTGATTTGCAATAAAATGTTGTAATACATCTTCTTGCTTGCGTCCAGTTGCATTTCCTGGCAAAGCCAGGATGAGCAATTGTGAAAGAGTGCAATCCAGCCTGCTCTCACCTCTGACAAAGCAAATTTTCCTGGTTGTAGCTGAAATGTACTCTCCAGAACATGCGCAGTGAAGGGCTCCAGGGAAGGCCTCTGTGCTGATGGGTAGCTGTCAGCTAGTTGAGCTATGTCTGTTCCCTGACTCCTGCGATATGCCCAAAGGTCAGACACAGTGACAGGGCACGGGATCTGCTTGCAACTAACATCCTTACAATGGAGCAACCGACAGTTTCCCGTACATAATATTTATTCTTCGTTGTGGAGAATATAGAATACAGATCACTGTATCTGGCCAGCTTCCATGGACAGAGTTTCATGCTTGCCTCCAAAGCGTGGTGTCGCCAGGAACTCCTTTTAAATAATTTGTCGGCACAAGAGCTGTTTGCGAGAACTTGTAAAGTCTCATGAGCTGAAAATACTCCATGAGATCGCTTCCCGCCCAGGCCTCATCCCGATTTCCTGCAACCATGTGATTGTTGTCAACATCACTAACAAGTCTTCTTCGGCACGATGTTGACAGGAATGACAGATCGATTTAGGATTGAGTACTGAGAGTAAAGCTTGGGTTCTCACTCTCGCCTGGTTGCAATAGTACAAAAGGCGAGGACATCGCTATCGCAGATGCAAATAACGGTGAACAATCATTTGCAGCGAGTGTCACTCCGCATGCGGTGCTTCGATTGCCCAGTGTTGTAAAAATTCCAGATTCAACGTCTTAATGCTGCTAGGATCCATCATTGCGAGTAATTCATTGGCCATTTTGCCAACCAAGCTTTTGATAACCTAAGGGTTGGTGACAGAATAAGCAAACCCTTGTAGGGGCCAAAAAACTTATAGACGCAGTGTCCTGCCGAGTGTCCAGGATGGCGCTGTAAATATTTTGGTCACACCGCACTTAAAAAAGCCATTCAGTCTGTTCACGCTATAATATGTTCGTTGAAATTGTGAGGATCCCCTAATTTGGTGTTTGGCGGCCTCACCGTGGCCGGTCCTCTTCAATTGTTTCCTGGCGATCTCTGCAGCCGATATCGATTGATCAAGGGGTGGATCAGATATCCTCCATATTTGGGTGAAGCAGATAACATTCACTGCTATGTCCGCCGATAACGGGGCCGCCCTGCCTCTCATCGAGGAAGAAGAAGGGATCCGTCAGTATGGGGATATCGAGGCCAGCGATCGGCGAAGAAGGAAGGACATCGACAGGCAGAGCGCCAGAGCGGTAAAGGGCGGAGCCACGAGAGGTAGGACATTGCCCCTTTCGCCCTGCTGGTCGAGCCATAAACATCGCAGGAAATATAGGCAGGCAGTATCTGCAATGCCCACTCTGCAATGGCCTTCCTATGTCTCTTCACTGCCCAGAAAAGCGATTGCTGCATATGAATATAAATCATTGACAGCAAGATGCTCTTGATCGTCAACTTGCAATCCAGATCTGCAGATCTTGCAAGTGTACTGCTTCCCACTGCTTGGCCTAGCCAGCACGTTCTCTGCCCCCACATCGATTCCAAATATCAAGAAAACTGCGCTTCAGTCGTCGACAGATTCTACGGAATTGCAATGATCCCTGCTTGTATTGTCAGGCTCCTACAGGAAGCTCGCGCTGGCAGCTACAATGCTGGCCACGGTAGGCGTTGCCTTTGCGCTGCTGATCACTGCAGTTGAGCTCTCCAAGGAGGATGACACCCCCACCTATGACCTGGGCCTGGACCGCAGCAGCCCCCAATATCTGCTCTTCCTTGCGGTGAGTCCCTGATTGCCTTTTATTTCTCATGCTGCTACCTCGCCATTGCATCTGCTCTGCAGCAATGGGGGATGCCTGCACCATTCTTGCCGGCGTGGTAAGCATGCACAGGAATTAAAGTAAAGACGAGGCAAATCCGAATAATGGTTGTCAGGGGCTGAACCTGCTAGCTGCGTCACCCTTGAAGCTTGCACCTGCACCCTGACGTGGTCCTGACATTCTGGCCGGGCTGCTCCACAAAGCGCCGGCACATTACCATCGCAGACTCTTCTTTTAACCATGTGTTGTGACCAAGAGTGGGGTGTGCGAAAGAGTTCCGGCTTACAAACAGTGCAGACTCTTCTCTTCATTAGTCACTGTGTGTCAATGCTGACATACTGGGTGTGTGACTGTGTGACACAGAGCGCCGGCAAGCTGCTGCCCGGGGAGGTGCATGCGACACTGCCGGAGGACGCCATAGGCCCCGGGCGGCTGATAATAATCGGGGATGTGCACGGTTGCGTCAAGGAGCTGAAGGAGCTGCTGGAGGAGGCTGAGTATGTGGAGGGGGAGGACACTGTCGTGCTTGTGGGAGACCTGGTGGACAAGGGCCCCTACCCGCTGGAGGTGAGTCACCGTGCTGCGCCAAGAATGCGCTGCAATTGCAAAAATTACAAAAATGTTCTGAGGATTGCCCCATCGTATAGTTTGGGACGGCGCAGCTCCTGGCCTCCAGGGTGCCATTTTTAGGTTTAGGATTAGGTGAATGTTTAATGGAGTGCAGTACAAATGCAAAATGAACTGCTCTTTATACCAGATAGTCTGGGGGAAATTACTGGTGAAGGCAAATTGCATTGGATAGTCAGCATTGATCAGCAGGTGAACTTTGACGACCTCCATTTGACAGATAAGGAGGAATCATTTGCACTGCTGAATTAGATCCTCAACATACTGCTGATTTGCGCTCAGTCTAAACATTTTTCTCGGGCATCTTCATCTATCTCTGAAATATAAACTTTTTTTTCAAATCACCAAGCCTACGATTCTGCAGCCCGATTCACATATGGGCAGGCCCTAACACACTCCTCTGCCGGCTGCACGCAGGTTCTGGCAGAGGCGCGGCGGCTCAAATTCCACTCGGTGCGCGGCAACCACGACGACGAGGTGCTGGCGGCCTACGAGGCGTTGGCGCGCGGCAAGCACGTGCCGGGCGGGAAGAAATGGGTGAAAGACTTGCCGGCGGCTGCCGCGCAGTGGCTGCACGCGCTGCCCTTCAGCCTCCGCATCCCCTCCTACGGCGTCACCGTCGTGCACGCCGGCATCGTGCCTGACGTGCGCCTCTGGGCTCATTTTTTATAAAATTGCATCTTTGTTTTCTCTGCCTTACAAGGGATGGGTTCTCTGCATGAAACGCTGCAGCCAGGCGCCGAGATGTGTGATTCCAGGATGCACTTGCATGTGCAACCCCTCCTCCCGCCTCACCATTGTTCACGCCGGCAATGTGCCTGACGTGCGGCCCCCACCCATCAAGACTCCCAAATGACTGATTGTGGAACACGATCTTTGTACCTTCTGCACTATCATTGTGCCTTCTTGTGGGGGAAACAGTGACGATGGCGCGGTAACTAATGACGCCCCATACGAGGCCCCCGAGCACGTTCTTTCTCTTGCACTTGTAGTAGCACATGGTATGCGTTGATGAGTGCATTGCCTGGGATGGAATCGCATTGCGGCCTTCGCGGTTTTCTTCAGGTGGGCAGCGACATAGGCCCACATCAATGCTCCCATGAAAAGAAACAACAAGCCTCAATGCACATGACGTCGAGCATCTGCTGCCCTGTCAACTCCCGTTTTCCCTCACACACCATCAGCGCGCATACCGACACAGCATGTCTTGCAACGCTCTGCCGCCTGTTGTGGGGCATCTCAAATGAAGGTGCCCCGCACACAGGAACAGCGCAGGTGAACATGCACAATATCTTGCAGCGCAGTGACGGCTACTGTAGGGCATTTCGGTGCAGTTGTTCCGCACAAGAGCACAACATGTAGAATGTCTTGCAGTGCAGTAACGGCTGCTGTGGGGTTACTAACACAGGTGCCCCTGGAGCGGCAGTCGCTGGGGGACATGTACCTGATGCGCGAGGTGGTGAACGGGACGAACGGGCGGTGGCGCGCCGAGGAGGCCAAGTGCGACAGGGGCCATTTGGGACCCCCCTGGGCCGCAGTCTGGGACGGGCCCGAACACATCTACTTTGGGCACGACCACCAGCGCGGCCTCCAGGTATGGCAATTCAAGTCTGGCGTATGAAAGTTGCAAGTTGAGAATTGAAAGATTTTCATTTTGATATTATTAGCACAAGCTGTTCCTGCTGGAGACGAGGTGGCGCCTGCAGACAAGCCGTGGGGGCAAGCTCCAGGCGCGTGCCGCCACATTTTCCAGCGCTTTATGCCTCTTTGTAGCACTGTTGTTTTCAGACTCAGAGGGTGCACACATCCAGCAATTGCGACAAGCTGCAGTCCGTGTAGGATAACAGGAATTTCAAGGCTTTTCTGGTCGGCTATTTGGGGGACAAGTTGGGCTTTATTATGGTGCTTGGTTGGTGGCCATGCCACCAAAGTGAAAGTTGCTACAAAGACCTCAAGGATGCCCGTTTCCAGTCAGCAGCCTTGAGGTTACCTGATATAAACTATTGAATGCACCAGCAGCTTTTGTGTGCCCAGCCACGTGGACCTGCGCAAGCCCCTTCCGAGGCAAGCTTGTGCTTCTGAAGGACCTTGCGAGGGTCCACTTGAGGGGGCATGCATCTGTGGGATCATGCATCCATTTGAGGGGAAACAGTTTGTGCTCCACCTTTCATGCAGGCCATTGCAGCTCTGCATATCCAAGCTATTCCGAGTCCAAATTGATGTTTGATTCTTTGCAGGAGCGGCCATACGCGACTGGGTTGGACACTGGATGCTGCTATGGAGACAGGCTGACGGCTGCAGTGCTGCCAGCCCTCAAAGACTTGAAGGCCCTGGGCGATGCTTCCGGCGGGCGCCACCTGGACAAGCTTGGCGCCAAGATAATCTCTGTACCGGCTCATGAGAAGTATTATGATGTGGATCCCTGCGATTAGGGCTCTAAGTCAGCAGGAGACGTGTGTATTTTATATCTGAATTGGAAGCAGTTCAAGCTCCCCTCAGGCAGCGGTGGGGCGTACATCTATCTATAGCTGGAAGGAAGTGAAGCTCAGATAGATAATTTATGCACCTCTTGAGCTGGTAAAAGTCCAGCCGGTTGGAAACTGGTCAGGCATTAGATGCCTTTTTTCTCTTTCAGGTCTCCTTCGTGCCTCTGAACTGAAGAGCGTCCCCGTGGCTTGGAAATATTCAGGGTTGATTTATCAGCAGGAGTATCAGAAGGCGAGAAAGTGGCACACAGCAACTGATGAAGCAATGCCTTAATGGTTAAGGAGGCCTTGCAGATGAATGTCAAGAAAGCCAAATGCTCTTCAAGTTCCAGGAAGATGAGTACAAGCAGTCAGTGCACAATGCAGGCTGCTTTCAAGATGCAATACTTACCTCTTCTAGCCATACCTCGTGTAGGTCTGTCACCCGCGAAGTGAGGAGTATTTTGTCAGGGAGTGTGCATAGAAGCGAATTGCTTGTATGAGGCGGTGACAGGCACGCACCTGACAGGCGCCTTGGTTGTGGAGTGGGGTCACTAGTATTGTCCTGATTCGGGAAGCTCCAAGATGCGAGTCTATTTGCTGGATCTCCATCTTCCCAATGCTCGGTACAGATCTAGTATTGTGCATGTGAGCAGATGCAAAATCACCTGACTGTGCCTCTGCAATATATTATTATTATTACACGCTTTTCCTGCTAGAAGCAAGGTGCGTCTGCAGACAAGCTGCAGTAAAGGCTGCCAAAATCCTACCCCTGATGAACTCGCCAGATCCAAGCAAGACCCAATCAACCGTGGGCACGGTGCTCAGTATTTATACCGCCCCCTGCCAGCCGGGGCCTCTGCAAGGCAATTGTCGTATTTTCTACCTTTCTCAATCTTTAAAAAAAATGCTATGAAGCCTCCTATGCTTTCAAACCATCAGACCGTTTTCACACTATGTCAATCTGTTGTTGACAGCACCAGTACAAATCCCATGTCCCTATGACTTAACCACACGCCCACATCTCAGATCTGACAATTGCCTAGAAATGACGAGGTAAGTCAAAACACCCCGCTGTGGGCATGTTCATGTCAAGCAGTACAGCTCGCGTTCCTACCAATCGTGGGCTTCAGGGTAATCGGCCAATCTGTTGCAGCGCCTCTGAAAAGGGTGTCAGTCTGAGGCCCAGCTCTGTTTCAAGCTTCCGGCTAGTCATGGATATGTCAGCGGGGGAGGCAACGCCCCGGTTGACACTGCTGGAGGGCGCAGAGACTATGGCATCGGGTGAGTAACCCCACACTTCTGCTACTTTTGCGGCCATGTCGACCCTGCTCAGCCTCTCTGGACCCCCCATATTATACACCCTGCACCCACATGCATGAGCACTCTCAGAATACTGATATTGACAGTGAAACAGCTTGTAACCACTGCAGCACAGCAGATATACAAGGGACTTGCAGCATGACAAGGTGGAAGTCTTGCCTACTTTCTCAGTTAAACTCATGTCCAGGCAACCTTGAGCAATCTTCATCAAGGGCGGGCAAATGCAGAGGTCACATCTGAGGAATCCATTGGGCATGCCATCTTGCCAATAACAAGCCCTGGTCAACAGGATGCATGCCCACCTGCCAGACAGTACAGTGCCAGGCTGCAGCAACCGCAGAACAACCGACACAATGTCATCCACAAAGACCGGGTTCCTGAACTCGTCGTTGAAGAAGCTGGTGGGGGTCCCCTCCTTTAGCTGTCGCGCGACAAACTGCAGGAACAGCGCCCGCGATACGGGCGTCGGACTCTGCGGCCCGTAGATTATGCTGCTCCTGAGAATGACGCAATTCGGCCATCGCTCCTGCAGAACAAAATAGCGCCGTCTCTTCATTGGGCATTTAAGGTGTCATTTCCTTCTCACAGCTAGGAAGGGGACTGGTGAGAAGTCCTGCTGGGTCCAGTAGTGCATGCCATTGTGCACGGCAGGTGAGACCTAGTTGACCAATAGATGAAGTCCTGCACAGATGTGGATTGCACTTCGCACCTGTATCAGCTTCTCTGCTTCCAGCTTTGTTTTGCCGTAAGCGTTCACAGGATTGCCGGCTTCCTCTTCTCTCCAATTACTTCTGCTACCATCGTACACCTGCGGTAGATAAGAGAACAGATGTCATTTGGTGGCAGACTTAGCGCTGTGCTGTGCTGTGCTTGCCTCCAACTAAAAGCTCACAGCATGAGAATAGGAGTATGTTGCATATTTACAGGCAAGTCTGGGGTTGAAAATTCGACCATATCTCTGCACCTGATCCGTCGATAGATGGATGAAGAGAGGATGGCTTCCATGCTCTCCGGCATGCACAGAGAGCGCGTCAAGAAGCTTGCTTGGGACATTGACAGCCCTGCGAGCACTGGAAGTTACATCTTTCGTTCCCCAACCAAGTACAGCCCAACACATGCACAGCATAATGCGCATACCTTGCTGTGTCAGGGTCTTTTTCACAAGCTCCTGGAGATGAGATGGCTGCAGTGTTGATAATTGCGGACAGTGATGGAAGACTGGAGATGCATTGCTCCAAACCTTCCCCACTCACTAGGTCCACCTGCGCCAAATACAGAAGTCCGCTAGACTAGCGCCATGCAAGCCATATGAGAATTGTGTCAGAGCATCAAGAGTCAGTGCTGCAAAAACCAACCAATGCAAGGCAGACCTCCAACAGCTTTGAGGTGTCTCACCCAATATGCTGTGACGTCTCCTCTGAGAATTGGTGCTGCAGTACTGTGATGCGTGAATGCTACCTGCCAAGCAGAGAGGTGTTGAGTTGTCTACCATCGATCAATGGGGACATGGATGTCAAGGAGGGGCTCTTTGCAAAAGTTGAATACCTGAAAGTTTGCTTTTGCCAACGCCTGCACAAGAAACTGTCCGAGGTAACCAGATCCCCCGGTTACCAATACAACAGGCTTCCCTGATGAAGCCATCTTTATCGTGCTCACAACATCCACCAGTTCAATCGTGCCCACGTGTGAAGACTCCCAGCAAATTCTATACAAGCTACCTTACACTGATCCTTCGACTACTGCTTTACGCACTTAAAATCTTGCGAGAGCCATTTCTAAGAGTTGCTACTGATCTCAGTAGATTTCTGTGAAGCTGAGGTGATAAGGTATTGCAACAAAAAGTGAAGAAGAAAGCCCTTAGCGTCTGAGAGCCTGTGAGTATCGCTTGCAATTGTTTGTCACATTAATTCACCTAATGATCGTCGTTTGAAAAAAATGTTTACCTATATAGCTGTTGTGACAAGGTTTTGTAGCTGTGTCTGTATGAGTGATTCCCCTCGAGTCAGTAGGGTTCAAGGGCTTCAAACCTGCAAGTTTTCAATGTTTAAGAATTTCTTGCTCAGGCCCCACATTTTTAGCTCTGAGCTCCTCAGTACACTGAGAATCTTTTTTCTCAAAGGATTACAAGTGATGTAACATTGCCAGCGTGTGCATGCAAGGGGCGCACGGTTATTTATTTTATCCCACGATCGCGAGCTCAAAATTTGAGGTGCCACTAGAAATCAGTGATCCCAAGTACTCAATAGGCTGCCGTCATCACGTGGTCATGCCAAGTGGCACATGTCATGTACAGAGCTCCCGCGCATGATCTCATGTCCCACCCATAAGTCATGAATAGGGTCATTATCAACCTTATGCAACACATGCAATAACCCCAGCAACAATTTGAACCATCCAGAAGCCCTTCCATTTCATGGCCAGCAAAGTTCTGGGCCACCTGATGCTTGACTATGCTAGATCGACCCTTCTGCATTTATTCATACAAGTACAGGTGCAGCTTTCTCTAGGGACTGCACCAACGGGATTCACAGTGTCACTTAGTGTAACACACATTTCTGTGGCATAATTGCTGTTCTGGAGTGCTGTCTGGTAAGTGCCTTATTGTGGTACATGCTGTTCCAAGGGCGCCAGATATCACAGCAGTGTCAGCAGCCCCCCAGACATGCAAGTCCCCTGCCAGCTCCTCACCCGTAGGGATTGTCAAACTGCAAAACAGACGAAAGTCCCGTCAGTAACCTATCGCTTATCAACAAATTCATGAACTACCGCAGCAATGAAAAGTCTTATCAGCACTGAAACCCTGTGCTGATTGCCTGGACGCATTTGTTCTCCAATCCAAGCGCTAGCATTAGAAAAGATTACAGGGCTTGCCACTGGCACCAATGTAAATGAAGTGCATCGCAGACAGCCAATAATACAGAACACTTGTGCTTCCTCGCAGGAGATGACGGCCGCAGATCTCGACAGAGGGCCACAGCAACCCAACAACACATGAAAGCTTATGGTGCTTTCCCTACAACAAGAGTGGAAGGGGAAAGGAGGGGAAAGGGACGCCAGTGGCACCTGCTTGACGAGTGAGGGGATATCCAGGGAGAGTGCATCCTCCAGCGCCTTCACATCCTTCTCCTTGAGCTTGGGGAAGGTGGACAGGTCATAGCCGCCCAGGATATCCCGGTACCTGTTCACGTCCGGAAAGTCCCCTGCAACACGCATGACCACATGTTAGACACAGCTTCCTCCACTCTCGAGGCATCGCCAATCGCCCCTTTTCATTGCCATCCTGCAGGTGATTTGCCAATGCCAATCAGATTTCTCAAAAGCATGACAGCTCTGAAGAACTCGGAGGATTGGAGACACAGCAGACAACCCCCAAAAAAATTACATTACAAGCTTCATGATTGCATGCTTCTGGATTATTCTCATCAAGATAAGCAGGTGGCAAGGAGGTATAAAAAGAAATTTATCGCAGGTGAGCACCTGCCGGCAGGTGGTGCTCGCGTTGCACATGGGCGAAGTGGGTGGGCAGGTCGCGCAGAAGCTTCTCCTGCGCCTTCTGCTTGCCCATCATGGCCGGCATCTGCTTGCGCAGGTGGCCGATGATGAGCGTGTGGATCTTTGCCGCACGCACCCGCTTCACAAACTCGTTCACCTGCCGTCACCAAGCTCTACTCACGAACGGCAGGCATGCCCACACAGCAATATTACATTAATCACCATTCAACCCTCGATGGATTCCTCTCTTGCTAGGCAGCGGGTGTGACTAAATTGGTGCAGAGGACTCGTGGCAAGTTTGCTTTCAAGTTTGATTCTGATCCCAGATCCCAGTAAGAGGTCACCAGAGCTGAATCCACAGAAGTGGCTGCAACAAAGATGAAGCGTTCAAGGCCCCTTCACAACCCAAGATCTGCATCAGAAGAGCTGCACGCACATTGTTGCGAGAATCTGCACACACAGGTATCATATATGCACCTTGCGGTCGCATGCGCGCTGGGGGATGTCAAAGAGGTCCTGCAGCAGGTCGGCCTGCTCCTTCTCAAACAGCTCCAGGCCGGCCGGGTTGAGGTCCGTACGGATGGGCTTGTCAGCGTTGAAGGAGCCAATGTACACCTTGCACACCTGCAAGCCAAGCCTTCATTCTGTCAGAAAGTGACTTTTAGAGAGCCCTTGGTGTGGCTTACAATACAAAAATATGCAGACGGCAACTGATTAGATCTCGGTGTCCCTCTCTCAAGCAGGGCAGACACTAGGACCGGCCGGCGGACAATGCAAGGCCTCTCCCAAATAGGGGGAACAAGCAAACAGCAGTTACGAGTCTCAAGATTGTCCTCAAGAAAAACCAAACAGAGTGAGGCCATGCCCTCCAAGTTGAAAAACTACCCAAAAAGCTTCCTTGCTATTACGTTGTAGTTTTCAAGACATTGGAAAAGCCTCAGCAAGGGAGAAAACGGCCCAACCAGCAGATCAGAGCAAGGGCAAATATACATATAAAGTGATTGGTCTGTCAGAAGAATGCTGGCTCTACCTCTGGGGATTTGAAGACTTTGCCGAGGGACCACATGAGGGCGCCGTAGACGCGCATGAGCTGCTGCATGTCCACCTGATCGGCCTTGTTCAGCACCACTCTCACCTTGTCATCGTGGCCCTTCAGCGACTGGATCACCTGCGCTCACATCCATGCACACGTGCCTCCTCAGCATTGATAATAACAATAAGACTTATTATTGGTGACCTGTTACTGGGATCTGGGATCAAGAATCAAAGTCGAAAGCAAACTTGCCGCGAGTCCTCTGCACCAAAGGAATTTCTGCCAGAGGTAAGGTGCGTCTGCAGACAAAGTGCAGTAAAGGCTGCCACATATCCTACCCCTTGATGGACTCGCCAGATCCAAAACAGACCCAATCAACCGTGGGCACAGTGCTCAGTATCTATACATTCAAAATCTCTGCAACCCTCTCCTGCCGGTCTGTCAAACGATGAGTGATTTGACAGACGTGATCTAGAAGATCTGAATTGCATATAGCATGCAGCCTTCCTGCAATGTTTTTTTGCTCAAACTGCCAAACTGGGCACTTCAAGTCTTCAATAACCATGCAGGTTATCAACCATGCAGTAACCATGCAGTCTCCTTAAGCACCTATCTCGTTAATGTGCTAACGGGTTGTCAGTTGACAGGCATGATGCACAACATCCTCATGCATTACGACTGCATTACGACTGCTTTGGGGTCATTGAGGGCTCATGATTCTGCGTCATGCCTGCCAAAGAAATAGCCCTTTGGCAGACTGGGAGGGTGAGTGAGGAGGGCCCCACCTCCTTCATCTCGTCGCTGATGTCCAGCTTGGCAGGGTCGAAGAGCAGCAGGATGAGGTCACAGCGCGCAGCAAACCAGCCGCACACCTCTATGAAATTGTACGTGCGCTGCAGTGCAGACAAATCACATCAGCAGCCAATCTGATGAGGGAAAAACGTGGCCATCCCACTCTGGAAATTAAATTCACGGCAATTTCCCTGATCAGTGAGAGGTACATTTAAAAGAGAAAGACTGTTGCCATCATACATTCAGTTCCAGCCCAGTTCATGCCAGCAATTGACGAACATTCCTTCCTTCATCATTCACAATTTAAGGCACTCTACATGCGTTTTGCATGGCAAAGGGACCCTATATCAGTTATTTTACAGCCCCTGCATGGCACAGAGAAACGGAGAAACGAAGGAAATAAGGCAACTGTGGCGCCAGGCTGACCTCGATGCGCTGCTTCTCGCCGGAGAGCACACCAGGCGTGTCTACCAGCGTGACCTCCTCCAGCAGCTGGTTGGGACAGGCCGCGGCCTCAAACTTGGCCAGGAAGCCGTTGCCGTACTGCGACAGGCCCTGCACGCATGCATACACACATCGCATTATCATTATCATTATCATTATTATTATTATTATTATTATTATTATTATTATTATTATTATTATTATTATTATTATTATTATTATTATTATTATTATTATTATTATTATTATTATTATTATTATTATTATTATTATTATTATTACACACTTTCCTGCCAAGAGGCAAGGTGCGTCCTGCAGACAAGCTGCAGTTAAAGGCTGCCACAATCCTACCCCTTGTTGGACTCGCCAGATCCAAGCAAGACCCAATCAACCGTGGGCACGGTGCTCAGTGTTTGTACCGCCCCCCGCCAGCCGGGGCCAATCGCATTAGGCCAGACAAATCTTAGCCCAAATGCGCGCGTTAAGAACAAGCTTGGGGCACCCCAGTGCGACGGAGTGATGCTTCAGAAGGCCGGGCTTACCAAGAGAGCAAGAGAGAAGCTGCAAGTTCTGCGGGTGTGTACACACACTCACACAGTCTGAAATGCACACAAGACATTTGCAGATGTCAATGTGTGTGTTCTACCCAGAACAGTGGGGAAGCCAGAATTGGATGCCACCAAATTTGGGAAATGGTACAGCTGTCAAGTCCCCATCACTGCTTGCACCAAAGGACTTCTATTCCCTGTGCACAGTCTCCTGCAGGTAAGTTTCTGTTCCCCGTGTAGAGTCTCCTGCAGGTCACTTACTAGTCCCTCTGTAGGATTTACTGGGAGCACCATAATATAGATGCAATCCAAAGGGTGAATTTGATGCAGCACCTGGTAGGGCTTGTCTGGCTGCACGATGAGAGTGTTGCCAGGCGTGCGCCGCTCTTCCAGGCCATGCATGACCACCACAAATCGGTCCGTAGTGGGCTCCGGCCCGATGTGGATGCCCGGGTACTCCCGCCCCAGCAGGTGCTTGATGAACGTCGTCTTGCCTGCACACAATCACAACCGCCCACATCTCAGCAATGCTTAATCTTAAGGTACACACTGCGATTAGACTGTGAGGAGGCTGATCAGTCCTCAGCCATCCCACAGCTAGGTGGAGATATCACGACAGTGATTCTTCCATTGATAATCCCTGGAATCTGCATGAGGCTTTGTTTCTGCACTGTGCGCCTGCCACAAAAGTGTGTCTCTTCTCTCACTCAGAGCCCAGATTTCTTTTCTAATCTCTGTGTGATTAATGTGCAAACTGCAATTTTGTGATTGTTGGAGGCAGGTTTGCGTTGTGAAGGGGCAGGACCTGTCGAGTACTGGCCGAGGAGTAGAACGGATGGCTTGGCGTAGAAGTCGCTCTCGTTCAGATAGGAGGAGAAGAAAGCTCCAAACTTGTACATCTCTTCCAAAGGCCGGATCTGCAGGCAGACACGTACTTCAATTGCAGTGACATCCGCCAAATTTTGAGGAATAATCCATGTTTGATGTCTGACAAAAGAGCTGGTAAGCTGGAAAACGAGTGCTTGTCAGCCTGCACCATGTACCACGAACGAGCACTTCCCAAAAATCATGACACTGAGCACTGTGCCTAGGGTCTCGCATGGATGCGGCCATTTGAAGAAAGGGTGGGATAATTAAAGCCTTCACCTGCAGCCTGTCTGCAGACGCACCATGCCCAGGAGCCTCTATTGAATCCGGGGACAGGGACATTAGAAGCACCTGTCAAAATGGGGCAATTGACGCGCACCTTGGTGAAGTAGATGAGTTTGAGGCCGTCCACGATGGAGGTGCACTCCGCGGTGGACAGCCGAGACTTCTTTGTGGTCCTGGAACGGCCCCAGCCAGACTTCCTCGCAGACCCAGGGGTCATCGAGGACGGCGTGGACGCCTGCAGACGTTCAAAATCTCAGCCAAGCAAGTAGACAGTGCCCTTCTGAGCAAGAATATACCTTCCAGACGAAAAAGTTGAGCCCATATTATGAGAATCATTGCTTGCTACCCTCCCAGACGGGCTTCAACCTTTGTAAGCCAAGCACAGGCGCAGCGCCTGCAAGAAATGTGAAGCGCAGCAATGCATGCAGCCCATGAAGGACAGGCACTGCATTCCTAGGATTGTCTTGGCTTTGGCTTTGGCATTGGCACAGGTGCGCTTGCAGGGCAAGATTAGGCCCAGAAGTCAAGAATGGTGGGGAGTGCCTATTCCGACCACGATCAGGCAATCCTGTTACAGGTCAGGACACTACAAACAAATTGCATCACTGGCAAGAGTGAAGTTGTGAAGTGCATGCGGTCACCAAGTGCAAAGGGAAGGGCTCACCATGGAGCGCGCAGGGGAGGGGGCCGGGGGAATGATGGCTGGCGGCCGGAAGGGGGCCGCGCCGGGGGAGGGAGCGCCGCTGTATGTGTCCGCGTCAGCGCCCGGGCGCGTCGGGGGGGCCCCGTTAGCCGCAAAGGGATTTGACTCGGCCTCTGATATGCGCAGCTGCTCCACCTGAAGATGACTAATCATGTTAATTGATGACTAGTGGACTCTCTGATTGGCTGATTCTCTTGTTTTTCCCTGCCTTTCTGCCCCCGGGGCAGGCCTCAATGGCCCCACATTCTGATCATTGACTGGGTGACTAAGCCAAAACTTTTCCTTTGACGTGCATCTCTGGCTGCATGTCTGACTGGTAGCATCCACGTGCCCTGAGTATTGTTGTAGTCTGCTGCAGGTGAATATCAATGAGTTTCGTTTGTGGTTACCTGATCCTCAATGCCCACCATCTGGGGCGGTGGCAAGATGCCCCCGACCTCGTTCCACGCCTGTGTGTATGCCTCGGCAGAGACCTCGCCCGTCTCCTGCGCGACCGATATCAGGTCCATTGCCTGCAGCCACAGCCACAGCCGCTCAGGGGTCAATAGCAGGTACATTGCCTAAGCTTCATAAAGCCGCTCAGGAGTGGCTGCAGGGCAAGCAGCAAAAACTATACACCGCATGGCAGAAGCTAATAGTGCTCCCATGTTTGGTAAGAATTGGTTGCATGGCAAGACAGCTATGTGCAGACCTTGCTGAAGCCCTTCACATCGAGGTAGCCCCTCCTGCTGCTGTCAGCGAGGCTCCACACCTGCAGGCATGCCCAACGCACTGATGATGTTGCAATACCCCTCATGGCAAGAGAAGACCACAACTTCACTGATACTACAGTGCATCTTCATTAGTCATAGGGAAGGATGTGCAGCACCTTTGCCAACAAATCTCGAGGGAGCCCAGACCGCTCAAAAAATCTGACTGCATCGGCGCCTGTCAATTTTCCATCAGCATCTGCAGGACATGCATTGCTTAGTATCTCTGTCTTTTGCAATGAGCATCAGGCTAATTGCACTTGACAGTTGTATCAAGGGTGAAGAACCCACTACCATATCCACAAAGCACTCGAGAGAAGACAAAAATCTGTGTAGTCAGGGGAGCGAAATTTCAGGACATTTATATATTGGTCCTACGCTGTCTATATGAATTCTGGAAGGGCATTCGAGAGAATGATATGACTTCAATATGTACCTTGATAACAGATCCTGTACTATGCTTTCTGCATAAGAAAGAGATGGGAGACCACCGAACTCAGTGAGAACACACACCTTTATCGGCAACACGAAACCATTCGGCGAACTTGTGCTCGTTGTCGAGGTTTCTAGGGAGGGTCTCGTGCGAGCCAAAGGGATTTCTCGCCATGGCTTGGTTTGTACTGTTCTGTGGAACGCTTCACCCCGTATGAACTGGCACCCCTGGCAAATTAGAGTTCATTTGCACAGTCCAAAGTATGCCTTTCTTTTCAGCGTGGAATTAGCTGCTTCCTATAAGGGTAGCAGCTGCTTGATCACCCCTGCGTTCCAGATCTGAACAAGTTGCCTCTGCCTGTGCTGTGAAAGCCGTTGTTAGCCTTCGGTGCAGTCGAGTCCCTATCTAAAGGTCAAATGCAAGTATTGCGTGCGACTGTTGGTGATACAGGAAGGTGCTTTGCTTGCTTGATCTAATCGGGGTTGTCCAAGAGAAGATTACGTAGACATGAGTAACGGCCAGGTGGCAAATGGCTTTCTTGGAAGCTGGAATCAGCTCCTCGATGAAAAGGCGTCAAATACGCCGAAATTTTTTATCCTTTGCCACGGCAGTCATCAACACTTTGACAAGTGGCACTCTACTTTCCAGGACAATTGGCTGACCTGCCTCTGAGTTGTGGTGAAAGGCCGTTTTCAAGGGTTCAGGTCGACCAATAGCCTATGATGAAACCGTGTGCTGGCCTGGCTCGAGGGGTCCATAAGCAGCAGGAATGACCACCACAGCGCAGGATGTGCCCGGGCAAGCACCGCATGCCAGAGCTGCAGCCGGCCATACACGGCTGGAGACGACAGTGGACGTCGTGAAGGGGGAGTCTTTCAAGACCGACTGGCAGCCCCCACCTACCCTCACGTGGCCTGTGCCTGAAGGTGTGCACCTCGAGTTGCCTCAGATCCTCGAATCAAGCGCATGCAAATAACCGAGTGCAAGCCTTTCGTGATCCTAAAAGTTCCCCCTTGGGTTCACAGGAGATTACAGGGACCAGCTCCCTCCCCTCATTCGTGAGGTGGCTGAGCAGTATGCGCCAGTCGTGCGCAATGGCAGGTGGACACACGGCCTCTTCGAGGTGTCACAGCTCTGCACTTCTCAAACACCATACAGCATGCATGCCTTTTGCATGTGTGTGCCTTTGGCATGCCTTTTGCGTGTGCGGCATTTTTGCAAGAACAGCTGGGGATATGTTGTTCCCTTCTGGAGTCTGCTTCGCTCTGATGTCTCCGCACAGATTGGTGATGGCCATCTGGTGAAATGAGTGGCTGATTGGTTGATGTACAGTCTTTGTTTGTGCAGTGCTGGGCGCCAAAGATGAGGGTGCTCAAGGCCGGTGTCCACATCCCCTGCTGGTGAGAGCTTCACATCTATGTCAAGATATGCTCCTTATGTCATGCAAATGCTCTGGACTGGGGTTGGTGACATCCCCTTTTTATGCTGTCTGCCCTTTGTGCGCACGATTATGTGTTTCACTGTCTATTGTCCTGCTGGATTGCCTTGGAGTGCCTTGGCATGCCTGGGGTGAGGGAAGTCAAATTTTTATTATTATTATTATTACACGCCCATCCAAGCCACAGTAGGCTTAGGTGCGTCGCAGCAGCGTTTCTATGACAGCCTTCCAACTCGGCCTATCTTGGCACCTTTTCCACCATGTCAAGCTCAGCCCAAGACTGTCCAAGTCTTTCCTGACACAATCATTCCAAGACTTTATAGGCCTACCAGTCAAATAGTGTCTTGAATTTGCAATGATGGCAGGGAGGCATACAGCCTGAACCCCTTCAGGTGGCGCGGCGCATGCTTTGGGCGCACAGTGGGCGAGTGCTTCTGGGTGGGCATACACCCCACGCGCTGGGCGCGCTCTGCATATGGAGGCGACCTCGGAGCCCGCTTCAGGGGCAAGCCACAAAGCCGTAGGTGTGCAATCTTGACTTCTCAGCTGCTGTGGCTCGCAAATTGTGCAGATATTGGGGCCGTCCACACTAGTGAATGCGGGGCCAATTTGGCATCTGGTCGGCTGAATCTAGCGGGGGGCCCGTGGTTGGACCCAACGAAGAGCCCTGCTCGTGGTTGGGGCCAACGACGAGGATTTCTTAGGAACGCGGGGCAAATTTGGCGTAAATGTGGACTCAAAGCCCTCCGTTCGGGAGATAATGAGGAACCAACCACGAGCTTGACTCTGTTAAGTGTGGACGACCCCATTGTTCAAAGCCGTGCTCAGTGTCCAACATTTGCAGAAATCCGCTGTCAGTTTGATCTTCATGTATGCATCTGTTTTACTGTTTCGTGCAGTGATGCCTGCGAGATTTAGGATCGCATCAGTGAAATAAATTTCTGTCCATCAGGATGAACCTATCATAGGCTACCACAGGCATGTGCTATCTTGTGGCAGCTTGTGCGGTTCACGTCCGGATGGACATGAATTCACTGTGCAAACATGTAAAAGTAATCACTTAGAACAATTCACTAACAATATTGCGCGCAGAACGTGGAAGGAGGCGATAGCGAGTTTGTCAGCGCTCTACTGTGGGGCGTCGGTGGCGATCGGCTGCGGTCTGGGCCACATATGGAACGCCTGCGGCAGCTACGGCCTCAACACCATGTCATGGTATGCACAAGGGAACTCAGCAATTTTGAATTTATTTGGTAAATAGGGCCAAAATATCCTCCTGCTGGTGGTGTAGGCAATGCAGCATGCACATAGTGGACTTTCACATGCATTCTGCAGAGGCTGATCTGCAGCAAAAGAAAACATTGAATTCGTTTTTTTTTTCTTTTCTTTTTTTTTGTTTTTCGAGCACGTTTCAGTCATGACCGCCAAAAATACTCCGCTCACTCTGATCTCCATGAGAACCCTTTCCCTCAAACTGGAGTCTTCAAAGGTCCAGTTTGAGGACCTTTGAAGACTCCGATTGGGCACTTTGCTGGGCCCCCCTCTGCTCACAGCAGGCCGCTTGTGCAGAACCAAGCGCTGTGCTCGCATTCAACCTGCGCGCATTTTTATTGAAATTTCAAGGATTCTGTTGTGATGCCGCACAATGCAGGTTCTCATGCGTGTCGCGGCAACACCTGCGGCAGCGGTTTGCGCTGCCGTCGACGTTTGGACTGCCGGCCGGCTGCGATGACTGCGCGGTGCACACCTGCTGCATGTACTGCGCCAGCCACCAGGAACTGCGCGAACTAGCCGTCCGCGGCATCGGGGGGCCCGGTGCGCACATTTTTTTTCCTTCGTAAAGTCTTAACAGATACTCAGCTACTCTTCACTCTCCAGCGTTCTGTCCCATTTGGGGGATTTGGATAGCTAGATTTCTTGGGTGGCGCCCTTGTTGGAGGGCACCAAGCTCTTGTTGAAATTGCGCGCGGCATCGCCAGGCCAGATGAGCCCCTGCTTTCCGTTTTTTTCTCTTTCTAACGTAATAATCTAAGAAGTTGAGCAGATTGGCTCTCCAGCATTCTGTCCCCTTTGTGGGAAATATGTGCTCGGCATCAGCGGGCCTGCTGCGTTCCATGGGCCGCTGGCTCTTAATTTTGGGGTTCTCATGTTCTTTCCATGTTGCTGTCCTGGTGGAGACAATGCACAGACCGTGAAGACTCGACAATCGTTGTTAGACTGGATGTGTCTAGATCGGTGACCTACACCTCCAGGAGTCGGAATCAGTGTGGTGGTAAAATCAAATCAAACAAGCATATACCCTCTTTGGCCCCGGCTGGCGGGGGGCAGTACAAATACTGTGCACCGTGCCCACGATTGATTGGGTCTTGCTTGGATCTGGCGGGTCCAACAAGGGATAGGATTGTGGCAGCCTTTAAGTGCAGCTTGTCTGCAGGACGCACCTTGCCTCTTGGCAGGAAAAGCGTGTAATAATAATAATAATAATACCCTCTTCTTGGCTCTCCAGCATTTTGCCCTGGAAGATTTGATGGAAGATGGTCTCAGGTTTGTTGTGCGGCGGTCCTGTTCAAGGCAGCTAGCTCATCCTAGGATTGTCAGATACTCAAAACTTGTTGCCTTAGACAGTGATGCCAGATGGCCCTGGGGTGGAGAGAGGGCCCTGCTTCCTTTGCTTGCATCATAGTTGTGCGCACTTCTTGCGCAGTCAGTCAAAAGGAAACACGGGGAGTTGCCATGGCGCCTCCCCGTGTTTCCTTTTGACTTTCCGTGCAAGAAGTGCACATGGAAGTGCAGGTCCAAGGTCATAACTGTATGTTCTCCTCAAACTTAGTCCTCACGTGATTGCCTGCCTCTTGAGCACCTGCGTGCACATATTAACAAGTCCTTGTCTTCCGAGCACATGCCCGCGCATGCATGCAGGCATCCACGTGCTGGACGTGACTCCGCGTTCGTTCAGCCACGTGCCGGGGATTGACGTGCGGCTGCAGGAGAGCACGGCTGAGCTGGCAGCCATGGAGGAGGCCCCTGTGGCGTTCCCTCCCGCCGCTGCAATTCCCCCCGCCGCTGCAATACCCCCGGCCACTGCCATTCCAGAGGAAGTGGAAATGCAGCGCGTGCCCTGAAGAATGTTGCCCTACACCATCAGAGGAGATCTACTATACTGTGGCATATCCCCTTGCAACAGTGAGCTGTTTAGAAATCCCCCTGATTACCAATACGGGGTGTTTTGACTGGCAGAAGTGTGTTCAAAGGCCAAGACAAGCTTTCCGTGTGCGCATCATGCTGGCAGACTGCGGATCTGGGGATTGATTGAGATTGCTGTGAAGACACTTTGCAGATGACTTGCAACTTGTCATGCAGATTTATGCTGCGGCTTAGGGTCCAGTGGAATACAAAATGATACGTTGTGAAATGACTGACGGTTGCTTGGCAAGTGGTGTGGCGTGCTTCGTTGCGCATGCAGACCTTGAAAAAAAGTGCACATGTATGGTTTGTGCAGACTTTAGAAGTGGATCATTGGTTGACCTTTGATGTCAAGAGATGTGCTGAAGAGATTTGACTTCATTCTAATATTTAGTACAGTGGCTGCACAATGTCACCAATGACATTGTGGGCCATGGATTTGGTTGAAGAAACATTCCGGTAAGCTCATACCTGCCACAAGAGTTCAACTCTGAACGCGAAGAATTCTTTGCATATCACCTGCACCAAAGCATTCAACAAAAGTAAAGCAACAAAAGTAAACATAGTCTACATCCTGTTCCCAAACCTCACTCCACACAACGAAAGAAGCCCACAATCAGTGCACTGCCCCTGCTATGGGCAAGCTGCAATTGTAACCTCCACTGAAGACTCAGATGCTGATTGCATGGATCTGCCGCAGCAGCGCTTGCGTCTCAGCGCTAAACTCAGCTAGCTCGTCCTCCTGCAATGCATTCTGGACTCTGCTACCTTGCTGCTGCAAACGCTCTGACTCCCCTCTTTCCAGAACATCCCTACTCATCTCTGCTGCTGCCAATGCGCTGTCTGCTTCTGCAACGGGCCCCTGCTGTGCATGCTGAGCTGCCACAGTCTCTGGCAGTCCTTCTGGTAGCCTGCTCTGGCTTGATAGGAGGGTGGGAGGAGGGGCTTCTGCATCCAGCCACCCTCTGTTGGGCCCTGCAGCCGCCATGAGCTGCTGAGGGGAGAGGAAGGTATGCTCGAGAAGCTGCGCACTGTCAGAGGCGGCTGCACGCTTCATCTGCTTCTTCAGCTGCTCTGTTGCCTTCTGGAAGTCCCCCAGCTGCTGAGTGATGTCCTCAAACCTGCGCATGGGCATACATTTAGATGCAACCTGTGACTTGGACAATGTATGCTAGTCCTCACAGGTTCCACAAGATACGATACAGTAGATTGGCACACACAAACAATGAGGAAATCATGGGCATGACTTTGCTACTATTTTCTTCGCATGCCGAAGCCCTGTTGATTGCCCCTGTTTCAGTAGTCTAGGGTCTACTGAAAGCACCTCTGTTGAAAAATAACGATGAGCGGTAGGGGGATACTTGAATCGATAGTGACTTATACTAGCATGCAACCCATGACTATTGCAAAGTCTGTCGCTCATCACAACCACCACGCTCAAGATGTTTGATACTTTGTGCACACAAAGTGAAAGTAGATCGTGCATGCATGGCAATGCAGAGAAAGTGGTTGAGGCATGGTGCACTATTGTTGCTCGACAGTACTTGCAGGAGGTATTGGCAGGAGGCTCACTCTCTTCTCTGGGGCGAGCTCCATCTGCCTCGCTGGCGCTCAAACTTGTCGATGACCTTGTCCACCTCCCTCTTCGCAATCCTCTTCTCCTGCTGTTGCTTTTCCAGCGCCTGTGCAGGCCCACATCAAATCTCTCTCAGCACTGATTACTGCCCGTCCAGTGCATCTCTGCGAGTGGAAGCTTGCTCACATCACTGTTTTCAATGGTACTTCAATCCTTAACCATGCGGTCCTTCAGATATCACTCCCCAAACAATCGAGCAGATATCAGGATGATGTGGAAGCTTGTGCAGACCTGAAAGCTTGAGCTTCAAACCAGAAATTCCTGAATGAGGAAAATCTGGAGACGGCTTGTAGAGACATAGACATCCACTGTGTTGAATAGGGGAAAATCGTAGGTCAGCTGCAGAGGCAATACAGCATCAAAGCGGCACATGCCGGCATGCCGCGTTCACCTGCTCCCGAATGCGCTGCTCGGCGGCGCGCAGCCGCAGCTCCAGTTCCAGCGCCTTCTCTCGGCAGGCGCCAAGCGCAGCCTCCAAAGCCACAGTGCTGTGGGCCCCCCGCTCCCTACCGCCGGCCCCCCAGTCCCCACTGTCAGCCCCCCCGGTTCTCCCCACTATGGCCGGATCCGCACGCGCAGCCGCGCCGGCGCTCGCGAAGCGCATGTGCGTGCCCGCCAGCACAGCGCCTGCAGCATGGCAGCAGCCGTCCTTTATTTCCAGACTTTGTGTTGGTTTGCCTGATTGTCAATAAACCTGTGATGCTGAGTGGGAGCTCATCACTGGAATTACTGAATCTGACCTCCTGTTGTTATAATAAGTGTGGTGTTTGGACGCGTAGAAATCCCTTCCGGGGCCAATCCCTTGACATTGTGACAAGACAAGAACGGGCTGCCGTCCTCAAAGAGCGCAATCAATGGACTGTCAGAACATCAGCATCCTGCTGTGTGCCTGAGCCGTCTCTGAAGTACATAATGCTCTCTGGCATTATTAAAATCTGCTTCCAAGTGCAACACTCCTGCAGAATATCTGTATGGGCTTGCATGCACCAAGAGGTGCTCACCTCCGCTGTGCTGGTGCCCGCTGGTGGGCTGGCCTCTGCAAGAGGATCCGGCCCTGGGGGCTGCCCTGGGGCTAGCAGATCTGCGCCAGGGCTCCTCCAGCCTTGGCAAATTTCTAATCGTCTCCTGCAGAGCCGCCCTCTGCGCGTGCCTGCCACAGTATGCCTCCAACGCCAAGCCACCCCTGCCTGCATCGCCAGGCACAGCCTGAACTTACTTTTTATTTAGCTGCGCTGTCCTCAACAACCTGCCCTTTGCAGACTAACCTGTTGCGGTGACTTTTGTACTGGCTTCGCAGCTGCGAAGGCAAAGGCAGGGGGGTGTAACAAGCGTATGGGCTAGCATCAAGAGAGCCTGCCCCTCCACACCCCAATGAATGCACCAGGTGTTGAGGACCAGAAAGTGGTTGGCACCTGATGTGCTTGCGAGTGGGCTGCATCTCTCCAGCGCTGCCTGCAACTTGGCGGGGCAGCTTGCTGCGAGGGCCATGTCTGCAGCAGTACGCTCCCTGCACAGCATTGCAGATCCCCTCGAGACTGAGGTTCTGGGTCAAGACTGCACGCATAGGTGCACTTCTGTAGAGCAAGAAGAAACACAATTCATGCTGTGACAGGGTGCTCCACCCGGAGGATGGGTCATCTGTTACTAATGCGCAGACCCATATGAAGATAATAAAGTGGCTGATGTCAAGTGCGAGAGGTAGTGACCTGGGGGCGGCTGGCTTTTTCTGGGGAGTCAGGAAGGGAGCGAGCGTCCAGCGGCCCAGGGTTGGCAAGCAGCCTGGGCCGGGCAATGAGGTGAAGGGGTGAGTCAGCCTGCCAGCTCGCAACTGCTCCAGCAGCAGGCGAGCATGGGTGTTGCGATTGCGCTTCCACACTGCATTGGCTGTCTCCTGCCTGAATTTCTGCAGCCACTGCTTCACGCGCACGCGCGCATCCCTCCTCAACAATTCCAAATGCTGCATTATTTCGAACTCCACCTGTGCACGACAAAGTGAGGATGTGGTGTCTCAGTATGTCTGACTGCACTTGGTGATAATGGTTCATGAGCTGTGGTATGAAATAAGACTGGCTCTTGATGAAACATCGTAGTGTTAGCAGACCTTTTCGTAAGTCGCATCAAGGGAGTTCGCTGTCTTTATCTCATTGTAGGCAGCGTTCCAACTCTCCAAAGATCCCATCCAGGGATTTGTCCTAGTCCGTGGGCACCAAATGATGCAAGCTAACCCCAACTACATATACTGTTCTTGACAAGAATTCACAAGCACAGTCGTATTGCTGATGTTCAACGCCTGTTGTAGTGAAAGATGTGTGAAGGGGTAAGTTCAGCGCACTGAAACAGCTGTGGGTTGTAAAACTAACGCATTACATTGTGCTCATCGAGGTTGAAGACAATAAGTGGCATGCATTGACCAACTCGTGGGCATGTGACGTTTCAGAGCTGTCAACGCTATTTTAAACCCGTTGAATGTGGGAACGGGGTAACACATGCAATGTCTATTTTTAGACGACAGGTCATGCCAAGTGAGCTCAGATGTGAATCCATGTGCCCTTGTAAAGATCTGGATTTCAATAGACACATGTGTCTGCAACCAACAAAAGCTCACTGCCGGTGGACACAGTAGCTTCAAGTCAGAATTTTATCAATATTGATTAATGCAAACTTTAAAGATTTTGACTGGCCGAGAAAGGCCTTTCTGAGTACTTCGAAGAAGGACTTCCTTCAAGCTTGAGCGCTTTCTTAGCTGGGATACCCCAATTGAGCAACCGGTTACAACCGGTTGAGTCTTACATTAACAGGACTCGCAAAAAACTCGAGCTCGCAAATACTTTTAATCATGATGTGAACAGATCACATGCATGATGTGAACAGATCACATCATATGAAGCACTGCTGGCAGCGGCATGATTTTGACACCACAGCAGCTAGCACCGTAGCTTGCACTTGGATTCTTTCTCTCTGCTGCTTCTTTTACCAACACCAGCTCCCAAGCGTGCTCTCCTGGCTGCCTGACACTTCCACTGCCATTCTCCCACACACTGTGGCTGAATTTGCCCCTGCCCTAGTCCCCCACACAAGCTTGGCCTCGGCTGGCCGCATGTATTCGTGACTGCCAGACTCTACACAACATCTACCCTCCTGCACTGCTCTGCAGCTGCCAGATTCTAGTCGACATCAAGCCTCCTACACTGCTCTGCCACTGCCAGACTCTGCAAAATACCAGATTTCCCGCAATGCTCTGCCACTGCCGTGGCCTAGGCAAGACCGAGGCTTCCTGACTCCGCCACTGCCCCGGTCTCATTCTGTCTGCTGCTCAGCGCGTGCGCATTCTGCACACCTGCTCCTCTCCTCCTATACCTCCATAATCTCACGCTGCCATCATCCCCTGCCGATGCCAGCAGCGTGGGATCTGCCGGGTTCCATCTCACGCAATTCACATCCGCTGGGTGCGCCTCCCTCTGCCTGGCCGCCAATGTGAATGAGGGCTTCTGCAGTGGGTCGATGTCTGCGCTGCTGCTCGCCTCTTCCTCGTGCACGCAGATTGTGTTGTCCCCCGAGCCTGCACGAACACGCCAAACAGCTGACTCATCTGCCCCAATGACTCAGCCTTGCCTACAATGACTTTGACAGCTTGATTGCCCCAATGACAGACACTGCCCACTGACAAAAGCAGGCGCACTCTAGACTAATGTTCATCACCCCCTAGACATACCCGTTAAATGGGTCCTTGAAGCATGCTGTTTCCCAACATTCCAAATATAGAAAGGCTCCAGCAGAGATGTAGCAGGTGCGAATGAATTGACCTGAGGCGATGGCGCCTGAACTGGACCAGTCAACGCTGAAGATGGTGCGTTCGTGGGAGCCGGAGACGGTGGTAAGCAGCCGCCACCAGGCCTCGCCATCTTTTGATGTACAGCTCCACACGCGAAGAGTGCAGTCATCGCTGCACGACACCATGCGCTCCCCGCTCTCCTCGAAAGCCAGCCCCCACACTGTTGAGGTGTGCCCTATTCCCGGCCCTGCAGAGGCATGCGATGAGTCAGGATTCCCCCCTTCTCTTGGCCACCAACTGGGGTGTGATGGCCTCAACGAGGAATCAACACGCTCTGAAATAGAAAACAACACCATAGGTGTCGTGGGGAGAGGATTGGGTAAGAATGCAGCACCTGACAGAGTCTGCTCGCAGATCCATTCGTCATCTGACTCCCGCCACAGCTTGATGGTGTCATCATAGCTGCACGAGACAAGGATCTCCCCCTTTGGGTGCCATGCCACCGCCTTCACATCCTGCAAGCCATGCACACAGCCATTGATCGCTTGTTTCCACCATGCTGCAATCAGGCAGGGCCTTACGCATGTGCCAAAGCATGTGCTGCAGGACTGGTGGCAGGATATATCAAATATTGTTGATGAGTTGCCTCGTTGCCCCAGATACAAGCAGCATGCCTGAAGGAGACATGTTGCAGTGCAGGGCAGCTGCACCTGGGTGTGTCCCTGTTTGACGTCCACACACTCATACTCGTTGCCAGGCAGGGCCTCCCATATCCACACGCTCTTGTCACGGCTGCAGGTGGCTATGAGTGATCCTGATGGGCTCCATGCAACCCCCTTTACCTCATTCTCATGCCCTTCTAAAAGCGCCACTTGCTCCCATACACCCCCCTGCATATGTCACTCTCCGTGAGCAGATGTTCGAAACCTTACAGGAATTGATGCAGGCAAGAAAAATATGCCCCTTTCTGCATTCCTGGGTAAAAGCTTATTGGTGATGATGAAGTAAGTACGGCACATAGCATAAGGAGGAGTGAGCAGGGAGCTTGGGAGATGGGCCTGAGCCTGCGCCATACCTGCACCTCCCAGATTGCTGTGGTAGCATCAAAGCTGGCGGTGGCAAGGGATCGGCCATCAGGTGACCAGCTGCAACACCTGATTGTCCGTGTCTGAGCCTCCTCCAGGGTCGCGCTGCACACCCATTCTTCGCTGCCGGGCTGTGTCCTAGTCCACAGCCGCACTGTCTTGTCCCCACTACAGCTCGCCAGGGTCTCACCTGCGATATTGACATTTGCCAGGCTCTCAAAAGACTTGTCGCGAATCCTAAATTATTGCAGACGTATTACTGCAGACGAGGAGACAATCTACACTATTGTCTGATCTGATCTGCTGCAAGGCTAGTCAAGTTGCAAGGACGCCTGACAACATCAAGCAAGAAATACTGATGAATACTGTGATGCCTCGATAGCAACATTGAAACGCTGTAATTTATTATGGATCGTATTCACGAAGAGGTTGCCTTTGTAAAAAAGGTGCACAGTACAGAAGCCATCTGCAGGCATGCCTGCAGAGAATTTTGATATTTTGGCGTCGATGGGATTCTCGATTCATGCTTTGAGCTATCGGTATATTTTCCACACCTGTAGGTGACCACGCGACATGCCACGCTCGATCTGTGTGCCCTTCAAGTACCTGGATCTGAGTGAGCTCACCCATCAAGTGCGTTCACAGGACGTCGACGATTTCACAAAGTTTCCTCCTAGGAATTGTTTCACGACCTTCGTTTATTGTACAGTTCCAAACCGTTTTAAGACCTTCGTTTATTGGACAGTTCCAAATTGAAGGTTTCTTCCAAAACATGCACAGCTTCAAACAGCTTCAAGTAGGTCCAGAGCCAAAGTAGGTATGCATGCCACTAGTCCATCCAATGTAGCTGCATCTGTTCCTCCACTTCTATTGTGCAAGTTCATCCAAAACAATCCGGGACAGCTCATGCTTTTCACATTTCGTGGGCGCTTGTTGAGAAAAGTCTTGACCGCCGCCGGCGTGGCCGCTGCATGCGCAACCAGCTCAGCTGCAGCCAACTTGGTTGAACCCTTGTCAGGCACCGAGCCTGTGTCTTGCCAGAATTCACAAAGCCAAGGCGCTCCCTCTCAGGCCACTAAAAAACTATTGGTCAATATGCAGCGGCCACACGGACGCTGGCAAGTCTTGATTGGGCCATAACACTGCCACGCATGAGGTTGACACTGCTCATGGAGCTGCCCAGGCGGCTGCCCATGCGGCTGATGCCGGTCATCTCCGCCAGGGGATCCTTGCCCTCTAGGATCCTTCGCAGCCGCTGCAGCTCCACAATGCTGCTGTCGCTGATCATGCCAGACCTGCAGTATGCAATCTGCCCTCAACACAGCTGTCAGCAAATGAAGGCAACCAGTACTTCTTTCGACAAAGCATGGCACATACACCGCAGGAATAATCGGCATCTTGCATTAGCTCACTGGCATGAAAGGATAATGCCATTGTTGTGTTGTGAAGGGAGGTTGCAACTGGAAGCCTATGTTGCAGGAATACGCGTGACATATACTCCACAGGAGACTTACTACTCAGCAGACATGCTCACCTTTCCACGCTGACTGGCAACAGGTCTTCAGGCTCCAGGGGATCCAGCATCAATGGGGGCAGAGTGAAGCCCTCCAGGCCCGAGGTGGAGGCCTTTTGAGACTGACTGCCGGCCGCATGACCCACTTGCGGCCGCTGTGCATGTGGCAGGAACCTTGACAGGAGCTCTGTCGTGCTCTGGCTTGCAGCCTGCACAATCAGAAGAACTGCATGACTTTTCTAATTCAGACATTGGTTCTGCTCGACTGGTGCCTTTTCATTTAAACACCAAGAATTGTCCGCGAGCAAAACAACGTTCCTAGTACTGTAAGGTCAGCAGGGAGTGTGATTGATGTTCGCACCTGCACAGGGATGGAGTGGGGCTTGTCATTTAGAGAAGCCAGAAGCTTTGCTGCGACGGGCCCAGAAATGCTCTGGGACGTGCCATTTTTAAGGCCTGTCAGGTCCAGAAGGGTAAGCGTGTCCACCTCTCTTATTGCTTGGTTCCTGCAGCCCACAATGTCGAGAGTAAGTCTCCGTCACGCGCCTGCTTACAGAACTTGGACCTGCTGGACCTCCAATGTGATCTCTTTTATTTGAGATATGCCTCATCCATCCATCGTGCATGCTTCCCCACATGCAGCAATCCGGCAATCAGGATGCAGGCAAGAAAATTCTTATTTTCAGGTGCCCTTGACAGAAAAGCTGGAATCAGTGCCCACATTTGACCAGGCACGTTGGAGAATGCGGTCCTGAAGAGCTCTCCTGAATGGGTCTCAATGTCTGAACGCGGGCGCTGAGGAAAAGCTTCCATAATCAAATCCACCAAGACCTGGAGCAGCACTGAGGGTCTTCAGAGCTGTTGCCTGTGTTTCATCCAGTAGGGACCTCATGATGTTGTGCGATAGTGTAAGTCTCAGCAGCCCACAAAATGAAATGTACACAGAGGGGTATGCTTCATACTTTATAGAGGGCCTCAAAGAACAAAGTATCCTGATGAGGCTGCCTGAAGGTGGCATTGTGTAGCAAGGTCATTGCATAAGAGGGGCACATGGCCTCCAGGTGAGTCTGCCCTTCTTGTTCGAGCTTTGATAGCTTTGACTGGATCATAACAGTATCCACTCCATCCAAGCGCTGTCTCCTTGCCCTGTAAGCTGCCTGGCATGCACTGAAGTCTTCTCACGACATATCCAAACAATGCTTGCCTGTATGGGATCGTGCAGGTGTAGTCAGCTCGATTGGGGGGCTGCTCACCTTGGACAAGGCGTCATGCTCAAAGCGATCAAGGAAGTGGTAAATACAGGCCTTGGCAAGCTTGTCAAACAATGCTGACTTGTAGTACCGCCTGAAGTGTCCAGTGATTGTCCCATCAAATGCCTTCTGGACCTTCGATTTTGCAGCCTGTGGGCCCAGGAAAAACACAAATCATCGATGAACACAACACCATTGCGCAGCTTACAGTCAATCCACCTGGTCATAGATGCAATGGCGCCCTGGAGGTGCATTCAATCACGGCGTGAAGAGCGCATTTGGCAGTCTGTCTTGCCTCGAAATTGAATGGAGTGTATGGCAAGGAGAGGATGGCAGCTGTTCCCCTTTTCTGCATGGAACTGCTTGAGCTATGCGTGCTGGCTGCAGCTGAAACAATGGATGTGCTGCCAGACGATTTTCTGTATCTCGTAGAAGTCTTGCCAGCTGACCTCTGTGTGGGGAAGTCCATTGCGCTGCCCTGCACGTTGTCCTCTTCCTCTCTTGTCCCTCTGCAAGGATCCGGGAACCTGAACAATCAATCAAAAGGGATATACACAAAGGATATAAATGGCGGATGCAGGCAAAGTGGACAGGGTGTATCTGCGACGCGCTCACTCCTAGGTTTCATAATATATTGAATACAGCAGTCAGGCAATTTTGCACCCCTCCTAGGTAGCGCATTGCCTTGGAATATGTAGTTAATACCTTATCACACCGTGATACACGCTCCGACTGCGTTCAGTTTCTTGGATACGACCTCCATGCCGTACTATGCCAGTCCGTTTCTCTATTACTATTGTCAAGCTTCCCGACCTCAGTCCTTCTTTGATTTTGCACCAACTTCTGATGCAACCTTGTGCGCTACAACAGCTATTTTATGAGCTGCGCTGGAGGAGAAGGCCTTGATATTCGACCTCGAAAAAGCGACCCGAAACGCCCTAGTCCCCTTGGCCTTCTTACCGGCCTGATCTGCCACAGCAAGTGGCATCCCTAGGTCTTTGACATTCTAGCAAGCCTCCTGCTGCAGCAGAACACTTGGTAGACGAGGTTGCATCCCAATCGGTCAGCGATGGGATCAGTCACTCAGATCAGTAACCCTTATGCGACTGATTGGCCCTCAATACGAACTGAGCTGTGCTCCTAGGATCAAAACCTCTATTTTCCATCAGGAATAAGATCCGGAGATGTCCTAGGTAGCAAACTCCATATACTCCATTTGTGCCACCGTTTGACCTGGTGCCATAGTCCCGATCGGCCAACTGTGTGGTGCCAGTGTTGAGGCTCTTTCCTGGATGGCAAGCTTCTCTACTTTCTGAAGTCCAAAATACGTTATGGAGGAGTTGAGGAACCGGATCACTCATCTGATGGAGAATGAGCTTTACAGCTCAGCTGAAATCCTGGTGAGTTGTGAAAACACGAGGATGCTTGGATGATCATGTTAGATTGAACTACGACTATTTAGACTGGATGGTTGGCAAGTGTAATTATCGCGGTTGGCAGCAAATTGTCAAGGATCTTGCGTTACTCACCAGTGCTGGCAGCTGTGATCCCCTCTTTTCGATTGTTGAGTCTGTTCTGTGGCAGGGAGGCATCCTACTTTCGCCATCAATGCAGGCATTGCATTCGGAAAGTCTACATGATCGAGCGGAAAACATGGTGAGCCACCGATCCATGCAGAACTTTGCAAGCTACAATGACTTGTTGGCGCTCTGTTACTCAGACATGTTGGTACTGCAGGTGCTTCTTGCAGATGCCCTGTCTGGCATGAAGGAGTACAAACGGGCACTGGTAAGCAACTCGACATCCACGTGCTATATTAACTCCTCATTGTTGTCTCTCTATGATTGACAGCGCGTCAGCTGGCTAAGACTCCTGCGTGTGGCAACAGAGGTATTACCGACAAGCGCAACAACTCTTCCAAATCTCGTCTCTTGGTCAGGTACCTTGCCCCTTCACTCTCTTCTCTAGCATCTGCGCATGACACCTGCTGTGCCCTGGGAGTGCTGAACACCAGAACAAAAGCTTGCGAGGTAGTCTCATGAGTGTGGAATAATTGCAGGGGAGAGGGCGCGGTAGTCAGCCAGAGCTGCGCGTGAAGGTAGCGCAGTGTTGTACAGATCTGCTGATGTACAGTGATGCCCTGGCTGAGCTCGAAGCCATTGAGAAGCCAGCCCGCACTCTGAAGGTGCACAGCTCAATGGCCTGCCTCTACAAGAGGCTGGGCAAGAAAGCAGCAGCGGTGGCTGCCTACCAGGTAAATACCATGATCCAAATCTCAATTGTGCATGCATCAATCGTCATCTGCAAAGAGAAATTCAGCATCCAGGGACTCCAAAAATTGTTATAATGCAGCAAGTCTGGAAGGGCCACTTTGATTGATTGGCTGCTGGTGTCATGCAGGAGTGCTTGCGTCTGTGTCCTTACGCAGTGGAGGCATTGAAAGCTCTGACAGAGATGGACTGCTCCCCACCAGATCTTGTGGCGCTGATGCCAAAGAGCCAGGTCTGCCATGCCCACATTCATGCAAGCTCATCGCACAACGCAACAACATCTGCCCAGCGATGCACCACAATTTTGGTGCTCCTCACATGACTAATGCCTTGTATAGTGTTCTGTGGGAGGTCAATTGGGTAATGATCCAATTGTTATGCTCGCATGGCACCCCTTTCGCTACTGTCCTCGCATGCGGCAGCCACTTGATAATTTCCCAGTTGAGGGATTCAATGAGTCTGGATGCAATGTACATGCTTTATCAAAGATTTCTCACGGCTTTGCTGCAGGCCGAAGGGGCAGCTGATAGCAGTGAGCGGCAGGCGGACCTGGAGGGATGCATACACATCATGGTGTGCGGCTACGCGGCGCTCGCAGCGTCGGATTATGCGGCAGCAGCGGTGCACTTCACTTCGCTGACCGGACTGCTCCCGGACAACCTGCATGCGCTGCTGTCTGCCGCGCAAGCGCTGGCCGGCAAGGGCGACACCTCGGCTGCCTTGAGTAAGTGACCTGTGCCAAAATGCCCCAAATTCCCAGGAAAGAATTCTTACTCTGCACTGATCTGCGTGAGTGAACTTTGCACCACGCGCTTTTGGGGTCAGAATATGCGTGAGACGCATGCTGGTTGCTGCGTATTGCAGCCGATTGGATCTGACCCCCTTCAGCCAGAATGGATGCGCTTGTGACATCTATTTTTAATTGTGACATCAGCTCTACTGCCAGCGGAGTCTTTTTAGAATCTCTTGACAGGCACGATTGATTGCAGCCTCACAATGCTGTCACTTGTGCATGTGCAGGTCTGTATCTGCGGAGCCGAGCGTTGGACCCGTCAAACGCAGAGGGCATGGACCGGTACGCGCTGCTGCTGAGGGACCGGGGGGACCGGAGTGAGCTGTCGCGCCTGTGGCAGGATCTGCGCGGCTGCGCCGGCGGCCGCCCAGAGACGTTTGTCGCCGGGTCCGCCTACTGGGAAGCCAACGGCGACTCCGCACAGGTATTGCACCCATAATCTTGGCCAATCGACTTCAGGTGGATTTGCCTTAGTAATCATTTGGCTTGGTGGAATATATGTGATAGCGCCCCTGAGAGATGGGACGATTAATGAATCCAGGGGTGATAAGCAACAAAACCACCAGGGTCTATTGGCCTCGCGGTCGCTGCGGGCGCCACTTCTTCCAGATACTTGCCCAGGAGATTGCTGTGCAACAATAAACGCATGCTGAAATGCAACATTATCTTTGGACATGCATACTTGAGAGCCTTACTAGGGTGAAGGTGTACAGCTGCACTGCCTTCCCACCAAAATTGTAATGTGGTGGGAAATCTAACATTTCTGAAGCAGCATGCTCCAGAAATATAGAATCGCACACTCCTGTATCTCCATTGCCCATGCATTTCACCGTTCACAAGACAAGCAGGCAAGATGGCATCTTCCCTCCTAGGACAGACCCAAAGCACAAGATGCGTCATTCGCTGCAGAGACGAGCATGCACCCACGCGATCTGTGCTGCGATGCAGGCCATGCAGAGCGTGCAGGAGGGCCTGGAGCAGTTCCCCAGCGATCAGCTGCTGAACATTCAGAGGGGTCATCTGCTTATGAGGGGGAATGACGCGCTGGCGGCCACCAAGTGCTTCAACCTGGCTTTGGGACCCCCCATCGAGATGGCGGCCTTCAACGGCCTCGTCGCAGCGTATCTCCAGCTCAAATGGCACAAGGAGGTACGCAGTGCATTCCTCTTTTGCCCACATCCGATGCCATACCATTGCAAGCCCCCGTACCATTGCAGTCCTGTGTTTGGATCGCCCAAACGCCTTTGTCCAAACCAAGCAATGACTGTTGCACCCTCAAGTGCATGCTTCAATTGCATTCTTTGACAAAAGGGGAGCCAATGGAAGTCCCGAGGACTGCTCCACCTCTGTTGCATGGTTGAAGGGTGTCTCAGACTGTCTCAGGCGTCATCTATGTGACATCTTTGTGACATCTGCAGGCGCTGAGGGTGGCAGAGTCAGCGACCAAGGTGGCGCCGCACAGCGCGCAGGGGCTGGTGCTCATGGGCAGGGTTCAGGCTGCCAAGGGCTGCCCGCAGGATGCCCGGCAGTGCTTTGAGAAGGCCGTGCGCTCCGACCCCAAATGCGCGCAAGCCTCCATCGCCCTAGCGGACATTCACCGCAGGGTGCGTTGCTCTCTCAGTTACTGGCTGTCCTGTTGTGCAGAGGTGCTCACCTGCGTGCCACAGCCTGCAAAGTGCCCGCTTACGCCCAATCCTTTTCAGTGCACCAATCAGCTACCAGATCAAATCCTTTCATGAGTTTGTTCTTGTACATGACTTGGGCCCTAAAGAGAGTTGGGGGTTTGTTTGAACCTTGGGGACATTTCATGGCTGCTGTGCGCAAGCATGTCTGTTGTAGTGCACATTGCCTTCACATTGGGATATCACCTTTCAGTTGATAATGAGCTATGTGCTTGTGGAGCAGGCGGGGCAGCCACAGCAGGCGATCGAGGTGCTGAAGCAGCAGATGCTGACAGTGAGCTCAGAGGAGCTGCAGCTGCACCTGGCGCACGCCTACAGGGACTATGGCAGCGCGGCAGCATACCCCCAATACGCTCCCAGCCTGCAGATGGCCATGATGATGTACCAGGCAGTCCTGTCTCAGAACCCAGGTTGCTCTGACGCCAAGCAGGTCTGCTCCACCTGCCTCCTTGTACCGACAAGCTTGCTGGTTGCGTTACGACACCTTCACCAAGCCTCTTGTCCCTTGTCTCACCATCTCAATTTGGACTTCATCTCCCGTGCACATTGCTGCCTGTCAGAGCCATGCCTCCTCTTCACTGACAGAATTGTTTGCTCCACACCTTGGGCAATTTACAGCCAAGCAACAACGTTCCGTGGTTACATGATTGATGCTTGTTTGGTCGTCTGGCTGTGACTGATGGCTGTTTGGCATCTCACTGTAGATGCAATCATCAGAAGTGAAGTATGTGCATACTTATTGGCCTCGACGAAATTCATTCATTTTATGACGTGGCTGTTTGGGTGGGGCCGCAGGGCATCCAGACTTTGGAGCAGGTGCTGTCAGCCGCTCAACGCAGCTCTGTCTACCCACCGCCACCGCCGCCAGGTCCCATTCCTGAGCACCTCCGCGTCCCTCAACATGTGCCCAAGCCCGGCACAGCCACCGACGCGACACTGCTCGCACAAGACCCCCCTGCAGCCCCCCTGACAATCGCAGAGGCGCCTGCAGCTGGGGTGCCTGCAGTGTCACGCTACACCACGCCGGCCGAGGCGGCTGCACCGGCCAGAGCAGCCGTGCCAACGAGCCTGGGTGCTGCCGCGCCGTGGTATCCAACCCCGGGTCCTGGGATTTCCGTCTGGAGCCCCCCGGCGGCTGACAGGCTGGCAGCTACGCCACCGCCGCCGGTGCGCAGGAAGGTGACTCCCCAAGGGAGATTATGGCGAGATCTGCCGCCGCCCACGCCAGTGTAGCGGACCTGAGCCACCATAGGTACTTTCTTGCAGATGGCACTCCAGGTTTGAGCCATTTTATTGGGCTGGGAAGGCGCGGAGGTACAGAGGCTTTTGAGTTTGTCAAACGCACGAAAACAAATTGGCTCTTCAAGCTTGTAGAGCTTAAGTAACAAGAGGGCTTTGCCAACCACAGTCTTGTGTTTATATTGTTTATAGCTATAGGGAGCCCAGGGTTCACAGGGTTTGAACCCTGGGTGGAAGTTCACGGCTCAAGAGGGATGAAGATCGTGCTCAAACATCTGTGGTTGGTCATTTTGCAAAGTGCTTGCAAGTCCTTCCCATGGTGTGCCTGAAGCAAAGCGTAGAACCCTGCTAGAACATGCTGAAGAGTGGCTGTAATTCAGCCGCTGTGTACATTGTCTTGAGCCGCAAGTAAGAGCTGAGTATGTACATTACGGTAAATGGCGTCTTTGCTTCTCAGTGCTGTGACTCTGTGAGGTTCTAGAAGATCTTCCAAATTACAATTTTGGAATGTTGATGAGACGTAGACGTCTAGACTATCCCCACTGAGGGGTCCAATAAAGGATTCCTTAAAAAGATGGACCCAGATGGTTTGGACTTGCAATCATTTCACACTGTACACTGCATTGGCAATCCATTGTAAATTGAAGTCGTCTGGAAGCACAATGTACTTTCACAGTACGCTTTGCATACTCACTCTACCAACTACTAGTACTCCGAGTCCAACCCTGCCATACGTGACATACATAAATCATCAACAAGCATCCGTAGTCTTACTGCAACGAACAAAGTCTCCCTGGATCTGGAAATAATGGCACATGGTTCATAATTCTACAGTTGTTGGAAGTGATTAAGGCCATCCCAGCACTGGCACACGAGCAGACCAGAGAGCAGTCTAGTCATGTCTTGCAGTGAGACGTCTCACAGACTAACTTGCAGCTATGCAACGTTGCAGGCATCATCCAAAAAAGCACATCCTCTGTGCACACAAATGGCTATTCCGACCAGGCTTGCGGGCCAGGAATGTGGTGAATATCTGCCAGATGTGCAGTCGGGATCAATCTCTCAACATTCATTTGCCTGCTTTCACTGGGCCACCATTCTGAGCGCGTGCTGGCGCCTAGGAGTTGCGCAAGAGCTCGCAGAACTCGGCATAGTCGATCTGCATGCCACAACACTTTTCAAGAAACCTTCACAATTGCCAGGCCATTTGGCAAAAACCGGCCAGGTCCATTACGCATCTCTCAATCTTAGGAATGACCCAGAAGAGGAAGCAAGCAAAGGAGGAAACGAAAATTTCCAAGAATTTGCAGAAGCAAAGGGAAGGTTCATCCACCTTGCCGTCCCCATTCTTGTCAGCAGCAGCAATCATCTGCTTGACATCCGCTGTGTTGCCAAAGCTCTGCTGCAGGTCATGTGCGTCAAGGAACCCATCATCTGCAGCATCCCAAACGCGCTCAATCAAATAAAAATTCAGACCTGCCTTTGCATGGCAAATTCACTTTTCACCAAAGCTGCAAGGATCCACGATGAAGGCTGAAGCCTCACTGTCTTTGTCAAAGTTGTGGAAAATCTTCATCCTCTCCCCCTTCACCACATGATCCCAAACCTGCAAAGACACCTTCATGTTCAATACAAGCAGGGCATGGAGTGCTGCACACAAACACCCCAGAGACATGCCATGCCAGGTTTGCAGTACTGCAGAGTGCGTCTGACAGCTAAGCAGAGCGACAAGTCCAGACACGTCCATCCCTTACCGAGTACTCGCCCGTCTTGTCGGGGACGTGATCGTAGTACTGGTTCCCCATATTCTTGTAGTTGGCTGACGTGTTCATCCTGCACATCGGGTGAAAGCATCGTTTTCGAGTGATTCAGAAGCAACTGCCGCGTGAAGAAGCAGGATCATAACTTTCCTTCAGCTCAATGTACTTTCAATCCAAATGTCGCCATGCATGAAAAAGGAAGAAGAATGAACACGTCGTTTCCCAAACGGAAAGCCCTAGTTCTGCATTATCTGCAGATCTCACCGTGGGTTGAATGTCCCCTGCCAGATGTTGGTGCGAGTCGGAGATGAGCCCATGACTGTTTCCTTGGGTGTCTTGGGTGTTTCAGGGTGCTCCTTGCCGAACTCCTCTTCGGCTGCATGGTGACACAAAATAACCTTCTCTTCTTGCTTGCAGGCATGGGTGTGTCCGCATGGACGCAATCATAGCAGAGCAATTTCGAATTATAAATGAGCTCGAAAACATTCAGGTTTTCTTGTCCTCTCAAAGCATCGATCTTGACACCGCTAGGTGCCCGGCAACGTAAGAAGCTGTTGGGTGCCAACATCAACATCGACATCAACTTTCGACACGTACAAACATCGACAATACTTCAAGAATTTCCTTGCCCCGGAAACGCAAACGCACCGTCACTGGAAGCTCCCATGCTCAAGTCCGAGAAGCTAGGACTCTTGTGCACCCCACCGCTGTTGTGGCTCAGAATGGACTTGAGGAGCGACGTCATCTCGGCGTCCGCTCTGTGCTCGATTCACGTAGATAAGTGGTCAAAGATGCGCAGAAAGCCTTGATGTGATCTGGGCCAGCTCAGCTGGGTCGAAAGTATCTTGGTCGCTTAGATCTTTCTTGCTGGGCTGACTGTACTGCAGGGCTTATAACCTTAAGGGGAGCTGCTGCTCTATACTGTGGGGTTGGGTAACCTTGGGTTGGCTTCAGGGCTGCTGTGAGGGTTGCAGGACCTTTTAAATTTAGGACTAGCACATGCCCCATGTTGCCTTATCTGAGAAATCTTTTGAGCATCCAACGCCCATGTCCCCCATCCTGATGTTACTGCTAACTGCCAGTGGCCATGGTGGCAGGCACGGCCCAAGCAAACCGAGCATGCATAGGATGCCCGGCATGGTATGCCGACGGGCCGTTAGTGGTTCACATTCAGTCACAGTGCTGTGACATATGTGCACAGCACAAAAACTCGATGTATTTCAGGCGCACAAGCAGGTTGATCAGGGTAAATGTGACCATGACTGACAGCGCATGTGCAGTCGTCCTCTGTGTCCCGCATCAAAAACCAGTTCATATTTCACTGAATGCCACTGGCATTGACAGTCCAATAACAATCAGATCCGTGTGCCTCCAAGGCTCCTCTCTAGATCTACCCATGGGAGCGCTGCATGCCACCAAATGCCTGCTGATCTGGTTGTTGTCCCATGCATGAGATCGTCACAATACCGGGGCTGCTCATGTTGTACAGGATTGAAGACAGCTCCTCACATATTGGTCGGTGCGTCCTCATCGTCAGACAAGTCCTGGAGCGATGAAAAGCTGGCAAAGAGGTCACATGGACTGCAGCTATCCTTGATACCATTGGTCTCGCCTGTTCAAGCACAAACATGATCACCTTTCAACGCAACTGGGATTCCTCAAGATTGGAACGCAGTCACTCGAGCAGCACAGACGCACACACTGCCATCACGATGCTCACAGATCTGGTCTAAACTGGACTAAAAATATCTATATGACGCTGCAATCAAGTCATTGATTTAGTTAGGAACATACCCTTAAGAGAGGGTGTGTCGCGCTGCATTTCTGTCTCAGACATGCGAGGCTTCTTGGCTCTGGGTCCACTTGGAGCGCTGGATTGCTCCTCCCCCGTCTGATGTGCTGTTGCTGTGCCCATGGCACTCTGCTCTCCTGCTGCTGCGCTCACATGTACCTTGCTGTCTTCAGTACATTTCAGGCCAGCTGAAGGGGCATCTGCTGCCAAAGAGGATACCCCAGCCCTATTGGGGAGATCCTCGGCATCCAATGACAAAGAGCCTTCCTTCTTGCTGCTGCTGACACTGCGCTTTGCCGGCAGGCCTGCTGAAGGCGTCTCTGCTGCGGCCAGAGGGGATGGCTCAGCCCTTTTGGGACCCTCCGATGGCACAGAGCTGCCTCCCTTGTCCTTGTCGCTGCTGACACTGGGCATTGCTAGCTGATCCCTGCTGAAGCCCATCCCCCACAGCCCACCATGCATCGATGGCTGCGCAAGCTGCGGCAGCTGCAGCCGCTGAGGCATCTCTTCGTCGCCATCTATCTCCAGCTCGTCAGGGGTGTCCGCAGTGGACACTGGAACCTCCCGCCTCGAAGGACAGTCCGGCTCCTTGGGCACGCTCTGTGCTGCTTGCTGAAGCACAGACAGGCACACCGTCTGCGAGATGCTAGCTGGGCCGCTGGAGTAAATGGTGTCCTTGTTGGCATGGTCAGGCTTGGCTGCTGGTGCATTTGGAGCTGAGGCTGCAGCTGCGTTGGCACTGCGCAGTTCAGACTGAGCTGCGCTGTTACGGCATGATTCCTCTCTGTGGTCCTCGTCCATATCGATTGCTCTGCGCCCTGTCAGCTGCGAGGGCTGGAGCAACTCGTGCATCTGCGCTTCTGACACTTGTCTGCATTCCTCGCCCTTGCTATGTAGAGCAGGCTGAGCTGCTGCTGGCTGGGCGGCCGGGTTGCTGTCAAAATCTGCAACACCATTACAAGGTATCAAATGACAGAGCATTATATGTGCCGAGACAAGACTCACAAAAGAGCGATTGGCTGCTGTATGCAGGGTTTTTCTGCATCTCTGCTGGCCATCCATGGAGGCATTGGCTTGCCTGCTTCGTTCTGGGCTGCAAGTGTGGTCATTAACTTTGGGGCCTCCCGTATGATGGGCACCTCGCCTTCAGGTGTAAGAGCAACAGTGAGTTGCCCCCGCAGTTTCTCCACCTCAAATTGCAGTGCTGCAATCTCCTGCCCCTGTTCACACAACGCAAAGATAATGCCACCGGGGTCCGGTTGCTGCCTTGTTTAGCAAAGACAAAATGGACTACACGAGTGACAGCATACTCAATGCCAATGTCAGTCCCCTTGCACACTTATAAGAGTGGGGCCTGAAACCTGCTGTTTGACTGTGGCAGCATCGCTGGCGGCCCGTCCCAGAGCCTCGGCATCCAGGGCTCGCAGCTTCTGGCGTAGTGAGTCCAGTGTGGCCCTATGCTGCTCTGATGCACTGTGCGCCTCTGCCAGCAGTGCAATGCTCCTCTGCACCCACCCATCAGACCATCAAAATCACCAAAAGCTGACGCATGCATTGCTTGGAAGATGCAAAGAGCCTCAAGCGGTCCCATGCTGGCAAGACACATGAGCAATGGGGATTTGGTGCATGTGTGAGTGATTGACCTGCAGGCTGCGGTGGAGGGTGTTCTTTGCTGCAATCTGCTCCTTTTCACTTGCACCGAGCAATTCCACAGTCCTCCTCAAATCTGCAGCCTCATTCTTGCTGCGCCACAGAAATCCAGTCAGGCATAGGCTCGTCACACTCGAATCGATGTGCTGCACATCACAGAAGATGCACTGCACCTGGATGCAAGCTGCCTTGCTGCTGTGTCATGCGCAGCTGCGAGCTCCTTGAGGGCTTGTTCCTTCTCTTGAAGCCTTGCTCTCAGCGTTTTGAATCCAGCAGCCTGCCTGTTGATCTTGCCTGTACACAGAGCCTTATACTTGCACAGAATATGAAGTACAGACGTTCAAAGTACTGTTGAACTCAGCCAATGATGGTGCATAGCACATTGTCTTTCCCGTACCCAAGAAGCGATCCTCTGCTACAATGACTTTCTGGAGCTTCTCCTCTTGCCTGGACACTGCATGCATAAAGCTTCTATTGTCAATTGAGGCAAAAGACAATACTTTTGGTTTCAAGTAAAGGGACTCAAAACATGCCTCACCAAGCCTGCAGTTCTCTGAGACCAAGGCCTTTGCATCTGCAAAGGCTTGGCGTGTCTTCACGAGCTCTGTCTCCAGCGCACTCAGAAGTCCTGCGTATGACTTCAGCTGCTTCTGCATCCTGTCGCACTCGTCCCTTTTCAGCTCCATCTCCAAGTCCGCCTTGGAGTGCTTCTCCTGTGTGTGTGTGTGTGTAAATGAAGAACTTTGTGTCCAATGTTTCCGTGCTTGACCGAAATGCTGCTTAGAAAAAGTGCATTTGACGTATGTGATTACTGGGTGCCCACCTTCAGTGCTTGATAATTCTTGTCACGGGTGGATCTCAGGCTTTCCAGCTGCAAAGCAAGCGCAGCAGCCCGCTTGCTGCTCTCCACTTTCTCACTTTCATCTGCCTTGGCCTTCTTGTCACAAATAATTGATCAATATCTTGATAGTTCGTTCAGATCGCCAGTCGTTTAACTCATAGGGTGCTCGGCTAAACTTTTGCACGTAAGCGCGGTGGATTGGACTGACGCTGGCCTTGACAGACCTGACGCGGCCTCAAGCTCACACACATGACTGATGATCTAAGAAATTCATGCGTGTACAAATGACTCTTTTGCCATCGATTATAGAGGACATGGCTACTACCTGAGCAGTCCAATGTTGCATGTGATTCTGCAGGTCCGAGACCGCCTTTTGCATCTCGGATCTGCAGCCTGCAAGCTCACTCTCAAGCCTTTTGGCTTTATTTTGGGATGCATCTCGCTCTGAAATGGCTCTCTTGGCGCTCTCCTTGGTGCCAGCCAGCTCTTCTTCTAACGTTTGGACTGTGAGCAGGACTTTTGTAAAGGAGCCTTCCAGCCCATCGGAGGCTTCGATCGCGTCTGTAGAAGTCATTGAATGAGCACAAAATTATCTCTCATATGTCAAATTCGTTCTCAGAGGCAGAGTCTTCCTGCAATCGTGTCAAGGAATCACGTGCTTTCACGTGCCGTCGAGGACACTTGTGAAGCCCTGAAGCCCCAGAGCTCACAAAGGCCGTGGGGTGCGTGTATCGTCATTGTTTTTCCACTTTTGTAATGTTTACAGGGAGTTCCATGCGTTGCGAAGTATAACACTTGTTGCTCGGGCGTCGTGTGACCGGATCTAGGACATCTAAAAGACAGATCCAGACTCATTTCACAGCATACCGAAAGGTGATCACGCCACTTTGCATCATGTTGAGCTATTGCTGTGGTGTGGCGTTTCACAGATACCTTGGAGAACGCAATATTGCACGTAACCGCTGATCTGCAGTGTTTTTGTATTTTTTACTAGAGTGAAATTGTTAAGAAGAAATGACGGTGAGCACCTGAACTTGCACTCATCTCAAGTTTTACCAGACAAGTTCTTGGTTGGCAGGGAAAGGGCCCATGTATATTTAGCCCAGTCGAATTGCGTATCTTGGGGGAGGATGGACTTCCTAGTTGCAGCGGTATCCCCTGCCCTCTTTCCAGCATTGGAAAGAGCATTGGAAGTAGCTTTCCTGACTGGATTTGCTCAGTCATGGAAGTTACAAGCCACACAGAGGGGTCAGCCCCCCAAAGGTCTCCCAAATCTTACTCGGCGCCGGCAACCTGTGCGAAAGCTCACAGTACGTCTCCCCTCTCTGCTAAACAACCCCTGAAATGGGAAGGTGGCTGCTGTACATGCACTGGCACGAGGGGCCGAACTTGGATTGGCTGCTGGACATGGCAATGCATGCCCATGCCGTTTGCGCTCTGTGCTGGATATGACGTTCTTGACGTGCCTTGGAATTGACTGAGACACTGCAGTAGCAGCATGTGCCTCGAATCTGCAGATGGCAGTCCCTGTGTGCACTTTTACAGAGGATCGGAGTGGGAGGTGTGAAGAGTGCTGTTGTCATGCAGAATGGGGAGACCCTCCCGAAGGCGCCACCCAACGATCCCCAACGCCAGGGGAACATCTGGCACCGCTACGAGCAGCTCGAAAATATGACCAAGTCCCTGGCAGGCGTTAACCAGCAGATGGTCATGGAGAAAGCCAAACACCAGAGGGTGCGCCCTTACATCGCTGTGTCTGACCCAATTTCAGAATCCCATCCGATCCTCTCAGCATTTGGCGCACTGCAACCCCCCAATAAGGGGCTCGGCAAGCATGCCGGTGGAGGATCCAGGATAGCATAAGCCAAGCCTGGTGCAGTCCATTCACATCAGAGGAAATGATGTGGCTTTCTCAGGCATCGACTGACAAGCTGTGCAAGGGGTTAGATTGCAAGAGGGAGGCTTCAAGCGGTACAGGGCATAAGCCTGAAAGCAAAGGGTATGGATTTGATTTGACAGAGGAGCCATGCACATTGCTGCAGGAGAAAAAGCGGTTGGAGGAGGCCCTGCTGGAGCTGGAGAGGGTGAATGGGGCGCTTTTGAACGCAGCGCAGGACAGCGAGAGTGGCAAGGGGGAAGCTGCCGTATATTCGATCTCAGCAGACTCCGCGCAGCTGCTGGGGGAGCTTCGCAGCCGCCCTCGCTCCTCCTACTGCCCTGTCAGCGGCCTTGAGCGCTCGGCTGTGCCCCTGCTGCCAAACCCGGCGCCAGAGACCTGCACCCTGCAGGTGCGCACACCTGCTGCCATGCTGCCCGCGCTGTTAGCTGTTCAAATGACTCATCACTGCCCACGAGGGAATGGGGACAGCTGCAGGAGTTCAATTCTTGCAGGGCTTGGAAGAGTAGTTGCATGCACGGATGGAAGAGAAAGCAGTGCTGCGAATGACATGTTATTTGCGAGCATTGTTGGTCTAGCGTGGCCAGTGGTTGTGGAGAAGGAATGTAAGTGATGCTTCTGTGGGGGTATGATCAGAGCAAGGATCAGGGGAAGGATGCGGTGGAGCATGCAGAGGCAGTGGCTCGGCTGCAGGGGCAGCTGGCGTCCACCCAGGAGAAGGCCAAGAAGGCCGACGAAGAGGCTGCCCACCTCAGGGCAGCCATCAAGCAGATGCAGGACGACCTGTACTCGGCGACTGCCCAGCTGCAGACCAAGGTGAACCCCAGACTGCTCTTGCTGCCAATTGTTTCCTGCCAGAACACATCTGATGCGCCTTGCAACTGTTTCGTGCTATATCAAATCAAAGGGATTAGGAGAGTATCTGATGCCCATGTCGCTCACACAGGTGGATGCACTCCAGGAGGAGAACACTCAGCTAGAAGACAAGGTGAAGGAGCTACAGCCTGCAGACATGGTGATCTCTCTGGAGCGGCAGGTGCGCTGCAAAGTTGCCTGCATGCATGCACAAGTGCCGTTTACCACAACATTTGCATAATGCCTCCTTGGCGGGGTGCGTGTCTGAGCAATGGCCTATAAGGAAATGGTGGGTGTGGCAGGTGCACGCACTGTCAGCAGAGAATGAGGAGCTGCGAGAGGGGAAGCTGCGAGGCAAGAGCCAGGCACAGGCGGACGACATGGAGGCAGCTAAGAAGCAGCTCCAGGACAAGGTAAGCATCATCTGCATACCTTCACCTGAAATCCCTCTATCTCCATGTATTGCTTGCGAGGCAGCACGCACTTCTCGCCTCCTCTGCTCAATACCCAAGCCCTCCATGTGAAAATGTGGGCCTCATGCTGTCCATGTCTGCTGCCCAGCTGCACGATTCTCCTCTGTCAAACGTTGGGAAGAAGCAGTCAGGGACCCGAGGCAGGGAATGATCAGGATGGCCCTGCATGCGCAGATCGTGGAGCTTGACGCACAGCTGCAGGACATGAAGGAGAACAGCGCAGAGCAGGCGACGGCGCTCGCGCGTGCCCGGTCGGCCGCGGCTGCCGCAGCACCGGAGGCGGCGTTGGTGCGCAGCCTGGGAGAGCAGAACCGGGAACTGACCGCGCGCGTCGCTGAGCTGGACGCTGCCCAGGGGGCTGCCCGGCCGGGCAGCGCCGGGCGCCGGGCCGCTGATGAGCGCGGGAGGGAACTCGAGGAGGCGCACGCAGCCGCCGTTGCCGAGAACGCCCGGCTGCAGGTGACTAATGCGCATATAATCTTTTGAAGTACCTTGTGAGGATGACGGAATAGCGTGTGGTTTCTTGCAGAGTGTGCGCCGTTGGGCAAGCACGCAGGGGCTTGTCATTGCACCCAAGCTGCATCAGGCTTCTGCGCCTTGGTAGATGCATGAAGCTGAACAGCAAACACAAGACGCTGCAGAGCATTATCCAGGATGTCTGCAGAGTGGAAAGACACCACTAATGCATTCTCAAGAAAGGAGTGTGTAGAAGGGAGGAGAGCAGACGGTTCACATTGTACATGTTGACCATGCAGGCGAAGATCATGCGACTGAGCGGTACGGCTCCGGCAGTGGCGGCTGCCGGCGAATTGCTGGAGCAGTTGAAGGCGGAAAATGCCACTCTACAAAGCGACAATGACCGCCTGCTGTCCTACGTGGACACCCTTACCTCCACTGCAAGTGGCGGCCTCAATTCTGGTGTGCGCATGCCTGAGAGAATCTGTGCTCTCTCAGCTTGTACGTACCCATGATTGCTTCAACAGAATTTGTTGTTCTAATTCGAGATCTTTAATTGGCAGAAGTCATGGGACTTTTGTGATCCTGCAATGCGCCAGCATCATCTCTTGTTGTTGGTTCTGGAAGGGAGGTGCACGGTGTTGAAGGAATACTGTTGCCAGCAGGGACTCCCCGGGGCCACCGCAAGCTGCTAGAAAATTTCGTGCAGCTGAAGAGTGACAACAAGCTACTGGCAGAGGAAAATGCGCGGCTGGAGGCTGAGCTGGTCATCGTGCAGCATGCGCGCGGCGGCATCACTACAGTGCCCGTGCCAGGTCAGCAACCCTGCATGCTTCCCTGGTAAATGCACCATGCAAGACTCACTGCACAACTTGCCTGCCGCTTCCGCTCAGGATGCAGTTGCTATCAGGTATGTACTATATTGTGTGAGAGTGGTGCTGCGCTGTGTGAGGCCAACCTGTGCCTGTTCACTTGATTTCTGATGTGGCAATAAGACGAAAATTTGAAAAAGGTGAAGCGTGGTGTCAGCTGCATGTTCTAGCCGGGTGGACACCCATGCAAGCTGGCGCTGCCTGGACAGCACCTGACAAGTAAAACAAGGTGGAAAATTCAAATGCGCTGGTGGGGTGTGCAGTGCGCGTGGAGAATGGAGAGGCGGTGGACCGGGAGCTTTGGGTGTTGTTGGAGGAGTTGCAAGAGCGCAATCAGGCGCTGGCAACCGAGAACACTGCTCTGCGCGCGCGGCCGCCCACCGGCTCCTGGGCGTGCGTGGCCGTTCCCTCTCGCTGCACCTTTGCTCTTTGGCCATCCGTCCAAAAGCCGATTGGCCTTACTAGGTCTCATCAAGTTGGATCAATTTCATACATCCCGGAAGTGTTCAGGGTCTCTTAAGTAGATGTGCAGTGTGTTGGATCAGTAGCACTTCCTGATCGAATGGCCTCGCGGCCGCTATGAGCGCCTACATTCCCAACCCTACGTGTGCAGGCCATTGACTGAGGGAAGCCGCTTGCGTGATGCATTAGTCAGCATGCGTGCAAGTTGCTGCCTCTGAACATACGCTGCTTTGATGGGGGGGTGTCATGAAGCTGAACACATCATAAAGGGGTTGCAGTAAGATTATCAGGTTGGTATGGCTCACTTGTGCGCACTTGATTGGGCCTGGTCCAGGTGTCAAGAGTCGTGCTAGAATGTCTTTTGCCTGAAGATAGAGTGAAAGAGGCATCTACAACCGCTGCAGTGGAAAGGCATTATGATATACAGGTGCCCGCTGCCTGATGAGGATTCAGATTTGAATTGCGATTCAAATTCCAATATTAAGGGAGTGTCCACTTCCTGTGCAGGCCGTCAGAAGTTGACCTGGCGTCGGAGAACGAGCGGCTGCATCGGCAGCTCAGCGCGGTGATGGAGATGCGAGCCGCTGAGATCAATGATGACAATCTGCGGCTCGTCAGCCATCTCACAGAGGTGAACTGCCCGCTGAAGCCATGCTCCTCAAAATCTTGTGGAGTTGCTGAGCATGTATTAGCCAGATCACCCAGAACGTCTTGTTTTCTGTCCAGTGTGGATTGATTTTCCACTTGATGATGATCCACTTGATGATCGTCCCCTTTTGGGCGGGTAGCGTCTCTGTTAAAGGGATTTTGTAGGCTCTGATAGTGACAGGATCAGCCAGACGGGACAGCAGTCAGATTTTGTATTTTGACAAAGATGCACTAGTCTGTGCCTGCGCTTCTATGGTATAGTTGTGACAGCGAGCTGTTCACCTCTTGTTTCCAATGAGATTGCTATCCTCTATGCAGGAGAGTAACAAGTGACATGTGGGTGCCTTTGCAGGACAGTGGGAAATTGGAGCAGGAGAACGCGCGGCTGTCGGCCTGCCTCGCGGCTGCAGCCAAGGGCGCAGACCAGAGCGCTCTGCAGGATCTACTTACCAACATGGATCGCCTACGCAGTGGGAAGTCACAGGTATGCCACACCCTCAACAACGGTCCCTGCCCTGTCCTGCACATCGACTTTCTATGAGTGCCAGATGTTTCCAGTAGCCAAGATGTCCCATCACTTGCATCAATATGACTGATCATCTTCCCTCACTTGTTGGCTCGTGTGTTTGTCGTGCCCCCATTCCATTTCATTTTTATGTATTGCAGTGCATGCATGCACGCCTGATGGATTCTAGCATTCTAGCATCACATAAACCTCTAAGGTCTATCTGGATCAATACATGTGAAAATGCAGTGCTTGCATGTCCACAGATGGCAGCCGAGAACGCTGAGTTGGCGAAGAAGAACACTCGTCTCATCGAGGAGAGTGAGGGCATGATTGCGCGCATGAGCGGCAATGGGACAGAGGCTGTGCAGGAAGCCTCCAGGAAGACTCGCAGAGCCCTGTTCAGCTTCCGAAGGTGCTTGCATCAGCTTTGATCGCCAATACCAATGGTTGCTGCATGTCATGCGATGCGTCTTTGCTGCAGACATTTTTTCTTCTGCTCATTTCCACTACACAATGCGCCTGTGTCTTTACCAGATGGTTGTGGTCACCATCGTGGCAGGACTCATCCTGCCTGGAGCTTCTTCGCAGGCACATGCATGGGATTCACCAGTCCTTGTCCGCATGCCCACCGGCCAGCGCATGCTGTTGAGAGGTCCCAGTTGGGCAAGAGGCTATACAAGTACTGGTCTGCAATGTGCAGGACTCCCAGCAGGACCGTGCTGCCGGTGCCGCTATCTGAAGGCGAGGAGTGGCAGGCCGGTGACTCACCACACTCCCAGACGTCCTCCCGCAGCAATACAGGTCTTCTAGGGACGCCCAAGGGGGGCAGCTTGGGCAGCGAGGCGGATCTCTTGGCCTCCGAAAATGGCCGCCTCGCCTCGGAGAATGCGCGCCTCGTGGCAGATAACAAGCGCCTCGCCGAGCAGTGAGTCGCTCTAGCCATTTTCCTTTTCCCTTGTCCCCTTTGTCAGAACGGCTGCAAAGATGGGGTCATGTCATGGGAGTAGCAGCGTCAAAGAATGGAATTTAGATCTGCCAAGTTGTCTTGATGTTGGCTTGTTTGCATCCTGGACATCAGTGGTATCCCAAGGCACAGCATCGTAGTGCATTCAAGTTTACTGGTTTGCAAGGATCCAAATGGCAGTGGTATGTGTGACTTGAGATGCTCAAAGCAGCGGTGAATCTGATGCATGTGGGGACTGCTCCCATGCAGGGCAAGCACTGTGGCGGACTTGACCAACACGAATGCCCACCTGACCGCTGAGAACGCGCGTCTGAATGACCGGATGGCGAAGCTGGTCAAGGACTTGACCGTGGAGAACAAGCAATTGTTGGAGGAGAACCAGCGACTGAACCAGACGGTCAAGAAGGTGCGCCATCAGCAATCTTTTCCGGCTCATGGAAGAGCTTTGCGTTCCCAGTTCCAAGAGGTGTTGCAGGGATGCCACTCTGTAACATTCTGCACAGCGAGCAAATACTTCTGTGCCTGTCATTTTGAATGCAACAAGCGCGCAGCAAAATGGAATTTTACTCATGGACGCTTTGGTCGTGATAGAGGTGCTCTGTTGTGCAGGTGTTGGAAGGAAATGCCGAGCTTACTAGCCGGCTCATTGACGTGGCGCTTACGTCATCCCACAACGACGTTTTTGATGCTGCGTTCGGGGCAGAGGGCACTCCCCACGCCGGCCCCCTGGCGCGCCTGCCACTGGGCCACTGGAGCCAGGAGGAGGTGCAGCGGCGGCATAGGGAGGCCACCGAAGAGGTAAGCTCACTCTTCTGAACTCCTGACTGTCAACCTGAATTTCTCCAGGCCAAAGAACCTTTTGAGACTGCAGACGTTTCCCACGGTGACACAACACACCTTGTCAAACTCAGCCGGAATGCTCCAGATCAATCATGCCTCGGTTTGTTCTTGATGAAGCTTGATTGGGTATCCTGTATCAGATGTGATGTGGATGAGACATAAAAGCCGAGGGCTACTTGATTAATCCACTCGTTTCCAAGTTGCTCTGCATCGAATGTGATGTGCTTGAGGCCTTACATGATGTACCGTGGCATTGTGCAGCTGCTGGCGGTGGGCAGGCGGCAAGCCATGCGCGCACAGCAGCGGGTGGAGCTCAGCCGCCGCGCCAGCACAGAGGTCAGTCATTTGCTCTGCCTCCTCTGTCCTACCCTTATGAGTGGACATTCCGAAACCCTGTGCTTAGGGAGCCAGCGCCTGTCAATCCCAGGCAGCATGCATGGCATTGCCACATGTGCCAGACTGGATGCCGGCCTGCCTGTGCTGTTCAAATTGTACTTAGCTGGTGTATCTCATTGTCGCTCATTGAAGCCATTTGATAATTTAGGATGCTTGGGAGGAAGTGTATATTACCGAGGACTGAAAGAGTGTGATGTGCACATCTTTCCCTGGTCATGCATGCATCATGCATGATGTATCGTCTGGCATGGCATGACATGTAGAGTTCTTGCTGCTGCGCAGCTGGAGGCTTATGAGAGCGCGAAGAAGAGCGCAGAGAATGCGTACAGCAAGAGCAAAGCGCTCGCGCTGCAGCGGCTGCACTCGCGCAACAGCCAGGCTGCACAGAGCGCGGGGGGCGCGCCCCCCGCTGCCCGGCCTGCCCAAGCCGGGCAGCCTGCGCCGCCGACCACCCCCGAGCCCGCTGACCGTAGCGCTGCCGTCGAGGACGGTGCGCTGCCGTGGATGCTGTCGAGTGCTCTCCTATTTTATGCTTTGATCACAGGATATCTGCAGCGCTGCAGTGCTGGTGCTAGCTGTCTGTAGCAGCATTGCTATGGACGTTGAGGCCTTCCTTGTGAGGTGGTCAATTTGGGAGGCCAGCCTCATTTCTTAGCGGTTGGCGCACCAGCTTAGCATGGTGTGGCACTCTTGCAGGGCCGTTTGACGAGGCAATCCGGCGGCGGCGCGAGGCGGAGCTGAGCCGAGCTCAGCTGCAACAAAAAATTGAAGCTTTCAAGCGGCGCCGCAGCCGTGAGGGGGATGTTGAGGTGCAGCACTCTGTGGCCCTGGGGAGTAACGCTGCTAGCGAGGCAGCCACCGCCCGGGCGCGCGCCGAGGCCGCGCACCGCCGAGAGATACAGCGCAAGGACGCTGAGGACCGGGTGAGACATTCTATGCTGAGCATGCTTTCTAGGATCTGCATGACATGATCAAGCGTCATGGAGGCCATGGAGTTGCAAGCACTGCTGTCACAAGGTCCAATCAATGCTGACCCCCATGCAACCTGCATGTCTTGCTGTCTTGAACCCTGATGGATGTTCCTCAAATCATGTGCAACCTGCATGGTGGCGAACAAGAGCCTTGTAGCTGATGGAGCATTTGCGTGTTGCTTGCAGGTGAGGGCGGCCTACTTCCGCTACGCAGGCAATCACGACGTCGCGGCCTTCATGAGAGCCTTGGGCTTTGAGATGCCGGCACAGTTTTTCTTGAAGAAGGACCTGAGCCCCTCTGAGGTGGCACGCATCGCCATGCAAGTGAGTTGTCATCATTGATGCAATACTGTTGCTTTCATGAAGCACCCAAGAATGCTTCGAATCCCGCCCAAGGGCAATGAGTTCGTGATGTTGCATCTGCCCTTCTCAGCTTGGTATATTTTCGACAGCATGAACAACATTGCGTTATACTCAGAAATAATCGTGCCACGCAGGTGCTGTCTTCCAAGAAACAGAGGAATGGGACACCCGAGCAGCAACTGCTACTAGAGGCTACTCTGCTCAAGTTGCAGCAGTGGACTTTAGATGTGCCGCACACATGAGCTGAGACTCTTAGGTCTGCTCTTTCTCCATGTGCGGCTTTCCGCTTATGGCTTTTGAAAGCTCCATGATTCACAATGGTTGGCATATGCATGGCATGCGTTGGCAGGGTAGAGGCAATCGATGCTACTGGCAGACCGTGTGTAAGATTCAGTCGGGATGCTCTACACTGCTATAATGCATACTGCGCAGTCTGAGACTGGCAGTGCCACTGTGCCCTCCTAGGTAGCAATAGCCTGGTCAGTGTGCGGGAGTCTTTTGCAAGGACTCTAGGACGTAATGTCACCTTTTCCCTGCAAAGTAACCTTTGTCTGCATGCACCTTTGTTTCTTACAGTAATTTCCCTCCCCCTTCCCATGCATTTGGGGGAAGTATAAAATGTTTTACACGTAAATGAGATAGAGGAGAGCCTACACAGACGCAATCCTGTTACAGATCAGACACATGCAGACAGATTGGACACAAAAGGCAAACAACATCACAGTGACAAATGGATAATGATGCCTGGCTCGGTATGAAGAGGAACACACAGTGAGTCAAGGCAAGGCAAAGAACAGGAGAGCAGGCAGACACCAAACACTACCTGCAAGGAGTGGAAAGGCGATCAGCCATGTAGGAAGGCAATCCCCATGAGCAAATGCAGAACTCCGAGCCACGAGCAGATGCTGGTGATGGGAGAGATGTAGAGGGCAGAGGTGCTGGTGATGCCTGGTGATGGTGATGGAGGAGGCCAGGGGATAATATGCAGCAACTTACAGGGAACCCACAGAACAGTCCTAAAAGAGTTGTGGCGGGACCGCCTAAGAGCAGCTCTTATAAGCAGCATATGGCTCGACCCGGACCTGGAGATCAAGATAGGTATCAGAGAACCACTTTGTTTCATCTCTGAAGATATCTTTGAGAGGTTTAATTCGCTCGCATAGCTGCTTATAAGTATCTTCACTTTGCATGTTACGTAAAACTTTTTGATGTACCTCTAATATTGTGACACAGAGCGCTTTCAAACTTCTGTTTATCCAATCACTTGGCTACGTGTTCACTCCCACACGCCCTGCCGTGGAAGGAGCACACGACTGCCGCTGATTCCAATAAATTATTCGACTCGCTACCACACCATCACATTTGCCAACGCACAATTGCGAAAATTTTTGCCCCACTGGGCCAGAGGTAGGGATAATCATAACGTCATTCTTGACTACATCGTCACATGGGTCCTGGAGTGTGTCAATGTTTCCACACTGGATCACATCGACACTCGTCTTCATCTTGTTGTTGGTACGTCATTGAAAACATTCAGCGGTGGCGAGCGAGTGATTTGGATCAGGTCCGAGGAGACGGGGGCGTCGTGCGCCTCGTGGAAGGTCAGTCGTAATGTGCGTGCACGGCTTGCTCCGGGCGTGTCGGTCCATCGATGTTGCTAGACATTGACGCAAATGTCAGTTATAGGTTGCTTTTGCTTAATCATATGCGTTGCGATGCAGTGCCTGATCCGTACTATTAAAGGAATTGGCCTCTTCACTGGCCGACATTCCACCCGTCTTGAGGTTGAAGTGTCTCTTGTGCCCACCGGCGCTGTAAAATGCTTTTAGATATGTGAGGTTTTCTGTTTGTTGTCTGGAGGATCTACCCTTTGAGCTCTGAGGGGCGTGTTCACTCGATGATGATCTAACCCCAGGACAGCTGCAACAGAGAAGCTGACCGGTTTTTTGTCGGATCAACATTGTTCAGAGAGAGAGTCTTACAAGCTTTTGATGTAGAGTGGATTTAATTCTTGGGATGACGTGAATCACGAGCTTAATATGGGTGCCGTAATATTAGAGAGGGTGAAGCTGCAGGTAGTATACCAAAGCTGTGCAGTGTTAAGAGTCATGGGCTCGAAGCAAAGTGGCCATCGCAAGGAGTTTGGGTGTGGAAGTGTGGATTGCAGAGACATCTCAGGTCCTCAATTGAGCTGGGCAGTACTGTTGCAGGTACTCTTGCTCCAATGTGAGCCTGCATAGCTTTGGAGACAGGATGGCCACTTTCACCTAGAGGAGCTGGAGGCAGTCAGCAATGTCAGGCTTTCGAAATAGCTCCATCAATGCAGGCACCCTGCACCTGCAAGCTGCCAACAGGATTAGGCGCAACTCCATCACTGCCCTCAGTGAACGAGGTGAGCCTGCTTCCCAGAGGCTAGACAGGTAAAGGAGACAAACTGAAGGTATGGAGTATCCCCTTTCTCAGATGACACAATCAGGACGTTGTAAGTGCCTCCCTGCACAGCCAGAGGATGGGGAACGTAAAGCCGGGTGTTCTATGTGATTGCAGAGTCAGATTATGGGCGCTCCCCAAGCGAGAACCACTATGGGAGCGGGGATGTCAGGAAGAAGATTGATGAGGAGAACCCTGAGTGTGGGTTGGCCGGGCAGCCAGACCAGCCCTGCAAGTATGACTGCGTGTCCAACCCCGCTCCCTGGTGGCACCAGATCACGGTGCGTGCCTGAGTTGCCACATTATCGCATGGCTACGGCAGCTGAGAAGGACAGCCCACAGGCTCTCACAGTGCAGCGCTTCTTCATTGTCCTGTTCCCCAGAGTGCCTTTGCGAATGGGGTGCTCACATTGCAAGACCCTGTTGCACGGATCTCCTCGTTCTAAAGTCATTTACACTAGGCAGGCGTTCAAATTGAACCTCAGAAGCAGAACATCCTGCAGGAGCATCAAATTGAGCTCTGGAATGAGGGACGGGTCCCTTCCTTGCACTCGCAACTGACTGAGCCTGACACTATGTGCAATCTGTGTCTGCGCAGCTTCGGGCGCTGTTTGTGGGGGCCATTCTGGGCACGCTGTTCAGCATTATCATTCACAAGCTGAGCCTGACGACGGGAATCATCCCTTCGCTTAACATCGCAGCGGGTCTGATTGGCTTTGTAGCCATCAAGGGATGGGTCTCCCTACTCAAGTTCTTCCGCTTTGACCCCCATGACTTTACACCCCAGGTGCTGTCCAGCTCACCCTTGATCAAGCACCAGTGCCAGAAATTGGCCAGTGCTTTCCCTGAAGTCACCTGCAATGTGCGCTGTCAAAATGATGGATATGCTTTGCCCAACGTATTATGCTGGAGAATGATTCCCCACTTGAGGGGAATCAGGGGCGCAAATCTAATGAGCAAGATGCAGTTGCCGCCCTCGCATGCATAGAGTAGCTCTGTGCAGGGGGGAGGCTCTGTGAAATTTTTTATTTCCAAGGATGCTGTCTGCATGAGTTGCAAACTGACCGTGATATCTCCTGTAGGAGAACACCGTTGTGCAGACATGCATTGTGGCGTGCTCCAGCCTGGCGTTCGCCGGTGGCTTCGGCTGTTACCTGCTGTCGATGGACCATCAGACGTTTGAGAACCTGGGCGACATAGCTGGCAACCGCGCAGAGGTGACACCCTCTGTGTCTTCCTCTTTTACTATGTGCTCCTTTCTGTGATTTTGCCGATGCTATATTTTATGCTGAGCTCATCCGTTTTTTCCTGCTGATTCAAGCAAGTTTTGAGGTTGCCACGCAGTGAGCTGCAGGCAAATGTCTTTCTGTTACATGCCTGATCATCATTCTGTCCTTCCCCCCGGCACAAGCCCAAATGTCATGCTGACCCCAACGCATGTTGCGGGGGCCATGCTCAAATTGAAAGTCCCTTCAACATCAAATGCAGGATGTTTACGAGCCGAGCCTGGAGCGCAGCATCCCCTACCTGCTCTGCGTGGGCATCATCGGGATATTCACCCTGGTCATTCTGCGCAAGCGCTTTATCATTGACTATCGCTTGCAGTATCCCTCTGGCACAGCCACCGGAATTCTCATCGCCTCTTTCCACACCCCCAAGGGTGAAGCCGCTGCTCGAGAGCAGGTGCAACCCACGCTCTCCTGGCCAGACATGTGTCCCTTCTCAACAGTACTGCCAAGCATTGCAGCTTCTGCAAACACAGGAGCAGATGGCGACGCTGTTGAGGCGTGCATGTCGCAGCACAGCATGCAAAGAATCTGCAAGAGTGCAGTCGGATGGTCATTATAGAGCGGCAGGCAGACAAGTAGTGTTTAGCAATTGTGCATTTTTGAGTTCCTTGAAGGTGGTATGTGGGGGTCCTGTGGGTGTCCTTTGGGGTTTTACGAGTGTTATTCACGGGAAATAATATGCTTTGTGCAGGTGAAGACGCTGGGTTACTGGGGCACGACGTCCTTCCTGTTCAGCTTCTTCAAGTGGTTCTTTGGGGGCAGCAGCACCAGTGGCGCCTCGTGTGGCTTCTCCTCATGGCCCACTTTCGGCATGGCGGCCCTGAACTACCGATGGAGCTTTGACTTTTCGCTGACTTACATTGGTGTAGGTGTGTCGTCGCTGCCCTCTCAATGCAAAACTTTTCTCCTGCACATCTTTCAGGGATTGAGCATTTTACAGCAGAGCTTTACTTGAATTTGCAGACTGTCTCCCACTATGACTGCCAAACCCAAAGGCCTTGGCGCTAAGACATGGCTCCTGGCAAGGAAATGTCTTTAACAATCTGGGCAGATGATGCCTTAATCTCTAGTCCCGCTGCACATCTACCGGGACATGCGTTGGCATCCTGGCAATGCAGCATGAGTGTTTGAGAGTGGCTGCCAATGTGAGTGCAGGCATGATCGTGCCTTATGTGGTGGCATACTCGATGATGTGGGGAGCTATAGTGTCTTGGGGCATCATGTGGCCCTTGCTGGCCAAGAAGGAGGGGGATTGGTTCCCTGCCGGTCTCACAGATGGTGACTTCAGGGGGCTATTCGGCTACAAGGTATCGCATCTTCTCCTTGTGTTGTTCAACCCTCACAAAAGTAAGTGCTACTCCTGCCGCAGTGGGATAAGCAAGACATTTGACTGGGAGTGGTCTCTGCATATCTTTGCGAGTTGTATGTGGTGGGAACTGAACAAGTTGCTCTGCCTGTGCAGAATTTCCTGGCCATTGCAATTTTTGTGGCGGATGGCGCCTACAACTTTGCAAAGATTGGCATCCTGTCGCTACAGGTAAGACCTTGGATTGCCCTCAACCCCAATAGTTGGTCAGTTTCTCTACCCAGTCCTAAATGATTTGCTCAAAATCTGGTCTTGGCAGCTGCACTGGCCTTGGTCAGATCCAACATGCAGAAGAGGTTTTGCCAAGAGCTCTTTCTATGAGGCTCAGTGCTCCTGCTGATGGAATCCTGGCCGGTTCACAATTGCTTATGTTCTGGCTTGAACACGGGAGATCGGCATGTGCAGGTTTACCTTGACACCAAGAAGGCGGAGAAACGGGTGCGCGAGGCGAGGCATCCTGTGGGGGGACCGTGCTCAGAGATTCCTGCGACGAGCAATGGCCACAACATCCAGCGCAATTCTTCAGGTCTTTTACTTCTGCTCCTTTTTTTTCAAGCCGAGGAGATTGTAAAGCACACCATTGTCATGTCAGCTGGTTCAACTGTCAGTGCTGCCATGTAGCCCAGGACCTCGAAATTCCAGCATGCGGCCTGCAGCAGTTTGTGCGCCTTCATCATCACAGAAATGAAGGCTGCGGCCTCTGAGGCGGTTGCTGCTTTTCTTGTGGAGTGCTCAAAGGACATTTCAGCAAAAAATCAGTTTAGAGTCTTGGTTTCTGGCCCTTCTCTGCCACATGCACCCGCCTGGACGACAAATCGTGACAAGGTTGTGACAAACGCTGACAGGGAGTTTGCCTTCGCATGTGCAGGTCAACAGGTAATGACCCTGGCTCAGGTCTGCGATTTGGACCGAGAGGCTCTAAGGCTTGAAGCGTTGAGAGATGAAGTCTTCCTCAAGGGCTGCATTCCCTGGTGGATTGCCGCTGTGGGCTATGGTTTCTTCTCCATCCTTAGCATTGTAGTCATCCCCATCTTGTACCCTCCAGCAAAATGGTGAGTAGTTGAGCGCTTTGTAATTCACTTGTACCCATTCCTTGCGGCAGGCATCTTTCAAGAAGGATCCATTGCAATCATTTAGTAGCCCTGTATTCTAGGTGCACCACTGAATTTACAGGCAGGTGACCCATTTTGCAAGCCTTTGTGACTGCCATGACAAATTTGCCTTCTAATTTATCTGAATCCGGACTTTTTCTTGATTTTTTGGTTGCCCTGCAGGTATTACCTGCTCGTGTTGGTGATAGTGTCCCCGCTCTTCGCTGTGGCCAATGCGTATGGCGCAGGTCTCACTGACTTCGACATGAGCTCCATTTACGGCACGGTGCGTTTGCTGGCTCAGTTTACTCTTCTTTATACACACATATATATATATATGTGTTTGTTGTCCCTATGGGGCGTGCCACACACTGCTGAAACTGCAGGCCCACTGTTCTGTTTTAGATCTGCATGCACATTGTCTAGGGGAGCCTGCCAATGCGCCGTGGAGCCTGCACCAGCTCTTGGGCACTCTTGAAGCCAGAACTTGGTTGCCCTGCAGGTGGCAATCTTTGCATTTGCAGCCTGGACTGGCTCTCAAAACGGTGGTGTGATCGCTGCCCTGGCTGTGTGTGGCCTGGTGATGGCGTCCACGTCATCTGCTGCACTCCTCATGCAGGCACACCCTCACTCCTCCCACGCAGCGCCGATCTGTATTTCCTGGCGCCAATTCATGCATGATGATTTTGATGGTGTTAGGAGGACACACTTCCCAGATGCAGGTGCCTGTGGGAAGCTCGAGCTGCTGGAGGGTGACTTTGGTAGTTGAAGAGCCTTGCAATCCAAGTGCAGTTCCGTGTGACAGAGGGACTGAAGCTCCAGCTGCTGGCGTGCAGGATTTCAAAACGGGCCACATAACTATGAGCAGCCCGCGCTCCATGTTCCTGTCGCAGATCGCAGGCGCACTGATGGGTATGTCATCAAACTGCTCCCTGCAGGGTCATCTCTCCCCCAGAAAACCTCATGGGCTTCCTTTCTGACACCTCCAAACCCACACCCCATTATGCTTTGAACATGAGGGTCAGTCATGATGAAGCATCCATTCATTTCAAGCTTCACATTTGAAATGACTCGATTGGTGGTCTGCTTGCGTGCAGGCTGCTTCATAGCGCCGCTCACGTTCCAAATGTATTGGAAGTCCTTCCCCATCGGAGTTCCCTCCTCCGAGTACATCGCCCCTTACGCCAACATCTACCGCGGCATGGCCATCATTGGCACGCAGGTGAAGCCCGCACCTCGCTCTGTTGGCAAAACCAATAGTCTCCTCCAAATGTCTTGCTATCACATACAGACACGATGTGATGGATAACTCTCTGCTGTAAAGGGGGACGGTATTACTTGCACTGCTATTAGAGGTTTCTTGTCATGAGCAGCATGCATTCTGAGATATGCACGCGTGCTACACCATTGCAGAAGCCTGAGTGGTCGGTGAAATCTGTGCAGGGGTTCGGCATGCTGCCGCAGCATTGCGGCATGATGATGGCGTGCTTCTTCGCGGCGGCGATAGTGGTCAACCTCATCCGTGACGCGCTGCCGCAGCGGTACGCGGTGTTTGTGCCGGTGCCCATGGCCATGGCAATCCCATTCTACATTGGCGCAAACGTGGCCATCGACATCTGTATCGGGGCCGTCGTCAAGGCCTACTGGCACTGGACCTCTCCCGGCACAGCCGAGCTCAAGGTGAACCGCAGCAGAAGAGAATTCTTATTGCAAAGAAGTTTCTTAGTGCTGTGGTGCCCATTTGTGAGTTGTAAGGAGCTGAACTCCTCAGTGAGGTGCCCTGTTGCACATGAAGTATGTGGAGGCCTGACTTCATACCGCCCAACAGGAAAAATCCTCTCAAAAGGGACCTTTGTATGATTGAGCCCACCCAAGGAGGGTGCTACAGGACTGGGGTGCACAGCATCATGCGCCTGCAAGGCTTAGCTTGAGGGCACAATGTTGCGCCATTGCAAATGTGTGCTAGGCCTCTTGTATGCACTGGAGCAACCTTTGCAGATCCAGTGACAAATGCTGGACTTCTTTTTTTGGGTAAAGAAATCAAGGGTGAGCGCAAGGGTGTTTGTATCGCGCAGGTGCCGGCAGCTGCATCGGGGCTGATAGCAGGAGATGGCATATGGACCGTGCCTTCGGCGATCCTGTCTATATGCAAGGTCAACCCGCCGATCTGCATGTCTTTCACAAGCTCCTGAGATGCCAGCCACTGATCGGAACAGCGTGTGAGCACGCAATGTCACAAGTCAGCAGTACTAGCTACTTTGTGGTCCATTGCAGATGTCTTGTTACAGCTCCACTAGGCATTGTTCATACAGCAGGTCTGAGGAAGTCTGAGATTCAGTGCTGCACCGAATCAGAGGGCCAGGTGCCACTTTGGCTCAGCAGTGCTCAGCAGTGCAGGCGCGTGTACCAATTTATATTGATACCTCCAGAAAAGGGCAAAGACAGGAGGTCGTCTTGGACTTATTGACAGTCTCTTGCTGATTCTGGGTCTGGCTGTCTTGCCGAATGTTGATATTGCAGTATTGCTCAGGGTGGCCGCACCCGGGGCCAAACTGTCAGATGCATTGGCAATTGTGTCAGGCATGGTTACTGTCTGTCTGGACCAAAGATCAGGAAGCAGAGGGTACTCTCTTGAGCCATTTCTGCTCAACAGACACAGTTCGGCCCGAGGGGAAGGCTCTGTGGGCTGTTAAGCCTGGCAGTGTCTCTGGGGTGCTCCAAGCCCTTGTCAATGTGTCCTCCGCCATATTGTTGTGGGGGTTGCAGCTGCAATAATTTTCTGGTGTGGATTGCACGCAGCATGATCTCATCCAAGCAGCCTATTTACATGCTGCCCTCTTTACAGCGACTTGGAATATGATAGCTGGATGTGTTGGCCTCACCAAACTATGCAGAGGCTCTTATGTTGAAGAGAATCGAGGGCGTTTTCAGAGGGATATATTATGAATGTTACGGGGTATCCCTCAATGTATCAGTTCTAGATGCCAATATCTTATTGGATTAGGTCATTTCATTTCACACCAGTTATTTGGTGGATTGCAGCGCTTTTCAGAGGGGCTCATGTCTTCTCTGGTGCTTTAAATTTATGTGTTGTTGATAGAAATATGAAATGTTCAATTGACGGGAAGCTCACAGGATTTGTTTTTGGGTTTGGGGTTGGCTCTGAGCTGTTCATGTCAGAAACATGCATGTATTAATGCATGTCAAGAAAGCTTGCCTGACAAGTGCCCTAGTGTGACAGCGTTGGATACCAAGATATCCTGCAGACGATGCCTAAAGTGCTTTTAATGGAGAACTCATTGAATGTTTTTGACTTTTCTTGTTACTTCTGCGCATGTGCATGTAAGCAAGCTTTGCTTTGCGCACTCATCATCAATAGGCCCATAAGCCAGTCAGCTACAGCTGATCTACAATACATGAGCCCGTCTAAGAGAATTTTTTGCACAGAATCACCAACATCAGTACCCAGAATACGAGACAGAAACAGTGTGGAAGGGATAACTGCGCCGGACAAGGGCAGCTGTGATATCATGGGGCGCTTGGTCATACGCAGAGGAGAACCCGTAGATATCAATTGTCCTCTTCTCTTCGTCAAAAGCAATACGCCCGCCACCTAAGGGGACCACCTGCACACACCACAGTGCAAGCGCTTATGGATCCTAAACATCACTCCTTTTCACTTTCCTCTGCAGAATTCAGGGATGGCTGTGCAGGTCTCTTGCCTCCTTGCAGGAGCCTTCATGTGCCGCAACACAGGACACACTGCCGAAATGAGGAGGCCTGCTCAATGCATCTTGCAGGGTGCCGATGAAACACAGCCATACAGTGCCCGAGGACAGCACTTCTTGCTCTGGCTCATCCTTGTTCTTCATCCCTTTCACAGCATCACATGTAATGCTGGGTGCGTACTTGGGAGTCGTCATCTGCATCCACTTCTTGAGCGAGCTCCAAGATGTCCTGATGGTAGCCAGCTCGCTTGTTGCCCCTCACTAACAGTCTGCTCATGCTGTTGCTCTTGCTTTGAAGCCGCAACAGAACGTACTTGTAAGTTCCGCTCTCATCAATATCCACTTCCTTCACATCCTGCAGTTGCATTTTTATCAATCACTTCGAGTGAATAGTATGCACATCATTCTCAGTAGAAGATGTCTGCGCCAGCCTGCAAAGCTTTCAGCATGCAGGGTTCGGAGCCAGCGTTGCACTTGCACTACTAACTCTGGAGAGTCGTGGTGTGCGCACAAATCTCCTGCAGGCAAGACCGCTCTCGAATGACAGGAACAGCATCAAAGGCCATGACGCAATGACAGGTCTGGATGCGTGCCTGTCTCCAATGGCGAGCATCTCCTTTGGCAGGCTGCTCCAGCGCCATGAAGGTATGTATGAGGCGGTGCGCCAGAGCATAGCTGCCGGGGATTGAGAAGCTGACGCTGGCTGCTGTGCTGCTACTCGACTCTGCCTCGCTCGTGTCCCACCCGCTCCCATCAGCTGCGCGCAAAGAGATAACACCTCAGCCTGACTTCTTTAGAAAGCAAAGCTTGTGAGAATGCACTCTGATAAAAGATTTTCATGCCATAGCAAGTCCCCACAGATACAAGGGGGAAGTAGAAGACAAAAGGATTCAGGACACAGAAGCATGCCTGTCATCTGAGGAAGCTTGACTTGACTTAAAGATAATATTGACTTAAGAGCGGTGGGCTCCAGCAGGGCCACGAGGCAGCATCATGCCACCCAGTACACTACACAATCATGGCGCCGGCGGCAGACACCGCAATTTCATGTCTGGGCTTGAGAGCCACTATGGTTCACATTAAGGATGGGAGATAGTGTCGAGGCATGGCCGGAAGCCATGCGCACCTGCGTGGTGCAGGTGCCTGCGCAACCAGGAGCGGTGAAACCAGCGCGCATCCTCAAGCTCTGTTATGTCCACCAGCGGCTGCTGCAGGCACAGCTCCTCCACCAGCGTGAACCCCACCTCCTCCTCTGTGCACCCGTGGTGCAATCCCTACCACCCCACACACACACAGAGACCGCCATGAGACAGCGCACATCAGATGTCTTTCTTCCCCACGCAGCACGCTGTGCTGGCTGTACACACTGCAGTGTGCCCCAAGGTTGGCATGCTGCTGAGTAGTAGGAACCACTCCCTGCAAGCTTCAAAGCACGGCTTGAGGAAACAGGGGGCAGTACTTATTGAGCAGCTCAGGTCACATTGCTGATTCCCTTGCATCGCATTGCTGCATATGCCTCAAGGTGTGCCGGGTTGTACTGCTGCCAAGGGCCTGGAACTCTCCATGGCATGCAACCTCCCTGACATAGGCAGCAGGAAGCAGGTGAACAACTCATTGTGAACTCGAGCACACCTGTAGCCGCTGGCGTGCCAGGCTCCAGGCATGGGACCGGTCAGGCGCTGCAGCGGTGGCCATGAAGCCGATCATGAGCGACTGGGGGAAGGGCCACGGCTGACTGGCCACGTACTGGATGCTGTGGGGGTCCACCGCCACCCCAGACTCCTCCTTCACCTCCCTCCCCACTGCCAGCTCCAGCGTCTCCCCGACCTCAGCAAAGCCTGAACATCGGCATATATAATAAGCCTTAGTAATCACTAATACAGGTGGATCGATGTGCTTTTGGTGATTTGTCCAGGATTTGCAATCCAAGTGACAACAGCATTCTCTTCTCCGGCGAAGATCTACTTTGGGTGCGTTTTGCCTGGACTGCCATCTTTGTCGAGGACAACATAGCTTGCTGATTGCTTGGACCGGCCCCTGTCACTCCACGGTTGCTTTATTGAGACATCACAGATCAGGGAAGATCTTGACAAGAGAACCAGGGTACAGCTGGGAGCATATTGATTGTATTGCTGTCTGCACCCACCTGCCAGGCAGGAGTAGCGGCCGGGCGCCCACCGGGACTGGCGCCCGAGCAGTGCATAATCGCCGCAGTACACAAGTGCGATGACCGCTGGGTCGATCCTGGGGTACACTACCCTAGCCCGCGGCGAGGCTGCAACCCTGACAACACACCCCTCAGAAAGCAGACCCTTCCACATCAGAAAGTCCCTTTACAACCACCCACTTGCAGCCTAAAATGGCCATGTAAGAGAGGGTACACAAGCACAAGAGGATCATAATCCAGCATGGGGTGACTGACCGTGCATGGCCCCCTTGCATGGCCGCAGTGGGCGCGCCCGTCCTGCCGCAGAAGGCATTGTTCTCATTCCAGCGCAACAAGGCCTGGGCCAATGCCAAAAGCGCAGCCTGGTCCCCCGCCAACTTTGGCCCCTCCTTGCGCAGATCCACCCACCTGGCCTGCAGCAATCCACCCTGTGTCTGTTCATATTTCACCATTAATCATCTGTGGGCAAAGATCCACGACGCTCGACCACATGTTTCAGATCCCACTGAGATCCACGCCGCAATCAGATGATCTGCTCTTCAATTGAGATCTCTTGTGAGCAGTTTAACAGTGTGAGGCAGGTGGCTGGCCTTGCAGGTACTGATCTTGAACACTCAGCAGTCTGCTGCATGGATGAGATTAGAAAAGCTGGTTCAAGGGCGCACCCCTGCGCCAGCTTCTGCCACGAGGGGGCTAAGCCATTCCTCGCACTCCGGTCTGCAGGCAGCGCCAAAGACAGGCACCCCTCCGGGCTCCAGGCCCAGGAAGACTAAGCTGTCTGGTATGAGGTACTGCTCTGCATTCTGCAAGGGCAGGACGGCAGAGGATAGCCCTTGGCTGTGTGTCACGAGGTTCTTGCCCTCGAAAACAGGAACTAACTTCGCGTCTGAGCGACCGGCAAGCTCCTTGAGCTTCGCTTCATCATTCCTGGTGCCACAACAAGTGTTGCCAAGGGCTGCAACAATGAAAAGTGGCTTGCACAGTGCCAAGAAACTGAGACTTGAGGACAGAGTACCTGATGTGCGTTGCACGGTCCAATCCAAGACCAGCATAATGTAGAGCCGCAGCATCCCCATCATTGATCCTTTCTAGACGAGCTGAAGTGGCAATCCTGCACCCCACGTGTGTGCCGCGAAGGGATCCTGAGCCGATATAAAGACGAGTGGACCTGGCGAATTGACCGAAACGCAACAGCATATCTGACATTTCGAGATTATGTCAAGCCTTCGATCGTCATCGGCAAGAACAACAGGCATCGGCTTGAATGACGAACGCTTTCTCTGCATGCCTTTGCGAAGAATCACAGTGCCTCCTACACACACATCTAATTTTACTTCTAATTTGGATGTCCGAATTTTGATGTCTCTCAAATGACTCTGGAAATGGAAAATGCTGGGCATTGGTGCCAACTTGGTGGTCCTGCGTCCTGATATCTCAGAGACCCTGGTCAGATAATTCAAGTCCCTGAACCTCAGGCAAAGGAGTGCAACAGCACAGGCCTCTTCACACGCGCCTCTAGACCCTGTACTATCACCTAGTATTTAGCTCTGCCCTGTTTACACCTAACTTCAGGCCTTGCTGCTGCCAGCTCGGGGCCGCCAGGTGCAGCCCGCTCCTGAGGTGAGCTTCCTTCCTGGGGTTTGGCCACCGCTTTCAGCTTCTTGCCCTCATCCTTGAGCAATTCTTGTGGCCACAAAGCCTCTCGGTTGCCCTGAGTGCACCATCAATGCAGTCTGCGGGGTGATCAGTGCCAATAGATTGTTGCAAGTGTCACTCTGGAAGTTGAGTCTGTGATCTGCCTGTCCTCCTCGTTTGTGTGGTGAAGCATCAGCTCAAGTAGGTCTGCATGTGGAATCATGGATGATTTTTCAGGATCAATCTATAAATGTTCAGTTATACCAATACTGATGGCGGGACGCTGAGAAGTCGGATTGTGGTGTCTTGTAGCCACCGCAGGTCAGACGTCTTTTCTGGATAGAAGTTGGCAAGGAAGGCCACATCGATAGTTACATAGAAGGATCGAACAAAATGCAAGGAACTACTGGAGCACGGTACGTGATCGATAGCTGCAGCCTTAAGTCTTACTGATTGGTGCATCAAGTGCTGAGCTTATTTCTCTTCTGGTGTGCACCTAATCGATTTAAGTAAGTAATCTACGTCTGGGAAGAATTGTAGATCATCAGGCAGATGATGCATGTTTTCTTTTCTGTTTTGGTCCTTCCTGCCTGCATATCGGGAACACCAGGCTTGGAGTGAATTCTCTTGCACTGTTTCCCGCAGCCATTGTTGAGGCTTCACGTCGTTATTTTACAATGTTGCGTGCAGGCCTGGGCGCCGCATGGTTTCTTTGGGAAGAGTGACTGCTCCTAAGCCTGTGAATTTGCCAAGCCAAAAGTGAGTCGGGTTCCTGTATCCTTCCTTCCTCACGGGTTTGCGCTCATGTTGCGAGCCAGAAGTTTCCACACAAAATTAACCTTTCTGATTAATGCTGCATGTGCTGGCCAACAGGCGCGAGAACAATGGATTGGACCCGAATGTGACGCTAGTCCCAAAGTACGCCAGTTTGCTTGATCTCCCTCCTACTCACCGCACGAAACAGCTTGTCCACATCCGTGCAACATTTGTTTCTTAAGGCTGGCCTACGCAAAGCAGTCCCAGAGGCTGCACACCTACTGATAGTGTCGAGGCTCCTGTGCAGGTCGAGCTCTGTGTGGGGAGACCCGAACACTGGACAAGGTGAATCAGCGCCGCTGCCAGCTCCCCAGGCGCCAGTTCAGGCTCCTCAGCCCGCTCCTCAGCAACAATTTGGATCTGCTTGGGGTGGTGCTGCCATCTCAGACAAACGCCAGGCAAGCAGCTGGACATCAGACTGCTCACGCTAGTCAATCTAAATTCCAAGATGTGCTCTCTGAAATGATGCAGAAACATCTGACATGTGGCGGATCTATGTTGCAGGTGAGTGCGCTTTTGAAGCAGGATGAGTTTCCGACGCTGGGTGCAAACCCGCCTGATGGCCTGCCCAACGGAGGCCCCTACAATGGTGGGCATGGCTATGAATATCCCCAACCACAGGGCCCCCCACTGGGTCCCCCGCAGGGACCACCCCAGGGCCCGCCAACCGAGCGCAGCCCCTGGGATGCGCCTCCGCCCGCCCCCTATGGCAAACCCGGTAGGCATCTTGCTCTGCCTGCCTGACAGCTCTCCTTTTTTCCTCTTGCTATTCCTTGCTCAACAGGCTCAGGAGGCTTCTCAGAATCACCAAATTGGCGTTTTGCAGGGCCGGCATGACTTAACATTACCATTTTGGTGTCCGCATGCTTGGTACAGTCCTCAATATTTACAGGGAGTTTCAAGCTGGTTTTGAGAATTGCAGGATTGCGCGCAGGTCCGCCTCCCGGCAGTTTCCAGTCGTGGGGAGGTCCTGCAGATCGTTGGGGCGGCGGCCCTCGTCCGGCCGGCCCTGGCGGCTATGGCCCACCCCCTTCGGGCCAGTTCCACATGGAGGGCCACCCTGGACCGCGCTTCATGCCGCACCCAGGCCCTGGGTGAGAATATTTGCCTACTCCGATTGCCTACAAATTTCCAGGACACAGAACATTGGAATTGGAGACAGTTGTGCAATGAAAATGCTTTGGTCAGGGTCCATGCATATCTTTTGGGGTGCAAGATGGTACAATATTGACTCTGATTGAAGCATGCAATAGTACAAGAGCCCATATTTTGCAAATCATGTGGTGGGAGCTGCGGCGTTATAGATCCTGTGGTTGTTGCTAATGCAGGTTCATGGACTACCCGCCTCCGCCGCCCCCGCCGCCGCCGCGCAGCCGGCCTCAGCCTCAGCCTCAACAAGAGCCGGTCAGAGGCCCGCCGCCAAACGCCCCTGCGCAGGCTTTCACGCAGCCGCCAGCGTATGCCGCAGACCGCAATGTTGCTGGCGGAGGTTACCTGCCGCCGCACCTGCGCAACCGCGACAGGGTGAGGCATTGTTTTTTCTAGCGTGCATGGCACAAGATACAATACGAGACGGAGCTTGCATACTTGCATGTCAGTGCTCAAGCTGCTGCAGATCAGCTTTCTAGCAAGTCGATCTTTCACCTCCTTCGACATTAATGGACTACAGCTGAGGAAAGGCCCAGGTTTGGAAGTATCCTTTAGGCATGTCAGACATGTCACTGGATGCCTGAGACGTGAGTATTTGGCCTGGGCAGAGGGACGCCGATGGTCAGATGGAGCCGCATGCAGACTCGAGCACTCCGCGCCAGATCTCTGAGGCGCAGTCGCAGCAGGCCGGTGGCTGGGGAGGCATGCTGGCCCCCACACAGCCCAGCGAGGCTGCCCTGCCGCAGCCGTCCCCTCCTAAGATCCTGCGCCGCGATCCTGTCGCTCCCATCGCTGCTCCGGAGCCCTCGGTGCAGCCGCAAGTGCCCCCGCCACAGCCACCACGCCAGCCGCCACCTGCGCATCAGCCCATTGCCCAGCAGCCGCCACAGCACCATCAGCGGCCACAGCAGCCGGAGGCGTACGCGCCCCGTCCGCTGCACGCAAACATCAGCCAGCACTCGCCGCCGGAGCAGTCGCGGGTGCTGCCACAGGGGCCGCTGCAGTTTGGGCAGCTGGAGTCGCCGTCCGGGCAGGCCAAGCAGATCCTCGGGCAGCACCTGCAGGGCAGCTACCAGCAGCTTCACCCGCAGCTGCCCAACGGCCAGCACCCGCTGCACAACCACCCCATCCAGCAGCAGGTACATATTTCAGTTCAGGTGCATCTCAGCGTCATGGAGTTGAGAGTTGAAAATTATGACACCGCCAGGTCGTTTGTGAGCAAAGGCAGATGACAATTTTCGGCCGGGCCAGTTTCGGTGTAGATAGAGTTGTAGGGGATGCCTTATTGCTCAAAACTACTGAGGTTTGCCTCCTCGTTCCTGTGCAGCGGTCCCACAGCGGCCAAGGCTTCTCGCCAAAGGTGCAGCAGCAGCTGGGCTTCAGCCCTGTCCCGTCGGAGCACGCCGGCCATGAGCCGATCATGACCTTTGGGCAGGCCGGGCAGGGTGGACCCACTGGGCGGGCGCACGAGCTGGTGCCGAGCGAGCACCGGGATGCTGCGCGCGAGCTGGAGGCACAGCAGGCGTTCATGCGCCAGAAGGCCCTGCAGCGGCACCAGGAGGCCATGGCGCACCAGCAGCAGCAGCAGCAGCAGCAGGTGAGCTGGTGGAAGTGTTCCTTCCTTGGGAGGATTCTTTCCGCTACTGTCTTCAGATGTTTGTTTGGATCTTTAGGTATCGCCATGGTGGACACAGGCTTGTCATTTGGGTCCTTTACTCAGGCCATCTGAGGTGCTTGACAACAAATAAAGGAAGGCATCATCTGTTGCTGAGGGCTACCTGGTGCTGAGGGTCAGACGTGTCCGCTGTATGTAGGAGCAGCCTCGGCGCGACAGCGAGGCGTCAAGGAGAAGCCTGCCGCAGAGCACCCACTCGCACCAGTCGCAGCAGCAGGAGAGCGACAGGGAACCCGTATCTGACCTGCGAGCCGCCGGGGGACGGGGCCGCAGCGCTGGCGCTGTCCGCGGCCGGGGCCGAGAGGGCGGGCGAGGCAGAGGCGTGAGGGACGATAGGATGGGCGCTGAGGGGCACTTTGGAGTACTTCATGCTCCACCGCAGACGGCTGCCATTCCCCCTTCCGAGCAGCTCATCATGCAGGTGGGGACCTATGATCAGTCCTGTGGTCCCCTTCGAGTTTTGAATATCAGACTGTTGCCTTGGGGCAGGCAAGGCTAGTGCTTGACCTATGCAGATGCCTGAATACTGTTAATTTGCTTTGCAGGCCAAGATGCGGGCATTGAACTTGGGGGCAAACCAGTCAAGCAGCCAAGGTCCTCCGCCGCCGCCTCCTACACAGCAGCCACCAATACAGCAGCCGCCATTGCTGCAGCAGCAGCAGCAGCAGCAGCAGCAGCAGCAGCAGCAGCAGCGTCGAGCACCGCACCCAGAGCGCTCTGCCGCTCCGCAGAGGGAGGCCCCACGTGCGGAGCCCATCCAGCCCAAGGCCCTGCCGGTGCAGCGGCTGCCGCGGGAAGATGCGCCGCAGCGGCGCGCGGGCGGCCCGGCGGCGGTGCCGGTGACAGCGCATGAGCGGCCGGAGCGCGCGCACGCCGTGCCGGCCGAGTCACTGCCGCAGAGGGAACGCCCTCCGCGCAGAGAGAAGCCGCGGCGAGGGCCGGCCGGCGAGGGCCACGGCGACGCCGTTGCCGTTGCGGTGCCTGCCGAGCCTGCCAGGCACGCCGTCGCAGCCCGGCCAGCCAGCGATGTGCGCGGCGGCAGGGGCGCGGCAGGCCACAACGAGCAAGGAGAGCACGCCCGCGGGCCGCGGCAAGAGCGCCGGCCGCCGCGCCAACCACGGCCGGAGCGGTCCGGGGAGCAGCACCCGCAGCAGCAAGGAGAGGGCACAGACGAGCAGCAGCAGCAGCAGAGGGAGAGGAGGGTGGCGGCACCGCATGGAGGCCACCGGCTGGAGAACGGTGACGTGCGCGAGCGACCGCCCCGAGCGCCCCGGGCAGAGCATGGCCCCCGCGCACCCAGGCGTGAGCCAGGTGAATGTACCCTCTGCAAGCTTTCTCATTATTGAGCACTGTGACATTCCTCCCAGTATGCAGTGCATCACTGCTGTCTTTATTGTCCTCCCTTACTGCAACATTGCCTTTGCAACCTAACAAGTGATACGAACTGGATGCCTTGAGAAGGATTGCTGACATTGCGGCTGCCTGGTGTGCGCAGGTGAGACAGGGGACGTGAAGGGCGTTGACGGCATGCATGAGGAGGGAATGCAGGGGGCGGGCGGTGACCTAAAGAGGCGCGGCAGGGGCGAGCGAGCACCCAAGAAGCCCCGTAATGTGGGCGGTGATAACGGGTCCGGCATCAGTGCCCCTCCTGGGCTGGATGCAGTTCCCAGTGGCAGCAACGCGTCAGCAAAGAAGCCGGAGAGGGCCGAGCGCGAACTGTACCACCCGCCTGTCAAGGAGCCTACAGCATCGGAGGCCGTGGTGCGATTCCCACTTCAATCTCCGTTTTGCTTGGTTCTAGTATTTCTCAGAAGAGCCTGAGACCACCTCAGAACCACCTGGGAGTGCGATTTCAGATGAGAAGAACCATGTCAAGTTGTGCAAAGACAACTGCAGGCGTTGATTTTGCGTGCTGCTGATGCAGGAGGCCGGTGGTGAAGAGATGGAACAGATGACTAACGACAAGCCGCCGGGGCTGCGGCCGAGGCGCGCCCGTGGCGGCCGTGACCGCCGGTCAGGCCGTGACAAAGGCGCGGAGGAATTCACAGACGGCACCGGAGATGGCCCGGAGGCAGCAGGTGTGCAAATGTTATCTTTTGAGTTCATGCGAACTCTTCACAGCCGATGCAATTCGCATGGCAGTTGATGTCCTTGCTTTTGCAGGGACAGCGCTGTACTGAAGCCCATGCATGCATTAATGTTGGCTTTGTAGGAAATACAGTGCTTTGCTAGGTCTCATGTATCCGTGGTTGCATTGAAGCTTTGGCATGTTTTGAAGCTTCTTGTTTGTCAATGTTCAGGAGAGGGCGGAGGCGAGGCTGGCCAGGAGCCCAGGTCAAGGCCCCTAAGGGCAAGGGGCCGGGGCCGGGGTGGCAAGGGCGGCAAGGCCGAAGGGGACGACGCCACTCCTGAGGCCGTCTCAGAGACAGCCAGCACCAAGGCAGAAGAAGGTGCGTTTCTTGTTAGGCATTTTTGCTTTTGTAGTGCGCCACCGCCTGTTGTGGGTCACAGCGTCCGTGTGCCCTGCCTGGCCTGTGGGCGCCGGTTTTCACGCCCCTTTCAATTCTGGATCCTGCAAGCTAGCTGACAGGCACAGGACATACAGACGGTGTACTGATTGCTCAATGACCATCCAGCTCTTAAGAACGCTGGCTTATCTGTCAGACCTATTTCTGTCTCTGGGAGCTGTCAATACCGAATCTAAGAGGCATTGCATGCGCAACAGGGGAGGCAGCCGGCGAGGGAGAGACCGGGCAGGGCAAAGGGCCGCGCGGCAACCGCAGCGGCCGGGGCCGGGGCTCGCGCGGCGGCAGCGGCCGCGGCCGCCGCGCCAAGGAAGGCGAAGCCGCAGGTCCCACCGCCATTCCCATAACCACTTCGGTGAATGGCAATGGTCCAGTAAGCACGGAACGTCCGGCATCGGCCGCCGCGAGCGGGGAAGACGGCAAGCCCAAGACGCTGGAGGTGGCGAGGGCGGCTGTGGACGCCAAGGGCAAGCGCGTGTGGACAGTGAAGGACGGCAGCGCTGACTCCGCGGGAGGCCAGACTAGCGGCAAGGCTCGTGAAGGGGTGGCAAGCGTGCAGGCCGCCTCTGACTGAAGAAACAGCAAGGCTGAAGGGGCAGCGAGCGCGCAGGTGGCTACTGAGGGAAGGAACAAAGCATCTGTTGCATGCGCGCTTCAGATGCAGGAGGACAAAGGAAGATGGTGGCCTACAAGGACAGTGTATGAGCGCTACACCCCTGAACAATATTTCCAAAGAATGGCCATGTGCTGGAGTTTGGGGATGGATTATTGCTTCCGTCGGACCCTTTTGATTGCTTGCAGTCTGGGGAAGGTCACAGTTGCCAAGGAGCAGTGGACAAACAAGGTCTCAGATCAATTAGGCTTTTCCATGCAGGCTGCAGAAGTCATGCAGTGCAATGCTGCCCTGGTCTGTGGCAAAGGTGGACTTGTGTGTAGCAATAGGATGAGGATGGAGGAGGAGACAGGTGTCTCAGGTTGAAGCAGGAAATCTGCAGAAGAAGTGTAGGGCCTTTAAGAAAGGGACAAGCATGTGACAGGGAACTCATCAGGAACGCAAGATACATAATGTTTCTTGCAATGATGCTCATGTGACTGAGGCACACATCCCTTTTGTTATGCAATTTTGAGTTCAGCCATCGGTCTCCTGTAAATACAATGCAGCATCTTCTCACTGGTGGCTCACTTCATTTTTACCAAGCCTCAACTTTGATGTGGGATGTACCATTTGCAGAACTTTGGATGGCCTCTGAACACAGCAACTCGTTGAAGCATGATCTCTTCCATCAGAAGGGCCACACCTGAGCACACATACAAGTCAATCAGCGTGCATGACCTCCATGTTTTGCAGTGAGATACAGCAGGCAGGGACTGTCTCCGGTCATGAGAGTAAGCTTCATGTGCTACACGAGGATGCATCATGCAGAGCATTACCAAATCTCTTTGTGTCCCAGGAGAAGGTCCCATAGCCACAGCAATCGGAGTTGCCGTCGGTCTAGGACTCATTGAACAGAGCCATGGCCGCTGTCAGGAATGTGCCATCCTGTGTGGCCTTAAACAGCCAGACAGCTGCCCAGGCAAGCTCATCATGGAATCCAGTGGAAGGGTACAGCTTGGCATGTGTTTTCAGACCTGCAAGATTGAAAGCCTGACTGACACTGGCTCATGCATGAAGTTGTACATGCATGCATCAGGGACTTGACTGGCACAGTTTATCTTGACAAGGCAGAATCTGCATGCATGGCATAAGCTCAAAATGACAGAGAGCAAGAAGATCTCACCAGGGTCCTTGGACGTCATAAAGGAGCCAGGATACAGAGATGCCAGGTCAAACAGCTGAGAGGCATGCTGCACCAGGTTGGCTGCATACACAGGGTCCGTGGCATTGAATGCGAGCGATGCAGCTGCGAGAGCTGCTGCTGCTTCTGCACTGACCTCACTGGTCGGCGCTGTTGGTCCTGTGTAGCTGACTGGCCTGACAGAGCCTGTGCAGACAGATCATCTCTGCTCCCATGACAAGCTCAGTATTGCAGTAATATATTCATGCATTCAGAGCTGTTTGGAGGGCACAGCATGACACCAGTGCACATGAAGATAGCTCAAGAAAGCATTGCGATTGGCCTTGGGCAAAGGCATGCATTAACAGCATAGCAGGAGATGGCAGCACCCACCTACATAGCGCTCATAGAGCTCTGGAGGCCCATAATACTTGAAGTCTGCCTCGCTGTCGCCCATGAGTGCAACAAATGTGTTGGCAGAGGCATTATGGCATTTCAGCTGCAGGCCACACAAAAATTACATCAGAGTAGCAAAGATGTTTCACCTCGTGCTCGTCACTGTCCTGCACATTGGTGCAGCAACATCTTGCATGCATGCATGCATGCAGTTGAAGGGAAGTCCCTTTTGGATTTCATGTGAGGAATGCATGTCCTCACCAGGTAGTCTGACCCCCATTTCAGAGCGCTGAGGGCCTCATCAAGCAGTCCCACTCTGTACAGGGCAGTCCTGTGGCGCACAATGGTCCAGGCCAGCTGGGTCACAGGAAATGCTTCTGGCAGTCCCACTTTGAGAAAGCTGCCACCAGCCTCATAGTAGCCTCCGCTCAAGTCCTCTCCCATAGGGCCCTGCATGCACAGCATGTCGGAGACTCTTGGATGTTTGCCTGCTGCACTTCTATTGTTCGCATCCCATGCAAGTCCATTGCAGCTTGTGAGTCATCTGCCGGGGTGATAATCAGTGTGAGAATGTACCAATACATGCAACGCTGCTCTCATCTCTTGCAGAGTAGGTACAGTCATTGCACACCTCGCATGCAAAGCGGGAGTCCGAACGCCAGGCAATGTGGTGGTCAGGGGCAGTGATGTTGCCAGAACGCTGAATGCGCAGGTAGATGAACGCCTTGTGCAGGGCTTCAGCATGTCAATTGCCGGCGAGGCCTTGGAAGGAGGAGGCCTTGGGCCATGCAGGTGTCCAATTGCGGCCAGGGACTTGCAGCAGGAAGGTTGCTGGATCTATGCTGATGTCTTCAGAATCCTGTGAGGCAGCCAGGCACAGCAGAGTAATGCTGCACTGAGCACAATGCACAGTCTTCCGCAGTTATTGGGAGGCTGGAAATTCGCACAGGAGTGTTTCATGTACATCACTGACCAAGGGTGCCAGTTTGCAAGACGACAGAAAGGAGACTGATCGCTGTTGGAAACCACACCTCTGTCGAAGCCAGGAACTCTATCTTTGTGTCTGGTTTGACAGTTCAGGTGGAACTTCCATCAAGCTTAAGCTTGTACTTTCGAATTCGAACGCTGGAATTTTTGCCTTGCTTGGCAAACAGTCCAGGATGATCGCCTGCCACTTACGTCCACGCAAATAAAGTCACAATGGTAGTTCGAAACCATCCTCACTATTGTCGCTTGCAGCTTGCGTATCCCTGTGTCTGACGCTGACGATGACGGGATACTCCCCAGCGATCAGAATACCCGTGAAAAGCTGGTATCAGATGTCCTAAAATGTACAGATGAGCCCAAGTCATCTGAAGCACACCTCATAATCAAGCGCAAAATGGACAATGAGAAACACTTCGGCTTCGCAATTCCGCAATTGCATGGATCCATGCAACTTAGGGGTCGAGATGAAATATTCAGCAGCCGTCCATGGAAGCCTTCACAGAGCGTTCATTTCAGAAAATATCTGATGTAGATCCGATACTCGTTCGGAGTTCGAGAGATTTGCACCTCGCTTTCTGTATTATCGTATCAGGAGCACGGAATGCAGACCAGACAGGAGCGTTCCATCAAACTTCCGGTGCGTTAAAGGACACTTTTCTGTATGTGCCAAAGATGAACCTATTCTTGTGTATTGACCTGGGCGATCCTTCCTGTCTTCTTAAGGGTGCGGGCTTGTGGCAGGCAACCAAGAATGCTCTGCCAGTGGGGCACTTGCGCACTTTGTGCCAGAAGCACCCATTCGAGCCGAAGATGGGACCACAAAACAGCACAGCCTGCGAATTGGTGACCACTTTTGACCATCATAGCTGATGAAAGCTGTTTTGTCAAACAGTCAAATTGAATGCTCACCAGTGACGCAAAAAAAACACAGATCACTTTGCCAGCAGGAGCTAAAGTTGGTTGTGCTTTAACAGTGCTGTTGCACTGTGTGCGACTTTGAGGCAAGCATCTGCACGAAATGGGGACAGGTTTGTGCCCGCTGATGCTTCTCTAGCAGTATCTATATCCTCAATATGCTCCAGAACGGCAAGTGCGTTGCACGGATATTTTTTCAACGCTGATTCTGCAGCCCGATGCACAGGGGTGTCTGAATTGGACCACTGTAATGCCCACCCACACTGGAGGGAACATTACGCAACGGAGCACGGTGAGCCTCTTTGAACTACTTGCAATATTTTGCTGCCCCCGGTGGCTTTTACTATGCTTGCCTTTCCGAACTTGCCAGCTGGAAGTGCCAAGCCCACACCAGCAACCCTCTCTCTTTGCGGTTTACTTGAAATTAGGTCTCCTTGCTGTGTACGGAAAATGACTTAAATGCAGGGTTTACTAATTCCTGTATTGCACTCGGCATTCATCTCTGATGTTTCCGGAATGCACATCATGCTCGTGGCACATCTCTGGACTGGTGTAAGGAGTGTTTGACATTGCTGCAGAGCCCGCAAAGCCTGCGACTGAGGCTGCAGGCACATTGCAAGGACGGCCAGAGCGCGCCAATGCCGGCTGCCCACTTCCCGGCAATTAATAGGCCCCAAGCAGGTGAGCTGCGCACTTTTCACCTGTTGTCAAAGGGGCTCGACAGTATTATTCACTCTGCTATCATCCAACAGAAGCTGGGATCGATGCATGTGATCCATGTGTCATCACACAATGTCTGAGGCCCATGATCTGTGACTGTCCCTGCTAAATCCCACCAGACCTGCCTTGTGAAATCCAGGCCAAAACCACAGCATTTTGGACGGCTGCTCAATGCAGGGCTGAATAATATTTGATGGCATGTCCTAAATAGCCAAGCACATGCACCCTTAACAGATCTGAAAATCATCATTGTTGCTTCAAGGTGCAACACTAGGATGTCTGCTGCTGTCAGAGAAGGGCCCCAACGTTTGAAAACTGTTGCATGGATGTTGCAGGCACGCCACAACAGCCAGCTGGAGCTGCCCTTGAGCCCAGGGCTGCGCCAGGAGGGAAGGAGCCGGCCGCCTTGGGCGGCACTAAGGACGGCGCTAGGCAGAAGCCGGCGCCCACTCAGTAGCCACCCAAGCCCTCCCAGTAAGCCCCGAGATTTGTGATATCAATTTGCCTTGCATGCACTGGTCTTTGCAAGCTGCATGCATGCTGCAGTGTGTCACAAGTCCAAGTCGGATTAATTAATAAGATTGGACACCTGCTATGCATCATCGCTTACCATACTAGAAGCTGATGCGCGCACTGCGGCGCAGGTTGGCTACACCATCGGTCACCCAAGGGGCCTCAAAAAAATTTGCCTCGAAGATCAGCCTCAACCCTTGAGGAGCGGGAAGAAATTGTTGTTTGCCAATCCACCTCTGGAGAAAATGAGCGCCCGGAAAATCTATTGCAAGACTGCAACAAGGCAGGTAAGGATACATTGGCCAAAGTTGTGCACATAGACAAGGTGTTCTTATGAAGATCCGGGACGAGTGCTGAAAAATACTAGAGGGCCATGATGGAGAAACCTTACAGTCAATGCCAGAAGGCATCAAGCCTCTCGTAGGTGACACATGACATGTCCTCTCTTGCCTTACGCACCTTTGGTCACACTGGGATTTGAAGGAAATGGTATGACAGGCGCGACAAGCAGCAATGATGGACGTGTCAGCCCTGTATTAAGCACACGAGCTGGGTCTCCTCTTGCCCACGCTGATGCTCCCAAGAAGAAACCTGAGGTGGGCAAAATGATGACTTTTTAGGACCAAGCTTTGCAAGGAGGCTGAATCCTTTGTCTGGCACCTGACCTAGGTTACTATTATTGTCATCTTGAATGTGCGGTTTCGTGTGCTACTCTCCGCTTGCTCACTTGATGCCTTTTCAAACTTGTAGGATCCCGTGCGTGGGCGAGAGGTTGACCATTCTGTGGTGGTCCCCGAGGACGAGCCTGCCCATGGGCCACTACGCGCATGTAAGTTGCTTGCACAACGCTTTAGTGTTGAACTTTGGTTGACTGGAGTGTTGTGTGCGAAGGACAAGACTTGCAGTTGAGACTAAATGTGAGTACTTTCCGTTGTCCCTGCAGGGTCTTGAATTCTCTGGTAGAATCCTCCTAGGACACCGAAAGTAATATTGCCAGCTGCCACGGCATATGGCATAATTTTGGGCTTGAACAAGCATTTTAAGGGCCGGACGATTAATCAAGACAACATACTCAATGGCGCGCAATTGGCGACGCCCACAACAGGTGCACTCCATTTGCTCTTATATTGAGTCCCTTGTTCTTTCAATCACCCATTATTCATCAAGACCAATGCATTTGAAAGGTTTGTAAGCATGAGTAATCTACTCGTGTCAAAAATAGGATATCTCGCCTCCCGGTCTCTTGACTCTGCTTCCAATTGAATCCCTTCCAAATTGTGGGGTTCCATGCATCTGCAAGATCCGTCACCTTACAAATATTGGTACTTCTGTCTACATAGGGGTCAGCTTCAACCAGCAAGGTGGTTAGCGCACTGCAGCCAATAGAGACACAGTGACTGGACATCTGAATTCCCACCAGAGGCACTAGAAGCTCTCACGTGCCTCAAGGACCTGCACCGGCGGAGCCGTTGGCGGCGGGCCTAGCACTTGTGGCACGCACATCGCCTGCCAATCAAAGCTCTGCAACAATGGCCTTGCCAGGCGCAGGGGAACGACCAGGCACTTTTGGCTGGCCATGGCCAAGCATACGTAAGCCCCCACTGTCATCCAAAGACATGCATGCATACTTTAGAACATTAAAAGGCTCAAGGTGCATAAGGACAATACTTCTCTGAAATATTTATCTGGGAACTCCTGTTGTTCCATGCAGATTTCACAAAACCTGAAGGCCTATACACCTTAGACACGTTTCTAGGGACGTGCCAATTGGTGTACACCTCCTGTCAAGCAATCTACATGTACTTTGGTGCCGCGTCCGGCTATGGCAAACAATTTAATGAAACGGACGGTGTGGTGTGCCGATGGATCCCCATATCAAAGGTGAAGTTCTTTGCATTGGTCCATGTGGGGGTGGTGCACGACCTCGTGGCCGCCTTTTACTAGAGAACCCATTTGGGGTCTTACCTTTGACCGTGCGCATCTGCTGCCTTGACTGATATTTGTCCATCATTGATGACAGGATGTTGCATAAGATGCATTAGTAAAATGCATGCAATTTAGAGCTCCAGAGAGAATGACTGGTTGCCATGTATTGCAGAGTGTAAATTTGTGGTTAAGGCCTTCTCTACAGCAATCTTGAAGCCAATGGAAGGGTTTCTAGCACTAAAGATCAACAAAATTGTGAACGGGATTGTTCAAGTGAGTGGGTGAAGAATGTGAATAACAATTTTCTGGACATATATTGGTTTCAATGCTTGGCCTCTTGACTGTTGGAACAATTCTGATTTTGGATTAGAACTTGGGCTGCTCTTCTTATGCAGGCCTTGACAGTTGCTGCCTTCCTAGCATTCGCTTTTGGTGGCTACACAACTTGGGGAAAGGCAATTTTTTATGTGCTTGGCAGCATTGCATGTATCAATGCTGCTATGGGCAAGAACGGGGCTTACTAGCAATTTTCATCAAAAGCCCCTTGGCGCGGAACTCACTGAGCAGCTTCTGCCTTGCCGCCTCCTGCTTTTGGCGTTCCTCTCTGAGCGCCAAGGGGCTTTTGATGACATCTGCCAGTAAGCCCCCGGGCCCGTTCTTGCCCATAGCAGCATAGATTAACGCAAAGCTGCCTAGCACATAAAACAGCGCCTTTCCCCATGTCGTGTAGCCACCAAAAGCGAATGCCAGCAAGGCCGCAGCTGTCAAAGCCTGCAAAATAAAATCAGCCCAAATTCAAATCCAAGATTAAAATTGTCCCAACGTTGTTAACAGTCAAGAGGCCCAGCCTTGAAACCGATCTTTGTGTAGAAAATTGTTTTTTACACTTTTTACCCACTCACCTGAACAATCCCATTCACAATTCCGTTGATCCTTAGTGCTAGGAACCCTTTCCATTGACCTCAAGATCGATGTAGAGAAGGCCGCTACCACAAAGTTACACTCTGCAATACAAGGCAAGCAGTCATTGAGCTCTAGATGCATACATTTTACTAATGCATCATGCAACATTCTGTCACCAGTGAAGGACAAATATCAGTCAAGGTAGCGGATGCGCACCGTCATAGGTGAGACCCCGATGGGTTCCCCAGTAAAGGGGGGCCACGAAGCCGTGCACCAACCCCACATGCAGTGCCCAGCAGCCCAGCGCACCCGAAGGAGGCAGCAGCTTGGATGTGCCGTCCTTCCCCGGCAGACACACTACTACCGCACCCTCGGTGCGTGGCCTTGTGGGTGTCTTCAAATGTCTTCTTCCGATTGCAGTCCCATACAAACCAGCTGCAAACAGATTATTGCCTTCCTTGCACTCGGACCATGCACGCCATGCGTGAAGTATTAAACATGGCTGAATTCCAAGACTAACAACTTGAGGCTGGAAACATAGTACAATGTTGCTCGCAGGAGAAGCTCTATCCTAGGCTTATGAGACCCTGTTGTCCCGACAGGAAGCACAGGATCCCACCATGAAACGACGGATCGTCCCAGAGGCTGTCTCGGCGCCAGAGCGGCTCACATGCCAGTCTGTAAATGATTTGCGCCCGCTGCAGATTCAAGGGACTCGCTCAGAGGGCGGAGCGGTGCCGGCAGGCAGCAAATGTGCAGGCTTAGAGCGGAGGGAGGATGGAAACAGTGAAGGGGACAGCGGGGAAGAGAAGGAGGCTTCACCTGTACTGCAGAGAGATCTAAGGCAGTTTATCAACATTGCTGTTGATGCGCTGTGCATGCATGCAACGGCAGAGTGCATGCAGGAACTGCTGTTGTGCGCTTTGCTTCGCACTGTGTGCAGGAAATGACAACATGACTGCTCAACCCTTGCATGAATGCTGGCTGATCAAGAGCCGGAGGCATGGGTCGGAGCACTACATCGCAGTGACAGTAGCTCGAGACCGTATTTAATTTCGAGACGAAGGTTGGCATGTCTTATCAGCATGCAAACCGTCAGACCCCACATTCTCACTTTCCACATGTATTGCTCAGTTTTCTCTGATGGTGCCCCAGGAGACAGCCTTGAAGAGCGATTAGATGCTCTTGAGTGCTTCTATGATGAGGAACACTTTTGGCTTGAAAGCCATATGGACACCCTGGCGGCCAAAGTTGAGCCATTCGGCCTGGTGATGATCTGGCGCCTTTCAAACTTAGTGTGTTACTGCAGTTGATTCCCTGTGCACATTTGTTTGGGTGTTTGAGCACTGATGGTTCTCCTGTGGTTCTCCTGTGTACAGTCCCGGATGCATTGAGCATAAATGCTATCTTTGATACACCTGACATGTCGGACTATCTTCAAATTTGTCTTTAAAAAGATCTGCTGCGGGCGTGGAGGGTATCTTTGCTTGCCTATGAGATCTTTCAGCTGAAGGGCAAGATTAAGGAGAAACAGAAAGGTATGTCACTCTGGCGGCCTAAGTATGGTCACAAGAAACATTGAATCCTCACTTGGTTTCGCTATCAAATACCTTTCTTCCAGGACTTGCCAATGCTTCTCATGGGAAGTTGCTCTGCCGTCACTGACTGAATCCTGGTGCAGGCCGCTGTGGGGCTGCACAGCAAAGATAGTGTGGTGGCCGTGGTCAGGTTTTGATCATTCTGCGTCGGGACACTCTGTTGTTCCCCCACCAGCTGGAGTAGATGACCTCAAGACTGCCATAGCACACCTAGGAGGTCCCAAGTTTCCGGACTACGAGCTGTTCCCATCCCTACATGATGACTAGGCCGAGGGATGTCCAGGGGAGTACAGTGCTTTTCAGGTTAATAGAAAGATCCTTCAAAGGGTCATGGTCTGTAAGCTGCAGAGAGGCAAAACAAAACTACAGAAGCATAAGATGATGGCATCGCGAGTGCAGGAATAAGATTCGGGCAAATGGTACAGCATGGTTGAGAAGTATCTTCTCATTGCGCCAATCCCTTGCTCAGGTGCACTCTTGTAGGCTATGTTGTTCTTAATGGGGGTTCCCACTACAGTTATTGCCCAGAACTATTGCTCAGCGGTCCGTCAGCAGTTGACAATGCTTTTGGAAGACATATAAATGGGTGGAGACGGCTTTGCAAGTGCGTATGCATGGGCCTCAATTCAGCCTAAATACATACGCAACACAAGTAGCTACAGCCTGCAGCCTCATGATTTAATATCCAGCACACCGGACCCGGCCGCTTTCTTGTTCCAAAATTTTCTTGTACTTCCAATTTTAGACTTGTAATTTGCAAGACATTGAAGAGCTGGGTAGGCAGCATGCATCTGCACCACCACAATGCATGAACTTCCAATCTTGGTCTTTCTTCCAAAATGTTAATACAGGATGCCCAAGGCCATTCATCCCCTATAAAACACATACAACGTACAGGCCCTTTGACTCGTACATCAGTCTAAGCTCAAGTGCATTGTACAGGTAGCCCCATCCTGCGATGACTGTCACCCAGCTGAGTCTGCGTTTTGAATTGAGGAAATATCATTTACTACCGGTCGGTGCCTTGGACAGATGTGTCAAAGCTCCTGCCGTTATCACCAGTGCATCAGGTGCTCCTCAGCCCCCCACAGGCAACACAGCTGACACATTGAGGACAGTGCGGTGGCCGGCAGCGATAGAGTTGAGTCCGCAGGCGGCCACGAGGGCGTTTGGCGGTGCAGGCGCGCCCGGGAAGGCGTAGCCAAAATCCAGGCCGCATTCGTTGTAAGGCCCCAGGCCGGTGTGGTAGTTCACAAGTGCTGACAGGGCCAAAATGAGGCCGCTGCTGTAGTCGATCGCGGGCTCTGTGTACCTATTTGATGCACACCACACCACACACTTACACCCCAGACACCACAGGACAGTGCATGCAAAATATTACGCCCAGCAAAACATGAAAATGCATGCCTGGGACAGTAGCAGTACCGCGGTAATTTTTTTATGTGGGCAAGTCTGCGTGTAGAAGAATTCAGGGCAGAACATGCCTGAAGGTTTGGTCCCTGGAGTCCTGATAGGCTGTCCCTTTGATGTCCATGGGGCCACCCACCATCGCCCCATATGCTACAAACCTGCACCCAAGCGCTTTCCAGGGTCATTGGATGCCGGAAATGAGCAACAATCTGACAGGGATGTGACAGTGCCTTTCATGAAAAAAACACTTTTCAAAAGAACATACCCACCTGTTGGGCTGTGGTGAGGCAAGAAAGTCATTCCTGATCTGACCTTCTGTTGCGGTGCCTGGCTTGTAGTTGAGCCAGGAGTTCCAAGCATTCTGCAATAGAATGACATGTGTGATTTTAACGCTCCAACCTTGGAGGGGGGCAGTTTGGCAATGTGCACGTAACAGTCAATTGGAGAACATAGACACCTTCTGGAAGGGGCTCTTGGGAGAGTTCTTGCCAAAGCCAACCAGGTAGCTTTGCCCCGTGCTGCCCAATGCAAAGTCTATCTGCGACTTCCCCTGCACATGCACGCATTGGCCTCGGGATGCATGACAGCTGCTGGCATGTTCTCGCACCAAGGGCTGCAACGAAGTCCATTCAAATGCTTAAATCAAACCATACAATCCCTAAATCATTGCTGTTGCGAGATTATTGAGCCAGCTCACGTAGTTGAAGAGCTGGGCAGCGTATGCAGTCACATTCTTTGAAGGGGAGGGCTGGGCCATCAGCATTTCTGCATAAAACAATGTCATCGCAGCGGCGTTGCTTGCATAGCGCAGCGCTCCCCACCCCTGCATGCAACCCCGGGTAATCTGCCTTTCAACCAACTCCAAGGAGTCGCCTGATCCAGGTGCACAATAGCCTCGTGTCATGAGCTGCAGCTTACAAGAGCATTTTTGAGCGCCGCTGCAGTGTCACACCTAGCAATGTCTGGTTGCCATGGATACATGCAGCAATGATTTCATTTCAGGGGGCCGGTGCATGTCACCTTGTAAGGAAACGCGAGGCCGTTGGCTGTGTGAGGCACAGAGCGCAGAGGCGGGATGTACCAGTTGCAGAACTTTTGGATGGCCTCCGAATACAGCAACTCATTGGGCATGATCTCTGCCATCAGAAGGGCCACACCTGAGCACACACACAAGTCAATCAGCGTGCATGAGCTCCATGTTTTGCAGTGAGATACAGCAGGCAGAGATTGTCTCCGGTCATGAGAGTAAGCTTCAGGTGCTACACGCGGATGCATCATGCAGAGCATTACCAGGGCTCTTTGTGTCCCAGGAGAAGGTCCCATAGCCACAGCACTCGGAGTTGCCGTCGGTCTGGGACTCATTGAACAGAGCCATGGCCGCTGTCAGGAATGTGCCATCCTGTGTGGCCTTAAACAGCCAGACAGCTGCCCAGGCAAGCTCATCATGGAATCCAGTGGAAGGGTACAGCTTGGCATGTGTTTTCAGACCTGTAAAGTTGAGAGCTTACTGACAATGGCTCATGCATGAACTTGTACATGCATGCATCAGGGACTTGACTGGCGCAATACATTTCAACAAGGCAGAATTTGCATGCATGGCATAAGCTCAAAATGATAGAGCAAGAAGATCTCACCAGGGTCCTTGGACGTCATGAAGGAGCCAGGATACAGAGATGCCAGGTCAAACAGCTGAGAGGCATGCTGCACCAGGTTGGCTGCATACATAGGGTCTGTGGCATTGAATGCGAGCGATGCAGCTGCGAGCGCTGCTGCTGCTTCTGCACTGACCTCACTGGCCGGCGCTGTTGGTCCTGTGTAGCTGACTGGCCTGACAGAGCCTGTGCAGACAAATCATCTCTGCTCCCATGACAAGCTCAGTATTGCAGTAATAGATTCATGCATTCGGAGCTGTTTGGAGGGCACAGCATGACACCAGTGCACATGAAGATAGCTCTTGAAAGCATTGCCAATGGCCTTGGGCAAAGGCATGCGTTAACAGCATAGCAGGAGATGGCACCACCCACCTACATAGCGCTCATAGAGCTCTGGAGGCCCATAATACTTGAAGTCTGCCTTACTATCGCCCATGAGCGCAACAAATGTGTTGGCAGACGCATTGTGGCAGTTCAGCTGCAGGCCACACAAAAATTACATCAGAGTAGCAAAGATGTTTCACCTCGTGCTCGTCACTGTCCTGCACATTGGTGCAGCAACATCTTGCATGCATGCATGCATGCAGTTGAAGGGAACTTCCTTTTGAATTTCATGTGAGGAATGCATGTCCTCACCAGGTAGTCTGACCCCCATTTCAGAGCGCTGAGGGCCTCATCAAGCAATCCCACTCTGTACAGGGCAGTCCTGTGTCGCACAATGGTCCAGGCCAGCTGGGTCACAGGAAATGCTTCTGGCAGTCCCACTTTGAGGAAGCTGCCACCAGCCTCATAGTAGCCTCCGCTCAAGTCCTCTCCCATAGGGCCCTGCATGCACAGCATGTTGGACACTCTTGGATGTTTGCCTGCAGCACTTCTATTGTTCACATCCCATGCAAGTCCATGGCAGCTTGTGAGTCATCTGCCGGGGTATAATCAGTGTGAGGATGTACCAATACATGCAACGCTGCTCTCATCTCTTGCAGAGTGGGTACAGTCATTGCACACCTTGCATGCTAAGCAGGAGTCCGAACGCCAGGCAATGTGGTGGTCAGGGGCAGTGATGTTGCCAGAACGCTGAATGCGCAGGTAGATGAACGCCTTGTGCAGGGCTTCAGCAAAGTCAAATGTCGGCGAGGCCTTGGGAGGAAGCTTGGCCCATGCAGGTATCCAATTGCGGCCAGGGACTTGCAGCAGGAAGGTTGCTGGATCTATGCTGATGTCTTCAGAATCCTGTGAGGCAGCCAGGCACAGCAGAGCTGCTGCTACAAGTGCTGATGAGAAGGCATAAGGCAGGTTCCTGCAATAGAGCAAGTGACAGTATCGGTTAGCTTATTATACCGAACTGCATTGGAGGATCTTTGGTTAGATGAAGTCACAGGGTGCCAATCTCAACAAGAACAGATCAAGATGGACCGTAGTTGCAGTACACTTCAATGCCTGCAATGCCTCGGACTGTCTGAAATTCCCAAAAAGTAATACAGCAGACTCAATCACACTGTCTTGAAAATTATGTATATATACAGCAGTGGTGAGCAGTGAGTGGTCCTGATGGTTTCGCATCCCGGCAGATGGTGGTTCTCACCGCTTTCGGCTGCTGCACGTCTTAGAACACGCTGTCATGAGGATGAGTTCAAGTCACAATCGCTCCAAAGATGCATCACTTTATTAAGTCTGCGTGTCCAAGAAGCACACCGTTCTGTCTGGCAGAAGCAGTCACTTGGGAAGCAGACACAAAGATTCCGGACGTGCACGACGGCGCCTACAACAACAAATACCAGCTTCGCTACAAGGAACCAGATGATACCTCTTCGATCAAGCCCTGGCATTTTCAATTCTGTTGCCTTTGCAGATGCTTTGCCTGCGTGTCAGCTGTGGCAGCTAGGGTTGTCTGTGAATAAGCAACGTAATCGACACTCACCTCAGAGATCAATTGCTGCTCGGTCCTAAATGAAATCAATGTGACTCTGGTTGTTAACACGAAGATTCCAAAAGTGCGATGTGGGCTTGAGGCCGACATCGGTGAGCAAGACAGATCTGGATGGAATGCGCACATCACAGGCAAAGAGAAACATTCTGGCTCGAGTTCTCTACCTTCTGGCAGTATTATTAAGTCCTTTCCTGGTTTTAAGTGTCCATCCGAGGCACATCGCTTCCTTACATATCAGGCAAGGCTCTCCAGTCAAGAAGCAGACTCATTTGCAAGACGCACTTGCTGGCTCCAGCAGATCTTGAACACCCTGTCTGGAAGGCAGGTTCAGGACACACAATGCAACTGATCTGCAGCTGCCAGTCTTCCTGATATCATTGCCTCAGTCTTCTGACCGGCGAGAACGAATCATGCCAGCGCTGCTGAGGCATGCATCAGGTGTCACACAGGTCCAGGCCCTTGATGGCAGGAAGGTCAGTTCAATTGCTGCAGTACATGGACTTCTGATTACAGCTGCATGCACTGCAATTAAAGCAGAATGATGAAAATACTTTAATCTTGGCATGCATGGTGAACAGGGAGAGCTGCAGAAGTTCAGCATGACATTGCCGCAGTCTTGTGGCACCACAACGGAGGCGCAGCTGGCTGTTACCGCATCCCATCTGAAGGTTGCACATGTCCATGATTTTCTTATGCAGTCATTGTGTCATGCCCAGCATTGCTGTCAGATGCCAGCACTGCTACATGGGATCAGGGATGGCTTGGCATGCATGCTCAGAAATATGTCCACATGCACGCATGGAGTGCGCATGCCAGCAAATCTTGGACATGTCTGGCAGTTCACCGCCTGTGGTTGTCAGCTGTGCTGCAGGTCTGCCACAACCTGATGCATGCAGACTGAATTGATGCCAGCTGGTTTCCAGGCCATTCATGAGGCGTACAGAGCAAATGTGGACATGGCTCTCATTGTTGAGGATGACATGAAGGTGCTTCGGTGGCCTTCACATGGTCTGCTGTACACTGCGCCGCCCGACTGGGACATCCTGCTCCTCTACATGATGGGTGCTCAGGCAGACAGCATTTACAGGTTTGCATAGAGGACGCATGCGGGAAGAAAATTCCCACTCACGACCCGTGTAGTCTTTACTTGGTGGATCACCACACTCAGATGAAGGTGCTGTGCTTTGCAAATGCAGCATTGATCTGCGGCAGCATGCATTGCCCTGCTGGACATTGACTGGAAAATGCTGTGCTCCAGGTCGCCACCAAGCCTCTGGGTTGAATGGGGACCTTCAATTTTCTCAGCCGGTGCATACATCATTCACCGAAAAGCCATGCAGAGGATCCTCGACGCTTATTTGCCTGGTGCGTCCTTCAGACTCTGTTTGGGTGTCAATGCAAGCAGAATCTCTACTGAACAGTGTCATGCAGCTTCAAGAGGTATGTTGCAGGAGCCTCTCAATCAGAGCACTTCAGTGTTGTGGATCTGACAGCAGTCAGCACAAACTGGGAGCATCCATTGGCCTGCCAGTCTGAGCGGGTTGTCTTCTCACTGGTATGCTTCTCAGGATGCATTTCCTAGATTTACTTGCAAATTTCCCTTGAGGAGCTGTTCTGCCAAATGGCGCCACATTCGTTTGACGTACTTGTGGTGCAGGGGAAGACCTTTGTGTGCACAGACTTTACAATTGTGGAAATATCGGGTGAGAGCACTCTTGAGAAGAGTCACCGGCCCCAGCACGATGCCACAGCAAGGCTGGTTGAGCAGCTCATCGAGCAGCACGGGTACACACTGTACTCCTGAATTACCCAACAGGAGGGCAAGATACTGTGAGGCCAGCAGTGTGCTCTCACACTGTGCTCGAGGGGGTGTGCCAAGCATCTGCCTCTGCTGTGTACCACTGATGCCGGTGTCCTGAACGTTGTAAACATCAGAAAGAGCTAGCTGGTTCTGCAAAGACCCTTGGCAACTCACACGTACAGTCAAATTTTGTCGGCCGTGAATGGACACTCTTGGTCTTGTTAAGTACTTAAGTACTTAAGTCTTGTTGTACAAGATGGCCCACAGCAACGAATGAACCTGACTCAGTATCTGAACAGGACATGCTGCAGTCCTATAGTTTCTCATGCTGATCACATCTGGACCGTCCCTGGTGGTCCCCTTTGCTGAATCCCCTTTGTTGATTACTATGCATGCAACGGCTGACAAGCCCACAAGGTCCAAATTATCTTCTCAATTTCAAGTAGTTCCATAGCTATCTGATAGTACAAGCAGGAGGCGCCCCAGAATATACAGACGAAAAACCTAATACAAAGTTGTGATCTTGGGTACCAACATCAGCAAAGTCTGCCGCTCTCATCCTGTGGCCAGTGTACAGCTCCAGCAAATCATCATAATTGTTCAGATCCATCAGTAATCCAATGAATTTCACGCTCGGATCCTACTGAGGCATCCTACTGAAAGTATGCCACCCGGCCCTGCTGGTCGCTGTTTTCAGCGACAAAGCCGGGCCAGCCCTGCTCACGGATGTGATGCGGCAGAGCCAGCCATGCACGCGCCATTGCAGCTGCTGTCTCCTCCGTCTGCACATGTCATGTAGCTTGATCAGTGACACCAGACTCTCTGTGTGAAACCCTGAATGATACATCGGACATCAGACATAACTTATGATAAAGCTAAGCTAAGAATATTGCAAGACATGTAAGAAAAATTGCAAGACATACAAGGAGTGCGAGCGCCATGTAGGGAGAAAGGGCTACTCGCTGCTTATATGCAATGTGTGCAACATACAAGACATCATACTGCATGCATGGGCCGATGAACATCAAGTCCTGCAGAGGCTTGCAGCAAAGCCATGGTGATGCGGCTGGCAGAAGTAAAGCATGGCCTCATGCGCACAGGGACAGCGCCTGGGATGTTTTGCATGGCAGGAAAGAAAGGGCAAGGTGGGAAGATTATCACCAGAAGGGATCTGGCTGAGGAGTCATGCGCGTCGATCTTGGCATCCTTGCGCTGCCTCAGCCACACCTCCGCCCTGCTGAAGGGGTCCTGCTTGGACGGCTTGGATCCCATGTTCCCGCTGCGCCTGTACTCGCCCCTCATGCATCTCAGGTCAATCGAGGTGCATGCACGCATTCAATTTGACGTGCCCAAGCCTTGGACCCAAGAATCGTGTGGACTGAGCTTCCGCCCTGCTAAATGAGAATAGCCAAGGCACGATTGCCCCCTCTCTGAGAACATGGCCCGGCAACTCATTTAGGACAAATTTAACAGTAATCGGGAGAGATATTTGAGCATGCATTGGGTGGGAAGCACCTGCGAGCCATGATGGCGGTGTCTTCGCGGGGGCAGGCCTTCAAGACAAACTCCAGCAGCACCAGTTGCTTCCTGTTGACCTGCAAAACGCTTGCAAGTCAGATGCCTGACTCCCTATTTGCAGCGTTGTGCACTTCATGTTCTGCCATATCCCACATGCGGCCCTAACAAAGGTCACACCTCAGATTCCACATGCAGACACCTCAGATTCCACATGCAGCCCGAAAAAAGTTCACATCTCAACAGAGGAAGGGGGTGTCTGTGTGTGGTGCGCTTACAAAGCTGATGCAATCAACGGGGCACATGTCCACAGCCTCTTTGACAGCATCCTCATCATCGCCCCACTGCGTGTGCACTCGCGCCCGCCCATAGTGCTCCTCCTGTGCAGTGCAACAATTTCCAAGCATCAGTGCTCTGTCAGCCCTACAGAACACTGTATATAAAAGCACAATTGCTGTTCTTCCAATATATACTTGGTGTCCAGTGTAGCCCGTCGGGCGCCAGGGTGAAATGACCATCCGTCTGTCCAAACAAGCTGACACTGGCTTCTCCATGCAGTTGACATTCACGGTAAGTTTGGATCCAGAAATCAGGAAGCAGTGGGTGGACCATAAGAAGCCAGCAAGGCTTTTAATGCAACAAAACAATGAAAATTTTCCACACCAACTTTGCAGTGCAAAGTGCAGAGAGCCGATGCGCGCCATGCCAAAGGTGTTGGGTGCGCAGTAGGTGCAGTGGCGGCATCCCACGCAGGTGGTCTCATCCACAAACACAGCGCGGTGCTCGTGCTCCTGCCCCATCCACTTGCTCACGGGCCGCCCATCGTACGCATGGCCTTCCTTCCTGAACCGCTCAGCCTGCCGCACACCAGAAGTGCCCCATAGCATTACTGAATAAACTGCTACAGAGAATTGTACTACAGGGGCCCCACTGTGTGAGGGACATAGCTTGAGGGTGGTTCAAATTAGGACATTGTGCGGTGAGGAGTAAACTAGAATGGTGAGTGTAAGGGAGGGTGGGAGGGTGGACGCACGTCTTGGAGGTAGATGTCTCGGGCGTTGTCGTCCATGAGGGTGGAGTAGGCAATGTTCAAGATGACAGCCAGCTCATTAGCAGCATCACCTGCAAGGCATGCGACTCTGTCTTCGCCACCCCTAGCTGGAAACATATTCCATGGTCTGAGGTGTGCTGACAGAAAAGAGGAACAAGCTGCAGAATAGAGGTGTCATGCTGCTGGCACTCACCAATGAGATCTGGATGTACAAGGCGCTGCAGTGCACGATAAGAGGCCTTGACGTCCAATGGTGTTGCACCCAAGTCGAGATTCAGGAGCTGGAAGAAATCACTAGGGGCTGCCACGTCCAGATACTCCGCAAGGTCCTTTCTCACCTGGGACAGTTGGCACCAAAGCAGGAAGACATATTACCTACTTGGTGTTGTCATCTGCCAGTCAATCGGTACACATCAGGGCTAGAAGCAGGAGACTTTCGTAACCAGCACCGTCAAGAAGGAGTACCTCTCGGTAATACTCTCGCTCAATGTCGCTCAGCATGAGTGAAAGCTCCTCCGAGCTCTGGGCCAGAGTTACATGATTGCCAGACCTTGGCAATGGACGTCGATGGTTCTCGCGCAAAGCACTTCGGCACCTGAATTGCCACTCTAAGGGCGGTCGATGAGAGGAGCACCGCACGCTAAAACGTGATATCATTGCCTCGACAATGAAACCGCGTGACACACAATCTTCTGCTGGTACCAGAAAGTGAGGATTCCCAGCCAGCCAGCCCTTGCACGTTACAGGGAAACCTTCAGCAATGTTTTGCTTGACTGGAGGTGAAGGACAAAATGCGCTTTTTGGCTCTTTTGCTTTTTTTTCTGTAGATCTTTAGAGCGAGCTTGCCACGGTGTGCAAGTACGACACGGTGGCAACCTGCTGAAGTCAGCTGCAGAGCGTCTCGATGACATCCCATAAATACCGCAGGTGTGTTTAACGCCACGATTTCATTTTGACATTCGATCTTTGCGTTTTCTCGTGCGGGTGTATGTCGAGTACGTGGTCCGAGGTTGTGAGGCCGTGACAATAGATCACGGCCTTGGTGAATGCACAGTTTGGTCAATGACCGGTCCAGATCATTGAATGAATCCATTCCGTTGCAACTTATCATTGCCAGAATACTTTTCTTTCAAATTAGCGGCATCACAGGCGAGCGACTTGCTACGACTATCCGCCTAGCTATCATGTGGGATAAAGGGATCATAGAAGGAACGAGGTCCTGTTCGAGCCAACTCTCTGTATCTACTTCTACGGTGAACGTCAATTATAACATGCAGCGGCAGTAGAAACCAGTAAACAAATCACAAGATGAACACCTTCACGATCCCTCACACCAAGACACCTTAGTGTTTTCCTCCACAAGATAGTCTAGTGTGTCAAACAACACAGGCATTCTCGACCAAAAACGAAAGCAAAGCCCCAGATCACCCTTCTCTTCTTGTTTTCCTCAAGGTGACGAAGATGACGTCACCATCCACGTGCACACTCCATGCGCGGTCCGCCTCAGGAAGGTAGGCCCCAAAGTTCTCCCCCAAGAACAACAATGCTACTGTCTATGGAGTTGATCTGGCTCACTGTCAAGAAGCAAAGAGGTATGGGCGAATTCATCGTGGTCACATCATAGCCAGTGGCTCTGGAAAGTGTAATGGGATAGCAGGGGAAGTCTCCTGCCATTTACTGCAGCGGAGAAACGCCACTGATGCCGATTTGTGGCCCTGGTGCGTGTTTTTTGGACTTTTGTGTTGTTTTCTTGTGAGGTGACCGCAAACCTGCAAGTTTTTGTTTTCTTGGGGTCGCCCCGGCGAATATTAACGCTTGACATCTTCCCAGGTTTCGTATCTCTTTTAGTTGGCATGCACCACTCCTTTGCAAACCAAAGTGATGTCTGCGCCGGGAAGGATAACGTTGAGGTTCTTCCCAAAGGTCTCCTTCGTCCTTCGAAGAGCTTAACTTCTTTATTTGCACTATCGCAGGATGCACCAGTTAATTACTCGTCTAAACCGATACAAGAGCCACGCCCACAATGACTTATCGACAGCTATTGTTGCTGCTGATATTTTTGGGATCATTCTGTTCTTGCTGGCTCAGCAGTGAGGCAAATAACAGGATGGTCACCAGTGCCAAAGAACTTGGGGAAGCATTATTGGACGAGTCCGTTGAAATCATCACGATCAGAGGCAAGGTTTCTGTTGGGTCCTATATACTGTTTTGATCTTACCAGCAGCCTGGCAATGGCTGTCATAAAAGAGATTTAGCAGTCCCCAGCTTCCTCTCACATCTGGGTAAATTTCTCAACGCAGGGAGAGTGCACTTGACAAATAAAAATTGGATTGCCCACACCGGAGGAACTGCCGTCATCAGGCCTGGAAGGCATGTCATCCTGCAGTCAGGTATGGTGTGCCAGCTCGTCAGCACTTTCTCCCCCGCGCCTGGGACACAGATAGCACCAACGGAGCTTGACTAGCAGCTGGTGAGTTGCAATGCTGCTGTGCTGCAGACAAGGACACACCTGCGTCAGCGGTGCTGGATCTTGGGACACTGGTAGATGCGATCCATGTGGCATCTGGCGCACATCTGGAGCTGTTGCGGCTGCACATCCCCAACAGCGGCAACCGCCAAGTCAAGCGGCCCTCCGAGCGCGTGCGCCTGAACGTTGCCGGCGCTTTCGCGCTGTGGCCCTCCGTCACTGTGGCCCGGGACTCCAAGGTGATTGGTCATTCGCGCTTCATACCCCCTGTGCTCCTGCAAAATGTGCCCCCCACTGCTGAGAGCTTATTAAAAGAGGCAATCAGCGGGCGGCCCATGCAGAAGGTGGGTAGTGTGCAAATATCAAGAATCTTTTGCTAGCATCCCGTGCAGCCATCTGTCCGTCTGCCATCCAAAGATCTCCCTCTGCTTCGTTTTCTTGGGCCATTGCATGCTGGGGAGCATGACAGTGCAAAACCTGAGGAGCACCCCGGAGAAAAAGCTAAAGCTCAGCCGGGGCGGGGTGCGCGCGCAGATGAGCTTTCAGGACTGCTTGTATACCTTTTACAGGACTTCCAACTGAGGTTTTGAGTTTAGAGGTGTCCATACATATACTTCTTGTCAGCGGGCTATTCTTTGACATGCAAGAGTTCTGCACATTTTGCGCTGTCTATTCTATCTTGCACTTTTTTAGTCTGAGCCGGGGCTCTTGCCAGCAGCTGCAGTTATCAGTGGTAGAATCAGCTTCGGCAGATCACCCTTCGAGGTGCTGTAGAAGTTGCTTGATCTCTGCAGACCTCAAATGCTCAGCCGGGGTGTGGTGTGCGCGCAGATGAGCTTCCAGTACTGCGTGTTCTACTACTGGTCGGATGAGGAGTGGGACAGCTGCGACAAGTTTCGCGAGGTGGCCACGCCAATCCTGAACCCGGAGGAGGTCCCCGACAAGCTGGAGTGGCGCGCATCCGACACCCAAGTCTTCATGAAGGGCCGCCAGCAAACAACGCACCGCCTCATTAACATATTGAACCGAGCAGCCTTCGGTGACAACCTCCTCACAGAGCTGCCCTTGTCAGCTCCTGCATACTCAAAGCTTGGTCATAGCTTCGAAGGCTCATAAAAAATTGACTGTCCACATCGGCTTGTAGTGACAACGAGGGAACCACTGGTCTGGTTTCCACGGATTCCTTGGGATCGGATTGAGATTGGTCGCATGCATGCTGCCATGCTCGCCCCGCATGCAAGACGCTGTCTTTGTTGTGGCGCGTTAGAATTCAATGGGACTCACTGGCATCTGCTCCTTTGCAACGACGAGTCAAGTTACCATTGCACTCGTGACAGCAATCACGAGCGAGGGGAGTGCATGCTTTCCTCATATGCACAGGAATATTGCATTTGGGGGCAATGTATTGAGCGGAACCTGGGGCTTGCCTGACGTAATTGACTCTATGTGGGATGCTTGCAGAGGGCACCATGCGCACGGAGCGAATCAATCACACCTTGGTGTGCGTGCCCAACATCTTCCGCCAAGAGGAGAAAGGTGCGCTGCTGCCTGCACTAGCAACCCACACAAGCCTCCAAATGGCTCTGAAAAGCCGCAGCGGTTGCTGTGGGGCCTGCTTTCCACCCTCATGTCGAAGCGTCTGTTCCCTGGCAAACCTGATGGGTTTTTATTGTGTCATCTTGTCATCCCCTGGACCCTCGGCTGCCAGCTTGACCTGCTTAACATGAATGGACCTTCAGGGGTGTGCGGAGGGTAGCAGTGCCTCTTCTTCTACATCTTCTTTGAGAGCGTTCTTATACCAATGGTCCTGATAGTTGGGGTGTGGGGCTCACGAGAAAGGAAGACATAGCAAAGCCAGGGTGCAAATTCCTGATCATGCCATGCAGGGCATGTGTTGCTGGTCTTGATGTCCACGCTGACGGGCAGCCTGCTGGGCGCCGTTGCCATAGCGCAGTACTTTGGGACACTCCCCATTCTGGGGTCAGCTCGTGGGAGGCGCCTTGGGGACAGCAGCGACACAAGCGACGGCTCCAACCGCCGCTCCCTCGGCTTTGGTGAGATGACTGTCACCTTCTTAAATGGGCCCCACCCTGCACCCTGATATTGATGATGCTGCAGACAAGATAGACAGTTACTAATTATTCAGCAGCACGTGAAGCTGCATGTGATCTCATCTGGAATTTATGACCCATCTGTGACTTGAGCCGCAAGTTAGGCTCAAGAAAGACATTTTTGACAGAACCCTCACCTGCACCGCCAGCTGCCATGCAAATCTGTTAGTCATGCATCTGAGCGCCTGTGGCCTCTTCCTCGCGCAAGCACGTGAGCTTGCCATGTGTTTGTCCCACCGCATGCACTGAGCCTCCGAGCTTGCCATGTGCGTGTCCTATCCGTATGCACTGATGCGCATGGAATGCAACAGCGGAGACTCGCTGGCGGATGGTGCTTCCTAATAAATGCAACTTTGCTATCACAGGGCCACAGACGTCTGTGGACCACATCACCATGTTGGTGAGGGAGAGGCAACGCGCCACGATTGATGGCCTGGAGCTCGGGGAGATGCTGGGCCGAGGCTCCTTTGGCAGGGTGTACAAAGGTGCGCTCTGCTGTATGTACTTCGCTTTAAGCCCTGCCTGGCGGGGAGCGGTATGAATACTGTGCACCGTGCCCACGATTGGTTGGTTCTTGCTTGGATCTGGCGAGTCCATCAAGGGATAGGTTTATGGCAGCCTTTGACTGCAGCTTGTCTGCAGGACGCACCTTGCCTCTTGGCAGGAAAATCGTGATGTTGTACATCAGTAAGTTGCAAGGCATCAGCTTGATGACCTCTAGGTGGGGCCAGCGTCTTTGCATGCCAGTGAGAGCAGGGCTGCAAAAGACATGACACGCTCGGTGCTACGGAAATGTCACCTTCATTGCACCCTTTGAGGAGAGACTTCCGAATAGCAGGAGGGGAATAGACATTGCTGCTGTCCGACTTCTTGGGAGGATATTACGGGTGCAACAGCTGAAAGCATGCCATGCGCATTGTTCATGGCCATCCCTGGATCGACACTCCCTGGGCTGACGGCTTCTGCATGCCCCAGAGCTCGCATCATGAGGATTAATCCCCTTTGGATTGCAGGGAGATGGAGGGGCGCGCTGGTGGCAGTGAAGGTGGTGGCGCATGACTGCAGCATTGCCAGCCTGGCAGAGACTCTGCGCGAATCGGCGCTGTCAACCTCCATCCAGCACCCCAATGTGGTACGCCCCTCGCCTGCATCCTCCTGCAGGCACATTGCAGGAAGCATCTACAGGGACCGCCTGCAAGGGTCAAAATTGTGCTGTCCTCTTACAAATCAGGGCAGCTGCTTTTCATATAGCACGCAACAGGCATCAGTGGATTGTAAGATGAGTGACCGTTTAGCACTGACAAGCTCGTAACACATTGACGTTTTGATTTCACACACTGGCATGTCGGACTGTGGCCTCCTTGCACCTGCGCTTAAGTTCCTCAAATGGTTCAGTTGCTTGATCATGGGTCAAGTTGAGCGTGGGTGGCAGGCCTTGTAAGTCAGGCACGTTCTCGAGGTGTGGCACCCTTGCAATTGCCCGCAGCTTGTTTGTTAGGGCCAGCAGAGAACACGGAAGGATCAGAGCAAGCACTGCACGTACGCGCAGGTGGCCACGTTCAAGGTGAGGACGGTGCGCGCCAAGCGGGAGATTGAGTGCCTGGCCAGCCGCTGGGCCCAGGGGTCCGACAACAACCTGGATGAAGCTGCCGGCGGCTGCCGCGCCCTCCTCGCGCGCGCTCTCTCCATCTCCGCTGCCAGTGCGCATCCCTGCTCCCAACTGTCGCTCACGCTCCCCTTCCCTCACCTGAGCCAGCATCGTCTCTGTCTTGCATTGCTCTGTGGTTCTTGTGGGTTCATGCGTAATGGTTCAGGATGTTATACCAGAAGCCAATCGAGCTTGCAGGGAGCGCAGGCTGAGGGGTTTGAGCGCGAAGAAGGATGTGATAAGGGAATGCCGGTCCCTCACACCCTGTACTCTTTGTGAATGCTAACAATCTGCACAACAGGCTTGAGGGGCCTACGGAAATCAAGTTCTTTCCTAAATCAACAGTCGGGGTTAGACACACAAGGCTGAGCGAGGGTTAGGTTGGGACAATAGGCTGTCTCGCTGTGCACATGTCGTGCCTGTGACATCCAGAACACTTCCCGGTCAGGGGCACAACAGACCACGTTTGGAGCAGACTGAGCGGGGGTTTGCATGCATGCAGGGCACGCGAACGGAGCCAGTGCACACCAGCTGAAGCAGCGGTGCGACTCGGCTATCGTGCCGAAGGGGCACCTGCGGTCGTTCAGCCTGGACATGGCTCGCTGGCCGGGATTCTCGCGGCGCATGTTCTGGAACCGCTCCTCCGCGCCTGAGGGGTTGAGAGAGGACGTGGCGGCTGCGACAGCGCCCCTGCCTACAAACTACGGCTCAGGTGCTCGCCGTTTCCCTTATCCCGGTGTGATGTGTGATTTTCATGAAGCCTCCCTGTTTTGCTGGTCATTGAGGGACTGTGCCCCGGTCCTAGCATGTGCTGGTCTTGTCAGGGAGATACCTAGTTTCAACGGATATTAGTTGACAGCACCTTATCGAAGAGTTTTAGACTTGAGGATTAGTTGGGGTTGTAAAGCACCTAGCGACTGCATCAAGGCAGGGCAAATCAAAGGGATGATCTGATACGTGTCACGGTTTTCACGAGGCAAATCTGAGGCCTGTGTTGTTGCAGGGGGCACGCCTGTTGTGGTGTTGGACTCCGAGGCAGAAGCGGCCACGGCGCTGGCGCACGCCAAGAGCCCCGAGCAATCTCCTGCCAAGGGCGCTGATCCAGAGGTTGGCGACCGGTTCGATTTCATGCCCCCGGACGATGACGGGGCGGCTCCGGTTGATCAAAGTGCCGAGCTTCTGCAGGAGGGGGCCTGGATGGAGGGGCCAGATGAGCAGCCCATGCAGGTCAGTGCCTCGATCAAGCATTTGCTGAAAGACTGACCATGTGGATGATTCAATGGCCTCGCAGGGAGGTAAATGCCACATGTACGAGTTGTACCTTGCGAATTGCCAGTATCCCTCAGCCAACAATACTTCCCCTAAGAGTTGTGGCTGAGTGGCAAGCGGCCTTTGGTCTGTTACAGCCACATGAATCTCAGAACAGCTGTAAGGTGCCCCAATCAGTTGGAAGATGCAAGATTGGCATTGCTGCAACGCACGTAGACTGAGGGCTGGAACAAGCGTGTGTTGTTACCGTACTACAATATAATCAAAGATTATTGTCAATATTAATTTGAAATGATTCGCAGGTCGCATCGCTCGTGCATCGGCCGCGGCGCGGCGGCGGGGCGGCGGCCGCCACGGATGCGCGCATCGCAGCGGCCGATGTCTGCTCCTGGGATCCGCCGGCGCAGATTGCGGCTGCGCTGCAGGCATGGCACGAGGCCGCCGGCACTCGCAGCCCTCCCCCTGAGCGCACCTCCCAAACCCATGACTCTGCATTCGAGCGCGAGCGGCAGAGGTATGCCTTTCCTGCTCCACAATCATGAATAAGGCTCTTCCCTTGCGATCTTTCTGAAGCATTCTTGCTGCGGGAAGGCCACTGTGTGATTGTGAAACTGCTGAGCAATCAGTTACGAGCATGGCGCTTACTGCTCTGAGGACATCAAACCTCAAGTGCATTCATTTAATTGTCAGACGTTATGCGTAAATTCTCTGTTGTGGTGGAGAGTCTTTGGCTTCTGTTTCTGACTGGGACAGCGCATGCAGGGGTGAGTTCCGCGGAGCCATCACCCGGTCGCATATGGAAATGCTGGAAACGTGGCTCATACTCGAGTATTGCGACCATGGCAGCTTTGACAATGCCATCCGCTCAGGGACATTCTTGAACGACCTGGTGAGACATCTGTCATGTTTTCTACAGTGCTTTCAAGCTTCTTTTTATTGCTGTTGTATCTTCCCTGATCTAGCACTCATCAAACAGATTATGGCTGAATGTTCAGTGGCAGGAAATTTCAACTGCTCCTGTAAAAGTCAAAGCTGTGCTAAGTTCAGCTGTAGTAACTCATAAGATTCCATTGAGGTTGGGACTGATACTTTGGCTCACATATAAGTCTTGACTGTGCTGCGCAGACATCCGGAATCCTCTGTCTGATGGACATTGCAGCTGGAATGGAGCACCTGCACTCCCTTGGAATCCTCCATGTGAGTCTCAACCTTATTCCATGAGCACAGTAATTTTAAAGTTGCTCAGACTCTACAAAAAAGCATCAGACTCTACAGAAATGCATCAAGCATCTCGCTGCATGCTTTGCAATTAGAGCCTTGAGTCACCATGTGACACTGTGCAAATAGAGGTCATTTGCTACTAGTTTAATTGCTGTTGACTTGAACAGGCGGACCTGAAAGGAGCAAACGTGCTGCTCAAGTCCGGAGCAATATCAAATTATGATCAGAGGGGCTACATGTGCAAGCTGGCCGACTTTGGGCTCAGCCGAGTGATGGAGAACAACTCAACTCATGTCTCCACAACCACATTCGGTACAGCAGCGTGAGTTTTTTCGTTCCATCTTTGCATCACTTGCCCTCCCATGCCAGACTAATCTCATGGCAATGAAGACACTGCAGACAGTATTCATACGGTAAGTTCACAGGATATCTAGGTGCCAGCTTTACGTGCAACCATGAAGGCACCTGATACGTCAAAGTGCAGGTCTAGGATCAAGACCATGCAATTGCTGCTGAGACAATTTTGCACAGCATGATGTCCTTATGCTACAATAGGGGTTGGGATAGTAGTGAAGGGTCGCTGCTATGAATGTGGAAGGCATGCTGCAAAGATGGGGCTGAATGAATGCTCTGCTCTTTCTTGTGGTGCAGGTACATGCCAGCAGAGATGCTGATGGAGGGCAGGATGACCAAGGCTGCAGATGTGTACAGCTTTGGAATGCTCATGTGGGAGCTGCTCACCGGCAGGAAGCTGTTCGAGGGGCTGCGACAGTCACAGGTGCTGTATCAACCCTTGCCTCATGCATGCATGCCATATTTACGGCTGTTTGGGATGTTGTGCTCAAGCAGGTCTGGTCTTAAATGCCTCCCATGCCTACCAGTCACAGGGGGACGGGGACAATGCGTATGGTACATCATTTGTTGCACGAGAGAGTGCCGTAGGATGAGGACACTAGGTTGCGTGTCATCTGCATTTGTGCGAGCATGCATGATCTCTCGACAGCCTGAGAAATTGTCGAATCTGAAGTGTGGTATGCTGTGCGCAGATCATATGCAAGGTGATGACAGGCTGGCGGCCGCCTGTACCAGAGGACTGCCATGCTGGCTACCGGAGCATCATGGTGTCATGCTGGTAAGTCATCCAATGTGTCATGTCCAGATTCTCAGTAAATGCTACGCCTCTGTGGGCAAATTGGACTTCAATAAATACACCTTTATTGACGCTTGTAAGGGCATCTTATATTAAAGGAGCGCTCCCTGTGGTTTTTATGCATTAATGCGGTGGTGGGTATACTGTTCCTGTGCAGTGGCCGTGTCCTGTGAGGGCCTCCTTCAAAGAACCACCTCCAGTGCTTCTACACAAACCAAGCTGCTGCTCCTTGACATGGCTGTGTGCGGCATGTCAATGAGCCGCTCTTAAAAATCTGTGCATGGCATGTTGAGTTGCCTGCTGAGATTGTGCACTTCCTCTGCTGTGCAGGCACGCGGACCCTGCCCAACGGCTGGCCTTTGAGGACATACTGCTGCGGCTGAGGGGCCTCTGCAGGGATCTGCGCATGGCTGCCCTTTGACTTTGCGGCACCTCTGGGGCCGCGACTCAGGCTTCCAGTCTTGGTCTCTCAAAGGATGCAGAGCAGAGCGCATCCTGGCAGCACATTGAACACCCCAAGAATCCTTAGAGCTAGTCGGGAGGATTTCTTCTGCCCCTGTCTGCAGGCAGGTGCAGCATCCATTGACTACTATTTCTCCAGAAGAGGCAGATCACAATTTTGTTAAAGCTTGCATAAATCCTCACCAGATGGCGGCAAGGAGTGGGGGTATGTGAAATTCGATTCCATCCTGGAGTCTCCTCGTTGCGGTCTGGTTAATGCGTTGCACATCAGCACACTTTGGCCTATTAGCATCATCAGGCCCCTGCAGTGGCAATACTTTTGCAGCCGCATATGTGCTATACTGGAATCTAGACTGCGGCCAGGTGTATGCAAGCATTTTTCTGCGCAATATCACCTCCAGGCAATTGCAGTGGTTCCAGTGTTTTCGCAAAGTACTGCCAATCTTCTTTCTTTTGTCAGCAAGGCGGCTATCAAACCCTGAGGTTTGTCAGTCACAGTACCCAATTGGCACTTCTTCGTGTCCTCATTTTCTTACATATAAGAGGCGCACCTCATCTGTCATTGGATCAGGTGCAGCGCGTTTTGGCAGCTGCAGACAGAGCTTTCAGTTCAATTTGCACCTGCCTCACTGGTCAAGGAAGGTTCATGTCGGCTTCGGTGATCTGTGTCCATTGCTGCTGCTGCTGCGACACATTGATCAAGGGTCTGCGTAGAGCCATGAAAATAAGAGGGGGAAAGCAGCTCGAGTTGCCACATTTTTGGCCGGAAGTGACACTGACCTTTGGTTGGCTGTCCCTCCGTGTCGGCTCCTTCTGCTTATCCCACCGGTTCTGATTGGGTTGCATGCTGGGTTCTTTTTTTGGAGGGTTGCGGTGGTTTCACAGTCTTTGCATGTTCAGAGGCCAGTGCACAGCGTCAACTTGCAAGCCTTTGTGCATGTGTCTCAGATGGCCAGTGTGTTGACTCTGTGCGTGCCTGGGATCGGGTGCATCGCCTTTTTAAAGGCACAGCGCTGTTTATCCCAATGAGCTGCCGCAAGAAAAGCAGCTCCTGCTGCGAAATTCTTAGTCAGACCAGTCCTCCATTGCATATAGCCAGTGCCATTCAGCATGGTAAGCCGCACGTTCGCAGCTGCACCTCCATATCAAGGCAGGGTGATAAGAGGAGAACAGGGCATGTGGCGCCACATCAATTTGATGCGGCCTACAACGTTAGCTCTAATGAATGTTCAGGGTGTAACATGGCAGCTAAATAGTAGAATCCTATAAATACAATACCACTAGTGTACGTAGTAATAGTGGGCGGAAATCGAGATCTACTAAGTAGGTGGGAGGTAATTTAGTAGTTTGGGTTGTAGATGGGTTGCACGTGCGGGAATGACGTGCCACGTGACTCGGTCGGGTTACTCGATATGGGCAGCGGAAGTCGAGGCAGATCCGTGACTTGCAGATGTATGTGAAGTGAAGAAGGTGCGGAACAAGAAACCATGGCGTTCGCAAGGTCGGTCATGCCAAAGCCAGTGAGGCTGGGAACTGTCACGCGGATATAAGGAAATACTGAACGCGGTGGTCTGATGATGGTTCAAGATTTTGTGCAAATAGGCAATGTATTGATGCAAAGTCAAGTGGGTGCTGATGCCTGCAAGTTGCCATAAAATTCTATGTCAGCTGTCTGACCAACCCAGAGCATGCCCCAAACGGCAATGATTGACGATGACTTATTCTTTGTGGATCAAACAATGTCACTCATGTTGGTGAGCCCCTCAGGAGTGCGGCGCAAGCTTCGAGGGCCTCCCTGTTACTCATATACATACCACCGATGTAAAATCACCATGCTTGAAGAGTATGCGTTAAAGAGGGGTCAGGCCCAGCAAAGCTCAAGCTGCACCCAACAAAGATACAATGAGTCCCATGTCCACTTTCACTTCAAAGCTTTCGAGAGCTCTCATGTGCCAAAGGGAACGCCATATTTCGCTGATCCACGTGCCACCTCCCATGTGATCGGTTAAGCGCAACGATGCAGGACGCAGCCCAGAAACGAGGAGCACCTTCTGTCTCGTCGGAGGACACCATGATAGTCTTCTCATAGGTACCTCTCTGTCTGAGGAGATGACTGTCGACAGGTTTGGTCAGGGAAAACAGGGCCGGTTAGAAAAACACAAACCGTACGCACGTCCGACAGAGGGGAGGATGATCAAGATGAAGTTGTTGCTTTGCATTTTCCTTTTGTACGGCCGTCTTGCAACCAGTGACTCCATTGCAGAAGACACAAGGCTGGTGTCTAGTGCCAAAGAGCTCGGTGGTGCTCTGCGAAACGAGAGCGTCACGAACGTCATTGTTAAAGGTTTGTCCTACGCAAAGCTAGATACGTGGAGATGGCAAATCACTGCTCTGCGCGTTGCCAGCTTCCTGCCCTGGCAAAGATTGTTGCAGAGCTCAAAACCCTTTTGACTTCCGTGATGGTCGGGTTGCTGGTTCGCGATTTTGCAATATATGCTGTCATGAAGACTAAAAAGCTTGCTATTTGAAATGGTGAGAGTAAAGGTGATGTTCGGTGCTCCCTCGACCTTTTTTGTGCTCGTTCAGGCAAAATCCGCTTAACGAAGGAGACATGGGTGCCTGGAGGGACGGCCTTCATCAAGAACAACAGGCATGTCGTCCTACAGTCAGGTGAGTGGTGCACGCCATCTCCCATCCATCTTGACTCAGCGGCCTTTCAAGCTGGGAAGAATGTCATATTTTATTTAGCCTACTATCAGTCAGACTGAGCCCAAAGAATACAGTCTCGCCGCTTGCCTCTGAACAATATGTAGCTTTGGGATAGAGAGATTCTGGCAACAAGTGACAAATAGCATCTGCACTTTGCATTTCACCTTGACTCTGCACCTCCTCAGTCTCTGGGCACCAGCGCGCAAAGACTATTGTTACACACGTTTCCTGCCAAAAGGCAAGGTACGTCCTGCAGACAAGCTGCAATTCAGCGCACAATGCAGTTCCATATTCGCACCTTCACCCAGCCATGTCTCTGCAAATCTGCCTTCACCTCTTCCCCGGCTGCCTGCAGACCAGGAGGCTCCTGCTTCAGCGGTGCTGGATGTTGGGACACTGGTGGATGCAATCCACGTGGCTGCTGGGTCGCACTTGGAGCTGCGACGGCTGCGAATCCCAAACAGCGGCAATCGGCGCCTCTCGCGGCCGTCCGAGCGCGTGCGCCTGCGCGTTGCGGGGATCTTTGCCCTGTGGCCCTCCGTCACCCTCGCCAAGGATTCCCAGGTGCGACATGGCCCCCTGTAATTCTCTGGCCTCTGGTCTCTGGTTCCCAGATGACCTCTGATTTGGGGGATCCTGTCACAGCACCTGCCCATCAGATCCATCAGCCTAGCCAGACATCCTTGATGATGATCTTCTCTTGGTTCTTTGTGTTGCTTTCCCACAGCATCACTCGGGCTGCTGGCATCTCTTCTCGGGCCTGTGGCTGTCTCCTCCTGCACCGGGCGGGAAGGAGACATGTTTGTGAACGTTGTGATGACAAAACTTACACAGTATTTTCATAGCAGCAAAGCTGATCCAAATGAAGAGCTCCACCGATCCCAAGGATCCACGTGGTGCTGAAAGCTGTCCCCTTCTGGGAATGCATTTCCAAGCCTGACCATTCCAATCACAACATTGTACACCATGCAAGTGAGCGCAGTTGAGGACCTGACGAATTATAGGCCTGGCGCGCAGATGAGCTTCTCTGACTGCGTGTTCTATTACTGGTCCGACAAGGAGTGGGACAGCTGCGACAAGTTCAGGGACGTCGCCACAAATATCCTGAACCCACGTGGCATCCCAGACATGCTTGAGTGGAGCGCATCCGACACCCAGGTGCCAAAAGATGTTGATATCTTTTATTTGTCTTAATTCAAACGATGCCTGGGTGTTTCATGAGGCTCATCTTGCAAAATCAGGAGTCTTCATAGGCTCCCATTAGTGTCTGTCACATGGGCGCCTTTGATTTGCCAGGGATATCGATAACAAATGCCATCCAGAGGCAAAACTGATTTGTGCGCCTGATCCTCAAAAATATGGCCTCTGCTGTGCGCAAGCTTGCATTCTCCGGATCCTGCGTTGGGTCTTTTGGCTCTGCAGTCACAAAATGTCTTGGACAGCTATTCAGGGGACATGGGAGCTGCCGAATTCCAAGAGTGGGACGAAAAGTTACCACTTGCACGTGAAGAGGCTGGTGATCTTGTGCAGGTGTTCATCCGAGGCAGTCAGAACACGAGCCAGGCGCTGGTCAACATCGTCAACAAGAAGGTCCACGGTGCGTCGCCTCAACCTGCTTACTCTGCACCAAACGCATATAAAGCCTAAGGATGCACTGACCTGGCCGAGGGGCTGTGCATGTAACGGCTTGTACATGCCCTTTCCACATGTTTGATTGGCAACAGGTTGTTTGCTTATTTGATTCCATTTTGCAGCTGACAAGTTTAAGTTTTTCCTCCGCAGTGGGTGGCTTTAACACTACCAGGACAAACCACACGCTGGTGTGCTTGCCAGACCCTTTCCAGGAGGACTCAGTTGGTGAGCAATCTTGACCCCCCGTTCCTACCGCATAATCCCAGCCATGTTTATGTTGCATGGGTTGCTGCCGATATTGCTGTGAAGAGACCTGGCTGTGAAGAGACCTGAACACATGTCATACATGCTAAGTATGAGGATCACACCCTCCTTTCTAGGAACTCACTTACTTCCCTTGGCTACCTACCTTCCTCTCATATACTTTATCCTCTTGGGAAAGGGAAGTGTCTAATGACGATGGCAATGTTGATATGCAGGTTCTGTGTCGCTACTGGCAGTGTGCGGAGGACTGGCCACTTTGATGGCGGCTGCGGTCATAGCGCAGTATTTCGGCGTGATCAATATTCTTTCAGGCAAGGGTGCAGCAACGAATGACTACACCTCCTTAGCAGGGCATGTGCAGAGCTCCATGGACGGCAGCCACTATCACAGCAGCGGTGGGCACCCCTTTTCACCATGCAGTGGCCAGTCATGCTCAGTGGTGTTTGCATAAATTCTGCATCTCTGCTCTGCAGGGCAATTGAAACACTATGGCGACAGGTCATCACAACAGCTGCCTTTTCTGGTCCTTGTAAAAGCTTGGTTTACATGTTTGCAGAAGAGCGGCTTGATGTGTTCAGTTTGTTGCAGAGCTGTGTAGTTCTCTGAGGCGCAGCTCCGTGATCTGGGCGGAATAGTGAAACAAAATTAAGCTTCGGCTCCCATTGAAGTGTGTAATCAAGATTTTGTCCTGTTGCTGCAGCGGGGTCGCATCCCAGCCGCTCTGGTTTTGCGGAGGAGCACATATCAGGGCTGGTGCGTGATCGGCAGCGTGCCAGCATCGGCGGCCTGGAGCTCGGGGAGATGCTGGGCCGCGGTTCCTTCGGCAAGGTCTACAAGGGTGCGCCCTCCTGCTTTTGGCATGCCAACCTGAGCTCAATCGTATGTACTCTAGTGCGTGCTGGGGCCTGCTGCAAATCTGTCTTTGATAAGTTACACTCTGTCGTGTGCTGGTGCCTGCCTCAAAGTTGAGCTTGACCGTATATACTCTGTTGGAAGCCGTCTGTATACTAACATACCTTTGCATGCCTAATCATGCGCGTGGCGCCGTGGTAAAAACACCGAAGCATGGCACAACCAAAATTCAGAAGCAAGACTTGCCAGCAGCACTCCCCTTTTAATTGGCTTGTGGGTCAGGGGTGTCTTTTACTGCCATATTGCTTCTGCAATCCCTGAGTTTGAATTTGGAGTGTCTGCCAGGGAGGTGGCGTGGAGCCATCGTGGCGGTGAAGATTGTGGCGCATGACTGCAGCCTGGCCAGCCTGGCAGAGACACTGCGCGAATCAGCGCTGTCAACCTCCATCCAGCACCCCAACGTGGTGCGCACTCTTTGAAGATGCAGGACCACTTATTCACCCTGCAAGAAATGACAGCATTGCATGTTATTGATGTGTCGTCGAGAGGCAGTACAGCTCTGCAGACCTCAGGCCACTATTGACGTATGACATGCAAGGCGTCTTGTGGATGTTGAGGGCTGTGAGTGTACACTTCTGATTCCCAGACACATGCATTCTTTGCTTGCTATTCACAAGCACATCCGCGGTGCGCATTGGAGGTATGGCTGCACTCTAGGTGTATTCCATGGTCAGTACGGCGCTCAGTAGGGCGCTCGCCGTGGTGTGCTGAGCCACCGCTAACGAGGCGATGCTGGATGTCCGCCGAGATGGCCGATGCAGATTCACCGCTGATGTGGCTGTAGCTGAGTCACCGCTGATTTCACCGCTGCTGAATCACCGCTGATGGCTGATGCTGGCTCTCCGCCGACAAGGCCAGTGCTGAGTCACCGCTGACATGACCGCGCGCAGGTGACGACGTTCAAGGTGCGCACAGTGCGGTCGAGGCACGGCTCGGACAATCCCAGCAGCGCTGCTGCCACGTGGGCCGAAGGGGAGGAGAACGGCTTGGACGAGGCCTCCGGTGACTCCGGCCGTCTGCTCATGCGCGCGATGTCCGTCGGCGGCCCAGGTGTGAAAACATACCGGAGACATGCACAAGACTGGCAAAATGCACAAGCCAGACACTGAAAGGCAGGTGCAGAGCGTGTGCTGCCGCATTTGCGGGCCTGCAATGGTCTGCAGCCTAGCACTGATGCGCCTGCAACATACATTGAGTATATTAAAGTATATTCTTGCAATCATTGAGTGCCACTTGGTGTGCGATGCCTTTGGCCTGCCAGCAATGCAGCGCCATGCGGAGAAGTGCATCTCGGGGGTTGTTCTGCTGGCTCTCTGCTGGCAAGATTGTTGTGACTGGGCATGACGCAGGCCAGAGGCAATCAGGCAGCCGTGTGCATGCCTCTGTGTAAATCAATCAAGCGATTGCTCTTTCGGGCTGCGTTAAGAATTTTGCAAGTTGTGTGATGCGTTCTGGCATGTGCTTGCAGGCCGCGGCAACGGCCGGAATCAGGCAATCAACCGCAGCAGCCTCGTGAAGTTTCCCTCCCCTCTGCGCCCCAGCGCCGTCAACATTCCGGAGGGCCTGCAATTCCGCGCTGACTCAGGTGTCCAGTCAACCCTCGCCCTGCCGCACAAGCTGCCCCTAATATCCCATAACGTTGTCCTCAATTGTGGCCCCTTCTCCCATTGCTCCGGTTCCCACTTCTTGCCAAACTAGAGAATTGCTAAGTCGACCAGACCTACGTGGAGATGCCGCCTGCACTCGGCCCTGAATTGTCATGGTGGCGGTGACAAGCGCACAAGTTTGCATGGGCGCTTCTTTCTCTATGAAGGAATGCCAGAGCTTGCGAGCAGTGGCAGGCCAATCCACTACTGTGCGTGATTTCCCTTCATGCATGCAGCATCTCATTGGAGCACATCAGTGAATATAAGTTTTTGAATGCGCAGGTGTTGCTCTGGAGGGCGTGGTAGAAGAAGATGAGGAGCCAGAACCCCTGTCAATGGCGATCAAGGCGGGTCACGGCCAGCTGTCTCACTTCACGCTAGAGAGCGGCCCTGCTGCCAGAGAGCCTGAGCCGCTGTCCAGGGCAGTCAAGGCAGGCGCCTTGTTCCCTGACAGCACAACAGAGACAGACATTGCTGAAGATAATGAGCCGGAGCCTCTCACCATGGCGATCAAGGCTGGCAGGAAGCCCCTGCAAGTGCAGCTGCAGCCCAAATATGACTCAGACGACGAGCCTGAGCCGCTGTCAATGTCCAAGAAGGCCGGCAGATCCATCCCAGCGCAGGCAGTTATTGGGGCACCACACAACCTCCCTTCACCTTTCTCTGCCGGGAAGCACGTCGGCGCACAGCACGACTCCGCGATCGAAATGCATGACAAGGCTGCTCTACAGTCTGCTGGCTTCAATGGCAGCGTGTCCGTGCCGGCCTCAGAGGCTGAAGCGCCACAGGAGCTGATCTCCCGTGCCAAATCTGGCGTGCATGTCCACGTTACCGCGGACGCTGATGTGGCGGGGGAGGGAGGGAACGTTGCCGGAGAGGAGGACGGCTGGGAGGACGAGCCCGAGCCGCTGACGCGGGCCGTCAAGGCCGGCGCCGGCCGGCCAGCCGTGGTGCCGTATACGGAGCCGCCGGAACGGATTGCGGAGCCTGTACCCGGCGGATCGCCTGTAACGCCGCCCGGACGCGGTAAGCACGGCAAGCTAATCAGCTGAACAAATCTAGCGACTGTGATTTCCTGTAAGTGCACTTATAGATTGGCATGGGACCACTCTCAAGGTTTGGTTAAAGACAGTGACTGCGTGCTGCAACGAGATCAATGCTTTATAGTCTAGGTATTCAAGATGTACGCCCACATTCAAACTTTGAAATTAGGGCGTTGCATAATGTCACAGGCACCACGGAGGGCGGCGGCGCTGCACTGCCAGGCAGGATGGCGTCAGTGGCAGGGCAGGCCATGAACAGGCTGCTGAGCTTTGGGAGGGCCTCGATCTTCGAGGGGAAGAAGGCGGACGAGTCAGGAGAGGGAACGCCCCGTCCCGTCGTGCCATCAGCCCTGCTAACCCCAAACGACAGCAGGTACCTTCAATCCTACAGACCTGAGCATGTTTTGGGCCTTGATAAGATTGCGCGCGTATATGTATTAAAGAAAGCAAGTGCTAGCTGTTCTTTGTGGGGAAATTCCCATTCACGGGCGCTGGCTTAAAGACATGACTGAGCACGAGGGGCAACAATGTGACCTTCTGTTCATCTGCTACATGGATGGTCATCAGGCTTGCGGGGATTCTATTGAATTCCACGCACCTACAGGTTTTGATCACAAGCTTGCCATCAGAATGATAAAACAATACCTCAATGTTCCCAATGTAAACCAAGTGTCGTGTTAAGTCCAGGGATCCTTGAGGACACACTCAGCTGTCAGGTTTTTTAATAGATCCTAGATTCTAGATTTTATATAGATCCTAGGGTTATTGAGGGAAATTTCGTGCGCAGGGGGTCAGGCGGCAATTTTGCAGCGCAGATGCAGCAGGCGGCTGACAAGGGAGCGGAGCTGTTGGAGACATGGCTCATCCTGGAGTTCTGCGACCAGGGCAGCTTTGACCACGCCATCCGCGCCGGCAGATACGCGAATGACTTGGTGCGAAAGTCACCCAATCAGTGTTTCTGCCGATGTAATTCTTGACAATCCAAATGTGACTGAGTGCCCCGGTAAGCAAGCCAGGACCGTCCTGACTTAGGTTGAGTCAAGACTGTCTTGAATTCCTGCTTTGCCTGTCATGTCATGTGGTATGGTGCCAACTTGAGGCGTCATCTGAGGCCTCAGGTTCCGGAGGAACACACACCAGCGCTGAGCATGCGTGTGCACTTGGCCGCTTAATGGGTGCGCCGTGGGTTGCTTGCAAGCTTCAAGAAGGAGCAAAGATGGCTTCTTGGGGCACATGCTAGTGATTTGACCATTGCTGAGAGGACACGAAGCACAAGGTGTGAGAGGAGTGGCTGTGTGTGCAGCCGAGCGGCGTGCTGTGCCTCATGGACGTGGCTGCGGGCATGGAGCACTTGCATTCTCTGGGCGTTCTGCATGTGAGCATCCCCTTATCTCTTTGCGGCAAGTGCGTGTGGATATAAACGGCACAACAGCCTTCCCCCACTTGACGCTTGCACTGCCTGGTTTGTCTTGCGTTCTGCCCTGATTGATGCCTCACAAATGGAAAAGTACCTTCTGAACATGTAAATCATGCATGTTCAGGGCTGAGAAGTGCGCGGTGTGTTCGGCGCAGGCGGACCTGAAGGGGGCCAATGTGCTGCTGAAGTCAGCGGCGGTGTCAAACTATGACCACAGGGGCTACTCCTGCAAGCTAGCCGACTTTGGGCTCAGCCGAGTGATGGAGAACAACTCGACCCATGTCTCAACTAGCACCTTCGGCACTGCTGCGTGAGTATCTTACTCCTATTTGCATTCCCATGGCTTCATATTTGCTTGCTGCTTGCAGACTGTCAGGCCTCACAGCTGTGCAGCATGCAAGACTTCTGACATGTGCTGTTCACAATATATCGGACATTTTTAGCATGCAGCATGCACGAATGCGATCCAAACATAGCAGTCCAAATGGATGATATCCTTTTCAGAGGCATGCATGGGCTCAGGAATATGATGTTTGAGGCAACGCAAGTCGTGTGTATTAAAAAATTATGTTAACACTATGGAGTGTTTTGGTGCAGGTACATGCCGGCAGAGCTGCTGATGGAGGGGAAGATGACACGCGCGGCTGATGTGTACAGCTTTGCCATGCTCATGTTTGAGCTGCTGAGCGGACAGCAGCTGTTCGAAGGCATGCGCCAGTCGCAGGTCCTGCCGCTCCTGAGTCCCCCGCTGCTGTCACTAACCTTTATTTTTAACAATCCGTTTGCTTATTTATTCGATATTATTCGATAGACCCATCGGGAGAACCTATTACCTTCATTTCTAATTTGATAAATTTAACTAGACTCCATGTTCGTCTCTGTTGTCCACCAGTCCTTTCATTTTGGCGCTTTGCAGGACCATGTTTGTCTCGTGGTGCCACTCTCAAAACTGCCTCTGTATGACTGTGGGGTCGCAATGTGAGAAAAGGTCCAAGGTACTTACTGTTTAGTAACGCTCAAAGCAGTGTGATGGTTGCCGTGAGGTGGGATCTTAAGTGCACAGCAGCCATGGGTTTTGCAGCTGCAGTTGTCACTGCAAGCATGCGTTGACATGTGGGGATTGTGTTGATTGCAGATCATTTGCAAGGTGATCACAGGCTGGAGGCCCAGCGTGCCAGAGGGCAGAAATCCATCCTACCTGGCGCTCATGACTGATTGCTGGTGCGCAGCCAACTTATCTGATGCATACTGTAGCCTTTGCAGCTGCAATTCGTTTGCTCTGTGTCAGCATCCAGGCACCATTGCAGGAGCATATCAGCTGTCAAGTGCCGACAGAGTGGCCAAGATTTCCCTCAGTCTGATATGACTGCTGTAGTCTGTTGCAATCGTGCCTTTACTGAGGTCCAGTAAGTTGCTGTCCTTGGATTTCAGCAACAGAAAAGCCCATGAAGCACAGTTGAGCAGTTTGTTATGCTGCGTGCCTGCCAGTGCCTTACGAAGCTGCGTTTCCTGTTGCAAATGAAGTTGACTCAGTCTGCACAGATTATTCAAATACATGTGCGTGAGGTGTGTTTGAGGCTTCGCATTATCTGTTGCAGGAATGTTGACATGACGAAGCGACCGGTCTTCTCTGACATCCTACCTCGACTGCGCGCACTGTACAAAGAACTCCGCATGGCCGCTGCCTGACTGGCGATAGTGGACCTCCAGGTGTCTAATTGGGTATTTATCAAGGCATTGGGGTATTACAGTATTGGGGAAGCCAGATATTCTTTGAAGGCGGCACTGCTTGCCTGAGCCAGGCTCCGCTTCAGCTAGATTCTGGCCCAGCAAAGCCCTGCCACAGCCGATCAAAATCTCCATTTAAGAAATGTGTACGGCATTTGCACTTCTTTCTTCTGCAATCAGAATAACAGGCACAAGAGGATGGTGCGATGATTTGCCCGGTCTTTTGCTGCTCAAAACTGACTGTCTCCTGCTTCGGGGTAAGCGCCGACCATAGGTGGCTGCTGGTGCAATTTGCACTGTCTCAAGGATAGAGGGAATGAGGGACCCCCTGCAGTGCACATAGCTGCAGGCCGTTCCGCCAAATGGCTGAGAATAAGCACTCCTGTCAAGAGCGTGCATCTTTACAAATGACTTCACCTCTTCGAAGCCGGGACAGATTAGGAGGCAAGACCTTACATGCGCGTGTGCATGCTATAGAGTCTTGCTGAGTCACACTGGCCTCTGCGACCCAATCAGATATGGTTCTGTGCTGACTGGCAGCTGTGCCGTGTGATCCTGGACTGGTATAGGATGGTGAATGAGAATAAAATCTTGCTTTGAAGTTGGTCACAGTATCTTGCGTTAATGTTGATGAGTGTAGTCTCAGTTGTGATGATTTATATGCAGATGTACCTGAGAAGCTGAGGATTGGGTTCGGGCTGTACAGACATATGTCTCAAGACATATGTCTCACATACATGTTGAGAGTGTTCAAGCATTGGGCTTTCTTGCAATTGTGGTCATTCGGGGTTCTTGCATCAGTATGTGCATGTCTTTTTTTTGTACCTGAGTCAGTTTATTTTGGCATTCGTGCTCCTCTGGACTTGTATGGGTTGTTCTGTATGCATCGCTCTTGCATTTTGATGCAGTACATGAGGAGAAAATTCTTTACCTACAATTCAAGGTAAAGGAGTTTGTTTCACATTGTAATTGTGGCCTTCTGTAGACTCCTTCATGTATACGGTTCCATTTCACAATGGCCTGCTTTCAACATGTGTCACATTCTTAGCGGACAGCAATGGCGTCAAATGTTTCATTGCTGCCTTTGACCAATTCAATCAGAAACACTTGCCTGCAACTGTGTTTGTTGCATGCAGAGTGAAGCTCGACCCCTCAACGCCATGTTCAGATCACTGTTTCGTTTCCAAGCATACTTCTTGCACCGGGTTCCAAGCAGAGTTTGCCATCCCAGGGAATCCCCATCTAAGATCACGCTCATGCTTCTTGTTTCTGGGATGGGTTCTGGTCCGCCCAGAGCCTCTTGCACATCAACTTACTAGGCAGATCAAAAATTCCTTGGGATTGCCCAGAGATGGATGAAAGTGCTGTTTGGGCAGTTTTGGTATTTTGGAAGATCTGATTTCAAGAAGTGGTGACACCCTCATCGCTTCTGGTGCTTGACAAGGCATAGAGCCAGCCATGCAAGTATGAAGAAGACCACAATGAAGATGGCTTCGTAGCCCACAAACGCCCACTTGTTCTTGCCACGCAAATCATAGAAGGTGAGGATCTGCACCCAGTACACGTTCCTCTTAGAACAGCTTATATGGCCTCTACACATGCATGCTGCTTCCATCGAGAATAGCTGGGCATCATTGCAGTGATGCATTTCGAAATGCATGCCATCTGCCGAGTGCAAGCACGTTGCCAATTTCAGTGAAATGCTTTGCATGCAAACAATCATCACACTGAAATTGACAACACTCTTTCAAATGGCAAAGAGCTGTACGAGCAAACTGAAATTGGCAGGTGAGCACCTCGAGGTTGAGGAAGATGAAGATCTGGGTGTTTTCAAACTGGTTGACCATCTGGGCGACCCAGGCATAGTGCAGAAAATCAATGTACTGGAACCTGCGCACACAAAGACGGCTGCGTCAGTAAATTTCACACAGAGAACATGCGCCAATGCAGCCGGAAGATGCAACAGTAACGCCGCTGCAGCCCCCTCTGATCGTGCAGATTTAATCCTAATAACAAAAGTTTAAAATGAAAAAAGAAGAAGTGGGTACCAGTGCCAGTAGGAAGGCTGATCCTGCGGCCTGATGAGGAGCCCCACGAAGAACAGCAGGATGACCACGTAGGCAGGCAACGCCCCATTAGCCACGTCCATGTTGGGTGACAGCGCTGCGATTATGTATGCCAGCACTGCACAGCACATGCCAGCTCAGCCCTCAAAACATCATTTTGGACAACATGCACAATGCCATCAAATGCTTAGAGAACGGCTTGTTCCTGAACTCCGATGAAATTCAGCACTTGCGTAGCACAGCATTCGCATGTCACAGCGCCTGGAGCCTTTGGACTGCTATCCTACCTCAAAACAGGTCCAGCCAACATCCAACAAGCAATGAGATTCTATGAATTCGAATTCACCCTCTGTATCAATACCCGTGCAGAGGTGTTCAATTCTCTGCTCTTTGGCCGGGAGACTGGCATCATCCAGCCAGCAGATTCAAGAGACCCAGAGTGAGCTTCTGCATCGATAAACTTGCAGATTAGTATTCTTGCTGGGTTGCTGTGAAGGTGAAGAGGAGGGAACAGGGACGTACGGATACCGATGACGGTGGTCTGGAAGTAGGTGTACCAGAAAAGCGACCAGCTGCCGGCCAGGGCCAGGGGGAAGAACACGATGCAGCTCATTATCAGGCTCTGCACCAGGGCCACTATGACCTCCTCCAATAACTTGGCCACTAAGTACGTCACTGACTTGTACAGCCCATCACTGCGCTCCCTGCACAGGAGCAATGCACAGATGCAGACCTTGCCAGTTTTTTTTTGTTTTTTAACACATCGAGAGAGATACACGGACAGGAGAATCACTCTCTTGCCCCGTGGCAATGCCAGCAGGAACTGCTGGGTGCATGCTTGTCTTGGGTGACAAGTTTGTACACTCTCAGCGGGCTTTCCCTGGGCAGAAGTCCCTGGGCTTCCTGACTCCATATTTCTCAGGTGAGAATATTGTTTATCCATGCAGTCACCTTGGAAGGCCCCCGGGCAGAAGCTTCTCTTCTTGACAATTCCACTCCATCTACTGCATTGGGAGAGGGCAATCATATGCAAGCGAAGCAGCATGTGGAATTTCTGGCAGGACAATAATTGCATTTGCCAAAATTCAATGGCTAATATCTAAAATTTAGTAGAATAGCCACGTAGAATAATATCTAAATTTAAGACAAAGTTTGTGGATCTCATGCTTGGTGTTGAGTCTGCACATCAGCCGGGCATCAAATCAGCCCCAAAGTTTGCTGGAACCTACGTAACATGATTAACTGACCGATTCAAGGGGAGAGGGCACCTGTAGAAGAGGGGGCGCTCCTGCACAAGCGTGGGTGTGTAAGCGGCCGCGGCAAAGCCCGGCAGAATGGTCCACATGAACAGCGCTGCGCCGATGTTGACCGCGTTGGGGCCGAAATTCCTCTTGCCGATGTGCCAGTACAGGCTGCACATGCACAAGTTGCCCACATTTCAAATGTCACATTGATAATTTTGACAGAAAAAAAGCACCCCCAAGATGATGGTGGTGTATAAATCCCTCCGGGATCCAAGACCTCCTCCAAATACTGCTGTATGAGGGCAGCCTTGATGGGCTTTGTGAGGCTGAGAGTCTACAATCTGACAAAGCCGACAAGGCATTTTCGCACAACAGTTTGTCGACATTGAAGTCCCTGGCAGGCTTGGAAGGTTTGCGAATGGCTGCAGGGCGCACCTCATGAGTAGGAGGGCCACTGCGAGCTTGTCCATCACACGAGGACCCAGGTAGGCCGGATCCCTAAAGTCCCGCCCCATCCGGTACTGCTTGCACCAGACATGTTATTATTATCAATTTTCACACGCCTATCCAAGCCACAGTTGGCTTAGGTGAGCCACACATGTGGTGTCAACTAATCTCAGCAAGCACGCACTCTTTGCAACACTCTGACGCTGTTGTAGGCCCAGCTCAATCAATCACAAATTGCACCCTGCTGCATTCTGCAGGTGCCCTAAACATCTCTGCAACTTTCATAATAGGTGAACAATAATTCCGGTAAACTCATGGGTCAATTGAGACATTCAGTGCCACTTCCTCATAGCCACGGTGCATATCTGACAAGCCGACTGCCTGCAGGGGGCGGGCCTGCACCTTGAGGATGGTTTTGACGCCCCAGTAGAACGGCGTGACAGTCGCGCGGCGCGTTTTCAGCTCCTTCAGAATCTGCGGTGACACCTGCGCAACAGCGGAGGCTACTCCTCAGAAATGGTGGTACAAAAAAATGTAATTGTAAATATTGCTGCTGCTATAGGACACGCTACTCCTGAAAATGGAGGGCAAGGTGCGTCTGCAGACATGCAAACGCTGGCACAAAGCCTACCCCCGACAGGAAATAATACAACACTTGGTCTCTCCAGTCTTGCTTCAAGGAGCCTGCCATGCAGACACGTGGCCTACAGGTTTGCAGGGTGGATTTTGCGGGGTATGTTGTCAACCTATACTCACGCATCAGTCACGATGACTCATGCATGAGATAGGAAATTAGTTATGAACTTGTCACTGACCTGCCGCTCGGCCATGTCGCGCGCCAGCACCGCCTCGTTTGCGGCGCGCAGATCGCTCTGCGCATAGCGCGTCGCAAACTCGTCGGCCAGGCCTGCCCGCTCCGCCTGGGGGTGCAGATCAAAGAATTTTCTTGCCTTCTTATGATCATTGCAGAACATGCAGGAAAGTGACCCAGTGCAGGTTTGCTGTAGGCCAATCTTGCAGGAAAACTGAGGAGGTGATTTTGCTACATGCATGCAATGACAGGCTGGCTCTGCTGCACAGCCACAAAGAGTTCTCCACATGGGGTTCTAAATGGGTACAGCATGAGGAAAGTGCAGTCAAGATTGGGAGTTTTAGATGTGCAGGGTTGCTTGCATGGCAGCAGGGCATTGCCGGTGGCTGCACCTTTGTGGTGAGGTCCACGATCCACTCTGCCTGGTTGTCTGCCACGCCCTGGTGCCCAAAGTGGGGCACGCCAGGGTTGGTCGCCTCAAAGAACTGGATCGCGCTCAACCCTGCTCACACCAACACATAGACTTACATTATGTATATGTAGCGCAGGGTGGTGTGCTTGTGCATGGAGCCAATACAGGTCCTCTCTGCAGCCCTTTTAGATTGGGCGAAATCGGGAAAGACAGACTGCAGGCCAGCAAATTTTCAGATAAGGATCTTGTTGGCTATCCGGCACAATCTTGCCCCAAAGGCTCAGCGCGCTCTAAGAAGGAGGTAGTGCTCCGAAAAATATGGACAGCGTGATGGCCACATATACAGTATTCAAGTTCTGAAGAAAGGGCTCTGATTGTACTTCAAGGAAAGTAGTTGGGTCACTCTCTTCAGCTCAGCCGCAGTGCATGAAATGACAGGGTAATTCACTCGAGGTCAATTGCAAGGCACTTTTGTGCCGTGAAAAAGGCAGAACACCGCATGTGAGGGGCTGCATGCTCACCATTGGGCCCGGCATAGACGACCTTGCCACGCAGCAGGATCATCATGCAGTCGAAGAGCTTGAAGCAGGAGGGCGTGGGCGAGTGGATGGTCGCGCAGATGGTCATCCCAGTCTTCAGCAGAGCCTTTATCACCACCATCACCTGCAAAGAAATGCTGACATCAACAAGGAACTTCACAGTATTATGGAGCATGCGCTCCAGCTCAATTGGGACAGAGTCCTCCATTCTGCGTGCTACGCCAGTTGAGAAGCTGTGGCACACCCAGTCAGCCCTAGATGTTGGAATGATGCAATCTCTGTCTCTCCTCTCGACAAGCACATGCTGCCAATAAGCGGCACCTACAGTGCATGCTCATGATGTTGCACGTCTCAGGCAGGTATGACCATATCATGTATAGCATTTCGCTTGAACTCCCTTCCCTTGGCACGATTCGTGTGGGAGCAACGGCAACAGTTCAACGGCTGATGCATGTGATACAACACCAGGCTGCAGAACTTTGTAGGCCCCGCAGACGTGGCTGCAGACACCCTGCGTGTATGCCAGCCGACCTGTAATAATGATAATGGGATGAGTAAGGGGTGACCTCATTGGCTGTGAAGGAGTCGAGGCCGGAGGTGGGCTCGTCCAGGAACAGCACACGCGGATTCGTCACCAGCGCAATGCCTATGTTCACACGCTTGCACTGCCCGCCTGCAACATTGTTTCAGTGCCCATCAGTACACAGCATGAGACACACACATTGTGTTCAGGCAAATTGCAAGGGGAAATTCTTGGTACGCCGAGTCTCACGCCGAGCAAAGAGCGACTCAGTCTCATGGGGCCAGACCAGGCACAACACGTGCCGATGTCCGTGCATTTGTAACAAGCGTGTCACTCGTCCTGATAATGCAATGATGATGAGGTCGCCTACAAAGGTTCTGTGATACTTCTACACAGTAGAACCATGCATAGGCGTCCACATCAATCGATATAAAACCCATGCATACTAACATGCTTTGACACAGCCTCAAGGTGTTCATACCAACATTCAAAGCCGCGCATGCAACCCAGATGCCACAGTACAGATCAGGCACCACACAATCTCACGTGCGCGCATGCAGCTGTTTGCACTCAAACTCAAAACTGCACGTGCACTACAGATGCAGCGCTTCAGACCATAGAGCCGACACCAAACATTCTGCGCGCATGCGGGCGTTCAAAGAGACGTTTGAATTTGAGCATGCATCGGAGATGCGGCGTTTTAGACCAGCCACGACACGTCCTCAAGCAGCTCTTTGAGTTGGAGTTCAAAACCGCATCGCGCAAAAGAGACGGCGTGACCTTTTTGGGGTCTAGGGTATGTCTTGTGCAGGCGTCTGAACTTGAATTCAAATCCACATGCGCGCACCGGAGATGCCGCGGTTGAGGCCGTTTCCGATGCGGACGCCGCGGCAGCCGCCGAGCGCAAGCTGGTCGATGATGGAGTCTACTTTGGCGCGCTTGGCCGCCAGCTTCTCGCTGAGCGCGCACTTGAGCTCCGCCGTGTACATCAGCATCTCATCCACGGTGAGATTGTCCAGCAGCGTGTCTGCGCGCGCATTCCCACCAAGTCACAAAAGTTATTACAATCATTTGTACTATTACACATTGTTCCTGCCGGAGGCAAGGTACGTCCTGCAGACAAGAAGGTATCCCTTGTCGGACTTGCCAAATCCAAGCAAGACCCAATCAGACGTGGGCACGGTGCTCAGTATTTGTACCGCCCCCCGCCAACCGGGGCCACCATTGTTTACTATATCATTAATGGTCTGGGTTCATGCATGCCAAGGCATCAGCACTCCTCTTCAGCTGAGGAAACTCGCAGCGTCCTCAGCAACCGCTACAAGTGCTATAATTGTGCCCTTGTGATGTTCTCCCTCCCGCTCAGAAGGATGGCTCAGCCTGTTTCTGTGAGCCTGTGAGGGGCTGCTGAAGCATCATCAGAAGCTAACACCATATATCTTTTGCACAGCACATGCCCAGAGCTGCCCTGCTTCACAGATGTTCACATCACGAGAATCCAATGAGACCGGGAAGGTGCCAGGCGCAGGGTCATCACCAAATTGCTCCACGTAGCCGGTGTAGCGCCTGAGGAAGGCTTGGGATGGCTTGTGGCCGGCAAACAGAATGTCTCCATGGATCTGCCCCACCGTCTTCCTGCCCGCCAAAACATCTGCGCTACACACGCCCTTTTATACAAGGCTGGCATATTTTAAGACTCAAGAAAATAGAACAAAGAAGTCTAGCACTTGGAACCGTCAGCTGTTCTTACCTAGCAGAGTTGTTTTGCCGCTGCCCGAAGGGCCCATCTGCGCAAACACCAGTGATACAATGCATCAGGTAGTTGCTATGCATCTTTATGGCCTGTTCCCATCAATTGCAGAGTTGATTTCAGCAACAGGTCCTGCACAAAACGAGTTTGCTCACCAGGGCTGTCAGCTCGCCGGGATATAAGGACCCGGAGACTTTGGAGAGAAGGCTTATTTTCTGCCGTCGGTTAGCGCTGTTCTTGACGATGTATTCCAAGTCCTGCAGCATGGAAGCAAAACCTTAGTAAAGGCATCCATCCCATCCCTTGAAACATGCATGTCCCGCCGTATGCTTTCCAAGTCCATGAGGCGTTTTGTGTCTTCGCAGAGATCATGGATCTGAATTCCGATGAATAACATGCAACAATGAAGGCTGGTCAACGCCCAAAATATTTTGTATCCTCGTCCAAGGATTGTCGACGTCTACGAAGACAGAGACCCAAACCTGGCGAAGCACACGATCGAACGCACCTTGAAAGCGACAGTCATTCCCCTGACTCCCATTGCAGACGCATTTTCTGGATCTTCTGAGAAGTCCACGCCTTCTATAGCTGAGTTAGACGAGCTGGGAGCCCGGCTGATGTCTACCTTTACTTCCGTGGCTCCATCTGCTTCGTGAGAGTGGTGCCTTGGGGCCACCAATGCCATCTCTTGACTGGCAACATACTCCATAGCAGCAAATTCGTTGACAATCTTCTGTGAAAATCTCTGCATTTCATCGGGCGTCCGAGGTCACGGCAAAGGGCTCAATATCCCTAAAACCTACTGTAATTCAGGGGCATGATCAAATTGGAGTCTCGAAAAGGAGACAGCCAAGCGGAGTGATCCCGTACATTTTTCCAATTGAGGTGTTGAGACTGTTTCCAGCGGAATCTATTGTATTTTAGAAGTGTTACCATGAGCGGCAAGGACGGCAAGGTGCAGGAGTTGGTAGTGACTGGCAGGCAGGCAGCACAGGTAAGTGATGCTCCAAAATCACGACTATACTCATGCAATCAATTGTATTGCATTGTTGATATCACAGTTAATCTGTTTTTTTGTGTGCAGGAAATTGCGGATGAGGAAGCCTCAATCAGCGGATTATATGAGCAAGAGAACGCGTCACAACTTCCTTGCATATTGAATGGGGCCATGGCTGGCTTGAGCGGCGGTGCTTTGGGTTATGTATTTGGATTTGGTGCGGAGACACGCCCCGACATCATTATAATCCCGCCATATATCTTATTGCTTGCCATCTCTATTCTACTTAGTGCCGATGCCTTGTGATTTTGCATATAGCCTGCAAACAGGGTCTGCTAATGTCCTTGTCCTGCTGTTCTTTGCCAAATGAAACAGCCATATATGTGAAGCTGGGCCTTTTCTGTTGTTTCAGGAGGGAAGCTGATCAGGCATCGTGGAAAGGGACGCTTTCAGGCGTGCAAAGCAGAGGGCTGGACTTCTGCAAAGGTGCTGCTTTCAGATTCCAATTTCCATGTACCGTGCCTTTCAATATCGAGATCCAAATGGTGCCCTTTCAAATACCCAACATGCTGTGTGTTTTGCTGCAGAGCTTCGCTATTTTTGGAGGCGTCTATGCATTTGCAAGCTGCATTGCACAACGATTGCGCCAGAAGCAGGATGGTGGGGTGCCCTTCAATCTCTCCTTGGCAAGAAACTTTCCTGGGTTGCTGGATGCAGAACATCTGCTTCTTCTTTGCCACCAAACGCTGAATTTGAGGAACCTACTGGGAAGCGTTGTGCATGCAGCCATCAATGGAGGCATCGCTGGATGTGCTACAGGGCTTGCCCTGGGCTGGAGTGGTGTGCTTACAAACTCCCACTAAATTTTCTTGCCTTCATTCATTGGCAGGCCCCACAGATGTCACTGCTGCTTAGTGGGCAATGCTTGCAGTGACTGATGCACTGTGTAATGTTGCCAGGTGGCCCTGCGGCAGCACTGCAGAACGCTGTCATGCTTGGGCTGTTCTCCTATGTGGTGGACTACTTGCAGATGCAGTCAGCAGAGGCTGCCAGCAGGACAAAGCCATCCACTCTCATTGCAAGAAAGGTGCTGTCGTTCCCAAGCTGTCCCAGATGAAGGCTATGAAGATGATGTCAACAGCAGGCAGACAAAATTCAGTAGTGCCTGCTCATATGTGTGTTTCTTCTGATTGTTGCACTTGCAGTTTAGCCTGGCTACTGTGTACTGTTATAATTTAGCGATCTATGATCTCTGCAGTGTTGCGCTGAGGCTCTGATGATGTGCAGGCTGTACGGAGGAGTCAGCCAAAGCAGATGGATGCTGTCAGCATGCTGCTGTCTCCCTCGCTGCCCTGGCTGAGGCCTCCATGTGACGCCTGCATGGCATGCCCGCTCATCCTCCCTTCCGCCTTGCAGCAAGCGCTGCCCGCACTAAGGAGGCGGCTGCAGCAGTGACAAATGCATGCGTGTAGTAGTACGCCTCAGGCATGAAACTAAGGGCCCCTTTCACTCAATGTCATCCGTGATCCTTTGCTCTGTAGCAAGTCCATTGTCTTAAAAAGTATCCTGTGAGAGCCTATCCTGAGCTGGCTCACTATCCTCGAGGACACTGAATTGTTGTCAACAGTGTGTACAATAGATCATTGTCTCAGGCAGAAGCTTGGGCTTGTCCAATTTTCTGTATCATGCATGATGCTCTCCTGGATGTAGGATGGATTACTCATCAAGAAGTTTTTTGGCTGCTTTACGTTAATTAAGCAAGCAGGCCCCACAGATGTGGCTGCAGACACTCTGTGTGTATGCCCTATGGCCTTCGGGCTTTCAGTTTGCCGACACTGTAATAATAATGATAAATACAATGGCATTCATGTAATGGCATTTAAGTTAAGCGAGCCCTGCGGGCCGCGCCGGCATGACTCACTCAGTGGCAGGCTGCCAGTGGCATGCATGGGGCATGCTAGGCTGGGAGGCCTCCTTGCATTGCATGCATTGTGATGATAAGAGTGACGAGTGAGCAACCCAACACATTCGAGGCACGCTCAGCTCAAAAACGTGTGCTCGCGGTTGGCTTCTTAGTCAAGGCGGGATAATCCCCGTTGAAGCAGTCACGGTCTGGTCCCCTTGCCAGATGTCACCGCCGTGAGGCCGCTGCCCGACTGCCCAATCTCCCGCCAATTATCGGTGTCCTCCGACTAGCTACTTGAGCCGTCACCTGCATCAACTACACCACATTCTCTCACGATTTCAACTTCACCTTTCGTCGCCAACAGCCTCCCACCAAGTTTCGTCAAGCACCAAGCCAGTTTCCAAGGTACACACTCACGTGATCGACTGATTTCAGGCGCATCTCGGGCAGAGTCTGGCGCCTGCGCATTCTGTATCCTGTGCAACTAGACTGAATTGAAGTGAATCGCGTTGTAGAAGGCTACAGGGCATCCAGAGAGGTTTGAGGCAATCTTAAACAATCTTAAACGGGCCGTCTTGAGAGCCCGTCCGTCAAAGCGATTGCCCCTCCTTTTTCCTTTCGTGGTGGCGTCTGGGAAAGTATGTTTAGTACTGAGATGGCTAGTAACTTTGTTTTGATTGGTGTGCACTGATCGCTTCGCGCGACGTAAGTTGCAAGTCGCGACTAAACAGGTGGCATTGTATTTTCAGATTGATCAAACGAAGTTTAATTGCCTCAGTTCAAGCTAAACATGTCCTCAACGATATCATGCATCTTAGATGACATATGTGGTTGTCTTGCTCCTGTTGGAAATCGTGATTGAACTTGCCGGATCAGGGTGACAGGATCCGCTCTTTCGGGACTGTTTGTCGATGCCCGAGGAAAGAAGGGGCACGTTTCTGGAGCTGCTACACTTTGTACGTATTAGCGTGTGGAGCCATCGTCGCCCAAGTGACTGCTTGGGGTGAAATGAGCAAGTTGGGCTGGTCCCTTGACATCAGGTCTGATCCTTGTTTGCAGGTCACTGAACAACATGAACGCCATGGCAAGGACGTCCATTGCACTTGCACTGCTGCTCTGCGCAGCTACCATCATCTCAGCACAGCCAGGTGGCGGCAATGGCCCCTTTGGCAACCGCAACAATGGAGGCGGCAGCAGCAGTGGATCTAGCAGCAGTGGCAGCAGCAGCAGCAGTGGCAGCAGCAGCAGCAGTGGCAGCAGCAGCAGCAGCAGCAGCAGCAGCGGCCAGCAGCGTGAGTGCCATGCATCTGTTTACCAGTCATCTGTGCACAACACTTTGAATATCATGTATCTTGTGGTGTTCAAGTAACACTGGATATATGTATAGCATGGAAGGGAGATCATTGAGATGTGTGTTTGGTGCGCAGAGTGCAACACCGGCTGCTGCAACCTGGGCAACACCGTGTTCAAGGGCGCCTGCGCTGACTTTGTGAGTGCCTCCTGCCCCGAGATATTTCCCGCTCACCAGCGCCTTGTTCTCTCAACTCTCCACCTTGACTACTCCCTGTAGATGGTGCACATGAAATTGATCTTTGACTTCGTTGATTGGGGCATCGGGTCTATATGGCCTCTGGCTTGTAGAGGGTGGTATAAGTACCATGAGCACCAGGCAGTGTTCTTTGCGCGTGCACTTGATTGGGTCATGCGTGGGTGTGGCGAGTCCTGCAAGGGGTAGGACTTTGGCAGCTTCACTACAGATGCAGTGTCACCACAGACGCAGCTCGCCCCCTTGGCAGGAAAAGTGAGAATAACATTGATGATCTGTTCTGTGCAGGCCAACTTCTTCAAGAGCGATGCTGACACCGCCATCAAGGAGGATGACACCACCTTCCAGGCTCGCGTCGACCGCGCACCCAGGCCCAGCGACAGGTCAGCTCCCGTTTGCTACATTCGTACTCCCATTCAAAGCTGAACACAGTTGTTTGCAAGCCATTTCAAACCCTCCCAATTGTTATGGGTGATGATTTTGGCGGAGAGTACTGAGTTGTGGCAAAAAGATGTGCAAGAGGCCCCTAGAGGGGTGCTGACCACCATCACAAAATCTTGACCTTGTGCATAATGTTTACTGGGATTCTGTTGCGCAAATTGGCCATTTGGAATTATTGATGTAAATTCAACTGTGCAGGTGCTGCATCGATGGCCGCTCCTTCACCCAGTATGTGAGTGCCCCCTCATTAACTTCCTGTCCACTATTATTTGCCTGCATGCCCCGCTACACACCTATGCAACATCTTACAGCAGCGGATCAAATGCTTGGTTCAGCAGTGTCTGGCTCTTTGCATCTCTGGCATGCCTCTTCCTGTGCTGTCTGATGATGGTGTTCCCTTTCAGCTTTAGGAGTGGCCTGAGTGCCTTCCTCTTGAATGCACAGGGCTGCTCTTGCAACCAGTCCCTCAAGGACGCCTCTGCCCCCCAGGGCTTCTCTGCCAACGCAATCTCAGTCAGTGAGTCTCCTTCCTCCATGTAGGCCATGATGTGGCAGCCACACCCGATGCATGCTTGGGGAACCCTTCGAAACACACAGTGTGGTTTTGGTTTAAATCAGAGTCCTCGCTGCATGTATCATGCTCATGCTGCAAGAGGCTCTTCAAGGACCATTCTAATCAGGGGCCCCAGAGTCCTACAAAGTCCAGCCCTAGCCAGTGGTCTGTGCCCTGCAATTATTTCGCCTCAAATGATGGCCCCGTAGCAGCATTGAAGGCCCCGCATCAGCATTGAGTAGAGGATCAAATGCGGGTGAGCTCTTTTATGCATTGTCCTCTGACATACGTTTTGTCTGTGCATCTGCAGTCGGCCGTGCTGTCCAGAAGTCCATCTGCGCTGATAGCTCGCGCGGAGGCTCCATCGGCTCTGGAGGTTGCTAAGCGCTGGGCGCAATATTTTCCCGCCATCACATCTTGCAATGAAGCGGCTTCTAGAGTGCACAGTGAGGCGGCGTGTGTTGAACTTCTTGTTTGTTAAGGGCTGGATCATCAACCGAAAGGAATGAATGATCGAATAGAGATCAGGCAAATGGCAACGAACCTAATGATGCTTTCCCCTTGTGGGCCTGAGTCAGTTGGATGCCCCAACGTTGGCTGATTTCATTCTTACTTACAATAAACGCCCCCACGGCGTGGGCAGGCCGCGAAGTAAAGTTTGGAATGTCCTCTGGGAGTCAAGCTTCTTGAGCTGACATGCATCAGTTCTTGCTTGCTTGCTGTCATGCCAGAAATTGTATTTATCAGTCTCCCTCGTGTAAGTGTTTTCTGAAAGTGCACCTCCTACCTGTGCGCAATAGTGACGTATGGATCGTGGCTTGCAAGAAACCCATTGGCACGAAAAGGATCCTTAGAGTGCAGGCATCTCTGGTGGTCATTAGAAAATCTGGGGCCATCAAAATTTGCAAAGCACAGAGCCAGAAGCAAAGGGATGTTCTGCCTTGGACCTGACCTTGCTCGAGACCAGTTGTATTCATCTCAGCGCTTCACTCATCTATGTATTCCCGAAAATCTCTGGGTTGCATGTACTGGGCACATGCATGTGATCAGATCAGCAATGCCAGCTGGCAGAGCTAGTCTAACCACTCGTGCTGGCACCAGGAATCACGGCGTGGTTTAGAGACAATTATCTGGGAAGCGTGTCAAAAATTTCCAAAAGAACATTCTGTACGCTAGCAATCTGATCAACAAAGTTTCCATCTTTTCGCTCAGCCCGCACGCACGCATCGCTTCTCGCCACTTCGATCTGTCAAGTCCGGTTTTTGCAGGCACGTTCGTACAGACTCTACTGCTTGACAGTCGACTCATAACCAGCATCTTGTAGTCCCCTGAACATGCATCCTCGGTTTAGTACACGACGAAAAGATATAGGGACAGCCATTCTTGTCGTAGCTTGTTAGCAAGCTGTCTTTCAAGAGTCCGCGTTCATAGCCTCGGATGCTACAATTTTGTATGTATTAATGTTTCCTGGTTATGTATAATCTTTCAGGGGTGTAGAGATGCTGTCACACCGTCGTGCACACCTGATGTGGCTCGATGGACAGGTGCAGGACGAGTCAGGGGCGTCTTGGTGTGTGTATGATGTCACATCTGGCTGCATGCCGGCAGATCAGGAGATCTCACTGTTCTCTGCTCGATGTGCAGGTTCAAAATGCAGCAGACAAGCTTCTCAGTGTTGGCAGCCCTCCTACTGTCTCTAGCGCTGATTGGACCCATGTGCGTGAGGGGACAGCCAAGGCTGCCTGGACCTCCAGGGGGAGAATGCCAAACGGGCTGCTGCAACCTGGGCCGCACAGTCTTTGAAGGGTCCTGCTCCAGCTTTGTGAGTGCTTCGCTCGCAGCTCCCATCTATGCACCCTTTTGTTTTGTCGATGCCGCTTATTTACACCGCCAGGCAGCCATCCCTCCCTTGTCGAAGCTTGCTTTGCCTTGTGTCTCTTGCCTTTCCACCTTGGTGTCACGAAAAACCATGCATGCAAGCTGCCTTGACCTTGCTTTCAGGACGTGCTTTTCGAATCCCTGCCAAGCAAGCAGTGACCAACATTTCCAAGTCTATGCAGCAGCTCCTACCTGAGCCTGTTGCCTGAGTTAAGAGAGAGCCTTTGAGTTCAGCCATTGCAGCTAGCAGGCCCTGCATGGACCATCCGTTGTGTAGCACGCTTCTGAGGGCTGTGCTTATTTGTAAATTCTGCAGGCGAATTTCTTCAAGGCAGATGCTGACACAGCCGTCAGCGAGAGTGACAGTGATTTCCAGGCGCGCGTGAATAGGGCACCCACCCCAAGCAGCAGGTATTTGATTTGCCCATTGGTCAATTGTTAGCGCATGCCTGCATGTGCTGTCACATGCTACATCGAGACACCCACACACTGCCGTAGATTGCATGCAGATTGCAGCTTTGCAGAACTGTTGAGTTCAAGCTGGTTTATTAGCACCGCATTTATGGGGACTGCTGTTCGACAGGTGCTGCGTTGATGCCCGAGCTTACACCCAATACGTGAGTGAACCCCACTCTGATCCCCCTGAAATCCCGAGTGGCTACATTAGGACTGGTAGATCTGCTGTGGATGGTGTTTCATGCGCCACGTATTGCAGTTTTCTTGAAATTGCACAAACATTGCAAGACCCCACTCGAGCCATTCAGTGATGTCCTTGACCTTTTGCTTGTGCAGAGCTGCTCTTGCAACTCTGACCTCGTCAATGCAGCATCAGGACGCGGCATCTCTTCCAACGCCGTCAAAGTTGGTGCGCGTAACACACCACATTCCCCTTCACATTCTGGCTTCTGACTTGCAACAGTCGCATTGATTCCAGTTCAGGGAAAAATGTCTGCGGACATCAGGCAGTGCTTCCGCCAGACATGAAAAGGAAGGGCCGCCTAGTGAGTGAACATCATGCAGCAACTTCAATGATTCTGTTGTCCTTCTGGTAATACACGCATTTGCAACAAAGCCACTTGTCCCCTTGCCATGCGCAGATTTTGTATGGCGCTACATTACAGAACAATGGTGTCATCAATGTAATGGACTTCTGGGGAAACATGCATGTCATACAAAGGTATTCGTCCCCAATCCTTGCGCAGATCTTCAATGCAGCTGCATGACTCAACGCTGATGTTTGTGTGTGCAGTGGGGAGGGCGACTCGCTTCTCCATCTGCAGCAACAGCCAGAACGGGGGGTCTCTTCAGGGCGGCTGCTGAACAGAACAGAGTCCCCCCGATGGCAGCCCAAAAAATGGGCAGCTGTGGCCAGAAGCCACCTTCAGACACCTGGCAGACACTGTCTGATTAAACACCAAATATTGGGTCAATTGCGGGGAGTAGGGAATAGGATTTCCTGCTTACCTGACTGACACACCGACTGGTCAAACAGTACCGCGCATGCCATGCAGGCCATGTGCTGGCCTGCAGTGGAGCATGCCAGTCAGCTAGAAATAACCATCATTCTTTCAGACATTTTTGGGGTGGGATGCGCGCTGGATTGGAGCCTGCCCCTCCCTTGAAAATTCCGCTGGTGGCCATGCATGCACTACCTCGAATCTCCTCAGTTTTTGCCGTCCGGACTGACAAGCATTTGATGAATACCTGGTCCTGCATTCATTAATAGGATGTTCCCCTTTTGAAAAGGTGTGTGTGTGGGGCAGAGGGCTTCTGTTATCTGGCAATTGCTTGATGCGATGTCATGGTGAATGTCATTTTCTGCAAGACATGGGGCATTCCCGGTTGCAGTGACCAACAGTTGCACTGCAGATGCAGAGTATGAAGCTCTTCACACTAGTGACCTTTGCAGAAGGAGCTTGTTTTAGCTGTGTGCAGAACATTTACAGTTGAGTTGGTGCTTGTTGCAGAGACTTGGGAAGCTCAGTGGGAAAAGTGTACAGCGCGTTTTGTTGGGTCTATTCTGTTTGAGTGTGCCATGATTGGTGCATCCAGTGTGACGATGCTTGGGTTCAATTTTGCACAGAAAGGTGGTCTACTCTGACCTATATTCATAGTTGCACGACACGGCTGGTCAAAATTTGGACACGCGTTTGCGAACGTTCGCGACACCGCGACACCGCGACACGCGTGTCCAGACCTGAGGACGTTAGTAACCATGCAATCGGGTGATGACTACAGGTTACTAAGGCTGACGGAACCTCAAAAAGCTGTTTCCGGACCCGACAACGCATCAAAACACATCGGAATTGTCGCTAAACACATTTACAAGCATGTTATATGTGTTTGGGGTGTTGTTGGGTCATTTTCCGGCGTCCAAGCGGCCAAAAACGGTCAGAAACGGTCAAACGTAACCCTTACATAACCCGGTGTCGGAGCGGTGTCGGAAATAGCCAAAATCTCGACACGCGTTTGCGAACGTTCGCGACACTGCGACACCTGACACGCGTGTCAGGTGTCGTGCAACTATGCCTATATTTCTGTAATCACATGGTGGATAGAGAGCCACTATAGGTGGGGTATACAGAGGAGCCCAGCTATCATGCATGACAAGCGCCGCTTATGAGACTTCATGCCAGAGCACACCTCCATATCCCAAATGCAACAGCATCAGTGTCACAAAGCAATCGTGCTCCATATTCCAAAAGAGGGGTAAATCTGAAACTGGATTGCATGCACTGATGTGCAATCGTTGCACAGATGCCATGCACTGGTGCCAGCACTTTAAGAGGCTGCAGCAATCATGACACCCACAAAGACATGCCCAGTGGGGACATGGTAGGCATGCGCATGATGACTCCTGTAGAGGACAAGGAATCCTTTGCAAGTAGACGATTGGATTGCATTGGCAGTTGCAATTCACCAGATCGAGCACCCTTTACAAATGTGTAGAAGAGCGGGCCCATTAAGGAAAAAATCGGCACCAAAAACAAAAAGGCCTTGACTCTTATTGGGCTGTCGGGGGATCGAACCCCCGAACGGTTGTTCATGTTAGCAAATCCAAACCACTATCCTAACCCGCGCCGTCTGTCGCTCCACAGTCGTACCTTGGACATGGTTGCATTGATGCATACATGCACCTAATACCACTGGCAGTGACTTGGTGGACCAAAATTAATATTGGCTTTGTTGACACTGTGTCGAACAAGCCAACGCGAGTGGAGGCCGAGTACAGAGCTTCTGTATGAGAGGTCTGGCACAAGCAGCTACATGCAGGCTGTGCAGAGGCCTTGAGAACCACTGATGGGAGCACAGCTTGATGGTGTGATGAGCAAACCCTGCTCATTCACCCTTCCCAATATTGTATTAACAGGCGCAAATCCCTTGCGTTCAAAATTCTCGGTGCAGCAACAATTGGTTTCTCGGTCCGCAAATTCCTCGCCGACAACAATTACAGAGTGTAAATTCAGTCAAATTATAAGGACTCTCTCTTCTGCGTCCACTTTGAGGGCTTGCATCGACACAAAGTGCGGGGGTGAGTGTTCTCTGTCAAGTTGTTCCGATATACTAAGATTCATGCTCTTTCTCTTTCGGAGACGACACACAGACAATATCGTGATTAACGTACCCCTTGAATGTTTAGCAGCAATCCTTCCGCTGCAGCAATTCGTCGAGGGTCCATTTGTTGCATAGTAGGAACGGCCAATACTATCTCAAGTACATCTGCAGAGGCAATATGCTTGCTGCACAGCTTCATCAGAGAAATGTTTTTGTTAATGTGTTTATGTACTGTAATTGCAGGACTTCAACTTTGGGATATTCACCAAACTCTGGGAAGGAGCTTGTCAGAGATCGTGAGACTTTGGTAAACCCAGATCCCACATCTCGTAGTAACGAAACAGCAATCATTCCCATTGCAGACCTTTTCTGCAACCATCAACTGCATCCAATGTCCTTAGTGATCTCCTCCACTTGGCAAGCAGAGCGAACCCTCAATATCGTCTTGATGCCCCACAGGCGATGAAGTCCAGTCTCCCAATTGCTCTGCCCCTTCTGTACTTATGCTGGGCCACCTTGGCTAGTGCTGCAGCTACCAGCGGATATGGAACAAGTGAGTCCTCGTCACTGTGACAACGCCTCACCTTGACATCAGGCAGGATCTGCTTGCCCAGCCCACGTCTTTCACAAGTGGCAAGCCTTTCAAGTCCTCAGCATGTACATTGTGCTGCAGGCACCCCCGGCAGCGGATCACAGTGCCAGTCAGGCTGCTGCAATCTTGGCCGGACTGTTTTTGAGGGCGCCTGCTCAAGCTTTGTGAGCGATCCTTTTGGCACTGCTCTTATTCAAATTATTTGTACAAGTTGTCAGCGATGGAGGCTGCTCTAGGCACTTGATCAGATGTGGTATTCGTTGCACTCCAGCTGTGCTGCTTGTTTGAAGGCGCATGCATGCCAGCTGCGGTGGTTGCTTACAGGCGCCTGGCTCAAGCTTGCATTGCACGCTGGCGATTGTGATTGTGTGGAGGCAGATACAGAGCTGAGCAAGCTTTGATGCCTGTACAGGCAAACTACTTCAAGAACGATGCAGATTCAGCATTGGCCGAGGATGACTCAGCGTTCGCTGCAAGGGTCGCTAATGCGCCGGTGCCCAGCAGCAGATGCTGCATCGACGCCCGCTCGTACACCCAATATGTACGCCCAGATCTCTGCATGCAAAGCCTTGCACGGGAATAGATATTTTAATTTTGACTCTGCTGGCATGGGAAGAGCAACACATCTCCTGACTTCACAGCGACCTGCAAGTTTACCTGTTGATTTCTAGGTTGAGGTCACTCTACCGGGGAGAAAAGTTGTGTCCTTGCAAGGCAGCAGGAACAGGATCCTGGAGAAACAGGAGGCAGGCACTGCGCAGCACTAGCGTGTCAGGAGCAAAGCAGATAAAGCCCAAGCCTGATATAGTATTGCTGACATTTCTCACAGGGCTGCGCATGCAACTCTGACCTGATGAATGCTGCGAGTGGGAGAGGCGTGTCCAACAATGCAGTCCGAGTGGGTGAGTACACGCACCCCTCTCATGCATGTTGCGAGCTGCATTTGCAGATGCTTGCCGACTCGTGTATATAATATATAATATAATAAGCCCCTCAGCACCGCATTCTCAGCACCGCAATATGCTGCACAGCCCCTTGCGCAGTGATTGCAGTACAGCAGAGCAGAGAGCAGAGCAGTACAGTAAAAAGGGCATGTTGTATGTTATGCTGCAGTCTTGCAAGCTCAAGAAGGGTTTTCAGACCAGGTGCATGCGCTCACGTGAAGGTCCTTTTGCTCAAAATTGGTGTGATTAACAGAATTCAAAAGAGATCTCTGTGCTCTGTGCAGTTGGGCGTGCCACAAGGTTCTCAATCTGCACAAGCAGCAACAATGGAGGCGCCATTCAGGGTGGATGCTAAAAGACCTTGAAAGGCAAGCAAATTTTGGCAGCTTTGGCGAGAACTGCAATTCTGGACTGTGTTCCAGAGGTTTCACTGGGTGGTTCTATCCAGATTCTTTAAAAGACTTCTTCTGCACTGCATTTAGCGTAGTATGAAGTATTGGAGGCGTCATGCATGAAGTCACAGTAAGGTTCAAGTACATATGTTGACCCTGGCAGTCATTCAGAGGGATCATTTTTGTGCGAAGGTGTTCTGTACTGCTGATGCATTATGGCACTGATTTGAAAGGGTATCTAGATATTATTTATGGTGTGAGACGGCTGAAGTTGCATGCATGAGGCGCTCGAAATGGGCATGTACCCTTCAGGGCTAGCAATGGTGCCAGCACTTGCTCAGGAATGCTATTCCCGAACCAAGCTTACAAGCTTTTTAGAAGGTCAGTAGTGCAAGCGAAATGCGGATGTAAGCAGAGTTTACTTTCCAATTCAGGCCGCGCCAGCCGGTCCACCTCATTTTGTTGAGATCATGATCAATATCTCGCATCAAGCCACCTATGGTTGATGCTATGGGTATGCCAGGGTACACAGCTGCTTCATAACGGCCAGAAATCCACTCACGAACAAGTTCATGCGACCAACAACCGTACTTACAGCTCTCAGAGAAGGTTCCATGATGTTGCCAAATCAGGAACGGCATGTGCCCCGTTCGAATTGACAGCCTTGCAAATCTGGATGATGCCGACCTCGCGCATCAATGAATGGAACCGGTCGTAGTAAAAGATACAAAGGACGACTTCCATAGTGGCGAGTTTCTGCAGTCCTAGGTGCGCACCACAAAGAACTCGTCTCCGATCGGTCGTAGGTATCTTTCGGAACATACTTTATGGGAATAGACAAGGCGAGCATTAGAAAGCGTTCAATCTAATCTTTGTTATTGTGACAATGTTCCTATTGGTGTGACTTCCAGCGTCTGCGCCCCAAGTTGTGTAGTGTGCCAACATCCCGCAGCCAATGTCAAGATGCTTGATACGCTGCTTTGCTCCCAGCTTGAGATGACTGCCTGGTGTGATGCAAAGGGTCAAAGGTAATTCCTTTATAGTATAATTGAATATCGCCCATGACCAGTTGTCCTTTCTGCACCAACAAGATTCCTTCTCTGTTTGTTGTGCAGGTCTCAAATCGGTGCCATGGCTTCAATCAGGGCCACGTACTATCTTCTTGGCATTATTATAGTACTTCTCATCAGCGCAGCGACAGCGCAAGACACTGATATCTATGGCAACCCAGTCTCTTCAGATCAGGGATCATACGGTAAGACACCTCTTTATGGGGCCGCTGTGAAGAATCTTTCGATTTGAACTCCAAAGTCACATTCTCATAGGTGAACACCCTGAACTCCAAAGAAGCATATGAGCTATTGCCTCAGATGCAGAATGATATTGAAACCTGTAGCTCTGAGGCATGTTTTTTCAAACAAGACAAGTGATGTGCCCCAAAGCAGCACAAGATCCAATTCCTGAGATGCAGATGGATATTATTTTCCGCACTAATCCTGTGGAGCACAGATTTGCAAATGTGACTAGTGATGTGCCCCATGCAGTTGGTGGATGCAGCAGCCAAGGAGACAGGCTGTTCAATGGCAACTGCGGCAGTTTCGTGAGTCCGTCCAACCTCCTCATTATCTCCTGCCTATTTGATTACTAACTCCACCAGCTTCTATGCCCTGGCAGCAGCTTTTACTTCTTTCGATTGGGCAAGGGAGTCTTTTGAAAAGGTCTCATATTTGATTCACATATGCCTATGCAGGTTGAGTACTTTCGGGCCAGGGCTGACTACGCCATTAGTCAGAGCGACGCTGACTTCAGAACAACAGTGAACTCTTCACCCTACCCATCTGACGGGTGAGCCTCGCTCTGGCAAAAGACGAGGAAGTATTTGGCATCACAAGAGGAAGGGACCCATACATTCAAATGATGTCAGTCTGCTGTCCCAATTGGCCCAGTTGTGCAGAAAAGAGCATGGTGTTGACTCGTTGTTGCTGTGCTTCAGGTGCTGCTATGATGCGCGCAGCTTTGTCCAAGGGGTGGGCTCTAATTTCAAACATTCCAAGCTTTTGCTATGCAGAGCAGTCACAAGCCACACATATGCAGCATATCAACGCATGCCCATTTTGTTTCAGTGTCTGCAACTTGCAACTTTGAAAGCCTGTGCAGTGAAGATTCAAGGAGAGTATCATGTGCTTCGAGGATTTGTTTTGTTCACTCTGAACGGGAAGGGGTGGCTCTGAATATAGATCCAATCAAGGAAGTTCACTGCGCAATCCGTGCAGGGTTGCAGCTGTGACCGAAATCTGCTCTCCCAGGCCGCACAGCGCGGTGTGTCAAACAACGGCATCAGAATCAGTGCGCTTCTCCACCCTGTACTGAAGAATGAGCTCACTTCCAGCTTGCACGCCTGCTTGCTCCAGATATAAACGCTGGTTGACCAGCAGCTGATGAGATGCAGAAGAGGGATGTGCTGTTGCGTGATACCGGTTTCATAGCAATGACTGTTTGTCTACATGGTGTGTACTTGGGCCTATGGGGGACGCTGGTATGGGCTGACAGACTTCTGTAAGTGCAATTGTGCAGTTGCCAGGGCCACCCAATTTTCCAGGTGCACCTCGAGTCAGTTTGGGGGCGGCATTGGGACTGGCGGTTGCTAGGGCGGCTGACAAGGAGGCGCCAGCTGGCGCGTGCATGGGGGTGACTAAGCATTAGTGTCAGCAGTGGTCAGCAGTGTGCTGCTGCATTGATGTGGCGGGCAGTTTTCTGACTGCCACCGTTGAAGTCTAGAGGGGTTCCTCGCAAATATTTTTTTCAGAGCAGACAGAAGTTAAGGCCAAGCCTCCAATGGCCAATATGAGGGGTTTCGCAGTAATTTAAAGTACTATGATCAGTTTGCTGTGCACTCTTTCTGCCATGATTCAGGTGTGAAGTATGCAAGATTTTTTTCTCTGTTGATTTAGCAGCTACTGTCGTTCATGTCTATATTTAGAGTAGTGTCCTCCATTGTGTTGCTCTTGACAATGATAGGAAATTACGGTGATTTCCTTGTAAATGCTTATGAGATTGCAAGAAAGCATTACAGAGTCAGCATTTTGAAATACTCGACACCGGTCCTTGAAATAGTACTTTGCTGTGCAACTTATTCTGCTAGCGCTATGGCTTATGCTTAAAGTATGCAAGAATATTTTTGTCCTGTTGTTGATCACCATCATGAGGAGCTACTGCGGTCCATCAAGAGTCTGTATATACGCTGCTATATACAATACTAGTATAGTGCAGCGATTTCCTTGTGAACACTTTGACAACGCAAGGATTGATTACAACAGCTTGCAATTTTAACACACTCACAAAGTCTGGCACTCACTTTTCACAACTCAATGCCGACCTTCCCATGAATTGACAAGACAGACAGCAACAGCCAACTCACACAATTGGCAAAGACAATGTTGGGTAGCGAGGCAACAAGCTTTGCTCTGCGAACAATACGCACAGCGGTCTGCGCGTGTAGATTCACTTGCATCCTGTTTGAGGTGCGGTCCAAAACCATCTAGAGTTTGTCAGACCTATACTGCGGCAACAGTGCAGACAAGTTCAAAATGAGCAATGTCACATGCAATTTTTCAATATGACACACAGGCCTGACAGGATATAATTGTTGGGGACAGCAATTTCTGTCCCATATAGAATGCAAAGAGGAAGCAGAGAGGGGCCGCAGGGGCTCCATGCCCCTGCTGCCTCTCTGCTGCCACAAACAAAGAGCCGACCTTCACGCATCCATTTATGGACATCAGGAGAGAAGAAATAAAAACGCTGCCTACCGCCAAGCGTCCAAAGAAAACAGTGATGAGCAACCCAGCAGCAACCTCACATTCGGCAGCGCATCTGCAGCTGCATCTTGGGAGCGTGACATATTGCTGCTGCTCTGTGTGACGAGGTATCTGGCACACGATAGTATCCTGCCCTCTAGAAAGTGTAGCTGGCTTGCAGTGTTGTCATGGCTGACACCGTGGTCCAGGATGGCATCTGGCTGGTAAAGTCATGGAGCTGGGTTGTGTTCGCATGGTTGATGGCTGACAGCTCCACCCGAACCTTCCCCTGCCAGTCACCCTGCAGCAGGGAACACAGATCAGAATATCTCCATGCAGAGGCGCTGCTTGCTGCTCATGCCATGCCTGCATTTCAATTTTCCTTAGGACAACAAGAGGAGCTTCAAATCTCCAGGGATTCATGCATGCAGGAGGCCCATTCTTCTGGCTGCCAGGACCAAGACAAAAGAGAAGCTGCAGATCATGCAAAAAGGCATGCATGCAAGGGGAAAGGGGACGGTACCTCTGCGTCAAGCCAGAATGGCCAGGAGTCACTGCCCTCGTTGCCAGAGAAGCGGGTCACGCGCTCCTTGGTCTGCACAGGGATGCGCTAAATCAAGATCTGCATACGTGTGAGATGGTTTTTACACCAATACAGCTAAGACCTAGCAGTGACTCGGTTCTTGTAGCCGCAGCCTCTGCCGAACTCAGTCCAGCATGCTCTTATCATTGGTTGTCATGAGATCCAGATACCAGACAAACAGGGGTGCATCTGCATAGACATGTATCATGTCTTGTAAGAGGCAAGACCTGCGTCTACATCTCAGCTTCAGTGATGTCCATGCTCAGAACATACCTCTGGGTTTTCCTCTGCGAAGGACCAGCCCACGACAGGGCCGGTCACATTGAGCAGCCCCCAGCCAGGCCAGGGCAGCTGCATGAGGAGTGAGAGGCGGCTGACATCGCTGCCGCTGGGAGAAGGCTCGGTGCCGGTCAGAGAGATGCGCATCTGGCCTGGCCTGTACATGCTGCTGTCCAATGGTGGTGCCGGCAAGGCAACGCCGCGCAACAGATTGCCCACCGGGTACATTGCCTGGGCAGACAACAATACTGCTGACATCAGCAGATTTGACCCCTTCTTTGAGTCCACATGTCAAATTGTAAATTTTTTACTTCAATTCTTGCCCTGCCCTGGAGACAACTCGATTGCACAGGAGCAAAGGAGGTGACTGAGTGCAGATGGATAGCAGGTGATGAGGGCTGCACAAGGCGCCAAACAGTGATGTCAGGAACTGTGAAGACGGGGACTTGCAGGGATAGGCGGAGTGGAGATTAGTCACCTGCCAGTCACGGTCATAATTGTCCAGATATGTGCTCTTTTCTGGCAGAGCCATTTCCACAGGCACAACATCCAGCGTTGCCACTGCCCACCTGCTCTCCTGCAGATCGTATTACCACCATCATGCATGCATTATACAGATTACTCGCCTCAGCAAATGCACAACGCGTGTGGCACGCTCCAATGAAGAGCAGGCCTTTAAAATACGGTGTGCAGCCCCATTCTGGACCGTGCCTTTCTGTGTGTCACTTTTATCAGCAGACCCAAAAGCCTAGGCGCAACCAGGACACTACACGTGGGCAACGCACTCTGTAGTGCTATGGCTGACAGTGGGCTTTTAGATTTGCTGGCCACTCAGGAAACACATGCTTCGAATTGCTTCAACCCATGCATCTGCAGGGGGGTGTATACAGTCTGCAAGAACTCAAATTCAAATCAGATTGAATACAAAATAAAACACAGGGAGAGCATGTGGGGCTTACGTGCACGCTCCCATCAGGTGCAAGCAGGTGCAGGTGCTGCAGCATGATGCGCTTGGGGAATGCATCGCTGTAAGGATGATCCGCGCTCGACGCATACACGGCCGCCGCCGCCGACGCCAGCAGCAAGCCCAGGATCACCCTCTGCGCGCACACGCATATCACACTCCTAACTTTGTGACCAATTTGCTGGCCAGTTCCTGCCCAATGCAGAGCAGGCTGGAAGGCTGCCATAGAAGTTCTGCTGCGTCACACCTGTTCTTTAAAGTTGAATGCTTACTGACCATTAATGCCAGTCATGCACGCGCTCTTGACTGGACACGCATGGGTTAAAAGGAGCTGTTTCAGCAACAGAAATCTGGCCACTTGATCGACTTCAGGGCGATCTGCACTTCTGCTGGGCAGCGCATTAAACCTTGAAGACGACCATGTAGCCAAGCTCATTGCATGCCAAATGTGATTAGGACGCGCTCTAGGTTGTATGTCCTGGCGTCAAAAGCTTGTTCACTTGGAGAAGTCACCGGAGCTCTTGCTCTTGAGCAGGACAATCTGAGCAGTGCAGAGAGTCTGGCGATTCATGCAAATGGCCAAGCTTGTTCAAGGCTGTCTACGTTCTTTGCCAAGTATATTGTGCAAGTATCAGGTGCTGTGGGCAAGTGCACATGATTTTCTGATGAACAAAGATATCCTTCAACGCTGCATCATGAGTGAATGGTCTCAGTGCTCACCCAGATGAAGGGGCGGACGCTGTGGGCCAGCCAGGCAGCAAGGTGGCCCATGACAAGGGCAGCCACCAGCCCAAAGAGAATCCCCACCACCACATCAGCCGCCAGGGTGCCCAGAGGGGGCTTGCCAGCCCCGCCGATGGACAGGTGCTCGATGACAAATAGGGGCATCGTCAGCATGGAGGGCGCCACTCCCAACAGCGCTGGCAGCGCTGTGATCACCGCCCATATCAGCTTCTTTGTGGTTGATACCTGCAATTTGGCACACACAAACTTGCTCAGCGCTTTGGATATGCCGTGCCTCGACGCATGTGATCACAAGCATGGAGATCTGCAAGCAAGGTTTTATTTCTAGACAGCGCGTTTGCATCAGTGTGGGCATGTTTTATCGCAGGGCCATGCTGGAGCAGGCAGGGCATTGCATGCCCTCTGTGGGACCTCAAAAGCAACCTTCTTGAATGAGCAATCATCCCATGCCAACAGGCACTTCACTGCAGTGTGGTCCAATGTAAGTCTGTGGTACAAGATATTATTCTTATTCCACGCTTTTCCTGCGAAGAGGCAAGGTGATCCTGCAGACAAGCTGCACTTAAAGGCTGCCACAATCCTCCCCTTTGGACCCGCCAGATCCAAGCAAGACCCAATCAACCGTGAGCACGGTGCTCATTATCAAACAGGCCCCCGCCAGCCGGGGCCAAAGTATATGGCTGCAGAAAAACCTTGCGGGGGATCATCAGGCTGGCAACGCCGGCAAAGGCCCACACGGCGAAAGCAAAGCCGCTCCTCATTCCGGAGAACGTCAGAGCAGCCGCCAGCGCCGCATGCACAAGTGAAGCTCCCATCACGGCTGTGTCCACATTGGACGCTGCTCCTTGGAAAAGCGCAAATGGCAGCAGCAGACCCGCCAGTGCCGCCGGGCCGTACACGGCGTGCGCCAGCGCATTCCTCCCAAAAAATATCATGGGCTTGCCTGTGACATGATTGCTGTCATCAACACGCGCCCAAACAGCTCACAAAGGAATATGCGGTGCTGGCAATAAGTCAATGCGACATTTGTAGCCCTTCATGTGCAAACAAATGTAGAAGTGCATGCCACACTTCCCTCGCGTTTGCATGCCAGGCAAGGTGTGACTCCTCTTGAAGCACCACCTTCCCAAATAAGCAAAGCAAGGGGAAGTACACACTGCATTCTACACCAGACATGGCTAGCCACTCTGCGTGTGCCCTTCCAAGGGGAAATCAACAAGGCTCAAGCCGGACGGCAGGCTATATCACACCCCACATCATGATCAATTCCTTCATCAGGGAGAGATGCGCGCCTGTCAGGAGCACCCTAGCAGCGCCCAGCGCAGCGGGCACAGCAGCGGCTGAGATGGCGGCTGCAGCCCGGAGTGCTGCACCGCGCAGCGCTGGCAGAACTTGAGGTGGCTGGCCCTTGAATGCGCGGGGCAGAATTAGAATTGCCAGCACGACAGCTGGCAATGCCTGGGCGTGCACGAGGCTCCCAAAGTGGAATGGGTACCGGATCTGCATATTCATGACCCCTAGTGAGTAAAATGCCCCCCATCAAGAATTTGCATTATCTTATCCAATCGTCTCCAAAAGGGGTATGTCAGGTCCAGAGCAGAGGAAGGAGAGCCAAAGTGATCCTTTTCATGGACACAGTTCAATACCATGGTTGCCCAGTACATGACAGCAAAATGCTTGCGGCAGACCTGGCCTGGACCTGCGCCTTCATGTACAGCTGGTATCACATGCATAGCGACTTCGTTGGAGTATAAGCATAAAGGGTGCGGGACGCGCACCATTTTGATGCCGAAGAAGTCGAAAAAGACCGAGCCGCCGGCGTCCCACTCAGGCAGGCCCTTTGTCTCCTGCTCCTTGAGCTCCTTGGCAAACTCAACGACGGCGCCCAAAACATTCTCCCCCAGCATCTGAACGCATGATTAGTCCCACGTCAGAAGTCAACACCGGTAAACAAAGCGTCTGTGCATGAGCACTTGAATGAAACGATGCAATCTTTGAATCTGCTGGATTCCAAGGGACATGTAACGAGCTTTGGCAGTGATGTTCTGTATAGTTATGTATAATTCATGCCAAGTCAAGCTGGCCGCCTTGTGCCTGACCTGTTGAACTTGCTTATCTGCAGGCCTGGCCTGCAGAACCACAAGTTCAACCAGGACATGGCACAAGAGAGGAACCCCAAAAGGTGGAAGAAGTGCAGATTCACATGTACGTGAGCGCTCAATCTAGACCACGCAAGGCACCATGGCTGTGTCCCGAAACACCCCAGAAAGCTCTGCTTCTCTAATGCCCTCATGTGCCTATCCTGTGAGCTTCCTGTCCTGCAGCCCTACAGAGAGTCCTGGCCCGAAGAGCAGGATTACACATGCAAGATTAGCACAAGAGGAGAGCCCCTATAATGTGGAGTGGGTGCATGGTGACCTGCATGGCATGGTGGCAGGGTTCTAAGCAATGCAAAGAGCTATCGCAGAGCTGCTCTGCATATCTAAGCTCTCGTCTCGTGCCTGACCTGAGGAGCTTCCTGTTCTGCAGGCTACAGATTCTCATGGTCTGGAGAGCTGGAAATTCAATGGGAAGGCACAAGAGAGGAGCCGCCAGAGCAGAAAATTCAATGGGAAGGCACAAGAGAGGAGCCGCTAGCAGGTGAAAAGAATAAATAAATACCTGGATGGTGCCCTTACGGAGGCGCTCAATGGTGTCGTGGTGGCTGTGGTAGGCGGCTCCATCCAGCACCTGCGCGATGTCGATGCCCGGCAGGGAGCCGTGGTAGTCGGAGGAGAACATGCGGAAGTCCGTGTCCATGGACAGCACCCGCGATTCGAACAAGTCCTGCGCACATGCGAATTGCGATCTCTCAACCAAACGCACGTGTACGCTTTAGCCACTGATTATTCTCGAGTGAACTGGGAATTATTGAAGGGCACACATGTTCATTCAGTAAGGTCAGAATGCACCCATGATAGCCATGCAGGCAATCCCTACTGCATCACAGATGGAGCCTCACCAAAAAATAAGACCTTGGCAATGCTCAACGGCAAGGCGCGCATTCGGCAACCTCGGGGCATATTAGTCAAGGACAGCTGCGGACAGTAAGTGCATGTGGCTAAGAATTGCGTGTTGTCAGCTGGTCTACTGAGCTACTTGAGAGACCATCCGTTGGGTGCTGAACACTCTTCTTTGCGCGCAATTACAGAGGCACGGTCTCACAAATTGCTCAGCCCGATTGATGTCACACTGAAACAGTCTCAGACTATGAAGAGGAGCACACCTGACCAAAGGCCGATCCATGTGGGTACTTTGCCCCACGAGCATACGCCTCCAACGTCCAACTACCTGCCCGCAATAAAGAAGTCACAGGGGCGCAAAGACATCCCATACACAGTGAACATGTGGCATCGCTATTCTTGCAGCTTGGATGACAGGAATCTTGAAAATTCAAGCTTGCAGATGTGTTCGTTTTTGTGCATGGATGATTGGCAAAATACCTGTGTGCTGGAATAGCACGTCGGGGCCAGCAGGGCCAGTGGACTCCAGATTGATGAAGGCTCCGACGCTGGGCGCCCACTTGCTGGTCTTCATGAAGCCATGCGCAGCAGTCAGGATTGTCTCCTCTCCACCATTCAGCAGCAGCAGGAGAGGCACCGCCAGCTGGATGTCTGGGTCTGCCACAATCACACGCGCTACCTCCAGCGCCGTCCCCACGCATGCAGCGCAGTCAGATGCGCCTGAAGAGGAGAAAGTTCATTTGTAGCCTGAAGGTTGAGCGCTGTGACTAATCTATTAGCAGCACAGCATGAGGCAGAGCAGAGCAGAGCAGTAGGCCCTCATGCATGTGCAGATGGCATGCCATGTCAGCATCAGAATAATTCCCAAATTGGCCGGAAATTTTGAATTGTGACTGACTGACTGCCTGAGTGACCATTTTCTCAGGAGAGAGCAAAAACAAATGGCAAAGAGGCACACCTGGGCTCTCGAAGACCGAGTCAAAGTGCGCATTGATCATGACGGCCTTGCTGTGGAGGGCGGCCTTGGGAGCAATGCGCACGATGATGTTGGTCAGGTTGTTGTAGGAATTTGTGATGTGCGTGCCCGCAAACACCATGTTGACGCCGCCTGTTGTATGCTCTCGGTCCACCTGGGGAACAAATACCAATATCATTGCAGCATGGGATATTTGTTGGCTATGCAAGTTCAATCACCCTGTTTTGCTTAATTCTGACATGTGAGATATCTCTGTACAGGCTCTGCAGGAATCAAAGCAGACGCAGTGCATCATCTGTCTTTGGCTCCTGCAGAGGCTTGTAGAGGGGCAGTTAGACATAACCAGAAAATTCTAGGTAAGAATGTCAATTTACGTCTTGCTGGCATGCACAATCAGGCCTGGCATGCAGGGTCTGGATCATCTGAATGCCAGAAGGTAGATGGGCACAACGATGGAGGAGATCTGAGGGCATACCTCAACAGCCAGATCTGGACGAGTCTGCTGTGCCAATTTCTGCAGCAGCTTGGCCTGTTGCTCCACATACAGAGCTGACTCCTCAATCTGAGGAGTGCTGACCTGCAAGGACCAAGTACCCATTTCATGGCATGCATTTAAGTCTTGAACACACTGGACAAGAAGGTGTATTGATATGGTGATATCAAGGGCAATGCAGCTCACAATGCGACGGCCGATGGTGTCACTGAGATAAGCAACTGTCTCCAGTGCTCTGCCCTCTGAGAACCTCTGTGGAGCTGCATCTGAGCCCAGCGGTGTTGGGACCCAGAACAAAGCTCGATACACGCCCACACACTGCGTACAAATAATTGACAAGGGCATCAGATTCTCCTGCAACTCTTCTGCGTCCAGCACATGCACCGAAATGAATATGCAAAACTTGATTTCCACGCACAGTATTGGTTTTATTTTTGTCGTTATGGCTGGATTGTTGAGATTGCAAACAATTTAAGCTTTAAGGTGTGCCTCGAGAATAACAATGGGAGTGCACATGATCGAGGAAAAAGTCTCTCACCAGAATTGCATAGGTCAATCCAATGATGCATAGTTGCTTCAGAGAACCGGTGGCTTGGTGTTTTGGTGCATGCGTTTCTTTCCACTTTGGATTTTTATTGTCCTTTGCAACCCAAGCCTGTGTCCGAAAGTCGCCATCGGTCACCTTGTCCACCCCGAACAAAGCCCTCTTCCGGATTTCCGTCATACTTAGTTAAGCAATCCTTGAATCTAACTTCATGTGGGACAAAAGACGTCTTCACCAATTGCCGGACATTTTCATGGCCGGACATCAGATCCAAGGTTGCTTATGTAAACTTTGCTCATGCACATGATGAGTAAGGCCTTGGACCTGATAGCAATTCCTGACACACAGTGCCACATCTCTGCTTATCTTGAACTTATTGAAAGGTGCAACTTGCCTTTTGCTATCTGGTATCCAGAGGATCTCACCAGCTTCTTTGGATCCTTCCGATGGAAGCATGAAGCACTTTCGCTCAAAAGTTTACAGATAAACTCGGCAACTCTTGTTCGGGCACGTCAGATTGGATTGTTCTATCTTGTTTCATAGTCTCCTTTTGGGGTATGAATCGGAGGTTTCGTAGCGCTCTGCTACTGTGGTGATCTGGAGAGTAGACCTTCCCTTTCGTCTGAATCACACGTTGTCAAAGGCAATCGACATGGACAAGTACGAGAAGGGGGAGAAGCTGGGCCAGGGTCAATTTGGTGTGGTGTACAAGGCTCGGCACAAGGAGGTGAGCCACTTCTGCATGCAGAACAGAGGTGATCTTGTGCAACTTATGTCCCCAATCGATCTCGCAGAACAGAAACTGACCTCGGCATTTTGTGGGTTCAGACGGGTCAGATAGTGGCCATAAAGAAGATCCATCTCGGCAATGCCAAAGAGGTGACATTTCTTCAATGCTCATTCCTGCCTCAGCACGTCATAGATGACATGCCTGTGAAGTCTTGATCCTCTTTTGCATGCAGGGCATCAACATGACGGCTCTACGAGAGATCAAGCTCTTGAGGGAGCTCGAGAGCCCCTACATAGTCCAGCTGCTGGATGTGTTCCCTCACAAGCGGAACCTCAGTCTGGTAATCCCCTGCTCAACCCCCATACTATGCTTACCTCTGTTGTAGGCTTGTGTGAGATCTGCCTAGCATTGCAAGCCTTCTTGGTGCTGTCCCTCCCCACCAGACACTCGCGCAGGAACAGGAACCACAATGCCTCAACTGCCCCTGCAATGCAGGTGTATGAGTTTTTGGACAGCGATCTGGAGTGCTTGATAAGGGACAGGGCAACTATTATAAGTGCTGCCGATGTCAAGAGCTACATGCAGATGCTGCTCAAGGGGCTTGTCTCCTGCCACAAGCACTGGATCCTCCACCGAGACATCAAGCCCAACAACTTCCTTATCTCCATGTCAGGTGCACTCCTGCTGCCCCCTCCTAGCTCATCCCTGACATCATTAATCGGCACCCATCTAATATGTCACTCCTCAAGCTTTGCATGGCAGAAAGCCCCATCCATACAACACATGTCTTCCCTGGTGCATGCAGGCATGTTGCAAGTGTATGCTGTGAGTCCATCAACCCTCAGAAGCAGCTCTGCAGGTGGAACACATCCTCATCCATGGCAAGATGACTGCCTTTCCGGAAACCCTTGCAACGACCCTGAAAATCCCTGGTCCAGGGGAGATGAAGCTGGCGGATTTTGGGCTGGCGCGCATGTTTGGGCACCCCGAGGACGGCCGATTCACGAGCCAAGTGTTCACGCGTTGGTACCGCCCTCCAGAGCTGCTCTTCGGATCCACCTGCTACGGACCTGCCGTCGACATGTGGGCCGCCGGCTGCGTCTTTGCAGGTGGGATTCAAATGCAGATTCATGGCAATGGATCTGACGATGGATTGGATATATTTGGCACTTCACAGCCTTGGAGGATGGCCGGGTAACTTTGCTCTGTGCATGATGTGCATGCTCTGCTGGCTTGCATCTTGCCTTTAGAGCATGCTTGCACAGTTGCAGTCGTGGTCTGGATCTCCACACCAATCTCAAACATGTCGGGAGAATACGACAGACATACGCTTAGCAGATCTTGCCAAGCAGCGCTGATGAGGAGATGCTGATACTGTCAATGTGGCACTGCAGCTCTTGGCCTCCAAAGCATTGTCTAAGACAGCGGCATTCTTTTGTGTGCAGAGCTGCTGCTGCGGCGGGCATGGTTCCCGGGCGACAGCGATCTGGATCAGCTGGGGAAGATGTTCCAGGCGCTGGGCACTCCCACAGAGGCCAGTTGGCCCGGCTGCACTTCCCTGCCCCAGTACGTGGACTTCCAGCCCACACCCTCAGCCCCACTTCGCAACACCTTCCGCCAGGTACAAGCACAGCTCTTGTTCTTTATCTCTGAAGAGTTTGCATAGAAATTCATGCTGCGCAGGAGGAAAGTTGCATGATGGCTGCAGGCAAAGCACGAGATGCAGGCACTTCTTGCCACTCACGCTGCAAAGAATCTGATGTAAGACCAGACACACAGGCAATGTTCACCGGTGTGGCCCACCTTTTCAAGACTACTCTTTGTATAGTGCATCATGCAAGAAATGGCCAACTAAGGCGACATTTTAGCTGCCAGCCAATCGGCACGGCTGCCTCAAGGCTTTTAAAGACTCAACGCTGGCCCCAAGGCTGGTCATTCGGCATGGCTGCTTCAAAAGCTTGAAAGAAAGGCGCCAAGGAGGGAATATTCTCTTTTGCAGGCGAGCGAGGATGCACTGGCGCTACTGGCGCAAATGGTGACGCTGGACCCCTCCAGGAGGATCAGTGCAGAGGACGCACTGAGCCACGCGTACTTCAGGAACGCGCCGCAGCCGACGCCGCCGGCGCAGCTGCCCAAGCCGCCGGTCCGCGCACACAACCCCCTCAAGCTCGGGCCCAAGGTGCGCACTTGATTTCTTCATGGCTGCTTCCCCATGCTTCTTGGCATGTCGCCACGCGTAAATCGCACTCCCAACCAAGAACGGCTTGTGGGACAGATTTATGTACTGCCAGCTGTAATTTTTACCTTCTGGACATATTTTTCATACTTGGTCAGCAATCCCACCAAGCACGCAATGTCTATGCACTGCCAGCTGTTTCTACTGCCTCACATTTCGCAGAGCCTAGTGCTGTCAGTGTGCAGCTTGGGGTGACGTCCCTGCATGTTGATCTGTCAATATTCTCATTGTGGTCAAATGCAACGATTGAGGTGTTTCGGATGTTGCACAAACACAGCGCTTCTTGCGCTCCCTCCTGGTTGCGCTGCCCTCTTCACATTGCGTTGATAACATCATGGCATTTGTTGCTATGCTGTCCCCCAAGCGCAATGAAGGGCAGCGCAATGAGCGGGTTGCGCATGACGTGCTGCGTCGGCAACTTTGCCTGTCAAAAAGGACTCACAGTAGTCCTACTATTGTTGTGCGCTGATGCATGTGGGTGGTGGCTGCAGGGCAGCTCCATTCTGCAGGCTGCTCCAGCGGTGCACAGAGGGCCGGCCATGCTCAATGGCAGCAGCAGTGCAGGGGCAGCAGCACTGGATCTAGGGACTAACAGCACCGCTGCTCAGAACGGCAGCACGCCCGCTGACTCGAGCGCCGCAGGGGCATCGACCGAGGGGCCTGCTGCCAAGAGGTGGGCAGAATATGCCTTGCACCCCGTGTCCTGACCACGGCATCAGTGGCATTTGTTATAACACCAAGCTTTCCAGTCCCGAGGGCTTGGTATGTCACGCTGAAGCTGTACGATTGCTTCCCATCTTCATGTTTTTTGCAGTTCCATGTGTATGAACAGGCATGTGATGAGCAGAAAGCATTGCAAAATGTAAGAGTAGAGAATGACTTGAGTTTTGCATGAAAGGCAGCGTGGCGCTGATGGCAACGGTATGACAACTGGGGAATCAGCTGAGAGAGCCCCCAGCACTGCTGCAGAGGGAAATCCAGATCCTGAGCATGGGAGTCCTCCTTCCAACCATGATGCACGAGAGGATGAGCGCAGGGCGCTCAGCGCCATGGGCTTTGAGGCCGGGCCCCGGCCGGTGTTGGATAGCGCAGACCTGGGGTGAGCAGCCCTCTTTCTTACTGGGCAGGTTTCCTGTTGCCCATTTGTAATGTAACGTGCATCGCAGGAACCTCAAATCCTGCAGAGCTCCACAGCATGACAGGCAGGTAGTCGGGGAGATACCTCTTGTTTGCTATTAATACTTCTTGCCGTTGAATAACAGCTGTCCTGGGGTGCCCATCACAGGAATTTGCGCAAGCGGAAGCTGGACTGGGATGCGCCTCTCAATGGAGGGTGATATTGTGTGATCATGGAGCGCCCGGCAGTGCCCAACTGCCATTTTGTGGAGAGTTTTCAAGTTTTGGGCAGCGCGTGGGCTTCTTAGACGGCATTTGGCCAAAAATAATTTCTGTGTGGAGGCACTGGGGTATACCACTGGGGCATACTGCGTAGTCATAAGCTCAACCACACAGAGTGAGCAGATGAAAAACGTGTGGCTGCATGTGCCTGATGAAACTCAACTTGATTGGGGTTATTTGAGCAAGGTATTATCACGAGGGAAACATGACAATTTGGCTTCTTTACAGGCACGCCCGACTCATCACTATTGATATTCTGGCAAGGGCACTTGTAAGACTAACGACACAGCATCAGAGGCCCATGTGACCCCTCATGCATGACAGTGGGCATAACTCATACTTGGCATGCATGGTCAACTGACCTTTGCAGGCCCGTTGACATGGCATGTTTGGAAAGAAACTAGTAAATCGGATCCATTCACCGCGCAGACAACTTGATGCGCTTCCAGACTTCTGCAAGAGAGACGCTGAGCAGGAAAAGACGAGTCCAGGGTCATCACATGCATGCATGCACAGAACAGTATAGTCAGAGTACCTCCCCACTTCACCTCTTGAGTCTAGCACAATGGACCCTCTCTTACTTCAGAGTCCATTTGGTGACCTGGGTCGTTGCCTGAATTCTGCGCACACAGCCATTACTCTATGGCTATGCTCTATGCATATGGAAGTACAGTTGACAGTTGCCTGTCAATTGTAAGCCAATGCAAGCTTCCGCCCTTGTTTAAATGCTCTTATCTACCGTAGTACCCTTATTGTGGTTGCCATGTGATCAGGCCGATCTACAACCTTCACAACACAAAATCCTGCTTTGGCAGATGTGTCCATGCACCTGAACTGAGCACCAGTAGTACTATTAGATACTTGAGATCTAGGAACTCAACCTGCGAGCCAGCAAGGCCTGCAAAGTGCTGGCTGACTCATAACTAGTCATGCCCGACCAATGCAAAGCAATGTTGGGACAAAAGCATGCCCCTGCCAATAGCAAACGCGAACATTCCTGACGTCCTGAGCACTATATGCATCATGGCAACGATATTGACCAATGATGTTTGACGTACAAATCTACTCGAGGTGGTGCAGCGGTCAATACACACTCATGACATTGACCAGGCAAATGTGGCTGCAGTAAATATGAGACCATCAAATGTGATGTCACCATGGAACTCCTTTATTTTGTGTGAGCATCGAATGGCTGCTCCAAAGTCTGCAAACTGCAGCGCATCATCGTCTCTCATTTTCAGATCCAAACGGGCACAAAATCAGCTGCGTGGCAATTCAAATCAGGCCGCACAAGACCTGCACAAAAGCAGCCAGCAGAGCCCACAACACACCGTTGGAGGAACGGAAGGTCCTTCAAAGGTTGCCTGCTGGGAAAAATACTTTGGCACGGCTCAGCCCGGGCGCAATTGCACCCCATGATCTGAATCTCACATCCGGCCGCCGTGCACAATAATACTTCTATTTTCTTTTGCCCAATTTGTCTTTGTAGTGTGTGCTAATATAAATGAAGCTGAGAGGCAGTCATGGCTGGCCGCCTTCGCCCAGGAAGTGGCCAAAGGACAGCGCCAGAGCATGCCTCTCTTTGCAGCACATCCAGAGCCGAAGGTACTGCCGGCCCCGGGCTTTATTATCATTCTTTCTCTCCTATTTGGCATCTCTCTTCCTGTAGTAGGCTTATCTGGGGCTGATGGCCGCTTTTAGCCTAATCAGCAACGGTATCTCTGGCAGCCCGTGGAAACGTTCATATTGATATTGAATCCTCCTTGTCGAGGGGCTGTCTTGAAGTGTTGTGTCTGCTTTAATTCAGACGGCGGCCTGACTGGCTATGTCAGTAGACCCTCTCTCTCCTCACTCCTCGCGTTTCTCAGGGGTTGCCGGCGGCACAGGCGCAGATTCCCTCTTGACTTTGGCAATAAGATCGCTGATGGGCAGCGCCTTGCCGCCAGTCGCCATGCCTTCCAGGACCACCTGCAGGGCAAAACACCAAGAGTCCTCAGCTAGAGAAGTTCTATTAGTCTTGACTTCCTCCTGGTGCAGCAAGCACCTGTGCTGGCCGAGTCACTATAAACTGCAATTTGCAGCACACGATGTGCTTCACGACCGGGCAAGTGCAGATTGAAAGTGCATGAGGAGAACTGAACCCTACAAACCCTGAAATCCGGGGGAAAGAGCCCTTTTATTTAGAAAGCCGGACGTGCCACAACCAGGGGTGGAAGCTGCGCCGCACCTGCCAATCGGCAGCAAACCGAGCGGCGGTGGCCGCCGTGAAGAGCTCGGCGTTGTACTCTAGCCGGCCGGCGATCGCACGGCCGGCGTGGCCCAGAACGAGGTAGAAGTCGTCCATTGCAGTACCCGGGGACAGCTCAAACGCCTCCACGCTGAGACCGTCCATGCCGATGCCAAACTGCGCCTCGGCCTCCAGAAGGTTCAGCTCAACCTGCGCAAGAACAGAAGGTTATGTCAGCGCTAGTCGCCGTGCACCTCCAACATGTCATGCATTACTGGCCCACGTGAAAAGGTTTTATAATGCATGCTATCGCCTTCCCTGACAGTGAAGCTGTGACAGCTTTGTGAAAGGGCTGCAGCGCTCTCAAAATCCAGAATGTTCTATTAACAATCTTAATCGGGGTGTGATTGGTTCAAGCTCAACAGCAAGCCCGTGCCAGGTGACCAGACTTCTAAGCTCATGTAAACTTCATCTCTCCAGATTAACTAATCAACAGATAAGGGATCAACAGATGGAGAGCTGCTGACCTGGAAGAGGGGTTGGTTGTGGGTGCGGCCGAGCGCGGTCATGACAGTGTGCAGCCCTGCATCAGCATTCTGGTAGGCAGACAACGCTGTCGCGCGGATCTGCGCGATCAGATCCCCCACGGTCTCGGCCGCGCCCAGCCGCGCGCGCAGCGGCAGCGTGCTGACGCAGCAGCCCACCATCGCGCGCGTTGCCGGGTGCACGCGGCCGGCAAAGGGCGAGCCCACCTGTGAGCAGATAACAAATTCAGTGTCTCTCCTGGGTATTCACAGACGAGCCAACAAGGGAGTGCACATTCTCTTGGATGTATGGCATCTTTCTCCACTAGACGTAGACACTTCCTCGGATAGGCTGCACACTCTGCAGGGAACAGAGACAGGCTGACAAGAATTCTCAAGAATAGCGAAGTCGCTGCTGCATGATAATCCAGGGATCTCAGGCAGCTTGCTATCCAACCTCTGCAGAGCTGTGCAGCCCAACAGGCACTCCTCGTGACTAGCAGACAACTGCGTGGTAGAGGTTCGCACGACCCACACGCGGCAGGGCCAGATGCAGATTCAAAATTGAAATTCAAATTGGTGACTCACCACGACGTCGTCCTGTCCGCAGCGGGCACCCAGCAGAAGCTGCAGCGCAGACAGCAGCACCATGAACATCGTGGCACCGCTGCGAGCCGCGAACAACTCCAGTGCAACCACAACCCGCTCATCGACGTTCAGCTCCAGCCAGCCGCCGCGGCTGCAGGCCTTGTCATTCCGCGGCGCGTCCGTCGGCAGCCGCAGCTCCTGCACTCCCTCCAGCTCGCCGCGCCAGTATTCCACCTGAAGGAATTCCACACATCTCAGAAATCACCTGTGGCACTTGTACTAAATTCGCTTTGTTGTCTGGAAGTATCAGGTAGAGGTCAGCTCCTCCTAAGGCTGCTGCCATCCAGGGACAGTTGCAGCAAGCTCAAATGCCATTGCTCTGAGAGATGGTAGGCAGCGCTCTTGGCGACAAGAATTGTCCCCAGTGCATCGTGTGTTTGTTGGACGCATGAGCAAGCTCCCAACAGAGGAAGGGGGGTCTTTCTGGAGATAAGGGGCCTAGGAAAAATTAAAGAGTGTATTTTAGGTGCAGGCAAAGGATTGCTGTTTCACCTGGCGCAAAATGGCGGGTGACTGTGCACGCCGTTCCTGCCAGGCAGCAAAGTCCGGGTACTGCAGCCGCACCAGAGGCAGAGACGGCGCGTTGCCCAGCCGCAGCGCATTGTAAGCCTCACTCAGCTCGTCCAGCATTACCTGTTACAGCACAGTATAACTTGAATTCTTAAAATTTGCAATTTTGAACTTTGAGATTTGAAAGTTGAAAATTGGAGGTTGAAGCGTGCTGGACGCCCCTGCAGGCTTCTTGCGCACAGGTTTGAGGCAGTATTTTGTAGTCAAGTAAGGAATGGTCCTGTTGACAAGCACAGATTGCCATCCTGATGCAGCCAACCTGCTTCAAAGTGATAGAACAGGTTTACCAGCAGTCAGAGTGTGATTGCATTGACCCGCTTGCCTCGATAGCCTCCAATTGCCAGCGCAATACTTCCACCGCATCACAGCAACTCTGCAAAATTGTCCCTTGGGAGTACAATAGGCTACATTCAACACACCATTACCCACCCGGCACCACACCTTAGATTAACCCCAGATATTACACAAACAAAATTCAAGGCCCACCTTGAAGGACCAGCCGTCCGCGACGGTGTGGTGCATGACCAGCAGCAGCAGGTGGTCGTCTTGCGCCAGGCGGATTAGTAACGCGCGCACCAGCGGCCCGGCCGCCAAGTCAAAGGGCGTTCCCGCCTCGGCCTGCACCCGCGCCAAAACAGGCTCCGGCAATCCCCCTGCCACCTCCTCCGGGCTGCGCGCAGGATACACTCGCCCCGTCAGCACCATGTCAGCATCGTCAATCTTCAGGTCACCTGATGTGCAATCTTTGGTGCACTTAGCAAGCTCTTCGAACGGACAATCACTGAATCTGCATTGGACATGCTTTAAGCCCACGAACAGCATTACTGAAGCCCAGCACCACTGAGCTGGCTACCATGCTTTACTGCACAATCTGGCATGCAAAGCACTGCAGCCGCGCATGCATGCGCAGCCTTGTTCCAATCTGACAGCTTGACAGAACAGCTCTCATTTAAGGTGCATCCTCAAAGATATGGCCGCAGAGCAGGTGCAAAAGGGTGGCTCACATGCTGCAGTTGGGGATGTAGCGGCCCTTTGGAAGAGAGGCACCGTCCTCAAAGGCAAACGAGACCATGGCATTGCTGGCAGGAGTCACAACCTGTACACACAAAGCCATCAGCTAAATCGAACACCATTGACAGCATTGCTGCTGAAAGATCGGAGTAAGTCCACACACATGTGAGCAACATTGTAAGTGCTAGTGTTCCAGCGTTGCTCCGGTGAATGGAAAGCTATTTGAGGGGCGCAAATTTAACTTGGATTGTTCTAAAGAGTAGCCACCATTCCTGCAATTTTTGGGCGCCACAGTTGATGTCAGCAGTTTTTGATTGCCTTCAATTCAGATCTGTTGAGATGGGACGACTTCCTCTGTTGCAAAAGGCGCATGCAAGCATTGACATGCTGCTGTTGTGTGACAGATCAGGCCAAGATCACCAACAACGCCGCTGTGAGAGTCCTGGTCGTCATCTGCATCTTTGTGTTGGGGTGAGCAGTGCATCAAGTGTGTTTTTGCTCTTACACTTGGCTAAGAACTATGACATTCTTGAAATGTTGTTTGAGCCTTTTCCCTGTGTACATCCGCAGGTTTGCATGGTCATGGGGTCCTCTTGGATGGCATACATGATGTGGCGGGCTATTCAGCTCTGCGTGTATAAATAATCACAAAAATAATCTCTTAAAACCCAGAAACATGAACCAATTTTACTTAATAAAGAGACGCGATATTTGTAAGAAATATCATTGGCTCGAGGCTTGCCTGCAGGACGGAGCCGTCTGGGCGGGTGAGGAAGCGGGTTCGCAGCGCGTCATGCCGGCACATGACGGCTTGCAGCGCGTTCTGCAGCGCGGCTCGGTCCACTCCGCCGCGCAGCCGCAGACCGCCCGGCACATTCGCATCCGCGCCGCTTGGCGCCAACTGAGCAACAACACATACCCCCCTCAGCACCGCATCAAGACACCTCGAGGTCGGCGTCTGATCAATGTCATGTGTGTCATCACCATGAGATTGAAGGTCGCTGTCTTGACGGCCAGACATAGCAACAGATATTGTCTTAACAAGCATCCCTCTCACCAACGATGATACAGGCTGGATTGTGAGGGTCGGTATGGGACAGCGAGGCAGGTGCCACACCTCAAGAATCACATTTTGGGGGTGCATTGCAAAGCTTTTCCAGTGCTTCACTTCTTAAAGGTCAAGGGAAAGAGCAGCACACACCTGTTGGAGCGTGACAAAGTACATCTGGGCGGGCGAGCAGGCGACGCCGGCGGCCTTGTCAGCCGCGGACAGCAGGGGGCTCGGCAGGACGGTGTCCCCTCCGGCCGCCGCTGACTGTGCAGCTTCCGCCAGGGAGGCCAGGCTGGCGCCCGTGTCCAGATCAGGCGATTCGCCGATGGCGTGCATCGCGGGTGTATTCAGCAGGTATAGGATGTGCGCGGCCAGCTCGCGGATGGTCGGGTATTCAAAGACGACGGTCAGCGGCACTGACAGGCTCAGGTGCTCCTCGATCTGCGGCAAAGCATGGACCACTTCAGTCAACATGGGTGTCTCCCAGTTATACAACATCAACTACTTGGAGATGTACATACTGAATTGTTTCTGCAAAGAGCTTAAATGGCAAAAGGCAGATGCCATTCAGCCTCTGTCGACTTCATCAAGATGATGCGCTGTGAGCGCAACATCTGTCACAGTGAATTACACATTAGGGAACATTGAAAGAAAATTTCCCGGTGGGGTGCATGGAAATCTGCCCCGACTCTCTTGAGAACCCACACACACACAAATCAGAAATAAAAAAAGTGTCCGCGATGAGGGGGGATCGAACCTGCACGGCAAACTCGGCGGCGCGCAGTGAGTCTAGGCCGAGCTCCAGCAGGGGCTGGTCGGGGTCGAGCTCGTCGATCCCTGCCGCCTCAGCCGCGGCCGCCAGCATGTACGCCTGCAGCGTCTCCAGCTGCTGATCCTCTGGCAGCGCCAGCAACTGCAGCGCACAAAACATTGCACTCCTCATTATGATAACCTTCGTATGGTGTGTGCTAGCCATCATCCAGCCACACTTGTTTGCTAGAATGCAATGTGATCATTTATTGCTCCTGGGCAGGGGGGGGTCCAATGTAGCATTGTTGCATGACGTGCAAATGCGAGGCAGCCCTTTCCCCTATCTTCTGGCGCTCGCTCCGCCTTGATGTTTGCATTCCTCTTTCTCTAATTTTCGTGCGCTTTTCCTGCCAGGAAGCAAGGAGCATCTGCAGACATGCAGCAGGTGAAGGCTAAAGATTCTACACCTACTTGGACTCGCCAGGTCCAAGCAAGACCCCTGCAACTCTGGGCTCAATAAGTATGCCTGTCAGGGCCATTGCACTCGCAGAGGGGTTGTAACTCTCTTGGCTAAACAAAGCACAGGTGGATTCTCACCTGCTCAGCGAGGAGGTGAGCTGAAGAGGATGGACCCTCGGCGCCCTGATCCGAAGTGGCTGGACTATTTGCCGACGCGAGGAAGGAGTCTTGTCCGCCGTCAGATGCACTGCACAAAAGGCATTTCATCACCACTGTCAGATCTGATCGACACGTGCAACAACCGCTGCTTCAACAGGCTGACTCCGAACGATGCATGCATGCATGGCCCGCAGCGGCAGAGCCTCTGGAGAGGCCAGTTGTAGCTAGGCCTCGATCATGAGCCTTTCCTGGCGACATATCCTGGGAGTTCAATAATATACTTGTAGCTCGAGTTCCCAGTTGCAGGGCTGGCCAGTGAGGCAGGGTCGCGCATGGAAAGCAAAACCAGACATCACGCCAGATCAGGCACGGAGCCAGACCAGGCATGGAGCCAGATCAGGCAAGGAGAGAGGGAACCCCACCTGTCGGAGGCCGACTCAGACATGGAGACGACAGAGGCGGTGGAGTGGTCGCTGTCGCAGCTGCGCATGGGCGATGACAACGCCGCCTTACGGCCACCCTCCCCGGCCGCCGGCCCCGCGCCGAAGGAGCAAGTCAGCACCAGCGAGTTTCCCTGCGCACGCCATGGAACGCCTTCTCACAGGTGCCGCTGGTAGTGATTGCCTTGAACACATTCTGTGTAGCATGCGCGAGTTCTAATCGTATAGGCTTGCATGTGGTGCTCGTTGTTGTCGCAATGCTCAGTCACCATGTACAGACCTGAGATGCTCAGGTGCAGGACAGTGAAGTGGGTGGTAAGGTATTCTGGAGGGGGGAAATGAAGTGAGAATGGTGTACAGATACAGATGTGAAGGCCTAATACGGTATGTAGCGTGCTTTTCATCTTCACATATATGGAAGATTAAAATTGGAGGTCTGGCACTTGACAAAGGAAATGAAGTCAATCAGGCAGATGTGCTTTGGCGTGCCCACAAGATTTACGCATTCCCTTTTCAAGAAAAAAAAAACGACAAAGGAACCAAGAATTGACAAAAAGGACGTATCCTCTTCCAGGGGTGGTCGGGGACTTGAACCTGTGAGGACTCAAGCCCTCAACACATATTTGCAAATTGAAGCCCTACCTTGCCATCCACCCATTTCATGATGTCATATATGCAGATTTAAAGCGTGAAAATCTCAATTCTACACAGCATGATATGATGTGCCCTGCATGCAAGAAAAGCTGGATTGTAGCTTTTTGGCAGCCTCTCGGGAAACTTTGCGCCGACTTGCACAAGTCCCCATGCAGGATGGATACAAACGTGCAGTATAAATATCAGAAGGGGCTTGATTAAGGTGATTACCTGGCTGTATTCCCCAGCAAGGAAGGCTGCTCGGCAGGCCCTGCGTTGCACCTTGCCGCTGGTTGTCTTCTTGATGGCCCCCGGCCGCGCAACCACCACAGCATGGCAGCCCACCGCATGGTTCGCCATCACCTGCAGCAGACTCATCATTCTCAAATGAACACCTTCCTAATAACGAGGGTTGGGATAACCATGTGCCATCAGCAGGATGGCACATGGAAATGTGCCTCGGATTGGATTGCTCCTCTGTTCTTAGCGCATGATGTGCTGGCTGGAGGCTGTCCCAAACAGATAGGATTGTGATTTGCCTAAACACACCCTGCCACAGGGCGAATGGCTCAAGCGGGCAGCTAGAACATTCTGCAAGGCAGACCTCACCCGTGGCAACTTCCCGCTCTATCGATGCAGCTCTCTGGTCAGTTTCTTGCCCTCACTCAGACACAAAGCACTTCAAGTTTGAGAAACGCACCGTGGCGCGAATGAATGCTGCTAGCTCGTCGACTTGTTGCGCGGTCGGTTTGGCACCGCGGGCGATTTCGGCGATGATGGTGAGGGCTTCCTCCTCCACCGCCATTCCCCCTGATGTCACCGTCACATCCACAGGGAACGCCGCCAGACCACCCGGCCGGATCTGCGCAGATGTTCAAACACTGTCAGCAGGGGCCGTTCCTGTGCTAGCCCCGAATGTCCTAGACAACAAAACACAGCCCTTCATCACAAGATTGCAGTGGACCTGTCACCCTCTAACACCCCAACAACAATATTCAGACTTTCGATCAAATTTCACAGCCATGAAAATCCTCCATTGCTCTACATATTTTACTTGTCAGCGTGATTGCTCTCTCAAAGACGCAGCGTCAAGTCAAGCGGGTGAGTACAACGTATAATCCAGAAGGCACTACTCAGCTTGGTTTTAGCAGCACTGGTGTGCATAACAACGCTCATCAAAATTGCCCCAACACAGCATCTTTGCGAGCTGGAAATTCTCATGAGCATCAATCAGGGAGGATAGAAGAGGAAGGGAGGCAACGCCGCGCACCAGGGGATGGTGAGTTGTGCGAAGGCAGTCCTCAATGTCGTTGGGGTAAATGTTGCGCCCGCGCACAATCATCATGTCCTTCAGCCGCCCTGTCACATACAGCTCCCCCCGCCACACGAAGCCCATGTCCCCCGTCCGCAGATACACTCTGCCGCCATTCACCCCCTCTTCTCCCGCCATCCGCGCCTGCGCAGCCGGCCTCCTTCTCATAATCACCAGGCGAAGTGAATTTTCTACAAATAAAAGTAAGGGTATGACCAAGCATGCTGCCATCCGCCTCAGTGCATTGCTGCACTGATGCATGCACACCGTCTTTTGCAGGCGGGTGGCAACACCGCAGGCAAAGTTGTAGGTGTTATACCCAGCACATCTGCAGTGCAAAAATCTCACTAAGCTTCATACAAGCACCTGAGCACTGCCAATTTGACAGCTTACGACTTGGGAAAATTGAACCCGAATATTCGGATTGTGAAGTGGCAGAGGGCGCAGCAGCAAGCAGTGCCGCACTTTGGGCACTCTCTGCATGTGGCTGCAGACCACCTGAAAACTTTCACAATACGTATGCTTGCGCAATGTGCCGGGGACTACGCAGCTAGAGAACATATTTTAAGCAAAAAAGAAAACAGTCCGTGCATGCATCACTTGCCGCGAAAAAAGAGAACTGAACGCGCACCTGGAAGACCTGCGCGTTGAGGTCAGGCTTGTTGAAGTAGCCGGCGGTGACGCACGGCGACGAAAGCCAGACCTCGCCGACGCAGCCGTCATCGCAAGGGGCGCGAGTGTCGGGGTGGATGACGCGTAAGTCCACGCCGGACATGGGAACTCCACAGGAGAACAGCACACGCGCATCGGCCGCGGCCTGCGCCGGCCGCACGCGCCCGGCCGCCTCCAGGCTGCGGCGATCCACCGTGAGCTGATTTGTGCCCCACGTGGTCGCGCCTGCAGACGCAAATCACTTTAGTACCGGGTTTCTTGCATCGAGCAAGCATTGCATGCGAATCGCGAGGCAGCCCTCTCTGCTTCCATGGCGCTGCATCCCCATTTTCATCTATTTAGGGGGGCATCTCCTCAATGTATGCAGGGGCACCATCTCCCGTGACCAGTGAGGATAGCTTTTGGTGAGCAAACACAAAACAAGTAAGCATGCTCTTCGATAGTATGATCCCCTTGAAGCGGAGGTGGCACTTTAGCAAAGCAGGCTGCTGCAACACAAGCGTTGAAGGAGACAGAGTCTTGAAGGACACACGCACAGGAGGTCAAAGAAGGCAGTCGAGGATAATGCGAGTGCACTGCATTCAAAACATTCCGCTCCAGTTGACAAAGCGATGGGTGAGAGCATTTGGATATGCTGGGCCCGGCAGTAGAGAAACAGGGAGGGCACGCACCGCAGACGTGCTCGGCGAGGCCGTAGGCGGAGCAGAAGACAGAAGGCTTCAGGCCGCAGGGGGCAAAGGCGGTGAAGAATGCCGCCATGGTCTCAGCGCGGATCGGCTCCGCGCCGCTCATCACAAACTGGAGATTGCTCAGATCCCACTGCCGCCGCTGCTGCGGCGTCGACTTCCTGCGATGGAATAACAATTGTCAGCGCTCATGCAAGCACTCAAATCTTATGCTCAGGAATCTACATCCTCCGGAGCAGCGCTGACAAGTTCTGTAGCTACAGCTGAGGCATGGAGCTCCCTACGACTGAACTGCCAGGGCGCTTGTCAGCATTCGAGCGAGCACAGGCGAATTGCACGCGCAAAATCAGTAAATGGAGAGCTCCCGGGCAATTCACCGGATCAACGAGGCGCAGACCTTGTCACAGAACATGACAACGCCAGCGAATGCAGCCAGGTGCAAAAGTAGCGCTTCAAGACAGTGCACTTGATGCTGGCCAGGTCAGCTTCAGACAACGACAAAAAATGCAACACTGACGCACACAACGCATGTGGAGCAATGATGGCACCTGGAAAGCAGGCCGAAAGCAAAGTCCGGCCCGACGGTGTGGCTGGTCTTGTGGCGGGCCATGAAGTCCAGCCAGCGCGTGGGCTTGGCGATGAAGTGCAGCGGGGACATGAGCACGAGCGGGTAGCCCTTCATGCCGCAGCCGAGAACGCCGACCGTGAGGCAGAAGTCGTGGAAGTGCGGCAGCCACAGCAGCATGTGCGTTCCGCTCACCCCGTTGCGCGCAGCCACCTCGCCCTCCTCGGCCTTGAAGAACACCTGGGCAGTTGGCAGCAGCGCACATTAAATACACATCGCATGCATAGCATGACCTTCAGAAAACATGATTCATCATGAACTTTCCTGTTTGACACATGGGCAGGTTCTCCATTGGGCACAACATCCATCACACAGTCCGAGTTGAAAGACAGTTGTCTAGTATTTCTCTTGGGCGCAGCCCAACATGGGGCGACACTGACTGGGCACAAATTTGCGAGCGTGCCATGGCACAAAGGGCCATAGCATTTGGTGTTGGATAGCGATCCTTGAACCTCAAGATTCTGGACATGGTGGGCTCGATTTAGTCATGGCAATCAACCCCAAACTGGCTGCACTGGCTGCACTCTACACGACGCAGTCATAAGTCTGTGCAAGCGCGCGCACCCCCCAGCCAGCCTCGTTGTGCTGAAAGAGGTTGCCGTGGGTGATCATGACCCCCTTGGGCTCCCCAGTCGATCCTGATGTGTACTGCAGGTATGCCACGTTGTCAGGGTCCTCCGGCGGCTCTGTCGGCATGAAGCTCTCTGTCCGCCGCACGTCCAGCCTGCACCCAACACAACTGTCTGTGTCAGCGGGCCCTCAGCCACAGCCAGTCAAGAACATATTGCTGATGCACTCAAATCAGCTGGTGTGCTATAAGGAGGAAGGTGTGCATCAGACGCCGCCTTGGTAGAAATGCTTGAAAAAGGAAAAGGGTTGCAGCGGTTGCATACCCATGACAATTACTGTAGGAGCCTGGCAGGAGCATTTGTAAAAGAGTGCAGAGGCTGCAGGCAAGCCAGGCAGAGGAGCAAGACAGATGAAGGGTGTGCAAGCAGCACAGCTGTCTTGCCATGATGGGCACAGGGGTGAGCTGGCAGACAGGTGTCACGCAGCCCAGGCACGCACACCCCGGCACATGCCGGCACACGCCGGCACATGGCCGCGCAGTGTCATGCCATGCAACAATCCCCAGGTGCTACCTGACTCCTACTTGACATGCGAAAAGACCCCCTTGCTCACCTGGTGTGCTCCCCCTGGGCATACTTGCCGTGGTCTGCAGGCAGCATTGCAGCTGCATCGGTCACGTGCCAGGGGAGGCTGGGCCACTGCGGCTGCTTGCCCATCATCGACTTGAGCATCCCCGTCATCTTCGTGGCCTGCTTCACCTGTGTGCATGCATGCACACAAGCACTCACGTCCGAGCCCAAGTCGCAGCTCTTCTCTCTGCACAACCCGGCAGCCACGAGACAAGCACCCACATGCAGCAGCTGGACCACAGCAAATGAATGAGACCTGTCTGTTGCAGAGCATGCATCAACGTGCATGCCATGCATGCAGAGGCATGGGATGGACTGCAAAAATCTGCCGTGCAGAACAGCAGCCTGTGGCCAGCCGTGGACGTCATTGTGCGAGCTATTAAATCGCAGCTGAGGCTATCTGCAAAAAGTACAACAGCGGGAAAGAATGCTCCGCACCATGGGGAACATGCAGGCATCAGATCAGCAGCCCATGGCAAGACTCACACACGCATTATGCTGGCTTCCAAAACCACAGCTAGGGCTACTATAAAGAGGGCTATAGGCATAGGAAATAAGGGGGATTGAAGGGAAGTTGTAGGGCTGCCCCGCACCATTGAGCTGCCGAACCGCAGCTGAGGCTATCCCACAAAAGGCAAATAAGAAAAGATGAGAAATTCAAATCGCACCATGTGGAAGGTGCGGTCTGTGAGGATGGCGACAGCGCCGCAGTCGTCGACGATGCGGCAGAAGTGTGGCAGCGTGTGCTGCAGCCGCGTCGGGTCGGGCGGGCACACCGGCACCGCCACGATGCGCGCAAACAGGCAGCCCCACATCGCCTTCACAAACTCGAGCCCTGCGTGCACATTAATCACACTCATGAGCGCTGCTGCACATCCTCAAGCCCTGCGCACACATTGTTCACACTCGTGAGCACTGCTGCACATCCTCAAGCCCTGCGCAATCAGTGGTCATGCTTAGAGCACTAGTGAAAAAACATATCCCACGCACTTTTGCCCAAAGAGCCTTGCTTAAGGATGTCCCATGCCAGTCCCTTGACTCACTAACCGCCCATGTATGTCCTGCTCCTAAAAGAGCATTCGCGTGCCTCTCCAAGATTTAACAAGCCAAAGATTGCTCTGTAATTAGACATGATCATCACAATCCTGCAGCACCCTCACAAGGGCAACAGTGAGAGTAAGGAGGAGGCACGTGTGTAAATTGTGCTATTTTGTGCTACTTTCCCCCTTCGTGTGTTGTGTTGAGTGCGCGTGCATAGATTAAGCAGCTCAGAAGCTTCAAATAAGCAATGGGTACACATATCTGAAAGGCACACACCGGGTGGGTACACCAGCACGACTCGGTCGCCGGGGCGCAGGCCGCAGGGGCCGAGCAGGTACGCCGCGACAGACTGGGCCGTGTGATATGCCCCGTAGCAGGTGATCATGTCGGCCACATTGCCCTGCGCGTCCAAATAGCGGTACACCGGCCAGTGCGGGTGCGTCTCAACATTCCTCCGCAGAGCGTCCACTATCCAGTTGCGGCCCTCCGCCGCCGGCGCGCGGCCGGACGTTGACGCCGCCTCTGCGCGGGGCACAAATTTGAATCCAAATTGGAACTGAAGAATGTCCCTAAGCAGGGCTCTGTACATTTAATACTGCCGTGCAGATTGCTTGCTTGACCACCCATTGAATTGTTCACAAAGCGATGTTGCCTGAGCCCTAGGTTAGGGCGAACTGCGAAGTGTGCACAGCGGTCAAAGTCAGCATGGACCAATGAAGCATGAGCCCGGGGATGGCATGGACTGTGCAATGTGCATACTGGTCTTCTGTGCAACCGCAAATTCGATGTTGAAATTGAAAACGGCATTGGCCGAAGATGCACGAGCCCTGGGAAAGCGTGGAGGACTGCAGCAGTCCTCACAATAAACACTTGGTGGGAAATCCCGGCCCCCTTTGGGCAGCTTGACAATACAAGCAACATTGCACATGCGGTGGAAGCTGTGCATAGTGAAGTGATGCAGGCAGCGTAGGGTGGGTGGGCAGAAGACTGAGGGCATGGCGCTCACCTTGAGAGCATGGCGAGTGAGCAGAGACCTTCGCTGCGCCCCTCCGGAAGAGCCTCAAGGCCTGCACAGGAATACCCATCAGCTCACTCCCTGCTCGCTACACACTCCACAGCTAATGCAAAACGGGGAAAGCATGTAGACGCATGGCCAGCACCCCAGGAAGGTGCCACAAAATCCATGGAGGATCGGCTGACCTTGCGTAGTTTTCTCGGCCCCTTGCCAGTGTCTGATGACCCATTGGCCAGGCAGCTGCTGCTGGCTGGAAGCTCTGGCGCTGGACTCATGAAGGGCTCAGCCCAATTGATTCACTAGCGCTGCCCAGTCAAGAATGCTTCTCCGGCCGCTGCATCTGCCTCGTTTTAAGCCTGCATGCAAAGCTGCTTCTCTCCTCTGCCTGCAGTCACAACGTCTCATGCTCAGCGCCTGGTGTACCTTCTCATGGTGCCATACTTTGCATGTGGTGCTCACAACTAGGGCTTCCCTGTTCATGAGAGAATGGACCCATGCATGGCCAGGCCTCTAACCAGAGAAGAACCCTGTCGAAAGTTGACACAATTATCCCTTACATGTTGTCTTAGAAGTGCAACATATAGGTCGATGTCCCTGCGGGGCCCCAGGGAGTGAAGTACAAAAACAGCCTGCTTTTTAAGTGTCCTCAACAAAAGCCCACAACGTCAAAGAAGCCTAGACACAGACGCAATGCACGCGTACTGTTTGCTGATCGGCAACAACAAGCGAATTGGGCAGAAAGGGCATCATCTTCTCCAGGCTGAGCACACAAGCTGCTGCATCAAGGAGGGGATCATCCCGTTTCTTATTTTAGGGCGAGTGCGCAGTGACTGCCTCTGGCCTATGTGAAGTGTGGAAGGCAACCACGACTGAATTCTTATAGCAACTCAACCCGAGAGTCGCCTCGAAAATGAGGTCGCTCGAGATACGACCACCAGCACCAGCTGCCCGGCTTCCAGCTTGCACTTTGTGGGAGGGGGGGGGTGGAAGCCAGGTCATAAACAGCACCGAGATCGTGGTAGAATTGCCTAACGATCAAATCGAAAAGATACACGATGACAGACAGAAATCGGCGGCTGACACTGCCGCGGACATAGGGCTCGTTCCGGCACGAACCAACTGATCCAAGTGGTTATCTCGTCATCAAGTCCCCAGCTTGTAGATGGGCCGATGTGACACTGAAGCGCTTTGGTTGTGGGAAAAAGTGACAGCTTAGGTCGTCCTTCTGGAAAAGCGTCCTCACCTCCGGGAACGGACACCGCCCTAAAGTCCAAAGTCCAGTCCCTCTCAAACGCGAGAAACTGAGCGCTCACAGTACTGCGAGACTGAGGAATCAATCGATCAATTTCTGAGCACAACGATCTCCCTACACGATGCTGACGCTGATCAGAGTGCACTAGCATTTCCGAGACGTCCTCAAGATTCCCTTCCAGTCCACAACGTGGCAAGGGTTCTTATATTGACTGGTTGATATTGCTCCAATGGTCTCAAATCCCCACTCGAATGAGGCAAACCCTGATTCTTTCGAGCTCAAGGCTGGCAAAGCTGCTCGTGCACTTTAGAGCCGTCTGTCGACGACCTTCGAGACTAACATCAATCATTGAACAGCATCCCAGAGCTGATCAGGTACCAAGAAACGCCACCTGCAGGGCTTCCCTTTTCGAGCATAGCTGTCTCAGGCCTCAGGCTGTAGCTATGACCGCGGAAAAGCCTTCCGAGAAGGCGCAAGTCCGCCTTCAAGGCGAATTTGCAACCCAATATGACATCGAGTTTAGAGACTTGCGGTTCTCTGTTCCCTCAAAGAAGGTCGGCAAGCCCCACACATTGATCCTGAAGGGGGTATCAGGCTATTGCCGAAGCTCTCGCTTGACGGCGATCATGGGTGCCAGTGGAGCAGGTGTGCCTGGGCTTTGTTTGGCATTGTTTCAGCCAGTTTCTCATGTTAACTTGCTCCTAATTGAGTGTCGTGCTGGGCATATTTCGGACTAACGCGCTAGGCACATGTCAACTTGAACTGACACGTTTTGTATTCTTTTGCGCAGGAAAGACAACTCTGGTGCGATGTCATTCTGATTTACATCATACTACCTCGCCGGGATTTGCATCTCTGCCCTCTTGTTCATATTGTCTTGCACTAGTATTACTCACTGATCTGGACCCATCTGCTCGACACTTCCCGCCCCAAGATTCCGTTTCTCTGCCTGTCGCAGCTGAACGCTTTGGCTGGCAAAGCACGAGGCAAGGGGACCGTCACGGGGCAGGTCCTGCTCAACGGCACGCCCTTCACAGAACGCGAGTTCAGGCACTGGGGAGTGTATGTCATGCAAGCTGAGCCCCTGTTGGCAACAGCAACGGTGTGTTTCTCCTTCACTTAATATCTGACGCCATCCCTCTGCCTGAATGTATTGCTGTCTCCCAGAATACACTTCTTCAGACCTGTAGCGTCCCCATGCAACAACTTGAGTCTGTTGAAGACCTTCTGGCATGGGCGAAGCAACATCATGTTTGGACTTGAACCTGTAAAGATGGAAGGTGGTTGGCGCAGGTCAAGGAGACCATTATGACCAGTGCTCTCCTGCGGCTGCCGCTGTCAATTCCCAGGAAGGAGAAGGTGCAGAGGGTTAATGACATCATCGCACAGCTGGTGAGGCAGACCATTTTAAACACCCCCGTTTTCTCTGATCCGCCCGCTTCTCCTTGATGAGCCCAGGCCTAAGTCTGTTACACATGAGATCACACTATGTCCAAAAAGCACTATCTAAGGAAGAGACAATAGTGCCCGAGCAGACAATGATGGGAAACGTGTTCAGTTAATAAACACCACCATGCATGCGCACACAGGTGCACTGATCAGAGCGTCCGGGGCTTAGATTTGTCCCAAGTTGTTCACATGTGATCCTTGCAAGATTGGGGGATATTTCAAGGGGATTACAGGGGGAATAATTCTCTCACTGCCCACCGTGCAAGTGCAGGGGCTCCAGCACTGCGCGGGGACGATGGTTGGGGACGAGGGAACCGGCACGGGCGTCCGGGGCATCAGGCAAGCAACTCTGCATCTTTTCTGGCACTACCTGTTTGCATGCGGGCATGCGATCGAGCATGCTTGCGAGCACATTCCTCACAGACACCAGAATTTTTGCGTTATCTTCTGCCTGCTTGCAAGGGATGCTGTCATTGTCACACTTCAGTCTCTTGGCTTTTTGTAGTCTGCATGGTCGAGAAGCTGTGGGACATCTAAACAGCCCTGAGCGTGCTAGCAGGGTGTTGGTTCAACTCCGTCTTAGGGAGTGAGCTCTTGTGTCGAGAAAGGTGCCCTCAAAGAGTCTAATCAAGTTTTTGAGTTGGCCCAGAATGGCTGTGTGATCATCAGCATGATGCCTGATGTAATCTCTCTTTGTGTATCACAGTGGTGGCGAGCGCAAGAGGGTGACTGTTGGAGTGGGCCTCGTGACTCAGCCCCATGTTCTGCTGCTAGATGAGCCCACCTCCGGCCTCGACTCAGAGACTGCTGTGTCCATCGTGGAGCTCATGCGTGAGCTGGCACGCCAGGTCAGCACATTACTCATCCCTTACTGATCAACAACCTGGTCAGCGCATGACACATCGCCTCACAAGAATTTGCATTGGGCCCACTGCTTCCAATCCGGATGTCCCTGTGATCCGCTTCACGGAAGGATAAGCCACTTCAATACACAATCCCGAAAATGAGACTTAGAGCTGCATGCATGTAAAGCCATCTGCAAGCAGTCTCCCGTCTGTCATGGGTCATCATTCCTGAATGATGCTCCAGCAGAATGCACCTCTAGGACCCTGCTGGTGGCTCCGTGTGCGTTGAATGCCGCCTGGTCGGTGCTTTCAAGCAAAGAGATATTATGCTGGACTGGCATGCCATCTTAGGTGGTGAATTAATAAATATTGTTTCCTGTGCGCAGGGCCGAACGGTTGTGACAACCATCCATCAGCCAAACTCCACAATCACAGACTGCTTCGATGATCTGCTGCTGCTGTCATACGGCCAGCTCATCTACATGGGCAAGTGGGCCAAGTCTGTCGATTACTTCAGCTCCCTAGGCTACAAGTGAGCCCCTGTCACAGCAGCTGGTTTTCCCCCTTGCTGTTGCCTCGCACTCATTTTACATGTCACACACCCTGCTGCTCTGGTCCCAGATGTAGTCAATTACATTGGCGCAGAGCAGATGCAAGATGTTGTTGATGATTGGGATCGATTGGTTTCGTTATGTCTGCTTCAATTTCATTCAGATGCCATAATGTTTGCTCACGTCTGTGTGGCTCTCTTTCCCAAATGCATCTTTTTAATAGCACATGGCCAGGCGCTAGCTCAGAGCTGCTTACATGCAGCAACCGCCTTCAATGTGCCACGCATCTCATTAGTAATGCTGACTGCTCTGCCGCAGGTGTCCGATGTATACCAACCCCTCAGATTACTACATGGGCCTCATGAAGGACGAGGAAGCTTCCCCCAAGCTGGTGGAGGTCTGGGAGAAGGCTGGAGATGAGTGGGTCACCACCCCACGCCTCACAGCGCCCCAGCAGCAAAGCTCCTTTACCAACAGTGCTCAGGTGTGAATTTCACTGGACCCCAAAGCCTGTGTGACCTCTAGGTGGGGCGTCATATCACATGCTATACATCAGGTATGCAAAGACAGGCCTGGCTCCGTCTGAGGGGCACTCAGTCATTTTGACTGTTGAAACACAAGAGATGGGCGGAAAGTCAACCTGCATTAGAGTGAGGTATACCTTTGCCACACTGGCACGCACGCCGCAGCTTCTCTCCATGCTTTGGCCTACAGCAAACCCAGCTGCATGTTTTTCGCCACTGGTGCAGACGATGCATATGTAGAGTATCTGGCAGAGAGCCAAGAAACGGGGCAGGATTAAATGAAAGGCATGCTTTCAGCCGGGTGACTGGGTGCATTGGCAGAGGTATGCCAGGATTTCATGATCACACTGGGTGAGCCATGAGCAATTAATACAATTGTGCTTGGTAGTCATGTCCTGGTGATGGGCATTGCGGACTGGGTAATGATGTTTATTCAGGGGGAGGAGCCTGTGAGCTCAAGTGGGCACGGTGCCCTGGAGAATGGTCACACCAACGGAGTCACCCCTGCAGCGGACATTGAGATGGGGTCGGTCCCTGGGGTGCACGAGAGGGTGAATGGGGAGCCTGCCTCGATTAGCGCAGATAAAAGCTCGGACGAGACATCGAAAACATCCTCAAAATCACCAGGTGATGCCCATTGGATTCCAGTAGCACCTTTTGCGTGTCACCAGGAGATAGCCTCTCAGGCTTCTGAACCAGTGCTTGCGGCTTTAGTCAGCTGCTCCCTCGTTGCACGCTCCACATCATACTTCCCTAGGGAAGAAGAAGATCAGCTTACATTATAGCTGCTCAGCCAGGAGAAAGTCAGCACATCCAGCGTTGTCACCATGATTGAGGTGGCATGCTGGGTGCACATGGGATATCCCTCTAATCTGGTTCTGACCTGAAACAACCAGGTACCCGCGGATGGCAACCAGGTACCCGCGGATGGCATCCTCCAGTAGTTTTGGTATTGACAGGCACGGTCATGCATGCAGGCGGGGAGGGTAAGGGGGTTGCGAAGGGGTCAAAGAGGGGCGTGGTGCGATCGAGGAGCCTGCAGCCGCCGGCGTGGTACCAGGTGTGGGTGCTGGCGATTCGCAATTGCCAGTTCTATGCGCGCAACCCCGAGCTCATGCTCGCCAAGCTCTTCACCTACATCTTCATGGGCGGCTTCATGGGTGCGCGGCCTGTGCTTGCTTAGCAGTATTAGTCAGTAACATCACATGCCATTCCTGCCACGAGACAAGGTGCATGAGCATTCTTGGGCGGTTTCATTGGTGCGCCATAACCCTGATAACATTCCCTCAATAAAAACCTAGAAGCCCCACGTTCGCAAGATGCTTCACTGCTAGAGCTCCCTTTTCAAGGGCAATTTCTGCTGTTTCTCTGCAGCTGCCTGTCCCCTGCTCTGACGCGTGCTGCTCATTTGCGCAATGAAGCCTGCCAAAACATCTTTTCAATTGGTCATTGGGACTTAAGCTTGTGCTTGAATGCGCATGATGCACTTGAACTTGTCTGTCTAATTTGGCTTTGGTCCCCAGCCTGCATGGGCTCTCTGATCTGTCATGAAATTTTTGATCAGAAAGCCCTACGGATCAATCTTAACTCTAAGTTCAATTTCAGATTTGAAATCAAATTTCAAAATATGAAGTCAAATGCTTGAATAATATGCAGGGCTGATGTACCTGCGGCTGCCGCTGGACACTGCAACGGCAGGCTACAACCGGTCGGCAGCGCTGTGGATATCCATGTTTGCATTCACGCTCATGCCCTCCGAGACCGCCTGCTCCGTCTGGAACCAGGAACGCGCCGTGGTGAGGCGTCCCCTCCCCCTTGAATTTTGACTGTGATGCACCTTTGTATGCAAGGCAATGACGCTTCCCAAGCATGGATGTCGGTTTAAAGTAGACAAACAGTAGCTGTGGAAATAGTTACGCGGTTTCTGTCTTTCATGCCTCTGCAATGGACAGGAGAAGGATGCATGTATGGAGGCTCTGGCTGTGCTTGTGCCCTGTCCGTTTGGCACAGCCAAGCGCTGAATTGCCTCTGCTACATCAGCAAGTCTGCCTCCGCCAGTGGTTATGTCGTGGTGACATCAGCGCTTGTGCATGCATGCAGATCACGAAGGAGGTGAAGTCGGGGCAGTACCGGCTGTCTTCTTTCTTCCTGGCCAAGACCGTGGTCAGCGTTCCCTTTGAGACAGTCATCGCCATCATCTTCACTGTCATCATCTACCATATGATCGGCTTCCAGGTGCGCCAGCCAGCGTTCTCAAGACATTTCGGAAAAGTAAAAAAATGTCTAATATTTGAAGGGGAAAAAAGGTACTCTCCCAAGGAACTTAAGGGATTGCTCCACGCTGGCAAGCATGTGAAGGCGTGGCTCCTGGGTCCTGTTATATGCAACTGAAATAAGTGAAACCTCGCTATGCTTTGGAATGAATTTCCATGGTCTGCCCAGTCACTCAAATTCTGGCTCCTGGGGCCTGAGTTTTCAGAGCTGATGAGCTCTGTAATTTGTTTTCTGTGGCCCTGGCTCAATGACATGACATCTTATTTTGAGTGCACCCGCCCGCAGCAGAAGCATGCAATTTTCTGGCAGGATGACCTTGAATATTGGCTGGAAGTGATGGGACTGACTTGTTTGACTGGTCAGGCCAAGCTGGACAAATACCTCATCTTCATGGTCACCCTCATCTTAGTCAACCTCATCTCTGAAATGGTCGGCTTCATCGGCGGTGTCGTCACCAAGGTCAGCAGCCAACCTGCCCTTACCTAATCAACATCAGGAAATTTGGGTGAAACCAAGATCCTTTCTCTGGTAATAAAGCAGCGACCGAGCCTTTTCACAGACTGCTGTGCTGTGTCTTCACCATGCCATTGTGCTTGACTGATGCAAATCTGCATCATTGGAGCCCAAGCAGTTGCTGTGGGGAGCCACCAATTGCATGCAATCCGGCATCTTTACTTGTCTGCAGTGGATCTCCCTGTCTTGTGACATGCACTGGTGGAGCTTTTTGGGTGGCAGCTTGTCCTGTGCATGGGGCAGGGGGTACTATGTCTGACAGCAGAAATAATAAAATATATCAAGATGTAGTACTCCCTGCATGGGCCGTGCCAATAAATGACTTGCATCTGTTCCATGCGTGCAGGAGGTCACCATCGGGCTGATCCTGATATCTGTGGTGACCTATTTCTGCTTTGCCTTCTCTGGCTTCATTGTGCAGCCCATCCCCAAGTACTTTGTCTGGCTGCACAAGATCTCCTACTACTCCCTCGCCTACACCATCCTGGTCAAAAACGAGTTCACCGGCCTCAACATCCTGTGCGCCCCTTTTCTCTATTCCCTCTCAACCTTCATTCTTGCAGATAGTGCTTGTTGAAATTACCTAACGTAATCTCTTAATGTCCTGTCCTGCAAGCAGCTCTGGAACTTCCTGCTGAATGCCATGCATGGGTCCTGTGATAGTGATTCTGGTGTCTGAATGCTTTTCAGATCGTGCTCAAGTGCCAGCTTTAGAGATCCTAGCAGTTTTAAACAGGCACTTCTTTTTATAGCGCACACCAAAATGCCCCTGTACTCTTGAAGCACCATAGAGTTATGGTTCTCTCCAGGGTCAATGCTTGAAACAGATGAGATTTTGCTGAAGGCACCTGTGTGGGGTGTCCTGCAGGAGCCCCCTAGACGCGGTGTGCTCAGCAGAGCTCAACTTCATCCCGCCGCCGCCGGCCAACACTTACACAATCGCCCAGAACATTGGTTTCCTGGCGCTTGTGGCTGTGGGCATCCGAGTGGTGGCTTTCGCGTTTCTCTGGTTCTCTTTTGCCACATTCCGTCTGCCTAAGTTCCTGCAGAAGCCCTGCGCCTCAATCAAGAAAGCCTTTGCTTTCCTGTTCTGCTGAGCATTGAAGGGGAGGATTCTGCCAGAGTGATGGGCTTGATTGCCTTGCTGGGGAAGCACGCCTTCGCGATCTTCTTCGGCTGAGAGTGAGCGGGATATCAAAGCCGACACTGGCAGCAACAAGGCAGGAGTTTGCAAGCAAAGCTGCAAGAATGGGCTTGGTGGCTTTGGAGTGCGAGGAGGCCTTTGCCTTCTTGTTCTGCTGAGCAGAACATTGAAGCTCACAACTGCAGTATCAAGGCAATAGTGCGCGCCAATTGCGTCCCCACAGCTGTGAAAATGGGACAGATTACCCGTCTAGGAATAAATGACGGCGCTACAAGAAATGCTCAATGTCGTCAAGCTATGGCAAGATGGACACCTTTTTTTGTGAAAGCTGAGAACCCTTGACGCTGCCAGGCATGCAGATGTCTCTGGGTCTCTGGAAGTAATACTGAAATTGAAGTGTGTGCTGGTATTTCATCGAAGTGTTGCGTGTGCTGCGAGCAGCCCATTACAGCTGTGCAGCAGCATCAAATCTTGTCTTTGAAGTGTCATGCTGGCTACATAATGTTCCAGACAGTCAATAAGAACAGGCAAATTTTTGCGCAGATCCAGGTTGATGATTTCTAGAAATCAGAAGAATTGTTGAGGTTCTCTTCAAGACATGTCCAATCAGTCTAGAGTATCTCTCTGAGAGTAATACTGGTAGTGGGAGAAAGTCTGTCAGATACAACACCCGTGAAAATTTAGCAAAGAGTGTGCTGCATGCATGCAAGAATTGTGCAGAGCTGTGCCATTATTTACGGCTTGCATTTAAGTTGCTTCAAGACACATTCTCAAAATGCACCTGACCTCAAGGATACTGCTTTTCCATTCAGTGGTATACAGCACATTTTGATGACTTCAGGTTGGGCGTGATAGCTTAGATCTATAGATTACGTCTTTCAATTTGTTGAAAAGTAAAAGACCTGGGAGCATGCAGTTGGTCAACTCTTCCATTATGCGTTCTGCACTGCATCACCTAACCAGTCATGCTCATGTGTTGATAAATCAGCCGAACTGAATCTACAAGGTACTTGACTGTGTCTCGACTACTTTGCATCTGATACTTCAAGAGAGTGTTCTGCTCAGCTTCCGCAGGGGTTCCCCTGGTTGCCAGAAGGGTTGCACACACTTGAAACCAGCGTCGCACGCGCCACTGCAGCCAGCAACATAATAGGGGTCTCAGATCCCACACATCTACTTTCTTGCGCAGGCATTATTATTATTATTATTATTATTATTATTATTATTATTATTACATGGTCGGCAAACCCAAAGCCAGAGGCCATACGGCAACGCAGGGCGTCTGCAGCCACATCTGCGGGGCCTACAGTAGTCTGCAGCCTATCATAAAGCATAAAGCATTATAGGGGCAACAAGAGCCCCGGCATCGTGGATGGCTCTAAGATCATTTACATCATGGAAAAGAGCGGCATAGAATTAAGCAGGAAGAGCAGTGAATGGGTGGTGAAGAAAGGGTGGCGCACCGCAATTTATGGACCCTTGGTCCCAATCAATGATGTCTGCACTGTTGATCACTGCCGAATTGCAGGGGCAGCTCTGCAGCAAGACACGACAGAGCATCAGAGGCTTGCCTGAATCAGTAAGACATGGATCATAATATGACACCACGGTGTTGCAAGGAGCCCATGGGACTCGACCACTCACATTGTTGATAAAGTCCAAAGCATCTGAACAGCACCTGCGCATTCACTCCAATTGTCAACATCTATTCAATTTCAGGGCAAGCAGAAAACAATACAGTTTAAACGCTCCAGTGGCAATGCGAAAGTCAGTTCTCCCTCTCTTCGACCTTTGCTGAAAGTAGAGAAAGTGTTTAATGGATTGAGCGACAGGGATCACGCTCACTGTGAGGAAGGCTGCGGTGACTGCTTGACTACATCCTTGAATCCTTGCCCTTGCAAGCTGCATTGCGAGTTGCCCACAAAGTAGTCCACAAAGGCCGCACATGCCCCTCTCCGCAGCTGCTGTCCTTTAGTGACACAGCTGGCTGCACACCATGCAAGTGGGTTAGCGCCAGGGTTAGTTCTTCTGATGCCATCTGGTTGGGCACGAGAGACCTAGGCTGGTGGCTGGGAGCTTCTTTGGTCTCACACTGGGCCACCCGGATGCAAATGGGAAGAAAACGGGGCTGGAAAGCTGTGCAAATGCAGCTTAATGCTTCCAGTGCATCTCCGTTCTTCTCAGGCAAAAGTGGTGTGTAGAAAATGGTTTGAAGAGGGGCACACGTGGAGGAAGGACTCCGCTAAGTCTGCTGTTGCCGCCCCCAATCAGCTGTCCCTCTGCTGCTAAGCCCCAAAGAAGCCCAAGGAGGAGGAAGCACCTCGTGGCCATGATCTATCTGGTCACGATCAGCTCCACAGGTTGTGTTAATGCTTTTCTCACAAGCTGCTCCTCATCTCCTTCAGCCACAGCCCTCTGCAAAGGTGCAGAAGCTTAGCAAACAACACTTAACATTCAATCTCTCGAAGCAGGTTGCAAGAAGCTGCTCTTCGCACATCCCAAATACAATTATTCAATGCCTCAACTTGCACAGCAAGATAAGTGGAAGTCGAAACTCTACAGAGTGATGCCTGGCGATCCCAGCCTAGACATCTCTTAAGGCAACGTATTTCATTGCCTAGTATATGCTTGAAAGAGAGCATGTGAAGGTGCATTCCAACAGAGTACGCTTGAAATGACAAGTGTAGCAAAAGCGTACCTGATCGTCAGATGTTAGGGACGTGTAACGGAACTCTCCTAGCGAAAGGTCGCAATCGCGGTGATCACACGTTCAGATCTTTATCACTTCGTCCAGCTAAGTTTTGTATCTTTGCGCTTTACCCCTGACCTGTACCGGATGTTGCCAGATTCTTGATCTCAAGAGACGTTACCTGGCAACCCCTCGCGGAACCCAATTAGAACATTGGAATTCTATATCGGGACACCTGCCCTTTGGCCCTTTGATCTGCCGCCACCTGGTCCGGGATCCTGGACTTGATCTGTAATCCACCTTGCTAGGTCTCGGATCCAGAATTCTCAATACAGCGTAGGTCACTTTGATGAGAAGGTAGGTCCCCCATGCAGGGCCAATACATGCACATGCATCACCAGACCAGGCCTGCTTACCTATCTGTGAGACCTCAGTGAGACCTCAGTGAGACCTGTATGCTTTCATGCAGGTACTGTGAGGGATCATGCTCATGCCGCAATGGCGGCCAGCTTGCAACCATCCCATGGTTATGATGATCGCCCATAGGACAGTTGTCTATTCACACTGCCATCAGCTGTTACAGGACCGCATTTGATATTGCACCTAGTGCAGCCTGTGGGACAGAGATTTGAACCAATGTTTTCTTAAGCAGGCACATGCCAAGCACTCTGGAAGACTGGGTCAAAAGTGCTCTCCAAACCAGTCAGAAGGGCCTCTGCGGTGGCATTGCAAGCCGCATTGCCACAAGCATCAGGCAGCCCAACCTGTTGACCGTCTACAGATTGACTCAAGATTGGCTCGGAGCCATTAGCTGAGCATAAGAGTATCACAGCGGCCGCCACAGCAGATTTGACGACCTGAGATCAAATCAATTTTGACACAAGCTTCAAGCGTAAGTGAGGTCCCATTCGATTTACCGCACTGGAATCTTGCCCTATGTGCCCTCCCTCCAAAACTGGAATTTATACGGCATCTGTCCTTCTGCAGGATAGATTACACCCCCTCCTTCTAAGATCACTGCCTCCTACACAGTACATTGTACAAGTCCTTCAGCACCCTCAATAAAATATTTCAACCATCCTCTGCTGCTGTTTCAGCATTGCATCTGTCAACCTATGGGCGCAGCTTGAGCGAACGATGCAGCACCAGGAACTGCAGTAGATGTACAGTCTTGAATCCCACCGACTGCACTGGAGCTCACATGTTTGCTGTGCAAGTTAGTGTCCCCTTATCTAGGGGCTCTGCTGGTCTTTATTGCCTTAAAGGAGGTATATATTCGGTTCTTATCTAGGGGCACTGCTTGCGTCCTTCGGGAGCAATCAACCGTCAACAGTGATGAGACGCGGCGTCTGTGCAGCAGGCACCCCAGAGTCACAGGGGTTGTTGATGGGGGAGTTAGCTGCGCAGGATGACAGCTGCACCGCCCGCGCCACTGCACAGCCAAGAGCACAGTCAAACTTGCCCGTAGCACAGGGTCTTAATGATGCCTGGACACACGCCCCAGGCAAAGCTGACTCACTATTGTATTGAGGAAAATGACGGGAAATCGAGGAGAAGAGAAGGCTCTGACAGGGTATTCTGAAGCCAACTGGGCCGCCACACTACAATTCCCATTACATGATCAGATGCTTTCTGGCACCGAATTAAGAGGTGAAGGCATGTAGCAACTTTACGAAGCAGAGCGGCACAGAGATTGACATACCCACGGCAAGGGTCTTTGCTGTGAAGCCTCGCTGTGCCGCCACGTATGACACAAACATGCTGTTGCAGGAGCAACCCTGCGCCACCAAACCCGTCAGCGCTCACCCTGGATGCTGCAAAGTGAAGCCACATAAACCTTGCCAGGTGTCGCCTTTGTGACTGTTTGACCACCTCATCTGGCATGCACTGCCCAATAGAGGGCAGTACAAGACAAGCATGAGAGATTGATGTCAGCTTCTGCTACAAGAAGAGCTAGGTGCGCAATGTTTTGCCTATGTCGGAGTGCCCACCTTGTTCACAAATGCTGTGGCATCTGAACAGCACCTGCAGTGCAGCACCAACCATGTCAGCTTCCCAAACTCTAGCATTGACCAGTGCACAATTAAACCAGTCAGCATCCTCTAGGGATGAGCCTGGGTACAGGAAAAATTTGGTCCTGAGAATCAAGAAATGTGTGGAAGGATGACTCACTGTGCACTTGGTGAGGGCGTCTGTCTGATGTATTGCTGGAGGGCGGAGTTTGGCTTGTCATAGTAGTACTCGTTGCTGTCTTTTACATACTGCACAAAGCCGGAGCAGGCCTCGTTTATGAGAGCATCTCCCAGATCAGCACAGCCTGCACCACCACGTTCATCTGTTAGCTCGCTGACTCCTTTGGCAAGTAACTGCACGACGATAGATACAGACAACAATGAAAGTTAGCCGTGCCGTTCTTTGACTGGCTTGAAGAGCAGTAAAAAGGAGTTCAAAGACGCTCACCTCTGCCGAATTGTGCATGGGCGTGATGCAGCACCAGCAGAGTGGAGAGTGCGAAGAAGGCTAATTTCATGATCTACCACTGCTGGTGCGATTTGGCCAACAACCTGCAGGGAAGAAGCAATTGCTAAGGTTTTCACATTGTGGTGTAATCTATCGTTTTGGAGGCCTATTTGGCTACCATGCTGACGCCACTGCACTAAGTGTACCAATGGCTGGTACTGCAGGACGATGGCCAGACCCACATCATTGCCGAGCCTCCCGCAGACATTCTGAACCTTCACTTGATTAAACAACCAAATGATCATTTGATAGATAGCTGATCGCAAGCGTCAGTGATTTAACGCAAAGTTCGCGTGAGACTTCGTCATCCGAGTAGTTGTCAGGATGTCCCGACGGCACACCCTCTTGTCTTCTACAGCCCATCACAGGAGCAATCGTAAATGCGTGTACTGCTGTATGTTGTCGTTGGGTACGAGTTACACTACATCTAGGTTCCGGAGTAACGTCAGGCGAAAGGTTGGACTTCACACCTGGTGTTTCGCCACAAGACGATGATCAGCCCACACAACGCGCACTAATGGCAATGCACTGAATTTTCCTCGCGGAAGGCAAGTCTGGCATACAACGGAGATGTGTTGGAGGTCATCTGTCAAGATGTGACGAGGGGTCCGTCGCTAACAGGCTGTCGGAAAGTTCGATGTCCACCTGTCAGTCGAGGGTTCTCATATCTAGGGGTGGTGAAGGAGGGTGTGCAGCAGTAGGCTGGCGGCTTCTATGATTTCTCAGTCTGGTGTGAGAGTACCCCTTGTTGCTAAAGCCAGTCGTCTGCCGTACAGGCTGTCTATACAGCATGGCGGATCAGGTGAGCTCGCACGCTTCCTTTTAGCCTGAAGGAGCTTCGTTCATCCGAATTGGAGATGGTTATAGAATATTTACTTTTGCAATTATGATTCCTAGACTGAATAATATGTTTTGATTACACAGACGGAGAGGGCGTTCCAGAAGCAACTGGGAGTGAACATCGGGTGAGCAGCAGCGCTTTGCATCTCCTTACTTTCAGCCTTCTGAAGGAGTTTCGGGGGGCACAGCGCATGATCCTGCGATGTCTTGAGTAGACAATGCCAAAACAGCACCGAGCCGCAAAGCCTTGGCACATTCTCATCAGGATCAAGCAGCAACTGAGCAGTCAGAACTGTTCAGCTGCTCTGATTCGTCTTGAGCTCTGCCCAAGCTTTGCAAATCTGGTTGGGATGTCACTCAAAGAATATTCTCTGCGCGTGCAGGTTCAAGAAGGCAGCTAAGAAGATTCCAGGAAAGTTTGGCCAGAGGTACTGGAAGAACGTTGGCCTGGGTTTCAAGACCCCCAAGGAGGCCATTGAGGGTAAGTCCCACCACTTACCTCTGCACGGGGCGCAGCAGCTTTTTTATCAAAGCAGTTGTTAAGGATCTAATTCTTGCTATGGAAGAGCATTATCAGGCTAAGCACTGCTGAAGTCCTGAGGCAATTTTTTATGGCTGTGCAGGCACCTACATTGACAAGAAGTGCCCATTCACTGGCAATGTGTCCATCCGTGGCCGCATCCTTTCAGGTGAGCTGTGCCTCGCTTGGTGTACTGGGAGCTTCGTTTCGTGAAGCCAGAATGCCGATCACCTTTTCTTTGGTTGTAAGCCCAGCAGTCGTAACCCATTGGCTGCTGCCGATGTGCAATAAATCTGTAAGAACTGCTCTCTTCGCTGTAACCCATCGCTCACTTTGATGCCTTTGTTACAGGCATTGTCAGGTCTACAAAGATGAACAGGACGATCATCGTGAGGAGGAACTATGCCCACTACATCAAGAAGTATGCTCGGTGCGTGGGAGAAGTATGCTCACTGCGGCCTTTCTTGAGTATCCATGCGGGGCTGGAACCTTACTTCAGCCTCCTCCTTGATAGCTTGAAACCAACACGTCAAAAATTCGATGGACATATTCTGCATGGAAGGACTGAGACAGACTGTGGGTCAGATTGGCTGCCAAATTGACGTTATCTGCCATGCATGTGCAGGTATGAGAAGAGGCACACCAACATCGCAGTGCACCTCTCGCCCTGCTTCAGAGTGCACGACGGCGACACAGTCATCTTTGGACAGTGCAGGTGCTTACCGCTCTCCACATGAGATTTTCGAAAAAGTTCTTGATTCTGTGAAAAGAGACTGGCACATGATGTTTTGCACCTGCTTGAGAGGCCACCACTGTTGGCCCTAGTGCACTCCTGGCAGCCTCTGCAGGGCAGGATGCACCACCAATGTAATGTATGTGGATTCCTCTGAACTGTAGGGGTGTTCTATCAGGTTGATCTGCCCGATTTGGGCTCACACTCATGGCCACAGCTTAGATGACTCCTTAGTGTTGAATGGTATAATGTGATGTGGCGACAAGGGGACTGCTGTGCTGATGTTTGTTGTGGTGTTTGCAGGCCGCTGTCAAAGACTGTGCGCTTCAATGTGCTGCGTGTCATCCCCGCCGGATCTTCCTCCAAGAAGGGATTCACCGGTTTCTGAGCGGCTGGCTCCGCGCTAACGCAGAAGGTTCACAGCAGCACTTTGATATCTCCCAGCCAAGGGCTGCTTCTGCTTGTGTTGGATCCCTGGAGGGACTGAGGCGACCAGCATGCTTGCAGGCAGAATTGTAGCAAAAAGTGCATGTGTGTGTTAGTGCTATGTGGGACAGAAGGGCCTGCTGTGCACAGATTTACTTTGAACTGTGTACCCTCGTCATATTGCCGGAGTTCAGTGCTTTGTAAAGCTGCAACGGGAACGGTCGGACAGGGCGTCGCCAATGCTTACATGCCTGCGATTTTGCATGGCTTGATCATTGCATGAAGTTCATGCATATGCCATGAATAGTACTTAGCAACCTCTCAGGCTGTCATACCTGGCACGATACCAAAAGCCCTTTGTCACATCTGGTGTTGGCACAACCATGCTCGGAGCCCTACCACTTATGAAATAGCCCTTTTTTGACATCTTAGTACAAACACAAGTTTGCGCAAAATACATTGACGGCTCGCTGAGAGCTCTGGCAGTCCAAGTCTGCTGGCATTCACACTCTCCCAATCCGCGAGCATGAGCAACTCTTGGTCAACCACTGCATATATGCTGAAGTCGGCCGCGTCCAGTAGAATTTTCACACCACGTATACTGGCAATATTAGTCAAAAGAAGGAAAAGGTCCACAAGCTTCAGGAACTACTCCTCACATAGTGATTCAAAGCGTGCCGTCATGCATGCAACACAGAGAAGTGCTCTAGCTGTCGCTGCTGCCAAGCTTGTGGCCGGGTCCCTTGCCAATCCAGTTGTCCCGGTGTGCTGCCGCAGTGACGTGGCCGCCAACTGCGCCTGCGTCAGTCACTAAAAGTAGTATCAATACACGCTCGATTCTCACGCCTAAATGCGTTGCAGCAATAAGTACTCTCCATTATTCCCTTCCAGCCTTCCCTGTCTTCGCATTTTCTCCTTCCTTTTGGCACTCGCTCTGCTTTAATGTCAGCGTATACCATTTTCTCTAATTTTCTCGACCAATGGCATTTCAATCCCATGGAAGCAAGGTCATCCCTAACGCAATTACTAGCCCAGGTATTGACAGGCCTGCCTTTTCTCCCAGATCCGCGTCAGTCGTTCAGTCACAATACTCCGGTTCCGGCCAGCTCTGGGCTGATCCAATGTCTGACTCCTGTTCGTAGAGTCCGCACCCAATATATAACATGAATTCTTGAAGAACTTTGGCGACACCAAGATGATCATCCTACCACAAAAGGTGTATGACAGAAGGACACTAGAACAGTCTCAATCTCTATCTCAACACTATTCCAGTCAAAGTCTCGCAACATGGGGAGCGTACTTGAAGCTCTCTGTCCCCACACCATCCCCATGCCGTCCTGCTGCCCCTCCCCGCGAAGCTGCCCAAAATTGGGCCGTGTGCCCGGTTGGGCCCTGCTGCTGCCTGACTGGGCAGCCGGCCTGCCCGCTGGCGGCGCTGCCTGCCCAGAGCCGCCCTGCTGCAGGAACGCTGGCAGCTGGAAGCTTCCTCCCTGCTGGCCCCCCGCTGCCGCCGGGGGATGCCCGTCACCTGCAGACACCAGGAAAGGGACTGATGAGCATGTGTGGCCCCATTCTCTCCCCATCAGCTGGCAGGCTGCATATGCTTACACATACACATGCATCGCTGCCATATGGGCTGATTCATGCGTGGAAATAGGGATAAGGGGTGAGGTCCTGCCCCTCAATCTACTGCAGCCAGCGGCACTCCTGCGCTGTGGCACTTGTCAATGAATGGTCAAGACTACTATAGCCCTTTCACATAACAGCGAGCCTGGGGAGGAAGAGGATGCTCACCCTGCGATTGGTAGAGCTTGTAGGCAACCCAAACAGCATTGCCGATGAGGAATCCCTTCAGCCCCAGGAACAAGGTTGCTGCCAAGAGAACGGCCAGGTGCTTGGACCGGTAGTGAGTACCAAAGATGCTCAGCCCTGGCAGGCCAAACAAGGACTGCTCTGGAGGCTCGGGCGCCAGCGCCACAGGCGACGCACTGAAATCGAAAGCTCCAGCACCTGCAGTGTTAGATCTCCCATCAAAACCTTGAGCCTGCCAGCAACAGGAATAACAAAGCTCTGCACGCACCCACCTGCATGCAGGCCTTTTCAATGCATTGCACGCTGCCCCATCCTGGCTCTAAGAAGCCAAGCGCACCCTGTTGATGTCTCTGTGGCCTTTGGCCATGTGAAGGAATGGGAGCGACGTTGGTGTGTGCTGGCTGCCTTTGGCTCGCCTGACTTGGACTGGCATCGTCTACTCTCACGATCTCTCCATCTACGATCCTAGTTCTTGCAGGGCCCTGCGCAACCGAGGCACATTCAGGTGTATGGCAGTGACAGCAAGATCGTTGCCAATCCTTTTCCTTGTTCTGGCATTTTAATCTGACTTCCTTCGTCTTGGTGCCGCATAAAAAACATAGAATAAAGACATGTACATACCATGATCCTGCACGTTTGTCAAGTCCAAAGTCCACTTTTTACTGCCAGAAACCTTGTCTCAAGATGTCGTGTTGTGAGGTGGTTCCACGATCCAGGCTCTTCTCCGATCTGATCTCTGATTAGTGCACGAGTCCGCGCAGAAGCTAGTGTCAGGAATTGGTCCTCGAGGATCCAAGACTGGACTCGGATCTGGCAAAGAGTCCAGTCAACCCTCCATCCCATGCAAAAGGCTTGGCTTCAACTCAGATGCTATCCAGAAAAGGTCCTGTGCAATCAATTTTGCGCCTTCCACTTTCTTTGTAAGAAACGGTAGGTGTCCTGAAAGTCCCTTGAAGATGTGGCATTGAAACGGCATTGTACCAACATTGCTGGCAGCCCAATTGGAAGTGGATGTACATGCGTGCATTGAGAACCACATGATGGGCACAATCTTTGCTGACATACGGAATGGATATCCCAGCAGAAACAAAACATATGTTACATCAGGAATTCAGCAACTTAAGGGTGGGACACAGCGACTTCCTTATACCAAGCAGGGTTGCTGTGTCATGCCTGTGTAATGCGTTCCAGCAGCAAGCAGGTCTGCATCACTCATCCTTCTGGCACATTTCAGATGCGATTCAAACTATCGGTGCGCTACGACCTACTGCCTAACATAAGATGACTGCGAAAACGTGGTGCAATCCTCGCCATAATTTGACAAGATCCCAGCACTTGTATGTACCGCAGCAAGCTTGGAAGTCTCTGTTAGCGCGACAGCATCAATGCAGCTGCACACTCTCTAGACAAGTCTGCGCGCTTACTTCTTGCCCTATCTGTAAAAAAGTGGTGTGCTCAGGTTGCGGCCTCCCTGGCAGCAGTCAAGCTCCCCCAATACGGCACTTTCTGGGCTGCCTCTAAACTGGGCTGCAAAACTCCTTAGACACAGGCGGTGTACTTCAAAAGAACAAATCGTACTTCCTCCTTGATGACGTCATACAGTCAAGCAAGGCCCAGGCCCGCAGCACCCACAAGACTGCAGCAGCTGCGGCGCCGCTCTCAAGTGGTGTTTGTTATAAGGATTCTGCCTTGCATGGCTGGCACCCCTTCATATAGAACTCCTGTCAGCTGGCCATCAGGCTAGCTGGTGGGCAGACTTCCCAGCATTCCAGGCAAATAAGAGCAAACAAAGGAGCTTGCGAGTCGAGACGCCTCTCTCACTGGAAGACCGGGGCCCGCCACCTCCAAAAGATGAAGTTTCTCAACAGATTGAACAGCTTCTCAGTCTTCCCTGCCCATCTTCTGCCCATACTTTTCTGATAGCAGCCATAATGGCAGAGGGCAGCAAGTCTCCATCAGCCAGTGTTGCGCAAACAAAAACCCTTTGCCAGCTTCAATCGGCTGCTGGGCGACTTGTGCCAATGGACAAAAAAAGGAGCACTGCCTTACCCCACATGGGGAGATGGCAAATGGTGCTCCACATACCCTTCCAAGATCACTTATTCCTCTTGCATTGCGGTTGTGCACAAGATAATCTTGCCTGCTTGCCATTCTTTCTTCACACTTAATTTCTGCCTTGTAGGACTGGGGGGGCAGGCACGCCCCTTGCCAGGGGTTCAAGTTCTGCAGCCGTGTGCCTGCATGCCCCGGCAGGTGACGGGGCAGCCTCCCTGTAACCTCGCTTGAATGGTACTCATTGATGATAAATCTTGCCGGCTGCCGCTCTGATGCTAACGAGCCTGCCAGTTTCCGCCTTCCAAGGGCGCAACACGTCTCATCTGCTGTCTCAGCCGCCCAGCCACTGCTGCCTATTGGATGCCCTTGGATGTCTTGCTGTGGAGGTTGCGCGTTTCTGGGCACAGGCTAGCAATGTTGGTGGGCTCCAGTGCAGCGCCAACCTCCTCAGGTTGGTGGCATCTGCAAGCCAAACGTTATTAAAAACACTTGCACATGCATGTCACTTAGGCACTGTCTTTGGTCATGCCTCGAGCATCACAAGCTGGTGCTTGGTGGCTGCGCACAGACTAACACCAGCATGCGCGTATCGACCGAGTCACATGTGCAGCCACCTGTGCCCGAGCCATCTTGACCCTGCTAATGCAGGCCAACTAGCCACCCAGCAAGCACCCTCAACATCTCACGAGTGATGCTCACTCAATCCACAGGAAATAACACCACAGCATACCTCCTCCTCCATCCTTGGTGCCCCACATGCCACATCCAGCAACAAGAACTGATCCACAAAATCCCTGATGGGTGTCAGCCTGAGCTGCTAAAAGTGAAGGCACCTAATCAGTCGGCCCCATTCCAGCGAAGAAATTGCACGCCCAGGCCCTGATCTCTACGCATCATTTTGTGTCTCCCAAAGGAGGATGTATGGAGAACATATAACGGCTGAGCAGGAGACCAATGGTATCTAATCTATAATTATTAAAGCGTCCGAGGCGGCACCTGGAGGGGGATGTCGAGTTGGGCCGGGTGGGAGACGGCGGAGGCGAGCAGGCGCCAGACGTAAGCCTGCTGCTGCTCCAGGCTGTCCAGCGCGCACCACTCGTAGTAGGGGATGCTGCGCACCACGTGGCCGCGCGCTTCCACCATCAGCTTGCGCGCCACCGTGCGGCCCAGCGGCCGCCGCGAGTTCACGCTGAAGTGCGTCGGCCCGTCCACCTCTATCACCACCTGCGTGCCATTTGTCATGCTTTCAACGGGCAGCTTCTTGGACAATATGTTACAAACCCTACAGCGCCGTGTGATGCCATCTCATCCCTGAGATGGGTTGCACGATAACAGGGCTTGGGCAGAAACACCAGCGAGCCGCATAGTGATACATAAAGGAGTCCAAGATGCATGTTTCAATTAACTCTGTGCCATATCCAAGCATCACCGTTGCAAAGAGACCTTGCGTTCCACTGCACTGTGAGCATCAGCTTCCACAACACAGGGGGGGCGATTTGACACAGCATATACGCAGGGATGCGCAGGTAGGCCTGGTGCATGTCTGCAATCACTTCAAGATTTGTAAAAGGTCCCCACCTTGCCGCCTTCGAGGGCAATGTCGACGCAGAAGAGGCCGTCCGCGGTGACCTCGTTCGTCTTGTGCGCGACGCCGAGCGACCAGAGCACGGCCGACACGTCCTCCTGCAGCTTGCTCGTGCGCGCCAGCGGGTGCACGCCTGCGCGCCACACGCGCTCTGCCCGCCGTGCCAGCCCCTCGGGGAACTTCTCCGACAGCGAGCTGCTCGGCAGCCGCAGCCCTGCGCATGCAGAATAGTGAGGTCATCTCCCTGATGATGTCCTGTAATACTTGTACTCCACTGGACCCCAAGGCACCAGCGTGACCTGCTCAAAATGGAAACACCTAGTAGAAATAAGTAAATTGGTCGTGGCAATCAGGTGTCTGGCCCGCGCAGGAAGATCCCAAGTGATGTGGGTAGTCAAGGAGACGCAGTAGCACCAGGCTGAACAGATGCTGCATCATGTTTTTCTGTGCCTCATAGAATTACCAATGTATGTCCCAGGGGCTGTCTGCGAACCCCCTGATCTTGACAGATGCACCAGCAATATGAAGCAAGAAAATGCAAAACTCACTGCAGTGTTTATGCAGGATAGGGAGTGTGGGTTGCGCACCGGGTGGGTCGAGCAGGACGTAGGCTTGATAGAGCTGGTGGAGGTCGGCGTCGTCAAAGGTGGCCTCCGCCACTGTGTTCAGCTTCTCCAGCAGCGCCACCCTGGCGCCATGTCACCGCCACGTCAGCACATGGCACCAGCATAAGGGCCATCATCTGACTACCTCCTCTTTCCAAGGAGCATCAGGGTGAAGGTAACGGGGGTTCCACACCCGCAGCCGGCCAAGAGCGTGTTTCAGCCAGATAAACAGTGCTCTTGGACCAACCGCACGATTTGAATACCCGTTGCCTGAGCACTGATGAAGGGAGCATGACACTTAGCGAGAAGGCTGCCTGAAGAGCCATGATTTAGGAAACCAATGAGATCTGAGGAACGGTCGACAAAGCAACCGAGACAAGAAGTTTAATTGCTTTTGGTAGGCGCACCAGGTGTCGTGAGAGCAGGCGCGGAGGAGGGCAAGGGACCAGATCATGTTGGCCAACTCCTGGGCCTTGAAGCGGTGCCAGTGGCGCAGGCAGTACAGGCTGATCGCCTGCAGCAACTCAGCGCCCGGGTAGTGGAACAGCCGCGCAAAACACCACACGCTGTTCGTCGTGTCCTGCACACATCCACGGGCATCGGCCTATCTATCCTTTTCAAACAAACTGTGACCTAAATTCCTCAAGACTCCTAATGCATCTCCACGTACCAAGTCAGCACCAATCTCCCCGGGCTCTAGATGCAAAGATTGGCCCAAATTCCTCTAAATGCACATCTTCAGGCACCCAAGTCAGAGCCCATCAATGGCTGAAGCGACGAGAGAGTACGACTGAGCAGGGTTGGATGCCGCAGGCCATGGACTGGGAGCTGAAGGGTTCAACGTCCGTGAAGGTTTGCGCACTCTTGCTGGAGATTGCCGGGAGTAAAAGGAAGTGTGCATTTGGAGTGGGAGGGCACCTGTGGGGAGAACTGCTCAATGCGGCGCGCGATCTGCACTGCGGCCGCGTCCAGCATGCCGCTGCCCGGGTTGTGCTCCAGCGTCGCAAACGCCCACAGCGTGTTGGCGATCTCCTGTTGTGGGTGAACAGCACACCACCGTCAGGAAAATCCCTCAGAGTGGCCCCTCTGTTCCAAAGCAACTACATGATGTCCATATCCCAAAATCCTGCTGAGACTCAGTAGCGCCTATGCCTGGAAGATTCTTCATCGAGTGTTTACCTTGTGGAATCGTAGTACCAGCGGCACTGTCAGGAGCTCAACAAGGGATCACCGAGCACGAAGCATCATCTAGACTTACACGCTGGATGAATTGCTACATCAACCCATGGGATGCCAAGATGCAAGCAGGTGTGCGCACCTGCGAGGTGTACTGGTGCAGCATGCCGGCGGCACGGCGGGCGGCCACGTCGAGCACGCGGTGGCCCGGGTTGTAGGCCAGCTTGGAGTAGGACCACAGGCTGTTGCTGATGGCCTGCACCCACACCCCATGCACCGCATTCAACCATGCTCACTGCCCCTCTTACAACTGCTATGCTTCATCTTCGGCCCCGGCTGGCGGTATATTACTGAACACCTTGCCCACGGTTGAATGGGTGTTGCTTGAATCTGGCGAGTCCAACAAGGGGTAGGATCGGGCGGCGGATTTCTTTTCTCTGATTGTTCGCAGGACGTACCTCGCCTTTTGGCAGGAAGAGCATGTAATAATGATATAATACTTCACCTTCATTGACGTACATGCAGCCTCACGGCCCTTGGCATGTGCAGCTAGGCACTCTAGGCAGCAGTGTGGTGCTCCACAGGTAATGGTCTTTATTGGTTATGTAACAAAGGGCAGGTTGGTCATGTAAGTAAGGGCAGAATGGACTTTAATTATGAGCAAAAGCAGGGGTCACCTGTGGCCTGAAGTGGGCGATGTTGTCCACCATCTGGCCTGCAGCTGCGTCCAGCAGGATGGCGCCCGGATCGTGGCCTAGAGTCGCAAATGCCCTGCCCACACAAATACATCTACTCAGCTATCATACTCCCCCATCAGGACATCTGACATGCTCAGGCCAATTATGTTCATTATCAGAATATACCTAGGCTCCCAGCTGCATGGTCTGCGCACTGGCTCAGGAGCGACTGCACCTTTCCATTCAAACTCACCGTCCCTGCCAGGTGTGTTAATAGTGGACACAGCTTGTATGGTGGATGGGCAAGAGCTGAGCGCATACCAGAGGGTGTTGGCGATCTCCTGCGGCTTGAAGTGGGGCATCGTGCGCGCGGCGGTGGCGGCCGCAGCGTCCATGAGAGTGTTGCCGGGGTGGTGCCGCAGCGTCGCAAACGCCCACGTGGCATTGCTGATGTCTTGCGGCACGCACCGCGGCAGGTCCGTCAGCAGCTGCAGGGCGGCTGCCGCCAGGAAGGGCTCGCATGGGACGTAGGCCAGCTTTGCGTATGCCCTGCGCGCCGCACAAGACAGCTTTTGAGGGGCTTGCACTGGTGAAACAGTGGTGCTTGCAATAGTCCATATTTGCAAGATGGGCGGTCCACCACAATATCACCGAAACAATTGCACTGACATCTACTCAAGAGGGGGTCACTTCCAGAAGTGGCAGGGCGTCATGATCTCCTGGAAATGAACTGAGGGGGTTGGCATGAGAAAAATGACAGTGAGGTATGGCATGTGGTGGGGAGGCTCACCAGAGGGCATTGCTGGTGGCCTGTGGTCGGAAGGTGCGCACAATGCCGGCTGCATGGTGCCCCAGGCGGTCCAGCAAGTCCCCGCTCGGATGGTAGCCCAGCGTCGCAAACGCTGCACGTCACAGCTACGCAAGTCAGTCCCTGGACCAAGAAGTCTCTTGCATGGGAAGGGCCTTGAACTCTGCGCTACGAGAAGCACGCGACCAGCCTTGGGTGCCTGGACATTCAATGTGCACGAGACGTCCGTGACCGCAGATGACTTGTGGGAGCAGGTAAGGACATTGTCCCACCTGTTCCAGGCCAGGGTCATCATCATGGTCCCAGCCTACAGGATCCAGGCCAACACCATGACAATGCCGGACCTGAAACAGAGATGGGACGGTCTTTTTGGGGTGAAAGGGGGTTGGCAGCGCACCCCAGAGGGTGTTGGAGACGGCCTGGGCTTCGAAGCGGGGCACGAGGCGCTGCGAGGCCTCGACCAGGAGCTGGAAGGATGCGCTGCGAAGCACGGGGCTCTGCGGCCCAGCCGTGCCGGGCGGCTGCAGCTTGGCCAGCCGGTGCAGCGCCGTCGCCACGTTCACCTCGTCAAATACCTTGACCCACTCCGCCACCTCGTCCAAGATCTGCACACCACCACACTGCAAGTTACACGCATTGAGAAGATTGTTATCAACCGGGGAATATAGGGGCTTGTTTGGGTGTCCACTTGGGGGCCAGATGGGGCCGGTTCAAGCCGCAAAAAGCATATTCACAGCAGAAACGTGATCAGAACAAGCCTGAAATGCCCCTCGTAGTGTTAGTGCCAGCCTGTCAATCACTGCTGCCACAGATGCATGGCATGCAGATCCAGACAGGCAACATGAAGCCCACTTGAACATGATTTGGACTCGTCACTCTTTTGGTAAATTATGCCAGCTCCAAGACAACAATTGCCAAGCCATGCAGCTTTTTGAGGCTCTGCAGATGATTGACAATTACAAGTGCCATTGTATGCCATGGCTCTCATCTCATCACTCTCATGTACCCTTCCATAGGTACAAAACGTGTGCACTTGTTCTAATTTTGATTAGCAACATCAGAAGTGACATGAGGTTGTGTCAGAATCAAGCACAGCACCTGCTGGTAGTGGCCGGCGGAGGCGAGGCGCTTGGTAATGGCCTTGTTCTGGTTGGAGCCAACAGCCGTCATGCGGCGGTGTCCCGGCTTGGTGTCTATGTAGTGCCCGCGCATGCCCAGAGGCGGCGTGGCCCCGTCCAGGAGGCTCATGCCCCGCACGCTCTTCAGCAGCGGCAGAATGTCCGCAGCCGTCCCCGTGGATGTACTGCTGCTGTGAACACACCCAGAAAATGACATTCAATGTGCGTTGCATCCACATGCATGCTGTAGTGGACAGTAAAACAGTCTCAGCCTCGTGCTCGAGCGTTGGGATAATGCATGAGCATGAAGTGAACAAAGAGATGTATTGAGAAATGACAGCGGCGGTGATGGGCATGGGGTCTGCACCTTGCGGAGGCGGAGTAAGGCAGAGACAGGGCCTCCGTGTTGAAGGGGAGTGGTGCACTGTAGGGCATGGGCGCAGACAGCTGCAGGTTGGTGGCCCACAGGTCGTTGTAGTCCCATCCTCCGAGTTCCCGTGCCATAATGTTCGTAGTGAAGGTGTCCAGGGGGAATGCAGCAAGCCCCAAGTCCACAGACATCGATGGGCTCTGCTGGTGTCCAGCTTTTGGCGGTTCGCTTACCACGGTTGCAACGCCTCAACGCGGAGTCAACGAATGACAGCCGCGTGCGTCTGTGGTGGGGTTAGCCTGGGGCAGCACAGCCAAAACCATTGGGTGAAGGTTCATATGATCAGGGGCACTCGTGCAGGACACGCAACGCTAACAGCCAGCTCCATACCAGCATACAAAATTGTTCTTAGATCCTCCTCAAGGAGTTTTAGGGATATGACTCTTCGTCGAGACAATTCAGGTTTGAATGGGCTTCTGTCAGCCGGCCTAAACACTGTAACCACTGTATTGAGGACAGCATGAGCAATGGATCCACGCCATACTTGACAAGCAATGCAAGACTGCTATATCAGGTACGCATACGCAGTCCTGGCACGTCATGTCCATCCTTAGTAGAGCACTAGCCCAAACCAACGTAGCTTCCACTGCAACCGCTGTAGCTTCGCTCGGCACTTTGAGCGAACTCTGCTCCTCCATCCATCCCTGATTTGCGCATCTCCGCAGTCTACAATGCAAGATACTGCTCTACATCAATATAGAAATACCTTTCTGGATCGAGCGGGATGCAACAGCGCGATGTGGAGGTGCCGAACACGCAGCTCGGGAACGAATCCTGGATAACAAGTCACAGGCCGCTCGAGGGGGTTGTGCAGCAGCTCCAGGAAGTGCCAGAATGTTGTCGTGTCGAATTCAGGACCGAAACTCCCGGAGTGCAGGCAGTTTGAAGAGGTCGAGAAGCCTTCACTCTGAGACTCTCCCAGTGCAGGACGAAATGCTAGACCATGCATACGCTGCAGAAAAGGGCTTGCCTGATACGAACAATAACCAAGCAGGTTTCCAAAGCTGCGTCAAGTCCTGACTTCGAAGATGACTTCGACGATGATTTTGATGGAGCAGAGTCCGGACGAGCCAAGACTCCTCCACCCTGTGGGTCAAAGCCCCTTTACAATACCCCACGAAGGGTGTGTAGAAGATTGTAGCCCAGGAAGTTATAGGCAACGCCGTCGAATTAAAGTGCAGTCGTCCCCCTAGACTAGGGGAGAAGTGGACCATTCTTCCCATGCAGGCTTGGGATAGCCTGAACCCGCACATGCAACATTTCCAAATCATGCGCTTTTGAGCTGTTGGGTGCAGTGCTCTGCAGCTAGTGCGCGTGAATATAGGAGGATGGACTCATCCTTGTCCATGGCTCCTTTGATCTCTTCGCTGTGAAAACAAGGTGCCTGCTGAACACGATTGTACTTTTTGTTTTTGCTCGATGATTGCAGCATGGCGTATAGATAACACTGGGACTAATGCCTTTGCGCAAAACCTCGTCCTGTCTGCTCGATACAGACCTAAGGGATTCACTGACTTACTCGCTTGCAAATTGTGAATAATCGAATTTATTGGTTAAGGGCTTTCGTGCTTTGAAGATCCCGGCTGCAAGGGTGCCAGTGCTGATCGTGTTGACTGGATGGGCATGCTGTCACAGGCGTATATAGAGCCGCTCCATGCCGCCTGTGCTAGGCCTTAGACAGGCCCTCGAAGCTTATGGTAACGGATCTTGCAACTGTGGGAGGCCCTGCAAGCTGGTGCAGTCTAAAAAGGAGAATGGGAACAGGGGCAGGTAGTGCACGCTCAGTGTTTGCATGTTTTCTTTCGTTCGCTTGTATTTTTCAAGGTTGAATCGATTTCTCTCACCCTCTCGGGCCCATTCTCGCTGTATTTATCGTCATGGTACCCACGCCTGCTGTGCAGGCACCATGACTAGGCCTGTTGCTCCCCCCATGCGCGCCCTGGCTGCACATGTGTCCCATGTGTCCCGCCGCATCACCGCAGCATCCCTTTCCCATCCCCCCAGGTTCCCCTGCCTAGCAAGCCCTCCTGTTCAGGCATCCACTTGGACAAGAGCGCACTGCTATTTTGGCGGTGACCACTCCTGCATGCAAACCACAAGCAGGAACTGATGCCTTCAGTGTCCTCGCAGGTGGTTCTGGGCGTGCGCTCAAAGCCCCCCTTGCAAGGGCTTTGTGGGCTGGGCAGATGGCCAGCCAAATATGTCTACCTTTGACCCTCCACCGCCAGGCCAAGTGAATGGCACACCCACTCCTGCCCGCGCAAGCCCTCCTGGAGGCCGACAGGTGCCTGACACAGTACTTTCAGCGCCACTTATGCATTCCTCTGCCGCTCAATGCGCTCGCGAACAGATCACGTTCTTGCAGGCAAGCTAGACGGAATCTTGTCTATTTTGGCAGGGTTGCGTTGATATACCTTGCGAGGTAGTGCCCAGGCTTGTCAAGATAGGTGAGTCTCTGTTGGTTGCACAAACACAGGTTGGTTCTCCCCAGCGGGCGGCGGCAGGGCGGCAGTATCCAACAGCAGCCCATGGCAGTGTGGGGAGTCGGCATCTGCCGGCGTCCATGGGAAGGGGCCAGTACACCGGCTCGCCACCTGGCATGGGCCCCCCATCCGCAGGGAGGGGCGCCATGCAGCAGTACACCTCCAGCCCCCAGACCCCCCAGTACACCAGGGGTTCCCAGCCCGCAGCCAGGACGCCCCAGGTTGGCCCTCTGCAAGCCCCTTGTGTCGCCTGGGTTGCCCTGTCTCAGACTCGCAACCTGTTCCGTGTCTGCGAAGCACTCTCCATGTGCATCACAGGTGAGTTTATTGCGTGTCGTAGCGTGAGTATATGCATCACAGGTAGGCGACAGTTGCCAATTTGGGATTGGCATCAACAGCCACATTGTTTCATGATAGCAGTGCACAATGGCTGATCTGTTCAATTGAATGCAGCTATAATCGATGCAGATGTTGAGAGGCTGGTGCCATGCAGGGTGGTGCAGCAGGACTGTGCTTCCAGCGATTGGACTCTCAGCACTTTGCGGTCAGCTTCCCGTTTGACAGGGACGTGATTGAAAATCTGAAGGACGTGTTCAATTTCCGAGACCGCGAGTGGCACCCAGAAAGCAGGACCTGGCGCTTCCACATGGACAAGTACCAGGACGTGCAGAGCTGGGCCCTGGAACACTACGCCGCAGATGAGATCACCCTTCTTGAGCAGGTGAGTCTTCTGATCAAGCTTTTTGTGTAGGTGATAATGCGTGAGATCTGCATGGGATGGCAGGACCGGGTGCCACAAACATTCCCCAGAGGGTGGTCTGAATCTTCCAAAATGGACATGTACTTGGTGTTGTGGGGAGATCGACTTTGTTCACTAATTGAAGGATGCAAGCGGCCTACATGTACTAAGCAGCCTGTGGGCGCATAAGATCAGGATGGCATTGGGCGCAAAATTTAACCACCTCTTCTGTGTGGTGCGCAGATTTCCCCGGACAGGGAGATTCCACAGCCGCATCTGGAGACAGACTACTTTGTGCAGTCGCACACCAGTCAGTACATCCCAAGAGAGACATGGGAGCGGCTCTATGAGTGCGCACTCATGACAATGCCACTAATCACTGTAGGCACTGTATCTTCACGAGCTTTCTTGCTCTTGGCATGAAGGTGCTGCATCCCATTTTCCTCTGACGCCGCATCTATTGTAGGACTCATCACTACAATTGTGACTGGCAGGTTCCAGAGGGAGGGCGTCAGGTTTGCATTGAAGCACGGCGGCCGAGCGCTCATTGCCGATGACATGGGCCTGGGAAAGACTGTGCAGGTGTGCTCATCTTTAAGATTCTAGATGTCACTCTTTTGGCTGCTATGTGTGCAAGACGACCATCCTGTTGCTGCCTGATACGATGTAGGAATAACAAATTACCCATCTGCCTCTCTATTTCTTCAAGCAAAATGCGTAATGTCACAAAGTTGACTGCTATCTATTCAAGACAACGTGATGCCGAGTACAATGTGGTGATAGCGACTTGCGGAAGAGAGCCGCTGACTGACGCTGCGGTCTCTGCGCAGGCCATCTGCGTGGCGGCGTGTTTCCATGCAGATTGGCCTCTGTTGGTGGTCTGCCCCTCCTCCATGATGCTGACCTGGCTAGAGCTGCTCAGCGACTGGCTCCCGCCCGACCTGCTGCCTGACCCTGCCAACCTGGTAGTCATCACCTCCAGCAAGGTGAGCCCTTTATTTTCTCTGCCTCCTTGGCCACATCCTAGTTGGTGATGGGTCTTACTTTGCGCCGACAGGGTAGTCCTTCTTGCATGAAATCCACCTCGTGCTTTGCCAGCTTGGCCAGACCCATTGTTTGATTGGGGTTGACCTGTCCCACTTTGCCACAATCAAGACCGCTTCTTGCACGAGCTGCAAGGTGCCTAATGAAGCATCCTGCAAGTCCTAGCTGCTTCGAGTGGCGCTGAGCTTGCGCACAGTCAAGCATGCGTAGAAGCCAACAATGGCGCACTAAGGAGGCCTGAAAAACAGTATGCTTGCATCCGAAGCACTCGCCGCTAAGGGCACCTGTAATTCACTGCTGCAGGACGTGGATAAGAAGCTCGACCTGGCGCATGGCCCGCCGACGACGCGCCACATCGTGATAGCATCATACGACTGCGCCCAGAAGCTGCGCGGCTACGAGCGCCACTTTGGCATGGTCATCTGCGACGAGAGCCATGCGCTCAAGAGCCCAGGGTCCAAGCGCACGCAGTTCTTTGAACACTTGACGGCCGCCGGCGGCCCCGTGCGGCGGCTGATCTTCCTCACCGGGACGCCGCTGCTCTCGCGCCCAATTGAGGCCTTCACCCAGGCGCGCGCTCTCCTCATGCTCTGAAGAGCAATGCTGCTGCTACCTGTCATGTGAAGAAGTTGCTCAACGCCCACACCCGAATGTAGGAGATTTGTGATATGAGAAGGGCTGGAATGGCTTTGGGAGAAGTTTTCAGTATGCGTTGTCTTCCATTTGTGTTGTCAGCTGAGCACTCTGGCTAGCATGTTCTGCTTTACCTACGGCGACTTGTATGCCAGGATGCTCGACTGCAGCATCAGATGGATGGCCGCTTGTCTGCGTGTGTAGTGTATCACATGCAATCTGTACTCCTGTTGGGATTTTTGGACCTCTCAAGACAGCACTTTGATGGGGATCTGCACGACTGCGCAGATTGACATGCTGCGGCCGGGGCTGATGGGCAGCTACGACGAGTTTGGCGAGCGCTACTGCGGCGCCAAGGTCCAGGTGGCGCCAGGGAAAATGGACTGGCGGTGCGCGCCATGGCCTCCACACTGAAGCCTTATGTTCCTCTTGACATTTGATACTCCCCCGAATTTGCATTTCCACAATCATGTCATCGAGAAGGAGGGGCTCAAAATTGGCAGTCCTGTGTTGTCTGATATGCAAGCTTCAAGTGCCATAACATTCCTTACAGTGTGCACTGTCCGCCCTTTGCGCATCAGACTGGCAGCACAGATGCACAAAGGTGGCCCATCTTGGGATTTCTTGGCACAGATGCATGCCTGCAAACATCAAAAGACCCTCTTGTTGTAAACTTTACCGTGGGTAAAAACCCATTGGGGGGGCATTTGTCTCAGGGGCGCCCAGAATCTGGAGGAGCTGAATGGGATCCTGCGCGAGCACGTGCTCATCCGGCGCCTGAAGAAGGACGTTCTGCACGAGCTGCCGCAGATGACCCGCTCCCGCCGCACCATCCCGCCCGACCCCGACCTGCTCCCGGTGATGCCTCTTCCTGTTCAGGCTACTCCAACCTTGCACTGACCTGCATACTTGGCAGGCATGGTGCTGCGTGAAGGCCGAGCAGACATGCAGTCGTCAGAAGGGCATCCTGACATATACCAGACACTAGCCCTTGCAGCAGTGCTTGCTTTTGTGCCATGGTCCCTGTATATTTAGAGTCGCTCAAACGGCATTATTCCCCAAGCTTGTGCGGCCTGTGATGAAAACACCCTTCTTCTCAAACTTTCGGCTGACTCTGTGATGAAAGCCGTGGTCATGCTAATCTGAGGCCCCATGCGCTCACTAATCTTCCGCCCCATGTACTCTTCACGATCCCTCCTTGCCTCCTATACACCGCACGTATGCTTCGGATATACCTGATCCTGCCTGCTGTGTGTGTTGGCCTGCAGATGATAGAGGCAGTGAAGAAGGAGATGGCGCAGCTGGATTTGATGGCCGGGCGGCTGAGCGAGCAGGAGTACGACAGCCAGAAGCGGGTGCTGCTGATGCAGTTGTACCGCGCCACCGGGCCCGCCAAGGTCAAGGCCGCCTGCGAGCTCATCGAAAGCGCGCTCAACCAAGGTACATTTGGTCCGAAACCGCGCACTCGGCATGCGTGCTGTCATCTTAAGGGGGTTTTGCCAACAATCTTTATGCTATCTTCGGCGCCCTCTGCATTTTGCTTGCCTTTCAAAGCAGTTTTGCTGCTGTTCTGCGACCCTCCAGATACCAGGTGTTCAAGGTTCTTTCTTCCATGGTGCCCAAGTGAACAGACCGCATGTGGTAAGATCTGCATGTGCTGTTATCTGTCAGGAATATCTCTTGCCTGAGAGAAACTTGGCGGTTCATGCAGAACGAGTGATTATCAGAAAGATGTGCTGTGCGGCGCGCAGGGCGCAAGCTGCTGGTGTTTGCGCACCACAAGGGGGTCCTGGATGCTCTGGAGGCCGCAGTGCTGCGCATGCGAATCGGCGAGGACGGCCGCTCCCACCAGGTGAGTCCATATTCATGAATCGCCTTCTGCAAATTTGTCCTGTCAAGACACCACCGGCATCATGATATCTGCAGTGGGCCACAATGGTCAATCTGTCGAGTTTCTTGAATTGGCCTGTGCTGGATCTACAGATGCAAATAGATCTGGCACAGCCCAGTTCCACGGATTCAGCATGTTGGGCGGATAGGGGGCCCATGCAAAGGCTAGTTTGTTGATTGCTGAGGGTCTGGGCTTTTGAGGAGCATCACTACTCTTCTTCAGTGCAGCTGTGCATGCACTGAAAGGGGTTACCATGTCCTCAGATACTCCACATCTCTGGAGGCCCACAAAGCTTGCCTTCTGGTGGTCAGCCCTTGTGGGCGGCAGGCTCTGCTGCATGCTGTTTGCTGAGCAATGTGTTTGACACGTGGCAGGTGGGCCACATGCGCATAGACGGCCGCAGCACTGCGCAGGCGCGCGGAGACGCCGTGAACGCGTTCCAAAACGACCCCCACTGCCGCGTCGCGCTGCTCAGCATCAGAGCTGCCGGGGTGAGTCCCTCCTCATGGATTGCCTACTGGACCCAGGTCTTGATTTGAGCACATGGCACAATCCTCGGGGTTGCGGCGGGGCCCTTCTGCATGCGCGTAGGCAAGGGGATCATATTCCATGTTGAATCGAGATCCTCCTGGGGCAAAAATGCGACCTTGTGCAATGTGGTGCCACAAGACTGTGCGCCTGGCGGAGAGTGACAACCCGGCTGCCTGGCGAGCTGGCTTCATGTGCTTGTGCGCAACTGTGGGTTATGTGGCTGTGGTTTTGACTACAGGCGGGGATAACCCTGCATGCGGCCAGCACCGTGCTGTTCGTGGAGCTCGCCTGGACACCATCAGAGCTCACGCAGGCCGAGGCACGCGCGCATCGCCTGGGCCAGGTAATTTTGTCTCTTCCACCCATAATCAGATTTGAGTGTGACGCCTCCCACGCCGGCTGAATCTGTCATCTTGGTATTAGACAGTAGATGAGGCGCTGGGCTCTTGAGCGCGCAAGAGTGGCGGGGCAGCACGGCAGAGGAGTAGTGCTCAGCAAGTGCTTCCTCCGGAGAGATCAATACCTCTGAACCTTGGCATCCAGATGAACCTAACTCTGTAGTGTGTCATCAAAGGCTTAGGAGGTGTGATGCCATAATTGATCTCTCAGCTATCTGGCTGTGCAGGAGAAGGAGGTGGATGTCCTTTACCTGCTGGCGCCCGGGTCGGTGGACGACATCATCTGGAGCATGGTCAACAGCAAGCTGCGCGTCGTGGGCAACGCCCTGGACGGCCACCTGGCTGGCACCGCCACAGGCACGCTCCTCCTCATTACCTACACCATTCTATGCTTTGCCTATCATGGGCATGCCCTTAGGAAGTTTCGCCTGGCTAGCATTGTCCAGTGTCATATTTGAAAGAGGTGTTGCTTCTGCGGCTCAGATTTTGCCCCCGAGCATGCGCAAAGAGGATTGCCATCGCTGGTGCACATATATAATTTCTCTCTTTGTAATGTTACCTGCAGACGGCCTGTGTGGCTGCATATTTGACCCCGCACCGATCAATCCCTGTGCAGGCCTGCGCATAACGGACGCGCGGCGTTTTGTCGGCTGGGCGGCCGGGGCCGAGGTGGCGGCTGCACCGTCGGATGACGAGGATGACGCCAAGGCAGGGCTGAGCCAGCCGAGCCAGCCGCAGCTGACGACGCCCCCTGCGCTGCGCGACACCCGCCCAGAGCCCAGCGGCTCCGGCACGCGCAGGTTTTGCCCTTGTCTTTTTTCGGATTTTTCATTGCCTGAGCCAAGGGCTGTTTTTGCATTGCTGCTGGCGCGCATCCAGAGCCCAATGTCTCTGGCACGCCCTTACCTTTCTTTTCTTCTGCGTTCACCTTGTAAGTATTCATGCTTGAACATTTCCGGCGCGGATCCTGAAGCCGATAAGGCTGGTGAAGCTTTGCCAGTGATTGATTCGTGCAGACAGAGGTTGTTCGGGAGGAATGCGTGGGTAATCCAATTTCAAGTTCAAAATTTAAAATGACAGGTCTGGCGCTCGCAGGCAACGGTCGGCGAGCCCCGGCGCAGACGGCGGCGGCCGCGCAGGGCCCAGGCGGCGCAGATTGGACTTTGGCCAGGGCAGCACCTCCCTCCAGGTCCTTCCTCAAATCATTGTTTTTATTGTTAATGCACGCTTTCTCTGCCAGAGGCAAGGTGCGTCTGCAGACAAGCTGCATGCAAAGGCTGCCACAATCCTAAACCTTGGTGGACTCGCCAGATCAATCCCCTCCGAACCCTCAAATTCGCCCACTTCAACTGAGCCTTCTGAACATTACAACATGTTGCTGCCTGCGCGTAAATAATCACAAGCTTGAGTCAGGTATTGTTGGGGCTGCGCAGGCTGACGGGCAGGAGCCGCTGCTGTCGCAAGCCTCAAACAGCATTGCGGGCAGCGTTGCGGGGGGCGGCACCATTGCCACTCAGCAGACCTCCAGAGGTGCACTGAACCTTGCCCAACCACTGTCATCTACTCCTCTGCAATTCATTTTATAATTGAGTTCTATGGGCGAGCTCATCTTCAGGCCGCCTTGTATCATATTGCATGATGCCACTGGGCTGTCAAAGTCTTTCTATGATCTTGGAAGACCTCTCTGAGCAAGAATGGGAGGCTTACCATTCCACTGCACAAGGCAAGTGGTCTCCTTAAAGAGCATGCCCGCATGTCATCATGGTGTGACCTGTGCTGTGCTGCCATGCGCGCAGACCCCTTCTTCAGCGACTCAGACAGCGTGTGGATCCCCTCGGCGCGCGTCGCGAGTTCCCAGGGAGTCGTGCCGGCCGCGGCAACGCAGAGGACACGCTCTCAGCCCAGCCAGCCAGGTCTGCCCTATGCCTGCAACCTCTCCAATCTCTGCACATTCCCATGCTTGTTGTCTGAGCCAAGTTGCCGTGCTCGATTAATCGTCGAACTGACGGAGCAACACCAGCATGGCTTGGCGCTTTGCTCTCATGGGGTCAATCGCAGCGGCATGGCAGTGGCCTGACAAGTATTTTGGTGGGCGCAACAGGTGTGGGGCCGAGCAGCCAGCGGAGCGGTGGCGGCGGCGGCGGCTTGGGAGTGTTTGCCGATGACCACGACGACGAACTCGATGCAGTGCTTGCATCGCCGGAGATGGACGCGCTCCTGTCTCAGCGCTTGTCGCAGCAGCAGCCGTCGCAGCCGGCGCGGTCCGGCCAGGACACCAGAACACCCGGCGCCGGCCGCCGCCGCGGCGGCTGTGTGGAGGCTGCCGAGCAGCCGCCGACTCAGCCGTACGCCTCGGTGCAGCCCCAGTACTCTCCGTACGGGCAGCCGCCGCAGCGGAACGGTCCCCCCGCTTCTGCGGCGGTGGCCACGGGTGGCGACGGGGGAACCATGAGGCAGCGGGGGCAGGCCAGCGCGTGGGATTATCCTACGCAGCCAGCAGCGGAGATCGTGGACTTATGCGGCGAGGACTGCATTGAGATCGAGTGAGCTGGATGCGCATGTGTACGATCATTATAAGTGTCAAGTCTCAGACAGGCTGTGGTGTGGGTCTCGATTTGCGAGGCTTGGGCAGACCGTCACTGCAAGTCAAGATGATAAGCGGAATTCAATTTTTATACAGGTTGAAGTTGGCATTACTTTCCAACTTTGTTGTCTGTTGAGATGCAGAGAGAGGGGCGTTGCCGTTGTGTCAGGTTGTTGAATTGTGGTTGATGCTCAGGATTGATACTCTGTGTTTTTGCTAGAGTGCATGTTCGCGTCAATGGTTGTGCAAGCAACAGTTGCAATGACTATTTGCTCTGTAGGATAGGTCAAAGAAATAGTCGGGTTCTCAGATGCACAGCAATGCAGATTGTATGATAATCGGTGCATTATGTTGCTAAATTCAGTAGTACCCATTTTGAAAACTGCCTGCTAGTAGCCAGTAGCAGGCTGCTACTGTATTCAGCAAAGCATGCTTACGGCACAGTCAAGCCAACTTTATTTTGCCCGGTAAATCTATTGCAGAATTGGGTGTGTGCCACTGAGTAGGCATAGGTGCAAAGTTTGTGCACTGCAAACCGAGAGAACCTGTCCATCATTTTCTCTACCGTTGTAAAGATTATTTGCGCAGTCCGATCTGAATCCATGTCTTGTCAAATAGCTGCGCACAATCTCCCACCGCCTTGCGCCCTATCTGTGCTGGCTGGCCCCCTTCCGCGGCAGGCCTGTCGCAACAACACGACTTCCAATTCAAGGATGCAGCATTGTTGCATGCGCGGATGACCCTCACAAGCAGTTGTGCCTTCTAGTTCTTTTTGTTAGCCTACGCACTTACTGTGCAGACATCCCACAGGCCAGCAGCTCGGGTATGAGCTTAGAAACATTGCCGGCCGAGCAGGTGAAGCTGCAATGGTGTGCACTCTAGTTGCGACTGCCAGTGGCGTGTCGTCCAGACGTCCATGCCAGAATCTGCATGCATCAAGCATCATGCGCGTATGGGTCCGGATGCCCAAGGTTGACAGGGGAGCCTGACTGCTTCTCAACCAATCTTCCCTATTGGGAGTCCCCATATTATGGCCTGATCACAACGGTAGGGCCCTGTCAAGACCGCCCGCACCTGCACCCCTGCCGCTTGCAGGCCGCCCCGGCGCCGCCCATCGCGGCGGCGTCGGCGGCAAGTCTGGATGAGGTGAGCCAGGGGCTGTTAGCGACGTCGTGCTCCCACGCCTGCCTCTTGGCGCGCACCAGATCGCAGCGCCCCTCGGCCGCCGGCATGCGCAGCTCATTCTCCTTGTGCCCCGTCCACAGCAGCTTCTGCACCTGCGGGTGCTGCGCGCTGGGCGCCCCTACAATCAAAGTGCTGTCAAATCTTAGCGATGCTGCACCAAGATGTGAGGGATCATCACATGTGACATCAGATGTGAGGGATCCTACGCCCAGGATGCTAGCAGTTGTGGGAGATCCCACACCCTGCATGCTGTCATGTGTGACCTGTCAGTCCAGCAAGCAAGCAGAAATACCAGCCACAAGCAAGCTAGCACAAGCACAGCGCTGGTCACCTTGGAGGTGACAGAGGACGTGTAAGTAAAAACGAACTTATGTGAGGGTAAATTCTGATATCTAATCTGTATTGCAAAGGACAATGACTGTCACACTGCATGCCGGTCTCATGGACGGTCCTCTTTCAAGTCCGCAGCCCTAGCATAGCCAGAGGGAATTTCTCTATCGGTGTTTTTGCTTTTCCTGCCAGGGGCGAGGTGCGCATGCAGACAAGCTGCAGGTGGATGCTGCCACATAACCTACCGCTTGTTGAACCTGCCGGATCCAAGCATGACCAGATCAATTGTGGGCACGGTGCTTGTTATGTGTACAGCCCCCCGCCAGGTGCGACCAGTAAATTTAGCCACACGCTGCTCAGCTTGAGGAGCAAAGTGTTAAGGAGCCAGGGTGCGTCCTCTCACCATAGGCGAGTTGATTGAGGGTGGTGTAGGCGGGTGGGACGCTCTGGTTTGGCTCAGCATGCCGGAGGATGGTGTCTCGCCCTGAGCAGGCGTGCGTTCTGTCCCAGTCCTTGCGCTCGTACTGCAGCGTCTGCCACTCCTTGCCCTGCGTTCCGACTCGCAATGTTCTTGGCTCATTCTAGGATGCAAACATTAAAGTCCTACTAGCTGTAACGGGTTGTCAAAGGGTCTCTGTATGTTCCACCCGTCACAGTTGCACATGCCGACCATGTGCACGGCCGACATGGGGGAGGACAGCTGCACTCTCACCTGTCTGCTGTAGGTTGATTGAGAAACAGACTCCCCTTCGAATCGAGCCGGAGCGTTTGCTGCTGGCTGCCGCTCTTCCTCCCAGTTCCCGTTTAGGACGCCTTTGCTGCGCAATGGACAGGTTGACTACTTCACGAGACCGCTATACACAGATCTGAACTGCTTCTTTCCACATAGATACCTTACAATTTCTTCTACAGCTTTTCAATACTCCCACACGTCGAGACGGGATTTCTCAGGGAGGTCGGCGAGAGGTGTTGACCACTCTGCACTATTCGAAGGCCTCTTTCAATCAATCTTGGAACCAGCGTTTGGGCTTCAGATAACCTGTATGAATTTATGTGAGGATTATAGGAGCTTTTATCGTGACGCCTCATCTTTGACGTCATGCGAGGGTTCCTTCTTGAAATATAGTTGTTCGATTTTGCAACTGCAAATTCAGGACAAACTGGCACTTCTCTTGCAGCCACTGCTCCAGATGCCACGATACAAGCTTGTCGCAAATTCCCTCCTGATCGACACTGCAGCGTATGATGAGCAATGCACGGCTGTGAGGGTGACTGAGATCAGAGTTCTGCGCTGAGCGTCTACTTGGAAGGGATTACTATCCGGCCTAAACAGGCAACAGTTGTGACGCTGCCGGCTACACACTGATCGAAGCATCCTCGCGAAGTCTGTGTTGCGGGGAGAGCGATGCAGGGATTCCAGCAGGCCGTGAGCCAGAACCCGGCCAGGCTGGGTTCTGGCGACGCTGCGAAGGCCCTCTATGTCGGGAACTTGCATCCCTTCGTTACAGATGCTATGCTGCAGGTGCGCGCAAGTAGTCATTCTTTGCGCAAAGCAACTTTGCACCCCATCTTTGCTCAGTTGCATTGTTGTTGATCGCCAATTTGGGATCTTGTGGGCTGTGTTCTGGGCAGCACTGAGAGCATCTATTTGACTGCAACAGGAAATCTTCTCAACCCTGGGCCAGGTCGGCGAAATCAAGATCATCAAGGACAAGCTGACAGGCCTGAGCGCGGGATATGGTTTCGTGCAATTCCTAGATCATCGGGCCGCTGACATGGCCCTGCAGTCTTTGAACGGGAGGGTGCTCCACGGGCAGGTGCGCCGAGTTCCCCGCCAACCCCTAACTTGTGGCGAGCCTCAAAGAGTAATTCTCAAGTGTAAAAAGGTCTTTGCAACCGTTCTTGGCCTACTGTCAGCGTCCCATGTGCATCCTTGGTTTGAACACAAGGTGTCCTTCACGTGGGCCACTTGAGTGATTGTTCAAGATGGTGACCCGTCGCGTCCATCTTTGGGCCTGGATGACCCACAGCAGTCCTTGGGCATGGAATGGGAATGGTCGAAAAGTGGTCTCGTAGGCGTCGTACACAGACGCCACCTATTGCAACGTAATCGCCTGAGCTTATGGATTGTTTGGGGAGTTTAGTTCCCTAAACATGCTGCAGGCATGGCAGTGTTTGCCCATGAATTTCCTAAACAAGGCATCCCCAGGCCTCCCTGTGGCTGCAGGAGCTCCGAGTAAACTGGGCTTTCCAGAAGGATCAGCGGGAAGACTCAGCTTCCCAGTTCCAGATCTTCGTGGGGGACCTGGCTAGCGACATCAACGATAAGCTGCTGTGTGAGGCCTTTCAGAGCTGCGGCTGCGCAGATGCCCGCGTGATGTGGGACCACAATACAGGGCGCTCAAAGGGCTATGGTTTCGTGTCGTTCAAGTGAGCATCTGCGGCTCACACATTTCTTGTTGCATGGCTCGCAGCCTGACAGAGTTATCAACTTACTCCCACTGTCGCTTTTAGATCACAACCTATCCATCAACATGCTTCACACACATGCTCGCACATGCCCACAGCATGCCTGATCTGCGGCAGGCTGGCATCCAACTACCCTTGCAGCGGCTGTGGAGAATGTCAGAATGCGCATGCGCACAGCTGTTGGAGCGCTTGACTGAGAGAATTTGTGCTTGTGTGACTTCAGGACACGAGCCGACGCAGAGCAGGCGCTGTCACAGATGAGCGGCACGATGCTGGGGTCGAGGAGGATACGATGCGGCTGGGCGCAGCACAAGCAGGAGAACTCGCAGGCCAGCTTCGCCGCTGTCGACCGGGTGTGTGCCCAGCCCCTCCTGTTTCTCTGGCCCTGTCCTCCTGACCAAATTCCCATTTGTTCGGTGAAGATGTAGAAAGACTTGTGGAGGGCGCTCAGTTGAGTGAAGCCCATTGGTGGTGCCACAGCAAATCTAAGAAGCCGATAGCACTGCTGTGCCCAGTGCTCCAGCGGCATTTTTGAAAGTATGCAGATATGGGAAGAAAGCTGATGTAGCTCTGGTGCAGAGAAGTGAATAATCAGTCCTTGAGCCACTCTTTCACGCGCACAGGCGGACCCCGAGAACGCGAACGTGTACGTGGGCAACCTGGCGCCGGACGTGTCAGACGCGGAGCTGCAGACGGCGGTCAGCCAGTTTGGGGCGGTGCTGGACGTCAAGATCTACCGAAAGGGCGGCTACGCGTTCGCGCAGTTTGCCAGCCACGCGGACGCCGTGCGCGCGATCGTGGGGCTGTCGGGGCAGAATCTGGGCGGCAAGGCGCTCAAGTGCAGCTGGGGCCGGCACCAGGCGCGCAAGGGCGGCCCCGGCGGCGCGCAGCTGCCGGTGGACCCGGCCTCCTTCGACTACCTGGCGCTGCAGCAGCAGCAGCTGCAGCAGCAGCTCGCCATGCAGCAGCTCGGCTACGCCCCCGCCGGCTACGCTGCGCAGGTGTGCCCTCTCCCCATGCACCACCCTCATGCAAAACTGGCTGTCTGAACTGCAGCTGGCAGCGTGCGATTGCGCCAGCAGTGTTGAAGGTGTGCGATGGCATTTCAAGATCAATCAGCAGCAGAGCCAGGATTGAAGGCTCCTCAGTGCTGCCCCTCTCCATGCTTCCCAGATGCATGCTCATGACGAGAGACTTTGATACTAGTGATCAGTTACCTCTCTTGCTCTTTATGTTCTCCCTGCTTGTTGGGAAGACAGTGTTGCAGTTGTTAATCGCACACGCAGTCTCTGGGTGTCAGCAAGAGTATTACTCCTTGCCTTTTGTATTTCTCTGGTCATCTGTAAGTAGACATACTGAAGGGAGTATTTTCATGGTCACGCAGGGGATGAACCAGCTGGGCATGCCGGGCGCGCCACCGCCGCCGCACATGGCGGGCCCGCTGACGCCGCAGCAGCAGCTGGCGCAGCAGCAACTGGCGGCCCAGCAGCTGGGAGCGCAGCAATTCATGGCCCCAGGGCAGCAGCAGCAGCTGGACTTCTCAAATATCTACTATGGCGGCGGCATGTACTACCAGTGACAGCGGCCGTGGGCACCCCTGGCTGCGCGGGAGGGCGGCAGATTATGTCTCCCTCCTTTTTGCTCCCTCCCTCCCGCCACGTGCAGCGGGTGCCCTGGCATGCGCCCCTGTGCCGGCCGAGCCCGCGCCAGCGCCGCTAGCCGACCTCTTTTAAACAGCGCCAGGCAGCACCGCAGCAGCCCCCAATGAACCCCCCGGCCCAACGCCAGTCGCGAGACCGGCTGTGGGAGGGGCTCTACAGTACTCCGGGTCCATGCGAGAGGCTGGGTTTGCCTGCAGCTCAACGCCGTTGGAACAACAACAACATATGTGTGTCTTCGTACGCGGGTCTGTTAATGAGTGGGGGGCCGCCACCGATTTTGGCCCCCTTCCGATCTGGCCGGGGTGCAGCTGGAGAGGGGGGTCTTTCCCTTGCATGCCGGGGAACAGGCTCAGTTGATACTGAGCCTGGCAGGACCCAGCAGGCAGACACCAGGAGGGGGCTTGGTTCCCCAGGGCTGGCTCTGCACCCCCCAGAGTCAGCGCTGGAGTGGTGCGGGGCTGCGCAGACAAGTTTGCTGCCGCGAGAGCGGCAGGCCGTCCCTCCCGACAACCCCCACCCAACAGGGAGGCTTCCTGCGCCCTTCATGGGCTCAGTTCTTGCGTGTTTGTGAGCTCCCCGCTTGGCACGGCGGGGTCCGTCAGTTTCTTGTGGGGCGCATGGCTTCTGTGTGTGATGGTGACACCGGTGTTTCCTGGCGGCGGGGCGCGTGTGCGAAAGAGAGCATCGCCCCGCCAGCCAAGTGAAGGCCGGGGAAGGAGTCTGTGCGACTGTGCTTTTCTTATGCGCGATCGTCGCAAAAACAATGCTGCTGCCTTTTCCGAGTCTCTCTGTTTTACCTGCCAAGATCCGCTGTTGCATGGGCCCTCAGAAGCCACAACATGTGGGTGGCCGCTGGGATTGCAGGGCCCTGCGCCGCCCTTGCTTTTGCTGGCGGCACAGAGTGCTCGCCTGGCTGTTTGGAGGCCAGGGGTGGGCCCATGGCAGTGACATACACACGGCCTGGATGTCGCGCATCAAACCCTTGCTTGAACTGATATTGATTGGCAGCCTGGGGGACACCTTTTGCCCCCGCCCAGCCGGGCCTCACAATGGATGTTGCTGCTTTGCGACGTCGCTCTTGGACACGTTAGTCAGCGCCCAGGGGCAACACCCTTTGCGATTTGATGATCTCGACACCGCACAGATTCTTTGGCTTGCAACCTCCTGCATGCCTTCGTAAGATGTGTTGCCAGGGGCTGCTTGCTCTCCCCACCCCCCAGGCGCTTTGGCAGCATGCCTGGGGGGGTTCCCTCCTGTGGGACTCTCTTAGGATTGATGCTTGGTTCTTTGGATAATTTACAAGGAGCCCGGTGCGCGGCCAGACAATGCGCAGGGCAGCTCATCCGCACATTTATCTTGATACAATTTGCTAATTCTCTAGATTGCCGACTGCTCGCTGCCTTTGTGCAGGAAGACTTGATAATCATGATCTAATTGCTTGTACTTTTGCAAGTACCCCCCGGCCCCTAGATTGTGTCCCGGTGACAGAGGCTGGCGCGGGACATCCCTTCCTAGAAGTGCTCTCTTACAAAAATTGCTTCCAGGCTAACCAGCAAGTGTGGGCTGTGGCCCTGGATGGATTTTGTTGCCGTGCAAGGCTATACATGACGGGGTAGAGTGATTTGGACCGGTTATTCCTATCCTGATGAGGCATCGTTGAAGTGGGAGCACTGAACATGTTACTGCAATGGCAACCCGGCTTTTCCATTTTTTTGTGTTGACAAGGCGTGCCGGCCGGTAGCTTTGGGGATTGTTTCTGTACAGTGTGTTTTATGTTGGGCATAGTAGACTTGGGCACACATGCGCATGATCTCCTCAATTGAGGTATTTGAACCTAGTGCCTCTTGCACGACAACTTGACCTTTTTTTACCATTTTGGGGGGTTTGATGGGCAAGGAAGTTAGCAAGGCCATGCCACGTGTCTGTTGTGGGGTGACTTTAATGTGACCTGGGACCGGGATGACTTGTGATCCTTCACCGTGGTTTGTAATACGCTGGTTTCTGGGTGAGGGATCATTGATACTGTCCACTTAATGTGTTACGGGCATACCTGGTGGGCCCTAAGCAGGCTGTGGCAAGTGCTGTCACAGCAGCCCAGTGTATCGTCACATCATATGATCATACATTCTCACTATGGATCAGTGGCACTCAAGAGCTGATCAGGTGGCACAGTGCACACAGAAGCTGCATTGCGCAATCATGCAGTGCATGCACATGTACAGCAGCTGCAAACCATCAAGTCCTTGGCCATGCATGGCAACTCGGAGCTGCGCGAATGCTGCAGTCACTGGTGGCCACGGTGGCAGTAACGGCGTCGCGGTGACTCACCTCGCGGCACAGTCACAGTCCAAGTGCCACTCAGTGAGTCACGGTGACTGGCGTTGTGTTCAGCTACCAGCCATGCATGCTTACTATGATTGTGATAGTGTCCCATGTGGGCCAGATGTCAGGTCGACCTGATCATTGATCATCATGATATCACAGCAGTCTGAGGTCCCATATAGACTCTTAAACCTTCCCCCATGGGAGGAAGCCTTCTGACCTCACAAGTGACCCAGGGGAACAGATGTGGGAATTTTGACGTGGCGCATTTCTTGCGAGAGATTTGCTGCCCAGCGATGAGTCACTGACGGGTTGGGATGACTGAGTTACGGTCCACTTCCAAAATTTTGATTTGGGCGACAGTGTCAGTGCCAAAAGGGGAGCCAGATTGCGAGAGCAGTATTCGTCAGCGTCAGGGTAGAATCTGCTTCCGAAATCAGACTGCAACGGCTCATCCCAAAGTCGAGCGATTCCAAGGCCTATTGCGTATTGGAAGTGCTGGCCATCACTGATGTGAAATAGGCAAGACAGCCACGTGCTGTGTGAAAGGTTGCTGCAAATAAGTCACCAAGCGCCTCTGTGTAAAAGGAAACACCGCGGGGTGAATTCCTGGATCCGATGGCTTCTGACTCAGCTGGTCCATCAACAGTGGCAACAGCAGAGGAGCTTCAAAAGGTGTCTGAAACATATGAGCAGGGTATCCACCATCTACGGGTGAGTAGTGCGGATCCATTTGCAAAGCAGGCACATCGCTCAAGCCCATCCTTGAGCTTTCTTATGAACAGATCCGTTGATGGAGTTGCGACGCATTCCACTTTTGTATTATCTCTGATTTCCGTACATCGCCTCATACTCTGCAGGATGGCAAGATGGACCTCGCCGTGGAACTTCTGGGAGAAGCCTTACAGAATGCTATCAATGCACACGGAGGTCAGTGTTCCTCTGGTAACACCTGAGGTTGCACAGCAATGCTTGTGGATGGAGACCATTCTTGATGAGTCACAGCGGCCATTGCCGCAATCAGGACTGAAAATCTCGTCTTGCGCAGATCTGGCGCCCGAGTGTGCAAGGTTTTATCAGCGCTATGGTGAGGCGCTTTTCCAAAAAGCCCAAGCCGAGACCGACGTATTTGGAGCCTCCCTGCAGAAGACCTCACGAGAAAGGGATCAGGATGAAGATGAGGCCGCAGAGGAGGCTGGAGAAGAGGGCCGTGGCAAAGGTCAAGGTGCGACACCTCCCATGCCTGCCCCTTGACATCAGCATCTGAAGTGTTTATGAACAGCGACAACTATGGGGACCTGCACGATCTGCATTAGGGCAGTTCCTGAAGCACCGGTGACTTGCACAAACAACAAAAGGAGCATGTTTGTCACCATCAATGCAAAAGGCAGTGTGCCTTGTCTGCACGCTGTGCAACGGGACAGCGCGTGATGCACTTGAGGCTGTTGCACAGACAACGAGAAGGAGAATGTGGATGCCAAGGGCAAGGCGCCGATGGCAGAGGAGGACATTGCAGCAGAGGAGGAGGAAGGAGATGCGCAGGAGGATGCTGACGAGGACGAAGATGCAGAGGGGAGCGAGGAAGACGACAGCGATGACATGAAGCTGGCCTGGGAGATGCTAGAGGTCGCGCGCACCATCTGCCCACCAGACCAGCCCCTGCAGCTGGCAGGTGACGGTGTTTACTGCCCTTTCATTCTTCAGCTTTCCCCGCCATGTGCTTTTGTTTGGGGTTGCACAGCTGCCGTGCTCACATGCCACTGTGCAGCCTCGAAAAAACATTTACATGGCTGGAAAAGAGAAGATTCGTTGCCAACAATGCCAGAGACCTGCATGTGGCCAAATTTAAATGAAGCAAGCACAGCAACATCCGCTAATGGGGAAAATTTATGAGGCTGATGGAGGGTTGTGAACGGGGGAGCAGATGTGCTGATGCTACTGGGAGACCTAGGCATGGAGACAGAACGCTTTGAATCGGCCATGACTGACTACGAGCAGGCGCTGGGTCTTCTCAAACGCCACCTACAAGTGCGTACGCAAACAGATCAACTCTGCCACTGTGTCACGTCTGCCAGTGGCCCTTTTATCCAATGTCCCAAATTCTGTGGGCTCACTTCTCGATTGGTTCGGAGCCTGCCTGAGTCACCACTGCTGGGTGTGACGGGGCACGAAAGCACACTTTGCAGTACGCTCTGCGGCACATAGGTCTGACAAATGGCAATGCATGCCCACTGTGAGCAGTTCGACGACCGGCGCATCGCGGAGGCGCATTACAAGCTGTCGCTGACGCTGCACTTCCTGGACAACCCCGAGGACGCGCTCAAGCATGCGCGAGCGGCTGTTGATGTCTGCAACGCCCGCATCGCCAGCCTCACCCCGGCAGCCGCCGCTGCCACCGCGCCGGCCCCTGCCGGGTCAAGTGACGCGCCGGCTGCGCAGGATGCAGCTCTGGCGGTGAGCCGCTCCTCAAAGAAATTGAGTTGTAAGGCGTGTGGGCGGCAGCACACACCAGTTCTTCGCATGTGCTGCTGTATTTAGCTTCAAGCAGTCTAGGCAGCTCCTGGGGCAGAAAAGTACTGGGCTGATTGAAGCCGGAGAGAATGGTTGGGGTCCTGGAGCTTTACATCGATGATGGGGATCCTTTCAGACAGTTGCAGGTAGCTGAGATGGGGTCACCATTGTCTTTTGAGCTGTTGTGGGTGCCCGCAGGCGCAGAGGGAGACAGCTGATCTGAAGGGCGTTTTGGGAGACCTGGCTGCCAAGGTTGAAGAGCTGGAGGGGGCGGTGCGCGAGAATGAGTCCACCAGAAATGCGCTCAAGGCCGCCTTCTCCCGCCTGGCTTCCGCGCAGGTGGGTTGGCTTTTTATTTCCAGAGTGGCGTTCAGTCTCTTTAACCTGGCATGCCAGAGATCATGCGAATGGTAGAGCGGTATATATGCGTAGCAGTCTGTGCTAGAGTGCTTTTTTCAGAGTTGCGAGCTCTATGGATGTGTCTGTCTCCGACTATGAGCAGATCAGAGAATCCCATCGTCATACAAGATTGGACACCAATGAAGGAGCCTCTGCCTTGCACCTTTGTCCAGGCTTTGACAAAGCCTGGGCAAAGGTCTCTGAGGCAGGAATGGCAGTGACAGGTTAAAGCTCTGCGCAGGGCAGCAGCGCCAGGGACAGCGGCGGGTCCAGCTCAGCGGCGGCCGGCGCGCAGCCGTCAGGGGGCGTCATCAACCTGGGGGTTGTTGGCCGCGGCAGCAAGCGCATCAACCTGCAACCCATCTCCGCCACAGCCGCCCCCTCCACTGGTGCGCATCCCCACGTCAATATGCTTTCCAGCAGCCACATTTGAAGTGCCGTGTGCGACTTCATGGGATGCATGTATCTTTGCAACCAATCTATCGCATAGCGGCGCCCCAGATGTGGTGTCAGAATGAGAGCACTGGGACAGTGGCTGCGACATGGCTGCTCAGGCAGCATTCACTGAGGTGTACACAAAGATAGACTGCAGACATTTGACATTGTGGTCGCAAGAGATGAGGGACAGAGCTACCTCGCAACTGAAGATCGTGCAACAACAACACAACAATACTTCGGCTCAGGAATATTCTGCGGCGCAGATGAAGCGGCGCCGAAGCAGAAGCGCTCGCTGGAGGACATGATGGGCTCAAGCGCTGCAACCACCATCGGCTTTGGCGCGCCCATCAGCATACCGGCCGGCTTTGGGGCTGCCGGCCCCTCCGCACCATCGACAGCCGCTCCCTCACTTGCCGGTGAGATTCATTTTCTGCTGTTGTGCTTGCCTGAAGTTTTGGTTTCTCTATCATTTTCGTCGTATGCAACATCAATACTTTGGTGAGACTCTCTTGGTATAGTACTCCACGAGTTGCAATGAAAGAGAACAAGCACAAGCAGCATGCTCCTCTGTGAGTGAGGCATTCAAAGGCAAGCAGGGCCGCTCATGTGTAAGCTGCGTGGAGGGGAACGACCACGTCTGCGATTTCCTGCGGGCTGAGAGGAGGCTGTGGATCGCAGGGAATGTGGCCAAGAAGGCAAAGGCTGAGCTGGAGGAGTGTGTGCAGAACGCACAGAAGGAGCCCAGTGCTGGGGCGGCTGCCGCCGCAAAGCCGGCGGCACTGCCGGCTTTCTTGCAGACTTCATCTTTGGCTGCTTTGTATGGCAGTGGCCAGGAAACCAGCGTAGATGGGAAGGGACAGGCAGACATGCCTGCAAAGAGTGAGGCCAGCTAGGCCTTGAAAGTCAGAGAGAATTAAAAGCTGATTTCGGCTGTAGGCATGCAGTCCACCGCGGCAATAATCTACCGTTTGACTAAGGGTGTCAGCCGCAGAAGGAATGAAAACTTGAAGATGGGAACACTGAAGACTCTTTCGATCTTGCCATGTGTTCAAAACACAGCCGCTGCCGCAGTGGCAGGAATGGTGTCGAATTTAATTGACCTGCCTTTATGTTCCATTTCAAAGTGGTGGTTTGAGAATAGGGTGATACTAGCAAACAATTATAGCCTCTTGAGTATATATCTCCTAAGATCAGATGATATGGATACAATATGTTTTGATCAATCTTGAGGCCTGTACGCAGGGCTTCGAGTTTTAAAATGTCCGATAGCTGAGTCATGACCGATTATGATCAGCGATTGCTTGCAAGCCGGATGTCAAGCTGAGGTCACCTTTGGCAAAGGCATTGTAATTCAGGATTCCACATCATTGTGCGATACACTGGCAACCTGTGAGATCAGGGGGAGTAACTCTAGGAGAACAAGAGTCATCTAGGTCTCTAGTTCTACTAGAGTTACTTCCCCTGGTGGGATTGAATGACAATTGGCTTCCCTAGCTTCCCCTTCAATGGAAGCTGGCCGCAGCAGCTGCGCTGCAGCGCCCCATCCGACTCATAGCAGAAGAAGCTGCAGATTCCCTTTCTTGAGCCTGAATCACGCTGTGGTCCATACGCATATTGAGTCAGTGCGTAATTAACAGTCTGATCTTGAGGGTGCGCACTGACGTTAGTTCGTTGGGTCAACACCACGTCACCATGGCTTCACAGAATACCGCTAAGAAAGAAATTGAGTACTTCACAGTGCCGCCAGAACGCTATATTTCAACTCCCACAGAGGTTCTGACAGATGATTTGCTGGGTACGGCACCCACTTAGTCTCCCACACTGGCAAGGATTGCAACGAAAGGGAGGCACAAATGAAGGGTTGCCATGATGCCTAACAGTGCTTACAGCAGGGTTGGCCCCAAATAACATAGTTGTTAAGAGAATACGAACTGTACCTGTTGAACCTGTAGGGAGCATCACGAAATCCAAAGGAAGCCAAGAAAAAGAGAGCGTGCTCAAGCTGGCCCGCCTTGTAGACAGCATCTCGCAATTCGAGTTTGCAACCATCCGGAGGTGAGCAGGGCAAAGCTTGAAGCGTTTGGTGCTGTGCATCCCCCTCCATTGCTGTTTGTCCCATGCGTCTTGAACATGCTGAGCATCGCCAAGACACACTGCAAAGACAAGTGCCACTGGCGCAGGCGCATCAACCAGAACTTCCTGAAACTGGCAGCTGCTGACAGCGGGAGGCAAGTGCCTGCACGCGTGGGCTCTGGTGAGGCCCTGCGCAATTTGCACCCCAACCACATTGCTCAGCTCACCATGCTCACCACGCTCAGCTCGTTCCTCTTGTTCTCCTCATTCAGCAGGCAAAAGCTTTGCTGTCCAACCAGCACCCGGTCATACAGCATGCTTGGTCATGCATCATGTTACTATAAGATACGCTGAGAGATCTCATCATGCTTTGGTTGTGCAGCGGGCCCAACAGAGGAGGAATTGGACGAGATGGAGATGACGTTCATGGAGGACGTGTGGCAGCTGATGCAGGCTTCCCACTTCCGCCTGCTCAGCAAGGAGGACTGGGAGACCGCACAGGAGGAGCAGTTCACCGTGGGCCCCCACCATCTTTCCAGCACTGCTTATAGGCCCCATCAATGTCCCTTGTGTGTGCATGCAAAGCTAGTGCAATGCTGTGAAGGGGGGCAGCAGTATGCTGTGAGCCTCATCATCTCTCCACCACTACTGATGGGCCCCAATGGTCCAACGAACACGCCTGCCCTGCAGATTACCCTGTCATGCATGCCATGCAAGCGTGACATACGTGATCATTTTCCGGCATGTCACGCGGTTGTGCTGGGGCGATGCTCAAGGGTTGGGTAGGCCCAGCATGTGTGCTGAGACACAGTTTAGAGCAGCAGCTCATAAAGATTGCTCATGCGCACAGTTCAATAGCCCCGTGGAGGTCAACTGGAACTACATGGACGGAGAGTTGCTGCACCGCTTCTGGGCCAGCCATGAGGAGGAGCGCGCCGGCGCGGCATCCATCGCTGACCGCGTCCTTGTCTTCCACCGCGGCATCTCCACCGTGCGCGCCCTTTTCCTGCTCAGTACTGCATTCCCTTTCTGGCTGCTGTGAAAGCTCTGTGCTCATGTTATAGGGAGTTCCTTGCCAGTTTTGATGCCATTGTGTGACCCGCTCCGATGCATGCATGGACTCCTTGCCTGCTCTATTCTCTGCGCTGCCTTTGTAGCTCATAGAAGAGGCCAAGAAAGGGGTGCTTAGCAGCGCACACGTCTGGGTTGCACCTCGAGTGACCAGTCCTGGTCATGCCCATCAAGCCTTCTTCTGATACTATACAAAGGAAACGCTGGTGTGCTGCTGGGTCTTGAGGGTCTGCTGTGTTGCATTGCAGGTGAGGGCTGAGGGGCAGTACATAAACGACAAGATAGACCTGCTGGTGCAGTACCTGTTGGTGGACCCCTTCCAGGCGCTCTACACGCGCATCTTCAAGCGCAAGGCGCGGACCACCTCCTTCCCTGACTCCTGCGACGCGCTCATTTCCTGAAATCTCATGATCCCAGCATGTGACGGACTCGCCCTGCTGAGGAAATACAGATCAAAGGCATAGCATGCAATGTGTCCAGATCGGTGGGATCAAAGTGGTCACATGAGTGCCGAAAGATGTCACCCTGCTGAAGTCTGAAGCCACAGGTATAACAAAACGAAGCAAGGCAGTGTGCAATTAAAAATGTGGTCACTTAAAACCTGGCACTTTGAAAACATGAAGGTACAAGCAACAAACAGGTTCTAGTCTCCAAACAGTCTCGCACAAACAATTGGCCTGGCTGGATTCGCAGGCAAAGCTGCATGTGGCTCTGGAGATGGGGGACTCTACTGGGGACAAAGGCTACAGCCTGGGCAAAGGACCCCCCGCTACAGGCGTCAAGCCCGACAATAGCATTGAGCTGTCGCGCAGCGTTGCCGATGCGCACAAGCCCCACGCGGCGAACAAGGGCGCCAACGGTACAAATGAGGAGGATGCCCGCTTGCAGCACTCCGCCGCACAGGTGTGTGACTCCTTGCCTTTGTTCAATTTGTGCCTGTTGGGATGCACGCCCAACGTCACAGGTCTCCTTGGTCTTTTGCATGTGCATGGCTCAGGGACAACACCATGGTGAGAGCACAATCTGGAATTTGAAATGTGACGTACCCCTGTCATCTTTCAAAGTGTTCCCTGGTCGCCCGCCACATGGCAGCCAGCATTTCAGCTTGATCATATTATTCAATTTGAATTTGAAAGACAATGTGTTTGGCCCCTGCTGAGGTGCGGTGCGCGGCGCAGACGGTGCAGCGGCAGTCGCTGCGGCGGCTGATGCCGGACGCGGCGTCGGTGCTGCGTTGCATGTTTGCGACGCTGCACATCCAGGAGCCGGCCTTCAAGGATGTGGTCGTGCTGTATCGGCGCAAGGTGGCCTCCACTCCCCAGCGCAAGTCCGAGTACGAGCCAATTCGCAGCCACAACCTGGTGCGCCCCCCGCCCCCCTATGACCCTATGCGCTGTCGACCAGGCGCTGCTGACTAGGTGGTGCTTATCAAATTGCCATGCGGTGGGGTTGGCAATAGACCTGTCATTGAGGAGCACCCAATATGCGCATGTTGAAGGACACTGTGAAGTATACTGTGGGTCTGTTGTTTCTGATCTGTATATTTGCTGCAGGTCTGCCTGGCAGGTTTCCAGTAAACAAGCTGATATAATTTCTGCTGATTATAATTTCCTGTATGCATTCTTGGCGGGTAATCTTTCCTTTGTACACTGTGCCTCTGCCGGTGTGCCCCATGATCCCCTGCCTTGCTGACTGCCACGCAACGGGGGCAGAGTCAGGAATCATGTTCCAAGCACCCAGTGCCCCCTGTGAGAAACTTGTATGGACGGGAGGTTCATGAAGGCGGTTTTGACAAGGCATCACATGAATGTAGGTGGCAAGTGAGTGGGGCTGCATGTATGAGCAATTCGGTTGACTTTTTCAATGTACTTCTTATGCAGTAAATTAGTACTGAGTTGTGCCCCCTTTTGCATGCAGGCGCTGGAGCGGCGCAACGTGCACATAAAGCGGTTTGCGGAGATCCCGATGGCTGACGTGGAGATGGTGTTCCCGGACAAGAAGATCTACCTCAAGCCCCTGCTGCTCATCCAGCTCGCCATTGCCATCATCGGCGGCATCATAGCAGCCTTCACCGCCCTCCTCTCGGTGCGTTTGCTCCCAGCCGCATGACTGTTCTTTATGGAACATCAAACAAATGTAGGCATCAGCGTCCTTCCTATCAACACAAAGATGGGTTTTCTGACCTGGTGCATGACTATGGAACACCTGGGCAGCCCTAAGCTGGACAGCTTCCGATCATTGGTGGTGGAGCACGCTGGGGGATGCTTGCGGGCGGGGAAGAGCCGGCAGGGCCGCTAGCAATGGGTAGAAGTTTTGATGCGCATAGGGATAGGTTGCAGTTTGGGCAATCCCAGGAAGGGTGTATTGAAGGGCGCTTTGTGCTGTGGGCGCAGGGCAAGATGAGCGCGCAGGTGCTGCTGACAACACTCAGCGTGGCGGGCGGCCGCGCAATGCAGGTCTACACAAGCGCCAACTTCACTCGCGCCCGGGTGAGGCCTCATTCCTTGGCTCACACATCCCTGCGCCTTGTCAACCATGCATTGCTTGCATGGTTGATTATGCCCTTGCGTTGGTACTCCATCAGCGGATGCTTCAGACTGACATGGTTCAGACCCATGAATGCCACCCGAAGCCCAGCACTATCCAGGCCGCAGCTCGGGTCTCCAAGTGGACGCACACTTGCAGACACACCCGCTGCAGCTGCAATTCTTGAGGTAGACTGCTAGAGAGGAAGAGTTTGAGGTATGATGTGGGTGCTGGTGTGTGTGCAGGTGGTGGACCAGGTGACTCAGCAGCTGTACGAGCAGATGATGGACACGCAGGAGGGCGTTGTGCATCTGTTGCTGGAGCAAATGGCGCAGCAGCGCATCAAGGAGTACCTGCTAGCCTATGCCCTCCTCCTCACCAAAGGTACATGCGCGCACTGTAGCACATGGCAATAGGAGGGAATTAGTCATGTGGCTGTTCTGCCTGTCTTGATGGCTCTTCTTTGGCCAAGGAGGGTAAGAAGGTTGCGGCTGTTAGTTAAAGATTTCTTTGAGACAGAGTCATGCTTTTCATCAACGAGATCTCTCTCGAGGATAAGACTCTGGACATGCATGCAGGCCTTGCATTGCAAGGCCTGCATGCATGTGGTGCCATCGACGCCTTCACCCCATTGAGGGTAGCCTTCATGTTGTAAGGCCGTGCTCGTGCTGCTGTGGACAGCCGTGATGATGGCTGCGCAGCGGATGCGCCGGCGTGCGTGGCTTTGACCATCCTTTTATTTAGGCCTGATACTTCTCTGAGAGAATTCTGCTGGTGGCTAACCAGTGGCTGGCCCTAGCGCTGCAATCACCATGCTGACATCTTGTGTCTTGACTGAAGCCAGTGCGCACTGGCCTGGCTACAGCAATTGCAAAGATGTCAATGTGGCCAAGGGCGACCTGGGCCAAACTGACAGGCCCAGCACCTGAGCATTGTTTGGGATGTTGCCTGCCCTCAGATCAGCCGCCATCCATAAATTTGGTGCATTTGCGAATCATACAAGCTGATTCTTTTCGGCGTGCGCTGGGAAGCTTGAGGGTTCAGCTTTGACTAGTGAGGGTACTACTAGTCTTTGGTAGCACTTGCATGCAAAGGTCACCGCAGAGACTGAAGCATGGTTCTTGTCACCAAGTATTAAATTCTCTTTGTTAGTCATTACAAGCCATGTTCTCACTTTCATGCAGGGCGAGCGCTGAGTCAGCAGGAGTTGGACGAGGAGTGTGAGGCGTTCCTGCAGCAGCGCTACGGCGAGTCGCTGGACTTTGCAATTGAGAACTCGCTGCCCTTCCTGCTGCGCGACGGCCTCATCTCCCGCAACGCCCAGGCGCGTCTGCTCCTGCACATGCTTCACACGACCGGACAGTTCTGCTGCGCGCATGCATGCAACCTTGCCTGCATGCGTGGCTGAAAATGTGGTAGAGGCTGGTTGAGGTGCAGCCTGATGTCAAAGACGACAACACGCATGCATCCGATATTTCCACCGCAATTTGGCTGGCCCAGCAGTCCCGACGAGGCCACATAACGGACTGTCAGCTCACAATTAAGCACTGCTGGGGCGATAAGGGAATGATGACCTTTTCATATATGAGGCGGCAGCTTGTGACATTGGGTTGAGATTGCCTGAGTATGGCGACTAAATTGTGGTGTGTTGGAGAGGTCCTTCCGGCACGGCTGCCCTTTGAATAAAGTAAATTCTTTAGAGTTCTAACTTTGTGGTCTTGTTGCACAGGGGCTGTTGGAGGCGGCGCCCCTGGATGTGGCGTGCAGCCGGCTGGGCAAGAAATGGGACGACTGCTTCGTTGAGGAGGACGATGCAGAGGAGGAAGAGAGTGAAGCCGGCGGTGGCCAGGAGGCTCCCAGCGGCCGCAAGAAGCGGCGCTCTCTCTTCAGCAAACTGCGGCCCAGCCACCGCTCCCTGGTACGGGCACTGCACCCCTATTTGGTGCATCATATCATCATTGGAATATGGTGAAAATGCTTCACATGTGCATGTTTCCCTGTAATTGCAACATGCCAGCAGGGCCTCTATGTGGTCTGCAAAGGTAGCAAAGCCAATGGATGCAGTGAATGGTGCAGCAGCAGAGTCTGTCTTCAGTACCAATTGTACAAATGCCTGCTTGTGGATTGATCAGGAGTTCATCGGCATGGTACCCTTTGCATCACAATCTTTACTCCAAACTCGTCACTTAGCTTGCTTCGTTTTCCTGTTCTCATGCTACACTAGCAGGGCTTTGGTGAGATGCAGACAAGCAGTGGTGTCCAAAAATGGTATGAATGCTGCAGGCTCAGGAGCATGCGCCAGTAAACACAGCACCGGCAGCAGTCCCGAGCGATCCAGTGTCGACAGCAGTGGACAAGAGGGCTGGCGTCATCACAGTGGAAACGCCGCCCCCGGTCGATCCATCCTCTCTCACCCACCGCGCAATTACCCCTGTGAGCCCCTTACTCTCTGCTTCACAGTCTTGCATTTCTGCATGCATCCATGCTCACCAATAGCAGAGGTGCAACACGGGAGAACACAGGCTTATTCTGGGTCAGTCCCGGTGGTGGCATAAGCAGATCATTTGATCCAATGCCACAGTGGCAATCTGGAGCACCTTGGGGAAGCACCCGCTTGAAGGTTCTGCAAGGTGTCAGAGTGACAGCGAGGCTCTTCTATGAAGCTCATTGTCAGATTGAGGAGTGCTGTTGCAGGATGGTGGAAACGCGGCGACTGCAGGGGAGGAAGAGGGCGGAGAAGATTCTAAGCGCAAGAAGATGAAGGAGGGGCTGGCATCGCTCTTTGGCAAGGCTCCCAAGAAGGACCAGTGAGGCTTGCTGCATTCTGAGAGACGTGCACAGGAAACCAGAATCAGCTCAGAAGTTACGGAAAGGGATCATGTCTGAATTTAGAGATTCCTTCATTTGTACGGTCATTGTGATCTGCATGGCAACAGCTGCAGCCGGGCTCTTACTTCGCCTTGAAGAAGACTCTATCGGACACTGCCAGAAATCAATCAATTAACTGGGGCGCCGGCGCAACCAGTCTTGGCATGCTCTAGCAAGCGCCAGCACGTGGTCAGCTGGCATAGTATGCAGCGTCAGATCAAGGTACCGATTGTAGCATATGTGTTCTGGTACTACGTTTAGTACAGGTATGAAAAATTTATTACAGTCACGACTCGATCCAGGTATTTAGAGTTTAACAGTATTTTCAGATCTGTGTATGTCTTGGGATCTCTAGACATCTGCCAATGTGTTGTAGCGTCTGTAACATATCGGGGTGTTCAGCATGCATCCCACAGGATTGAATAGCCAGGGCAATGCATTGCCCAAAGGCTTGCCCAAACGTTGCCCTCTGCCTGCCCAGTTGCCCCTAGGAAGGGCAAGTCCATCTGCTCCGTCTGTCAGTTGAAGTCAGAATCACGTTGAAGATCAAATAGCCAGATATTTTGTCTTGGCTACTCACGAAAGCGAAGCCACTTCCTGTAGAGATCATCCTCGGTGTGGCCCGAAGATCTTCAAGCTGAGTGATCAGGTACGCTCTTGGTTCCTAATTTCCCCGTCATGCTGGGTCCTTAAATTCACCGTTTTGCAGAAGGCTTGATGACACAGAGCTCCATCTGAGATTCCAGTGAAATACATCACAAGACACAAAGACCAGGTTGGAAAAGTGTTTTGCTGGAATAGGTGAACACGTCCGGCAGTCTCAGAGCGAAGAGGAAACTCCGTCACGTTCAACGAGCAGCAAGTCAGGTTGATCCCGCGCCGAAAAATTCCCAGCACGAGAACACCATATCCCCGATGAAGCCACCTCATGGTTCTTCTATGCGAGGGCGTCCTGGTGCGTTTTCCTGGCAACTGATATGCTTCCTGTACAAAAAGGATCAGCTTTGCGTTTATAGCCTATTGAGCTTGGAAGCATCAGTAACAGCCTATTGAGCTGATTATTCAACCTATGAAACCTTCCTTTTGTGCTGGAGACCTGTCTGGTATTGGTCCTGCAGCATGACAGGACCTTGCATCACCTCTTCGTATTGATATTCTCTTGCACTGTCTTCTGTGGCACTTTCCAGTCTGGCCCCTCACCAGCGCTGGCTTGCTGTTTCAGGCCCATCAGAAGAAGACAACGGGGACTACATGTCCCTGCTGGAGCTGGGCCAAGAGCAGGACTTGATGGACATCCCAGACCTGGGACAGTCCCCACAGCCTGACAAGAAAGTGGACGCGGACTTCTTCAACAGCTTCCAGGATGACTTTGATGAGGACGACATGCGACCCACCACTTAGCAAAACTGGAGGAAGAAATTTGCCATTTTGTACCAAGGCCTGCATGGCTCTGATGCAGGTAACATTCTACAGCTTCGTAGGTCTTGCACAGGTTTTTGCATGAAGTGAGGTGAAATGGTCAGAGAAATTGCATAGGATCCTCCAAAGGACAAAGTCATGCTGTGGTGTTGAGGCCGCACTAGATCAGAAGGCCGACAGGGCCAGCAACACGGCATTGCGCAACACACCCACACGCATGCAAGCTGTTTTCACATATTAGCGAGGTGTCAATTGTCTTTAATGTACACTAGTGTACACAAGAACATCTAGATCGGGGCAGCCATGCTATTAAAGGCCGCCTTGATTCAGTCTAAGACTTCAATCATTGAATTCAATGCCCAGTCATATGTGAGGCATGTGCTGGATTACAATCAGTCTTGATTAAGGCCAAGTGCTAGAATGTCTGCTATTTCATGCAGGCATGTCTTTAGACACCAGAGCAGCATCTAGCATCAAGATAGACTCTGGAGCTGCTTGAGGTGTCTACCGCAGGACTGTAATCTTCATCGCCATACATGTTCAGTTGAAGAGATTCATGCAAATGCCAGTAGATCATTTCCAGGTGCTGACAACTGATTGCACGCACATGCCTGGTACCACAAGCAGTGCTTACTGGTCATTTTCATACTGTGCTCCTAGGCTGGAATTTTGTTTTATTGTGGTTGTACGATACTCACCTTGCAAGGCAGCCCTTCCCATAGTCTCTGGAGCTTGCTCTGTCTTGCTGTCTGCATTCCTTCTGCACTATATTCTCTGCTTCATGACTTGAGGTCTTCATCAGGCACCTCAATGCCCAAGATACATTTGCGCATTCAAGAGAGCTGAGGAAAGTACAGAATACAACTTACACAAGAATAAACACACCGGCACGGAAGCATCATGAAAGCAGTCTCATCATACGCTTTCTGCACGATTTTGCACGCTCACTCAAATGAATTAGCAGACTGAAGAGCTTCTTGCAGAAACGTTTCTGTCTCTCTTGTCATGCCACGCCGCGTGATAGCACTCAATCTCCTACTCGAATGTTCCAGGCAATCGCAATATAAGAATCACCCTGTTCGGAGTAGCAGCTATCACTGCTGCCGCTCCTTTGAGCGCCGCCACTTGAGGGAGGAATTTCCCTTCCCATGGGCTAAAAAGGCTGCGAATGCCCAATCGCCCCAGAGGTTTTGAGGGGGATGCACCCCTCACCATGGGCCCGCGCATTACGCATGCTCCTGATAGCCAATCGCCCAAACATCTCCACTGCCGCCGGTTCTTTGCATGCCACTGTTCTGGGGCGATGCTTTTGTCTGCACAAGGCACATGCAGGCCACAGGCCCCAGGTAGCACATCGCCCAAAAAATGCCCCACACTGCCGCCGCTTCTTTGTGTGCCACTAGGTAAGGATGATGCTTCTCTCCCCATGGGCCCGTGCATAGCGGATGCAGGCCAACGCCTTCGCCTGAAAGCGCCCTTTACTGGCGCCGCTTCTTGGCGTGCCACTGGTCGAGCGGGAGCGCCTCGAGCCGGGGCATGATACGGCGGAACCACAGGAAAAGCACCGCGCCGACAATGACAGCGCCATAGGAGAGCGCGTAATAACCATCGCGACTAACCGCGCACTCGCCGCCCGCGCGCGTGCAGGCGTTGCCGGCGCGGCCGGCCGTGCGCGAGTGCGGGCATGCATGCGCGGATAGCGAGGGGTCCGCCCCCACACAGGTGCGCGCCGTCAGCAGATCCACCAGCGCAAACAGCATCAGCTTTGGCAGCACCACACCTGCATTGAGAAAGCCATAATATTGGTATGGGAGCGCAGTCCGATGGCCGCGCGTGTTGCGTGGAGGCATAACATACAAAGAGCACCACCTTTGGCAGCACGACTACTGCCAAAACCCCATCTTACCCCAGTCAGCACTGAGAAGAAGTAGGGCGTTTCAAATGCAGAAATGCAATCACAGCCAGGCACAGATGAGTCAAGATTGGCGAGCCCCTTGCAGAGCGTATGGCCAAGCGTCAATTGCATCGCCAGACATTGAGGCGCTTGATGAACACAACAAGCAACTGAGGTTGCACAGGCTTCCAATAGCGTGTCACTGTGGCACGACTGCCAAGCATGGGAAGACATAAGGAATGCCAAGGACTCAGTTGAGAAGCAGTAGACACTAGTACCAAAACAGCGGCGCACCCATGTTGGCGATGGTGTTGAGGAGGGTGAGGTAGGCGCCGCCCATGTCGGGGTCGCTGATGCGGTTGTAGAAGCTGCCCAGCGCCGTGAACATGAGCGTCGACGTGAACGAGGTAACTAACCCCGCCGCCGCCAGCGCGCCAAACCACCACGGGTGGTCCCCCAGAGAATTCGCCCCCGAGGGGAACTGGTACACCTGCACACATGCGCGCAAAATTAGCCAATCTTACAGTATACGCGAAATTTGTGCTCGCCTCCCGTCTTGTGATACTCGATTTGCTAGCCCCCGCCCAGTCCGCCCAGTACCATGTGATGCCGACGATGAGCGAGCGGCAGGACGTGGCCTGCCCAAATCCAAATTGAGCCCAGGAACAGGGGCTGGGGAGAGCGAAACACCAGCAAAGTTACAGATAGATGAAGATCAGAGAAATGCATACAATCAAGCAAGTGCCCATGCTGCCACATCCGTGAGGTCACCTGGTCCCCGGCGTCCAGGGGAGGCATGCCTGGCAGCAGGGGAAGGTATAAATGACAATGCGAATCAAAAACGGAGGCAAGTGGACGGTGGGGAGGGGCGCACGATGGCAGTGACGACGGCTGCCATGACGAGGCGGGCCTGGTAGCCGAAGAGCCAGGGCTTGAGGGGGCTGCTGCTGGCCGCCCACCGGCCCGCCACCACCGCCGAGACCAGCTCGCACGGAAACTCTATCAGCACCTGCATGCATGCAGCGATGTCAGAACAGGGGAACCGCTGAACAGATTGCGTTGGCCATTTCCCTCGCTATGAGACATGCCTGCCTCCTCACTCCCACTTTCAAGATCCAAAGAAAAGGCGAAAACGCTCTCTTGCCGTGACAGCAACACTTTTGCGTGAGCAAGCAAGTCCTGCACAGAGGGCTCCTGGTTCTCTTGCATGCAAAGACCATGGTGTCTGAATGGAAGATCCTGGAAGAACAACGAGATTGTGGAGATGAGGGCAACTCATTTCATATCTACGCAGGAGACGTTAGAACCCTTGATTCCTTGCAGGAACGCCCAAACATTTACATACATATTTTGAGAGCGCAAAAGCAAACAGAAGAAGGATGCAGAAAAACTGCGGGGCGGCGCACCAGGCCGGCGAGGGCTTCTTTGGAGACCCCCTTCTCCAGCAGCTTGAGCGGCGCGGCCAGCTCGGCGGGCAGCATGCCCAGCCTGAAGGCCAGCAGCACCAGCGCCAGCTTGCGCACCGCCGGCAGCCGCACCACGCTCCACAGCTGCCCGTATGCCTCCCGGATCCCCACCTCACGCTCCTCTCCCTCCCCCTTGCCATGCGCCTCCCCGTCCTCTGCGCGCAGCCAATTAGAAACCCTTTAGCATGGCCGCAGACTGCCCAGGAAGCAATTTCCTCGCATGCTGGGGTATTCAGCAGCATCAGCAGTTCAAACAGATATTGGAGTCTGCCCACAGCCGGTCTGAATTCCGCTTAACCCAGCCACAGACCGTCCAGGAAACAAATCCCTTGCGCGCTTGCATTCCGGGCAAAATCAACAGCAACAGTGGGTCACACAGTGATTGACGTCGATATGTGGCTGAAGAAGGCTGCAGCCTTGCTCTGTCCAGGCCCGTGGCGCACCACACAAATGCGCATCAAAATTGGCGGAGAACCAGGCCTTGTGGTTATTAGGGAGATTAGTCATGCCAAGGAGGCTGTGGCGCACCCATGGCGGGGAAGTTGAACTCCCGCTTGAGCGCGGCGATGAGCAGCGTGGCGGCCGTGTAGGCCCAGCCCCAGGCGCGCAGGTAAATGGCGAGCGTCAGGTGGCCCTCCGGCGCGGGGCTGGCGCGCAGGTACTTGTTGCAGAAGTCGGCGTCGTTCAGCGCCAGGAACACCGTGAAGGAGGAGAAGTAGCCGATATTCATGCCCACCGTCTGGCACGTCGACGCATACCTGCGGTGCATTGGTGCAATGGCTTACAATTGGCTTTCAGAATCCCCTTCCCAACCAATCTCTTGTCGGGAGGTGTCTCTTCCGCAGTCAATGCGTGGAGACCATTGCACTCTGATGAAAGACTCTTGATGATTTATTTATGCTATTCTGTTGCTGAAACTAGCCAACCAATTGTGCTTGATAGCCCCAAATATCTAAGAATCTGAAGGGTGATGCATGGGAGATCAGGCTTGCATGCAAGCATCCGCAATTCGTAAAAGCACAATGAGCCCGGCAAGATGCCTAAGAAAATGGAATTTTCGGAGTGGCAAGAAGCCCCACCCAATGTGGTGCCTGGAAAGCAGCGTAAGCGCCCAGCCGTCCACAGCAATGTCCTGTGTGGCGGCGAGCAGCACCAGCACAAAGAACAGAGACGTGATAGACACAATATCCGCCTCCTTCAACCGCTGCTCCGCCCAGTCAGCGCTCATCAGCATCAGCGCCGCACTCGCTAGCTGTATCGGCACCTGCATGGCACCATTTCCGAGTTTTGAAGGTTTGCCTGATTGCAAATGACTGCTTGATCGCCAGCCCTCTGACGTCTAACACACCATCTCCTCTGCCCACCCAGCCATCAGTACATCATGGAGGCAGTCAGATATTAAGGGTCAGGGCGAGTCCAAGCAGTCCTGTTGCAGGAAAAGTTCGCACCACCCAGGACTTCCGTCGCCCAAATGTTCTGGAGTACACCGAGTCAACGATGGGGCTCCACAGCAGTTTGAAGGAGTATGGATAGCTGGCCAGGCTGAAGATGCCAATTGCAGTGTAGGATGCATTGGCTTGCAAGAGGAACGGCCTGCGATGCACACAAGCAAATGAAAGCTAGAACCTCAGCTTGAATAGACGCATGCGCTGATGGTGACTGGTGCTATTCATAAACTGACTATGAACTGCAGGGAAGGAGACTGCTTACATGCTGCCCAGTGTAAGACCCAGCGGCACTCCTTGCATAGCATACAGCATCACAAGCAGCGCCATGTTTGGCATCTCTCCTCTCAAGGACACCTGTATGTAGCAGAAAGACACGCTTGACGAGTAGCATGTGAGTGCAGATGCTCCGAGCCCATCGGCTCGGATCTTTGAACATTGCAATTACCATGTGGGGAATGCACATGAACACTGAGACTGTCCTCCCCTCAAGAGGTGTCCTAGCTTCACTCCAATTGCTGAGGCGCACCTTCGGCGTAGGAGTTCGGAGATTGCATTGTCGCCTGCTTAAACCCTCCTCTGCTGCTTCCACCGAAAGATGTGAGAGATCTGCTGTTCTTGTCCTCTTGGCCATTCTATTACGTGCCATCAACCACACTGAGCAGGCAGGTGGGGAGACAGTTGTGAGCTCCCCAGAGCGCCAGGATGCTAGACTTTCCGCGTCCTGACGAAGCCTAAGAGGATCTCTTGCTGTTCACTATAATCCTTTTGTGAATTCTTTTATAATCTCCACGAGACAGGAGTTTAGATGAATGATCAGCCGGCTCCGCTGACGGTAATTCCAAAGACTGCTCGCTAGGCTTGGTTTATCAAGTTGATCTCTTTAAGCTTAATGCATCGAATGCATATTTCCTTAAAGGGACCATTTTTGTGAGGTTCAAGAGTACACCCAAGGTGCAGGCACCGATCTATTAAAACAGTCGAAATTTCGAAAGCAGTTGCTTTAAAGACAAAACTTTACCAGGTTTAACTTGAGGGTATTAAGTTGGATGTATCACTATTGATTATAATATTTCAGCAAGAAGGAAAGGATGACGCCCCATCTGGCATTAACCCCGTTGATGTTTCGGGTGGATGACTCGGACGTCGACGGAGCAGTGAACCTCGGAAAACAAAGCTCGTCAAGCAAAACTGCGATCATTTCGCAGCATTCGGTCATGCAACCGCATGAAGCTGATTGGAAAAATAAGCGACATCGTGGAAGGCTGTTTTTAACATAGGTTCTCAATAAAAGTCTATCTGTTGCAGCTGTACCTAGTACCAATGCTGCAGATAGTCCCAGCGCTGATTCACAGCCACTTCGCACGTTAAAAACGTTTCTGGAGAGTCTCCAGCTAAAATAGGAATGGAGAGCCAGAATAAAACGGATCCTTCCGGAAACGTCTTTAATGGATACCTGACAGAGCAGGTGTTCCTCCAGCACTAATTTGTAATCCATTATCAGCCTCGAACATCTCAAAGAGGACTGAAGGTAACAATTCGCTATAAAAATTTCATTGCCGCATGATCAGGTATCGGAACCAAGCGGTACTAGGAATAAGCAGGAGCTCGACTCACCTCCTTTGAACCTTCTAGACCTACCTCATGTCGTGCTGGTGAGACTCACAATCCTTTACTTTCATCTATGGCATACCATCACGTGCTGATCTGCTCAGCATTGGTGAAGATCATGCACCTGCATGAACTAATTGGCTCCCTACCCACATCGCAGGAGCAGATATTGTCGCACTTGAATGGTGTGCGGGACATGGTTTCCGTTGCAAGCACTTGCACAACAATGGACAGCCTGATATGGAACAAGGACTGGCCCAGTATACAGACCCTGCGGCTTCGGCAGGCTGTCCCCATCGAAACACCTTTATGCTGGATACTGAAGCGCTGCAAATACTTGAATGAGGTTGACGCCAGTGGCTGCGGCCAAGTTTCTGACAACTTGCTGTTTGCGCTCTCAGTGCTGCCCATCAAGGTGCGGTTGCCTAAAAGTAAGTCACATTGTAAATTGATCCTGATGCCTTGGCTAGCTTGGCCTTGCATCCGCATCAGCGGATGCAAGTGTCACGACTGCTAAGAGCTAAAGCCAATTTGTACATTGGCATACAGATGGTGCAGCTGCTTGAGCAAATATAGAAGCGCATTTAGTCAAGGATACGGAGTCTCATCTCTCAAGGAAGTGCCTGCTCTACCTAAGTCGTGGCTTCGTTGTGTTCCCAGATTCTGAGGCTGAACGGATGTTGGCGACTCAGTGGCAGCTTCACAGCGCAAGATGCAATATGGAGGCTGGCCAGACACGGTAGTCTTGAGGTCCTGGACATTCGCAATACTGGCATAATCGTAAACGACCGAATGATGAGCGCTTTGAGCTCTTGCAAGAATCTGCGCGAGCTTCGCGTCCCTGAGATGACGTGCGTTCTCCACCCCTGCACTGCTGACATGCCAGAAATGTATGTCATTGACTTTTAGGATCAGTGTCTTAGGGCACAAAGGTAATTGCATGTACGTGATGGCCTGTCTGCGTGCCTGTAAACGGCGGCGTGATGGCTGCAGAGGCTTCTGGAGCAATGAGGAGAAATCCGGGCCTCGAGGGAATGAGTCGCTGTGGCCGTCCCTCACATGCATGGAGTTTGGCAGATGTTTGCGGCACCTGAGCCCTGTCAATGGAGGGGATACTCATTTTAAGACGCTGAGGAGCGTCAAGATCAGTGATTGTAGGCGTTGCGATTTGTTGCCACTGATAACACCAGCTCTCAGCGAACTATACATCAGCAATCTGCACATCAACAAAACGGATTTTGGCCTTCTGCTGGGCATTGTGGTGAGTCCAGTTGACGGTAGTATTGTTACTTTTTATGTCCCCGCCTAAAACGTGTTGGTTGTGCTTCACATGGAATCCACTCGCAGGCGATGGAGTGCTGCGATCTAGAGAGTCTGGTCTTGTCTGACTGTGCAAACATCTCGGACGCTGGCCTGGAACAATTGGCTGGGAGCTATGCGGTTCAATCTGGCAGGTATATTATTGCTTTCGATTTTAGGTGCTTGAGGTTGTGGACCCCTGCTAAAAATGCTGCATCATTACATGAATTGTAGTAAAGATGGGCTCATTGCCTCCTCCACTGCTTTTCTGCAGGCTGAAGCATATCACACTCTCAAACCTGCAGCAACCCACTAGCAAGGGCTTTGTAAGTCTGCTTCGTCAGCTGGCAGCCTGTAGCCTTCCTGTGCAGGCCTCGAAATTGTAAGATCCTCCCATCTCGCCTGGAGATTCTCATCTGTTCTAATGATGGCTTTCAATGTATGGGTGCCAAACGCTTTCACTGTGCTTGATGCAGGGAACAGGGTGATGGCTCTACTCAGGATGTGAGTCTGGACTTCTCAGGCTGTCCAAACATCGATGACAGCTCATTTGCTACCCTGACGAGGCAGTCTCTTCCTGGCGAAGCTCTTTTGGGCATCCAAGAGCTGCGGCTGTCTGATTGCTGGAGAGTGTCAGATGCGCTGCTCGCCAACCTGGCAGCCAATGGAACTCTTTGCCGACTGCAGGTGCGATGAGCTCTTTTCACATCATTCATGTGCCCCATCACTTCCACATCCTTAGCAAAGTTCTTCTCCACATGGCAGGCCTCACAATTGTGTTGGTTTAGCCTGGATCCCCTTTTTGATTACCTTCCCCACTGTTCTAGCTAAGTAGAATTGGTCAATTGAGAGGTCACAGGCGCTGACTGACACTGCAAATTCAGGTCCTGGACTTGTCCCACATGACTCTGCTAAATCCCGGACGCGGCCGGTCAGACGCAGCCGCGGGCATTGCTCAGGCCCTCTGTGCGGCAGTGTCGGCCGCCGGCAAGCACCTTAGGGACTTGAATCTGGACGATGCGCAAGTCAGCGAGGACGTACTCATGGCCATTGGCCAGAAGTGCAGCCAGCTCGAGTCATTGTCGCTGATTGGGTGCCGGCCCCTGTCAAATGCTGGCTTGGAGTCTGTCGCTGGGGGCTGTCCAGAGCTCACGAAGCTGTCGGTGGGCGGGCCGTCGTTCCACTGGAGGGAGGACAAGGGCCTGGCGGCTTTCAGGGGCCTCAAGCACCTTACCATATCGCGGAGAACCACCCTGTGCACAGACTCCAGCCTCATCAAGGTGCTTCAAGCTCTCACTCTGCTCATGGAGTTTCTGCATGCATCCGGCACCCTGGATGAACCATGATCATGACTGATGCACGCATGCTCATGCATGCATGTATGCTCACTGCACCTTCCAGCAACCAGGACCACTATGAAGCGATGGCTCATGATGTGTAAATATTTTACTGGTAACAGCTTAGCTTCAGTGATTGCTAATCACTGATCAAATTCATTCCTTACGGAGTGATGGGGAACCCAAAGGGCTGGAGCTGGAGGGTTTCAGGCCTTTTGTCGCGTGTGGCAGAACAGTAACAAATGATTGGTTGTTGCATGCTGCTGTGAAGGTGCTGCAGCAGCATCCGGAGCTGGAGAGCTTCCGGCTGTGCATGAGCAGCGCAGTGACAGATCGCGCGCTGGAGGCGCTGCCGGCAAGCAGCCTGCGCAGCCTGTGCCTGGTGGCCTGCGACGCTGTACAGGGCCACAGCATCTCGCGGCTGAGAACCTTAGAGGAACTGCGGCTCAGCAGCTGCACCTGCTTCTCCCAGGACGCCGTCCAGGTCAGCCATTAATCTTGTCCCTGTGATACATGCAGCCCATCTTTGGACATCTGTCATTGCAAGTTGGAATGCATGTGTGGATGCATGCTCTTCTTGATGTCGTCAATGAGATGCCATTGATGGGATGTATGCTGTGTAGATGCACTGCTAAATTTGCTGCACAGTTCAATCAGCGGGACCTGTAGCTCAGGCTGTATGTGATGATTTCTGCATGACATGAGGACTCCTGAGTCAGGGTGTGCTTCAATGTAATGCAGGTGATTGCCTTGTCATGCAAGCGGCTGCAGGTGCTAGAGCTGCCCGCAAGCATGCCAGCTTCATGTGTGCCGGTGCACGCCCATAGCAAAGGGCACCTTTTTGGGCTGCGGATTGAGGGAGGTTGTCCTGTGAATCGGAAAGGTCTGCGAGACCGTGTACGTATGTAGGAAAGCAGCCATGCCAAATTGAATCAAGGAACCTTGGGTGCACGAGTGTCAAACCCTTAATGGAGACTCCTAGCAGGACGGAACTTTCCTTTCCAGATAGTAGCCCTCTTATTACATCTCAAATCGCTACATTATGTTGAAAAGGTGAGTTGTCCATGAATGGCCTTCCTGCTTCTAATCACGCAATCAGAGGATGTATAATGGATTCTTGATGCCAGATGTCCTATTTTGTGTTGCAATTGCTCTGCCTGTCCAAGTGGAGGCACTGTCCAAGTGGAGGCCTTCAAGCACTATGGATGATTCTGTGCCCTCCACTGAGCAATTGTTGCCTCAAGGTTGTTTTGGTGGTCCTGCAGCCTGTAAATCCAGAGGACTCAATGAAGTTGCGCACACGAGTGCTTTGTCAAGCTGCACAGGACATGTCCCATTGGCCAATTGCCATGACAGTGTCATCATGCTGTAAGCAGTCTCACCTCTTGAAAGCGATGGCTATTTCTGTCTTGATCGCTGCAGAATTGGTCACCATTCTCTCCTCCCACGCCGTAGCACGTTTGCCTTGCTCATTCTGTAAGCACACAGGGTTCTGTTGCATGTCACTGACATATATATGTAGCTTGCAGCACTTTAAGTTGAGATGCTCGATTTGTCTTCTGCAAATACCTTCACGTACCAGGCCAGTGTTGAGTAGGTCCTGAGATTTGCTAAGCATCTCCCCGACCTCTGCCTGGGCTTCCTGCAAGAGGCAGGCGGCAAAATCATGTGCAAATTCCAGGCAGGCAAACTTCTCGACTAGAAGTGCTGTGCAATTGAAACATACCTTCTGCTTATTCTTCAAGTCCTTTGCAATCGCATCTTGGTTCATCTTACTATGAGCGTGGAATTCCTCGCAGCTCTGTATGACACCCTGCAACTGTAGGTAACAAGATGGTCAGTGATCTGGTCAACCCCTTCTTGGTGATTGCGGCGATGGATATGGTGCCGGTGACCGACCTTGACGTGCACATGGTTTTTCAAATCATCCATACTGTCTTCTAATCCCCACGCAACCCTTCCTTTTTCAAGTATTCATCTGTCCAAGGTTCTTTTTTTCAGCCGGATCTGTGAACTTTGAGCACTCTACGGTTAGCTCCAGCTCTGCGTCAGATCTCACAATTCATTATATCAATGTTTTTTAAACAAGAGAGAGGCTAAGATGATTCCCTTCAGAAATCCAAGCTTCTTCGAATTCGTGAGCAATGCCTAAATTGGAGCTGGATGCTTGGCATGTGCGCACATGCATGCTCTTTGATGCGCTGCTGGAACTGCAGAGACGAGCAGAATCCACCAAATTTCAGCCGATGCAGTATGACTCTTCTAAAGGAGGAGTGATCGTGCTGTGGGTGGAATGCTCCTGTCTTGGTCTTATACATAACCCTGATGCCGCACGACTCTGACGACATCCAAAGCATTTTTAACAATCTAGATATAAACAGGGACGGGAAACTAGACCGACATGAGCTCAAGGTATTTCTCACCTCTTTCCTGAATGTTTGGGTGTTTTTTGGTCATGGCACTGTCGCGATGTGTCGCCCTAGCCATCTCTTGTGTGCCTCACAGGAAGCTCTGCAAAAGCTGGGATTACCCCCTACAGATCACTATATAAATGATATCTTTCGCCAGTACGATATTGACGGCGATGGAGTCGTCCATGAACGGGAGTTCAGATCTTATGTGCAACGGAAAGAGGCAGCGATGCGCAGGGCATTCAGGTGACACATGTATGCATTAGCATCCTGCCACTGGATTTAGCATGAAAATATCGCCTGAGTGGTCCAAGCCATGCACAGGTCCCTGGACAGAGACCAGAACGGAGCCATCACAAGTGAAGAATTGCAGAAAGCACTGGCACGCTTGGGTGTGCCTGTCACTGAGGCAACAGCTGCCCAGATGGTAGAGCTTGTAGACACTGACCAGAGCTCTGATATCAGCTTTGAGGAATTTAGGCGCTTCGCTCTTCTGCTGCCCTCCTCACAGGTGCCCTCCTAGCAGTCTCCATTGTTGCTCAGAGGCACTCCCAGCCACAGCCAGTGATCACTTCCGGTACCTCATGCTCAGGAGGCCGGACTGTGCAGGTCAGCGGCGCTGGCATTGTGCTTGACTGGATGGATTGTGCATCGTGGGTTGACGGGGTGGAGTACCGCCTAGGGGCAAGGATACCTCCAAGGGAGCCCTTCCAAAGGCTGCTCGCTGGAGGCATCGCTGGTGCCTTCTCTCGTACAGGTGCCTGCCCATACCACAGGGCTGTCAAACTCTTTCCATTGGGTGGTCCCGCATCTCATGCAAGTAGAAGAATGTGCGATTGCTCACATACATTGCAGAGCAAAAAGTGCGAAAGAACAGCGTTCTTGTGGTCTCAACATCATGTGCTCACAGCCAAGGCAGTGACAAAGTGGTTTGTCATGCATGCAGTCACTGCACCATTTGAGAGGCTGAGGACAATGATGATGGCGGATGCGAGCAACTCCAGTATTACGGGTACTGCTCGGCGCATGTGGGCGAGTGGAGGTCTCACGGGCCTGTGGCGCGGCAACCTGATTTCAGTTGTGAAAGTCATGCCACAGAGCGCCATCCAATTTGCGGTATTTGCCACCCGCTTCATGGATTGGCGTTGTGAAGCATGCATATCTGAGATAATGAAACATATTCCTGCTGAGGTCACGCAAGCACTGCCACTCATCAGGAGGAGCTAGGCGCCTCTTACACCTCTTTACGGTGTCCCTTACCGTGGTTTGCTGTTGCAGGTGTACGACACGTTGACAAAGAATGTGCTCAAGCCGTCCCACAGGGATGGGGAGCTGATGGTGCTCAGCAACGCTCAGAGGCTGGCTGCCGGGTGCGTCTCTGGCGCGTCCGCCTGTGTCGTGGTGTTCCCTCTGGAGACACTGCGCACTCAGGCGGCCATGGGACAGCGGCACATGAAAGGCGCCAGAGCTTACTTCAGCCTTGCCGCAGACGTTGTGAGGTGCAACTTCACTTCTCCACAAGGGCACCACGCCACACGGCAATACAGTCAAACGCCTCTGTCACCGCATGCCAGAAATATGTGACATTAGTGAGAGGTGACAATAGAGCATTGGCTGAATGTCCAGCAGCTCTGACGATGCTGCTTGCCGAAGGCCACCACTCATGCTTCTGCTTCCACAGTGCGCTGTACATATAGGCAAATAAGCCAAAATAGTCATTGTAAACGCGAAGTGCTGCCAATTTCGTTCGAGTAGAAAGGCTCTAGCGAGTGGGGGTTTGATACCTTCTTTTTTGCATACAGGGATATTTTCGAAATCCCACATTAGCTCAGGCTCGAGTTCGTTCTGTGTGCTGTGGATAGAGAGGAGCCGATATGCTATGCGCATGGCTGGTTGGTACCAAAGGTGACTCAGCCTGACAAATGTGCATGGTCCTGTAGGTCGCGCGGCTTCACAGGTCTGTATCAGGGGTTTCCCATGGGCTTGGCCAGCAGCATTACCGGTGCCGGCTTTGGGTTCGCCACCTATGAGGCACTGACTGTGGCCTACAGGAAACGAGTCGGGCACTCTCCCTCAGCTGGCGAGCGAGGCGCCCTAGCAGGCATGCTGTTCACGTGTTACTAACTTAATTATGTGATTATCTTCCTTGTCTGCAGCATCACTATGCTGACAGGCCCTTAGTTCTAGATCAGGGTTGCTGCGCTTTCTATGCTCTGCTTTGTCATGGCGAATGTCTAGATGACAGGATGCATCCAGAGCAGCCTTGATACTGTCTTGCATGTGGGTTGCTGCACTTTTCAAGACAGTAAAAGCGGATTTGCAGTGAAAGCAGTGTTTGCACAAGTAAGGTACCTGTGCAATGCAGGGGGCAGTGCATTTGTCACCATGACTTTAGGTATGCCGCTCGAAGTGGTCATGCGGCGGATGCAGGTGTGTGTTAAATAGCATAGCCGGTCCTCTCTGTATCGCTGCAGCAGCCACTTGTCTCACGTTTACTTGGGGCTTTAAGAGGGGTCTGAAGAATCCATGCGTTCGAGATGATGCCGCCCCTCTACTATCTGGGGTTTGTACCTTCATTCAACTCTAGCAAATGCCATTACCGCTTGCGCAGGTGCAAGGCAGTCCTGGATATCCTGTCCAGTATACCAGCACTTTGGACTGTGTCAGGAAGCTGTACGTACAAGAAGGCCTCAGGACCTTTTGGAGGTGATCAACTATTGCCCTACTTGATTTCACTTGCTGCTCATCCCGTACTGTGTCCCAGATCTTGTGGAAGGAAGCATTTCCTGTAATAATTTGTGGTTTTGCAGGGGATCGCTGTCCAGCTACATGAAGGTTGTGCCATCCATTGCAGCTGTGCGCTTCTGTTATGAGACAATCATTCAAGTGATGGGAGTGGGGGGTGTGAGGCGATACAGAACACAAGAACAAGGCTAGTTCTTATGCACCATGTCTGATAGGCATCAAGTCCACTTGAGGTACAATGGTGCGCATATAAACTTTTCTATCTTCATTCATTTCCTTCATTCAGTGTGATTACAGAATATATGCATGTTGGGTGCCAGGCCCTGCCTGGCGCTCTGGGGCACCGTGCCCGTGACGATGCCACCGGCACCCCGGCTGGCATCAGATCCGTTCAGACTTCAGTTGATCTTGTGGTTGCTGAGTGGTTCATGCCATGACTGTCAGTGTTGATATTTAGGTAGCAGGTGGTCTGAGGAGCCAGTTCTTGTGCAGTTGCTGGTGCTCCCATGACAGACCATGGCTAAATTTAGTAACAGTGACGTGAGTGAGGCCAGGGACTTGATCTAGCATGTGTTGACATATTTCTTACAAAGTAAAACATTGAAAGTGATGACATGCTGCCCTTGAGAAAGATAGTTGTACCCTCCTTTGCATCCTTAATTGCCAGAAGACCGTTGATGGTGAGAAGTTCTGCGAGTTCAGAAGTCAAGAGGAAAATGGTGAAGATTGGTACCCACAATGGAAGTTTTCATTGCGATGAAGCACTGGGATGCTTTTTGTTGAAGCGAACAGATCATTTTAAGGACGCCGATATCGTTCGGACTCGTGACGAAGACATCTTGAAGCAACTCGACATTGTGATCGACGTTGGCGGCAAGTACGATCCAGGTGAGCATCTGTCTGGATATCTCCTCAAAGATCTCAATTCACTCTTTGGTTTGTTTACTGCATGCATGTATGGTAAGGTGATGGCAACTGAGCCTTGTGCATTGGTTTGTCAATGCAACCAGTGCTTTCTTGTGACAAGAGTGTTTGTCCTTAGATGCTTGCAGGTTCGATCATCATCAGCGAGGATTTGCTGAGGTGTTTGGCCATGGTGAGGTTCCTTCGTTTGCAAAAATGCCAAGACATGTGCAAGAAGTTCACCTGGGCACACTGACAACATACAAGAATTTCTGTCCTGCAGGATTCCAGACAAAATTATCCAGCGCAGGACTTGTGTATAAGCACTTTGGCCGGGATATCATTGCAAAATTGCTGGAGTCCAGGAAAGATCATGAGCAGGTGCCTCCCTTTCCTCCTGAGCCGTGTCAGCATGAAGCTTGCTGTGTCTGCCCTCCTCTTGAAGGTCTCTTGAAGATCTTTACAAGCCCCTCGGCAAGCTCCACTGCTCTACAGGTGGAGAAGGTATACCTTGCAGTGTACAAGCACTTCATGGAGGCTATCGATGCCATTGACAATGGTAAGTCCTTCCTCCATTCCAACTGCTGTGCTCATCCGCTTCACTGGAAGGCCTTCAGCTGCCAATGCCCTCTTTCAATGGAATGCATGCCGCGCAGGTATCAACCAGTGGGATGTGGATACTCCGCCAAAGTACATGAGCACCACAAACCTGAGCTCGCGCGTGGGAGCTCTGAACCCGCGCTGGAACGAGGACCAGTCATCTGAGAGGACAGATGAGCAGTTCTTGAAGGCCGTGCAGCTCACTGGGTCAGACTTCCTTGATTCTGTGGACTACATCAGCAAGGTGCACACACCTTCCCCACCCTGCAACAGTTCCCTGCACTAGACCCTCCAGAGCGCTACAAGCTATCACAAAGCCGCTGTTACCTTTTTACTTTGCTACTTAGCGTTGAAGCACAGATGCGTGGCAATTCCTCCCCTTACAGCAGTTTCATGACTAGAGTATCAGTAAGGTGGGATCTCATTAGTGTTGTGCATGGCACAGGCGTGGCTGCCGGCGAGGACGTACGTCCAGGAAGCGATAGAGAAGCGGTCAGAGGTAGACAGCAGCGGGGAGATAATCAGGCTGCCGCGTGTGTGCCCTTGGAAGGAGCACCTGTACGACCTGGAGCAGGAGCTCGCCCTGGACAAGCCCCTCAAGTTCTGCATCTACGAGGTGGGGCCCTGCAGCACCTGACACTGCCTGTGCTGCTCACAAATACTGCCCCTCATGGCCTAGCTAGCCCACACTACTGCCACACGCTTAGGCCTTGCACATCAAGTGAACATGAAAACACATAGACAGACGCTTCCGGGCTGCCATCGAGGTCAGGCACCAGCTGAGCATGAGACATGGGGGTGGTGCTGTGCGCACTAAGCCATAGGATTGTAGAAAGCAGCGGGGTAGGGCGGTCTGCAGCACACATAGCAGCAATATAGCAAAAATTGTCACGCAGACCTCGAATCACAGCGCTGTGTCCTTTGATTCTGCACCTGCAGAACCGAGTCTTGAGGGAGCGTGTCAGGCACTGATCACGCGGTGTGAGCGCAGGACGATCGGGCGAAGTCGTGGCGAGTGCAGGCGGTGTCGGTGGCGGCAGGGAGCTTTGAGAACCGCAAGTCGCTGCCGGCAGCATGGATGGGGCTGCGGGACGCTGAGCTGTCGGAGGCTGCAGGCATCCCCGACTGCGTCTTTGTGCACGCCAGCGGTGAGGTTCACCGCGCATGTTGCTCGCCTTATAGGCGGTCATTTGGACAGGGGTGAATCCGGTTCGAGTATGATCGGTGGGGCCATGCATGTGTTATCCTTGGGAAAGTGCAAAATGCTCGGGGGGAGAGGTAAAGTGCTCGCACAGGAATCTGCAGGTGGGGAAGGTCAGCAGCCTCCTGAGGGCGTGAGAAAGGCAACCTGTGGGCAAGTGTCGTGCAGTTGGGGCTTCCATTAGATCTTATATTGATTTTATGCATGCAGGATTCATCGGGGGGACAAAGACTCTGGAAGGTGCCATTAGGATGGCGCAAGCGGGGCTCAAGTTGCCTTGACTGCAGCTGCTATTGAGCGCTGGCAGATGCAGCCTGCCTGTCTGACTCAGAGACTCGAAGACTCTTGACTTAGCTTATTGCAAGTGTCACGGTGACTCACTGTCGGACACTGGCAGTGAATGACCGTGCTGACTGTGGCCCTTAAGCTTCAAGGGCTTCAGTGACCGTATGAAATCTCATATGAAGTTCAACAATGGTGCTGCTGTAGTACCGTACTACATGTGACATCATGTTGATCATGGAAAGAGCATTCGAGTTGGTTAGTCACGTGTTTTGCAGCCTCTGATCAGTGAGCGCACCGGAGCGGATACCCATTTGAATGGAGTGCGCTAGCCTAGGCTAGTGCCATGCGCATGCCCAACGAATATTACTGCAGGTCGCAGCAGTTATGCATGCGCTCGCCGTACGGCACCACCGCTTCCAAAGGAATTCTTTGCCTTGCCTTGCATCTTCCTCTAAAAGCGTCACGGAAGCGACGTCACGGCATCAGCCCCTCGCATGAATCAGTCACCCCGGATGTGGATTCCTAAACAGGCTTCACCCCCGCAATCGGAAAATTCTTTGGTCCAGGGCAGACGCGCTGGGCTCTGAGAGACCCCAAGAACGCCCCACATCCAGAAGATATCCGTTCATCGCACCATTCGCCTCTTCCCTGCTAGCAAGCATTTCAGACCGCTATCACACGATTTCAGCATAGCAGGGGTCTGGCGTCTGGAAATATTCGCCCAGTATCGTCGATGCGTGCGTAGCACAACAGGGAGGAAGAGCATACAGCGCAGCGAGATCTGCATCACAGGGTAAGGCTAAGTGTTAGCAAGTAGCATATCTACCGTTGGGATTCCAGGCTCGATCAGACGAGAAGTGGTGGGACCTCGTGCGTACGAGCAGCACGTCCCAGCACGTCAGGTCAGAACAGAGCGGCAAGAGCAGATTAAAACGATCGCCGGCTGAAGTCGGGCGCTGTCGTACGTGACGGATCTCTTCGTTTAGGATCGCCCAAGGAGATCCAGTGTCTCCATCAATGTTAGCAGCAGAGAAAGCGTTTATCCCATCATCCATCATAGTGCAGCGCTCTTTTATATATTGAGGATTAAAGCTGCTGGGGTGCATGCATGTGTAAGTCTCGTCTTACTATGAGATAGTTCCATCGGGACCAGAACAGCTTTGTTATGGCTCTTTGGGTAACGGTCTCAGGGTGAGGCAAGCACCACCAGTACTGTCTTGTGCAGGCCTTCAGGTGTGGGGACCCTGCTGAGATTTGTTTGGTGGTGTTGGTTGTTTTGTATCAGTATCAGTCTGCGAGCGACATGCTGCCCACGACGTCTAATTTCTTACGGCATTTCCGTGCGCCTCTCGTGTTGGGCTCAATTGTTGACGGCGGCTTTGTTGCGTGCCGCAGATCTTGGTAGGGCAGTGACACTTAGGCACGCGCCTTTTGGCCTGAAGCATCGCATGTTATGGGGAGCAGAATGTCAGTAGTGTATGTGTGCAATGAGATTGCTGTCCCGTTTGACGGGGCGCCTGAAGTAGGCGCATTAGGGTTGAGCATCGGTGAGGGCAACTATGCGTACGACTTATAGTCACGCAACTGTCTTGTTTGTGACCGATCGGGATCGACTTCCGGACAGTGGTTTAGTCAAGGTTGTACTCCGCTGCAGTATCGTTGGAGATTTCTACTTAAGTGTCATCGAGATGCGATGTTTGACAATGGGTGTCTCAGGCATTATTTGATGTTATCTACCGATCGTGACATGGCAGTCATTGCAGATGCACTACTTTTTCTCAAGGATTCTTACTGCTTAGCTTGCAGCGCGTGCCTGATCTTAATGATACATGTGGCTATGCAGGAAATATCTTGTGGGCGGCAGGCCTGGGAGCTCACCCTTGATTTGTTGATCAGCTGCGGGAGCAGAGAAGTGTGCAGTCCAGCATCTACCTGGACAGACCCCCAGCTTGACAGCATCCGCCATGAGTGACAGAGCAGCATGACAGTGAGGCAAGTGTAGGCCACGAAACAGAAGACCGACCCAGGAGCAAAAGCTTGGATATGGAGATGGAGCTCATTCTTCAGTAGCGCCAGCAGTTGACTGACATTCCCATCAGCTCCACTTCATCTGGCAGATACCTCTGCCAGGAAACTTCCCACAGCCATCGCCTGCTGATACATTGCAGCCCAGCACACCATGGCGCTACAGAGACAGTGTCCATCCTCCCCTTCGACAGGGCTCCAATTAGCCGCCATCGCAGTGGCTGTGCTCTGCCCTTGGCTAGCTGTCAGCGTGCCGCTCAGTGATTGGCACAGCGGCATTGCTACAAATTACGGAGGGGCTCAGGACGGCATGAACCCGTATGATCCCAGCTTCGGAACCAAAGAGGTGAGAGCTCACTTTGCACATATGCTACTTTCAGTATGCAGTATGCAGCCTGTTCCCTGACTTTGCAGGCTGTCCTATCTGTCTTGAGCAGGGCTGTTTGAAGTAATTGGCAAGTATTTATTTGCAAGAATTGCTCATGTCCGCGCAATGCGTTACATTGGATCTATTTTGCAGGGAGCTTGTGGGTACGGGATGTTGGACAAGAACAGTTATCCGTTCTGGAGTGTGGCAGCGTTCTCACTGACAAATTCCTTCTCGGTGGCCGGCCCAGCCAAGGCGTGTGGCCAGTGCTATGAAATAAAGTGCGTGGACATCGGAGGGCCGTTTGGGGTGCGAGCACGCCTCAGCTGCTCTGTCTTTTCTGAGAGAACGGCGGTGATGCATTGGGATGTTTGCAAAAGAAGCACGGTTGGCCTATCAGGCACTCATATGCGCTTGTTGTAGTATTTGGCAGCGGTGATGCTTTGTCTGTTTCGCAATATAGCACACACCTCTGTCCCTTTCTGCACTCAAGGGCTTTCCTTTCTGCACTCAAAGACTTGCAGCCTTACCAGGGATTCCACGTGCTCATTTGGGGTGTCTGGGCTGCAGGGGCGCTGCAGTAAGGACTCGAATCAGAGGTCGGTCATCATAACTATCACGGACGTGTGCCCTGAGTGCGCGACGGACCACATAGACATGCAAGCCCTCACCTTCAATAAGGTCCGCCCCTTGCCTCATTTACAGCCATCTGCAGCGTTTTCTTGGACTTCCAAGCTGTGCTTTGTGGCCTTCTGTCAAGGCTTCTTACAGGGTACCATGTGGGCTTCAGAATTTAGTCGAACATTGCCTTTATGGTGTGTGTAGTGCGTTGTGTGTAGATGTATTCAGTTGAATCGTGCCTTCATAAGTGGTATAGGTAGTGCCTTTTTTGTGTAGTTGTCGGTTCCTGGCACAAGGCCGTAGCAGGTGTGCTGAGCTGGTTGCCTGGTGCACAGATTGCTCCGATGGAGGTTGGAAGGATTGACATCATGTACCGGAGAGTGGAGTGCACACCGCCAGAGCCGCTGCTGGTGGACATCAACCACAACAATGGCCCAGGCGCCTGGCTGCGCATCGTGGTGTCGGTGAGTTTCCCTTTCCATGCACCCCGATCGGTCTCTCGAGGAGATAATGCTTGGGTCCAGAACTAGCAACAGGTGGCTCCATGGCCGATGAGAAAAGTTGCCAGATTAAAAATTATGCAGTGTGGGCTCAGGCAAGGTGCTGCGCTGTACTGCTGAGCATAGTCCTGCATAGGACTCCAGCTTGAAATCGGCACATTGAGAAAAAAATGGTCGAAAAAATGATCCAGTGAAGCAGAAAAGGGTGTGTTTTTAGAAAGGAGTGCCAGAGCTGAGGTGTGGTGTGTTGGGGCTGCGCAGAAAGCTGCGGGCTATGGAGGCATCAAGCTGGTGCAGATGAAGGGGTCTGACAGCGATTGGATGGGCATGAATAACAAGTATGGGCAGGCCTGGGAAGTGCCCGTCACCCCGCGCCTGCCCTGGGACTTCCGCATGGTCAGCGATGACTCGCAGGAGGTCCGCCCCTACTCACTCCCTCCAGGGTGCTCTGTCCGTGCTGACATCCTCAAACTGATACCCCAGCAACCTGACCTAGCTCGTGTGTTACAGGCTGTGCATGCGCAGTATGATCCATGCCGTGGCTCGGGCAGCAGGGCAGCAAGGGAAATTTGCTCGGTGTGTTTTTGAATTGTGTGGGGGTTTGCTGTGCAGGTGACTGCTTTGGGATTGATTGACAGCCAGGGAAAGACCGGGGATGTGCCGACGAATGTGCAATTCGCGCTCAAGGGGGGTGCTGTGTCGGTGAGCTTTCTGCCTCTGCTGCTGCATGTGATCTTTCGTACTTGGGGGTCTTGCAGGAATTTTGAAGATGTGGTGCTGCTGGTTTGTGAAAACAGCATGATCAATCCCACCAAGACCTATCATATGAGCGCGCCATCTCATTTGGGCTTGTCTGCTGTGTGCGCAGACGACAAGCACTTACACATCCTCTTCGGCGTCCTCCCCCTTGTCCTCATCAGCGCCCAACGGGTCCTCCTTGGGGTCTCCCGGGTCCGCCCCCTCGCCACCAGGCTCCAGCGGCGGCCAGTGCCCCTGCGTGGACCAGACGCCGGACACTACGTACTCATGCGAACAGCAGAAGAAGTACGGCAAGTGCGACAGCTCCTGGATGATCGTTTCCACCAAGGATTACCCCAACGCCTTCTGCGCGAAGACCTGCGGCCGCTGCCCCTCCACCTGCTGATCTGCCCCCGCTGCAGCGGTGGCGCGGCTGTGACCGGGGCGGGGGGGCCGCCCTTCTAAGCCCCCCGCTGCTGCGGCGGTGGCGCCAAGGGGTGGCAAGGGCGGGGGGACCTCTCTTGTGAGATCAGCCCACCAGCTCTGCCCCAAATATCCGGGGACTCTGCTGGCAGCCTGAGGCAAGAGAGCAGAAGAGGCCGTCAGTGCTGTCTGCTGGGGATTCATGTGTGGGGAGCAGCCTTCAGCCCAGTCAGCAAGTTTACAGCTGCTGAGAAGGAATTGCTTCCTCGCTATGCTGCGCCGCGCGTATGGATGCGCGCACTGTCAGACAATGTGGGCTGTGGTGAGAGCTGCGGATGCAGTTTATTGCAAGCACAGGCTCGGCACATGCGCAGGGCTGTGCTGGTACATGCTTATTAGATTCCTGCAGGCCATGGGCATTTGGCTGCAGGCATCGTTTTGAGGCAAATTTGAGTTTCAATGTTTGGCAGCATGCAGGCTCTGAAGTGCAACGCTGCCCTTCTGTATGCAGTCAGAGACTGCCGCTGTTCAGGAACTGTTACAAGAGAGAAGTATGAGGTTTAATACTGCACTGACACATTGCTCCGCACTGCCACTTCATCTACTGTGCTCTCGTTCACCCTCCTACATCCCTCTCAACCTTATTGTTTGCGCTATTGAGGGCCCAAATAAGTGCAATGGGTCCATGCTTGAGGGTCGAGTGACCGAGCTTGCGTTGGAGTCTGTTTGTTTGCTTGTGACGCAAGAAATCTTTGGCCGCGGGGCTAGAATTATTTAATGGAGGGCTGGGTCGCTGCCTGGCTGCTGTAGAGGATGGATTGGGAGATGCCCAAATCGGCATGTGTGTGGGGAGATCTCAAGCAGATCTTCCCATGGGATGTGTGCATGGCTCCAGCAGACCGGGGCAAGGCAGCGGCTCATTCTAGCATTCAAGGGAGAGATGGACTTGCAAGCACCCTTTTTGCGCTTTTCAGTGGAGTTCTGGCGGCACGTAAGTGCCAGAATGTTGTGAGGCTGTTGAGGATGTGAAACGAGGGCAGCTCAGGGTCAGCAGAAGCTGCCTCTGTTTTTTGCGACGCCTGCTGCAACGATGACAGTTGAGAGCAGGTTTTTTCACTTTTGACAAGATGCAATAGGATGTCAGCACGTACTCTTTCACTTGAAATCATACAGGTTATATACTCTTTGACAGCGGGGAGCAGGACAAGCAGCTGTAGGGTAATTGTCATTGCAAAGTGACAATTACGTATTTTTGAGTTGGTATCACTCAAGGACGTCCGACGTGTAGGATTATGTGCATTTATTATGCATACTGCAATGCCATCGGCTTGCAAGCATTGTAGTCTCAAGAATAGTCTTGTGTCTATGGGGTTATAGCCTGCAGCAGTGTATCAAGGTCCTTGATTCAAGGAGGAAGAAAATTGTGTGTCGAGGATTTCAGTGTGCCTTGTTGCGGATTGCCTAGCCTGCAAGTGTGTTTTCGGATTCAGAGGTGTTGTTTTCCTGGGGTATTTTGAGTAAAATTACAATGAGCTGTAATCAGATCACTGATCTGGCAATCTCTGAACACAGCAGTCAAAGCACATGCATAAGCATGTTAAGCACAGCATACATTATGTGTTCCTCAGAATAGAATTGCTATCAACAAAAGCAGTTGATATCACTAGTTTTGGGCACTCGTTCCAAAATGCCCCCGCCGGCAAAATCTTCAAGGAGTCTGGCATTTCACCAGCTTGTTAAGCTAGCCACAATGGCACTCAAGATCTGCGGAAGTATTTTGCTCTGCACACCAGCACATGCTCACAAGCATGCCAGATCTTTAATGGCACATCTCGCTGTACAAGCTTTCAAACCCAGCCAGAACCCCACCGGTGGCCAGCGACCCTTAGTGTCTATCGAATGATCTTTCCACAGTCATGCTGTGCATTACATGGAGTTGAGGACATGAGTATGCACCTACCTTGAAGGTAATATCTTCTGGCAGCGTCTACTTGCCGAATGAGAACGCACTGCGTTGATCCTAATAAACACAGACATGCCAGCACTGCATTATCAGCGCCGCTAACGAAAGCCAGCATTACGATACAAATCAAGAAGATGCAAGACATATGAGGCAAATGCAACTTGCCTCCTGATTGAATCCTGGCACTGCTGGAGAAGAGGCTGGGTCTCGCACGAGTCTCATGGGATAGGCATGCGGGGGAACCATTTTCAATATAGTGGTGGTGTTACAATAAGACCGGTTTATTTTTGCGCTGCTGAGGCGCGGGCAACTTACGGCGGAGGTGGACTCGGTCACAGCCTTGCTGCCTTCAGACACCGTGTGCTTGGCCAGCTTGCCGGGCAGGATGAGGCGCAGAGCGGTCTGTATCTTGCCAGAGGCCACAGTGGGCTTCTTGTTGTAGCGGGCCAGCTGGGCTGTCTCAGTGGCCATCTTCCCAAAGGTGTCAGTGACGAAGGCATTGAGGATGGAGATGGCCCAGGAGGAGATACCGGTGTAGGGGTGGGCCTGCAGCACAGCAGATAGGGTGCCAGCTGCCAAGGACTGCTTGCACTGACACCTGTGATGCTGTCAATCTGCCCTTCTTCTGGGCCGGCTTGTGTGGGGCACAGGCACAAACACACCATGCAAGTAAGTAGCAGTGTCACAGCGTGGTTTCGCAGGAGGCACTGTGGAAGCACCAGCTGGCAGTTGGGATGTTGTGGCCCACCTGCTTCAGGACCTCGCACATGTAGATCTTGAAGGACTCGACCTTGGCCTTGGTCTTCTTCTTGCACCAGTCTTGGCGGTCTTGGTGACCTTTTTGACGGGCTTCTTCTCTGCCTTGGGAGCCCTTGGGAGCCATGCCTGCATCGCCGGATCGCTGAGAGAGGATGGAATAGCTTTGAGGGATACTTCACTGGGAGCTGAAGGCGCTTTAATTTTTTTTCTCTATCTTGTTTGGCCCACCTTCAACCACTCACACGGGCAGCTTTAAAAGATTACAGAAAATTCGTGTTCTCTTCCTGATGGCCGTGTACCCTAGGAATGATCTACCTTTCCCAAAAGTAATGTGGCCTCAGAACATGCTGTCGTTCGTCATCTCAGACGTCAAGGAGTCCCTCTTCCACGAGGTGCTTGGTCCTCTCACTCCAGCAACTGAGACAATGGAAACGTGAAGAGGGGGCAAAGAAGCAATCCAATTGTGAGTCTCCGAGTGGATTACAGACAGCTGCAGCCTCTCAAGGCTGTCTCTGTAAAGGCTGCATTACCTCCTTGTGCGAGCCGTTTCACACTGAAGCCCTCTTCTCCGCCTCCGATTGCGGGAAACCCGCATTATTGCGTTCGACAGAGTGTCTCAAATGAAGCCATAAGTCCCTGGTACCAGGTACATATATGCATCAATGCAACCATGAGCAAGGTACGATCGTGGAGCGACAGACAGCGCGGGTTAGGATTTGCTAGTATGAATATAACGTTCGGGGGTTCGATCCCCGACAGCCCAATGAAAGTCAAAGCCCTTTTTGTTTTTGGTGCCTTTTTTCCCCTTAATGGACCAGCTCTTTTACAAAATTGTGATGGCTGCTCGATCTAGTAAATTGCAGGAGCCTGGCAATGCATTCCAATCGTATAGCTGCAAAGTACTCCTCTTTGCCATCATGACTGCCTTGCACCGTTAAGCAGTCTTTAGAGACATCACACGTTATCACATGCATGCACATGCCGTAAATTTACAAATTTCTGCTCGCCGCCTCTGCCAAGATTGGTGCCTGGGGCGGCAGGAGGGCGCGCCTGATCTGGCCGGGGCTGTGCCAGCTGGCACCAGGCTGGAGCTGCTGCTCACTCAGCTTAAATGACTCTACAATTACCTGTGTCCCTCTTGCACTCCAAATATCTCACACCCCACATGCTGATCCACCCACTTGAAGGTTGTCAACCAACATTCGAGTGCACATGCTGAGACAATGAGATAACCAGTCCATGGCGGAAAATGGCTTGTAATGCATGTGCAGGGAGAGTGGCAGAGCATGGTGAGAGCGCACGATGCAGATGCATGGCATGGCACGTGCTTTGGGCCACGTGTGTGTATTCATTAGGCCACGTGACAAGGAACCCGCCTAGGAGCTAGGGCACCTGGGAATCTGCGCAAACAGCATAAGTGTGCACGTTCGTGAGCAGTCTGTGATCAGTTGAAGTAGTGAAGTGCCTCTGCCTGTGTTGTTCGAAATGTGCACCTCTGAAGAATTTCCGACAGCGTGCAATCACAAAGGCTGTCGTGCAAGCCTTGTAACTGTTATACAATGCAGACATCCCATCCATCTGGGTGCACTGATTCAGCACCCATGGCACACTGGCAGCTCAGCTGGCAACGCAGCAGGTCAGTAAAGCTGCTGGCAACAGCCTGGGCTTCAACTAGAATATCTGATAATACCGTACATGGCTCAAATGCATGAGCAGCCCAGCAAGCAACCTTGGCAGATGTCAGTCGACTGTGGCACTTTGGATCGCAGCGGCGGCTCTGGCAGCAGCGAGCGGCTCTGGCCCGAAGAGTGCTGCAAGGAACTTGGCAGAGGCCTTGAGGTGACGCAGCAGGCCGTGCTTGTAGTCAACATACACGATGCCAAACCGCTTCGTGTACCCATCTGTTACAGGCACCAATAGGAACTTGATGAGCACAAGATATAATGTGCAGCAATGCCAGCAGCAATTGCCACATTAAGCACAAAAGAGACAGATTGCTGAAGAGACATAGAAATTTTTTGCAGGTGACGTTCACCTATGGCAGAGCAAAGGGCATGGGGAGTTTTAAATTTCCACTGACGCTCAGCTGTGCACAAAACAAGCGCATGGTAGGCTGTAAGCATCTGCATGTTGCTTGGCATTCTTGTCTGCATGCGGTGGGTGTGAAGAGGGCTGACAATTTACCCGCCCATTCAAAATTATCAAGAATCGACCAGGCGAAATAGCCGCGGATGTTGACCCCATCCTCTGTCACTGCCTTCATGGCTTCCGCCAGGTACTCCTGCAGGCAAAGCAGCACAGCCCAAGTCCTTCAGGCGGTCCTTCACACCGCCTTCATTTTCCTCACAGCAACACCACACTCTGCACACGAGTGAATGCGATGCCCTGAGGAGCACGTTTGCAAGAGCCTCGTCCTGTTGCAACCCCTGATCTCTGCGGTGGCCCCGAGCCAACACACACATACGCCGCAGGCAGTGAAACTTGCATTCATAGACCAAGGTCTTTACTTGCATTGAGTTCCGCACCAGACCACTTGCTGGAGCGGCCTCACGCATGAGGCGGAGCATGTTGAAGGCAGGTAGCCTTCCCTGACAGCCAAGCAAAACCTCTGGGAGCTAATATTGGGCACCTACCCAACACCAGCACTATGTTGGTCCCTATAGGAAGTGAGGTGCAATGTTGGCACCCATCCTCCCCAAGATGGCCCACAAAGGAAACATCAGCTAAGAGCACAGGAAGCACTGTACCTGGTAGTACTGCAGCCGGAAGGTGTCCTCCAGCACAGCAGGGAACGCCGCGTCGTCCTCGCCGGGGGCATCGCAGCCGTTCTCCGTAACCCAGATTTCTGGCGCCCCGTAACGGCGGTGCACATACGCCAGCAGCCGCCGGAAGCCCCACGGCACTGCCAGCAGCCAGTCTGAGTCGGCCTGCTTCCCGATAGCCTGATCAGGCACGCACAGCCATGCATCCAGTCAGCCACACCCCCGCCTGATCAGGCTCGCTTGCATGGCCACTAAAGCTGTGGCACTTCATGCACAGAAACTCTTCTTCACTGTGCTGCGCAGCTGCTCTTCAAGGCACACAGGACTGATTAACACCAGCCTGTCCACAGGACCAGCAAAGTCATCACACTGCCTTGCCACGATGATATGCCTAAGAATGATTGTCCAAGACTCCAGTACAATGAGAAGCAAAAGCTACAATGACTTCTCAGTTGGTGCAGAGCATCAACAGCTGGAGAAGAAGGCCTCACAGCCGCACCTTGCCATTGCGCTCGGTGTGTGCGGAGAGGCCGGTGGGGACAGCTTCCTCGTCGTGGGAGATGTATCTGGAAGTGTAGTGGTTCAGCGCAAAGTAATCTGCGCTGCCCTTGAGTGAGGCGCGCTGCTCGGGCGTGAACTCTGGCAGGTCAGTGATGCGGGATCGGACGGAGGCAGGATAGTCTCCCAGAAAGATGGGGTCCGCGTAGATGCCCAATATGAAGTCCAGATTGCGCTGCGCTGCCTCCTGCAACAGATTAATGGGGCATGTGAGGAGTATGTCAAATGGATAAAAATGATCTTGTTGCAATGGCGTGTGGGCCTGACCCAGGCAAGGCAAATCAAAAGTAGGCATGTTGCTGCATGGCCCAATGGCAACTGAGCAGCTGGTATTGTCATCAGGAAGACTGCCCTTCCTGAAGACATCAGTGGCAGAGCACAGTAGATGTTTACACGATTTTGAGGTCATGGGAAGGAGGCCTTAAAGAGAGAAGCAGCAGCTTGAACATGAAGGAAGATGCAGCTTGGGAGGGGCACCTTGTCGGCCACGGAGCTGGTCATGGGTTCCGACCACTCGGCATTGAGGTTGATGCTGATGTTGCCCTGGGGTACCAGCGCGCGAAATCGCTCGACAGCCGCCGCATGTGCCAGCAGCACGTTGTGCGTCACCACCCAGGGCTCCCTGGCCGAGTCCCCCTCCGCGCACATGCTCCTGTCAGAGCACCGCCCTGCATTCCCACCAAGTCTTCGAGTTTTCCCCTTGAGAGTATTAGTGTTCATCCTGGGCCTTGAACCAACATGATAGAGTCCCTGCCCAAGCAATCCAATGACAAGGTGGTCTCCTGCGTGGTGCAAGAGATGGCCGTCCGACATGTCACTTGGCCCATGCAGGTTAGTCATTGAATCCCTTGGGATTTCAGTGGTTGGTCTCATCACAAGGTAGCCTTTTTGCCATTGCAGGTTGGATTCAGGTTTGATTAACATGCGCAGAACATGGCAGAGAGCTGCAAGGCACCTGGCGCATGAATGCCCATTCCGTATCCAATCCAGATGAAGCTCCAGGGCTCATTGAAGGTAGTCCAGAAGCTGACCCTGTCCCCAAATGCCTTGAAACACACCTCTGCATAAGCGGCAAAGTCCTTTATGCTCTTGTCGCTCAGCCACCCACCATACTTGTCCTGCACATCCACACATCCTCACATGTTGACGGTCCGCTCAAGTGTTCTTTGGGTACCAGGGAGATTGAAAAGAGCATTGTTATGTGAAGCTGTGTGGCGTGCCTGCAGGGCTTGCGGCAAGTCCCAATGATAGAGCGTAACATGAGGCTCAATGCCGGCAGCCAGCAGAGCGTCAATCAGCTTGCTGTAGAACTGCACCCCTAGCTTGTTCACCTGCGAGGACCAAAATTCTCAATCTCTCACTCTCCCCCCTGCTCATCATATCGTGGCAGTTCTTGCCATCAATCGTAAATCTGCAGGGAACTCAGGGCCCACGGCATCTTCACGACTGCGTATTTTGTCAGACTGCCCAGCATGCCATTGTCCTGGCTTTGCAGCTCCTAGTATAGTATACTGTTGGTAAGTCATATGCGCGCACCCGGCCGGTGCCCTGGGGCAGGATGCGCGGCCAAGAGATGGAGAAGCGAAACACTTTGACGCCCAGGGACTTCATTATGGCGATGTCGGCCTCATAGCGGTGATAAAAATCTACGGCGACGTCCCCAGTGTGCCCTTGCGCTGTCTTGCCTGGTGTGTGCGAGAAGGTGTCCCAGATTGACATGCCCCGGCCGTCCTCCTTGTAAGCTCCCTCCACCTGTTGGCCGAGGGGCCACATGCATGCTTTCCTTGAAGCTTACTTCAGGGAATGATAGAACGCTCATTGGATTGTTCAAAGGCGCCATGTAATAAGGTGGACTGGGAGCTGGCATTCAGACACCTGATATGCTGCTGAGGCCACTCCCCATGGAAATTTGGGTTTCTGTGCACTCATCTTTGTCCTCGAAACCTACATAGAATGCAGCGGATCCAAGAGCGCTTAAATAGCTCACCATGCTCATTATACAACCAAGTGAGACTTGTCCAAGTGTATAGTACAAGCAAGCAAGATCAAGCCACATACCTTTCGCAACACTATGTAAGTGGCCACCAGGACAGCGCAGAGAGTGATTAATTTACATATCAGTGGTACTTTCCGCTGCCTGGAGTTGAAGTTGACCATGCCTGTCATTTCAGGCCGTGGTCAAGGGAGAATTTACATATATTCGCTGATAGGATAACAGCTTAACAGGCGGACCAATCCTCAAACACTTGGGAGCGCAATGTCCATTTTACTGCGGTAGTGTTAGCAAGACATTGTGGCCGTGTACAGAATATGCTCACCCAGTCAGAAAAGGAAATCAAGGCACTCGGGATGTGTGAGCGACTAATCACACTCTGACAGGTTTTCCATGCCATGCAACAGCACGAGCATAACACTAAGTGCCATCGGTCCAAATCAATGCATGGCTCGCTCAATGTTGGCGTACGCCTTCTTAGCGTTGGACACTCAACTCGAGTGCTTCAAAGTTTAAGTGGATGAAGAGAATTAATGACGCCTCTGCGGGAGAAGTGTTATTTCAGCGCCTCAACGTCACTGGTGAGTAAACGTTCAGACAACAATCTTCCATTGTCGCATTGTTTGCCACAAAGTCCAAGGAAAGGCACGTGCCAAAAGGATCACATAACCAGTTTACGGGACATTTACGGTGAGTCTGGAGTTTGGCCGAGATGGAACCAAGGAAGGCAAAAGGGTGCGATCTTGAGGGGCATGGATGCAGCATCGTTGGCAATTGGGCCCTGAAGATATTTTCGTATATTGAGCTCTTGATCGCAGACCATCTTTGCCTGATTTTATCCAGAATACCCTCTGGAGTTCGATGGAAAAGGTTGGGCAATACTGCAAACTTGCACGGAGACATGTGGGCTTTTGGCTGTGTGACACACATTGATAGAGGTGAAAACTCCCTGCAATGTATTTCTGGCAGAAAGAGCTTGCATCCATTAATTTTCAGAACATCAGCAGGATTACCCGTGCCGAAAGAAATTGTCTAAAACTTCCGGTAAACATGGCTTATGCTGGACGATGTGGATATTTAGGATTTCTGATGTCTAACATGCAATACCCTTTTGTCGTATCTGGTCCTGACAACAACCCTTGAAGCGTCTCTCAATGCTGGGAGTACACCGGGTGGATGGAGAATAACCAGTCCTGCGTGGAGTTAGGCTGCAGTTATCTGCGCAAACTGCTGAATTGTTCTGTATAAGCGTTCAAATGTTGGAATTCGACGCCTGAAGGCTTCTCAGCAGCTGATTTGGCTCCCACTTGAAGCAGGGCATGCCAGGATCACCTTCGGAGCACGCAACGGCTGGCAGATCCGTGCCACCACGCACACGCAGCAGCAGAGATCTAGCCAGCCGCAAATTGCGATCAGGCACCACGATTCCTGACTCTGGAGACACTCTTCAAACCTTGGTGGCTGCCCCTGCCACATCAGGGCCGCGGAGGGACCGCGAAGACGGTGCGTGGTTCCCTCCATTTACAGGAATGGGACTTGCCTTGTGGGATCGTGTACTGCTCGACCGCGTCACATTCACCTACAATGCAGTCCTGGCGTGCATGCTCTGCATGCATCAATCAGGACAAGAAAATTGTGAGTGACAGGAGCGCGTTGCGGAGGTTGCCTGGGAAAACTGCCTGTAAGGTACTGCACACAAGTGTCGCGGCTTCTGAGAGTTGATGTATATCTGTGTCCAGGCAAGTGGCCCCATGAGGCGTCAGGAGCTTTGCAGCATGGAAGCGAACATCTGGATGACCGGCATTGGAGGAGCGTGGCGGCATCCACCGAAGACACAGACATGATTGACAAAACAGGTGGGTACATTTGCTTCTTCTCACTGTCCAAACGTGCCGCGTAAGTGCTCCATGCACGCCCAGCACAAGTGCAGCTGGTGATTGATCAGCTCAGCTGCGCCTGATGACAGGCCCAGACGACGAGGCAGCCGCAAATCGGCGGGCGCGGTCCCTGTCAAATCTGGCGTCAACCTCATCTGAGGCGCGGGGGAGGCGCGCCAGCAGCGCGCATGCCAATCCTACATTGGGCCTCTCCAGGCCTGCGATATCATTTGTGAATGGGCTTGCAGCGCCAGGGCAGCCAGCAGCCGAGCAGCAGGGTCACTCGGAAGGGCCCCATCCCACGGACATCGACGCGCCTGCACTGCCAAAGCTGAGGGTGCACCCGGCCTCCGCACCGCCGGTACGAGTGGCCACCACGAGCAATACAGACATCGGCCCTGCAGAGGCTGGGAGCCCCACAGACAGCACAGCAGCGGGAGCAGCGGTTGGGGCCAAGCCGCGGCTCACGCGCTCGGCCGCACATGTCGATCCGGCCCAGAAGGGGGCGAAAGCGGGCGATGCGGCAGCTCCGGATTCCGGTCAGCCCGGCTCGCCCCCAGCGGGGCCTGTGCGGGTGCTGCCTCAGCGCCAGGGCCTGCACACGCCCAGGGGCTCAACTGCAGTAAGCCCGCTGGGGCAGAAGCCGACCGGCGCCAGTCAGGCTCCCGGGGAGGACGGCCTCCCTCCGGGACCGGGGGGACCGTCTTCGCCGCGCGCGCGCAGCTCCAGCGGCCCGCACTCGCCCCGCTCGCCCCGCGTCGTCACCTCTGCCACCGACCGCAAAACCCGCGCAGGTGCGGCTTTCCCCTGCGCCTCTTGCAATCTGGACTCAGCAGACCCTGTCGCTAAATGCTGTTTGTTCATGCAAGGCAATGTATTTGTTCCTGATGCCCAGTGGAGGCTGGGTAGTTTTGGTTGGACGGTAGGGAGGCAGTGCGTGTTGTTTTGGTTGCAGAGCTGACGCTGCTGTCCTGATGCGGTGAGTGCAGATGCAGAGGCGGCCAAGGCGGCAGCTGACCTGGAGGCGCAGGCGAGGGAGCAGGAGCACAAGGAGGAGATCCTGCAGCGGGCGGCGGACATCCGCGCGGCGAGGGACGCGGCGGCGCGGCCGCTGCCGGCTGCGGCCGAGCCCAAACGCACCAAAACACACAGGGACTTCCTCCTCGAAGAGATGGCCTGGCTCGCCAAGGAGTTCCAGAAGTGCGCCAACCCCTCAACCCCTGATTTCCTTGTGTCTACTCACAACAGCAGTCAATGCCTTGTTGTCTGACAAGTGTCCATATTTCAAGTGCGTCCTTTGTCCCTACCGTGAGGTAAATTGAGTATGAGATTGGAGGGTTGGGTTGCACAGAGAGCGGAGCTGGAAGATGAAGCAGGCAAAGAAGTACGTGCGCGCTGTGGTGCGCTCCAATATGGACGTGGAGTCGCGCGCGGTCGTGCGCCAGAGGGAGGCCGAGCTCGCAATCCGCCGCCGGGCTGCATGGATCGGCAAAGAAGTCCGCCTCTTTGTCTCCCGTCACATCTCATTTCCAATGCCACCAATCGCAAATTACACTCATGCAACACCTGCCAATTTATTGACTTGTGCTGTGCTGCTGACATGGATGGCGCATGATGCTTGGGTGGATGCGGTGTGCGCAGGTCATGCAGTTCTGGAAGAAGGCGGAGCGGGTGGTGGCGTACAAACAGCAGAGCGTGGTTGACGCGCGCAAGAAGGAGGCCATGGACAAGCACCTCTCCTTCCTGGTCGGCCAGACCCAGAAGTACTCCAGCCTCCTCGCCCAGCGCCTGGCAGCCAACGACCAAGACCTCCCCGCCCTGCTCTCGCCGCCACCGTCCCGCCCCATACCTGCCAGCAATGCCGCCGCGCCACCGGCGCCTGCCCCGGCTCTGCTCGAGGGCCCCAGCGCGTCTGACCGAAAGCCAGATGCAGCCGCGGCAAAGCTGGCCGCGGCGGCTGGCAACGGTGCGCGGCCGGCAGCGCCGGGATTGCAGGGGCAGTTGGGCGCGCCGGAGAGGAGCAAGGCGGCTGAGACCAGCAGTGCAGCGCTTGCCGAGCCACTGGCTGACGGCAGCGGCGCAGGCGAGGAGGATGAAGAGGAGTTTCAGGTGGAGACAGGGATGGAAGATGATGACGATGACGAAGCCACCCTGGAAGAAGAGGAGGCATGCTTCTTACTACCGTAAAGGATTTCAGTGTTTTGGTCCTCACAGTGGTTATTGATTGTCCTGGGGCTTTCTTATTTTGTGGTGGCATTTGCAGTAGAATGGTTGCTGGCACTTGCCTGGATCTCTACTGTAGTTCCTGTAGTTGGGCAAGGTTGATAAGTCATGGGTAATCTTCAACTTCTGCTGCAAGGAAGTGTGACTGGGCGTGCCTACGTCCCTTCATTGCTGTTCCTCAACATATGGTGGTGTTCTACAGGCTCTGGCGCGCGAGGCAGGCGAGGGTGAGGACGAGGAAGGGGAGCTATCAATGCTGAATGACGAGGCAGACATGCCCCTGGAGCAGCTGCTGGCCCGCTACGGCTTTGTCACAGGCAACGATGCAGCAGAGGCGGCCGAGGACACCCCACCAGCCGCAGGGGTAGGCAGTGCAGGTGTGGCCCCTTCCTTCCCTTTCCATTTCTTTGGCACCACTGCACTATTTCTCTCCTCTAGCACACAGCGCCTGCAATTCTGGCAAAGCATCAATGAACATGCAAGGCCTGAGCTCTTCCGGCGATGAATCTGGTGCAGGAGGTGGGGATGTGAAAATGGCAGAGAGTTCGAGAGGCATGGGAATTGCTGCGCCGTCTGTAAAGTCAGAGGAGCACACCAGTGAGGCAGAGAGCGGCAGTGAGCATGACCATTCCAGTGCAGACGAGGGGCCGCCAAGCAAACGGCGGCGGACTGATGAGGGCGTAAGAGACTTGGCAAAAATCATGACAGGTGCAATATCCAGCCACCTGAAAGAGCTTAATCCAGCTGTGATCCATTGCTGGTGCAATGCGCAGAGCAGAGATGGCATGTGCAACTGGAAAAGTTCGGCGCCCTTTGTCGCAGCTGTACAGATTGACTTGTGAGGCCTTCATGCAATTCAGGCCATGAGAACGATCCTGCTGATCTCATAGAGTGGTGGTTGATGGGTTCTGTGGTGGTTTCCATTATGCGCTAATTGTCTCAGGGATGGGCGGTCATGTTTCTGCAGGCCAGGAGAGCGAGGCAGCCGGGGATGGAGACTATGCATCTGAGGGCAGCGGGGACGACGATGAGGCCACGTTGGAGGAGGAAGATGCCATGGCTGCCCAGGACGGAGCTGATCGCGCGGTGCGCTATCCTCCTACACACTACAATTGCATGCTGCTGATCCTGAATGCCTTGCATGCCTGGCGGTGACTGCAGCTGAAGACACCCTGTTGTCCTGCCCCATCAGTTATCCGCTTGTCAAAGGGAAATGCTTTCATGGGCTTGGCAGGTGTTAAGTGTTGTGCACACCTGGTCGATTGCAGCTCGAGGCTGCTTGTCAGTCCTGCCTCGGTTGCCAACATGATAATCAAATTGTTTGGGGGTGGATGCTCTGTGGTGGGGCTCTGGACAGAAGCTGAGGTGTTGTGGGCTGCTGGATATACCAGGCGGAGGAGGCGGCAGAGGCGGCAGCACTGGCGGACGAGGCAGACATGCCGCTGGAGCAGCTCCTGGCGCGCTATGGTTATGTCATGGGCAACGATGCAGATGAAGACAGCAATGGCCCCAGTGACATGGACGTCGATGGGGGAAAGGCAGACCAGCCCGCTCAGGCAAGCTCAAAGGAGCCTTCAGACACCGCAGGTGCCAAGGCTACGGCGCCGCCAGGTGCCACGGCCGTCACAGACGCAGGTGAGGCATCACCAGGCACCTTGGAAAGCTATGCATATTGCTGCACCTTTCGCAGTCGAAAGAGGCCTCAGCGCATCAATCGGGATTGCTACCCAGTGGGGTAAACTGAAGAGGCCAGAAAATTTTGAGGGATGGTCACCGCACTCTGGTGGACGCCCTGTCTAGCTTTTTGAACAGTTGTTGACGTGTTGCGCGCGAATGCAGATGAGCCAATGCCGTCGGCCTTCCCGTCAACACTAGCAGTGCCGCCTGAAAGTCAGACCACCGCCGCAGCGCCGTCAGAGGGCATCCCTGTGTCTGCAGCGCCTGAAGAGGCCGCCGGCCCTTCCGCGCCAAGCCTGGCAGCAAAGGAGGACGCCAGTGAGTCGGCCGCCGCCGGCCCCTCCGCGCCAAATCTGGCGGCAAGGGAGCAGGCTAGAGGGAACGCTGCTGAGGACGCGACAGGTGACGAGGCACTGACTGAGCTGGAGAGGGAGGCCCAGGGGGCGGAGCGGCTGGAGGGCGTCGCTCGGCTGGCATCCCAGGTGCAGCCCAAGGGCCACACCCTCGACAGTGCCGGCGTGCACATCCAGGCAAGCCACGCTCTGCCTGGTCTTAAGTCTGCACAGAGTGTTGCATCACGGAAGCAGTCTTTATCTCATCCATGCCTGACGCTCCACTGCTACTCTGGAACGGGTGGAAATGAAAGCGCGCTTGGGACGCAGCATTCTGTTCCAACATGGACTGCCGCAGACAGTGCAAACCTTTTCGAGAACATCTTTCAGCACTATGTGACAATCTAACTATCATTCTCTTGCGCTGACTCTGAGGCAGAGTGTTTCCTTGCACATTTGTTCATGTGTCCTTCTGGAGCCATTAAAGCATTGCTACTACTCATCTCAGAGCTGAGGGGACTGTCGTGACTGACCTGTGCCAGGCAGGAGTGCTCAGCGCGGTGTGTTTGCGTTTGTCGCGCAGGTACCGTTCCTGCTGAAGGGATCACTGAGGGAGTACCAGCACGTGGGGCTGGAGTGGCTGATCACCATCTACACGCGTCGCCTGAACGGCATCCTGGCCGACGAGATGGGCCTCGGCAAAACCATCATGACCATCTCCCTGCTCGCCCACCTTGCCTGCGAAAAGTGCGCTGCCACATTCTCAAAGCACCTGACACTGCACCAGCCAAGGTTCTGCCAGTTATTGTGTCACGAAGAATGTAATCCATGTCCCAGTCTCCTCTCTGCCATTACCCATGCATGAAGCCGTTCGTGTGCATGTGGAATGGGCATCTGCTTAAGAGGGAAATCCTGGAATTCTTAGATTTCCTTCTTGGGAGAACCAGTCAATCGTCAGGGATTGTCCCTTTTGCAAGTTCCCCTGTGATGGCGGATGCCTCTGTTGTCGTCAGAACACTATGCGGGGAGGTGAATTACAGTATGTCTGGAAGTTCAAATCCAGATAAGCCGTCTGTCTTGTAGCATGTCATTCAGACAGGAAGGTAGTCGATATGCCTGGAAGGATATGAGCAGTGAGTGCGCATGCAGGGGCGTGTGGGGCCCGCACCTGATAGTGGTGCCGACGAGCGTGATGCTGAACTGGGAAGTGGAGTGCAAGAAGTGGTGCCCCGCCTTCAAGCTGCTCACCTACTACGGCAGCGCCAAGGAGCGCAAGGCCAAGCGCCAGGGCTGGTCCAAGCCCAATGCCTTCCACATCTGCATCACCTCCTACACCCTCGTTCTCCAGGTCACACCCTGCGCTGTCACCTTGCCAGGCTCATTTTTGCCCGATTTTGAAGGTTGCCTGCCAAATCAGTCCTGAGACAACTGCACATAGATTACTCTCTTCCTGCAGGTCACACGCTGCTTCTACACTGCCAGGCTGATCCTGTTCCATCTTTTCAGAACATGACTCTGGTACCAGATTCTTAGAACTAGCTTATTTTAAACAGCAGGCTTTCAAGCGCCTCTTGATGAAAGTGGTCTTGAGGAGATTCTATCTTTCAATGACTGACTGTGGAGTTTGGCATGCGCATGCACGGTGTAGCTACACATTTCCAAAGGCATGGAAAGCAATTATACCTTGTGAGTTGAGATCTGATGTGTGTCTGGGGTTGACTGGTGCAGGACGCAAAGATGTTCCGGCGGAAGAAGTGGAAGTACCTGATCCTGGACGAGGCACACATGATAAAGAACTGGAAGAGCCAGCGGTGGCAGACGCTGCTCAACTTCAACTCGCAGCGCCGCCTGCTCATCACTGGGACGCCCCTGCAGAACGACCTCATGGAGCTCTGGTCCCTCATGCACTTCCTCATGCCACAGGTGGCCCCCCTTCCTCCCCCTGTCATATTGTAACCCAGCTGGACCTTCAGGCATCAGCTCACCTCTGTGAGACAATCTGTCATGTTCCATGCAATGCATGCACACAGGCAGGCATGCAAAGAGATGCCTGGCTCGGGACATGCCTCAAGTGGCTTGATTTTCATTGATGACCCTCCCAGTGTCGAGGTGCGGGCCTGAACAGTTTGTGCTGACATCGTCATGCTGTGACTCTCGTGCAGGTGTTTGCCAGCCATGCGCAGTTCAAGGACTGGTTCTCCAACCCGCTGACCGGCATGGTGGAGGGGCAAGAGGCAGTCAATAAGGTGTGCTCCCCTTGCATACCCTCACCTTTTGCACATCACACACCTCGCATATCGGATCCTGCAGGCCGTCCGATGACTTCTCACCATGTACTGGTTCCTGCCAGTTATTAGGGCGTCAAGAGCTTTGCCAACCTTACGGAGACGCGATATTCAAATGGGATAGCTTTTCTTGCACAATTGAAAGTGGCAAACAGCTTGATATTGATTGCTCCTAGTTTGCTTGTGATCATACTACTTGCAGACCCTAGGCTGGTGGAGGAAAGTGTTTATACTGAGCACCTTGTCCACGGCTGACTGGGTCTAGGTTGGTTTTAGGAAGTCATACAAGGGGTAGTGTCTGTAGCAGCCTTGATCAGCAACTTCTCTGCAGACGCACCTTGCCTTCTGAGCAGGAACAATATTTAATACAACAATACTGTGCATGCTTGAAACAGGCGCTGGTGGAGCGGCTGCACGGCGTGCTGCGGCCATTCCTGCTGCGGCGGCTGAAGAGCGAGGTGGAGAAGCAGCTGCCGGGCAAGCACGAGCACGTGGTGCGCTGCCGCCTCTCCAAGCGCCAACGCACGCTGTACGAGGACTACATGGCCTCCTCCGACACCGCCTCCACCCTCACCTCCGGCAACTTCCTGGGCATCATCAACGTCCTCATGCAGCTGCGCAAGGTCCGCTGTTCCCTCCGTCCGAGCCCACGCCCACCACTCCTCCCTAAATTGAGACAGTACTTCATGCATGTACCGGCAGCGTACACTAGCACGGTCTTGCCGAGGCACCTACACATGCATGAGGAGCAGGGCTACTTTCACGATGTCTCAAGCAGCACAAAAAGGAGCATGTCAGTTCAATGCTCTGCTTTCAACCCTGTTAGAGCAGCACAAGGGCAGCGCATGCTCACAAAGCACGTGTCCCTCGTTTCACCAAAGCCTCTAACAACTGACATCAACCCACAACTCCGAGTACATTACGTGCTGTTCTGCAGGTGTGCAACCACCCGGACCTGTTCGAGGGGCGGCCCATCGTCTCGGCATTTGACATGGTGGGGGGCCTCAGCGCGCAGCTGCCCTCAGCGGTCGTGCGCGCCAGCGAGGGCTCTGTCTGGGACCATATCGATCTTGGAGAGCTCAACCTGCTGCCCATCCAGCATGAGGCCATGAGCCAGTGGGAGGCCCAGGAGGTTCAGGTGGGCGCTCATGCCCGCCTCTCCCTTTCCCTGGAACTTCCTCTCCCATTTCTTGCACTGATTTGCATGGGATTAGAAGCCATTGCTTGTCAGCAATTGCATGACTAAGGTTGTCCACAGAGCGACGGTGCTGACTTGCCTCCTGTTTGGGCGAGGCACTGACAGACAAGGTGTGGAAAGACCGGGTTGCTGAAGGTGCCGGCAATATGTGTGCAGGTGCTGCAGACGCCAAAGCAGCTGATAGAGGAGCTGAACGCCTCTAAGGCTGAGCAGCGTGGCGACCAGAGCGGCCTCAGCATATCTTTTGTGGTGAGTAATGGCTTTCTGCATGCAAAAGATCTCATTTTTATGTCCTTTTGAGTCATTACCTCCCGCACACACCACATGCTACTCTTCCTAGGCCTTGAGTTGCTGCCACAATTTGCAATATATCCTTCAATACGGAGAATGGGAAAGCTTTGCTGAAGGGACACTCCTATTCCTTCAAGTGCGCAAAGTGACACTGTGCCCCTCTGCTGTCACAGGCCACTTTGGAGGGCGCGCCATCACAGGGCCTGGTGCACGCGGTGGCGGCATCACTGCGCGACCTGCGCCGGCGGCGGGCCGAGGCCGCGGCGCAGCGCCGAGCGCTAATGGCGGCCGTGAACGAGCGCCGCAGCCGCCAAGCGCCGCTTTTTGGGCGTGACCTTGTGGAGGCTGTGCGCGTGGAGCTGCCTGTTCACCAGGTCCATGTCATCAAACAGCAGGTGCGCTGTCGCTCTTATGCAGAATTTTGTGTTCTCCTTTGGGCATGTGACTCTAAACATATTTCCAGATGTATGGGGAGATTCTGGCGGTCATGAGGGCATTTGCAGAAAGTGATGACCGGATTCTGCGGGAGTTGTGACCCACAGAAGCTGGCCATCCATTTGTCAGCTCTTAGAAGTGGGATTGCAACCTGCCATCTGACTAAGTGGCGTCTTTTGAGCAACAGCCAGCTGGTGGTGAAGATCTAATGACTTGATGTCTGGCTTTGCAGAGGGGGCGCCACCTGGACTTTGCGGATGCTGTAGCCGATGCAGTCCAGACGTGCCAGATGCGCGCAGAGCAGCTGGATGACGAGTTGAAGACCTTCATGTTCGTCATCCCCAGGGTGCAGCTCGACCTTATTTTCACATGTTGAGACAAGCTGGCTGCAGCTAAGGAAACTATCATCACACAAAAATTCCAACATGTACCCTGCATTAGCAGACCGTGTCACTTGGCCAAGCACAAAGATTGCGTCCTTGCCTCGCAAACTTTGCAGTGCATGGCAGACTGCAGGGCATGCAGAGCACCATGCCAGTGATCTTCTCACGGGAACAGGCATCAGAAGCTTCAACAGCTTGTGGGAAGTTGCGGATCCTTGTTACTATTGCAAGATTGTGATTGTCCCCTGCCATGCTACAGGCGCGGGCCCCCCCGCCAGAGATATGGTGCAGCCGTCCGGACCCGAGCGCAGTCGCAGAGGCGGCCGCGCGCGCGGCGGCGCTGCAGGCGGAAGTCTTTGCGCGATCAGCGCCCCTGCGCACGGCCATCGTGCGGCAGCAGCTCTTCTTCCCCGACCGGCGGCTGATCCAGTTTGATTGCGGCAAACTGCAGGCACGGCCTCCCATGCCTGAGTACGGCTGTATCCATGCCCCGTGACCTTTCCGCACAGGAAACTGCACACTAATTTTGCGATCGGCCCTTTGCCAGTTGTCCCTTCAAACGACAGTCACCCAATTGTACTCTTTGCAGGCCTGCCCTTCGCAACAACTCTTTTTAGGGAAACGTGGGAAACGCTCCTGGCTAGCACTGTGTCACGTCTGAAAGGTTTCTGACACTTTAATGCAGGAGTTGGCGGAGCTGCTGCGGCGGCTGAAATCTGGCGACCACAGAGCCCTCATCTTCACCCAGATGGCGCGCATGCTTGACATCCTGGAGGTGGGTTACCCTTCCCCGTCACCTCTCACACCGCATTAGCCTTGAGCATCCCACGCTTGCTGATGAGTTTGATCCCTTGCAGTGTGCACTGGTGGTGCACAGCGGAGCAGACACTGAAACGCTTCCCGACACACATTCAAGATGGAAGAGCTTTTGATTAGTGGCTGAACAGAATTCAATCAATGGGACATGCCGAATTGCATCTGTTTGCATCAGCACAATGATGGGCTGACGATGGTGCCTGGCATTGCACATTAGGTGTTTCTGAACCTGCACGGCTACAGCTACCTGCGCCTGGACGGCACAACCAAGCCCGAGCAGCGCCAGATCCTCATGCAGCGCTTCAACACCAACCCCAAGCTCTTCGTCTTCATCCTTTCCACGCGCTCCGGCGGCGTCGGCATGAACCTCACGGGCGCCGACACCGTCATCTTCTACGACTCTGACTGGAACCCAGCCATGGACGCCCAGGCACAGCCCCCTCATCCCCTTACTTGGAAACACTGTCTCGTTGGTGTCTGGATGCTTGAATCCGGTCCTACTGAAACTCTGGATTCCTGAACTATCATCAAACTCTTCAGTTGAGGTCCTTTCATCATAGCATTGCCACAGCAAGCCACTCTTACTGGCAACCTGCATTCAGTTTGGGTTGTGGACAGTGGTGTGTGTCTGAGCATCCGCCTGCATCTTTTGCATGTTTTCATCAAGCAGTGCCCCCAACTGGCTTACAAGAAGGCCTGGATTCCCTCAACATGTTCCTGACACAACTCCTGAATCGACTTACGTTGGCTGGATCTCCAACAGATTGCAGCGGCTGATGTATGTGACAATCTGGTAAAGAGACTGCAGCCTGAATGTGCTCGGCCGGCTGCGCAGGCACAGGACAGGTGCCACCGCATCGGGCAGACGCGTGAGGTGCACATCTACCGACTGGTGAGCGAGCGCACCATCGAGGAGAACATTCTGACCAAGAGCGACCAGAAGCGCCAGCTGGACCATTTAGCCATCCAGTCCGGCGGCTTCAACACCGACTTCCTCCAAAAATTCAACCCCCGCGAAATCCTCGGCCTGCAAGGTGTGCTTCACCCCTCCCAGGCTTTGCAAATGAGCTTCACGAATGAACTGGATGGTTCCCCCGCCCTTGCTTCTTTGCTGGTCTGGGCTGGTTTCATCCATGGTCTAATATGGTATTGAACCACTTCTTATCATGGTCATGCCATTCAAAATTCAAAGTACAATTCCGTCTGAGACGGACCAGATGTAGAGGCCATCTGGGTGTGCTAAATAGCGTAGCCAAGTCTTACAATCAGTGATTGAATGAGTTGTTGTGCACTCTCAGGGGCTCCCACAGCTGCGGCCGGGCCAACGAGCGGGGGCATGTCGGAGGAGGAGGTGCAGGCGGCGCTGCGCAGCGTGGAGGACGAGGGCGATCGAGCCGCCGCGGCCGCGCTCGAGCGCGAGACGGCCGACGAGCTCGCTGAGTTCTCCGCCGAGCCCGCGCCGGCTTTGGCCCCCGATGCGGATGCCGAAGCCGATGAGGACGCCGAGGACGGCGATGACACCAGGTTGCGCTTCTGCATGCATGTTTGGGTGTATCTCCTGGGTGCAATGGTGGTGCCGCCCGATTGAGGGGTGCTTGGAAGAGAAGATATTTATAGCCTCACCTAGGATTCCCACCTTTTGATACAACAATCTTCCTTTGTCACTAAATTCACGTAGAACAGTATACATTTCATCTAAGTATATGTTTGTCATGCTCTCCCCTTTGGACTAGTGGGCTGAAGGAGACTGTTCATGAATGAAATAGGCAGAAGAGAATGGGTGTGAGCACAAGTGCTGTGCCTCATCGTGGTTGCTGTGCGAGTGGCAGGGGGGCGGCGGCCTCCGGCGCGGAGGACGGCGCGGTGGCGGCGGCGTCGGGCGCGGCGAGCCAACCGAGCAGCGAGCTGCCGCTGGTCAAGGCGGAAGAGGTGGATGCAGACGACGACGCGATCATGTCGGATGTGGCGGCGCTCGCGCACGGCGGACAGAGCGCGGACCCCGTCGCCAACCTGGAGAGCGCGCTGCGGCCCATCGAGCGCTACGCAGTCCGCTTCCTAGAGGAGGTGTGCATTGTCCTCCGTGCAAAGGAGCACTTGTCTGGCTTCTTGCCACGGGCAGAAGGTCACGTGCTCTTCACGCAGTTTTTCATACTCCTAGATGCGTGTATCTGAGTGGACTCACCTTTCTCATGTTCGGATCGAAGAAGCCGCTGATTTGATATTGAAGTTTCAAAGGGCATGAGGCTCGTCAGCTTGTTGCTTCGGAATTAAAGGAGCTCCAGTGAAATGGTTAGGATGGTGAGGGAGAGCGAGTTGGGCTGCGCAGGTCGCCCCATCACGGCTGGATGTGGAGGCTGCGGCTGCCGCGGTGGAAGCAGAGCTGGATGCGCAGGAGTGGAACATGCAGGAGATTGAGCGCATCCAGGAAGAGCAGGTTTGATGACGCCCAGCCAACATCCTTATGTCCAATTATGTCCAATAACATAACCACAGTACGCTAAAATGGCCGCACCGCAGCCACTGAAACCTGAAAATCGTAGAGCCTGTCGACCTCAGCAAGATGTGTCAGAATCACAGTCTGTTCCCCGCGAATTAGATGTATTCTAACATCTGTGAGGTGGTGTGTGCAGGAAGCCGAGATAGAGGAGGATGCAGAGGCGACGCGCGCGGTTGACTGGGACAAGGCGGCGGCGGACGCGGCCTACAGGGCGCAGGTTGAGCGCGCCCAGGAACGCCAGCGAATCCTGCAGGAACAACTGGCGCGCGAGGTGAGACCCCATTGTGCTCTCTCTGCTATCAACACTGACTACCGTGCCTACGATGGTCTGGGTGTTACTTAAGTTCTGTTAGTCCAACAATGGCCGGAAATGGGGCAGCCTTTATGTCTGCAGATTTCCTTTGGGCATCAACACCGTGCCCCTTTCTGATGATCTTTGGGCAGGGTGCTGATGGGTGATAGTTCTTTACATTACTTTTTGGCAAAGTTGGACACCTAGCTCTCTTCAGTTTGCCCGGGAACACATGAGGAGTCTGGGAGACAGTTATGGATGCCCATGTCTTCCTTTAGTGCTACATGCTAAGGGCTGTGTGGTGGCTTTAGGAGGCGGCAGCGGCGGCTGCAGCCGAGGCGGCGGCATTGGCGTACGAGGCGCGCGTGGCGGAGACGGGGGCCGCCAGCAGATCGGGCGGGGCCGTTGGTAAGAAGGGCTACAAGAAGGCTCGCATCACTGCCACGCGGTCGATGGATCCTGAGGAGGCCGAGTCTGCCCTGCCCAGCCCCCGACCCACCTTCAGCAGGTTCGGCTCAACTTCAGATCACCTCGCGGTCTTGATGTTCCACATTGATGCCTGATTTTTGAAGTGGGCACCGCATCAAAACTCATGAGGAAGGCAAATTCAGGCACCTCTTGTCGCCCCAAACCTTGAGAGAAGTGAAATCAGTGTCAGTCTTCTTGAGACGTCGCACCAGGGGCTTTTATGCAGCTGAAAGTGCCATTTGTCTGCTGCAGACAGTAGAATTTGCAACTTTTTTTGCCCCCTATCCATTCAAAGGGACCTTCATATTGCTCCTCTTGTTCCCGTACTCGTGCATGCTTGGCATGCGTTCTGACAGCATGCGGAAGAACTGACGGGATGCTCTGCTCGCGCGCCGCACAGGAAGCGTGCGCGGACGGCGCGCGGTCGCGTGGTGGTGCGGCCCAAGTGGCCGGGCGAGGACGACACGGGCGGCAGCAGCCCCGACCCAAGCGAAGCCTACAGCTCCGCAGACGAGGCCAGCCACGCCGGCTGGGGCGGTGCGTGCAGTGTCACATTCCTGCAATTGTTGTTTGCCCTTTGCCAGTCCCTCCTGCTGCCATTCCTTGCAGCTATGTCTATGCGATCAAATTTCTGCACTCACAATTATCAGTGGGAGCCACAGCATCTCGCTCATACAGCCGCATTCCCATTCCCATTGCAAGTCTAGGGCCTTCATTGTATTGGGTGCTGCCACATCAAACTGATACAATGCAAAGCCAAGAGTTGCTGTCAAGCACCTTTATCTTGATGAGCTTCGCCCGTTGAGCGCGACACTGCGAATGTGACTTCAGGGAAGTGTTGTGAAGGTACAGGGTATGGAGAGGGGCAGAAGCGCGTGCGGTACGAGCAGCAGCAGCCGAGCCCTGCTCCGTTGCCGGGGATCAAGGTGGAGGGCGGCGGCAATGGCCGGCCTCGCAGCCGCTTCAGCGAGGCGCCCCCCGCGCGCCTCGGATTCCCACAGCACTTCCAGCGGCCTCCCACCGGTGCGCGCATCCTGGACCTGCTCTCTCCACCATGTGAATATCCTAGGCTCATAAGACCCCTGTCGCCATCCTCACTTCCTCCACATGAGACTCTACAACGCATTTGGCGGCCACAAAAGACACTGCAAATTTCTCCAATGCATTCTGCTCTACATTGTAGAGATGCTGCATTCTCCACCTGGTTGACTGAGCTTTGCATATGAGTTTAGTACACGTTATGTCCATGATGTTTCCTCATAAATTTTGCAAAGAATAAAAAGGTTCTGAAATGCAATACTGTGCCATTTCACAGGGGCAGCCATGCCTCAGCCGGGCCCCTACCGCGGTACACCAGTTGCGGCCCCTGTGTCGCCGCAGCCACACACGCCACGGCCATACAACACTGCGCGCAAGTATGCCACGGTGGGGCAGCTGCGGCCTCCCCAGCACACCTGGATCCCCTGGGACGTGTCAGAGGACGTGGTAAGCTTCTGATCTTCTTCCTTCTGCCCTAGAATGACGCATATGAAGTACATTCAAGGCGCCCCTTTCCTCACGCAGCCCTATGCATGCCCCGTTACTATGAGCTTTATATACTTGGATAGTCCTGTACATACACTGTGACGCAGTCCAACAGGAGTCCGCCCCAAAGACATTGTTGGTGCGCGGTGGGACTGACGTGGATGGCGTTTGGCAGGTGCTGGCAGCGATGGTGGAGGAGGCGGTGCAGGAGGGGGTCAGCAGAGGGAATGGCAACGGAGCGCAGAGCCAGCAGCTGGGGCGAGCCGTCTGGGAGCTCATCAGCACCACCCTGGCAGCCGGCGCTGCCGCCCTCACCGTCAACGCAGCCGCCGCCGCCCGCCAGGCGGTGATCACCCTGTACCCAATCCCATGCATGTCACCACTTTTACCTGAGCATTCAGCAGATCTCCAGACTCAAGAGGTGCCTCTAGAGCCGCCAATCTTGTGTCATCAGCTGGCCTTTCACCAGTTTGGAGCGTGAATTTTGCTCCTGCGTGGTGCATGCTCTGTCAAAGGGGGTGCTGACAATATTAAAGGTTCTACACCATTGTTGGCAAGGCTGGATTGCTGAATCTGGCTCTCCTTGTGCTGCAGTCCAAGTTCCGCTCACCGGAGCAGTGCTGGGAGCGGTACCAGATGCTGCTGGCAGCCCTGCAGGGCAGCCGCGCTGCCGGCATGTTTGTGCCGGCACCTGCCGCCGTGCCGCAAATCCGGCCGACCCCGGTGTCGCCGCTTGTGCCTCAGCCTGCGCCCGCCTATTCCACACCTCTCATCCCTGCATCAGCACCCCAACAGCTGGCACCCCTTGCCGGCCCGATCCCGCAGTCCAGCGCCCCAAGCAGTGCTCTGGCAAATGGGCTGTCCATAAGCAGCCCGGCAATGAGTCTTGGGCAGCCCCAAATGCAGGCGCAGCCCGCGGCTCAGCTGCCTGTGGCTTCAGCAGCGTCTCCAGTTATGGCCAGCAGCAGCCCAGCTGTGCCAGGGGGACAGCAGGGAGCACAGGCATCTGATTCCGCAGCAGGTTCTGCAACTCCACCACCGCGAGATGTGGGCAGTGCGCAGCCTCTGGCCAATGCAGAGACAGGCCCTCGCCCGAGTGCCCCAGCGAGGGAGCAGCCAGCAACAGCAGGTCCAGTGCAGACAGGCAGTTCTGCCGCATGCTTGGAATCCCTCACACAGCAGCTGGTGTGGCTGTCCCGCAGAAATCCAGCCTGCAGCACGGCGGTGAGGTTTTCACTCCCATCTGTACTTGCTGCTCATGTTCAATTTGTTAGTCAATGCTCGAACAGAGTCTCTCTGTAAATGTCGGGTGTGAGTAAATTTTGTGCTTGAAAAATTCAAATTTAAGAACAAATGGCACTAAAGTGCTGGTTTTGGGGCTTGGCTGCAGGGGTTGCAGTCGGTGCTTGCAGCCGCATATATAGAGTCCCCGCCCACGAATGGCACAGCAGCGGCCGCGCAAGAGCTGACGCGCGATCTGCAGGGCCTCCTGGCCGCCGCAGACGCTCCAGTCAATGGAGCAGCGAAGCCAGCGGTGCCGTTTACGGCGGCACGAGGGGCGCCGCGGCAGCAGCCAATGCTGCTCAGCGTTGGCGCGGCGGAGGCGGCGACCGTGAAAGAGGCGGTGCGGCGTGCGGCCGGCCCCTGCTCGCGCGGCATCCTGCGCCACCTGGCTTCGGTTGTGACAGCCGTCAGGACTGGAGGCATCAAGGTGTGGGGCCGTCTTCCTCTTCTCAATGATCATACTCTCTGAGTTCAGCGGGGATTCTCCTGTCTATGGTTTTATTTCTGATCTTGACATGTTCTTTTGTAGTCTTATCATGTCATATTGCTGCGTGTCGGCTTTGGTCTTGGCGTCGCCAATTATTGGCGTGCAGGAGTCATGCCTGCACCGCCAAAGTCTGTATATGCGTGGGTACTTGAGTGACGCGTGGGCCCAACCTGTCGCAGGCTGGCAATGCAGCCCTGACGCAGCTTCTGCAGCTGCCCAAGGCGCCGCAGCCACAGCAGCCGCTGCCTGCATCGCAGCAGCCGCCCACGCAATCGCCTAGACCAGTGGCTTCACCGCAGCTCCAGCCGTTCGCTGGGGCACCCCGCATGCAGCCACCGCAGCAGATGCGCCCCCCGGGTCCCAAGGGGGGCCCATTCCTGCACGGTGCGCCGCCCCCGGCCACTCAGGGAATGTACCCTGGCCACCCTCGCCCGCTGCATCCGTCCATGGGCCACACCGGCCGCCCCCTGCAGCGGCCTGTGATGGGTCATGTCCGGCTGCAACAGCCGGTGCCATCTGCGCAGCTTCGGCCGCCAGGTGTTCAGCGGCCTTTCCAGCAGCAGGCAGCCCCGCGAGGGCCTCCCATGCGGCCGGCGCCATCTGCCGCGGCGGGCGCGCAGCCGGGGCAGGCGCCGCAGTTTGCGGGGGGCCAGATGCCTTCGGCGCTCGTCGCGCAGCTGCAGCAGATTGCTGCCGTTCAGCTGCCGCCTCAGGCTGGGGTGCAGCAGGCTGCCCCGGGGATGCAGCCGCTTGGAGTGAATATGGACGCGCTGCAGCGAATGGCCGCCATGCAACCTGCTGTCCCTGGTAGGCTTTCCTTTCTCAATCCAGCCTCCGCAAACTTTTGAGCACATGTGGTGACTGCCAATGTGAACGCAAGTGTGATCTTCCAATTGACACATCCGTGTTGTTTGGTGCCCATGAGCAATGCAACGGCTGTGGGGACAAAGAGCTAAAAGGCACAGTGTCGTGCGTGCAGGGCAAGTGCCACCAGCACTGGCGCTGCTGCACAGCTTGCTCGCTGCAAGGGCGGGGGCCGGCTTTCACCCTGGCGCACAGGGCGTTCCCTTCCTGCCTGCACAGCCCGGCCTGTCACAGCCACCAGCGCTGGCAGTGGCAATGCGCGCAGGCATGTCAAGCCAGCCCCTGCCGGCCCCTGTAGGTCCTATTGGAGCCCCTTTTGCAGCACCACGACCGCAACACGCGCCTGTGTCGCAGCTTGCCAGCGCAGCTGAGCAGCCGCCTCAGATGCAGCAGCAGCAGCAGTCACAACCGGGAGCTGCTGCTGATGCACAGCGGCAGAATCCTCCTGGCCCACAGAAGCCATCACAGTGAAAGCCACTTCTGTGCAGATCCACTGTTTTGCCCTGGCATCTGATGGGTGTGGCTTCGCATGCATGTGCTGGTATAGTAAAGGATGGATGTGGAATAAATATGCTCAAACACAACTTTGAACGCAACTGTGCAAGCTAGATTGGAATGGAGTCTTATGTCCGAGTTGCCTTTTTGAATCGATGACTCGTGTTGTGGTGATCTTGTGCTCTCTGTTGTCATGCTTATTTCTGCGGAATCTTGGTGGAGCTGCTGCTTCTTTTCTTGAAATAAGAGCGCGCATGTTTGATGAGTCTTGGGAGACTATTGTGATAGCAGATTTGCACCGCACATGTTGATAACAGTGCCAAAGCTCATTTATGTGATGTAACCTGTGAGTGACAATTTCATCAACCACATCCAGAAAAGTTCTCGACACTCTAAAATTGCAAGACACCATGCAGTGCATATAGATGCACTGTACGCACACGCATAAACATTCTCTAATAATTGACATGATGGGCAGGTGCACTGTAAGCTCCTCTGTCCTCCCCTCAGACTGTAATACCTTACACGCTTGCATGTTACTGCTTTTTTAATTACAGCTGTGAAGTTTTGGAAGGTTCCAGAACAATTCCCTTGTTGAGGTTTTCCAGTGCCTGTGTGGGGGGATCTCCCTTCGTGCATTGCCATAGTCAATTCTCTATGGCATGTTCTGCATCATTGAGACAAGAGGGTAGCACCATGCTGAAGTCTCCTGCCCAGTCCTGAGTTCAAGGCAGTTTGGAACTCCCCCAAAAAATTGTTGGGCCTAGCGGTCTGACTGCATGACACCATTGTGTGCCTTGCGAGAATCCATCAGCTTGTTCGCCACAGATGCTTGCTTGCCCGAATCCTTGCCAATCGGATTCCTGTCCTGCACCAGCATGAGCATATCGATCAGAGAAAGAGCAACAGATGCCACTGTGGCTGCAATCTGTGGGCTAAAGCAAACTTTGAGGAATGGTGTAGGCGTCTGCATGAGCAGAGTGTGCTGCACAGATCTTGAGCGTACCGTTGTTTTGAAGCCGGGTTCATTGCGAGCATGCTCCATCTCTTTGACGTGCGCTTTGCGGTCCTCCCTCTCCTGCACGGAGCGGACCTCATTCCAAGAAGCTAACGAGAAGAGCTTCCAATTGACTCAGGGGCATTTTGACATTTCAATCATATCATAATGCAGCTCTTCAGCTCGCTCCTACCTGAGCTTGTGTTCGCTCCCCGGCCTCGGTGATAGCAGCGCCGTGGTTAGCTGGCACTATGTTGGGGTGATGCCTGCAACAGCCCAAGCATTGTTCAAACCAGCACCAGATGCTGAAAGCATCCTATCAATGTACGTGAAACCCACAACTTAATTATATTAATTTAATTCTATGTAGTGATAGCGTAAGTACACTCTATTAGCACACTAAGTACGAGCTAACCGTAAATCGACAGGAATGGCTCTCACTTTGGTCCGGCATCCAGCTTCTTCCCGTCCGGAACTGGATCCGAAGTCGCTGATGTGCGGGCTCTAATCGTACGTGGGAGGTTGTTATTGCTGCAGGAGCCGCACAATGTGTCACGCTCCTAATCAACTTGCACGTGATGGATGCCGCACTGGGTCAGCAAGAGCAATGCACCCCAATTTGTGAGACACAATTCAGATTGACCCGCTTTGGTCAAACAATTCTACCTGTGAACCAGGTTTGGACCCTTGTGAGACTGAGGCTCAGCCGAATCGCTCCTGTTGCTCTCATCGGATCCTGCCATAGCGACTTGTGACGGGCCTGTACTGGGAGCGGCGTGATGGTCAGTTGTTTGGTTGTGCGTATATCGAACTATGTTGCAATATGACTGAATTCGTGTTGGAGAAGAGAAGATATCGTATCCAGCGACGACGTCAAAAGGACAGCTTCCTGTCGTGCCGAAGCTACGATTCAACTCCAGGGCTTTGGGTCATGTCATTCGTCATTGTGTCGTGAGCTTTGTTCTCTGGAAGAGAAATGGTCGTGACGTGCATGCAAGCGCACAAGTACTTGCTGCGCTCAGGTACCTCCGTCTTGAGGGTTGCAAGGCTTTCGACATATCAGCAGCACCGAGGTATGGATTGATTGATGCCCGATGCGTGGATGTAGAGATCGGGAGCAGGAGACTTCAAGGCGCAGGACATACATCAAACTTGGCGTCGTATTAGTTTTGCTTCTGGTCGCCCTCGCAGGGTTTAGACACAGCACAAGAATGAGCGCATCACTGGAGAAGACAAGCTTCGAGGGCATCCCTGGGTTCGTGGGTGGGCCGAAGAACCGGCCTGGAGTAATCGTGTTGCAGGAATGGTGAGTTGTATATTAGTAGATCGAATGGAAGAGATGAGAAGGATTAAGAATTCTCAGCAGGGAGAGGCAACTCGATGGATCTGAAATGGAGGGTTGATGTCCACCTGCGACAGGTGGGGCGTCACTGACGAGATTAAGGAGCAAGCAGAGCACCTGAGCAAGCTTGGGAATTACCGTGTTTTGATTCCTGATCTCTACAAGGGTTCAATCGGCGTTGATGCTGAGGAAGCATCCCATGTAAATGCCCTCTCTTGCACCACATGCTGACCCTAGTGACTATGAATGCACCTGCTCTTATACTTAATCTGCGAGGATGTCTGCTGGGATGTTAATGCTCCTGCTCCTTGAGCAGCTAATGAACAATTTGGACTTTAAAGCTGCGGTGGAGGAGATCAAAACAGCAGATAAGTGGCTGCGCGAAACAGGATCATCAAAGGTCAGTCTGCACCTGGCCAGACTTCCAATATGCGTGTCAACAAGCCACCAAATGAGCAAATGATCCCCTTGCAGCTTCAAGGAAATTGGGTGTCTTCATGGTGCACAGGTTGGGGCTACTGGCTTCTGCATGGGCGGTGCTTTGACATTCCTGGCTGGCGAGTATGCTGACATTGATGCGGCAGCACCTTTCTATGGCACCCCACCTGCAGAATTGGGACATGTATGCTGCTGCAGTCCCCCGCCATGCACAACCTCTGTCTGACCTTGCAGCTAGCTTCAGTGCCATGAGATCATATTCTCACTGAGGAACCTCTTGTGTGGACGCAGCCAGAGAAAATCAAAGTACCTGTTCAAGCCCATGTTGGAGAGAATGATGCCTTTGAGGTGAATGCAACCTTCCAGTGTGCAGAGCAGACAGTACGGATTGGTTTAAACCTTTTGACCGAATTCAACAACTTGCAGTAATGTGCCCTAATGTACTTGACATATGGGTGTCTCGTAATTGCAGGGCTTTGCTGATGCGAAGACTGTTTCCCGCTTTGTGGAGAAGATCAATACGGCTGGTGGCAGCGCCAAGGTGTTTGTGTACCCAGGGGAAGGCCATGCCTTCATGAATGCCGGCAAGAGCATCAAGGAGAAGATGAAGAGTAAGCACCTGCTGCCTGATCACCAGTTCTGTTCTTCGTTGCACTGAATCACAAGAGCTACCCAGTGCAGCTCAGATTATACGCTTCTGCGTCATGAGAGTGGGCATGCCACTTGCAGCTGGCGGCCTTCCATTCGGGAAGGAGGAGTCCCAGGACGCCGCCTGGGAGAGGGTCCTCAGTTTCTTCAAGGAGCATTTGGGGTGAAGGCACTCCCAAGCGGATATAAGTCCGCTGGTGCATGTCCCTTGTGTATGGTACAAGACAAACATGACTTCACAGGCTTTTAAGATGACAATTCTGGGTCAGCACTGACAGCACTGACTTGAAAGAGTCACCTGCAATGCCACAGAAGCATTGTCGGGAGGTATAACAAGAGTTCGGTATTTGATTTGGACTAAAACAATATTGCAGATATCCCACTAATAAGCAGCCGCTGCGCTACTCGCAAGCCTGAAGGTATCGCATTGTACCTGAAGTTCAGCGTAGTGCTTCCTGACCTCACACTGAAGTCCCACTAGAGTTCATCTGGGGTCATTTGCTGGACTGTTCTCAATTTGTTGTCAGGCTGGCACCACAGTAGCGCTGATGGGTTGGACAGATGTCTGGGTTGATCAATGACTGAATTTCTAAAAAGAGTCCCAGTGCACCGTGTATCAGGAGGCAAAGGTGTTGAGGGTAGTCATGCCACTGCCAGTGGCATGCCAGCCTGAGTCACCCATGCCACGCATGCCATTGAGACACGCCACTCCGGATCGAGAACTCCTTGAAGGACCTCAGAGGCTCTGACATGCATGCCTTGATTGACCAGCAGTCTACAAACATGCTCTCCATCCCACATATCTGGTGATGGGAAATGTATCCTCCCTTCCACTTTGTTTTCGTCTCTGCCTTGCTAGACAAAGAGAGGACAGAATTTCCTGGACCCAATCAGGGTGACTTCCATGTGGCTTCACATCATGCAGCATCAAGCATCCCAGTCCTGAGGCGCTTCTCCAACAGCTCGCAAAGATCCAGAACTTCTCCTGTCGTGTATCCCGAGATCAATCTTTGCCATCGAAGCTAAGAATATAATGCTATAGACTCGATTTGGAACACAAGGTCACATCAATTGTCAGCATTCTTGTTGTGATGAGATAGTAAGAAGTTGAATACAGTTCGTGGTGCCTGCTATTCTATACATCATGAGCTCCTCTAGTGGCAGGATAATTACCAAGCGGCTCGCAGAAGCCTTGAGCGCTCGGCATTTTTCTGTCAGTCGCGTTAGCAGCAAGGTAAGATCCACATGGGTCAACAATTGCCAGTAGAATTTTTCTCAGGTTCCCATCTTTCCACAGGGCACCTCAAGTAACGCTGTCTTCATGTTTGAACTTATTATCCGCTGCTCTCACACATGTAACTTTCCTCAGAGACACTTTGGCATGCTGGACAGGGAAAGCACATTCCACCACCTCCTGCACCAGCATATGGGCCTGGATCTAATCCTGCGACTGGAACGACACCAGTAAAGCCATCGGGGTCGCAAGCAACTCTCGCGCCAGCCAAATCGGCACCAAATCCACCTGCAGGATCCGGAGGTGTACCCTCAACTGCTCCCAAGCAAGGAGGTCCACCACCACCATCATCCACCACTGAACCTGCAGCTTTGCAGCAAGGCAAGGGGCCAAGTGTGCCCAGTCAGCCAGCACCATCTGTATTACAGCCTCGGAGCTCAGGCCCAGCAGGGAAGGACCCTGCAAATGTGCCCGCAAGCGCCAAACCAACTCAGCCAGCCCCAGTCACGCCAGCACCATTATCGCCAAAACCTGCGCCGGCTGCGGTGAAGGAACAGCCAAGGCAGCCCACAGCATCGCCAGCTCCTGCTGCTCCCCCACAGCAGCCAATCCCGGCAGCAGAGATCCAGGCCACGCAGCCGCCGGGGGCCCAGGCAGTGAAGATCACCGGCCCTGCACCGCCGCCGGCAGCCTCTGCGGGCGGCGTGGGGCAGGACAGGGCAAAGCAGGCCTACTTCACCGGCGGCACGGCAGCGCGCAGCAGCGGAGACCACCGCAAGCCGCCGCAGGGCAATGCATGGCTCATCAGCAAGTCGCTACCCGTGGACGTGAGGCTGCTCGCAGCGGGAGCAGCTTCCATCGGCGCGCTGTACTTTTATACCAGCCGAGAGAAGCAGCCCGATCAGGACACAGCACCCTCACAGGGAGGGGGTGATGATGGCGGTGCCCCTTCAGCCACCTTCTCTGGTGAGGCTGAAGGCTCTGGAACAGAGGAGGAGACCCTTGAGGCAGGAGGTGCGCCTGCAGATGAGTTCCAGGAAGTCAGCAATGGAGGGGAAGAGCTTCCAAGCGCTACCGGAGGAACAACTCCAGATTTCGGTGCAGGTGGGCTTATTTTTGCAAGGCTGGATCAAGCTTTCATGGCAATGGAGCAGAGCATGCCAATTGTGACAATCATTATTTCCCGCCTTGCAGGAGACTTCTACACGGATGAGCTGGCCATGCAGAGCAAAGATGCAACCCACGAGGGGCACAAAGAGGAGCCAGCATTGGCGGCACAAGCTGAAGAGCCAAAGCCTGTGGCTTTGCCTCCTCCAGAGCCCTCTATTCTAAAGAAGGTGCTGCTGACACCTCTTCCAGTTCTCATTGCAATTCTCACTGCACATCAATATGGTAATTGACTGTTGACTGGACTGGGCATGTACTGAGGCATAAATTCTGCACAAGAAAATGCAGGAAGAGATCATCAGCGCAGCTAAGACCGTGGAGAACTCCATCCAGAATGGCCAGCCGCTTGAGATGGTGGACACAAAGCCTGTGACAGACCTGCTCGATGAAGTCGGCACTGGCAGCTGGCAGCTTGTGGAGGCGCCAGGTGAGCAGCCATCTGCCTCGTAGTATATCATCTAGCTGGTTCTGCACAAGGTCTTGGTGAATTTTATGTGCTTAGCCTTGGCTCGATCAAGAGAGGCCGCAAGCACAAGGTGGCATGGTATCAAAACAGGAGGAAGTGATGTGACAGGTGCTGGGGGCCAAGTGAGTGCTGCTTATGCTGATGTGGAAGAGCTGAAGGGAGCCACCGCAGAGCCCGGCAAAATATCTGTCGAGAAATCCATTGACGGAACGGATAACATCTCCGCAGATGCTCTGCTGAAAAGGGTGCGCCACGACAAGCTACAGCCTGTGTGCAGTGCAGTCTGAGCGGTGACCTGAAACAACCTCGGAGCCGTGTTGCATGCCTTCCAGACTGCTTGCTCTCTTGTGCAGGCTGTGGAGAGGGCTGAGAGCGAAGGGAGAGACTGGGCCATGAAGCACGAGAACCTGGTGCAGGCCCGTGCAGATGAGCAGACATTCAGGGAGGTCTTGGAAAAGGCCCGCGCAACCCAGCAGGTGAGCACTGTAGGGACTCGGGGATTGTGGCTCTGCGAAATTTTGATAGATTGCATTGTGTCTATGCTGAACCTTTGACAGGATTTTTATTGTGAACTGAGCAGGCAAAGTTAGCGGCTGCAATGGAAGTGGCAGAGGCAAATGCCCAGCGAGCTGAGGAGATCCAGGCCGCTGCGGATGCAGCCCAGGAACGGTTTGCGCAGGTGTGCTACAGTCATTCCGCCTTCTTGTCTTCTGCTTATACATTGATGCAAAGGATACCCTCTGGATGTGGGAAGTAATACGGTAGTCAGATCTTCACTGTGGCACCGATCTGTGTTGTGGCGGGCAGATTCTGGAGGACACGGTGCGACTGAGCAACGTGCAGCGCGACCAGGAGCTGCTGAGGCAGGCCGACTTCCTGACCACCGCTGCTGCTGAGGCGGCCGTGCGCGAACGCAGCGAGCGCGCCGGAACCCTCGACGAGGTAATTACCACCACCAATCAGGCGCTCACTGCTCTGTCAAATCATGCATGGCCGTCTCCACTTGACGCTGCTGTTCTTGTGGCACTTGGTCTATACATTCATGTTGTAAAGGTATAGTTCTTCCCTGGATGTTTCTGGTGGTGTCAAGGTGCTTGGGTTGCGCATTGCTGAGGGGCAGTGCTGTGGGGCGGTGCAGCTGCGGGGTAAGGTGAATGCGCTGGGGCAGGCCTTCAGCCAGCGCTCGGACGAGCAGAGGGACTCGACGCGAGCGCACCAGGTCTCGCTGGGAGCCTTCGCGCTGGAGGATGCGCTGGCGCACGGGCGGCCCTATGCGGCCGCCGCCTCGCTGCTGTCCCAGAGCTGCTCTGAGGACGACCTTGTCGCCGCCGCCCTGCAGGCCCTCCCCACAGACTCTGCTGAAAAGGCACGCGCAGCTCGCATGCTTGTCTGTAAGATGGATTCTGTCTGTACCTTGGAGGCAGCACAGCATGGGGCGGTCTGCATCTGCATGCTGTGTGTAAACTAGTGGTTGTGTGAATTTGCACAGCTTGGTTGCAATGTGCCGTATATTATTATCTGCTACAGGAAGGCAGCTTCAGATGGTCTGGTGAATGATCGGTTGCCTGGTGTGTCCAGGGCATCCCCACTCGAGTGGAGCTGCTGCAGCGTGCCCCAGGAGTGGCACAGAACGCACGCCAGATGGCATACATCCAGCCTGGCAGCGGCGGCATTATCTCCGTCGGCCTTGCCCGCCTGGCTGCCAGCATGAAGGTGGGCCTCCCTCTCCGCCACAGAATGGCTGCTGTGTTCTTTCGGCACAGTCAATATCCAATATAGGGAGTGCATGAGGGTGTGGTCCTAGGAAGCCTCGAGATGCAATGAGATGCGAAACAATACTAGGCTGCAGACTCTTGTGGGCCCCACAGATGTGGCTGCAGACCCCCTACGTGTATGCCCTATGGCCTTTGGTTTTGGATTTGCCGACCTGCCGACCTCAAATGATAATGATACTGATAGTCGGGTCACATGGGGGAGTCACAGAACAAGCATAAACAGTGATAAAACTCATGCTGACAGGTGCCAGAAGGGTCAGCAAGGCCTGGAGAGGGGACGGACGGGGCACTGGCCAGCATGCAGGCCCATTTGGCTGCTGGCCGGCTGGCAGAGGCAGCCGATGCCCTGGAAGCCGGCACCAAGGACACCGCTGCAGAGAAGGCTGCCTCGGAGTGGGCGCGTGATGCGCGGGCCAGGGCCCTTGCGGATCAGACCACTGCGCTGCTGCAGGCGCATGCCTGCTCGCTTGCAGTCAGCCAGTCCTGAGGCCGTTCTGCTTGTCTTCCTTGTAGCTTTGGATAGTCGGTGTAGGAAGGATGCCGCAGGTTTGTGATGCGTCCATGGATCCTATTCCTTGTGTAGCTGCAGCTCCAATCAACATGCTCCTGCTTTCTACTTCTTCCAGAACTGCTGCTAGCTTACAGTGGTAATATCATCATGATTGGAGGCATTTGGTAGCTTACATGGCTTCTGATGCTCTGTCAGCAGACTCAGTCAGAATCTCAGCTTCTCACACTGGACTGCCAGTCCAGTGGAGGATGCATCCAGTAGGTAAATCCTGCAATCTAAACCACGTATGCAATACATGGCTGCCAGCTCCCAGTGGGCACAGTTGCTGACTGACAGCCTTGACCGATCAGTCGCAGTACAGCGCTTCAAGGCTTGAAGCTCAAGCCAACTTAGGGCTTATCAGATGCCGGACTCTGAATTGCAGTGTCACCGCCCAGCATGATATCCTGGATATCATATCCAAACACTTCTGAAGTGAATTTTCTTTAAACTCGGATATTACAGCAACTCTTTTCTCCCTAGCCTAGTAGGATTTTCATGGCAAGTTTTAGCAGGAACGCCATCGGATCGAATTCAGTTGAAAAATCCCTTCAGTGATGAAGAGGACGCCCAAAATTTGAAGTCAGAAACAGGGCGTCATAGCTTCTCGCTTAGTGCATAACGACTCAAGAGTCCTTAAAGCGCCTGACGGCATACCACCTGGCCACAAAAACCGCTACTCCAGAAAGGCTTAGTACGTGCCCAAACGCCACTTTTGAGCACGTTCAAGACCCCAGCTTCTAGCAAGAATTTTGTCTTCAGGTGTTGTATTTTGGAAGGCTGTGATCTGCATGTTCTAGAAACCGCAAAATCGTCGACTGTATCTTGAGACTTGCTGGCACCAAAGAGTTGACAATGGCGCTTTCTTGTCCGCCAGCAAGCACTGAAGAGTAGCTAATGGGAATTCCATATCAATGTCATTCATCATTCTTGTTGGCATTGACACGAGTGTGAGGATGGGACCGCCTGTTATGTACAGGTTGTTTGCTTTGGGAACCTTTCCTACTCGCCCACGCCAAACCCTCTCTGGGTACTCACATTGTAGCTTCGGGCTGCAGGGGGTGATTAGAAAAGGCTTTGTGGAAGGAAATGGAGAACCCACCTCCGCCACCAGGACCTTCAGGGCTGCCTCCCGGAAAGGGAGAAGGAGAAGGCAGCAGCTCCTCCAGCAATCAGAGGCAGCCAGTGCTGGATCTATTTGGCGGAGATATGATGCCTGCAGCAATCGTTCTCGTCCTGTTGCTCCTCAATCTCATGAGCGGTGCGCCATCTTTGGAGGGTCAGACCTTGGTCCTTGTTCAACGGAGCAATAGAGCTAAATACAGCTGAAGGCTCCTTTGTGGCAGAATGCAAACAGACAGCTGAGTGTTTCTGTGTGTGTGCAGCATCAATGCAGCGGTGCACCTGCTGACTGGTGGTTGTCCAAGCATCCCCCGCAGCTTGCAACTGGAACATGTATAGATTGAACAATTCACAGAACGGCAAGTGCCAGAATGAAACGAACCGTGGGAGCTACAGATATGCAAATGTACATAAGTTAAGAACACTTCTGTGCCTTGACAAATTTATCGCCCCACCAATTGACAAGCTCATGTGGCCTGCTGTGAATTCACCCATGGTAGGAGGGTAGTACGTCAGAAGGCAGAATGCTTTGGTCTAATTTTGGACGCATGCGGGGTCAATCGGGGACCTGTCTCCTGAACAACGAATGATAAGCATTGCATCCATTTGATGCTGTCCAAGGAGCTTATTTTGAATTGGGCTTCCAATGTCTGCAGCTGCCAGCACCGTGGAGCGCAGTGGGTAAAAATAAGGCAGAGATTTCCGAGAGTCTCTAGAAACGTCCGAGGGTTGCTAGATCAGCAATAGATTGCGTCGGTCTGCGAAAGAATGACCAGGATACTGTAGAGTAAAATATGCACGCAATCCTGCGTACTCTAGTGCGCTGTGCGCAGGTCATGTGCAGGTGCACCTGCCGGAGGTTCCAGCAACTTGCCATTGCAAATTGCAAGCTTGACTTTGAAATTTCATCCATGAAACTTAGTTACTCACGTTCATTGCAGGTGCTGCCGTGTTTGCTTGCAACTGCATCCAACGAGTCATGCTTTTACTTCCATGCATATAGTGGATCCCGGTATAGCGATTTATGCATCGAGGTGATGATAATTAGCTGCGCACAGGGCGGGCCCGGCTGCTTATATATATGGGTGCCATAATGTTCAGCAAGCCTTTCTGTACATTAAAATGCACCTGCTTTACTAATGTGCCATGAAGCAGAAGTAACAGGGTGTTTTGAAAACCATGCTTGAGCCATAAGAGAGAGAGAGAGAGAGATTACACATAAAGACACCTCTGGTGCTGCTCTCTCCAGAAGGGTCTCCGGAACGTCAGGAACGCCGCCGGACAGCAGCGGATTCCCAACACTGGCAGCGACAGCAAGATTCTGGAGTCATATTTCCGTTCCTCAATGGCCAGCCGGATTGCCAAGATGGCAGCCACTTTTGCTGCCTCAGCTGCACGTTGCTCTCTGGCCAAGCAGTGCGCTCAGAGCAACAATGTTGTGCAGCGCACAAAGCTTATGAATGTGCTGGCTGCTCCCCACCGCCTCTTCGCTGCTCCCCTGACATGCACATGCAGCACCCCTAATCTCCGTGCCTTTTCGGTTTCAGCTGCCGCATCTACCTCAACGGACAGGGTCTCGAACGTGGTGGCCGAAGAGCTGAAATACGAACAGGAGAACTACACCAAGCCAGAGGTGCATGCTCTACACCTCCACCCGTCGTGGCGATCAGTGTTTGTTATGTTTTGATTCCAAAAGTTTTGAAAGCTAAAAACCCCTGTCTTATGAGGACATCCAAAGTTGAGATTCCACCAGTAGATCCCAACTTGAGGTGATGCAGTAGTACAGCCTGGTGATCTACTTGCACATCGGGAAGCAGTGCCATGACTGGTTTGTAATTAATTTTGCAGCTTAAACGAAAGAATGCGTTTTGCCTAATTACAGCAGCTGATAATGCGTTCTGTGCTGTGGCACAGCTGCCCGACCTGCCAGAGGGATGGACGCTGACTGAGAGGGAAGGCAACAGCAAAGTATCTCTCACGCGAGAGGTTGGAGACGAAGCGATCCAAGTGGACTTTGTCGCCAGAGAATATGTGAGCCCTTACACAGCATAACTGTGGTGGCCCTTGGTGTTTGCTTCTACATCATCTACAAGACTGCATGCAGAGCACAAGACCTATAATTTTGGCCTGAAGCGTGTTACAAAGAGAAGTTAATGCTGTCAGCAGTCAGTCTCCGTGAAACGGGGATGCTGTGCACAGGGCAACTTGAGCTTTGATGAGGATGAGGACGCAGATGGTGAGGATGACGAGGATGCTGAAGATGACGACTACTCAGACAACAGCATGACTCTGGAGGTGGCCGTCATGAAGGAGAAGGCTGACAAGGCCCTCATGTGAGCACCTCCCTCCCTCACAAACAATGTGCACAACACACAGTCGGCTGTTTGCCTCACAGCACCTTAGCTGCTCTGAGACCGTTTCATGGGGTGCAGATTCGAGGTGGAAACGGACGGGGAGTATGTGCGCATCCTGGACGTTTCACTGGAGAAAGTCACAGAGGACGATGAGCCGGAAGATGAGGACGAAGAGACCGTCTATGGCGGCCCGGTAGGCACACCTGGCCCCACTTTGCTACTCTCCAGAGTGCACCTTGCAGTGCACTTTGGGAGAAGCAGGCCTGAACTGAGGCTCCACGCAGAGTCGCAGATTTGCATGCACCAAGGCTGCAGTCCAGTCTTAATGGCGTGTTCTATGGGCATTCATTTAGCATGGGAGATCATGATACTTATGCAACGTGATGTGGGTTCATCAACAAGCAGCCTTGATAAATTGTCTGATCTACTGGGGCCTTATTATGTGCAAAGCCTTGATGGACACTCCTCGCAGAGCTGCAGGGTTACATCCCAACATGGCAGTCCATTGGGATGCGCTGCAGTCGCAGCCGTGATGGGTGGCTGAAGCAGGCTGGGCTGAGCGCAGGTGTTCACGGAGCTGGACGACAAGCTGCAGACGGCATTTATTGACTACCTGGAGGAGCGCGGTGTGAATGCCGAGCTGGGGCGCTACATCGTGGATTATGCCGAGGACAAGGAGCAGCGCGAGTACATGAAGTGGCTGGAGGGCGTCAAGAACTTTGTCAAGACATAAGCGGCCAGTAATTCGTAACATCAATGCATGCATGCTTCAGATTGGCAAATGATCATTTCCAGTGTGCATATTAGGTGCTGAAAGGGCACTGTGAACTCGAAGGGAGGTTTGATAGGAAAGACACGGTGAAGCAGATCCTCCCATGCAATCAGGGTGGAGGCTCTGACTGTGCAGTGTGACATTTAAGTCTAGGAATCCTGTGAATTCCCGGCTTTTTGGTGATGAAAGCACTGCACAGTGCAATTTGACAGCCGCTCTAAATACTTGTAACTTGTAATGACGACATGCGAGAGGAATGTTCCAAACAGATATTACTACAATGGGTGTGAACTGCAAGAACTCAATATGATAAGCCCAGGGCCGTAGCTACATATTACATCAATCAGGCAAGCAGAAGCACTCCTGCATGTGCCAATCATGTACAACGCAAAGCACTCCTCTTACTTCCCAGTTGCGAAAGGGCAGTCAAGCTTTTTTGGCCTCAGGCACGGTGTAGATGACACCTTCACTCCACAAGGCAAACGCCAGGCCGAGCTTGTCTTCCTTTGCCGGCAGCTTGATTTCAGACACAGGGATGGCCTTCCCCTCGGGCTCAGCAGTGGCCAGCAGCTGGGCAATGGCAAATGAGTAGCTGGCTGGGAACACCAGGTCTGCAGCGCCATCATCAGACTCCCCATCGCTTTCCTCGTCCTCTCCAGACCCAATCTCTTCTGCTGCTGCATCTCCTTTGCCATCTTCTCCTGAAGCAACAAGACAAGTAATATCACCCGCCCACTTTCTGATACTTGATGCATGTTTGTGCCAAACATGGCAATGCCCTTGTTCAAAAGCCTGATGAGCATGGGAATGGCAAGACCCAATTGAAAGACAGTCTGAGCAGCGCAAACATGCTGAGTAGCCTTGCCTGAGGCATCGCTGTGGCTGCCATGTCCATGACCGCATTCGTCCTCATCACAGCTGTCGTGCCCACAGCCATCACTAGCGCCAACGCCCATCATGTGCGACTCCACCTCGTTGTGCAGGCAGCTCATCACCTGCACAAGATTGCCCGCATCAGAACACCTTCCCATGTCCCGTCATACTGGCGCGTAGTCTGCTAGGCCACCTATGACTGCGAGCAGCATAGGCCCTCATCAGAGCCGGGGAGTTATCTTGCTTAGATTGACAGTTGACTGGAGGGAATTCACCTTCACCCAGCCCTCTTCACTGTCCTCTGGGGCGTCTTGGGCCGGCAGTGGCATCATCCTGAACAGCCCAGATCCTCGGCAGCGCACCACACTCGACTCCGTGGGGGCCTCACCAGCCTCAGGCAGGCTGCCTTCAGCAGGCGGCAGCCGGGACTGCACAGCAAGGGAGGCTTCAGTGTCTGACATCCTTACACTCAGCCTGCTAATGTGGTGGCATAAAACTTGATTTCCTCTATTCTCCAAGAGTAAGAGTTTACAGCGCATGATTAGACAGCTGAGAGTGTGCATGCGGCAGGCAGGCTCACCGCCATGAAGTCGACTGCCATGCTGTCTGCTGCGAGTGACAGCAGCGCCGGCTCCTGCACCACGGCGTCCGCCAGCTTGCGCAGGCCCTCTGCAAGGAATGCTGCTGCGCTGGAGACCCCACCTGGGCTGGACTGCCTCCCAGTGGCTTCTGAAAACACAAATCACAGTCAAAATCATCATATCACACGGCCCAAAGCTGTTCCTTTGCAAGCCGATTACAGCACAAGTGCACCACTAAGGGAATTCAGCGTCGCACAACTGTGGTACATGCCCGTTTGGGGTTTGGGCAAGTCACCGTCTTGAGGGATGTCCTCGGCATCATGCTGCAAGCCATGTTGATAGAGGAAGCCCATTGGCACGCCCTGCCGCAGCTCAATGGGCAAGCAGGCCTCGGGCGTCTGCCCGGCAGTCAGCGTCTGCAGCATGTGCTGCGCCAGCGTTGCAAATGACCACTGCTGGTAGGTGGATATGGTGACGTGGCATGACGCTGAGTCATCATATGTGGTGGCTGCATGGATCGTGCCCCGCGGCAGGTACAGCACATCACCCGCCTGAGAACAAAGGTCCAAAGTCCTTGTCATTGACACCGATGGATAGCATAGAGGGATATTTGCAGCATGCCAGGAAACTTAATCCTGATGTTGGTCTTCCAGGTGTCGGGCAAGTGTGAAAGACCTCCAGGGTGCATTCCATGGTGGGCTCTCCAATGGCGTCCTCGCTGAGATCATTGCTGTGGGTGCTGGGCAGCGCAAACCCATCCAGAGGCGCGTACAGCCACCAGCGCTTGCGGCCCTCCGTCTGCACCACGAATATCTCCACGTCGTCGTGGTGCGGCGCCAGACCCTGTGCCCCTGCAGCACGGACTCTAGCTGAGCACTAAGAACAGCCTGATTGGCATCCCCACGAGCTGTCTGCAAGAGGCAATGCAATGCTTAGAGAAGAGGGCTGAATGTGGAATGACGAAGATTAATATGAATGGAGCATCAGTAGTGCAGACCTGCAGGGGTCAGGTATGCATTGCTTCCCACGAGGCATCCCAACTGGTTCTCTAGGGAGGAACACAGGCGGGTGAGGGCGTCACAGAAGCGCTGCGGTTGGTGTACTTGCAGACTCCACCCCTCCTTGTAAAGCTGCTGCCACCTCTCAATGGAGCCCTCCTGCCCCATGGCATGCCTCAGTTGTGATCTAGCCTCAACTGGAGAGATGAAATCCCAGTGTAACATCCCAGGTCATGCGGCAGGCGCGTGTAGAAGATCCATCACCTCTTCATTTTGCAGTGTCTGCCGCTGTCCGTCTTTGAACCTGACAAAGTTGATGTCCAACCCCTGTTTAAGGGGACGGTCTGCCACCCCACAACAGCATTTACGAGACAACTACATTTGGCAGTGTCTCGTTAGGCAACGTCAACACTGATGCAATAACAGTGCGCACCAGACTGCTGCGCAGTTTTGACGCATTCCCACAGTGTGCCAAGGTCAAAGAGAGCTGCCAACTGTCTCATCCTGGTAGCGCTTGTAGGCTTGAAGACCACAGGTTTGTTCTCCCATTGCAAGTTCAGGAATTTATCCATATGCCCGGTCTGCACGACAATTTATTTGTGTGACGCCAGAACCCAACGAGGAATAAAATGAGCTGACATGAGCACAGTGCCAATCATGCTCACCCCCCCAAGAAGGTTGTGCAGCGCAGTGTTGCTTTGCGATGCTCGCTTTGTTGGCTTTTCAGCCCTTGTTTTTTCGCGCTTGCGCTTGCCCATCGCCGCAATACTATAAACTCTCTATACACGTCTCTGTCAAGGCACGCGTTGCATGATCCTAATGTAGGAGCAATTTGCTTTTTCCTGCGTTCATTACAGATGCATTCTGATCGAGAGTATTGCAATTTATGTGAGATTTAATCTTGCCTATGTTGCCTCTCAAGGCATCTCAGCTGCCAGAGTGGAGGAAGCTGTTAGTCAGCACTGGTCCGTGGCAATGTGAAAGAGGAAGAGAAAGAATTCTACGATCACAGTCTCCCAATATGTGTACTTTGGTTCAGTGCATCCCTTCTTCGCTAGCAAACTGCAGCAGGAAAGCCGTTGTTCGGCATCCTCATCTTGTGTTACCTCCAAGGATCCAGCAGAATAGGCAAGTCATCGTTGCACAGGAATAACTCTGCCTTGTTTTCAGCTCGTTCTAGATCATTGGACAACACTGTGTTGTTGATCGAGGCCGGGGCATGAGCAGCAATTCTCTGAACTCTCAAGCCACCATCAAGCCATTGGGTGAGGCGTTCATATCTAATTTAAATACAGTCTTTATAATAGTTTCATCATTTTACGAGCAGGCCTGTTGGAAGGATGAGCCAAATGTTCACTTCACGCGCCAGTGCTGGGACAGCATCCCAGACAGCTGCTGCTGGATCAAGCCAGGAGAAGGAGCATAGCCTGAATGAGAATGGCGCAAATCCATCGGGAGAAGAGCTCTCCGGGCCCATGTTGGAGCCATCTGCGTTCAACAAGAACTGGGTGAGTATGGTTGATCTCCACAGAATTTGGCCTGCAAATCCTTGCAGTACTGTTCATGTCAATCGAGTCCTGTTCTAGGCACAGAGGTCTACGCCACATACTGTCGTTATTTTGGGTTGACTGCGTTTTTGCCAGAGGTTGCGCGTTTGTGTTGGAGGTCATATTGCTCCTGTAACGTACAGGATGACCTCAAGTAATTGGCTGGCGTTACTTCTTTTCAGGTGAGGCTGGCTTGGGTGTCTGCGGCGCTGGTCGTTGCAGCACGCAGCACGGAGTTCCTCCCTGTCAATGTGGCGGTGTTCATTCACCTCATGGCATGGGGGCTGTGGCTGGGCTCAAACATTTGGACTACCTTCATTGCAGGTGGGACAGTCTGTGTGACTTTGCTATCCGTGCTTCACGCTGCATATCAGCAGAGCTCACCACGATCAAGCTGACACTTGTTCTCGCGCACTTGCAGGCATCACGATGTTCAAAAATCTACCCCGGCAGACTTTTGGAAAGCTACAGGTGTGCTGACTGGAGCAATGTGCATGTGATGGTCACTATGAAGGGACTTTGTTGCTCATAGACAAGAACCCGACTGTCACCGCCAGGCAAAAATTACAGTCTTGCTGAGGCTCAATTGCTGGCGCAGGCGAAACTGTTTCCACAGTACTTTGCAGTGGCCATAGCGGCAGGGGTCCTGCAGATTGGGACCCTGGCATTTGGAGTCCCTGGTGGAATTGCGAGGACACAGAGCATCACTCTCGGTGAGCTTCTCACTGCACAATCTATCGCATCAGACTGCAGTGAATGTTGTGTTCTTCTCTTTTGTAAATGTGTTTTGCAGCATTGGTTTAGCACCAAATCCACCAATCTTGCAAGCTCACTGGCGCAGGTGTTGCTTTTGTTACTTCGCTGGCGAATTGGCTGTACGTTGAGCCCGTGGCCACTAATCTGATGTTTGAGAGGTACAACCTGGAGAATGCGCCAGGCGAGAAAGACTCCGCCAAAATCAAGCAGTTGTACAAGCAATTTGGCAAATTCCATGGCATCAGCTCCCTACTGAATCTTGTGGCATTGGGGGCTGTTATATCGCACGGCTGGTGGCTTGCCTCAAAGCTTAGTTTGGGGATAGCATGAGCGGCCCAAACTGGACATCAATGGTTCAGCATTGATTGAGGCACTCATGTTGCGTTATTGTGTCACACTGATTGACTCTGGTCTTAAGAGCAATACAAACAAAATATGGTAATTGTAATTGGTGACAGCACCGTACTCGTCATACTATCACTGGTGCTCAAAACATCTGGAATGCTAGGGCATTTAACCAGGCACTCATTTGCAAGCAGTCACTCTGCGCAGCCTGGCATCTAGATCTGTAAAAAGGCTCTAACACTTTAGCAGAGCACTGTTAGGACACTGACAGTTGTGGTATGTGGATCTCCACCGTGTGTCTGGCACTTTCCCAATTGTTGCAACTCCTAAAATACTCATTTGCATGACAACAGCAATCAGGCAAACCCCAGGTTGCGTCTTTGTCATTCTAATCAAATACAACCACTTTGATATGCTGCATAATGAACCTAAGTCCCAACGTGTCTGCAAACAAATGCATGCACGAGGGGCTCGACTATCTGCCTAGAACTGCTTTGCTGAAATGGGTCAGTCTAATGATTGTGGGCCACAATAAGTATACAAGCTGCTGTGAGGTAGCACCTCCCTTTCGGTACTCGACAGAGACATTGTTTGTTGCACTCTGCCCTCTGTGCCATGCCCCTGGAGCCCACTTGACTGGGCCCTGTTCAGGCCTCAGGCTGACCGGCGTGAGCATGCATGAGGGCCATCTCGTGCGGCGGGGGCAGCTGCTGCTGCTGTTGCAGGGCATGCAAATGCTCGGCCACCATGTGCTCGGGTGCCTGCACATCCCAGGTGATTTTACCATGATGCATGACGTGCAACTTACTGTCCAGCAGCATAAACCATTGCACATCTGCATCTCCAGGAGGGATGCATTAGAAGGCTTCATCTTGAACACAACTCTTAAATTTTGAAGCCAGGAGCAGGATGAGCTTGGCGGGGTGTCGCACCTGCGTGGCGTACTGGGGCTGCTCCATGTGCTCGGGCTGGCCCATCTGCTGCATGTCGTGGCCCATGTGGTGCGCGTGGCCGGCCAGCGCCGCCTGCTGCTGCGCCAGGTGGTGCGCGTGCGCGTGCTCCGCCGCCAGCTGGTGCTCCAGGTCCGCCGGGTGCGCCAGGCCCTGCATCTGCATCTGCACTCCACACCGTCCCACGCTCACAGACCGGCCAATACTCCCAGTAGGCAGTCACACTCGAGAGAGGAGTGAAGGCGGCAACTAGTCACCAAGGAGGTGCATGGGCACCAGCACCTGCTGCATGTCGTGAAAGACGGGGCCGCTGGCGTCCATGTGGAGCGCGTGCTCGTCCGGCTGCTGCTGGCCGCTGTCAGCCGCGCGCGACCGCCTCTGCGCAGACGCCAGCGAGTAGCATGCCTGCGCACGTCACATCGCGTCTCTCAGACACAGCAAATGGAAGTGTTACACACCAGTTGATGGGGTGCAGCACAGAAAGCAGCAACACGGAGGCCAAGCAGAAAAGATGTGGATAGAATAGATGTGCTGGGGAGAGAGGTGAGGTGACGGGTTCACACCTTGCAGTAGGACTGCAGGCCGTCGGCCGTCATCTTGGAGTGGTAGAAATCGGCCTTGCCCTTGGTCTCGTGGCAGCGCCTGCACTCCTTGCTCTCTGCCGGCACACGCCCCGCACTGCGCTCCTCTGCTGCTGCGCTGTAGCAGGCCTGCACCCAACGGACTCACTTTAATGAAATTGTGCTATATTCCCTCAATTTATGCACAGAAAAAAATGCACATTGGTTGACAGCCTTTAAAGGTGTCCATAATGATGAACATTGCAAGTTCGTTTGAACGCAACATGCACAAGTTCAAGCAGGGGTGTCTGGAAGAGTTTGTGCGCACCTTGCAGTGGGAGTAGAGGCCGTCGGACATGAGTTTGTTGCGGTAGAACTCGGAGGAGGACTTGGTGAGCTGGCAGCGCTTGCAGACCTTGGCGGGCACGGTGCGCTGCTCCAGGGGCGCCATGCGCTGCCGCCTGTTCACCGCATCCGCCGCAAAGCAGGCCTTGCAGTTGTTGTACAGGCCGTCCGGGTTGGTCTTGTTGCGGTAGAACTCAGTGGCCTGCTTGTACGTGTTGCAGCGGCGGCACTCCTTGCCAGGGACCGTGGGCTCCTGCACAGGCAATAACAGAGCAGCTCAAGCCAAATTGCACCCTCGATGCAGACAGTCCAAACTCCTTCAGGCACCCAGTCCAGACAGCATCCTACATGGTCAGACAGTCGATGCGGACTTGATGTCATCCTGCAGTTCAGTTGGAGGTGTCAGAGGTGCGATATTGAGAGGTATTCGCACCTCTACGCGAGGCTTCTTCCTGCGGCGCTCGGCACACTGAATGGCATCGCACGCCTTGCAGCGGCCATCGTACCCGTCAGCGTTGGCCTTGCTGCGGTAGAATTCCGTCAGAGGCTTGTGCTGGTTGCACCGCCGGCACAGCTTGATGGCACCACTCGCTGGCGCCTGTGACACCAAATTTCGCTCATACTCACCCTTGTAAAGAAACCATCAATGATAGTGTGAATTGTGACAGGCAGTTATCCAGTCTGAGAACACCAGCATAGCACAATCATGGTTGCGCACATCTGCAGGCAAGGCAGCAAAAGCCAACTAGATGGAAGACTGGGGTCATACCTGTTGCAGTTGAGTGTTAGGTTGGCCCTGGTTGTTATGGTACTGGACACCACCGTTGGCAATGGCAGCTGCTGAAGACCCATCTGCCTTATTAGGATCTTGTCCTGCCTGCTGCTGCTGCATCTGAGCTGAAGCATCCCAGCTTCCCGGTGCGATGTGTGGGATGGCAAAGTCCCAGGCTCCAGGTGCTGCAACAGCACAGTTAAATCAGGGCAGTGTGAGAGAGATAGACAAACTACAGCTCCAGGCGTATGATGGGTGCACGCTGCGCATCTGTAACTCACAAACGATGGAACAGTTTTCACGGCACAACCTATGCCTGCACTTTGCTAAGAACAGTGGGAGATGTAGAGATCACGATGAGAGCTCAGAGGGGGAGTTGCTGCTCTGCGGCGACAAATACGCCACAGGATGGCAGGATCATGAAAGCCCCACGCTTCCTTTCTTTCTGAACAGCCACATATAAGTGCAGGCGGGTGTACGGGACAAAGATACGAAGCAAAGATGCTCACCAGATGTCTGGCCGGTGGTCGCAGGGGTAGGGGTGTTCTGTGGCGCCTGGTGGAGGAGAGCGCTCGCGTTCTGCAAAATCTCGGCTCGCAGGCTCTTCATGCTCTCAACCTCCAGGTGCTTCTGCCAAGCCTTCTCCAGTCCGGGGACGGAGAGGAGAGTTGTCTCCAGTGACAGCTTTATCTCCGCCTCAGCCTCCAGCTTCTGCTTCTCCCAGGCCCAGTTGTCTGCCTGTCCGGACGGTATGGGCCCCAGCTGGGCGAACCGTTTTCCGCGGAGCTCCAGGGACGCCAGGCGGTGCTGCCGCACGAGGTCCGCCTCCTCGGGGGTCAGCTCGAGCTCCGCCAACCGCTGGTCCACGTACCTGAGCTGCTCCATCGCCATAGTGGGCAAGCGCCCAGCAAGACAGCTGAGGAAAGGAAACAATTCGAAATAGGGTGAATGTTGAGATAGGGGAGTAGAAGGCTTTTGTGCTCTCCCCCTTGTTGCTTCCCTTTTTCTCTCTCCTTACCTCTCGATACTTCTGTTCCCCGTGATTGCAGGGTCGCCGTCAGGAAGGGCTGAAACCCTACTCCTGGAGTCGTACATCCAGTCTGCAGATCAGGAGTTTGCCTCCCGGTCCCATTGTTGCAACTTCTTGACTTGTAAGCACTGCCGCATGCCGCCACACGTGCACATCAAGTGGCTGATAATGATCATGATCGATCATTATACTTTAGTATCATACTGGGATGATCCCTGCATGGGGGAAGTGACTCAAGTGGCACCATGCCTGGCCAGGGAGCAATGCCGAGTGAAACCACAGGTTGCAAATTGCACAGTGCAGCAGCCAGTAATGTGCTAGCATGTGACGGTAAGGAAACCCCCGCTGAAGCAACTTTTTATCCGGGTTACATGTAGCAATTGCGCTCCAGTGGGCGCACTATCAGACAAAACAAATGCATGCTGCAATGAAACCTACGCCTGTGCGTTCTGTGGGGCTGTCAAAGCGCCGACAGGTGACCTCTTGCAAACCACAATACAGTTGCAGAGGCTTTCTCCCCTGACTGGTACCCCGCCATCTACTCTTCCTCCTGTTCATCGCTCTCTTTCAGCTCATCCAACCACGTCGACACATCCTTGACAGCCTCAGTGTCATTTGTGTTGTACCTCCAGGCTTGCAGGGCCGCTCCAGAGACAACCTCAGCCGCGTGCAAATCAGTGAGCAGCCGCCGCAACAGCCTGCACAGCAGCCAGCCGAGTCTCGATACGGACACATGCCTCAGCCGAGCATCGCAAATGCCTTTAAAGTAGAAAGAGAAAGGGGCAAAACGTGCAGGGAAAGGGGTACAGAAGCAGGCTCACCCTTTCCTGCCTGCGCTCTGAGCGAAGAACTCGACTGTGGCAGCAATGACTGCCTGCTGCAAATCCTTTGGACCCTCCGCCCCGGACGCTTTCCGCACGACCTTCACTTCAGTTGAAGTTTCCGCCAGCGCTGGACCGTCCAAATTGACCTCCTGATTGAGCAAAGACCAAGACTCACATCATTGTCACTCTCCTGGATAATGTGACATTTGCTGGGAGGGCCTCAGGCATGCATGACGTGGGGGCTCAATGAAAAAGAGGCACGAGAGAAGCAGAGCGCCCACCTTGCCATCCCCCAGTGATGACTGAAGGACTTGCAGAGTGACAAAGCGGGAGAACTCTGGCAAGCTACATGCATCGCTAGCGTCCTGATCCATCCATGCAATTATCTCATCCGCAGACTTCCCCTATTGCAGCATCCAAGAAGGGGTTAATACACTGCAATGCTACTGCTACTGCTATTGTCCTTGCAACAGTGAATAAAAGGCTGGCTGCGCAGAAATGCAGGATCTCACCTCTTTGAGGGCGCCTGGCAGGTACTGCTCTACGCCAGCAAGGGGGTAAAGGAATTGCAGGCCCTGCTTGACCAGGAGCTTTGGCAGAGCACCAGCGTCCTCACGTTCGTACTGCAGAAAGAAGGATTTGAGTCAGGTCGATCCTGCGTCTTTTTCTTATTATTACACGTTTTCCTGTCCTTATGGACTAGGTACGTCAAGGATCCTGTATTAAACAAGTAATATTCCAGGGCTGCAGCGTAGGGCCAGGAATCTGTGCATTGACACACTACACTTTGCACCAAGGAGCAGGTGACTCACGGAGGGCATGAAGGAGGTGAGGTCGAGGCCGGTTTCTCGCCACGCCTTGACGGTCTCCTGCACACTACTGTCCTGCCGGAATTGCGAGAGGGCAGCCGCAATCAGCTTCACTGCTCCATCCATATCCACCAAGACTGCACCAAACAAATAATCAGCATGAGTTGCCGAGCGACAAACTTGTCACAAACAGTCTAGTCTACCATAGGAAGTACTCTTTTCACATGCTGCAAAGTGGCAGTTGCAACTAGACAGGAAAGGTGACGGAGGGGAGGTGCACCCGTGTCTTCCCCTTCCTCCCTGGGCTCGGCATCTGGAGACTCTGCAGTCAGCACATGCTCTGCCAGGCTCTTTAGGCTCACCACTCCCTTCGCGGCCAGCGTTCCGATGGCTTGGCCTACCTGCGCAATGATTTCGCTGCGTCAGCACGCCAATGGCTCACACACTGCTTTTTGCAGCATGGTCATGCGCGCGCACCACTACCACAGCATGCTCTGGCTGCTTCCTGTACCAGCAGAGTACAAAAGAAACTCACCAGAGTGGAGGCGAATGGCACATCTATGATGGTCTGGTCAAGGCTGTCTAGCACGACTTTCAAGGCGCGCTCCACTACATCACCCTCCACCACACTCTCAGGTGGAGTGGTGATCCTGATGAGCAGATCCTGCGTACATATGAACATATGATAAGCACCAGCTGTTACAGGTTGACAGCTAGGTGGTGAAAGCGCCTCAAAGAAAGACGACAGCTGAAATCCCCACCAGGAGTTCATTCCTGTCCACGTTCTTGGCCTCAAACGTTCCATTGAAGAAGCCCTCTATGACCACCACAAAGTCAGCCCTGTGCTGCTGAAGCTCCTGCACAGTACAACATGATATGTCAGAAGCACACACGCAGGAGATTACCACATAATTGAAAGCATTCCAAAAAAGATTGCCAGGGCCAGACTGTGTGCAAAAACTGAGACAGTGAGCGGACCCGCAGGCTGAGGACCAGCTCCTTGATGTCAGCGTTGCTGAGGAACTCCTTAGCCAGCAGCTTGGCGCGGCCCTCGACCACCTCCCTCGGCAGCTCCTTCATTTCCTCCGCCTTGGGCTCTGGCTCCTGCGCTGGCGCCGCAGCGGGTGCCGGAGACACGTCCCTCGCAGGAGAGGGCGTCCTGCAGCGGCAACTCCAGTGTCAGGCCTCCATTGTACTCATGTTCAGGTCAGACACCTCACCCATCCTGTCTCATCCTCACAGCAATCATGCAAGCGATTGGCTACAGCTTTTCGCAGTGCATCGATGTCACAGATGTCTGCGCCGCACCTGAGGCTGGATCCGCTGGCACTGCGGGCGCCGGCGCCGGCGCCTGCGGCCCCGGGGCCGCCGGGCCGCAACGAGACGGTGGGCTCGGCAGGGGATGTGCGCGGGGCGCCGCCGCCCGGGCGCAGGCTGGACTGCGTCAGCCACTCCTGGCTGGGCGCCCGATTCATTGGGCGGATTGGAGCGTCCACCCTGTCGGACCGCTCAACAGGTCGCCTGCGAAAGCGCCAGACCAGAACGTCACGTTCCGCACTCTGAAAAGTGATCAAACAGCATTGCATGCGACAGAACTTCTTCGGTGCAGGGGCACTTTTTGGTTGTGTGGCGGCATGGGAGTTGTGGTGGAAAGGGGCGCACTGCGGCAGGGGGGCGCGGTCCATGGGGGGCCCTCCCCGGCGGCGGTCGCCGCGGTCGGGCATTGGAGCCATGCGCTGGCGCTGCAGCTCCATGCGCGCGTCCTTGTGGATGTCCTCGATCTTCTTGGGGCCCTCCACCTTCCTCCGCGCCACCCAGTTGTGCGCCCTCAGCTCAATTACATCCTGCAGTGCATAGCATCCCTCAGGCACTACAGTCTGTGCTCCCTGAGTGCACCAATCCCTGTGGATACAGGCTGTTAAAACAGCAGCCGGTTGAATGTTCCCAGAGTTGAAGGTCGGGCAACGTCCAAGAACAATCTCACACACCTGCACCATGAACTTGTGGCGCGACTCCAGCTTGGGGTGCGCCGAGAGTCTGCCGAGGCGGCTGAAGTAGGCTTCCATGCGGTCCTTGTTCTTCGGATTGGCATCCAACGGCGCTCCAATTGTGACTAGCAGCTTGACAAGGCACTCAACGTCCTCTGCTTTAATGTTCTCCACCTGCACCAGCACACCACCCAGCATGTGAACACTTGTCTCCCTCAGAAAGCCACATCCTCTCCTCAGAAGGGTTCTAGAATGGACCCGTACCGTCACGCTCCTTTCTGCACACCATGACGTTCAAGGCGGTCATTGCGTTTTCAAGCTACAAGCAGCGGCAAGCAGACAGCGCTTCTTACCTCTCCGAGAAGCGTGAAAATACAGCTGTGCATGATCTTCTCGGTGAGCATTTTCTGTTTGTACAACTGCCCAATGAACTGGATGTTGCCAAGGGCACGACGGCGGGCCTGCAATAAAGGCAATCCAGCATGATCCTCACATTCATGGATTGAAGGTCCTCTATTGATATGCAGCTGATGGAACATGCAAGAACAGAGACCCCCATTGTAGCAGAACATGCAGGACTGGCAGGCAGCAACGCACCTTCAGCTCTAGCTGGGCGGCTAGGCGGTCATCCCGCTGCTTCTGCTGCTTCTCTTCAGGAGTGATCTCCCCATCCTCCTTCTCCTCCTCGTCCTTACCCTCAGCCTGCAACCCAGATATGCAGGGGCATCAAGAAAACAGCAGCAACCAGGCAGGACAAGAAAACTCCAACATCAGCATGACTATCCCTAGAGTGCTCTTATGCATTTAATCTATCACCAATCTCACCTTTGCGTCTGCCTTCTCCTGCTCGGCCTTCTCACGGGCCTCCACAGCCTTCATGGCGGCATCTCCCTCCTCAAACTCTTCCTGGCACTTGTTCAGCAGGATACGGCGGAAGGTGATCTCCTGTGCGCCCTCCTCGCCCGACTCATCCTTGAAGCTCGGCAGCTCCTTGTTGAGGTCGAAGCACAGAGTCGCGTAGATCTCCGAGAAACTAGGTTCGCTCAGGGCCTTGTCAAACACCTGGAGCACACATGCACAATAATTTTAATGAGACACAAACAAGCAAGAGGTCCAATGACATAAAACAACCGCCAAAATCCAGGAAATAGCAAGAAGGTGCAAATGAAGCCCCACAAAGGAGGGGAAGGAGCAAGCAGCACCTGGTCTATGAGGCCCTGCAGCGTCCCAGGACTGGTGATGCCCACAGCAATTATCTTGTCCCTGATGGTCTCATAGTTGTCCGGCGTGATCTTGTTGAGCATGGACTTGAACTCCTTCTGCCTCTTCTCCTCGTCAGGATCTTCACTGACAAGGAGTCCAAGCTGCACAACGCACACATTATTCAGTGGTGTGCCTGCGAACACCAGGTGTACAAAGTACCATGTGCAACACAGGCATATGGGGTTGGTAGATGACATGAGGCAGGCAGGCAGACCTTGTATCGGTTCTCAGTCTTATGCAGCATTGCAGCCGCGCCGCCATAGCCCCGTGGAGGCCCGCCAAAGCCACCGCCCTGCATCCCTGGGGGCGGCGGGGGAAGCTGCAAGCCGCGCTGCCACTTGGCACCGTCGATGCCCACCATGCCGCGGCCACCGCGGCCGCCCATGGGCGGACCCGGGCCCATCATGCCTCTGCCACCCATTCCTGTACACACACCACACCACATGGTCACGGATGGCCTTGATCTGTTTTAATTATTTTCTATCACACACCCAAGTCGGCTAGTCCTCCAACACGATGAGACTGGCTTGTTCATTTGATGCAGCTTGTTAAGTGAATGCAGCAAAACAGGAGGGCGGAGCAGTGCTGACCTGGTGGGCCGGGAGGTGGGCCCATGCCGTCAGGGGGGCGCATGGAGCCGCGGTCCCAGCGCTTGCTGTCCAGGCCAGGGGCTCCGCTGGGGACCATACCGATGCCCGGAGGTCCCAGGGCCGGCGGGGGGTGCCCCCCGCTGCCGCGCGGACCGCCCCTGTCAAAGCCGCCTCCCGGGCCAAGACGACCGCCGCCGGCGCCGCCGCCGTCGCCGCGCTGCACATCACTGTCGTCCAGGCCCGCTGGCACGTCTGAGCACTGGTGCTGGTAGGTCAGCAGCCAGTCCCGGGTATACTTCCTGAAGGCCAGAGAGAGTAGACTTCAGGCGCAAAACAAAAGTAGCTCTGAAGTATCCGAGGTTGCTGTTCACATTCCGCTATGTTGACAGCCTTTATGGCGAGGATGCAGTTCTGCACTTGCGGAAAATGCCTTACTTGCGGCCGGACGAGTCATCCACAGAAGCCCGCGCAGCTGCACTCCGTTCAGCAGCAAGCGCAGCGCTGGGGGTCGCCATGCCTTCAGCCGCTGCTTCCCAGTCCTCAAAGCCATCCGCTTCCTCCTGCACAAGGCAATCAATCTGTTCAAACCCCATGCAGTAAGCTTGAAGCACACATGCCGAAGAGTGATGCAAGCAAAGTCGATCTGTGCCAGTCATGCATCAGACCAAAAGAGCCAGTGCACAGACCTTGGTAGCCTCTGCCTTTGCTGGTGCCTGGGCAGCTTTGTCGGAGGTGGCTATCTTGAGCACCGCGTCCTGGTCACTGTCAGGCTTGGGGGGCGGTGGCGTCACAAAGGCGTCCAGCATGCTCCCCTTGGTGCCCTCTGTGTCAGCCTTTGCCAGGAACGCCTTGCGCTTGGCCTTGGCGTTGACTGCGTGTGCTCCACCCTTCTCCCCAGCTGCCTCGGGGCTGCCCTTAGGCTCATCATCTGCACAAAGCAGCAATCAGTAACATGATCACGTAAGGCCCTGAGACAACGATCACATGCGCACATGCATATAGGTAAAATTCACATGCATGGGGCAGAAGGTATATCTGTGAAGGCACGCACCCTTTGCGGCTGATAGTTCTGCGTCCTTTGCAGGCTCGGGGGTCTCAGAGGGCAGCTGAGGAGCTGGTGGCTGCTGCTCAGCAGCTTCCTTGACCGCCTCAGCTGCACTTGCAAGATCGGCACCGGCCTCAACAGACACCTCGCCATTGCTTACAGCAGCTGCATCGTCAGGTCTCGCGGCTGGCGCTTCCTTCAGCGGGGCCTTCTTCTCGGCCTCTGTCGGGGCCGCCTCCTCTGCCACAGGTGTCACCACAGGAGCTGGGGCCTTCGGCTCAGCAGATTGCGGCGTTGCAGGCGGCAGGGGTGACGGTTTCTCTGAAGGGACCGCAGCCTTTGGCACTGGCTCTTCCACAGCCTCTGTCACAGCAGGCCCCTTCTCTGCAACAACTTGCTTCGGGATGACTGCTGCAGCAGTACCGCTCCCAGCGGTCACTGGCTTGGGTGCAGGGACCTCGGGTGCAGCCACAGTCTCCTCCTTTGCAGGGACCTGCAGCAAGCAGGCACGAAATCAGTTGCCAGCAACACATGCATGTGTGTCTTGAGCCGTTGTGTTGCAAGCATGTGGTGCAATGCAGCACATTGGGTGTGGGGTGTGCCCACACACCTGGGGTTCTGGGACAGGCATCGGAGGCAGTTTTGGCGCTGCAGCCTGTTTCACGCGTGCTGCAACCGACAGCATGGGCGCAACAGGATGTGCAGGGGCTTTTTGCGCATCCTTGGCAGGGGCGCTTGCCTGCGCCTGCTCAGCCTTGGCAGCAGCGGCAGGCCGTGTGATGGCAGGCAGCGTGGCTGCCGGCTGCATGGCTGCGGGCTGCGTGGCAGCGGGTGCAGGCTTGTCCTCTGGAACAAGGAGTTTCTCGGGGGCCTTAGCGGGAGCGGCTGGCGTCGGCGCAGGAACAAGCTTGTCCTCAGGAACCTTCATGGCAGGCCTGGCGACGCTGACCGAAGCAGGCCCATTCTGCGCCGGTGCGGCTGTGGGTGCGTCAGCGGGTTTCTCGCCACGGAGTGATGCCGCGGCCATGGCCAGGACAATTTCTGTCTTGCCGGCTGCTCCTGCACCAGCTGCATCAGGAGGCTTGATGATGGGAATTCCCCGCTTCTCTGAAGGCGCAATGAGCGACGCCTGTTTGGATTTTGCGTCACCTGGAGGCTGCCTCCGGCTGGCCTCTGACAGCGACCTGACCGCCGCACGCTTCGCATCCTGTGCATTGGCCGTGCGAGGACGGGAGGCAGTCCCGTTTGCACTGGCAGCAGAAGAAGCTGCAACACGTCACAAAACAGCCCTCAGCACAGGCGCATCTCTCACGTCTGACGAGTCCGCTGGTGCTCACAATCAAAGAACACAACTTTGAGGAGAAGCTACCACTGGCAGGAAAAGTGAGAAGTGCGCACATATGTCCACTGGCTTCTGAGTTGTCGGGTCCATGATGACCAGTGGGCGCTTGACAGCAGGCCGGGGTGTTGGTGGTACGTACGGTAGCTGCTGTGGCTGTTGCGGCAGCTGCTGCGGTGACGGCTGGAACTGACCCCCCATCATCACCCCGGGAGGGACAATCCTGCAGATTCAACTGCTTTCAACCTTGGATTGTCACGAGCGGGCAAATTTCGGAACAGCATGCTTTTTGCGATCACCAATGTGGGATCCATCGATTCAGAACGCACCCATGGGGCCCAGCATGATAGTGCTGTGGCATGAAAGGGGGCTGATTTGGCTGCCCCTGGTGCCCTTGCATCATGATTTGCTGGTAGGCGTGCATGCCTTGAGGACCCTGCGTGTGCATGCCCGGCTGCATTGCAAGGCCAGCTTGTGACACCTTCGCGGCATGTTGCTGATGCTGCATTTTGGGCTGCTGCTGTTGTTGCTGCTGCGGCTGTGGGGGAATCCCATGCTGGGCCCGACTCTGCATCGCACGAGCACCAACAAAGTGAGCATCATGATTGCAAGGTTGCAACGCATAGTATTTGTTGAGCTACTGGCATCAGGGAAACATGGCCTATGTGGTCTTACCATGAAAGGTGCCTGGGGAGCATTTGCTTGCTGCCCTGTGCCGAACAAGGGTACCTCGTTGAGCTGGATGCTGCCAAACTGAATGGGAATTGGCGCGCCTCCCACACCTGATTGGCAGCAAAAAATGACTTGGTAAAATTACATGTTGTGGTTGACGTAAAAAAGCATGCTATGCAACAGGTTGAGACAACTTCCTTCGGCATCCAAGACCCACAAGACTGCTACCTGGTGGGAGAGACGACCCTGTTGTTCCATACTGCTGGCCCTGTGCTCGCTGCCCACCAGCGTTCAAGTACTGGGAGTACTGGGGCGCATGCACATCTGCAGGAAGCAATAGCATTTACATCTACACTCTGCATTTTGGCAGAGATTAAGCTGATCTAGCCTCCACAATCGGCAGATCTAAAGCCCGCAGTGAGGCTCCAGAAGGAAACGTATCCACACAACTCGTTGTCCAGAGTCACCTCTAAGTAGCCCCTCTTTGCAATGTACATGCATATTGAAGATCCTGGGTCCGACTCAAAGCAACTAAAACAAAGCGTAATTGTTGATTGATGCTACGAAATACGGCTTGACATCATCATGGCGGACAGCAGATTTTCAGGATCCATCAGCTGCTGGGAGCATACCAGGTCTGCGTGGCTGTTGCCCCGGCATGATCCTGTCATAAGATTGGCCTGTACGACCTCCACCTCTGCCTCCACTGCAAGGATCCACAAGCATGTCAATTCTGCGACTCAGGGCTAGTAGGAGAAGCTGATTGCTGGCACACTTGGCTGCTAAAACAAACAAGGCGGTAAGTAATTCCAATTAGCACTTACTTGCGGCCTCCAGGGCCATCGGTGCCTCTTTGAGCTGGACCAACACCACCGCCTCGACCTCGAGAGTATGCGTTCTGTCCCCGCCCGCCACGAGAGTGGCCTAAGTTTGCGTTGTTTGAAGGACCGCCTTCCTGCCCACTCATGCCCTTGGTTAGGGCGTCCTCTTGATAGTCTACCAGTGAATTCTCTGATATATTGGCAACGCTCTATAGATCAGGGCAAATTTCGATTTTATGGCACCATTGATGTGCTTCTGCAGGGAAGTGGGGCTGTGGGTGACTGGATGTCCAGTCGATGGGGTGACTGACTGGACCCTCAAAGTCCAATCCTTCAAATTGGATTTATGCAGCCTTTTCCGAGCTGGATTTTGCCCCATGATGCCCGTAGGTGCAATCCTGAGCAACGTCATCACATCTACATAGCCCCCTGCAGTACCATGCATGCGCATACTCTGCCGCAGCTGGCGGCTATACCTGAGTGCCACTGTGGACGTCCACTGTCGACAGTGTACACATGTGCCTGCCAGTGCATACTATGTATAAATATTAGTATTCACATGGGTGGGTGAAAAGCTAAACCAGACGTACCTGATACAGAGCTCGGTAGCACCAATTGGTTGCAACTAGTGCACCGGTACTACATACTGCCTGCCTGCCATAGCACAGTACTGTCACAGTACTGCACACGGTGTGCTACATCATGTAGCGGCTATGATACTATCATAGCTAGTAGCGGCGCTACTAAGTGTGCTACATAGCAGCGCTACTTAGTCCTACTGCTATGACTCATACCAGCTTCCTAACATGGGAATTTATAACGCTCTGTGTAGGAGTTTGGCAGCCTTTGCATACAGGTTGTCTGCAGACGCACCTTTGCCTCTTCGCAAAAAAAGCGTGAAATACCGTAGTACTGATAATAGCTAATGCCAGCGGGTTCACATGCACCCGCAATATGTTGATCAATGCTGACTGCCAGTGTGAAGTAACACTCAGTATGTACTAGTTAAATCCATATTTACACAGAGAGGATTGGATCAGCAACATTAAGGTGGCGGCTACAGACATCCACTACACATCAGGAATAACATCATATGTCAACATAACCTGAGAAGTCTGAGATCATTTTCATCCGGACGACACCATCAATCCTGTAAGAGCTTCTTGTACTTGTGTTTGTAATGCAGCGCATGACACAAAAGCCCTTTCCCTCAGATAAATCTATCCGGAATGCACATCCGCACCCTTGGACAAAGGTCGCTCATGTTATGCTCACGTCCAGGAAGTCTCCTGTCTGCATCATCAAAGGGAAGATCTCAGCTAGTCGCCATCACAGAGATGTAAGCCGCAATGATTGCAAAAGGAGAATACCGGTAAGGGAATTGAGGAACATACCTGGAAGTTGAGTTGTTTGAGCGTCTTGTTGTCATCTTGGCCACCCCGAGTGGAATGCGTCGCGCCCACCTAATAAGCAGCAGCATCTTCAAGTCCCTTCCGAGCATCTCTTGGTGGCGGACTGCCAGCAGAGCATGATGCTGAGCATAAAAACAAGCACGGGCAGTGACATCATGGCGCACCACTCGCATTACATTGCGGCCCCTCTTGTCTGGATATACCAAGGCGAATTCAAGGCGGGCGGTGCTTCTACGCGCTGCAGGCTGGACTTCCTTCACCAGATCCGTGAGCTCCCTCAGCGTTGCATCAGGCCATGTGTACATCTGGACCTCATCTTTGGGCTCCTGCCCTCTTCTCGCATAGTCCTCCAGCCTGTGGTGACCTCCAAACTGCAAACAGCAAACCCTTGTCAACTTACTGCATTACAGTCTGAAACCATATTCAGCGATATTTCTCTGCCCAATGAGTCCAAATAGCGCGCTGCGCTTTTCATACCTGAGGAAACACTCTGATCAGCATAGGACAGACCTGCAAATCATACCGAGATGTCAGCCAAAGATCTGAGGGTGACACAGTAATCTAAACAGAATCCAATAAATGAAGTCCAAACTGGTTAGGCAGCACCTTCTCTCTATCTATCTCAGGTAATGCAGGAGCACTGGGGGGCGGTGGCAAAGCCGAAGAGGCTTGACTTGGACGCTGCATTGGTGCTGCATGCTGTGCATACGACATCATACAGAAAAGCTTCTGATTTCTGATCACGCTTCAGTTGCTTAGGACCCTCCTTACTGTGATGACCAAGTCGAAGATCACTTCTGTGACTGAAAGACACCGCTTTAAACCAGCATCATCTTCATGGCTCAGCCGATCAATGGGTATTTGAAGGCGACTTCTGAATTTGTAGGAGAATATATTTCTATAGGAACGAAGAAAGAATGCATGTTGCCAGGCAGTCCACAATCGCTGGCCATACTAACACCAATTTTGGGACGGCTGATCTATCAAACACACCCTGCATCGTTGTTTCTGTAAGAATCTCCGTAAAAGTTTGCCAATCTCAAATACATCGCCAAGATGAGTTGGGAAGAGAACGAGGATTTCCTGCCTTCGGAAAACCAGGCCCCTGCATCACGCAATGCTGCTCCTGCACTGAATCCCAACGCATTCAGCTTCAATCCTGGCGCGTCAACATTCAGTCCCACCTTTGCTGCAGCTTTAGCAGCGCCGTCCCCAGTCCTTCAGGCTCCCGCTCCAGCCTCAGTGCGTCCTGCAGCTGCCTCCTTTCAGCATCAGCCTGCTGACGCCCCACAGACGGCGCCTCCTGCAGCTTCGCACGCCATAACAAATGGTGTGGCGCCCATGGACGAGGACGTTCCGGCAGATGGAGCAGGCAGGAGTACAAGGGAAGAGATGGGTAAGCTGACAGGATTCCTTTGGGGAACACTTTGTGATACAGGCAGAGTGAGGTGGAAGGAGAGGATCGAAACGTTATTTGGATATCGGCTATTGTGGCTCGAGGCCCGAGGTCTTGATGGCCAGGCCGAGTGACAGGCGTGGTTGAACTCCTTTGATGTCTTATCAAACCAGCCCAAGCGTCAACCTAGTTCAATGCTTGCATCAATATGCACATGCGAATCACCAGGAATGGAATTGATGCCAGCTTATGCCTATGCAGCAGAGGTGGAGAGTGCTGCAGAGGTTGACAGCGCGGCTGAAGCTGTGAAGAATTTGGCAGTATCTCCATCACGGCCAGCGCCTGCTAGCTCAGAGGCCTCTCCCAACAAAGGGAGAGCCGTGGATCATGACGAGGACGATGAACAGGAAGAGGATCAGGAGGCGCGCAACAAAGAGCTGCAGCGGATACACGAGGAGCTGCAGAAGGCCGACAACAGGTGCAATTGCACTTTCTGATGACATGTGGATCTTCAGCAGAATGCACTTGATCAAATGCACGCAGCGGTCGGATGACGCCGTTGCTTTTACTTGCAGGGAACACATGAACATCGTGTTCATTGGGCATGTAGACGCGGGAAAATCCACAACTGGAGGGCAGATTCTCTATCTCACGGTATGCCAGATAACTTGATGCTCGAATCCTGTTCTATGTTTGTCCCTGGCTTGATGATGACTGCGGCAGATGTGTGGTGTATGATGCGGCATGTCATGCTGTGTCAGGGAGGAGTGGATGAGCGGACGATCCAGAAGTATGAGAAGTGAGTTGTCATCTCTCAATTATCATCTATACTCCCTGTTGCTGCATTATAGAAACTCACATGTTTCTTGCATCAAAGCATGAGTGGAAGTCAGCCCTTGCTGATCTGTGATCATGGTCACCACGCAGGGAGGCAAAGGACAAGAACAGGGAGAGTTGGTACATGGCATATATCATGGACACCAACGAGGAGGAGAGGGCAAAGGGAAAGACAGTGGAGGTCGGCCGTGCACTCTTCATGACGAAGAAGAAGCGCTACACCATCCTCGATGCGCCTGGACACAAGAACTACGTGCCCAACATGATATCTGGCGCATCCCAGGCGGATGTGGGTGTGCTCGTGGTCTCTGCAAGGAAGGTGAGGGGTGCTCTTTTTCCCAGCAAAATATTAGCTTGCATGGGTTGGGTTGTACCCACCCCGGGAAACAAATGAAATTTATTTGGGAGGTTTGTTCTTTTATGAAGCAGTATTGTGTGGGTTACAGGCAGAGTTTGAGGCAGGCTTTGAGCGTGGTGGGCAGACCAGGGAGCATGCGCAGCTTGCAAAGACGCTCGGAGTTGCAAAGCTGATTGTCACGGTACAGTCTTCTTGCTGCTCAGACATTATGACTCCCTGAGCTTATGAGGCAAAAATTTATGAGGCGCAGTGTTTTCCATGGGATGTTGCCTTCCACAGCCCCAGGTGTGCTACTCTGCAGATCAACAAGATGGATGACCCTTCCATCATCACCCCTGATGGCAAGTGGTCTGAGGAGCGATACAAGGAGATTGTGACAAAACTTGGGGGCTTTCTCAAGACTTGCGGGTACAGGGAGAAGGATGTAATATACCTCCCCATGTCTGGCCTGCTGGGGCTCAACATCAAGGACCCAGTGCCAGAGAAGACGTGTCCATGGTACAAGGTATGCTTCAGACACCCTCTTCAGGGTTTGTGAAAGTTCACCTGTGTGGCTGTACTGGTACAGGATGGTTGCGGTCATCTGACCGCTGAAGTGGTTTGTGAAGGGCCGCACCCTGTTCCAAGTCCTGGATGATGTGGAGCCGCTGCCGCGCGACCCCCTGGCGCCTTTCAGGATGTCGGTGATCGACAGGTACAAGGACATGGGCACCATCGCCATGGGCAAGAGCGAGGCCGGCCTCGTGCGCAAAGGAGACCGCCTCTATGTCATGCCGAACAAGTAAGTCGTGACGCGAGCGCAAATTGCCCTAGCCATGGCACTTGATTGTTGATTGTGTTTGCCAGCAAATTGCTGAAATCCATAAGATCGGCGGCAGGCTGGTATCTGTTCCCTTCCTGTAGCTCGCTCTCACTTTTGGCAGGAGATGCTTGCCTTCTGCCCATCTGAAATATGTCTTAGCTCTTCATGCCACTGATCCGCTGCCTGCCTGCAGGGCGCCAGTGACGGTGACCACCATCTACCGCGATGACGATGAGGTGCAGGCAGCGCTGGGGGGCGAGAACCTGCGCCTGCGCCTGAGCGGTGTTGACGAAGATGACATCGCTCCCGGCTTTGTGATCTGCTCTCGCAATGCCCCCGTCCCCTGCGTCACCTACTTTGACGCGCAGCTGCAGGTAAGGGGGAAGCTGCTGCAATTTGCAAGGTGACATTTGATCAGAAGCAGTTGGGTGCTGAACCTCTGAACGTGTGCCTTGCCAGATCCTGGATTTGCTAGAGCACAAGGCGGTCTTCACATCAGGCTACAAGGCCATCCTCCATCTGCACTCTCTGGTGGAGGAGTGTGAGATCACCACTCTTTTCCACCAGATTGACATGAAGATCAAGGACCCCAAGTTGAACAAGAAAAAGGTGTGTCCGCACTCCTACATGCTTGGGTGGTGAAGGCGATTCCGGATTTAAGCTGTCTGCGACACCCACACCCCAGCGGCCTTCGCCTTCCTGGAAAGCTCACTCATGAAATACTGTGCTGCGCTGCAGGTCAAGTTTGCCAAGAGCGGCAGCGCAGTGGTGGTGCGGATCGAGGTGGAGAAGCCTATTTCCGCGGAGCTGTTCAAGAATGTGCCGCAGCTGGGCCGCTTCACTTTGCGAGACGAGGGCCGCACAATTGCCATCGGCAAGATCATCAAATTGCCGAAATCCTTGAAGGAGACTGCTGCAGAGGCAAAGTGAGCCTCCGTGCATTAAGAAGCAGCACCAAGGTGCAAGGGGCATTTTCACCTGTGCAATTCCTGCCATCGGTGGGCTGTGTGTACATTAGTCATTCATGTCAAACCTTTGCATTGCCATCTGGCCCAGGGTCTGATTAAGGGGCACTGCTTGCTTCAACCTAGCGTCGAGTTCAAAATTTTGAGCGCGCCGTCATCATTCATGTGATAAAACTCACAGTGTTTGGTGTGTCATGACAATAAGGACCATACAGCGATGTTATGCATCTTTATGTAACGTACAGATCCAGGTGAGGGGCGTCTGTACTGGGCACATGTGTCTCGGAGACAGTCACTGCCAGTGGAAATATGTCCGAAGCGTTGGGCCTGTACAGTGTGAGTCACATTCCTGTGATGCTTGCTGATCTCAGAGGGCATCGTATGTCAGTGGTATTAGCCGGCAGAGAGGTGTTCGACTATAAATTAGAAGTCATACTGTACTCTAAAATTAAATTTGACCACAACACTCCTCTGGCCTGTTGTGCTGACTCACCATCAGTAAAACTGGCAGATGAGGTCCAGCAATCTTGACAGCTTTCATCAGCTTTAAAAACAAGAAACCATTCATAATCACGAGGCAAAATGTTGAGATCCTTGCGCTACCAGTGTTGCCACGTGTTACAACAAGGCGGTCTAACTACGACACGACGATCGCGGCAAAGAAGCATGGCAGTCAGATCTCAGGGTGGCGAACAGGTGCAATTCACTTTGCATCAAAATGAATGTGATGAGGGGTTGGAATTTTTGCAGTTTTGATCGCATAGTACATCTAACATCTCCTAGAAATACACCTGCGTGAAATCTTCCATGGTTGGCATTACAGGTGTTCACTATAGTGGGTCGCGGGCGTGTCGGTGCTGCGCTTGCAGAAATGGGGAAAGACGATGTCAGTTATCTCTTTCTATACAGACAGTCTTCTAAAGGCGAGGCATGTGCCTTATCACCCTTTCTGAAGGGCACTGGATTGTTTCCTCGCAGGTATTGGTAGGTAGGGGGGGAAGAATCCCAGAAGGTCCGCAAGGGCCTGTCATTGTTTGTACCAGAAATGATGCTCTTGACGATGTGGTGTCCATGACACCGCCTGACAGAAAAAAGGGTGAGTCAAATCTAGTATGGGCAGGGGAATGTTTTGCTGATTTGCGGTCTATGCAGAGCCTCACAATGGCCTTGCATGCGCAGACCTTGTCTTCATTCAGAATGGCATGCTACAGCCATGGCTAGATGGGCAAGGGCTTGGAGACAACACACAGGCGCGGCACGCATGTTGATCGTTCTTACAGCTGTAGCACTCAATGGCTGCCAGTGGCTTGGTACCTCACCAAGCATGACAGTGATCGCTGATGCTCTTCATGGAACAGGTCCTAGTGTACTTTGCGGTTGCAAAGAAGGGAGAGGCCCCTCTTGATGGCAAGACTGACCTCAATCCAGAGGGCTTGACTGCTGCATGGGGTATTCATGCTGAGGCAGTGGCTGAGCGGCTGAAGGCAAATGGCTTGAGCTGCAGCACGCCGGACAGACCGGAGTTTGACAAAGCAATGCTGGAAAAGCTGATTTGGATCAGGTAATATGCTGCTGTATCGGCTGCATCGATGTCTTACAGATATCTCAGATGCGGTTTTGCTTGCCTCATTAATACATACACTGGCAGTGAACAAGGTCCTCACCACAGCCCACAATGTTGTTGATTGCAAATGGGTTCACTTCTGATGCATGCTGTGCAGCGCTTACATGCTTGTTGGAGCTCGCCACAGTGCCAACATTGGTGATGTTGAGAGACAGCATCGGAGCGAGGTGGGGTCTCTTATTGAGGAGCTGGGTGCTGGAGGAGCAGCTGAGCTGGGTGTAACGCTGGACAGCAATTTTGCAGAGCGCTTGCATGCGTACTCTCGCTCTGTTGCGCACTTCCCCACAGCAGTAAAAGAGTTTCAATGGAGGAATGGGTGGTTCCATGATATATCTAAGAAGGCTCTGGCAGAGGGCAGGGCAGACCCCTTCCCCACTCATACTGCATGGCTGAAGGACCTTGGAGTGGCGTGATAAAGCATTCCATGATAGATTTTACATCTGGTATGATTGCCTTTCTGTCCTTGAGAGGGCCTTAATGGAGAACTTCTTGCAATTTTCCAAAAATTCATTATGAGATCATCACAGGATTTGTCTCATGTCTTGTGTAAAAACAGTGTGTATCGTCCAAAGTAATCCTTACCCAAAGCCCCTCTTCTCTCGCTTGGGTTTCTGATCTCTCCTTTCTGCTGCACCCTTCTGGATCTGTGATCGCTTTGGAAGGACTGGCCTCAACTCTTGCACTTGCTGCTGTGCATTTCTTTCCTGCTGCTCTTGGTCGATTCTGCTGCTCCTGATTTTCGCTTCAGGAGGACCATCCATGGTCATCTGTTGGACATGCACTGCAGGCTGGGAACCCTCAGTCTCAGTGAAGGATTGGGCATCTCTACTAATTAGCCGTCGCCCAGCCTGTGCCTGCCTCTGATCAAGCTTCTTTTTTATCATCTCCCTCAGCCCGCTTGTATCTGCCATGTTCTTGCTCCTACTTTTGCTGCAAGTCAAAGAACAGAGACCTCAGCCAACCAAGGAGAACCCCTCCTGACTTCAAATTCTTGATCAAACCTGGGATTCACATGCAAATTCCTATGATGGCGATGTATTCTGCATGCATCCCACCTGATGGAGAAAGACTTGACAATGTCGAGTATGGCATCCTGCAGAGATCTCTGCAACAACTTATCCACCAGAGTCGCTATAATCGGCGGTGATGTGCCTGCAGACACACACATGTCCCCACTCCTCACCTCCAAGCCAAACAGTCTGTTTGGAGGATGAATGCCCCACTAGGCAGCTTCTCATCAAATGTCTCCGACTAGGCTCGGGAATGTGAGCTGTTGCGCACCTGTGAACATCTCCCAGTGCTCAGCAATGGCAATGGTTTCTTCGCCAGACATGCCAGATAGGATCACGAGCCTGGGCAGAGGCTCTTCAACCACCGTGTGACCCTCCACCCTCAACCTGTCCAAGTCCCCTTGGCAGACGGCCTCCTGTACTGTGCCTTTTAACATGTCCCGGGTGCAGTGGGACACCGAAAATTCGGGCTCCATCTGCTGCATCCATGCCGCCACTGTGTCCCCATCTGCTTTACTGAAGCCAACCAGGAGCATACCCTGCGCACCACTGCTGAGTTCTTATAGCTAAAGAGGAGTTCCCTGATGAACAAGCTCAAATATACAGCGTGGTCTTGCGTCCTGGCGTGTACGCACCCTGGGTCCAACACCCACCGATGACTGCTTCAGATCTGTGATCTGCGCAGATCGAATGCCACTAGCATTGCGAATTCTCAGCTCGGGCATGTGCAGAACTCTTGATTGCGCCTGCAGAACGAATTAGTATATCAGCAGATGACTTCTCCTTGTCTTCAAGTGAAGCCCTGCTTTATTTTTATTGGTTGTGACGTTGATTTGACAGCATGATACAACATTGGTTCACCTGCTTTTTGGAAAAGCGGTTGCCAAGGTAAGATCTCGATGGAAGCTTAAGAAAGCTGGGATTAGGAAGAGCAATTCCGGTGTTCAGTGCAGAAGGGAAGCCAAGTATCCCAATTTCTGAAAGTGCGGCAGCCATGACGGCCCCCCTTCCCACCTACCTGTTTATACCTTCAATAATGGTAAGTACCCCCAGGATCCATCTGCCTGGAGGCAAGTCTGACGAAAGTTTTGGGGTGGGAGTCACGTGGGTCTTGCATGAATGCCATGTGGCCACGTGGGGAGTGACTAAGGCAACAAAATGGATCCAAATTAGGAACATATCGTAAGGGAGCGCAGGATTTTGGTTGAGGCGTCCTCACAATGAGAAGGCCAAACGACCTGCTGCGATGGTGACGATGGGGACCAAGATGCCCTTCCCTGAGGAGCTGGAGCTCCACTCCTTCCTCGATCTCAACCTGCCCGTCACGGACCTGGACCCGTTCACGGCGCACACTGACTGGCTCAATACCCTTCCGAGCCCAAATCATTCTGCAGACGTCAGCGAGAACAGTCTGAACGGAAGTGGTTCTTCGCACTATCCGTTCGACGACCTCTTCGTGACGACGGACACCTTCCCCGTGGGCTCCAAGCACGAAATACCGGCTGCCGAGTCCCCCGCTAGGATCGTGGACTTCCCCTTGATCCCTGCGCAGGCGAGCAACCCGCCAAATAATTGTAACATCAAGCTCATCGGATCGGATGGAACGATCTCTCGCTATCACCTACTTTAGACACGTCGTGCGTTCGGTGGGGTTTTCATCGTGCAAGGTTTTGCTATGCCGAAGCTCAGTATGGATCGATGGGACCGCTGCCATGTTGAAAAGACATTACTTCCTGCGTTTAGGTGAAAGGGTCACGCAAATTTTAGAATCCTTGCGCAAAAGATGTCCTATTCAAATTCTTAAAAGTTAGTGTAGTGGAGTAGTGTGTCCTGTTGTGCTTTGGATAATTTGTTCAAGCATTGGGGGGGCCTGAGTGAGATCTTGATGACTGTGAGAATGACTGTGGTGCAGGGCCTGAAGAAGGAGGCCAAATCCAACTCGAATGCCAGCAGGGGCAGTGCAGACGGGAGCGCAGGGACAACACCCAAGCCCAAGGGCCATCGCACAGCCGCTGCCATGGAAAGAAACAGGCGGGGCGCCCGCAAATTTAGGGAGCGCCAGAGTGAGTGGCTCATACCTGTTTTCACATCCTCTCTGAAGTTTGTGGAAGAAAATAGTTTACGACAATGGCAGTGTCTGCGCTGCAGAGCAAAAGTTTATGGACCTGACGAATCGCGTGGAGATGCTGGAGACAGAGCTGATCGCGATGAAGCTCTGTAAGCTCAAGATGGAGGCCGACAAGACGCAGGTGGAGCTGCACGCAAAGCAGATGGAGAAGACGCTGAGTGCCTTGCAGGCCGCGCACAGCTCTGAGGAACACCAGGTGAGCGCAGCGTCAGCAGCCTGTGCTCCTCACCAACATTCATTACATTGTTACTCCGGGTCCACCTCATTTAGACTGTGCGGTGCTATGGGTGGTGAAGGCAATGTATCTGGGCCAATGAGTCCCCTACAGCAGTCTGCGCTGTGGCTCAGGGGGATGACGCGGCGGAGGAGTTGGGATCACATGCGGTGACGAACGGCAGCGACAGTGTCTACATCTCAGTGCCTGACAGCAGCCCGATGCCGGCCGACATGCACACCATCAAGGGCCTATCCTACACACAGGCGTTTGGGATCTACAAGGTGATATCTGTTGTTTGCGTGAAATTGCTCCTTGCATTCGAGGGTGATTGCAAGCATGAACGATGTAGAGCATGCGCTGTGAGTCTGACCACTCGGCATGCCTATGCAGAGTTACGTGGCTGCACTGCGGCAGTGTCTGTCTGAGTTGGAGCAGGACAGTGCCAGTCAGGCTTCCCTGCAGAGAGTTGGAACCCTCGTCCATGACCTGGTAAGCCCTTTCTAAGGGGCAAGCACACAGTTGCTTTCTGGTGCAAACACACATCTGCTTTCTGGTGAAAACATTGTTGCTCTGAGTATGGGCAATTGTGGGTGCTGAGGTGTGGCTGATCATTGCAGACGGTGTTCGCATCGAGGATGCAGGCGACCAGCACAGTCCCCCTGTGGCAACTCTACCACAAGCAGGAGTGCTGTCTGGACCCCACAACCTCCTTTGAGTTTGAGCGTGACCTACTGGTGCGAAGGCACCCCTCCTGCCTGATTCCCCTGCACATTGCTTTGATGCAGGGCTTTTAGGTGTGCGCCAGATGTCGGCTAGGTCACTGCAGCAGGGTGTGACGTGCAAGAGGGTGCCTGCAGAGCACGCTGGACTTGGGCGACGACCAGAGGGCGGCGCTGGTGGCTGCGCAGAGGCGCTACCGCGGCGCGCTGCGAGCCCTGGCCAAGGAGCGCGCCACCATCAACGCTGCCATGGCCGCTGCAGCCGCGCCCGGCAAGGACGGCCTGAAGAAGGTATCCCTTTAACTCTGCCCTCAGATCTCAGTGCAGAGCAGCAGCTCCTTTCTGCTGCAACTTGTGGAGCATGAAGGGCCATAGCACCTGGGGCCAGTGTCTGCTACTTGCAGAGAATGGCGCAGAGGAAAGCATGTCCATGGGATCCTGATGGGTGTGCATGGCTTGGCAGGCGCACGAGGCCATGTGGGCGCTGAAGGGCAGCCTTGCCAAGGAGCCCAGGTACACGGAGGCGTTCCTGAGCGCCTGCATGCGCGCGCTGATGCCGCTGCAGACTGCCAAGCTCATCGTGGCCTTCTTCCCGCGCACTGTGTGGCCCGATTTCAGCACCATCTGCGCTAGCATAGCGCTGGACGCCGGTGACAACAGCGTTCTGGACGGCCCCGTCTGACCACTTGACATTCTTTACCATACATCTCAAGAAGTCTCAGCTTTGAGCTGGCAGTCGCAGAACCAGTGTGCTTCTTGGCAAGAACAGCCCTCAATTCATTGGATATGACAGGCCAGCAGCAGGGAATGGTGGAGCACATAGCAAGAGTTTGGGACTGCAAGCAAGAATGCAATTCTGTGCTTCGATCCTCGCAATGTGATGCAAACTGTTTGCTTGCATCCTGCTGGATCCATCCTGCATCTTGCAGACATACTTTGTTTGTGCCTCTTCTGGTTGCTACGCGCCTCTGTTGGGTTCTGTCCCTCATCCCTCTGCCCTGATGGGTGTAGGGTGTAGGAAGGTGCACTTCCTATGGTACAGGTCAATGGTATTTTGACAGTGGTGCACTACAGGAGCATGTCATCTTGGTTATCATGCCGTGTTCTGGGCTGCTTTTTGCAAACAAAGGACCTGGGTGTTGCAATCGTCAGCGAGTTGGCTGACCTGCTTATCCAAGGGATGACAAAGGAGGACATGTACATATTGCTAAAGCATTTCAGGGAACAGTAACTGCTAGTTGGAAGAGAGTGTATCATATGCAGAACCTGGCGACCTGTCAACCTGCACGAAACCTGCAGGCTGGGTTTGTTGGCGATTGAAGCTTGATAATCTTTTTGAGAGGGGCAGTATGTGCTATCAAAAGCTTTGTCAAGGCGTGTGCTCGTAAAAGCAGCATTTCATGGTGCACATTTGGTGTTTGCCAACTTGCAATGTGCACATTTCTTCGGCAACTATTTCCTCAAGATATGATTGAAGGTTGCAACCAATTGGGAGCCATGCATCTACCGCTGGAGGGTCATTTCCAGGTTGTTATACACTATGGTCCAGAGGGTGGGCATGTATGTTGACCTTTCTTGTAACATGTAAATATGCAACACTTTTCAACCAAAACTTTCCATTGTCCAGAATACCCCTTACAGAATATCAGTCAATTAGAACCGCACTATCTTCTCAAGAAACTCTTACAATAGATCCCCCAAGCAATCCATGACGTCAGCTTTTGCTGGTGCCCCTGTCAGACTAACACAATGTCCCAAAAGAACGTGATCATTGTGAGTAATTCCTAGGTGTACAAATTTCTACTGATGATGCATCTTCCTGTCGTGGCAGTTTAGTACAGGTGCTACATGCTTGCAAACAAGCTACACTGCTACAACCACTGGACCCCCAAACTAATACATTTCTTGAACATGTTTGACGTCACCACCGGTCATGCGTGTTATCATGTCAATGCATCTAAAACAGACAAAAGAAGCAGGATCTAACACACTGTACTTTAACAAGAATCCACCATCTCAAGTAAAGTTGGTCCTAAGATGATTGACTCTTTGTTGCCCAACCCCGGCATGCCCCGCATCAACAGAATGTGGGTCTCAGGCTCTCAACACATGAACAGCAGCAATCAAGCACTGGGTTTGTCGAGCTGCAAGGGGTACTGGCACGGCCGTATGCTGCTAAGCTGTAAACTGGTTCCCTTGGCATGCATTCTCCTCATGCAAATGCATCTAAATTCAGGTACAGATCAGGGTAAAAACGGCTCCGGTTTGCTCTCCTGCAAGAACGACATCCCGATCAGATTCTCACACCACGTCACAGCATAATTTATTGGACACAACTTTATTGGGGTGCGGCACTACAGGGGCTGGAAAAAAAAGCTTCGAACTGGAGTTTGCACCCTGGGACCTGTACCTTAGTTGACATTGAGATCTTGTCGAGGTAGGCCAGGGCCTGGTCCTTGAATGCAGCAATTGTCTTGTACTTGACCAGTTCGTGAGGCAGGTTGCGCAGAGCACGGGCCAGCTCCCATGCCTGTATGCAGCATCACCCTGAAGCTTTAAATACTGCAGATAACTCCATTAATGCCCAGGGACGACCTGCAGGCCACCTTGCCAGACAGTGAGGAATACAGAAGTGAGATCACCTTGTGGGGTTTGTCCTCGAAGGTGTCAAGCTTGTGCATGTGTGTGCGGATGGTGAACAGGATGGCCCGCGTCTTGGGGAAGCGTGACAGCGTCTCGCGCTCACATCTGGTCTGCAGCCGCTCCCCAGCATTCTGGATTGTGATGGGCTCCTGCACCAGCACATAGGTTTTTTAAATTCGCCTGAACGTGATTCGAGGGACACAAAAAGCACCAAATTTTATGTATTTTGGCAAGTAACACACTTTGACTCACATTCAACAAATTTGACGCAGCACTCACCGTCTCGCCCCACACTTTGTTGTTGATGATCTCCCCAGCATTAGCTGCCAGGATGTTTTCCTCAACAAGCGGTTGGAAGAGCTCTGGGTTGTCGGAGATCTGCACATGCGCCGAGGCATACTGTCAGAATAAGGGGTAAGCACATGGTAGGTCAAGGTATGAATATATAGAGGACCCTCTTGGACAAACAATTTCATTATTGACTCTGCAGCAAATTCTCACCGTCCAGTTAGCCCGGTAGAAGGGCTTGTTGGGAGCGATGCGGCTCATGAAGTTGCTAACGGGCTTCAAGATCTCGCCATTGAAGATTGGTACAGGCTCATGGATCCGCCTGCGCAGGATGCATAGCAGCTCAATGCGTGGAACAGCAGAGTCCATGATGATATCCAAGCTCAAACTTTGAGGAGTCACGAGTCTGCCTGTTGCAGAGTACCAACTCACCTCAAGTCCATGCCGATCTTCTCCAAAAGGCTCCATCTCTGCGGAAAGAGCACTGCGCCACTTACAAATCGCAGCGTTCCCTGGTCGTCCGTGGTCATCAGGCACAGGTCCTCCTGCAGCAGCAACACACTTGATCAATTGCATGCACAGCAGCTGGGCTTAAGCTCTTGTGAACAACATGGCAGCCTGCCCAATGATGGGCCTGAGCTTCTGCAGCCAATGAAGTTACACCATAAATGAAATCAATCCTCGACATCATGTCTGCTCCAACTTATGTCCTCAAGCGGATTCCCACTGACCTGCACAAGCAGAGCTGACGCTTCCAAGGGGTCCAGCGTTGGGTCGGCAAGGTTCCAGACATCGCCGGTGGAATGATTGATCAGCACATCGCCATCCCTTGTGAAACGGTCTGGGAATCGCTTGGGCAGGAAGTCTGCCAGGAGCTCCAGCATCTCAGCATTTGCAGCCTCAGCCTGTATGAACAGGACAAAAATCAGCCAACCTGCTGGCCATACTGCAGTGGGTACAGTGCGCCGGGCTGTTCACGAATTCGTGCCCCCTTTGCAGGGTTTTGCAGGCAAGCATCGGCAATAATTGGCCCCACCCCCGGTAAGCTGACCAGGACAATGTCCCTCTTCTCCTTCATGAGCGTGCGGCGCAGGGCCATCTCCTCCTCATAGTGCTCGTCAATCTCGATCCAGTCCATGGGATGCATCGGTTCGAGGCCCATGGTCATTTTATACTTCCCCTGCTCCAGACAACACTGGAATTTGTCAGAAGGTGTTGCATGGCACAAAGTGACAGGGACCTGACAAGAAGAGCCCCACCTAGGCGACTTGGACGTTTGAAGGAAGGATTGCTAATCACCTGATAGTTTGGGGCACTGAAGGGCGTGTACTCAAAGACATCGTGGGAGAAATGGCGTGTGGGGGCCTCCATGGTAGGGGCAGCAGAGCGCAGGAGTCCTTTCGTGCCATTCACCAGCCTCATGATGGGGCACTTGCTGTTGGCATTGCTCTTGCCTTGCTGCGATGTGGAGACGGCACCCAAGTGGCATCTGACAGAAGCACCGCAATATGACCGCGCTCTAGGAGGGGCAGCCTGCACAAGCACCCTCTGGAAGTTGAAACTGGTCATCTCCACCCGACATTGTCAGAGTCAATCCCAGCCTTCAAGGCAGACTGCAACAAGTGTTTTGGCACTCTCACACCATCTCCATAAGATTTTCCTCCAGTTTTTTAAATTTCTGCGTAGCATATGCATAGACCAAGCTTCGAGAAAGGTCGACCGCCTCGTCTGAGTGTGCTCCTCCAACGGGATCGCAACCGGCTCAAACTTCATATTTGCACTACAGTCGAACTTGGTAAGCATCAATTGGTAAAGATACGTGTCAAAGCTGTTTCAAGACAACTGATAACAAGGCCCGCCTTCTCAAACCACAATCCCGTAGTCCTCCGTCACTTCGTCAGCTGTCTTCAGATAAGGATTACCGTGGGGCCAATTTGTGCCTTCACGGTTTTATCAAATATATTCAAACAAAGACTGTGGACAGGTCCACTCACCTGACTTCCAGTAGGCAGTGTGACCTGCGACATCATCACCATCCCCGACAGCTCCCAGGGCGTTCCTTGGTCACCACCACAGGCTCGGTGATCGATATGGCACCTGGAAGCAGGACTGTACCAGTAAGTCGTGCTAGGGGTGTCTCTTTGAGTAGGATTGACGATGGCGTTTGCGTTGCTTCCAAAGCAATTAGCTAAACGCACATGGTTGATTTTTCACCCTGGAAATCCACGTGGGCTCCCCGTGATGTCCACAGCTTGCCAGCGGGGCGCCTGCTGAAATCGGTGCCGTAGAAACAGTACACCCTGCACTGCCAGAGTATGTGCCAGCAGGCCACATGCCAGTGCACTGCCATGACAGTGTGCATGCCACTGGCGGGGGGGCCTGCATGCCTGCACCCGCGGGTGACTCGATGGAAGTTCTAAAAAGCGCCTTGAAGGCGCACTGCGATGGCATGTGGGGGCCACATATGTGGAGCATAGGCATGTCGCATGTGGCGATCATCATGATCATGGTTGATATATACATCAACCTCTGCATATACTATAGTACAGTGGATGCACTACTGCATGGCATGCCATACATTGCATGTCACGATCACTGCTGCCACCGTGGCCAGCTGGCATACCACGGCAACAATGTCGTACTGTGCCTGCAGGGGTCTAATTACCATTGATGGCGTGAGATTCCTTGTCTTCTGGCATCTCGTCGTATAAGAGCTTAATGGCTTCCCAAACACAAAAGTTCCGCTCCAGACCAATCACCTCCGGTGTCTGCTTGGTGTCGTACATCAGCAGCTGATATAGCACAAATGCAGCATCATTAATTGCAAGGATTGCAGCTGCTGGATCAGTCTGTGACTGTGAACCATTAGTGCTGTTCGACCAATGGAAAAGAGTGGGCTATGCATACATGCTCAAGCTTGTCCATTTGGTAGATGAGATTTCAATAGCAGTTTTAGCCTGCTTGAGTCTATGTTGCTGCTCTTTCGACATATGGGTTTCGCAACTGCCACATTCCAGCTAGCCCAGCTGGTGCAGGAACTCATCATTGAGACCCCCTGGTTCAGCATGCTCATCATGACGCACACGACCCCTCCAATACTGGGCCCCATGAGCAGCTGCACCATGTGAGTCGCCCACGTGCGCCATCACCATGTACCAACAGCAAGTGCTCCAGGGTTGACAAAAGCCTGCAGAACAAATCACACAGCACAAATCACTTGCATGATTTCAAAACAGGAACACGGCTCCCTCCAGCAAGTGCTGAGCTGTCCAGCAACAAGACTGCCAATGCATCCTTAAAGAGCTGGAGCATAAATGGAAGTTTGCAGACAAAATCACGACAAGGCGCAGGCCATGCATACCTTGTAGTCCCACTTCGTCTCCAGCGCAAATGGCTCGGATATGCTTGTGCCTTCAGCAGTGACCTTTGCAATCTGGAACTTGTTGGTGGTCTGCTTGTCCCTGTAGTAGCAAACCTGCAAAGCACCACAGAGACAATGCCTTTAGGACTTACCGACACAGCAATGGCCTTGGGATGCCTGAAATGTTTTGGGTGTGAAAGGCGGACCGTGGCCATACCCTCAGTCCCTCGTGAAGGAGCTGTGTGGCCTCCTCCTCACTCATGTCTGGACGGTGCCTCTCACGGAATAGGGGGCGTGCCAGCATCTGTCCAAAGCCTGCCAACAACACCGGGCCTGTTCAGCAAGTGATGGCCTTTGCCAGGAACCACAATTTCTCTGTCAAGAGCATATGATGGGAAAAAGCTCTGACATCGCCGGGATGAACCTGTTGCGATGTGGTCATCTGAGTAGTGCACGCCAAGCATGGTGATGGTACCAAGAAATGGCTTCCCATCTTGCAAGCCTCCCACCACCAAGGAATTCCACAGTGGGTCCATCCTGTTCCAGCCAACGCTTGCTTCAACATCTTTTAACCTAAGTCTGCATACCGTAGGCACGAGATTGTCTAAGCACTGCACAGGGATATCATGTGTGTTGATCAGCGAAGCAGCACACTTGGATCGGCGGTTGTAGAGGACACGCGACAGGTAGGCATAGATCTCCTTGGGCGACAGCTTTGCGCCATCATCGGCGCAGAAGTCCTCGTTCGAGAGCTCGTCCAACAGCGTCAGGATGTACTGGAAATCCGATAGCTCGCCACCAGCCCCAATGATGGTCTGCTCATTCACCTTGCGAAGTCTCTCAAAAGACTTGTAGCGCTTTGTGGACCCGTATGAACCTGCGATGCAGCCAAGCGCATATTGAATCAAGCAGAGCTTTTCAACTGCTGAGTCTCCTGAACAAACTTCTTAAATCCGGAGGCTCACCACTGTCAGCATACAAGGGTATGACACAAACAAAAGTATGACAGGAAAACGCCTTACCCAGCGTGTCAGCCGCCAGCAGCACTCCATCCCTGTACGTCACGCCTAGAACAGACGTCCCTGTGACATATGGTGACCTGCATCACCCAATTTCACTACTGAGAGCCCTCCGAGGATGAACAAGGACGGGCCCACAAGCCCCAGAAAGTAATGGCTAATCAGAATCTGTGAGATCTGCAAAGCGCAATATGAAGCAAATTTCATGAAATTTGGCTGATGAGAGGCCTTCAAACAAAGCACTTCAGGTTGGGGCCATCAAACAGGTGGAGGACCGCACGTGGTATGTTTCGTGGGATCGTGCCCTCCTATCGAAGCCGCTACAGCTTTAGGATCCACCATGAATGGCGCTGCGCCGCTCAAAGGCTGTTGCACAGATGGCCTGCTGGATACATCTGCATAATCAGGCACGTACTGGGCAAGCGAAGGGCCAGTGCAGCCTGGTCCCAACGCGGGATTGTGACTGGTGGGACGTGGATACATTTTATCGCGATTTCTTCCCTCAAACACGAGAGGACGCAAGGAAACGCGAGAGGAAGCAAGGATTTTGCCATGTAATAGGGTTCACCCTCTCTCGCTGTGGCTAGCTAGGTCTTTCTATAGGTCTTTCCTCAGCTTCTCGCAGGTCTGCTTCTCGTGTCAGGCTGAAAGATTTCTTACTTAGAACTTGTTTATGCCGGGTGCAACTGGAATTGCAAAACTTTGATGTATCCGCTCCCTTTTCGGGCTTCTATGTAGTGACGCTCATAAATTGGTGTTCTGTTTTTCTGTTGGCCCATCTGATGGGGAAGAAACGATACGTGAAGCGAACCCCTAAGGCGAATACTGAGGCAGATGGAATTGGCCCCATAAAGCTATCTCTTGCAGCTTCGAGCTCATTTTACGAGAGAGCTCCATTGGCAGGTATTTATACATCATATGTTGCTGCAACCACTTGTAGTCCCACTTCCACAATGTTCTGACCGACAGTGTCATGTTCTGCAGACTGTCCGGCATCACCAGAAGATCCTGAGGATTATAGCACTGACGGGGCCACAACCACCCTCTTGTTGGTGAGACACTGAAAAGTCTATTCTCACGCTGCTTAAACACTGAGAGCTCTGGGCGTGAGACTGATGAGAGGTGCCGTGCCAACCAGGATGATGGCGCAGTCTTGGATCGCTTGGTTGCCTGGTTTAGGGAAGGCAGCGACGGTGACACCAAGGCCACCCTGGGCTTTCCACCAAGCCTTTCCAAGAGTCAACGGGCGATTGTGCATAGCCGGGTGCAGTCCATTGGCCTCGGCTCGCTGCAGTCCGTGAGCGCGGGAATAGGAGATGATCGCTTCATCTCAATACATCGCAGTGGGGATGAGGGGCAGGGCCGCCTAGTCCAGCTGACGGCCGCCCAGCAGCACAAATCCTTCTGGATATATAGATGGGCCAAAGGGGCCGGGATTCTGGTCAGCCGGGACGAGGTGTCAGAAATGCTACTGAGCAATGCGCTCACTCCACAGCTGGAGCAGCTGTGGAAGGAGGGCAGTTCACAGCAGAAGCTCATCATCAAGCTGTGCGAAGCAATTGTGGAGGGCGATGCTGCAGCCATGAAGGTACTTTGATGAGCCCTTAGCACGTGTCTGGCAAACTGGCCTCCTGCCTGATTTGCGGGGCCATGCAACTAGAGCTGAGTGAGGCTGACTTGCACACGAGATCCAACATTGCTTGAAAAATCTCGCACTTCCATCAATCGAGGAAAATGACATCCAATGCTGCAGGAATTGCTTGCATCGGATGAAGTTCTGGCGACTGTGCGGTCTAGCAATTTTGACCTGCTGTCGGGCAAGGGCATACTGCACTGCGCAGCAAGGGAGGGGCACTTGAACATCATAGAGATGCTGCTCGAGGCTGGAGCCCCAATCAATGCCCAGGACGGCCATGGCTTGACTACTCTGCAGGTATTTGAAATTGAATTCTGATGTGTTGCCGGCAGCTCATTTGATTGACTCTGGGACAATTGTCTGCCACTCCTGCCTAGTTTTGCTGTCTCATGTTTCCCAGGTGACGCGTCAACATCCAGAACAATGTGAGGCAGAGAGCTTACTGCTGCGTTCTGGGGCCTTAGATACTTTCCCGAATGACGTTCCAGTGCTCTTATGCTCAATAAGCAAAGATGAGATGTGAAGATCTGATGACGTCCCTTATGTCAAAACACGATGGAAGTATTATCACAAAGGAAAGGTGAGGCTCTTTCTTCTTTGCAGTTCTGCTATAGATGCCTTGACACATGTGCACAACACCAGTCTCTTGCTAACAAGAGGTGGTGCTTCACAGGGTTGTGGAGTAGGTGAACAGAATGCAATCATAGCACGCCTCGGAATTACGGTCATTGTATTACCCTTTTCCTCTTCGGTTTTGATGTAAATACATACACGGGTCTGTATTGTGAAATCTGGAACCCTCAATTTGCAACATTGTCATGATGTTGGTTGCTTTTTAAACATTCTGACCCAATGATCTCAGGAGCAATGGGTATCCTATAAGTGTTCCAGCAACTTCGTTCGTCCTATGATTATAACATGCCCATTTAAGAGAAAACAGCAGGAAGATCATCGAAACTGCAACTACAGATACTCAGACTTTCCGAACGGCTAAAACCGCCATGACACTTTCTGACACTCTGTTTCGATCGCTCTTTTAGTGTCATCAGTCGCAAGTTGCCTCGCTGGTAGAGAGCATCAACTGTGTGCGATGGAAGGCAAGTAAAGATCAAGCATGTCAGGGAGCGAGACTCACCCGTGAACATCCTTCTTATCAGATCTTGAGCATACGGCAGATTCCTGCATGCCAACAATGGCCCTTAATTTTGAATATTCCTGAATTTTGCCATCCTGATAGATGTGGTGAGCCCCCGCCTGCTTCAGATAAGACTGCCGATGTCAGCATTATTGGCAGCTAAACTAATTGTCAGTAATGTCCTGTGCTGGTGCACAGGTTGTTCTACGCTGTAAGTCTGCCGCTGACGGTGGTGGGAGTGGTGTACACTCTTCGCTATGTGCCTTCAAGGGGCACCAGTTGGCTTGTTAAGGTGATGTTTTTATGTGAAACTTAAAGTACTTATCTTCGTAGTACAATACACCAGCGTAGCACGAATAGTTCCTGAAAATCTCGAGCGCTCGAGCCTTGAGCTTTGTGAAGCGGATGTTGCAGGTCAACGTTGGATTTGCCTGGATCTGCGCCCTTGCAACGCTCATTTTGGTGCCGTCCGATGTTTATCATGCAATGCAGGTGATGTGCCCATATTTTGGAACAGGTTCTCTGGAATTGCACCAATTTGGTGCAGCTTTCTTACTTTATATTTCTGGTGTCTGTCTAACATGTCTGGTCCCGTACAGGGTCAACATCTGGATCTACTGAGGCAATGGTACGGTCTTTCCCTCATGGTCATTCATAACCCAGTACAGGCCAGATCTTGGCGGGAAGCAAAGGACTGTTGGGGTATGCCGTGCAGGTGGCGGATATCGTACTGGTATGGGTTCATCGCCCAGTTCACATTTTTGCCCTTCCACCAGGAGTATGTGGACTCAGGTGAGATCTTGGGATCAGACGGAAGCATGCAGCACAGGCCAGACTGAGTAAAGCGCAGGCAGAGATCGCAATCTGAGGCACGACATGCCATTCAGGAGCTTTCACCGTGTGCGGGCGACTAGGAACTGCATTGAAGAACAACTTGATATTCTATGCAGTCCTGATGGTAAGCAAATGCACATGTACAGTGTCACCACCTTTTGGCTGCTGGATCATTCTCGCTGGAGTACTTCATGTAGAGTTTGTTGACAGGCCGTTGGGGCTTTTGGGCTCGTGCTGCTCCTTATCACCGGCGAACTGGCGCCTGCAAATGTCCTTGGCTTCTGCATCGCAGCTTCAAATGCGTTCGGTCTCATAGCAGGCATTTTCTTGATGGGCTATGGCTTGGTGGCTGTACCAAGGTCAGTGCATTCCACTGGTTGCGGAAGCTCAACAACCTTGGGACACCAGAGTAGTTGCAATGGAGTCCAAGCTGGCCAGCTTCCACAACACTCTCTTTCTGTTCATGCCGTTATAGTGTTTGATACAGGCAACTGTGGAGGACAGCAAATATTCAGGATGCCCACAGTGCTTTGTGCCACAAGGCTGGGCTGCAGGCCGACAAAGCTTTGGCTGCACGCAAGTATGCAAGCAACCAACTGCCTTACCTAAATTTTGCACAGCCGAAATCTGATGGCTACCTTTCCAGTACCAGAGCAATCAGAAGAACATACGCCAGCCCTGCCTGACAGCCTTGCATAGTGATTGTGAGCTGCTCCTTGCAGGGATCTGGAGAAGACTGCAGCGCTGGTGCAAAAGGTGTCTGCCACTTTTGGTCGGCGGGATTCTCTTCGGCAATATATGGACCGCATCGAAGCCATGATCTCAAAGTCTGGTGGGTGCTGGGGATTGACTTGCCAGTATCAGCATTTACCTGTCTCCTGGCAGGAGGGCTTTTGCGTGGCAGTTGAGCTCGTGTGTGCTGGCATGTATCCCCGCCAGGCGAGGCGTCAGCTCTGGGTGCTGGTGATGTGGAGGATGGTGCTGACCTGGACTACTTTGACTTGGAGGACCTGGCGAAGCTGCGCAGGCATGTGCGCAGGGCCATCGAGGACACGCAGCGTGAGCGCGAAATTTACCATGACATCGTGCTGCAGTACTTTGAGGTGACAGTCAATTCATTTCTGGCTTGCAGCAGTTCTTCGTGAGTATGTGTGTCTTGAGAGGGGGGCGCTGATCCCCTGCATTTGTGTGAACGCATTGTGTCCCTGTGCAGGTGTCTGATGTGCTGAGCAACAGGCTGAAGAGAGGACAACCGTTTGTGTCCACCACACGGCAGCATCAATTACCCAAGGTGCTCGGGCACATAGAGTGGTGGTGGCGTTGTGTGCTGCGTGGCTGGTTGTACAGGTACGGTTGAGCGGGAGCTCTTGCCTCTATGCCTGAGATAGACTTAATATCAGTCATGCTCCGCCCAGGGTGTCACTGTGAGTTGCCCACTTCCTACAAGCCCTCAACAAGGTATCCCCAATATGGATTCTTCAAGTCGATTTGATGTTGTTTCAGGTTGCTGGCGCTTGTATTTGCTGCCCTGTCGGTTGCCATTGTGATCGCGGAGGCGACCATATCTCCATATGTGCCGAACCTATCAGTGTTCTCGCGTGCCCTGCACGCAACTTCTGGGAATGAGCTTGCAACGGAGCTGCTGACTTTCGTGTCCCTGGTCAGTTCCCAATCCTTCACCCACATGTATGGAAATCTGATGTTGCAGGATCAAAGGTGGCTAGGTTCTGCTCTGCGTGCTTCTGAGCATCTGAGTGGAGCCTCTTTCGCTGTGTGGTTCACAGGCATACCCCTGCTTGTGCGCATACTATGCCATCTTTAAGCTCGGACGCTTCTCCTTTTATCTGCTGGTGCCTGGCCATACGTCCGCATATTCCCTGCTGGCCAATGCCATGCTGATGTCCCGGTTTGCTCCTCCGTTGGCGTTCAACTTCATGGCGGGCATAGCCCTGCCACCCTCCAAGAGCTCCGGGAGAGATGTGACAGAGACGGTGCTGCTCTCCATGCTTGCCTTTGCATTAGTGTGCTGCTCCTGCAATACTGAATAAAGGGGAACCTCCATGCCTGAATTAACACTGTGGAAAGCTGATCAGAGCGCATGTCTGACAGGTGTTCTATGAGGAGTTTGGGGTTCTGATGATGCGTCAACCACTCATCGGTTGGGACTTTACCACGTACTTGCCGGCGGCCCTTGTGCCGTACATGCTCATGCTTGTCTTTAATGTGTTCAACCGCGTGGCGTCCATGTTCACTCGCTCGGACAGCATTGAGTTTGACGATGACTTTGAGACAAAGAGCGGAGCTGCTGCAAAAGGGCTGAGGCTTTTGCAAATGGAATTAGACAATCACAATGCTGGACGTCCGCTGGGCTTGACGATCACCGTCTCAGGTCAGTGTCCATTTACTTGAAGTAAATGAAGTAAAGCCATGGTTGCTAATCTGATTGCTGCAAGTACATGTCATATCACATTGTACCATCAACGACGCAGTGGCTTCAAGGCACTGCTTGTTCACTTCAGGAAGAAGCGATGGCATGCGGAGTTCTGAACCACCACAAACAGGTTCAGGATCAAAACGCTGGTGGTCTTGGGGATCAAAAGCTGGAAGCAGCTTGCTGGCAGATGAGCATTCTTCAGGGCACTCCAGTGCCCCAGCTCGAGTTTCCGCAAGCAGGTCAGTTTTAGATTTCCATGTTCTTTCCATGATTGTCACCACCTGGCTTCATGGATTATCTGCTCCACCTGGACAGGCTTATGACTGGGATTTTATCCATAGGTCAAGCGCACAGCCAGCAGGGTCATCTGGGAATGAAGACCAGGCCCTCGAGGACTTCAGGTCACCTGTCGAGTCTTCAAACAGCGACCGTCAAACTGGTGGACTGGACTCAATTTTTGCACGGATGTCCTCTGACAAGGTAGTGTAACTGAGACTCACAATCTGTTTGGTGATGATGCTTGTTGCGGGATGAAAGACAGAGACTCTGCTGTTTATTTATCCGTGTGCTTTTGGTCATGGCAGGATACCCGAGGTCCAAGACTGGGACCTTTAAATGTGGAGCCCGATGGAAAGCAGGAAGATGATCATGGCAGCACAAGCCGGTGGCAGTGGCACAGGAAGTGAAGCATACACCTGTGAAGTAAGCTGCTTTAGACTGAGAGTGAGCCGCCGGGAATTCTTTCCTTTGTACACACTGATTGCAGCAAGCTTTGGCAAGCATTTGTATTTGGTTTCAAATCAGACTACCGTAAGCTAAATTGACTCACGCAGAATGTCTTCAACGGGTTTGCTGATGTTGGACAATCTCGCAGCAGTTGTTCCCCTCAAGACCTGCCCATCCTGGAATGTGCGTACAGACTGAAACTTCGTGTTTAGTGTACTTGATATGACTGGTCCCATTGCAGTGTATGATCATGTGAATGAGTCACAATTATGACAAGGGTGACTAGTGGAGAAACATTATGAGGCTCAATTGACAAATGGCTCTTCATCTAAAACTGTGGATGGTGCACACGTGTGCTGCATGTCCTTCCTACCTTTCCTCGCAGACTGTACGAAGCATCGGCGTAACAATATGAAGCCGAATGCGAAGGCTTTCTTTGGTCATATACATAGAGAGCCACCTAATCCAAGTAGTAGCACTTTTTTTTTTTTTAAAAGGGGAAGCCCCCGCTATTACACAGGTGCCAGTCGCACGCTTCCCAGCACGCATGCAATAGGATATTTGGGGAAACCTGTCAGAGTTGGGGCACGCAGAGCACTCCCGCAGGAGGATAATGCGATACTGAAGAGAAGCGCAAGCATGAAGGCATACCACAGAAAGGCAACAGAAAGGCTCCTAGCGATGGACATGTCCCAAGCACCAGAGGGTAACCTCATCCCCAGAGGCGCACTCCAGCCCGCCGGCAACGCAACACCGCTGAGGTGACGTTGGAGGACCCACGGGGCAAGCCTAGGGCTTGCAGCTGGAGGCAGGGGTCACAACAAAGCAGGCAATCATCAATCACTGGCAGGCAATTATGGATGTGCGGGCAACCAGTGGTGGAACAGACATGAAAGGCACGTTTATACGGTTGGCCGACAGGGATGGAACAGGATCGCGTTCGGACCCATTACCACTAGGTGCCGCTCGGGGCTGGCAATGTGACCCTAAACTATGCCTCAATCTGCCAGCAAGGTGGGGCACAAGCAAACGGTGGCATATGGGAGATATGAAGCCGCAAATGAGGCGAAAAACAGGTAGGCTGGCGAGAACTCGACCAGATACACACACCCACCACATTGGAGGCGGGGATAGGCAGGAGGCATCATGTCCAAGGTCCTAGACACCCGCTCAGGTTCAAGGGTGGATACTGGGGTTGGAAACCCTAAACCCTTCAGATAGCCTTCAATGAACTACTGTGAATGGTGAGGAGGACAGACACTAAGGCAGAAGGCCACGGATGACAGGCCAAGGGGATTGTTGGGGCTGCTGGTGAGACAGAAACATCGGAGGATCACTGGAAAACTATTGATAGCCTAAAGCCCTGGGCAGGGTGGTCTTCTGTAAGCTTGCGCCAACGCTCTGGCTCTCCGGCACGGTACACGCACTTTGACTAATGGGACAGTCGCTCTAGTGAACACATACGCATTCTAGTTAACCCTGGGAGGACTTCTCTGACTTGTCGTCTTGTAGCAGACCCTGTACCTGCAGCGCAAGGAATTGGAACCTTCTCAACGTTTCCATAACATCGCGGTACAATCGCAGCGCTCCCCGCTGGGGCCCAGCAGCCCATTCAGCCAGTTGCCACAGGGACTAGCTTCCTAGACGGACGACGCTGCTGCTGTTGCTGCAGGGCCACCAGCATCCAGGGCATATGTTTGGAGGCCGGCTTGCACTTGTCCATGCGGCCGTTGGCCCGACATGGTCTCGGGCGCCAGCTGAGTAGATGCGTCCTGGGCTCGTCAGGCTGAGTGCTGTATCATGCAGAGGAGATGCCACGGTGTCGACGCAACTGGTAGCTGGCCCGCCTTCACTGCCAGCACAATGCCAGCCCATGTATGGTGGTGCAGTGTAGGGCTGCCAAAAAATTACTGCACAAGGGGACTCCCATAGACTATCGTCCTGATTTGCGCCGGCTGCCTCAGGGACACGTACGTAGCTCCACCTCTAGAGCTCTTCGGCGTTCGTCACATGCGCATCGAGGGTTGCCTGGAATGGCTGCCAGGGCACACTTGCTGCCCTCCCAGCGACAGCCTATATCACCATGCCAAGGGCTCTCGGATGTCAGTTCTTGTTGTTCCACCTTCGCATGCCTCACCTTGACTTGAGCCTCACCAGGCCTTTCCGATTGTTCCACCATAGCTTTCAGCCATTTTCTCGACCATGGCCGTTGCATCATCGTCATCCGTGGCCCTTTGCCTTAGGAAATTTCAGTTGCCTCCTCGGCAGTTGTCTCATGTGCACCACCTTGAGCGGGTGTCTAGGACTTGAACAGGCCCATCACGCTGCTGACCACCGACTACAAGCTGGCAGCGCGGGCGATCGCCAGCCGCATCGGCCCGCTACCAGGTTCTGAACGCCACCCAGACAGGCTTCCTCCCCAAGCGCTGGATTGGGGACAACGTGCTAGCCCACCTTGAAAGGATCAGCTACTTGGCGGCCACCCAGCAGCCAGGCATCCTGGTGTTTCTCGACTTCGAGAAGGCCTTCGACCGTCTCGACATGGCCTGGATCGAGCGGTGCATCGCGGCAGTCGGCTTTGGGCCCGGAGCGCAGCGCTGGGTGCATCTCTTGCACTCCGGCACGACAGCACGCGTCGCCTTCCATACCGACGCCTTCTCAGTGGACTCGGGCGTCTACCCACTTGACCGGGCCAGATCCGGTCACAGGGGTCACCTTCGCGGCGCCAGGCGGGAGCGTCATGCACCTGGGCATTTCTCTGTCCAACCAGCCAGCAGCTGCGGCCACAGCCCTCCACAGCCATCGTCACGAAGGTGGAGGCCCGCATCGCGCGCTGGTCCGGGTTCCGCCTCAGCATGCTGGGCCGGGCGTACGTCGCCAAGCAGGTGCTGGCGTCCATGGTCACCTACCATGCCACCTTCGTGCCAGTGCCGCGGGAGCTGCTGGAGCGGCTTTGCAGAGCCATCCACACCTTCTTCGCGGCGAACAGGCCAGTGACAGGCAGCGCAGCAGCACTCTTCCCGGGCAAGGCGACCTGCTTCCCACGCGGAAAAGGACGGGCGGCATTGCGCTGGTGGACCTCAGCGCCCAGATCTTGGCACTCCAGGCCAAGGTGCTTGGCAGGCTGCTGGAACCAGAGCAGCTGGACTGGAAAGCCTTCTTCGACTTCTGGCTGCACAGGAGCGCCGCTTGGCTGGCAGCCCAGGAGCCCGCCTCGCTCTCAGCGCGCCACCAGCATATCTGGCACCTAAGCAGATTCCTAATCTTCTCCAGTTTTCCAGCAGAGCGGCTGCAGGCCGCGGCGCGCGTGCGGCAGTACGTGCACGCTTACCAGGAGCTGCAGCCTCATCGCCGCATGCAGCCACACGAGCTCAGCCACGACGCGGTCCTCAGCGAGCCGCTCTTCTTCAACAGGCAGCTCACAGACGCCGGCGGGCAGCCTCTTGCCTGGGAGGACTGGGCCAGGCTAAGCCTCGTCAGGGTCAGTCACCTTCGCGACCTGTTGAGCGGCCCGGAGCACCAGCACAGCGCCATCCGCCATCGCCTGCCGACTCTTCTCGCCGCTCGGCCCGCGTTTTCGCCCCGCTGGAGACACGCAGCCGCTTACTCCGATGGACTGCACCCCTCCGCGAAGTGCACAGGTCTTCCCTGCTGCTAGACAGGCACTGACAGACATGGAGGAAGACACGCCGCCGCCGCCACCGCCGCCGGTACCGATGGAGTGGGAGACACAGGCATACTCGGTGCCGCAGCGAGAGTTGCGACGCAGGATATCGCGCGTGCGCGATAAAGGTGCAGCCACCCCCATGGATTGGGATCTGCCTCACACCGAGGATCCACCCCAGACGGCTCACCGTCGCCCTCCGCACCTGGACCTCAGCGGCGTCCCGGATGAGCGTATCGAGGAGTGCCTGGAGTGGCTGGCAGGGCATACACACTTCTCCCCCGCAGACAGCGCGGCAGCGATTCGCCGGCTGCACAGCGATGCACCACTCGCGCTCGTGTCGGGAGGGGATGCACCAGCAGATAGGGAGCTGCGGCACCAGCTCCTCTGCGATGCTCTGCGTCGCATCCATGGAGCAGACAGCTTGCCGGACGACTCGTACGGCTTGCCGGCTCTGACACCGGAGGACCTAGCGCAGCCGGCAGAGGTCCCAGCAGCACCCATTGCACGTCAGCAGGGGAGACCCACTGTCCCGCCGGGCTTTGAGTCGCGAGCAGCCGCAGCGCGCGCAGCGCAGCGTGCGGC